TGCATTTTGCACTTACTATAAATATTATAAGTATATAGTTATACCTTTTAGACTTACTAACACACTAGCAACGTTTTAGGTACTTATAAATAATATTTTTAAAAATTAACTAAATATTATAGTTATAGCGTACTTAAATAATATTTTAGTATTTTTAAAAAATAAAAATAAGTACTAGAAATATGTGCATTAGGTGCTTTAAAAGCTATAAAAAGTAAACTTATAAGTATAACTAGAGAAATGCAAGTTTTATGCAAAACAAGTTAAGTTTCTAGAATTTATTATTTGGAAAGGAGAAATTAAGCAAAATCTAGAGAAAGTACAAGTAGTAAAAAAATAGCCTACACTAAAAAATATTAAAAATATATAATTATTTATAAAATTTTATAACTTTAACTAAAGATTTATATAAAACTTTTTTAAGATTTCAATTTTACTTACACAGCTTATAAAGAAAGAAAAAACTTTCTAATAAAATAAAGAAGAAGATAATACATTTTAAAAACTTTAAGAAGTATATGCTTCTGCTCTAGTATTAATTATGTTCTAATTAAAAAAACTAATATAAATAAAAACTAACGCTTTAAACCTCGCATTAGGAGCATATATTATATAGAAAAAAAATAGAAAATAGCACTCTATTGCCTACTACTTAAGAAAGTTTATATTAATAGAAGAACGCTATAATATCTATAACAAAAAATTAATAGTAATTATTAATTTAATTTAACACTAGAGAATCTACTGCAAAAGCTATTTTAAACTATTAATTTTTATAAACTATAAGAACTTTATTACTTTTACAACTACAAAAGATCTTAATTAATAATAAGTTTAATAGGCTAAAAAACTAGAACAGTATTAGTTTAAAATAATATATACTTTAAAAAAAGATAATAGAAGAGCTAACGCGCTTAGCTAACAGATAGATATTATAGAAGAAAAAACAAAAGTATAACAAGCAATACTTAAAATAAACTAAAACAAAACAATAGGACTAGGCTATTTTTAAAAAGTTAATATTACTATAAAAATTATAAATAATGTACTAAAAGAATAGTAAAAACAAATTATACAATAACACTACAACAATCTATTATATAAGTATTTAAGAATTAAACAAACTATAGAATATATACAGAAAAACTACAACTTTATAAATATAAAAGAAAAAGTTATATAGTACATCTAGGCTTGCAACAAGTGCAAAAAAAAAATATAATATATATATAAAATATAAAGAAATGCAACTAATTTTAGTGCCTACAGCACTTTAAAAAAATATTACTATAAACTTTATAATAGAATTTTTTATATTATAAAACTCTATTATAAACGTGTGCTATAACTTAATACTTATAATTATAAATAGATTTACTAAGTACGCACTTACAATTTTATTTTATAAAAACTATTTTGCTAAGTAGTTAAAATATATTATTTTAAATAAGTTAGTATAAAACTACAAGATACTAAAGATAATTATTAGTAATAGAAACAAGCTCTTTATATCTAACTACTAGATAACACTAATAGTAATAATTAAAATAAGATAAAAGCTATTAACAGCTTATTATCTAGAGATAGATAAATAAATAAAATATATAAATTAAACTATAATTACGTATCTACAGCTATACAGCAACTAGAACTAGAATAACTAGATTTCTTTACTACTTATAGCATAGTTAGTATATAATAACAAGTTATTAGAAATAATAAGTAAAACACTATACTTTATAAACTATAAAAGATATTTAAACCTTTTTAAAAAAAACTTTACTAATAATAAAAACACAAAGAGCATTAGAGAATGCAAAATAATATAAAAAAATATATAAAAAACTAGAAGAAAATATGTAAAAAGCATAACAACAATTAATCTTATTTATTAATAAAAAAAGAAAAATAGCACCTTAGCTAAAAAGGGGGAATAAAGTATATTTGCAAACAAAAAATCTTTAAATAAAATAACTAAGCAAAAAATTAAATTATATTAAAGTTAGACTATTTTTAATTAATACTATTATTAGCCTAGTTAACTACTAGCTTTAACTTTTAAAAGATGTAAAAATACACTTAGTATTTTACATATCTTTACTAAAACTAGCAAATTCTAAAGCACTACTATAAAATACATTTTGCTATAAAATAAAAAAAAATAATAAATTTAAAGTTAAGAAAATCTTACAACTTAAATTAGACTAAGGTTTTAAAAAATACCTAGTAAAATAGAAAGGTTACCTACTAGAAGATAATATATAGAAACCTAAGAAGCACTTAGAAAATTATTAATAAAAGATTAGAGAATATAAAGACAAATTAACACTACTTTAGGTTAAGAAAACATAAGGTAAAAAACTAGAATACTACGCTAATAGTATATAATAAATAAAACTATAAAGTTGTATAAAAAACTAACTTTAAAGAGTACTTTTAACAGAATCTAGCAAACTAGCAAAAAAGTTAGAAGAAAAGTTTTTAAAGGCATTTTAGGTGCCTAATAATAGCTGCAGACTATTAGAAATAGGATTAAAAAGAAGAACGTCTTTAGACTCTTCTAAATTTCTGCTCTTTACAGCTATTGCCTCCTCTACGCGTTATTTTAACACTTTTTTTTACTTTTATAGCTAATCTTTACAAGCACGCGTAGTGTAGAACTTTTTTAAAGCCTACTTTTAAGCTTTTACTACTGCTAGCTGTTTTTTTTATAACTTATAAATTTGCTAGTTTAGCTTTTTCTTCTCTTTTACTAACCTTTTAAATTTTAACTTAGTTACTTTTATATTATATAATAAGTTTTATTGTAGGCACGCACTGCACTGCCTTAACTATATATATACTTTATATACTATTAAGTGTGCTATGCAAGCAGAACACTTTTTTACTATAATTTTACTAAAAAAATTAATAAAATCTCTAAAAATGCAATAGCGTTTAGTACTAAAGAATAAGGAACTCTATTTAGGCATAATAAAGGCTAGAGTTTAAATAATGCGTTATTACATAAGCTTTAAGATAAAGCTAGCTAAAAGAGAAAAGATAATATTAAAATCTAAATAGCTAACAAGCACTAGGCGTTATACTACTTTTATAATATTAAGTTAAGCACACAGCTACTTACTATAAGTAAGCTAAAAAATATAAGTACTAAAATAAAATAAAATGTTATATACTTAACACGTAATATGCTCTTTTTACTTTATAGCTTTATATTATAAAGTAAAAAAAGTAAGGAAAGTAAATAAAAAAACTTTAAGTATATATTTAGTAAATAAGAAGCTTTTATAGTTTTTTGTATTTACTTTAAGTTACAACCTACTTTTTAAAAATTCAATCTAGTTATTACTTTATATACTTCTACTTTTATTATTTTAGTATTACCTATTAGTTATCTGTAAAACTTAACTAGAGATCTCTAAGACCTTAACAATACTAAAGCTAACTATATAACTATTAGTAAACTACTTATAGAGATTTTATAAGTATTTAGCGCTAGTTTAACTTAGTATAAGTAATAAAATAAAAATAAAAAACTTTTAATAGTAATATTTATAACTTTAATAAGACTAGCTTTATTATAGGCAAAATAGTATTATAAATAATTATTATAAGCTTAAAAAAAGTAAAAAAAATAAAAAAAATTTAGCTAGGTAACTATAAGTAAGTAACTATTATTTAAAGCGTTAAAGCTATAAGTTACTTACTTTTACTTTTTATTATTTTTATAAGCTGCGTGCTTATTAACGCCTAGTTTAAAAACTTACTATATAATTAAGTTTTTAAAGTAAGCTTTAATAGCTAAATAAATAACTAGCTTATTTTTACTTAGTTAAAGTACTTTAATAAGTATATAAAGTTAAGCGCTATAAGTGCGCACTACTTATTTATAATTAATAGCTATAAAAGCTATAGCTTACTTAAATCTTAAAAAAAAAATTTATATACTTTTATATTTATTATACTTTTTATAACTTTTTAATATTAGCTATTTTATACTATTAAAGTATAAGTATAGTAACTAGATTTTAGCTTTAGCGCGTAACTATATATACTTTATTAATAAAAAAGCTTTTTTCTAAGTATTTAAGCTAGCTTTTAAATAAGCTATAATAGTAAAAAATATTAAAGTAAGCTTTAAAGGCGCTAGACTAGTTTTATATAACTTAAAAGCTGTTATATTAAAGCTTAATATAAAGTTATAAACTTTAAAATAATTATTACTAAAGTAAAGTATATAAAAAGTATAAACACTACGTAATGCTTATAAAATTAAAATATAAGCTATACTTATTTAAAAAAAAATTAAAAATTATTTTAAGTTTTTTATAAGTTTATTAAATAAAAAAATTTACTAGCTAAGTAAAAGCGCGTAGTAAATTATATATAATATAGTATTATTATAAAAAAGATAAGTATATATATAAAGTATAATTAATAAGCTTATAAAGTGTTAATTAAAAAAGTAAAAGTATATTTAAATAAAAAAAACTCTAGCTATAAAAAAAGTATAAGACTTAATTACTAAGAAAAAAGTAAAAAGTATAATATTAGTAAAAAGCTTATGCTTTAAGTGCGCAGCGTAAAGCACTATAAGTATTATAGTTAAAAAAATATAACTTTTATACTTATAAAATAAAAATAGTAAATTTTAAAGATAGTAATAAATTTAAAAAATAAATTAGTTTATTATAATTTTTAATTAATAATATTACGTGTTTATAATAGTTGTGTGCAAGTAGTGCGCTAGTTAAGTATTAATAACTTACTTAAGTTAGTAACTTGCTTATAAAACATGTTAATGTATTATTTTTATATATATATTTAAAAAAAAGTAGAGTATATAAAGAAATAGGGAGTTTTTTTAGTAATTGCTTATTATTTTAGTAAATGTTTTATTGCAAACTATTGCTGTGTGTAGGATTACTTTAACTCTAACTTAAAAAAATAAAAAATAAAATAAAGAAATAGTTAAAAGCCTAACTCTAACACTCTAATATCTAGCAAGTAAATACTGCTGGCCCAGGTGCTGTATAGGTCTTCTGTCCATTATACAGATTATACAGAATGCCTGCATCGCTTGCCTTGTAGGCACCAGGTAGACTGACACTTGAGGGCGTCTTGCTAGCCTCTCCGCCCTGAACATTAATCTGGGCACACTCCATATAAAACTGAGCGCCATTTGGTGAGGAGGCGCTATGCAAGGCAATGAGCTCGCCACGGAGTAGGTATTGGCCTGGAGCAATGCATTTGGGAATTGTGATTGTTTGCACGCCGTTGTTAGAGATAAGGCGGTCAACGCCCCATTTCCCAGAGGAGTCGAGCCCGTCAGAGGCAATCTTGAACCATCCAGCTATTTATTGATTTGATTCAAATTAGCTTCTCCTCTCATCTTCAGTTCAGAGAGGGGGGTGGGGTGAGGGGATGTTCTTACACCCAATGCCTGAATCTGTCTTTGCATCACTGACTTTCTTCATGTACGCCATAACGGGGCCTTTATGGCTTGCGTCAATCACGTCATTGGAGCCTGAGGTCAGAGTATGGCGCCATGTGAGCTTTGCGGTGGATCCAGCTTGGACATTGATAACGGTTGAGGTCTTAGTCGTCGGGTTGGGTCCACCATTGCAAACTATGTATTTGGGTGATTAGAGCTCTATTACGGGTTTGGTTTGAGCGTTTGTTATCACCTATGTCGTTGGACGATACATCTGTAATGGGCTGCAGAGGATGTCAGTATAGCGTTTGAATAAGTTAACAAGTGGAGTGAGATTGCAATGAATGAATAGGAGAATGACATGTAGTTACTGACCCCGTCGTAGCTAGGCACTCTGACACCGTCACCAACTGCTCCATCGTTGAGTGAGACAAAAATGGTGTGCGCAGAAGCAGAAGACGCAGCAGCAGCCAAAGCAATAGATGTTGTGAACTTCATTGTGGGCAAAGCGGTCGTTGTGATCGAGGTACTGAATTTGTGCTCGAGGGAAGAGGTCGCACTATATATACGTAACATTTCCCTCTACCCCTACACTCATCTGTCGCTATCCCGACTTTTACTTTGACATTTTCATAAACGAGCAAAGACGAGCACTGTGTCGATTCCCGATCCGCAGAGACTGAACCTTGCATGCCTATAAACATCCACCAATCACACCTGTAACCCTTACGGTGCCACGAGGGTACCAAACATCCCCCACACTTTACAAAAGCCGTTTTGACCGCGGACCCTACGGACCGTGATACGTCGAGCGGCACAGTGGTTAATTAAGCAATATAATGCTCCTTGGACGCTTCTTCTATTGTTTAAGCGAGAGCAATCCTGGCCAATGGGCGTCGCCGAGACATAAATTAAGAGAGCTAAGATGGCTGGTGATAGTCGGGGACTTTTGATGCAATCAAAAAATATATGACTTGAAGGTTTTGCGGCCAAGATGACGTTGGCGCGAGAGAACAAGGCCGATAAGTGAATTCCAATTGAGAGAGCATTCAGACACTACAGGGCGTGCCTCCTCAAGGCTATGCAGACATAACGCGTTGAAACATATATAGGCACCTACCCGAGCGTTGCCATCCTTGTCAATCATGATACAAGCCAATGAAAAGCAAGTACAAATTCCTTTCCATTCCGATAGGAATACTGCTGGACTTTATCAATGTCCAGGGACGCCACGCCACGTGGTGTTTCACCAAGTTAGTAGGCGGCACGTCGGTGTAGCAATTGCGCCTTCCGATCACCCATCGAGATCTACGTGGGCAAGTTCGAGATGACGCTACGCTTCATGCCAGGCCGGAAAACCCGAGAATGCCGTGGCCTTTTTGCTGCTGCTTTCCTTTGCTCCTCTTTCTCTTCTTCCTCTTCTGCGAGGGTTTGCCGTCGTCGCTGCTATCTTCCATGTCCTCGTCACTGTTTTCATCCGAGTCGTTACCATGGTCACGCTTGGCCCCGTTGGCAGCGCTTGCAAGGTCCTCTTCTTCATGCTCGTCGTCCTCTTGACTATCACTTGGGCCTTTCTCACCCCAAACCTTGACTGTCTTCCCACCCCCACTAATCATGCGCCCATCTGCATCAAAGCCTAGCCCAATGACGCCCTCCTTCTCCAACTCGTCGTGGGAAAGCTCACCAATAATCCTGTTCGCCCCGACCTTGACGAAGCGTATAATGCCGTTACCGAGGCCGACCGCTACAACCTTGCCGCCAGGACCCACACCAGCAGGGAGGAGAGCAAGCGAATCGAGGCTTTCGCCGCCTCCAGGAGTTTTGTCAATGGTAATGCGCTCGTCCTGGTCGTCCCATACGCCTCGCTCCCACAAGGTCAAGACACCATTTCCTCCGCCCACGAGGACCTTTTCGCCGACACTGGTGCCTTTCTTAGATAAACCAGTGACCATGACGGAGCTTAGCAACTCCTCTTCCTGATCCTCACTGCGTACCATGACGCCTCTTCGCAGGTCTGTGACGGCTAATGTGGTTCCTCCAGTACTGACCCACTGCTTGCTGAAGCCGCTCGTGCTTTCCGAGGTCGGGGGTAATGGTGTGAGGGAGGAGATGTAGTCGTCGTGTGGATGATGTGTTTGGTGGGGTTTCAAGGCAGTCTTGGGTCCCAGTTCACGGAGATCATACAGGTGAAGGGCGGACGAATCGGTGCCCAGGAGGAGTGTCTGCGGGGACAGGGCGTGGACGATGGAAGGGGCATCAATTCGGGCTGTGGCACTAGATGGAGTTGGTCAATGAATCAGATGGGGGAGGGTGGAGTAAAACTCACGGATCCAATGGTACTGCAATTTTGGCAGCGACCTGGCCTGTTGTAAGGTCAGCAGCTTTGACGATACCGTCAGTGCCAGCCGAGTACAGCTGCAATCCATCGTGGCTGTAGGCCAGGGCTCTGCAGCTTCCTTTGTGTCGCCTTGTGCGCCAGGCTGTCTCTATATGGCCGAAGCCGCTCTCCGAAGCAAGCGTCTCATCGGCGTCGCTCTCGTCGCTCGCGCCTGCAGGGAGCCGGTACGTCTGGACATGGCCTGAAGAAAGGCCAACCGAGACAATAGGCTCCTCCGGGTGGACAGTCTGGGTGAACAGGTCGTGGTCCAGCGGAATGGCGCATATGTTCTGGAACATGGCCATTCGGGGTGGCGGTAGCGGCAGCGGTAATGGTAGATGGTAGTGATGTTGATGTAGTGGGACGCTCAATTGAGGCTGGCTGGCTGGCTGTGACCAGAGTTTGGCGCGCGCGCGCGAGCGAGCAAGGAAGTCAACTTTTTTGTGGGGCGGCTCATCGATCGAGCCTGCCTGCCTTCCTTCGTCCCTTCTATTTTGGCAGGATACGCCAACGCGGGGCAAGTGCACCCGAGAGCTGTCTGATATATGTACATACATATGTAGGTACCTAGGTACTTACTTAAGCAAGTACATGTGTACAGTACTACTACTACTACTACTACTACTACTACTACTACTACTACTACTACTACTACTACTACTACTACTACTACTACTACTACTACTACTACTACTACTACTACTACTACTACTACTTACTGACTTACATGTAGTCAATTCACATCTTCAAATGTAATCAATGTCTCATGATGGGGCTGGTGCTATGCGCAGACCGAATACTACCTACGTAAGTAGCTAAGCAACATTCCAAAATCCAAGTCCCCCTCCACACTCCGTTCTCCTTCGCAGCTAAACAGCTCCCAGCCATTCCAAACACCCATTGCGATACGTGTATACATGCATCCCCATCACTGACTCCACCATACGCAAACTACAGTCGCTGTATGGGCGACAAGTCTACCGCGACCCATATCTATTCGTCCAGTCTCTCAATTTAACCCAGATGGAGCCTGGCTGTCTCCCCTTCAAGTGCAGCAGCAGCCGTTTGGAACCTGCGAACAAGTTAGTCGGTCGATTCACCAATCAATCAGTTGCCCAGCACATGTTTACTTACGCAGGTGCAGGGCCCGCCGAAGCCAATGCAAGGGCACTCCACGCAAGGCGTCGTGATAACAGCGTTATCTGCATCGCGAGACACCTTGGACAAGCGCTCAAGGCTAACCTGTCGTCAATTCATCAGCAACTTTCAATTACTCATCATCAACTTCCCAGTCATTGACGTACCGCGGCGGGTGAGGCCATGGCTATTGTGGCCGCCACCGTTGCCATCAGGACCGAAAGCTTCATCGCAGCTGAATCAGTGTAGTCTCCGCGTGACGATTGAGATCGGCTCAGTATGGGAGCGGGATGTCTAAAGAGTGTTGCGCAGGATGTAGGTGAGCAATAGTTGTTTTGCAGATGCAGGATGAGGGCGAGTCTGTGTTTGTGTGTGTGTGTGTGTATGTGTGTGCAAAAGAGAAGAGAAGAGAACAAGGGAAAATATAGCAAAAGGTATGTATCTTTCCCTATCATGTGTGGTGGAGGAGGTGGAGCAGATCGTGCCTTCTTAAGAAAGCTTTATAGCTGCAACCCAAGTACGTCGGTAAGACAATCTATCTCCCCATGGTGCCTGTCCTCCCCCCGTCTCCCAGACCTTACTCGTTACCGCAACACCAAGAGCCGGTCTACTGGCCTCGTGGCATGTTCCAAAAATCGTGTACGTGCACTGGGGTAGTTCAATCTATGCTTCGCCCTTAGTGGGCCAGCAAGGTTGTTTTGCCCCGGGTAAATCTGTATACCCAGTTGAGCCAGAATACTCACCCTCAAGACAAATAGATTGTTCCTGTGACGAATGAATGCTTCCCAAGACCTTGCTTCTTCAGCGGGGCCCGGATTCTAGAATGAGAGCATCCATCTTGTGCGACGTTGCGATATACGCAATCTTGTTGTGGCGGGTCGAGTATGGGGATTTGGAACAGATTCACGCGTCGCAGTGTCCGGCGAATCCTTATCGAGCATGGCGACTCGGCGGACTCGGAGGTCAATCCAAATTCTATGCTAAAGCTTCTCGGTATTCCCAAGCCAGCATTTTGAGTTGGAAACAGTTACTAACTATGCCAGTGAGAGACATCTCACTTGCCAAAGTCTTTCATGTTTTGCCATGCCTGCATAGTTCGGGAGAGGTCCAGTTAGCTCAATATTTTGATATTGTCTTTAATCATTAGCAACAATCCGCCTCCAAGGGCCATAGACTGTGACTTCCTTACTCCCAGCTGCCGCAAGGTACCAAGATGCACAGCTGTATCACACTACCTAGCTGTATCCCCCTGCAGCTATTCATATGCGAGTGCATCTGAACCGACACTGCGATCCAGGCTTCCCCCGTCGCCAAACGGAATATTCTAGACTTCAATGCCTGTCTATATTTCTGCGTACCCACGCAGCCACACATGTCTCTAGCGCTTCTCGCCTGCAGGAAAAGTCCAGACACTTCCTTGCTGCCTTTACCCCGTGTGACACGGTTGGGCATTTGACGACTGTCTTATTCGAAATATGCTTGGCTTCTTCGTCCTCATCTGGCCAGGTGCTAAATTGAGGGACTCGGGTGAATGTGGGCTTACAAAAGCGCCCAATGAAGAATGATTATGACCATGAAGGAACAAAAACTAATGTCTGAAAGATGCAATACCCATCGCTATGCAAAACGGTCGACGTCACATGAAACTACTCGCGCGTCCAACATGCTAAAACACCTACTATCTCGGCTACAGCATACATTCAAACAGGTAAGAATGTGATCGTCATCAAATCCGATTCCCCTCCGCCCTCTCCATCTCACCACCCTCAACCTCCATAACCTGATTTGCCTGTCCGGGCCCCGTTTCCAACACAATCGTCCTCCGCGATTCTGCGCCGCTGGCGCCGCCTCCAATTCCACTAGCGCCGGCGGCACCAGGTCTCTCCACACCAACGCCAACGACCCTGCCTTGAAACTGGTGCCAGCAGTTGGGGGCCTGAAGGATGTACTTCTCCATGGCGATGCGGAAACGATTGCGATAGTCCTTGGGAGAGGTGATGGTTGGTTTGTTCTTGCCACGATCTTTGATCCAAGACTCAAGCTTCTTGTCCCACGTATAGGTTCGTATGCAATCTATTCATCTCAAGTTAGCCTACTGCGTGAATAAAACAAACATGGCATGCATATGAACGAGTCTTTGGGGAAGGGAGATGATCTTGGTGTAACAGGCAGGTAGGTAGGGCGTACCAATGATGCCGACGATGATTTCTCGGTTCGTATCGTCAAATCCGGCCATGAGACTGTAGTCCATAACATTATTCTGGGACAGAAAGAGTGTGTCGTTCCACACACTCGCTTTGAGTAGTTTCTTGGTATGCTCGCGTACGAAGATGGGGGTTTCGCTGTAGATGATGTCGACAAGGTTCTCGTCGAGGAGGACTTCATCGCGCTCGCCCGTTGATTCAATTTTGCGGTTGCGCATGCTACCTTTAAGGTCGTAGCGCCGATTCGGCTCGCGATCATAGAAAAGATTCTCCATGACCAGCATGAAGCAGTCAAAGTCACGGCCGGTCGGCGTCTTGATTTGGACCTGGAAGAGGCCAAACATCTTAGCAATGACGGAAGGAAGGCTGTAAAACAGGTTCTGGTGTGTGAAAGAGAAGTAGTTGGGTGCGAAGCGGAAAAATGCTTGAACCTCAATCGGTGAAAGACTCTTCAGTACAAATCGGTCATCTAGAGTCTTGAGAAAGATGGATTTTGACTTTCCTCCCTTGGAGTCCCATTTTGAGCAGCGCGAGAGCGATTCGACGAAGCGGTCAGCAACACCACACTTTCGACGAAGTGCATCAAACGACTGCGCATAGAACACCTTGCACTGTACCTTGACGCCACGGTTGGTGAAACTATACCTATAGTTATTGTTCTGCAAATTCGTAAGGTTGCGCTCGATGGACTGATCTTGAGTTTCCATTCCACCGGTGACGGCGATAGGCTCGCGGAACGATTGTAGCTTTGACATATAATCCGTACTTGATAGAGCAAGAGCAATGATAGAACTGGGCTCATCCTCGCGCACAACAATATCAGAACTTTCCCAAACATGTTCAATCTGTGCAAAAGGATAATCAAGAGGCACCCATCCACTTGCAGATCGCTCGGACCAAAAGCTTGTCAACATCTTCATCAGAGTGGTTTTCTCATGTTTGGGTAACTCTAATGAGTTCTCGAGTTGAGAATCAGTCATTGACAGTAAGTCTGAGCTGGCGATGCTATCGGGCAGAGGTACTTCTTCGGGTGCTGTCTCCGCATCGCTAGCCTCGTTGTCAACGTCAGAGGCATGTGATGGAGTGTCAATAGGTAGCTCGGTTTCGCTAGAGCGACGTTGTGGATCTTTGTGGTGTCGTTCCTCTACCGGTGAATTCGATGTCGTAGTACCGCCGCCTGTTGTTTCCGTGAGGTTGCTATCGCCCAGCGTACTATTGTCGATACTAGCCCGCACCGAAGACTCCAGCTGCGCATCTTCGTCTGAAAAGCTTTCTTCCTGGACCGCTTCGTGAACATTCCTGTACACCTCTACAATAGGTTTGGACGACGCCAGTGGGTAGGCACGCATCTGCCGGTTGCGCTCATTACGACGCTCACGCATTCGCTCTTTTTGAAACTCCTTGGACAATTGTTCGAAGTGCTCTGCGAGTCGAGAGACCTTGGAAAACTCCCGCTGGTTCCTCAAAGGTATGGAGCGAGGGATTTTGGAGACCCCCTTCCCCGACTTGAATGCGCCTAGAGCGAGCCTTTCCGAGATTCGCTCAATGACTTTGGTAGAATCACCGCCCAGCGTTGGCTTAGACTCCGGCGTGTTTGTAGACGTAGCTTTGGAAGGAGCACTATTGTGCTTCACAATATTCCCAGGCTGTGATTGTGTTCTCGTTAGAAGTGCTGGCCTTTTTGGTGCTGTCTCGCGGCGAATAGTGTCGACAAGACGTGGGATCTTGCTTTCCAAGGTACCAAACGATCCCTGCTGCGGTGATGGCGATGGTGGAGATTGTCCGACAGCGTTGGCAAGGCTTTCGTCGATGGGATTGGCTTTGGAAGGAGCGGTCGGCGTGGGCGACCCCAGTTCATCATAGCTTGACTCCGCAGGGATGGTCGGTGTCTTTACTAGAGATTCATCCTTGGCAACAGGACTCTCTGAGAACGCCGATGCAACAGCCAGGTCGAGGTGCCGAACATCGTCCCTTTCAACAGCTTCCATTGGAGTCTGCAATGGTAGACTGTGGCCAACCTGATCATCATTCGATACAGGAGACCCTTCACCCCTCGCAGGTTGGGGAGGTACACCCACAGACCTATTACTGCCGCCAGACTGATCTTCTTCCACCACAGATGTGAGCATGTTATGTGCACGTTCACGGGACATGTTGGACGGCATTGGCGTTAGGGTGAGTGTCTCATTCTTCTCACCCATGGCAGGCTCATCGAGAATCTCTGAGCCTTCCTCCACGGAAGTCAATGAGCTGGTCGATTCATCGCGCTCCAAGAACAACTTCTTCAATTGGAGCGTGGCTAGGCGCCTGATATCCTTTTCAGACGGAAAAAATTGTTGTTCAAAGTCCGTGAATGTCTCATCCCATGCTATAGCTTTTTCCTGAATCGCACGTATAGCTCGATTCAGTGGGATGATCTCGTAGTATTTCGAGTTCATGTATTTCATTTGCAATTTTTCTCGCAGCCAATCATGCTCATCGTTGGCACGTTTCATCAGTCTGTCCACTTCTGTCCGGCAAAGCTCCACTTTCTCAGGTATGACACTCTCTACGTGAATACTCTTGATTCTAGACCTGACAGAAGCCATGAACCGATCAAGCCTGTCTTCTATCTTGAGAAATTGGTCATTTTTGAGTCGTAGATCACTGTCTACTTTCCAGGTCACGATCGGTCTTGGAACGATGACTTCGTACAGTTGCACCGCATCGTACTGGATACGTAAGGCCATGTTGTTGAATCCAAAGTACCTGACATGATTTTTGTGGATGTCGTGGGGGCAAATGCCGGCCCTGGGGTGCAGCTCGGTACTCCAGAAAGTCAGCTCAAGGTACTTCGCGAACGAGTACTTCCAGGTGCTGTCCGACATGGGTATGACCTGGGTTTCCTGGCCACAGATCCTGCAGCAGCTCCACATCAAAATGGTGTTTTGTAGTCCCTTGATTCTGGAAGGGCTCTTCTGCACAATTACACTCATTTGACCCTCGGCGTGTACATACTGTCGAGAGTGATCCAGCATTCTGCGATTGCAGCCATCCACCTCGCACAGCAAGTTGGCGGAATGACAAAGATCCTCGACGTACTGGCCAAGTGTACAATCGGGAGTGAATCCGTCATCATAATCATGTTCTTGGTAGAAGTTTAAAGCAATGATCTCTGGCCCAATGCAAGGGGTGGAGTTGGCAGTATTGACGACACTGTAAAGCACTGCAATCCTTTGATGGTTGAAGGGGTCATAAACGTCCAAGTTCGTGGCCAAGTAGGCCTCCCATTGTCGCTTTTGAGTGGTGTAGTTGTGTAAAGCTTTGTCGTATTCGGAAGCATGAACAGCGTGCAAAAACTCCCGAACTTGTCTGGAAGCTTTTTCTACCACCACATGCACCATCTCCGGTTGGACGAGCTCAAAATTCTGCGGTTTCTCCTCTTTGACCTCCTCATCTGTAATGTATTGGTCGCGTAGCTTTTTCAGATCTTCCAACTTCTTTTCGTATTCTCGCGCCTTGTTGAGCAAGTAAGGCTGCATGAACTGCACAAAGGGGGAAGCTGATAGAATTTTTGTCTGATGATTCTCCACCACTTCACTGTGATATGACGGTGCAGATGTATCATGCAACGCCTGGATTCGATCTGCAGGGAGCTGACTTTCCTGCTCCTCACTTGGTTGTGGCGCTGCCGGTGACTTGCTATCAACAAATTGCGACACTTCTGGCTCATGCTTGGTCGAGGCAAGCGTCCCCGTAGTTGATACAGTTGGAACCATGACGAACTCATCGCGCATAAGGCAGGTTTCGAGTTTAAGATTGAACACGACGTAGCACATGAACTCAGTGATGTGCTTCAACTTGGCCAGATTAGCTGCTTCATCGCCACGAAGAGCTATTGTGCATCCCAAATCAGGTTGACAGCCAGATAGGAATATGTAAGTTCGTCGAATGTTCTTATGAACATATGTTTTGACGTCAAAACTACCACACCGACCTAGACGCGAAGTATCGGCGAGTTGGTCGACAGACGAAACCAGTTTGCACTGAGTACATCTCGCGACAGCGTTGAGGACGGTTTCTTTGACGTTGTAGGCAACGGAGATTCCGGCCTGCTCAAGAAACTCGAGAGCTAAGCCAGAGACGTTACGCTGGACTAACAACACGTTGGGGCGAAGCGCGGCAATCCTACCGACTAGGTTGCGAAGATATTCTCTTTCTTGTGCAATTACAGGCTCCAAGCTCATGAAGTGAGTCTGGTGGCGAGCATATTCGACAGCAAAACCGATGATGAGAATCCGCGGGTGGCTGACATTGCGGGGCATACTTTTGAGCGCAATGTTCTTGCGGAAAACGACGCCAGAAACGTATGAAGTGTCGCGAGGCTTTCCTCCCACTACCTTCTTGAGTTTAATGTAGTTTCGTATGTCTATGTCGTCTCCTCTATGAAGATCAGGGTTCACGTCGTCGGTACATTGCAGCAGAATGGGAACAAGGGCCTTTTCCCAACTGGACACGTGCGCGACGCCGGCATCCTGCAACATCTGCTTCAATAATTTCCGCACATGCTCCAAACTGGCTTGATTCAATTCAACTTGGGGTGTGTTGCCCCCTCGCATGGATGCACTGCGAGTAATCTTGGAGCCCGAGGGGGGTGTTGGAGAGGAATGGGGTTGTGGTGAGGGCGAAGTCCCAATCAACGCGTTGGGACTGAATGTAGCCCCAAACGGCTTCAGTAGACTGTTACTTTTCGACCGCCTGGGTGAGGGCCTGTGTGTGACGCTGCTCACACTGAGGTTCCTTTTCCTGGGATGGCGATTGAAATGTCGACTTGTCACGCTTATGTTATCCGCATCGCGAGCATAACCGCCTCCGGCCACACTCCTATCGCCGGGTCTAGATTTTCCTTTTCTCATCGACGCAAGGAGACCACCCAGACCACCTTTCTCTCCGTCCAAAGTAGTCTGAGATTGCAGATCCCCACTCAACGCAGCGAAAATGCTGAGTTGTTCGTCTTCACTAGAGTCTTCATCAGACATAAACTGCGCTAGATCAGGGTCAATGATATTGTCATGATGGAAAGCGGGGAGGGCAGATCGACTGCGGTTCTCGGTATCAAATTGGTGAAAAGGCGCACGATCCTCCAATCTCGGATTTCGCATATGCTGGTGCCTAGAAGGGTGGCGCTTGTGGCTCGAAGAGCGTGGGCGGCCACCAAGCGAGCGCAGGGAGCGTGAGGAACTGGGTCTAGGTAGATTGGCAGGAGCAACCTCAATGACGGCTGAGCGACGTTTTTTCTCACTACCTGCTTTCCTCGACATGGGGATGCTGATAGTTGGGGTTCCGATCTTTGTATGGTCGCTATCGGACGGGTTGAGCTGACCGGCCTCATAGTCCTCTCTCTCATCCTGCTCATACAACGACGCTTGGTCATCATCATCAGTGTAGACGGAGGAATCATCGTCGTCCCCGTAGATGATACCTTCGCATGGCTTGCAGACGCGGAGATTGCCCGACTGGCCAAACAGCTTTCCGTCTACGAGGGACGTACACTTCGAGTCAAATATCTGGCCACAGGTGCGGCAGTGGTGTTTGCGCCGGAAGGTGGAGAAGGCATCGCCACACTTGAAGCACTCTTTGGCATTCTCGTCCTTCATCCAGAAATCCCGATCGATGATCTTGTGCTGCATTCGGGATTGCGCGTTCCTAGGTAACGGACGCAATGGCATGTTAGTGGTGCGCTGGCGAGCCTGCTCTATGGACGGAAGGGTGGGGCTGCGGACGGTGGTGGAAGTGATTACGGAACTCAAGCCATCCGAGGACGAAGCTCGTGACGGACGATAACCAGGTAAATGAGAAGGGCCAACCTGTACCAACGGAGGGCGCTGTGGCGCTGGGGCAAGCACAGGCGTTTGAGCGTTGGCGGTTACAGTGACGCGAGGTTTCTCGGTGGATTGAGGGTTATCAGAAAGCTTTGCGAGATCATGAGTAGAGGGAAAACTGGGCTTGTATTGATGTTCGGGACGTGATGCTACCTTGGTCAATCCTTCGGCTGTGGTGTCTAAGGCAAACGCGTGGTTGGTGCTGCTACCGGCTGCCGGGCCTCCCTCTACAAGCACCAGATCGTCTTCTGAACTACCACTGCCTTCTCTTCTCAACTGAAGGCTGCCCCCCCTCTGGTGGCGCAAGCTATCTTCCCGACCGGGCATATATGTCGAGGGCTGGTTTCGCGAGGTAGAGGCAGGCACGAGAGAGGAATTGCTTCGTGCAGGCTGGTCTGACGGAGGGGCGGCATGGGATTTGGTGGTGCTGGCGGGGCTGTGAGTGAATGGGTCGTCTTCATTAACGGTCCTCGCCGAATCCAAGCTTGGAGTAATGGAAGGCCTCGAGCGGACGGTGGCAAGCGAAGACCTCGAACCATTGAGCGAGGGCTTTGCGGACACGATGGAGCTTGAAGCGTTCGAATCTCGCGATGGCGGGGGTGGATGGTCGGGGAACGCTGGGGCAAGAGGAGACTGTAAACGCGAAGAAGGACGGGAGACGACGACGGGAGAGGTTGCGGCAGCAGTGACCGAAGGGCTCGCGAGCATGTCCCTGTCTCTGATGGAGCTGGCACCGACCGAAGCCTTCAGACGACTGTAGAGACTGCTCAAACCGCCGACCAGCTCGATGGTCTTGGTCTCATTCGACGAGGCAGGCAAAGGCGGGGCGGTCAGGTCGTCGAAGGTGGTCAAGGCGTTGGAGCGCGATGCCGTGGCATGCATTTGGTGGATTGCATCTTGCGGCGACGCTTCTGGGGTGGCCGTGTCTTTGGGCATTTCTGCTGCCAACCGCTATGCTTTGGTGTGCTGTGCTTTGCTATGTGGGCGGAAGGAGTAGGGTGGCGGTGGAGCGAGGGCGTTGGACGAGATCAGGCCGACGTGTGCTGCGGGTCATTGTTGAAGGTGACGAGGGGCGTCTTGTATTCTAGTCTTGGGCATGTACTTGGACATGGACTGTACTTGGGCGAATTATTTGGCCATGAGCAGAGGGTGATGTTCAATGTTGGGTGCATGGAATCACCAGGCATCCGGGAAAGAGAGATGGAGGAGAAGGCTAGGATAAGGCATTAGCCATGTACACTTCTCACGTTGACGCGGTATTGATTATACAGCGTCTTGGCATACCTTGTACAGGCTTTGGATAGGGCGATTAGACTCGAATCAAGGCTTGCATAGAGAGTTGATGGATGGTGAATGCCGGGGTACATGGAAATCCGGTACAGTACGCACGTACATGTATGTACCTACCTAGGTATGTACCTACGCACGCAAGCGCGTGACGAATCGTTGCATGCATGGACACGTGATGGGCAAATGTCTACCTACAGCAGCCATGTTTCATTCATGCGTGCAACCATCATGTGAAGGCATCCTCGAAAGAATCACGCTTGCTTGAGCCATATATACATACACACATACAAACAGCTGGCATAATGTCCATCCACGGTACAAAGATACATCGTACCTAAGCCGCGAGTGCAACCAACCCCCACTTCCAAAGCCCCATACAGCCCAATATCACCTGCGCATATAGCCAACATTGGTGCATTCGATGCATCCGAGTCAAGTCTACATAAATACCTACATACCCTTTCAACTCGTGCATGTGCGCTCATTCACCATCTTGTTCTGCATCTTTCTAGGCGCATGCACAACACCTCCTCGTCCATGTATCCCCCTTGAACCTTGGTAGCCCAAACACGTGTTGACGCGTCGTCGCGTGCGTGCGTGGGGCATGGCTTTGCATCTTCCCGCCCACACCACCTCCACTCCCGCCTTCCACCACCGCCCTTGGCTGCACGAGATCCTCGCAACCCATCTGCATATGGGGAGGACTTGGCTGCAAGCACAGGCATTCAGCAAGGAAACACGCCCCAACCCCAACCCAAATCGAGAGTGGGCTGGCATCTACGAGGATAACGGCAGTTGCTTGGATATCTTCGTTTCAGAACAGCAAAACACTCACCGACAGGTACTCCAGGTCATCCGCGAGAATCCCCTCACTCTGAGCGACGGCGAGGCATCTGTTCGAGCTTCTCCGGACCCGGACAAGCACCCGGCTTCGTTGTTCGCCCTAGGTCATTACATCGCCCTGCACACGTACACCCTGCAACAAACTAGTTACGGCCCTCGACGCGACAAGATCCTCATAGTGCCCGACACTGTTACCTACCTCGGGAAAGCGGATTTGGGTGATTGCTCAACCATTGAACCCATTACCAAATGCGAAGAGGTCGCCTCTGCTCTCCGAGGGCTACACGAGACGAGAATTGCTTTGGATCGCCAATGCTTCTTCGCCTCCAAAAAACCAGCCAACATCATCATGACTCCCCCACAACCCAATGAGGGTCGTGCCGGTCAGACCCAAAACACACAAGTACCCTTTGGCACTCAAATGCCTCCTCCCTCCCGGACCGACCAGGAAGACGTCGTACATCTAGGGACACGGAGGCTGGAGCCTGTGTTGGCAGGTACTACACGCAGGGAGGAACTCCAATCGGGTGTTTCGCAGACAAAGGCCAAGCTATTAAGCATGCTGCAACAAGCTGCTTCGAGACATGAAGGCCCAAAAGTTGGCAAACATCATCTACCATCCAAGGAGGCAGCCCCAGACTCAGCTGAAGCAAGGAATGAGATGATGGACGTGGATCCTGCCCCGACGCAACGCGAAAGTTTCATTTTGGCTGATTCAAGCATTGAGCAAATTGCCGATGGCTCCGTCTTGACTTCATCCAACGAGGACGAACTTGATAACTCGGTTCCTACCTGGTTGCTACCCGGATCCCGCCCCGTTTGCGGCTCAGCAAAGGCTCACGCTAGGCAACAGGAAATACTGATGCGTCCTGAGAGCTGGCATAAACCTGGCGGACGATTCAAGTTTCCCGATGCCAACATTCCAATTGAGATATCAGCGGCTTTGATGGTGAAACTCCGGTCCAGTGAAGAACACGTTATATCGTCTTTAGATTTCATGGCAAGCCAGGCGCCGGCTGGCGGTGCTGATACGACACAGGATTCAATTCCGGCGCGGGGATCTGACCCTATCCGAGACCCGTCTCCTACACAAGAGTCGGACATGATCTCCTGGGCAACTTCGCCCGCGCCTGAGCCACCTCAACGCGTCGCTCAAATCAACATGAACCTTCCGCCAGATTCCAGTATGGAAAATCGGACTAGCAATTCGAGTGAACAGAAGAAGGCTCTTCCATCATCGCCTCCAGAGCCTGCTGGTGTTCAAGGGTCTGATGATGAGATGGAGGTCGACGTACCACTTGGACTGGGTGAGGAGCTATCTGTGGATATGTTCCGGTCCGGCCCACCTTCCGAGATGGTGCAGGTCAAGGAAACACCGTATACAAAGTGCAAAAAGATAGCCCCTTCTTTATCCCAGCCTGAACGCGAGCCAGGTGACCCGTACAAAGGCGCATCGTCGCACTCTGTCGCCTGGGTGGCGGGTACATATAATGACGCACAATCCCCTGCAAACTTTTCATCAAGAGAAGCTCGTCGAGACCCTGTTCCCGCGGATACAGCAATGGACATGATTAGCGTCAATGATAAAACTATGAGAATAGCGGAGGCAGACACAAGATCCTCCTCAACATCACATATGACAACAGGTTTCCGTGCCGATCTAAAGCATGAAGGTGGAATTGAGGGTGGGAGGTCACTCTGCAAATCTAAAGAAGTTAAAGCAACTGCGGCTAAGCCAGTTCATGTTCTCAGAGATGCACCACTGAGCGTAGGCGTCGCATCCACGCAAGTGCAGGTTATAGAGATAGATGATAGCTCTAGCCCGCCAACGAAGCATTCCCAACCGAAACGGAAGCTTGACCATTCGCCCCCGTCTAAAAGAGGGATTCGAGGCCCGAAGCGGCGAGAGATTAAAGTTTCGCGGCGTGCAACTTGCTCCCCCGTAAGAGATGTGGGAGCACGTTTGCGCGAAGAGAAGAGGAAATCCCTCATGAGCTTCAGGGAGCAAAGGCAGTTTGAAGCTACAGCTGCAAATCTCCCACAAAGCACACGAATGGTTACTTCTTTAGATACAGAAGCAGGTGCCAACTCAAAATACCCGCTCATACTTGGAGAAGACGGTGAAATCTCTACGTCGCCCCTTGAGCCAAGCTCAGTAGCCAGGAATTCATCGCGTCACAGAACACAGACCCAGATGGCCCGTGGCAAAGATGTCACGAACACCTCATTCATGAGCATGCAAGGAAGATTGGAAGATATCAATATCGATATGGACCTATATGAGTACCCAAATCCTGATCGTCCGCACGAAACCAAGCGGTCTTCCCCCCTGTATATGACCATAGACGGCTCAAACGATCCAGTCTCAGGCCACAATAATATTCCGCACTCACTCTCGACAACTAGACAATCAACAGCGCAAGGTATGGACTCAGCAACAACGACCATCTTTCACCAGTTCCAGGTCGCGTACCCTGGCTATACTGGTGATCACAAACACTTCTCCAACCTGTGTAAGAAGATGATATCATTGGATGAAGACGACAGAATGGTCCCCAAATGGCTATGGGATGATTACATCATTCGAAACAAGACTCATTACAAGCCGTATGCGGACCAGTGTCTCACTGACGGCGCGGAGCCTGAGCCGTACATTCGTTACTACAAAGACCATGTCTATGATACAATGCACAAGAAAGGCATAATCAAGACCAAAGAAACGCTTCTTTCTGCTCTCGAAGAGTTACAAACACAGTCCAACTCCATACGGAATAGTCTACGCTCATTCGATGCTGGCTCGAAGCCTTCGGAGCCAAAGGAAGAGCTTCCGAGTGAACCATCACGCTCTAGCAATGGAAATCTTGCTTCTGCCCAGCCTCGTTCCACTAGCAGTATTGCATCCCCGGCCCTGAACGAGTCTCCAAGTCAACTGATCCGCAGTAGAAACCTGGATCGCGATATGATCTTGCCTCGTACAGCAAACAGTATTGCATGTGAATCTATTAACACACCGGTGTCGAGAGCGAAGGAACGCATAGAAGAAGGTTGGAATTCGCCTCCAGATTATATCCCTGCTCAGCCTCATATCAGTAACATTGCACATGCAGCCTCAAACTCGCCAGTCCCGAAGACCAATCCTGAGAAAGAACCACGACGTCACTCGGAGTATAGCCAAGACCCTGTCGATACTCCACCGAGCAATAGCAGCGCTACGCACAAGAAGAAACGGCGCACTCTACCCTCAGGATGGGTGCCAGGGCTGAAGTCGACCGCAACAGCATCCTCCACATCATCACCCACTCCTCGACCCATCTCTAGGATGGACGAGACTTTCCGTACAACCTCCCCCGTGAACCTCACATCTAGCATCATGAAGAAACCAACGGATAAACCCCGCGTATCATCTCTTTTCGACAACCACCCGACCACCTCAGAACAGCGCCCTCCTTACCAATCTCTCCAAAGTCGCCCTCCCTTCGAAGCTTCTGCATTTAATCGCCTGTCAACCACAAAAGTAGGCTTATCCTCGTCCTCCTATGACCAAAAACGACCTCCGCAACTCCATGGCAAGACAGGCGATACGTTCCGTGACTTCGTTCTTGGTATGGAAGGCGTGACCTCGTTTACGGGGAGCACTCAGGTTCGTGCTACCTCCCCCGGCCCGGAACAAAAAGAAAAGCGCTAGGCGTATCTGTTATCTGCTTGGTTTGATCAGACTTCACTGGTGATGGTGGATACGATGACTGATTCTTTGCCTGGCGTGCGCCTGTATAGATTGATCCCATTATGGATTGGCCCGATAACTTGTGCGTTCGGCCCTCAATTGCTGATGTGACAGGGAGGGGTTTTGCGAAGAAGAGATACGATGTCTTGGAGTGGGGAGATGTACTATGATGGCAGTTTTGCTAGTTGCGTTTGCGTGACCAGATTCGGATTGGGAGGGGTGAGAGGTAACGGTTCTTTGATTCCTCGTGGGTTTTTCTTCCCCCGCTTTACTTTTTGTTCAGGAATCCACGATGAGTGACTGACAAAGATTGGCATAGGCAAGACTGGTGGCGTTCCTGAACCCTCAATGTATCCCAACATCTCCCGGGGCATGTTCATCCGTCTTCTTCTGTCCATGGATTTTATTTGGCCTGGCTTTGGGAATACGTGGCACGATTCCTGTAGGTGTTCACCTGTATTATTTGGTTCCATTTGTGATACCCTGACAGCCTAGTCGCTTCATTGACTTTATTAATATTCCTATCTGGTTATGTCATTCATGTGTTAGTGAGTACCTGGGACTGCCGCTGATGTCCGGAAACATCATCTGAATATTTTCAATGAACCCTTGCACTCCTGGATTCCATTCTTTCTGTACAGTAGCACAATAGATTCAAGCATCACGGGCCCCTGAATTAAGCTACCGGTCTCAGACCTTTGATATATATATGTATATGTATATATGAGGGTCTAGTCCACTTCAGGTAGCTAGTAAGAAGTCTGAAACAAAACGGATCTTGGCTACTTCTATGCTTCTGTGAGAGCAAGCCCATGCCACACCATTAACCCCGTTGTCACATGATCCTAGTCTACCCATGTTGTACCCTTACCGAACGCCTGTACTCCGCAATTGATTGAACAGATATCCCTTCACAAGTTAGAGTGAGGGGCTTCAGATTGATGTCAATTTTCCAATCGTTGATTACCAGGCCCGGCAACGGTCTTGCCTGTCCAGCGTGCAACAGGGTCCAGTTCTGAAAAGCCAGCATCGGATTGAACACCTGTCAAAGCGAAGCGGAGTTGCTGGCTGAGCAACCCAGCCGTATCGTGGGGTGGATCTAACTGTAATTCACCGGTGGACATTCTTAGTCGTCTGGTAGCTTCCGCCAAGTGATCAATGCTTTCGCGGAGCATCTGTGGTGATGACGACGGATGGCTGCTAGGATTAACAGCTGCACTATTCAAGACTCCTTGGTGATGCAGCTTCTCATCCAGTTCGTCTCGGTATCGACATGGTGACGGTGAGAAAGCGGACAAATCGAGATCGTTCATCTTCACCATCCGCGGTACAGACCTGGCGGGTGGTTGTTTGTACTTCCCCTCCATCTCGTCACGTAGGATAGCGACTTGTTTCTGAAGCTCTTTCCACAGCACTAGATCTTCCAAGTCACCGTCGTCTCCGCCACCACTGGCGTGATGTAGCCCATAGCTACCAGAGAACTGTGGGCCATTGCTAGGCTTCGCGAGAGGGTCGTGAGGACCAGCCCAGCGCTGTTGGTCGGCAGTGCTGCTGTCGCCTACGGCGATCGCGAGCAGCGATGCGACGAAGGCTTCTTGCATGTATGCAAAAGAGAACTTATCCGTGATCCTAGCGACTGCAGGACACAAAGCATCTGGAAACTCGAGGTCGTGGCTGTTACTCAACTTTGATTGCCAAAACTGCGCATATTGAACGCGTTGGTCGTAATCTGGGTCAGGAAAGTAGTATTTGCGATCAAAGCGAGAAGGTCGTTTAGAGATGCCAGGGTCCAATCGATCGAGATGGTTAGTTGAGCCTACCATGAGAATGCCATCGTTGGAGCGCAGGCCATCCACTTCGTTCAAGAAGTAGGAGCGTACGTGGTCGCTAACGATGGAGTCGAGATCCTCGAAGACCAGGTAGCATGGCGCTTCTTGGCGGGCTTTGGCAAATATGTTGCGGAGAGAATACTCAGGGCCAGCGAACGAAGATAGCGTGCGCACGTAGAGGGTCGGGACAGAGAGTTTGGTGGATCCGTTCCGGCCACGCTGATACAGAGCGTTCATCATGGCCTTGATGCTGATGGTCTTGCCATTACCTGGAGGTCCATAGTAAATGATGCCTCTCTTCCAGGGCACTTTGAGGTTCTGATAGGTAGATCGGCCATCAAAGAAGTTCTCTACGTCGGCTATGATGGCCTTCTTCATGCCTTGTTCTAGGATCACGTCGTCCCACTGGGCCTTTTGCACAGAATCGTAGAGCTCGCGGCTCTTCTGCCAGAAGCCTTGGTCGAATACCCAGACCTCATTGTGAAGCTTGCTACCCCACAAGGTGGCATCCTTGACTAGATTGTTGACCAGGGTGGCATCGCGCGTAAGGATGTAATTGTTGGTGACGTCGGGATAAGGGTTCCCGCCGTCCCTCCCGTTTGCCACATAGAGGATGAAATCGTGGCCATTCCACTTGTATAGGAACTTTCCGAAGAGCACTCGGTCGGCCATGAGGCCTGGCGAGTTGTCGAGGCGGCGGGCTGGGGGGATGAAGACACGCCATTTGAGAGCAGTGCCGTAGACGGGATCATTGACTGAATCGTCGAGAGGGGTGGCAGTGGCGAAGCCAGCAGAAGCATATGCGAGCAAATTGGCGCTGGCCTGGGGTACAATGGTCAGGTCGAGGTCGGGATACTGCCGTCGCAGGGCTTCGACAAGAACGGCATCGGTGTTGACGCGCTGGCCAGACGAGTGATGGAAGTACTCGCGGGCTGTCTCATCCTCGTGGGAACGGATGTTGTAGGCGTTGTTGTTGCCCGTCATGGTAGCGTTTGTTGGTCGAGAAACCACAGGTTGAAGAGCTGGCTACTTGGAAAGCATACATCAAATTGATGTAGGCAGCACTTGAGGCGAGCTGAGCGCTGTAGCTGCAGTGGGGCGCAGCAGATGGATGACCCCCGCTGCCCCATGCCTGGGGGGCTTGGACGAACCATCATCTGGCTGATGACGTAATCTCGTTGGATCATGTCGCGCCGCCGTCTCTCTTTGAACCTCGACGTCAACAGACAGAGCAGTCTCCTTTGATTCATAGGTAAGTACTTGCTCAAGCTGGACTCGCAGCCCCCTCCCATCCTTGGTAGGTTCAAGAGATTCTCGGGGAGTAGTAATAGCTGGAGGGGCCAAGGTCCCAAGCCGGGAGGATCCCCACGGAGCAGCGCCACCAAATGTACATACATACATATGTATACCGTGGTCCCCTCTTATTTATATCCACTTACCCACCAGGCATGCTACTACTCACATCAGCTATGAGAATCAAAACATGAACAAAACGAAGCACCATGTCAGCCGAATGGAACTGATTGATTTTTGTGCGCGACGAAAGCCAGGCAATACATGGTTGATTAGCCTGATGCGCAAGCGAGACGTGTAGGTTCATTCAAGCAATTGACATGTTGTTCACACAGCAGCACACTGCATATAGTCAGTCAATATGGAGTGGACAGCAGTATAAAGCCCCGGTCGATTAGGCTAAATGGACAAGTCGGGTGGCGCTGGATCCCAGTCCAAGCGGGAACAAGGGACTGGCGTGCTATTTCCATCTCCGGGGTTGTGCAATGGTCTTGCTGTTTCCCTGCCGTGTCGAATGCGTTGCAAGCACAGCATGGACAATGGACGATAGGAAAGTACAAGTAGTCGGCGGTGCTCGGGAGGTGAATGGCAGACGCCGCTCGTCCGAAAGTGCCTTTGCGGTACTAAGCAGCTGATATGGGACTGCGATTCGCCAATTCTGGAAGCACTCTATATCAGCATGGACCAGGCGAGTGCGGAGATGGCCCTGGCCACGCATCCGGGGAACTGGAGCAGTCAGTCATCCATCCATCCATCCATCCACCCATCCATTGTTCGGTGCTTGAGCAGGTGAAGTGGACCCTTTGGACCCTGGAGTTGTGCGTACCGACCGAGGTACGTGTTGGCTGGTAGCAATCGGATAGAGGGAACTTGAAATAAGATGATCAATGATGGCATCGAAGAGGGACATGATCGGTGGTCGTTATGTCATGCTTCTCTGCAAGAGCGAGGTGGCTGATGCCGAGGAAGCTTAGCCATCATCACCCTGGCTCACGCTTCGTCCATCAATCACGGCATCGTCATGGTCAGCTCCATGTATCCGTCCGTTCCGGCAAATCACTGCCTCGAGGGGAGCGTACTGGTCATGCGCAGTCTTGTTGGAGACGGAGTAGAACAGATCAGAAGAAAACTGCAGATGGCTGTATTTCTTGTGCGTCGTGTTTTGCGGCGGTCAAATTCGGCGTCGTCTGCTAGCCTGGCGGAACACACGACGAAGAAAATTTCAAAAGGAAGAGTGCGTGCAAACAGTCCAGCCAGCACGCTAGCATGGGCATGGGCATGGACGGGTGGTGGGTGCATGGAGAAAAGGAGTCGCAGTGCAGCATTGATGATGCTCCATGGTGGTGCATCGGCCAGAGTCCAATCATGGTCGATTGCGGAACCACCATAGAGCATCCACGAGGCAAGTCACCATGACGCAACGAGCACCCGACGGCAGTATCGTCCTCACCCCATGTATTGATGTATGTAGCCACGTACTCCAGGCCAATTGATTCCGTCTCATCTAAAAGTGCCTTGGCCTCGAGCTAGAGTCATCATGGCCCACCCTAACAGACGTTGCCCGGGCTTGCTACCCATGCCTGCCTACCTCCCAACTCATTACCCCAGACGGAACTCGCTCTTAAGCTCCGTCTTCCCCCAGCTTTTCCCATGGTCATCTGTGCCTCCGCACTCTGCACACCCTCCATCACCTCACATCCCACTCCATACTCCGACCAAGCATATCCCACAATGGCAACGGCAACCGAACACAACGACGTCGTAAGTCTCCTCGTGCAACCATGCCATCGCTCACATTCATGTACTGACTGATTGGCCTTGAAGGCCCGTGGTGACATTCCCGCCAGTGAGGCTCCTCACCACAATCACACAAATGGCACCAGTTCCATTGACCATGCCGGTGCAGGCGCCACAAAGGAACGGAAGCCCTACGATTATGGTACGCATTGCTCCTGCTGTGCCTCCACTGGCTGCTTGAGACTAATCATGTTGTAGGCGGCAATCCTCTAGCCCATGCGCGCACAAATGATCCCGAGATGCGGCTGGCAGCCTTCGGTGGTGACTTCCAGCCCGGCCTTTACAGGTACGAGTCTACATCAGGACCATCTGTATCATGCCCAGATCTGACACATGCAATAGAGCACCAAACCGCAAGTTTGCCAATCCCGCTCCTCTGGGTCTCTCCGCTTTCGCCTTGACTACCTTCGTGCTATCTCTCATCAATGTGGGTACCAAGAATATCGGCGAACCCAACCTCGTCGTGGCCATTGCCTTCGGCTATGGTGGTCTGGTCCAGCTCCTCGCTGGCATGTGGTATGTGTTTTTCGTGTGATTGCCGCCTCTTTATCACGTAGACTCGGAACTAACATTGCGCCAGGGAAATGGCCGTTGGTAACACTTTTGGTGCTACTGCACTTTCTTCTTACGGAGGCTTCTGGCTCTCCTTCGCAATCATCCTCACGCCGGGCGGTTTCCAAATCGTGTCGACTCTCGAGGAGAACAGTGCGGAGCCATTCCTCAACTCGTTCGGTCTCTTCTTGATGGGATGGTTCATCTTCACCACAATCCTTCTCATCTGCACGCTCCGATCGACTGTAGCTTTCTTCTTGCTCTTCTTTACCCTCGACCTTGCTTTCCTCTTGCTCGGCATCGGGTACCTCCAAAATGACGGCACTGCTCCTCAGGAAGGTTGCATCAAAGCCGGTGGTTACTTTGGTCTTTTCGCTGCTTTCCTCGCCTGGTACAATGCCCTGGCCGGTATCGCCGACAACTCCAACAGCTTCTTTGTTATCCCCGTCGCCCACTTTCCCTGGTCCGACAAGGGCCGCGAGATTCGTGGAAAGACCGACGAACACACCGCTTAAGTTGGCCACCCCGAGGAACACGAGACGAGACGAGACGAGGCGAGGCTTTCCTTTTTTAGGTCTATAATTAATACGTGGGAGTATCCGCTGAGATCTTGTAAGCGATCGAAGACATGACCCTTGTGTATAATCTAGCTATGATTCCCCCCTATGTGTGCCAATCGTTGTTAGCTGGCAGGCAGTTTTGTTGGGTTCTGCCTACGCTCGACAAAAGGTGGATTGCTTTTTCCATCCTGGAATGGGCCGCTAAAAGGAAATTGGGTTTACAATTTTTCTTCTGTTTCTCCTTTACTGGCATTCCACCCTGACTCGAAGTACCCATTTATTCCATTTATTCCATTTAATCAATGAAACTATTCCTGAGCACCCGCACCATCAGATTCGGTTGCCCAGTATCGTTGTTCGGGCATCATAGTTCCTAATGGCACACATGCAGTGGTCTCTTCTCCCAGCCAGCCGCTAAACAAAGATACAAACATGATGGGAAGAAAGAGAGAAGGAATGAAAAGCACATGGCGTGAGCAGGAGAAAAGAAGCTTTCTTGGCCAAGTCGGCGAGAAAAACGGCGTTCGCGGCATACGTCAATGGAACAACACTGACTGGCTCGCTTGCTTCCCCCGCTTTGAGGTTGGCGCCAAGGGAGAGTGAAGTGGAAAGGGAGAAAAGGATGGGCATCCTATGCTACGATGCTGACCTAGGTGGGTTGATGTTATGTATGGTTATGACGTGGGGTCTGCTGGCGAAAAGTATGCGGTTGAGGGTTTTTCTTGGGCGAGGGAGTCGGGTATAAATTTGCGAGTCGTATTATACTCTACCGCGCCACAGATTGAAAAGAAAATTACACCACTGCTGAACCAGCGGTTTGGTGTACAGATCAACGAATTGTACAGCGAAGAGCCAGTAAACAAACCAGATGCGATAATTGTACAAGTTTTACGGGATTTCCCTCTCCACCCCTTGTCCTGACAGACAATCACGCGACCTGGCTTTGCTTCTCTTCTTCTTCGGGGGTCCGTGTCCTGAGCTGCAAGGCGTGAATACCGCCTTCTTGAGCCATTTCATCCTTGAGGAGCTGGTAAACCATGCGGTGGCGGGCGGGCTGCATTTTGGACTTGAAGGCCTCGGAGGTTATGACAACGCTACAGGTTAGTCAGGCGCAGTTAGTTTGTGTTTCTGTATAGCTTGTAATGGGCCAAGTTGATAGCAGATGGACTGTACAGATGAAAAAAGAGTGGGGCTGCAGTACCGGAAGTGTGTCTGGTGGGATTAGCAGATGCGATGTATGATATATATATACGTGGGGAAGAGAAGGAAAGTATGTGAGGATGAATGCAGGTGTGGATGCATACATACCTCTTTGCTTGTGACGCCCTGCATGGCCTTGTGATGGGAATGCAGATGCGAGTCATTGTGGATTTCAAGGGTGGTTGGTTTGAGGCTTTCGGTGAGCTGTATGTACATGGATCGATGTTAGACGGATGATGGTTGACTTGGGATTGATTGACCGTAGCCTTCAGCCGCTGTAGGTACGTAGGTAGAGAGCGAGGGACTTGCCTTGGAGCGCATAGCATCCTCCATTGGGGTGAGCGACTGGGACATGGTGGATGCAAACCGTTGACCGGCGACAACGGACCTGCGCAGAAACATGAATCCGAGCCAGGACAAGTATGCACTGTACGTATGGAGTTGTCGATGGGTGGTGGTGTCGTCGGCTGGCTGGCCTGCGGAGATGGAAGTGGCGCCGATTCGCGGGTAAGCTGTACTACTACCACGACTACTCCCCCAACCAACTGCCGTATCCCGACCAACATGCCCATGCCCCCATATCATCTCACCTCCATCGACCCCGGCCTTTGCTTGCCTTGCCTTGCATCCCCTCCCCATGTGGCTGCCCACTTTCTCTCTTCACACACTCGCTCCTTCGACACTTCGAATCGCCCTCCGTTTTCCTCGCTGCTGCTGCTCCACCACTCGCCCGCAATCCCCCTTCACCACCGCCCCTGCTGCACATAGAATGGCCTCCACATTACCCCGCCTCCCCATATTCGAAGCCATCAAAAAGCATGACTCCCAGAGCACAGCCGTTGTCCATGGTCTGTCCGGCCGCACCTTCACCTACGGCGAGCTGGTCAATGACGTCGCCGCCGCCAAGCATCAATTGCAGACGAATGCTGGGGGGAGGAATACCGCTGGGGAGAGGATCTCTTTCCTGGTCGAGAATGGCTACGACTATGTAGGTGCGCATCGACTGCGGTTTGTTTTCTACTCGACATCCATTGACCTTGACCAGTGACGCTGCTCTCCATCTTGGCTTCCCATGCCATCGCCGTTCCCTTGTGTACGACTTTCCCCGCCCACGAGCTCCGCTACATCATTGATCAGAGCGAATCGCTCATGCTTCTCTCATCGGAGAAGTTTCAGTCCAAGGCCGATGACATTTTGAAGGAAGGCCTCCAGACAAGCCCCATAAACTACAAACAGCAAAAGATTATGATGGGGAAGACGGACGACTACGTGACCCTGGAACCTCCCATCAGCGAGAAGGGAGGCATGATGCTTTACACATCAGGCACTACAAACCGTCCGAAAGGCGTTCTACTACCCCAACAAGTGCTCACAGCACAGTCACAATCGCTTCTACAAGCCTGGGACTACAGTACCAACGACGTGTTGCTGCACGTCCTTCCACTACATCACATCCACGGAACCGTTAATGCACTTCTGACCCCCTTATTCGCGGGCAGCACCATTGAATTCCAATTCCCTTTTAATGCAACAGCCGTCTGGGAGCGCTTGGCCGCGCCGTTTCTCCCAAACCCCGATTCATCCAAGAAGCCCATCACATTCTTGACCGTCGTCCCCACTATTTACACCCGCCTCCTTGCTTCCCATACCAGCCTTTCGCCTGAGCTTCAGGCTGCAACCAAGACTGCCCTCAAGCCCTCCAACATGCGCCTCAACATTTCCGGATCCGCCGCCCTCCCTACTCCCGTGAAATCCGCTTGGACCGACCTCAGCAACGGAAACGTGTTACTAGAGCGTTATGGCATGACTGAGGTCGGCATGGCGCTCTCGTGCGGTCTCTCGTTCGCTGATCGTGTTGATGGCTCGGTAGGCTGGCCACTCCCGACAGTGCAAGCGCGCCTCATGGACACGGAAACCAACCAAATAATTCATGAAGGAGATGAAATCGACCCGTCTACAGGCCGCGAACGCCACGGTGAGATTCAACTTCGTGGTCCTACCATTTTCCGGGAATACTGGAAGAACCCCGAGGCCACATCAAAGGAGTTCGTTGATGATAGCGATGGCCAGGGGAAATGGTTCAAGACCGGCGATGTAGCTATCCGCCGCAACGTTCCCCTCGCCGGGCAGAACAGCGCACAGCAAGATTGGACAAGGGGCCCTTTATATTTCATCCAAGGCCGCAAATCCGCCGACATCATCAAGACGGGCGGCGAGAAGGTCTCGGCGCTGGAAATTGAGCGCGAGATGCTCTCCCTCCCCTACATCGCGGAATGCGCCGTCGTCGGTCTACCGTCTGAAGCATGGGGGCAGAAGGTTGCGGCTGTTGTTGTTCTCTCCGATCAAGGTAAATCAGCGGGTAAAGGGGGCAAACCTTGGTCTGCGCTTGATATGCGACGTGCGCTCAAGGAGATTTTGGCAAATTATAAGATTCCACAAGAGATGAAGGTCGTGGACAGTATCCCTAGGAATGCCATGGGCAAGATCAATAAGAAGGCGCTGGTCAAAGAGATGTGGGGTGAGAATGTGGAAAAGGTCAATGGCGGAGAGAGCAACGGGGCAGTGGTGCTGCCTAATGGTAGCGTTTAAAAAATTTCGATCTGCTTCTTGGTGGATATTCGTTTGTTGCTTCTATCCGATTTGTTGCATACACAAACAAAGGAAACATGCGGAGATGGATGAGGGTGACGGACAAGTGTGGAAATCACGAGGAGGCAAGCACAGCACAAGCAGTAGCATTTTATACTCGGTAGACAAAATTCTGGATAGAGGAAACCTCTCAAATAATTCATTTCGACGCCCATGTCTTGCTTGATAGATATGAAAGGAGGGAACAGAGATCAATACTCATGTCTACAGAGACAAGGCTCGGATTGTTACAGTTTCACATTCCATGCAGTGTCACCCATACAACGAACCGACGCATAGACGTATGCTGTGGTGCATATTCTCGTGCATGTGTATCAATCAATGATAGACATGTGCGAGCCGTGTGCCTTGCATGAGGCAGGGTATGGGGCACAAGGCTGAGACTTGGCTAGCTGCCAACGTACATAGACACACACACACACACACGCGCACACACACAGATAGGTAGATAGATACAGGTACATGCATCCACATGTCTCGACGGAGAATGGGAGAGACGGGAGGGGGCTTGTAGGGGCCGACCAATCAGGCTGACACGGAATGAAGGACCGATAAGGAAGTTCTATTTTCGAACAACAACCTCACCTCATCCCTTTATATTTAGTAGTCCTCACCAGCAGTTGATGTATTTTCGGGTGATGCGATTAGGAGTAATGGACCGGAGTAATCCAAAACGATACGTCAATTTATGGGACAAGTTGTAGGGTTCGTCATGTGCGACCGTCTATTGGGCTAGCTACCTGGATAACCAACTACTTCGCCGATAAAGAAATCAGAAGTGAGAAGAGAATAGGATAAACCAAAGGAATAATGCACTATTAAAACAATATGCTGTTGATTGGGGAGGACTTTGCCGAGCTCATGTTCCGTTCGCTTGTATCGTTTAGCGCGATGCACATCGAAGATTCATGATGGAAGCCTCTAACTACCCAGAAGAGGATCATAACCATAGAGAGAGAGAGAGAAACATACGAAAAGAAAAAAAAACGAAAAAACAGGACGTGACTCTAGGAAGAAAAGTCCAGTGAAGGATCCTAGGGGCGGGGATTATCTAGCGGGAATGTCGTGAGCAAGCGGGAGTAGGCTAACGTGAGAATGTGGGGAAAGGCAGCCCTGGGGCCGTGAAGAAAGAACCATCTAGGTCATACCCGAGTCCAAAAGACAAAAGGAATGAGGAGCAAGGAAAAAGAATGGGCAAGACAACGCCGACATGATGATGCAAAGATTGAGTGTGGAAGCGATCCAACCCATGGCGAAACGAATTCGCCCTCCTGTCATCGTGTCTGGACTAGACGGACGATTGAGGAGCATTCCAACAGCCAGGGCATCATCTAGTTGTAGTACCCAGAGTTTGGTGCCGAGGTGCTGGTGTTGGGGTCATTGGATTGACCGCCTTGGGAAACAACTACGGGGGGTTTACTGCCGTAGCGGTTGTTACGTGACGAGTAGCCCGAGGGAGCGTACAGATTCGACGAGGTCGAGGAGCTTGTGTATGCTACGAGACGATATTAGTGTTCACGATCAGCCAAAACCAATCCTCATCGGCTGACATACTGGAAGAGGTGGTCGAAGACGGGCGAGGGGCATAGGAAGCGCCCTTTTCCTGTGCATAGGACGATGTGTAGGAAGAAGTGTAGGAGTTACGGGAAGAAGACATGGCTGGTAAGGTGGTGATGATGCTCAGGATCGGTGCGAGCGAGTAGGAACAAAAGAGTATGAGTCGAGTCAACTAAGATTGTCAAATGAGGTAGCAAAGACTCAGATGGTTGACTGGGATTGCGGCACAGGATCAGACAGCAGACAATTGTGATGCGGCGCAGCGTGTGATGTATTCGAAGACTCTGAGAAGAGAGACGTGAAGAGGTAGAATTTGTGTTTGGTATGAGACAGGAAAGAAAAGTCTACGGAAGGTCGATGATTAGGAGGATTTATATGGTGGCCAGGCAGATAGCTGAGGCCGGTAACATGGCCAGAGCATGATTGACTCTTGTCGGCATAGGTCGCTGGGTACTTCGGAGAAGTCCTACGAGGAAGAATGTAGGTGCCTGGATAGCCAGGTTGCGGGATTGCGCGGTTGCGAATCAATGGATGGTGGCTATACTGGGGCCGACAGCAGAGAGAGAAGAGTCATGGCGCGGGTTGAGTTCACCGAAGGGGAGCATGTTCGGTCGAGATGGCGACAAGCGTGACGAAAGCAGAGGGTGATGACTGGATGGCTGCAAGGCACATCAGGCAGGAGCCAGTCGGAGAGGGTGATGGAAGGTTGACAATGAAGGCCGGCCAGGTTTGCCAGGCTGAAGCATTGCTGGATGGGATGTCGCTGGTGAATGGCAAAGTCACCGGATTTCTACATTGGGCCAAGCGTGGGGGCGGCCCAGATGTCTGCCTGAAGTCAGAGTTGCCTAGATGACGGGAAGAGAGGGAGAGGGCGGAAACAAACAAAGAGAGGCGACTTGACCGAGGGCAGGGCGCAGTCTGGACGGAAGACGTCGACGGGCTCAAGGGCGGGGAGAAAGGCGATGGAGAGGGATGGTGCACGGCGGAATGGTGGACAGTGGTGGGGTTGTGACATGAGATGGGATTGATTACATGCACACACCCACACCCACACACACCACCCCCGGCCATGTATAGATAGACAGACAGACAGACAGACATGCATGCATCATCAGTCAGTCAGTCACTCGGCCAGTCGATACCACCACAGCCGCCCGCCACTGTTTCAGCCAGCACAAACCGTGGCCAAAGTGCCGTCGGCGTAACGGTCAGAAGCCAGAGAATGCCAACACAAGCATCGAGGGCATCGAGGCAGGGCAGGGCAAGGCGACAAGGCGACAGCCCTGACTGACCGAGGCTGGCTGGCTGTACGTCCCCTGTCGGGATTACTCAGACGCCAGAACAGTTGGACCAACTGCCCCCAGCATCGCAGTCTTGCGCGCAGCCGCGCAGACGTCTCTCCACACGGGCTGCTCTTCATACCGGTGAGACACAATGTCCATCCACCTCGACCCCAACCACCACGGTCCGAGCGGCCTGCCGACCTACCGAGCTGCAGACGTTGACTCTACGGGAAGGATGAGCTAGTGCCTAACGAGCATATTGTACGATGGGATAACATGGTTGGACCGCTGGGCCTGTTCGTCTCGTCATTGTTGTCATGGGTATCATACTGCCCGCTAAAACCATAAAAAAAACATTCACCCGAAACATTTCCCTACGACCCTTGAACCTATTTACCTAGTCCCAGAACTTCAACGCGCCATTGAGATCGCCAGTGATAAGCTTGGACGTCTCGCGTGGATGCCACTGCACTGCGAGTACCGGTGAATCGCTTGCTTGGATCTTGTGATACATCTTGCACGTCTTCCAGTCCCAGAAGCAAACGAACCCTCCGCTATCACCCGAACTAATGTATTGTCCGTCGGGACTGATGGCCACGTCGGGCGCGTACCCTGCCACGTTGTGACCACGATAGCTTTTCTTGCGGTTTTGGCGGAAACGGTCCGTGGATGAATACACCGTAATTTGATTGTCCGATGACTGGAAAGCGACGTATTTTCCTGATGGGTGCGGCGAGGACCGGACCATGGAGAACATGTACGGTTCGGCAATGAATTTGATGGGCACCGGGATTCCGTATTCCCATGCGCGGAGAGACTTGTCGTCTGACGTGGTGATAAACCGACGGTCCTGCACCATGTTAGCATACGTTGATGGAAACCCAAACGACAAGTACTCACATCATCGCAGAAGGTTATGGTGTTAACGGGTCCCAAATGATGGTCGTATTCCTGCACCATCTCTCCACTGCGCGTGTCATACTGCATGATCTTCTTGTCCGCCATACCAGCGAGGAACTCGTGTGGTGTACTTGGGTTGATACGGACAACGTGTGGTGTCTTGCCAGTAGTGAATTTGTTGAGACATTTCCCGGTTTCCGTGTCCCATATCTTCATGTATCGGTCGTAGCTTGCAGAGACGAATTGCGTGCCATCCGGGGTGAAGTCGATGTCGTTCACAGACTTTGTGTGGCCAGAGTACGTCCGTAAGAGCTCTCTTTGATGGTACACATCCCACAGTGCAATCTTGGAGTCTGCTGACGCTGATAAAAGGAGATGGCCGCTGCCAGGGAAGAAGCGAACCTGTGTGATAGACTTGGTATGGTACTTGTATGTATGGATAAGCTTCTTAGGGACAAAGTTTTTCACATCGCCACGATCACCAGTCAACTTGACATCCAGATCTATACAGTAGTCAGCTTTGAACCAGTATAGTTAATTGAGCGAGTATTTCGAACATACCAGTAGGGACATGCATATACGTCCTGCCCATGTAGTCGTGCTCTTGACTCCCCACGAATTCGCTGGTCTCTGGTCGTGCGTCTGTATCCGCATAGTCTGTGCCGGCTAGTTTCCCAGGTGCAGCTGAAGGCAGTTCCTCTATCTCGTCCTCTTCGTACACTATCTCCACCTCTTCGTCGCTGCCAAATTCGTCATCGGCGGTTGTATCAGGCCGCTCTTCTTCGTATCTTGCCCATGGTCCCTTGTATGCCCTTGCACCCGATACGATGCTCGAGTCTCCTTTGTTCTCTCTCTTCCGCTTCCTGGCATTCACGGATTGACCCGATTCGATGGCTCGGTGTCCGTCGCGAAATGTCGATTCGCTGATGAAAGTTTCCGCTGCGAAACCAGTAGGGACCTTTCCAGCCCCTTTTCCGTACCCGGCCATGTCAAAGAATAGATCAGCCCCGGTGCGCTCGTCGAGGATTGTTCCGCTGTCAAGAAGTCGCAGCAGGTTTGACTTTGGCCTTTTCGAGATTGCAGAAGTGAGGGTTGATGCGACCAATGAGCACAGACCACCACACGTGATTTCGATCTTCAAGCAACAAAAAAAGTCTAGATGTCGTAATGGCCGGCGATGGTGTGTGGGAGAACTGAATGTTGTGATCAAGCTCTCACTCTTTGTGAAGACGCCTATTATGTCAGCGGACAGTCATGAAACTGTAGGCTCTTTACGCAGTGGTTGGACGGTGGTTGTTGAGGTCTTGGTTGGAATCCAATCTATACTCGCTCATTTGAAACCCATAACGTACATACCGTAGGTATATACCTTCAACGAATGTTCCAATCACGCGACCTCGTTCATGTGACATGGATTTCTGTCGGGGTTTATAGATTTTGGGACGTTAACTCTGTTTATTCAGTACCTCCAGTATTTGAGAAACGTCGGAAGTTAACGAGTTAAATCTGATTACAATGTCATTTACAACATGAATTACACGCTATCATAATCCATAGAAACAATGCTGTATTCGATCACACGTGCTCCGCTCCTCCACCCACATGTGCACATATCACCTTTACACCGCCTGAAAGGCCGTCTGTCGCACCGGTAACCCCTTTGGTATATATCTTGCCACCCCACCCTCCCATGCCGTTCGGCGAAATGATATCTTCGCGTCGTTGTCATCTAACCCTCACCTGCATTCGACTCGTTTTCCCAACGCCACGCAATAAGATTAACCAAACCCGTCAGATCGTAAGGCATTTGGACGCGGTGCGTACTTCACCCAATTCCGTGAGGTGTTCTAGTGCGATTCGTCGCGGATGAGGGCGACGATCATGCTGTACAAGTAGAAGAAGAACATGATCAAGTGGAATCCGAGCTTGATGAATGATTCCTAGGAACAGTCAGCCACTTGATTCGAAGCAAAGATACCTTGGACGCAAATTTATCGATGACGATTGTGTGGCAGCCAAGGTATACATTTGTGCATAGGTGATGAGCCTACCTTCTTGTGAACGTTGAGCTTCCTGAAGATCTCTGTAGCGTCCAGGAGATGCTGGTTTTCAAAGATCCTGTACCATGTCAGCGGTGGCTAAGCCGAATATGAGTCTGGCCCACGCACTTCTTGCCGTTCCAGGCCAACAATGGCAGGTTCAGAATGAGAGCTACCCAGTATCCATTGATGAGAAACAAGAAGGTCAGGAAAGCGTGGACAGCGGCTTCGGGAATGATGTAAGTGTTGAGGCGGTTGCAGAGGTCAATAGGGTTGATGTAGTCGCTGGCGCAAAATTAGCATATTGCGACCAAGAAAGACAGGAGCTTGAGCATCCTATGCGCGGGAAGAGGCACAGGATAGACAAGCTCAACCGACACTCACCATTCCAGATCGCTGTACATGATGGTGAAGAAGACTTGAAGGAAGAGGTTGACGGCATTTATCAAGACGGCCAACAGGTATAGCCATGCTTCGCCCGACATGTTTAACGCTGTGAGTGCCGTGTAGCACTGACGGATTTGAAGCTATGTGTGAAAATTGGAGGAAGTGCGCAGCGCAAGACACGGGATTGCGAAGGCAGACAGCGGGAGCGGGCAGATGTGGGAATGGGCGGCAGCAGCGGTCGTGCGTGCGTGCGTGCGTGCGTGCGGTGGAGGTGGTGGGCTAGGCGCGGAAAACTAGCTTGGAGAGGCGGGGTGTCGCTGATGAGGGAGATGGAAGCTTCAATCAGATGGATGGAGAGATGGCCGGATAGATCAAGCACAGCAGGCAGCTCGACTCGGTGGTAACGCGATGGATGCTCGGGCTCGATAGGTGCAGGCTGCGAGAATGTTTGGATGACGTCCCCAAGGCAAGAACTGGACGGTTAGGTAGGGGAGTGCTCTAGTGCTGGTTGGCGACCTCTGCTGTGGCCCATGCTCGCTCGCTGCATCGCTTACACCATCCCAACTAACCCAATCTCGCACTGCTTACATGTGTACATAGGTACTCAGGCACTTATATCGGAGCCAGTGAACATGGCACTTGCAAAATCATATTGAACGCCAAAGCTATGCATCTGCCCCTGCTTTCTGCTTGCTCACTCCTCTGTCGTGAATTCATACAGCATAAGCAAAAACCCCCCCCCCCCCCCCCCCCCTTCACTGTCGAACCCAAAGATATGTAGATCAAGTCAATGAGACATCACTCTTCAGGTTGCACTGACGGCTGGTGCAGATTCTCCACCTCCGGTCGCGGGCATAGGAACAGGCCCGCCCGGGGAGTCGGGTAGCCTGGCAGTAAGAATCTCTACTCCATCTTCCGTCACAAGCAAAGTGTGTTCTGCGGTGGTGTTGGTCAAGTGAAACAAGTTTTGCTCCTTCTGGAAAACTTACCGAATTGTGCAGTGCGCTTCCCGTCTCTGGTGACACTGGTCCAGTCGTCTGGCCAAGTTTGATCTCTGTACGTGCCAAGAGCAATCATAGGCTCAATCGTGAAGCAAACACCTGGCTTCGCTTGACCAGTGGCCTTGTTCTTCGCGTAATGGGGAACATTGGGAGCGCAGTGGAAAAGCTGATTAACGCCGTGTCCACAGTACGTCTTGATCACGCTGCAGTCCCGGCTCTTTGCGTGTTTCTCAATGACGTTGCCTGGGTCTCTAAAGAGCATACCGGGCTTTACAATCTCAATAGCTTTGTCTAAGCACTCGCGTGCAGTTTCTACGACACGAACCGTGTCAGCGTCTGCCAAGGCTTTATCGCCAATGTAATATGTTTCGTTTAGATCGGCATGGAAACCGCCATGGTATAGGGAAATGTCGATGTTGAGAATATCTCCATCAACAAGAACACGTTGATCGGGAATGCCGTGGCAGATGACTTCGTTGGGTGATGTGCACACTGACTTGGGGAAGTGGCAATAGTTCAAAGGAGAAGGGTAAGACTGGAGATACAAGTGAGCTAACTGGGTCGCTGCTCCTAGGTCTGGGATACACGTACATTCCGTTCGATGCAGGCTTTGTGAACAACATCGTCAATGTGGTCCGTCGTGACGCCTGGTTTTGCGGCTCGTGCAGCAATGTCCAGAACCTCTCGCGCATACCTACACACTTTGCGCATCGCGTCCTGCTGCTTCTTGTCCAGAACGGTGATTTTGTTTCTGCCAACAAAGACCTGTTCGGAGCGCGGGATGCCATCCTTTGCGTAGTCGGGAAGTTTTATGCCTTCGGGAATCTCACGCCTCGGAGACAGAGGGTATACAGGCCGCAGGCTTCCCGTGAAAGGGTAGGTGGGGAAGGGGTTGAATTGGCCGGTGGCTGGGTCCGGGTAAGAAACAACACTAGGGGTAATGATGCTGGAGAGTATACCGTTCTGTGACTTGTGGGCTTTCTTGTGCTCACTCTAGAATGGCGTTAGACGATGACTGAGGCGAGTGGGGATGAACAAGAGGCAGGCAGGGCTTACCCAGTTGCGCTTGAAGCAGTCTTGAGAGCAGAAATAGCTCTCTTTGCCTATTTTCTGGCAGTTTGGACATTGGAGCTGGCCCGCATCGTTTTCGCAGTCATTGCCAGAGCATTTGCGCGTAGTGGGCGCGTCGGCAGCCATGGTGGTGGGGTCTCGTCGAGTTTGGGCTGGATTTGTTCCGAGGACCGTCTAGCGAAGCAAATGGTAGGAAACTGGAGGTATGCAGAAGACTGCCGTGCGGAGATTGACAGGAGCAGCAGCAGCAGTCGGTCAGTACATATGCGCTTTATGTAGGTAAGTGAATTCACAGAAAAAGAGCTGAGCCAAAGTACGAACGCCGACACGCCGGCGACGGAATTGGACGGCAGACCCGATTGGCCACCACAGACAAGACAGACAAGCACCTGTGTTATGTCAGCACAAGATCGGCGACGGCACGTGCGCGCTGGCAAGGTTCATCCAACATGGGCTGAATGCTGGAACCTTGGAACATTCCAACAAACAACCCGTTCAACATTTTTGTTTGCATCGTTTGTTTGGACGCTGCTTGCTTATTATACTTAAGTAGTTGGAGGCAGCAGTCGGCGCCTTACCGCATTCGCCCTCTGGTGCATGCACGAGTACCCATCATGTGCCGTCATGGAGAACATCATGTATGCCTCTCCCGGTGCAATTTTTCTTTTTTTGCCTTTGTACATACATACATATGTAATCTTGTACCCATCTTCCCCGTGTCGCTCGCTGACACATCCATTTGTCCTACTCTTCAACACCATGTATCTCGACTGACCGCATCCTGCTACCGGCCGCGGATCTCCCTTGTTAACTCGTACCATCTGCTGCTTCACCTTCATCTGCTACCGGAACCAAGTCTGTCCATGTAAATACATCTTCTTCTGCAAATCATGCCCGAGAAAGTCGTCATAGTTGGCGCTGGGCCTGTCGGCTCGTTAGCAGCCCTGTACGCTGCTATCCAGGGTTTTCATGTCGACATCTATGAATTGAGAGCCGGTATGTGTACTCAGCACCCAAGCGCATAGTCGTCAAAATCTTGCCTCACGCGACTAGTTGCCACATCCGAAATCGCCTCCGCTGACTTCCGCAGATGTTCGCCAACCAGGAACAACGCTGCTGTACTCTACCAAATCCATCAACCTTGCTCTATCAGAACGTGGAATCAATTCCCTCCGCCAGACTGGTCTTGCTAATCTTGCCCATGCCGTCCTCGACGAGACGTTCCCTATGCATGGTCGCATGATTCACCTTGACAAGCAAGGCGAATATGTTCGTACTCCCCAGCTGTATGATGCTCGTGGAAAGGTGCGTGTTTACTTGACATGTCTTCCTCTTGATCGTGCCTCAAACTCATCAAATGTAGAGTCTCCTGGCAATGGACCGAGCAGGCCTCAACAAGACTCTCCTCGACCACTTGGAGTCCATGCCCAACGTTCGTTTCTTCTTCAACTACAAGCTCATCAGCGCAGATTTCAAGAAGAATCTCGCCTGGTTCGAACGCCACAGCAAACCCGATGACCCTGCCCGAGGCACCGAGATTGAGGTCAAGTTCGACTTGTTGATTGGCGCTGACGGTGCCCATTCAGCAGTGAGATACCACCTCATGAAATTCGTTCCCATGGGATACCAGCAAGAATACATAGATAAGCTGTGGTGTCAATTTCTGATCCCACCAGGACCAACCGGAGATTTCCGCTTACCCCCAAACTATTTACACATCTGGCCACAGGATGAATCCATGTTTATAGCATTACCAAATCTTGATAAGAGTTTCACAGCAACCCTGTTTCATACCAGAGCCGGTTTCGACGAGTTGGACACTTCGGGCAAAGTTATCGAGTACTTCCAACAAAAGTTCCCTGGCGTTGTCCCTAACCTCATCACCCCAGAGGACCTGCGCAAACAGTATACCGAAAACGAGCATCTGCCTCTCATCTCCATCAAGTGCTCGCCGTACCACTTTGGCTCCTCGGGTGTCATAGTCGGTGACGCTGCACACGCCATGGTTCCCTTCTACGGACAAGGAATGAACGCTGGATTGGAAGATATCCGTGTACTCTTCGAATTTCTCAGAAAACACCCACATGATCGCAGTAGAGCCCTGAAGGAGTACTCCGAGCAACGCACACCCGACGCCCACACTATTAATGATCTTGCGCTTCGCAATTACTACGAAATGGCCACCGACGTCAAGAAACCCTTGTACCTACTGCGGAAGTGGTTGGAAGAAAAACTAGATCTTTACCTCCCAAGCGCGGGTTGGGCTACGCAATATTCACGCGTCACATTCAGCAACATGCGGTACTCGGAGGTGCAGGGCCGCGCACACAGACAAGCGAGTATACTCAACAACGTGGTAGGGTTTGCTTTCGTTACCTTCATAGGTTCGGGACTTTGGTTTGCTGGGTCTGGCGGCGTGCAGAGGGCGAAGATGGGTGTCATGAGGTCAATTTGTTTGTTTGCCCAAGGAGCACAGAAATTGGTTCAAGGCTGATGAAATACGTGAGACGCCCATGTATTCTCGGCCAAGTAACAGAACATGCACATAGTGTGCTCACTGGTTCTCTCCATCATGAGACCCTGATACAATTTTTTGTCAAATGGTCGGATATACTGGTCCAGCTGGTCCAGGTCCCCTACTCAAATCTTCTTTCGTGCTCTCCGAGCCTTCTTCTTTGTAGGCTCCTTGTACGTCTCGTCTTCATCCTCTCCTCCGACAACATCAGACCCATCCTCGACCATCGCTGCATCATCATCATCACCTTCGGCGGTGGCAGTTTTCTTCCCTTCCCCTCTCCTCCTTTTGCTCTTCTTCCCTGCATCTGCAGTCCTAGCAGCAGCCTCTCCAGCCTCGGCATCTGCACCACCCCTCTCCTTTTCCGCCAATTTACTCAGCGCAGCCCCCAATCTCGCACCCTTTCCCTTGCCTGCAACACCCCTATTCCGGGGTGCGAAAGCCCCCGCCCCAACACCACCGTCAAAAAATCTAGTGATATTGGCCTGCGTGCCTTCTTTCTCCCTGCGATTCATATCCTTGATGACTGGCACGAGAACCTCATCGGTGCGCTCCCTACTCCAGCCGATCTGGTTTGATAAGAATGAGCGCAGCGCATCGAGATCTGGGACACCCCATTGAAACGGTTCAGGGCTATCGTCCACTTCCGGATGCAAGTACGCTTCCGCGACGCGAGGATCTGGAAATCCAGTTGGCAAGAAAAGCTTCGTAGCCTGTGAGCGGCGGAAACGACGGCGGATAGCGCTGGCTTTGTCCGCATCTTTTGAGATGGTGCCGTTTTGAACGCCTGACCACCATTCTTTGAAGTGGGCTAGGGTCTGGAACTCCGAGAGAAGTTCGAGCGCGGTGACGGGCCCGACGCCCGGGATACCCGTAGTGTAGTCTGACCCGAGGAGTTGCGCGATGTCAATGAGTTTGTCGCGGGTGAGAGCGAATTCCGAGGTGAGATCGGATGCGAGGTAGCATTCTACAAATTTAGCCGTGTTGAACATGTTCTTGTACACTCGTGTGCCGCCGAAAAGGAATGTATCCGAATCGTCTGTCACAATGCCGTCCACGAGGCCGAGATTGACGAGTTCTGCGCATTGCGCTTCGGCTTCCATCGGCGCGGTAACATAGGGGAGGCCGAAGAGAGTGAGGAGGTGCTGACATTCTGCGATCATAGTCTGTGTAACCTCGTCTGCGTCCCTACGGTCTTTCTTTTGTTGAGCTCGAAGTTGTTTGAGTTCGTCGTCGAAATTCACCTCTGTTCTTGGGTTGTTGCTTAGTTCTTGGGCGAAACGTGCATGTTCTTCGGCCTCTTTGGCAAGAGACGCTAATAACTCCACATCTTCGGGATCCGAGTACTGGTCGGATTCGTCCTCTGGAATCTCGATTGGGATGTCTTTGAGGTCTGCAGGGGCAGCAGGGGCAATAGGCACATTGAGGTCGTCGGGACCTTGAAGTATATTTGGAGATAATGCACGTGGGCGCCGCGGTCTCGGCGCTTCTGCTAACAATTCTTCGTTTGGCGAGGATGATGATGGTCTAGTGGGCGCTGTCTGGTTCAAATTATCCTTGGCCTGCATAGGAACGTCCTCAAATTCCGGGGAAGGTGATGTGACTATATTTATCATCGATCCAGGGTTTGTTTTTACGGGAACGTCTTCGAATTCTGGTGAGGACGATCTTAGTTCTGACTTTGGTGACTTAATAGCTTCTAAACCGGCTTTAGTACGTGCTGATGTCTCGGGCTCACTCTCTGACCATTCGACCGGCTCATCATCGGATTCAGTCATGAACAAGCCTTTCTCTGTCATAGCTTTGTTTGTTCGTAGGGGTGACTCTGTGATTGTTGGATGGGGCTGAGGAGGATCTGTTTGTACTCTCTCAGCCAGATTTTCCATTCGAGGTGGCCCTTCCACCACTGGTACAATGTCCGTATCTTCATCCTTCGTGACATCTGGAGATACACTATGCACTGCTTCGGAGCCCTCCTGTGACGGAGCTTCCAAGTCAATTACTTCATTCCACTTACGCAAAGTTGAGCGTTCTTGGAATTGATAAGAATCGTCGTGATCTTTTCGAGCTTGCTCCCAGTCCCTCTTCTCAACATCGCGCAATGCACTCATCTCCTCAGTCACATCTCGTCCACCGTTGAACCATGGTGGTAATGGTTCAGCTGCCGTCTTTTTGTTCTCCTGAGAATCTTTTTCAAACCCGCCTGCATTGGCCTCTTCTAACTTCTGCATCTTCTTCTTCCCCAACAGGGAGCTTCCCAAGTTGAGCCTTTCGAATGGAAGAGGGCCATCGAAGCCGGGGGTCTTCGTCGACTTCATGGCAGAATTGGATGCAGCTGGTGCTTCAGATGACGAGGGTTGAGGAGAAGGACGGCGGGCTATCGGTAGTCGCTTTGACTTTCTTGACTCTGCCAGAGCAGCTTGGAGATCCATCTCATCATTCTCACTATCGCTCCCGTGAAAAAGGATACTGGAAGCCGCCTTTTTGCTGCGCTGATTAGCTAACCTAGCTAAAGCAATCCCAGAGCCTCTAGTCGCTGTAAATGGATTAGTCTCCTTCGCACGTTCTTGTTGGAAAACTTCCTGCATAATGTCTTCTTCAGATTCTTCGCCCGTGTTCTCCCCACCTTGCTGCATGGACAGAGAAATGGCCTTCTGGAGTTGTTCTTCCTCGTAATCAGCCTGATCATCCTCCTGGTCCTTGAAAATGTCGTCAGGGACATTGGTCGCCTTGCGCCCCCACTCCCCGTGGTCGTCCTCGTCTGCCAAGAACAGCGAATCGGGATCCTGAGCCTCGGGAGCTGCTGACTTGGGTGGTATGGGTCTTATAGGCGTCTCGTTTCTCGATCCCGAATCTCCTTGACGACGCCTAGCCACCTCCCGCGAAATGAAATTTCGACCTTCTCGATCCCTGGCAGATAGTCCAGGCTTAGGTTTGGGCAGACGATTCAAGCCTTCGATTGGCACATCTTCAAAATCATCCTCATCCTCCCATTCATTGTCATCCAATTCCGTCGGTGGAACGTAATCAACATCGATTGGTTTGTGGGCCTTCCCTTCGTCTTTGTTGGTGACGACTCCGAGCGCCCATCCGCCTTCGACGCCTTCATTCTTGACCAGCACATATTCTCTACCTTTTTCACCAGCGACACGGTTGGAACCAAACGTGGTATCATCAGACATGCCATTCAGATTCATCAGCCGCTGGGTGAGTTCATTTCGTTCGCGCACTCTCTCGATTTGGAATCTCGAGAAATCCATACGATTAGGGAACATGGTATCTAGTTGATCCTTTGAGTATCCCATCCTCAAGCGGCTTCTCAATCGAGCCGCATTGAGGATGTTGTATCGATCGGAAGCAGGCAAACTGACGAAAAACGGACTATCGAAATCGATTTTAGAGAAGTCGTAAACATTGATATCTTCACCAGTATCGAATTGCCTCGCATATTCTTCAAGCTCCTCCAAGCTCATAATTCTCGGATCGTTCGGCTGCCCCATTTCCGCCAGCGAGGCGCCCAACGCAGGCAGGTGATATTGATCCTTCTTTTTGAAGTGCCGATTCTGGATGCGCTCCTGAGGAGTCTGTAGAATCTCATCTGCGTATACGATGTTCTCCGGTATCGCTTCCTCGGGCTCCTCTCTCGGATGCCTGACCTCTTCCTTCCTTTTCTTCTCTTCCTCCTCTGCAACCCGCTGCATCTGAATAGCAAGAAGCTTTCCAGCTGTTTTCAAGGCATCTTCGCGTCTACCTTCGCGCCGGGACTTGCGATTATTGATAGTCTGCCTCTTGAGTGCCGGTGCACCGCCATCGAACACGAACACGGGCTTGATGCCGATAAAGAGGAGCTTGCATATCCGACGGAAGAAGCCGACAATATGGCTATTGCGTAGCGCATTGCCTTCTTTATCACGAACCGCTTTGAGAAATTGGTAGATCCAGATAGACGCATCCACGGCGAGTCGTTTCTTGTTCAGCGTCTCGATTCGGATAGGCCGCGCGCAGGGTTGGAGAACAGTCCATAGGCCGGTGACACCCATGGCATCTGGGGAACTTCAGTCAGAGAAAAAAGCATTAGTTCTCAGGCCTTGTAATAGCGAGAGTGTGGTTGTACGAGTATAGTAAGAGAAAACGAGTGCTGTTTCGTAAGTCTTCGCGTCAGTCCCACGATGACGTTCCTTTACCGGTACCCTGCCGCCAAGACATTTTATTACTACGCGTCATGCATCAACGATCTCTCATTCAACCATTTCCGATACAGTGTACATAACGTAGAGTCATACGATGTATATGGCTACGTGGGTGTTGACTCTACAAACATCAATACGTAGAATGTGCTATCATAGGCATTTATACGGTAATGACTGTAGGCAGGGCAATCCCATCTTATGGGGAAGATTCATGGTAACAATAACTATCTCAACGTCAAAACAGCCTGTGCGTAATGCCTATACCACCCAGAAAATCCCAGACTCCAAAACCATTTCATCCTAGAAGGATCCGAGTCGCCCAGCCCATGACACAAAGTACTATGCATACACACCCAATTTTCGCCAAAACCCCTTCCTGATCACCATATACAATGCAACGACTACTATCTTTCAGTTTGCGTCTTTTTTGACCCAGCTCACTATTCGAAAACTAATTCATGTCTAAACATATCGCCATATTCAAGCCCCTTCGACCTGGCAATGTTGGGGAGCAAGGGGAGGCTAATTCCGTAGACAGCCTCAACCCATGTGCTCAACCCTCAAGCCGCGGAAAAAGAAGCGGGATAGGCAGATGCATTTAGACAAATCTCAATTTCTTTGGGGGAACCGAGGCGAATGCACCGAAGCTTTCTCCTGCAGATCGCTTTTTGGCTGTTGAAAGTGCCTTGATAGGCTGTTGGTACAGAAAGTTTTGCTTCGACGGTGTTTTCAATGGTGACTTATTCATCAGCCAGGTCGCTTTTGGACGAGGGGCTGTCTTAGCATAGTCCTGGAAATAAATGCCAAGCTCCGAATTCTCCTTATCGTCGTCGAAGTTGATTGATCGATCGAATTCCGATGAAGTCGGTGTGCTCGGGATAGCCTTGATGGAGCTGGACTTCTCTTGAACTGCCGCTAGAAAATGTGCCGGAGTTCTTGCCGGAGTGAAAGGTTGTGGCTTTGGCTCTGTAAACCAACTCAGATCAACGATGTAGGGGTCCTCGTCCATGCGCTTCTTGTTCTTTTCAGAATCCAAGACCCAACCAACATTAACACATTTGACTTTGCCGTGAGACCCAGCAACCAGCTCCAAGGTGGACATGTTCCCATCCTTCCAAAGGACATGGGTCAAGTATGTATGCTCGTTGTATTCACGAAGAACTTTAGCCCCTAGATCTTCGAGCAGGGTAGTGAAGAGGAACGATTGATCCCTGCCATTCGACATGACATCGACGAAGAATATCATGCCTTGCAACGGCTCCTCTTCGTTAGAAGCATTGCCTTCACATTCTTCTTGCCATGTAACAACCTTCTTTGGTGTCTTTGAAACGGCCTTGAGGGGAGACCGTAGAGCCGACTTGGTTGGCGAAACAGGCATAGGTACTGGTAAAGACGGCGCGAAAGAGATCGCCGAGAGAACTATTCCAGAAGTGACCGGAATGTTGCTGTCTTGACTTTCAACAGCCAATTCAGCATCCGGGGTTTTACAGGCTTGCTCACGCTCTTTGAGCGCGTCAGACCATTTGTTGACAGATGTTTGAAGGTTTTCAAATGACGTGTCACCCATGTCGGGAGTGTGTGGGCGGGAACTAAGAGCTTCCTGGATAGCGGATTCAATATCGGAGAGAATTCTTGGAGAGCTTGAAGCCCCTTGAGTGATTGCCTCGATTTTAGAGGAAATCTTGGGAGAGCATGGAGCCTCATGAATGACGGCTCCGTTTTCTGAAGGCAGTTTGGGGGAACTCAGCGCCTCTCGAACAGTTGACTCAGCATCAGAGAGCGTCTTGGGAGAGCTGAAACGTCCTTGAGAAAACGTCTCAATCTCGGAGGGCATCTTGGGAGAGCCTTGAGCTGTTTGAATAGACTCTTTGTGGGGGCTAGATAAATTGCGAGCGGAAGCGGACGAATCTCTGATAGACTGCTTGTTTGAATGTGCTTCTAGAAAGGCAGATGGAGTTTTCGGGTAACCAGGCAGCGTATCCATAGCTTGCTGATTAGAATACGCATCAAGAACATGAATCGGCGTCTCAGGGAACGCCCTTGGCAGGATGTCTAGAGCTTGACGATTGTCGTGCGCCTCGAGGAAAGCTGAGGGGGTCTTCGGGTAGCTAGGCAAAGTATCAAGAGCTTGTTGATTCGAGTATGCGTCTAGGACATGAGCCGGCGTCTCCGGAAACGCTTTCGGGAGGGTATCTAGGGCATTACGATTGTCTTGAGCCTCCAAGAAATCCGATGGCGTTTTGGGATAATTAGGCAAGGCGTCGAGAGCTTGTTGGTTCGAAAATGCATTCAGAACGTGATTTGGCGTTTTGGGGTAATCAGGCAGAGTATTTAGAGCTTGTTGGTTCGAATACGCATTCAGGACATGGTGAGGAGTGTCCGGGAAAGCCTCTGGCAAATTTTCCATTGCCTTTTTGTTGCCGTACGCGTCTACAAACTCGTGAGGCGTACCGGGATACTGATTGGGGAGGGTTTCGATGGCCGTTCGATTATGATAGGCCTCGAGGAATGGGTGAGGTGTGGAGGGAAATTGCTTCGGTAGAGCTTCAATGGCATCTTGATTGGAAATTGGTGCTTTAATGTGCGCTGGAGTGTTTGGCCAGTTTGGAAACTCGGTAAGCGGTTCCTCCACAACAGGGACAGGCTCGGGAGTAGCTTCAACTTTGTTTGTAGCTTTAGCGGTAGCCCTGGGCTTGCGGGTGGCGGGTTTACGCGCAGGTGCTCTCAGAGTGGATGTAGATTCGGCCGCTTTGGTTACAGTTGTAGTCGCCCGGGCACGTGTGGACCTGGTGGTGGTGGTAGTCTTTGCTGGGAGCTTTTGCGTTGCGGGGGCTTTAGCATCAACTTCTGGAACAGTAAGTAGCGCGGGCTCTTGGGCTTTTCGGCCGCGGGTGGCTTTTTGGGGGGGTTCTGTAGGCACGGGTGCGGGCTCGATTTCCTTCGCCGCAGGTTTTCGGCCTCGTACGGCACGCTTCGCGGTAGTTGTGACGCTTTTTTCCTGCTCAGCCTCAAGCTCGGGCTCGGGCTCAGATGGCTGAACCTGTGGCTCTTCTATTTGTTGTTCTTGTTCCTGATCTGAGGGCTGTGGCGCGCGCCGTGTCCGCGTAGTCCTCGTGGTTGTGGTGGTAGAGACTGCAACTTTAGCAGCCGGCTTTGAGGCGGCAGATTTGGCGGCTGGCTTCTTCGTCTTGGGCTCCGCCTTGCTTGCCTTGCTTGCTTTGGTTGCTCTAGTAGTTGTTGTATCGACAGGCGCTTCCTCGGCGGCCTTGCGCTTTGTCGCGCGTTTGGGAGGCGCGTTCAAGGTGGAAGCGGCGGCCTCGACCTCTGGCGCTTTCCTACCAGATCGTCGAGTGGCGACCATAATGGCGACAGTGCCCGGTAGAGATGAGTATGAGTGCAGGGAGAGTGTGGAAACAAACAAGATATCGGGGATTTACAAGTTGTGAGGGGTGCTTGAACTCTGGTGCAGTGTGGTGGTGGAGAGAAGGTGCGTGCGACCAGCGTGACGCTACTTGTGTGATCCGAGAGTCCAAGCGTAAATAAATATCATGACTCAGCAACGTTGCCATGACAACCAGCCCTCCCAGCATCTGAACCGTCTGCTCCCTGTCACTCATCCTTTCATCGTCCATTTGCCTCGTTCCTACCCCACATCTTCTCCTTTCGTTCCGTCCTAAGTCAGCGTGTTTTTTTTTGGTTCTTGTTCTCGAGATGGATGGACATGTATCCGTTCTCTTGTCCCGCCAATCTCTGAAAATGTGGTTCAAATATCTACGTTTCCTACGCATGCATATCCAGTTCATATTGAGTATAACACGCGTCCTACGAGAGCTCGCTGTGCTATTGAATCGCCGCCAGCGGAACCCCAAACTCACTCAAGCCGAATCCATGGGAGCTTTTCTTGTGCGTGCTCTAGACTTTGTGTTGAAATCTGCAACCAAACCTAAATCCAAGCGAGCTATTGCGCAATGAAATGCCACCCCTGAGGCTACGACCAAGTTCTACAAACAATGCTTGTAGCTGTCATGTCAGCCGATGCCATCGCTTGTTGACTTTCACCGATTTTTGTCGCCCAGATCTTCCGTCTATGTCGCGTTCGATCTAGCTGTGACAGGCGCTACTGTAAGATGGTGTGATACAATGAATTTCCAATCGAGTTTCAGTACGCATCTCGAAGGTTCGTAGCCACAGATGGCCGCCATGAATACTTTAGCATCCTTGGAAGAATAAAAAAGGGCACTCATCCGGAGGCGAGCAACTTCGACGCTGTTTCGATCGATGCTAGGAAGGGCCTCATCACAGCACGTGAACCAATACAGTCTAGAGGTGTAGCGGCTGCTGTGTATGCGATGGGCAAACTCACTGGTAAGTTGCTGTGTCTACCTACTTTACTCTGCTGCATCTTCCTGACTCCTCCAGCTCTTGGTGTGTATTTGTGTCGGTAGGCGGTGCAATTCCTATAGCAGGCATCATATTGTATTCCAGGCTCTACGGCGCCATATCGGGCTTGCTTTCCTCCCAGGAGATTGTGGCTGGAACTAGAGAACTGCTCACTGCGTCGGATACAGAGAAGGGATGACTTTTTAGGGTCATGTTTGTAATGGAAATTTTGTTGCTATCCGTAAATGGTCGCTCCACTCATCATTGTCATTTTTAGCGGCACGGGTATTGGCAAGCTAATCTTGGTGATTTCTTTTGTTTCTTCCAGTACGGCGTCTGCATGAGTGTGCCTCAAGTATGTTTTTGGGATTGAAATGGAAGACTTCACGGCAACTATATGGATTGACCAATCCATTACCTTGGCTACAGAGAGCCTATGCACCCAGAACGCCGTATATGGTACCAAAAGACTGACGCGAATCATGCCTTCACAGAAGCTGTTGCAACCACTTCGAGTTGTTGCTGGTGAATCGATGAGAACTCTTGCTTCTGATTGGCCTGGCAATACATTTTTGGTGTTACATTTGCTGATTCAGACGGGCACCCCACCACGTACGTCACATTTGCATGAATGTACCTCACAACGGAAAGTCGCCAATTTCTTGTCATTTCACCATCCAAGCATCTCCGACAATAGCTTTGATGCTTTTGTCATGTCTCAGTCCGGCAAACTCCCTTATATCCTCCCGAAACCCCAAGGTTTTCAAGATGAGCAGACACCTGCTAAACGCAAGCGCCAGCGTGCCAGTGTTGCTTGTGACAGTATGTCGGGCAAAGCAGCCATCAGCAATAACAACGTACTCCTAACATTCATGACCAGACTGTAGGCAACGCAAAACAAAGGTACCTCGACATAAACTACATTCTTTACAGTCGCACTGACTATGGTAGTGCGATAATCAGAGACCGACCTGCAATTCATGTAAACTTGCGAATTTGACGTGTCAATACAACACCCTTACAAGTCGTCAAGCCGAGAAACAGGAGAAGGACGACTATGAGAGGTCTGCCCACAGATTTCAAAGCGCGCTTGAGTTACTCCGTCAAGGAAGCGATGCGGACTCGGCAGCAGTCTTACAGAGAATTAGAGAGACAAATGACATCGAAGATGCAGTCACGAGTATCTCCGACGCGCAATTACTTGTTCCTGAACCTAGATCAAGTGTGAGCCAACAAGCAGAGAGAGCCGTTCCACGTAATCGATTATTGAAATCTCCGTACGGTCTTCAGACACCACTCGGATTGTTATACTCAATACTAACCTTGAAAAAGCTATGAAGATCCGGAGTACATGTTCTCAACTGGTTACTCGTATGTCCACGAGCAATATGTGGACAAAGATGTTTTCGTCGATCTGCCAGCACTTCATCTGGATTTGGCCCGTTGGACATCAGCCTGCCAGGACAATCGGCCTATGAATCATCTCTTGGCTCTGTTTTGGACCTGGGACAACAGTGTACAGCATCTGATATATCAGCCGATGGTAGAGGAACATCTTAGCTCCAAGGATCCCCACGTATCGGATACTCATGAGCGCCGCTTTTGTTCACGTTTTCTAATCAATGCTCTACTCGCCCTAAGCTGCGTAAGTACAATGCCATCACTCTCAGATTAGGATAATGATAATCTAGTTATATGCTCTGGAACCAGTGACCTACGCAGTACCTCAAGATCCAAGCACTAGAGGAAGAAGGTTTGCAGACGAGGCCGATGCCATGCTGCAATCAGAATACATCGAGCCTTCTTTCGCTCTGTTTCAAGGGCTATTCGCAATGTTTTGCTACGAAGGATGTGTCGGTGAAGGCAAAAAGTCGGTCAATTACCTGTACCAGGCAATAGATATATACAAAGCACTCAATTCTGTTGTACGATTGCCACCCGTGAGCGATGAGACAGTATCACAGCGAGAGAGACACGCAATATCATGGTCTATGTGGGGCTTCTACATCGTCGAATGGTGAGCATGGAAGTGGACATACCGTGCAGTCAACTAATTCTTCATAGGCGAGCTACGCAAGCTCTTGGCTTAGCAAAATTGGCCCATAAGCCAAACGTTGAGAGTACATGGCTGGAAAGTGATTTTCCATTTTCCGCACCGGAATCACGTAGCTATTGGTGGTTTCCATACCCTATCTCACTTCGAACACAACGATCTATGAAGGTAGAAGCTAGGGAAGCGGAGGTTAGGCTTGCAGAAATAGTAGAGGAAGCGCTCAACTTCATCATACCAAGTGAAAATGCGCCGCCCGCTATCGAAAACCCCCAACGAGCACTTCAGCTGTATGACGCGATTCTTGACTGGAAATATTCCCTTCCCGATCGACTGCGATTTGAGGAAGTCGTTCTCCCGTCATTCATCATAGTTCAGTAAGTTCTTTGAACAGTCTGACCAGCAATAGTTAACCGTCCACAACAGTGTCAGTGCAGAACTCATGCTTACTGCCATACTTCACCCCTTTTCCCAATTTTCCCAGGACCAGTTTGGAAGATTTGATCCGAGACAGCGATGCTACTCACATGCCAATCGAATGATGACGGCGATCTGGACATACCGTGCCTTCGCTATCCTCCGTACAGAATACTGGCTCATGCATCTTATATCAGCTGCTGCTTTTATTGTGCTCGATAACCTTCAACATGGGTCTGAGGAAGTAGAAACGTTAGTGCGGGCGGGCTAGTGCCTCAAGGAGATGACCTCGACCTTTACTCTTGCTGCAGATTGCTTGTCGTCAATCAATGGAGCTTTCAAACGCGCAAGGTCGAAGGTACCATCTTACGCACATCGATACTTCGCTGAAGCCCGACATCGAAAAGAAGGTTTGATGCACCATGCTATTGCAGCTTTGATGCCATCTCGAAATTATGGTAGCGCGAGTAGCACTAAGAACAATACATGGCGTCCCTCATTCCAGGAGCTCCTCGATGAGTTAGAGGAATTTGATGTAGATTAGGTCGTTATGTTGAACACAATGAATCATGTCAACATCTGAATTATGATACATATTCAGTTCGTGCATATCATGACGCGAAAACTAGACCGAAACAGCTAGCAATATAATCCAGCCAAGTAAGGCTCGAGGATTCCTTCCACTGACCCCGAATCAACGTTGGAAGACGTTTTCCGAAGTCTCCGAATTGGTAATATGCGCTCACAGATGGTATGCATTTGAATAGATAAACGAAATACTAAATCGATGGACTATAATTCAGATTGCACTTTAGAATCGTCATTTATTGGTTGAAACATACATGATAGATAGGGCTTGCCACACCCCGCAACTGGCTATCGACAGTCTTTCGAGGTCTTGATGTGTGTCTGGTTTGTATGAGATAAACAGCGCTACTGCCTTTTTTTTCGTCTCGCCTTGGGACGATTTGCAGGTGTGTTCGGCGGCACAATCAGGCTGGGCTGCGAATACGGCACATCGAACGAGTGTTTCCGCTTCGCTGACTCCGCAGTGTTACTCTGCTGAACCTGGATCTGCGCTATTGGAAAGACATCGTGGATAAGGGTAGGGCTGATACTAGAATTCTGCGTAGAATCCGACGCGGTTCTCGGATGGCTGCTCGTCAGTGATGGAGACGGCGTGGGTGCTGACGAACGCCGGCCGCGTCGGAGGTAATCTGTTAACTGATCATCGCTGGATTTGGAATCACCGGGATTGAGATCTTGACTGAAGAATGCGGGTGCGCTGACCTCTGGCGTTGATGGGGATAGGAAATCGGACAACCCTCCTCTTTCGGCGGATGCTGTGGGGTGGTGGCTTTGAGACGCCTTCTTCGCCCATTGTTTTGCGGGTGCTATCACGAGTGGTGGCACGTAGGGTTTACCCAAAATCGCTGTCTTGATCTCGGGTTCTTTCTTGGCTGCGCGGCGAGAGCCTAGAGTGGTTGCTGCTGCAGATTTGCTGGCTGCAAGGGCTATATCTCTGCGAGATTTGCGTTTGGCTGACGAACGCGAAGCTGGGTGAGCATTAAGAAATTCTAGGCTCTCTACACTGCTCTTGCTAGCTCTCCTTGGATCCCAGGTAGCGTCTGGATGGTCTTCAAGAAGATTTGTAAACGCGTGTGGGGAAGGACTGAGTACGGGCTCGCTGGAGCTATAACCTTCTGGATTCCAAGGATCCTCAAGATACTTTGTGTTTGGTGGTTGTTGATTTAAATGCTTTGCTCGATCTATTCTTATGGGGCCACGGCGTTGTCTTGAATTTAAAGGACTGGCAGTCATGTCGATCTTCAGGGCAGATTTGAACGAATCCTTGATTGGATTGGACCGAAGTATACTGCGTTTTGGACTCGGAGTCGTGATCGAGCTGGCATCTGCGTCATAGCTATGACTGTCACCGAAGTCATTGTATGCAACCCTTTTTTCTACCGTCACCGGCGAGAACGAGACTTTGGACAGTCTTCGTCTTTCGCCCCCCGATTGGAATCGGTGGGCGTTATCCGTATTTAGTTCCCGTTCTGTTGAGCCACGCGTGCTCGAACGTCGTGTTCCAGTTCTGGGAATAGCATATAATGCGTTTACGCCGTCAGAGACAGGGCGTGATTGTAATCGCCTCTGTCTACCAGCACCTTCAGCTTGCTCTTGATCGTGCAGAGGACCGTGAATGAATATATGGGAAGCTTTAACTTCACTTGGCCACTTATTCCACTCAGCACCGTAGAATGGACAGCGGTCATTCGCCTTGTTTTGGTGGTCATGGTAATGTCTTCTTATGGACGAGCGACGCCTGGAACCTAGGTTGTGCAAGCATACTTTGCATTGGCGTTGAAGAAGACCGTTACCGTGATCATGGTGATGCCACAGAGGAGAAAGCTGTGTACGTTGCATCATGAGATAAAGGTTGTGTTTCAACTCAGCAACAGGCATTTGCTCAATAGTGCTACTTAGCACAGTTTCAGACTCGATGTTCTGGAGAAACGACTCTTCCCAGACCGCGCGTTCCCGCTGGCGTATATCAAGAGAAACGGGAGGGGTTGTAGACGATCTTCGTTTAGCTGGCAGGGAGGGTGAGTCTGGTGAAGTAGATATCTTGTTCATCCAAGCAGTGACGAATGGTAAGTCTTCGCTTCCTCGACGTTCCAGAGCATGTAGTGTATCATGCAGAGTGTCTGATGCGATAAGGGGTATTTGCGCAATATCCCAGTAAGCTTCGTCGTCTCGGGTCCAGGGCTCGTCCCCAATTATACTTTCAATAGGCCACCGCTGCTCGCTGGGCACTTCGATTCCTGCGAACTTCTCCGCCAGACTTGTGATACCTGGAGGAGTGCTGACTGGCGGGGAAGCGGGAAGCTCGCCGGCTGGGTACAACGACGGTAAGTTCTTGACAAGGCGTCTCCATTCTCGTGTTTTTTTACCGTCCCTATTCCATCTCTCGCGTACGTCTTTCAATGTCACCGCCAACCCTTTGTTATAAAGATCTTTCTCGAAAGCCCAGATTGCTGCTTTGTATCTGGATGTTTTAGGTGCAATAGAAGACGACCGGAATTTACGAGGGACCAGAGTCTTTTTCACTCGTATATTTCGTGAAGACGGCGTTAGTTTGTTCCCCGTTTCATTGAGAACCGGGTTTATGCTGAGGGAGTTCAGGCGAACATTTTGATTGTTCGCATCAAGCCAATCAGGGTTCGGCTTAGTGGGATCGTTCCACTCAGACGTAGACCAGAAATAATAATGCGGTAGATCCATATCTACGAAGCGAATGTAGAACAGATTATCAAGTCTTGCCGCCACTTCCTCATCCTCCTCCATAAAGGGGTAATCCAAATATGAGGGCATATAGCAGATGGAGGGCCGATGTTCCGATACAGCGTAGACATCGATCATTTTCTGCCGTTGGTCCTTTAATCGCTGTGTCGCTATCTGCTTGGGTTCGGCCTTGTGAATCCCTCCACCTCTCAAACCCTCGCGCCTGTGCAGCTTCTTCTTATTTCTATTCCACTTAGCATATACATCGGCGAGCACCTTTCTGGACGAGCCTCGAGGCGGAAGGTTGAAACACATGATCCCGTTCCACCACTGCACTTGAGTCCGCCTTGCCCAATCCGTAGCGCGCTCGATGACGGCTCGTTGCAATTGACCATACATGATTCCGTTGCGAGCACAGTCCTTTGTATGCTCTGACAGCGACAAGACGAAATCTGGACCAACTTCCTCGGAGTATTGGCGACCGGGCAGTTCAAGCTTTTCCTTCGAAACGGTTGTCATAATTTTCATGACTGCGTACGGGAGTCTCTTCGGAAGAGGCTCTGGCTGGATATCATTCATTGATGCGTCCGATGAACTCATGGGGGCTTGTGGTGGATTCGCTGGTGGTGCATCACCGTATGGCCACTCGTAAATTCTTAGTCGTGGCGCCGGATTGACGGATGTGATTGATGATTCTGATGGAGTTGTGGTTGTACTCATATTCGACTCATCATCCGACCCTCTACCGAGGGAGTCGGATCCTGAGTCAGTCGTATCGCTCACATAGTCTTCCCCTCGTGACCTCCTTGCCTGCCTGTCTCTCTTTCTCCATAATCTTTCTGCATGTTTCTTCCTCTCCTGAATCTCTACAAGCCTTTTCTTCCTTTGCTCTTCTTTTTCAGCAGCCTTCCTTTCCATTTCGTCGATACGGTCCTTTTTCGCTAGTGCGTGTATCATCTCAATTTTGCTCATGTCTTTCTTATGCACCCCTGCCTCTTCTGTAGCTCTCTTGAGATCAATATGGTGCATGTCATCCCAGTGCGTACCGGTCTTTAGATCATCCCTCACTTCCCAACGCCCGCCACGTGCATGAACAGCAGCCTGCGGTGCCTTGCTTCGCTCCTCAGCTTCCGTAGCATCTTCGTCCTCATAGAGATCAGGGTTTTTCGCTTTGGATTTTCCTTTTGGCATTGTCTCGGTTATTTTGAGGATTTCCTAGCAACAGGCTGTATTAATACCTAGAGAAAAGAGGTGAGCACAATGAAGGAGAGACTGTTATTTCGGATTTTCCGGGGTTATTTCTTTGTTAATCCGCATATGGATGGCCAATCCGACGCAGCCAGTTTCCCTTTGTTTTAGCTTGGCCTAATCAGCACTTGGGGTGTCCACAAATCATCACCATCAGAATGCAAGGACACTGTTGCAAGAGTGAAAACAAAGACGTAAATGGCATAAATTTAACTAGGGTATCATACTACTTCATGTTAGCACGAGGTTGAGAATGATGAGCGCTAAGTGAGAAGCAGAAGCAGATAGTATGCTCACAATTCCGATTTGTCCTCAGATATCGTCCTCTTTTGCACTTTGGAGTCAAAATGCCCTTCCAATTCCATCCACTCGGCAGTAAATGCCGTAACCAGCCTTGTCCAATCTTCAACAGTCTCCATGTGTAAGTGCTCTCCATCATCCTCAATGTTATGCCATTGGGTGGGGAAAGGTGAAGGTATCATATGTAATATTTCAACACCACGGGCCATGAAAGGTATGTGATCATCCTCAATCGCCCCTCCCAGGAAGTAAGCGGTATCGGCCTTTTCGAGTTCGGTCAAGAAGTAAGGCTCTTTGCGTTTCTTGTTGTTGCGCTTTGCCAGCTTGGAAGCATGATTTGGTGACGATTTGAACAAGCCTTGATCGCGCATTCGATGTTCCAACTCGGCCATATGTTTGTACGCCCAGTGTGTAGTTTTGAAGTATGATGGAACAACAGGGCTAGCGCCACCCAGGAGATCGAGTAGGAGGAACAGGTCTATTGAATCGAGCGGTGTCTGGTAAGTGGATGTAGCGGGATGGTAAGCGGTTTCCCAGTCTTCTGCTAGAGCGCTGTAGAGGGTAAGTAGGTGCTACATGAGCCAAAGATGAAGGGGTGGCATACCGAGCCCCGTATATGCTGTCTGTTGCCGTCCATGCAACAAACGCCTCCTCCCCGTCTAGTAACAGAAGCTGCACGCCTTTGGGTTCGTCCAGCGTGTCCATATCATCAGCCATAGCCTCCCACTTCTTGGTCAGGGCTTTGTCGATGCTTCGCGCTGTATGCAGGATCATGGCGCAAGGTGCAGCGCTGTCCGTGGCTCCAATGAAGCCCTCGGGTTGCAGTTTACTGTCGTAGTGGGCGACCAGCGCCAACCTGCCCACGTCTCCAACCTTTGCATTCGGCGGGTCTCGTGTGGCAATGATGTTGACGAAAGGCACTTGTTTTCCATCGCTAATAGGGGTGGTGGAAGTAGAGTTGTGAAGCTCGATTCTCCACTCGGGCAACTGCGTCTTTATGAAATCGACCAGATGCTGACGAACAGCAACGTTGCCTTCGGTGCCCGACACCCGTGTGCGAAGGATCGGGGCGAGAATGGAGCCCTTTTTGATATCAAACTCGGGTCCAGGAGCCGGGAAGCCTTTGAGTGTGTCGTCGCTAACGGTGGTGTAAGCTGCAGCAATGGTACTCAAGACAAAGAGGGCTACAGCGACGAAGAAGACCATTGCGACTGCTCGACAGGGTTGGTAAAGCTGGGGAAATATTGACACGGACGATAGCGATCATCTATCGAAAAGGAACCTGCATGCTGAGTCTGGCATAAGCCACGGCGGGAAGTCGGGGGGTTCTTGGTGGTGGAGCAGGAGGGGATGAAATCGTGGTCACATCCCACGTCTCGCAAGGGATCAATATGTATGTACCAATGTACATGTATGGCTCGGAAATGCTTCCGCCCACCCGGGGACTCTCACGTGATGCGCATGAGCGGAGAATGCATGTATGAACATGAATACATATGTACATACATACATACCTACCTAGATACATAGGTATCATCATGTAGAGGATGGTCTTGACTCGGCATTTGGCCTCGGAAACAGCATTTGCTCCGTGGACAGCAGTTGGGTCTATGTAGCCAGCCAGAGAGCTCAATCAATCGCTGACTTCCGCCAAGGAATTCCGAGGGCAAGCCTAGCCGAGCCTTTGAACAATGTCTCCTTGCTTCGACTCCCCTTGACCATCTTCGTTCATCCATTGAGATGCATGCACGCTTTCAGTCTTTTGCACAGGCTGTCAAAAGCTCGAGGCAATGGACCCGGCTCACTTCAGCGCCACCATTTCCTCAGCTACCGCGCTTCATATGTCAAAGTTGCCGCCATAAATTTCCTTCCCCTGCAGTCTTCCGCAGCAACATCTCCCAGCCTTTAAGACGTACCTTCGCTACTGCCGCGAGGAACTCCAAGGAGAGAAGTACGTCTCTGTGCATTCCAGCTGCAAAAACTCTCATGTCGAGTCTGACCTGCAACACAGAGTACCCCACCGAGCTTTTGATCTACGACGCAGGAGACACACGCACCACATATGTTGCCTTCTGGAAAGCCGTCGTGTTGCTACAATTTGGTACCTGTTTTGTCTTTATAACACCCTTGCTTTACAGAAACCCCAATCAGCCAAATGAATATATACGTACAGCTCAAGCCGCTGCAGGTGAGATCTCCAGTCACGTGCCTTCTTGTCGTGCGTGCCAGCCGTGAGTGCTGGAACGTCACACCTCTAACAAAATTGAGGATACTCATATCTAACAAACACATAGTCACTGTCTTGTCAGCAGTTCCATGTGCTCTGCTGTCCTTTCTGACAGCTCCTTACGTCTCCCAAGTGCACATGCAAATCCCCCCAAACGCCACACATTCTCTGACTGCACTCCGCGCATTCGCACGGAATCCGCCCTTGACAACCAGGATTCGGTTTCTCACCCTTCGCATCTTCCCGATAGGTAAATTCACGTCGTGCACTTTGGGCGAAATGCGTGCTCTGCCACCCCGTCGCTTCCGCATGGCCAATCTACAGCGGTTGAAGGCCAAGTCGTGGCGTGAGGACCAGAGGAAGAAGACGCCCGGCCAGAAGCTCTGGGAGCTGGTCATGGAGCCCAGATGGAAGTTCTATGTCAAGGAAGGAAGCTCCTACACGGTTAGGACCGGAGTGCCGGGTGTCTGGGAAGAAGTGGCTATGAGGATCAAGGAGCAGACTGAACACGAGGTAGAGAAAGGAGCGAAGAAAACCATCGGCGCGCGGCTAGGCGCCCTGAAAACGGGAACGGTACTAACAAAACCGTTGGGCGCTGTGAAGCCTCCACTGCGGCCGATCAAAAGACAGACTTCTCGATCACAGATGAGATAATTAGGACTTGTACAAATATTTGTAACAGTATGTGAAGAATGTTGCATCATTTTGATAATGGTGAATGGAATCATGTGTAAGCATAGCCTGGAGTATCTTGCAGTTACCGGAATGAGAGGTCCCAGGTTGATATTAGGTTGATAGATTAAAACATCATTTTAGAGACAGAATATCGCAAATAGTATCGGTCCACGGTTCAACCATGATGCTCCCTGAACATCCCATACGACGGGACACCCTTCTCATCTTCCATCTCACATCTTCACACCTCTCTCAGGTGACGACAACATCATCTTTGTGCTCCGCAGCGACTGGCTTCTCGGCAGTAACCTGCTTCTCCAGGGGGACGGCAGGCTTTTCGTCGACTGGGTAGCTGGGCGGAGCATCGGTAACTCCCAAACGCACCAGCAACTCCGTCAAGCCAACTTCGTTGTGCACTTCGGTCCACCTCTCCTGCTCGCGGGCGGCGATGCCGACACTGCCAAACAAGATATCCATCTCCTCGAGCGAGAGACCCTTGGTCTCGGGCACAAAGAACCAAATAAAGACTGCACCCATGGTGGTCAACAGCCCGAAGAAGATGTAGGTGCCGTACGTCAAGTTTTCAAGCATATCGGGTGTGACCTGACCAACAATAAAGTTGTTCATCCTGCGGGTCACGAGTTAGCGTACATGGATTCTTGAAGTGATTGAGTGGAACGTACCAGTTAGAGGAAGCACCGAGAGCAATTCCATAAGGACGGTTGGAAAGCGGCCAGACCTCAGCGATGAGGATCCAGGCGCATGGACCCCACGAGTATCCAAAATGAATGACGAAGAGCCAGACCATGACGACGGCTGCCCATCCGGCAGCTTCATGAGCGGGCCAGTTGTCCTGGAAACTTCCGACAATAGCAGCCTAAAGATACCTGTATCAGCGATTTGTATTCTCAGACTCCTTCGCAGCAGATACATGAATACGTACGATGACGAAATGGGAGATGGCCATGCCAATAGCACCAACGACCAGTGTAGGTTTGCGACCCCAGCTGTCCACATACATCACAGCAGGGATGGTAGCGATGAACATGACAATACCAACGACACCGGTAGCGAGGAGCGAAACAGAATTGTCACTCAATCCCAAGCCCTTGAAGATAGTGGGAGCATAGTACAACACGGCGTTGATACCTGTCCATTGCTGGAAGAACATAGTAAGTGTGGCCACGATGACGCGCTTGAACATGGCCTTTGTTTTGAACAGACTGCCAATAGCAACAAACTGAAGTTTCAACGTGCTCATGACAGACAGATCCTGGAGATGTGGGAAATTCTCTGCAAGCGACTTCTTCTCGAAAAGGGATTGGGCTTTGATCTCAGCATACTCAAGCTCGATGAGGTCGTGGTCCTCAGAAAGGCTACGGAGATTGGCAAGGACCTTGCGTGCTTCCGCCTCGCGATTGTGGTGTACTAGCCATCGAGGAGAGAAGGGCATGAATAACATTCCGACGCCGAGGAGGACGGCCGGGGCCAGCTGAAGAGCGAGGGGAAGAAGCCATGCTGCATCCTTTTGGCTACGACCAGTACCACCGATAAAGTTCTACATGAGAAATGGCGAATCAGAACCTGGTTTCGAGTGTTCATACAGATATTTACTTACAGTACCGTAGTCAATCCAGAAACTAATCATGATACCAAGTGTGATGGATAGTTGCTGCAAACCAACCAATGCACCCCGGACTTCTGGTGGAGCAATTTCGGCGTTGTACATGGGCACAATCATGGAGAGCGAACCAACACCCATACCTGCAATCTGTGAGTATGTGTGAAATCATGCCTAGCCGCAGGATACCTACCAGTGATGAAACGGCCGCCGAGAATGGCATTATGACCAGCTTGGATCGAAGTGGTTTGGACGACAACACCGATAATGAAGATAGCAACGTTAACCAGGACCGCATACTTTCGAGAAAGAATCTCAGCCAAGAATCCAGAGTACATGGTTCCGAGCCAGGCACCAAGTTCGAGGATTGCGACAAGCCAACCCTGTTTGGAAGAATTGTATTCGAGTGTCTCAAAGTCTTCGATGTAGTTACCCATGTCTGGGACACACAGTTAGCTGATGGTTTACAGCATCCTTGGAACACCACAAGTCCGAGATGTAGACTTACGCTTTTTGAAGGCCGGCATGACTAGCACACCAGAGAAAACACCCTGGTTGTATCCATACAACAATCCACCCAAGCAAGCAAAGCAGGCAATGCCAAAGACTTTCAAGTTCTTCAGCAAAGCGCCAGGGCCAGACGAGACTTGAAAGGCCCTGCGACGGGCCTCAGCGGCTGCCTCGAAGTCACGACCAGAACCACCGACAGGCGCCATGTTGATTGATGATTGCACTTTCTTCTGAAAAGGCTTGTGTCACTTCCCCAACAGGTGTAGACAAAAGCTTGCAGCGTGCTTGGAGCGAAATCTAGAGGAAGGGTAAAAAATAAGTCCTGGGATTGTCCAGTGGGCCCTGCATCCTTTTCTACTACTACCCGCGTGAACAGACCTTTCCCCAACCTTGCAGGATGAAGGACCTGATCGATTCGAACAATATGCGCCATCCATATGCAACCGGCCTGGGGCCATGACTGCCACCCCGGTCAAATGGGTAAAGATCTCAAGATGCTTGCGGGTTAGGCGGCCCAGCCATTCGACTGTAACGGTTAAATTCATTTCTTTAGCCCATTGGTTCGAAGCTTGATCCATTGTCGATACTGCTCACGCGTGGCTTACATTTGCCTGTCGCTCAATTATGATTCTCTCAGCCGGTGTTGGATGACGCCGTATAGAGTATGAGAAGGTACTGCACAGTGGCTATCTGTCTGTGTCGGGATGTCATCGATGGTATAAGTTTGCCGACTTCTCCTGCCGTTCCACAGCATTCCGTGAGAAATCGTCGTTCATTGGATACCCTTTGTGAATCCAACTCTCGAGATTTCCCGGGGGCTGCCCTAGACGATTTACCATCTGCCAAAACCCCTAGATGGTGACTCAGACTCGTGCACCGCAAACTAATTCCAAAACAAAGATATATTGCCAGGACCACATCACACTCCTTTGTACAATCAGTTGAACGGCCTACTACTAAGCTTTGGTGTGATTCGCACGCCACCAACGCGTATTGCAAATGGATCTCTTGGTAAACGGTTCCCCGCGGGGTGGCTAATAAGATGTGGGAGCTAACCGTGCTTTCGTTGCTATTCTGCCTAAATACACGCTTTATTTGCTGACAACATCCAGAATTTAAGTGTAGCCTGGTGGCCCGACTCCTCTGAACAGCGAAAATTGCGCTGGTGTATGCACATGTCACTGCACCGTATGCTGTTATGCGATGAACGCTGTTAACTACGCTTGTAGTTGTTCCCATGACGCTGTGGTATCGCTACCTCCGAGGACTTGGGGGTTCGGCTTTTGGTGCACTCACCGTATCTCATCCTTCTATCAATGCTCAAAGTGTGAGCGCGGGAAGATACGCACTGACTGTAAGACTTACGAGGAATAATTTACTTGGATATGCGTGGTGCACATCGCGACTGTTCCACGCATGGATCCTGGCCAAGCGATGTCACGTCGCGCGAATCTTATTGCATCTCTACACTTCTTGAGACGGATTTCAGAGCCAGCTCGAACGAGTAAAGTTCGGTTGCGGAATATACAATCCCACGTGAGGGGGCGACCGCTTTCAGCCCTATTCACCGTACATGACGAACAACACATAGGCCATGGTGAAGATTCAACTATATGGAAAAGATAAAGTTCACGTGGAATCTTTTGAGTACCAGGGTTTCTCGTCTTCTTTCCCCCTAGAAACGTGCGTGGTGTTGTCATATAGTACAGATTTAGGCACGATGGTGGCAGCTTACTCCTAAGAACTGCACGCGGAAATTCCATGGTGGATTAATCAATTGACCACAAACTCTCTCACTGCTAATAAAAAAAGCCACCGAAAAGGAAAAAGAAACCCTCAGGCCGACATTTGATTGCCCTGCGGCAGACGCTCTCGTATTGCGACTTTGAACCTCTATGCCAACGTTGCGTTAAGCTTGCGCGTTAACGACGACGAAGACCTCCGGATTGCAGTACGGCTTCTTCTCTTAGCGGATCATCTTCACCTCGCCCACTTACGGTGCATATCCTTGAACCCTTAGCCTTCCGATGCGCAGTGAATAAGTTTCACTAGAGGAGAAAAAAGGGGAGTAAACTTATTGTGAGATTAATAGAAGGCCAAAGTCCTCATCGAACACTATTTGCTTAGACAAGAATGTAAAGGAGCTCTGCAGAGTTCACACAGAGAGGGTGAGACTGATGCAGGTGGGATATAAATTGATCAAGGCTGGAGGCAAGCTGGATACCATTGCTACTAATTTGCACCTGAACCAGCCTATCAACCCAGAAAAGCTACAAGTCATCTTTGCCGATTGAACGCATTGAAAAAAATTGAGCCCACTGTAGAGAGAGTCACGCACCTAGCCTATCAGGAGACTCATCTTCAATAAATTTGACACCAACAACTACTTCCTTTTCTACAACTCACAGCTTTATGATTCTAGGAAGCTGCTCCAGATCTGACAGTGATACCAAAAATGTGGTTAATTATTTTTATTTATCTACCCCCCGTTCGGTGTATGCCTCTAAACCGACTAGAGCAGCTTTGGATGATGACGGTGGACTTTCTACTTTATAATTGTTGATTGAGCAGCGAGGCTTCTTCTCTAAGCTTGGACAGGTGTACTTGAAGTCTTGTTTCTAGCCCTGGTAATCTGAGTACCTTTATAATATGCACCTTCTCGGAATGTTTGCGCAGGATATTGATGCGGTTGGATGTGGGATTGATTTTAAAGGTTCCTCGTTACAGGCAGTAAACTGTTTCTCGTCTTAGAGCATTGATTAGCTAGGTGAGTAGGTAAAAAAAAGAAAATGGGGAGGTGAATAGTACTGTTATTAAGATAGTAAGAGGTACGTGTATATGTACGTACTCCTTTTTGAACAGCCCAAGTAATTTGGTCAATTTAGCGGGAGTTGACTAAGTGCGTTAAGTACCTAGAAGTGAATTAGCGCACAGACGCTTTCTCAAAATGTGGAGAAAGTTCCCTCGCGAGTGTCACCCTTTCCACACAACAACCACATCTGCTTGACGACTCCGCCTTGCTTGCCATCGCTCCATCATCGATTTGCACAAAAGGGCTACCATTGTGTTACTTGTACCCTCGTGTGTTGGTGCGCAGCGCCATTGCCTTTGATCTGAACCGCGCTTGCGTGCTGTTCGGCGCCGTGCTGTCCTAGAATTGCAGTCATGCCCAGCATAGGGAGCATAGCCTACTATGCTACACACCCGACCCAGCTGCGGTCAATAATACAATGGTACGCATCCGCAAACTACGAGTGCATTCGAGACGCTGACCTAATGGCAGGAAGGTGTGGCACAATCCTGTGCACGAGCTCGACGAGTCTAAAGAGACGGCAAGCCTCCAGCGATGTTTTCACTTTCTGAGATTGACTAGCCGGAGTTTCGTTGCTGTTATTCTGGAGTTGCATCCAGAGCTCTTGGTACCCATCAGCCTGTTCTACCTAGCCCTACGAGGCCTGGACACAATAGAGGATGACATGACGATACCCCTGGAGAAGAAGGAGCCGTTACTGCGAGATTTTCACAACATTCTCGAGAAGGACGGTTGGAACTTCACGGAGAACGGTCCGAACGAAAAAGACCGGCAATTGCTGGTTGAATTTCACGTTTTCGTCGAGGAATACAAAAAGCTCAAGCCGGCCTACAAAGCCATCATCAAGGATATTACCGAGCGTATGGGCAACGGTATGGCAGACTATGCAAAGAATGCGGAACATAACATCGCCGGTGTGAACACTATCCAAGACTACGAACTTTACTGCCATTACGTCGCTGGACTTGTGGGTGAAGGCCTCACTCGTCTTTTCGTCGAAGCTGGGTTGGCGAATCCTGCCTTGCTCAAAAGGAAAGATCTCCATGAATCCATGGGTCAATTACTGCAGCAGGTCAACATCATCCGTGATGTAAGAGAAGACTTCGACGACAAGCGACGATTCTACCCCAAGGAGGTTTGGTCCAAGCATGTGGACAACTTTGAGGATATCTTCAAACCCGAGAACAAAGCGAAGGCCTTGGCCATCAACTCGGAAATGACTCTGCTGGCCCTGAACCGCGCTGATGATTGCCTGTACTACCTCGCGGGTCTCAGGGAACAGAGCGTTTTCAACTTCTGCGCTATCCCCCAGTCCATGGCCATGGCGACGCTGGAAGCGTGTTTCCAGAATTATGACATCTATCTCAAGAACGTCAAGATAACGAAGGGCGATGCTTGCCAATTGATGATCGAATCGACACAGAATCTCCAGCTGGTCTGCGAGGTTTTCAAGAGATACGCCCGCAAGATACATCAGAAGAACAACTTCACTGACCCGAACTTCCTCAAGATCAGCATTGCGTGTGGGAAGGTGAGTATCTGCATGAAGATGCCATGGCATAATGGATGCTGACGAAGCTATAGATTGAACAATTCATTGAGACCATCTTCCCGTCACAGAAGCCACCGATTGACGCGAAGCAGAACCCAGCCAGTGCGCAGGAAGCCGAGCGACTCAAGAAGGAGGCTGAGGAAGCGAAATGGGACAACATCTATATGATAGGTGCCGTTGTGGCAACCATCTTTGTGATCACTGGAACAATGGTTTGTCCCCCTAACGAGATGAAGCGAACTGGGCTAACGTACAACACCAGCTATTGACCGCTTGGTTAGCTGGCGCACGGTTCGACATTGCCTTTGCTCAGTTCAAACAGCAGATAGGGCAGCTGTTGGGCTCAGGCGATCTCCGCAACAGCACAAGCCCAAAGGTATCTCCAGAAGGCCACAGTGAACTGTAGGCGCGAAGGGGTATGTTCTCCACGAGACACTCGCATGTTGATATGTAATTATAATAGCCGGCGACTTCTTCGATTTGCTTCTTCTCTGGTATATACTACGGTACAGTCAATACTAATGATACACACCTGCGATGAGGGGGGAACCCCCGTCTCTGGACCCCTGGTGACGCGTTGATTGTGATGACAATGATAGCACGGATGTCAAATTGCAATCCAGTCCTTTTTCATGACTGTGGTTGTGCCGCTTTAGAAGTGCTTATATCAAAACCCATGTTGCTCGGCGACGAGGCCACTCTCCGTTCTGCTCTCTATGTGGGCTAGACTGGGGTTTGGTGGTGTGGACATGCATCCATGTAGATAGTTGTACTCAAGCAGCACTATGCAGTGCCATGTCTGCTTGAGTGTCGGAACTGAGAGAATACACTTTTTTTTTGCTTCTTCTTCTTCTTTCTTTCAGGATTCTTGGTTGATATGAAAACATGCTCGACTGGTATGATGCGGTGCAATCCAAACCGTTGAGTGCATACATACGCATGTCTGCCACGGCGCAACCAGCTGGCCGTTTTGGTGAAGTTGAGACAGGTGAAACGAGCGGACGGGGTGAAGGGTTCACTTGGACAGTGCCAAGCCATATCGCGGGTCACGTGCGGGGCGGCGGTTTCCGCTCGCTGGCCAGTCAGCAAGCACTTTGATTTTCTTTCGTTTGCAGCCAACCAGCCCAGCCCAGCCAGCCCGTTCACTCCAGTGCAAAACCACCCTTCTAACCACAACGCAGGGACAAACAACACATCTCAGGACTACTTTGACCTTGTTTCCTTCCCTCCCGCCTGCCTGCCTGCCTGCCTTCCTTGGCTTCACCCTCCACCTGCTCCCCGTCGCCGCTACTCCGATTAATACTCTCGCCAGGCGCGAGTCCTCAGAAGCTGTCCGCCTGCTTCAAATTACCTTGGTCTAACCCGTCCATCCTCCTCACTCGCTCGCACCCTGCCACATCCATCCCACACATACCCATATCCACTTCGCACTCCCTTCAAAACCTCTCGTCATACCGCTCAACATGGCCGACGTCGCAGTCAACCCCAACCAGCAGGTCCCGCTGGACACCATCCCCATCTCCCCGTCCGACAACTCTTCCGGCGAGCCACAGGGAGAATCCTCCGAGGGCGAGATTCGGACCGTCTTTCACGATGCCGATAACTTCAACGTGAAGCATCCCCTCATGAACACCTGGACCCTCTGGTTCACCAAGCCCCCAAGCGGCAAGGTATGCGCGCGCCACCAACACCCATGTGCCCCACTTGACAGCTGACTGACCTGCGCAGGGTGATAACTGGAATGAGCTGTTGAAAGAGGTCATCTCGTTCGATTCGGTCGAGGAGTTCTGGGGCATTTACGTACGTCTGCCAGTCCGCCTGCTTGTCCATCATGGCAATTGCTAATGTCGATCCAGAACAACATCACGCCCACATCCGACCTGGCGCTCAAGTCGGATTATCACCTCTTCAAGAGGGGCGTCCGGCCCGAGTGGGAGGATGCTCAGAACAAGCACGGCGGAAAGTGGGCTTTCCAGTTCAAAGACAAGAAGGTCATCAACATTGATGCGCTGTGGCTTCACGTGATGCTTGCAGCCATCGGCGAGAATCTTGAGGAGCAGGATGACAACGAGGTCATGGGCGTTGTTGTCAACGTTAGGCGAGGCTTCTATCGTATCGGCCTTTGGACCCGAACCGTTGGCAAGGCCCTTCCAAACGACCCCAACAAGGGCAGGACGTTCGAGCAAGGTAAAGAGACGTTGCAGAAGATCGGCAAGCGCTTCAAGGCAGCTCTTCAGCTCAAAGACAACGAGACGGTCGAGTTCTCTGGTCACACGGACGCTGCGCATGCAGGTAGCACTCGTGCGAAGGCCAAGTTCGTCGCGTAAGTCGGCGGCAGCAAGGTGACGGAAGACATTGATTCCCTTCTCTGCTTGCTTCACATTTCCGTCACATCAGACATGATAGACGGCCACTGGGAGAAAGGGTCGAAAAAGGAGCAAAACTAGGAAGAAGAACAAGGAAAAAAAAATCTCTTATGGGTACATGTTATCGGCTGGGTTCAGTCGGTAGGTTCTAGCATGGCGTCTGCATGGGCGGCATTGGGTTTATTGCAATTTGGTTCACGATGGAGGTGAAACGGGGATACCCCGAGTTAGTCAGTCAGTAGCGGGCTTGTGGTGAGCAACAGACTGTGTTATGTCTTGACGTGTTTGACAGCACGCGAATGCGAGGCAACAGAAATTGGGGTTAGACAGAGGTCCAAACTGGAATATCGATGCAGATTTGATTGTTTGCAAGCAGTGCTTGAGTAGCTGGCCATGCATGACATTGCGTGAGCGACGTGAGCGACGCGATGGATACATGTATGCTGTGCATATGAATGTAGCGCAGAGCGAGGGTACGTACCATTGATTGTCGCGAGGGAGCGAGCCGTCGTTCCGAAAGAGGCTTGGCGGGGGTGACGTCGTGTGGCGTGTGCGGCGGTGCAAAATTGCAGCGGTCTGGAGGTGGTGCTCTGCTTGCTGCTCCACACGAGAAGATTGGATCAACAATCGTCAGCGGCCTGCGCGTCCGTCCATCTACTGACTTACTTACTTCCTCTCCTTCTTCTTCCCATACCCCTCCCCCTCCCCCACCAGCTCTCGCTCTTCTTTCTCTTCTCCTCCCTTCCCCCGCCAGCAGCAGCAGCCATGGTTGTTGATACCGAATATTACGACGCCCTGCAGGTCCCGCCTACCGCTACCGAGCTGGAAATCAAAAAAGCATACCGCAAGCTTGCCATAAAACTCCACCCAGGTAGCCGCATACGTGTTGCCCCCAACCAAGTCTTCACACTCACACACACCTCCAGACAAGAACCCTGGCGACGAAACCGCGCATGCAAAATTCCAAGCTGTACGTATGGCTGCCTGCCTGCCCTTCAACCCGGCCAATACATGGAATGCGGGGCTCTTACACCAATGTAGATTGGCGAAGCATATCAGGTCCTCAGCGATGAGACCCTACGAAAGCAATACGACCAGTATGGCAAGGAGCGCGCTGTTCCTAGCAGTGGTTTTGGTAATCCCCTTCGCCGCCACCTCGCCGTCTATGACGCGTTTGCTTACATTCAGCAGAGGACCCCGCCGAATTCTTCACCTTGATCTTTGGAGGAGATGCTTTCGTAGACTGGTACGCTTCTCTGCCTCTGCGAATCCAGGAAGAGAAGCTAATTTTCAAACAGGATCGGCGAGATCTCGCTCATGAAGGATCTCACCAAGACCATGGAAATATCCATGCGCGAAATGGAGGAGCAGGAGGCCGCTGCTGCTGCTGAAGGCGAGACCGCCGCTGACACTGCTACCCCAAACGCAACAAGCCCTGCTGCTACTGCTACTGCCCCTGGTGCCGCAACCGCTGAACCCTCGAGCGCCGCAAAGGCAAAAGAAGCAGAAGCCGCTGCCGAAGCCACAAAAGCCCAAGAAGACGAAGCACCGCCTCCAGCCTATGTTGAAACTCCAGCAGAACCTTCCACCCAAACACCCCAAGCACCACCTCCACAGCCCAGCACCCCGGCGTCGGGAACAAGTACACCCCGTGGCATACCAATCCGAGCGGCCATCATGGACAAATCGGAGGAGGATGCGCGCTTGGAAGCAGCCGGTGTGACCGATGCTGAGAAAGAACTCAGAGGGAAACAGAAGAAGGGCGGTTTGACCAAGGAGCAGCGGGAAGAACTCGCCGCCTACGAGCTTGAGCGCAAACGCATAAGAGACGAGCGTGTCGAGACGTTAGCGAAGAAGCTCGTCGACCGCATCTCAATCTGGACCGAGACGGATAAGGGTGCCGACGTCACAGCCGCCTTCAAGGAAAAGACGCGCCTCGAGATTGAGAACCTGAAAATGGAGTCTTTCGGTCTCGAAATCATGCACGCAATCGGGCAAACCTACCTTTCCAAGGCCACATCCTTCATCAAGAGTCAAAAATTCCTTGGAATCTCCGGTTTCTTCTCGCGTGTCAAGGACAAGGGAACCTTGGTAAAGGAGACGTGGAATACCATGTCCGCCGCTATCGATGCACAGCTCACCATGGAAGAAATGGCAAAGCTGGAAGAGAAGGGTGGAGAGGATTGGACCGATGAGAAGAAGGCCGAGTACGAGAAGCGAGTCACCGGCAAAATTCTTGCCGCTGCGTGGAGAGGTAGCAAGTTTGAGATCCAGAGCGTGTTGAGGGACGTTTGTGACCATATACTCAACGACAAGAAGGTGAAGCTGGAGAAGAGGGTGGAAAGGGCACATGCTCTGGTCATCATGGGCGAGATGTTTCAGAAGGTATGTTATGCCATCTCACCCATTTTAAGAAATCTGTGCTGATAATTTCTCTTCTGTTTCATACAGGCCGAACGCGATCCTGAAGAAGAAGGTGACTTCATGGCATTTGAGCAGCTCATGGCCGAGGCCGCTGCGAAGAAGTCAGAAAAGAACGAAAAGCACACCGACAAGAAGAAGCACAAGGAGAAAGAAAAGGCTTGATCGGAGTAAGATGAGTTGAGGATAGAAAAACGAGGGGTTACTAGAAGTAGGAGGTTTGGGATCAGAAGGACAAGGAACCTTGGCAAGCGAATGACCGAGTTCTGGCTTCTGGTCCCTCTCGATCTCCTTTTGTTTCTTCCCGTCGTCTTTGGGTCGTTTTCTCTTGTTTCGGTTGGCTCCGTAGTTTCCACATCTATCCCCCCGCCGCCCCCCCTGTTTTGCTTATGTACGCTTTCCCCATCCCACCAATCACCCTCCCTTCTCCTGCAATAATTTTTGAATGATATCCATAGATGAGAGAAGAAGCGTCGTCAATGATAAAAAAAACCATGGAAAGAACATTTCGAGATGGTAATGTGTGAACTGCAAAATACGAAAGATTCTCAAGCAATATGCAGAATTGACCTTAGCTTGGGAGTGATTCACAAAGTGGGTGTTTCCTAATTCCTACTCCATTCTCCCAATCTTTTAGGTCTCCTACACACCATTTAGTGCGTTTTCTTTTCTAAGCAGCATGTTGCATTGTAATACCTTTTCCCCCTTTACATGTGACGAAACAGCCCCCTTTGATCTGCATAATACAATCACATGCAGACAGGTTTTCATAAGGTAAGAGGAATGAGAATGCTGTATCAGCAAGTAAAATTTTCAGTATGCCAAAAGGTTGGCTGCCTGGTCACAACTTTTAGATTCACCCTACAGAGTTCGATAGTGGCTAACGAACGAAGAGAGGCAGGAATAAAGGGGGGACAGACGAGGATAGCGAAAATGAAAGACGATAAAAGACGGGGTATGAGGTTGAGAGTAAAATGAAAGAGGATAAGAAGTTCAAAGTCAATCGACCAGCAGTTTTGCACTCTTTCCTTTGGAAAAGAAATGAAGACCCAAAAAACCCTTGTCTGCCGTACTCGGTCCTACCCAGCTAGATATGGAATTTGCCAAATAAACATACTCCCGTTAACTAGAATAAAGGAGAGAGATAAAGAAGCCTATTTCTAGGCCAATGAGAGCGAGACCTTGCTCGCTCCGCTTAATCTCCACTTTGCATCCCCGAATACCATATTTTCTGTCGCAGTGATTGGCATTCAACGCCCGCCGGGCATGAGCGCAATCATCTCTTTCTCTTCTTCGGCTTCTCCTCTTCATCAGCCAATCCACTCTCCCTATCCTTTCGAGCCGCCTTCTTTTCCAACTCATCCCAATCCTCGCCCTCGGAGAAGTCCTCCTCCGAGCCTTCGTCAGACATATCGTCTGACGCGTTCTCGTCAAAGTCGCTTCCTTCTTCGGAGCTCTCGTCTGAGATGGCGAGTTCTGATTCCGACACCTCGAACGCACTCTCCTCGTCATCCTCGTCGTTTTCTTCATCGTCCGACTCCGTGGACAGGAAATTCCAGCCACCCTCAGCGAAAAAGGCGTGGGGATCCGCAATAACGGTCTTCATGATGGTTGCCCACTGGAGATTGAGCGGGCCTTCGGTGAAAGGAATATCAACTGAGTCGAGCCAATCCTTGACTGGGTCGAGTGACTCCACGGGGATGGTGTTGATGTGGACTGGTGGACGGTTGTAATCTTTAAAGACAATGACCATGTCGAAGTTGCGGAGACCGAACTGTACGCGTTCAAGATGTACGATTTCGATCTCGGAGAGGGTTATGCAGGTGAAGGGAGCCTCAGTGAGTTGCACGAGACAGTCTGTTGTGGGGCATACGAGAACTGAAGAGCGAGAGGGGACACCATTAAAGCCCAGTTCCCTGTATGGAATATCAACGCTGACGTTCTCGTTGCGCGCAGCATCTGCAATCTTTTCCGCAAAGTTCTTGAATTCCTTGTCAAGCGCCGCGCGACGCCTTCGCTCCTCCTGTTCTTGCTCGAATTCCTCCTCATCGCCATACTTGTGACGGCGCTTCCTGTTACCGGTCTCATCGTATTGCATATCGGTAGCTTCCCTAACGAACTGAATATCTTTTGTCTTCTTTTTACCCAACATGATAGGGTTCTTGAGGTGTACGTGGATGATAACAATGAGCTCATGTTGTGAAGGCTGGAAGAACAGGTGCTTCATATTGCTGAAAAGCACATCAACTTTGATACCACCCCCACCGTGTATGTAACGCAGACCGTTTTGGTGGATCTCGAGGCCTCCCGCGATGCGTTTACCGTCAAGGGCGGGACGAATGAACACCATGTCCAATGTGAAGGGCTTGCGGTCTAATTTTGTGAGTCACCGAGTCATTCAATCTTAGGGATTCCACTTACTCTTGATGGGAATGAGCTTGTCTTGCTCAACAACGTCTTCCATGACCTTCTTCTCTTGTTCGCGCCGGACAACATCCTTCTTGAGGTCGGTGATGTCTTTAGTAATTCGTTCGATACGGTCGACATCGTGTGAGCGGAAAGTCAAACTTCGAATGAAATGTGCGTTCGGGTCTTCAAATGGCTGCTGATCGTCTTTCCTACCAACACCCTGTCCTGGTGATAGGAAGTTGATGCGGAGCGAGGTGAAATCGGCTTCAGGGGTATGGGATGCATTTTTGATGGTGTGTATGTGGAAGGGCACCGGTCGCCCCATAATGGGAAGGATCACGGTGAGATTCTTCTTGTCCACGGAGACCTCCAGATTGCGCATGACTGGTAGTTGATTGTCTCGCTTGTAAGATTCGAAACGCTTGAATTTCCTCTCTTCCGTGCCGTTGAGTGCCTTTGCGCCCTCGCCGTATTGCTCTAGACCTTCCTTCTGCTTTTTGGCGTGTAATTCTTTTTGATGCTCACGTCGTTGCGCTTCCTTCTCGGCATCCTGGTTGGTCGGACGTTCATGGCGGGTTCGGGTTTTTGTGATGTTGGTCTGAGCGATGGCTGGACGCTCACGCTCACGTTTGGGCTTCGTCTCTTCCTCCGACTCATCGAAGAAGAACGAGATAGAGTCGAGGTCTGAAGGTGTGTCTTTCGTGAAGACTGCACAGTCCGTGAGACTGACCCGGACAGTATCAACCAGAATGAGGGAGTATGTCTTGCTCTTCTTGTCTTGGGGCTTGTCGTTGACAAGATCTTGGAAGCTGGTGCTGATCACCAACGTCATGCCGTCTTTTAGTTGACGCCTGTTCTTAGCGCTGAGAAGGAGGGTTGCATCTTTGTTTTCAGTGCCAATGCTATAGCCCACACTCTTAGGGAAGTGTTTCTCCAACTCAGGCTTCTTCTTCTTTATGTAATCCAAAGCTGCATTGTAGACCTCAGAAGAGGAGATACCGTCCTTGATTTTCTTGATGATCAGATCATGGACTGAGAGCAAGAATTTATATGTAGCTTCCTGGTTCTTCACCGGTTGTACCATGTATGTCCGGGCAACCATGGCACCGTATGTCTGATAGCGCAAGCCAAGCGCCGAGATGATGACGCCGGCATGTAGATTGTTGTCGTCAGGTTCCGACATAAACCTAAGATCGTATGTTCCGCCACTTTGTACTGTCGGCTGCAGCGCCCAATCAAGCTGCAGACTGTCGAAATTCTTGGACAACTTCTGCTTCTCGAAAAATTTCTGGTCATCGATCTTGTTGGCAACCTTGTCGGCAAAGGTTTTGTGGGAGATCTTCTTCTCGCCATCGAGGATTTCGGACATCTCTTCGACGAAGTAATTAGTCATGAGAGCGCTGGAAGCGCGCGACGCATCTCTGATGGTACGCTGCTACTGTTTAGCCGACACTCGCGATTCCATCCAGACCGAAGAACTCACCAGCTCCTTCTCGTCCTTGATGGACAAAGCCGCCTGGGAGAGCACAGGGCCCAGCTCGACCTGGTCCTCGTCCTTGAAGCCGGCGTCCGTCAAGGCAGCTTTCCACTCATCAGCGAATGCACCAGTTGCATTGTCCTTTTTCAGCACGGCAGTCTTTTTGCCAGCCTTCTTCATTGTTTCGATGCAGTTTTGGAATTGCTTCTTGTTCTCCTCGGCATCTTTGCCACGTACGAGGATCTCAACGGGAACCTTGCCGCCTTTCAAAGGTTCCAGGTATGAAGCTGCGCGACACAAATTAGCTTTGCCCTCCCATTCCGTACTTGCTGCTGCCTGGAACACGCACCCTTCTTTTTGGTTGTGACGATTTGGAACAAGTCGGGAGTGATGACAAACAGTGTCGCGGGGAACTCGTAGCCTAGAAGCCATAGCTGCGCAAACCGTCCGTCAGTCCAAGTGAATTGTGATAATTCCGATATTGGGGGGAAATTGTACCTGGAAAGCTGCAGGCTTCAAATAACTCCCTGGGTCGCTGGCTTTTCCCACGACTGTTGCGATTGAGTCAGCGCCTTGGAAGATGGAGTTGGTGGAACGCTTGTCGGCCCTCCATTTGGCAATGAAGCTGGAAAGGCGCTCGTGGAAAAGGGTTTTGTCGATGACGATATCGTCGGCCATGGCGAAGGCAGGCGAGCTATCGAGGCCGAGAGGAGTCGACGGCGGCCGTGGAGGGTTGGTGGAGGATGGTGGAGGAGAGAGAGAGCCGATGTAGAAAAGTCGCGAGGTCAAGTAGGGCAGGGTAAGAGAGGTTGCGTGACGCGCCATCGCGTTTGTCATCACGTGACGGACTAGCGCGACCGGGCTGCCCATTTACTTTCAACGGCCAGCCAGCAGCATCAATCAATCAATCAATCATCCAGCATTGCAAGTGAGAGGACTGGGTATTCGCGTCTGTAGAGATGATAATCACCCCGGTCGTGAATTAGTGTCATGCATACATACGTACAAATGATGCATCTTCTTTTCAAGTTATACTGATTCGGTTCGTTGCTATGTGCCTACATATACTCTTTTTCCAAGACATTCATTCATCCGCCTTCATCAGCCTGCCACTGACCGGTGACTAGCTCCACGTGCAACCACATCCCTTGATACCTACATACACACATCATACATTCATCTCAGCTCTCGGTATATGTATATACACACATATAGAAGCTCATCAGCAGTCCCCGCACGTTCCTAGATGCATCTGCGGTCTCCATCTCGCCCGTACGATATGCGATGACGGCCAGCTCCAGTGTTCGCGCTGGAGCTTCTCCACGCAACCCAGACGCCGCAAACGATGGCCAGGCTCCACCGAATAAAGCGCCCGCAACCGGTGTACAGGCAGCTGGTATGCGTGCAGTCGCTGCTCGCATGGTGGCTTTTTACTTCAGAGCACCCGTCAAAGCTTTTTTCCGTGGACGCATCGACTACATGGGCTATGCGAGAGCCATCAACCCTCATTTTCAAGAAACAGCAAAGTGGTCTTGGAGAATGACCACACCTGCTGTGCTGGCCCATGCAGTCAGGACCGAGGGCTGGAGCTTCATTCCGAACCAAGTGATGCCGCCCCTTTTGGCCAACACCATGTGCGTTTTCCCTGCAATCTGTACCAAAGACTCACTGACGCGGTTCCCCACAGTATCGGCGCCGTCTTATACACGGCCTACCTCCATAGTCTTTCCAATCTTCATGTCCCTTCGTCTTATCAAACCAAGCGCATATATCCCCCTCCCCCTCCCTCCACCACCTTCACTGCCGGTCTGGTCGCCGGCGCTTTTCAGTCCACCATCGCCGCACCTTTCGACGCCTTGCAAGTTCGCTTCCGTACCTCGGACCTTCTCGATGGCAAATACAAAACCATGTGGCACTACGCCGGCCATAAGCTGCACTCTATTGGCTTGCGAGGCATTTTCGCCGGCTTCTCGTTGAGCCTTGTCAAAGACTCGGTGGGCGCCGCTCTTTTCTTCAGCACTTTTGAAACCATCAAGAGCCAGGGTTATTATGAATTCATAACACATTACTATGGAAGTCGCACGCGCGAGTCCCTGGTGGAGGCTAAAGCGTTGTATCATGACGAGGGCGATGGGCGTCCTGTCATTAGGCCAAACTACCTGATAGAACCCATGTTTCTGCTACTTGCTGGCCTCTCGGCTGCAGTCACATCGCAAGCCATCCAACATCCGCTTACAGAATTGCAAGACGTACATTACCGCCGGCTCGAAGCACTTGATTTTCAGGCCCATCTAGCCAGCAAGCCCTCGCGCATCATGAGCCGCTATTACCACGCATACGAGGAGACGTTTCGGCAGTGTAAAAAGCTAGCCAAGCATCAAGGGGGCTGGCGCAAATATCTATATCGCAATTTCTGGATGAGCACCATACGACAGATGCCCAGCACCAGCGCTGGCCTGATCGTGTTTGAGATTGTGCGACGAAAGTATGCTTTCGAGACCGAGGAGGTTATGATTAGTCGCGAGGGCGCGCATATATTGCTGACCTGAGTAAGGAGAAAGAGATGGGGGTTTATGTTACCTTCTACCCATGATACCCCACTACACAGAGGATAGTCTCACTGTAACATTAGTACTGCACATAGAACCGCATCCGATGCATATAGACGAAACGCTCGAATAGCAAATGCCCGCTCTTTCAAATTAATCATTTTGCACATCTTTATCAAACTATCCGCACATGCTACGCTCATCACGATTGCTTTTCAAAGCAGATGTCCTATCCGGGAAACAAATGACCTGACCACTAATTTTCGGTCAAGAAATCAGTACATGCACATATACATGGATGCGGTTGCGCAGAATCCAAAGTCCTTTGGTTTTTGAACTAGTATTGGGGCTTGTTCACTTGCTACTGTAGAAAATGCGAATTCCAACACCAATGAGACTGGTCGTACAAAAAACAAAAAAGACGCTGAACGAAGACTATATAACTGCACCCGAATAGAAGTGAGCAAATTGAGACTTGAACGACAGCAAAACAAGTCGCAGATTTCAAAAGTCCATTTCCGCTTTCAATCACTTTACTTTGACGACTGCGCAACCCTTTCCTCCCCCTTCTCTCTTAACCATCCACTAAGAACCTTGAACTCCCATCCAAACGCGCCCTCGCAGAACCCCCACAGGGCTGGTATCATGAACAGCATTCCGATTAGAATGTGCACCCATTTTCTGGCCTTCACTTTGTCGCGATGGGCCTCGTTTTCCCAGGGCGGTGATGTTATTGTTGGAGGTTGGGTTGGGCGGGAAGATGATGGCATTTCCGTCGTGGTGGTGGTTGGTTTGTTGGCTTTTGTGATTTTGAAGGTAGGGTCCGGTTGGGAAGATGGAAATGTGGATGGAAATGGTGGTGACGAGGACGAGGATCTCGAAGAGGGGGATGGGGTTGAAGATGTGGATAAGGAAGATTGAGAGGTTTCCACAATGGTTTCCTGCAGTGTTGGTTCAGGTGCGATACCGAAGACTGTTGTTTCCCGCGCCGTATGTGGGTCATCTATGGTTTTTGACAAGTCACTGTTCGTTGTGGGTTTAGGTTCTTGCGTGCTACTCTCCTCATGTTCCTCCTCTTCACCGTTGTGCCGCTTAGGGAGGGAGAGATGGGCTCGCGATAACTTTGTTTTTGTAGTCTCGAAAGTGGATCGTCGTTGTATCCATGCGATGCCGGCCTCGTCGTCCTCTGCTTCTTCGCTTTGCTCTTTCTCGCCATCATTATTCTCCGCGGATGTCGTAGACTCAGGGCTGGGTTGCTGAGACTCCTTCGCCTCCTTTGTGGGGGAGGGAAAAGTAAAAGACACCGTATCCATGTTCTCTAGCTTGTCTTTCCCCCCGGATGTAGTAGGTACGGCAATTGCTTCTTCTGTTGTGTTTCCAGCACTTTTACTCGTTGATGAAGGTTCTGTACTAGAAACTTCTTGGGTGGTAGCAGTTTCTTGAGTGACTTCTGCGCTGCTTTTCTCTTGCTTGCTGCTCTGATCGCCAACTGTAGGACTAGCTGATGCACTTGGTGGTGCCGATGCTGTAGGATCTTTAGGAGTGGATTTACTCGGCGTCTCTGAGTTTTCTGCACTGCTTTCTTTCTGATCGCTCGCCGTTGTAGTCGCCGTTGTACTCATAGGCGTTGATGGATCTATGGAAGTCGACTTTGTCGGCATTTCTGAGTCTATCGTACTGCTCGATTTTGATCGCGTCACGGTGCTTGTTGGCGCTGATTTACCGCCACTGGAAGTACCCGTTGGTGCATCTGAGTCCACCTTGCTGCTACTTTTCTCTACAAATGGGGATGAAAAGTCAGCACAGTTCAGCTGAACAGGTCTCAAGTTGTGATCAGTATCTAGGGATGTCGCGAAGTTGTGTTCAGGGATGTAATAATCACGCCAATGAAATATACGTACCTGCTGGTTCTGATGAGTTCTCACTAGCAGTACTATTCGGTAGCTCTGCACTGGTCGGATCAATCCCACCATCTCCCTTCTTATCGCTCGTAGGAGCAGGAGTTTCAGCTGCTATCGGTGTGCTCACTCTAGAAAACGTAGCGCTTGGTGTCTCATTTTTGGGTGCCGGTACAGGTGTGCCAGTCTTGATTTGGTCGCAGAAATTCTTCGCGTCGCTTTCAAAGACAGGGATTTTGGCATCGTAACCGTTGATAACCACCATCAACTCCCAGTAACCTTGTTCGCGAGCTTGCTCGGATACATCATGTAGATCTCGCCGGTGAACAGTGTTTTCGGTGTTGTAAATCGTTTTTGATATAGTGGATGTTGGATTTCCATATGCGATTTGGGATGGACCGGCATTTGCTTTAGCTAGAACCACGCTTCCAGAAGCGATGATGAAAGCAAGGAGCCGATACCTCATTTTGTCGATGCTATAAATTCTTAGGGAGTCAGCGAGCAATAGACGTTCATGAGCAATATAAAAAGCTGTCATAAATATAAATGTGATTTGCTAACTTCAATTATCTCTTCCCGCGCCCTTCAAGTGAAGCCACAAAGAGAATGCATAGACGTGCGGTTTTCTAGCTGCTACACACTATGAATGACATGAAGAAATTGAAATAAACGAATGAGAGTACTGCTACACACAAGTGAGTCCCGAGACCTAATCTGAACCCGACATGTGATTTAATAGTCCTGTCCTACGACCGAGGTTAATTAAGTAAGAAGCTCAAAAATCCAACATTTCAGCGAGTGTTGGAAGTGGCCGGCGTATTGTCCGCGTGATCGTACCCAGAAACTGCGTGGCTACTGATGTAACACGAACAGTTGTCGTGGGTTCGGGCCTGTGCCGGCCGTAAGCTTGAAGTCAAACCAGATTCCATTGGAAAACTCACTGTGAAGTCTTGTGTTTCAAGGTTTTGGTGACGTACAAGGTGGATATTGGCGCTCGAATACTGTTTCCAGTTCTTGTGAATAATTTCCTGCTCTTACTCGTGCTCTCAGTTTCGATCTCGCTTTGTAGCACGAGTGTGGTAGATAGATCAATAGTCTCAATCGTGTCTGTGACTTTGATCTTCATAGTCTCCACAAGAAGCGTTCCCGGCCCACTGACAGTCGTGGTGAGCTGCACATCGTGCGTTGACGTCGTGGTCTTCGTGATGATCAGAACTTCCCACACTTCTTGATAGCGAGTGCACTCCATTTCGTCATTCTCGAGGACTTTGCAAACTTTCATGTCGACATTTGACGGTGTGTCTCCAGCCGTGAGTGATTGCCATGGCGCAACCCAGTAAGTCGACATCATCCTAACGGTCGGTGCTGCAGTGATCATTGAATTGTTATAAGCAGTCGTTGTGGGCGTTGAAGTTGGTGTCTCCAGTGTGAATCCACATTCACTTGAAAATGTAACTTCTTGATCACATTCCGAGACGGTAATTTTTGTAGCGATGCCTGTCAAAGTTGTCGCGCAGACAGTGGTGGTCGTTGGCACGTAGACGGTCTCACAGTGTCCTGTACCTCCAGTCAAAGTCTCATACTTGGTGGATTGGTTGGTGGAAGGCGTGTCTGAGAGGGGTCTCAAGCCGATGGGTGGGCCGACACACCATGTCATTTCAGGGATGAAGGACGTGACAGTTTGACTTTGTGCTGTGATATCCGTTGGTGAAGCATTCGGAGAGGGAAAAAAAGTGCCGAGCACCGTTGACGATGAATTTGGGGCTGCAAACTGTGGCGGATTGAAGGGGAGATGGTCTACTTGATGCACAGACGCATCCACTGCTTCGTGTCGGAAGCCATTATGCCTTGCAGACACCACTTGAAACCTGGAGATTGCCACGAGAATCGAGAAACTTTGGAGAAATATGGTCATGTTGGAAGAAGCGATGGGAAGTCTGTCGAAGGATGAGATTGAACTTGCTCGAACATGAAGAGTTGGTGTTGTGGTTCCTACTGGAATGCATGGTCGCCCTTGCTTCATACACCATCGTTACTGCGTCAATCAGCGAACATATACATATAGAAGAACACCACTACCCAGTGAAATGCAAGCCGAGAGGAACCATGCTATCCCAAATACACACATCTTAGCATAGCATTTGATGCTCGCAGCAACAGGCAGTTGAATTATTTAGAGAATGTATGGCGCGTGGTTGTCTGTTCCAATTGGGCTTAGCTGGACCAGAATACCATCCGAGTTGGATATGTATCCGGATACTTCTTTTCCGAGAGGCTTCATTCCCACTCCCTTGCCGAACCATCGATCTGCATTCAGTTCTCCACCAGCCAGGCTGCACGACAGACGCCTCAACAGTGTTCAATGTGCTTCCGGCAGAAATATTTACCGGTCACCATTGAGAGGGCACCCGAGCCCACTTGCCGTCCAAACCAGCACTTAGCGCGCGTATTAGCAACCTGCCCCCAGATAAACCCCTCAGTTTGCTCCGACCATCGCCATGCAAACAAGACCATGTCACAGAGCAACAACCATCGGATTTCAATTGATATACCGACGCAACATGTCTTCCCATTCGCCCATCAAAGTCGCTATCCTGGATGACTACCATAACATAGCAGCAAAACATTTCTCGAGTGTTGACCCTTCCAAAGTTTCCCTAACCACATTCAACGACACTTTACCAGCATACACGCATCCCAAGACCAGTGATGCAGACCGCCAATTGCTCGTCGAGAGGCTGAAACCATTCAGCGTGCTCTCCACGATGCGCGAGCGGACGCCGTTTCCAGGGGAACTACTCCGCCAGCTGCCCAATCTAAAGATGATCCTGGCAACGGGAACTCAATTTGAAACATTCGACCTGAAAACAGCAAAGGAGCTAGGTATCTCAGTTTGCGCTGCGCCGGGCAAGGGGCGGACCGATGGCAGGGGGAGCGGGCTGTCTGCTCGTACGAGGATCGATATTAAAAAAGGTGGCGGCCATCCAACTACTCAGCATGCTTGGGCTCTTATCCTCGCGCTGGCACGAAATGTGGCTGTCGATGACGCCGTCATCAAGGGCAAAGGGGTGGCTAGTGCATGGCAGACAGAGCTCGCCATTGGTCTACAAGGGAAGACGTTGGGCCTGGTTGGCTTTGGGCGCATTGGAGCTCTCGTAGCCAGAGTAGGACTGTTGGCCTGGGGCATGAAGGTTGTGTGTTGGAGTGCAAACTTGACACAAGAAAAAGCTGATCAGCTAGCCCAAGACGTGGGTTTGCCTGTCACAGGTGGCGGCATCGCAGACGAGGACGAGAAGACATTCCGAGTGGTCAGCAAAGAAGAACTCTTCAAAACATCCGATGTCCTAAGCTTGCACTACGTATTGAGTGCAAGATCGCGGGGAATTGTTGGGGAGCAAGAGCTGAAGTGGATGAAACCATCGGCGTTCTTGATCAATACCTCGAGAGGACCCTTGATTGACGAAGCTGCTCTATTGAAAACCCTCCAAAATGGACGTATAGGAGGTGCTGCACTGGATGTTTTCGACATTGAACCCTTACCCGCCGATAGCCCCTGGAGGTCTGGAGATTGGGACGTCCCGGGAAAGAGTAGGGTGCTTTTGACGCCTCATATGGGATATGTAGAGGAGGAGACTCTAAGAATTTGGTATGAAGAAACGGCGGAAAATCTGGAAAGATATGTCCAAGGAAACGATATGCTGCATAGCCTTACATGAACCACCCTATACGTAGCACTAAGCTACAAGGTAGCACTCTATGGACATCCATGTATGTAGAATCATGCATTCCCTTGACTGCTTGATTCAACGACTTGGTCGCGTATACGGTATACTTGTTATCGTTCATCAGTAGCTGATAGCAGAATTGACGATGTTCTGAACTAACGACTCAAAATGAATTTGTTTTGGATGCTCGGATAGGAGCAACGGCAGTCGGTATAAGCTCCCGATGACAAACATGGACTAATCACAAATCAGGCGACCACACGCCACGAAACCGGACGCCTACCTTGATGTGTAACTCCAATGACTAGTAGGTTATAATGCTAATAGCGAAAGCTATATCACCTTGTCCCTTCTTCGTACTCTCACTCCGTCAAATGCATGGCTACGCATGATCTGGACTGCAAGTGTGCCTAGGTACTTTGGTGGCTATCTCTATACCCGCATCATCACAAACTCGTGCTTTGTACCAACGTGATATAGTCGCCAAAGAAATGAGATTGCGTGGACGTTAGTGGACAGACACTACTGGGTAACCGGGAGCTGACGTCAATTGGGGAACCCCTACCTTCGTTGCCGCGTCCAATTCAAGTCATGTTTGGAAATTCCCCAGAAACAGTGCTTTGATACTAGCGATCGACACTGGAATTTCAGCATGGATGTTATCGTATTCATCAGTTGGATGGATACACCGAAAGATGGGCATTCCTTGATTGTTTCCTGGCTGTTGGAATAGTTCTTGCTCCCAGCCATGATGATAAGAGATTGGAAGCGATCAAGTACCAGGTACGCGGTTGGAAGGAGATGGTGGGCAAAAGGACTATTCGAAGTGGGAGGTGAGGAGCAACAAGCTCGTCTGCCAAGGTACCCCGGTAGAATGCCACGGACCCCTTGCACTTCCATCCCGCCCTCCTGGCTACCAATGCTTACTGTCGTGTGCGTCTGACAGTATGGTGCCATGTTTACACAAGTCGAAACGGCGGCGGGTCAAACGGCGGCTCCAGCCACGTGAGACTTTGCCCTTTCCCGTTGATGGTGTACCGGGAAGATTCTTGACAGGTCTGGTGTGGGTAGTCTACACTTTTCCAAAACACAGAAAGACGTGGTGGCGCAAGCTCTGAACGTTTGTCTAGGCAATGGTTTGTGATCTGTCACGTACAGTAGTCTCTCGGTTATGTTGGCCATGGTGTTGATAGTCGTCACTAGTGCACGCCTAGTGGAATATTCCGAGACGTGCTGCTCGCCGGGCTCGTCCGGTCGCTGCCAAAGTACGAGATGCCCTCTGCGTTATCCCGGAATGGAATCGTGCCATGGCGATGATTCGCGCTGTATCAGCGACTAACGATGGTTGTATTTGCAACAGATGGGTCGAGGAGTCAAGAACGGGGGTAGAAGACACTACCAGCTTAGCGATGCCGCGGCATGAACGGCGAAAAGTACTACAAGTAGACGAGAGTGATTACGAGAGTCAGGACACTTGCCCTTTCGGTGACTTGCCCGAGACTGGGTACCTATGCACCGAGCAAATGAGCCACTGTAGGGAAAAGACACGGGTGAACAGGGCAAAACTGTCGGAGCCATTGCAATGGCCACAACACTGACCACTCACCACCTGCTCCCCATACGCACCCGGAAGATTACCCATCACGTGAAAGTCTCTTGGCAGGGTCAAGGGGAGGGAAAGATAATTGTGGGAAGGTCTCAAGGACCAGGCATGCAGTCACTCGCATTCTGGTCACCCTTCACCTGCATCAAAAGCATGAGCCGAAGTGGCCACAAAACGATGGCGTCCGCGGAAGACGAGGAAGACAAACGCGGGAAGAGCCATTGCAAAGTGAGACTGCATCTCCGCTTCTTGATTCCAGACTATGGAATTTCTAAACAGCCGGTCTAGTTGACGAATCCAGGCTTTTTGAAGAGAATGTCGTTCTTGTCCCCCCCATGAATGATGGCCTTAAAAGTGCCCATCTGGGCCGTTCACCGTGCGTCGCTAGCTATACTATACCATGTCTGATACATGCCCCTCCTGCAACGGCGGCAGTCTACACTACATGGTCATGATTGCTCCATGGCTCAAAGGACGCAGCGGGTCGAATATCGAGTCCAAGCGCTGAACGCACATGAACCTGGCCCAGCTCCCTATTAGCACGTGGCGATGATACCGTTTTAAGATCCAGGTACCGTTTCCGGTTGCTTGCTGCTGTTTGCCTATCCCCACCCAATTAAGCACTCCATCCAAGGCATTATGCGCATACCCCTACAGTCGCCCATGGATATATTCAAAAGCATCAACCCTGCCCGCCACACTGGGCCTTTCTCTTGATCTCGTTCCCTTCACCACACCACTTGTTGTCAGTGAACGATCGCCCAAGGGCAGGATGGCCTCCCATGAGATCCCAAACCGAGGGCCGGAGCTGGTCGTCGTCAATTACTCATTCATGGCGGTCGCTGTGACTGCCTTCTTACTCAGAGGCTATGTCCGTGTCGGGATGGTAAAGGCATTTGGAAGAGACGACATCCTGATGGGAATCTCGCTTGTCCGTTCTCCTTCTCCCATGTGTTCAACTCGAATCATTTACTGACTTTCTACAGCTGTTCTTTCTTGCGTATGGTGTTTCCTCGCTGATTGGCGTTCGCCACGGCACTGGCAGGCACCATGTAAGTCACACTTCCCGCAAGCTTTGTCGAAAGGCACTTGCATCTCAATTGTATCATGCTGACTAGCTTTGCTCTTCAGGCCGATCTTTCAGACGACGAGATTCTTCATGCAAGACGTAATTGGTGGTTCTGCTATCTGTTCTACAGTTGTTCCACGATATGTTCCAAAATCTCCATCGGATTCTTCCTTTTACGAATCGCCGTACGCAAAATCCACACCTGGGTCATCTACGGGGCCATGATGGTATCCGTTCTCTGCGGTGCCGCGTTCTTCTTTGTCACCATGTTTCAATGCAATCCGGTCAGCTTCTTCTGGACCAAGCACATTGAAGGAATCGAGGGAACATGCGTCAACATGTCCGTTGTCATAGGTCTCGCGTACCTTTACAGTTCACTTGCTATCCTTTCCGATTTTACCTTTGCGTTGCTTCCCGCTCTACTGGTCATGAACCTGCAGTTAGCACGCAAGACCAAATACGCGCTTGTCCCGCTCTTGACCATGGGCTGCGTTGCAAGTGCAGCTGTTGTTGCACGCCTGCCCTACCTTCAAAGAATTGATTCGCCCGACTTCCTATGTAAGTACCTCTCTATTCGTCTTCGTTGTCTTATCTGTGCAACAGTTCGATTGAGGGGAGCACCTACTGACTACGAGTAACAATAGGGGCAACACTTGACATCGCTATCTGGTCCACCGTTGAACAAGGCCTCGCCATCATCGCCGGTTCCTTGGCCACATGCCGCCCTCTTTTCGCCATCGCTCTATTCAAACTAGGCCTAGGCTCCTACCCAACCAAGCACCAAACCCCCATATTCGGCGGAACATCGACGACTGCCAACCGCATCGTTGGCGGGCACCGCGCCAATCAACCGTCGGGCCAATTGGACATGTACCGACTCCCATCCCGCGGACAAGACGAAGAATCAGCATCAATAGATTCCCTCTCCGCAAAAGAGGCGCCCGAACTCCCGCGCAGCCCGAATTGGTACCAAACACAGTTCGACAAAGTCAAGAGAGGAAGTTTAGCGAAGCCACCAAAGGAAGCTAAACCTGGCAACCCGGTCACGATTCGTGAGACCAGCAGCGAGGAGAGCTTGCGTGGATTGCACCACGAGAAGAACAAGGCGAGGGAGGAGAGTCTAGATGAGGAGAGAGGAATGCAGATTATGGTTTCGAGGAGCTTTTTTGTCACGGACGCGGAACGCGCGAGTTATGCCCCGCAAGATGGGGCAAAGTGAAGTGGAGGGATCCAGCAAACCATGTCCCTTGTGAAAAGGGGATATGACGACCAAAGAAGAAGAACAATCAAGAAAATGAACATCCGATATTTGACGCAACTCGTCAATGTCATGTACCATGCTTTTCAAAGGCATGTTGAAACAAGACTATCAACACCTCGCCATGTGGGGCTGAGCATGTCACTCGTACACACACGGAGGGGTTTTCCTTTGTCAAAAACGGGGGCTAAGAGGATGCCCATATCATCGTACCGAACGAACTAGCAACACTTGGAAACGGTTGCCCCTAGTATCCTCGGGTAGCGATCTTTCTAAGCGATGTCGTGACGTCGTGGACACAGCACTACGCTTCAAGGCAGAGAGAGAGAGAGGGCGCCTGATTTGAAGACGTTTCGACACATCCGCTGCGGTGAAGTCACACAGACTCCATTCCGTATGATGAAATACATGACTACTACTTCACTTTTTTTTTCAATCAAGAAATACCCCACTGTATATAGTTAATCTTTAATAAAGAGATCAAAAGTCAATGAATGTGTCACAATCGCCGTATCATAACATTGATATATCCCCCGCTTTGAACGCTTCGCAAGGGTACAAGCTAGCTAGAGGCAGCATGAACAGTCGTTACAGCTTGAGTCGGTGATTGTCGGAGGCGCCGCACACGTTTGCGTCGGCACATAGGGTATTGTTGCCGTCGGAGGATCTTCACCTTTGAGCGTCGTGACTTTGACCAGAACAGGTATCGCCGCACCCGTGCTCAAACGAAACTCGCGATGTCCAAGCACTGCATATCACTGTTAGTTCTGACCGTATATCTTCGCGGCATCTGCCTGACGTTTGCCGTCTCCCGGGGAAAAGGGAAGGCGCAAAAAAACAACATACCTCTCAGTAGACTGGCGATTTCACCCGAATGCGACGTGACTGAAATATACGTGTTCTTGTCAGTGCTGAAGACGTCGTCCAGCACAATCTTGGACCGTCTATCTTGCTCTTCTCTCACCTCGCCAAACATGTCGGTCCACAGCGGATCCTCCTCGGCAAACCCCTTCTCAAACCGATACGTGGGGAACTGACTGGCAATAAAAGTCTTGCTGGAACGGCGGTTGCAAGTATGTGCGGTAATGCCTTCCCTGAAAAACTCCTTGACGGTAGGAACAAAGGGATTCTTACGGGGCAACGGCAGATTGGCAAAAGTGAGCTTGGCGGTATCCAGGCAACGGTACAGCGGGGACGTGTAGTAGGATTCCGGAGCTTCAATCTTCTCGGCCGTGAGCAGGGTGTTCCAGAAACGGTTCACGACGTCTGTCTGCGTGACACCGGCGGAGGTGAGGTGGGCGTCGGCCCAGGTCACGGTGCCGTTGCCCTCGCGCTCGGCCCAGTAGCAGTTCCAGGCAGGGGTCCCAAAATACGACTCGGCGGCATTGTGGTAGCCCTCACCGTGACGGCCAAGGAAGAGGAGGGCATATCGTTCGTTGTTCTTCTTTGTTTTGGGATCGTGGTTGAGGGTTTTGATGTAGTGGTTGAGCTTCTGCCATTGCGTGGCCTTGGTTTTGTCCGGGCAGGAGGAGTCGGAAGGGTAGTCCCGGTTGATCAATCCAAAGTTGGAGGCTGTGAAGTTGAAGGTCGAGGGGTCGGTTGCTGGGTCATCTTGTTGGAAGACTCCGGTCACGACGGTGTAGTCGATGGATGTCTTTGGGTGGTGGTTTGGCGTGGCCCATACTGGCGCGGCCGCTAATGAAAGCGCACTGGCGATGATTGGATAGGAGCGCATGACTGTTCTGAACACCAGTGGATTCCAATATCTCCACCACTGCAATAACGGTATGAATTGATTGATGCAAGGCGCGCAGTACACGGGCAGTGGTGAAGACGATATCCAGGTTGCTGGGATTGAATTTATACATTCATCATCCATCTTGTTCCACATCATCTCATTTCGTGTGGCAAAACTTGCCATGGTGTTGGGAGCCAATCGCTGGGGAACGTGTTGGATACCCGGCCCAAATCAGGCAGGTCTCTTGGGCTTGGAGCAACAAAACCTCTGCGCCGAGATGGGAATCACATACACAGCACAACACCAACCCCCAAGAGCAACGCGATAGTTCCATGCCAACCCAATTCTGGACCCACACAAAGCATCTACGCCGGAGACCCACTCTCCCTTTCCTTTTCGCCGGCTTCCATCTCTTCGATTGGCTTCATCCACCTTCTGAAGACTATCGTACAAAGACTGCCGATGCCCACCTGAAAGACCTGGAAGATGATGGCTGGAATTTGCAACTTCGATAGTTCAATCGGACTGATGTCGATGTACATGACCGAACTGAGCGGCACAATCATTCCCAGCGCCTTGGCCGGCGTGCAGTAGCAGCAAGCAATCACATCTCTTCGCGGAAGCCAGATGAGAGAAGTCGCCAAACATATCCCCAGCCACAAAAAATACAGGCCAATGGATACGAAGACGATGAAAAGCTTGTTGGACGTCTTGATCGAGTCAAAGGCCCCAGATCGGAATGCCTGGTCAAATGTCTGCCAGATGAGGGTGAGCAGTGCAACCGAGCTCAATTTCATCAGCTTCCATTCCACAAAAATCTTCTTGGTCATGTTTGGGAACAGGTATTGGACGATTTGGCCAATGGTGAGCGGTATGAAGAGGGATATCCCGAGTTGCATGAAGACGCGGCGGTAGATTTCGGCGTAATTGCTGCCGTTATCATTCAACAGCACCTTGGCGTACCATGCGCCGCTGGACAGATACATCTGTATCAGTATTGGTGACAGGAAGGGACACAGTATCTGGCCAATGATGGACTGTACCACTGTCAGAGCAGGGTTTCCATGGGCTTGACGGGTCATCTGGTATGGTCGTGACAAGTTACTATGTGTACAGCGTATGGTGAAGGAGTACAACTTACGATAACATTAGAAGACATGGTTGTTGGGCCACTTCCTAAGAACAGATATCCGATGAGTAGCCAGGCATCCACTGTATTCGTCAGTGTTGGGTATTCTGGGAGCTCATGAGCTGAGAACATACTGAATTTGGGATTGGTTGCGCAGAGACTGACAACCGCAAAGGTAGCTGCCGAAGTGACCAGATAGCATTGTCCCTGTACAAAGAGATGGACTTTCCACTTCTTGTAGTTCTCAATCAAGGTACGAGTCGGGAAAGTGCATCCGTTGATGAAGAAGATGACGCTCACAGTCAGATACGTGATGACGGTGCGTTTGATCTGCTGCTGCTCATAAGGAACCTGAACTTGGGACGAGATGAGGATGAGAGCAGCCATTGCCAGCAAGAACCATTGGTCCACTACAATCCATTGCAGCAGGTGCACCCATCTCTTCAATCTCGAACGGGAAGATTGGGACCCATTGTTGTCGGCGATGCTCGAGTCCTGATCACTGCTGGATATTCTGGAGGGTGGTAGGGAGGTCGCCATCAGACGTGTCGAAGGCGCTAGTGTTACTGAACCAACTAACACATGCAACCATGGTGCATTCAAGACTCTTATGAACAGTTATGAGATCAATGAAGCGCTCAAATGGGAGTCACAATCCGGACCGATGTTGGGTGGCGGAAATACCCAAGTAGGCACAACTCAGTGGGCCGGAGAAGACGGAAAAGTGCCTAGGCTAGCTGCATGTGACGAGCAGATGGATTCTATGTGTACACATGCATGTATACAAAACTGGCTACTGCCCATGGCCAGTGCCTTGTGATGTATTTTCCGTATGCGAGAATTCGAGCTGCAGGCTTGCCGAGACAACGTCCACCGTTATCCGTAACGGCGGGATGCAGAAGAATGGCGAGGCTTATTTCCGGATGATGCGGCAACTTCTTCACAAGAGCCTCAAGGAAAAAACGTCCGAATCGGTGCACGAGCCTCGCCCAAAAGCTAATGACATGACCCGCAAGTCCAAACACGCAGCTCTTCTAGGGAATGTCTAGAACCTGCCTTACCGTCCAAAAGAATGAAGAAATGCATGCTGAATCCATATACCTTCCACTGCATTGGTGGCTGCGCCTCGAGTCAGCGTCATGATGTGCCCCAGGACTGCCCACTTCGAACCATTCGACGGCTGAATGCACGCCCCTCACCTCATGACAGCATTCCCCCCTCCCCAACATCTTCGATCCAACCCACGACTCCCTTCATGTCGTCAAACTCTCTTTTAATCCCAATCATAGAATTTTGGGAGCCATTCGCTCTTACGACTCCTTCTCCATGACCAAATCCGAACCTCCCCACCTCGATCCGAGGCAACAGATGTGGCAGCACGTTCATCGCGAGTTGGTCAAATATGCTAAACCCGACTCTCGTTTTCACTACGACTTCCTTCACTTCACGCCCGACTTCCACAATTCTGCTCTAGCCGTCGACCGCTTGGTACAACTCCCGGCCTACCGAACGGCTTCGACGCTGCTGGTCACACCTGAAAACAGCCTGGAAGAGCTGCGCTACCGAGCGTTGAAGGATGGCAAAAAGCTCGTAGTGGGTACATATAGGCTGAGGCGAGGCTTTGTGCTCTTGAACCCAGCGCGGATAGAGGAGAAGGATTTGCGGGTGGCTAGCTGGCTCGACGGAATGGAAAGGCAGGGCATCGGCCGTCACCTCTCGTTGGCTCAATTGCAAGACGAGCATATAAGCGTGGATCTGTGTGTGCTAGGCGGGTTGGTTTTCAACACAAATGGCATCGTCGTATTTGAAGGACACGGCCTGTTCGAGATACAGTGGGCCCTGTTCAAGGAGATGAAACTCCTGCGCCCGAACACGCCTTGTGCAGCCATTGCGCACGATTCGCAGCTTGTCGACGAAACGAAACTAGGGCTTGATGCCTTCTCGCCAGACAAGCCAGGAGAGGTCCAATGTGACTACATCCTTACTCCGGACAAGACGTTTGAAATTAAGGAGCCCGTCCGACCTTCTAGCGGATTGAACTTCGACGCGCTCGATCCCGAGGGCTTGGAGAATATTCCGCCTCTGCAGGAGCTGAAAGGTATCCGCATGATGGAGCAGATTATGGAAAGTGATCGCTTTGGCGCCAACAACGAGAAGGCAAGCGAGATGCCGTTGAGTCCTGACGAACAAGCGGGCATCAGTATGGTTGAGCGGATCATGCAAGGCTTCAAAATGTAGCGAGCAGGCCCATCGTGTCGTGCTCGGTGATTGTGGATGCATCAGGCTTGCTTGCGTTGTGATGAAGCTCTTACAACTTTACCCCCAATCCTAACCCAAGCAATGAGGTATTTGGCGGTTTGTCTCCACGAACACAACTACCGGAGAGTAGGGACGTGATTGTTAACAAATGAAACATGCCCGCGAGTGGACAATAATAACATTAACTACATCATATATACATATAGTTTATCTATAATTAGTTGTTTTTTTCTCCAAATTCTCAAGTAAACGCCTTCGCTATGCAATGTACCCTTTCTTCTATATCCCCTTGCTATCTGCCATTCAAGCATTTCTCTCCTCATGCAAGCCAGCAGCTGAGCCCAGTGACGTTCTCCATGTCCCCTTCGTTCAGAGCAACGACACGGCGGTTCAGCTTGAACTCTACACCCTTGCTACTCCAGCCGATCTGCGCCTTGCAGACAACATCCTCGCTGTCTTCCTTGACGAAACGGGGAGGGCTGCTCAAATCCATGCCCTCGTGAATGTTTGCAATCTCAATCCCTTGTATACGGAGCGGAGCGTGATCGAGAGATAGGTTGGTTCCGACCGCGATGTGGAGGAGAGCACCACTGGCTTTGTTAGGGACTTGCTGCGTTGTCTCGTAGTGTGTGCTGATGGTGGAGTGGAGGCGAAGCGTCAACATGGATGTTTGCTCACGGCCAGCGGCGGCTGCGAGAGTTGAGGCCATGAGAGCTGAGAGTGTAAGGATGAGCTTCATTGTGGCGGTTTCGGGTCTTTTCTCGGCGGTATTTGATGGATAGTTTGGTGGTAGACAAAGGTACGGCAGAATGATGGTCTTTGTGGATATGCAATGGCAGGGCGGTTGTGATTGCTCAAACTTCTGCTGAGACGGTTTCTTGGGCTCTCAAAGATGTATATGTTCAGTCTGTGACCACAGGAGTAGACGAGACAAAAGGATAGCGGCGAGAATGGGAAAGTCAGCCTCCTTATAACCATCCAGCTCTCCCCGCGCGCCATGCTAATCTATTAATGTTCGACCACAACACAAGCGTCCAATCGCCAGGGCCATTCGCGCGAATCCTCTTCTCATCGGATGTTGGCTGCATGAGCGTAAACTAAGGCATGCATACTGCATAACGCGCACAGTCCATCAGCCATATACGGGCCGCAGGACATTGGTCAGTTGCTCGATCCAAGGAAACACTTGCGCCGTAGTGTTTCAACCTTGTACTCCGCCATGTTTGGTTGATCATTGACCGTTGTCTTGCTTGTACTGTGCCAAGTACAAGGTGTGTTTCTTCGTCGCCGCTACAGATCTGACCATGCCAGCGCAGCATGAATAACTGTTTATGTGACACTGGATATCCACAGCTGTTCTATGACGGAAACACCATCGTCCTGACTATACAGCGTATGCTTATGCCTGTGCTTGTGTGGGTTTCAACGTGCTGGAGTTCCGGCTTTCGATTTGCGTGGACAGGGGGATCATAAGATCTAATTGGCGGTCGTTTATCTAATTTTATGCGGCGTAACAAGGTAGCGGCGAAACGAAACGAAACGGAATGCGTTTATGCGGGCGGTTGAGAAGATGGCGTACACCGTTAGGGCTTGGCCGGCGGTTCTGGGACCTTTGGGGGCCGTAAGGGAATTGAGTAAGGGGTGGATTCAGTTTAGCGATCCACTCGCTGTACGATATAATCAGTCCTCAGAGTAAGCTAGACGTCCTTCCGTGATTTAACTTCCTTACGTTTGCTCATATTAAGCCTATAAACAGTTTCTTTGTTGGCTCGCTGATGGGCTTCACATAACCCACGCAGTGTGTCTTCTGCTTCCACATCATCTTTGCTTGTTCGTATTCGTTCGCGGTGTGTCGACGGGCGGGTGTTCGGCGGTAGGCACGTCGTAGGCCTTGTCATGTAGGCGACGACGCTGGGGCTCTGTGACGAAGGGACGTGGCTCCCATATAACTTGCTGTCCGCCCAACCACGAGAGATCATGCAGTGAGTCCATCAACGTGTTCATCGCCGCAAAAGATGTGCGTTATGTTCTCCTGGATAGCTAGGCTCCTTAACATCGTGTGTTCGCGACGAGGAGGATCGGTCGGTGGTTGTGACAGGAGCGCTTCTTGGTTGCTGAGCGATCTCTGAGGTAGACAGATGATCACCCGTCTGTCGAGTGTGAGGAGCGTGTGGTCGTCTATCGGACGTCGGCGATGAGGAAGCTCGTGCGGTCGTTGTCTGTGTGATTGATGTTCGCGATGGGCGAGCGGAGTGGGATTCCTAAGCTCAGCTCCTTTCTTCCCTTCCTCGATATGCAAACATGTGTAGCATCGGCTATAATACACATGAATCGAGCTAATAGAGACTCAGGGCAAAGTGAGAGGTACTCAGGTCTGACCCAGTGTGGCCATGTGCGTAGCAAGCTATCACTGAGAGGCCGCCGGCCCCCCCTCCCCTAGAGAACCACTCACCCACGCGCGGAGCTTACGCATCTGTATATATCTGCTTCACAACCTGCGCGGAGATACATCATATAGTAGCGAATATCTTGTTCGATACTCTGTGTATGCGCTCCAGTTTGTGCAACAGCTATATCGAAGTCCCGAAGCCTCCCTGGACTGCACCTATGCAGGGGTCTTACGCACATGGGCCGTATTCCCCTCACTACAGAAGCTGCGTGATGATCACGCTTCTCTAGATCACATCACCTCTGCTACAATCAGGATCCCGAAGCTGATTCCGTGACTTTAACGTTCTATAAGGGATTTACCAGTGGCTTTCTTACAGCTGGGTAGATCCGCGCTGCGCTCCTTCAATGGCCTTGGGAAACGAGACAGCACAACAGGATCAATACGAAGAATAGTTATGTATATACTGAGCTCCAGACTACGTGTGAGTATAAGTGATACTATCCATATTTCTCAACTCGTGTGCAAATACGCCGGTTTGGGAGGAGAATGATAAGCCCCGTGCCCCCTCCAATAAGCTTTAGATGCCCTCACCTTTGCCAAAGCAAACAATACCTTCGCCTTCAATCCAATGACATCCCTTACCTTTCACACAAGCACTAGCTTCTAGACAGGCGAAGTTTTCCCGCCTTTTAGAGCACACATGAAAGGGCTCAGACAAAATTCCTCTACCGCACACACCATTGCTTTACCTTACATACCAAGAGCCACAGCAATAATGGCTGATCGGGCTCGGTTTCCATCTTCTCGAATCCCTCCTTTCCCTATCAATTCAACTGCGCAGGCCTCATCTATGCCGATCCCACCCCCCGAGACCAGGCTCGGCATGAACACAAGTCCTTGTAAGTCGCCCCCTAGTACGGGAAGCTTACAGCCTACCTGACCTGTATCATGTATCTAGTTCTGTCTAGCATCCAGAAGTTGCGCAACATCCTCAAAGAGCGTATCAGGAAGATGACGGGCGTGCCTGTGAAATATTTGTATCTTCAACATACTGCACACACCCAAGGGCAACTGTCTCTTATCCAGAGGCCTCGTTCCCAAAGCGACTGCTGGATCGAATCCGAGATTGCTACAAACTGGGTATGTGTGCTTCGACTTCATGTGCACTGCATTATGTTGACACTCGATAGTCTGGTCCAGTGAATTTCGTCGATTTTGATACCTCTACAGGCATTGGGAACATAAAGCTAGGACTCAACTTGTATCAAGCGAAGGCTTTCTTGGATGACCTTCCAATTGGTGTCGCGTTCGAGATCCACGGAATCGACGACGAGAAAGCCATCGTAGGGGTTCGCCAACGCTTCGTCTCGCCGTTCTCTCCCAACGTCTCCCGATCTATACGGGATTATCCCTACGCTCATGCCGTCAAGCTCGTCGAGTCGCGTGCGGAGATTTTTACCCGATATGCAATGGAAGGCAAAGAGGACATGTTCTCTGCATACGACCCCATCGAGTTTCCAATCTCACAAGGGAGGGCTATCGACCAATGGATTCTTGATGCAGCTACCCACCTCTCTCCATCATCGAACACTCGATTCGGAAAGTCTCTTCTGCTGGAGCAGCTGACAAATATCAATGCCCCTATTTCTAGGCGCTTCATTGCAGCAGTTGGGGGGGCTCGGCCAAAGTTCTCTATGTTGCAGTTGATTGTATTGGCTATCGTCATCTCTGGGGGTCCTCTTCATGAGCCCGCTATTGTCGACAAGTTGAAACTCCTGTTTCCTAAGTTCACTCCATACTGGTTTGATCACTTGATCCAGGAAGCCATAGACAAATCTGCGACAGAGGAAATCCCGCTGCTCAGCTTTGTAGGCTTGACATCACAGCAAACTCCTTTCGGATTCATCGAACGTATCTGGGACGTTCACACTACAAACATCAACTTCCTTTTCGAGGAGTTATATGAGCCAGGAACGATCGCTTTCTGGCGTCATGCAATTCCGGTGCAAGCCAAGCTACGTGATCTCTTATCTGCCTCGCCAAACTTCAAGCGCATGATACCATGGAGTAGGTTCCCAGGGGAGGTGCATTGGTTCAACGTGTTACCTGAGGAGCTCCGAACTCGCATCTTCGAATATGCGCTACCCGCACATGAAAACTACCATATGGTGAATCGTAAGCCCAAAAGCAAACCTATTCTCCTTCGCGCGCATCACGGCGCACGTGCGTGGCTTGATCTGAATCAACTCATGAACTGGGGGAAAGACAAAGATTTTGGAGCCTATTACTTTTACACTTTCCTGGGTCAGAACTGGTTTCACCTTGGTCACGAACAACCTACGATTGCATATGCCTCACCAAAATTCCTACATTCATTGGGTCAGAATGTGCTATTCAGTCTCCGAAAAGTCGAACTTTCCTTGTATTTTCGACGGAATTCGAAAACTTGGGAACAGAAGATGATGTCGTTGTTGAATTATCTTGGTCAAGCTCGCCTGAAATCTCTCCGACTTCACATTTTCAATGCAGGCATATCCGAAGAATCATTCAACAACTCATATGAATCCAAGATCCTTTCTAGATTCAGGGACATTGAAGAAGTTGAGATTACTACCTTCCCGGAAGATTGGCCCGAAGTCAAAACTAGTCTCCGTGCCTCGATGATCTCACGCCGTCCAGAACAAGGTTACATTTCTGCTGCTGCGCAGAAACCGGTTACTGCAGCCACAATCGCGAGGTGGCCTAAGGACAAACGGCATGATTATCTACGCGCTAGCTATAATCGGATTGTGAGGAACGAACCAACGACGCCTAAAACCTTCCTTGAGGTAACCGATATGACTCTCAAGGAGCAAAACAAGTTAATTGAGAAATACATGAAGCTTGTTTGGGAGGAGGAAGGTTGGGAGCCAATTGAACCTGTTCAGCGTAGGAAGCGCAAGGCGCAAGGTGGCGGTGACATGGATGCAAGCGCAGCTTCTAAGAGGCTGAAGAAGGGTTGATCATCCCACAGTGTTGTTCATCTCGCGATCCGCCCTGATTTCATGGTAAAACCACTGTGTTTTCCTCCTAATGTATTTGAACCGATCTTGTTGATCGCGATGCCTTCACGCCTACAAGTTCACCTCGCAACTAACCTACAGTGCATCACTTCACAGCTAGTGACCGGGTACATCATTGCTTCCCCAAATGGTGCGGGGTATAAGTTTTCATATTTGAGGTTGGACTATTGTTCTGGAAACACTCATTTTGATATTGCAAGCGTTCGTTCCGGCTCTACTATATTGTTAGGACACGCCGACTCTTCGAGATTCTGTATTCTTGAGTTCCCTCATCATAATAATGAAATTCAGTCTATCGACACCAGAGCTTCACCCTCTCCTCGTATGCATGCTTGTGGTGATAAGATGCGCAAGTTGTTCACATATCACATCCTCCTGTAACACAATCCGTACGGAGGCACCAAATGATAGTGAGGAATTGTTTGCCGATTTTGCTCAATCTTTTAGTAAAGAGTTGCACGCTCGATATTTGTAACCACTGCTAAATGCGTGCCCGACTACTACGTGACTTAGTTCACATAGCCAAGGTTTTTCCATTTGATCTCAATTGGCAGTTACATATTACGAGACTGATCAAAACCAATATCCTACGCAATTTCTAGCCCAGTTTCAAGTTCTATACCGAATGTAACTTCAAATGCTGTACATTGGGGTACAGAGTGCTGAGCCACATACGATACGATGTCCTGATGCAGCGCACTGTCCGAAACAGTATCGAAAGATCGATCAAGCACTGCCTCATGATGATGAGGGCGACTGATGTTTGGGGGTGTTGCCTCTAATGATTGGTCTTTAACACGCCGTAGTGAAGTGTAGTGTAGGACTCCGTGTCGTATCGCGTCATTGAATTGCCTTCTTCTGGCAGGACTTCAAGAAGCTAACGCAAATATGGGGACCCAAACCAGGGTCCAAGCCTGTTTGTACATGTCCGAGAGACGGTAAGTACCGAGATAGAGCAGTAGTATGGGGGGCGGAATGACTTCCCAAATTCAACAGTTGTAAGAACCACTCTCTAATTTCAACACCTACGTATATAGGTATGTTGATTTTAACTTTGCTGTTGTTCTTCTTCAAAGTAGAGTTAGGGCTACCAATTACATATGTATGCAGACAAATCGAGTCACGTGGAAATTGAAACTGGTCAACATCATCATGAATGATAAATGGTACTAGGGATAACAACATTCTCGAGCGCAATAACCAGAACATCTAGTGCCCCTAGAGTAAACTTTCTTTTGGAGTGCGATCATGGTCAGATATGATGAAAGCTTGTGTCAAGTTCGGCAATTTACTTAGTTTGCTCATGATCTTCATGTCAGGGGTCATACGTGAGACATACTGGAGTATACGGTTGTCCATGAGAGGCTAAAAAAGCTACACCGTTTGTGCTTACGCGAAGGTGATTGGCGGAGCACTTCGTACAAGCTTACCGCTCGCTAATCCTAAATTCGTATCTGACAGCGTGAGACGCTTACGTTGGGTCCGATCAGAGACAATCTGACTACATGTGGCCGAGCTATTCGCATAGCTATTAACATGTTAGCGCCGTTAACTTGTCATTCAAGCCGTGCTGCATGTGTTCTATGGGGATGCCCAACAATGGTAACGCTTGTATCTCGATTCAATCAAAGCGATTGCGTTCACGTTTCTCACTCCAATGTACTACAGTAGGAACAATGGTATCTTCATATGGTGCATTAAGGGAAAAGTATCAATATATCACTATCACTATCGTTCTTGATTTCCATGAAAGTGACTTGAATTGTTTTATCAGACTAGACCCGTCAGCCGGCATCGATTGACATCATGCGTCGGGCTTCACTGGGGCGAGGAATCTGTATGCATCGGTCAACATCGAAGGAGCCAATACCGTTCCATTAATTGGTTCAGAAAACTTGACACAATTTTCAGCTACCGCCCTAATCGTCTTGTCTCCCCAATCAAACCAACTTTAGTATAGAAGAAGGACGTGGAGATGAAGAGGCAGTGCTCACTGGAGGCGAAAACCCGTGTGGAATATACTTTCCACGGGTTTCATCCGTTATTTCGGGGTCCGTCGTGCTCGATTGATTACAACTGAGCCAATGGCTATATCGTTTTAATGTCAGACTTGACAAGGTTGACTTAGCTACGGAGTGGAGCTCGTGCTGGTAGTCTTCTGAGGCTGTACTTGGGTGATATGCAGGTTGACATGATGGCATGTCTTAGTCTAAGACCGACTACCTTCGTATGATCCTGGAACTTGCCTTCTCTCAATGGAGTTGAATGAGTTGAACGAGTTTGATGGGCACCAGATCAAGTATTTAAACCACGAGTTTGCCGCACAATCGTGATTCTAATCATCCACCAGACACACTCTTTCAGTCCACCATCCTCACTTTCTTCACTTTTTCAATCCATCAATCAAGTCATTCACTATGCAATTCTCTACTCTCTTTCTTGCGGGATCTTCCCTCGCTTTGGCTTCTGCTGCCGCTATCGATACCCGAACCGCCTCAAACCTTGGTACGTAGTCCTCTACAGGAGAAGATTATAAGTTTTATGATGGGATATATTTATCAAGTGAATACAACACTGACGGATCACAAATAGAAGTCAAACGCGACTGCCTAGTCAACTCAGCCCAGGCCGGTGTCTGGCACGAATGGGGACTTTCCCGCTACCGCACAAAGTTCTCGGGTGCCAACACTGATATCGGTGCCTACTGCGGCTACTGGAAGGATGTAGACCTTTGCGGAGGTGCATCCAACGTCCAGTGCTGGCAGGATGGCACCCAGGGCTGGATCGTCGATGCCAGCTTCGTGTTGGGTGCCGGTGGCGATGCTCAATACTCCGGCTGCTTGTCCAACACCCGCAACAAGTGGGTTACTCAGAGCGGCTGCCGCACTGGTTAAATGTAGTCAGAAGTCTGGGGGAAGCTTAAGGGGTGTCCAGCACAGCCTCTCTCGAGGGATTTGTCAATAAGAGGCTGAACTAGGAGGAGTACTCTCTGCTTGGTTTTGCTGCACTGTTGTTGGATTTTACGTCTTCTTATGTACCGAATTTCAGGGATAGAGTCACAGTCGTTACCGATAATAGATTTCAGTCTGGTTCAGAATACTCGCATGAGACAAGTGACGCATGTAGTACATTACTTGGGCGTTAAAACTTGGGGTGTTTTTTTTTTCTTTGAATCGCCTGTTTTTTGGTTCATTTATTGTTATAAACCTATCGCTGTGTGCATGATCGCCCAAAATCCAACTTAGAATTCACAATTTACTGACTTTGAAGTGTGTATATAATATTAATACGATTTCTGGCTGAACCATAGATGTACAGTGTTACAACAAGAAAAGACTTTTTGAGTAGCTTGAGAGTCAACCACTATACTTTCTATCCAAACGCCACCGGAAGAAACATATAACAACTCATATAGGCTTACCAGCCTCACAGGTTGTGACCTCCTCATCATATTTTTCCAACAACTCATTCTCAACAATACCCCACACGCTCTTATCTGTTGCGAGTCCTGAGTGCCCCACCCTATCTTGTGGGCAATAATCCTGGACATATAAATTCCTCACCCCTTCTTCATTCACAACACTCGTCTCTGGCTTCACCAAAATATCGTGTCTACTCATCACAATACTCGCTTTAACTCCGGGCTGTACAATCTTTCCTGTCGCTTGTTGGAATGTTTCGTGTACAGCACCCCCAGTTGCCATTTCTGCCATAGCAGGTGCACCGAACGTTCGCAGAACTTTTTCGACCATAGACGCGGTGACATCGCCGCCTAGCCATACGAGATCAGTGAGACCATAGTACTTTGCGCCGTGGACAGCTGGACCGAGAGCGACAGTTCGTTCTATTTTACTAGCTGTACCAGACTGTGTAAGAGGCACGTAGAGGGTCATTACGCCGCCCTCGGAGTGGCCTACGATATCAACTTTAGGAGCACCTGTTTTACTGGAGACCTCGTCGATGAAGGAAGCGATTTCTTTTGCGGAGTCGGCCATGGATTTCACGCCGCCGACAAGAGGGAAGAGTTTATGTGCGCCATAAGTCATGCTGAAGGCGCAGAGGCCTTTAGTGTTGAGGTGAGCTTGGCTGATTTCAGGGCGTGGAGTCAGCAAGAGTTTTGAGCAGAGTTTCGGACACGCTCTTATGAGACTGTTCATGTGGCGAAATGGGGCTGATATACACGTACAGGCTACTCAATGCTTTCTTGTTGTCGGCAAGACCGTGGAGAAGGATAACTGGGTTCTTGTTGGATCTGCAACTGAAGTCGTTGACGGGTTCAGTATCGCGTGTTTGTGAGTTGGGCGAAGGAAGAGCATGCGCTGAAGCAGCGAAGAGACCGAGAAGGGCTGATGTGAAAAGCATCATCGTATCTGTTTATTGTTGTTCAGATGAGTGTTGCAGATAACGAATGTGTATATCTCCGTAGGAATGAGTGTGTCGGAGAAAGTTATACAAGTATGAGCGAGTGGATGGATAAGAGTGCTAAATAGTAGTGTTATAGAAAAAGCATGCACGCAACAGCAAAGTGCGTACTCTTCTTCTTAAGCTTATAACTTAGAAGCGGAGTCCGGACATAGGAACGTTATGTTTACTACGATGGTGCTAGTACTTAGCTATTAGATCTTGGAAGCGCTTACATGAATCCTTCTGGGTGTTTCAACCAGCCTAAACCCATGGTCGAATCAGGTTACCGCATGCGAGGTATAAAGAGATGACGCCAAGAACGATATCTCCGATTTATAACATGCGCATATAGGTACTACATGGTTCATGCGAGTAGGGGAGACAGGGGACTGCAAACCTGCATTGATCGCTGAGCCTTTTCAAAGAATTTTCAACACCTATCCAGGTTAAGATAGATTTCTACTATCATAGATGAGTGTCTGACCAATGCTAGCAAAGGCAAAAACCCCCAAAATTCTGCTGTGGATCTTTTACGAGGCTTAGCACTAAAGTAAAAGATACCGAAGGATGTTCTAATCAAAAGTCTGCACAAATAGATATGTGAGGCTCAGCCCTGCATGAGAGAGCTCGCATTGATTCAATCATGAACGCTGAAGACTCAATCAGTAAATCCCGGCGGAACCCGGTATCTAGGAGAGTATTGCGTGAAGGAAATTTCCCTGAAGTACTAACGATTTCTGTACGAACGGTATCGCCGTCCATCCTCACTAGAACCATCAAAGTATCCATATGGGTCATTTGTGTTTGTGTGCCGTGGGTATCATTGCTTTCGTGACTACTACTTACACTACTGTTTCTGCCGTTTTCTCGCATTCGCCAGTACAGCAGATATCGCTGCAACTTCTTGTTCAACGTCTCCTTCGTCTTCACTGACGTTCTCGCCCTCGCCCTCGCCCTCGTCCTCATCTGCGACCACTTCGCCATCGTCACTGAAGCCCGAAAACTCGTCGTCATCGTTATCGTCAGTTTGAGCTTGAGCTTCGCTGCCGCCGTCCACGTTGCTAGCGCCCGGAGCGTTCTCTGTACGTTTTCTCTTCCTAGACATCTCGCCCAGTTTCCCTTCACGTCCGTCTATTCCTTTGACCGAAGTCTCGCCATCCTTGTCTGGGGGAGGCGTGAACCATGGAATTTTTCCTCTTATCCAATCATTCAACACAATGCGGGCAACTGCGTCTAGATCTGCTTCGCCTCCTTTTAGCAACCTACCTTGCTTGCGACATAGCATTTCAAGGAACCCTGTTGAATCTTTGTATCCAGATATTTCGTACGTCCGCTGGAGGTGTTTAGGCTCTACACGCTGAAGTACAGTCTCAACGTATTGAGCTGGCCATTCTACATTCTCTACTCGTATACTGCCTCGAAGCAGGAGCTCCTCGTCAGTATCTTGCTGATTAGGTGGCACTACGCCTGGGCAATCGATGAGATAGATCCGTTTTTCAAGGGTGTGGTAGGCCCAAACTAGACAATGTGAGTAAGTATTTTAGGATTGTTTTAATATCATTTGCTTACCTTTAGTTTCACCAGCAATAGGAGCTACGGTGCAGACCTTTTTGCCACGAAGAGTGTTGACAATAGAAGACTTCCCAACATTAGGATAGCCAATTAGACCAACTGATACTTGCTTTCGGTCTTTGTGAAGAATGCTGAATTGTTTTAATAAGGATATTAAAGATCCTTTGCCAAAGCTGTTGTTGATTGAAGCATGAAATGCCAGTGTGGGAAATTCTTTGGAAAGATGTCGAACCCAGGCCGCCTAGGACTAGTTAGTTGAGTCCCGATGCGTGCGTGATAGAACAAGAGGAATGTATGAAGCGTTACTAAGAGAGCAACCACAAAGCCGCGAAGCCAAGCAAAGCAGAGGTAGCTCTCAACTCAAACGAAACACTAGACTCTGGCGACTTGCCACCAAAACGATGGCTTGTCTACCCACATACCATAACGGCAGTGGGAGGGCGAGACGTATTTAATCTTCCAAAGATGTAACAGAACCTATCCATGGGAAGGGAAAGATCCTTGACTTATCGATGGGATGTGCATTGGGGAGAAGAAGGAAAGGGGAAAACATACACCAACTTTACTGGGCACAAGATCAATCTTGTTGAGAACAAAAACAAGATGCTTATGGGGGGCTTCCTCGCGGATGTATTTCTCGACAGACCGGCATCTTGTGCCGACAGGGTCTCGTGCATCAAGAACATGGAGAAGGACGTCCGAGGAGTCGATGACCTTGTATAACTCGTTCCAAATGCGTTTTGAGGTCCCTTTATGGAAGATTGCCTCCCTAGCGGTTGTGATGATTCCATCCCCATTATCTTCAGCCGAGTTCCCAGACAAAAGCTTTGCTTGCTCTAGTCTGTCTAGGTAGAAGTCATGCATATCGTCGGTACGGCCAGCCAGACTCTCAATCGAATCAAAGTCAAGCTTAGGGCGTTTCCGCTGGGCCTTGGGACCAAACGTGTCACCAAATGGCTCACTGCCCACGGTGATCTTTGCTTGATGTTCCTTCAGACCATTGACGTTGCCTTTCTTTTCAATCAAACTCATGGGTAGCTTGTTGCGCTTCATAAGAAACGTGGTGGGATCAGATGCTTGCGCATCCACAGCGGAACGAAAAGAATCGAGTGCGTCTTGAGAGATGACACGGGTGTTGTTAAACCACTTCCTGTTGGGCTCGACGCGGGCTACTGGTGCTTCACGGCTCTGATAGATGGCGGCCTTGGTGATGTCTCCAGCAGCATTGCGCTGTGCGGTTCCGCCAGTGAGACGCTTGATCACCTTGACTTTCTTGGCATCGCGGTAAAAATTCTCGCCTTTGACTTTGACCTGGACATGTCAGTTGGAGTGCGAAGAGTGAAATTAGACCGAGGAGATACACACGTTGGCCATGCCATCGCCAGTGGCGCCCTGCCTCTCCTTTCTGTTCTTTTCTTTCTTGTGCGTACCCATGGTGGAAACTTTAGCTTTTGGGGCCTGCCGGGGAAAGAAGGGAAAGAGGTGGTGAAGGATGGCACGAGAGAGAGAAGATTGAGTTGTTAAGAATTTCTTTTTGCGCCCGCACGGACCATCCGGGTATCTCTTGGCGCGAACTGGTTTTTGGCCTCGAACAGCATCACCGCATCCTCCGCAAGTTGCCCCCATCAGCCATCAGCCATTAGCCATCGCAATGCCGGCTCGGATACCTGTCCGTTTGGCTTTCAACGGCACCAATTGCTCCTCATCCGTCCGAGCCTTCTCCTCCACCTCTCCGACACTCGCCCTGGGCCCCGAGTCTCCCAACTACATCGAAGTCCCTAAACCGGCCCAGCCCACATGGACTCTTGAACCCAAGCCCAAGGGTCACCTTCCCATCCCTCGCGATGTCTTCAAAACCCGTTCTAGGCTGCCCAAGGCGTCGGAGCAGTTTATCAGCCGCACAACGAAAGACCCTGCAAAGGCAAAGCTACCCGGGCCCTACAACAAGGATGCCGAATACAGACTGTATAAGCAAAGATTGGCCGAGGCAAGAAGGAACAACTTCCGCGAAGGTGTAAAAGCGTTGCATGAGCGCAAAGTTACCAGCGAAGCCGAATCAAAGGCCAGATACGAAAAGCTGAACACCGAGAAGAGAGCCTTGACCTTCGCACCCCCTAGAACTGTCGATGTCCTGACCCAGGCATCAGTTTCAAAGAGCGTGCGCGATTTCCTTTCCGATTGCCTCTCCCAGAACCCAAGCCCGGCAGGTGTGCAAGCTCGACGAAAGGCTTTCACTAGACGCATGAACAAGCAAGACACTATCCGTCAAGCACGTGTGCACGATCTATATACAAATGCAAGGAAGTTTATCGTTACCGAACAACAATTGGACGAGTCAATTGAAGAAGCATTCGGCACCGATGATCAACCGGTACGCTGGAACAAGAACGGACAGGTTGAATCAGGCTCTTCTGGCATAAGCCCATGGGAAGGCGGCATCCCCAATGGCATTCACGAGAAGATGAAAAGTCTCGGCGGTGGTCAAGGTGTTGGTTTGGCAAAGGAGAGAGTCAAGAAGATTGCCGAAGAACTCACTGGCGGCAAGATGTAGATGGCCGAGGGCTTTTGTTCTTCTCTGTCAACATAAAGCGTTATCGTGTATATTATGCAATGCAAAGCAGGCTGTACTATATCACTTCAAATTTTGGGGGATGACGTCCATAGCATCCACGCCTTTTTTACTTCAGACTCCGCATCATAACCATACGCCCAGCTAGCTGTCTCGTCATCACTCCATTGGTTCGGATTCCCTCCACCCGACGCGCTCTCTGCTTTCTTCATTGCCTCGTCCCTGGCTCGCTGTTCTGATCCGTCGGCAAAATGCCAAAGCTTTCCATTCACCAGACTAGCCTCTTGCATTTGGCCTGTTCGAAGTATTCTTACACGCTCATACACGCCTAATGCATCCTGGAGTTCCGATGGAGATCTAATTAATGACAGTATCTCAGCGAGCGCAGCACCGTCCTCGACAGCCATTGCGGCCCCCTCGCTCATATACGGTACCATAGCGTGTGCGGCATCGCCGATGACGAGAAGTTTCTTATCCGATGATAGCCACTTGGTCAAAGGGGTGCCCGTCAAGAGAGGCCACTTCAAGGTTGTGCGGATCATGTTAATCACCTTGACTAAACTTCTCCGTGTTGGTAGCGGCCCTCGATGGCTTCAACTGGGGTCCACATACCAGGGATCCCAATGCTCAAAATGTTCCTTCATATCTCGGATGATAGTCTCCTGGTCTTGACTCCACGTCGAGGGGTCAGTTTCGGATGGGTGCGAAAGGACCATGTTGAATGACTTTCCACTCGCAATTGGATATGTCATGGCGTGCCGCCCGTCACCGATCCTATGACATTCAGTTATCAACCAAGTCACCCCTCAGGTCCATCTACACCAAGAGCGTAAGAAATCAGTATTGACGTACCATAAGTTCTGCCCCGGGCTATCAACCAACCACGCCACTTCCGGATCCCCAGCCATCAACTCGACATCCACAACTGCCCTATACGCCGCAAACCCAGCTTCTCTCGGCGGCTGGTCGACACCACCCAACACAACTTTACGAGCCGAGCTGTGTATACCGTCCGCAGCAATAACCAAATCCGCAATCCGTACATCGCCATCTTCAAAAACCAATTTCCCTCCCTCCTCATACCGCGCAACTCCCTTCCCCAGTAAAACCTCCACTCCAAGATCCCTGGCACATTCATAAAGCGCGCCCTGCAATCCCGCCCGATGTACCACAAAATATGGCGCCCCAAACTTCTCCCGAAACTCACCTTTCAACGTCGTTGTGCTGAGGACGTCACCATTCTTCCATCTCCGCATCCGGATCGCTTTTGGCTCCGCCGTCTTGCCATCTAGGTATGACCCTACTCCCCATTTTAGGAGTAGACGACTGCTGTTTGGGGGCACTTGGATGCCAGCGCCTACTTCGTTTAGTGCGGGGGCCTTTTCGTAGATGGAAACCCTGTGGCCGTGGCGACGTAGTGCGATAGCTGTGGAGAGGCCGCCAAGGCCGGCACCGCTTATGATGATATCGAGTTTGATTTGTCTTTGAGCACTGTTGGGTTTGGATGATGAATACGTTGATGTGCGAGGCGGGCTGTTGTGGTTTGGGCGTGATTGTGCTGCGGTACTTGGAGGGTTGGAGTTGAGTTTTCCTAAGAAGTTTAGGCTGGCGGATGGGTACGAAGTTTTCTGTTTATATTTTCAGTATATTGATTCATCGTGTGAACTAGTGGATCGAACAGGTTGGGACTTCAAATTACTTACATGAAGTCCCCCATGCTGCTTATTCAAAAGCGACAGAACATGCGCCCTACACCTCTCAATCGTATCTTCGCGGTCACTAATAGGCGAACTAGCCATATCTATGCTATTGCGTTATAGTCGCTTGAATTTCACTGACTTGGAAGTGCAGACATTGTATCCAAATTCGTAGAATTATCAAAAAGGGACTATGTGACCCTTCGGAATCTGGGACGCGGGGACAGGTGGTGGGAGATGCGGGGAACCGATGCTCACGGCGATTGACGAGGCCTCGTACCTCGAATACCTATCACAGATGTACCAGCATCAAGCAGGTCCTGACACAGCGATCGTCTGTGAGTGATCTGTCGCTCGATGGGATGATCTCCTACGTGGAGCAGCTTGATATGTAGGTATCTTGTAAGTGTTGAGGGACAATTTGCCTGCTTTTGAGAATCCGTGGTACATCCGGAGCAAGACCACACACCCAGTTGACCTCATGCAGGTCGACAGTCCAAAGGCTCCAATCGCGAGCTCCACATGCCACCTGCTCATCATGCGGGGATTGTCTATTTAAACCCAATCATGACCAGCTTCCTCCCCCCCTGCCATCTTTCGTTTCTTTTTTAACTTTGTCGAATGGGACCCTTCCCTACAATGAGCGCATCAACCATGAACATCGGAACAACAGCCAATGGCTCGACCAAGGGCAGCAACGGAAGCGTAGAAACCGTACGTGACGTTATTTGTGGAGCGTCGAAATACAATGCCATCCCGCTTTGGCCGCAGATGGTGAAATACAATCCGCCGCAACCAAATCCAAAGTGTGTCCCGGACATCTGGCGATATGATGAAGTGCGGCCGTATCTTGTTAGGGCTGGAGATTTGGTGAAGGAGAAAGATGCAGAGCGCAGAGTGCTGATGCTGGTGAATTCCCAACGGGGTACGTTTTCCTTCATTCATCCATAAACCTACATAGAGAAGAGAGGTAAATTTGGAAGTCCCGACGAGACGGAACAGGAGAAGGCAACCGCTAACGGTGGATATGCAGAGGGTCCATACACTACGGATACACTCTATGCAGGGCTACAGTTGGTCATGCCCAATGAGATCGCGCCTGCACACAGACACACTGCGTTCGCAGTGCGCTTCGTGATTGAAGGCCGCGGTGGGTTCACGGCGGTACATGGGCAGCGCATCCAGATGAATGCTGGTGATGTCATCTTGACACCGACCTGGAACTGGCACGATCATGGGAAGGACGGGTCTGGTCCGATGATATGGCTTGACGCGCTCGATTTACCATTGTTCCAATTCTTCCCCGTGCACTTTGTGGAGCATTTCAAGGAGAAAAGGTATCCAGCTGTAGATGCTGATACAAGTCAGAGCCCAATTGTGTTCCCTTGGGCGAAAATGAGGAGAGAGTTGGATAATGTCAATGGCGACTGGGTGACGAGAGAGTATAGAAAGGCGGATGGGAGTTATGGTAAGTATCAATCTATAACTCAGCTTAACTCCCGTTATATCGTTTTTCAACTACACTTCAACACCATCACTTACACTATGCACAGTAAGCAAAACTATAAATCCGTCGGCCGAGCGCATTGCTCCTCAAACTTTCACTGCGTCCCGGCGAGAAACGACATCGTGCGTCTATCACGTTATTGCCGGGGCAGGAGAGTCGAAGATAGGCGAGAGGGTGTTGAATTGGAAGAAAGGTGATACTTTTTGCATACCGTCGTGGTACAAATACCAGCACACCGCTGGCCATCAAGAAACTGTTTACTTGTATAGATTCGATGATAAGCCCATGATCGAGGCACTCGGGTTCTACGTATACGAAGATAGCGATGGTATTATACACAGGGAGGCTTAAAGAAATGGCTTCATACCGAGGAGATTGTGCTTCATCTAGATATTTGTGGAGTTACTGAGCGATATGTATATGTTTTGAAAGGCGCAATTGTATGCTGTTTATAAGCCTATCGTCGAACACGTACGTCATCGTTGTTGATCGCTGACAACGGTAATCATTCCACTTGGAATCGACGCGAAGTGGATTTCGAGATCTTTGAACATTCACACAAGAGTATGGCCTTCCTCTACTACCCTTGTAACTACTCGCTGTGGGGACATTTGGCTATCCGGCATATGACTTGATATTTGCCGAGCTGTAATGTGGTCTTGATGGCGCTATCTCATCCCGGGGTCCCCACATCACTATCCCGACATCGCCATCTCATCGCTGCTTCATCCCGCAACGACTCACAGCAAAGGATTGGAGTCACAATTTCGGCTCCAAACTCCATCATCAACAATTTCAAACAATCCTTCTCGATTCAATTTACGAAACGATGCCTTCTTGGAAACGTCTCATTCGCTTCGAGTCCGCGGACGGTAGGGTGCTGCGTGGAGAACCGATACTACCCTCTGCCGACTTCGACGTCGGCACCGCAACTGCAGAGACTGGACTAAAGGCAAAAATCATCGAAGTAGCAAACAATGATATTTTCGATCCCGCCACAAAAGTTACAAATGAAGAGGTCACTGTCAAGAAAGTCCTCGGACCCGTGACTACAGACGAAGTCCCAATCATTCGCTGCATAGGACTGAACTTCATTAAACACAGTGAGTCAATGACTGGAATGCCCTTGTGATGTTTAAAGATAAGTTCGCGCTGATACGCGGTGATTTCAGTCCAAGAGGGAGGACGCACTCTTCCTCCCTATCCATCAACCTTCATTAAAGCCAACACCTGCCTCAACGAACACAACGCCGCCATCACAATCCCTAAGATTTCTCAAGACGACCAAGCGGACTACGAAGGAGAGCTCTGCTTCATCATCTCAAAAGACGCTAAGAACGTCTCCGAAGCGGAGGCATACGACTACGTCGGTGGTTACCTTTGCGGCAACGATGTTTCCAGTCGTAAATTGCAGCGAGACCCCAAGCTTGCAGGAACTGTGCCGCAATGGAATTTCTCGAAGGGATTTGACTCGTATGCGCCGTTTGGACCGCAGATCGTGAGCACTGAGGTGGTACCTGATCCGTCGAAGTTGTATTTGAAGACGATTGTCAATGGTGAAGTGAGGCAGAGTGAAACGATTGATGACCTCTGCTTTAAGATCCACACGCTCGTGAGCTATTGCAGCCAGGGAACGACGTTGAAGAAGGGGACCGTGGTCATGACGGGAACACCAGCTGGTACGTGGATACTTTTGTTCCGTCCTAACAATTTCTCTTCTCTCTTTCTATACCAGGATTTATACCTTCTGCCTTGATGCTGGTTTATAGAAGAAATGCTAATCTGGTGCTTAGGTGTTGGGTACGCGATGAAAAACCCGCAATTTTTAAAGCCTGGTGATGTCGTGGAGGTCAACATCAATGCGATTGGAACGCTAAGGAACACAGTGGAATATGCATAAACTTAGATATCTAGAACAAATTCGGCGGTCAATATGTGCAGGTCATTTGATGTCGTGTCGCATCCCTTACTATCCCCTTGCAGCACGGGACTTACCACTTTCGTACATTCATCTTGAAGCTGCTCAGGGAGAAACCGACGTCACACAAACACTAGTCTATTACACTGTAGCTAGGCAACCACAGTATACAAAAAGACGTGTCTCGACATAGTCCTCTAAACTCTCGTAAACATTTGCAGTCTCATCGAATCGTGCTGCTGCCTGAGAGTTACTATTCAACACCTGTCAGCGGCTCTCGCCACCACCAACACCCACCACCGATCTCTTTCAAACGCGTGCTAGTCACCATTCGATCCACCTCTACAAATTTATGCCCCAACACGATTGTGCGCGGAAGAACTGATAACCAAGGCAACCCGTCCTTCTCTGACAGGTGAATCATCATCGTCTCATTTATGAAGAGTTATAGACATTCAAAACACCACATGGTGTGATATGTAGCGACGTCCATCGCCACTGAAGTATGTATGCTAAGATTAATCATTTTAATTGACTTGCAATGTAGTATTTCGTTCTAAACGTCACTCCTGAACGGGCTCTGCTCATCTACGCCCGCTCCGCGACTTTATAGCCATACCATCGGACTGCGAAGCGATCCCCCCCCCATTACAGAAACCATGTCTTCCCTAGAACATACGAGAGGGAACTTGTTGAATCATGAGCCAGCTGCCGAAATTGTGACTGAAGACCAAGGGCATTGCATTGTCTATCCTAGCAGAGACATCAAGCTCAAGGATATGTTCCCAGGTCTCTGGTACAATCAACCCCCAGACTACGATCCGCCGTTCATCGCCAAGCTTGTAGATCCAAGATCTCCTCTTCATGATGACTTCATATCGCTAATCAGCCACGAAGATGTCGAACCTCGGTTCACGATACTAGAAGTCATTGCGCTGGCGCTCCTCGCTCGACGCGATCGGACTTCTTCTGCCCGCGATATTGCTCGCTGGGTCTTTGAAAATATCCCTTTCTGGCGGAAGAATTGTCTCAGAGACGTTTGTGGTTACCATACTCATCAATATGATCGATTTTGTGTCAAGGAAGGTTCTCACGGAGTGAGGCTGACCTGGAACGGGTTTTTCGAGTTCTTCTGTGAAAGAAGCCTGCAAGATTTGCCATTGTGTGGAATCATACCGCTAGAGCTCCGCTGTAAGCATAATAGTGAACCATCGGATTTACTTGCGGCACAAATACCTGCAGGGCCTTACTCATTAGCACAGGATGGTTATTACCTCGAATTTGGTCAGGAGAACAAGATGTTTGCGTTCAAGCGTTTTGAGGGGTATCCAACAACATCACGGTAGGTTGACTTTCATTTGGGTTTGTCCAGTTGCTAGGCCAATGCAATCAATCTCGAGCTCTGACTTACATCTCCAGGCTTGATAAAGATCTTCCGGAAGAAGTGCTGCTCATGATCCTTCGCAGCTTACTACGTTTCCCGCGAGATCACCGTCCAGAAAACATGGACGTTTCCCGTCTCGGTACATCCGCCGCTAGGAGTTTACCAATTTGGCTCAGAATGCAGAGACCTGACAGAATTACGTCCATCTTGAGAACAAGTAAGAAGATGTATGGGCTGGGAACTATGGTACTCTACGAGGAAAACGTCTTCCGCATCCGCGGTCAGGCAGAGGCGCGACTGTTCACCGAAACGATAGGATCGCACGCGAAACGCATACAATCCGTAAGAATCGACTGGGATGGAAGAGTCATGGCTGAGTTTGTGCCTCTCTTGATTGCGCTGGGGCAAAGCAGCATTTTGTCAAGCCTGACAATGACATTCCCGCGCCGTTTCGACATGGACGCTGTGTTGAGCGTACTCGAAGATTTCCAAGGGCTGAAGGAGGTGTACCTTCCGGGTGATGAAAAATCACAAAACCACGTAGACGCTATCATCACCCCATGGGTCTCACTGGAACAAGATCTGAAGTCTACGAGGAAGACAAGAGAGACAACTGTAGGAGAGCAAGGACATTTGTACGAGCGGGAACAAATGTTGAGAGAGAGAATCGCGGGATTGAAAGGGAAGGCTTGGGGTCACAACGGACCGAGACTCGGCTCTCAGGAGCGGTATAAGTTGGAAATGAGGTTCGAGGAAAAGGTATGCTGCCGCGTCCGTGTTGTGGCGAATTTTGCTGATCAAAGTATCATCTAGGCAATGTTTTTTTGATTGGAAGTTACAGTGGTTCCTACACTAAAAGAGGATAATAAAAAGGTTAAACAAAAAGTAGACGGGCACAAAAAGCTTCAAAAAAGGAGTTTTGCTTTCAGCACCAGAGGCCAGGGATGCAATACCCGTTCTAGGCAATGTTACTTCCTGCATACCACCCATATGGAGATGATTGGAATTATATGTATGATTAGGGTTCGTAAATCGGAACCAAATTGCAGTTGCGGGGCCTTTCTGACTTGTCAGCCGTTCATCCCTGGACCTATGCGGAAAACAGATTACGGCGCTAGTGCTTGATACTGTTTGCATACTTAGTATTTGGATTAGTATACCGAAGAGATCCAGAAGAACAGAGTGGAATTTTTGAGGTTTATTTCATATATTCTGCGCTTAGCATTCGCAAGTCGGAGAGATCATGTTTGTCGAGGACAGCTAATGATCCATGGGTATTGATATGAGGAACAATGTTGATTGATTGATTGATTGATTGATTGATTGATTGATTGATTGATTGATTGATTGATTGATTGATTGATTGATTGATTGATTGATTGATTGATTGATTGATTGATTGATTGATTGATTGACCGAGTTTTGGTCATAATGCTGGGTATCTCTGTGAAGAAAGCAATATGCACCCAACACCAATATGCAGACCTGCTATCTGTGCGCTCCAAATAGAAAAAAAAAGGGGGAAAAAGCAAAAGCAAAGAAATTAACCCATCAAAAAAAAAAGCAAACTCCCGGATATGCAATCGGTGTTCCGACATCCAATCTTCTACCCATGCTCCATTCTTGCACATTCTTGTCTCCCAAAAGAAAGCACATGTCCAATATATGCCCCGCCACGCGATGACATGTCATGCCTATCCATCTGCCTGCTTACACTCACACACAAGCCCCGGATATAACACCGCAGGCAAATCCTTCCACTTCTCCTTAAAAAGCGGCTCAGCAGCACCCCTCTTCTCCTCGATTAACTTTCTCTCCTTGGTAGTTCGAGCATACACGAGATGGCCCTGCAGCCAGGGCGTCCACTCAACGTAGCCGTCATGGCTCTCGACGAGGAGCGGGGTTTCGGAGACGCCGCGAGGTGACGGGTTAGGGATCGGCTTAAAGCCCTTGGGGAGCCAGGGTGTGGGGGTTGGGGAGGTGATGTGGTGGGGGGAGATGCGGACCTCGCGGACGTGGGTTTGTGGACAGGATGGGGAGGGGGTAGTGGTGGTGGCGGCAGGCGCAGCCTTAGCTGTAGCGATATATGGAGAGAGAGCTGGAGGAGGAGGTGAGATGGTATAGCGGTCTTTCTTGGCCTTCTTGTTCTTGCCGGTGCCATGGGAAATTGTAGTAGTAGCAGCGGGGGCCCTAGAGGGAGAAGCCCAAAGGTACTCGGACAACTCTAATCTTGATCCAGAATGTATGGACTCCATGGCCGCATAGGCTGCAATATGTAGGCCAGCCTGGATAACACCTGCGTCCCTCCTCTTTGGCTCAACGCCTCCGCGCAGCGTCGTGGTGAGCACGTCGACCATCCTGTTCGCGACGACACCGGCTTGGACCTTTGGCTTCACACGGCGTCCGATGGTAAGCGGCTCCCACAAGATCTGGACATCGTAGTCACGGACATTGCTCAACCAGGAATACTTCTTGAGCAGAGTTTGGAGGTGGGCAATGTGCTTCTCGTCCCAGTGGGCTTGGTTGAAGGTCTGCGTGTTACCCTTGAAGTGAACGGAGATTTTGAGAGAGACAGCCGAAGAGTTGAGGACGTGAGAGCGGTACTCGTGGGCTTCGCGGAAGTTTTGATTTTGCAGGGAGATGAGGGATGGGAGGCCGTGGTAGGTTGGGATAAGGTGCACCGTAGTGTGGCTGCTGGTGTAGGTTTTGCGCTGGAAGGGGAGATTTTTGTTTGTTGGCGGGTTGGAGAGGGTTGCGCCGTAGAGTATGTTGCGCAGTTCTGCAGGTAGGGCTGGGAATAGCTGCAGTTGTTGGAGTGGTTGGTTCTCCCGGCCTTCCTGGTCCATTGTTCGAGCTCTTTTGGTGGAGCGGTCGGCTGGTGAGGGGCTTTGGCTCCTCTGTCTCTTCATGTTGTTGAATCTGAAAGGTTGGTTATAGGGTCTCTTGAAAAGTAAAGATGTGGTTTTCCGTGTAGGTATTTGGGCGACGAGGGTTTCGTTGTGGTGGTTGGAGGTTATTGGGGTCAAGTTGTCAGGGCGTCAAGCTCACTGGTACCCCAAGTGTGAGGTATCGTTGCTGAGGTTGGGTGACCACAAGCGACAGCGACGCAAGAACTTGCCTCCGCGCTGCTTGTTGTGTTGTTCTCGTGCAGTGTTGAATAAGACTACCACGTGTATCCAGTTGTCTATTTTGTCCTAAAAGGGCCTCCTCGCAATACCAACGTTGGGTACGCTTACAGCTCTTCACCTCGCGTTCCCCAAAAGGATTTTTGATGCTGCCGGGTGGACAACTAGCGCCAGGTACCGGTCCGCTCTGTTTATATATTGTGTGGTTCAGAATACCCTTCTAGAACGCAAAAACTATTTTCTTCGGGCGGATATCGATTTTTTTTTTACTGCAAGTGGGTAGCGGGGACGCACGTGTTAGTGTGTTGTCGGTCGGCGGATCGGACTCGGCATAATGCAGCCAGCAGAGTGCTACTTACACAAGATAGACTGCGAAGTACTGTTTAGGCAAGGTGTAACAACATGGTGGGCATATATGTTGGTTGTGTAATGTTTAATAATATCGAAATAGCTGTAGATAGTTGTGAGTCTCTTTCCACTTGAGTTGAAACCCATCTTGGTGCCATTGCATGTTATCTCGCTATTGGGGCGAACGAACAGGGCGTATAGCGAATGTTTGCATATGAACAGTGCATACCTAAAGCCTCGAAAGGCATGGCGTTTGGTGGTTAACACATTTTGTGTTCGTCTATCATCCGCGCCCTTCAATAAATGTAGGCGCGTTGCATAATAAATCTCATCAAGGCGAGCATTTAGCAGCGAGCCATCGTGATTGGTGGCAACTCGGGCGGAAAACGTAGCAAGATATAATCAATTCATGTACAAAGAGTATTGGTGGTGTACAGAACAAAATGCGATTCCTACAGCTGAGTATATGTACTCTGTAAGTGGTTGACTCATTCGTTGCTGACATCCAGTCTTTTCCTCATTCGAGCGGCACCGCCCTTCCTACAGTGAATACGAGGGCTGTGTCGAGCATAGCAGATAATATATGTGCATGGATCATCCGGGGGCTTTCGCGCAACCACAACCGAGACAATTGGCACGATAATCCTACTTGGTTGTCCATCAACATGATGAAAGGTTGTCAAGGGGTACATGCTGAAGTGGGAGTTGATATGCTTGGGTAATAGCTCTTTGATTCGTCAAGCAATTCGTGTCGTGTACCCTCTCCATGCTTCGTACGAGTGAGGAATACACGAAGATCAGAAGCTGTGCGAAGCATCCACAAGGACAAGACAACGGCTCAATTACACAAATCTTTTATTTCACCCCAACATATTCCTAATCATATTTCACTCTTTGCAAACGCCAAATCCATGCACGCCAAAACGCCTTCTGGAATAGATGCAGATCAGATGGCATTCGCCGCCGATTTTGCCTTTTCCAGCTTTCTCCTCTTCCGCCTCAGGGCCTCCGCCTCGGTATCCCGCTTGTTGGTGCCATATTCGATGCGCTTGAGAAGCTTTCGCTTCTTGTTGGACAACATCATCTTTTGACGCGCTCTCTCTTCCTCTTCCTCCTTGCGCTTCTTGTCTGCCTTCTTGCGAATGGCGGCATTCTTGGATTTGGTGGTTTCAACTTCAGGCTCAAGAGTCTTGCCGGTAGCTTCAGCCTCCAATTCCCGCTGGTGCTGCAGACGAGCAGCTTCTCCGTCCGAGATATCCGACTCTGCATCAGAGTCGAAGCCATCAAACTCATCGCCTGCGGGGGCTTCGTCGGACTCGTCGCTATCGTCGTCGTCTTCGGAGCCGTCAACATCCATACCCTCTCCCGCCTCAACTGACGAGTCACGATCCAGCAGTGCGTCGTCGACGTCGTTTCCGTCGCCAGCTACCTCCACATCTGAAACATCCTCTTCCTCATCTTCTTCTTCCTCAAAAGCCGCGGCCTCGCCTTCCGCTTCTTGCTCCTGAAGAGGAAGATTGGGGTCATACTCTCCCTTCTTGGGTTTCACCCATGGACTAAGGTGAGGCGGCAGCTCGGCGCCAGGAGCGTAAAGGTCGGGTCGTAGCAATTTGCTCTGATTGATGCAATCCCAGACCCATTGCGGCTGAACGTACGTTCGTCCTGGCATGGTGGATCGCGGCCATTGCGCCTTGGGAGCAGCGGCATCACCCGCAGTGGCTGAGGCTTCTGATGTTTCTGACAAGGGGAGTCTGTCGACGATCTGGTGGGTGATGGAAGGGTCGGATTCGTTTGTAGTGTAAGCGCCCTCGCCGAGTGCGCCATCCCAGCCAATGCGCTTGCATCCAAAGGACTTGAGGATGAACTCGAGTGGAGCCCTGGGTGTTTCTCTAGCAATATAGAATGTAAAAGGAGCGAAAAGGGAAGCAATCTCTGCATTGCTCGCTTGTGGCTGGGGCAAGACATCTGCATCAGGCGCGGTGACCTCAAACTTGTCAATTTCCTCGTTGGCCTCGTCATCTTCGTTCGGCTGTACCGGCGCGGGAGCAGCGTCATCCTCCTCAGTCTCGGGCAGAGCAGCCAACTTATCGGCAATCGCCTGCGCCTCTGGGTTGGCAACAGCGGGTGTCTCATCATCGGCGGTTGAGTCACCGTTCGCAAGCACACTTTTACCTTCCACCTGGAAAGCACTCAACTCGGCACCGTGCTCATCCATCTTGGCGTTGAACTTAGGGGGGTAGACCAGGCCAACAGATGTGTACAACCTGTAGTTGACGAAACCGAGGAGTGTGGTGTAGAACTCGATGAAAGTGCCCATGATTCTGAAATCAATGTCGCCCCCGGTTCTCTGCACGAAACGGTATGGGACCAACCACAAGATGTCCTGCCCTTGGATCGTTGCCTGGTAGTAGATGCCCTTGATGGACAGGAACGACTTTCGGAGGGAGTGCGAAACGATGACATAGTGCTCAAATTCGTGGCACAGCTTTTGGCAGAGGCTGATGGTCTTTGCGGGCACATGCTCGCTAGAAGGCAGGTTTGCGAAAAGGAAGAGCATGGAGAGAGCATCGTCGAGATCGCGAAGGGCATCGATGAATGTGGGGTATCGTTCCTTGATGATATGATCGAGCTTGAGCTTGGGGACAAGATTCTTCTCCAGGCGTGCAGCGTCTCCTGCTTCTCCTCGGCCAAGGGCGCGAGCAATCTTCTTGGATACGGCTTTGTGTTCGCGAAACTTTGCCAGAAGAGGCTCATGAAGAAGATACTGAATGTCTTTGGTGTAGTAGAAGGTGGTATTGGCAGTAGATCCCTTGGTCACCTTCTTCTTTTTGCGCGGTTCACGAGGGTAGATTCCCTTGAAAATGCATAGTCGGCGAAAGTCTGGCAGTGAAATCTGCAGCTTCTTCACCGCGCGCGTTCTCGTAATGTAGTTTTTGGCGGCGCCGGAGGTTCCTTCAAGAGTTAGCACATGAAATCCTCAGATTCGTTGTAGCTTCGAGCTTACCTTTCTTCTTAATGCGCGCCATCTCGACTGATTGAAGCTGAATGCACAAGTTCCTCAGAAATCGTTGACCTCGGCGGGGACAGAAAAAAGTTATGGCCCGCTGAATAGGCGTGCAGGTTCTTCCAGCCCGGCGCTAATCCCGTTGGGGCAGCCTCTTCTCCGCCAATCAACGCTCAAAGCCGCCGATTGGCGTCCGTGTCAACATCCAACTCCACCCACGATTGAAAGTGCTGTGGTCTATCTGCGTGTCTTGATATATGTGGATGGCTGCCATTGCGTCCCACTCTCATCATGTTTACGTATGATCGGGCTGTTCTTTTTGGTGCTGCTGCTGCAGTGCGACTTTTCCTGTTCACTGCGTTCCCCTCATTACCCAACCTGCTAGCTGGTCGTGTCGAGGTGTCCACACCAGTAACAAGTTTCAAAAGGCGTACGTCAGATCAAGAAATAGCCATTCTTTAGGCACTGGCAACCTCATACTAAATACATCGCAGTTCAAGAAGGCCTATTTCTCTACTCCCACAACGTGTCCCCCTACGATGGCGGCGTATACCACCAGGCGCCCCTCCTACTTCCCTTGTTTTCCCTCCTGCCAAACCCATCCTATCACCCTCTCGCGACCAACCTTCTGTTCATTGTGGTGGACCTTCTAAGTGCCTATGCACTCGTTCAGATCGCCAGCAGTGGCCAGGCGTCCGTCACACGCTTCTTCAAGTCCACGCGGAAAGACTTGCGATGGACCAATACCGCCATTGCGGCAGGGTATGTTGTCCATGCCAGACAACTGTAGAACTTGGGCTGATCATGACCAACAGCTTCTTATTCAATCCTTTCACGTTCTTGACATGTCTTGCCCGCTCGACTTCGACCTTGAGCAATCTGTTCATCCTCACTGCCATGGCCAAGGCATGCCAGGGAGCCAGCGTCACCTTCCTACTTGCCCTCTCTTTTGCTTCTTATCTTTCCATGCATCCCATCATCCTCTTTCCTCCTCTTCTAGTGCTGCTATATGACGCTCGTGCCATGAGGACGAAATCCACCGCCAATCCCGTTGCATTTACCGCGATACACACTGTGGCTCTAGCGGGGATGATCGGTGCTTTGCTTGGTGTATCTGCACTTTTGACTGATTCATGGGATTTTTTGGCATCGACCTACGGAGTTCGACTTCTTCTGCCAGATCTCACGCCCAACGTGGGGCTGTGGTGGTATTTCTTTACTGAGATGTTCGATTCGTTCAGAGAGTTTTTCCTGGGCGTCTTCTGGCTGCATGTCGTGTCATATGTGCCTGGGCTGACCATTCGGCTCCGCAAGCAACCGCTCTTCGTTGCCGTCACTATGATCGGGATCTTTTCCATCTTCATACCATATCCCAGCATCGCGGATGCAGGCCTATATCTATCCCTGATTCCTCTCTTCAATCACCTATTTCCTCGTAAGTTGATCTACTTGCCTTTGCTCAATGGCGGCTAACAAGATTGAAGATATGCGATACACGTTCTTCGCGCTCGCAAATACCATGTACGCTTCGTTTCTCGGTCCCGCATTCTACCATCTTTGGATATATGCTGGTTCGGGCAATGCCAACTTTTTTTATGCAATTACATTGGTATGGAGCTTAGGCCTTTCCATCATCGTCGGAGATTCTGTATACGCTGCATTGCGAGATGAACTGGATGTTGAACGACCAGATTTGCGTGACAAGGAGGTTATACGGATATAGCATTGCGTATAGCCTACGTTGGTTTGCAGTTATAGGTAGCGCCATATATGATTTTTTCATACTGAACCAAATACGTATTGCAACTTTGGTATCCTGTGTAGTTCTGCGATGCCCTACAGCTTTTTTTTCTTGGTATAGGTAAAGTATACGTTAAACGCCTCACTTAACTTGTACAATGTTACATTCCCAAGCAGCGCAAAGCTACTTAAGGTAAGACCAATGAATAGGTTTGTTATTGCCTATTCTTGTGCCTCTCTTGTAAGCGATCTTTGATGATTGATAATTTGGAGTTGGAGTTAGGGGTGTTCCTGCACATTGTGATATTTACGACGATAAGATCCTGGAAAACACGCTATAAAAAATACAAAGTGAATTATGCCTTCGCGGAAGCAGTTGTCTCTCAATTATTGCAAAAGCAGGGATCGAGAGGCCACTCGTAAGCAAATCTTTGTGTCGCAATCACATCAGTTCGTAGAGTTTTACATTGCGGAAAGACTGAGATAACACAATTATGAAAACTTATCAAACAGCTATAAGAAAAACGATACGACGAGCAGGTGCTCGAAGACTTTGCCTATATTGCTATAACCAAGATCGCGATGAGGTGAGTGGAGGAAAAGAAGGCATCTATCGCGGTTCACTTCTTCGGCAATGTCGATGTCATTACCATGTATAAAGATCAGACATATACGAGAGTGAAATTCCTCTATACTTTCATATTCACCTTCACTGCTGCGTGGATAAACCCCAGTGCCAAGCACTTTCCTCTCCTTCGTCTCCTTCGCTTTCACCTTTACCTGCTAGCGTCCTCCCACTGCGGCCCATAAAAGACTCGCAGCCCCCCACGAGCTCTCTTATTCTACACCTACAACATCAATCTACCCCCGGGTAAGAAGCAGTCAACCATCTATATCTACGTTACAACTCCACATCGAAATCTCCATTCAACTCATATCTACCATGTCCGACCCTACGCCCCTGAAGTTCACAGAGCGCGAGACCGAGTTGCTCGCGGCAACTTGGCGTTGTTTCGAAGGCGGCTTCCCGAAGGTTCGTACTGCTGAAAGGAGGTCAAGAAATCGATTAACGCGAATCATTCAGGTCAACTTCCCCCAACTTGCTGCCATGACAGGCTACACTGAGGGATCGGCAAAATACGCCCTTGGCCAGCTCAAGACAAAGCTGAAGAAGCACAACGAAGCTATCAGCAACGGCAATGGTAACGGCAATGGCAGCGGAAACATTAAAATCAACGGCAACAACACTGGCAAGACGAGCGCAAAGACTCTCAAGACGACCAAGCAGACATCAACCAAGCCTGCATCCTCCCGCGGCAAGCGCAAGTCTGACGAAGCCGCCCTCGATACTTACGACGAGGTCTACGTCAAGAAACAGGCAACGGTAGAATATCCATCGTCTGGCACCCACGAGGACGTCATTGATGAGATCAACGACACACCCGTTATCAAGGACGAGCCATTGGTTTGAGGCTGGAATTGGGGGAGCACATGTGAATGTCTAGGAATAATTTACAGCAAGTTTGGGCGAGATTCATCCAGTCGATGGCTTTGATAATACTGGATTGGGATTTCTTTTCTTCATCCTCGATGGCTAGCTAGGTTGGTGGGGAAATGAGCTGGAGGGATTCCAGTGCACCTACCTAATATCACTTGAAGGATGTGGCCGTTAAAAGGGATATTGGGGACGAAACTAAGCTGCAACAAATGAGAATACTTGTTCTGTGCTCTTTTATCTTACTTGCAACGTGACCATCACTCTGAGGGGTACTGAAACTTACGGGTGGCACAATTGTTCATCTTCATACTCACTTGTATTTCTTCCTGGCTCTTCATCTCACTTGCGTTTCTTACTGTTTGCCCTATCCCAGTACCCCGCACGTGTATAAATACTGTCTCCCGTCCCCGTGCTTTCTTCTCTCCTCCACCTCACACTCTTCCTACTTTCCACTCCCGCCGATCTCTCCTCCACCTCCACCCGAAGCAACCCACGTCAGAACCAAATCTGCATTGAACACACAGCAGCCAACCACTACCAAACACCATCAATGGCTCTCTCTTCTCGTGAGATGGAGGTGCTGGCCATGGCCTGGCACTGCATGGATCAAGAGCCGAAAGTACGCCAGACCCGCCTCCCTCCACCCCGCCAACCTGCAGTTCACTAACACATATTTCTTCCAGGTCGATTTCCAGAAGTTAGCTAATCTAGCCGGCTATAAGACCAAGGAGGTTCGTCATCACATAAATCATGGGCGCACATCACGACTTCCCCCATACATACTATTCCTACCTGCGACGCCTCTACAAAAGACCCTAGGATCAACTAACCACGAATTCAGTCCGCGGGCGTCACGTTCCGCAACGTGATGAAGAAGATAAAGAACTCGGTCCCCACTCCTAGCGGCGGTATGTAGAAGCCCCCCATTCCCGTTACCTTCCTCGAAGCTACGAACACACTTCGACTGACACCCTCCCAAGGTACCGCATCCGTTCCCGCCACCCCCAAGAAGCCAAAGACGCCGACCACCAAGACGCCCAACACCAATGGAGCTGGAAGCAGCAACAAGCGCAACACTTCCAAGGCTTTCTCCAACAACCTCGCTGATACTCCTTCCAAGTCTCAGAAGCGCAGCACCACAGCTACCGCTCGCGCAGACGAGGAAGGTTCTGGCACGGACTTTGCGCTCTCAGAGGGTGAGGAGGAGCTTAAGATCAAACGACAGCTCAAGAGGGAGGTCTTGGATGCTGGCCGCGATAACGGCAGCTTCATGAAGGAACTGGAGTCCCAGCATGGTTCGGATATCTGAGGTGGGGGATTTCTGGCTCTTGGAAAATGAGTGCTGTGGTATCTTTCTCGGATTGCATTGTACCGAGTGCCCTTTCATGCATTTCCTCTTCAAGGTTTGGGTGTATTTCCCGTGGTATGATATGGCAAGGATGGGGGAGTAAACGGGAGTTCGAGGATAAATCTTGGACTTTTCCAATCTGGCCTCTTCAACTTTTGCCTTGGAGACTGGCGTTTGTTACGAGTTGCATATGCATGACAGGCAATCGGGAGAGATATCTTTCCACCATTGTCTATGCTCGAATACTTCCTGTACCTTTGGCCGGTACAACGATGACAAAATCAATCATACTCTTCTTCAATGTTCAACTCTCTGCTTCTCATACCTGTTCCCGTACATTTGACATTTTCTTCCTTCAACACCCCCGTGGAGAAGCAAACAGAAGAAATACAAGTTGCGTACGTATCGCCCATGTCCATGGGTGTGATTGCACACACATACACATGATTCACCGATCTTAAAAATTACAGACGTCATCGTTTGCCATGAGCAGCTGTGTGGTGATTCCCTCTTGAACATGACGAGAATTTGATCATATGCTTCTCCGCCACTATCCACGATCCATGTCCCTATTGACCGTCATAATCACCTCAGAAATCACGATTAAGTCCCTTATCATCACAGCCATGTTAATGTCCACGTATTCATGCGTGTTTTGTGACTCTCTCTTCCTCACACATGAATAATGCTCTACTTGAGAAACGAAGCGAACAACAGCCTCCACTCCCAACCTCTCTATCCCGCCAAGAATCGCCTTAAATGTCACCAAGGAACAAGCTTTCGCACTCACGATTGCGTTATATCAATAACAATTATATTTCCAACACTAGATATGATTTGATAACAACGACGCTCGAGAGAGACATGCGCTATACTACTTTGACCCAACCATCCAACTCCTATATAAGATCCTAAGAGATACCCAAGAGAAGACTTCCTTTGGCGTACATGGAAGAAGAAGAAAACAAAGCGCACAAAGTATGCCCGAACGCTGGAAAACGAAGCTTGATCTAATATTGCATACTTGGCCCACAAACAAAACCCGATAGATTGTACGCATGCAGTCGCTGCTCAAACGAGATGAGAAAAAGGGCAGTGCCAGCGGTAAAGGCAGTGCCCGAGAAAGAATGTGAGATTTAGATTCACAAAGCGGCAATGGCTTCCCTCAACACATCCAGCGTCCGTTCGCCGACGCCTTCCAAGCCTTCCCTCAGCACCCACGCCAAGTCGCTCTGCAGGCCGAGCGGGACGTACACGCCATCCTCTCCTTTGCTGGACTCTAAACGCTCACCTAGTCGAGAAGTGTGCTCCCACTCTCGAGCAGCCACTTCGGCGTTCTCAATGACTTTGCTAGGGATGCCGCACATGGCAGCACAGTGCATACCAAAGCTGCCCTCAGCCACACCTTCTTCGAGCTTGTAGAGGAAGGTGATGGATTTTGATTCATCGTCGACGTGGATGCGCATTCGCTTGTTGCAGATTTCGGGGTGGTATTCGAATTCCTTTGCCAGAGAGCGGTAGTGGGTTGCGAAGAAGCCGACACAGCCAACGCGAGAGCTGATATCGTGCAATACAGCCTGGGCCACTGCGACACCGTCGTATGAGGACGTGCCACGGCCGAGTTCGTCGAGAATCACGAGTGAGCGTGGCGTTGCCTCTGAAAGGATTTTCTGAGTTTCCGAAAGCTCGACGAAGAAGGTCGATTGGGAGGCAAAGATATTGTCGTTCGCTCCCAAACGCGACATGATGCGATCAATGGGAGTCAGCGTAGCAGATGTGCAAGGCAGATAACATCCGACCTGGGCCATGATGACCGCAATACAAGTCATACGTAAAATAGTCGACTTTCCAGCGGCGTTGGCACCGGTGAGTAGATCGATGTTTGGAGATTCACCACCGAGTCTGATATCATTAGGAATGAAGTCGTCCACAGTGTTGAGCATGCAGGGATGTCGGAGCTCCTCAAATTCAACAATGGTCCGTTTTGCCTCGCTGAAGGTTGGTCGGCAGCTTGGTTCGCCCAGTGAAGCAGACGCTTTTGCGAGACTGATCAGACAATCGAGCTTAGCAATAATCTTGACGGCAGCGAGCCAGGTCGCATAGTCCACATCGAATTTGGCGCAGAACCGGGTTGCAACCTCTCGAAGGCGTTGTCCATGCGTTTCCCTAGCCTCTTGCAGGGCCCGCACTAGCTTGCGCAATTCGGGAGTGTAGTATCGGGTGCACTTGGCTGTAGCAGACATTTGATCAAAATGCTTAGGCACCTTGACTTTTTTAGGTACCTCAAGCTGATAAATTTCTTTACCAATGTCGGTGAAACAGATGGCTGATGACCCCAGAGACTTCCGAGTCTGTTTCAGAAGCTCCTCGAGATTGGCGACACACTCGTCAACCTCCTGCTGGCTCTCGTCGAACTCTTCTTCAACTCCAGGAGCAGGGACTAGGATACCTTCCGACTTGGCTAGGTTACGGTCGAATGCATCCTTCCATTGCTCCAGAGCACCGGCGAGATCAGGCATAGAGGAGATGAGTTGGCCAATGACGCCCTCACCGTCCCCGAACTGTTGGAGCATACTGACGGTGTACTCGATTTGCTCAAACCCTTCTAACACCTTCAAGAAGTCTTGGGCTTTGCAACGGCCAGCGTGAACCCGGGAGATCAAGCGTTCCAAGTCAGGGAGCTTACTTAGAGACGATCTGAAGTTGTTCGTAATACTGGTATCCGCGTTCAACGCATCGACAGCGTCGAGACGCGCATTGATTTCGTTCGCGTCGGCCAGAGGATGGCAAACCCATTGCTTCAAGAGTCGCTTGCCGAAAGGAGTTATACATCTGTTCAGCATCGCAAACAGAGTGCCTTCAACTCCACCGTCGAAGGTATTGGCAAATATTTCAAGGTTGATCAAGCTTTGCCCGTCGAGAACCAAGCTGGTCAGCTTGCGGATCGGGTCATACCATTCAAAGTTGCCGAGAGTGATCAAATCACGTTCAATCTTGAGTCCACGCAGGTAATGAAGCAGAGCACCAAACGAAGACATGACCAGCTCTTGTTCACGGGCTTCACGGAGCACTGACGGCCACGCGTCAATGTTGGCATCAGTTGAAGACTCAAAGTATTTGGATACTTCGATCTCTCTCATCGTGCTATCGGCGGTCCAGAATTCGGCCGGTTTCAAATAGTTCCATACCGTGGTTGGCCCAGTATTGTTCTTCAGTATCCGCAGAGCCTTTGCAGAGAGGCAAGATTTTTCCATAAGTAGCTCGCCGGGTCTGATCTGTGCAATGAGTGTTTCGAATTTGGTTAGATCGATATCGTCGATGAATTCACAAAGCTGAAACTGTGCGGTAGCACAATCGACGAATGCTATGCCAAAAGTAGGGAGATTATCACGTTCCATCTCCTTGATGGCCATGCAATATGTGGACATATCGCCTTGAAGCATACCGGGATCGACCAGAGTGCCTGATGTAAGAACTTGCGCCAGCTCACGGTGTATCACTTTGTCAGCTTTAGCACTGCCTTTCGTAGGCCCCGTCTTGCCATCGCGCTCCCGCATTTCCTTTGCGAGCGCTGACTCCATTTGGTCGACCCTGGCGACTTTGTACCCTTTGGCAACGAACTGACTGGCCCACATATCAAGTGAAGCCTCTGGCACGCCGACCATGCACATATTGACACGGTCAGTCAGCTTGAGGTCAAACAGCTGGTGGCCAATCACAGCATCTTTTTCGTATAGTTCATAGAACTTTCCCTTCTTGAAGAATACAATCGTGTCCCAGAATTTGCATTTTATGTCCCAATATTGTTGTTCAAAGCTGGAGAACTTTGTTCCTGGTGGAATGTACAGCGTGCGCGGATCGTAGTCTGGGTGATCAGGGGGTCGTCGATCGGCATCTAGGGGGTGTGCAAGCCATGTATGCCTCTCTGTAGGCTCGGAGGCGGAAGCTTTCTGTTTAGCCAATCTTTTATCTTTCTTGATCACCTCAGTAGCCAGTCGAGGTGAATATAATGGCTTCAGGTTTTCCGGATCATACGTCCACTGCTGAGCGGTTGATGTGCTGTTTGCCATTGCAATATCCTCGTCTTTCTCGTCGTCTTCGTCCTTAGGCGCGAGTGGTGGAGAGGATCTCAGCGGTGATTTAGCACTGGACTTTGTCGACTGCGGTCGCTTTCTCTTCTTGGAGACGGGAACATCTTCGTCGGAATCGTCGGGAGCTATAAAGTCGTCCAGGTCTATAAATGCGTCAGTTCACTCTTCTCAGAACCCATAAACAAATATGCACATACCGTCTTCGAGAATAGCCTGCTGGGTAGCATCGTCCAGCCCAAACTCGTCATCAGAATCGTCTGAAACCACTTTCCTTCGCTTGAGCAACCTTCCCTTCCTAGCACCGTTGGCGATGGGCTTGAATACATCGTCTTCGTCTTCATCATCGTCATCTGATTCGGCATAGTTGACTGTCTTCTTTGCCTACAAACCAAATTAGTCGTGGACCAATGCGTCAGGAGTCGGTAATGTGACTTACCTTTCTAGAGGGACTGCTAGCTGCAACACCAACACCTTCTACCAGCACTTGATCAGTAGTGTAATCCAAAGTTATTTACGAGTTCAACGAACCATTTTCCTTATTCTTGCCCGACGCAGTATCCTTTTCCTGTTTAATTGGGCTCGATGGCAGCACCGGGTCGCTGCTCGGCTGTGGCGTGAGGTCTACGTGGGCTTTGCTGAAAGATTTCGATAGGGTCGATACGGGACTCTGTTGCTTGACTGTTTTTGAGTCGGAAGGGGCGGGACTGGGCGAATTGGTAGACTTCTTCTGGAAAAACCCCAAGATGGATTTTTGGCCTTTCATGGATTGTGACCCAGAGGCGGGCTGCTTTTTCTTCTGAGATGAAGATTTAGGAGTCGACATCTCGTTGCCTTCTATCCCACGAACCATTGTGAATCGTGAGAGAATGGGGGACTGAAAAAGTGGGAAAAAGTGTTTGGGAGTTGTGTTCACGGTCGGGAGCGTCGATGCACCATCCACCGCACGGGTCGCAAAGGCGTTGGACGCGACGCGAAGCGCGATAGAGCGGTGGTCTGTGCGCTTGGGAATGACATAACGCCATTCGCCCCATGTCACTTACGCGTCTCCCGCTACCCTTCTTTTTGTTCTGATACCATGTTGTTCCAATATTACCTTTCAGCATTCAAAGAGAAAATGCCGTTATTATAGGTTTCCTCATGGCCACAATTTTCTACACTGACTCCAAGAACACCCCGTTGCCAGCAACCTAGGTAACTGCTGTTGGGTGTCGCGGAGGTCCAACAGCTTCCAATCATACATACATAGAAAGTGGACCTATGAAAAAAGAGAGAGGAAAAGGCAGAAAAAGAAAACCAGCCGAAGTAACCAAGCGTATCAGTTTCGTGAATTTCGCTGGAAGATCATCCTCTGCAGCTTCAACACACTGAAATCGGGCACCTTCTATGATAATCTTCAAAGTATGGCTACAAACATTTGACAACATGAGGGAGACGAAGGGGGCGTTGATTGCGGGGACCGCTGTGGGCTGAGTATCGACTGATGTTGACGTGTTTATGGCGCCGACACAAACTCAAGCCCCACCAACTACGAGGGGTATTTATCAAAGGAAATGAGTATGTATTGAAACACAGGCGGTAAGAGATTTTTTGTAATAGCTTTCAATTGGAGAGGTATTTAGACAGTTCATGAATCATTCGTTATCTCACATTCAAGTCGAAGAAGGATCCCAGCAGATCGGTCCCGACATTCCGTTTCCTATCCCCGATGATGGCTCTCAGGCTGCATCATCAAATCCAAGGGGATTTCATATCCTCCTCCACCTTGTCAAAGAAAAAGACACAAAGTTGTGCACGTTCGAACGCCGCCTTATTCGCCCCTATCTTTTTTCCAGAGTGGAAAGACAATAGGCAGCATGTATGCATTCGCTTAAACGTCAATGGCATCGACGGTCACGCCCTTGACCCAGGTGTACTGCATCACGCGAGCGACTTCCAGAGCCGACTCGTGGGAGACCAGCGAGCCCACCAGGTACAAGCTGGCGTCGAGACCGGCAGTCACGCCGCCCGTGGTGATGACACGCATACCACCGAGCGGCAGAGCTGCACGCCGAGCGATGGACTCGCGGCGACGAGACTCCTTCCAGGCGTTGGAGCCCTTGCGGGCAAGGGACTTGCGGCGGGCACCGGCGGTGTTCTCGCCCTCTTCTTTTCCATCACGGGTCTTCTTGACGATGTAGGGGTTCTAGAAGGGATAGTCAATCAGTGACTGAAGGAGTATCATAGCGGACTGAGGATCACACATACGTTGTTGGGGTCTTCACCCAGGTCAAAGCGAGCATTGTTGACCACATAGCGCTCCTCCATGACGTCGGTGCGCATGGAGAGATCGCGGGAGGAAGCTTCTTGACAGATGGTCTCGAGGCGGGTGTAGTAGTCAGGGTGAGTGGTAGCAGCAAGGCCTTCGAGCATGCCCTGCTGGGCGAGCAAGAGGGAACCCACGTCAATGGCGAGGATGGTACGCTCTTTGGCCGGGTTCTTCTCCTGGAGCTCGACGTACTTGGTGAGGAGGTTGAGTGGCTCCGACTTGTTCTTGAGAACCTCGAAGACGCCGTCACCACCAGGGACGATGATGACGTCGAAGTCCTCAATCTCGTCGTTGGCATCGTCGTAGTCCATGTCAGCCTTGATGGTGAGACCCTGGACGGAGGTCATGGCAGCACCGGGACCAGCGAACTGAACCTCGAAAGCCTTGGTGGCTGCAAAGTAGAGTGTCAACAAAGCAAAGGAACACTCGAAGGCAAGCACATTGGCAGGGGCATTCTGGCAAAGATGGCAGGGGAGGAACTAACACTTATCCTTTGCATCGTGAAGCGAGCGGCTCAGAATCTCGAGAGGGCCAGCTACGTCGAGGGTGTTGTAGCCCGGGTAGAGGGTGAACAAGACCTTGATGACCTCAATAGGGCCATCGTTGCTGTCGGCAATTGCACTCATTTTGACCGTAGGATGGATTGGTGTGAAAGGAAGAAGGGAGAAGGTAGGCAGGCAGAAGATTGGAATGGGTGGGAAGTGGTGGATGGATGGATTCAAGTGAGTCGTGTGAGGGTGATGCGAGGTGAGGTGAGGTGAGGAGGAGGAGGTGGTCTGGTGGGGTGAGGAGGGGCATATACGACTACCAATGGACTATTATGTGCTCTGCTTGGGTTTGTACGTACTACAGGTACATACTACCCAAATAGCACAGAGCTTGGAGCTCGGGCCCTTCCCCGCATTCCAGCCAGGCAGGCCAGCTGCATTTCTGGGGCAGCCCACGCTAAAAGGATGCTCCCGTGACATGCCATGACGCCGAACGCTGCTCCCAGACATGCACCCAAGTGGAGACGACAACACTTGGCCGATCCCGACAGGGGCGAGGCAACTCACCCGAGCCCTTGAAGCAAAGAGGAACGAGGAACACGACCAAGACGAACATTCGAACAACTGATGGCTGGCTTGAGAGTGCTTGGATCCATCCCCTCAGTCCACAGGCCTGGGCATCATCCCACCAACAACTTCCCTTGCACCCTCTCCCACTCTGATGCTCCAATCGTCCATGGCCCCGCGCTTACTCTTCACTTTATCCACCTCTCGCTGCCATCGACGATGATCCTGGTCTGGAGAGGTTACTGCACTGGCCATCTTCTCTGCCCATTCCGAGATCAGCAGCCAAAACCGCTTGAATATCGAGTCCTCGTCGGCCAATTAGAGTATATTCAGGTCACGCCGCTCGAGCGTGGTTGATCCCCGTGTTGAGACGTTGTCGTTGGCTGTTGCCGGTTGCTGCTGAGTCAATTCATGATGTCACGCAGCACAGCAGAGTGTGAGATATAGTAGCAAGGAAAAGAACATTTCCGAGATTTTGTTTTCCAATGGAAAAACACCGTTGCTGGGCGCTGGTTCAGCTGCAGAAGTAGTTTATGAACAACTTCCAGGGGCAGCTTGGAAGATGCTGAATAGCCCAATTCAGTGATGCTCCCATGTTTGTTTTGCCCACGGTCAGACGCATTGGTCTCCAACGTTTGTAGATGAATACCTGAACTGACAAAGTCGGCCGCGAAATTGAACGAGCAACCCATATCTAGTGATTTCAATCCTTTCGTCCAACTATAACAAAGCTATTCTCGCATCATCTTCGACGTGGAAGTCCAATGTTAGTACAAGGTGGGATGATGATGATGATGATGATGCTGTGAACATCAATTGATTGAATTCAAGGGTCCAGCTATGCCAAGACCGAGCACCTCGAAAGTCGAACGAACAGCTAGCCATTACCACCTGCACCGCAACATGACAACACCCAGAGGTGCCGATGCGCCTCTTGAAACAGAGATATCAGAAATCGCTTCTGTATCCCCTTCCCCATCATCCACCGAAACTGCCTCAAGTCCAACGACGCCCCCCGAATCCCCCCAAAGCCTCTGGCTGCGCCGATCTGTGTTACTCTCCTTTTGGGCTGTAGCGCTTCTTCTGGGCCTTCCAGTATGGTGGAAGACGACAGCAATCTACAGGTCCGACCTGCCTTTGCAGGCCATGTCCGACTGGGCTGAGGGAAAGGTAGCCCGCTCTTCTTCCTTCTGGCCACGTACAGCCCTTCTAACGCCAAACTCCAGGTTGCTAAACCCGTCTTTCCCCTACGCATCGCTGTGGAAGCCCCCGTCCTACCCCAAGACGCACATAGCCTCGTCCAAACGACCCAACATGCCCTCGACGATCTGAACGACTTCTCGGCCCATCAATTACGCCTCATGCTGGTGGACCCTCCATCTACAGGCAATGCCTCGCAGCAAGTCGTCATAGACGGAACACGGAACACTGGTGATGATAAGGACACTGCTTTGCTGGTCAGGCTGATTCCTGTCGAGACTGGGAAGACGCCTAGGTCATATCTCCACCCGTATTCGTCCACGCTGAACGTGTATTATGCCCCGAGCCACATGTCAAGTGTCTCATCAACAGCTTCTCCGCTGGCAGCCTTCATAGCTCGCGAGTTGCACAGTGTTTACGCAGAAGAGCAGGCCCAACTGGCACACCTGCTTTCGGTCTCTGGCGATCACAACGCCAAAGTGCATTCGCTATCCCCGGACACCGCGGCCGAGCTACAACGCCAATCAACTAGGGTGCTGAAGTATGCACCCACCTATCATTTGACCTTCTCGTTGTTCACGTCTACGTCAATCCCTTCAGCCTGGGACATCGAGGCGGCCCTGAGGCAGTATATGGCTCCGCTGCTCGAGTCTTTCTCGACCATCAGCAACTTTACCATTGACACCCAGGTTCAGCTCTACGCGACGCTGTCTCCGTCCTTCCCACCTCCAGAGTACGATGAAACTATGAAAGCGTGGACCCTCAGAAACGAGGACTTGAGCGGGTTTATCAACGCTGCCGAGTGGCCCCTCAGCCCCAGTATTGCGCATGGCCCTACTGTCAATTTCGCCCTCTACGTTCCCGAGCAGAGCAAGTCTCCACTGTTGGTCAAGGACAGTGGAGCGAACAGCTGGCTGGTACCCCAATGGGGCGGAGTTGCTATTTTAAACCCTTCTTCGTCCGAGCAAGATGCAACTCCTCTGTCGGCTCTTTCCAAAGAAGCCCTTGCGCCAGCCATGCAGACGTTTTCGAATCAACTAATTTCGTTGCTTGGCCTACCTCAAACCCCCGCTTCCTTGCCATTGCGGCTATCTACACTCGCGCGTATCCGTGCTGCTTCGCTAGTTTTTTCTGCGTCTTCCACTCTCGGTGCCCTGGCCCAGGTTTATCAAAAATTACCAAATATCCCCGTTCCAGACACAGTAGCCCAGTCCGTGAATCGTGCTTTGGATCATCTACAGCTAGCCTGTGATGAACTTCGGGATGGCCGTTTTCAGGGCGCTCTTGAGCACGCTAGAATCGCTGATGGGGAGGCTGAGAAAGCATTCTTCGAACGGTCTATGGTAGGTCAGGTCTACTTCCCGGATGAGCATAAGGTTGCTGTATATATGCCGCTCCTGGGACCAATTGGGGTGCCTTTATTCATGGCCATGTTGAAGGAGATCAAGAACGAAATCACAGCATTCAGAAGAAGACGTAGTGCTACATGAGCCTCATCGCTTTCTTGGAAAAAATGATGAAGAAATCGTCATAGAACAAGATATTTGGTGGCACGGTTGCAGTGAATGACTAGTCATGGACTGTTTTCATGCAGGCTAACTGCATGCTCTTGCTGTATCAGCGGCACTGTCCCCCAGTTGCGTACCGATCTTCTTGCTATTTCCCGAAGTCGGAGGCATGAGCAAGGCCCAAGTTTCTCCTATGTGGCCAGGGATCCCACACCGATCTGTTTCTCACATAGCCTGGAACATAAACAGACACTGGTGTGCCTCGTATCCTTATATCGCCGCAGGGCTCGCCTATTTCTCACCTTTTCAGTCTTAGAATGGCCTGCTATCTGGACCGATCTGTATATACTCATATGTACCGTCTGAGACAACTGAGAGTTCTCCAGATTGGTGATTTCTTGTTATTCACAACCAATTCCCTACTTCGTAGTTTACCCCTAAGCATGCCGATGACCGTCGCTGGGAACTTCAATCCAGCACCATGCACATGAATCCTTCTGAAATGTGTAAGATCTAATCTCGACAGTTGGTTTTTGCACTTGGACCCTTGTGATTGGAAAATTGGGTCCTGCCGCAAGAAGTGGATCCCACACATTTGCACTGACATCTTTGCAGAAATCCCAGGGAATAAATTTTCGTTTATTTCCGACCCCCAGAGTACCCCTCCATATGTGCACACAGACATCACAAATAGCAGGCCTGGCTTCGGCACTTAGCATTCCTCTTCCCAGTGCATCAAGCTCAACGAAAGAGTTGATTTTGAATCGAAAGCACTAGAACGTCAACATGTGTGTAGCATCCGTTTGACCGGAAGGGAACAATACGAAACGCTAATGTGAGTGCATACTGCCTACGATAAGTTTAAGTTGGCGACTAGTAGGAGTGACAGATTTCAGTGACCGATCTCACGTATATCAAACGAGTGTTAACGTCTCATGTTTGATTTCATGACCGAGAGTCTTCGTATCTCTGCCCGAGAACTAGCTGAATGGTAACTAACAATTAGATAAAGATTTTGTATGAATTGACATCCAAGGATGACAAGAATCTACTTGACAGTGTGATCAGGCAACCAGCCTAAGATTGTACTAGTAGCGAAATCTAAGCTTTAGACATGCATATAACTGGGGATCAAGTTATTACCCGACGATGATGCTGACTGGAGATCTGGCTTTTGACTACTTGTAGCTACCGTCATTGGTAGCTGAGACGATTCGTCCGATGATTGTACGATAGTACCCGCTTGAACAATTGCTAGATGTCCCCTCATCTCCGACCGTGTCCACTTTCTACACCGCGTAGTCCCGACTATAAGTATACGAACGTGTACCACATCTAGCCCTCCTATTCTACAAACATAGCTCCCCTAGCATAACGATTGCCTATAACCCGATATCCCCATTGTGACTTTCTTTCCGACCAACCAACGAATCGTACCTCACAATGCCCATCTCGCCCGCTGCCAAAGACAGCATCAAAGCCACCCTCGATGGCGTATCATCCCAAGGCACAACCGGCATAAACGGTCTCGTCTTCCTCGCCGTCGACAAAACGGGTGACCACCTAGTCTCTCATGCAAGCGGAACGCGTTCCATAGACTCCAAGGACCCCATGGATCTCGACACCGCCTTTTGGATGGCCTCCTGCACGAAACTCTTCACGTGTATCGCGGTGCTGCAGCAAGTCGAGGCTGGCAAGATTCCCCTCGATGATGCCGATTTTGTGGGGAGCGTTGCACCAGAGATCAAGGCAAAGAAAGTTTTTGCGGATGGTGTGACGCCCAAGGATCAGGAGAAGCAGGTTACTATGAGGATGTTGTTGTCTCATACCGCTGGATTTGCGTATTCTTTCATGGATCCTAGAGTGTATGTATATCCTAGATTTTCAGTGTCTTTTTGTGGAGATAATCTGAGCTGCATGCGGTTGCGCAAGGCAGAATTTCGAAAAACGCGCCCGGATGTAAATGCTTGGACTTCGCTGACTTTTTATCTTTGCGAGCTTAGGCAAGGGATAGACGAGTTCGTAGGAGACGAAGAGCAGATTCTCAAGAGCCCCATGGTCAACCAGCCTGGGTCGATGTGGGAGTACGGAGTAAGTTTCCCCTGCAAGTTCACACGGCCTTGGTCTCAAAAGAATGGAACGGACGAAAGCTAGAAACGTACCGCAAATGCTATATTTTCTAACCATCGGGTGCAGGTTAGCATGGATTGGGCCGGCATCATCCTCGAACGAACTCTCAACACGAAGTTGGGGGACTACTTCCAACAACACATCTTCACACCCCTTCAAATCTCCACGATGACGATGTTCCCGTCTGCGTCTACGCTCTCCAATCTTGCTCAGTGTATGTACACTTCCCATCCCCTCTCCTAGTTCTTATACCTATAAAACCCCTGAAATCTCTCCCTTTGCAACCCCATTATCCTACTCATTCCCGTTTGAATCCTATCATTAACAAGCCCCGCAGTCCACCAACGTGACCCCACAACTCAAACCCTCGCCCCACGACCACACTTCTACGAATCCGCCCTCACTTCCAACACCTCCCCAGAGGAAAAGCGGAAAAACGTTTTCCAATCCGGTGGCGCGGGACTCTTCGGCGCACCAAAGGACTTTGCGAAAGTGCTAGCGACGCTTCTCAACGATGGCACGAGTCCCGAGACCGGGAAACAAATTCTCAACAAGGAGACGGTAGAGTTGATGTTTGAGAATCAGATTAAGGAGTTTCCTGATTTTGCTAGATCGGGTATGTTGGATCCTTTCTTTACTCTAGCCTATTCCCATCCCATCCATATCCCCTCCTCTTCTGAGAATGACTACTTCTGCGCTATATACACTGTACCATTGATAAGAAGGAAAGAAGAACAATAAACTGACGACACAAACACAGGCGCCCCACCAGCAAACCCGCTCCTCTGCAACCCGCTGCCGGAAATCTACCCCCAGCCCTCCAACCCACCCCAAGGCTGGTCTTTTGCGGGCTTCGTTACCATTGCTCCTGGACTCACGGGTCGTGGGACAAACACAGTGTGGTGGTCCGGATTAGCGAATCTGTTTTGGTGGGTCGATCGCGAGAAGGGCGTTGGTGGAGTGATTGCTTCGCAGGTTTTTCCGTTTGGGGATCCCGTGGTTATGGGTGCTTGGGGCGCTGCTGAGGCGGGTGTTTATCAAGGTTTGAGTTAAGGGGGTAGGGGAGAGACTGATGTGGAGGTGAGAGGTTGAGAAGCGAGTGTGTGCGGGTATGTATTTTGCTACCTACCTTGTTTTGGTTATCTCCTCGTAAGGAGAGAGGTCATGTCTCAATTGCTTCACGAGTAAAAGAACAAACCCAATATACGGAATACCTCATCCAGAAACCTATAATCTCTCCTGTATCACACCCCAACAATCTCCAAAACGCTTCTAGCTTCCGCCTCCCCCAAAACTGCTTCCCCGACTAACCCCTCCAAAACCCTCCTAACCAGCTCTCCCTTCCCCTTCCACCCCTCTTTCACCGTCACACTCCCAGGGTTTACATCCCCAGCAGCACTGACTTCTTTCAACACCTCCGCAACAACTGCCTTGCCATCCGCGGTCTCCCTCGTCGCCGCGTCTCCAGCTTTCTCAGCATAAGTCCGAGCCCCGCGGTAGAACACGCCGGCGTTCGCGATCAGCACTGCACGACTGGAGACCCACGCAGGAGCTGCGGTAGGAGAGACGGAGATATGAAAGCGAGCGAGATCTACATCAGCACGAGCCATAAAGATGGACGCAAGGCGGATCGCTGGGAGTGGTGGCGGTGCAGAAATGCTGTTGTCCTTAGGCGGGGACGCGAGTGAAGTCAGCAGCTTTTGTGCATGTGTGAGCGAAGTCCATTGAATCTCCGCGTCGGCATTCGTGGCGGAAGATGCTGAGTAGAGGGAGGTCTCGGAGATGGCGGATGCGAGATCCATGAGGGCGTCTGCGTAGGCGGAGATTGTGTTTTGGCGTGCTAGTTGCTGTTCTTGGGACTGTGGTTGCGTTTGGGTGGTGAGAGTGGTGAAGAGCGATTCGATCGTATTGGCGTATTGGGCTGATGTTATTTGTGCGGCGCGATATTGTAGTTCGGCGAGCGCAGCGTTGAAGGCGGCAGATGCGAGAACGGCATCATCCTGTGGGGAAGTCTCTATGTCTTCTGGTTCAGAGGAGAGGGACAGTGTCGGGCCGGCGGTAGACTTGTCATCGACTGGCTGTTGATCGGAGGGCGAGTTTTGGATAAGGGTGAGAAGTGTGGGTATAGACTTGTTTGTGGTAGAAAGGCCCTGTTGCGCCCTAGGTTCGATGGCAGACGTATCTGCTGGATCGTACAGAGGAAGAAGCGTGGTTAGGGCTGAGAGTTGAGCGGTACAGGTTTCTAGGATAGCTAACGGGGTGAGCGGTTCTTCTACGGTTGCCCATTCATCTGGGCCGGAGGAAGTGGTTGAAGCTGTTTCCATGGCGCTAGTATCTTGATCGCTGTAGCCCTGCTTTACGGTATCGCTGTCCCAGTCCGAGTGCTGCTGTGCCTTCATTGCCTCCATATCCGCCGCCATTCTTTCATATTCCTCCTGCTGACTCACTAGACACTTCGCAAACAGATCCGAGGCCTCTTCTAGCAACGCTCTTGCTGGAACTTTGGCGACCTGTTGTGTCTCCGCTTCTAGCACTGCTTCTGCGAGCGAAGTGAGAACCTGTGCTGTGTTGAACAGGATATCCGTGTTGGTTGACGGAGCAAGTTGAATAGCAGCGCGGTGTGAAACTAATGTCTCTTCTAAGAGAGGAATTTTGGGACCCAGATGCGGAATTATACGTATATCTTCTGTAAGGTTGTACTCGAGGTTCGCCCTGCATACACTGTGTGTTAGCTTTCATGTCCAGGCGGGTATCTGCCAGCTCCAAAGACAACGTCGGTTCCGAATATTGGCACTTCCAACGCAGAGAAGAGAATTAGAAAGAGAAGAGACGACGCACTTGTTGTAAGCCAAATCAAAGCTCTTTGGAAACCTTTTCAGTCCCTCGTTGTACACCTCGATAGCGCGATTGAAGAACCGAGTGGCCTTGGCCGCATCGCCCGCCCGCCATTTCCCAGCTGCCTGCTCGTGCTCATCGGCTGCTTCCAAGAAGTCGTTCTCGGATTGGGGATCCTGGGCCTTGGCCTTGGCCTTTCCTTTTGGCTTGACCAGGAGGTCTTTGCGTTTGGGTGGCATGGTGCAAGGGAGGCGGAATAGGATGCAGGCGTTTGGGACAAGTCGGCTTGGTGATCAGGGTTTGGGATCAAATTGGACTGTTACTAGAGAAGTAATGTGTGATGGATTGAATCTCGATTTTGCGGTGTCTCTGAATAATCTCCCATCTTCCTTCGAATGAACTTTTTTTCCCTGCAGCTACGTCAACCCACATAGTCCACTTCAAATGCGAGCTCCCCCACGCGTTCGCCCCGACACGCGACTAGCCCTACACTACTTACACATCCCATAGCTTCCGCACCTCGACGCGACGCCATTGGCCAATTCGAAAGCAATAAACAAGTATGACTCTCTGGAGTATATAAACCTCCCATACACTCATCATCATTGCATTTATACATCAACCCTTCGGTGCACCAGCTCAAGCTCACATCATCACCTCAAAATCAACTGGAATCTAAGCGCTTCAAGACAGCCCAAACCCGGAGTCATTGTCAACAACCACCCGACCTCCAAGTCTCGCCAGAAAGACAGCGACAATGCAGTCCAAACACCTTCCTGCCGGAACGGTCTCGCCTTTCCAAGCAAAAATCTATGCCCTCGTACAGCAGATTCCCGAGGGGAGAGTTTGCAGTTACGCCGCGCTAGCTAGAGCCGCATCCTCCACCACCGCCACCACTTCTTCTCCTTCAGCTAAGTTATCAAGCACACGCGCAAGCGTAAAAGGAAGAGGAACGACAGGGAAATGCAGTCCAAGAGCCGTAGGCGGAGCATTACGGAGGAACCCCTTTGCGCCTGAAGTTCCATGTCATCGGGTTCTGGGGAGTACGGGGGTGAGTTCCGTCCCTTCTTTTACTCCTTAGATCCATTCACTTATCTTCTCATGATTTTATCACCGCACATGCTTATACGCTTCGCATAGTTCATAGCAGGCTTCAAAGGTTCATGGGACAAAACCCCTTCTACAACGAAAGACCTTCCAGGTATGAGCAATGGCGGCCTTGGCATCACACAGAATGAAAAACGTGCGTTGTTAAAGGAGGAAGGTGTCGAGTTTGATGAGCGCGGGTTTTTGCTGGATGCAGGGAGGAAGTGGTGGGATGGGTTTGATGTTGGGAAGCTGTGATACGGGGGAGGGAAGGAAGGAAGGGAGGAGGGCGGCGCTGGGGCTGTCATTACATGCATAGGGTAGTTCTTTGGGTTGTGGTGGATATGGTGGGGAGAGAACGGGATAGTATAGATTCATGTCATATTAATATCGTAATACATACACACCCCCTCAAGCAAATATCTAACAAACTCAGTCTATAAGGGCGTAATCGAAGAAGAAGTAGAAAGAAGAAGCGAAACAAAACCCCATTCAGAGCTTCTACACACGTCATGCACTCATCTTTTAATCGGTGTTTCGGACCATAATGTCGTTTCAGCCCATGCCCTCCCGTCTTGCCTCTGACCCCAACAGGAGAAAAAATAAAGGCGCCATTGACCATGCTGATGCTCATGCTGATGCTGATGCTGATGCTGATGCTGATGCCAAAATGTTTCCAGTCCCCTTGAACACCACAGAATGAAATAAAATCAAGGAAAGTGAAATCTATAAGGGAAGGGGAGCGAGTTGGAAGAAAAGAAAACTGGAAATAACAACAAGGACTTCTAATCTCCCCCATACGTCGGTTTTACAGTGTCTCACTCAAGGCAATAAAGAAACTACAACATTGCAAACCTTGTCTGCCCACACGGCACGGGCCATGTCTCTCTTGACAAGCACCCAGTCGTCTTCGTTCGCGATGTTGGTCCAACCTTGCGAGGTCTGAGCTCCGACCCTGTACCCGGGCAAGCCACCGCTAATCAATGAAGCAGCATCAGAGGTGGATTGAGGAGCGTGGCTTGAAGAAGTTGCACCAACTGTACCGCTGTCATCATCCGCGTCCATCTCTGACGAAGCATTGGTGTGATTGTTGTGGTGCATCTCTGTTGCAGCTGCAGCCAAACCTCTAAGAGCCTCGGGGCCCATGTTCGCCGAACGCTTCAACTCCTCTTGCAAGTCAGGATAGCGCAGCAGTGTCTCTTTCACCAACTCCACAATGCGAATACTCAGCTCCTGCCACGTCATGTGAATTAGTGGTGCCGATGGAGCGTTGACGAAGCGTTTCTCGGTGCGGAGGACATGAGCGTTCTTCGAAACAAACAAGTTGATCCTGTTGAGCAAGAGCTCCGAATCGTCATGCACAGTTGTAGGTAGCTTCATTCTGTCGTTTGGAAAGAATTTGGCCGTCGAGTCTGATTCGATATAGTGCATTGATGTGGCAGATCCGCGATCGCTTAACGGAGAGGTAAATGCCATCGAGGTGGGCATAGGCGTATTGACCTGTGAACTCGGCCCTTGCGGTGGACTCGGCACTTGTGATGGACTCACGTTACGCGAAGACATGGGTTGAGGTTGAATCAGCTTAGCAGCTTGCCCCGCATCGTTCGTGGTGTGAAAGTCCTCCTGAGTTGGTGAAGGAGTCAGATCCTTCTTCTTCGAGCCGCCCTTGCTGCGTGTCTCAATGGCGTACATGCGTTGCCTACACGTGTCGGAGTTAGATATTGCTTCGAAGATGACGAAGTAAGAGCACATACCGTTCATTCGTAACCATGCGCCTGAGAAGAGGAGTTACTAGGCTGATGATTTTGTTTCCATCTCTCGGCCAGATCAATCTCTCATCAGTAGGGAGTCTGTCTTCACCGAGCGCACGTGCAGCATCCAGGGTGTCGGATTTATGAGGCTTCTCAACCCCGTCGCCAAAGTACTGCTCACCGACACGGTCACTCAAAAAGTCCTTGACACAATTGAATAGTCTCAATTTCACCATGTCTGTGTCTCCCTTGCCTCTATTTCCCACACAGTTCTGCCGCTCCGGATGCGTCGGATCAAGCATGAAGGCTTTAGCCTGCGCCTGCAGGTGCAAGAAGTTCTCTGGGGAAAGCTGAAGGGAGATGAACAACTTGGACATGGGAGGACGTGTGTACTTTCGGCCTGACCTCTCAGACGTGCGACGAAAGAGTGCAGCGGCAGAGTGAACACCTGCAGCTCTTGCATCGAGCAACGCAGTGTCAGTTGATGCTGATACACTGTTAGCCTCCGAGATATCTCTCGCGCCATCTTCAGTGTCCCGGGGCTGAGATTGAGAAGGTATGTCAGTCCTTGCGCGCTTGGGCTGCTCTGCGCTTGTCGCACCACCATCAGCTGGCGGACTGCTAGAGACTCTCTTCCGCTTGCCCGTGGACGGATCCAACGAGCCAGCCCTCTCCATCGATGTGGTGCCGACGTTGGTAGTCTGACCTGCGGCGGCCGTAGTAGCGGCTTCTAGAAGCTCGACAAAGTGGTGGTTGTCCTCTAAGCTGGCAGTGGGGAGCTCTGGCTCTTCCGAACGACGGCGCTCCGAGTACGTATAAGAAGAAGACGGAGCGGCGACAGCGGCAGTGGAAGAGGAGGAGGAGACATCATTCGGAGTCAAGCTGGTAGCAGCAGGTGTCGCAGGGTCGAAACCAGCAGGGTCGGCGTGATCAGACATGAAGGAAGCGTTTGCGGGATGGGGGAACTGGCGACCGTGCATATGGTAATATGGGGCGTTTGTCGTCGTCATGACGGCCGGACGATAATAGGACGTTCGTGTCAGTCAAGCAAACTGCCGTTGCCGAAGGAAAGATGGCTCAGGCGCAAGCGCGCAACGGGGGATATATTGACGGGTCGACTTGGCTAAGACGGGATGGGATGACTGAGAGCGGGAAATGTAAGTATTGGAGTCAGTCAGGATGAATCCCAGGTGCAAGCAATGCGCAAACAAATGTACAGATGGATGATATGGAACACAGGATCGATCAGTCGAGGACGAATTCAGGGCTCAAGAGGAAGCTGGAGAGTCGTGCTTGAGTAGAAGCTCGAGGAGAGTGGAATGCAGACGGCTCTTCGAGGAGAAGCGTTGCTCTTTTGAAGTGGCCATGGCAGCAATTGTTTGGCGCATGTATTCGACTTCACCGGGATCAAGCAAGTATGCGCACCTGTTGTGGGCACTGATTGCTCTGTCGGATGCTTGTGTGGAGACGACAAGCAGGTCCGACACGGAGCTCAGCAGATTGATTGTCACGGTCGGTTGCAGGTTTGTGTTGTTTGCATTGCGCCCATTTGCATGCTTGCCAATTGGTTTATTGACCCCCACCAGGCCATTATGTAAGCCATCATCACCATCATCACCATCATCCCAACTTCCTCACATGCAACGCATTCACGTACATCTGTTCCAGACATTCCATCAAAGCATTATACCCTCCATAAATGGACCAGGAGCCCCCACAATATCCGCCCATTGACAGCCCTATACATGTACGCCAACTACAGGGGGGAGGTGTCGCGTCGCGTCCTCCTAGACTGCAATGACCCGATGCTTCCACCCTTTTGTACTTACCTGTGCGTCATGATGCATCTGGATCTTTTTCGAATGGCCTCAAAACCCATCTCCTTCTTTCCACTCTCTGCCGAGCTCTCTTGCGCGATTCTGCGGGCTCTTCCCCCTCTGCACCGCCTCGTCTTTCAGCTTCTCCACAATCGGCCTCAACCTATCAATCTCAATCTTGTACTCGACGTCCTTCCCCCATTCTGGGCGCTCTAGTTTCTCCGCTTCCTCTGTTTCGTTCTTCTCCAACGCCTCGCGAATCTTGTTGCCCATATCTTCCCACCTGCGTAGATCGTTCTCGCGATCGTAGAGCTCTTGCTTCAGCTCTGCAAACGCCTCGTACTCTTTCTCCCCACCAAAGCAACTTCCATATTGTTCGCAGTAACACACCTGTTCCTTAGGACAGAAGACATTATGCCCCGTGAAGACAAACTGCCACATGTACTCCCAGACGCGACCGGAAACATTGTCTGGCATTTTGGTGTTGAAGAGCCACTCACGGTACCAGATGTACTGCGCATGTGGCTTCGCAAGAATGCGTTCGCGCGAAAGCGCAAATTGAGCCGAGCATGGCTGCGCAAGAACATCGGGGACACGGTCGAGGGGAAAGAGTTCGCTCCATGATTTGGACAGGAAGAGCTCTTCCTGCTTGTTGCCATTGAATTTGGTTTCGCCTGGATGCATCCACTCGGGACACCCGGGGAACCAGCTGCAGCGCAGGTTGACATAGCCTTCCCTCCACACACGCGCGCGATTGAGACGCTTAATCATAGCCGCGGCGTCGTGGCCCAGGATGTCATCGTTGTGCCAGGTATGCTGATGGGCATGCAGGAACAGGGCAATGTCCGGCAGATCATCATAGTTGTCGATTATCCACGAGAGGTAAATCATAACTTCGTGGCCCTTGTTCTTTGGGGGATGAAGCGGTGCTGTTGGATCATCCGCCACCCAGATGCTCCTTTGGATATCTGCTGGCAGATGCTCTTCCATCCATCTTGTGCTTTCTTCCTTGACCGTCGCAACGACAAGCGTGGTGGAGTAGTTATAACCCCCGGATTTAGGCGAGCCTTTAGTGAAGTTGGGCTTGGGATTCCAATTGGCAAAGCTGGGGTCTGGAGGTTTTCGGCCCATGCTACCGTTGCGCGTATAGTCAGACTGCTCTCGAAACAGACGATCGCCTAAACCAATATGTTCGGGCAACTTCCGCCATGTTTCCCGCGTTTTGTGAGTTGAATACAGAAAAACGACAACGCTGACAATGGCAACGGCGAGAAGGGGCGTGAAGTTGCTCTTTGCCATAGGTGCGGGCGTTAGTAGTGTATGCGCGCTGCGGCTGATCAGCGCAGGGATCACAATCCTGCGATCGATCGATCTAAAGTGTTGTATACTTTCCGTGTCGCCGAGCGGGTGCATTCAACGTGAACCCTCAAAGGTCATTGTTTCCGTGGTCTCCGAAAGTATTGAGAAGATGCAGAATCATGTGGGAAAGAAGCTACGTGTGCTCGAGAGTGATATGTTGCAATGCAAGTAGGTACGTAGGTACATGGTCACCGACAGGGAGGGATGCATGGGTACACAGGTACGCCAAATACTCCCTTTCACGAACTCAAGCAGCCTGGCAAGACACTGGACGAGACCATGCTGCTCCATCACGTCACACGGATTGTATACATGCACACTGCGAATGATTGATGTCTGACTTGGGCAAAGATTTTTGATTGTGGTTATGCCCGTTTGCTACTGCGCAAATTATTCGCAAAGTCTATCCACTTGATCCGGGCTCGCCATCAAGATTGAAGCATTTCAATGTGGCCATCACGTCTGTAGTGTTCTTGCATTCCTTACGCGGTCGTAGAGGTGTAACATAAACACCGACCATCAAAAGGCACGCGTCACTTCACTTTGGACCGTGACGGCCGCATTGTCATCGTCACCAATCCGTACATCTACGATCCCGGCTTATGTCCATACTAGATGAGGGACTGATCCGACACGTACGACGGAGCAATTATTTGCCTCAAACACTAGGCGCAGCCTCCCGCTCCGCAGCGAGACGCAACTACTTCTCGGGTTTGGGTGGGTAAGGCAAGGGTGGAAAGAAGCCGGGGCACAAGCTGCATGGCTTGGGAAAGGGGGAATAACACGAAAAGCAAAAATAAAAAGTGGGCACGCACCTCGCTCTGCATCTTTGCCAACCGCAAGTCTTCATGCACAAGAGGAAGATCGGCTGACGCTTGACAGGCTGATTGCAATGTCACAGAGACGTGTTCAACTGTAGATTGTCGTCAAATCCCATGATTACATGTGCGCAGGACGGAAATGCTAGTGAGAGTGCGCATCAGGTTGGCGGAGAGGTCGCCAGATTTACAGGTGAAGGATGTTGTCAAACCTGCGGTCGGCTTACATTGACCAAGTGGCTGAGGAAGATTACGTGAGAAGTCGACTGGCACGGGTGGTAGTTGTCATGTTGGAGCTGATGCGGAGCTCACGTTGCCAGTGTAGATATTGAGAGTACTTTAGATAATGTTGAAGGGGCGGTCTTTGGTGACGACTGATTACTGACGTCCTTTGGTTCATCGCGCAATAAGTTGAATATAGAAGTACAATTTGGATGCCGTCGCAGCCACGCGCCTCAGACCGATGCTGTGGCCTGGAAAGGTTTTACCGTAGTGTTGCTCCCGTTTTTTCCCATAGGAATACCCACAGAGTGCCGCAAACCGTGACGAAAGCCGGCTCGAGGCCACAAGATGGCATACTAGGAAGCATGCTACCGTGCACCGTTTACCAATTCGAAGAAAAAGACTTTTTTGGCGACCATATCCCTGAATTGTGATGCATAGCCGATTAAACCGATTCGTAGAAAGTATGATAGGATTACATGAGGAAAATTCGATCAGTGCCGCCATACCTAGGGAAGTGCTGATCATTCTTGGGTACAAAGCAGTGGATAGGGGCACCGCACACCCCCCAGTCGAAGCTCGCTAATTCTGTGCCCGGGCTGTGAATAGTCAAAGCCAATTCGGCTCTGGCACGGTCAGCAGGATGTCTAGCGGGCCTGTCGATAATCATCACCGCCACCACGATCTTCGTAGGGCCTGCCACCACCATAGGCATCCTGGCGAGGTGGGGGGGCATCTCCATAGCCCCCAGCGCCAGCGGACGGGGGAGGAGGGCGATCGTAGTAGCCACCGCCGCCGCCGCCGCTGCCGCCGCGACGGTCCTCACGGCCATAACGGTCGTCACCGCGAGATGCGTAGCGGTCGACACCACGTGAGCCATAGTCATCGCGATCACGACGGTACGGACGATCATCATAGCGAGAGGAACCGCGCGAACCGTAGCCGTAATCGTCGCGACGGCCGCCTCCGCCATAGCCTCCACCACGGCGATCATCGTAACGATCTCCATATCGGGGAGGTCCTCCGCCACGACCACCACGGAACTCTGTTCATGGTCAGTCAATTGTTTGGAATATTGGGAAGACAAAGTACTCACCGCGCTTGGGCGGGCCATAGTACTTGCCCGGGGTGGGAGTACGAGGGCGAGCACGACGAGCCTTCTCAATGCTCAGCGTCCTGCCTTGGTGGACTTCACCTTGAAGACCCTCCTTTGCGGCATCGGCCTGCTCTGCGGTGTTCATCAAAATGAAGCCGAAGCCACGCGACTCCTTGGTATGAGGGTCCTTCATGATGTTGCACTTGTCGACCACGCCGTACTTCTCGAAGAGGCGGGTGACCTCCTCTTCAGTGAGACTGGGGTGGATGCCCGTGACGAAGAGATTGGAGCCTGTGTTGCGGCTGCCATCGTCTCCGCGAGACTCTGGGGGTGGACCGCTGCCGGACCATTAGCAACTGAACACATGACAGCTGTGGTTTGGGGTCATATAGCAAGGCTTACCGGCTATCGCGACCGTTGGGAGAAGCGCTACGAGCGCGGGAATCCTCCATATCGCGAGGATCACGGCGCGGGGACCTGCTGCGATCGCGGTGGTCGTAGCCACGAGGCTCGTCTACGCGTTCCGTCAGCAAACCATGGTACGTCACAGGATGGCGACAAGTGCGTCGCACGGGGGAGGGTGACAAACCGTCATAGGGACGCTGCTCAGACTCGTACTCCATGGAGGCCATGCTGATAGGAGCGCGATGGGTGTGGGTTGTGAGGGTGTTTGTAGATGGGGACGAGCTGCTGGATTTTTCGGGGTCGGAGGGAGGATGCCTTTTAAAGCGGTTAGAAACACGCTAAACCTGCCGCAGCGAGACAATAGCTGGACAGCAAGGGCAGCGATGCCGTGAATCGGAGGTCAAACGAAGATAAACGACGTTTGCGAAGAGGGTAAAGGAGAGAGGGAGATGGAAAAGTAGTACCAGGGAGTAGTGGTGAGAGGAGGGAGAGGAGAGAGAGATCTGTCAGAGAACAAAGGCAGGCAGGCAGGCAGACAGTCAGCTACGCGAGTGAGGCAGGCGCGCAGGGGTGTCCAAGTTGTCTAGGCCTCTCAGCTTGCTGCGCCACTGCTTACATATGCCTTGCTTCACTCACCCTGTCTGTTCACGAATATACTATTGATATTTGGGCAGCGAGCACTTTAGCAGACGACAGTCCTATGCAGTACTGATAAAATTTCTGATGATAATTATGACGAATAATCATCGCCTCACCGCTCCCTAATGACCTTCTTGCTGCTGCTACGCCGCCAGATCGTGACACAATGTACCCTCAAACGAGTACCTGAATCGAATTGCCAGCGCCCAAATTATGTCGAAGAAGAAAGAAAAGAGGAAAGACATAAAAAAAAAAGCCCTGGCAGACGTTCCAAGCCAGACAAAAAGAAAAAGAACAGAAGCAAAGGTGGAATGCCCTCAAACTCCTGTTGCGCCTGCTATCCCCCGTACACGCACCCCATCATATGTATATAGGTATTGTACACATTGCTAAAGAACTTACAATACAAGGAACGAAAGAAACAAAGAAAGGAAAAGAACCCCATTCTGCCTGGACAGAAAAGAGATGGAGAAGGAAACAAGGCTGCAATCTCACCGCTGCTCCTACCAGTTGCGTCGCCGCTTCTGCCGTCGTACTGTTGCCTTCTGTAACGTTGCCGGCGCCGACGCATTCTCGCCCGTGGCACCCTCTACCGGAGCCAGTGCTTCTGGATCAGCCAGGTCATTCAGCTCGTCATCATCAAGCTCGCTAAGCTCCTCGCTCATATCGCGGAGTAGCTCTCTTCCCGTCCATCGCTCCTCGTGAACAGTAGTACCTTCTGGATCGAACTCTTTCAAGTACCACGGTATTCCACCGTGATGAATGGGCCCAAGCAAATCTTGATCCGATCCAGGAGGCGTCGGTGGCACAGCTTGTCCGTCTGTTACACTGCGTTCAATGTTCATTTGAACATGAGGTGCTACACCTCCCATAATAGCATCTTGCCCGAGCTGGGCGGCAATAGCTGCTTCGTCTGCCGCCTCATCCCGAATGCCATGCTGATCATCCGCATTTTCCTCTGGGGTGGGTGCAAGATGAAGACCTTGTTCGTCTTTAGCGTTAGCCGCGTCCGCAGTTGTATGTTGCTCCTGTTGTTCGTTCTTTGATACCGTAGAAGAGCTATTTTCCACTGATGTTTGGAGTGCCTCTCCGTTCGCAGAAGCACTCTCAGATTTACGCAACTTTTGATCGAGAAGCGCTTCAAGATTGGGAACTTCTCGTTCGAAAGGTCTGCCGGCAAGATCAGACTCTTTACGTAACGCATCGTCAAATAAAGGCTGCAATCCACGAATGATGCGTTTGGCCAGCTTTTTCTTCTCCTTCTGCTCTGCCGTCAAGGTCTCGTGAGCAACGTCGCTGAGCTGTTGCTCTGCATCAATAACGTTGGTGATTGTGGTGAAGTCAATGACAGAAGTGAATACTGCCGCCATATCCTCGCTGAAGGATTGCACAGATGTGTAATATTTTTCGTTCAACTTGGCTTGTACCGCCAAAATGCCGTCTTTGAAAACATCTTTAGTGTCATATCTATACCAACGTTAGCCATATAGTATAATGAAGGTTGGAACAGCACCTACGCGAGAGCTCGTTTGACAATGGGCGCCAAAATTGGTGAAAGGGGAAAGTATATCGTGTCAAGGATTGACGTTAGTATCGCAACATCTTCCAACTTTTGGCGTTCGCGCTCTTTGACCATGGCACAAAGGTCTCGGACATGCTCCATATCCTTTTCCAGTTGCTCGGCGAATTCAATGCGACGTTGGAGCCTCGGTCTGCCAGCAGCACCCATACCAACGAAGTTTCGACGCGTAATTTCCATGGACGAGAATGCATCCATTTGTAGCTGCAATCGCTTAAGTAAGGCGGCTCCACGACGTGCTTCCCGTTTCAGGGTCCAGTATTTGCATGCCTCTTGAACGAACTCCTTGCGCTTGCGAACGTTGAATTTGATGAGGGCAGTTTCAACGTTGTTGTAGACGACCTGGGGTACAACGGGAGCTCCCGAGGGCAGTCGCCAGGATTTTCCAGGTTGGCCTCGTTTGCGTTTGTTGCCTGTGGTTTCCTCTTCCTCCTCCATGCCTTCGATCGAAGGTACTGCATGTGAAGAACCAATGGACAGGGCATATGCTTGACTGTCGCCCCATCGGACGTGTTTGAAAGTGTTGCGGTACTCCCTCTTTGCGAATGCGAGGGATTGTTCCACATCGTTTTCTCGACGCCAGTCGTTTGGAGAATGCTTATCGCAGTATGCTTTGAGGACACTAGCATCAAGAGAGTTATGCGATTGGGACTGCTTCATCTTCAAGCACAACCGAGCTTTGCGAGCACAGGTGACATGGAAAGCCTCAAAGCATGACTTGTGTCCACACTGAATACAGGCGCCCATTTTCTGCTTGCATATGTAGCATGTCTAGTAGAATTAGTAAGAATACACCAGACCGTATGGATAGGGTTCTTACCAGTTTCCAACGTGTCTTTGGAACCTTTTCGACGTCTTGCACAGGCTCCTGAAAAGTTGTATTGGCAAGCGAGACTTCAGGTATCCACATGGCACATAATAGATGAGCCCATTTCATAGCTGTGGTCTGCTTGAATGCACCATCGGGATTAGGACAGAAGATGCAACCCTACAAGAATTAGCCATAAGATCCACGTGGGAAGATCCAAGAAACATACCGGTTGCTCGGTAACAGGGGTACCACGACCAACCAACTGGCACCGTCTGCAGAGCCATTGCCCTTCTGGGATAAATGGTACCCCATAGCACTCTTGATGCACTGCGAGATCACATCCGTCACAGAACACTATCGCATTAGTGTTCTCACAATCTCCATCATCGCATATGGCGCATTTTGTATCCTGCTCTTCGCCTTGACCGGCAGGCTCGCCATTAACGGCAGCCGCAGAGCTCGAACGTGGTCGGTGGGTTTGCGGCGGTTTGGGATTTGGTTTCGGTATTCCTGTAAAAGGCATTAGCATTCCGAGGAGCTTGTAGATTGGGGGGTTATTACGTTTCTCTAGTGCATGCCATTCCTTTTCAATTTGACTGATGGTGACTTCGAATATTGCGGGTTTGATGGCTTCCACGCCTTCCTCGCGGCGCTGGGTGTTGAGTGTCTCCAGCCAGCGGTCATCTTGTTCATCCATGTCGTATTCGACGCGTCCAACTGCGACTGCCGTGGATCCTTCGCCCTCGGTTCTGAGCATTAGATCCAGGTCCTCTTCTATCGAGCCTTCAGGCACTCTGATAAAGGCTCCCCCTTGGTTTGAGAACATTTCGCTCTCCTGATATCCAACACTTGCCATGGTCCGATCTACATAGTTGACCCTGCCTTCACTTTCTTCAAAAGCAGTGAAGGGGTCTACTTCGCGAGTACTTGGTTTTGGCAGATTGAGCTTCTCCCTTGGGTTTTGGGTCGGCAGAGGATTTATTCGGGGGCGTGGTGGCGAGCCAAGACCATTCAGCATGGAGTCGAGTTTACGGGGGGGTCGACCGGGCCCCCGCTTCCTAGGAGTGATCATGGAGCCATTTGATGCTAGGCTCTCTTGCGCATCTTGCTGAGCGTGGATGCCTTCCAGCTGTGCTGCAATTCCATTACTAATTGCGAACTGGTTGGAAGAGGAGCCATTCAGAGGAGTGCCAGGGGCTGATTCTGGCGGACTGATTCCATCGATCTGGTCTGCGCTGAAAATGGGGAGTTCAGCATCTATATCGAGCGTCTGGTGAAACTCCTCCCAGCCACGCTCTTCTCGCGGCTTGTATCCATCGTTGTGCGCCACTGCTGCGGCGACTGCGGCGGCCGAACTGGATCGTGGTCCAGCAGGCGCCCTTTCGCGTCGAGGTCGGGAATATGAGGGGGAAGGTGCGGGCAAGCCTTGTCGCTCCGCGTTGAGGCGACTGGTACGACTGCGAGATGCTGTATATGCGTAACCACCTGAAGCAGATCCTCCAGCCGGTGTTTCTAAGCCTGCATTCTCTAGGAATCTCCCTCCGCCACCTGGACCACCGGGGGCGTACTTTCGCCTTTTGTAGAGGGGCACTGAATCGGAGATGGGACGTTTTTGCGGTCTTCCGGAGGATCGTACGCGTGGTCTTGGGGTATCGAGCACTGGCGCCATTGAGGAGAAGGTGAAGCGTCTACTGAAAGAAGGACAAAGGAAGTGGTCCTCAAGGGCGTGTTATTAGTAACGCGCTGGTGTAGCTGCAATCTGTCCCACCACAGCTACCCTATGCGCATACATTCAGCCAGAAAGTTGCAGCGCATTCATGAGCAATGTGACTGTGAGAGCGTACAGCTGCGCCGGGCTGGAGGGCGAACGTGAATAATGGCGATGGTCCTGCTGCCAGTTGGGTGAGGTTGGCTCTGAGAGCCCTGAGAGAGACGGATCGGGTCTAGCGTCGGTGCTATCTTGCTTGGCGAACGCGTCCAAGATCGCTCTCCCCCGCATGACGAGCGACGGATCACTGAACATGTCTCGCTCTTTTTTATTTTTCTACCCTGCCTTTGTTGGCGGGAGCTATCGCAGCCCTGCTCTGTAGGCTGGTGCCTGAAGATCCTGTGGTTCTGTATCGCATCGATCCTGTCCGTTGCGTGTCAACCCACATGGACTTCTTTCACCGGTTCTGTGTTGATTCTTCCTTTTTTTTTCTTTGCCCTCTTCTTTCTCGTATAATTACATCACGCATGTTCTGTCATACGAACGCGGAGATCGGAACATCGCCCAACAAGGTGCTCGGCATTCTGTTCCTGCAAAATCATCCTGCAAAATCCCGTGTGCGTCCTATTGACTTTCATTTCAATACGACGACACAACACAATAATGTATACAACTTCGCCATGAACAATGTCGATATTATGGATCTTCTCACAATTCCGTACTCAGAGACTGGAACCGTCCATGCCATCGCGCTGCCATCTCGATGCCCTATTTTGCGTCAATCTGCATACCGGGGATTTCTTTTAGTGCTCCCGCTTTTGCGCCACGTGGGAATACGGATGACACCAGGGGAGCTACTCCAGTCCACTGCATCTTAAAGTCAGACCGAGGGCACTGAGAGTTTAGCTCCCTGGGTGGGCACAGTTCGCATGGAGTTAGCTCCATGCTTGTTATGTACGACTGCTGGATTCGCGGGCCACTGTCAAGGCCGCCGTCCGCCAATTTGTCATGGGTGCGATACGAATCGTGGATTTGCACTCTTGCACGATTAATCTGTTGTTCGACATGTCTTCCGCGCCAGCAACCGCCCCGTCTGTTTCTCGTACCATAGACTGACCCATTTAAAAAGCTCTTCTATGGACTACGGTAATATCCGTTTTTGTCTATCCATTAATATATTTAAGTTCTATTAGCAAGTAACATATATTATCAAAGACAGAGATGACGCTATTGTAAAGATCAATAAAGGTCATTTCATCATGAGACACCGATTCAACCACCAGCGCTTGCGCAACGGTACCGACCACAATGTTGCTCCCTCTTTCTCATAAACCTAGCTTCTCCTTGTGGTTTAACCGCAATCCCCCCTTACTATTCGATGCGAAGATAGTATCTGCAAGTACTCTCGTGCACCTCACGTCCAGGGACCCACGCCGCCAAACAAGGCCAACAGAATTGGTGCTTGCACTGCCAGCCTGCCAAAGAATCATCAGACACGGAAATTCAAACCCACATCACACACATCGAGGATATCTTACAAGTCACTACAATCCGGTCAGCTCACATGATAGTATTTGATCTCATTGCTCAAACAACTTACTATGATCGCATCCGCTCGCCTTTTCAATCTTGCGCCTACAGTTTGGACATTTCTTGGTTGACTCTTTGATCGTTTTCCTACTGGCTTCCTCTTCTGCCTTCTTCCACTCGGAGTCGGTCCTAGAATCGTCGAAATGCCCGTCAACAACTAAGTACCCTCGAAAAAGCAAGGCGCCCAACATACTCACCTATAATCGTATCTAGATGCGCGAAGCAAAGGAAAGGATCAATCAGCCAGAGATTTCAAACCAGATATCCGTAGACAGATAATGGCAAGGAAGTGGAAATACGACAAAACACTTACTCCTTACATGTATCTCCCTCATGCCACAACACTCCGTGGTAAGCACATTGTACCGTGCCACACCCAACGCATTTCATCTTGGCCACCGTGCCGTGGATCTGCCCACTCCCGCAACCTCCCGCCAACTGTTTCCCCTTTCCCGAACGTCTGACTAAACACCACCGGAATCCCCGGGTACGGTCCAATGTTGCTTTTGTGGCCAATTGGTCGTAGCTCTCAAATGTCTCTTTGTCGGCACAGCGCTTTACGTCTGCATGCTGCAATTGTGCGCTGCATTCGGGGCAGGTGAGCTGGTTCCAGCCTTTTGTCTGGAGACTACTTCTGAGCCATTTGCGAATGCAGCACCAGCAAGTTGTTGGTGTGTGTGTGCAGTCGCTGGTCACGGCGTCGGCCGGGAAACTGATGAGCGGAAGCTTTGAAGTGCACACAGTGCATTCTCGAGTCTGACTAGTTGTAGCAGGAAGAATGGCATCCTGCAGTACAACGAGCTGTGTATTCGACATGTCGACGCCGTTGATCTCGTTCGACCAGGTTCGGCGAAGAGTGAGGACAACGCCGCTTCTGCTGCCTCTACTGCGGCCCTGCCGTCCATTCTTCCCACGCTTGCTCTGCTCAGCGCTTTTTCGTGCCAGCTCGTACAATATCTCCGCTTCACGCTCGCAATCGTCCTGCTCGCGTTCGATCTTTTCTCTCTTGGCCCGTAGTAGGGACATTCGTTTCGGTTTTTCGGCTTCATTCTCGGCTGCCAATTGATAGGCCAGGGTTCTCCTCTCCCGGCTATCTTCTCTCTCTACGGCTATCCTCTCTGGGCTGATATCCCGAGGTGGTGGTTGTAGTAGTCGTGGTAGTTGATGTGGTAGTGGTGGACGGGTGTCACGGCCACGGCCACGACCACCTGCAAAGAAGCGTGAGCCCATCCGTGAAGCACGTTGGTCCCTATCAACAACCCTGTCGTATCGGTTGGATCCGTGGTAGCCCCAAATACTTCTTTGTGGAACTGCGTCATGGTCTGGTAGAGTTTCTTGTTTATCGTGCAGTCTGTTGTGGGGGAGTGTTGATGGGAAGCTGCCCATTATGTTATGCTATACGTAGTGTTGTAGTGTATCGTGAAGAGAGAAAGATCGATCGGATGATTCAGAGAACAAGATGAATCAACATTGGATTGATAGGAAGACCACGGTAGTGTCTAGTAGCCGATGGCGTGCAGGCAATAGGCTCGATTGACGGACGTTTGTCTGACTATCCGAGATGGCCAAGGTCAAGAAAAGGTTGGCAATTTATTATGCTAAGAAGCGTTGGTTGGAGAGAGTTGAGGTGGCGAAGCTTATCTCTCTACAAAACGATAGGCGGATGGTGAAGTCAGGGAGTGGGGTTGATGTTTGACCGGTAGAAGCAATTGACACTGCTCGGGTGTAACTTGAGCCTGGCAGACGTAGAAGCATTGGATTTGACTCTCACCTTTTTCGTTGTCTAAGAGGAACACGAATTGTCACTCTACTCTGTAAAGAAGGAAGGGCCGCCGGTCTCGTGAACTTGTATGTTGTTGAGATGTTGTTCGTTGTTCTGATATCCAGGCTGATCTGCGGCAATGCTGCAGCCAGTTGGTCGTTACGTCGTATTACCAATAGAGAATGCAATACGTGTAACTATTTACCCAAACTTATATCACACATGGTGGGACACTTCGCTTTGTATGGGTATGGAAATCAATTTGTTGTACCAACGGCACTGTGCTGTGCAGACATAGGACGAATTCCGCATTGGCTACAGACAGTCATCATCGATAAAGATAGCCGGCCTCGAATTTGTTGCCGTAGTAATCGAGAATTCCCGCATCCGTGTTCATCTGTTTCCTAACCACGGTAATGATTCCTGGCCAGTGCCCTTCCACTGAAGGCTCCGATTCGCTACTGCTTGACTGGAATGCAGCATCGTATGCAGCCTTTCTCTCCCTTCGGAACTTGCCGATCTCGCCGATAACATCAATCGCGGGCTTGAACCTGGGTTCAGGTTGCCTCATTTGCGAGGGAGGAGCTGCAGACTGTCTCGTATCTAGCATTAGCCCACTCATTGCCGTAAGTGGAGGACCACGACCAGGCTCTAAAGTGGGCAATCCGCACTCATCGTCACTAAAGAATGAGAAGTCATATGTTGCTGCTTCCCAAAAGGCTTCTGAGTCTGTGTCTTCGGTTGACGACTTGGTGGGGTACGCGCGCCAACTGCTAGTAATTTTCTTGGGTGTTGACTGCGGTACTGCGACTTCCAACACAATGCGGCGTAACGCGAATATTGTTTTGGCGTACTCAAGCTCGCCTGTTTTACGATTACGGCCAGGAGGAAGCATGTATGTGTGTTTTGCGCGTAACCTCGCTATACCATCTTCCTCCGCGCAGTCCTTAATGAACTGTATCAGTCTACTCACAACTTCCGCATCATGTGTCTGATTTGGGACTTCAGTCAAGACGAGGGTGTGAACTTTCGGAAGCATATTTGGATGCAGCCGGTTCTCTTCAGACTGCCGCATGTCTAGTCGCGCCCTTCGATCTTCTGCAAAAGTCATAGAATCGCGGGGAGGGCTTTCGACTACAAGTTTCTCCTCCGCCTCATCGATGGACCGCGCGAGTACTTTATCCTCGAGGATCACAGATTGAGGCGAGAGCCCGCCTGTTGCATCAAGCGTGGGACTCAAAGATGAGGTGGTTTCCTAAATCACGGGAACTGAGTCAGCGAGGTCAACGCAAGTATGTATGTGTGTACATACATTTTGGCTCGAGAAAACGGATACTCCACAATTTGTATTTGTTATGATATCTGGGGTGAGCTCAATAGTAGGAGTAGAAGTTCGGTTCTTCTTGTCACTCCCACCAGCCACTATGCTAGGAAGCTCTATAGGATGTGTATAGTCCCCTGGAAGTTCATGAATGGCAGGTCCGTCGGAGGCTAGTTCTGCTTGTGGCGGATCTGTTATTGTTTTCTCGCGAGCATCGAGCTTTGCCCTGGGGGACAGGGGGGCGTTCATCGCGCAATCCTTGGTAATAATAGTGTAGTTAGCTCGGAGATATACCAGATTATGCCCTGCGTAATGCGCGAGCACTGGCGTCAGCTTCTCGACACCTGGTAATAGTAATCCGTCATGCCCTTCTGGCAGGGAGTGGTGTGGGCTTGCGAGAAAGCTAGGCAAAGTACCGAAATCCAGAACTTGTAGTCTACCTGACCGCAGTATTCCAGAAATACCTTCGACTGTCATATTATTGCTCGACAGGTAAAGGTGGGTAATGCCGACATCCCTCGCTTTCTCTATGGCAAGACTACCAATGAAGCCTTTTGTGAGCTTATTTCTCAAGTGACCGTCCAAATTCTCCGTTGAAGCATCACCCACTTCGTCTCTTGGTCTATCGAAAGGCACTGGGGAACGAGGACTGCTCACACGACTCAATTCTTGATGCACACGTACTTCCTTGATACAGTTCTCTAAAAGAATTCTTGCGCTGGTGTCAGTGAGTTGATTGTCAGTGACGTCGAGACTTCGCACACGGACACCAATTGCTGAGGCGATGTTGGCCAAGTCGGTGTCTCGCAGACCCAATCCTCTGAGCTTGAGAACACGTAGATTCCGAAGATGTGACAATTGGCTGAAGACTGATGAATCTTTTGCAGCAAGAGTTTTTGACAGGTCCAGTGAAACTAAATCTGGAAAGTGAGGAAGAGCATCTGCTAAGCCCGTCGGAGTGGCATTTGAGCAGCCAGACGCATCTAAAAGGCGAAGGCCAAAGACGGGATATGCATTTGGATGGGTTTGCCTCCACCAGGAGCTAGAGTGCCTCAGCGTGAGAAGGCATGCATGGTTGAAAAAAGGCAGCCCATCTACTATTAAACACTGCAAACGTGGAAGGCGTTCAAGACAATCACGTAGCCATTCGTAGTGTGGGCCACCATAGATCTCGGCGTGTGCCGGTGGCAAATGGAGGGTATGGGTCAACTCTCGGACTGAAACCCGCGACCAGTGTAAAGTTCGCTTGAAACGAGTCAAGGCGACTGTTTCTATCAGCACCCACAAACTGTCTATCCGTCTTCTTGGAAGTGACTTACCATAAACTGTGTCATTCTGAACACCAAAGTGGGAGGCAGGAGCGCCCCAGAGGTGCGGCGTGAAAACCTCGTGCCATTTCTGGCAAACTAACGAGGCAGTACACAACGACTGTGAATTGAGATAGGGCGCGACGAGCTCCCAAGGGTTCTGCTCGATTGCACTTTCATACGAAGGCAGAAGATCGTCCATTGCACTGTATTACTGTATTCGAAGGGAGAAGCAGGCGAAGTCCAGCAGTCAATAATACTACCAAAACACCGTACAGGGGAGGATTTGCGCACAACAGATAGTTGGGAGGAAGCATTGTGTAAGACCAAGAAGGCGAAACCCAAAGTTTGGGATGGAAGTGGCGGAGCATCGACAACACGTCTGGTTGGAGGTTGATCGGATGAGCTTAGCCAAGACTCAACTCGTCTCGAACAGCGCTAACCGAGATCACGTGCATATACATTCACGGCCGAGTCCGGCACCGTGGTTAACGGGTAGCAATGTAATATGGGAGCAGTATGCGCAAAGCACTTACTACGCCTAAATTCTGATGCTTAATCAAGGTGTATGCTATATGTTCGAGAATCAAGATGGGAGCATAGACAGGCACAAGTTGGTGCATACCTACCTAGGTACCTACCTATGGACCTATAGGATACGTGACCGGATACTGACTTTACGACATGCCTTATTCATGCATTTTCTGAGCTATGTATTCAATTTGAAATGTCTCAAAGAATTTTCTAACTATTATTGCTATACAAGCATGGTATCATTACTCTTCGCTATCAATCTCAAATGTAAACAAGGGGTATATCCTGTACAGCACATAATGCAAAAGAAACCGACAAGAAATCCGTCCAGCGAACTCTAAACATACCATGACTTCCCCAGGGTGAGAAATACAGACGCAATCACCCCTCGCAAAATTCCCTTGGACCCATTAGTTCCTTCCATCCCCCCGCAGATTTCTATTTTATACCCTCCAGCTGTCCGATAGAATCGGGGAGTCATCGCTATAAAGGCTAACCCGATCGTGTTGGGTACGGACGTCCGGTGGAGGTGGTATAGGAGATATGGCACGGCAGAAAGCCTCGTCGCTTCGAGAACTGGATGCTCTATAGTTGTCTGCGTTGGTGTTCTGATTCCAGGACTTTAATTCCACGTCAGGCTCCCGATAGCTTCTTCCATTCCCTGCGCGAGGGGGTGGTACGAGGTTTTGGTTTGGATCGACGGCGGACTTGCTGCCGTGACTGGCAGTATTGTTGTCTTGGTTCGCCGACTCTAGATTGTCGGCGAGTGACGTGCCATAAGTGCCTCCGCCTGAGCTTTTCTTGAATCGACTTGACAGCAGGCTTGAGACGACCGGGGGCAGGCGGGAAAGTAACGGCCGGAGCATGGGAGCGCTAGCACAGATCTGGGGCGGAGTCAGCTCTCAGTTGGGTTCGTCTTGAACGCGATCGAAGTCTTACCACTCCTAAATCGATCTCAACCGCTGCTGCAATCCATAAAGGATAGGCATACCAGGTCTGGTCATATTCTAGGATTAAGCTCATGTAGATGTACCTGGATACGTTAGTCGTGCCACCTCTTGGTTCAGCAAGATGCGTGCTCGTTCGCAGCGAGTTTCACGTACCAGGTCCGGACCGCTCCTGCTATAGTGACAATGAAACCAAGACCGAACAATACAATGACCGCAATTCGTTGCCTTCGCGGCATTTGCAACTATGATCTTTTAGTATGTTCTCTCAGGACAGCAATGCATTCATTCACTTACCCTGGCGACAAGAGGTATAGGTAGGATAGTGCAGGTGAAGTCTGCGACGCAGTTGATTATGCCTATACATAATGTAGCTTTGCCTTCGTCCATGCAGGAGCCTTTTGGAGCTGCAAACATCCAGTAATTGGAGACCGGGATGCATTGGAACACTCCAACCAGAATGAAGGACACAAGCATTGCGATGTTAAATGCCACACTGATATGAACGAGCCAACGAAAGACTTTGATTGCTGATTCTGTCACAAGCCGATAGTAGAAGGTCAGGATAGATAGGCGAGTGAACGTCGCCGCGGATACGAACAAGCATTTGGCGACCATGGCTATTTTCAAATTCGCGGCGAGAGAAGTCAGAGGAATGTCGTATATGTGCCTGTCCCATCCGAGGCGTAGGTTGGCGAGGATTACCACCGTGGTTAAGGCTACGGTGAATATCTATGTAGTGTAAGCATACGAGGGGATGCATCTGTGGAGGGTTGGTGTACCAAGGCGAGCAGAATGAGGAAGTCGTCAATGCCGAACCATCTCTTGATAAAGATGCGCGTATACAACCTCAGGAAGACGGTCGTAACCACCAGGACGATGAAACCGAGGTTCACGGCCAGCAGTGCATTTCCTCTGGTTTTCGGGTTTGTGTAGTTTGGGGTCGGCCACGATAGGAGCACCTCGACTGGAATGTTGCGCATACTTCGCCGTACTGTATGCCGTCGGATGGATGCGACATGCACTCAGGGAGGGCATCGAGCAGCCAGAAGGATATGTCGTTGGTGGATCTCAGGGTCTATTAAAGACAGATGGAAGAGGTGTCGGGGTGAACGGCGTCGGCGCCTTAGTGTATCAGCGGCAAATAGCAAATCAGCAGCAGAACCGTTCCTTGTCGTGCTCGGAGGCTGTATTGTATGCCTGCGTTGGACTGCCGCGCTGCTCCGGTCCTCCAAGAGATTGCGCTTGTCAATGTCGTGCAGCGTTGTTCAATGACACTAAATTGGCCACAACACGCCCAAATCGGTCCTGGTTGGATAGTGTTCAACTGGTGTAACCACTAGCCATGTGCTTGCATGCGACTACATGAGTCGGAAGGTCAAACGATAATTGTCAGAGAGAGTATGGGTCACTCAGTCTGGCAGTTGACACAATGTGCAAGGTGCGCGCGAGGATTCTCAATGCGAAGTCGCCGTATGCATAACACCATCACACATGCATACATGCATACAATACAGGCAGTGCTGCCTTGCAGCCTCGATCTAATCTCTGATCCCAACCTGTTTTCGTAGAATTGCGTAGCACTGAGACACGTGGATTCGGAGTGCAGAATCATGAACAATCTTGTAGTTCTGTGATTGCTTGGAGCTTCACTGAACAATATGAGACCACTATCAATCCCGTATACTGTGTTAACCGTGCACGCGTGAGTGCATTTGACAGAACTGACAATGAACTCCTGAGGCTCTGGCTCTGGCTATGAGATTGCCAAAAGCCGTATCGGCATTACCGATGGTTCAACATGTGCGGGGTGGAACTGCCAGAGAGTATCAAATGGTCCCTTGCAGACCAGCAGACGTCTTGCGGTGCGAGTTACATATACCGGTTTAGAACTAGCTACTAGGTTGCATCCATTTTGAATTGACGGTTCGTACCGAACCATTTGAGCAGCAGTCTACGAATGGACTAGCACATCTAAGGATGCCCTTTTGTGGCCGGTCTTCATCCACAGTCTGCATAATTTGTTATAGACTGACGTGACCTTCCTCCTACCCTCGTTTCCACACTGAAATTGGGATCATCATTGATGCTCACGCAATTGGACAAATCGTGATCAAATGATGTATGAATGTTCGCAGACCAGGTGGCGCTTCGGGAACAACTTTACACTTGACAGGATTCTGGCAGGAAAAGTTTATTTGAACGTTTACGCAGATCAGCGCCAAAGTGCTTGCCCAAATACGCCACCTCCCCGCCTCCATTCCGTTAATGTCAGCACTTCTCTACGCTTTGCCCCTAGCGCCACGCTAAGTGATCGGAAGGTCGAATCCAGTATCGTAGTATAGCACTAAGAAATGTTCCTGACTATCGATATCCGCCGAGTCATTCATGGCAACTAGATTGAGAACACCGTGAGCTTCGCCAGGATTGTGGGAGCGTTCAAGAGCAACCCATCTTGGCTGAACAGGGCCCAGACGATCATCTTAGGAGGCGGCGTGGGCTATGGCGTAACCCACTATGTACGCTCTGGATAACATTCTGGTGATGCTAATGGCCACATTAACCACCATCAACAATTGACTTTGAGTCACGAAATGAACCTAAAATTGACTTCATGCTTCATGCACCACTGGAAAACTACCTCGGTATAGGACTCTAGGTTGGCCGAAATTTGACCGTGAATTACTTGCAATACAAAAGCACCGTGCCCGTCCACTTCCACTTCCAGTACACTTTATCTCTGTCTGTACACGTTTCTGTTGCAATTGAAACCCTGGTAACACCTCATACAAATGCATTATGAAGGACATTGCTACTCAATAAATGCTCATCACAATCTTGGATATCCCAGTCTCGTCCCGCAGCTACAGTCGACCAGTATTCGAAGGTCGAATCGGCTCCCCACACGAGTAACTGGTCGTCGCGCCACACGAAACTGAGTTCACCTCTGTACAGCAACAAACAAAGTGGGGAGATTTTGCATGAGATACACTGTATAGAATATATAGTATAGTATCCATATACTCAACCAGCAAAAAAGTTCTCCAGCATCTTGTTCGTACTTTTCGCCAGACCCAGTCTACATGTTGCAGATCACTGACTTGGTCTCTGCTGCTCCTCTCATTTTAAGTGTCACGACAATATAGGCTCTATCCATGACTTGACTTCTTGATGCTCCTTTCAATTTCTTGATACCACGAGATCCATTGTACCCCACCATGTGTTTTGCAAGAAATTGATTGTAATAAACAATCGTTTCGCCGTTGTCTTTTCCACCGTTGTCGGTTTGTTTTAGCTGCGTCGGACAGGGTTTCAGTGTTTTCACAGTCTGATGTACAGTACACATGTAGTAATAAATCGACGACGGGTATGCTAGTGAAAAGTTGATACTATTCTAATCGCCGCCAGGGTTTCATTCTCAAACTCCTAATAGGCTCACTAACGTACATCCTGCTCTCCACAATTGCTGATATGGACAAAATAGTTGCAGTGTATGATGAAGTCTCTATGTCATCGAATACACATTTTGGATCTGAGGATAGACCTCAGAAAGCGGCCAGCGACTGCTCTAATTGATCGATAGGAAATACACGTATCTCGTCCTAGAGAACTTCCACCCCATACCCCCACCATCCCGCCCACCGGTACCGGTACCTACAAACCCGCCATACAATGACGCAATGATCGTATTGCGCAATGGAACGCACAACATCAAGACACCAAACCCACGTTAACTCTCTAGGTATCTTACAAAGGGCAGAGTCAAAAAAGAAGGTAATACTAAGCCCCTAAATGCGCACAGACAAAAAGCACATACAGTGTAGCAATTATTGCAACAACATAGTAATACAAGGCTTTTATAAATTAAGCAAAATTATCTTACTACGTAAATATCTACTTTTTACTTTATAATATAAAGCTATAATTATATATTATTTATGCTGTGTTGCAGCTTTATTTAGTATATTTATTCTAATGTTCATAGACCCTGTGCGCCAAGGATGACCTTCGTTTTTGAATCTGCCCTTTTCTATCGTACGAATCAAGTCACTTTGACACTGATTTGCAAGCAAACCGTCCCGCGATAAGCGTACCGTTGTCCAAGGACCAGAGCACCCATCTAAAACTCCACTCTAAACCTCTCCCCTTCAACACACCCCCGAAAATAAGCAACTAGGTACAATTCTCAGTCCACACCATGTCTACGCCTCCTCTAGCAACAATCGCCATAATCTCTATAGGCCAAATGGGCCTGGGCATCGCACGTCTCCTCCGCGCCCACAGCTACCGCATCATAACAAACATAACCGACCGCTCACCCGCAACACTTGAACGCGCAAAATCCGCGTCCATTGAGTTGTTTCCTACAGATGCCAGTCTGGTCCGCGAAGCAGACTACATCCTCTCGATTGTACCGCCGCGCGATGCTGTAACTACCGCGCAACGCATCATCTCCGTTTTCCAAGAGGAAGGTGCGGAAGCAAGGAAAGGCAAGAAAGAGCCATTGTACTATCTCGAATTAAACGCAATTGCGCCACGAACTGTGCGAACCATCGGCCAACTGTTCCACAAGCAAGCAGACGAAGTGCGGTTTGTAGATGGCGGGATCATAGGAGGTCCGCCATCCGTTTCCGAAGAAGCGGAAGGAGGAGGAGCAGGATCGTGGACATGTCCTGGTATCCCTCTTTCTGGTCCCTATCCCCTTACCTCAGCCCCAATCTCAGGATCGCACCTCGCATCCACGCTTCATTCCCGCTATCTCAACGACGCAATCGGTACCGCGAGTGCGCTGAAATGCAGCTTCGCGGCCTTGTCGAAGGGCTTTGCCGCACTGTCGTTGCAGGCGTATAGCACGGCGGCCAGCGTGGGGGTACTCCCGCATTTACAGGAGTATCTGGATGAGTATGGAGGCCTGGGAGTGAGGACGAGAGCGGAGAGGGGGGTAACCGGGTGCCCGGGAAAGGCTTATCGATGGGTTGAGGAGATGAGGCAGATTGGGATTTGTTTTGGGGAGGAGGTATGTGTGCTTTTGCTCTCCCTCTCTTTCCCCATCTGTAGTCGTCCTTTTTGGGAAAATTAACCAAGATGTTTAGGGTGGGTGGGGTGAAAAAGCAAATGTGTTCAACGGCGTGGCGGGTGTGTATGAGGAGATGGCAAATGTAGTGGAGCGTAGGGGTGGCAGCGAAGGAATGACCGATAAAGACGACGTGGAGGGCGCAGTAGACATCCTTAGAAAAGGTCTGAAGGAGGGAAAGATTACTAGAGAAGCATTGGATGGGATGCTACAGGAATAGACATGTACCATACCATGCTTCAATGGTATTGGGGATGGCTCGAAGTATTGGGAGAAAAGCAGATTCTCACTGGGAATACCGAGCGAGATACACTAACGACATGTATTAGAGGCATACTGGTATATTTGACTAACACCGACCACCCTCTTATGCTGATCTTTCCCTCAGCGCCACCCGCTCCGTAAATCTTCATTGATATGATACAAAAACATAAGAAACGCAAGAAGCAGAACAAGAGAAGACACGACTGGGATCCCATATCTAGTAGGTTTCTTTTTAAGATCGTCATCAATAGGAGAAGAAATTGAAACCACAGTTTCGAGCCCCCATCTCATGAACGCCTGATAGCAAACTAAACAGATTAATCGTCGGATTCCTTGGTCGCTGCCTTGGCCTCGCTCGCGGGCTTTGGTTTCGAAGCCTCTTTCTCAACGCTCTGTTCTTTCACCTTGTCCTCCTTTGCATCAACAGTGGGCGGTGAGTCGCTTGCTTCCGCGTCACTCTGGCCCTTGGTTTCAGGGTTTCGGCCTTCAACGTCTGGGTGTGGAGGTGCGACACCATTTCCGTCCACTTCGTGTGCGTCCACGAGAGATTCCATTATTTCATTACCCTCGCCATCTACAATACGAGTGCGTGTCTCGTATCGAGTTTTGAAGCTGACTTGTCCTTGAAGTGCTTCTACCTCTTCGGGATCAAGAACGCGACCGTTCTCATCACGGAATTCGACGCGCTCTTCCTTGGACACTACGGGTAGATCCTCTGGGATGTTTGCTGGTGCCGACGAAACAGCAGGTTGCTCAGATATGATTTCTTCAGGCTCTTCACCCTCCTCTGCCGGCTCAGACTGCTCCTGCGCAGGTTCAGGAACTTCAGCTGCTGCCGACTCAGGTATCGAGACGGCTGGCGTAGTTGGAACTGCCTCGCCACTATATTGGTCGTACTGAGGATGTTAGCATGTAGTCATTAATGTATCATATCAGAGCTTACCGATGTGAGGAAGTTGTTGCAGTCCCAATCCCAAGTGTTGAAAACTTTGACGCTGTTGCATTGATCTCGAGTCCACGCGTTCCCGTACGCTAATGGGGCATAGATGGTAAAGACTGTAATGGCGACAGCTAGGAAACCGACTGCAGCAGCTTGTCCGATGATCGGGTTCTGCTTAAGACGAAGTGCAGTGAACCTGTACGCAACAAAGTCGTACATCTGGCAAAGGGCCAAGATGGCAAAATAAAGAGCAGGCAGGTAGTGATGCAAGAAAAGCTGGCGTGCCATAAGGTAGAATGGAAAATAATGGAAAGCCCATCCCAGAAGCGACATACCAATCTCGTAATCAAAGCGCTTGAAAGTAACGTTGGAGTAGTCGCGGAATCCACGTTGCCAGCGCAGGACCGCGAGGCCCTTGATGAGGACGTAGACAGCAATGATTGCCGTGGATGTCCACCAGATGACGGGGTTACCAATAAGGTAAATTTGTCGGTTGTTGTTCCCCCAGAAGTTAATTCCACGCCTCAAAATAGGCCAGGACGGTGGGCGGGAGTCCCAAGCGTGGGACTCTACGAGGCCGGCGTTTGTTGTCCACATGACTTTCTGAAGCTCCCAGAACTTTCCAAAGAAGCCCGGGTTGCGGTAGTTGACTTTTTCGACTGTTTCCGTATCCATCAGTGGGTGAACGTTGCCTTCGATATACCAGACACTGTTGGGCAGAGTGCCGCCCTTGGCGCAAGTGACCTCTTGTTGCTCGAAGCCCCAGTCTGGCAGTTTGACTTTGTGCGAGAACAGTACACAACCTGTCATCAAATGTACGAGCCTGAACTTAGTCTGAATGGTCCTGACGCGTTTCTTGGCTTCGGCACCATCGGACATGCTCTTCACAATCTCGACTTTGAAGTAGTCGTTTGCATCGCCTTCGAAGCCTTCATAACCATAGGCAGTAACCTCATTTTGCCAGTCGGCTTCCGTGACAGGAGGCCGTTGATCATGGGAGTGGAGACGTCGGTCAGTCGTGATATGATATAGCTTGATCACGTCGCCATCCATTACGTTGATCGGACCAAGGGTATCCCAAGCTTTCGGTCCTTCAGGCTTGGGTCCATCGAGAACCTCTGGAAGGGTCTGATTCTCCAGAATAAAAATATTGTTCTCGTCCTTGTGCGGGTACAGAGTGATCTGTTGCTGTTTGCTACCAGTTGGATACATATGTGCGTGAGAGTGTAGGTAGCCACCCTGTGTGTTCCAGTGACGAAGGGAGACGCGGCTGCCAAAAGCGACATCGGCAGGGACGGCTTGCATTCCTTTAGAGTTTAGGGTCGCTTGGAATTCAGAAGACATGAAACCATCGCCTTCGCCAGGGTTGACAAGGCATAGGAAGTGAATCGCGAACATGCCCATGTAAAAAGTCAATGGAATTACGACGAGGCAGAAGAGACGGGCGAAGAAATGTTTGAACCAGAGGCGCTACAAAGCATATTAGGTCATGAAAAGATCGGGAGCTATATGCATTAAACCAACATACCGGAGTGACAGTCCGGGTATCTCCAAGGAGGACCCAGAGCTGGACGAGAGTTAAACTGCCCACCCAAGCAATTGTGAACAATCCGACCCACTTGACACTGAAAGTGGCACCCAGACCGACACCTGAAGCAGCAAGCCAGAACCACCATGATGGCTGAAATGCTTTTGCAGGGCCTTGTTCGTGCTGGTTTGTGAAACTAGTCCAGGCCAAAGCCGTGAACGCGGTGAAGAGGACGAGAGGCGAATCGAGTAGGATGAGACGGGATTGGGTTACAAGCGCGTTGTCTATTGAAAATTAGCAACCGCTTCTGCCATTTCGGGAATGGAATATTGCGCACCAAAAATGACAAGACACGCTCCCAACGCAGCGGTCGTGGTACGGCAACCGGCCGCCTTCAAAGTCAAGAACATGGTGGGTATGGTCAGGACACCGCAGATTGCGGGCAACAACCGCATCGCAACGTATGGGACACCAGGTTCCAGGTAGTCCTTGCCAATGTCCTTGAAATCGAATTCGCCATCGAAGCCAGCCAGCCAGCCGGCTAAGGTGATGAGAAGCTTCGCGAGGGGTGGGTGAACATCCATGAAGAACTTCCCTTTGATGTACTTGGAGGCAAATCCACCGAAACTGAGGCCACATTAGCTGTATGTTCCTGCCAACAACTGACAAAAGCGTAGGAAAGACACTCACTGGACCTCGTCAAATACAACGCTGGAGGGTTGCTGTAGCCGGAAGAGGCGCACGACTACTGCGAGGACGACAAGGAATATCAGCATCTGCCAGTCAGAACCTGGCAGTCCGAAGATGTCATGATCGACCACGCCCTCGGAAGTGTAGCCCAATTCTTGTGTCTTCTTCTGCTGTTTCCTTCCATTCGGGGCCGGTGATCGCGAGGGGGATTTCCCTGGTCTGCGCGCATTGGATTTCTCGCCCAGGTGGCTACTGGATGCCGTCCTGCTCGCCATTACGGCGGATTCGATCGAAAGGGATCTTGAGAATTAAAAAAGACTAGACGCAGGATGCGTGGTGGAGTGGAAGGGATCTGCGGCGGTGTTAGATGGTGATCAAGATGGCTGACGGAAGGTGAATGGATGGGGTAGATGGGAACGCACGTGGAAATAAGTAAAGCAGGTTTAATGAGAGTCGCGAAGGAAAGCCCACCAAGCGATTGATTAATTGGGTGGTTAATCAATCGACAAGCAGGCGCGCGGGCGTGGAGGAGCAAGTGAAGAAGTATTTAGGGGCCGCAACGGAAAGTTGCAGGTGAGAGTGTAAGTAGTTGTAAGGTGGCCTCCGCCAAGCAAGGAGCAAGGAGCTGAGGCTAGGTACAGAGGTACGAAAATAGGTCATGAACCAATTGCATAGTCCCCGATGGCCTAGTCTATCTATGTAATACTTCTACGCCTAACTGTATCCTATGGCATGTCGGAGTTGTACCTGCACGTCAGACGAGTAATTGATCGCGAGCGTCTTTGACAGCCCTAAATTGTTGTGTATTGCCCGGGCGCCAGGGGGGGAAAGGGTGCGGGCGGGCCGCCCAAGGGTTTCACGTGAACTGACCGACCGACCGGGGCCGGCCAAATGATTTTCCCCCCGGCAGGCAGGCAGGCCGGGTCGACGCTTCGATGGCCCTCCGCTGCTTCTCTCGACGCGCCTCGAGATAGACATTCCACCCACCAACGTCTACTCAACGCAGGTCCCGCTATGGCTGCCGTCAATGGAGACCAAGTGCCATCGGGCCCTCATGGGCTCCCAAACCAGCCGCCGCCCGAAATCATCATTCCCCCGAGAAACATGCACGAATACGTGCGCAAGACGGCAGATTTTGTAGCTCGCAGGGGCGATGCGCAGCAAGACAACATCCTGGCGCGCATTCGTAAAGAACCAAAACCCATGATGTCGTTCGTTCTGCCTGAAGACCCATACTATCCATACTATCAGTGGTTGATACAGCAGTTCAAGGACGGGAAGGTTTCAAACGACCAGAACGAAAAGGCAGAGGACACCAAACCGAAAGGCCCGTCTGAGCCAACTCCCTTTCGCTACTCTGCGCGCATGCCCAACATTAGCTCACAGGATCTCGAGGTTTTGAGGCTGACTGCACTGTACACAGCTCGAGTCGGCGAGAACTGGCTCAAGGAGCTGCGCAACCGCGAACTGGGCAACTCTTCTTTCGAGTTTCTCAGAGTCAACCACAGCTTCAATCCATTTTTCCGGGCGACCGTCGATCAGTACAAGATATTGCTAGAGGAGGAGGAAACCCAGGAGCAACGCATCCAAGAGCTGCAGCACAACATCCAGAACCGCTTCCATATGCTGGATCGCGCCAAAGAGCGTGCCGAATACGTCAAGTACGTGTCGGAGCAGAAGGAGAAGGACGTGAAGAAAGCCGAGGACGAGAAGAAGGAATTCCTGTCCATTGACTGGGGTGATTTCAAAGTCATCGCAACCGTCTTGTTCGATGAAGGTGACGATGCTGCGGACCTCCCAGCACCTACTGTACTCACTGACCTACAATCCGCTTCCCTGGAGCAGAAGGCCGCCATTTCGCTGTCTTCTAGACGCATTGAGGAGGCTATGCCCGATGACGTTGCCTACTACAACCCGAGTCAACCACAAATGCCACCACCCGCATTTCCTTCACCGCACATGGCGCCCCCTGTGCAGCCTCCTTATCAACATCCGCCCCCCGTCCCTATGATGCCTATGCACAATCGCAGGGAGGAAGAGGAAGCACGCATGCAACAGGAGCGCGACCGAGCTGCTCAGGCGCAAGCTGCCGCAAGAGGAGCACCCACCAATATGCGCATCAGGACAGACTACGTTCCCCGCGCTAAGAAGGCAAATGTTTCCATGGTCACTTGCCCTAACTGCAAGCAGAGTCTCCCCTCGGATGAAATCCAAGAACATATGCGGAGTAAGTCATGCCCATTCCCACCTTCTATGCTACTCAGAACTAATATCGTTTAGTTGAGCTACTCGACCCCCGCTGGAAAGAGCAACGAGCGAAGACTGAAGCCCGCTACTCCACCGTCATCAACCCAACCGACGCTGCCAACAACCTCAAGCGTTTTGCTAGCCAACGTGACGATATATATGACGGAGTCACAGGCGTCGCCATCTCGGAAGAGGAAGCTGCGCGGCGGAAGAAAGCGGCGACGTCCTATGATGGACAGCCAGACCCTGCAAAGGATGCAGCGCGTCTCCAACAAATGCAGAATATGAATGTGCAGGAGCAGCTCCGCCGAATTCAGGAGCGACACGGAGGAGCGCAGTAGCAGCCCGAAGGAGCAGTGAGTATTTCTCTTCTTCTCGTGTATGCTCTCATGCATCACATGCATATGCTAGTGCACTGTGAACTTGTCTTCTCCCATTCGTCAGATGCATTTGCCAGTGCATTTCCAGTTTGTCGGCCTCACGCGTTGCATGTTTCTGCCAATGCTTTGTAACGGCATCTGTTTTCGCAAACTGTATACATCGTTTGGCCCGGCATTGCGAATTTGGTCGCCCTCATGAACAGATGCACATGTCTGTGCATTGGGAAATTGTATACTAGGATATTGGGGTTGCACCTTCGGCATCTCGAAGATGCTCTTTGCCCCAACTGGACAAAAACACGCCGATTCATGAAGCAAGGCCTTGTCTGCTATTAATTGATACCCGCATAATGAATAAAAGAGATAAAAAAAGTATCAAAATCTTATTGCATCGTTCCAGCGTTCCTTGAGCCTGTGAAGACATGGTAAAGTGAAGGCATCATCGGCTGTTTGTCAGTACTGATGGGTGGCGGCTCGCGGAGAAAGCTATGAAAAGCCCGAGCTCCTTCCGACCCGACCGTGCTAAGATATGATGGCATAACTGGGGAACAATAATTCTAACAAACCTCGTCCTAATCACATACATCTCCCACAATGTCATTATCGCAAGCTAGCAAAGGCAACATGCCATATCAAGTCAGATCGTTGGTATGTTCATCCTTCTCATCGCGTTCCCTCGAGACCTGGTTCCACTGCGATCGACCTCTCCGCTTTGCGCGCCTTGTTGCAGTCGCCATGACCTCGGCCGCAGTCGCACAATATTGCCCAGCGCCGTACGACTTCGTTTTGCGCGAGACATGAGATGTATGAGGCATAGGTAGCTGACAGTACTTCATGCAGTATCGCTCGCTCCTCCGCCAGAGCAATCAATTCGCCGCCTATAACTTTCGAGAATACGCCAAACGGAGAACACGCGATGGGTTTCGAGAACATCAGAAGGAGGAGGATGAGCGGAGAATACAGGAGCTGATCCAGGGAGGGTTGAAGGACCTGCAGATGTTGAAGGTACGTGATGTGCTGCTTGGAATATAAAGAGGGAGGGAAGTCAATATGCGGGTATGGAAATCACGCATACTCGATGCTTGATTAGCAGCATCCAGGCTGTGGACCTCGGACACAAGGCATTACGTTTCAATTGTTCTGGTGGAGAGCTGACATTGGCTTTACAGAGGCAAACGGTCGTCAGCCAGTTCTTCCAGATGGATCGGTTGGTGGTAGAAGGCGGTAAGAGCGGAAAGCAAACAGGCAACGAGGGAGGCATCATAAGGCAGAAAGAACACGGGTAAGCTGTTATTCCTCTCAAACTGTCTATGGTGTCAAAAGACTAAGACAAGTCACAGATGGGATTGATTGATTAATGTCGGAGAATGCAAAAGTAAGATGTCGAGATATTGGATGTAGCATTGTGGGTTTTGTTCCACAACAAAAGATGATGCGTAGAAGTCGGGGGCATGAGACATGTGGCTCACTGTATGATACTGGACCGGACATGGTACCTATGTAGTCAGTTGTATATGTATGCGTGTTTGTTCACGAATGTTTGTTGCGCAGTGACAAAGATGTGCCTTGGAGAGAGAGTAACTAACATACGACTCCTGGATGCCATATCAACCAACATTTGATTGAAGCAAGATGAGAAAAAGAAAAGAAAACATTTTGGATCATTGAACCAGTGCTTGAGGGAATCGATGAGCGCTGGGTCAATCCGACCAAGTAACGCGAATGGCTTTACAACAACATTTTCAATGTATTGTAGGAGAGAGGCGAGACGGGGGTGGTTAGGTCTGGAAGCGGTTTAGCCTGCTTCGTACAAAGGCAGCCGCACGGGTCGCGTAGGAGGCAGGCGCAATGCGACTCCAACGCGCCTGGCCTCTTACCCTCTGATCTCCCGAAAACAAACGCGCGCGTTTCTCTCACCTAGCCAGAGCTGCATCTACCGCTGCACTAGCCGGCCTCGCAAGGCGTCAGTATTCTTATGGCTCCGGTATGTTGTTGCCCCATCTCCTCATGTACCCTCATCTGCATTCCGTACTTTGTCTTTCACCCGTGTCATCATCTCCTGTGGTGCCCCATCATCCATTCGCCGCACTCGCTCCTCGTGTTGCGCTCTGGCCTTGACTGCATTCCATCGTCCATCACCATCTTCACCGCGCCAGTCATTTGCTGTGTACATCAGGTGCATGAACCGAGCAGCTCTGTACATCTACATGGCGCACGAGCCTCACGTGCAACCTCACACCTTTGAACATCAATCTATGAATGCTCATTCAAACATTCCATCCGCCATGGCCTCTTCACCACCAGTTGATCAAAATTATGCCAACTGAACCGGATACTGACATCATGTTGGCAGTTCCGAAACAGAGACCGGTCTAACCGGTCTGGACGTGGTCAAGTTGAACACAATGTTTTGGAGGGCTTGCCCATCAACCAGTACCGGGAGGTCGAAATTACCATTGGACCCAGTTCTACCGAAACCAAACATGTGGACAAAGATGCATGGCCCGAACTCCCCATGCCTAGAGATGCTCACCTGCTACCTGAACATTCTCAGCAGCTACTAAGAGCGGCGAGAGCGGGTAAGGTTACCAAAGCACCTGCACCGCCTGAAGAGGATATCGAGAATCGCGAAGAAGAAGACGACCACAAAGAAGTGCCCCAAGGATTCACTGTCAAGAAATGGGTCAAAGTAGCCAGACATCTCGAGGGTCCCGAGCCCGAGTATCTGGCCAAGAGAAGGAAAGGGCTGCCTTCGCAATATGTACCTGGCCAAGTTGCGACGCAGCCCCTGAGGGAGACTAAGGTGAAGAAAACCGACGCAGAAGGCAACGTTGTCGTGTACAAGGCTTTGGTGCCCGAAGGTCAGGCTGTCGAAGGCGAAGTACAAGGGGCCGATGCTGTCATCGAAGCGGCCCCCGTCGTGGCTGCTCCTGGAACGGTTGTGGAAGGTGTTGGAGTTGTAAATTCTGAGGGAGTCGTGGTGGCCAATGACATTATGCAACAAACTCCCCCACGAAGGAGACCCCCTCCACCCAAGAAGAAGAGAAGGAGCGGGCCTGGCCGTGGTAAGAAGAAGGTCATATTTGCCGAAGGTGCAGATCAGAGCGCCCAGGTGTCCGGTGCCGGCTCCAATTTACTGGCAGTCGCAAATCTTAAGCAAGAAGGGTCTGTGGAGCCATCAGAGGGTGGCGACACCCCTATGCCGGATGCCGGAGACGAAGAGGAGGGCTCGGGCGAAGAGGGGTCCGAAGATGAAGATCAGGAAGAAGGGACACATTCGCCACCACCTACAGAAGTTCCAGTACCCGCGGCGCCCACAAACCTTCCAGATAAACCTGCCGCACAATCGCCCGTCAAATCTCAGATCGAGGACACGATCATGGCCGATGTCGAACCCGCCTTAGACCCTCCAATCGTCGTAGCAGAGACATCAGCAGCCCCTGTCGCCTCAGAGGAAAGCAAACCCTCCCCACCGTCAAAAGCAGAACCAGAACAGGAAAGAAAGACGTCAGCCGAGCCCAAACGCGACCAATCTAGCTCACCAGAGATGCCTTTGTCGACGATTTCACATAGCAGGCAGAACTCTCTTACTCAAGTACCAACTATTGCCGCTCTCGAGACGACAGAAGCGCCGGAACCTCCTCCCGCGCCTACCCCTGTACCTACCACAGTCGAAGTGCCCGCATCTACCACAGTCGAAGTGCCCGCATCTACCATCGAACCTGCTCTTGAGCCAACTGTTGAATCCACAACTGAGCTCACAGCTGAGCCTACGACTGAGCCTGTCGCTGAGCCTATAACTGAGCCTGTTACTGAGCTTACAACTGAGCCCATAGCCGAGCCTCCAGTGGTACCCGCAATTGAGCCCGCCGTTGAACCCATAGTTGAACCCGCAGTCAAATCCCCGACCGAACCTATTCAAGAAACGCCTTCATCCGAGTTACCAGTCCCGATATTGGAACCGCCACTCCCATCAGCGCCTACGGAGATGGAGGCACAGCCAACAGAAAGTGAAGCTCCATTGGATACTCAGGATCAAGCTGCGGTGGAAGCTCAGGTACCGGCTGCAACAGAGGTCATCGAGAAGACACCAGCTGGTACGACGCCAGAGGTTCCACCGCAACCGGAGATCCCACAAGAAATTCCAGTAGAACAACCGACAGGACTCCCAGCCAAACCTCCTGTAGCTGATGATGTAATTGCCCAGACCGAAGCACCAGAAGAGACGCCTGCTTCTACCGAGGCGCCAAAAGAAGTTGAGGCGGATGACAGTGAGCCCGATCTTCTGGGCAGCCTGGAACGACACCTCGAAAAAGAAAGGGAGACCATGGGTTAGGAAGCCAATGAAGCCAATGAAGCTAACATCTTCAGCAGCCTGGAACGGCACCTCGAAAAAGAAAGAGAGGCTATGGGTTAGGAATCCAATGAAGCTAATATCTTCAGCAGCCTGGAAAGTTACCTCGAACGGAAGCTTAAGTCTCCAGATTGACCCCCAAGAAGTATGATAATGGTCAGGCCAGCCTTGGAGTGCAGTCTCAGTGGTGTCGATTGATAATCTCTACATATATTGGTATGTCCACCATTTTGGTTAGACATCAAGATGTTGTTGCGGGGGCAGTATTTATATCCTTGTAAGATAATGTGCGAAGTGGGCATGGGCAACGCGCCATGGCTACTGTCTGGTTCTTTGTGGTTTTTGGCAGATTTTTCAATTCAAGCTCAATTGCCGCTCTGTTTGATTTTGGGTGTTGCTCCACCAGTCAGGTGTACTTAGATACATACTACCTAGGTATTTATGTAGTAAGCACCCATCTGCCCCGCGAATGGCGGATTCCTTACCCCGCTAAACGGCTCCCAGATCTGTAGGTGGACATCACGTCACTGGCCGATAGGGGATGCCGAACAGAAAAGCCGCCCCTCTTGAAAGATTACCGCTCCCGTTGACCGTCCTTTTCCTGCGGGAAACTTCCGAACCCACATGTCCGCGTCTGTTCAATCTGTGTATTTGATCTTTCACTCACTAGCTTCCTCGGGTTCCTCTGGTTGTACATAGATAGCCGAGTTTCTCGATTAACAGTCGAATAATCAGCGGCCCCAGATATCTGAGCTTCATAACGGCTCCCTATCAAGCATTCATAATGTCTTCCATCAGCAAAATCATCAAAGACAACCAGCCGGATTTCCAACCATATGAAGAAATATGTACAGTGGCCTCCCAACTTTGGCTTCAAGACAGCTGCTGATCACCGCAATCCTTCAGACAAACATTTTCACCGACACCCCGAACTATCGTTCCAGGAGAAGGAAACAGCTGCTCGAATTTCCCACGAGCTAGGAAAGTTGGGCAACTTCGAAATCCAATCTGGCATTGGCGGTCACGGTGTAGCTGCGGTCCTGAAAAATGGCCCTGGAAAGTCCATCCTCCTTCGGGCAGACATCGACGGCTTACCAGTAGAGGAGAAGACCAACGTTCCCTACGCTAGCAAGGAAAGAATGAAAGACGATGCCGACGGCGTCGAAAAACCGACTATGCATGCCTGCGGCCATGATGTTCATATCACGGCTCTATTGATGGCAGCAGAGACATTGTCAAAAGCCCAATCAGAATGGAAAGGTACCCTCATCCTCGTCTTCCAGCCCGCGGAAGAGCGCGCCGGGGGAGCACGAGCCATGATTGCCGACGGTCTCTACGACAAAGTCCCCTCCCCAGACGTTGTAGTGGGCGGGCACGTCGTCCCCTTCCGCGAAGGCGTCATCGGGACCAAACATGGATTGATCGCCTCAGCAGCTGATTCCTTTGACCTCCACATTGAGGGGCGGCAAGCGCACGCCTCGACTCCACACGTGGGCATCGACCCTATTGTGCAAGCCGCTTCCACCATTCTACGCCTCCAGACCATTGTCTCGCGAGAAGTCGATCCTTCGGATTTCGGCGTCGTCACCGTCTCCTCGATCCATTCTGGCGATGCTGTGAACATCATCCCGCAATCCGCAGACGTCAAACTCAACGTGCGCACAGGTGTGCCTCTAACACGCGAACGTGTTCTGAAGTCCATCTCGCGCATCATCAGCGCAGAAGCGCAGGCTTCAAATGCCCCCATTGAACCTACCCTCACACCCACCATCAACTTTCCCTTTCTATACAACGATGCTACCGTGACAGCCGCCCTCGAACAGACTTTCGCTGCGCACTTTGGCGACGAATATTCGGATAACATCCCACGCTTACAGGGCTCCGAGGACTTTGGTATTCTGGCGACTGCTATTGAGAAGCCGAGCTGTTTCTTCTTGTACGGTGGTGTGGAGAAAGGGTTGTATGATAAGCTTGTAGAGGAAGGGAGGGGGAATGAGATCCCAGGAAATCACAGCCCGCACTTTTTGCCGACCGTGGACAGTGTGAGGGTGGGATGTGAGGCTTATGTTGTTTCTGCGTTGACATTCATGGGTAAAGGCGAGGAGGGAAGTTGAATATGAGTATAGGCAAGTGGGAATGTTCGGTGATTGACTATCTGAATGTTGTGGTCTTCGTGATAGTGGAGTGAGTGTTGGCTCCTTCCATTCTCCATCTCACCTTAGGCCTTTGCACAACTTTTGGTGGTTGTGGAGTGTGGTTCAAGATGTCACGATGAATGAAGATTGGATAGAAAACAATTCCATCATCGAGACCAAGTCATTGTCGTACGTACCGAGTGCCCCTGACTCGTTCGTCTACCGAAGTGGCTCGGTTCTGTGGAGAAACCCTGTGTGACAGGCAGGGCAAGCGCGCCCCGTGCAGTAAAGTAAAGCCCCAAGCCCTGGCCCGCGGCTCTACTCCCAACATCAATCCAACGTATAACGCGCTGTCACCTGAGCGTCGATTTTCTCGAACCTACAACCCACCATCAACATTTTCCATAACTGGGGACTAATGCAGATGGCTCGGCAATGTCGGAGAAACGCCCGCACGAAGATCCCGACCATGTTGCTGGACCGCAGGCCCAAGTCCCTCGTGTAGCCAAGGTCAGAGCTTGTGAGTCAAATCCCATCCTTCGACGGAAACAAAATGAAGGCGATTGTTTCCTGTTGTCACTTCTAACGGATTGATCCTCACACATGTAGGCGCGGAATGCAAAAAACACAAGATCAAGTGCGAGCAAGTCCCGGGAGAGCAGAAATGCTCCAAGTGTCTTCGTGGCAATCTCGAATGTGTGCCGCACAATCCGCTGCAAAGGTTGCAGGATGAGGATGCTCAGTAAGAACTCCGGTATATCCTATGGTTGTTTCTTCTACAGTCGTTTTGATCTTTGAGATAGATGGAAAGAAAATGCTACAGCCGAAATCGCGCAGCTCCGAGCAGCTGTACAAGTCCTTCTTCGTCACAGTCAACTCCCTGATCTAGCGTGCTTACCGGAAAAGATACCGGCTAGGCAACAAAGTATAGTGATCAGTCCTGTAAATGTCACTGAGAATGGCATCAATACGACCATGGTGGTCCCGCCCATGGATATGACCCGGGAGAACTCGGTCGACCCTAGTTTAGAGGAAGGCCCCGAATTATCAGAGCTCGTGCCAGCACCCATGAGAAGTCTATACGATTTGACGCGGATCCGCAATTTGCGAAGTAGCATTCGCTGGAAACCTGATGCCGATTTTGCGCAGACTGATTTCATCGCGCAAGGTATCATTAACCTAGGGGAGGCTGAGGAACTCTTCGCCCGGTTCATGAAGGACATTTACCAGCTTCTCTGGGAGGGTATGCTGGTACCTCATACGACGCTTGATGCTCTACGACGCCATTCGACTTTGCTTACTGCCACTATCCTCACTGTAGCCTCACTACATACTTCCGGACGGACAGATACGATGCAGAAATGCTACAACGTTTTCGTCTCGCTGGCATACAGCACTTGCTTGTCAAGATTGCAGAATTTGGACGATGTACGTGCTTTGTGCCTAGCGGCTTTCTACGTCCCGAACTTAAGCTGGAAACTGTCTGGCCTTGCCGTGAGAAATGCGGTAGAGATGAACTTGCACCAGTCATATAACAAGTTGTCACGGGGTCATACGGACCAACGCAACAATGTCCGTCTGTGGTATGCACTCTACGTATGCGAGCATCAATTTAGCATAGCTTACGGGCGGCCACCACTTCTCCATGATGACCTGGCAATCAAAAACATAGAGCAATTTCTGAACCACGCTGAGACCACGCCCGGAGACCTGCGATTACTGGCTCAAGTTGCTCTTTTCCGAGTTCTCACCGACGCTTACATGGCATTTGGAAGTGATCCAGAACAACCCTTGGACGAGCGAGATTTCCACCAACTACGCATGTTCAACTTTTCAATCGAGCAATGGAGATTGACATGGCAGCCCCGTTGTGAAGATAGCGCCACCATTGGATCCTACCCATCAAAGGCTATCGTCCTGTATTACCATTTCGCCCGCTTTCAACTTAATTCCCTAGCGCTCCGGGCTCTACCTTCCCCAAGTGCCACATCTTCCGAATCGCTTTCCTACGATCGGAGAGAAGCCGCGAATATCGCCATTTCTGCAGCCACCGCTACGTTGACCCTCATTTTCGAGGAACCTGATCTTCGCAAAGCCATGTTTGGGGTCCCCTTGTTCACGCACACGATGGTGGCGTTTTGCGCCACGTTCCTACTTAAAATGGCCAGAACCTGGGGCGTAGTAGCCCAGACCGCGTCACCTGAATGGACGACAGAGCCGGCCGGTTTAGGACTCAATTTTAATATTGCTCAAGTCCTATCCCTATCCCGGCGATCCGCCAATCTCTTGTCGAGAATTTCGGAGAGTCTAAATGAAAAGCATCTGATACGATATATTGTCCGCGGAATCAAAGAGCTATTGAAGTTTTTCGATGCGCCTGAAACGCCCAACAGCAGTACCAACACTGCACATATACGGAATACCGTTCCCGACGCTGCTAGTCAAGCAACGGTGGCTCCGGATCCCGTGAACATGATGAACTCGGATTTGAGCAATATGAATGGCTTCAACATGTATGATTTGATCGGCTCTTACGGTTTCGGTTTCGATGATGAGCCGTTTGTCGGGCAAGCTGCGCCGTCGAATGACTTTGACCTTTGGTCCACTTGACCTACCTCTCGTACATTCAAATGCGCCGGATGTAACGACACATAGCAGGTGACCAGTGTACAGTTGTATGTGATGAATCACCTAATTCACTATTATTAATGCTTGTATAATATGACGAAGTACTATCTTCTTAAAGAGAGTACGCAAAAACAAATTCTGCAACATGCTGCCTTTGCGATCCCCAACAGTACCCATCTTTCTCCCACACACCGAGATCCTCTTCGCTAGAGTTTAGCTTTGACGGACGATTGTGGGATCTCTGGGAACGGCGATTCCAGCGATTTGGGAATTAAGTGCTCCACATCGCATACGTTGAGATAGCGTGGATGACACTGTGATAAATCTGTGATACCCAGCAAGCGCATGGTCGTTTCCATTTCGTCTTTCATGACTGTAGGGAAATGATCGTCAGTTTCATTACCGATTTTTTCTTAGGTCGGGATTGTTCGCTGCGACTTACTGTCGATGAAATGTTCGACGCCTTCTTGGCCGTATGCCAAAGAATATAGAAACGGGCGACCCATACCAACCGCCTTCGCACCCAGACACAACGCTTTTATGATATCTGTACCCCGACGAACTCCGCCATCTACAAACACCTCAAGATGTTGAAACACTTCCGGGTGATGTTTCCGAATCTCCATCAACGTCAAAAGCGACGGAGGCGACCTAAATGATAAAGCCAATCAGTCATTGCTCAGACTCTCAAACCCAATCCCAATCCCTGCCCACAAATAGAACTTACGTATCAAGATTCCTCCCGCCATGGTTACTTATCACAATCCCATCCAATCCATATTTGACTGCCAGTACCGCATCCTCGGCTGTCATCACGCCCTTCGCCACGAGCGGCAACTTGGTCGACCGCCTCAACCACGCCACATCTTCCCAATTAAATGTCGGATCGATATATCCACCCATCGTCCTACCCATTCCGCCACCCCTCTTATCATTCTGCGCCGCGGCGCCACTGATGGCTGCTTTCGCGTTAGTCGTGGCTTCCACTTTCACGCGCTCGTCGCCCTCGCGTTTTCCTTGGACGGGGCCGTCGATGGTGAACCAGATGCCTTTGATGTTATTTTTCTCGGCGTCGCGGAGGAGGGCTTCAGAGGCCGAACGATCTTTGTTGATGTAGAGTTGAAAGAAGAAGGGAATTGTGTTTGAGGGCACGCTGGAGGTTATTTCTTGCATAGGGAATGCCGCGTTTGTGGAGATCTATCAATCCGATTTGGATCTCATCAGCAGTGTTTCACTTTTCCCTCTTCTGACATGTATCAGATGAAGGAATATCTGAACAGTCAAAGCAAAAAAGAAGAGGAAGGAGGTGGATACTCACACACTGCGCAACCCCCCACTCCTTACACGCCCTCGCAATCCCCTTTTCCCCATCGGGATGACTCAACCTCGCCATAGCAGCGGGACTGACAAAAAACGGCACCTCCACCTTCTCCCCCAACATGCTCGTCCTCGTATCCACATGCCTTACGTTCCTCAGCATCCTCGGCCGAAACCAAATCCGGTCATAGATGCTCCTGTTCGCGTCGCGTGTGACCAGATTCGTGGCGGCTGACGAGTAGAAGGCGTAGGTTTTCTGGGACAGGGTTTGCGCAGCGACGGATTCGAAGTCGTACGTGTTGATCAGTGTGTGTAAGGGAGGCTTTGTGGCTAGGGCGAGGGTGGGTTGGGTTGAGGGTTTGGGTGGGGGTTTGAGGAGGTTTCGTGATGTTGGGGGTGTTGAGAGGGTGCCTATGCGTTTTGAGTGGTGGAGTGTACGGGGGAGGCTGATTTAGGGGTTAGTGAAGTTGAGAGGTGGTGATGTTTAGTGGTAGGGATTTCAGAAATTTTGTTATTCCAACTATGTGAACGTTTGGGCTGGGAGGTTTGTTGGCTTACAGGGAGGGTGCGTGAGCTGCGTTGTATGTTTCTGAGGCATCGAGGCCTGCGTGAGAGTATATTACTGCAGTTGTGATTTATGTTAGTGATTTTTTTCATCATTTGTTGTTTTGTTTGATCGCCAACGGCGGGCATGTTGATGTCTTTTGGAAAAGGCGCAGCCGTGTGGGATGAAGACTTGGTTATGGAGGACACACTCGGACATTATCACATCCCACGAACAAAAATAGGGAATACTCTTTCTTTAAGAAACTATAGAGAAAGGCGTAGACGAATATACAGAGAGAGATTTGACCACCGCATACAGCAGTCCACTTCCTCGAATCCAAACATACCGTGGAAAGAAACAACACGTAACTGATGAAATTGACAAGAAAGAAGTTAGGTGACATACCCTCGGAGCCTCCAGGATGCTCGCTCGCAAACTCAGTGATATCCCAGACGACATCATCAACGACGATCCAGCAGTCGTTTTCGGTGTTGTGTCTTTGGATTTCTTCGACTGTTACCGACGGCGATGTTTCGGTGTTGGTGGAGGAGGGTTTTTGCTTTTCCGACATGGTTCGAATAAAGGCCTACAAAGTAGACTATCTCTTTTCAATTATGTACCACCAAGTATGTTGGTCTAGAAGGTTATTTTATAAGGGCGATGATACGGCGGCAATAGGAGAACACCAGGCAGGCCGTTGGTATATATCTATAGAAGAAAAATGCAGGTCTATAGACGCGTAAAGACTTCGAATGTATAGAATCTAGCGAGTCCCGCGGATGCTGAGCAGCAATTGTTCATCGAGGTCTTGATTGGATGGAGGAGAAAGAGTGGTATGTTTCCGTGGTCTTGTTTCCTTTTCCCCGCGTCGAGGCGACTTTCATTGCAGTTAGCCGATGGGTACGTACCCTGACGATGGGTGAGTTGAGTGTGGGCCCCCTTCGGCGATGGTGCCGATGTGCGAGAAATGACCCCCACACTTGTCCTGTTCCGCGGGGGTGAAGGTCGGCGGACGTGCCCGATGGTCGTGATTCCCTGGAGTAACCTCGCTGCAACCTCCACCATGCTACTTACCGGCTGCTACTGTGCAGAAGTGGATCTGATGCTTTGGTGAAGAAAAGTCGGAGACCATGATTCCGAGTCGATCCATGAGTCGCTGGGTTTGGTTCTTAATGGTTGCTTGGCCCTCTTGAGCACAGCTTCTGTCCGTTGATCAACACATTTTCCAGCCGATTTTTACAAGAGCCAACGAAAAAGAAAAGAGAAATGAAGATTCTCATCACCGGCGCCGCAGGCTTCATTGGCCAACTTGTCGCCGAAAAGCTCCTCTCAGACACTGACTCCAACCACACCCTCATCCTCACCGACATCATCACACCACCAGTGCCTTCCAAATCCTCCAACCCTCAAAATGCGACCGCCATTCGCGCAGACCTCACCACAGAATCTCAAAATGTCGTCACCTCCGACATCTCCGCCGTCTACGTCTTCCACGGCATCATGTCATCAGGTGCCGAAGCCGACTTCGACGCCGGCATGCGCGCAAACTTCGACACAACACGTGCACTTCTCGAAGCCATCCGCACCACATGCCCCGGGGCCCGCGTCATCTACGCCTCAAGCCAAGCCGTATACAACAACTCTGTCACCCTCCCTGTCACAGAAACCCAGATGCCGACCCCAGAAACCAGCTACGGCGCCGAGAAGATGATGTGCGAATACCTGGTCTCCGAGTACACGCGTCGCGGCTTCATCGACGGCATCTCGCTGCGCTTCCCCACCGTCTCTGTGCGTCCCGGAAAACCTACGGCGGCTGCAAGTTCGTTCCTCAGCGGCATGATCCGTGAACCTGTTGCTGGCGTCAAGTGTCCAATTCCTATTGTCGACCGCCAATGGCGGCACTGGCTCTGCTCGCCGCGTATTTTAGTCCAGAATCTTGTTTTCGCCGCGACGTCGCTTGATTTGGGCAAGCTGCCCAAGCAGGAAAGGAGTTTGAATCATCCCGGAATTGGGGTTTCGTTGCAGGATATGAGGGATGCGCTGGAGAAGGTAGCTGGGAAAGACAAGTTGGAGCTGTTGGAGGAGAAGGAGGTTGACGAGCTGAAGAAGATTTTGTATAGTTGGCCGGCTGAGTTTGATAATTCCAAGGCGTTGGCATTGGGGTTTGCGAGGGATGAGGGGTTCGAGAGGATTGTGCGGGATTATGTGGAGAGCGTGGGCGGGAAAGTTGTAGAAGGATAACGTAGATGCCGTTTCGAGAGTTTGGATTTTGATGTCAGTGTTGAAGAGATGAATGGATACCCAATGCATGATACATGTACACATGTGAAGCTCCAGCTTGCCGTGACTCTATCGTAGCTTCTCAATCTCAATGCCTCGTCGTCACAGAGTGGCATGTTGAGTAGTACCTTTTGGGTAAGAGCCCCCGCGGACTCCGCACTTGACTGTCTAGGTAGGTACACTGGGAGGGTTTCAGGATGAACGCAAGTCGAAACGACATAACAGTATACAACTACGAACCGCGATATTCAATGCTATGCGCTATCAAACCATGAATCTACAATTGAATCTTGTCTGCTTGCCCCGACGACCCCATCCAGTCACAGAATTTCTCCACTGATTTCTGCATCTCATTCGTCGCTTCCTCCAACAGCGCAGTCAGAGGCGTGCTCGCCGCCTTCTCCGACATGACGCGGATAAAGTCGTTGTTGATGGCATCGTTCAAATTCATCTTCGCAATACCACACTGGATATTCTCCTGCAGAATCTCCTTGTTGCTGAACCACTCGGCGCCAGCACCGTGTAGCACCAAATGCACCCTATCGCCGACCTGGCCATGCACACGCTTCAACCTTTCATAGTCGAGCTGCGGGCCCTTGGGACCATATTTGCCGTGCACATTGCCGAACGCGGGGGCAAGCCAGTTGATGCCCAGGGAGACAAAGTCTTCGGCCTGCTCGGGGGTCGTGAGGATAGCCTCAAGACCCATGGCTGCGACATCGCCAACGCCATCCTCGCCACCGTCAATACGGCCCGGCTCCGCCTCGGTGATGATACCGCGCTCGTTGCAGTACGCGACCAGCTCTTTTGTGAGTCGGAAGTTCTCTTCCTTCTCGTAGTGCGACATGTCCACCATGATGCCATCGAAGCCGCCCAAGTCCGCGGCGCGTTTTACAATCTCGGGTGTTTGCGCGTGGTCCATGTGGATACCTACAGGCTGGATGGCGTGGGTTAGCTTCGCTGGGGGGAATGAGGAATGCGCAAAGCTTACGACGGAGGCATTGTCGGCTGCTTCTTTGGCAGCGTGTACGAGAACGCCGCCTGCGAAGTGGATGGCCCAGGGGAAGAGCTGGATCAGAATGGGCGATTTCTTTGCTTCTGCGGCTTTGATGCTCGCAAGTATCGACTCGAGGTTGTAACAGCATATGGCGGGAATCGCGTATTTGTTTTCAGCAGCATGAGCTACGATTCTAAGCGCGCGGTTTTTGGATAGATCGGGCGCCATTGTGAAGATTGAGGGGATTGGAAAGGTGGAAGGCGAAGTGGAGTAGAGTAGAAGATGAAGAAGTTGAGAGGATAAGAGAAACAAACAAAAAACTCTACTGCCCCTCCATCGTCGAGAGAATTGTTGGATCCTGTCGGCAATTCAAATTAGATGAAGTCGTCGGGTATCTAACTTGAATCATGCTTGCATGCATGCGTCCTTCGACTGTCTTCAGTCTCGGAATGGTTGCATCATGGGTTCCGAGCCCCTCGATCCGTTGCCGATCCCTGAAAAAAAGCGCCTTAAACAACCGGCGGGGTATTCTCTTCGTCCAAACCTCCCAACCACCGCCTATTCTCCTTCACCTCTCGCACACTCGGGACCAGCACCGACTTCTCGGCCATTCAACCGATCGCCATGGCTTCACTATCATCGCTAGCAGCTGCCCTAACATGAAATGGACTTAGGATGGCCTGATTCGATTTCCCCACGCCCTTTTCTCCACACTTTCCTGCCCGCAAACGTTCCCCCGCATTTGTAGCCGTGATCACTGGAGAATCCTTGGGCGCGATGCATGAATCATGATCGTCAGCTATAAGAATTGCAGTTTCCCAGATCTGCTGGAGGGATACGTCCGAGGGCGCGACGAGTTCTCGCTCTTCTTCTCCCTGTTCTTCTCGTATCATTAACTCATTCGGAGGCCTTCGTCCTCGCAATCCTCCGCCGTCATGGATACCGACAAGGCATCCATTTCAAAGGCGTCTCTTGCCCAGATCGAGACCACGGTGGGCACTACCAATGAGGTTCCTGAGATTCTTCGCAATCACACGCCCGAAGAATTGGCTACTCTAGAGAAGAAGCTTGTCCGCAAGATCGACTTTCGATCCCTACCTGTCCTCATTGTCTTGTTTATACTCAATATCCTGGACCGAAATGCCATCGCCAATGCCCGTCTCGGTGGTTTAGAAGAGACGCTCGGGATTGACGATGTGCAATACCAAACCGCCGTCATGGTACTTTGGGCTGGTTACATCTCCATGATGGTACCGTCCAACATGCTTCTTTCCATTTTCAAACCCAAAATCTACTTGCCCACTGTTGTCATCATTTGGGGTATAGTCTCGGGTGCGACTGGATTTGTGCAGAACTTTCCTGGGTTGGTTGCGCTTCGGTTCCTGGTTGGAGTGACAGAAGCACCCTACTTCCCGGGATGTATCTTCTTTCTATCGTGTTGGTACACTAGAAGAGAACTTCCTTCTCGGATCGCGACCTTCTACTCTGGTTACACCCTGTCCTCGGCGTTTGGAGGTCTGATAGCAGCTGGCATCGTGGATGGCATGGAAGGGCTTGGAGGGTATCCTTCGTGGCGATGGATCTTCATTCTGGAAGGAGCTTTGACGATTGTGCTGGCATTTGCTGGATACGTTCTTCTCCCCAACTATCCATCCAACACATCTTTTCTGTCACCCGAGGAGACCGCAATGGCACAGTGGCGTCTTAATCGCGAGAACGATGGCACCAAGGACGAAGTTACCGAGTCCGTCTTCATTGGTTTGAAGCAGGCATTGACGGACCCCAAAGTCTACCTACTCGTCTTCATCCAAACATGTGCAGTTTGCTCTATGAGCTTCACTTACTTCTTCCCATCCATTGTCAAAACCCTCGGCTTCCCGCGCGTGGAAACGCTTCTCCTGACCGCACCTCCATACTTCCTGGCCTTCCTGTTCTCTGTCTTGAACTCATGGCACTCCGGCCGCACGGGAGAGCATTGCTTCCACATTGTGGGCGCCTGTTCTCTTTCCATAGTCGGTCAAATTCTTTCCATGTCGACGTACAACACGGGCGCTAGGTACTTCGCCATGTTTTTGCAAGCTATGGGCGCTTTCTCCGCCTTTCAGGTCGTACTATCGTGGGTCTCGGCGACCATCCAACGACCCAAAGTCAAGCGAGCCGTTGCTGTGGGCCTCGCAACTGCCGTCAGTAACGCCACGAACATCGCCTCCGCGTATCTTTACCCGGCCACGGACGCACCGTAAGTCTCTCCTTACTTTGCATTTTGTCACAGTCCCATCTTTTCTGACCTTTTTACTAACGAGTGGTTGCAGGCTCTACCGCATGGGATGTATCGTTCTGACCGTTGCCTTAGCCTGCTGCGTAACCGCTTCAGTGATTCTGAGGTTCTGGCTGCAGAAACTGAATCGCAAGGCCGATAGAATGGTTGGCCATGAGGGGGTCGAGAACGGGGCGGGTGTTTTGTTCAGATATACGTTGTAGACAAGAGAATAATGTTCATTTTGTGGTGTGTTTCAAAGCACACCGTGTTCTAGAACTCGACCAATGGTCCTAGAAATATGACGTGAGTTCTTCTAGAATGAATGCGTAAGTCGGTATTCGAATGATACTACTTCCATTAGGGTGAATTGCGAGATCCATGGCCCACTGCCAATTACCAACCAAGTTAACGTTGGTCCTTGAAAGATATGCGGCTGCTCTTCGATGAACACCTCGTGCACTCTACAATATTCTCCTAACATCAACTCACCTCAACAGCAGCGGCCGTCTGCCCGTTTGCCCTCGAAAACCAAACCATTTCCTCGAAACTAAGCAATGCAGTCTAGGCCCCGGAAACTATTTTTAATCGCAACAATGCAATGTCACCCAGGTTCTCACCAGCACCACGACGCAAGAAAAACCTGGCCAACATCAACATTCTAGAATCACTTACGACTTTCCGTTTTTGGAGGTCCGCCGCATCCTAGATTCCTCAATTTTTCTGCCTCCGCTATAGCATATAGTGTGATACGGCTGATTCCCATCGTGGCTCCGATATAACGTATAGTCATCTACACAATAACGCAACATTAGCAAAGTCGTGATTGGGTGGGCGACACCATACAACCCTAGCCCCACATGGCTGGATTGTGGGGACCCAGACATAAATCAGTGTTTATGCGTAGTAATACGCTGTCATTGAGTGGGTGGGGTGGACAAGACATTGACAATCAAACACATCAAGATGTTTGTTCTTATTTGCGGTGGTGTATGTGGACCCTTGCTGATATATACAGGGGAGAGGGTGCGTTGATCTGGACAAGGATTCGACATGACTAGTTTACAACTTAATCTAAACGTTCTACCTCGGTGTGGGGTGTGTTGAGCTCCATAGAGCAAGGGCTTGGATATGTTTGTTGTATGTTGACATGCCTTTGCCCCGAGCTCGGCTATTTTGTAATATATCGTCCATGGTTGGATAGATCTTCAATTGCCGCAACATCATATATCAACTTCACTATACGGGTAAATGGGATGAACCTCTCAGAAGACGTTCGTTGTTTCAATGTGGACTCACCTGCCTCGTATCTTCTAGAAGCATTCGTGCTTGCTTGCTATACTTTTTACAAGGGGGGTTTGCTCGCCAGGGAGGACTGGTTGAGAGAGTTCTTCTTGTGTGATTGCTGGAGGAACAATGCGCCGTATCCACCTCACATGATAGACTGATCTTCAGAAGCAACGATTAACCTCATTGGCACCGGTAGGGCATCTCGCTTGCGGCCCGCCACCATCGTTCTTATCCCTTTCCTTTTTCTTGTTGGTGCTGCCCTCGGTTCGCAGACTAAGTACGAAACCGTCACGCGTAATGACGACCTAGAGGGCTTCCCTGTCGTTTATTCTATTCGAGGCGTGTGCGTCTTGTTTATCGCGACACGGGGAGCGCCCTGGACCCGGAATAGAACGTGCTTGATGACAGATTTGGAGCTTGGCGGGTTCGAGGTGGTACTAATATAGCTATGCCGCCGCGCCTTCTAATACACCCCTCGAAGCTGTAATCATTCACGATCAATTCGAGGCTTTTCTTGATACCCGATTTGTTAGACAAGATCAACACTTGTGCTATCAGACTTGCTGGTGAATCGAGTCCATCCAGAGAACGTAAGCTGCAGAAAACGTCACTGTCGAAATGAAGTTCTCGCTCGCATTTGCAGCATTAGCTGGTCTGGGTGAGTACACCAAAGATTCCCCATATTCAATCTGAATATCAAACCTGACTTTTCCAACCTCAGTCTCTGCCAGACCATCTTTCTTGGACCTCGCACGGCGCGACGGCGCCATCAAATACACTGACCCGGAGACCGGCTTCGCATTCTCCGAGTTCAAGGCCGCCTATACCCTCACAAGCAACATTGTATACCGCTTCGCACTCCCCAGCGACCCGCCATCTGGTCCGTATGATGCCGTGATTCAGGTCGTCGCGCCAGTACAGGTCGGCTGGACGGGTCTTGCATGGGGAGGCACGATGCTGAAGAACCCACTCACGGTCGCATATCCAAACGGCAACAGCGGACCAACCGTTTCGTCGCGATGGGCCACGTAAGAGATCCCTGCCTTCCTCTCATCTCTGATGCACTCTATTCAATTTCTTCCTATCATCGCTGACGGACCTCAACAATAGCGCACACTCAACCCCAATGACCTACACCGGCGCAACCTACACGATCCTCAGCAACGGCAACCGCGCAAACGGCACGCATTGGCAGTACACGGCGCTATGCCGCGGCTGCACGCAGTGGAACACGGGCTCCAGCACCGTCCGTCTCAACCCTACGGGCTCGTCCCGCCTCGCTTTTGCCTACTCGCCTGGCCGCCCCTCGTCCCCTAGCTCAAACACCTCGAGCATTCCTGTGCACGAGGTCGCCAATGCTTGGAGTCATGACTTTTCCTTGGGGCTGAACCCGAACTTCCAGGAGTTGTTGGTGAAGAACGGAGTTTCGTGAAATCGAGTTTTGGTGTAGTGGAGGAGCTAGGCTTTAGTGGAGGCGGGCTTTTGGTATGGTGTAGAGCGACATTCACTGGGAGATGGAGTGGTGTGGTGTGATAGCGCAGGCGAGTTCTATTCCGTTATCTCGTACATTCGATTTAGACCAGATATATATATGCGATGGAAAAGCTCCTCTTGTATTACTCTCTCGTCTGATTTTTTCTATCCTGTGTGTAACCCCCACAAGTCCAAAGAGGGATCCCGAACGTCATCACAACCACGCAAACAAGAACAACGGCAGCAACGCTCTGTCAGAGCAAACAAAAACAAAAACCACAATCTCTAAACTGCTCATATCCAGAATCGAATCTCCTTCTCCTCATAAAAAAAAAGAAGAAAAAATAGAACTGTAGAAGCACCTCGGTTTCGCCTTCATGTGATCTAGCGAGCTAGACCAACAATTCGGAGTCCCTTCCCGGTACCACGCGCCGGGCCGAGCCCTACTATGAACTTCTGCGGAGGAAGTGCTCGCTGGAAGGGTATATATAGTACTTAAATAAAAGACACGTGGTTAGCGGGCGTCGGAGAGCTATGCGGAGCTGCAGAAACGCGTGGTTGCTTGGATCGTTCTGTCCGACGAACTCATAGGATCCCTTGATGTGTCGAGCACGGATGGGTTTGTCGTGCGTGCCTGGTAACCATGGTAGGCCTTCCAGGTCGGCGGCAGCAACGAGGCCAGCGATCGCTGTGTGAGGTCAGTAACATAGATTAATGTAAATAGAGGAAGATGATGAACACTTACGCATGTGCTCTTCAGGGTCGTCGGATTCATTCCCGACATCAATGACATCCTCAATGTCTCGATAGAAAACCGTCGGGTAGTTCTGGGAATCTTGCAAATTGAAAAGGTGCTTGAAATTGATGCCGTCATCCCATTTGACACCGATAGCTTCTACTACTTTTGTGATATCGACGGGGTGGGACAGTTCAACCTCCTTAGCTCGCGCGAATCCCCTAACAAACACATCACAACAATCAACAAAACAGACGACGAGTGAACAACATAATAGATTAAGACATGACTATCCCCCCTCCCCCCAAAAAATAATTGTACGCTAGTTAAGATGATAACTTGCATATTGCAGATACGAAGTGCCACCCCCCACAAAATTTAATCTCGCTTTGGCAGGACGACGCTTTAGCCTGAAGCTTAACTGTTGTATGAGGAAGAATCGCATGTGGGGCGAGAAGGTGAGTCGCGAGGGATCCGTACAGCGAGTTGCATCGATAAAGAAAAGTAAAACATGCGATTCGACGAAATGGTGGCGTGAAGTACAACTAGATGTCGCTATGCTTTGATTGCCTTGGCACCGAGAGGGAGCTCCTTGAGCCCTGCATGAAGAGTCAGTATATGCATTGTATCTAGGAGTTGAAGAGGGGGGAAACGAACATCCGTCGACGTCCTCGGGAGCCTGTTGGGCCTTTGTGCAGGCGCTGTACTGGGAGTCGGTTTGGGTGGTGAGACCGGCTTTGGGGCAGGCGTTGTTGAGGTTGCATCCGTTGTCCATCGCTTTCTGGAGGGAGTCGCCCTCCCAGCCGAACACGTAGTCACCGTGAGCAGCGGCACCTCTGTCAATCAAATTTCGTCAGCAATGCTCTTTCGCAGTTACTCGTGGTTTTTTTCAGGGGTTGGAAAAGTACATACCCGATGTTCATGGAGTACACAAATGGGTTCGATCCATCGGAGGGCCAGATGTTCTTGTCGGCAAAGGTCGTCACATTCCACATAAGCTCATACATGACTTGGGGCAGCTTGACGGGGTGGGTGGATGGGCAGGCGCCGCCACCGTTCGCGCCAGAGCCTTGGCCATACTTGACATGGTCCTGGTGGTTGGGCGAGTCGAGATTCACACCGTCCCAGCAAGTGGGGAAAATGATGGTTTGGCGGATCATCTTGCACTTGGGGTCGGCGGGGATCTCAACAGTGTCGCTGCCAGAGCAGGGCTGGGCTCCTACGAACGTGTTCTCGTTGGGGGACGTCCAGCATCGGTGGCAGATGTTGCCCTTTGAGACTTTGCCGGTGTCTGTGTTGTAGGCAGATCCCGCGAGCATACGGAAACCCTAGAGATGTCAGTGATTGTTTGTTGACGAAATGCTGCAAACCAAACTAGAGCTGAGCTCACCTTCTTGAATGCAGTCGTCTTTCCGCTGGGGATGTAGTAGACGTCCAAACCGCCCTTGTTGATGAGCTTGCCCTGGGGGCCACCGTTACCAACTTGAGGAACACGAGTGTATGTTCCGTTCTTTGCTTTGAAGAACATGACAGCCGTCCAGTAATTTGACTTGTCCTGAACAAACGAGCAAGATGTGCAGGTGGAAAGTTTGGCGGGGTCGTTGTTGGGGTCCATAGTGACGTTGAAAGAGTTTCCGCCCACAATCTAGTCACTGGCGTCAGTTTGACGAATCTGAAGAAAGGGTTGGAAATACTCACCTGGTGAAGATGAGGAGTGTATTTCTGACCGGGGTTGACCAGTGGATCAGTCCTCTCTACGACTAGCTGAGAGCAGGCAAATCGCAACATGTTGCCTTGAGCAGCAACGTTGTGCGCAAGAAGCGCGCCCACGGCGAGTGTGGCCCACTGCATGATGATCTTAAAACTTTCAGAACGGAGGTGAAGGTGTTCTAGTTTACTTCAAGAGCGAAAAGTAGGGGAAAGTAATAGGTAAATGAACGAGCGTACAGAGAACAGAAAAGTCAGTAGTCGATTGCCCTGGTTATGATCCTTATATCACACCAGGTATTGGCATGCCTAGAGCAATCCCCCACATGTCTAACTGCCGGAGACACGGAGGTCTCTTGACTGTCCCTGTATGGAAGTTCGGGGTTAATCTATAAACTTGGATGATTGGGCACTGTTAGCCCCATCCCGATATTATGGTCGAGCTGAATTCGGAAGTCGGATGCCTCCGATCTATCATGATATCTTTGAGCAAACGGTGGGTTGCACAGCGCAAAGCTTTTGTTGGGCTAGATCAAGGTAGACTGATGGTCACGATGCTCAAATGGAGAAGTGGCAACTCTAGTACTCGGAAAACCCCTTACGGTTCAAGTGCACCTCCCAGACCTCAACGATATCGATCCAAAAATACGATTTCTCATTATATCTGTGCTAATGACAAAAAAGGAAATCTCTGAAATTCGCACATCCAGCGTATCAGTCTGTAAGATGTGGGGAGATTTGGGCAGACGTGCGTGGAAGAACTCTCGAGATAACTGCCAGTAGGAACTTGTGCGTCCCCAGCATTCCAGATGAATGCCCAGAAACAAGATTACTGGTGTCCCACGAATTACATCTGTCAGACTTGACAAGGCATGTGATAGCACAGAACTCGAATGTAAGATGGACAATGATCTCGGTATACTTTACAGCGAGCGCATAGGTCAAGACAGACGAGAAGAGCTTCTACCCTGGATGCGGAGATGAATCACCTGTCTTCCGGAGCCTTAAAATTGTCGAATGTAAGTAGGATAGCGGTGAAACATATCAAACATATCGATTGCGGGGAGCTACTTGGCATGGCTGATACTAAAGGAAGTCATGGAGACTCGTAAAAAGTTGACTTGAAGTACGTGAGATTCAAACTACGGATTGATACAGTGATCAAGTTTGATACCCAAGTACCAGAATCTTGATTCACGGTATCATATCCCTACTGGCAGTAGCCACGAGGTCGAAGTCGGACTTTCGATACCTTAGTGCTCACATACGAACAAGACGATATTCCCTGTTTGCTTGTTCCTCGCAAAGTCGCATTAGTGATCATCTCCACAACAATTTAAAGTGGCCTGCCAGTTATCCATCCAACAGTTTACCTTCGAAGCCAAAAATTGGCAGAAGCAAAACATATTTTGCCGACCAATGACTTTCCACTTCTGCAACGTCACTCGCGTCTTGCAGGTTGCAAACCTTGAAATATATCACTATCCGGCACCTCCACGTACCTCGCCAAGCATAAAACCAAGGAGTAAGATCGACAGTGGGGTCAAGGATTAGTATGCATCCATGTTGGATCGTAGCGAGTGGTCTGCGGGGAAGCTTTAATCTATATAGAATGTTTCCGAGCAGGGGTATCGGAGGGATGTGTGCGGCTGAAGTGCACGCGGCTAGTAAAGGGTATAGATGTGGAGCAAGTGCCGAAGTGATGACAGCAGTCTTCTAGACTGTAGCGCTGAGAAATACTAGAAGATCTTGTCTGCTCTGTTGTCATTTTCTCAGGTAAATCGGAATCGGAATTAGAGTTCTGAATTTGGGTTCCATCTTCTGATCTCGATGGAAATATTTGGACCTCAAGAATTACAATACAGCAAACCACAGTTGTGCGTGTGGGTCATTCTACTCTTCGATCATGACTCCCATGCAATCATCACCACTACAGTGTGAGCTCCAATGTCTGTCAGGAGAACAGACAAAGGCTCTGTAAATAAATCTGTGTCAAACTTTCCTCGCTATAGCTGAGCGCGAACACCGATTATTGCCTTCCCACATCAACAGGTGTTGACAGCGCTCACGAACAACCAGAGAATCCGAAGGAAGCCCCTCAAACCACCACAACCACCCTTTCCTCCGCTCCAACATCCCCATGATATCTCTCCAGCCCAGGAAGTTCGCCATCGTGAAATCGATGCTCATGTTTGCCCTCACCATTAACAATCCGTGACCATCCAAGATTCTCCAAGTCGCCCACAACCGCCATGCCCCTCCACCCGTCCGCCTTCTCAATGGTACATCCGGGTCTCTCTCTCATACCGCATGCGTAGCCATACCAGTAACAATCCTCCCAAACCGCGTACCCGACTCTCCTATATTCTCCCTCAACTCTCCCTGTAGGAACAAGCGCCAGGCTCCAGACAACTAAAGGATCCGTTTCATCGTGTGTGCCAATAATGGTTCCAGGTCTACGGCCTGTATTATGCTGCGCGATGGCAATGAAGGTGAGTTGAGTTGATGGTCTGATGATTTCGTCGGGGCGGAAGCTGCCACGGATAAGACGCCAGCTGGGCGATGCCCGACCGAGTGTGGTAGATGGTTTTGAAGGAGAAAAGATAAAAAAGTCGTTTGGGTGGAAAGACCGGCCACGATAGGTGATGAAGTGTTTTTCGCTGGTTGGGATACGGGTTTGCATCTCTGGAGCCACTTTGACAGCCTCTCTTATCGAGTATGGATAGATAGCGTCAATGAAGCCGGTACGCGTTTCACCACGAATTTTGAGTGTTCCTCTTTGCTTTGAGGCTGTTCCGGAGGATGTCATGTCCAGGATGTCGCATATGCGCTTGCTGTCTATCATGACAGTGATGGAATAACAAACAGGGACAGTGACGGATGCCCATGACCAACTCGGACTTATATCCTCTTCGTGGCGAACAAATTTGTTCCTCTCCATATCGAAGGCGCCAACAGTGGTTGGGGTGTACTCGTCAACGTGAGGAATATTCCATAGCAGCCCTATCCAAGGATATTGATTCCATAGGCCTGCATGATACTCACTCGAAGTATGCCGCTTTAGTGCCCTGGAGATATCAATATCACGCTTAGTTGAACCTCCGTGAAGATCATCCAGAGTTTACTCACTGTACAATGCCATGTATAGCTACCAGTCGATCAAAGGCTTTGGTCATGCCTCTATGCGTGTAGTCCATAACTCCATAGCACCAATATTGTAGCTGGTATCGTATCGCTTGTTTGGGATCGTCTATCCGAGCCAAACTGAAGAACTCTTCAGGTTGGAATATTCCGCTCTTGAGAGCTCGTTGATGGCCGATGTGTCTGGACATTCCACTCATAGGTGACCTTTCTGAGCCATGGCCAGAGGCACATCTCCATCATAGGACATCAGTCAGTGTGAAACTTTGATAAAGTCGAGTGATTTCCTACTTACTCCCAACGAACCTGAGACCCATCGTATATAAGCATTCGAGGGCTTAGTAGTTGCTCCTGCAATACCCATGCCCGCCCGTAAAGAGCAGGTTCGGGGCCCCCAATCCCTTCCTCACGGCCGTAGGAATCAAATTGAAACCTATGCGGCTTCAGCGACTTCGATTTTGTTCCTGTTGGCTGGATGTCGACGATGAAGGGGAAATGCAGTAGCCCATCTCGATTAGTAAAGCATCCGATCTCTCCACCCGTCGCATGAGCAGCGCCAATCTTGAGCACTGCGTTGCGATACACGTCGCACATGGTCGCAGCCTCCTTTTCCCAATCAGCACCGTCGTCTTGAATGATGCAAAGAGAGTCTATCCAAATGTAACGATGCCCCAATTTTCGCGTCGCGTGCGTCGCTTCGCGGAATGTCTTGGATAGTTTGGAAGCATCTATTTCTTCCAGATGTGTGTCGTAGTTCTCTTTCAAAGTTCGTATGATCTGGGTCTGGCCCCAGCAATGGCTTAATGTCACATATGATGGGGCACTTCCGTCTCCTATGATTCTTTTGGTTTCTACCAGTTTGACGGCGCCATCAGCAACATCTATTAGTCTTGTTGGTACGAAAGATATGCTGCCCACAGGACTGATTTCTCGACAAGCCTTATGCTGCGTTAGACATCGATTAAGCCAGAAAGTTACAAGCTCGAACGTAGCATCAGATCCGGTGCTGGTGTTCTCGAGTTCTGAAGTGCGATCAAGTACGCCAGCCAAGTCCTCTGGGCCCGAGAATCAGTAATCTTATCTGTTTCTTTGATCTACTATGGAAGACGTACCGTCTTCAATGATTCCCTTCGAGATTGCAATCAAGCGTTTTGGTATGCGAGCGACCTTCCCGGCTTGATCTGCCTCCCAGAACCCGGTGCAGAGCATAGGCTGCTGCCCGACATCGTACTCTATACTGAGCACGATATCTAAAGACTCGTCATAGTTTGAGAGTAGGTGAGCCCGTTCGTGTATATTGGGAGTATATTCGATCGCACGACATATAACACAACCAGCGGATGACGATTGCTTCAACTCACGAATGCTATTATGTAGTACCGTATCATAACGTGCCCATGGCACGTCGTTTTTCGATTGGATAATTTCCGGTATATCTGAGTTCACAGCCACGGCTTGCCAGAATTGCTGGCACTTTTCGCAAAACATGTTGATGTCACTTCGAGAGGGTGACAAGGTTGAGATCGCCTAGATGCAGTGTACACTTGAAAGGTAAGGCTTAAACCATTTTCGGTTTAGACGTTTGTTCATTATACCGCGCATGTTGAAGCGCTTGCTCATGTTGAATTCTATCGTTGGGTATCGTAGCACATGTTATGACTTCGTAACGGTTTCCAGTACCTCGATCGCTCCGCCCACCAAATGCAAACTCCCTGTGACCAATACCATGATTGCTGACTCATCGGGATGCTTCCCGGACCATTCACTCGCAACGCCTCTCGCTGCTGTTATGGCTTCCTCAATTGTTTTGACGACTGACACATTGGCTGTGCCATCAACATCCGACCATGTGGATGCAAGTGCCTTTTGCACCGCTAACGTATCAACGTCTTGCTGGTTCACGTTGATTGACACGAGATCCGGTCTGTAGCCTTCATTGAAGGTCTGGTTCGTGGTGAATATAACATGGGTAAAGGGTGATGTAGTTCCGGATGTTATACCCGTTTGAAGGGCCGCGTAGAGGGCTTTCGCGAGTGCGCCTGCGTCACGCGTCTGTTGATTGAAAATCAGAACGCGTGGTGTTGAAGATATCGGAGAGGCCTTGGACAAAGCCATCTGCTCAGCAAACCAGCGACCCGTCACTTCGATGCTCTCCAAAGTATGACCACCATCAATATGCCATGCTATTTCTGGTTCACGTCGCACCTCGCAGCGACCTGGCCAGCGCACACTCTCCAATCCTCTGATGAACTGGGAGGGCAAGTCGATGTGCGGTGTTTTGGTCGGGTCTGGAATAGAAGTATGCCCGAGAGAGCGAAGGTGAGCAGCAGCAACTGCTATGGCGACTGAAGCATTGATTTTCTGGAACTCGGCGGAAAGACCAAGCTTGATTTCATTGTTGCTCAGGGCGGGATGGACCTGAATGGCATGTAACGCTGTGTTCCGCTCCGCGGCTCGTTCTTGGAGTACAGTCATGGCTTCCTCTTTCTGGGGTGCGGTGAATGCAACAACACCTGGTTTGAAGATGCCTGCCTTATGCCAGGCAATTTCGGGCAAAGTGGTTCCAAGCATAGCCGTATGATCAATTCCCAAGCTTGTGACAGCTGTGACCGATGGCTTTGTCAAGATGTTGGTGCTATCGTATTCCCCTCCAATACCGCATTCCATGATAGCCGTATCAACACCCTCCTCTAAGTAAGCATGAAGAGCCATGAGGGTCAAATATCGAAAATAGACTGGTTTCGTAGGCGCATCCGCGGGGGTGCCGGCTGCCTTTGATGCCGCCTCCAGGCGATCCCAAATCTCAAAGAAGTATTTGGCAAACATTTCCTCGGATATGGGCTCATGGTTGATCTGTATTCGTTCACGTACAAATCGCAGATGGGGTGACGTATACAGTCCCGTCTTGGAGGGTCGGGTGGAAGGGTCGGGTGTGGAAGGAAGGTATTGCGAGAGGATGGAGGAAACAAAGGCACTCGTAGAGCCCTTCCCCTTGGTTCCGGCAATGTGAATGGGCTTCAAGCGGTCGAAATCGGAGGGCTGCTTTGAGTCAGATGGCACACACTCGGATGGAATGAGGTTGCAGGCGATGGGCAGGCGCACACCTCATATCCAATTTTGCGACACCACTCAATCATCTCGGGGATGGCCTGCTTGTTCATGCCCTTGCCCGACTTCCGGATGGCGTCGACAATGGAGAAGTTGGACTGCAGCGTATTGAGGGCCGCAACGGCCGCCTAGGTATATCAGCTGGCGGCTCCAAGTGGATTCGATGTTGGTAGAGAGTGTGTGCTCACTGCGTAGTCTCGATTCGCCATGACGGGAAAGCCGTGGTAGGAGCGTCCAATTGAGGATATGCAAGTGGGCAAGCGATTGCTCAGTTGCCGCCTGACTGTGAACATGGGAGCATGACGTGTGGACGGGGAGGGTCCATGGATTCAATGTTGAAGAAGTCGTCTTTGCTCAGACGGATGGTTCGCAGGCCCGTCGGTAGCCGATAACGCCGCCGATAACGCATCTCGACTCTTCGACTCTCCCACTCACCACCATGGACAACTCATCGTGCCGTGTCTGCTGCAACATATTCTTCATGTTCTTCCGGATTATAAATGCATGAACGGGACCCTCCGTATGCTTCGCTAGACTTTGTCCATGGAAGCTATCGATCCCATCTGGCTTCTATCCGTCACCCACGATTAGATGAACGATCGGCGTCCATTATCCCAGCATCTCAGCATCTCAGGTCTTCTTAATACTGGCCGGGCGCAACCGCAATCGTCGTATACTCAATATTCTAACGACGATCTCTCTCGGGCGAAGGTAGTGAACCGTGGACACCGTACAGATGTGGTGCTCATCTCTCCCCCCATACAGCTAGTGTAAAACACGCTGGGGTTTGAGGTCCAAAATCTCCGGTTCCATGTCTCGGTCTCCACTCCGCATCTTTGCTACTCCCCGTCTCCCGCCGTCTCCGCTCTGCAGCAGGCATTTTCCAAGTTACGTCTTCAAGAACGAAGAGGCCTCCAGTTGATCTGGTTCACGCGTACGCACTCACCTTTTTTCTTTGCCATCCATGAAGAGTACAAGGTCACTTCTGGCATTGAGGCATACGAAACAACCAAGACTGTCTGTTTACGATAGATCTGATCAAACAGAGGTGGCTAAATACGGCTGTACCTGCATGAAAACGCCATCAATTCCAAATCGTGAGCCTGTTCGGTGCTATTTTTTCCCAATCAGGCAGTATTCCAGAGTGCGAGTCCCTTGGCCATCATGTTGAATGCGCAATCGAGGAGATGAACAGGCCTGAATACCTGAAGCAGTGATACAATGCCCGCCGGTCTGTAAGCAGTGTCGCCCAGAATAATTGATTGACACCCCCGGAAGCCATTTCATAGCTTCAGAAACGTTCCTGCGCGGCCTCCTTGCGCGTGTGCCACGCAGTCATGTCGCAATGTGACCAGCCGAGTCGCATCATCATCAGCAACGTGTTTCACCACCCCTCCAAGGCCTCACACCTCACCCACCCTCTCTCCACTACCCAGCATTGCCGTTCGTTATTAGCCTCCAACGGCCATGTTCCAACTTTTTTCCCTTTCTCGCCCTCTTGAGCCGGCTCAAAAGTCCTTCATTTTTCCATTTTCCTTGTCACTCACCACCATGGCGTCCTCGCATTTTTGAGCATCTGTTGCGCAGTCTCCAGAATGGAAACTGGGCACCGTCAATCCTCATCTCTGGCAGATGTTACAGCATACAAAAAAAGAACAAACGATTTCAATTGGCTTCCATCGCAATACGGCACCGGGTGTGACCTGTTGTGATAGGTGGGCTTGCCTTGTATGTGTCTTGTGCAGCTGTCTGTAGCACTATGAATCATGCTCTATGTATGCTGATATACTACCACAGAGTCGGCATCAACTTGAATGATATAGAGATAGAACAAAACAAATCCCCACCATCGCTAGCAACAGTCTCTCTCTTGCATGGGTAATTTCTAAAGTACTCCAAGCCATCACCACGTTCCTAAACATGTTCCTCTATCCGGTCGCAAGCCTATGGTCCATCCTTCTCCCTTTGCTCCTCCTCCTTGTAGTATCAACAACGGCGCATCCATACCCGCAGTATTCCCACAAGATACGGTCCTTGGAAAACCAGTATATCCATCCAACCTTTCACCTCTTCCCACGAAGCTGGTTCCACACAGAGAAGCGCGCATCACCAAACACCCCTCACATCCGCCGTCGCGGCCTCCCTGGCGCAGTCTACGTCTGTACACGGCAAAACTTCCGTGGCGACTGCGCGTGGATCATGCCCGACAACAAATGTCACATTCCCGGTACAGGCGACAACTCACCCGAATCAATCGGCCCCGACCCAGACGGCTTTTGCGTCCTCTTCGAATCTACCACGTGCGATGGTAATCAAATTGCAACGCTACGCTTCCCCGGTATCGAAGATCAGGTACCGGAATTTGGGGGCATTCAGTGTTTCGCGGACGGTGGGAAAGGCATGAATGCGACGGCAGCTACGAAGGGTCTTGGAGCGTTCAAGGCAAACGCGGATCCTAGGCTGCCTGGTGGGTTTGGCAGTGCGGATGCGTTTGCGCTGAAGAGTGTGCTTGCAGAAATGGAGAGAGAAGGCTTCAATGAGGGTATGATTGGATTAAAGAAAGGTCATTATTATTGAAGAGAAATCGGACGTCATCTACCACACCTTTTTCTTCTGGTCTTTTCTCCCTCGTCCACGTCACAACTTTTTGTAGGGACGAAAGACGTCACTTTTCCACAAGCCACCTCTACAATACGTCTGCCTCTTGCTTTCATTGCAAAGTGTTGACGTTTTCGTAATGTCTAATTCTCGTCATGTCCCTCTCTTCGCCTCCCTTATATAGACCAATAACAACAATGATGCTGCTATGCCCTCGGCTTTAATTGAATTTGTGCCAAGACTACCAGTTTTCTTGGGGCGGCGTCAACATTCGGTCTTATTATGTTGGGTAAGTGAGGCTGATGCGTGGTGGGTAGTCATAACCAAGTAGTTAGAAGGCCTGCGCTAACAATATCTGGTCTAAATATAATGATTGCATGGACCAAGCAACAACATGGGACGCACCTGTCGAATGCCCCTGAAACACGCACAAGATAGCACGAGAGACATGGTTAGGAAATTTCAAGGGAAAAGATATCTCGAGGTGTCAAGATACATTATGTTTTTGTGTCATATATGTGTGCATCACCTGTCTCCAACATAACCCATCTACAAATAATTCTTGAACCCCCGGATCAACAAACATTTCAGCTCCAACCCTTGAATAAGACCACCAAAGAAACTCGAAAAGAGAGAAGAATGCATCAAAACCCGCTAAAAAGCAAAGAAAAACTACCAAGCGATCTTCGCGAAAAAGCCCTTTGGCCAGGTGCGTATCGCCCACTTTCGAGCCTCATCAAGGGTAAGTAGGCCGATACCGAAAGCGACGGGAAGGAACCAATATTCAACGGGAATCTGCGTGGTGCCAATGGCGGTTTGGAGCGAGGGGATGTAGCAGACTGCGTAAATGGTCAGTCAGCTTGTAGTTCAATCAAGAGCGAAATCGATATAATCGGAACTTACAAATAAACACCACAACAATGGCAAACACCATGGCCGGGAAAATCAACACGTTCTGCGTGTCTTTGTTGAAGATGGGGGGTTGTTGGAAGATGCTGAGCCGTCTAGTTCTTGTAGCGAGTAGATTGAAGATTTGCCTGTTCGAGAATGTTAGATCTCGTATTCATACACGCAAACTTTCGACGTGCTCATAGTTGAGATAGACTTACATGACGACCAAATTGACAAAATAGATACTCGACGCCGTGTTAGTCGCAGCCGCTACAAGATCCTTATCGTACTTGTCATCGAGCGCGCCGAACTTGAGCCACAGTGCCGTAAACGGAATTCCTTGTCTTTCAATATACCAGAACGCCATGGTGAAAGAAAGAAAGCATTGGAGAAGTCCGACGATGAAGTAAGCGTGGAAAACCAGTCTGGTGTTGACTAGACGGTCCTTTTTGGGGTTGCGGGGTGGGCGTGTCAGGACATCGTTCTCGGGTTTCTCGTACGCGAGGGTGATTGCGCCGGCGCAGTCGGTGAAGCAGCAGATAATGATCTATTAGAAAAAGTCTTAGTTGAATAATGGCTGATCTGATAGTACGGCGGGTACTTACCATGAGGAACGATGAGAGGATCTGTGGGATACCGAAGGCGACGTTCGTTACTACGGGCCATAGCTCACTGAAACTTCCAGCGGGGAGTAAGTATACGATTGTCTTCTTCAGGTTGTCATAGACGAGACGGCCGTATTGGACTGCTGCGACGATGGCGGCGAAGGAGTCGAGGAGAACCATGTCGGCAGCTTCGATGGCGATGTCTGAGCCGCTGCCCATTGCGATCCCGATGTCAGCAGCTTTGAGCGATGGCGCATCGTTGACACCATCGCCAGTCATTCCGACGATGTTGTCGCGAGCTTGGAATTCTTTTACGATGCGGAGCTTTTGCTCTGGTGTGGTTCTTTTGTAGTGTTAGTGGACTGGGTTCAAAGTCTGGGCTGGTTGCCTACCTAGCGAAGACGATTTCTTCGTAGTCACAGAGTTGGTCCCACTGGTTGTCGTTGAGAGTGATGAGTTCCGGCCCACTCAAGACCATTGCACGTCGGCCAGATCCAACCTTAACATCTCGAGACAAAGCACTGATATCGTCGACCATCGATGAGTCCGAAATGATGCCGCATTCCTCGGCGATAGCTTGAGCTGTCAGTTTGAAGTCTCCTGTTACCATGAAGATACGGATGGAAGCGCCTCGGAGAATGTTGACCACATTGGGAATCTCATCACGCGGGGGGTCGACGATGCCCAGGAGACCGACGAATGTAAGGCTTTCTCGGGCAGCCACAAGAACCTCTTTTTCTGGATTGGAAGAAAAAGGCGCGACGGTCTTTTTGCGTGCAATCAGAATCACTCTCTTTCCTTGACGCGACCAGTCATCCTTGATCTGCTCGATACGCGAACGTTGGGGCTCGGTCAGGTCCAGAACTTCGCCATGATCTCCAACAAGCTGGTTGCATCGTGGCAAAAGAATATCAGGAGCTCCCTTGATCATGAGTAATCTAGAAATTTTAGCATCGCATGTAAAATGATGGCAGGGCGAAGAATGTATACATACGCCGAGTTGTTGCCGGGCGCCTGAGTAACGGGAGCCATGACGCGAACCATAAATTTGTTCTTACTGTTGAATGCAATCTCGAAGATCTTCTTCCAGTCTTGTCGCAGTTGAGCAACTGATCCAAGGTTTTCGGACAGCCGGAGCACGGCTTGATCGGTGGCATCTCCGTTGATCTTGCGGTTGGCGATGGGCATATGCACTGCGCGTCATCAGCGAATATATCATGGTTTGAGAATGCGAAAGTCTTACTCGTAGATGCATCGAATTCGGCAGAGTTACAGAGACCACTGAGTAGACGAACTTCTTCCATGACATCTTCGCGCTTCTTGCCCAAGGCCGTAATGTTGTTATCCGATTTGAGGACTGCCACGAGGTCGCGCGCTGCTTCAGGTGTGTATTCTTCTCCAGCTGCGTAAATGTCGGTTACGACCATGCTGTTCTATGGGGTATTAGCTTTCGTGTAGCGTGAGACAAAAGAAAGAGCGGGACATACCTTGGTCAAAGTCCCCGTCTTGTCCGAGCAAATGACTGACACTGCGCCGAGGGTCTCCACTGTTTTGAGTGACTTGCAGAGAATCTTGTTCTTCCTCATGATGTTTGCCACAATCGTCAAGCTCGTTGTCAATGCGATAGGTAGACCTTCGGGAATGAAAGCCACGGCCGCCGAGACGCAACTGACGATAAGAAGAGGCACATCAATCCAGCCTGGGTGAGACTTCCTCAGCCAAGCTCCCCTGGGTGCCGTCAGTATTTCACACAATCAAGAATGTGTGGAGGACTCACCAGAGAATGCAGATCAAGACAACAACACAGGCAATGAAGAGAGATATAATCAACACGAATCGGAAGATCTCTTTCTGCAGAGGAGTCATGCCTGTCTTAGGCTCATTCGTGAGTGTAGCAATCCGGCCAAAGATGGTGTTGTCGCCAGTAGCCACGCATACGCCGATGCAGCTTCCCGAAATACAGTGTGTTCCTTGCATACCGATATTCTGGGTTTCGAGGTAGTTCTCTTCGGTCGAATCGATCGTTGCGAGGATGGGTTCGGATTCACCTGAGTAGAACGTTAGGGTTGTGTTATGTTGTTCAAGAATCAGCACTGGACTTACCTGTAAGGATAGAGCGGTCGAACATTGCATCACTGGATACCTCAACGAATCGTACATCGGCGGGAAGCTTATTGCCCTGCTTGATGATGACAATATCACCTGGAACCATCTCTAGTGCCGAGATGTTTACTTGCGAACCGTCGCGGCATACAAGACATTGGTCTGGTAACATAGTTCCGATACTGGCCATGACTCTCGAGCTGGACCAATCTTGCCATGCATTGAATGCAGCTTGAAGAATAAAGACTGCCACCAGCACAACAGCGAGCAGAAGGTTGGCCAGTGCTGGAGGGTTTCCTAGTGGGCGCCAGGCAATGAAGACAAGCACTGCAGCGATGATCAAGATGGAACCAAATCCACCGAAAAAGTAACCAGTGATCTTTCCAAAGAGACCAGACGGTGGTTTTGACATCTTGTTCTTGCCATATTCGCTGAGGCGGCGGGCTACCTGGTCGTTGGAAAGCCCTTGGTGTAGGGCTACAGACAGTCGGCGGGTGAGCTCATCGACAGAGAGTGTATGCCATTCTAGGCCAGCAAGATCTTAATACAGTGAGCAATTATAGCGAAAAAGAGATGACGGCGCTTTAGTTACCAACACCAGCCTTTTCCTTGGCCTTTTTGGTGGCCTCCTGCTTCTTGTGAAGATCCTCGTCGACTTCAATAGACCTAATGCGCTTTAGCAAAGCAGGGGCTTTGAAGATAGCGAGAAACTCACAAGGTTCGATAAGTGATGGGTAATGCAGTTCCAGGATCTACACTCCTTGTACCACCTCCAGCACTGTGGATTGACAAGCTTCCTACACTTGACTGGCGAGAATGGCGTCGGTCACTGCGATAGCGATCACGGCCTACTCGACCAGTTTCTTCATCGTCGGCATAGCGAACGCGATGGACTGGCTTGATCTCCTCTTCGTCCATAGGATTGCGCCCACGACAAGTTTTGCCAGAGAAAGAGCCGCGCGACGGGGGCGAAAAGGCGAGAGGAAGGGGCAGGAAGCGAAGTAGAGAACGGGGAGAAGAGAGAGGAGGTAAGAGAAAAGCCAATGGATCAAAGCAGGTGCAGTGATTTTATATTCAGCAACAAAGACGGGAGATGACACAGTCTGACCAGGCCAAAGGCACATCATCGCCGTCTACACACGCACCAGCTACTAATTTTCAAATGCAAACATCCTGTCATCGGACTCCGCGCTGGGGGTAGCTCGTAATCTGGTGCCAGAAACCAAAGCAACGGTACGGGATACCGCACATGGCGGTTCCAGCGGTGACCTGGAAAAAGGTATATTCCACGCGCCCACGGCCAAGGAACAAAGGCAATCAAGCAGGCTGTGTACATAGCTTCTTGGTACAAACAATGGAACGATTCGACGAAAAATACCTCAGCGCTACACTTGTCATGGCTGGAACGCCAGCATGTGAGATGCTCATCTCGCTGTCCCTGAAATGGTGAGGGAAACCCCATCCCGTCTACTCTGTTGATGGTTAGCCTTGAGCGATTTATCGTCAACTCAGCCACGGCCAGGGACTCTGCCCAATTACAACGCGAGCAAAGTGACCTCACTTTGCAGACCCAACGTGTTCTACCCTTCTGCGGGAGCAGGAGATGGAGTTTCGCATCTCGAGCGCCCGCATCCTGCCAGGCCTTCCAACGCATCCAACTGCCTCTTCAAGCTTCTCTTCGTCGCGTGTAAGAGATGCCAAGAACACAAAGACCCTGATAACAAAATCAACGCATTCCGCGGCAACACAGCATGAGTGCGTGAGCGCATGGACGATATGTGTGTTTAGTGCTTCCTAGTGTCTTTGCGATGGTTGTTGCTAGAAGCTTAATGTGACCCCGAACAGATTTTGATTGTTACATAAGAGATATATGTTTAGCACTACTCAACTGATTTCAGAGCTAATTAGCAAATGGAGCCGAGGCAATACGCATCGATCCCTCAATTCTACCCCAGGTATATCTGACGAAGAATACGGGGCGTATGATGCAGGATGCAGGATGCAAGATGGAATGAATGTGCTGCACATCACACGGCTCGCTTACTTCTGCATCGTATGCCGTGACCACCTTTCTCTCCACTTCGCTATACCTCTGTTGAATATATGTACGTAAACAAAGTGCATGGGCTACTATACAGGCAGGATTGTGGCTTTCAGATTGTCCAGACCAATTCCAAACTCGGTCTCTCTCCAAGCCGAGAAGAAAGGAGACCAGAGTAACTTAGTCACTGAGGATAAGTTATCATTTGAACGCCGCAGGTTTCACAGCAATGCAAAATCTTTGAAGAGAGGAGCCAAACTGGATAACCATACATCCAAGCAAATCCGCAAAAGCAGTTGACAATTTTGTCAAGCCAAGCTCCATTTTGAGATTGTGCGCGCGCACACTTCGGCACTCTCCGTAGCTTGCGTTCACCCTCTACTACGCCAGACACAGCTTGGCACCCCCTAATCACAAAGTAAATGGCGCGGAGGTATTCTCAGTTGAAACAGGCAAGCCGGAGCTACATGAAAATTTCGTTGGCTTGTACCGATATTGGACCCCATGTGTATATTGTCCCTCGCTCCGACCTGGCACTGCCGTCCTGCAGCGTGGTGGCGCTAGGCGCGAATACTATGCTAATATCGCCCGCATGACAGCGTTAGGCCTTCTTTCGGTCGCGCTGTAAGTAAGCCTTTGTTTGTGTACGATCATCAAGCTCGTTAGAAAATTCACTGAGCATACGCATTCTACCCCTTTAGTTCTTCCAGTGTACCACGGTTCACCGCCCGTTCGAGAACCATAGACCAGAACAACAACTCAGAAGCCCGCTGTTGACAGGGCACCTTACCCAAATGAGTGGCATGGCTATCCAGTAATCATTGTATTTGTCTTAAATCGAGGAAGCAATGGTTGATATTGATATGTGTTCTAGAAGCTCTCATCAGAGTGGCCATGCGCCCCTGGCAGTGAGGTGGCTGAGGCCTGTCACCAACGTCACCTAATTTGATTGAGATCAGACTTACTCTGAATCAAATCTACATACAGATCAAACATGTCCTGCATACAAGCATCAAATGCGCATCCACATTTCAACTGTCCGTACAGTGTCTCGCTGTTTACGAACATCACAAGCCGACAACATGCACGAGGCACTGTGAAAGCGCCATAGCTAGCCACAAGAAATTTCGATTGCTCAGGTAGCGTTATATAGATTCTATTTTATTCGTACATATAGCTGATCCGCAGTGATTCAGATGCAACTCAAATTCACAGCGACACGTTCGACGACCCACCACCTGAACGATGCGCACAAAGACAAAGATCCATGATAACACCAAGATATGTTCGTAAACTGAAAGTCGATCACAAAGTTGCAGAAGCTAGCCTTGCAGCTAAATTCGGCATTCGCTTGAATCGTCGCAGTTTCATGCGACTGGCAGCTATTTAGACCTCAGGTAGCTAAACTCATATAATACCTTTTTGTTGTGACAAAAGTGACCTAACCGATGAGTTACATCGCTCTATCAAATTTTATCAGGTCTCTATCTACTCTCATCTTAGAAAGAAAGACAACAATGGTCATAGTGGATGAGGTAATATAAAGACACAAGCTAGGTTTGGTTAGGTCGTGCAGCCAAGTCGCATCAACGAACGTGTACGTAAGCGACAAATATGAAAGCAGGACTTAATTCCCACTTCGTGAACGCGAAGCTTTTGGGGGAGAGTGGCCTGAGTGCATAGGCAGATCGCAGTGTTTTTGTGCATTGTGCTGTACCAGATTTCATTGATCGTCATGACCTCAATCAACGACAACTAAGAGAAGTGCGACAGAGAACTGCTAGCCAGCTGCCAAATTTCCATCGACTTCAGCACTGCGTGGGCATAAACTCATTTGAAGCTGAACAGAAGTGGAAGTGAAAATTAGCTCCGAGTTTAAGTGCGGCTATATACAGCTACCACATATGCGTATACACTATATAATCCCCGTGTAGTCCGTTTTCGCCCCATGCATCCGAAACGACAAAGTTTTGCTGGTATTGGATGGGAATGTTGCTCGACTTGTTTATGTTCTCAAATTACCTAAGCCGCTTACGGCAATTAGGGATTGGAATGTGCTTATATTTCCTCAATGAGCAAATCGTGAAGAGAATCTTATTCGCTCGACACGCTTGATGGTATGATTACTGTAAGCGGCTTACTCGTTTGATCTGTTTGACCTTGTTCACCCATCTCTAACTATAGATGACCCGCCACATGAAACAACGATATGCGAGGTGTTCGCGATGGAGCGAATTTCAGTAATTACCGAAAGAGTTGTTGCGACCCAACCGTTTGTTTTCATGCATCGAGGACAGTGATATGTACTGATCGAGATGGTGATTTGGGTGGTTCAGTACATCAAATACCTAACTAGGCTCCACGTTCCGCTCTCGGACTTGAAGTTCAGGTTGGATTGAACAGCTCTATTCGCGAGCGGACTTTGTGTAAGGCTACCTACTGCTTGACCTACGACGCCGACCATGAGAAGTGAACTTAGTCAGACTCGACGGGCGTACTAGAGAAAGATCGAGCCAAAATTAGACGACTACGTGTAGATTTGGAAAAGAAGAGAGACAAGAACATTAGCGTAGTTATTTGGAGTGGACGAGATCAAACTCGAAGACTCAAAGCAATCCATTCTGATCTGGTTCCGCAATCGAGCACAGACGAGAAGCTAGAACATACAGTCAATTCCTTGATATGAGTAAATGTATATAAGAGGACTGCGGGAATAGCCATTATATTGTCCATTCCAATTCACTTCGCCTTGCTCCGCATTCCCCCACCATTCAGCGTTTACTTCTGCTTCTTCTTTTCTACCATAGCAATCTAGTTCAATTTCTTCACCGAACAACTCACCATGCGTTTCTCGACCTTTTCTCTTGTCTGTGTTCTGGCTCTATTGAACAGTAGAGCACAAGCCCTCGCGATCCTTTCGGACCCGTCTCCCACAAACAATGCCCTCGCAGCCTTAAGAGCGAAAGTCGACGCAATGGGCCCCGTCACAGAGCCTGCTCCCCCCATCACAGCTCGACATCCTGCTGCTACAGCGGCATAAGCGCCTAAAGTTCTGGTAATAGTTCCTGTCAAGAGAACTTCTGCAGGGAGATCAGATAAGGATGCGACCCTCGGCGGTCTTTGGCCTGACCACCCAGAATCACCACTCCAACCAGCAATTCTCGAATCGGCAAGGACACTATGTGTCGACATAAAGTATACTATCTGAGTCGTATCTCACGATTTTTTTTTTCACGTCGACCTGTACAGTCCACGCACACATATCATCTGTTTTTTCCTTCGATGTCTGTCCTTACCGCTGGCGAGTTCATTGTTAGAGGTTTTGTCCAAATACTTCAATCAATGGATATGCCCATTTCTTCCCTTGTATATACGTTACTCCGAATTATCATTTCGTTTGCTCCTGCAACTAGTCATCATGGTTCCATCTCCTAGTGATGAATTCTGAACATAAAGTTACCAGATAAAAGTTAATCTCTAACCAAAGCAAAGGCACAAGGCCAATATATAGGCTTCTCTTGCGCGCGTGGCCAAGAGTCTGAAATGCTGATAGAAAGTGACGGTCCTGTCCAATGAGGAAAAACTGTCAACTGGACTAGCCTGATTCGCTTCAAACACCTGAGCAAGTTGAAGAACTTGCTGATTATGGGCTAGCTGATGAACTGGGGTTCTCTCTCTTGTTGGTTTTCATTGGGTATTGGCCGGTCCGATATGTATCCGCTAAACCCCACTTGGGACGTCATGCTACTCTGCCACCTCTCCTCAACCCACAAGTCAAGATTCAGTGCTCATATATATAGATAGTGCTTGTCTGCTTTCTGGATTTTTTTCTCGCATTTACCAAAACAAAGAAACGCATTCTGTTCACAATGGCTGCCGAGAACAAAAACGCGCACGAAATTGCTCTTGCGAAGCAACTCAAGCACATTCCCTGGTGCGAAGAATACGAGAAGATGATCTCCGGCATGCTGTATGTATATCAGCAACTTCACGTATCGTGATCAGGAAGTTTTCTGATGCTTGACACAGTTACGACTCATTTCAACTCTCATTATCAGCAGCACGTTGTACGTATTGCCAGATTCACTCATTGTTACAATGGTAGATTGTGCTCATAAATGTGCAGTCAAGGCTCGTACATTTGCCCATCGATACAACCAATACTTCCCGGAGCCATCCACCAACCCGACCTTTGAGACCTTGCAAGCCGATCGTTTCACGATGCTTGAAGGCATCCTCGGCCGCGTAGGACCCGGATGTCTGATTGAGCCACCATTCTATGTTGTAAGTAAATCCAAGGGACTCCTCGTAGAACAACGCATAGTATAGAACTTCAATTGTTATATGCAGATTCCAAGCCTTCACTTGACCCTCACTAATACCGTTTGTACCTAGGACTACGGCTGCAACGTATCACTTGGCACATCTTTTTACGCGAACTTCAACCTCACAATTCTGGATTGCAGCTTAGTGACCATCGGAGATCGTGTGATGTGCGGTCCAAACGTCAGCATTTTCGCCGCAACCCATGAAACAGAAGTTCAAAGCCGAAGAGAAGAAATTGAATATGGACGACCCGTTGTCATCGGTAACGACTGTTGGATAGGTGGTAGTGTGGTAAGTGCGCCAATGCATAGTTCGACGTGGAGTGTCCATGAATAAGCTGCCACCCATTCTTTAGGCAAGAGCTGCTGTCAGTTGGGTCAGCAACGCAATAAACTGGGTCGAGAACACTACTAACACAACATCGTGATACGCTAGATTATTCTGCCAGGCGTCACCATAGGGAAAGGATGTACGATAGCGGCCGGGAGCGTGGTGACCAAAGATATTCCAGACTGGAGTGTAGCCATGGGTAGTCCTGCAAAGGTTGTGAAGAAAGTCACACCTGTAGAAGATCCCAAAGAAGAGTAAAGCATCACCGTGATTGGCAACGGGAAGCAATTTCCCCCAAAGAGCATCGATGTTTGGAGAAATCCATCCCTACGCTCACATTTTAGAAGTTCAGATGCTCCAAAGAATCGATGAATTATCAAAGCTCCAAAGAGCGCACGGCGCACAGCGCACAGTCTACAACACCCCTTCGAATAAAAGTTGCCAATTTTCCATCTCCCAATCGGGATCGATGTACAATTCTGTCGGGCGTGCGTCGTGTTAAGCGAAGTACGAGATGTAGGAGCCGATCCGGCTTAAGGATTCGGCCCCGATGACATCGGGGCAACAAATGCTCTTTTCCCCGACTTGGCTTGATTATCTGATATACACAACCAAAGGCAATTTGACTCAAATTCATGATGGTTCGCCCTCAATCTGCGAAGACTTTCTTCGGGGGTTTTAACAATTTCCATATTCAGCACAGTCATTAACGTTTACAACCATCGCCTCGTTTTTCCCCTTTTTTTCCCCACCTCCCCAAGATGGCCTCTCGACGAAATATTGTTATTATTGGTGGCTCATACGGCGGCATTTCGATTGCGCATTATACTATGAAGCACACCATCAATGCTTTACCAGACAAAGAATCGTATCAAGTCGTACTCATCAGCGCATCGTCACAAGTCATGAGCCGCCCTGCTTGCCCTCGTGCACTTATTTCGGACGACATGTTCCCTCAAGACAAACTGTTCGCCGACATCCGTTCACAATTCTCCCAATATCCCGATGGGAGCTTTCGATTCATTCAAGCTGCCGCAGAAGCTGTGGATCACGAAGCTCGTAGTGTTACTTACACTGTAGAGGCAGGCACCAGGGAAGAACTGAGTTTTCACGCCCTTGTTGTGGCTACTGGGGCATCATCAACGTCTCCCCTGATGGGCTTTAACCCCAACGAAGCGTCCCTCAAAGAATCGTGGAAGAAATTCAGAAATGCTTTGTCTTCAGCCAAAAGTATCGTTGTTGCAGGCGGCGGACCCACGAGCATCGAAACAGCGGCCGAGTTGGGTGACTATTTGAACGGGACATCAAGCTCGCCTCAAACAGCCAAAGTTCCAATCACCATCATCTCAGGAACCTCCCAAATCCTCCCTTCTCTCCGCCCTTCTCTAGCAAAATCTGCCGAGCAATATCTTTCCAAACTTGGTGTCCGCGTACTCACCTCCACACGCGTCATGACCGTATCCCCTGAAAACGCGGGCCGCACGATCACTGATCTAACATCACCCTCTACACTCACATTGAGCAACAACGAAACTATTACCACCGATCTTTACATCCCCGCTATAGGTACAACTCCAAACACCTCATTCCTTTCTCCAGCCCTCCTTACACCCTCTTCACAAATCGAAACAAACACCGCAACGCTCCGTGTCTCCAAAGCTGGACCACTCATCTACGCTATCGGGGACTGCTCTTCTTACGCTCGCCCTGCCGTTCATAACATTCTCTCCGCTGTTCCCGTTCTTGGGAATAACTTGAAACGAGAACTCTTGCTCGCTGCTGGGAAGTCTGAAGGCGATGTCCCACAGGAAAAAGTGTTCAAAGAAGATAAGAGAGAGTCGCAATTGGTGCCTTTGGGGAGGTCGAAAGGTGTCGGTGCTATGATGGGGTGGAGGATACCTAGCTTTTTCGTGTGGTTGATCAAGGGAAGAGATTATTGGCTTTGGACGACGGGGGGTTTGTGGAGCGGGAAGCAATGGGCAAAGGAAGCGTGAGGTAAACAAATTTTTGCGGGAATGGGATTGTATCTGGAGATCGTGACGATCCGAGAAAGGGAGCTTTGTGAGTCAGTGTGTGTATTTGTAGGCTAGGCTGGATTGTTAACGGCTAAGGCCGAAAGCAAATTTTTGTAAACATTAAGCATCTTGGCATTATTTTTGAAGTCGTAGCTGATTCAGATAGGTAGTAGTGGTGTGGATCTATAATGCTGTTTTGCATTCAGTATTTCCCCCATTCTGCGTGCAGTGGAAAGTCAACATCAATTGATAGCAACGCAAATTTGATATGCATCACCCAAGTAGGAGATTTGGTCCTTCAAAACGCCATATCTTTCAAACGAAAATTAACTCGTTCAATTGACCGATTCAATCCATCCATACCTACACACATACCTACCTAGGTACATAATGTACTCCACTACATCACGTGAGGTGAGTCACATTTAGCCTCGAACATGTCGCGCATCCATGTATGCGCGCCCTATGAACCTGCAGATGATATTCGAATTACAAATCACTTCACGGCTCACCGTCTCTATAAATCAACCAATTGATCGTCAACCGATACTTTTTCCTCGTACATACGCAATTGGCCCCATCTCAGACCAGGCCTCTACCCATCAAATCAATCAAGATGCAGCTCCCCTACACCACTCTCGATGTCTTCACCACAAAACGCTACCTTGGAAACCCCCTCGCCGTAATCCGCGTTCCCTCCACCCTCAGCAAAACCCTAACAGAAGCCCAAAAACAAACCATCGCCAAAGAATTCAACTACTCTGAATCCGTCTTCTTGCACGAGCCCACGCCCGAGGAACCTCAAACAGCAGTCTACGACATCTTCACGCCATCCTCGCGCATGACATTTGCGGGTCACCCCACCATCGGAACAGCAATCTACGTAGCGACCCACGCCGCTGCGTATCCGGGGGTAACGCAGCTCAGAACGCTAGCGGGAACTATCCCGTTCACCACCACCACCACCTCCGAGGGAGCGAAGAGCGAGGTAAAAACAACAGTAGCCATCCCCCACGATGTCCGCGAGCACAAAACCCGTCTGCCGCACCCTTACCCGGCTCCCGGGACGAATGGCGGGGAAGAGGATACGGTACCGCTGTTCTCGATAGTAAAAGGCATGGCGTTTAATCTGATCCCCATGAAAGACGTGGCTGCTCTCGCGCTCCCGAAACAAGGGCTTATCCCCCAGGAGAAACTCTACGCACACGAGTGCTTGGATCAAGGGAGCGGGTGGGACATTGGATATACTGGGTCGTTCTTTTACGTGGATTTGGGGACAGAAGAGGATGGGACGAAGGTGCTGCGGACGCGGATGCTGGGGACTCGCGAGGATGCGGGGACGGGGAGCGCGAGCTGTGCTTTGACTAGTTATTTGGCGTTGAAGGCGGCAAAGGGGAAGGCGGGTGTGCACAAATTTCACATGACGCAGGGGGTGGAGATGGGGAGACGGTGTGATATTTACGTTAATGTTACGGTCAAGGAAGGGGGTGAGGAGATTGAGAGGGTGGAGATGGCTGGGGCGGCTATGGAGGTTATGGAGGGGACTCTCAGGGTGGATTGAGGTGTTGGGATGGGATGTTCATGGGTTTTTCGGCGGAAAACGTTGTAAAATCTCTTTAAATTCATAAATTTAGGTCAAATAGGATGCATCTTGCTGGATGAATAATTTTCCACGATTCCAAACAATCTTCGATTAGGAGAACATCAAATTAGAACAACACTTGCCGCCAAAAATGAGATGGATCACTGGAGGTACATGTCTGGCTACATGGATAGATCAGGCTGAGACAGATCAAGTACTCATGGACGAAAATGTAGCGAGGAAAAGAAAAATGGCAGGCATTTAGATATGTGAAATGAGACGAATTCACCAAAAGTTTTTGGAAAGTCGTAATATTTCCACGACCTGGCCTGATCATGTCTCCTTCGTATATATTAGAAAATGGAAAGGAAAACAACGTAGCGACAATATATACAAGAGAATGAGGGTGCATGAGAGATTTTTGTAGCAGGATACGGAAGAAGGATTGGAACGACTAGGAAGGATCGGCGTAAAAAGAGGGGCAATGATTAACAGAACAATTCAGCCATCAAGGGCCAAGTGACGAAGATTTCGAGTTGTTTTCGAATCGTGACGTTTCCATTTGTGCAACTGGGAGTGAAAGCAAAACATTGAGCAAGAGTAAACATCTCTCCGTATAACCAGGAAGAATCGTGTGACCCCTAGCCTCAAATATTCCATCTCTTTGGAGTATTGTAGGAAAAGGGAAACAGAGGGCAAGACCATATCCACCAAGGTGCGATCTAGTATAGCAGTGGGAAGCATCGCAAGTCATATGTGCATCGACCCCGTTGGGTCGTCCTTTCCCCTCCAATAAAAATATGTGCACTTCCAACAACACCAGGACGAGGAACTTCAGATGGAAAGGGGGGTATTGTAGGGAACAGAAAGAAGACTGGGTACGCGAAGAGACGACGGGAAAGTCACCCCGAGGTGTGTTGTGGGTGGAAAAGGACTGCAGAAGGGCAACTGCGCTGTGCGGTCACATCACGGTACACCCGCTGCTCTTGTCCTTTCCGGTCTTGACAGAAAGCGCCACGCGTGCGGCTTCGGTGAAAGCCTCATTCACACCGCGGTTCTTCATCGCAGAACATTCTACAAAGATTAGCACGAAAGTGCGGAAATATGATAGTGGCAGCGAAGTACGAAAAGGGAACGGGAATCTGCTATATGGGGCACTGGAGCAGGGGGAATCTTACCAAGATAGCGTAAAGCCTTGATCTTCTCGGCGACCTTGAGACCATCGTCATATTGTATCATGGGTTTCTCGGGCTGTGCCTCGCCGTCGTCATCGTCATCGCGCTTTCGCAAATCGCACTTGAGCGCAACCAAGACCAATTTGACGTTGGGGCAGTTCTCGGCGATTTCACCAACCCACTTGGTCTCTACGTTCTCAAGTGAATCGGGAGAGTCAACCTGTTTTCCATGTAAGTATCTGGCGTTTGGTGGGCGCATGGGAAGATATGCATACACTAAAGCAGAGCATGATCGCGTGAGTATCATCATAGCTGAGCGATCGCAGTCGGTCGAATTCTTCTTGTCCGGCAGTATCCCACAGGCTCAGCTCGACATGAGTGTTATCGATGTAAATGTCTTGAAAGGGTCAGCGTTGTTAAAAGTTGATGGCGCGCGGAGGGTCACGAACCGTGGACATAGTTCTCTGCAAGTATGTATGTCAGCGTTGTTCTGAGGGAGGATTTGCGAGCAACGTACCAAAGACAGTTGGTTCACTACACCGAACACAGCATTGATGGTGGTTAGCGGACGTTGCCAGTGCAGCGCAGGCAGATGAACATTCGGGACATACTATACGGTAGGGAAGTAACTGCGCGCGCATGATTAGCTGATGCATTCCGGTTGCTTGTTGTTTGCTGGGTATGGTATGGTCTCAACTTACCCTCTGGTGAAGACATTGAGCAGCGACGTCTTTCCACATGCACCATCACCGCTGTACGAAGCTGTCAGCACATGACCAAGGCCTGAGGCGCTCTGCTCAGGCGCAGGAAGGCCACAGAATGGGTGACGTACAGAAGCACTAGCTTGCGTTGCACAGACTTTGTTCCACCACAGAGCCCCATCGCGAAAGTGTTGGAGGAAGAGGGACTCGGCGAAGGATCGGTCGGTAAGGGCAGTCGGTGGGTCGGCCTGGGGAACGCGGCAGCGGGTTCTACGGATCGCGCTCGTGGGGATGGCGACAAGGGAGGAAGCGGAGCAGAAGTGTGCGGCGGCGTGGAGAAGGAAAGAAGGAAAGAGAAGAGAGAGTGAGGGTCGCAAGGTGGGTTAGGGACGGCGCCGGAGGAGGAGAAGGTTGAGGATGGAGATGGGGGAGTGGATACGACGATGCAGCGAGGACGAGGCGCTTTGGCGTTCTCGATCTGGGCCGGCACTGTACAAGTAATGGGTGCCGATGCCTATTGGCCCGAGCCGATGGAACCCCAAGTCAAGTGGCGCAAACTTCGCACGCTTGCATATAAGGATTGGTAGGGATGCGTACGTGGCAGATGGGCATGTAGGTATAGCAATGTAGGCAATGAATGTCTGGTGTGTCCTGGTGGTGTGCGTGTGTGTGTTGACAGAAAAAGGGCCAGGCAGAGTTGGAGTCGAGTGAAGGGGGAGGAATCAAGGGTCCTAGTTCTACTACTATCAGATGTCGATTCCCAATCGGGCAGCAGGGACAACGACCATGACATGTGTCAAGTACACATGTGCCTACATATGTAGATAGCCATCTTGTTCTTCACCTACGTGCTACTCGGTCATGTATCGACGTGTACACAGATCACAGTGGGCTCAAATATCAGCAGCATCAGCAGCAGCATTGACAGCGAAAACAACAACAACACCACCAGGAGCAACAACAGCAACGCACTCCTCGGTCAGTTGTTAGCTCCGGCCGCATGAAAGATCTTCGTCCACTATCTCCCACCCGCCCCTGTTGAACACGATCCGGCCTTGGACTAGTAGATACCTGCATGTACCGACCGCCGAAGCAAACATCTGACTAGTAAAGCGTCGCAACCCCAAGCTGTCAGATGGATTCACCATGTGGAAAACCGTCACCGCGAGTCCACAGCTGACGACGGTCCATCCATACGCGACGTAACCAAGTCGCGCAAGCACTCTTCACACCTCTCTACCATTCTTTTCCCCCCTTCCCAAGCGTCCCTCGGAGAGCGAAATATATGCGGGTCGTGATGCGCGATATTACGTCGGCAACCATACGAGTCCTGTGAGGCTGAGGTGAGGTAAGCATGACTTGCTACAAGCATACGAACATGCATGTCCTTGTGTATGTACATAATCAAAGAGTAAACTCAAAGTTGTCGTCGGTAAAGTCCTGATGGAGGGGGGAAAGTGATGTACAGTACATTGTAGGAGCCCCACTAGCCGCTATGACCACGTGCCGTGCCAAGACAACATGACCGCGGGGGTGCTTGCCTAACTGAACTGCCCTGCTATACACAGCTACAGGCAGGCAGCAACTACACCGACGCAACCAAATCTCGACTCGGGCTTCCAATCCACCCGCAATCCTACTTCTCTCCAACAGACCCGAAACATCCTTTTCTCAAAATCAGTCTCTCGACCCATACGAATTGACCTTTACTTCACAAACCCACAAACGCCCCCCACACCGCCGCCATGTCCGACGACGATGATTTCATGCAGGATTCGGAGGAGGATTACGACTTCGAATACGAAGACGATGATGAAGAGCAAGGCGGCGATGTAGATGTCGAAAACAAATACTACAGTGCAAAACAACTCAAGAGCGATGACCCAGAGGCTGCAATCGACGAATTCCTCGCAGTGCCCGCGCTGGAGGAAGAGAAGGGAGACATGTATGTCCGACGGCACATGAACTGGCCCTGAGCTGGTCTTGAACTGCGCTGACTGGAATCAAGGGGTTTCAAAAGTCTTAAACAAGCCATCAAGCTAGAGTTCAAGCTCGGCCGGTATGACCAGGTTCGCAAGCCCTAATCAATGCCAAACACAATCACATAGCTGACCACGATCCAGGCTGTGGACCATTACAAAGAACTGCTTACGTATGTCAAGTCGGCTGTAACGCGAAACTACTCGGAAAAGTCCATCAACAACATGCTTGATTTCATAGAAAAGGCGGCTGAGGATGCCGAGGCTTATCGTTGCATGGAGAAATTCTATGCCTTGACACTGGATACGTTCCAGAGCACAAACAACGAGCGGCTCTGGCTGAAAACCAATATCAAGCTTGCAAGGCTTTGGTTGGACAGGAAAGAGTACCGCCAACTGACGGACAAAGTACGAGAGCTGCACAAGGCATGCCAGAAAGAGGATGGCTCCGATGATCCCAGCAAGGGCACTTACTCGCTTGAGGTGTACTCCCTGGAAATTCTCATGTATGCGGAGACGAGGAATAACAAGCGCCTCGGGGTCGGTTTCTCATGCCTCAATCTGCTTGGTCTGCCTGCTAATATCCTGGCGTTATCAGGCACTCTATCAACGAGCACTCAAAGTGAAATCCGCAGTCCCACATCCCAAGATCATGGGAATCATCCGAGAGTGTGGTGGCAAGATGCACATGAGCGAAGGTAATCATCAGGCTCTAGAACCTCCACCCAGATGCACTTGACTGACTCATTGGCCACAGAGAACTGGAAGGGCGCACAAAGTGACTTCTTTGAGAGCTTCCGAAACTACGACGAAGCAGGCAGCCTCCAACGGATCCAGGTCCTCAAGTACCTTGTGCTCGCGACCATGCTGTCGGGTTCGGACATCAATCCCTTCGATTCGCAAGAAACCAAGCCCTACCAGAACGATCCTCGTATTTCCACCATGACGGATCTTGTCAATGCGTATCAGCGAGAAGATATTCACGAGTACGAGAAGAGTCTGCAAAATAACCCGGACTTGCTCCAAGACCCATTCATTGCCGAGAACATTGATGAGGTGACGCGGAACGTGCGGACCAAGGCAGTGATTAAGCTGGTTGCACCGTACACGCGGTTCACTCTCGAGTTCATCTCAAAGCAACTCAAGATCTCGCTTCCCGAAGTCCAGGAAATCGTCGGTTTCTTGATTGTCGACAAGCGCCTTCGCGGCAAGATCAACCAGCAGACCGGGACGGTGGAAATCGAGAGTAGCACAGACATGGATCGGGTGCTTGCCATGAAGGAGTGGAGTGCGGCCATTGGATCTTTGTGGGCCACGGTGCTGGACGAGGGCGAAGGATTCAAAGCGGAAGAAGGCGGTTCGCATTTCTCCGCTGGCGGTGATCCGGGCATGGTGCAACGAGGGGCTTTCAGCATGAACGGTCTGGGAAGTCGAAGTCGGCCGGGCAAAGGCAAGGGCCCGGGCAGGCTGGTGGTGGGAGGAAGCAAAGCATGACGTACAGGATCCAGAATGATACGCCTCCTTTCGGAAGAACCATTGGTTGGGTGAAAACACGAGACTGAGTGGGTAGCACAAAGCGGCGAAATCGACCAGAAAATCTTGGGGATCCTACGATTCGCTAGTTTGGGCATTGCCCTCAGTGGGAATAATCGGTCATGGGTGGTACCAGGTGACACAGATGAATGATCTCTGCGCTGCACATGAGGGGCCAGATGGAGGCGGACTTGTTCGGATTAGCATGGACATTACACTAGCAGAACAAACACAGGCACAGGCAGGCCGACAGGCAGGCAGGCAGGCAGGCAGCATGGTTTCCTTCGTGTGGGTTACATAGAGTTCAAGCAAATAGAAATCAATGGCGCCCAGCATGGGTCAGTGAGAGGGAACAGCGCTTGCTTGCTGGGTAGCCAGCAAGCATAGCATACAAACCACCCAACAATAGCGTGTGTACTTTTTGTATTGCCTTCCTTCCCTCCTCCCTCTCCGCTTAAGTGCCCCCCGGGCAGGCTTCGTGACGCACACTGCAGCAAGCTCACCGAACAGGTACGTAGGTAGGTGCGGCAATCAATTCCCCAATGGCAATCTGTTACGCGACTGTTGGGAAGTTGGCTTCTTCTTCAGACTTGTTCTTTTTTTTCTCCAGATGCACGCGGAAGCGGCACGACTCTTCATTAGTTGAAAAGAGATCCAAGCGAGATGGATACGGGTACCGTACATAACCAAGTATGCACATGAAGGATTGGCAGAGTGCGTGGGAAGGGGGGTGGGAGAGATGCTGCTTGCCGGCGGTTTTCTGCGGCCACCGAGAGATCAGTGCTTGCATCCACTGCGGGGGTCGGCTGGCTCGGTTGCAAGCAAGGTGAGGTAAAAGGTGTGGCAGGGTGTCGTATCCTGTAGTCAAAAAAGATTACATGGTGAGGAACGGAAACAGGACAATGGCAGTTTTCTTCTTCTTTCCTTTTTGCTTTGCTTTCGCGTTGCCGCAACCCCCCGATGAACGGAACAAACGCCATTCCATCCCCCCTGGGGGATAGCATGGGGGATGAGGGGAAACCCTAGCAGGCATTCATGCTGGCAATCAATGTACAGGGCGAATCATGAGGATGGGAGAGTTGACAGGTTCGGTCCAGCCGGCGGGTAGGGATGTTGACGACGGGAGATGATCATCGTTCGAGGTACTTTTGGGGGGAACTATGGAAACCACCTTGTAACAGAAATTTCAAATTCTTGGTGTGTCTCTGTGTGTTTGTGCGTGTGCTTTAGTTTTGGTATTCAGATAGTAAGTTGGAGATTTGCGAGATTCGTAGAAGAACAAGTGGGGAAGGGGATTAATTGTTTTGATCATCTTTTCGTGAACACGATGAGGGCAGGGGGATAGGATGGGGGAAGGATCTGGTTCAATCTAATCCATTCGTTCTCAAGGCATACTCTCTCTTTCTCTGTGCTCTGATCCCAGCTATTTTTCTTTTTCTTCTCCCGAGGCCTCCCCTTCGTCAGCTGCAGGCGTTGCAAAGCGTTAGACGGCAGGTTTACTTTTTCTCTGACTTTCTTCCCTCCTGACTGCTTTTGCGTTCTTTGCTGGGTGGCCCAGCCTCGCTCTCGCTCTCGGCCCCGGTAACATATACCGTTCCGCTCAACGTCGTGCATTTTTAGATTGGCAATGGTGGTCAGGTTGTGGAGTGATGCGATTACGCAGGTGGGGGTTCTCTCACGGGCACTTGAAAGTCAGAACATGAGTAGCTCACTGCTTTTATTGCTTTCTACCTCTAGATTGTGACTTATGGAAGTCTAGCATAGTTGAACACAGGAAACATCTTATGTAGTAGATATGTATATACTCATATTGGACTGTGCACATGTCGGCGATGTTTATTCTCCGGATAATTTGTTCCCACAAGAGGGGATGGTGCATACAGGAAACAGATTCGTCGGTACCTACATGTACGTACCATCCCAACACACACGCACACATACATATGTATAAGTTCTTCCTTATTATGATCCCGGGAACCAAAACAGAGCAAAAATAATCTCCGGCATTGATTGCCGCGCGCGCATCCGGTCGATGGAATCCCCGCTTCTATGGTAACCCATCAGTCCGTGTAGCCAGCCCTGAGTGACTGGCTGGTGCGTGCATCTCACTCAATCACGGTGCGATGTTGTTTGCGTACAATTCTTTTGCGCTTTCAATGTGAGTGTCTCTGGCCTGGGCCTGGGGGCAAAGGGCAGAGGGCAAAGGAGAGAGGGTCAGCCATGTTGCCAAAGGTCAACGGATGGTCCAGGCGTGGGCGTCTCGCGACGTTCCAAATATATGTACTATCCTATACTGCAGTGGTGATAGCGGTGGGAGCGGTAGTAGCACTTTGTAGCAGTTGTCGAAAGAAAATATTGACCACGAGATGAAAGGGTCTCGTCTGCACAGCGCAGATTCCAATTACTGGCCGTGACGACCCACCCCTCCCGGAAGAAGCCATGGCATGACTTTGTGTTTTTCTTTTGCCAGAGAAGGGAGGGGAGGGGGGAGCCGCCCTCTGAGCCAATGTCTCCCTTCTTGTACGCCGTCACCTCGCTCTGGTTTCACACCAGCCCGGCCATGACTGCCTGGGAGCGCAAAGCAAGAAAACAAAAGAGGCGCCCCGGGGCCTTTTTGGCCTGCCTCACCAAGGGCTTTTTTGCTGGTGCCACCGAGCAAGAAACTCACACGCAGCCCCCCTTTGAACCAGTTTCCCGGGCGAGTTTGCGCCGTGCAAAGGAGCAGCCAGCAGCACCAGCAGCAGCAACAGGAGGTAGGAAACAGCGTCGACGCTGCATCGGTGCATCGGTGCATCAAGCCCCATTTTTTGGTTTTTGAGATCCCATCTTGTCTCTCGTGTCGGGATGCCCCCTGGACGACGGTACATTTGGTAGCACGGCAACGATCCATGTGCTCTTCTTCTTTAACGGCCTAACTCCCCATTCCCTTCCCCCTCATCCCGTTCAAAGACGCACCACTTCCATTCATTCCACTCCTCCCAGACAGACGACGTGGTGATTTTTGTCTTGTCCATCGGGCTGTTGCTGTGTGAAGTAGTCGTCCACCCTTCATCACCACTATCCATCACATCGTCACGGGCAACAGCAACATCACCACCATCGCCTATCACTGTCCATATCGACCATCACGACGTAACGGACTGCCGTGCTACAGTCGTCCTATTCGTCCATCGATCCGCCCAACGCATACGTACATATATACGTCCCCAATTACCGTTCTGCCTTTCTGGACCGTCTCTTCAAACATCCATCTCGTTGACCACAGTCGTTTCCCGTTGTCCATCGATACGTTATTTCGTCCAAAACCCTCGACGTGGTGTGAAAGGTGACGCAGGTGCAGCCTGATCGTTTATTTTTTTTTCTTCTTTTCTTTCTTTCTTTTTTCTTCTCATTCCGCTGTTTCGCAATGAGCCGGCAAGCGGTGCTCACAGCGGGAGGCTTCCACGCGTACGGGCATAGGATGCAGGATCACGATAGTCAAGGACATGGGTTTGTGGGAGAAGGGAGCCAGAGCCACTACGACGAGGGGCGGCTGCCCGCGCATATGGAGCTAATGTACCCGCCGCACCCACACAACCACCATACCCACAACCACCACCACCACAATCATAACCACCACCCTGAACTAGTTCCCGTCTACCACCAACTCCTTCCGCATCAACCTCTCCAACAACAACCACAAACCCAGCTCCACAAACAACAGCAGCAGCAGCATCTCGAGCAGCAGCGTCGTCGTCATCATCAACAACAACAGCTCCAGCAGCTCCAGCAGCACCCCGGCCACATCGGACCCCGCCCGACCGCCGTCAGAATGGTCGCCGCCGACTCTGCTTACGTGCTGCCTGATGACGAGCTAGCCCAGCTCCAGAAACTGTCCGGTGACTACCAGCCCGAAACCACGGTGAGTGCATCATGTGCTTTGGCAAGTTCATACATACCTGTTGCTGGTGTTGAACTATTCATTCATCATTCCCATCGTCCCTGTTGCTGTTGTTGTTGTTGTTGTTGTTGTTGCCATTGTTGCGTGCAAACTGACGACAACCTCAGGGTCCGCTTGTCGGCGAACGCCAAAGCAGCGCTGCCATAACCGCCGAGTATGCCAACGCGGATCCCGTCTACAGGGCCAAAACCGCCGTCCTGCCCGACAAGTATGCCTACTTCCGCACTTGTCTTGGTGATGGCCACTGCGGTTGGCGAGCCGTCGCCTTCACCTATTTCGAGTGCCTGATCCGCGAGGCCAACGTCGCCAAATTCGACACCGAGTTGGCTCGTTTGATGTCCTTGGAAAACATCTTCCACCTCACTTCCATCCCGTATGACATGATCCTCGACTTTGCCGAAGATGCTTTTGACTTGCTGCGGAAGTTGGCCGATGCACTGACTACTGGCGATGCAAATGCCGACGATTTGTTGCTACAGGCTTTCAACCAGGACAACATCTCAATGGCCATCATCACCTACATAAAGGTATTCCCTCTCCCTTCGCATCCATATCTTCCAGATGCTGACTGCTCAGTTCCTCACGAGTGCCTGGGTACAAACCCACCCTGATGACTTTGTGGGGTTCGTCACCATGGGCGACCTCAAGACGTACTGTTCCCTCAACATCGAGCCCTCCCAATGTGAAATCGACTATGTAGCTGTCGCTGCACTGACCGCCGCTTTGATCAAGCCGGCTGGCTTTGGATTCGAGATCATGTATCTGGATCGTTCCCCTGGAGAGGAAGCAAACGTTACTCCGTTTTCTCAACCTACTGAACAGGGCGGGCTATTACTTCCAACCATCCGTTTGCTTTATCGACCGTAAGTGTGTTCTCATCCATGTCGTCTTAGATCTTCCTTTGCTGATTGGGAAAGGGGCCACTATGACATCTTATACAAAGCCGAAGATTTCCCTGTACCGGTGCAGCAAGTACCAGAACAGGCACCACTGCGCGTAGCCCTCGCGAACCCTTACCATGATTCATTTGTTGCGGCCCCTTCGAACGTCGATCTAATGGCTATGATACCCGGTCTATACCCCACAGGTCTTGGTCAGAGGTGGCCTTCGGTCTCGTATGATTTCGATTCAAGTCCCGCTCCACAGACGTCACAGGTAACCACCATCCAACCGTATCCTTCTGCTCCAGAAATAGTTGCACCGACCCCCACCTCGCACCAGGATTTCATTCCCGTGGATACTAGCCCGGTTGTTCAGCAGGCTCCTCCCAGCCATCATCCCATCCAGCTTGAAGCCCCTCCCATCACACTTCCGATTCAACCCCCGCCACCCTCTGCCAGCCTGGACCGCGCACCTCTTACCCTTGAGCGAGGCGGACCATTCAGACCTTCAATGTACGAACTGGAGCATCTGCATGCGTTGCCACTCCAGACGGCCATCTTCAAAAAGTAGGCAATTCCTACATTGTACCTTGGCCATGTTTACTAACCAATCGGTCAGTTCCCACTACAACACAGCTCATTTCATGAATCCAGATTTCCAGCCTGAAGCCTGGTCTCCCGAGTATAGCTCGAAAGGCAAAAACAAATCGCCTTCACAGTGAACCGAATATCTCTTGCCAAAATTGCACCCGAATCTGTTTCTTGGGAAGGCTTTTTCACTCTTCTCCTCCGCTCTGGGCTGCTGCTAGCGCTGGCGTTTATCCACATTTGTTTCGGCTCCTCGCATTCTGTTCCTCCTTCAATCCCAACGGCCTGGCTTCTTCCATGATTAACGACAAATTCATTGTTACACACATTTCGGTTTTTGTTCAAGGGCCCGTTCATATTCGGTTTAGCTTTTGCATTGGTGTTTTTGTCGGCACATTGATCACTATTACTCTCTTCTGCCCCCAATATCCTTTTACCATTGATTGGCATTGGCTCCATTACACACTCTGTTCGGTTACACTCGTCATCATTCTCATTGCGGGGAAGGGGTGCTCCCTTTTTTAATTGATCGGTTTTGTGGTCGCTCACCCTCTTTCCTGTTTCTCAAACCTCATATCCGTGTATTTGGTATATGAGCGGCTCTAACTGGCTATGTCTGGGGCTTGTTTCCTCAAAAATTACCCCAACTTAGTGTTGGATGCCGCTACTCTTCCCATCTTTCTTTCAAACTTCCTCCCCTAGTCGTTCTCTCCTCTTCATCGACTGCTTTCACTCTCCAAATACCCTTCAAAAAGTCCAACGATCACTCGGTCGCGCGGATCCATATTTTCCTTTGGTGCATAACATGTGGCTGCTAGTGGAATTCCCAAACTCTTCTGATTGGTAGTAAGGCACGGGGAGGGAAGAAAGAATAGATGATAAGAGTAAGAGTTTGGGGAGATTTTCGGGGAAAGGGGAGAAGGGTGTTCAATTCAATTCTTCCCAGATTAGTAGGTACACTAGATGAATGGAGAAAAGACGACACGGATCAGGACTGCCTTTTGACTCTATTTCACTGGAGTTGTTGAACTATGGGTTAAATGGTCATGTCGATTCGTTCGTTACTACAATCATAGTCCCATCTTTCTTGTCGGTAGAAAGAGAGCAAAGGGACGGAAAAAAGAACGAGATCGCTGAATCATGTCTGCAATCCCGAAATTCGTTGTCGCACTCCTTTTCCAATCGAAACAAATCCGCTTTTATGGGCCCCCCTGTACTAAATTCCTTCATTTTCACAACTGCAGCACCGACATCCACCCCAGAAACGTTCAAGCCTCACTGACCCGCTTTTCATAATCTCAACTCAGCATATTCCTCTCCATGTGATGGTGTGGTGACACAAGGGGAGACAAGGCAAGGCAACCCAACAGCCAAGCAAGCCCGTTCTCTTCTCAAAGACTGTCTCGCTCGCATTTCCCAACACGCTGGAGAAGATCTATGGGAGGGAATGTGCCTTGATTGATTTGAAATGTAATGTTATGGGTCACAGCAGCTGAGCACTGAGCAGTACAACCCCCTCCCGCCTCCAGATGATGATTGATGCACATGCACCACCAACGCGCACAATTAACTTTCTGACTGTGCGTGTGTGTTGCTTGCTGCCCCACCTGTTTGTTCTCCCCGCAACCCGGTTTGGGGCTGGGCTGGGCTGCGCCCTTTTTAGGAAGAAAAAGGTGGAGAGAAATGCTCGCGCGTGATTGGGTTGGAGGAGAAGATGAATCAAGGCGGTACTTTTCGATAGTGATAATGTTGTTTTAGTTTGTTGTGTCTTCCTGCAACGCGCGAGAGAGGGAGGGCATTTGGGAATTCTTGGTCTGGCCTTTTCTTTGATTACGGCGTCGTCTCTCCCGAGACACACACGTCGGTGAATCCCACTCTCACTCTCTTCATTTGGAGTCGCTACTGCTGTCGCTGCTCGACGCGTCGCTCATTTCTACATCTTCCGTACTGCCGCCTTTCCCATTGGTGACTTTCTGCTGAGATTTGCTGTGCGCCCCCACACGTGCAGACCGCTTTTTGTGCTGCTGCTGCTGCTGCTCTAGCCCGTGCAAGTACGCGTTCTCTTCGCGGAGCTCCGAGAGTTGTTGGAAGGTGACCTTTTGTACGCGCTGCAGACTGGCTAGCTGTTTCCTGAGCTCGGCCAGTTCGCCCGTTTGGGACGTCGGTGTAAGCTGAGCAGCGGCCTGGCCTGTGGCATTTTCGTCACCCTCCAAGGACATAAAATCGGCGGTGGGTGCCGCGTTGCCATTCGTCGATGAGAGGGGCGCATCCCAGCTCGCTAGCTCTGCGAGACTGTCTTCGAGCATGGACTGTGGAAAGCTGGGATGAGACAGAGCTTGCTCGAATTCGGTTTTGCTCGCGACGTTGCTTTGGGTCGCACTGACGGGTTGGCCAGGTAATCGACCCGTGAATTGCATGGTTAGGCTGTAGTTTGAAGGGACGAGTGCGGAGCCGGTTGTTGGCCCTAAATCCTGCTTGGGCTTGACTACGGTATGCAGCTTGAATGGAGTTACTTTAGCATTCGGAAACCCTACGGGCTCCAAAAACAGCAAGTTGGTCACCGGTCCAGGTAGGTTCGTGATTATCGAAAGCCAATTCCTTTTTGCTGCATCCCATGACGCGATCTTGCCGCTTGCGTGCCCCGACACAAGCGTCGTACCGTCCCAGCTAACGCTCAAACAGAGCGCTGCTCCTAGCTTCTGCGACTCTGCAGAGAACCGCGACTTCGTCGATGGTTGTATGGGTCGATGAGACGATGCTACGTCTTGCAGCATATCGACGGGCGTGATCTTTTGGAACTCGTCGTAAAAATCTAATGTCTGCATGCTTCCGTCGGCATATGCAATGTACAACGCCCGATCGGCGGGGTCTAAAGTCAACGCGGATGGGAGCTCTGGCAGCAAATATGTCCGCAAAGCCTGTCCCGTGCGATAATTCCATACGATTGCCGACTTGTCTTCTGACACCGACACAGCTATGTTCGAAGTGCTCGAGCTATGCCCGCACGATATCGAGGCAATGGGCCCGCGATGGGTAGAGAGAGTGTGCATCGGCGAGCGCGAGGTATCCGGAGAAAAGGATAGAACAGATGGGAGGGCCCAAACGTGTATCATGGAGTCTGGGGAGCCAGAGAGGAAGAATTTGGAAGCAGCATCTACCGCAAGGGAAGTGACGGGTTGAAGGTGAGAGGTGGATGTAGAGACCAACCGGCCGGAGCATATCTGGAAAAACCAGTCAATTGAATGAACTCTCTACGAGTTGATGTACAAAAGGGAAAAACTACCTCCCAAGCAAGCACTCTGCCGCTCTCAGTCCCCAACAACAGGACGGTATCCTTCGCAGCGAGCGCAATGCTGTGTATTCTTTCGGGGAAAGGAACAACGGCTTCCTGGTTGCCCTTTTCTCTGCTGTAGACATGCACCAGCGATTTGCCTGCCTGGGCGGCAAATATGTGCGATTTGCTCACGGCAAGCCCGTTTGGCGCCGTTGCGCTCTTCTTGAACACATGGCGCTGAGCAGCGAGCGGTTGAAACTCGTGGACAAAAATTCCCGTGTCCTTTGTAATACCAGTATTCGCTTTGGTCTGTGCGGCTATAGACGTGATAAATTGCTCGGTGAGCATTGTGGCTAGGATTTGATGTGAAGCGTGGGAGTGTTGGTATGGTTTCTGAAGCTTTTGAGATTATTTTTAAGAAAAATATTGAGCTCGGACCACCCGAAGTTCGATAGGCGGGTACGGGGATGAGATGACCCCACACCCTGGCTTCCTTCACAATATTTCCAACTTTTCCGACTGGAATCGGGGGATTCGCTGATATGCTGGTTGCTGGAGCGGATTGCAAATTTCTCGGGGCTTTCTTTGCTACTCTTTGTGTTCATCGCATCTTGAAACCTGGGCCTATATTGTCTCCGTTCGGTAATGCCCCACGTCTACATCTTCTGCCAAATGTCTTGAGTTTTGACAACCATTCGAATTCAATCCGACGTCACATGTGGGATAACCAACATCTGAACCTTTCGCAACATTGATGCTTTGCTGGTTCGGAGCCGACGTCATTGTTGACGTTGCCCCATTCGGAGGCGTCCGAGCAGTGCCCTCATTGGCCATCCGCAACCATAAAAGCTATTCACCTGTGCCATATTCTCCAATCTCCAATACACCACGGACCCCGCAATTCCTCATTCTCCATGTCGGCCGGTTACTTTCCAAAACGTGAAACATTGTCGCTCAAAGACCTTTTCAAAGGTCTCGCCACAGCCAGCCATGTATTACATTACCATGGTGTTCTCGATGCAGTGAGCTGTCACATGTTCTATGATGCATGCCCGTGATAGCTGATGTTTTTAGTATGGCCATGTATCAGTGAGAAGTCCCGATAATCCGGCTACCTTCTGGATGCCGCGAAATGTGCCTCCAGCACTGATTAGCAGCCCCAACGACTTCGTCGAGTACAAAATCGAGGATGCAAGTGCAGTCGAGACAAACGCTGCAAAAGGCTACGTAGAACGATATATTCACAGTGAAATTTACAAGAAGTTTCCAGATATCAACAGTGTCGTTCATAGTCACTCGGAGCATGTTCTACCCTACGCTGTCAGTGGTGTGCCTTTAAAGCCTACAATTCACATGGCCGGCTTTTTGGGTAAGCTATCCCTGGGCTTGGAACAAGACATGGCAATTGAGAAAATGCGTTAATAGGCACCACGGTACCCATCTGGAATATCTCCTCTGCCTACTCCTCGGGATCACTTCAAGATGTGCTTGTTCGCGACGTCCCATTGGGGGCTTCATTTGCTTCGACTTTCAAACCAGCCACTTCTACTGGTTTCATCTACTCCAAAGTCCGCTCTGCTCTGCCATCGCAGATTGGTGGCTCTCAAGAGCCTGACAACAAACCCAACCATAGCGTTTCGTTGATGCAGAACCATGGCTTCACCACCGTTGCCTACGGGATCGAAGAAGCAGTATATCAGGCCATCTACACCCAGGAAGCCGCCAAAGCACAGACTTCATCACTTGTACTTCGCAATGCATATGTCGGGCATGTTCTTGAGGGCAAAGTGGACGTCGAAGGTGGAGGCAAATTCAAGTCCGCAAAAGTCAAAGCTGAAGGCGGAATCGCATACCTGACCGATCAAGAGGCTCACGATACGTGGAAGTCAATCCAGACTACCATAGAGCGGCCATGGGAACTGTGGCAAAGAGAAGTCGAAGTCCACCCTCTGTATCGCTATGATTCCAGTGGGACTGACTACGACTGACATCTACGGTAAGCAATAACAACGATGTTGTTGCTGCTTACCCCGCACTTTCTACCAACGCACTTTCGATATTTTACGTGCGGCGCACGTAGAAGTCGACATGTACATTGGTAGAAAATGCCTATTATGTTTTGCCACCAACACGGTATTATAGAACCTTAATCTTAATGAGAACTCACGAGTGCTTCCCTATAAAAAGAATCAAGCAATCGACACTTTTTCCGCCTTGTACATTTCACGGAAGATCATCAGTGAAATAAAGACCGAGAATCACTTAACCGGGTGTCCATCTCAAGCGGCCCGCAGCATATTAAAAAGATGGCACTAATTATCAAAAGAGCCATTCTTCCGCCACTCCCATGTCCTACACCCTACATTCCCAATCAAACCATGTCGCAAGCATCACACATTTTCGCAAACATAGGAGACGCTGAATCAAAATTGCCACCTGTTAGGAGTTATGAACCAGGAATGAGGTTTCTGACACCCTGCTATGTGATCCCAGTAGACGACCAGGGTCTTGCTTAAGCAGTCCAGAATCCCATTCATCTTCTAATTGCAACATGCTTAATAGACAAGCAAAAGCTGGGGACCTCGGCAGAATCGAGACCGAGCAGGTTGTAGTCCCGTGTAGCTACAATGTCTGGAAGAATATATTATGCTGCAAGGGGAACGCGCATTTGAAAGAAATCGACCGTCTCCGTCAGGATATTCCGATCTGATCATGATGTTTCTTCGAAGCGCATTACTGGCTGCTGCGGCCTTTTCATCGTCAACCTTGGCCGCATTTGGGGTTACCACATCTGGTACCAACATCATTGTGGACGCGGGCTCAGACAATCCCTTCAAAGTCAGCGTGGATTCGAGATCATGTGACATCAACTCTATTCTCTATCGCAGCGAGGAATTCCAGTACAAGGGCAAGGGCTCACACATTTCCAGTGGGCTTGGGTCTGCGACAGTGAGGAGCGAGATCATCTCTGGTAGGTATTGGGGCACTCAATCTACAGGGCCGCTGCTAACAAAGAGTCCAGGAAAGTATGCCAAAATCACTTGCACCACTTCGACTTTGACACACTACATTGTCGTTCGCTCAGGAGACTCGACGATGTTCATGGCAACGCATACAACGGCGGAGCCTGATATTGGCGAACTCCGCTTCATCGCTCGTCTTGATCCCAACAAGCTGCCTCTTGAGCACCCGTTCGGAGCCGTGTCCACTACTGGAGGATCGTCTTCCACCGTTGAGGGTTCAGATGTCTTTGTGGTGAATGGACAGACGCGCAGCAAGTTCTATTCCAGTGAACGTTTCATCGTAAGTCTGTGACTCAATACAAATCGCACTCTTTAAAAGTCCAGGTTTCTATGAAGCACATTCATTTACACTTCACTGACCATTGAACTCAAATCTAGGACGACTACGTGCAATGCGTATACCGCGACAATGACGCTATCCACGCCTGCATGCTCATGAATTCATACAGCTACGAAGGCTCCTCCGGCGGTCCCTTCTTCCGCGACATCAACACAAACAACGCCGGCGACTCGACAAACCTCTACTTCTACATGAACTCTGGCCACGTCCAGACTGAAAGCTGGCGGACAGGTCTGCACGGCCCATACGCATTGTCCTTCTCCCGTTCCGGCATCCCGACAGGCAAATCCATGGACACATCCTTTTTCTCCGAACTCAACATCAACGGCTACGTCGCGCCATCAGCCCGTGGAACCGTCACCGGAACCGCCACCGGCATCTCCGGCAACTTCCAGCGAGTCCTCCATTGGTACAACGCCAACGCGCAGTACTGGGCGTACGCGGATTCCTCGGGAGCCTTCACGTCGCCGCCCATGAAGCCCGGAACATACACTCAAGTGCTCTACCAGACCGAATACAAAGTAGCTTCTTCATCCGTGTCCGTGACTGCAGGACGAGCAACGACAGCCAATATCGCTGCCGCCACCGAGTCCAAAACCTCGCTCTGGAAAATCGGCGAGTGGGACGGCCAGCCTACGGGGTTCAGAAACGCGGACAAGTTCCTCCGCATGCACCCTTCGGACAGCCGCATGTCTTCTTGGGGCCCGTTGACGTACACCGTTGGGTCTTCGAGCCTCAACGATGTCCCTATGGCTGTGTTCAAGTCCGTGGGCGGCACCTTCACTATCAAGTTCACTCTCTCTGCTGCACAGGCTTCGGGCGCCGCGACGTTGCGTGTTGGGACTACGCTGTCGTTCGCTGGAGGTCGTCCTGCTGTTACTATCAACAGCTTGTCTCCTGCGGTTCCTGCTGCCCCTACTAAGATTGACTCGAGAGGTGTGACTAGGGGTGCGTATAGGGGGTTTGGTGAAGTGTATAATTTTGCGGTGCCGGCGGGGACGTTGATTAGTGGGAGCAACACCGTTACAATTGGGGTGGCGAGTGGAAGCAGTGGTGAGACTTTCCTTTCTCCGAACTTCATCCTGGATGCAGTCGAGTTGTTTAGGTAGTCGTGTGGTGTGATGCACTGTTTGTTCCTTCGAAGGGGAATGGACATAGTCGAACGAGACACGAGTAACAGAATCCGTTTTCACGTGGAATACACTTTCCCCCCTTTTCATATTTGGTGGCATACATATCATGCGTGCTTCTTCAATCCCACTGGGTAATATGGCATGCAATGGCGGTGAATATAATCATTGCCATGACAGTGTTATCATCTTGTGGGTTGCCCGTCTGGAGTTCACTCCAATGACAGTCCGTGGCCTCAAAAAGACATTATTATTCCAGAAGTTCATCATTAGATGTCTGTCATTATCTAGCAAAGTTATTCGACCTACGTAAACATGTTTGTGATGTACCTATGTATATGCATTATATCCAACAGCACCATTGCCATGCATTCGTAATACCTAAGAAAATTCCCATGCCCAATCCATGACCTAGTTCAAATGAAATCCTCAATAAGCATCCTCGATCGAATTATCGGTATACAATCTCGTAGCAGGCGGTCGCACACCGCCTTCACCGCCTTCACCGCCACCTTCTTTCTCGGCTTCAACAACTTTCCTTCCCTCCTGCATAATCCACACTCCACTGCTCGTCCCTAACCGCGTAGCACCAGCAGCCAGCATCTGCTTCGCAGCTTGCAGGTCTCGCACCCCACCAGAAGCTTTGACCTCCATTTTGCGTCCGCCGCCACGCACAGGGCTGCCGTTGTTTGACAGCGTCTTGGTGGAGAGGTACTCAGCCGCGGTGACCATGAGCTGTACGTGCGGCAGCGTCGCGCCAGGTCCATTGAAGCCAGTGGACGTCTTAATGAAATCAATATTCGCGGCAGCGGCGAGGTGCGAAGCAGCAAGGATTTGTGCTTCAGTCAGCTGCGAGGTTTCGAGGATGAGTTTCAGCACAGTTGGGGAAGGGCAAAGAGACCGCAGGGAAGCGAGTTCACGGTAGATGGCGCTGTAGTCTGGGATAGAGACGTCATCTTCTTCTCCCTGGTCAGAGGTACGCGAAGAAGATGAGGCGAAGCGCGAGCTGGTAGACGTGGGAGAGGCAATGGATGCTCCCGGGACAGAGTAGGGACCACTGGCAGCGACGGAGCCGGTGAGTGGACGTGCATTGACAGCTGTGTTTGCGGCTGTGACGGAATCGGCTGTTGAGTCTCGTGGGAGAGGGGCATTAGGTCGGGTGGGGGATGATGGCGAGTTGTGTCGCGTAAGAATGCTGTGATTGAGGACTATATCAAGTTCGGCAGCGCCTGCTTTGACGGCAGCTCGCGCTTCGCGTAGCTTGAAATAGGTGTCTTGGGTTCCTTCGTGGAAACCTACAACACAGGCTACGACGACGGGGGAGCCTTTGAGGTTTGACACGCAACGTTGCACCCATGGAAGGCGTACGCAGACGCTCTATAAAAAGTTAGCAACTGGTTCTGGCAGTCGTGATTTCATGCTTTGAGATATCCAGGGGGACGTTTTCTAGTATAAGCACCCGCCACGCTGCTGGCGCTCACGAAATCGGGCTGTCTTTCATGTATAAGGACTGTTTTGACCTACCTTGAACCCCTCGGTCCTGGCTTCGCTACAAAGCGCATCAACACCCTCCTTCTTCACGTCCAACTTCAGGACGGTGTGGTCGATGGTCTGCGCAAACTCGCTGCTCGCAGTCTTGGGAACCTCATAGGCCCAACTTTTCCCTCCCGGATAGCTCCTCTTCTCGATCTCATGCAGCACTTTCCTTTGCGTCTCGGCAATCTGGGCGGCCCATTCCGCATTCGTGTAGCGATCGGTCATGACAGACACGTCCCCAAGCTCTTGATCCAAGTCGGGATTGTCGGAAAGGAAAGTGGAGATGTAGATCTCAGATTCCGTTGGGGTAGTGGAGGATGTCATGTTGGATTTTCTAGGGGGTTGCTACTAATTTTGTGGAATCCTTTCAAGGTGGAGCTCAGTGCCGCCGCGGAGAATTATATGACGTGGTTGGTTGATGTTGTTTGCAAAACAAAACTTGCGGGATAGCTGGGGGACCGTGCTGGCTGGCTGGCTTGCTGGGTGGCTGCGATCGTCGGGAGAGGTGCCAGAGGTCAGGCCAGGTTATGTTATATGTGCTCCGCCTATCCATTCGGCCATCGGAGGTCGGCGAAAAAGTCTTGGAACAGTCAGTCATGCGGGTCCAGCAGATTTGTTGATTTCAACGGGCATTTGCGAGCGTCGGATATGAGTACAGTTTCGGCTAGTTACCTCGCGGCCAAGGCTGTCATTTCCCTTCTAGGCTGCTCTGTATTTGGAGAAGTCCAAATGTCACGATAGGGCACGGGGCGGTGAGCTTGGGCCGTTCACAGATGCATGGGGACACACAGAGTACATCAGAGCACATCAGAGCAAAGACCTATGCATGCATGTAGTCTTCTGGAGAAACATCATCAAAGTTCACGTGATAGCATTAGCAGCGAATGTGAGGGACTGGTGTGTTGGATTTTACAAAGGACCGTTGATTGCACGCAGAGGCATCCTCGATATGCAAACCGGTCCTCGCTCTCAGACACTGGATCCAGAGCTCTGAGATGCCATCTCGCCTCCCACATGCATGTACATGAAAGCTGTAGAAACGCATGCCAAACATAGGAAAAATGTGACTGAGAAAAGGGTTGGCGAGATCAACGCTAGATATCCGGAACTCCCGTTTTGATTTTTTGGCTTGACTCGAGTCGAAAGGTCCCTCTTCTATCCGCAGTCGAGTCGATTGGGACCAATGAGATCTACAATCCTAACCCCTCATTGTCGTCGTAAACCATCATCCTCCTGTCATCGCTCCCACTGGAATCGTCTACTTCCTTCGGAAAGAGCAGCCCTCGGTCAATCGTGCCTTGCCACCGGTAGGTTGGCACCTGCAAGTCCATTATTAGCCAATACTCCCGTGGATGGAGAGTGGATCCTCCACTTACAGCACCTGCGAGCAGCCTTGGCAGACAACGACGGTGTTGGCGTGTGAGAAGACGGTGGTGATGGTGAAGCAGCCGGGGCACTTGACGTCCATGAAGAAGGATCGGGGGGCGGGCACGAGGGTCTTGAGCTTGTGCTTCTTGGCCTCACTATATTTGACGGTCAGTTGTGCCCATCTTCAATCGTTGGTGAGGGAAGGTTCGTACGCGGCCGGGCTGGGGTTGAGGAGGTCAACTGCGAGAACCTGCATTTGCGCATTAGCTACATCTTCGCAATGAACAAGTTGGACAGCCAACTGCCGCCAGATGGCACGAGGATGCGAGGTGAAGATTCTGTGGCGAATCACGAGAGTCGTGTGGCCCCGTGTCATCACTGGCGGCGGCGGCAGCTGGCGGCGTCTCGAGGGACAAAACTCACCATGTTGATGGATTATGGAGAGTTGTTTTTCTGGATGTTCCGGCGTGGACTTGTACAATGGGCTGAGCGAGAGCGTGGACGCGGAAGGTTGTGAAGGGGAGGGGCGACTGAGTTTAGGAAGTTCTGTGTGGTTCTTGGCGTATCGGTTAACTGACCAATCCCGTCACCGAGATGTCTCTAGTGATCTCATGAAGTAATACCGCGAAATAAATTCTTCACAGCAACAGCTGGATTGCAGAAGTGCAATGATCCAAGCATGTCGTAATATGCAAAGAAAAGAGGAAATCGGAAGTCTTGGTCCAACTTGGTCTCTGTGTTCCACTGATTGAGAAGACAGCAATAGTATGAGCTAATGCGGCGTAGCTGCGATGTCCTCGCCTATGAACTTGAAATGTCGAGCACATGTACCAAAGCTGCTGGCTTCCAGTCATGTAATTCGGAATATTTCACATTTTCTTTCTCAGTACCTCTCATGCCAAATCTAATAGCAGAGTCGCAGGCCACACAGTATTGGTCTAGCACATGAGCGATACAACCTAGGAAGAACATTGAGCTTCTGAATGTCTATAAAAAAAAACTCGAGTATGCCATTATAGTCATTACCTGCGAACATCAGCTAGGTATCATTGTTTCAGTATACTAATTCAAGTCCAATATTATCACAAACAGAGATAAGTGAAAACACGGCAATCACAGTCACATTCAACGACGAATCTTGTAGACGGACGGATGATGGTACTTTGAAATTTTTGAGCGGACGAGAGCTACACAAACATATGCAGCCTGTCCACCGTCCGGAACCCTGGCATTGAAGCCGAAATGCAAGGCAGTATGACCGCTTAGAGAAATCATCCCGTCATGACCAACGCCAATCATCCATCCCTATTCGTTTTCCTAGACGCATGATCTACTCCTCGTCCTCGTCACCAGCATCGTCGTCACCACCCTTCTCGGCGGCCTTGGCCTTCTTTCTCCTCACACGGCCGGGGCGGCCTCCACCGAAGGGCGAGGTCAAAGCGAAGTCAATGTGCTTCTGGGAGTCGAGACGGACGATGAAGGAGGGAACATTGACGATCTGCTTGCCGACACTGGATGGAAGTTAGCAAACCATTGCAGCAGAATCCATTTCTTGAATTGCACTCACCGGATGTGACGCTGGCGGATGAGGACACGGGCGTGGTGGATGGACTTGGCAAGACCGAGCTTGTACACGCAGGTCTGGAGGCGGCGCTCCAAGAAATCCTCAATCTTGAGGGCAAGCACGTAATCGAGCTTCATGCGGGACTCGTCGAGCACACCGACGCGCACAAGACGACGGATAAGAGCGTTACCCTCAAAGAGGCGCTTGGGGTCCTTCTCGTCGAGGGTCAAGAGCGAACTGAGCGCATATTGTCAGTACCATGGCTGTCGCGCGATTGCGTCGTAACAGAAGGAGCAAACATACCGGGCAGCACGACGGATCTTGGACAGAGTCAACTGGACACGCCAGACCTCGCGCTTGTTGCGCAGACCATACTCGCCGACGAGCTTGAGCTCAGTATCCCTACCCACAAATTAACCAGAGTCCCAGACATGAGGAGAGCACGCTCTCGCTCAGTGGCCATGGGTGTGTACATACAGACGAGCGGACTCGAAGGGACGACGGGGGACGCTGTACGTCTTGGAATAGCTGCGGGGCGCCATGGTGGTTGTCGATGGAGGAGTTGAAGTTCTTCCCAGCGAACTTGCAGAAATCTGAAGTGCGATGCCAAGAGTTCGCTTCGCCGGCCACACTAACCGCAACCTTACTAGCCTTCACACACACAGCAACATCGCTCGACCGACATCTCTGCATCTCGAAACCCTCTCACGATAACCAAACCACACACCCAACAACAGTCGCCATGGGTCACGCAGCCGGTCTCCGCGCGGGTACGCGCTATGCGTAAGTGATCATTGCAGCCCCCAGTGCCGTTGCCATGTTCTGACCGTCCTCTAGCTTCTCCAAGGGTTTCAAGCAGAAGGGTCGTGTAAGTTTTGCGGAAAACTACTGCTCCTGACGAAATTGATACGAATATGCCTCCAGCTCCCGCTCTCGACCTACCTCCAACAATACAAGGTCGGCGATATCGTGGATGTCGTAGCCGATGGTACGGGACCCTTTCCCCGGACTGCAAGATAGAAGCGGAAATGGCTCACATTTGCGAAGGTTCCGTCCAGAAGGGTATGCCCTACAAGGTCTACCACGGAAAGACCGGCATTGTCTACAATGTTACCAAGAGCGCCGTCGGAGTTATCCTGTATGTTGGACTTTGTCCTTCAAGCACGCACAGTTGCACTAATATCCAAACAGCCAGAAGCAGGTCGGCAACCGATACATGGAGAAGCGCATCAACGTCCGCATCGAACACGTCAAGCACTCGCGATCCCGAGACGACTTCATCCGCCGCGTGAAGGAGAACGCTGAGAAGAGGAAGGAGGCCAAGAAGACCGGCAGCCACGTTTACTTGAAGCGCCTCCCAGTTGCTCCTCAGGGCGAGCGTATCGTCAGCCTCAAGGACAACAAGCCCGAGAGCATCACACCTATACCATATGAGACAACGATCTAAGAGTGGAGTAGTTGTACGGTGTGTGGGCAAAATGGGAAATGGATGGGGAAATGGCGTGATTATGACGGTTCTCTCAGTTTTCTTCACCGGTCTGCCCTTTTTCTAGCATATGAAAATGGCGATGTATTACATTCGTCTCGCAGACAAAACAATGTGGCAAGAGTTACCCTCCATGCCAATGACATATCATCCTCCAATTCAGTCCCTGTGTTTCCCGCCAATCCAACTACTCCCCATACTCTCCTCGCCAATCACTTTGTGTGGGACTGGTTCTACTAACACATCAGTCTTTCGCATATAGTTGGGCATAATCCTAAATTCCTGACTTTGTGGTTACATCTTAACGATCTGACAATCCTCTGCGGAGCGTTCCCCCGATCCCCGTGTTGTACGGAGGACAGGCAACGCTGCGACCACGCCTAACCAAACCTCTTTACACGCTACAGTCTTATGATGAATATTGACCAGGCATACGCGAATCATATCGACAGTGCCGTCAACCAATCCGTCGCATATTATTCTCTGGGCTTCTCGTGGTGTCACGAGACTTCTACAGCACTCTACTTGGGGCAAGTGACACATTCCACTCCTGGTTCTCCAACGGCGAAACGACTGACCTCGCGTAGCGACTCATCCCAAATTGTATAAACTGCTTACTCGACTCTATCCAATCGTCTGCTGGACTCATCACAAACGAGGGCTCTGAAGCCAGGGATTTGCACGTAGAACAGCACAAATCTCTCCTAAATTGATGTTTTAAACATCAACCCCATCCTCTGGCCGTGCCTTTGAGGCACTCATGTACGGTGAATAAGAGCATACACTCACACTCACACTTTCATTAGCAGCTGGAAACATGTACTCGTCATCGGTCCCATGCAGAAAGCATCTACCTGGACTCCTCAGAAACGTTTCCTCGCGAGAAACGCAAGACTGTCGATCGCCATTAGGGACCAAACGTCAGCATATATGAACTGTTCAATCAAGATAGCCCTCATCATCTGGGGTTATAAACATCAACATCCCTCATGCGTATGCAATGGCAACCTGCACACCGAACATCTTCGAGACCCACCCATTGACCCTCAGGGATCCGATTGCGAAGTACCCCCAGTCGAAAGTGAACAGAAAGAAGCAAAAGAGTGCCGTGATCAAGACCCTACCGCCTATCGCCTACTGCATATTCACGAAAAAGGTACCGGGTGTTCCTGCTCTTCCTGCACCTCCGATCACCCTTTTCTCTATATTCATTGCTCATGCAGTAAACTTGGTCAAGGACTGATGAATAGCTCGTCCAGTCAGACTTGGGCGCTGTCCTCCGCATCCAATCACCACTCACCCCCAGGAGCCATTTGTCTCCCGCTGTTGCATATATCGCGGCGTAACAACACCAATCCCTTGTCCTCGTCATGGTATGTAGTACACAACATACATAGCCATCGGCTGTCGGGGAGCCCGGTATCGGGACGCCGATGCCGCAGGTACCGCATATATCCCTCCCATGAGGGGAAGATGTACCTGGTTCTAGAGGGGTCTGACCGGGGGAGACGTTGAACAGTTGCGGCCCGATCGATAAGATGGCAGGTGAAAAGCGTTGCAGTGGAGACGCGTCGTCATCGGCGAGTGTTATTGTTCTCTTCTTTTTCTATCCTGGTTTTCGTTGCATGGACAGATGTAGGCATATGCACATCTGTATCGCGTGTAATAGGTGGCCCTAGACGCATGCACATGTATGTATATACATATATCAATATTCATCTGATCAGACCAACGAGGTCGAGGCTCGCTTGCGAAAACGTTTGAGAAGCACTATTGGAGAGATGCTCCCTCTCGGAAAGTGGGGATGGTCAGACTCGTTTGTATGGCCAAGTCGAGAGAATCAGTTTTCTAGACTTGCAATCTTTTCTTCTTCCTTTTTCTCTCGCTTCTCCCATTCCGTGGGTTGTGTCCCGTATTCTCGCTCTCGCTTTTCGATGTCGATCAATAGGAAACAACAGACAACAGAACAACACGAGATTTCCCACAGCTGTGGCAGCCAATGAGCCAGCCACCCCCCAAGAACCGTCCCGTCTGTAATCGCCCACTTACACCAACATGTTGGCGTTTCCGTGTCGTTGCTGTTTGCAGTACCTTTCACCGTCCCGCAGGTAGCGCACGGGAAGTTTTCTTTTCTCTTAGATGATCGGGTCTGGCCCCCATGACTACATGTAACTACCGCGCTGTACCTAGGGCACGCATGCCAGAAAAAGGTACACGCACATAATCATCACATCATCTTACCTTCCCGAAACCCAACCTTCGCCCCGTCGCTTAAGGGGAGAGAAAAGACTCGCGTTCCCTGGTCCAGAATTTACTTTTTAAACTTTGCACAAAAACCTTGTCCAGCAGCCGTTTCAACGTGTGTTCTGCAGTCAGCATCGCGTCGTCACATCTCCACTGTAACAAACCACGCTTGGTATACAGTCGAGTAAATCGCTCTCGCTCTCAGTCTGTCTTGTTGTTCTCCTAAGGCCGACCGCCAAGTTCATGGGGTAGCGTAATATACCTCTGCGCGCCTTGCTATTCCACTTGAGCGCGGTACATGCCGTGTCGCAAACGTTTTTAGCCTATAGTTACCCTGACTTGGTCCATCACAGTGCGTTCGCGAAGAGAGCAAAGAAAAGCCTCTAACAGTAATTTGGGAAACTGCGCCGTGGATTATGAGCAAGGAGGAGTTTCGATTACGTTTTTGTTATTTTTTTTCTTCTGGGTTAAAGCTGTCGAAGGATTGCGGGATCTGATGGATTGTTGGGATTAAGTTTACTTGGGAGACGGGCCTGCCTCATTCTTTCAGACGAGGGACTGTAGTTACTCGACGGTGCTGAGGGAGATTGGAAAAGGCTCTTATAAACCACGGTACGAGTGCGTTACTAGGGCCCCACTGGCGAGAGTCAGATGTAGTGTTGCGACGATTCTTCGACAGTGAAACTCGGTCGACCGTTGTTGGACTGTTTGAGAACCAAGCCGTGTAGTCAGCCTGGTGGAGGGGTATGCGGATCCAAGGCTCCTGTTTGGTTTAGTCGCGATCACCATCTCCCGGGCTTCCTCTTTTGCATGCTGAGAGACATGCTGCCGGTAGCTTCCCCAGGGGTTTGGGCGGGATTCACTCTTCTTGAGACTCGGGGGAGATGGGGAAGTGGACTAGCCTCCAGCTACCAAGTTGAGCGAAGCCTGCAGCACCCAAGATCTGTTGCTGCGGTATTAAGCCCGCCGTCCCTGTTTGATATGGACTGGGGGAGACTTCAGTATACGCGATGGTCGTGTATAGATAATGGTCGCACATGTTTCAAGTCGTGAGACGGTGTCATTGAAAGCAGATGGACTCGCCTAGGGTACCTGCTGTACCGTACTCGCAGTGGCGCATACATACAACGTCGAAACTTGAAGGTGACAGTGACATTGTGACAAGCCTCGCTGCGCTGAGGAGTACAGGCCGCCAGGGTCTGAATGTTTAACCCCTCTCGCGTGTTTCATTATCAGTCTCGTGAAGTAAATTGCGAATGCAGCTTCTTGACCCTGGCTGCTGGGACGAATGCAAGCGCGCAAGCAGGCTTCCCCCGACATGATCCCTCCAGCGGCAAACTCTAGAACCACGCCTCAACAGGGCTGTCGTCCTCGATCGCTACCACCTGGCGCTCACTGCACGTCGGCCTCGCAGTCTCCTTTCAATTCCATTCACTTGGCTCCGGCTGACGACGTTCATGGAACCGGAGAGTTTTGGACGTCTGTCAGTTTGACAAGCCGAGCCAGCGCGGCGAGGAGCAGCTATCCTACAGGCCCGACAAAGCGCCTCGAAAAAAAGCCCGACTCTGAGTGTTTCTTACACATAGTTTTCACGCTCATATGCACGGTTCGGTGGCGTTCTCGGTCCGTCCTCTGGCAGTGTCCATTCGACAGCGTGGTCAGCAGCCGCTGCTTACTTATGCCAGATAAGCTGCTGGATCTATGTTTATGTTCTCGTATATTTCCCACGCGTGCTGTGTCGAACGTCCGAACAGCGAAATGGTTGCACAATGGAGGGGCTCGACTCTCTCCTACACGACCCGATACGAACGGCATGAACATGGCACATGGCACATGGCTAAAGGGGGGAAATGGGAACAATTACGCGGTAAGCGTGTGGCGCGGATTAACTAGCCTTGGTAAGAAACTATTTGATCGACAGCATACTGCCTTGGGCTGGGTTAGTCAAAGCTGGGGAAAATCCTTCGCGTCAAGTACCCAGTGGGATAAACATCCGATTCACACCGCGAATGCTGGGGTCACGAAGAAAACTCGTCTTGTGCCAGCCATGATGATTTCGTTGGCTGGTCGTGTTGTATCCATGTGCTGATGCGAACCGAGACGATGGAAGTCGATTCAGCTCTGCGGCCTCTGCCACTCCATCGGACTTTTGTACATCTATCCACCCGCACACAAACCTTTAGTATTTCCCCAAAGGGGTTGCGGCTACGCTCGAGGACACTGGCCCAAATGTCCTGCAGCAGCTGACTACGTAGCAGTCGTGTGCCTGCACAAGCCAGTGAAGATCGCTGGCTGGATACTGCCGAGCGTTTGATGATTTTAGAGTTTATCGACACGGTGCAGGTCAGACCACTTTCTTTTGCAGTGAATCGTGGGCCGCCATGCTTCAATATGCCCACTGTATCTATGTGCAATCATGTATACATCACCGTAGTACATGGGTTATACAGAAGAAGCAGCATGAATATACTGTAATGTGATCTGCGCAGATGGCTGCCGGCCCCCCTCCACGTGGAATGCACACACATACATGGACATAGACATAGCTAATCAATTGTCATACGACAGTGGCCATATCGCGAGCCAGTCTCCCCCGTTTCGTCGCCCGTGGGGGCTTAGCAGGTGGCAGTCACATCCAAACGCATATGCGTGCAAGGCCATTATCGACGAGAACGCACCCGTGTGTCCTAGGCCAAGATGCGGTGAGGAACCCGGTGTACGGGTGGTGGTGATGGTGGTGGTGATGGATGATGGTCAGGCATCTGCCTGCCTGATGGCAGCAGGGACGGGTACTCCCTCTTCCTTGCTCCCAACTCACGCTTCAGGAATGTAAGCCGCCATCATCGCAGAATAGAACGTGTCGAAAATAATATCTCCGCCGTGTAGAGGTGAGCAGAGAGGGGCCAAGGACCAACAGGCGGGCAGGGGCATAGTGAACAAGAAGTGCACGCTAACGTCGCCTGTCACTTGAATCCTCCCAATACCTAGCGGGAACAGCCCTGTCTGGGGCTGCACGACTAGAGAACGTGCAGATCCAGCCATGCGAATGCATGCTGGAGGCGTCCAACTTGTGCCCGCCATGACTAAGTTAACATGCATTCTCCGTTGCCGTTTCCGTCCCTTTATGCCCGCCCTATCGAGTCCAATTCTAGCCCTTCTTTTTAATACCACAGCATCGCGCTCCAAACTTTCCCCAGACTCCCGCCCGCCTGCTAGTGGAAATCTCCACATCCTCACCGACCCATCGTTTGCTTGCTTTTCTTTCTTTGGTCCATCTATTGAGAGGAACTCTGACCAGACCATCGTCATTCTCCCGGGGTATTCCCCCTACCGACTGCCGGACACCGCCATGCTTAAGTGAGGAAGCATATCGCGAGCCATCTTGTCAACTACGCCTCGTTACAGTAATTCGGATTTCACCCCTGACCATTCTTGTACTTTTCGGCCCGTTTGACCACCTTGGCTGGTTGTTGTTGGGCATTATTAACCAAACGTCCTTCACTGTGCTCGCCTGGCTTCTTCCAACATGGATTCACCCTCGATTGCCCTCGAGGCGCGTACGATGCTCGAGAAACGGTACTTTGCGTTCCCAAATTCTTTGGATCCCATGACAGATGTATACAAGATTGGATTAATACCAGTCGGTATCTTCGCCATGATGTCCCTCGTCTCTGTGTCTGCTCTCCTCGCCTTCATCACTTACCGGCTCATTTCCTGGAGAAAGTACTCGAAAGAATACGTTGGCTACAACCAATACGTCATTCTCATTTACAATTTGCTCCTGGCCGACCTGCAGCAATCTATAGCGTTTTGCATCACCTTCCATTGGCTCAGACTGAATAAAATCCTTGCGCCCACTGCCCCGTGTTTTATCCAGGCGTGGTTTCTCCATTTAGGAGACGTCAGTAGTGGCTTCTTCGTGTTGGCTATCGCGATACATACATGGCTAGGTGTAGTCAAAGGGTATCGGATGAGCTACTTCTGGTTCGTCGTTATGATCCTGTGCGTATGGGCTTTGTCACTGTTGTTGACAATCATTGGGCCGGCGATGCATGGAAACCGATTCTTTACACGAGCAGGTGGATGGGTATGCTCTCTCCCCTCTTCCTAGCATGAACTAGACTGATTGTATGGCAGTGCTGGGTGTCCGTCGACTTCCAAGGCGAACGTCTCTGGCTCCATTATCTATGGATCTTCATCGTCGAATTCGGTACCATCCTAATCTACGGCCACGTATTCTTCCACCTCCGCGGTCGTCTTCGTAACGTCATGAACAATGACACATCCAGACTATCCCGAGCCACCAAATTTATGATCATGTACCCTGCAGCCTACGTAGTCCTCACCCTTCCCATCGCTGTGGGCCGAATGGTCTCAATGGGAGGCGTAAAGATGCCCGATGTATTCTTCTGCATCGCTGGTTCTTTCCTTACCTCCTGCGGCTGGATCGACGCCCTTCTCTATACCCTCACCCGCCGCGTTTTCGTCGGAAGCGACATCTCAAGTCACCACTACAGCCGCACCCTCGTCACAGCCGTCAACACGAACGCCGCCCGCCCCGGCGACGACGCATATGGCATGCACTCCATGGTGAACAAGGAAACGGATCCCAACCGCACCGTCACCATCGTGGGTGGCAGTAACCGCATCTCCCGCATGGTCGACTCCCACGCGACTCGCAAATCATATCGCACGCGACCCGGTCAGCAGCGCGAACACGCCCGTACTGGTTCTCAAGAGTCTATTGTAAAGCCTGGGCCGAATACTATTGGTATTGTCACCGAGACGAATATCCAGGTGGAGTCTGCGAGGGAAAGCGATGACGAGGCTAGCCCGACAGTCATGCAGTCCCCAATACGCAATTATGGCGACAGCAAATCACATAATCATTATCATCGATGATGATTCTGTCCTGAAATTTCAAATTCTGAATATACAAAAGACAGACCAAGATTGTTCTTATTGGAATTGGCGTTTGAGTGTACTGGTGAATTTTACTCGACACTCTCAGGTTTTCTCTCTTTTTCTTGTCCTGTACATATGATATCCCACTTTTTGCTGTTTTGTTCACGTTTGATTTTCCATATATATGCTTTTTGTTGGATCTATAACCCTGTATTCATGGTAAACGCTTTCCCGCCTTTTCTTGTCTCTGTTCGTTTTATTTGTGCGTGCGTTCTGCTAGGATACCACATTGAAGGCATTGTATTCTGGGAGCTAGGGGCACTACTGTATCTGGCGTTCTTTTCAGGTATTTCCTATCTTTGAAAGATTGTTGTAAGTGCTGCAAGGCCCAAGGCGTTTTTCCCGCTGCGTTAGGTATGTGTAGAAAAAGAGTAGCCATGTTGAATCAATGATTATCTTCCAATAATTGGCAAGGTTTTGGTGATTGCTTTCGGAGATCTTCATAGATCTACCGATAGAAATTTGTATTGAACAATGCAAGATAATGCTATGCTGCAGTAGATGTATCCGGGCCATATTCATTTCCACCCGCTATGCGTGCATTTTCTTTTTCGAGCCTATCGCCTTGTGCTCTCGGCCCTCTTGAAAAACTTATGTAGACGAAAGACAAGACACATGTCCCCCGAGTCAACCAAGAATACTCTCGCCAATTGCTTTTTATTCGGAGTGCCAGTGTGTATTGGCTATTTCGGGAATCGAATATTGGAAGCTCAACTACTACGTCACTCCATCATCCGGTAGTGTCGGCTGCTGGCGATCATATTGTCTCGAGCCTTGCAGACCAAAATGTTCTGAAATACTTCCTACGGCACTCTTTTCACGGAATCCAGCATGCGCACCCATCCATTGGAATCCAATGTGCACGTTCATCCCATTCTGCCGCCGTCACGCCAGACGTGGTTCGAGTATTTATGGATGCGACTCGCATCCCGAGCCGTGCCGCCTCGAGAAAAAAACCAGGAACTTGTCTGTGTTTCGCAGGCTGAGATTTGGCGTGCATCGAAGGATTTATGCTGCAGGATAGTCGTTGCATGTGAGCAATTTGGGCTTGAACGGCACAGACCACAAGACGGGAAGAGGATCGTCAATTCATCTTAAGCTCTGCTGCCCCTCGCAGTCTTCCACCTCGAATGACCCTTTTGTGAATCGTTGATTGTCGCACTTTACTCTTCTACGGGAATTTATTTGAAACTTTGCATTTCTTGATCCGCACAGCAGTAAGCAATGGCTCGTACCCACAGTGTACCGGAAACCACACAAGTCCACTGGCATCAGGCAAACCTCCAGATAACGATTTTCGCTAAATACGCATACCTCTCGATTCCTACAAATTGAAAGCTTCGTGGAAATTCATTTGGCCGTCGCACGTTAGACCGTGTATCCTTCACCTTAGCCCAATCTATGCCCCAATTCCCATGAACTCCTAGTACGCCAACATCCCCTCCGTTGTAACTCGGAGCCCCATCTCGAGCCTCGTCTTCGATGCAAACAGGTATTGCATACCCTCCTATCTGATTGCATTCCAACTATAAGAGAAGCATCAGCTCTCACAATGGAACCACGATATATCCGCGCCGCGAAGGACTGGTACCTTGCAAAAGACCCCAATACCAAAAAGAAGCAGGGCCGCGCAGCTTCCTAGTCTTTCCTTATAGGCAGCTTCCTTCCACGCCAGCCTTGCTCCGACTCCTTCCTTCTCGCATCCAGGGAGCCATTGTTGCAACAACCATGCAGGCCCTATACCCCGTCCACTTTATCCACGATACTGTCAATTGCCATGGACCGCGTTGACGGCGTAGTTGGTGTTGGTGGAGCGAGTCCCTCAGCTTGCGGGGGCAGTAATTGCCGTTGGGTCGTTGCAACTCCTGACGTGTCGCCGTTACTTTGCTCGTCGCTGGCATCGTCAACAGCCTCGTCTACTTCGCGCAGCCAGTTCGCTTTGAGAACCTCCATGGGCGGATCCAGATCTCCAGGCTTACCACCCCGTCGAGCCTCCGCGGCACTCATTTTACGTTCGCCGCGCTTATGTGGATGAAAATGCATTCGGCGGAGATGGCTTGCGGCGTTGTAGCACTCGTTGTACTTCTTGCCAGTCTGACAAGCTTTGCAGTTGGCGAGAAATGATTTGTCGGGTGAAGTATCAATCGTCACCCATACCTTGCGCGTCTTTCTATGTACGCGATTCGTATGACGACGCAGCTTTGCGATTCTGTCAGTAACTACACTCGACTTGCATGCAGATGTGCTTCAGGTAGAAGCAATGATTCGCACGGAATCAAGCCATACGCAGCTGGGCCACTCACTGCAGATATATTAGCGCAGCATCATACAAAGATGATTGGGCGTTCCCTTACCCTCATGTTCACTTCGGAAGCCATCGGGATAGTCGTTGCAGGTTGGACACTTCAGCCGCATCACTCTCCTAGCAGACGCCTTGCCTGGGGTTTGGAATGTTGGCGACGTGGTGGGTGAAGTCTCGGAAGATTGAGTCGTCAGAATAGTTTCTTTGGTAGGCATTGATTCCTCCATTGGATCGCTGGTTTGAGTACCAGCAGAGATACTGGTAGGGGCTGCTTCCTTTCGCATCTTGGCTCTGCGTCTTGTTGGGGGCATTTGCTCATAAAAGGCTATCACACAGACGAGATATGGCCCTGACTCCAACACACATGAGCAACCCTGTTCTTCTCTTGGTGGGGTGAGTACCCCAGACTCAGCGGAAGCTCGCGGTAAATGGTACTAACCGATGTCTTCAAGAAAGAGGGTCTTGTGGGCGTGTCGCGCTCCAATATACAACCCCGCAATGGTTCTGGATACAGAGGAAAGGAGGCCGGGCTGAAAAAGAGGTCGCTTCTGCCTGATACTGCGATTCTGCTGCCGAGTGCAGGTTGCGCACAAGTCTCGATCGAGGCTGAGTTCAGCCCACCGTCAGCCTCGCATTGGCCATGTAGCGGGCATTTTGGCCTGCAGCCACAACCTGAAAAAAAGGCGGGAGCTGACAACCCATTGGACGTTCAGCCTCAGCCTGCAAAGATGACCATCCAACTTAAGCCAATGGGGTGGTATGTTGCGCCGACCCAAAGAAGCCCTCGACTGGTGTTGTGGGCAATTAAAGAGAGCCGGATGTCTCACAAAAACCAACTCATCAAATAGACGCGAAGTCGAAACTGTTGGTCGGCAAGGGCGTAGGCGCTTGGTCAACTTGCAAAACCCATCCTATCTATTCGCCGACCGCATCGTCGACGTTGTGTTTCTATTTCGAAGGATCAGAGCTAACGTACTTAGTTGTTCATGGGTCATTCCTGGCCCCGTCATCCATCTCGTTGATTACCTCTTCATCTCCCTATACATCACCGAACAGAGATGTCTTCATACGTTTGTCAATTGTTTTGAGCTTCATTGGGGCCGCTTTCTTCTCCGCAAAATCGCATCGAATTAGCTCCGGCCTCGTGGTCATGTAGCCGAGCGTATCCGCCTCACTGCCACTCTTGACCGGTCATCCCATTTTGTTATTGGCGAGGGACCAAATCAGCCCCTCGTGGAATCTTTGTTTTGGGCATACCTGCTCATCAGATCTCCCTCAGAGTTCAACCGCTGCCCATGCACTCGTATTGGTCTTTGTTTTGGATCCAATTGCGTGTGCATGTGTCTTACAGCCATCCGCCAAGTCTACTCTCTCATGCGAAAGAAGACCCGTACTTCTCCATCACTCGAAACTCGAATATGTTCAGTGCTCCAAGGTAAGCTATAACGTGGGACTGTTGAGCTGCAGGCTGACCATTCCCCGCCTTTCAGATGCACGCTTGGCATTGGTTCAGAACGTAGAACTGACCTATGTAAGACCGGCCAAGAGTCTCCCCGGGGCTGACGGATGGTACACGTACAACCTCGCTATGAACATGTCAAGATAGATGCCAATATGTTATCATTCCCACATCTCCTGCTTGGCCGGTACAATGGCACAGTCAAGATCTCCCACGTTTTCAGATTCAAGTGGTACAACGTCAATCACTATTCCTGATCAATACTGGGCATCCCGGTCTTACTGATGTAAAGTGACAGCTGACAATCAAGCACATTCTGGGGTCGGATTTCTGACATCAAGGCGAGGAGAGCGGGTAGTAGCCCCTAAAGTGCTTGGTTACGCAGCATGACAGTTTCAACTGGAAGCTTGTCAGCCAAGATCGCATTTTCTTTGTTGCATCAAATCACAACCAAAGAGAAACAAGGCCATCAAAGCTCTGAAGGCGGTGAGAGCGGTAGCGGGGATATCGCTGACTTGATCCGCGCAGACAAAAACGGTGCTGCACCAGTGTTGTCGGAACAGCTCCACCCTCCGGGATGTGCGACTCCCTCTTCATCGAACTCTGTGTCTGAATCTGGTATAATCGCAACATCTGCGCTCGTAAACAGTTTCCTCAATGTACTTAGAGGCATGTCCCTTCAAGGGGCATCCGTGTATGGTGGGCCATTTTCAGCTCGCTGGCGTACTCAAGGCTGGCTGTAATCTTTCATCTCGACAAAGATACGGTGTAGCCGAGAAGGGCTATTGTGTAACGACTGGCTACACTGTGGATTCCATTCTACAGCCGGTCAAGGGGGTGGGAGAGAGCTGAACGTTTTGCTGATCAGTGGGTGTCGCGAAGAAGAGACGGTAGACGGATCACCTTTCCAACAAGGTACCTACAATGAGGCGCAATCAACATAGGCTTTTGGCGAGACATTTGTAGAGAGAAAAGTGTCGAGCAATCTCTTGCTTCTTGCAGCTTTCCTATTGCTACGTAACTAGATGGCCTCTATGCGAAGTCACGCCATTCAAATCGTCGGTATCTCAATAGGGGCTAGGATGATTAGACCAGCTAATAGGCAACAGAAAACAACGGAAATCTGCATCGACTGAGGCATCGATTCAATCCCAAAAATAAAAATACAAAAGCTGCGCTCGCCGTGCTCCCAAGCCATCGCAAACTCCGATGTTGGAGTGACATGGTCCCAAGCCACGAACTTCGGCCAATGCCAACAGTGTCATTTGAAGTTTGTCAGAGCGGGTTCCTTTGAGATGCCAGATCCACAATAACGGACGGGCGCACGGTTGTCCTTCATCCTCTACCCTATGATTCCGACTGCGCTAGAGGGCGAACAGTTGGAGAGTGCCAACCCCAGTGCCAGCGATGCGGAATTCAACGTGTAGGGAGGCTCATCTGCCGCAGCGCTCATCTCTGCTCGCTAGAGCACAGCTTTTTCCTAGGTTACTGGATCGAATGTGTAGTCGAATGTCACTGACAGTAACTCTTGAATCTTGGGATTTGTGCATATTCTGCTGTTGTCGACGTTGTTGTTGTTGGACCTGTGGCTGTGTGTGTGTTATTGCCCCCGTTTCTAATGGGAGGGACGCTCCGCCAAGCTGCTCCAGTGCGGCGCCAACTCAAAACGACCCAAGTCTCCGTGCCCGTTCACAACAAAGTCATTGCTCCGCGCGAGAACACTGCGAGTCGTGTTTCAGAGCCCTCACCTTCGCGAGCAGATTCAAATAGGCAGATGGTACATTTCTACTGTGCCCCTTCCTACTGTGCAGCGATGGACCAGTCATGGCCACATGGTTTACTCGCGACTCAATGTCGGTCTCAGTGCTGAGTATACGCATCGCCTGCCAATCTTTTTCATCTTTGCCAAATTCTCAATGTCACCGATTGCTTGGTAAAGCATTAAACAGACCGATGTATAGCAAATGTAGGTACGGACCCTCCCTGAAGTTCGACATGGGTGTGTGATTGCATTATAGGACAACACGACCAATAGCATGAAGCTTAATCACCATCAGGTAATCTGGAGACTAAATTCTGCTATAAGTGGGAGAAGCTTGTACAATTGTATTGTGCGACAACACCAATCAAAGCGAATGCCAATGCTATGCCATTCCCGATGGGTTACGCCGATATCAACCCCAGTCCCATCCTTCCGCGTATCCATCTACAGCCGCAAAGTTTTTGATTCAGGAGCCCGCTTCAGTCTAGTGAGTGACAGCTTCCTCTTCCTCGAGGAATCTCCGGAGAGGTAGGAAGACGCAGCTCGACTCCGCCAACTAGTACGGCTTCGCAGTCGAAACGAGTGACTACAGTCAAGTCAGTCTTGGTGTTTGCCCGCCTAAATGCTCGGAAGCTACCAATCTCTAAATCTCCGCAGCTACATGGCATTTGCCTGCATGCAGTTCGGACATGCAGCTGCAAGGCGCTCTAGACATGGCTATGTTCGAGTGCCAGGGTTACGTGATTAGTTGACTTGTGTAACCCAATATATACGTCCACGATGGGATAAAGTGCCGGGCTTGCCCACCTGCATCTCCAGTTCTTCAATTCACTTTCCACTTCTAGTCTGTCTTTTTTGGTTCTTTTTACCATTTCCATTCGCTTTCCTGATTCCATCTTAGAGCTGGCACAGTTGACTCTACATTCATTCTTTACTCAAATCAGACCATTCGGTTAGACTCGAATAGATTCATAATATACCTTGTCCACGGAAAAAATAGGAAGATAGAAGAAGCAAAACACACAATAATGAAGCTCCTTACACTCACAACCATCCTCCCCGCTCTTGCCTTTGCGCAAGCCCAATCCATCTTCGACGATTGGCACCCAGCGGTTCCTGGCCAAGACAGTCGTGGACCCTGCCCCGGACTCAACGCCCTCGCAAACCACGGCATCCTCCCCCGCAGCGGCAAAAACATCACCATTCCAGACCTCGTCAAGGGACTGGGTGCTGGTGTCAACATCTCGGCCGAGTTGGCCACTATTCTGGGCATGGGCGCGATCAAGACGTCCGACACACCGGCCTTGCAAAGCTTTGACTTGGACGACCTTGGCAAGCACAACCTCATCGAGCACGATGGCAGCTTGTCTAGGAAGGATATTGCGTTTGTCGAGGGTACGCCGACGCACAAGTTGGACGAGGACATCTTTGATGACTTTATGAGCTACTTCAACGCGAGTGCGAGTATCTCGCTGCCTGTTGCTGCAGCTGCGCGATGGTATGTTACAAACCCCTGCCTCTCAATGAAAGAGAACAAGAAACTGATCAGTTACATAGGGGACGTATGCAATCTTCCCGCAAGGACAACTCTCAGTTCCAGTACACGCCTTCTGGCCGCTTCAGCTCTTACTCGGAGACGGCTATCTACTACCTCACACTTCAGAACCCTGCCACTGGCACCGTTCCCGTCGAGCACTTGAAGGTGCTTTTCAGTACGTTTATATCTCTCCTATTCTAAACCTCTCCTTACCCCCTATATGAGTAACGTTATGCTGATACAATCTTTTGCAGCTGAGGAGCGTCTCCCCTACAAGGAGGGCTGGAGGCCTTTGGTCCCTGTCAACGGCGGAAGCTTTTCCCAGACTCTGCTTTCCCTCGCTATCAGCACGCCTGAGGAGGCTAGCGATCTCGTCATCCCCTCCATGTAAGATGTGCTTCTTGCATAGATTGGATGTTGAGCAGATGTGGTTGACGTTGCATGTGCATGCGTGTTGTTTGCTTCTGTGGATACAGGCGGGTGGTCTTTACATCTTACATAAGCATTATATGCTGTTGCTTCTTGTTTATAATAGATTTTTGGTTAGGTTTTGCGCGAGGAGAGTGGGTTGTGGGGAATTCAATGTTTGGTTTCCCCACATTGTACATACATATAGACAAACCTACCTACTTGGGCCTTGAAAAGTATATCAATTTTGGATGATATCAAACATTTCGGAATGATTTTGGTGTCATCTCATCCCCGCTACCATCAATTGATATATTAGTAAAGTATGAAAACTGTCTTCACATATGTATAAGTAGTTGGGTGCCGTTGTCGCCTTAGACGCCCTGGACGCCATAGACGCGCCTGGTTTGCGACGCGGATTTCTAATTATCTAGTCGGTGGAGAAGTGACTAATAGCTAGCTCACATAGAGACCTTCATAAGAAGACTGGAGGTTGAGTTATTGGAAAGATTTACAAGAGTTGTTCATTGTCGCAGTTGAATTTCCATCATCCTCGCAGCTGTTGTCGAGTCGTGAGCCCCGCAGATCTCTCCCCGCCCACGCATCCGTCGCCCCGGCCGCTGCCCCCGCGCTAGTTATCGCATAGCTCTCGAGAGCTCCGCAACCATAGCGTCATCCCGACTTCAGTGTGAGAAAACAACATCACCACCTCTCTCTATCTTCCCTTCTCACAATGCGGTCTTTTGCAGCTGCCACAAGAGCAATTGCACGCCAGCCAGGTCATAGAAGCCTGCTGCAGAGAAACACACTGCCCTCGATAGCGCAAAGAACATACGCCATGGGTCACTCAGTACCGCCTGTAAGCTACTCATTCTCCCCTCATGTGTTCTGATTGCCGGCTGATTTCATACGTAGCTTAGCGATAAGTCACTCCTCAAGGAGCAGACATATGTCAACGGGCAATGGATCAACGCAAAATCAGGAAAGACCTTCGAGGTCACCGGTATGCCCAGCTGCCCACGCCCAAACCTCTCGTTCTTCCACTCACACTCCCCACAGACCCAGCATCAGGGAAGCCGATAGGTACCGTCCCTGAGATGGATCGCGCCGACACCGAGGCCGCCATTGCCGCCGCTGCTGCTGCATTCCCCTCATTCCGCAAAACCACCGGCCGCGAACGTTCACGTATGCTGCGCAAATGGTATCAGCTGATGATCGACAACGCCGACGATTTGGCCAAACTGATAACGTGGGAGAATGGGAAGCCGATGGCTGATGCCAAAGGCGAAGTCACATACGCAGCCAACTTCTTTGAGTGGTTCAGCGAGGAAGCTCCTAGGACGTATGGCCAGACAATTCCCGCGAGTGTGGCTGGGAACAGGGTCTTTACTCTCAAAGAACCGGTTGGTGTAGTGGGTTTGATCACTCCGTAAGTACTCTTCCCTTTTTCCTCTCGTTCATAGGCGAATATGTGCTCATCGAGGGAAACCAGATGGAACTTTCCCGCTGCCATGATCACCCGGAAAATCGGACCTGCGCTCGCAGCCGGATGCACAGTCGTCGCCAAATCCCCTGGAGAGACCCCTTTCACCGCCGCCGCCCTGGCCGAACTCGCCCACCGCGCCGGTATTCCCAAGGGAGTCGTCAACTTTGTCACAGCGCTCAAGAACACACCCGAAGTCGGCGAAGCCATAACATCCTCCAAAACCGTCAAGAAAGTCTCCTTCACGGGCTCCACTGGCGTCGGCAAACTCCTCATGAAGCAATCCTCGGATACCCTCAAGAAACTTTCCTTCGAGCTCGGCGGAAACGCCCCCTTTATCGTTTTCGACGATGCTGATCTGGACACCGCCGTAGCAGGCGCCCTGGCTTCCAAATTCCGCTCCTCGGGCCAAACCTGCGTCTGCGCGAACCGTCTCTACATCCAATCCGGCATCTACGACGCCTTTGCCTCCAAATTCGCCGAAAAAGTCAAGGACTTCAAAGTAGGCAGCGGCTACGCTGAAGGCGTCACCCACGGACCTTTGATCCACGACCGCGCTGTATCCAAGGTCGAAGCCCACGTCCAGGATGCCGTCAAGCAAGGCGGCACCGTCCTCGTCGGCGGTCAGAAACTGCCGGACCTGGGCGAGAACTACTTCCAACCTACCGTGATCCGCGACATGACTGCCGACATGGCGCTCGCGCACGAGGAAACGTTCGGCCCCGTCGCAGGGCTCTTCAAGTTCGACACGGAAGCTGATGTCGTCAAGCTCGCAAACGATACGGATGTGGGGCTTGCTGGGTACTTCTTCAGCCGCGATGTCCAGCGCTGCTACCGCGTTGCTGAGGCGTTGGAGGTTGGCATGGTCGGTGTGAATACGGGCCTCATCAGCGACCCTGCCGCTCCGTTTGGTGGTGTCAAGGAGAGCGGCTTTGGAAGGGAAGGAAGCAGTCTAGGAATTGACGAATACATGGTTACCAAGATGGTTACGTTGGGTGGGATGGGCCAGGAGTTGCAGTCCTCGTAGGCTGAGTGCGGGGGTTTTTCTTCTTCTCCTCATGTATATAGTATATGAACAAAGCAGCGTTCTTTTCCTGTGCTCAGATGTCTTTTTTTAGAGTTCATCGTGTATGAAAATCATTGTATGTCATCAAGTGCAGGCCTACTGCAACCCGATGACTGGTCTTAACTCGGAAAACCATATCGAAAGTATGAACGTTCTCATAACAGGTCGGAGGGCGTAGTGGTGATGACTGCCTTGCCAGTGCAAGTAGGTAAGCAGGGCCTTAACAACAGGAGCATTCGCAGAGAAATCGGCACTGTCATCTTCATGCAGGTATGTTATGGTTATGTGTATGTACTTGGTGGACTTCACCCGATCCCCGCTTCATGACTATATGCAACGTGAGAAGGAGAAAAAGAGGAAAGCTATATGGAGATATGATAGAGAACTAGAGAAGGAACCAAGGGAAAAAGGAGCTCTCGCGTGCACCACGAGAAGCCCATGTCTATCTATATCGTACATGACTCTAATGAACTGCTACTTCAACAGCAGCACACTTCGCGCAAACCCCACTACCGCTTCTCAACAAGCAAGAGGTGCATGGCTAGATAAGCCAAGATAACAAATGATCCCCCAAAGACAGCAAGGCCAATGCAATCGCGCCAAAGAGCTTGCGTGCTGAAGCCAAACGAGCTCAGAATGGCTGATCCCGGTACTTCAATGTCGAGCCCGTACTTGTGGTCTACTAGGGATAGATAGGCTACCTCGTTGACGATGAGACCCTCAAAGGCGTAGTGGAAAATTGAGAGCTGGAAAATTTGTTAGTAACAACACTATTGTGGCACTTGGATCAGAAAACTTACCGATTGCAACCACTTGGCAGCCGCTGGAATACTGTCTTTGTTGAGGAAGAAGCCAGAGAAGAGCAAGCTGAAGAGCATGACGAGTATGCTGACAAGATTGGCCACTCCTCCGTTTCTGAACACAATACCGATGAATAGACATATAGCGGCCGCTGCAAGGTTGAACAATACCAGGAACAAGATGAACTTGAGGAACTCGGGCCACGCCGGAATCAGTCCGCTCATTGGATACACAATGACACCGAGAATGATTGGAGGGATGAGACGGAGTGGAACAATATCAAAGAAAACTTTGGCGGCAAAGTAGGAGATCGGCGAATAGTAACCCTTGGCTCGCTCACGGGTAAAGAGCAGTCGCTCAGGAGCAAAGACGGTAAGTACGGTAAGCGTACTAAAGCCGAACAGGGCAAGCACGAAGAAGAAGAGACCAAGACGATTTTGGAAGCCTTTGATGTCGTCTGTCAGACCAAAGAACAGAAACCCGAGAAACACGGCGAGTACAATGGCGATGGCGTAATGCGTCAGCATCAGCATGGGGTTCCGGTATAGATTGCGCCAGGTTCGCTTCGACAAAATGACGAATTGGCCGACCAGACCAACTTTACGGAACCCTTTGACTTTGCCAGCAATTGCTACTCCATTGGACTGTTGGCCGGTACTACTATGGCCATTTGCGTCGTTTGCTTGTGTGACTGCGGTGGCAATATCGTCGTGAACAGATCCAGCAACATCTGAGGTCAGATACGCGCGGACCAGAGTATCTAGGTTGGTGCCGGTGCCGCCATCAGCAGGTGGAGGGAGCTCATCAGGATCATCCAGAATTTGAGGAGGGGGTCCACCTTGTTGACGCGAAAGTTTTAGCCACTGAGCATTGCTGCCTCCTGTTCGCTCATAGGGGGCTTCGTCATCAGTTTTGGGGGACATCGTACCGTCTTGGGGCGCAGAGCTCTTCTTCCGTGTGAAAAGCTCACGCTCCTGCTGCTGTCGCACCGATGTCCTGCGCTTACTCTTTGGTCGAATGCTTGAGATGCTAGGGGCTCCCAACGTGTCCTGGTCGGTATTGACGCTTCTGATAGACTTGACACCAATTGCACTGCTCGCTCTAGTGCCCAACCCATCCCTAGAAAACAAAGATCCGTCTTCTTCGATGAAGCGAGTCGCTGTACTCGCGTGCATTGTAAGGTCCACTAGGTAGTCGGCGATGTTGAAACCGGGAGGGCAGGTATATCCAATGTTGTCAAAATAGGCCTGGCAGCTCTCAAATGGTCCGGAATAAACCGTCCTACCTTTAGCAAGTAGAACGAGTTGATCGAATAGAGCGACGATGTTGGATCGGGGTTGATGAATGGTGAAGATGACGGTTCGGTTGTAGTTCTTGACAAGGTGTACAAGACATTCCACCACATTGAAAGCGTTGAAAGCATCCAGGCCGCTCGTCGGTTCATCGAGGAAGAGAATGCTGGGAGACGTAACGAGCTCGCATGCGATACCAACACGGCGCTTCTCGCCACCAGAGATGCCCCGGCCGCTCTCCTCTGAGCCTATCTTCTGGTGACGAATGTGGTAGATGCCCAGCTGTTTCTCAACATCTTCAACCCTTTGCTCTTTTGACGCACGACTCATCTCTCGTGGGAGTCGTAAGAGTGCTGAGTCGAGAATGGTTTCATGGACCGTCAGAGTAGGGAGCATGGTATCATCCTGATCGACGAATCCAATGACACTTCGGAACTCGGTGTCAAGGACCTTTTCTCCGTTCAAGTAAAAGTCGCCACCGTGTACACCGACCTTGTTCTTACGAGCGAGTATATCGAGGAAGGTTGTCTTGCCTGCACCAGAGGCGCCCATAATGGCCATGAGCTCTCCTGGATGGACTGTGCCGGATATGCCAGAAAGAATCTGTTTGCCGTTAAGATTGTAGGAAACGTTCTCGAAAGCAAGGGCGGCAGGTTTCTGATCTGCAAGTATTTTGGCACTCTCGTCTTCCTCGTCATCTGAGAGATGAATGGGACCATAGCGATTCCTCTCGGCTCTTCGCGCCAGATACCAGGCAATCAAAATGACTGCAACGATGAATAAAGCGCAGCCAGCAATGACACTGGCTATCAGGGGCGTGTTGATAGTCTTGACAGGTCGTTCGTAGCCTGGGACTTCGGTCTCGTACAGACACTCTCCAGCATCGCACTGGAGGAAAATGCTTTGGTCGGCAAAGATGCTCTGAATCAAGTCGTCCATTGCTGGCTCAGAGAAGATACTACCGCTATCCTTGCCGTCTTCAGTGGAAATAGACTTGAACGAAGCAGGGCCCTTGATTGACTCGGTCAAGAACTCTCCTATGTCGATTGATCCCTCCTCGCCACACAGCATCCTTCCAGGCACACATGCACATTTGATGTTCTGGCATTCGTAGTCGGAGATGTTTCGGGAGGTTTCGGCGGTGAAGGATGAGGTACAGGTGTCCAGGGCACAGTAGAATGATTCTCGCTGGTCAACCCAGACTAAACGAGTGGTTAGCGCGGTACACGGGTTGGGGGAACTGTTGGCGACGTACATTGAAAGTTGCATTCGTCTGTTTCGGCGTTGCATGAGAAGGTCGCCTGCGGCTTCTTGTCTTTCAACTGATCGAGAATCTTCTTGTTGGTGATGTCGCACATCTGGAAGTTTTCCTTGACGAGGGCACCCTGTTTGAAGCAGACTCCACCCTCGCCTTCAGGCATCATGGCGTTGCAGGCTTGGTTGGTTTGGCAAACATTGCAGTTGATGCCACCCCAACCGTCTTTGCACTCACAGGAGTTGCCGTCTCTCGGTGCTCGGTTCCTGTTGCCATCGGGCAGGGCGCCACAAAGAGGCGTTGAACAGTCCTCGCCTCCAAAACCGGGTGTGCAGTCACACTTGCCATTCCCTTTTATACATTTGGCGAACTGGTGGCACTGAAAGTCGTCGAGATTGCAGTTGAAGCATGGGGGGCAGCCGTCCGGGCGGTCGCCGTAGATGGAGAAGACATCCTGCGGAAGCTCAGCGGCAGTGTAGTTGGCAAAAGTCTTGTGGGATTTAGTGGCACTCGCAGCATTCAGCGAGGCCAAAAGTGCAGCTATGAACCGAGTGCGTCGCATGTCACCTCAAGCGCTGGGTGGCGCGGAAGGAGAGTGGGTGCGGCGAGCTTCGCCAGAGTTGGGGTTGGGATGAGAGCTGGTTGCCTGATCTGTCTTGGTGACTGACGTATATGTAGATAGCTCGAGGGCGGAGGAGCGAACGGCGAGGCGGCGGCGAAAGGGACGCTGGACGATAACAGGCTGCGTGGAGAGGACACGGGGAAAGAGGGAGAGAGGCAAAAGGAATGATGAAGGAAGAGGGAGAGGAAGATGGCGAAGGAGTGGGCTCACTCCGAGGCAGATAGGCAGAAGAGACACATGGATGGATGGGACTTGCGACGTCGATGAGCATTGGCATTGCCATTAGGTGCGGTGCAACGCGGGGGGGCTGGTTCGATGCCCGCACGTGCCATGGCCGCTAGCCCCAATCCGAGCTTGACAGACAGTCATCTCTCTACATACCTAGGTACTTAGCTGAGTACCCAAGGTAATTATCGTCATCCACTCGTCCATTGACACCTCTGCCAAATCTAGGTCAATTCACACCTTTGGTGGTAGTTTGCTCAGTCGTCTTTTCGCTTTGACTTTGGTTCCTACACCATGTAGGCTGTAGGTAGCACCCACCTATCGGCCAATCAATCTAGCGACCACTTAGCAGCTCAACGCTAGCATTGGTTCCCACGCCCTACACTGGGCCGAACTTTGACATGCTCATGTAGCCGTCCACATAGGTGCATATATTAATATAAATACCTAATCCCACATCTCGACAGCTTTTCTTCTTTGTTCTTCCTGGCCTTTTTATTATTCCTTCCTTCTCACTGCCCAAACACGCAAAAATGGTCAAAATCAAGCAGTTCTCCGTCGAAGCCTGGATGGATGAACACGAGCACAATTGCAAATACAACATTGCCGAGACATGCGCCGCCTCCATCTCTATAGACCAGCTACGTGACATCTCTGACGATAAACAGCGTCAAGTTTTCGACACTGCCAAACCGCTCACATATGGCACCATTAGAGGTTCCCAAAATCTCAGGGACAATCTCTCTCGCTTGTATTCCGCAAAGACAGCAACCCCGCTTCCAGCAGACAACATCCTGACAACCCCGGGCGCCATCCAAGCAAACTACTTGACTGCATATGCCCTCGTCGGATCTGGCGATCATGTCATCTGCCACTATCCCACGTATCAATCACTCTACGAGGTCCCAAGACAGCTGGGTGCAGAAGTCGACTTGTGGAAGGCCAAACCCGAAGACGATTGGCTCCCATCCATAGACGAGCTCAAGAAACTCATCAAGCCCAACACCAAACTCATCATCATCAACAACCCTAATAATCCCACCGGTGCTGTTCTCAAAAAGTCTTTACTTCAAGCCATCATCGACGTGGCCGCAGAACACGACATCATCATTCAAAGTGATGAGGTCTATCGCCCTCTATTCCACTCCATCAACCCTCTGGATCCAGAATTCCCTCCTTCTATTCTCTCAATGGGCTACACCAAAACCATCGCAACTGGCTCCATGTCAAAGGCATATGCTATGGCAGGCATTCGAGTCGGCTGGATTGCGAGCAGGGATGCTTCCATTATCGAAACTATTGCTGAGGCGCGTCATTACACCACCATCTCAGTCAGCTTCTTTGACGAGCAGATCGCTGCATATGCACTAGATTCGAGCACGGTTCATAGCCTTTTGGTTCGAAATGTCAATCTCGCCAAGAAGAACATGGAGCTTATGGATAGATTTATCATCAAGAATGACGACGAGTGCGAATGGGTTAGGCCAGTGGCAGGGACAACGGCATTCCTCAAATTCCACCGTGAGGGAAAGCCCGTGGATTCGGTGGACTTTTGCAAGAAATTGTTGGAGAAGACTGGCGTTCTATTCGTACCTGGAAGCATGTGCTTTGGTGAAGAATTTAAAGGCTACGTAAGGGTGGGTTTCGTCAACCACACGGATATGATAAAGGAAGGTTTAGACAAGGTAACACAGTTTGTGAGGAAGAACTTGGACGAAGTTGCTCTTGCCGAGTGAGACTGAATGACAATACAACCAACAAACAACCCTATATGACGCGCTGAGTAAGATCAATTATTTGTTTCAGTTAGTGCATACAAACCATCTGCGAACCCATGTTCAAGGTTGAGGGTGGGGGTGTGCTGCATACAGCGAAAGCCAACTATACGAGACGAGGCTGAAGTTACATTGGGGAGGGGCTGAGCAAAGAACCCATGCTTATCATAAATCCTCAGCCTGATCGCCCGCAGGTCCAAACACTTCTTCCATTCGTCTCCCATCGAACCGTCGAATAATTGCTGTCAGCTGTCTTTGTTGACGCAGAATGGCGGAGCCAGTTGGTATCATCGCTTCTGCAATTACCGTCGCCAGTACCGCTGCGCAGCTGTCACTCGCCCTCTTCAAAGTTGCGCAAACGTTCAAGCATGCCCCAGAGGAGATATCGGAGATCGCTCTCGAAATCTCATCCCTCTCCAACAGTTTTAATACTCTTGTCGACGCTCTGCAGACTTGCCAGCATCTATGTACACCAACCTTGTTTCAAGAACTGGAGTCGGTTCTGGAGCGGTTCAGAAAGATCGAGGTTCAGCTTACGGACTTGACTAGCGACCGGGGTCACAGAACATTAAAACGCTTGAAATGGTTCTTTGATGCACCAAAAGCGAAAAGCTTACTGAAGAAGGTGGAAAGCGTGAAAAGCGCATTGACACTTATGCTGTCAATCATGAGAGTAACCGCTGAGCAGGTGCAAATTCAGTAGGTCGCTAGATTATGAACCCACGTTTCCCGTCTAACATGAGCAGACACATACCCACCGATGATCCGAAATCAGAGGACTTGACTCTTCCACAGCCTTCTCGACCAAACAGGTTTCGTAAAGTCTTGGAAACAGTTATCGAGGCAAACAGATTGACGGTAGATAGAGCACAGAGAGAGGAGGAGGATCAGCCACTAAACTTCAAGAAGCGCCACTTCAATACGCAGCTAAGACGCTACGAAGCAGACTCGGAAGACACCGCGACGTGGTTGTACCATTTGGTGTTTATGCCCCAACCACCACCGAAACCCTTCGTGCGTGCCAAAAGCCTGGAACATCTCAATCCAACTGTTGAATCTGACAACGAATCCGATGATGGGAATGCCTCTATCAAAGCGGTTCACGGAGCCAGAGCTCATAATCGATCCCCCGTTCCCGCAGAAAATCAGAATGAGAATGGAAACGTTGTCATCGTGTGGAACAAAAACACGGAAACAAGCCTGGTGGCCGATAGGCTGTTGCGCGCTTGGACCATACTCGACGCGGCACAGATTGAGGGAAGCAGAGCTTTCTTTAAGCTTAATTTGGAAGAACAATGGAAAGATGGTCTTATGCAGCGTATCAAAGAATACTCTGATTTGAGTAGCCATTCGACTTCCAAAGTGCATACCGTCAATGAATCCGCTGCGACGAAAAACAGCGCAAGTCGAGATCTGAAGGACTATGAACTGAGTGATTCGGAAAGCACGAGCTCAGAAGACGAATATTTGAGTGCGGAAGAGAGCACTGTCGCGCCAAATTCCCCGCGAGTCCGGAGCTTTGACCCTAAACAAGATGATCCGTTGGGTTTTGAATTCATGGATAGCTCCAGCGATGAAGGGGAAGGCGGGAAGGGCAACGTACGCACGCGAACTCCCCCATTGAATCGATCCAACGTCAACCAACGTCGTGCTCCATTTACGGCACCCAATAGACCCAGAGGGAGATTTGCTGCCTATAATGATCTGCCTCACGTACCTCCACCTCATCTTCCACCTCATACAACTCAATACAACCCATTCTACGGCCAACCTCCTGTCTATGGAAACACATCAAACACAGCTGAATTCCGGGGCTTCGCTCCAGCTTCAGCTCCTTATTATGACTCTTTCGTTCCACCTGCTCATACTCCATTCTATCCGCCACCCCCACCCACGGTCTATCCACGACCACGTCCCTCGAACGCGCGTAAAACTTCCGGTCCGCCCAAGAAATCCCCACCTCCCTCTCCTTCCACTCATACATCTAAAGCCACAGACGAGTCTTTACTTTCCAGATTAGAAACACTGTTCAAGAAGATTGAACACCAGCAAAATACCGGGGCAGAATCAATTTCAGATCAGACAAATGCACAACTCGAAAGCAAGATGGACCAGGTGTTGGAAGCGAGAATCAATCAACAGCTTCAAAGTTCGAATGCTTCAGAAGATCAGGGCAAGATCGACCGCCTTGAACAACTTGTGCTCGAGTTTGGAGAACTACAGCGAAAGCGGCATGAAGATTCAGAGGCAGCCTGGAAAATGGCAAAGGCCAAGTCTGATGCCATAGCTGCAGAGAACGCTTTGGAGGAAAGGAAACGTGCTGAAAAGGAGATTGCATCCGCAAAGGCAGCCAAAAAGGCCGCGGAAAAGGCATTGGAGTTTGCAAGAGAGCAAGCTGCAGATCGAGCGCGCAAAGAGACTGAGCTGAAAGTCGCTGAGCAGCACAGAATCAAGGAGGAGGAAAATAATAAACGGATTCAGCGATATGAGGAGCAACTGAGTAACTTCACTAGAAAGTTTGAGAAGTTCCTCGAACCACCGCAAGATCCGAAACCAAATCTTACGGGCATGCCGCTAAGACGCACCGCGATACAGGAAGGCGACCGTCGCATTGAGATATCTGAATACACTAAAGAACATCTCGAACCTTTCATATCGCATGGTTCGTCCAGGACAGTACTGGAAGAGGAATTTCTCGATGTTGCTTCTCGTAGCTCAAGGTACAGCAGCCGACCACCTGTCAGAGACAATAAACTTCTGAGGGCCCCAATGCCTCCAACGAGCAGGGAACCTTCTTACTATCAGACCTTAGTTTCTGCACCCCCTCAAAGTCAGATATCGAGTTCAAGATCGATACGGCTGCCAGCCCATCTTGCATCGTCCTCAAAGATTGCTGAGGTGCGGAACTCACTTGATAAAATTGGCATATCATTGAATGCCGACTCAATGACCAATATGTCAAGAAGTAGCGGTGTGATAGAAGAATCAGATGGTGCTTTAATGAGAGTTGCAGATCTAGATTCGGCCGCCATCCAAAGCTCGATTTATTGGGAACCTCCTTCTCTCCCGGTTGGGAGCGAGCTCCTGGGTACATTGAAATCTAAAGGCTGGAAACCACTCTATGCTCGAGGGTCTGGTAAGATGCTTTTCATCCAAACAAACATGATTAATATGCAGTCTCGCCTGTTTTGAGCTTCCTCTGTCTATGCGTCTGGATACTCCAAATTACTCGCTAATGAACAACAGATTGGGGACAGACCTACTTCCTCGGCCACGATCCTATCCACATCAATTTCTTCCGCCCCGAATATGAACCACAATTCAAAGAGTCGGACAAAAACTCTTCTGATGAGTGCGTTTTGATTGCGAAAGAATTGGTAGAAGAATATGCACTATTAGAAGCAGGATTTCAATTCTCTTGTACCGAGGCAGGGGCTTATGTTCTGGACTGCAGACTTACTACGGTAAGAAACTATACATATAGTCGGAAGAACTCGTAGCTTATCAGATCCTAGCACGACATCGAGGCGCTGATCGAGCGCTCTTTCATGCTCAGAGAAACAAACTTTCGCAGACAACATCGCCAACTGCAATGGTCTCCAGCTGGCAACGCGCCCGAGCCCACGAAACAGACATACGCATCGACCATCGTCTCGGAATCTACGAGCGCAGCATCCGTAGATGAGGAGTCTTGCGAAAGTCTGTCAGATTTTGGGGATGATTGGCAATCCTCGAGCGTTCAGACACCCGTCACGAATCCCAGAAGAGAAAGCCAAGACACAGACTCCGGATTTAGTTCTATGAACATAGAGTGGTACAGCACGCTGAATAATGAAATCAGGGGCAGCGATGCACCACAAAGCGCTTCATCGACGAGGTACAAGGGGAATGGTCCCCTGCGACTACGGTCGACTAGCACCACCAAGGCACACATGGATTAATGATGATATTACGAATAATTTCCGTTATAATATACTCCAACTTGGTGTACACAACGCTTATTTCCCAAGCTTCTTCTCTTTTATGAACCATGAAAAGAATGCACTGCCCACAACGAGACTCAAACTAACACCGAAGGCGGCCCTGACACTCTTGCTGTAGCATTCCTTGACCACCTCTTTGAGCGCGGGCTCCAAGCTTCGGTAATACGACAGCGACTGTCTGACACGATCCGCAATGTCTCCTGCATTTGCATCACCGTGCAGTGCAGTTTGGAGCGTCTTTCGCAGCGTCTGGTTGAATGCCGTAGCGCACATGGAAACGCCAAAAACAGACCCCAAAGAACGGAAGAGGTACGAACATGCAGTTGCTATGGCAATATCCGCATGCTGTGCGTTCGAGATGAGCCCGATTAGAGTAGTCGTTATGCCAATACCGTTGGAGAAAGCGCTGATACAGACTCCAACAACCATGAGTGGAATCCTCTCTATCACAGCGCCTGAGAATAGTAGCGTCAGAGTGTGTCCGACGACGAGGGTAGAGTATCCAATCACAGTGATCCAGTAGTATTTCCCGCTCTTCTTCATGTAGAAACCGCCAAGCAGCGACCCAGACACACCGCAAAAGATGGAAGGCACGAGCAGGAACCCAGCGCGCGAAGCCGACATATCCCCAACGACCTGCCAGTAAAGCGGAGCGAAGAACAGACACGAAAGCGAGCCGCCCATGGCAAAGAAGTTGCAGATGTAGCATGCGAAGAGCGACTTGTTCAAGATGATGCGGAACGGGGCGAACGGGTGACTGGCAACATACCCTTCCACCAGCAGGAACACGATGAAAAGTGGCGTACAGCAGAGTCCAGCAATGGTAAACGGATCGCTCCATGACACATTCGAGCCGCGATCCAGTCCGACGAGAAGCCCAAACACGGCAACGATAAGCACGATCGCGCCTAGAAAGTCGATCTTGACAAGCTTCTCTTTCCAATGCGAGTCGTCGGCCTTGGGAAGATGCAACGCAAGCCACACAGCAGCAATAGCAATCAAGCATAATGGTCCCTGTGCGATGAACGCCCATCGCCATCCAATACTATCCGCGAGGAACCCACCCAACGGCGCACCAGTCGCACTTCCCATCGCATAGATAATGTTGACGTAGCCCTGCCATGAGCCCCGATCCCTCAGGCTCACGATATCGCTCAACAAGATACTCGTGCACACTGTCATGCCACTACCACCTAGGCCTGCAAAGGCCCGCGCAGCGATGAGTTCACCCATATTGCGCGCGAGGCCGCACAGCGAGGACCCGAGGCCGAAGATGAAGTACGCGAAGAGCAAGCATGATTTTCGGCCGAAGATATCGCAGAGCTTGCCGTAGAGCGGTTGGAAGGCGGCGAGAGTTAGGAAGTAGGATGTCGCTATCCAGGAGGTTTTGTTGAGGGCGTGTAGCTCGGTGCCAATTGTGCCGTAGGTGGTTACCACTAGGGTTTGGTCGGCCGCTGCGAGGAAGACCTGGATCACTCATCAGACTCTGGTGGCTTCTGTCGGAACCATCGTTGCGTTTCTTGTCTAGAGTCCGGAACGAGGATATTGAACGTGTAAAAGCAAAGTAAACCGGGAAAGAGGATCAGCGGAAGTACTTACACCTATCGCTATCGCGGGGAAGATATATTTCATACGTTTCTTGACTTCCGGCATTCCTTGGAACTTGATGCTGTTACGACTGTCATTGCTGATCTGTCTTTCGATATCTCCTCCATCCCCATTTTCTCTTCCGCCGTCGTCTCCTGATTCAATATCTTCTTCGATTGGTTCCGGTGCTACGCGTTCCAGGCTTCGATCAGAATCTTGGAGCAGCGGAGATGTTTCTGTTGGGGCTGTCGAAGAAGATTGGTTGTTTTTGTTGCTGCTGCCGCGGAGACCAGCCATGATGTGTTCCTTTTTTTTCTGATGTGTATGGTGTAGATTAGGTCGTGTGACTAGTTCTTTGTTGTTGATGTTGGAATTCCGATATGTGAACGTGAACAAGTAGCAGCACTGTAGCACCAAATTGTGTGGGTAGATTGATGAATAGAGAATAGGATCCCGGTACCGGCGTTTGGCCTCAGCTTATGGAATGTCTCTGCGTTCCTATTGATACGCGGGTAAGATTCTCATCAAAACACTCTACTCCACAGGAATCAGAATAATGGACTCACTTGAAACAGAAAAGAAAGAAAAAAAGATTGAGAAGTTTAGAACAAAGTTAAGTGACCAAGAAATCTTACTATCTTCACTTGTTCTTATGAGTCAGTCAATCGCCCTCGCGAATATACACGATCAACAGAATAAGATAAGAACGCAGCGGCCCCCTACGTCCGTGATTATCCTTGACCGGAAACTCAAGGGAAGCAGGCAGAATGCAGTGAGTCCGTCTCTGACCGGCCGGTGTATTGGTAGTCAGGGGAAGGAAAGGCTGAAGGAAGCGATCTGATTTCGGGGAATCAAATGAGGTGTGATTGGATCCGAGTGATGTTCTCATTGTTCGGATTACTAGGGCGCCGATTCGTCATTCGCACGAAAAATCCCAATTGAGGCGCTAAGCCTGATGGAGAATGTGTTGGGTGGGGGGAGAAGAATACCATCATCTAGATACATCATCTTTGTAGTTGCAGCTATGTAGTCAGATAGATTACTTGATTTTACGGGATGAATCCAGATTCTGGAGAAGAGAGCGAAGACGTTGATACATGTAGTTAAGTGCAACTTTGTATGAAGTGCTTCTTGCGATTCTGATTGGTCAGAAACATGTTACTTCAGGTGTTACCCGATAACACACTACATACTCTATTCTGCCATCAATTCGCAGTCTGAATATACAACCAGTGACATTACTCAGCATTCAGCTCTTTTCCGTGTGTGAGAAGCATAACGGAATAATTCCACGCTTAGAACAATCGTCTTGACTATACTAAGTTACTCTTTGAACTTCAGATGACAAATAGAAAAGCTCGATTCTGGAGGACCTGCCTACAACGCATTCTCGTAGTTCGAATAGGGGATCTTACAAAGCAAAAAAGCTTAAATCCATCCTCTTATAAGAACGCTTGTACCTCTTCCTGCAAACCTCTCCAGAAATAGAGCAGAATAGAGGAAGGGCAAGAAGAAGGAAACGACAACGAAACGACCGATACAAACATAACACAATGGCACCCCCACCAACCACGGCAGTTCCATCAGATTTTGTGCCCTTGACCGGACACTGTAACTGCAAAGCCCTGACCTACACACTCAAAGCGATGCCTATGATAATACATTGCTGCCACTGTACCTGGTGCCAGCGCGAATCCGGCAGCGCCTTCGCCCTCAACGCCCAAATCGAATGCTACAACTTGTCTGTCAACACCCCGCCCTCCTCTCCATCCAAGCAAATCCAACCAAACATCACGCATACGCCCTCACCCTCGGGCGCTGGTCAAATCTTCGCAAGCTGCCCCTCGTGCAATGTAGTCCTATACACACACTACGGCGGCAACATGTCAAGGGCGTATGTCAAAGTGGGCACCTTGGACGATGCCAGTCGCCAGAGGGTGAGGCCCGATGTGCATCTATTCACAACTACCAAGTTGGATTGGGTGGATCTGAGCAGGGAAGTCGAGAATGGGGTGAAGTGCTTTGAAGGGTTTTATGAAGAGGAGAGCGATGCGTGGAGTGAGAGCGGTTTGGAGAGACTGGCAGCTTTGAGGGCGTGGGCGGCGCAAGAAAAGGGTCTTTAGATGAGAGACTGCACGCGTGAGAAGAATTGGGTTGGTACGTTTCGGGCCCTTGGTTTGTTTTGTGTTGTCAGGGATGTGTGTGTTTCTGGGCGGTGGGGAAGTGTTCACGGCTGATCAGCTGATCAGATGAGTTGATGTGGCACTAGACTGAACACTGATGTGTGGAATGGTTGTTGAAGCCTACGCCCAGGATATAAATATAAATGTCTGATCATAAAAACATATACATAGGAAATAAACGATCAGCCTATTCATTGAAGATGAGGGGCGGCGACGATAATGCCATCCGGCGATATCTACCCCTGTATTCCACCCCGCGGGCCCTTTTTGAAACTAGAATGGCATTGTTTCTGTTTTTTTATAGATTCTTTATACCATTTGATTGACCCTTCTTTCGGGGCCATCTCGTGACGTTCCTTTGGGCATGCCAACTTCGTGCGAGACCTCGGTCGTTCTCAAGATTCCTCCCCCCATTCTCCACGACGTAGGAGTTATCTCATTATCAGGCAGAATACTCTCTTCACTAGTTTTTCCAGGGCTTTCGGGGTCGTAGGCGTTACCGATACTACTTGGGCTTCTCTTCTTATCTGCTCCGATGGTGGTCATGATGTAACTCTCATCTTTGCCCATATACCCATCATTATCTCTTGCTTTGCTCGAAGACAATGAGTTGAATCCACTTTTCTTCGCAGTGTGGTGGCCCGTTCCTCCTCCGTATGTGCGAGAGATGCCCTTCGAGCCTGTGTTGCGCGAGCCGCGACCGTACGTAGAACCGAGAACGCGAGTGAAGAGGGGTTTGAGGCAAGGCAGGTTACCGGCGACAATACCGACGTTGCATTCGACCACAGTCCAGATGGTGATGTTGCGGCTGTCCCATAACCAATCCCCCTCTTTGCCGTATTCCGGAATGTAGGCGGTTTTGATCAAGGCAGCGGCGGTGGCGAAGATGCCTAGACCGAGGATACCGATGATGGTAGACTTCTGTCGACGATTCATCTGTACATGCCAGAGCATAGGAATCTAGTGAAAGTGTTAGAAATGAAGATCTAGGTATATGCGTGGGCATCAGTTTCGGCTTACTGGTATGACGACCGCAAAGAGCAAATCCGTGAGAATGTTTAGGGCTGGTAAGAGGTTAGTCTATCGAAATTTGAGCAATGACTCCGAGAAGCATACCCAGATTTGCATAACTCAACGATTGGATTGTTTCCTTGGTCCAGCAGGTACCTTTTACTGTAGGATCCCACTGAACAGCAAGGTTCGTGCACTGAAACATGATTGTCTACTCATTTGTTGGTAAGCAAAGCATTGCAGGCGAGATAAACGTAGAGGGCGTCTTTACGAAGAAACATCCTGTCGTGTAGAATGCCATGAATCCTATATAAGTGTCAACAGAGAGTAGTCTGCGAGGAGCTGATTCATTACTGACCCATTATACCAGCGATGATGCGCTTGTAGACCTTAGTGGCGGCTATACGTAGAAGGAAGAACCCAATTGACTGCTTGACAACGCATATGGCAACGAGATACAATGGTTGCGTAGCGAAGTTGAGTTTGAACGCAGTTTGGAAATCTTTAGGGTCCAAGTGATCAATGTGTCTCCCGCCGCCATAATAGACCTGCGGGAAAATGAGGCACTGGCCTGCGACAACCTGACTGGAATAAGCAGTTGTCACCACAGCAGATTGTAAGATTGCATTACCAAAACTGTAGCAAAGATCATCATATAGTCCTATAAATGTGAGCGCTGAGCCCTACTTTTCTAGAAGTACAATGGAAGACTCACATCCCAACCGACGTTGTGAATGATCTTGATCCTTACACAAAGACGTGACAACATGGTGACGAAAGCCAGTATGGTGACGGTTAAGGTCGCTCCGAGTATGCGTGGACCCTCATTCTCGTTGGGGTGCTGCACCATCACCCCGGGGCTCGCCATGGTTCAAGAATCGTCGTCCCCCGAAGCAAGTCAATTGTTCAAAGAATGAGTCAACTATTATAATGGCAGAAATCAAGTTTGGAGGAAGAAAATGGGGGACATCTGTCGACCTCACATATGAATAGATGTGTGCAGGGTACTGCATAGAGAGGATGGAACGATTGATAAGTACACATGTATCTGAATGCAAGTGCCGTTTTGCCTTGCGATTCCAAGACCAGCAGCGTATCAAGATGACGGGCGCACGCCAATGGCGTTGTAACCGACAATGTAGAATCGAATGAGCAAGCGTCCTGTCAGTACCTATAGTAGGGGGCCTTAGAGCACCAAACTTTCTTTCACCCTGGGTCGGAGTACTAACTTGAATAGTACTGACGTGTTCCTGTGCATAGTTCGAGGTTCGAAAGCGAGCATCCTGGTTCTAGGACGTGAAACCCTTCTGGGCTACATGGTCCAGGGGTAAAGTTTACTATCCCAGTACATGTGCATGCAGCATGGCATGGTTTGTTATTTCATGACGAATAATTATTGAGCCACCTCTTGCGGTTAAAAAGGAAAAGACAGCCTGTGCCGCCCCTACATTTTCTGCATAGTCTAATAGATGCTACGATCTACAGATCTCGTCTTGAACTAATTGTCAGTCGGCACGTTCGTTTGAACGCTAATGACTGACAATATGTTGCAATCTGGGCACCAATGATTGATAGCACATACTCTACTTGAGTCTTCCCTTTGTGACACGCGCAGCATTCTAGCTGGAATTGATGGCAAAGTTGGGATCTCCATGGAGATTTACCAGCCAGATGTAAAGTAGCACTAATGTGCGCTGGCGTTCATTGCACACTTGGAAAAGAGGCGACAGCGTGAGAAGCCGAGGTAAAGAACATTCAGCTAACTACTACCTGCAGGTAGGCGAGGATTCGTCGGATCATTGTGCAATTGGGTATATTATCTGCTGAAAAGCACAGGGCCACATGTTGCCGCGAGGATCTTCAAAACCGCACTTGGGGATGCGGGTTGGGGCACTCGTGCCGTGCCTGCGCATCAGGCTTGGCTATGCGCACCCAATTCGGGCTCAATATGCCAATGCGATTCCCCTTGCATTTGCAAAGCGAAAGTAGTGGTAAGGCGCCGTCTGCGCCTGATGGCCCTCTGTAAACCCTGAATCAGTTGCTCTATTTCATGACAAGCACTGCTTGCATGTAAGGATTAGTGCGGATCCTTCGGTTGTGTTCTGCATTGCATTGCATTCGCTAGTGATGGCAAATTTATTGTTTCCTCGTCACTTGCAGTCTTACACTACCACCAACCCCCTCATTTCACCGACATAGGTACGAAACCTGAATATTCCGGGATCGAATTTATCAACACACGGGTTTGAGGCCTTGCTGGAACATTTTCGTACACACATCAATTGATGTACGAAGTCTCAAGATGTGGCCACGGGACAGTCAGTTAGCGGGTCCAATCCCCCCCGCCGTCATCTCATAAGTACAAGCAGGAGTTGTATCCCCACTTGCGTCTTCTGGAGGGCCCCAACTAGACCTAGTTGAAATCGCAGTACGAGTTGGTAGAATATGAACACAAGCCTCTTAGTGGCAAATTCCGAACCCACTGCCTTCCCCATTGAGCTTCAACAAGGCTAAAGTTGTGTTTGCAGGGTTCGCGGCTATCGGGGTAGGACTGTGCCGCACTTTTTTTTCCAAGACTAGGGACCACGATGGCCAGAAGGCCACTAAAATCGCCTCATTCGCGGACAGGATTGGATACTCGTCCGAGAGGCCAGTGTCCTACCGGCTGCCTGCCGTGAATGGCATTGAAAGTACCGACCCTTTGTAATTTGGACGGTTGACTACTCGCTATCAAATTAGTTATAATATATCGAAGTGGCGCTTCAACTCAAACTTTAAAAAGTACCTTGTACTCTTGACATTCCTCTTTCTTCATCCCTTCTTTCTCCTTCTTCATTGGTCTTGATACCCATTCAGAATCTTAAAGTTGAGACTAATCCGTTGGTACGTTTCGTATCACGAGCCGTCAACGCCATATTGCATTCAATCATCTTGCATCGGGTAATCTTCATCATCGAAAATGCGTTTCAGTTCACATGCAGCTCTGGGGCTTCTTGCCGCGAGTATCACAAATGCTCTCCCGGCTCCCCAGGATGATACCCCCCCGACAATCTCGCCGTCAGCCGATGATCTCGAAACCCTAGCTCAATTGTCGCAACACGCACAGGAAGTGACGAATTCGAGCCTGTCGACGGGAAAGCGACAACTGGGAAGTTGCACTCTCCGCAATCTTTCCGTTCGGAGGGAATGGTATGCAACATCTTTCATGCGTTTTGTCATGTAGCTCACTCGTACCATAGGGGCACACTCTCCAACCCAGAGCGCAAGGCCTACACCGATGCCGTCTTGTGTCTGCAGAAGAAGCAATCCAAGACACCATCATCTCTCATCCCAGGAGCCAAATCCCGCTTCGATGACTGGATTGGTACGCACATCAATCAGACCACTACTATACACTACACTGTATGTTGATAAAGAAACTTCTCTGGTTTCTTGTTCCCATTACCATTACTATACTCTAACACACTACTAGGGTACTTTCCTCGCGTGGCACCGCTACTTCACGTGGGAATATGAGCAAGCGTTGCGTAATGAGTGCGGATACAAAGGAACTCAGCCTTACTGGGACTGGTCGAAGACAGCCAAGACTGGCCACGAGAAGTCCCCTATCTTCGATGGCTCCGAGTTTTCCATGTCTGGAAATGGTGAGCTAGATGACAACAAGGGTGATATTATGCTTGGAGGCCAAGGTCTTCCAGAATTCCCGATTCCTGCAGGGAACGGCGGTGGCTGTGTCACATCAGGTCCTTTCAAATCTATGAGCGTCAACCTTGGCCCCGTACAGCTTAGTCTCCCCGGAGGCAAGACGGAGTCCAACGGCGATGGATTGGCGTACAACCCTCGCTGCCTCAAGCGTGACTTGACCAACGAAGTGAACCGCCGGTTCGCAAACGCCACTTCAGTCGTCCGCAACATCCTGCTTCCTAAGGATGTCTACGATTTCCAGATGACGATGCGTAAGTCGAAACATCACAACATCCAACAATTCTTCAGAGAATAGAAGCTGACAGTATCTTTTTTTTCATCACACAGAGGGTTACCCTGGCACGAACGATATCGGTATCCATGGTGGTGGACACTTCACGATAGGAGGTGACCCAGGTCGTGATCTCTTCACTTCCCCGGGCGATCCTATCTTTTACCTTCACCACAGCATGATCGATCGCGTTTGGTGGATGTGGCAATCCCTTGATGTCAAGAAAAGGACCAGTGCTGAAGGCATCGCGGGAACCGGCACCTTCATGAACCAGCCGCCTAGTCCAGACACAACTTTGGACACTGAGATCAACCTTGGTTTTGCTGCGGGGAGTCCCAAAACAATGCGCGATCTGATGAGCACAACTGCTGGGCCATTCTGTTATATTTACATTTAGATGAATGCATTTTCGGGTCAAGATGTCGATGTACGCTGTACAAATTATTCCCGTAGACAATTCAAATTCATGTATATTTTCTCAGATACGTTCAGGCATTTTGATCAACAAGTAAGTATTCGTGGACCACCCTATTTTGAATGAGCGCAGAAACAACTGGTACATATACTCTGAACGTTGTTTCAGGGCCAGAGGGCCTCCAGTCCCTGAACTTCTATCATCGAGTGGTGGTTGCTGTTGTTCTTCATGCCCAGACACCCAGCTCCTTGGCTTAAGAACAAATACTCGATGGATCTACAATTAGCAGGCTCCACACACACGATATGATCCTGAACACAGTCGATCACTTGTGATCATCACATCGGTCACTGACTCTCAGAGTTCAAGCTGCTCCATGTAAAAATAAACCCCCAGCGAGTTCATGTCACCCACCCACCTCAAGAAGTAACATTGCTGTGTCAGTTCCAGAAGGTTTCAGAAAACTATCGGCCCAGTGTTCTTGCGCAGGAGGAAAAGTGGAACCTCCTCACGCACGTCGGCAAAACAGCTTCTCCAAAAGAGAGGCCTCGACTGTTCTCCGTTGCAGGGCTCCGAGTCATGCACCGCGTGTACTAACAATCGCCTGGGGGCGGGAAGAGACGATTTAAGGTTTGGACGGGGTCGCGGGTCGGGGTCGGAAGGTCCAATGGCTGCGCCTCGGCATCTCGGGTAAGTAGTCTACTGCCGGCGTCAAAACATGGTATACTTGGTGCTCGCTATACGAGTAGTGAACGTACACGAAGGATCTGTGGCTTGTCTAGCGCCTGTCTTTTGACACACGCGCTACAGCGGTTACAACTGCCGTGCGATGCTGGCAATGCTCAAGAAGGTTTGGGGATAAACCAATAAATCCTTGTGGCCACGGTCAGCTTACTATGCACAGTTTTCTTCCCAATGTCGGCAAGTTCGAGTTCATGAGCTACATGTGTACCACCAGAGCTGTCATATTGTAGTAGCGGCAGACACGATAGATTCCTAGAAGTTGTACAAATCAGAAGGATTGGTAGTGCATGTTATGTAGGTTATCATACGACTCCCCACTTGTTTCAAAGCACCAGAAACATGCGAATGTCATCTTTGTGCAGGGGCCAATGCTCATACTCCCATACACCTTGAGATCCAGAGTTATCATGCAGGAACCATCCATGGCAACGGTACTCAGAGTGTTGTAGGCTTTCTTTTGGGCTTTGACAAGTTACACGTCGCCATGTCACAGGGTCAAGAGAGCCGCGAGGGTTGCGCACTATAGGCAAATCCACGAATAGAAATGTTCAGAAGAATTAATTGGAGACTCTGATCTGTGGATGTATGCTTGGTACACTACCCTCCAGTCCGTCCCGCGATCCCCTGAACCTTTTCTTGGCACCGGGGAAGTCTATTGACAGACGCCACAGTGAGTGTCTAACAGATTCTGTAGAATGGTCGTGCGAGTCAGTTCATGCCGGCGGGTAAGTTCTCCCTGTCACTGACATGTGAATTCAATGTGGTTCGAGCATATCGGAAGCTCCGAGGAGGAGACAGGATTGGGGAGGTATCGGAAGCGCGGAGTTGCGTGCCTACCACGTAGTCGGTGGTCGGTGGTCGGAACCTTATGCGTGCCATCATGTCGGTAGTGCATGATTGTTCACAGGGTGATTCATGACGACAAATCGTTAGCGTAGGAAGACGTCTGAGCTCATGCCCTCGGATAACGAGACTCTGTCGAAGCTACCACGCGAATGCCATGTCGGTGGGTACGCTAACTTGTTGCTAGAGGCCAATGCCCTATTCGAGATGTACACTAATTATTGAGGAATGATAGAGCATGGAATGAACTTAACTAGGTATTCACCGTCGCTATTTAGTGGGCGAAGGACTCTTGGCTGCCAAATCTCGACATAGCGGCATTATCGGATGACATTTCAGATGCATGTGAAGAAATGTCATTCTCAATAGGGAGGTCGTCACGTTCATTATGCTATAAGGGGATCAGGAGAGTCAGCCATCATCAATGACAAGCTCGAACAACAGGGAGATACCAAATCCTCTGACAGGTCTTAACTATTTAACATTTAAAAATCTACTCCTCCTTAGGCGGTAGAGAAACTCCACTTAGAGACTAGGATCAATGTGATTATGTTGGTAGCTCGTATAAGACATAAAACAGAGGATGTGAAGATGTAATCCAGTGCTTGCTGTTCCAGCATGTCTACTGCCCACATTTCATATACACACTTCCAATATTCACTTACACAGAGTCGACTTACATTATACAAAACCCCAAAGAGTAAGTTCATACGATATGTGGTGTCACAGACAGCTGGGCTCCATCCCACACTATCAATTAACTCATACTAAATTATTCCATGGGTGTTGCTCAATAGTACACAGATATTCCTGCACTCCTCATACCCCTAAGCACCATATCGACTGTCAAGATCTGCCAGATGGAATGCTGAAATTTTATCTCCTCCTTATGATGAACAATGTTAAAAATCACCTTGTACTATTGAATGATCTTGCACATTCATATTATGAATAGACACTATCCTACTGAGCATGTCATGCACGATAGGAGGAGCACATTGCTCAAAGTGAAAGGCTATGTGCAGTCCGTACAAACAATAGTCAAATAAGTTGCTTAAACCCCTCGGAATATGCTCAAGCAGACAAGTTTTCACCATCTAGAAGATCCACAAGCATTCGCTACCGGCGCTAGGGTAAGAAGTCACTTCCCACTATCCACGATATTCTGATACAGATTCCGCAGCAATCTTTTCAGCCATTTCGTCTTGTGCGAAACCGCTCTTTTTACCTCGTAGCAAAATCAACAAAGGGGTTGATCCTACGCGGTTTCTCTATGGACTACCGATATGTAAAGAAAAGAAGACTTTGTGACTTGGTTGCGCAGCTACAACGTTCGGAGTCAAGAACATGAAAGTTCGATGCCATTTGAAGTTTATTCTTCTATAATGAAGACTGCTCCCTTTGCCTTGTCCTTTGCTCGGAATTAGTTCGACATGCTCAAAACCTATCAGCGATATATGATCATAGTAGCGAACTCTACATGAACGCTACAAGTAGATGCGTCGCGGAATACTTTTCTCCACAGAGCTAACCACCTGATTACCTTTTTATTATACATTCCCAGGCACTTTAACAATTCAAAAGTCTCGATTGCGGTCCAGTCAACAGTTTCTGGAATTGGGGAAGCACCAATCCTTCTGCATGTATCGCTAGATTCTTGCGGTTTTGATAAGCTTACCTGTCATCACGAGATTGATTCGTAGCATAGTCTGTATGTGTGCGAAACATGGATCAGTCATATTCCAGAGTGGGTATACACTAAATAATACTCAATTATACCCTTCTTTATAATCAGGGAGCGCGTCATGTGGACATGACTTGTTCGGATGTCGATCAGAACGTTTCAAAAGTGAGGCTTGAACTTTCGAACTGTCTCATGATCTGTGTTATAGGCTACTCCGAACGCTGTATGAATCGGAATTTACTAACACACACACACACACACATCTGGGCTCGCCGTCGGGCGCGATGGCTCCAGAGGCACATTATCAAAGCCGAAGAGGGTATCTTGAATATGTTGAAATCATTGAAATTTCCATAATCTAAGTATGCAAAATAGAGATGCAAAAACAGCAACAAGCTATCACACACTCTCTCTTTTACGAGAAAAAGTGGGAAATGTGTATACAAAGAAGCGAAAGCATCCAAACAACATCAACCAACCCGGGACAATCCCCTCGCGACCTACACCTCAAACAACTGAATTTAACCGCTCCAGACCTTGGGGCCAGGAGGAGTGTAGCTAGTGGGGATGGGGTAGTAGATGTTGATCATGATCCCCGGGTCGGTGGCCTTGTAGGCACCAGGGAAGCTGACAAGGGGACCAGGGCTTCCGTTACCACCGTTGGTGACCTTGACCTGTGCGCAGGAAATGTAGAACTGGGCACCGCCAGCCGAACTGGCCGAGTGTAGAGCAATGTGCTCGACGCGGAAAAGGTACTCTCCCGAGGGGAGGGACTTGGGGATGGGGATCGAGACTTGCTGCTTGCCGTCCGAGGGCCAGCTGAGGGCGCCGTTGGAGATGGTGGGGCCTTGCTCGAAGAGCTTGAACCACACGTTGCCGCTGCCGTCCCAGTTCGCGGCTGTCTTGCCGTCGGGGACCTTGGCGGCGTAGAATTGGAGGGTTCCCGGGTGCGAGATGGAGGTTTGGGCGGTGAAGCCGATAGTGGAGCCGGCGGCTACTTCGTAGGTCTCGGCGCCTGTGCCGGGGCTGAGTTCGTAGCAGCGAATTTGGGAAGAGGTGACCTAAGAGGGTGCAAAAGGTTAGGAAGGGTTGGAATGGGTGTTGGAATGAGGGTGGACGGGGGAGGAAGTAATTGAGATGGGGAAGATGGGGTACTCACATCTGTGACAGGGCCGTTGGACTGGAAGTTCGTAGTCTTACGAACGTACTGCCACTGGTTGGTAGCTTTTCCATCGACAACAAGGGCCGGGAATGTGTAGTGAGCCGAAGCCGTGGCGGCAAGGAGGGTAGCAGCGAGGAACTTCATCTTGGAAAGTTCTTCAAAGACAAACAACAACAAATCTAAAAAGAATGGAAGTGGGGTATATCTGGGAAGGTGAACTGCAGTCGAGCCTTGCTCTTCGTAACTGAGGGCAGAGTAGTAGACCTTTTATATGGCAGTCCACCTCTTCGATATCCTTATGGCGTACAGCTTTTCCCTTCTATCCGACCAGCCCAACCATGCAGTAGTACACGCTATCATAATATCAGCATATGCATGCTCGGGACTCGATTTGATATGTGCCGTTGTCTGGGGCAGTGCCGCGGCCAAATGCAATCTCGAGAATAAAGTGCTCCGAATCTAAATATCCAATATAAATGAATCTTTGATTAAGCGTCGCTTGAAGTATGCAAAGTGATTGGTCGGTGTGGCTTAAACGCCCCAGAATAGTCGAAACATATTGGCAGGGGTGCTGGATATTAGAGTTGCCTGTCATACCGATCTTGATGCCAGACCTCTTGCTTTTGTATATCATGAGACACACTAGCTCTGGAAGCGGACCTCAGGTCACGTTCGTGATCCTGTTCATTCCCAGAGCATGACCTGAATTTCAGCCTCTGGAAGATTTCTTACGTCGCGCCGCGCACAAGATCAGGTTATGGTCCTCATGCTTGAAACACCGTCTCTATCTCTGGCGGACGGCTGAAATAATCCGCCAGCTTCCCCGTTGTCATGGAGAAACTTCGCAGTGTTACACGGACCATCCTATATGAAGTAGCACACGATCGCATGGTTCGGCTCGCTACCACAGAGTTATATTGCTACAGCGTACAAAGAACTCCTGCAAATGACGTCAAAATATACATGTACCACGTGGACTGCCGCGCACTCGTTTCCTGGCAAATCGTCTAGACTGATATTGCTGACATATACATATACATATAATACAACAGACACGGGAATAGTGGGGATAGGGTGGTCGCTAACAAGGAGTCGACCTATGGTGTAGGACATCGAGTGAGCATCTTGACTGACTGTGCCATGCCAGTCAGATGCCACAATGCGGTAGTCGAACATGTGAAAGATAGAAGAAATGTACGCTTACAGCAAGCTCAGATTGTGATCCGACTCAGCTTCTCCTCTCCACAATTGGCTTACTGGACCCCTCCTCTTCCCACTCCCCAACCTCATAATAGAGCTCATCCTCGTCGTCCACTTCTGGGTACCCAAATATGCTCCTCCACACACGCTCACCTAGTCCCTTCTTTTGCGCCATTGCCAAAACCAGGACGATTGGCAAATGCCATACACTAGCCCAGAACAATCCTCTCGCGGTCCCTTTGTGACCTTGTTCGCGCCAAAATTCTACTGCTTTCCATGTCATCCATCCGTTGATCGCGCTACTCGTAGCTATGAAACTCCAGTCTGTAACGCCACAGTAAGAAAGGCCGATGCAGACTGGGAACATGAGGATTGAGTAGCGCAGAGCAACGCGGCCGTTTCGAGCCGGATTGACCCAAGCCAGCATGCGATACCCTGCGTTTTTATATTCATCACGGATGGACCATGACAGCGAGTTGAAATGTGGAAATTGCCAGGCATAAAGCAGGGTAGCGCAAAGCCAGCCACCAGCTGTACCTTCACCGAAGAGGAGTTCCTGCCATGTTCCTTCGTGAGCGCACTGCCCAGCTGCAGCTGTCCAGCCCATCAGTGGAGGAATACCTCCTATAACGGCGCCGACCCAAGTATTGAGTACCGACATCCGCTTGAGAGGTGTGTAGAGACCAGCGTACAAAACGATATTTGACGCCCCCAGGAAGGCTGTGGTTGGGTTGACACCGAAGTATAAAGCGGCCGTACCTACGGAACCGCAGACAATGGCGAATATCATAGCCCCCCGCGTGCTTATCAGTTTGCGAACCAGCGGTCTATTTCGTGTCCTGCTCATCTTCGCGTCATGTTCGGGCTCCATGAGCATATTAAAGGCATTGGCGGATGACGCACATAGCGCGGTGCCCGTTGTCAGGAAGAATAGCGTAAGCGTAGAGAGGGACGGTGTCGCGGTCGCAGTCGGAGCGAGTAGCCCGGGAACAGGGTATAGTGAGTATGCGGCGGTGGCTGTGAGGACCACGAGAAACGAGAGCCGCGGTTTTGATAGGGAAAGATAGGTCGTAAAGATTCGTTTGAGGGAACGCGGCGGAAGCTTCGAAGATATGGCAGCCAATTGCGCGGACGCGTCTAGCGCAATTGGATAGGCTTCGCCGTTATTATCAGCAGCTGTTGCTTCTCGCAATTTCTGCCGTCGTCTGTGAGGAAGGTCCTTATGCTGCGTCGGCTGCGTAGGTGATAGTTGCGAAACCTGAGCTTCGTCGGGTGTCTCTATAGCTGCCCTGTCCCCGCCCACAGAACTCTGGATTTCCCGTCTTGACCGTACCACTGAATTTCCTAATGCTTCCCTTAATAAGGGATTGGCCCAAAAGTAGTCATTGCTGAACGCATTCTTGTTCTTCCCCGCAGCTACTGCACCCTGTCTACTGCTGGTAATTGAGGAAAAGGTTCGCCGTGAAGGGATTGGGGGCCGAGAGAGTCGTCTCCAGCATCGTACGCACACGGATTCTGCATTTCGGGGTCTCGGTAATCGTAGTAAGGGAGTCCTGAGACTCATCGCGGGATCAACATGAGTTTGAATCTTGGTTAAATCAGTAACTTCGACGAGCGAGGAGAATCAGGAAAGGTCGGATCGAATGTGCTTATGTAAGCAAGCACCGCGCATCCGACTTAGAGAACATGTAAATTCCAGATTGTCAAACACATGTGCAGTGAAAACACCATCAATACTAAGTATTATTAGATCAATAACAATGTATATAACTTGATCCGTGGCTCAATAGTGCGTGGTTGGATGGTTCTCTACACAGATTACTCCCATGTCTGCATCGATTTAGTTTCATGCGCCGACTTGTAATATTTTGGAGTATCAGACGTTGAGCAGACACTGGATGATTGGAACTCAAGAATGTTTTTGGGGCTATTTTACATTGCTCAGGAAGTCTAACATAGGCAAGCCTCGCCTCAATTAATGCATGATGGTACAAACAGCGAACTCACATCACCTATCCCCTCAGCCATCGATACCGCCCTCGCCATCTCCATACGATCAGCCAGATGTAAACTAATAAATTAGCTATTCGCTGATTGATCCCCTAATCTTCATCAGCATCGCCTGTATCCGACTGGTAATCAAACTCAGTAGGAACAGATGCCTCCTCGCTGCCCTCATCCACCATGTTATCATTCACAGGTGCAGATGTGGGGGGCGCTGATACCCCGGCAGCTGCTTGTTCACCAGAAGGTCCAGCACCACCAGGGGTGGGTACTGGTGCAGCCTTCTTGACTTTCAACTCCAGCAGCGTTTTGGGCTCGGAAGGCGTTGTATCAGCAAGCAATATGACACCGCCGGTTGCCTGATTTAGTTAGTGCGATTGTCGCATGTAAGGAGGGCGAAATTCAACACATACCTTCTTCACGGGAACATATCTGTCTTGAGGGAAGCTAATGTACTTCACCTGACCGGGCAGCACACGTGACATGTTCTCTAGGTCGTAGCCGATCTTCTCCTTTTCCACTTTCTTCTTTGTCTCAGCAGCTGGGGAGCTCTCATCATCCTTCTCGTCCTTCTTTTCCTCGTCGACATCCATCTTATCGTCATCGGTGATTTTGGGTGTTGTGGGGGTTTGGTCGACATCCATACTCTCATGACGTTGCCTAGCCTTCACAGCTTTCCGTCGCTTATCCTGTGCTGTGGTCGAAAGGACAGCAGTCTTCACCTTTTGCGGGGCCTCCTCTGTCTTTACTTCTGCTTCCGGTGGGTAGTCGAACATGCTTGGCTTTGTGTTGCTGTGGAACTTGAACGAAGGAATCTCGAGATCCTGGTCGACACCAATAATTGCGGTTGGTGTGAAACTCAAGGACAAGAAATGCGTCAAGGGGAACCAGTACCAATATTGTGTGAAGACGGCCATACCGACAATGGCCGACATGTTGAGGTTGCCGGTTTGTGTTTGAAGTCCAATTGTGCAGTTACGGCCTCCAGCATCGATGATTCCAAGCGCCAGAGCACAACCGAACTTGGCCATGGCATCCTCGTGGCGGTCACCAATGACCTTGGTAAGCGTCTTTCGGATGGTGGCGACCTTGGGGTTCATGGCTTCATTCTGTTGTATCATGATCATGGAGAGAGAGATCAGAGCACCTTGTCGTACGAAGTCGGTAGAATCCTTCATCATAGGCTCCAAGAGATCAATAGCCTCATCGAGACCAGTACCTGCGCATGCGATTCCAAGGGCCATGGTCGCACCGTAGCGGACATGTGGGTTGTAAGATTCAGCAAGAAGCTCGACCATGCGAGGAACACTGCCGGGTTTTCTAAAGAGGACAAAACCCAAACTCATCACAGCCACTCGCCTGACGTCGTCGCTGACATCGCTGACTGCAACGTGGAGCAACCTTCGAACGGCCTTATTGCTTCCAGTTCCACAGTATGCAAGCGCAATGGTCATGATGCCTCCATAACGAAGTGTTGGATCCGGGTCGTCAAGTAAACCGTTGATTAGTTCGTCTGCAGCCTCTTGGCGAGCGTACATGATCAACGCCATGCCCATCGCTAGACCACGCACAATCTTCTCGTGTTGAGTCTCATGGGCGTATTGAATCATGTCCTCCAAAGCTTGGATGTTTCCAGTGCCGAGCATGACAAGACCCATCGAGAGACCGACGGCCTCACCGTTGACAGCGGAATCAGTGTAGAGAACTGTCTTGAAAGCTTCGAGGATCTCCTCAGAACCCGTGGCCATTCCGGCGACACCCAAACCAAGCGCGCCTCCGTGTTGAATGACTTCTTCGGACGCATCCTTGAATTGCTTGAGCAGATAGTCCAGGACATGTGTTCCAGTGTTTGAATAGATCAGGCCTAGCGCGTAAAGGGAACCACCCTGTTCGTAGTGGGAGCCGGAAGTGACCGCGTCCTTGGGTAGGTATGGCTCCAGAAGCTTCTTTCCCTGGGTAATGTTACCCCGGTGTATAGCACCCAAAGCGGCTGTGGCTGTGAATTTGGACCAGTTGACGGCTTTCCCGAGCCAATCCAGATTTTCTCGGAAGAAAGTATCGTTTGTTGTTCCCGCATTCATGAAGGCGTTCGCAAATGTGACACCAGAGTGAAAGATCGAGTTCCTGGACTCCAAACTATCACGAATCTTGTTGAGTACGCTCTTGTCTGCGTGGTTGTTGCGGTAAAGGAACTCCAGGTTGAGCTCAATGCTCTTGGTACCTTGAAGAACGTCGCGAACAAGCGAGAAGGCCTTCAGCTCATCTTCGGAAGACGGCTTTTGCTTGGTGCGCGAAACAACTGTGGAGACATTACTGGTGTCAACGTTAGATAGCAGACCATCGCCTTCTCCTGCCTCATCAGATGCTGCTTTCTGTGAAGCATCGCCACTCTCTGTCGTGTTCTCCTCGTTCTTGTCGTCTGTAGGAAGCTCCTCCATAACTTTTGCAAGGAACTCCTGGGTGCCGTTCTCGTAGAGATCGAAAGAGATCTGATATGCCGTAGCCAGAGATTTACCGTCGCCTCGCTCGACAAGTTGACGGATGAGATTTGAAGCCATCGAATGTTGATTCAGGTATACCACACACTTGGCGATCGAGAAGTAGTCAGGGTTGGGAATGTCGTTGAGGAGGTCGAGAATGAGCTTGAGAATCTGGGCCTGTGTTAGCGCACATAGACAAAACGCGTCGGTCGCTACATACCTCGTTCCTTAATCCACGCTCTTGCACTACATTCATGCAAATATCGAGAACGTACTCCATGAGTTCTTCACTCTTGGAGGACGAGCCAGTTGCAGGTTTTTTCCCCTGCTTCTTCTCATCTTGACTGGCACGAAGAAAGCACTCTCGCAGGACTTCCAAGTTCCGTGCCTCGATAGCGATGCCGACAACCTGTTTGTAATCACCCTGTTCGTAGCAACTCTCGAAGATGCGCCTTATAGTGCCTTGAAGGTTCTTCTGAACGCTTCGCTGGAGAATTAGGGGGGTTGGGTGTGCTCCCGCCACTCCAGCGTTCCCGCCACCAGGAATTGTAGGGTCGAAAGTCGACGAGTCCTCTCGGGAGAGCAGAGACTTTGAAGGTAACGCAGACTGTGAAAAGGGCGTTATCGGGGAGGTCAATCCAGCTGATGTGCTTCCATTCCCAGTCGCAGCCTTGTCGAAGGAGGTGATTAATTGAGGTGGGGCGTGATTTGCACGGCTTATCGGTGTGGGGGGGTTATGCATCGCCGATAGCGCAATGTAGGTATCCAGGCATTTGGCTGAAGGTTGCAGGTCAGCTTCGTGTTGCAATCCAGGGCTTGAGCTCGAATGTGCTGCCCAGCGAGCTCTCCACAGGCAGCTTCATCGCGTTCGTCATCATGCGTGAGGGTGACATGGTACTCACCCAAGATTGTCTCCTCGAATTCTCCTGAATTGTGAATGTCGAAGAGTTTACCAGCACCGAGCGCAAAAACCATGCTTTCGTTGTATTCTTGGAGTTGATAGTAGATCTTTGCAGCGACAAGAGCTGCCAGTTCTCGTTCCGGGAACGACTCATCTTCGTAAAGAGCCTCACTATGACACACATGTAAATTAGCGGCACGCCTCCAAATACGTTGTGTCCACCGAGCGAAACACTCACATCTGACTGACGGACCCCGCAACTTCCGGCCACAGTAGGTCGATTTCCTCATTCAGTCTGTTCAGGGCGAAAGCACGCAGGGCGGCGTCTGGTTCGGTCAGGAATCCGACGACTCCTGCAGCTGAGGTCAAGCCAACCATCTTGAATGATGTTTGTAGCTGCGCGAAGGTGTATGGGTATTGCGGTGGAAAGATGGAGATGCTGTTGTTGAGTGGCGGGCCCAGCTGGCCAGGTTGTATTTATAATTGTAGGAACGAGGCAGCCGGAGAAGGAGCTCGTTTGAGCCGCGCAGCAAAAGTAAGTGAGTGAGTGAAGGGGGAAAGGTGAGCGGATGGGGGTAAGGAGGGTATGATGGAGTTTGCAGGCAGGTAGGTATGTAGGTCTTGGTAGGTAGGTTGGTGGTGTTGATGCGATCACGACCAAGCTCCGCAGGCAGAAAGTGGCCCGTGCATATTTCGGAACCGCTCCCACCAGCCTCGACTAAAAGTACTCAACTAGCCACTTAAGTGCCCTCTCACCTTCCATGTAAGCACAGCAGGCTCCCACATCAAGCCATGAACGTCCTATCCCATCATACATGATAAAATAGTAGAAATAATCATACCGCCATTGGTGGGTGTACGCAAATCAGCAAGAAGTCGAACTCTCCACGCAAATCTGCCCATTCACATGCAAGATGATGACGTGATGAGGTAGATATCTTTGATTTGTATTGATGCTAGAAAATCGAAAGTTTGAAAAAAGGGGTATCTCATTGAACGTTCAAAGCTACGCCGCGCCCAATACCTTTACCGGTAATACTCTAACATTCGCGGGCCCCATGATTAAACAGTACAAACCCAGACAGATGAACCCAACAGAAACATGAGTAAAAAAAATGAACAGGAAAACTAACCAATAAAACCACAGAGAAAGCAGAAAACAGACACACAAGATGCTTAGCTTCACTAAAGCCTGAAATTGCCCCCCATGAGTTGTGATGAACTTCGCAGCTAAATGCTCCTCCTCAATCATTGTGGCGTAATCTCCCTCGACATCACCCGTAGGTTGTTCATCATGCCCTTGATGAGATTCTCGTAGTTGCTGGGCTGCTTTGTCTGCAGAATGTGATCGCCGTTCTTCAGGAGCACGTCCGAATCTAATTCAAACTCCAGCTCGTGATTTTTGTTATCGCCTTGACGGACTTGTGTCAAGTCGATTTGGTAGGCGTTCAACCAGGAGTATGAGACGCGGTCCTTGTATCTCTTCATGGATTCGATCGACTTGCCCTGTTCAACGACAGGCACGAGATTGTCGATCGGTCCGGGATATTTGATTTCAAGATTGACACCAATCCGATAATCCCATTCGGTCTGCGGAGAGCTGATCTCTAGATTTTCGAGCGGAGTTTTGATGATTGTGTTGAGGATCTTGGACGGTTCCTTTGCGTCGCGTGTGACACGCACTCTAGGACGTCGCTTGGAAGCTTGCACGATCTCTCGGACCGCAGGCGGCAAAAGACTGAATCCCTCCTGATTTAACTCGTAAAGCTGGTCAATCTCTCTGGTGTGTTTGTAGTCAACTCGTGCTCGGGAGGGATTGCTGGCAGACTTTTGCACCTGGTTGTTGAGATAGCCGTTCATCCTCTTATGTTGCTCCATAGTCATAGTGCTTTCAAACTTCGTCCTATCGGTGGCATAACCGGGGTTGATGACGGTCTCGGTCATATGTACGCCCTGAATACGCATCCCAGTATCTCGCTCTTTCATTTGTCCCCAGCGAGCTTCAACTTCAATCTGGGTGCCCTCTGATTCAGAAATGGCTTTGCGGACCAGGGGATTATCGATAACCCCAGTCCATATGAAGTCACACACTTTGCGCGAAACTTCGTCGTAGACCTCGGCATCATCAGACACGGGACGGGCGTAGCCAGTCAGGTCGTTTGAGATTGGTGGTTTTGGACCACTGCCATTGGATGCCAGAGCAGAGTTATGGGCAGCGGGAGGATGAGGTCGAGCCTGAGGAGGTGCCAGAGGCTGTTGCGGCGTGGCAGGCTGCGGACGGAGCTTCTGTAGTTTATCTTGATATTGGTTGAAAGTATTCCCATCAGAGTCGGTTTCGTCCTCGCGGAAGGCCCAGATGGGTTTAGGGTCATGTCGTTTGCGTTTCCCAGTCATCACTTTACTGCTCGATGAGGGAGGGCGAGTCGGAAGAGTGACAGAAGGGGTGATAGGGCTGGACGCGACGCCGTTATGGGTGCCAGAAGACGACCGGCGAAGGAGCCCCTCTGGCTGAGGGTTGACAAGGGCGGCAATGTCCATGTTGGCGCGATCTGAGGAGGGTTGGTGCGCGCTATTGATGTGCCTTGGTTTCTTTGATGCTTCAAAGGGCGCACAGACCTCGGCCTTGCGCTTGCCAAGACGAGCGGAAGGTGGTGGGACAAGTTCCGAAATCATCTTGTAGGCTTGTGATGATTGCTGGTGCTGTTGGTGGATTTCGGGTAAACCTCGGAGATAGTTTAGATCACGTGATCCGTTCTGGGGAAAATGGCTTCGCTCAAAAGTTGGTGTAAGAGTGTTGGAGAGAATCGTCGAAGGAGGGGGGTTCGATGGGCTTTTAAAGAAGAGCTGTACCGAGGGCGTGGCTCCAGAGGTGACTCAAAGGCTTAGTGAGTCTGGAGATTTTATGGATTTGTGTACCATTGATCGCATGCGTGGACTTGGGCTTGACTTCTCCAGACGTACAGGGTTGATGTGGATTGGTCGCCATTTCTATCTGCAAAAGACTTCAGGTGGGCGGATATGCGAAACATATCAGATTACTTATTGTGCTGAGCCAATCATACAACAGTCATCACCGCAAAAGGATATCTGTACATAATAGTTCCCAACTCATAGCCGTGATAGGCATTGGGTTTGATCTGATATGCTGCCGTCTATCGAAGATTTACTAGTGTAACCTCAGTTGCTCATTCTTGTGTCCCAATATAGAAGTCGCTCACGCCGAAGACGCCCATCGCGTCCCATCATTTTTCGTCAGACCATAGATCTAACTTCTATTACATGTTATGTTTGTGGCGCTCAAGCACCCTGCTCCAGTCCAAGGTCCTCCGTTGCCGGTACGATACGAAGGGTGTTGGTGTGACCCATGCCACCCCTCCAGCCTTGCACGCAGACAACGGTGTCGCCCTTGCTGAGCACACCCAGCTTGATAGCGTTCATGATACCCCACTTCAGACGGCGGTCGACGTCCTCTTGCCATGGCGCATTGTTGAAGTCGGGCTTGGCCTCGGGGAAATAGAATGGGTAAACACCGCGGTACAGGTGAGAATACTACTTTTGTTAGCACAGTAAATGTTGTCAGATTAATACTGGACCTACCCTTGAAGCCATGGCGTTACGGGACACCATGATGATGGGGCATACTGGACGGTACTTGGACACAAGGCGGGCAGTGGTACCGCTGGATATGATTAGCTTGAATTTCTTCACCTGAACAAACTGATCCTCTTACCTAGTGGTCAAGACCAGGATGGCACCGGCATTTTGTTCGAGGGATGCGCTGACGGCTGCCATGGCGCAAGTCTCGGTGGTTGGGCACGGCACAGGAGCCAACTTCCTCAGCTCGTCGAAAGCGTTCACATAGGGAATGGCAACCTCAGCAAGCAGGCAAGTCTCGTGCATCATGGTAACAGCCTCGGTGGGATAGTTACCCTTGGCAGTTTCTCCAGACAACATGACGCAGTCAGCGCCGTCAAGAACAGCGTTTCCGACGTCGCTGACTTCAGCACGAGTCGGGCGGGGGTTGTAGGTCATAGACTCCAGCATCTGCGTAGCACAGATGGCAGGCTTGCCGGCAATGTTGCACTTGGTGATCATCATCTTCTGGGCGATGAAGACCTGGCTTGGGGGAATCTCGATACCCAAGTCACCACGGGCAACCATGACACCGTCTGTCTCCTTGAGAATGTCATCAAAGTTGTTCACACCCTGCTGGTTCTCGATCTTGGCAATGATCTGAATGTCCTTGCCCTCCTCACCTAGGACCTCACGGATGGCGGTAATATCGCTGCCTTGGCGAATGAAGGAAGCAAAGATCATGTCGACCTTGTTCTTGACACCAAATCGGAGGTCGTTCTTGTCCTTTTCAGACAGAGGGGGGAGGTCGACGTCGGTCTTGGGCAGGTTGACACCCTTCTTGGAGGAAATCTTGCCGTTGTTGACGCACTTGCACTTGAGGGTCTTGCTGTCGGTAACCTCCAAAACCTCAAAGGACAAAACACCGTCGTCGACGTAGATGGTCCGGCCGGGCTGAATCACCTTGGTGATGTTTGCGTAGTCGACGTACCTGAAGTCACAGTTAGAGGTGGAAGCACCCAACAACATTCAAAGTGTACACACATGTTCTTGTTGTCGCTCTTGGTGGCATAGGCCTCGTCGGTGGTGATGTTCAGGATATCGCCAGCACTGATGGGAATATCTGCGTCGTCAACCGTGTTACCGGTGCGGATCTCAGGGCCCTTGGTGTCAAGAGCAATGGCGAGCGGCCTGCCGGCCTGGGTGGCTTCGGCCTCACGGGCATTGTCGATAACGGACTGGTGGTACTCGTAGGAACCGTGAGAAAAGTTCATGCGCACGACATTGAGGCCGGATTTGCGGAGGGCGTTGATCTTCTCTGCGGAGTTTGTCTTGGGACCAATGGTGCCGATAATGGAGGTCCTTCGGTATCTGGGTGAGGCAGGTCAGCAAAATGCGAGCAGGGGTGTTTCAGCATGCCCTCGACAGCAAAATAAATGTTGGCGGCGAGGGTCGCACGTACTCCTTAGCAGGGTGGTATTCAGTGTTCAGCTGCGAGAGCCATTCGATTCTGGTCCTGCCAGCATTGAGGTGGTCGAGAGCGTTGGCCATGGCAGCGGTGTGTTGTTGAGGTCTATCGAGGTCGGATGGCGGGGTGCGGTCGGTGGGGGTTTGAGGGAAGGAGAAAGCTATATAGTAAGATTGCCTACTAAGTAGTCGCTCAACACTGCCTAGCCCATTATTGATTGGAGTGTCGACTCAACCACCAAATTTTCAGCCTTTGCACACATGCCCGGGTTATGTAACCAGATTACCATCTGGGTGCGTCGGATTCGGCGGGCGTGCCCACATTGCCTTGGCTCGCGACGCTGCGATAAAGAATAGAGGGCGTCTGAATCGCGGGATGCGTCGTCACCTTCGCGGAGTGTGCTGGATTTGTGGGCGCGGGCGCGGGAGCAGAAACCTCGACCGCCGCGCGACGTGGGTGGGCGAGAAGGGTGGGTGGGTGGATGAATGGCCAGACAGATAACAGGGCCTTGGGCATCATGAGGGGAGGCGACATGACCCGCGACCCGGCGCTGTGCAGCACATCATCACGATGCGAATGCGGGTGGTGCAGATGATAGGTTTTATATGTCTGCACATACACGATACAAGGACCGAGCATGTGGTTGGCGCTCCCTCTCCAGCACCCGAGGTTGGCACAAGGGATAGCCTGATGATGGTCCTGTTCCTGCCGATGGCCTTTTGGCCCTGCTCGACAAAGCTCCGTTGCCCCATTCTGCTTTGATCCATCGTCCATCACGCATGCCTGCCATCTCCATGACTAAGCGGCCTCCTCCGAACACTCAAACGCCCACCACTTTACCTCTTCACGTGCCTCGGAAGTGCCCAGTTCAAACTTGTTCCAAGCATCACTTATTCTTCCCTCAGCAAGTGAACCCACGCCCTTGACCTGCTACCACTACAGGATCCGCGTCGATCGAAACTTCGACACTCAGTTCCCTCACACCACAGAGTAACCCACCACACCGCCAACATGGTTGTACGTCACCCGCTCTATCCCATCCATCCTCTCCAACCCAAGACCATCGCAATAGCTTACCACCACCTTCTTCTGTTCTAGCTTGGAAAGGTCGCTCACTATGCATTCGATGCCGTATTAAGTGCGCATGCCCGCCCATGTTTCCAGTCGACTTCCCCCTCACTAACCTGCGCTTCCTAGTATCCGCCTTCCTCGCCGGCGTCCGACGCTCCACCGGTCTCACGTACGCTCCCCCATACGATGGAGTCGCAAGATACAGCTAACGAGTTCCTCGCCCGCTGACAGCCCTAGTGTCAACTCGGAGCGTTTGACCGAAGCCCCCAGCGCCAAGAAGTGGATCGATAACTACCTGTGGGTTGGAGAGGTCTTGATGGACCAGAGTGTGGCTGCCTTTTCAAGTTCGCCGTATTTTGAGAGGAAGCGCTGAGCCGCTCCGAAAGCAGATGCGTGTACCGGCGTGACAAACTCGATGTAAAGGATCAAAAGTCAACGTCTTCTCGATGCGAATCGACCGTAGAATTCACGATGGCACGAATGAGATGCGCACAAGGAAAATGGACCAGCAGAGATCGATGGACAGGCTCCTTTGGGGGAACAGCTTTGCCGGTGTATGGACGGCGTGATGCAAGCTATAACGGCGTTTTGGGTTCAGGATTGCACAGTTATACCACTCTCAATTCATTCATGTTATCATCAGAATTGAGCTGCTCCCTTTTCACAAGTCAATGGATACTTATCCTCGTTACATCAACACTGTTTCTAATTCCTATGCTACCCGGGGATCCCTGAATCCGGCGGATCATTCCGTGAGGGAAGATCCGCCGTCATCCGCGTTTCCTGAACCTGAATCCGGTTTCCTCCTCGTCACTGTCATCGTCCTTGACGGTCATTTTACTTCTCTTGAAAGTAGGCTGTCCCGCTGCAATACTAACAGGGCCTCGCTTTCTTCCCCTCTGCGTCTGGGTTTGATCGAGCTGCGTCTCGGCAACTCTGCCACTACCTCGACTAGGCGCCGGCGGTTCCTCATTTTCCGATCCGCTGTCTTCCACATAAATTACATCTGAATACTTTGTACCCTTCGTATCCCGTTTCCTGCGCGTGAACCCAGCCTCAGGCTCCGAGTCGCTCTCCTCCACTCGGACAACGCCAGAATTACGCATGCTATGATCACCCTGTGTCCGAGTAAAGCTGGATCTGGCATCATCCAAATTAAGAACGGCGCCTCCAAAGACTTTCTTCTGGGACACTTCCTGGAATGAAACGAGCACTTTCTGAGACTGCGGTCCACGGTCAACGCCCCGGCGCCTGAACTTCTTGAAGTTTTTCCGGCCATTCCATGCAGGATCCCAGCGGTCACTCCGTAGTTGGTTGAGAACACTAGGTCTGTCTTCCGGAACTCTCACGGTCATCTCTTTAAGTTGTATCTTCCCTCTAATCTCTGAAATATCTACGCCTTCGAGCGCCTCTGCCAAACTCTCCTCCTGTGCTCTGCGTTTTTCCTCGTCCTCTATGACGCGCTTACGTGTCTCTTCCCTTATATTGATATCCTTGTCAGCCTTTTTCTTACTTTTCTGCATTTTTTCTACAAGGTCTACGGCTTTGCTCTTGGTTGTCGTTGTTCGGGAAGGCTGAACATTTTCCGGCTCGACTGATGTCGCGGTGCCGCGTGTAGCTTCTCGTCGCCGCTTCAAGGCTGCGGCAGCTGGAAAGCGTTGCTCTGTCTGCTCAGCTCGCTCGACCGTGTTCGTTACATTTTGTGACCTGGCAGAGCGACGTGGTTGACTCACCGCCTGCGATGCAGGTGCAGAAGGAGGCGAGGGTTCCTGTACGGGAAGAGATTCTCGGATGTCTTCCATGGCGGTGTCATCGGTCTTGCGCACTTTTCTAGGCCCTTCGAATCCATCGTCGAATCCACTGAATTTGCTCGTTAGGTTTCGTCGGAATGGACGTTTCCGAGAAATTGGCTTGACTTGCTCTTCTGGCGTCGAACTAGCTTCATTGTTAGGCGATGGGACAGTCGGCTGCGAGCGAGTTGCGACGGGATTTTGCTGAGGAGGCTGGGTTTGTGTAGATGGCGGCTCTACACTGGGTTCAACGTCTACGGCTTCCATTGGCGGGCGCTGCAGCTGGGAACGATCTTTAGCTATGATAGCATCGAGAAACTCGTTTTGTTGGATGGATCGTTGAGCAAGTAACTGGTCAACCTTGAGTATGAAGCTTATTGCCCATTCGCTGTACTCATCGGGGTACGCAGAGGGACAAATCGTAATGACTGGCAAGGCAGCGGTGGTTGCTCTGCTTTTTTTCCGGGCCAAAACATTGTTCACATATTCCACATACTCTGCGGCCGTGGTTTCACCAAGTCGTAATTCATAGAAAAGCGCTTTGCCTCCCGCGCCTGCAATGACCTGGTGCAAATTGGCATACTGGTTCTCCTCAACGAAGACGAAAGTAAGTCCGGAGAATAGCTCGAATCGAGCCGTGTCGGGTTCTAGCATCTGTTCTGGACGCGCTACTGGTTCAGCGCCCGCAGGGGGGATGTACTCTTTCTCTTTCGGCCACCAGGTATCGAAATCTTCCTCGAGATGCGAGGGAACATAAGCACCGTTGACGTCCACTGAGCTTGCGGCGGCTTCGAGTACCATATCGAGATATTCCATCGTCACAATGGGCGTGCCTGACACAAGTGCCTGTAGTACCTTTGGGAGATTCCGTTTCTGTGACACGACGTGGGTAGTTCTCTCGTATACAAACTCGGATGATGTCTTGATATCGATAGCGTGAAGTTGAGCACAGCGCATATCCTTGGTGGCATCGTTTTTCTTCTCCTTGGCTGCAAACGTGAATACGATATCCTGCCACATGATTTTGAACGGCGGGTAGCTGTTTGATAGTTTGATGATATGTTCCTTGCCAGTGAGAGTAGTCTTGTCGTAAGCAATGGTACCATCACTCTCCTTTCTGCTTTTGTGCATGTTGTTGTCAATGGTAGTCCCTTGACGACAGCTTAGATCCGTTATATCGACTTGAGACCTCTTGTGCAGATGGACACCGTCTCCAGGAGCGACTTCGCCGACTTCAATCATCATGTGCTTTCGCGACACGTTTTTGTTGTCGATGAAAACGTTTTTGCCTTCGGGATGACCAGCATCGCTATGTTTGGTCCGCCCGAAAAGTTGCTGTGAGCCTGGTCTCAGCCATATGCGTTTCCCTCCAAACAGGCTCTCGTGCTCGAGGAACCACATGGTGCTGGGGGTTCGACAGCGTTATCGAACGATGTCTAATGTGTCGCCACGGAGTGCAACGAAGTTCCTCAATGGTGCCAGTCCAGGTACTTTGCAGGAGGAAACCTCCTGGACATGGCCACCACTTTTCGCGTGAGCTGGCGTTGCTGGCAGGCAGCAAGAGGTGCAGGGGTCCGTACCTGCCCCGGATGACGCGCCATCACCTGCCGTGTGAACTAGCGCGTTTGAATGTTGCCAACCTCAAAGAGAGCACTGTCTCACCTAACTCGTACGTCTGCCCAACTCTAATTTGATACACGCACATATGCCGAACAAGCTGCGCTCACCGTGGCATCCAGAAAGCCTGCTACGTTGCAGATGACATCTTATTTTCCTCAAAGTCTGTTGTTGAATGCCGAAACGTACCATGTGCATCCAGCCTATCGGCTTCGCTAGATTACTATCTATCAACTCCACGTACCATCGCCCTATCACTAATCCAGTACCCTTGAATTGCAGCATCATGAAGGCAACCGGGCTTTTCGAAGATTTCCTTTACCGCTCTGTCCCACTCACTTGTAGTAGAGGCACCGTCTCTTTGGACATATAAAAGTTCGGAAAGAAACTACCTACTACACCATACTATATGCATTACCATCATGACTTCCCACACGCAGGCCTCCCAGTCCAAACTGATGGGGATTTCCCTAAAACTCAATGTGTTCGCCATACTCGTCTTCTTCAGCGTGCGGTCTTACATTGATCCACAACAGGCCAACCACCTCCTACTCGCCCTGACAATTATTGCCTTCGTTGTCATGATGGCCGACCTCTTGATCGCACAATGCGCAATCAATCGTTACCGGCAGCGCCAGGGACAGAAACAACAATACGTTACGCAAGCCGCCAGTTCTGGAGATGCGAGAGGACGAGGAAACGAGGCCCCAGAAATACAACAGTTCGATTCTATTGAGCAATATCTACGACATCAACGCACCACACGAAAGACGTCTGTTCAACGTTCGGAAAAATCTATAAATACATTTTTGGGGGAACTGCATTCTATCTAGATGGGGTCAGACAAACATTTCAAATGCAGCAGCGCTATGTCTGCAAGGACATTGAATGTATCTAGTTAATATTTGCCCGCACACAAGTTCTTTGCGGAGCAAGTTTTGCCTGAGGGATCCCAGCTCTCGAGACTTTGGTCAATTGAAATGAAGGGGGAAAAGAACGAGGATGCGCCCTAGGGCACTGCGTGAGTCCCATAGCGCGATGACCCCTTTATCCCAGTGCAGTCTACGCTATTCTGGTGTCCCGACTTAGCGTATGCTACGCCGAAGGAAGGCATGCGATTGCGTCAACATGGAACTTTTGAACTTTCCAAATCAAAACATTACCGAAATCCATCCAGCGACGACACGTAAGTTCGGATAATCTCTCAAATGCTTAACATAATCGATCTCTTGGGAAAAGGATGCATGATAATTGTAGCGATCTCAGGGTCCGCCTCTGCACGATCTTTGAAATGAGAAAGGGTTCAGACAGCTCTGATTGGTTGCTTAGGCACGTCGCATGGGTAGTGCATTTTTAAATTTCCCCGATGTCAACAAACAACCATCCATCGTCAGTCGTACACCATTGTCGTCTGCCAGCATTGATGGTCAAGCCGCAAGAGCTACTGTACTTCTAGTATCTCTCTTCAACATCTGAGGGACTGCATACGCCTTGCTCTGGTCCAGACGAGGCGCACGAACCAGCATCTTTGCGATCCCCTGAGGTGCAACTCGCCACAACCACAGTTATGTCTGAACGTATGACCCGAAGCAGGACGGGTAAAACCCCAAGGTAAATGATTTCCTTCTGACTTTGATCCATCTCATCACGTTATCGCGATGCTAATCCATGCAAAACAGCAAGCCCTCCAATCCTGGCTTCGTCGAGACCCCCGGTCGCCGCAAATACTCGCGCAAAAGCGTCATTCCGGATGACGACGCGCTGGAGTCGACACCTGTGCCAGAACCAACGAGGGGTGCCATTGCCTTCGACCTGAAGCAAGAGAACGGACCCGCCAAGGCCAACGGACACTCCAATGGCTTGACCAATGGTCACACGAACGGGGATGCAAATGGCAGCGCCAAAACACGCGACAGGAAAATTTCCGTCTCCAAGCATGAGAATTGGGGTCCCCGGGATATCTCTGGCGAGAGGGAGTTCGGTGGCTCATTTGGTATGAGCGCCATGATGATCGGCTTCCCCGCGCTCATGTACTACATGTGGATCGGTTCGTATTTCTATGACGGCAAATTCCCAACACCCACCGATGGCCAAACGTACGGAGAGTTCTTTCAGCACATGTGGAACTTGGTCAAGACGGAAGCATATCCCAATGCACGCGCTTGGAAAATCTACTGGGTCTTTGGTCTCACCCAGATGGCATTCTACATGCTCCTCCCTGGTGTCTACCGCAAAGGCAAGCCTCTCCCTAACCTGGGTATGAAGCAGCTGGACTATTACTGCTCAGCCATGTGGTCCTTCTACACCAGCATCGTCATTGGGGTTGTTCTCCACGTTACCGGTATCTTTAAACTCTATACCTTTGTCGAGCAGTTTGGACATATTATGAGCGTTGCCATCATCTCAGGCTTCCTCTGCTCCGCAATCGCATACGTCTCCGCGATTGTGCGCGGGAAGGCTATTAGAATGACGGGCTGGCCAATCTACGACTTTTTCTTGGGCGCTGAACTCAACCCGAGGTTGTTTGGCATTCTGGATTTCAAGATGTTCCTCGAGGTTCGCATTCCCTGGTTCATCATGTTTTTCCTTACCCTGGGTACGTGCTTCAAGCAATACGAAGAGTATGGCTACGTCTCCATCGAAGCACTCTTCGTCCTTTTTGCTCACTGGAGCTACGCCAATGCATGCGCTAAGGGTGAACACCTCATCATCACTACCTGGGACATGTATTACGAGAAGCTCGGCTTCATGCTCATCTTCTGGAACATGGCAGGTGTACCGCTCTCCTACTGCCACTGCACCCTCTACATTGCCAACCACCACCCTTCCGAGTACCAGTGGCCTGTGTGGGTTCCTATACTCCTCACCGTTGGCTACATGATTTCCTACTACATTTGGGACACCACCAACTCCCAAAAGAACCAATTCCGTCTGGAAGAGCGTGGTGATCCTGTGGCAGAGCGCACTACCTTCCCTTACTTCCGCTACGGTCGCATTGCCAACCCTCGCACCATCCAGACAAAGCAAGGCAACAAGATTCTCGCGGATGGCTGGTACGGCAAGGCTCGCAAAATCCACTACACCTGCGATGTGTACTTTGCTGTTACATGGGGTTTGATCACTGGCTTCAAGAGTCCGTTCCCATGGTTCTACTCGGTATTCTTTGTGGGCATGATCATCCACAGGGCTAAGAGAGATATCGAAAAGTGCAGGAAGAACTACGGCGAGGCGTGGACAGAGTATGAGAAGTTGGTACCTTACCTCTTTATTCCGGTTAGTCGATCCCCTTATGAACCATGCACATGGTTTTCATTTCCTTGAAATCGCGATGAACGCTAACAATCGATTAGGGTGTCTTCTGATCTCATGATCAATTTGCCTCACTGTTCAATCTAGGTGACTGCGGCCCTTAAAAGCACATCAAATCTTTCACTATGGTTCCAGAGTTCATTCTCCTCTGATAGCCATCTTATTATTCGGGCTAGTTCTGATTCTTGTACCTCCTTTCTGTCATACTTACATGTATCTGTGATCTTTAGCCTCTGGGCACTGTTATTCTTACCATATTTGTCTCGTCCATTTCTCTTTTCTTTTGCCTAATACTAGTTCATGTGTTGCTACGCTGTTCCGAGGGTCCCATAATTCAAGACGTAATTCATAAAGTAATAATGTTATGAGTATATACGACCCTGCTTTTATGAAATGTGTTATCTGGTGTGAAATGTATGTCTTGCAGCCCTGCTCTTGCCCATTTGAAGAATGAGTACGTTGTATCCAAACTATAGTAGTCATTCTTGCTTGCAGCAAAATCTCTCATTTCTCGCACGATCCTGCAAACCCATCATCTTTTACGCTGTTCTTACTTGTGGAACGTTCAGGTATTCAAGAGGGTAGCTGCAGTCTTGGAGTTCAATGATCATCAGACCAAGCTTATTATATTGTTGTTATCATAGTACGATATAACATCTCTACGTGTTCTGTTCATCTAGCACAATAATCAAATTGATGACAGATACAGCGTATCTAAGCACACTATTTCAAGCTCTTCAAGGCAAGATATCCAGGTCTTCATTTGTGCCTAGTGTTCTATGTCTCCTACAATGCTATTATCTCTAGGGTATTCAAGAGTGTGAGACTTATCACTATGCTAGAAGTGCGAAGTGCTGTAGCTAAGAGCATGTACTGTCTTGTTGCTGTGACGATACACTGTCTTGTCTTGCAGGTGGTTATCATTGTATCAAGCACCGATTTTCAGAGTAGGGTAAGGGTTTGCAGCTGTACTATTGTGAGCTGTTTGCAGGAGAGCTTATCGTTCTTTTTATAGACGTAGTGGCTTGGAACTCTTTATGATGTTGCTGTATGTAAGGTGTGCGAATGCACAGGACACACTGTTGCTGCATAACCACAGTTTGCTCACAGTCATCCATCACTGGACCTCTTCATCTGTAACATAATATTACAATTTCATATATACTACAGAAAGGAAATCTATTTGCTAAGTCTGGGTATCAAGTTGATAGAGCCATAAAACTCCTCATCCCCTCATCCACCCCCAACCACTTCCCCAACCCAAGGGTATATTAGCCTCCTCATCAGCGCTGTGATGCAGCTTCTGCCTCTTGCAGGCGTATCCTAAACGCAGTTCATCAGCAGAGCTCAGAGTCACAAAGCCAGAGGAAGTATACATACCCTTACGAGGGGAAGTGGGTTTGGAGACCATGCTGGCGGCAGCGGGGACGGACTCCACATCCGAGCTCTCATCGTCCGCCTCATCGGCCTTCTCCTGTCGGCATTTCTTCAGCAGCATCTTCTTATCCAGCTGCGCCCTCTGCTTCTCCCGCTGCTCCCGCTTCTTCTGTCGCAGCAACTCCTTCTTCTTCTCCTGCTGCTGCTCTCGCAGCTCCCGCTGCCGCTGCTGCTTCTCGCGCTGCTGTTCCTGCGCCAGCGCGTTCCAGAGGAGTTCGTTCATCTCCTCTCGCTCCTGCTGGATCTGTGCCTCGTGGGCTTTCACCATCTCCTCTTCGCGGGTGATGCTGGCCAAGGCATCTTTGATCCGGTCGGCCTCCATCTTCTCCATCTGCGCGGCGAGGCAAGTCAGGCGGTTGCCCCATTCTCGCACCGTGGACGACACGGACGTAATGATGAAAGGGGTGTCCTCATTTGACGATAGAGCCCATGCCATCTTGTCTGCGGCGTCCGAGATATCTTCGCTCAGAGCCTTGACGCCCTCGGTGGGATTATCGTCTGACGTTAAAGTTAGTGTAGCTCAGACAGACATGCTGTGAGAAGATATACGCACATCTGGAGGCTGTCCCAGCGAATTCGTCCAGATCATACTGGGCGACGGGGAACCTGACGGGCTGCTCTTTCTTCTTGGGCCCGGTATCTGGGAACAGAAAGCGTGTAGAAGACGAGGGGGCGGAAGACATCTTTTGGACGGATGTTGGGGGTTTGAGTGGAATTCGGTAGTTGTGTGTAGTTCGGAAAGCAGAGTTGCAATCAGGATGTGTTGGAAGTGTTGGGTTGTAGGAAAGAGAGGCGCAGAAACTAGTCGTGGGTGGGATAATTAAAGTGTCTGCGGAAGTTACAAGACCTGAATGGAGAAATAGAGGTGACTGTCTCTGTGGGGAATGTACAATAATCAGAGAACAGAGACGGGGCGAGCAAATGGTGAATGTGAATGCCAAGAGAAATGCGGTTTGTACAATTGATAACTCCAATCATATGAAGGCCGACACGATTCAAATAGTAAGCATGCCATTGGCTAAAGTAACAGAATGGGTTTTCTCTCATCTCTTTTCTTGTCTTACACCTTTCTTCTAGTTGATGCCGGACACGAAGTCGCATCATAAAAGGCTCAGTAGAGTGATATCTGCACATCTGGACACTTTTGACGTTTTCCCACTCGGGTAATACTATTTTTTGTATTGGCGATATATATCTCTTCCCTGCGTTTCCAGGTCGACTCAGGATCTTCCCCTCGATGTCCAGTTCAAGAATGAACCCTATGTATACATTGTTTTCGTATCGTGTCGTGCTATTGTACAGTCTGCCAAGCAGAGTATCCCGCCTGGGCTCCACTGGCGCATCGTCTAGTTCTTCTCGTCGCAAGAGTTGCGTGGGAATTGGTATTGACGGGGAAGGATGAGGGGTCGCCTATATGCTTTCGCGAAAGCCTCGGTGGCCATGGGAGAGCTCTCAGTACGGATGGTGCTTCCGATGCCCATGAAAAAACTGGAATACTTTTGTGAGCGAAGAACGATAGGTCGTATATGTCGACTCACCCAAAAGTTGCCGCCGAGCCCATCATGTATTGTCCGAGGGTGCGCAGCATTCCATTCGGGCCTGGGCCATAGCGCTTGTCGAAAGTCAGTTCATTGCTCGTCACGGTACAGCCAGTGGAGATTCATGGTATATTTGCGCACACACAGTTGCGTGCTTTGGGCCGTTCAGAAGTAACGTACCATGATGTTCGTGAACCCTGAATAAATTTATTGGTTGTTGGTCCAAGTATATATAACAAGCAGAGACGTACCGAATATAAAACCAATGATCAATCCAACCTGGACCACGTCATTAAGCAGTGCAAAGGTGATGGCGAAACGGGCTGGCATTTACCGATCCACCCATCATCCCACCCATCTTCACTGTTGCTATGGGTAAGCAAATGTTTGTTGTGGCGCGCAAGCAACTATGACCTACACTTGTCAAAAGTAGAAGGGGCTTGCCGGCCTTGCGGCATTGAAGCAACGGGGACAGGCATGATGTGGTATGCGTCTGCTCTCGGTCTTAGATGTGAGGCGAGATGGAGGAAACACAGTGCGTTGGATGTTGCTGCTGGCGGGAGAAAGCTCTCGGCCCACACCACCACTCGCGGCGCCGACGTATGCAGAGTGCCGTTTAGGTAAGAATTCGCCAAGCCCAAATCATGTGAGCTGGACTCAATCACCAACATCGCAATCTTTCCCAGACGATTGTGAGGAATGCTAGGGACGGGAGAAACAAGCAAGCAATTCCTGCAGCGCCAGACTACCTGGGTAACGGTATTCGGACAATTTGTGCTTCGCATATGTACACATTCATTTAATCCCGACGAGCGCTGGGCTCCAGACTGCAGCAACGTCTCACGTGCAGCAGCCAAGATTCCCCCGGAGTCGTCGTTGGACCTCCTCAAACCTCAACTTCCCGTTGTAGCCCATCGTCCATCGCCGCCCATCCCCAGACGCATGCAGCTCATCGCAGGTTCTGCACTTCTATCGCCTGTGTTTGTCTAGGCTTTGATACTGCCACCGCCCTCGCCCTCGCCCGCCTTCGAAAAAAGGGTCTGACGTCGTGGCCTCCTCCCCACGAAACGCACACGACAGCCATCCGCGGCGCGACGGTTTGCGACCTCCCGTCACTCTGATCTCTTCTCCCGACTGCACCGCTGCTTTGCATCCTGGCCAGCGTATAAGTGACAGCCCGTGTTGCTGTTGCTCGGGTTACTTTGGTTGCTGCTCGCACTCCCTTGTTGTTGGCACGCTTCAATAGCGCTAGGGCGACGGCCAGGGAGTCGATCGCCGAAAAGAGACAAGAGAGTGACGGAGCTTTCCACCACCCACTACTGACCCTGCGGCAGTCACGTCGCACCTTCACTTCCATGACTGCTGTAGCTCCCCCCGTGGATTTTCAGAACAGATGGACGGGTAACGCTACCAACGGCACGACCGACGAGTTCCGCCCCATGTTCATGCCCCGGAAAAGCGCCCAGCGATCCAACTCGTCGTCTTCCTTGTCTTCGCAAGCCTCTTCAACATCCACAATCTCACCCACTTCGTCACAAACAAACGGAGCCGCGACTCAGCTGAGCCCCGGCGAAAATTCTACTTGGGCTGCACGTAAGAAAGCGCCCAGAGGGTTATGGCCGGCGTCCAAAACTGAACCCGTCTCCGGCATCATTACCAACGCTCGTCCCCAATCCATTGCTTCTGCAAGCTCAGGGCCCACGGCCACTTCGGCGATGACTGCATTGCACTCGCCTGCACCCATGGTGCCCTCCCAGCACAATGGCGCGGTTCAGGCACAGCAGAATGGCGCACCGCGCACGCAACAACAACCGCAAGAGCCCCCGGCCATCCTACACCTGATACCGATGAATGGTACTTTTGACAGGAAACAAATCACCGTTCCTTTCTTCCCGGACGTGCTCCGCATCGGCAGGCAGACGAACAATAAAACCATCCCTACTCCGCTGAACGGCTATTTCGATTCCAAGGTTTTGTCAAGGTCGCATGCCGAGGTATGGGCGGATAGGAATGGAAAGGTCTGGATACGGGATGTGAAGTCGTCAAACGGTACATTCGTCAACGGGCAGCGACTATCGCAAGAGAACCGCGATTCAGACCCCCATGAACTGCGTGAGCAAGACGTTCTGGAACTTGGCATCGATATTGTTAGCGAAGATCAGAAAACCGTTGTTCATCACAAAGTGGCCGCACGAGTTGAACACGCTGGCATCTATGCAAACGCCGGAAACAACATGATGGAGCTCAACTTCGGTGAACTTGATGGGTCTCAGCTGACAAATTATGCCGGCTCCAATGGCCAACAGCAGTTGGCTCAAATGCGTGGCCGAACACCAAGTCAAGGATCTATGAACGGCCAGCGATTACAGGGGCCCGGAGGTGCAATGGCGAACAATGGGGTCAGCATGCAACAGCCTAGGCATCCTAACTTCTGGTTGCAGCCTGTCACCATGGAGCAGGTGGTGAAAAAACTCAACGTAAGTTTCAAAAGCAGTGCAACTGTATTTCCCCCACTCTTTCTTGCCCAAGCACTATTCCAGAGGATGAAATCGCGTGCCCCTCGTTCTTTTGTCAATATTCTTCGGCGCTAATGTTTATAGGCTGAGATGAAAGCTGCGAGACAACAATCCCAAGACCTCAAGCAGACCCACTCTTACATCAATGCTATTCTGGCTACGGAACCCAGCAAAGACCAAACAAAGCCTGCCATAAATCCGGTCAAGATCTCGCCTATAAAAGATATCAATCTGAAGGCCAGATTCTCCGATCCCCCAGCACCACCACCGCAGCAACCTTTGCCCGAGAAGCCAGACGCCTATTCGTCTCTTAGGAGAGCGGATACCGAACGCCCTAAAATCAACGGCTCGCCTGTGCGTCCAGACGCCCAGATGTCCAGCCTTACCGAAGCCTTGCATAATGCCAAAAAGGAAATGGAGTCTCAAAGCATCCGGCTGCGAAACCTGGAGAATCTGCTGAACGAAGAGCGCCGAGCCAGGGAAGATGCCGAGGAACGAGCTAATCGTCTTGAACGCGAGCATGCGTCTATAGAACCGGAAGTGCCTAATGAAGAGGCCCGTGTACCCGAGGCCGCTGCCGAGTCGGAAGACAGCGAAGCTGAGACCGTCATTGCTAATGGGTCAGCATCTCCTATTGAGGCCGACACTGCTACCACTCGACTCCAACAGAAGCTCGATGTCATGATGTCGGAAATGAGTGAACTAAGATCACAGATGGAGAAGTACCGCGAGCGCGCGGAAAGTGCAGAAGCTGACCGTAAAAGTCTGGCTGAAATGATTGAAAATATTCGGCTTGACAATGCAAAGACAAGCATCAAACGCAGAAGCCGGGGAGGTGGTGAGCCGAATCAGAATGATGCTCCAGCACCCGAGGCTCAAGACAACGAGGCAGAAGAGTCGGATGAGGGCGAAATAGTGATCATCAATGAAGATTTAGGGGACGACAATACGCAGACGTTAATACGGAGGGCGGTCCAGAATGGTCGACCAGTCGGAGAGACTGAAGAGCTGGATGTTAAAGCTCCCAGTGTCCTTACTACTCGTCCGAATCGCAATGAGCTCGCACTAGCTCATGGGGCTCCTGCAGTTTCTATCTTGACAGTTGTCGCTCTCGGCGTAGCTGTCATGGCCTGGCTTAACAATTACCCGAAAGTGGATCGGTGATCTGGAGTATGGTGCTAGAGTACCGTAACCGTATCACAGCGTAGCCGTCACCAACGTCGAAACAGACGCAATGCTTCTCTCGCACCACTACAACATGTGGATCAGGCGCCTCTGCAGGTTCGGGCGGCCCTGCATTCCCAGGCTTTGAGCTTGAGGAGAGAATATCTTATACATGCTAGCAAACTCCGATCTCAATATGAGCTACGAATATCCTGAACGCCTTGCTTCCTGGACGACCTGCAGCATTCTGTACACAATGATGATATCACGGACTTCGGTCATATTCAGAGCGTTGGATGGACGACCGACTCTCAAAACAGCCTATCATGATTCACATATGGTGTTCACTACGAAAGGACAACATCTACAAGTGTCCGACACTACGTACAACACAACATTTCCTTTAGCTCTGTTCGCTTCTCTACACAACCCACCATTCATTCTGGGCGTACAAAAGCGGACCGTATATGGGGTAAAGGCTTCTCCTTGCATTTTCTGGCCTGGGCGCATCCTCTAGTTTATCAGATTTTTTTCTTGGGCCTTTTTTCACTTTGTTTTGAATGGGAATTTTGTACATGGCGTCTGATCGTGCCATTTGCTGCGCCCGATCGGGACCCCTTGGATAAAGCTTTGAACTCGGGGAATGGAATTATCATTCGGAGGTGTGGCTTCTTGTCACCAAGGTCACCAAGCAGCAGACATCTCCGTTTTACATTCACTAGAATGAAGTGGCTGCGGTCACTGTTTTCCTTTGTTCCTAGACGCTCTTTTGTTCGGGTGACGGGATGGGATCGGCTATTTTCAACATTCAATTATACATATTTGACAGATTGCTGGGTGGATCTTTAGTTCGATCTCTTCATACCGCTAATTCGCGATACATTGATCTATGTTAACAACCGCATATCCTTGTATTCCAACACTCAACACCGTATGGGTGCCATGTGAATACTTCCAGCCGTTTACATCGCTGATAATGAAGGTTATTAGATCGTATAAGATGCTCAGTACGAGGCGACAATTCGTGCAGGGCAGCAGCATAAATTGTCGCTTTTTGCCAAGCATCTTATACAACTGAATAGCCTGCGTATTCAAATGTTGGGTCGATCGGACTGAAATGGAAGATGTGGCATACAAACCTATTCGACAAAGACTTCTGGCCTCTGTCTTCCAGTCTCGAAAGCCTCCACTTCCATGCTTCTAAAAACTGCGTGTTGTTTGTACGTGTTTGTCGTAAGCAAAACGTATTTGTGCACTTGGTTACCCCGTCTCTGGCATCAGTAGGTCGAAGCTGAACACGATTAGTCCACATTGCAAGCCCCCGTGAGGTTTCAAGGACGGCATGCAGTTGCGCAGAGCCAAGAGATGGTGAAGTAGGTCCACTACTGAGTGTGCCAACTCAGTGTAAGCTTATGGCTAGCACCCAGCTATACCATCCCTTCAACTTTTCCTTCTGACATATACTCGCTCGCATCCCTCCGTGTCACTTCCTCAACCCCCAATCTCTTCGCTACCTCCTCCACAAATACCTCCCCAACCTCCCTCACCCCATTGCCCACTACTCCTTCTCTCTCGAAGCTCGTAGTTCTCTTCCCCTCCAGTCCACATGCCACAATCCTATCAAACCACCAGAGATCCGTCCCTACATTCAATCCAACACCATGACTCGTGATATTCCGCCTCATATGCACCCCAACTGCTGCAATCTTATCGTCCGGCGTTGTCCAAACCCCCGTATGCTCCGTGGTCATCGCCTTGATTCCATACCGCGCACACGTCGCAATTAGCGATTTCTCCAGTACACACACATAATCCCGTGGTGTTAATCGGTGCGCCTTCAGGTCGATTATCGGGTATGCGACGAGCTGCCCTGGGCCGTGAAATGTGGTTTGCCCGCCTCGGAGAGCTTCTACGAAGTCGGCGCGGCCGCTGGCTTTAAGAAATTCTTGCTGTTTTGCGGAGACGGTGCCGATCTCTCGCCGACCACAGGTATAGACAGGGTTGAATTCAGCAGTGAGGATGTGTGGAGGTGGAGCAGTGAGAGTAGAAGGCGGTTTCGAGCGTAGGAAGCGTGTTACGAGGGATTCTTGGAGTGAGGCAGCTGTGAGGTATGGGACGGGGTTTTGGAAGTGGAGGTGGAGAAGAGATCGTGGGGTGGTCATTTCGGTGGTATTTGTCCTTGGGTGTTATCGGCTCATTGCAGTGGTGACGTTTGAGTGATTCGGAGCTTGATGTTTATCGATAAGAAAAGTTCGGAACGGAACGCGTCAAGTAACCTCAGTTCGACTGGCCATGACACATCACACCCATTGCCTCAAACCAAACTTGAACCCAGTCTGCGAATTTCCAAAACTCAAATCTGAGGCGTATAACACCACATAAATGGCTAAAAAGCGCTCCGTAGACGGCAAAGAAAAGCAGGCAAAAGCCGCAGGCGGCACGCAACCTAGCAAGACACCAAACGCACGGCAACCATCAACCAACTCCAACCAGACGAAAGAGCCTCGCCACAATCCAGAAGAAGATGCGAGGAGGAAAAAGCAGAAACTGGATAACCGTAAAGCTGCTGTTCCGCTATCAAAGGAGCAACCTCCACAAAAACCTTCGATTGCACAACAAACCGGTCATGTCCGACATTCAAAATTACCACAGCTACCTGATCGTACGTCGCCCCAGTTCTTCTTTTCACTTTCCTCACTTTGAATATTAACCATGACCTACAGACGTCTCAATTAAGAAACGACCCATTCGCCACCCCGCTCCCCCATCTCCCTTCTCATCAGCATCAAACCCCAAAACTCTCTACATCACACACTCCACACCCTTCATACCCACGCTAAAACGAGTCCGTCGCCTCTTAACTGAGATCACAAAGCGCCATAAGCAATCTGAATCCTCACAAAAACACTCCCGCTTCCGCCAACGGCACAGCAACCCAGCGCCAACACGCAGCGGACTTCTAGAAGCCAACGGCCGCTTACGACCTGCTGATGTCGAGAAGGAAATTGCGGAGGGAAGTACAGGAGGTAGAGGAGGTGTGCCTGCTATTGCAGTGGGTGAAGAGGAAGTTTTCCTGAAAGCTACTGGTAGAGCTATTGAAAGGGCGTTGCAGATTGGTGTGCATTTCCAGGGAGAGGATGATTGCAGGGTCAGGATTGAAATGGGAAGTGTGAAGGCTATTGATGATATCCAAAGACCGCGGAATGAGAAACGGACAGGGAATGACGAAGAGGAGCAGGTGGTGGAGAAGAAGAAGCAGACTGTGAAGGATGAAGATATACCTGAGACTAGGATAAGGACTTTGAGTTCTGTCACGGTGATCGTCGGGTTAAAGTGAGGTGAAGCGAAGTCTATGGAATAGCAGAGCTTTGATCAGCGATGATATGATACCCAGAGATCAAAGCATGTATTACCAAAATTCGAACAAATAGCAAACGTTCCTGCGGCTTGTAGACGATATTTATTCGATGTTACACTCAATACGCGATATGACCAAGAAATGATCACAGAATACTCGATGCTTCGAGTGCGTTGTCTGTCTACCTGAGAGTTGTAACTTTGCTAATCAGTCCATGAAAGCTGAAACCTCATACTCGGGCTCTGTGTATTGTGCTGCTGTGCTCTGAAATTTGATCAGTCAATACTCCATGTGAGTAAGTGGTTCGCCCCTTTGTGCATCGCATAAGCACGTCACCACGTCGTGGAATGACAAGTTTTAATTTTAGGTTTATTCAAAGACCCATCACATAACTTACATGTACAAAGACGTCCACTGTGATGACCCCTCATAATTCTAGAAGGTTATCTGACTTGTATCTCGTCGACATCGATTTAGATTACTGCGCTGTGCGAATCTGGGGGAATCAAAAGTGAGCTGATCTGTACACTAGTAACAATTACTGTCTAATCTATGCTTATTGTACAGCTAACATTGTAAAGCATTTTAGTCTGCTTCGAAATTCCTATGTTCATGATTGTGCACTACGATTTTGCATTCCTGTCAAGTGTGTGTACTTCGCTTTCTTCGTCACATGCGGCAAAACATAATGTGTGGACGCACGACACACAATGTACATTCGATAAGATTTTATTCTATATACATGCAGTGTGCTTTGTATTTTTATATCCAATCTGTCGGATGTTTGGGAAGTTATATGAGTAAAACAACGAACTACGTACATGAAGATGCAGTAAAACTTCTTGGGACGCTGTGTCTCTATCTAACCATCTCAACTCCAGATTCACTATAGACGCCGGTTGACTCTCCAGTTATTGGCGGATACTTTAAAATCAATCAATTAACAAGGTTTGTTGTTGCCTGTCCCAAGGCACTATACAGTTCCAGGTATTCCTTGCTAATGGGCCAGTAAAATTCGTCCCATGGGGTCAGCATCTCTCTATTAAACTCTTCCGATTGGCAGAGCGTGTAGAATTTGGTGTTCTCTGCGAAACCTTGGACAGCGCGTTTGAGAATAGCACCGACTCCATTCGGCCAGACGTTCTCGAGCCGGTCAACGATGCTGATATGCGATCTCAAGGTATCAGCCAAGTCCATCTCCTGTGTACTGGGCTCATTGAATATGTCGCATGGTCGATTACAGCCTGCTGCCCTTGCTTTCTCCAGCTTGTTAAGGTATGACCTGTGGCCAACAAGTGTTTCCCTCTCGCCGATGGACCCACCGGGCCCATCCTCGACTTCGTATCGTCCCAATACCTCTAGCACATAGCATACATCTAGCTGGTACTTTTGGCAGGGCTTTGTGACGAACTTTTTCAGAAAGGGTGTATCCTGATTCTTGAGTGAACGGAAGTCATTACCGCCTTTCGCAAATCCCACATTTTGTCTGACGAGCTGGCAAAGTCTCGTAAGCCTGAATCGATCGATATCGGATAACAATCGAGGAGCTTGGGTCCGGAATGTGGCCGGAAGGTGTTGTTTGATGTTGGGATTCGAGCGGCGGGTTTCTCTGTAGTGACTGGCTACAGCCTCTTTGATGCTCCCGAAGTCGGCGGAGAAAGTGACCGCCAAGATTTCCAACAGGTACCAAATGAGCTGATCGCTTTCGTCCGTAAATTGGGACAAAGCACGCCAATGTGCTCTTGGCGCCGCTGCATTGCCGTGTAGCGAATTGGGTTGAGGATGATGCTCTGTGGTATGTTCGGTCCTTTGCAAAATAGACTCTTTGTGATTGGTCGAGTTGTTGGCTGTGTGTTCTCCTGGTGGAGAGTCGAATTGAGACGTCATATTATCGCCAGGCTTCTCGCTTGGAGTGAGCTCAGGCAGAGAAGAGCCGTTGATTCCGCTTTCTGGTAGACAAGTCTCATCGTATGGAGGCAGTGGCGACGTGTTTGGCAAGCTATTGCCGTCAATTTGGGGGTTCTTTTGTTCCATTGTTGTGTTCTTTTCCGTGATTCTCAAACGCTTGGGTGGTCTGAACTTGTGAGAGTCGATGGAACTTCCGGAAGGTCTAACAGCGTATTCGAGTATACGCGAGGTGGTGCTTTAAGAAACTGGGTTTGGTGAGGATGCAGTAAAGTGAGAGTACTTCTGTTGTTGGCGAGGATGCAATAAAGTGAGAGTACTTCTGTTGTTGGTGATGAGTGGATAGTTTTTCGTTCTTTGTTAGAACAGGGGATAACGACACTCTTATTTATACTTCACATAGCTTAGATCAGCTCCGAGAAAATTAGTTTTTACTTAGGTTGAGCAACTTAAAAAACGATTTTCGATAATCAAGAAAGCAGGGATCGTATCCTATCAATGCGCTGGTAATACACTGGAGTATTTCTGATTACATTTGGTCAACTTCTTATTGGCGATAGACTATAATTTGGGATGTGGGTGACCCTACACACATCGATAGTTTCAACGATAAACGAATCAAAAAAGTAGGCGACACCCAAAAATTGTTATTGGCGATATAGTCTGCGATTCAATGGATGCTGAGATCATCCCAGGTCCGCCTGCCTCAAGTCAATGAGTCACCACTACACTTTCCCACCATTCATATCGTGTGATATGCACCTGCTTGATAAACAGTTACAAGCGATTCGAGCCAATATGAGCCTCTGCAGGTTCTGCGCGGTGCCGGTACAGTTCTAAGCCGTGGAACCGCGAAGTCCATGTAACAGATTTAGCAATAATGAATTATTATATCAAGGGACATAGGCCCAAAGTCTTCCACATATGCTCTAACTTCTCTCTAGAGTTGATATACACGAGTTACTGATGAACCCATTGTCCCTTTATCGACACAATTTCCCCTCGTGGATCCGATACTAGCCACACAGCTACCCCGATATTCTGGTGGGAATCGAGCTCCCACCAATCCAATACCAATGCAGCCCAAAGACTTTCACGCATATAAGTGGGCCAAGAAGATCTGGGAAGCCGCAACACCTACAGCTAGTCGAAAACCAAGTCTTTCGTCTTGCAAGGACATGAGCATGAGCGAGCTGGCTGGCGATATCACGGTTGGACACAAGAATCAACTGGAGGATGATACACCACCGCCCACTTATGAGTTTGCTTCAAAAGCCCAGGCGGAGGATGAAAAAACTATGCCAGGAAAGACATATGAGCTGTTGGAAATAGTGGCTGCAGAAAACGAAGAGATCGAAACAAAAGTCTACTGGTTTCTGTTGGAGATATTGGCTATGACGTTCTCTGTCGACTGCGGGAAAACGGAAGAGGCCAGGATAGATCTGCACGGCGAGGATTCAGGCTTGGCCAACTCTTCGTCTCATTTTTTGAGCGCCGAATATAGTGCTACTCTCAAGGAGCTATGTACATTGGTCAGAGATCTCGAAGAAAACCTGCGACTAGGCCGCGAAATGCGCAGGCAGGACAAGCAGCTTCTGATGAAGATCTTACATAAGCCTTGTCAGAAAAATCGCCTTGACCTGGCTTATGTACTTGAGATGCTCGGCCGATACGAAACCTTCCCAGTTGGAACCGGCGAAGACAAAAGGACACTGATTGATTACTGGGCACCTCGTTCTCTACCCAGCGGATCTCTACAGAGAAAGGTGGTGGGAAAGATATCACCAAGCCACAAGTATTCCATGATGGACCTGGCCGACACTTTGAAGTCGCATGATGCCGTTTTCGCTCGGTTACAAAAGAAATGGCCAAACCAACTATTCTACGCTCCTCTCAAATACGGCATCGATAATTTCAAAAAAGAAAGGGGGTTTGAGAATCTGCCAATTTCGAAACAGATGGAAACAGAGTTGGCAGCCCCGTGGAAATCGTGCTTCTGGCCTCTGACGGATGAGTACATTGACTTGACGGCGGCATTAATGGCGGATGAATATATGGATTTCCATGGAGACACCCACAAACGGCTCAGGAAAGCGCGAAATTTGCGCCGTTGATACTTTGACAGCGTGCGTCTATACTGAATTAGTTGTTGCCTGGTAGGACGCAATCTCCTTTGTTTAAATCTTTTTGTTGTCGTCGGAATTCCATGCCTCTACTCCTGTAAACCGTTTTTGTGACTAAAACTTTATCAATTCCTAAGTAAAAAACTATTGGTAGAAAACAAACGTTATGTAGTATTCCATAAAAAAACCAATACAAAGATCTATCCCTTCATGAACTCCGGCCTCGAGTCGTACTGTCAAACGCAAACCACACATTGTTCTCCCCTAACATTCTACGCATCATCCTCAGGCCCAAGCACCCCGTCCGAAGCCGCCATGTTACACTGCCTAAATATCCTAACCTCATCCTCCAAAAAGCTTCCAGTGACTGTATGCAGCACACCCCTATTGTTAAACACCACGAAGTCGCCCTCTTCCCAGTCCACGGGCCACACCAGCGACGGCGCAATCCCGGGCCTCTGCAGACGATACACAATCTCGCGGACCTCTTTCAGGTCGTCGATGACGGTCCCGTCGGCGAGGATAAGTTTCTGCACAGCACTGGGGTGGATCTGCAGGGCGAGTTTGCCGGTGACAGGGTTGCGCCAGCACATGGGGAGGGTTTTGATCTTGGAAGTTTCGATGAGTGGGAGAGAGGAAGCGGGGAGTTCGAGGTCAGATGTGTGAAGCCCTAGGCCAGTGGAGCGCGATTTGGCAGGCGACATCCAGATGTAGGGGTGTGGAGCGTACTATTCGGAATGCGGTCAGTAAAGATCCAGCGTGCGAGGAGATGTTAGGGTTTCCGTACCTGTACTTTTGTCGTCCTTGCGAACTGTTTGTCTTCTTCGGACAGGATGTCATACATAGTGTATGAGCTCACGAAAGCCGTACTGCCTCTGGGGACTTTGAGCTCGTCACCACTTCCATCGTCGTACCTCAAATTCATGTTCTCTGTCTTAGGTACTTTCACAGCAAGCAAAGTCGTGGCTTTTGGAGGGTCCAGATCGTACAGTGCAGCATCAATATGCCAGCGATAGAACCTCGTATTCTCCCTGTCCTCATCGTCACTGATCACGTCTTGATGGAACGTCTTGTGATGCGGATGCTTCAGCTTGATGTCCTTCAATCCCTCGAAGGAAGCAACAGGTCCGTTCCCAATGACTTGTACTTCAGACTGTGTTGGAATTGTTTTGAGGTCAGGATGCAGGATCGAGCGTTTGGCGTCGAGTGTCTTCCCGTGGCCGTATCCTTGAGCAAGTGGGTCGAACAGGCGCGTTACTTCGTATTGCCCTCTCGGACTGAGGTTCTGCTGGTTCTTGAAGAGAATGACTTGGTTCTCGTAGAGCGCGCGGATGATGATGTCTTTATCAGACTCGGCGAGGTTCTCTAGATCTGCACCACGTAGCTCTGCGCCGAAGTTGTATGTTGAACCTGATGGAGGGGTGACGGGGTGAACCGTAATGGTGGATTCGGTGGTGGTTGAATGAGGCATTTTGAGTTTTCAGAAATTTAGAAGTATATGAAAATCAATGTATGAAGAACGCTCTTCTCTTGAGTATGGACGTGGTATCTTGACCTTGAAATTTGTGTTCTGTCAACTACATATGGTCCATGGCACCCTTATATACAATTTGTGGTACTATCTACGAGAAAAAGAAAAATCAAGTCGAGCCTTCGGGAATGGCCGAACTTGTACATGAATGAGTGAAGCAATGCCATATTCCTATTTGTTACGCTCAAAGGTGTGGTAAAGGACAGCGATAGTTCTAGCCACTGATAAGAAGTCGACCGGGAAGCCGCGGTCGGCCGCGGTAGTCCGTGGGCTCGCCGGACCTCGCCGTCACAATCAGCAACACCAAACTGTTTCTACATTCCCAGAGATTTGCGTATTGGAATTACTTATGACATTGATGAGTGATCGCAGAGCGTCTTCACTGGCAGATGCAGCATTTGTGGTAAGGTTTCTAGCATGGATGAACAAGAGTAGCAGTACATTGATTACGCCTTGAAAGCCCCATATGAGCATATTCCCATCCTTTGAGTGTGGTATATCAGTCGCGAGACCGTACCATGCACTCCCTATCTGACATACACCGAACACCTCAAAAGACCGGTTTCCAGAGAGCACCCGCAAAATTCCAAATAACGCCAAGAAATGCCAGAATCAAAGCATTCCCTCTCTCGTATTACAACAAAGTTTCCGCATTCGCTATTTTCCAACTTCAATCAAGTGCTCCCATTGCTTCCGTGGCTTCTGAGCCTCCTCCCTCCTGTCAAGCCAGGCCCGATGCTAGAGGCAAAACTCGTGATGGTTAGATTTTCCCTGTCTCCCTTGCCTTCTCCACCGACTGTCTTGCGACCCATTTTCTTCATGGGTAATTTGGAGTCCTCGCCGCGCTGCTTCTTAGGCGGAGGTGCAGCCATGACCATGGAATCTGAGTGAGAAACAATAGGGAGAGGCTGCGTGTGGTTTTCCTGGGCGATGATATTGACATCTAACTCGCCGAGAGGAGCCAAGGCATTGCTAACGCTCATCGATCGGGGCAAGTTAGGCTTAGAGATGTTGTTATTGAACGGGTCATCGGAACTAGAGAGTGCTTGTGTTGCATCGTTGTAGACCCGAGACTTAATTGGACTTCGAAGCAGTGCATCGGCAGTAACTGGACGATCGCGGAGGCGAGAGAGCAAGGTTTCGTGCGCCTCCGTACGTGGCAACTTTTCGGGGATAGTATAGTTGACGCGCTGGGGTGTTTCGCCAGTAGGGTTATACTCCATAATGCCCTGGGTCGTGATGGCGCCGCGAAGCTCTTGAAGCGGTGCGCGAATAATTGAATCTTCCGCCAAAGTCGGGAGGGTTTCTCTTAGTGTGCATGTCTGAGCAGTCATATCCGACTGGAGAGACTGAACACGCTCGAACGACGTAGAAAGATGGTCACCGATACTCGAGTAGGAGGATTGAACGGTGGTCGAAAGTGCCCCCAGTGAGGACACATGGGCGGTGTGGTGGGCGTCATTCTGCTCGCGAACGCGGGACATGATATCGTCGAGTGAGTTCAACTGTGTATCCATTTGTTCCATCTGTGCTTCCACAATCTGGACTGTGCTGGCATGGACTGATGTTGTGGTATCTTTGATTGAAGTAGAATGTTGAGTGGCAGCCTGTTGAGTCAACGTTAGTGCTATGACTAGAGTTTGAGTGTTGCTACTACTTACAGCAAAATCAGACTTGATCTTTGTCTTAACAGCTTCTCTTGATTTAGCAACACCAGCGAGAATATCCTGGGATTTGTTCGACCAGGATTGCATGCCTTCGCTATATGCGCTCTGTTCAGTCTCCATTACATCATTGGCAGCAGAGACTGCCTCCGAAACACTCGAGACCTTTTCGTTCAGCCTGTTCGCTTGAGACTCGGCGTTCGCGGTGATGAGTGATGTGATTTGCACCAGTAGGTTCTGGCGTTCCTCCGCAGCCTTCTCCTTTTCTTCGTCGATGATCTTTGTGAGCTGACCTTGGGAAGCCTTATTGGCTTGAAGAAGAGCAGCATTGGCAGCAAGGACCTGTTGCTGCAAACGCTCATTTTCGACTTGCTGTTCATTGAGATTCTTGACGAGATCATCAAAAGTGCTTTTGAATTCCTTCCCGAGAGAAGAGTATGATGAATGGAGCTCAGTGTGGAAAGCGTCCAGCTCTGTAATGATGCTGGCTGAAATCTTCTCTGCGGCAGCGGATAATTCATTCAGGCCAGCCCCAACCTTTTGCTTGACGTCTTCCCTCAGCATTTTGATCTCCCCGAGGACTTCGTTCAGGTCGTCACGAGATTGTGCTGTTTGCTCATTGACCTCCTGTTCCGACGACTGGAATTCTTGCATCTTCTCTTGCAAGAAAGACTGCGAAGTGCCGAGCTTCTCCAGCTCGTCTTTCACAAAAGTTTGCATTCGGGTTGATAGAGAGTCCATCAAGTTTTCCTGTTGTGTGCGGAATTCTTCGATGCGATTCTCAACAAGCTCAGTGGTCTCGGACACCTGGCTCTGCGAGATGGCCCAGTGTTGACGGTTCTGTGATTGGAGCTCTGATTTACGACGGATCTTGGATCGGAGGCCATCTATATCGGAGGTAGTCTTTCCCAGTGTCGATATCATATTGTATCCAATATCAGCAAGCTGTCCTTCTGTTTTGGCATGTGCTTTGCGGAGCTCGGCTTCTTCGGCAAGATTCTGTCGCGTAAGATTGAGAACAGCCTCCGTCTTTTCAAGTATACCCTTAGTCCCTTCTAGACTCAACTTCGTTTGCTCGTTGTCTTTCTTGAGGGTCTGGAAGCTTGTGGTAATATTGAAAAGCTCCTCGACCTTGTTGCGGAGGTTAACCTCCATTGTCTCAATCTTGTCGCGTTGCTCATCGCTGAGAATCCGACGTGACTCGCTGATGGTGGTGATCTCCTCATAGTTTTCTTGTGTAAGGTAAACACCATTGCGTTGCCGAGTTGCAATCAGCTCGCTCTTGAGTTTTTCGATCTCTGCGGTGAATTCTTTTAGAAGAGTCTTCTTAGACAGAAGTTGATTGACTTGAGGTTTGTTACGGATGTTCTTTGCGCGGAAAGCGTAGTCCAGTGTCGAAATGGTTTCCTCAAGGTTGCTTTTCGCCGGGGATAGCGTAGCGATGATGCAAGTCTTTGTTCGCCCGCCTAGGGAATCTTGCAGCAGACGAGTCAACTTAGACTCGCGATACGGGATGTGAGAGCCGCGCTCCACGAGTGCATTGATGACGCGACCAAGAGTAAGCAAGCTTTTGTTGATAAGGCCAGCTTCGGCAGCCCTCTTGTTCTCGGCTCCACTCCTCTGAATGTTTTCACTTCCTGCAAGATCCACCAAGTTGAGTTTTCCAGCGCTTAAGAACTCCTGGCCGTCCTCAGCAGTGCGCTTCATGTAGACAGTAATAGTGAACACAGTATGACTGCGAGAGCTGAGATCGTTGCATTTTGTCGCCGCCACCTGTCGTTTGTGGCTCCCTTCGCGCAGGAGCTGAATACCCTCGGTTGCGCTTTTCAGATGGCGTTCTTCCATGCCTTGAACCAAGGTTGTGCTGCTGCCTTTCTTATTGTTATCATCATAAATCTTGAGCTTAACGGAGTCGTCGGTGGCTAGGAGATCTCGCAGTTCTTCGTTATACAATTCGATGAAAGAGCTCTTTACTGAGCATTCTGTATCCGCGGCATCTAGTTTGTTGAAAAGAGAATAGAGCACGCGAGGAACAATGCCAGCCGCGTCTGGGAGAGGGAGAACATTCGAGATATCGCCGGTCATCGTGTACGTTTTGCCGGTTCCAGTTTGCCCATACGCGAAGATAGTGCAGTTGAAGCCACCAAGAACCTTAAAATATGATCAATATTGGGCGCTAATGTTTGCATACGCGCTTTTACTTACCTCGTCTATCATGGGGGTTACCACTTCATCGAAGACCATACTCTGGTCGGCGGCTGATGAAAACACTTTGTCAAACTGATATGACTTGTTGCTGAGAGCGCTGGGGCCCATGGAGAGATCAACTGTGTTGCCTTTGATGCCATTGGTAGACACGACTACTCCGCTGTTCTCCTTCACTTCGCGGTCGTTACGCCCTCGACATCGGACGACAACGTTGATGTTTGTTTCTTCGCTTCCTTCTTCATAGTCTCGCGCTTTTCTTTTGACACCCGCTTGCGGCGATGATCTATTAGTTCTCGCCGATGCGACAGAATTTGCTGGCGAGGTGCGGCCGACGTGTGCTGGTGTGGCAGATCGACCTCGCGACAGGTTCGAGGGGCGCATAGTTGGAGGGCGCATTGATGAGGTATTGCGCTTGATGGGCGGCTGCCCAGGTCGTGGGAGACCAGACATACTGTGTGATATGTATGTTGTGTGCAAAAAGCTGATTCTAGCGATGATTGTGTGAGTGTTTATGATATCGAGATGGTAAACAAACACAAGTGGCGCCAAGACGAGCTATCCCTGCTCTAAATGGTCCGAGCTCCTATGGGGTCGGGATGGTTCCGCAACGCTCGGAACCGGAAGATGATGATGCCACCCCTCATTCCATAGCGTTGACCGCCAACATCCAAGTACATAGACCATCGTTACTGAAAGGAAACCTTCACTTCTTCTCTTCTGTTAGTTTGACACGTGCGCTCACGATTCATAGTCCTTTCCCCGAAGTTGTCTCAGCAGTCCGCCGCGTGACACACCACGCGCATACCTAGGTTCGTTGGGCCACCCGGCCCTCGATTCTGGACATCACTCTCTCCAAATACAACGGAACAAGCTACATCATACCCGCCACATCCCCTTTCCGAGTACTCTTCGCTTCGCTCTATATCCCAAGCATCTCGCATCCCCAGCGATTGTTCGTAGGGGAATCCAACTCCCAATAGTAGCTTCGCGACAAGCTAGGCTTACACTTCATCATGGAGGACAGCCTGATGCAGCTGGTCCCCGGAAAGAGTGTGGGATTTATGACGCTGGGTTGTTCTCTGCACGAAGTCTTGACAACGATCAAAGCAGAAGTCCGAACCTTCCCACGCTTCCAACTCTACCATGACGAAGCCCGACCTATCTCTTCGCCCGTACACGTCGTACTACCTGATAATGGCCTTCGATTACAGTTCGATGGCCCGGACCAGCGGCTTCGGCTTATAGAGGTTCTAGACTTTTCAAAGGCAAAACTAGTATACAAGGACGTGGAGGTATACAAACCTGCAGATGGGCTTGGAGGCATGTCGCCGGGTTCGTTAGGTCCTAGGTTTAGGCATATCTACGACAAACTCCTCGGACCAACATATGGCGGAGAATACATTCCACCATCTTCGAACGATTCGAATGCGCAAGGAATCTACAACCTATCGTATCCGGGCGTAGCATTCAACTTCCTTGTCCAGCATTCAGCTTACTCACCGAAGAAAGATTTCATTTCCCTGCTCTCTTCCTCCGCAACAAGCTGTGCGACATCCATGGCAGTGTTCAGCGGTGAGTCATGGCAGAAAGCGAGAGGCACTTTGTTCACGGCTCCACCACCCAATCCTAGAGCTCTGGCTTTATCAGCAAAGGGTAAGGAGGGGAGTCCGGACGAAATAGAGCTGGTGAAAATTCACGGCGAGGGTCGGATAGAGCTTGTGCGACGCGCGAACCCACCGTTCTGGATAACATTAAGTGAGACAACACCGCAAGACTTGATTATGGAGCTTGGTGCGCCGGACTCCATATACCGAAAGAATGACCATCGACTATCCATCCACAAAGACAGGAGGACAAGCGACGTCTCTGACTCACCCGCTCTGGGACTTACTTCCGATGAAGGTTTAGACTCCGACCATGGATCGGCTATCGGTACTGATGACGATGACGATTGGGAAGATGACGATGATGCCGTGGTAGAAGCGCAAGAGCGAGAAATAGCTGCTGCCGAGCACTTTTATAACTACTACCACCACGGCTTTGACATCTTGATATCCCAGCCCACTCAAATTTCCCCACCTTCGCCAAATGCCGATGGGAGAGATTCAGAAGCTGCGCAAAATGGCGGAATCAGTGCTCAGCCACTTAACCATCTGACTGCAACGAAAGTGATCTTCCATGGAAACATTCCAGGTTCGTATCAATTCAACAGACATCGACGAACACGCTGGAGACTAGAACACGTATCATTGGAAGAGCTTGAGGATCCAATCAATTCTGAGATGCAATTTGGCGACATAGCGGCCCATCTCAAGGAAGTATTCCACCCATATTATGAGAATGCAGAGGAAGAAAGGCTGCAGCAACGTGGGATGGCACTGAATAGAGGTTGGGGTGACAGCCCAGGGAGTAGTTGCGAACTTCTTGGTGGATGGGAGGATGGTTCAGCGAAGAGGAGCAAGTTTGCTAGTCCTGGATCGGCCGTGTTCGAGGGCGATGGGAGCGTCGGCAATGTCGAGCTTTTTGGGTTTCCCGGCATGGTTTTTGAAGTGCTCAAGAACGGAGCTGTGAGTTCTCTTACGGTTTATTGATTAGGGTTACATGCACACGGAGGAACTGGGGCGTTATTTATACAAGAATTGATACCCGATGAGTCGGCTCTAATCACATATTTTCAGAGACAAGTTACACATCCAATGATAGCGTTGCGACTCGTATCGTGATCATCATATATTAATGTGACAATCAATCAACTTGATTGGATCGGTGACTCATGACTCAACGCTTCTATATCAAACGCGTAGCCACTGTCACATTTCAAAACTCGTGGTTGGAGTTTTGAATGGACTGCTGGGAATACACGACTTATCTGTAAGGAAAAAGGGAAGGACTTTATTTTCTGGACTCACCACGCTTGTTTAAATTATTTTCACTTGTGTGTGAGAAGTGAGCAGGCCTTGGACAGGATTTTTGTTTTTGGCGAATCGGACTGCTCTTCGTAGAATTTCAGGATCTCGGTGGTGCTGGCCTCCCTAGCCAATCAAACGCGGAAATGGCCGCTGCAGCTACCTACAGAAAATCGTGCACCATGTCAACCACGCTCTTCCAACCTCGCACGAATCCAACCCGCTCATGATGCTACTATGGTAGCCCCGACGCGAATCCTACGCGCGTCATGGTCTTCCACGCTTCGCTTGCCGAAATCGAGCTTTCCGCCGCGTCCACTGCCTGCGACATCCGCCGAGTATCTGCGCCGCTGCACCGATGACCTGTACTCATGGCAACGGAGCTCACGTTCGAAGCCTGGTCCTGACGGAAACATCCCCGATACATTCGTACTGCACGATGGACCGCCTTACGCAAACGGACCGCTTCATATCGGTCATGCGCTGAACAAGATCACAAAGGACATTATCTGTAGATTCCAGGTCAGCAAAGGCAAGAAAGTGAGCTACATCCCTGGATGGGACTGCCATGGCTTGCCCATCGAAATCAAGGCACTACAGGCGCAGCAGAAGGATCTCGCGGATACAGACCCTGTGAGCGTACGCAAAGCTGCACGACAATTGGCTACCGATACGATTGAATTGCAAAAGGAAGGCTTCAAAGGATGGGCAGTAATGGGTGATTGGGACAATGCCTATCAGACCATGGAAAGGGGGTTTGAAATTCGACAACTGGAAGTGTTCAAGAAGATGTTTGAGAAAGGCCTAATCTATCGACAATTTAAACCTGTCTATTGGTCGCCGTCTTCGAGAACGGCTCTGGCGGAGGCTGAGCTGGAATATGATGAGAATCACAAAAGCTTGGCGGCATATATTACATATCCGGTTCAATTGGCAGAGGAGCTGCGCTCTGGCCCGCTAAGCAGTATTCAAGAGCCACTCAACGTCATCATCTGGACTACGACCCCCTGGACTTTGCCTGCTAATAAGGCTATCGCAGTGCATAATGATATGGAATACTGTGTGATACGCTATAACACAAATAGTCCTGAGGCTACTATAATCGCGGCTTCCCGGGTTGATGAGTTCCAGAAGATGCTAACGGAGCCTGTGGAAGTTATCTTGTCTGGATTACGTGGCTCTGATCTAGCCGGGAAACTCTCTTATGAGAATCCGTTCCGAAAAGCGGACGGCCTCCAGAAAATTATCCATGCCGACTTCGTAACAGACTCTTCGGGAACAGGGCTCGTTCATATGGCACCAGGACACGGCATGGATGATTATCAAGTATGCTTGACCTTGGGCATCGAAGCATTCGCGCCCGTGGACGACGCAGGAACTTTTACCAAAGACGCTTTTCCGGATCAGCCGGAACTTCTCGAGGGCCTTCCAGTTACCGACATCAAGAAATCCGGAAGCAATGCCGTTTTGAAATATCTTAAAACCCTGGACCTTGTGCGTGCAAAACACAATTATCGCCACAAGTACCCCATCGATTGGAGGACTAAGCAACCAGTCATCACACGAGCCACTGCCCAATGGTTCGCCAACGCCGAAAATATCAAAAAAGATGCCATGAAGGCTATGGAACACGTGAAATTTCTCCCTGAGACTGGCCGCCCACGCCTGGAGAGCTTTATTCAAGGCCGCAGCCAATGGTGCATCTCACGTCAACGTGCCTGGGGTGTGCCCATCCCAGCAGTATACAAGGTCTTGGAAGATGGCCAACTTGAAGCAGTTATGGACTCCCAGACTATCGAACACATTATGGATGTTATCAAGGAACGAGGTATCGACGCATGGTGGACGGATGCACCAGACGACAGGGCGTGGACACCGAAGCATCTAAACGGTAACTACGTCCGTGGAAAAGATACTATGGACGTATGGTTTGATAGTGGGACAAGCTGGACGTTGCTTCCACCTAAGCAAGATGAGCCCGTTGCCGACGTATATCTCGAAGGAACCGATCAGCATCGAGGATGGTTCCAGTCGTCGCTTCTAACCTATGTCTCCACGCTATCTTCTGATAACCACCAAATCAAGGCTCCATACAAGACCCTTATCACCCACGGTTTCACTCTTGATTCTGAGGGTCGCAAAATGAGCAAGAGTCTTGGAAATGTAGTCGCACCCTCACAGATCATGTCGGGCGAATTACTTCCACCCGTAAAACGAAAGAAACAGAAAGGTGTGAAAACGGAGCAGCCCAAGAACGCCAGCCCAACATACGATGGTATGGGAGCGGATGCATTGCGACTCTGGGCTGCAAGCAGCGATTATACACGAGATGTCGCAGTGGGCCAGCCGATTTTGATGACTGTCAATCAAGCTTTGCACAAATATCGCGTTACATTCAAGTGGCTCCTTGGCGTATTGTCACTCCCTTCGTGCCCGCCTGTCTTCGGATCTTTGAATGGATTACGCGAGGATATTGCCGGTATTCGAGACCAGAAGGCGGACGTATCGAGCTTTAGCAAACAAGCAGAAAGACTTGCTTTCAACCGATTGTCGCAGGTCAGCCATGAAGTGCATCAGCACTATGAAAAATATGAGTTCCATAAAGGACTCAGTGTAATCAACAACTACATTGCTAACGACCTCTCCGCCTTCTACTTCGAAACGCTCAAGGATCGCATTTACACCGGCCACAAGGCAGATTGTCAAGAACTACAGAAAATGCTTGGCCTCATCTTTTACGAGCTCCTACACATGATCGGGCCCGTTTGCCCGCTTCTCGTGGAGGAAGTGTGGGATCACACACCCCAAGCTTTGAGGGAAGGCAGTACACACCCTAGCCGCACCATATGGACGCCTCTACCACGCCCTACACCAGAGGAGGCCAAATCACTGGACGAGACGCAACACCTGGTCAACAAATTAAACACGTGCATCAAAGGCGCGCTAGAGCGTCTACGCCTAGATAAGAAACTAGGCTCCTCCCTCGAAAGCGAGGTGGTACTCTTCCTCAACAAGGAGAAGCCCAGCCCCATTCCTGGACCAGCGCTGACCCCCGCGCAACTTGACGAGTTTGCAAGCTTGTTCGTGGTCAGCGGCTTCAAGGCGATTGAATACGCCAAAACCCAAGGACAAGATGAGACGGAAGCGAAATCTATACTGAAGGATGCCTATCAACATTGGTACGCGGAAGAGCGGCTCCTTACTGGGACTGTCGACAACGGACATTTTGTAGCTGTGCATAAAGCTACTGCAGAGAAGTGTCCGAGATGTTGGCGATTTGCTAGGGAGGCAGAGAAAGAGCTGTGTGGGAGGTGCGAGGACGTTGTTAAAGAGGAAGGTTTGGAGCCGTCAGAATAGTGCTTTTGTAGGGAGTGGCTTTGTTGTATAGTATGTAGATGTAGGTTGTATATGGGAGGTGTGCGTATTGTACTATAGCTGAACTCAATATTTGAATTTTTCTTTCCCCCTTTGGACACTCTACCCAGCGACACTATCATCCCAATCAATGTTCCTATCCCCTACAAACCTTTCGCGATGAGGACCCTTCTTTCTCACTCTCACCTCCAAACAGATATCTTCCCCCTCACCCCTGTCTCTATCACTCCACCATAGCGTGCCCCAAACTACGCCCAGTATCCGCGTACCTCATATCCCAGCGTACCCCCTGATATTTCCCGAATAGGCAGGTCTCCCCACCAGACGATTGCAAAAGTGTGGATGACTGCGGACTTCATCCGCCGGCTTCCAAGATAGTGAAGGGCTTACTGTTGCTGTTGTTGGTGGTGTTGGAGTACCACAATGTACTACCGTGGCTGGGCAGCAGTGTTATGGTTACTTGTGGGGGAGGGGGTTTGTTTGATGTTGGGTGTAAGCTGATGAGGAGGGTGAGGATGATGATGAGGGTGGGGATGCCGGTGGTTGGATATGGGGTGTTGGGTTATAATGTGGTTTTTGGGTGTTGTGTTTGCGAGTGTATGTTGCCCTTTTATTTCCTCCTTTTCTCTCTCTCTCTTTTTTCGTTTCTTTGGTTTTCCAGGTTGCGATTCCTGACTTTTAAGAGTTGATGTACTTGTTGCTCATTTGAAGTTTTTCTTTCTGTCCTGTCATCCCAACCTCTGAGCAAAAGGAGGAGGTATGGAGATGTTTGTCACGTATGACTACAGCATCTACATTTCAACACACACATGCCTATGATTCTTCATTTCATCCCACTCATATCCCTTGATATTCAACACCCTCTTCTCCAGGAAACCCACGCCCACACATCTAATGCAAACACAAACGAGCAACCGTTCTTCCAGAAGAAGAAAGGAAGAAAGGGCAAGTGGCCGAGCAAGGCACGGCAATCGCTCTGCTAGAGACTCGCTACCAAACATTCCCCCCTCGGGAACCAAAGTAAAAAGGCTATCCGCGGGGGGTGACGCGGGTACTACTGTACTGGCCCCCCAGACTTCCCACGTGGCAAAGCAAGACATGAATTCAAATTCAATAAAAAAAGCGCCGAGAGACGGGACGGCAAACGTGGCCGGGGCGGGCGCGGGACTAGATTTTTTGGGGCGGAAGCCACGGTTTTGAATCCCGCGGATTTGAGTTTCTCTTGTTTGGCACGCGACAGTGGACTAAACAGTTGTGCGGGTTTGAGTTTTGGAGAACTATCTATAATGTATACTGTGAGTGGTGATGGGTGGTGATATTGATTGGATCCGTATATGTACACGATCGACGATTGAAGTGCTCGTTTGCGCAATGTGTAGCGAGGGTAGAGGCATCACGAAGAAGAAAACTACTATAATGTATGGTCTGCTGATGCGATGATATTTTTTCTTCTTTCTGCGCTGGGATGGGTCTGGACTCGAGATCTGGCGTTTGCATGCGTGGTGTATACGAGTGGGCAGCGTGGGGCAGAAGCTTGCATTATAATTTTTCTTTTGGGGAGGGAGAGCAGTGGACTGGACTAGATCTAGACATCTAGACTTGGAAGTGCGCATTCAAGTTCTCCGGCCGCATTCTCTCAACACCCACCTGCATTGAGCATGGTGATCGAGATGAGATGGGTTTGGGCTGGGGCCTGGTTGCGCGCGGTATCTTGTCCCATCATCTGGATCAAAAGTTAGTCAATGGATTATGACTTTTCCACACAATGAATAGGCAGTTGCTCGCGAGCGGTGATGACACCGAATTCGACGAGCGGAGAAACAGGCCAAATGCAGGGACGGATTCTGATAATCAATGTCTCTGCACCACCCACTAATAATTGTGGGTAATGTCTGACCACTTTCAGCGGTTTCTGGTAGACATTGTCAAATGCACAGACATATTACATCTCACTATTGATGGGTGGAGTGACGGAATGATGGAAAGGCCAGGAAGTTTTCTGGTTTCGGCCACGCTACCTTATGCCATTGAGTCGATGCGGAGTGGCGTGCAAGGGGAAAAAGCGGTTCTCAAATTGCGATCATCGGGTTGAACCCTTTGTTTGTGAGGTGAGAATAGCAGTTTTCGGTTCAGGGAATCAGATCATGACGCATGTGGGCTTTCACCAAGAGTCAGTGCAAAAGAAGATCAAATGTCCACATGGGGTCTCGTCTTTGTCTCTTTGTCTCTTTAGGGGTATGCACAATGCAGAAAGGAGTAAATGAGGTTTGTATCGGAGGTTACAGAAGACGCGGTTTCGGAATTGGTGCAGCAGCAGCAGCAGCAGCAGCAGCAGCAGCGGTTAAGCATGAGTGACTGATCGGCCGAGATGCGGCTTGCATTGAAAGAAATACGGCAGGCTGCGGAGAGGCGATTGTTGCAGATGGCCGGGTTTCCGGTTAGAAGCTAAAAGTTGGGCAGGCGGAGCGACAGTCGCAAAGTGATGTAAGAAAGGGGAAACCGAAGAGACGATTGTATCCACTCCAAGGTTGGTTGCGTAGATCGCAGGAATGGCAGCAAGCGGGAGAAAGAAGGAGTGATATTCCCTTGCTGTTGATAGGGCCGACGGAAGCAGACGACGCAAGCGGTGGTGAGTTTTGAAACCAAGCGGCGGCGCAGGCAAGTGAAAGCAAGCAAGTAAGCAAGTAAGCAAGCTGCTGCTGCTGCGGGGTCTACACGAGGCACGCGCGCAGGGGGGGAAGCATGGGCATGGGCATGGGCACGTTGGGCCGGAAAACGTGGCATCCAAGCGCGGGGCCGCACGGGTCAAAGTCAATTGACAAACTCACCACCCGCGGCCTCAGTCAGCATTGAAACTGAATAGAGTGATGGATTGACTGACTGATTGACTGATGATGATGATGACGACGACTGACCGCCACCGGTGCTTGGGACCGCGAGCGGATGAGGAGAGGGAGAAACACAGGACGGAAGCGATGTTCGTTTACAGGCGGTTGACTCTCAGCAGACAATCGCCATGATGATGATGCAGACATAACAGACAGGCAGCCTTCATGTGACACATTCACGCACTTTACTCCAGTGCCCTCAAGCTGCCGCCCTACAAAGGTTCTTTATCGTTGGTGTTGTAATTACATATAGGAATGCGTGGGTGTATAGTAGCAGTGAGTGATCAATAGCATTCGCCCCTGGCTAAAAGGCACAGCAACGGACTGCCGATCCACTCCTTGGGCTTGCTCCTTGTGAAACACGCAAGCCCGTTAAGTCGCGAGCACAGGACACGACATCTGCCCTATTGCTGCTCCACCTGCCCTATACCCTTTGGTCTCTCTTCAACTCTCCCTCGTTCGCTCTTTGTTGTTGCGCTGCCTGCCTGCCTGCCTGCCGCCTCGTTCGCCTTGCGTCCTGTCCTCGCCTATCCATCTCCTCTTGCCTGCCTGCCCGCCCGCGACTCGCGCCTTCCCGCTGCGACCACCCTCCTCCCCATCCACCGTGACCGCTCCTTCATTCCTCCATTGGTCCCGCCCCTGCCCGATACATAATCACTCCCTCACCACCTTGACCTTGCCTCTCGTATCCATCCGTCTCTTCTGCTACACTCACCCTCTCTGCTTATACCTCATCCAAACACCCCCATCCCATCCCGCAACATCATGACCAACTCGCTGGAATCCTCCCGTCCTATACTCGCCAACGTAAGTCCCACATTTCTTTCATTTGCACCCACACCACTTGTTTCAGGCCCTCTCGCGCCCTGTTGCCCTGCTAGTCATTGCTCGACGGGGGCCCTTTTTCAAATATCCAAAAAATCTCTCCCCCTTCGCATCTTTGCCCCTCGTCCCCAACAACTGAACCCCATACACTTCTTCATCCTCTTCACCATGTCCGAATCCCAGAGCTCCTCTAACGCCGCCTCCAATACACAGTCAAGTGGCAACCGCGCCTCCACCCGCATGTCTACCTACAGCGCTGCACCCACCCTGACCCCCTCGGTCGCGCCATCCCACCTCTCTGGCGCCTCTTCGACGGTCGGCGACCCAAAGGCCCAGGAAATCAAGTCATGGAACGAGGGTTTCGAGCGTCTTGAGGACAAGCGCCTTTCCCAGCAACGGTACACACTCGACGCCGAGAAGACGGACAACATGAGCAAAATCGCCCTGGGAGCCAAGCTGGACCGCGCCCTCGCACGCCGCATGTCTGGTCAAGACGCCGTCTTCAGACCGAAGGGCTTCAACGAGAAGAAAGTGAGCGCATAAACTGCCTCTCTCCACATCGCCTTCAACATCATCCTCAGCAATAGCTGCAACAGAAACATCATCTTTGCCAATGTCGATCTCTCAGACGTTGGTCGTTTACAGCAGCCGGGAACGACTATCTTTCATCAGTTATTATGATATCCTCTTTTCGAGTGGGGCCAGGGAGCAGCAGCAGGTCACCAACCACATTCGCCCCATGCGCCATCTCAAAAACATCGAGGTGGCTGGCGGCTTCACGGCCACAATGCGCAGATGAGCGGCCTGTCGGTCGCGAGTGGAATGGTTTTACATCTCCGGAGAAGAGGGAGAAGCAGAGGATGTGGGCGTTCCATTGAAGCCAATATGCGTGTATCTGTCTTATACCTTTCTCCTATGTTATAAGCATGCAATTTCTTTCTGTTCTATGTCCGTGTTGGGATCGGGCTCGGGAGATATCATGGCGTCTGCGCGAGGTGTGATTGTGTTGCTCCTTTTCTCCTTTTCTTTTCTTTTCTTCTTCTCTTCTTCCTTGTCCTGTCATACATATATATCCTTATCAATTTAGTGGCAGCAGCCGAATGGTCATTCAACGAATGATTGATCTCTCGGCCAAAACAATCACAGTATGAAACAATATCCTCCAGCTCTTCTGTGATTTTTCTCTTCCTCAAACTTTCCATTGCACTCAGATGAGGTGTCAACTTGCGCTGTGACATGGATGCCGATGTCAGTTGCATCTCTCGGGTGGACTATAACGAGCCTTCAGTCTGCTTGCTTAGATACCATTGATGAATTATAGGTGTAACCATTACCGTTTCCCCCCAACCAAAACGAGTTTTTTTTTTCTAATCTGCAATATCTCCAAATACCAAATAACGTTAATACAGGTCATTAATCCCTCCACGAAGCAAATTCAGAATACGTACCAGCCAACCAACCTTTAGATCCAGAAGCAGACAATAATTATATCAACACACAAATACCGAAATTATTTCTCCAACAAAGAACCGGAAACAAGACGATCAAAAAAACTTCGTACCCTCCTGCTCCGGCTCCTCAGGCGTCCCTTCTTCCTTGCTGACTCCGCCAAAAACGCCTCCAAGCAACCCTCCAACGCCCTTCTGCACACCTCCAAGTGTCGTTCCCACTCCGCCCACCAAGTCACCTTTGCCCAACTTTCCGACGCCTTCTCCGAGCCCACCCGTGATGCCAGTCAAAGCGTCGCCCGCTCCTTTTCCGACGCCACCGACTACATCTCCCAGAGGTCCACCGACCGTCGAGCCTACGCCGCCGACGGCACCGGAGACGGTGTTTCCAAGGCCCTGCAATATCACGGATCAGTGCACTAGCCCCCCAAAAACGGCAGAGGAGAAGGAGCTAATTGTAAAGTAAAAGAAACAAAAAAGAAGAACGAAAAACACTCACCTGTCCAGTCCCTTTGACCGTATTCCCAACACCACTCCCCAACCCACCGGCAACACCTTTGACATCGCCCCTCCCAATCGCCCCCGTGGTCTTGCTAACCGTGCCCTGCACGCCCTTGGTTGCCGCGCCAGCCGTGTAGTACACGTTATCCGTCGCGCCTGTCACGGTTTTGCCCACGCCATCAGTGACGTGCTTGACGGGTTTCCCGACGCCCGCGGGGAGTTTGTCGAGGCCTTTGCCCGTGACGCCCGTGACGCCGTTGACGGTTGTGTTTAGGCCGGAGGTGGCGGAGTCTGTGACGGTGTTTACCGTACCGGTGGTTAGGCCAACGCCTTTGTTGAGGGTTGAGGTTGTGGTGTTGATGCCGCTCTTCAGGGCGGAAGGTTGCGCGGGTTTGGTGCTGGGGGCTGGGGAGGAAGAGGTTGCTTTTGCTGGGGTGGGCTTTGTGCCGTCTGGGTTTGCGGAGGGGAGTTTTGCGGGGGTTTTCTTGACGGGGGTAGTAGATGTGGTGGTGGATTTCTTGGGCGTGGAGGCAGTTGGGGAGGATTTGGAGGCTGGGATCGCTGCGTTTTTGATGTTTGGTCCTTTGGGGGTTGGAGCTGAGGAAACGGGTGTCTTCTTCACTGTGTTGGTGACGGGGGCTTTCTTGACGGGCGTAGACACAGTGTTGCCCACGGGGGTTTTGGCTGATGTTACTGGAGCTTTTTTGGCGGGTGTGACACTCGGTGTTTTCGCCGTTGTTGTCGATGCCGTGGATGACACCGGTTTCTTCGCAGCAGCTGTTGTAGCTGTAGATTTGGAAGCGGCCGTGTTCAATTTTGCTGGGGCCTTCTTCACTGGCGTTGTTGCCGATGGGGTAGTTTTGGGCTGAGACACAGCCGGTGTAGCTTTCTTTACAGGAGTTGAGGTTTTGGTAGTAGCTGAAGGCGTACCTTTCGCAGTGGTAGTAGGAGCTTTCTTTGCATTTTGCGAAGCACCTTGGGCAACTTTCTGGAGATTGCCTACGCTGGCTAAACATGTGTCAGGATTGAGTGCATCGCCAAAGTTCAGGGTGACACCACTTACATTGCAACGCAGCATTTTGTTGCTTGAGCTGATCAACAGCCGACATGATAACACAACACTTTCAAGTTGGTGAGAAGCCGAGAAGATTCGGTAGAGACCACGACAGGCGCAGCGTGAAAGTCTTCCAGAACAGTAGTCAGTGAGCAGGGTGTTTATATCTCAGGGCTGGGGTGATCATGATGAAAGATGTCACATCCGGGCCGCATACGTCACTGTGCAGCAGCGTCACTAGGTAGAGGGCCAAAGACCAGGTTTCCAACCCCGACATCAGCTCCAATTCAGGTAACCTGAGGTTTCATATGTATGCAGGGTCCAGTCTAGACCATCATGTTTTGAAGCACCAAGATCGTCACTGGGAATCGAAGCTTGAGACATGGTCAACAGCTTAGACATTGCTACTATTCCTGCTTTATACCATGCCAGGTCTTTATTTCTGGGGAGCAATATCTCCCTTCTCAAAATGGAAATACTATCTAGACAATCTATCTACAGGCATCGAATACCCCGATTTCTGGTGTAAACTAGGAAGCGCCCCCAATATTGTGTATCAATATCTGAATAGCATTTGAGAGTATGTATACAAAATGAAACAGTCCCCAAAGCAAAACCAAGGCCTTCAAAAGGAACTGGGCGGCGCGCACGGAAATATGCATCACCAATTGGGGCCAAACATCTCCACCATAAACTTTTTAACTTGTGCATTGCAACCCTGAGCGGACACGGGAAACGATATAACCTTCAAGCCTTCAAGGGATCTAGCTCGACTGACTGGCCAGTTGTTAGATATAAGAAAACATATAAACGAGAACAACTCACGTGCTACGTAGGCTTGTCCCAGTTCAAACGCCCCAGACAGATCTACTATGACGCGGTCTAATGTCATACCCTGTCGATTGTTAGCATTGCTTCCGACTGCGTGGGTGAGTTCAACCTCGTCTCCAAAGTCATGGATATGAGTGCACTCAAATTATTCGGAGCAAAAAACCCACCTGACTCTTATGCGTCGTGATGGCCCAACCTGCCGTTAAAGGTATCTGTGTCCTTGAAATGACAATTTTCGGTTCGCCGACGCTCAGCTCAGTCACTGTACAATCTGCATAGATTGTACGTTCCAGGCCGTTCATAAATTTAACGACTGGCCAGCCCGGAAAATTCTCTTGCTTTGCAAACTCACGAATTTTGTCCTGTCGATAGACTGCGTATTCTCCTTGAAGAAGGAGCTGCCCATTTTGGCTACCATATCCACCTGAATTTTTCGAAGCCACTGGCATTCGGTGAGGCGCCCTCTTCTCGAAACGTTGGATGGTACCTTGTGAGCCGTTGACAAGACCTGCAGGGAGATCAAGATTATGAAGAAGCACCACAAGCATGCCTTCTTTTAGCGCAACTTTCGCATCATAGCGATCATCGTGAATACCACTCAACGCTCCGCCCTTCATAATATGTCCCATGGTCTCCCATTCAAAGTGGTCGGGTTTCCAATCGTGGCTATCTAAGCACTGGTATTCTTGAGGCTCCGTGGGTAGCTTGTCGAACATTTCGTCATTGCGCTGTTTGACCCTTTCCTTTCTGGTATATAGCTCAATCGCATCACGCGTGTCTGATGGATGGTACACAATCAGGTTATGGTTGCCAGGATTCAAGACGATTCCCCTGCGCATCTTATGTAGGATGGCAATGAAGGCCTTATGGCTCTGCCGGTGTATAGTGGTGAGATTGACATGCGTAAAGCCGCTCTCTTGCCAGGCGTCTGAGCGAAACGCCCATTTATCGATGTCCTTGAAGACTCCATGCTTAGGGCACACATGTTGTCCCTTCCATTTATTCTCTTCCGTCTCCAATCCGCATGTCACGCAGTGCTCAAAAGGCAAAACCGGTGGTAGCTGGCAAAAATCACCTGTCACGACCATCTGCACACCGCCGAACGCCTTTCTGTTTCCCCTGGCCTCCTTCATCACCGCATTAAGACGCTCAAAAAATTATTTTCCACCATACTGATCTCGTCTATAACCAAAACGTCGACTTGGTTCATACGCTTCCATGTCTGTTTACCGTGAGCAGCAGCTAACAGTTCATCAAGCGGTTGCTTGCGACTCTCCGGCGTCCAGCCAGCAAATGTCCAAGTTGTAGTCCCACTGATATTCAAAGCTGCGCGGCCAGTCGGCGCCGTGATCGCAACGTTCTTTTGCATCTTGTGGAGTTTCGTTACGAATGCTTTCAGCACTGTCGACTTTCCACATCCAGCAGATCCAGTATAAAAGACGTTTTTGCCTTCAAGGATTAGATTAACAAGTTGTTCCTGCTCGGGACATAATTCAGGCTCCATGTAGCGGGTGGCATTGGGAATTTGGTTGCTAGGCGCTGCAGACTGGTGGTTCGGGACGCAACGCAGGGACCTGGGCCAAGCTCTCAGATGGTAGTCCTTGCGAAGATATATACACGTCCATGGGAGTACTTGGGACTGGCTGAGAAGACGGGGTTGTGTGCTCGCCCTCCCATGGCGGGGTATCATCATCGTCTGATATGTCTATTCGATTTATCTTTGGTGAATCTTCACGTCCATGATCATCTCTTTGTCGCTTCCCTGATCCAGAACTATCCAAGCTCGACGGAGGCAGATGCGGGCTCGGTCCGGGCGGTCCTTGGTGGACGTTGTGGGCGGATCCAGATGGGATAGATCCCATTGTGACTGCCCGCAAGATATTATAAGTAGGCCAATTGCAATTTATGCAAATCGATGTGTGCGTAATGAGAAGGTTGATGGAATCGTAGTGGTGGGTCAACCGGTCGCCGGATGAACGAGCGGAGAAATCAAGCAGGGTGACGCCTATGAAAAGCTAACATGTTAGCATAACTCGCGACCTATCTGTCATGAAGCGCACAATAGATCAATGCCGATTCTAAGGAGATATTACGTACGTATATTGTATGTTGTAAATGGTAAAGGAGTAAGAATTGAGGTGGCTGGAAAAGAGTTGACGAACGTTGAGTGTGGAGTGGGCGGGTTAGGAGTGCTCATGTGGGTACGCTAACCTTGCCCACGACTCATGAACCACTTGATTATGTCTCATATATGATACATCATACACCACACTGGATTATACTATATTACAAAGTACACGATAATTCATGATTTACCACAAATACACACATACTTCAAGCACGAATCTAGTCTTCGAGTGCCGCCCCAACCCTACCACCTCAGCTCGAATGACATCGACAAAATCTCCGGGCCCGCAAGCAACTACACTGATTCTCGCGTATCCAGCACTTACCCCCTGCTGAAGGATTTGATGCTAGCCACACCCAGTTTCGCCAGCCTGGAAGACGCCCTCAATGCTTTGAAATGTGGCTCGGAGGTCTTGGAGCACGTCTACGCTTCATGCTAGGAGCGACTTTCACATTGCGATGCGCGTGAACGAACTGTAGATTGCCAGTTGAACCGATGCCACCGCAAAGCAGCAGCACTCAATCTTACTCTAGAACCTCGCGCGGATTGTTGTTGCGATATGGGCCGTCAACCTATGTCAGGAGACTACTAATTGTGCGTAGCAGTTTGGTCATTTCCTTGCATTTGCGCACGTATAGGATGAAGAACGGTGGATAGCAAGAAGAGGCGGGCAATCCAATGATGCTGAATCAAATGACTCGAGAGACCAATCTATAAGCCAGAGTTACGATCTGCGAAGAGAATAGCAAGAGGGAGTAGGCCAAAGACGAACTCGCCTGTTCGGTAGCCAGCGTATGCCAGGATTTCTCCACGTTTGTTGTAGCCCCATAGATGTTTCAATGGATACAAAAACCAACATTCTACACATGTAAGGATGCTTTTAACACTATGAAGCCGATGTTGAACAGGGCCTGTCCATTTATGGGGCATTGCCGAGCAGCCACGGGAGCGGACGAACTAATATGTTCCAATCAATGAAGGATAGACAATGTATGGATACAACCGTTCGATGATGGAAGACACCAATGGAGCCTTGGAGAGCAAGGTGCATAAGATAGGTGTACCCAAACCAACCACCACAAGGACGATGCGGATCCAGTGTTAGAGTCCATTCAACCAGTTCCCACAGGGCAGACTTGACAAACTTAGGTGTTCTTGAACATTTAGTAATTCATCACCTTCAGGGTTGGAATAAACGGGTTTGCATATCCTGCAGGGCTTCTAGAACCATCATCGCGGCGTTGATAGTCAAGACAATTGCATGCATATATTGGGGGAACCATCGACTTCATCAAGCGCTATCACACATTTTCATTCCGGAGGGACGGACGGGTCGACCGGCACCTGCTCCTTCCAGTATCGCTCAACTGCAACAACGGATACAGACTTGCATCGTGTGTTGATGCAGTAAGCCAAAGTGGGTAGGAAAGCATTGTCGTCGGCCCAGCATGATGGCTTCGTGACTATGGTGGAGGGAGACCCGTGGCCGTGATGAGCACCATGGCTCGAATGGTCGTTGGGGTTTATCGGGGCGGTGCAAGTGAGGTTTGCCATGCTGACGATTGCTGGACCAGCATATGCGCAGGTAAGTTCCGAAAATGACGTGCCTAAGCCATCGAATTAAGCTGCAGTCGCAGCAGGGTAACCCAACAAGAGCGAGACCTGGGCCACAAGTATCTTGTTGAAGAAGTGATACTGTTGTCAGTAGCAAGGATGCCTCCTTCAGCATGGGGCTATCACAATCCAGCTCTCGGCAGAAGTGACTTCATCGAGGTTTGTTGATCATTTATATTGTCTCTCAACAGGCTGCACAAATCCAGAAATAAAACTTGAGGGAAAAAAAAGGTAGTGGGCCTACTTTTTGTCAAATTATTTTATCGGCCTTTTTAAGTGTAGGAAACACTGTAACTTCCAATCAAAAAAAAAAAAAAAAAAAAAAAAAAAAAAAGGTAGTGGTTGTTCACTTGATGTCTTGAGCTTCAGACTTTTCACCAATGTTCCGCAACTAAGACGCAGTGAAGCGCATTTGAGCTAATTATTACCCTATCAGTCGAGAGTCGTCCGCGATGGTACGGAAAGCCTATTATACATTCTCCGCCACGCTGACACCCATTCTGCACGCGAGTGATGCTGTGATACTATATGATCTCTAATGAAAAATCCGCTCACATAACAAGGAGAATTCGGCCTCGGGTCGCTGCGGTTCGGAGCACTAGACTGAACCTTGTTTTTACAACTGTCAGAATTACATCATATGTCCCTTGCTTGATACTAATTATTTGAGAGCCTTTGCTTACATTACCCTCTCGATATGCAGAGACCCCATACGGAACCCCCCTGTACGGCCCCAAAGTCTGGATATCGGATTATCGGGGTTGCTTTTAGTGACGATTGGTTATTTGATTACAAATGAAAACCACTGGGTGGCCTGCATAGTCATATAGTGAATTGATCGCGCTGAAAGAGATTAGGTAGTACATGGGTTTCGGAGCGGTGCTGGGATTTCGTATAGTATTGTATTGGGGTTCAGTATGTCTGGGCTATCATTTAACAAGATGTAGAACCGTGTTGGATCGTTATGAGCAAGTTTGCGGGGTATGTGCTATTTCCAAAGCTGAAATAGATATGGATTGACTGACAAAGAGGCACAATGTAAGAACTTTACCCGCGGACAAAACACAATCATCGTCGAGGTCATACACTTCAGACACCCCAATTTCATTTCTACAACATATATCATTGAAGAATGTCTCCCTTCTCAGATCCTTATGTTGCAGCTCTGCAATCATTCTACAACGCGACCAGCGAGAAATACACAGCCCAAAGCTCTTCGTTCCACAACCAAAGCGCAAGCCATCTCGTCGAAGCCGCCGGTCCAGCAATCCAAGAAGGCAGCTGGGTACTAGATCTCGCGACAGGCACGGGAAACGTTGCTTTTGCCTCGGCATCTAAAGTAGGCAGTGCCGGTCGCGTAATCGGTATCGATATATCGGATCAGATGTTGGCGTTTGCGGCGCAGAGAGCTCAACAGGAAAATCTGAAAGACCGCGTGCAGTTCTTTCACCAAGACGTCACGAACATGAATCTCTCGGAACACGTTCCATTGCGTCGATTCGATGCTTTGACTTGTGGGAGCGCAATTGCAATGTTTCCAGATCACCAGGCAGTGCTCCGTGCAGCATCAACGCAGATATTGAAACCTGGTGGCGTCTTTGTTGCAGATATGCATGGCACGCATGTACCAGCGAGGATCTTTCTAGAAGTTGCTATACCGAGAGGATTCAATCCTCCTTTTGATGCAGCGTGGATTGATAAGACCGAGGAATGCTTGGTGAAACTCTTCGACAATAGCTTATTCGAAGTCAAATATACTGGTGCTAGGGACATCGGATCTGAGTCTATGAAGTGGGATGTGAGCAGTGTTGAGGCTACCGAGAAGTTGTGGATGAGCGTCGTCGACGATTCGCCCTGGTTGACTTTCGGTCTACAAAACCTTCCCCGGGAAGTAATTGCAGAGATCAAAGAGGAATGGGTGAAGAGTGTGGTTCAACACAGTGGCTTGGACGGATACTTGTCTTGTCACATGAAACAATATGTTGTGGTAGCACAGCTGAGGCCTACGTGATATGCGTTGCCGCTACGTGGCCTAGTCTTCGCAATACTGGTCTTTTGACGTCTCTAGCTTGGGGTATCTGCCTATTGCATATCCTCACGACAGACAGCAATTGTACTCAAAATCCTTTCAATGTAGAATGATTAGATTCAGTTGGAAGTCTACAGCCATGACATACACCTTCTCAAACGCTAGCTTCCACCTGAGGACTTGCCCCGGCATCCGTCTTTTGTTTTTTGCGAGTGTTAGCCGTACGCTCAATAGTCTCCGCATTCTGATCAGTAGACTTCGATCTCGCTCTGCCTGAACCTAGCCATCCTTGCTTCGCAGTGACAGGTTGCAGAAAGCCATCGATATGCACTCCTCCATATTTGCGCTCTTCGTTGTCCGAGTTGTTCTTCCGTGGATCGTACCGATGGATACGTATGACATGCTCAATAGTTCGATAAGGAATCTTGAAGTCCTGTTCACTGCCCCAGCAATTCGTGTGCGGACAGCGGAGGGTCCCTGCATTGAAGAAAGGGCGCTTCGGAGGTGGGCTAGTACCGATACCCAGCGCCTCATAATCAGGAACTGTAGATGGTGTATATTGTACAACATCAGGAATCGGTTTCGATACTGAAGCTTCACTGAGTCTCCGATAGCTCATGCTTTCCTTGAACAGTTCTGCACACCGTTGAGCCGTACGAGCGACCGCAATCTCGTTCCACCCAGTGATGGAAGCTATACCAAGTACTTCGCTCCAGTCCATCAGACCGGTCTGGTCCTTTTCAAAACCAGGGGTATTCGAGGCGTCACTATTTCTCCTGGAATCGCCCACTGAGCCTCTTTTTTGTCGCGGGAGAGACTGGTCAGATGAACTCGATGCGCTCTCACTGTCTTCTGCCTGATCACGGCGATAATCCGAGGCAGAATCACTCTCATCCAGAGGTTTTGGGGCAGGTAGAGCTACTGCTTTCTTGCTATGAGTTCGAGACCGCCGTCGAGATCCTGAAGCTTTTCCTCTTCCTTTCGTTGGTTGTCTGCTTGATCGCGTGCTGGGCCCAATACTTTTTGCTGACGATTCTGCGTCGGATGTGAACTCGCTACCTGACATTTCACTATACGCGCCTCTTCCAGTATGATTGAGTCGCACCCTGCGGATAGAGAGCGCAAGATCATCCAAGCTGGTGAGCAGTGAATTAACTGAAGGTTGCAGGATCTGTTGGGCAGTATCATCATCGGCAAGAAACACTGGCTTCGTGAAAGAACCGTCATGTTCAAAACCGCGGTATGCACCGCGCCTTTCGATCGATCTTTCAACAGTATCCTCCTTCAAACCACTTCCGCCCGTGCTGTTTTCATGGTCACGCATCTCTACGTCGGATGTTGTGACTGATTCTGGCTTTGCCGGCTTGGTATCCTCGCGATTCGACTCTGCTAAGTCAGCTTCAGCATCAGTCGCATTTCCGTCCTCCTCATCTTCATCTTCAGATTCTCGGGATAACCATTGATCCTTCGCTCTCCGTACAAATAACGCCATAATTTCCTCTCTCATTGCCTCGCCCACATCATCAGCCCTCGCAGCTTCAATACACCACGTATCTTCGTCATCGTCTGGCCGTCGCACGCCTCGATCTGCTTTTTGAATGCGACTGGGGGGTAGCGGCCACGCTGACCATGACTTCTTGGGTATCAACTCTTCTTCAATCTCCCCGAACGGGTTCGTGAACTCCAACTCTTTTCCCTTCTTAAGCCAAGATTCTTTCTTGTGCCAATCTTGTACCTTCACTAGCTGTTCTGGAGGTCTTCGCATCCGATGCTTGAGATGGTGTGTATTGTAGAGGTGGGCTCCCAGATCTGAAGCTTCGATGTTTCCCAAAGAAGCCGCGATCTGTCTATCCGCGAATGTATAGCCTCGCCACGTTCGCGCATGGCCGGTGAATTTGTTCGGTCGCGAAGTTTCAGGGTCCTCTTCATCATCGTATGAATCGGTTTCGGGTTCGGAATCATCAGCGTCCGTGTCGAGCGTGGCGGGGTGTAGTGCATGTCTTTGCGCATCTTGCACATCCTCGGTTTCGTTGATGGGAGCTGTCAATAGCGAAGAGGGCGGTGGTGATGGTGACGTCGACAACGAAGGTATGGCGCCGTCACCGCCGAATAATGACATCTTGATTCTGGTATAGAATGAAGAGCACGCGGGCAGGCATGATGATTGTAGTTGGGATGAAGTGGGGAGAGGTCTAGGTACTTTGGCGGTCCAAAATTGAAATCGCGTGATCACGTGCGCGACATCCTACCTCAGCTTGGAACCTTGACTGTTTTCAGATGGGACAATCTAGAGGGAGTTCGTGTAGCGAACAAATTTACATTGAAAACGATGTTGTAAATCATCATTGGACCAAAACGACGGGCCAACCCGGTTACCAAAATGTCTGGCGAGAATATGTCCCAAACATTCAAATATCACTCATGAAACCAGGATCAACTCCATTTGATCATCTCAACGATGCCAAGCGTGGGCTCCAAAGTGACAAGACAATATAACTCCGGTCTTTGACTATATGTACTACAGCGAGACACAGTATGCTTGGAATAAGATAGGGAAATGATAACACACCGGCGTTATAGCTATTTACGTATTTCATCCGCAGAGGCAGGTATGTACTTGATAATTGTGAATTATTTCAAGAGCATCTAATATACAGTCGATACTATGCAGAGTAACAGACGAAACCTTACGTGTCAGTGCAAAGTTATACTTGGGATTAAGGGGTAGCAGAATTAGGGCCGATCGTTGAGCTTTCGTGTCTTGACTGCGGTGCTGGGTATTGGCTAGACAAGACGTGCGGTTGGCGCCCAGCCGTCCAACTCCCTATGTTTAGAGTCCAGACACACCGACATAATCAAGTCTGCGTGATTTTTTTTGGTATAATGCAACACCTGGAATATGATGAAGTGCTTGTAGATTGGTGCTGCTGCATGTCACGATTGCGTTGGTACAAAGTAAGTGAATAAAACTCTGTTCACAAGTAAAGGAGAAGCTGAATAACGAATTCAACGCTTAGTTCTTGGAGATCCATCAATTCGTGGTCAACCTTTTTAGTTGAATTCCAAGGACCATGGCAGCTCTCGTCACTCAATCCTCCGTCTTGCTTTAAACGATTTCATCCTTTCAACAGCCATTCGGTTTGCTTGCTCCTTACCCTCTTTTCATACCTTCATTTGCGGATCGGAAATCGAATTCACTCATTTCAATGCTTTTTCAACCCCAGTATATTCCTAGGATCCTACGAAAGCCGGTCTTACGTCTCCTAGTTGTCTTCCTTTTTGTCTTGGACGCTTGCCACATTTGTGATATCCATTCACACCACGTCGCTGCTCGCCAAAGTCCCCCGGCTCGTAACTCAAAACGCATATATATTGCCGCAAACCACTGGAACGATGCTCCACTTCTTCGAGAGTATTGGAACAACGCTCTGATAGCTCTGGTAAAAGAACTGGGGGTCGATAACGTCTACGTCAACATCTACGAAAGCGGTAGCTTTGACGAAACGAAGGATGCTCTGAGGGAACTCGATAATGCACTGGGCGAGTTGCAGGTTGCTCGTGACATTTCCCTCTCGTATGATTCACACGAGCATTTGATTACACAGCAGCCAGGCGAAGGTTGGATCGAAATACCTGGAGGTGAAATGGCGCTACGCCGAATTCCATTTCTCGCCAGACAACGTAATCAGCTCGTGCATTCGTTGAGAGCTGCTGCTGAAAGAGGGTTGCATTTCGATACTGTGCTTTTCTTAAATGATGTCATATTCACGGTACGTGATCCCTGGTTTTTGCTCCCTTCCACGCTGTTGTTGTGAAGCTGGCTTAGGCTTCCTCCTCTATCGTACCGAGAAGGACATGACTGACTGTACATAGCCCGAAGATGTACTCACACTCCTTGATACCAATAGTGGTAACTATTCGGCAGCATGTTCTCTTGATTACGCCAAATTCCCGCAGTTTTACGACACATTCGCCCTTCGCGATTCCGAGGGTCACCAAATAGTGATGCAGACCTGGCCGTACTTTCGATCCGCAGCCTCACGCTACGCTGCCCAGCGAATGCAGCCGGTACCTGTCTCTTCTTGTTGGAATGGCATGGTCGCTATGCCGACCGCACCTTTTCTTGCCGAAAATCCTCTTCTGTTCCGCGGTATATCGGATTCGCTAGGCTCGTATCATCTGGAGGCGTCCGAGTGTTGCTTAATCCACGCCGATAATTATTGGACCTCTAGAAAAGGGGTCTTTTTGAACCCCTCGGTAAAGGTGGGGTATAGTAGCGAGGCATTTGAGGCCATTCGTAGATCTTCCTCGAGTATGTCGATAATAGATGTGTATAAAGGGGTTTGGGCGAATCGCATTTTGCGTTGGACGTCTTCACTCAAGACAGCTTATGAGGAGCATGTAGTTCGGGAAAGAGTCACGGCCTGGAAAGAGAAGCATCAGGGCGAGTCAGAACCAGGAATTTCTTGTCTGATCAATGAAATGCAGGTCATTCATGCCAAAGGATGGAGACATGTTTGAATATGTAGACTTTTTGGTCGTAGCTTAAACGAGCCAGCTCAAGTGCAAAGTATCACCCCGCCAAAAATGCCTAAGAAAGAGCTGCCTACTATCCACCCCACTGACGAGCTACCTTACAACACTCCACCATCATAATTACAAACAACGCGCATCAATCGTCCACCGCTCCCCAATCGCCCCAAAAATCATTTATCACAACTATATAACGAGAGCGGATAAACCCAACACCACAATGTCCACAATCCGCCCAATGCGCGCCTCGGACTTGCTGCGCATGTCAACCACCAACCTAGATCACCTCACCGAGACCTACAACATCGGTTTCTACCAGGAATACCTGACCAAATGGCCAGACCTATGTCGCATCATCGAAGGCGTAGACGGTGAAATTGAAGGCTACAGTAAGACCTCCTATTACCCACCCTCCCAATCCCACTCAATCCCACATTTTGACCCCCCCTCCATCTTCTTTTCTTAACTCTAGGCCCCACAACCACCCAATGCTAACAACACGTCCGCCATGACACAGTTCTAGGCAAACTTGAATCCTCGCCCTACCCTTCGCCCACAAACCCTTACACGCCCTCGACATGCCCAGACCCAAACTACCTCCCCTGGCACGGCCACATCACCGCCCTCACCGTCTCCCCGACCGCGCGCCGTCTAGGCCATGCCACCTCTCTTTCTACATCGCTGGAGCAGGCGTCCGATGCCGCCGATGCGTGGTTCGTGGATCTATTCGTGCGCGAGAGCAATGCCGTCGCGAAGGAGCTGTATCGCAAGATGGGTTACAGCGTCTATAGGAAGGTGGTTGCTTATTATAACGATGGCGAGGATGCTTTGGATATGAGGAAGAGTTTGAGTAGGGATAAGGATAAGGAGTGTGTTAGGGAGGGGGGCGAGGCGGTGGAGGTTCGCCCTGAGGATGTGTGGTAGGGGACAATGGGTCGCTTCTTGAACAGTACATGAGCGGGGAAAGGACTGCCTTGGCTGTGAAAAAAAGTAGTTGGGTCATACGAAATGAGTTCTTTCAGTGGAGGTAAGAAATTTAAGTTCGCAAGATGGAGGATTTGCCTTACGGGAACGCAGGGCCACCATCAATTCCAGCAATACTGACAAAAGAAAATAGTCAATTCACACAAATTCAGCCACTGCTATCTATCCATCCCTACCCAAGAAAATGCAGCGCGGACATTCTCTGCATTTAAAAGACATTACAGCGCTTAGATGCACTCAAAACCACACCCTCAAAACAACGGGTATCGCAAATCCAAACCAGTCCAACCCAACCCAAATCATCTCACCAACTAGAATTACAACATAAGAGAAGACAGAAAAGGGGAATAAAAGAAAAGTTTACATCTCAACGACCCAAAAACTTCCTGAAGTCGCGTACATCCTTCAACACCTCGAGCGTCAAAGCCGACGTCGCTGCCGACGACTGGGCAAGTTCGCCCTCATTCTGTACTGGCACTTCCACAGGCTCTGGCCTTGCAACCACCGCTGCTGTCGCCATCGCAGTTACAGGGCTTTCGAAATCCCCCGTCTCACCGGATTCGCCGCTGCTATCGTGACTGTCACGAGTCTTCTCGACTACAATCTCCGTCGTCCTTACAATCTCGCTCGGCGGCGCGTTATTATCGGTATCGTCGGCACTACCTTCCACGATAGTAGAACACCGCATGCTTCTTGGATCGTCTTCGTCGCACCCGCTATCAGTCGGGGGATCTGTTTCATCGCCAATGAAAAACAAGTCAGTCGCTTGGCATTTGGGTCGCGAAAATCGAACATGCTAAAGCGCAAAAGAGTTAATACTTGGTTCTGCCGTCCTGTCGCTCTTTTGCAGAGCGGGACTAAATGATCTCTGTCGCTGTTGCTGCACTTGCTGCTGCAGCAATCCTTCTCTCAGGCCCGATCTGGACCGTCCACCGCCACCCGGGGAATTGTGCCGCGAGGGATGTTTAGATCCGTTCCGTGAGCCTGCACGTAGAGAGTCGAAATCGTGATTACTCTCGAGATGGCTCGAGTCGTGACGTCTGCCGCGCTGCTGGGGCTGGGGCTGGTGCTGGTGCTGTTGTGACCGTCGGGTGTCCGCAACGGGAGGTGCTTGTCTGAACCGCCTCGGCGTAGAACTGGCTTTGTCGTCGTCAACGAGCACAACCATCCACACGCCCACAGCGCCCGAGGATCCGAGTAAGGGCGTGCAGTGGATCCAACGCGGTCGGCCTTCGGGGCGCTCTGGATCGACGGTGGCCGATGCCGATGACAACCAGCGTACCTTTGCTGTTACACCTCTCGTGCCATCAGCCAGGGCTTCAGAAAGCGAATCGCGCACGCGGTCAGAGCCGCCGATCCGGTCGAGGAAGCGCGATTGAAGGATGCCGGGGATACGAAGAGGAGGAGAAACGAAGAGGATGCGGAGGGATGGCGCCGGGCGAATAATGAGATACTGTTTATATCGAGTCAGATTAAATCATCAAAACACGGAGCAAGCCATGGATGGGGTCGTCTGCAGAGAGGATGGAAAACAAACAACAGGAAATGAAAGAGGACTCACGTTTTTATACACCCCAGCCAATCTCCCTTCCGCCCTCAAATGAGCACCATCCGGCCCCCTCTCGAGATCCTCATACTCAGTCATCCCCTTGATCAAAACTCTCGGACGATGTTCTCTCGAACTCATTCCATCGTCCTGCTCTTCCAAATGCGGATGATGCATACTACCGCCATGCCTCCTCACCGTCTCCAACTCGGCATTGTTCAACATCTCGCTGAGATCCTGGAGCTCGTCTTTAGGAGGGTTGGGAGCCTCGCGGCCTTCCTTGATGGCGATGAGTCGTTGGAGTGCCTCGAGATCCGTGCTGTCTTTTACGAGACCAGATACGTCGATTTGCGCGCCGATGTAGTAGCGGGTGTTGCCGCGGGAGTCAATGAGTGGTGCCATCATGAGTAGGTTCATAAAGGGGGAGCCGTCGCGGCGACTAGGGCAATACAGTTAGTTGGAAATGAACAAATAATTCTTATCTCTGGCTACCAGTGAATGCGGGATCCTCTGTTTTATGCAGCATGCGGATACCAACATTTTGTTCCCCCCGCTGTGGTGACGATGACATGCGAATTCTCAAGGGTGCTGAGAGAAAGACTTACTAGTTGAGCAGGACTTCATTGATCTCCCTGCCCTCGACGACAGATCTTTTCAATCTCTCCACGCTGCTTTTACTGGTCCAAGGACCCTGGAGAAATCTGCAGTTGCGCCCGATGGCGTAACCCACCCCGTATTGCGTTGTGCGGTGAAATTCTAAGCAAATTCCGAATCAGTGGCTTGACTAAGAGCGAAAGCGTTGATAGATCACATACCTTCCGAAGCAAAAATAATAGGGTTATCCGTCCTCGAAGGATCAGTTAGACAAAACACCTCTGCCAACCCTTCGCTCGCTTCACGCAGCATAGGCGGCAGGCTACCGGTAACGCGCTTCTGAATACTGACACTCACAACTTGCACGAAGACGTGCGAGATGAAGGCGGGCAAGTCCTCGCGAACCAGGACATCAAACGCCTGCTTCGCTTTGTCTTCCAGAATCGCATTGACCGTCGGACGAGCGGAAGTTGTCGTGAATTCCAATCCTTCAATGGGATCCAAGGCTTCGGCAATAGCATTGGCGTAGTTGACGGCGCGTAACGCTTTCAGTGCGTCGAGGTAGTATACCAGAATCGGCACTGACCGTGGCCGGGCCGCGTTCAGGAACGTAGTAAAGCGTAACAACGAAGCAGGGTGGTCGAAAATGGCCTGGAGATGTTCCTTGGAGAATAAGAGCTGAGACTGGGTTTCGAGGTTGAATCTCGGTCCCCTGTCAGAGTCGCTGGGCGCAGATGCGATTAAGTCGAAGGATCTGGGGTCATCTTCGAGTAGAGGGGACATGCGATCAACTGGTTCCGCGGTTTGGTTGTACTGCAGTGGAATGAGTGCTGCAGTTCCAGTTGACGAGGCTTTTGTTTCGTAGGACTTGACGGAATCGGTGTCGCTTGCGATACTTTGCGCATGATGTGAGCCAGATTCCGATCTCCCTACCCTGGATCGTGACCTTTCACTGGTGGGACGCAGAAATTGTTTTTTAACGGCTGGACTGCTGCTATTCTAGACGTCAGCTGGGATTCATGGGATCTTGCGTCCTGCTATACAAGAGCAAAGACGAACCTGGTTCTTGTGGGTATATGGATGCCACGCCTAGTGAAATCTGGAGGTGAGGGTGCGGTCTCCTCCTCTGCATAAGATACAGGTTGGGTAGGGTGACTTCCAAGAGGCTCGTTCTTGGAAGTTCTATCTGCAGAGGCTAGCTGTGAGAAAGAGGTGAGTTTCCGTATTTGTGGGTCATCGTCTGGTACTTGATGCATCTGTTGAAGAGGATCAAAGAGTGGCTCGTGACCAATGTCCTGATTGCCTCCTCGATTGGATCTTGGGATATTGTCTGGAGCTTGTATGTGGCCCATTCCGGAAATCTTTATTAGATGAGTAGGCTCGGAAACGGCAGTGATGTGGGATGATGAGAAAATCCCGTGGCCACCGCCCGAACGTCTTTTGATCTTGTTTAATAAGGGCATGAGTGCAGATCAGCCACTCAGGCTGCTCCGGACGCGGGAAGGAAATTGGCAATGGATTGAGATATTCGGTGGTTGAGGCGTAGAGCGGTAGCTGGGCGGGTTCATATGAAGATGCAAAAGCATTCGATGACGGCAAGTCGCAAAAACGCCAAAAAAGATGGGTGCTAAAGGGATTGAGCTGATACTTAGCGCGGCGCAACGCGCTCAGAGTGGAATTTCTCCCCGCAGGATCGCTCGAACCTAGGGGCTATTGGAGCAGGACGTGTGTCTCACCGAGTCATCCGTGAGTCGGCAGATAACGGTACAAGGGCGCCGATGCATGGAAGTGGCTGCTGTCGACACTGGCACGAGTAGTATCAACACTAAGGTTCATGTAACCAACCAGATGAGGGCACTGTTCTAGAGCTTGCAAGCTATGGATATCGGACCTGAAAATCGTCACGTCGCGTAATTGATCGGAAGATTTTTAGCATACATGCAGGGGTAACACTGGCAGTCATTTTCTGTTCAGATGCCTAGGTGTATGCGACGCGGTCTTGGTAGGACGAATGAAGCCTGTAGGAGCCACGTCAAGGACACACGGTGACATGGTGCAGTAGAGCAGAAGTTGAGACATGAATGCATCGTGCGCTGAGAGGGGAATATGTGCAGTAGAATCGGATTGAAGGTGGTGGGTAGCGTCGACAGACCCTTGGCCGCATGGTCGGCTCGCCGGGAGGGACGTGCCAGCCCGGGGAAGATCTTCTGCCGCTTGCCTGTCAATCTTGTGGATCCATTATTTGACATTGTTGAAAAACATCAACCAGGGACGGCACGGTGAGGCTTGGGATGACGTTATGAAGCCGAGATGCGATTCAAAGCAAGCCGAAAGGAAACAAATTCTCAGCCTGTCTCGGACGAGACTGAGCAGAGTCCCAAAGCCACCGACGACATGGCTGGGAGCTCGAATCAGACCCAGAGGGGATGGCAGTGATGACTGGGCGAAGTCTGATGGAGAAGGCCAGCCGGTGGACTAGGGGAACGTTCCGACAGAGCATGCAAGAAAAGCGATGCGCAACATAGTCAGGTACTGTGCCCTGGCCATGTACAGTGACGCAAGGGGAGGGGCGCGTGGCTCCCGTTGCTCTGATGTGGTCACCGATCTATGGCAGATGGGCTCGCGTGAGGGAAATCATGGCAATAGCGTCATCCCTAGTTCTTTAGCGCACGTCGGGTAGTTGTTTTTCACGTGGAAGCCGTGCTCGGAACCAGGTGGGCGTGATTCGAGCATGCCCAAGTCTTAGCTCCAAAGGTGTTAGCCTGCTAGGAACCAATAGTGCGTGTGATTGCCATACGTTGGCGCAGTGATATCAATTGATTGATTCCTTCGCCGTCCATGTTGCGTATGCGACTCAAGGACGTTGCGACAGTAGTCCCTCGTGCTCGCTTCCTCCTTCGTCCTCTTCGTCTTCGACGCTCCTGGATGGGTGTCTATATAATACATAATGCTGGAGTATAAAGATAATGTCGAAGACAATGGTCACATTGCCCAGCCCAAACTTGACTGGATTGCCCGTGATTCCACTCCAGTCGTTCTGCAGGGATGCATCAATGACCAACTGGCCCAGGGATAGCCAGCCTCCGGCGAAGTCGAGCAGCATCGGGTAAATGCTCCAGCCTTGCGTCGATTTGCGTTTGTAGTTGACCCACACCTGGGGAATGTACTTGAGGACCACGGTAAGTAGCTTCACCCACCCGAGCACGTATATCTATATTCCTGTTAGCCAACTGATCATCTCCTTTCAAGAAGCTGAAGTAGGTAGGGTGTATTCACCACGTCGATCCACGCCCAACCCTCGGGACTGTAGCCCTGGTCAATGCCTCTGAAGCGGGCAAGCACCACTACGAATAGAATAGCAAGAACACATGCCCAGAATATGGTCACTATTGGTCTGCTCGCCCTCTGCTTAGCTCCGACCCTGAACCCCCAGATCTCGGGGAAGAACTGGCTGTATATGATGACGCAGAGCACAGCGCCATGAGCGGCGAAGAGGAAGTCGTTGAAGCGCACGGTGGGTTCGGAATGGTATCGGTAGGCATATTGCGAGCGGATCGTGGGCGAAAAGAGGAATGCCGCCGTCGAGACAGTGTAGCATGAAAATCCGAGGACATTGAGGGTCGGAAAGTCGATGGCTAGGCCGAGGGTGCTTTTGCGAAACCAGTTGGAAATTGGCTGCGGGTAGAAAGATGCGGACCTGCGAGTACATGAGTTAGTTTGCTCGATCGTATTTTGTGCAGGCGGGGAAGGGTAGGCAGTTCGTACCAGGAGAGGAAGTACAGCCAACCAAGCACTCGCGATGCAGCTCTAGCGAAGTGAACGCCCTCGGAATCATCGTCAAGCATTTCGCGTGGCTCGGCTCATATCACGCTGCCTGTTGTTGGGGGGATTGCTTCAGTGAAGAACAAGACGGATGCGCCGGTGATGGATGCTGTGCTTTGGACGCGGCCGCGTGCATGTGTAATGGGTAATGGTGATGTGTGGGACGAGTGAGACCCTGGCTGTGCCGTCTCAAGTGCCATCCGGCCGATACGATAAGCATATATATAGAGCAAACAAAAACTGCAACTTATCGCTGAAACAATGCGTCATTCCTGACCAAATTTACGAATCCCACGACTGCGCGTTTGCATGTATCAGGTGTGCTTATGCTATGTACATGTTTTGCACGAGACCTAATGAGGTGAAGGCTAGCGGGGCATCCATCTCACGTCTATCGTCCATGTGCCCTCACGCATTCGTTCCACATACACCGGCTGTGCACCTACATTTTCGCCGCCTTCTCTATCAAGAGCTTCAGACCTTTGCCCTGCGCATCGAAAGACTTCTGTAAAGATTCCCCCATAGTTACCTGCAGTGTAGGAGCGAGCAGCCCCAGGTAGACTTCGCGACTTTCGTACACGACTCTCCCGTTCCCTACATCGGTTATGGCAGACCAACGCACCGCATCCAGCACTCCGTCAGGGGAATAGTATTTCCAGGCGACTCGGCCTAGCTCGGGCTGCACGTGGGTTATGTTTTCGTACGCGACTTGAGTATTGAGGGGGTTGTCGGGCGTGTTCTGGTCCACTGGTAGAGGCAGCGGCGGGATCTGAAGACGAAGGAACAGACGTTCGCCCTCGACCGGCCTTTGCTCGGGCAAGGTGAGGTTCAGGGGGGATATAACGATGGCTGCTCGAACAAATGGGTTCCAGGTCGGGTAATTCGCGAAGTCAGTCTGACAAGACGATCCAAAGTCAGTGCCGTCCATGCATGAGTGCGTTGTTCGTATGCGTGAGAACGTACCAGGGCGTCCCAAGCTGCGGCGAAGGTTCCCTCCATCTCGATTTGCGTGCTGGCATTGAAAACACCTTGAGGCACATCTGGGAGGTTGATGAACTGAGAGGCCACAGTGGACGCCAGGGCCAAAACTACGGACGTCTTTGCCATGATGATTATATCGGTGGTTCAAGAGGAGAAGGGCTGATTGCACGGCAGGAGCCGGATATAAGACATGACATTACGATGGGCTCCTTTACGTTCACGGAACGGAGCAGGAATGCACACGAATAGGGACATGGTGTGAAGTGCATGAGGTATTGAACTGTATACGAGATGATGTCAAAGGCTTGCTAGGGTATGTAGGATGGGATCAATTGATGGAATAAGAACTGCAAGGGAAGGGACAGGAAAGGGAGTCGCAAGGCTGTTCAAAGAACTGAAAGATGTGTGTATGCAAAGATTATTAAATAACAACAATCACAGTGCAGTTATCTAGTGATGAAATGTAGAATAGTGGGTCGGGATAGCAATGATGCGTGGCGTAGTATGTGTGTACACACATGTATGATCAATGCCGTGGGGAGGAGCTGGCTGGGTCTCGCCGAGGGGCAGAATACAGGGGAGGAGGGGAGATGCCCCTCACTACCGACTGATGGGCTTCCCGCCGCAAGCATCAATGCTCCCCCCGCAAACAACAACATCGCGAATGTCCAGCATGTCGCCGAACTAGATCGAGTCGGACTCTTGTTTGCGTTGGATCCGCGTGAAGCAAGCAGACAATCAAGAAAGCAAGCAAGCAAGCAAGCAAGCACTGAAGCCAGGTACGGTGGTAGATGCCTGTAGCTGCTCATGCTCATGCAAGCCCCGCCCCGTCCATGGCTCTCGGGGGTCCGTTATCAACATCCAACCAACTGCCGCGTCCCCTCACCGCATGTGTATAATCTGTCTACGGTACAGCTCTGTGTCTATGCGGCAGAGCACTGTACTGCACTGCACTGTACTTGCTGCCCACCAATCTTGTATGACGGAACACAGAAACAACAACATCTTCTCAGACACCACTTCAGCTGAAAGACCCTGACGTGCCGACGCTATCCAGGGGGTCACGTCACGGGTCGTCTCTGGAGTTAGTCAGTCAGTCATTCATTCAGTTCATTCAGGCACATGTATGCACACCATACTCCAATCTTCCTATCTACCTGCCTACCGGTACCTGCTGGCTACATGACGCATCCGCCTTTGTCTTAGACCTCACTTGCCCTCCTCGCTGGCCCTTGCACTCAGCCTTTCCCCTTCACACCAACCGCACCTTCTTACCTACCTACCTACCCACCTACCCGCCTACTCATCATCCTGCTGTCCCTCACATTCACCACCTAACAAACCCGCCCATAGTTGCTGTTCAAGCCCCCACCCCGCTCACGTACCCCATCGTCATTTGAATGCCCCCCTCGCCCGACTCCGTCGACCCCGCGCATCCTGTCTCCAACCTCACGTACCTGCACCAGCAGCAGCGCCAGCAACACCACGCGCGGAACAAACCCCTCGACTCTCCACAGTTGCGCGGTCGCAACACGACGACGCGTCATGAGCTGGGAAGAAGAGATAGGCATGGCGATAGGGTCGCCCGCATCTATCCCCGCGAGATGTGAGTTCGATCCGTCTCCATCCACCCTTGCCCCTGTGAATGTACAGCAGCGCTGACGTCTTCCCTAGAACCAAGTCACCACCGTCCGCGAAGAGGTACTCGTCCGCATCTCCCACCGGTCTTGCCTACAACAATGCCACCACCTCCCCGCTCGTCTCCGCTCTCGGCGTCACCAAGACCGCCGCACAGTATACAAACGAGTGGACAAAGTCTCTCCCCTTCTTCGCAAACCAAGCTTCCCCTGGCAACGGCGGCATAGCTATCAATCCGTCGCCGCCTGCTTTGCACAACATGTCCAACTCCCCTCCCGCCCCTGGTGTGAGGCCTCTGAGCCACCCGAATCACTATTCGAGTTTCGGAGGACGACTGCAAGGCTCACCCCACGACTCTTCCGGTCGCGACCGTAGGGCTTCTCTGTATTCTCAGTCAGCAGCTCGTCCCTCCTCCAGGCAAGTCGTCAACAATCCGCCGTTGCCGCACCAGCCCCAAGCGCATTTTTACAATCTGCCTGATTTCGATCTGGGCATGAACAATGTTCCCGAGGGAGAACTGGCTCCTGGCGAGGGAGGCTACTTTTGTGGTTTCGATTCGCTAGGCATGGCTGGTGATGAGGCCGCCAAAGCAGCTGAAAATGTACTGCTCGTAGGCTACCAGGGAGGCATCGACGTATTCCGTGTCGAGAAAAGCAGGATGGACATTGTCGGTCGCCTGGAGGGTCTTAGAGGCGGCGTGATCGGCGCTAAGATCCTCCCCTGGACATCCCGCCACGATCCGCTATTCGATGCCCGGCCCTTGATAGCGCTCGTTATACACGGTCCGGTGTTGAGTGACAGCCGGAGCAGTAATTCAGGCAGTGCAGCGGCCTCTGTCCTGGACGATTCTGCGTCTGAATCCCCAAGCCGCCCGGGCTCAAGCCGAGGGAATGACCCTGCAGATCGAGTGCTCAATTATCAGACCACAGTGGAGGTATACTCGTTGAAGAGGAAGCAGAGGATCGCCGTATTGTATCAAAGCCCCCTCGTCCCGATCACAACACGCATCGATAGTCCCATGTTCCAACCACCTGCCCCTGTTGGTGACTTTGTAATAGATGCCAAAGGTAAATTCGTTGTGGTAGCTTCTGGTGCAAGTGGTGAAGTGTTTGTTTTCGCGCCTTACGTCAAAGACCGCGGCGATTATCAAGAGGCGTTTCGATGCATTGGGAAAGTCTGGTCTTCAGTTCAATCCCGAGAGCGCACAACTCAGTCGGGTCCATCGAGTGCTGCAGATGGCAGTCACGAAGATATCGTCCCCGAGAAATACGGGGTGCCTGTTTTTTCACTTTCCGATCGGTGGTTGGCCGTCTCGCCCCCTGCATCCAATGCGCTGTTTCCTGTCAACGGCACTGCCTTGGTGTCTCCCTATAATGAGCGACCCCCAGGACTGACCCACCATACCGTACCGCCTCAACCCTCGGCAAACTGCATTGTAGACGCACCCGAAGCAGATAGTCTGTTTAACCGTCTCACGAGAGAGGGCACTCAAGTTGCTATCAAAGGAGCACAATGGGCCACTGAGAAAGGCTACCAGGCTTTCAAGAGCTACATGAATAAGAATGTACAACCCGGAGGGATGCCCAACTACAATGGATACAGTACAGAGCCTGCGCAGCCTTACTTTCCTCCGACCCATGGACACAATCAAACCCAGCCTAGGCAGGAGTCTTCTGTGATATCAATCTATGACCTTCAACGGTTGTACGATGCCGAAGAGACCAAGAGCAAGAGTGCACTACACGCTGTTGCCACCATACCCGCCGTACAAGGGTGCAGCTACCTCTCATTCTCGCCGTCAGGTCTGATGATCATGACGGTCAGCAAGAAGGGTGATTTGCAGGATGTGTGGGACCTCAAGCGGATGAATTTCAAACGGGCCCGTCGGACCACACGGGAACAGCCTCTTGGTCCACATGTACGACAAATTGCTCGTTTCGCACGCATGACTGTCACCAATGTAGTAGATGTGGCCTGGTCGACTCCTCGAATGGACAAGGTTGCCGTCATCACCGATAAGGGTACCGTGCACATGTTCCTTATGCCAGCTTCCGCTTTCCAGTGGCCTCCTTCTCGCCGGATCCGCAAGTCTGTCGAGGCTGCAAAGTCAAAGGAGAGTGGAACTGAGAGTGGACGGAAAGGTGCAGTCAATACCGCCATGCAAGCGCTCAATGGTACCTTTCTGAATGCCATGCGTCCACGTACCACATCCAATGGGTCTCGCTTCACGTTTTCCAGCCTGGGTATGACTCCCACCGCAGGCGCAAAGTCCGGAAAGGCTGTTGCGGCTGGTGTAGGGAAATCTATCAACAACATACGGCATGCTGGCGATAATAAGCTGACGCTGCCCTCGTCACCGAGTGGCGTGAAGCCTCACAGCGTGCAGTGGTTCACGGGCAAAGGCCGCGGTTCAATCGCTTTAGTGGCTAGCGGAGTGCTCCAGATCTATAGGATTCAGATGCGACCTGCATCCGGGAAAGGGAAATCGGCAAATGAGACACTCATCTCCAAAACCAAGTCGGTCGAATACGGACTGGCGCCGATTCACGACACACCATTACCACTGTCTACTGCTATGCAACTGCAGCCTCAAGTAGAGGATCACGATGTCGTGAACGATGTTTACGGAGAGTGGTTTCCTCGCTCGTTACCGTCACGCCTGACAAAGGCTGGTGCCCCAAACACGAAACTGGTTGGATCGTCGCCTGCACCTTTGAGCTTCTCTGAGATCGAAACAAATCCTCCTTATCAGCCTTTCTATACTGACCGTCGAGTGACACGCTATGTGTTCTCCCGAGTGAGCGATGTGGAGAGCAATGGAAGTGAGCACGAGCCTATCATACCTGAAACGACTTCGAACCTGCATCATAACGATGATGTGTCGCCTTGGGTTTTCGGCCAAGATGTTGAGGCCGTCCGGATCTCATCTCCAGCGATGCAACACTACGAATCTGGGGAAGACGATGACATTATCGCTGGAGTTGCAGCACGCATTGAAAACAAATTAGTCCTCCGAGACGGCGAAGAAGAAGTTGAACAAGTAGTCGTTACCACGCGGCGAAAACGCACACGTAAACAAGGCGCCGAAGAGGACGAGGATGGCTTCTTCGAGGATGATTGCGAAGTACTCGATTTTGCAGAAGACCGAGTCTAGGCAGTTTTTTTGGGCTTTCATGATCATCTACGAGTGCACGTTCTCAACAAGGTTGCATACCACGGATTTTATATGAATGGTGCAGTGCAACAGCACCTGGGTGTTTGCTTGATTTTTGAACACGAAATTGGGGTCGACAGGCGCTTCGGCGAGTTTTATGGATTTCACTTTGTTTGGCACTTGCATCACACCAAAGAAATACCAATACCTACGTCCCAATGACAGACGCTTGCATGAATGTACATAGAATAGAACAATACAAAGCATTTGCAAATAGAGGTGACACTGCACAGGGTGCCTTTCCCTATCATTGCTCTGATTTGCGCCAAACATCTTGAAGAAGCATTTGCGATTTGCCGATTCATTCTCTACATGAGGAACATACGCACGGGATCGGCGAACGACGGCTTTCGGGAATCCAGGGTCTCGGTAAGCGCCAAGATACGTCAGACCAAACAAACCAAAAAGTTGTCAAAGTCAGTCGCACTCCTCTCCACCCCTCCTTAAACGTGTTCTTCAGGAGAAGAAGAAAACAACCCCATCCTTCAACTCATCCACATTTCCGCAAAAATGGATTCCCTCCGTTCGGCGCTTCAGCCCATCACTCACAACCTCCCGGCCCCCATTGTGGAGACTGGGCGCACGCTGCTCACACCTTACTGCTACAAGACGCTGGTTCTCGACATCGACCCCTTTGCGTCGCCCGACTGTCTTAAGCTCGCCATCAGCAAAGGTCTCGGTATCGGCATCATTGCCGCCTCCTCCATCGTCAAGGTGCCCCAGCTCCTTAAGATCATCAACTCGGAATCCGCCTCGGGCATCTCCTTCCTGTCCTACCTCCTTGAGACCGGCTCCTACATCATCAGCCTCGCGTACAATGCGCGCCACGGCTTTCCCTTCAGCACCTACGGCGAAACCGCGCTGATCCTGGTCCAGAACGTTGTCATCGCTGGCTTGGTGCTCAAGTACAGCGGGAAAGGCGCTGGGGCTGTCGGCGCGTGGGTCGCGGGTATTGTGGCTGTCGGCGCAGCACTGTCGAGGGGTGACATTGTGGATTTCAAGACGCTAGCCTGGCTGCAGGCCGGTGCTGGTGTGTTGAGCGTGGCTAGCAAGGTGCCGCAGATTGCGACAATCTTCTCGCAGGGTGGGACTGGACAGTTGAGCGCGTTCGCTGTAAGCCTTTCTCCCTCCATCATTATCTCCCATGTCCTCATCCAACTCTTCACGCACGGAGAAGACATCCGCACTCTAGAAATACCGTATATATACATTGATATAGACCCATCAAACTAACTCGCAAACACAGGTCGTAAACTACCTCCTCGGTTCCCTCTCCCGCATCTTCACCACCCTCCAGGAAGTCCCCGACAAGCTGATCCTATACAACTTCATGGCAGGCTTCGCCCTCAACCTCATCCTCGCCCTGCAGATGATGTGGTACTGGAACAGCGCAACCTCCAAGAACACGGCTAGCGCCAAACTCAACAAACCCGTCTCTTCAAAGGCTGGCGCCAAACAGGTCCGCGATCAGAATGCGACTACAACCAGCGGTACTAGCTATGCTAAGTCTGCGGCGAAGAGCCCTAGTACGAGGCGTAGAGGATAGATGGTGATATCACTTCTTGCCAGTCGGCTTCGGTAGGGTTATATTTGGGAAATTTGATATTGTGTTCGACGAATGAGAAATAAATAAGTGTGGTGTTGATAGTTCATCAATGTCCTGATCTTTTGTCTTGGTCTTGTGCACATTCGTATATCTTCCGTCAGAGTGAACAGCTGAACCTAGCCGCTTTTTTTTTCTTTGTTGCCCCAAAACCCACAAGATACATAAGGTATGAACTAACCATACACTCTATCAGTTTCAAAAGAAAGGGAAGGGGGGAGAAGGCGAGATTCCAACTACATTGTTCTTCAGTCCGCTAATAAGAAAACAACCCAATGCTTGTGATTTGAAGGATTGTTTCTTGGTTTCGTTAAGACACTGGTCATCCAACAAAAATGCAGAAGAGGAAGTGCATGGCCTACGAAGGCTTATTGTGCACTCCTAGATTGCGTCACGAGGTTGCTTGAACCTTTTGTTGGCTCATCATCAATATAATATTGATTGATATGTTGACGTGTAAATGAATACACGTAAACATACTTCGGTATATATATATCTCTCTCTCTATGTATATTTGCGCTAATAGAGCCCACTTCTGCAAACCCAAGGCGAGCAAGCGTCTTCACTTCTCCATGATCTCGCTGGCAAATGTACTCCTCGCACGAATACGCGGACCGTACACAACCAGCACCCACGGCACGAGCGTGAGCAGTGCACCGATCCCACCGAGCAAACTCGAGGCGCCGCCGAAACCGAGTCGCGTGTACATTTGTGTTGTTATAAGGGGAAACACGCCGCCTACGAGGACAAAATCAGAAACGATGTTGACAACAGGGGGGGAAGGCAAGGCACTTACCAAGCATATTTCTACAGAATGACTGGGCCGCTAGAGCAGAGCTCGCGTATCGATGATACGTATCGGCCAGGTAATTGAAGACGCTCAGGTAGATGGAGAAGATGCCAATGGTCGCGATTGCGATTGCGATGGAGGCGACAATCCAATGGATGCTGCTGGCACTTGTCCAGCCAAACATGAACAGACCGATTGGCATGCACGCTGACTCGACGCATGAAAAGTACAAGCGTGCTTCGGGTGTGGGTGGCAGTTTGTTATAGCGTCTAGCAATGCGGTCCTGATAGATTGACAGAACGGTGGCGACGATGGCCCCGATACACATGGCAGCAAAGACAGCGTTAGCCTGCTGTAGCGTGAAGTCATGGTTGGCTTGAAAGACGAGCGGGATGGCGGCGAGAGTAAGATATAAAACGGCCCAGCTGAAAGCGACCCAGAGGGAGAACCAGAAGACCACGGGTTCAGTGAAGAGGAGGTGGAAGGGGCGAAACAGTGACACGCCGATGGACTTTGTTAGGCTTGTTCGCTCCTCGTCTTCTTTGACTTTCCAACGTATCCTTTCACTTTTTTGGTTGCGCGTCTCGCCCTCAACAGGCATCTTGAAGCCGTAATAACCTCCTGCCTCACGCGCTTCGTACCACTTGTTGAGAGCTCGTGCTTTGCGACTTAGCAAGACCGATCCACGCGTTTCTTTGAAAACGATGCAGATGACTCCCACCATGACCGCGCAGGATATCGTTTGCGTGTAGAATATCCAACGCCAATTGGTGTTTTGAGCGATGAAACCACTGACCAGAGGGCCCAGGCCCGTACCGAATAAAGCTCCAAAGGAGAACAAAGCCATTGGGGTGTTGCGGTCAGCGGTGTGATAGATGTCAGAGACAACGCCACCGACTACCAACCGTGATTCTGTCAGTTTGCGACGGGGAACTCGAAGGACAACACTGGTGGAATGACAAACGTACCCATTGTTGAAAATGTAGACCCTCCTACACCAGCGAAGAATCTCACAACGAGCATGCCAGCATACGATTGCGTCAAACCGCTGCATAATTGACAAATGACAAACAGTATGCCAGAAGCGATGAAGACTGGTCTTCTCCCATTGATCTCTGAAAACGGTGCCAGCACCATAGGGGCGATGCCAAAACCTATGAATAGGCATCAGTGATGTGGCCAAATACACATGTACGTGTTTACCGCTCGTTAAGTTCTGACGTACCCACTGTGAACATGGTAATGCCGACCAGGACTGCGACATTACTCACATGCCACTCTGCTGCCATCTGGGCCACTCCAGGACTGTAGGCTCCAGCAGAAAATGCGGTCAGTGAAGTGATGATACAAGAGATGATTATCAGCATTCTTTTCCGCCTCTCTGGCCATTCAAAGGGGGAGTCATATTGTCTTATGTCCGGCGGATCTGGAGGCGCGGCTTGCCCTGCTCTCGAAGGTATTATTGTGGCCGGACTGGGTAGAACCGTAGCTTCTGTGAGATAATAGTGAACAATCTCCCCGATAGGTTGCTCGTCGTCTTCGTCTCCATCGTCTGGGAATGCGTCGCCGTCACTCTTTTCTTTGGGGTTGTTGGCGGACGAGCTGACACTGCTCCTGGATGTGGGGGATACCTTCTCGGGAATTGCAGGTGAGGTGCTTATTCCCGACTCGCTTTGACTGTTGCTCAACTGCAACTGGGCCGACGTCATGGGCAGTTCAATCTCTGGATCAGCCATTGGAGACAGATGAACGGGTCAAGTTGTCTCGGGCTGACACAGGTTGTGTGGTTCGGGCTGTGGAGCGGGCTGAAGGCATTGTACGTAAGGATTGGGGGGGGCTCACGGCAATTTGAAGGCTGGCGGTGGAGGTACCCGCTGTTGATATGGTGCTAGAGGGCTGTGACAAGATGAATCGATGCTAAGGTAGATGGAGAAGCCCGATGGAGCTTATGCAGATTGGTTCCTGCGGTGCGGTTGGATGGAACGGGGCAGTCCGCGGAAATAACAACCGATAGTTTGGCCATGGCGTCCGGGTATTAGAAGCCATCCCGGCGTCTTAGGTACAGAAGCTCTCCAGAAGCTAGGTTACATACTGGCGGAGGCCCTCGTGGGGACGGAGACGGAGATAGTTCGGTGAGGCTCATTGTCGATGATGATCGAACATCTGGAGGCATTCAAAGTGGCACCGGCACGTGACTCGAGAGCCACAACCACCTGGGCAGCACCCCCATATGCAGGCATCAATAGATGCAAGCACGACACATTCCCAAGCACGTGTATACATATGTATATATGTATGAGTTATGGGGCCAACGGACATGGATTGTTCTGATTCTGAACACACAACACAACTGTTAACATGTGCCGTACATGTAAATGATTCGCTTAAATCCGCTTCCATACAGACGGTTTTCAGTTGAGGAGGGGGTCATGGATAATTGACATATTCCAGAGTCATACAGTACGTCATTAGCTTTTGGGTGGTTTGCTACAAGGGTTTTGGAATTGAAATCGACGACTTCAAATGTTGGACAAAAAATTGTTATCATATGATATACCCACCGTGTAGTATTTGTACTGTACTTCTAGTATTTGGATTCCGAAGGGCAATCGGCATAGGGACATCATCATGGGGAGTAGCTGCTCATGTTTCTGACTCAGACGATCCCTGTCCATAGCTATGATGGCAGCATTCTTGCAAGCGATGGCGCAAACGGACCCGTAGTGGGGTTGTTGGGGTTGAGGGCAAAGTACATGGCAAAAAGGTATACCTTTACGTGTACATGAAAATGGATGTGTAACTTCCAATCCAACGCTGGATGGGAAACCAAAAGCTCCTTCTTTGTGTAACTGCTGTGAGAGGCAGAGGAGTGAGGCATCGCGAAAGAAGACGAGTCTCGCGACCACCAGCCCGACTTTTCGGCAGAGACAGACGCCTCCAAAGGCCACAACTTCTGACCGCCTTCATCTACGAAGCATCATTGGGGCTTGGTATAGTCAAGGTGGCGGGAGGTGTAGGGCAAAAAACTTTTGTTTGCCTACACGTGAGAATTGCGCAATGCACGCCTTCCCCGATCCGATTGCGGAGAGCTACCTCATCGCCCCTACAAAAGGTCCACATAGCCTTTGACACGCTGCTAGATTCCAGTGTCAGTTCTTACCCTTCCATCTCTCCTCCAGAACTGTCTACATCAAACTCTCAAAGAGTCCGCCAGCAACTTGCTTCATTTTCCTGATACGAGACCATCTCCATACAACACACAAAAGGTAAGCAAGAATACGCGAGCACCCAAGCTGCCTCCCCCACGTCCCCCTACCCCGCTACCCCTCCTGTTTGTCCTGTTTGACTGACCACGAATAAAGACTGCACAATGGCATCCGCTCTCAGACTCGGTAGCACCGCTCCCAACTTCAAGGCCGAGACCACCAAAGGCCCCATTGACTTCCACGAGTTCATTGGCGACAACTGGGTCGTTCTCTTCTCTCACCCCGAGGATTACACGCCCGTCTGCACCACCGAGTTGGGCGCCTTCGCGAAGCTCGAGCCCGAGTTCACCAAGCGTGGCGTGAAGCTCATCGGCCTCTCGGCCAACACCATCGACAGCCATGAGGGCTGGATCAAGGACATTGACGAGATCTCGGGCAGCAAGCTCAACTTCCCCATCATTGGCGACAAGGAGCGCAAGGTCGCTTTGGCATACGACATGTGAGCGGTCTTCCTTTTTCACCTGTCTATATATACATTCATCTTCGGAGTGCTAATTGAGCTTTTCAGGATCGACCACCAAGATGCCACCAACGTCGACTCCAAGGGCATTGCCTTCACCATCCGCTCCGTCTTCATCATCGACCCCAAGAAGACCATCCGCCTCATCCTCTCGTACCCCGCCTCCACTGGGCGCAACACCGCCGAGGTGCTCCGTGTTGTGGACTCGCTGCAGACTGGTGACAAGCACCGCATCACCACGCCCATTAACTGGGTGCCCGGAGACGATGTCATTGTCCACCCCTCGGTCAAGAACGAGGAAGCCAAGGAGCTCTTCCCAGACTTCAAGATTGTGAAGCCATACCTGCGATTCACCCCTTTGCCCAAGGAGAAGACTAGCGCCTCCGCATAAGCGGGAAAAGGTGCGAGTGGTGGCGGTAACGGACTTCGGGATGCGGCGGAAAACGTGGCAAGCCGAGGAGGAAAGGAGCGTTACGAGCCGAGATAAGGCATGAGCGCCAAGGGGTCCTCACCGGGAGGCTCGCAAAGGGCAGGTTGCCACGATGGCTTGGTGATGATACGGTCAAGGTGTTTTCTAGAATGGCTTGGGATGTTTCCAGGCGGTTTTTGGTTCTTCATGTAATGTAGCGACGACCATGCACGGCCATTTTGGCAGGATATTTCTCGGCGAGATGAATGAATGACAAGCACACTCTTGTTCCCATGGCTACCCCGCGTCGGCAGGCTCAAGGCATTGGATGTGGTGATGAAACATGTTGGTTCCAACGCTGATGACGATGAAGAAGAAACGGTGTCATTTTGGGCCAATGGTGCCTGGCAGTCGGGACAGGAAGGGTTTCGGTGGGCCGTGCGAGACCCAAGCAACGCGTTGGTCAACCCAGGGCGGTGGGTTGGATGTAATAGCACGTATGTATATTAAGCAGAAAACGACGGCACGGCATGGTGGCGCTGGGTGCAGGGGAAATCTTTGTCCGTACGGGCTGTACCTACATGGGCACGTATGTAGCTATGTACAGCTGGAGAGAGCCAGTTGGGGTGGTGACGTTGGTTCCTCCGACATGGGAAACAAGGTACTGGGGGAAGGGGATTAATAAGAAATGGAACAAGGAAAAGAAACGAAAAGGACGGGAAAATAGGAAGGCAAACCCGCGCGGCTGAACAGACAAACAGACAGACAGCCAGCATCAGCCCAGCCATGGACAGACATGATGGTGCCGCGTGTGTCTGCTAGGGATCCGGAGAAGTTGCACTTGTTCTCAGACTCCACCACCACCACACCGACATCACTCACTCGCTCGCTCACTCATCCACCCACCACCCACCACCCCCCCTAGACTCCCGTCGCCGCCCTCCCCCAGCCAGGACCGATACCCCCCACTGCTAGACCGTTACCACTCCCCTCTGATCCTCTACTGTGCTCCCTCTGCTCCGCTCCCTGGTGCTCTGGCTTGCTTGTCAGTCTGTTCTCTTCTCCTCGCGGGCTCTCCTTGCATCTCCCCAGCAGCCTCGCCCAGCCCTCCCTAGCCGCATCGGGATTCGCTCCGCAGCCAAACCTTTACGCCCCTACCTCTTCATTGTCGACTGCTGGCTGCCTACACCGCAGCAGTCACCACCGCGCACTACCACTCTTTACTGTCCACCTCTACCAGCTTACCTTCACTCCTCCCTCGTTGCCCGTCTGTTTTCGCTCGCTGTGCGTGCGTGGGTCCGCGAAACGTAAGGTGCCCGCTTTCTTTCATCCAACCCCTCAGTCCTCCTCCCAATGCTGCTTCTCCCTACCTACCTAGCCTGTGCACCCCGTCGCAAACCCTCTCGCTCTGTGTTTCTTCGTTTTCTCCCAGAACATGCCTAGATATTCTCCATACATGAGAAACATGCAACCTTTGTTCTCTGCTTTTGGCCGTTTACATGTTTCTGTCCTTTTTTTTTCCCTGTCTCCTTCCACGGCTCAAAGCCTGTCTTACCGGAGGTGTACGGCCGCAGCCGCAGTGCCCCCGTGTAACACTGCACAGTTGCACCGCAGTCTTGTTTCCCATCACGATACCTGTTATGGCTTTTGAGCTGTTCCCCAGTCCCCTCCCGCTGGCCGAGACCTGGTCGCATTGCCTGCATTGGGTTCTTGTCTGCAGCTGAGGTCGACTGCGGCGGTTGAAAAGCATGGCATCGTCTTCTCGAACAGCCATCTTGCATTTATGATTCTTCTTCTTTTTGGCCTTGCCACTGCTGTACCGAGTTTCATAGCTGACCATGCTTCCATTAGGCGTTGTCGCCTATCCATCAGTAGGCGCCAGCACTACTCCTTTGGGCGAATCTCATTCCATCTGGAAGAAGCCAAAAGTCTTTAATCTCAAACGCTCCCCGTCGAATCAGACATCGCCAGAATTCGAGCCCGCCATCTTTCGCGCCCGCTCCAAACCCAGGACCACTTTCCCGGCCCCTTCTACGCTTTTTGGTTCATCTTCCCTCGTCGACGCCAGGTATTCTAGCCCCGCGGTCAAGCCAAAACACGTTCCCATCGTCATTCCAGATTATGCCCCGGTCGTGAATCCTCATCTCTCTTGTACATCTAGCGGACTTGCCTCGTTGAGATCTTCGACTGTTGTTTCCAGTGGACGTCCAAGCTTTTCTCTTCTCCCATCACCTGACCAGAAATCCATCGGTGATTCCTCGAGCGTTAAATCCAGGCATGTGGAGATAGTGATACCAGACTGGGCCATACCGATCAAAAAATCACCTTGTTTGCTTCCATCGCCATCATTTGATACCCCAATATCGACCACTTGTGCATTGCCCGCTGCGGAATCGAGTCCGGCCAGTATGGCTCGGCAGACGCCAAACACGAGCCGGACAAACACCATTGATTCGCAAACCTCAGCTCCATCTCCATCGCAATTATACCCAGATACCTTCCGAAACGGAGGCGCTAATTACACCTCGAGTGTCAACGGTAGCCAAACCAGTCTTCACGACCAAGATGGCGAACGTCCGCCTGCGTTGTCAGCAAGAACACCAAATCTTGGCATATCACCCGCTTTGATGCAAACGGCCGGTCTAGGAACCCCATCCAATTCCAACTCCACTTCAGGACTATCAGGTCTTGTCTGCAATGTGCACAGGACGACAGGTCGCGAGCCTCATCCTTTGGTGGGAGCGACCACTACAATTCTAGGTGACAAACTCTATGTGTTTGGTGGTCGTCGGCTATCAAGGACAAGACCCCAGCTCACCTCGGATTTGTTCGAGCTGGATCTTATCAAAAGACATTGGACCAAAGTAGACGCGAAAGGCGATATCCCTCCCCCGCGGTATTTCCACAGTGTATGCGCACTTGGGGACACAAAACTCGTCTGTTATGGTGGCATGTCGCCGGCCATGTCCAATGCGTCTCAGCAGCCCAACCAAGCTGCCAACGTCATGCAAGGAAATCCAGCAGATGGTCAGCCAGAAGTGATTGTCATGTCCGATATCCACATATACGACACGCTTACGAAATCTTGGATGAATATCACCACCAACGATGCCCCCCAAGGGCGATACGCTCACTGCGCGACTATACTGCCCTCCTGCGCTTCTTTTTCCTCGGAAACATCCACGTTGGCAGCTATTCGTCACAATCCCTCATCGAGTACCCCCAACCAAGGATCTATTGGAGTGCAATTGGAGGGGGAAGGTGGTGCAGAGATGGTAGTTGTTGGCGGCCAAGATAGTGCAAATCACTACATTGAACAGATCAGTGTCTTCAATCTTCGGAGCTTGAAATGGACAGCAACCAATATGCTCGGAAGGAGCTGCGGCGCCTATCGAAGTGTGGTAGCACCTTTGACCAGCATGGATCCTAACAAGATTGGCACAAGTACACGGAAAAAGGGTGAACCAGAAAGTCCAGAAGAACAAGATGCTTCATCCAGGAGCCCGGGCGCTTCCATGTTGATATACTCCAACTACAACTTTCTTGATGTTAGGCTCGAACTGCAGGTGCGACATCCGGATGGCACCTTATCCGAGAAGGCGATGCAAGGGAATTTTTCGCCGCCAGGTCTACGATTCCCGAACGGAGGCGTTATCAACAACCACTTCGTCGTCAGTGGTACCTTCCTGACATCTTCAAAGCAAGAATACGCACTGTGGGCACTTGACTTGCGGACATTAAGCTGGGGTCGCATCGAAGCTGGACACAATATCTTTAGCCAAGGCAGCTGGAATCGGGGCGTTCTTTGGAGCAGGAGGAACAGTTTTGTTGTTTTGGGCAATCGCAAGAGGAGCCTCGTGGAGGACTATAACCACCGACGAATCAACTTTACAAACATATGTATCGTTGAACTGGAAGCTTTTGGCTTATACGATAACCCTCGTAAAGTTTCACCTTACTCGGGCTTCACTTCAGGAAGTGCGCCTAGACAGGCTGATGGTGTCGACATCAACGCAGGCGGGAGGTTGCTTTCTCCAGCGGCCGCCGAGCTAGGCCAAATAGCATTAGGTATGCGTGAACTCGCGGACATGGACTTTCTTGCTGTACACGGCGAACGTATTCCGGTGAATTCACATCTTGTAGCCCGTCGATGGGGCCCGTTCTTCAACCAGCTCCTTCGTGAGAGCTCCACGTCGGCCGAGATGGCGGACACGGCCACGCTTCGCCCCACGACTGGAATGATGCATCCTTCCCGCAACTCAAGTATTACCATCACACCTTCTATCAGAACTGGCTACTCAACAGCTACGACGCTCACGAATAACACATCAACCCCATCGGAAGCCTCAACGGCCACTGCTTCCTCCGCTACACACCCCCCCGATCCCGTCACGCAACCACCCGCCGCAAGGTCCCGTACGCTATACCTGCCACACACCCATTTGACCCTGCAGGCTCTCATACATTACTTGTATACTTCATCTCTACCCCCGCATACTTCACCACTTTGTACTCCACAGATCCTGTGCTCTTTACTCCAGCTTGCTCGGCCGTACCACATCGACGGTCTGCTTGAAGCCGTTATCGAGCGTTTGCACATTCTTCTCGATAATCGCAATACTGCTGCTATTTTCAATGCAGCTGCCATGGCGGCAGGCGGTGGTACTGGAGTGTCTTTCCTTGGCATGAATGGCACGACAAACGGCACAACCAACGGCTTTTTGGATCCTTCCAACTCAACGAACGGTGGCTCAGAACGCTCGCTCGACCCAGCTCTACGCGCCCTCCGCCTCGACTCGGACTTCGAAGCGAATCGTGATGATGACGTAAGATCTGCAACTTCGGGGACCTCGTCATCTCTCTCTGACATGGGTGATGGAAGCGGGGTCGGTAGCGAAAGAGAGATCTGGAATGGTGAGATTAGTGCGGTGGTAGGCCTACAAAAGAGAGGATTGCGAGGGTTGATGGAAGGTCGACGAATCAGGGAGATGGGGAGAGGGAACAGTAGAAGCAGGGAGGAGGCAGGCCCCTCGAATGGGGATGGCGTTGGACTGGGCTTAATGAACGGATGATCGGATGAGCGGTCGCTCTCGACGAGTAGCTCACCCAACAAAAAAACATCGGCAGTATATGAAAACCAAGGATGCAATGATCGATTTCTACATTAATTACCCGGCAAGAAGCGAAAGATGGGGCTGGAGTCTCTGGGCGTTTCTTTCCCTTCTCTAGAACATACCTTTTCTTATTTACTTTCTTGTTGTTTCTTCTGCTTCTTCTCTTTTTTTGCTGTTCTTTGACGTTGGTCAACTCCGCTTGGCGTGTTCTGTTGGATTGGATCAAACTCGGTGATGGCATATGTCTCCTATGGGCTGGGTTTGTTTGGATTTGAAAAATGATATCACAGCTCTACTTTTTTTTTCATCAAGTTTCTCTCCTGGAATTCTTGCTCGTCTTATCCAAAATGCATGCATCTACAATTTCTCCATTCCGTTATCCTATGAACCAAAAAAACAATCAAGGGCCGGTCCTTATAGCGACAGATGTGGGTATATCGATTCGTGCCTTCCCAACTTCCATCTTCCGCATTTCCCAAACGAACATAACAATACAGAAAAAAAAGCATTCGTTATGTTCAAAGCGCACGCCCGCTTAAACAATATAGTCGACTCGTTCAACTCCTCCACCCTCGTCCCTTTTCCCACACTATCCTCCCTTCATTATTCTTCACTACCTCCCCCCATTCAAGGCCGGAGCCCCCATCTCCACCCCATCTCCTTCCTCTTTCACCATCCTAACCACCCCTCTCTTCTCAGCAGCCTTGCGCTTCCGCGACCGCAGGTGTCGACGCAGCGGCACTGTGAAGGCTCCGATTGCCAGGAGAATAATGAAGACGCCTGCGATGCTGGCGCCGATTTTCACGCCCGTGCTTGGGCCGTCGCGGCGCGTTAGGAAGTGGAGGTGTTGCTCTGAGGGTGGGAGGACGGGCGGCATGGTTTTGTTGTTTGGGTGTATGTGTTTGTGGTGAATGGGTTCTTATTGATGAATTGATTCGATGAGTCCAGCGATGCTGTTGTTTTTGTATGCGAGGGGAGTGAGGTGTAGGATGAGTTGATGGAAGATGGAATCGATGATGTATGTGGTCTTGGTACTCGGTGCTTGGATCTTGAATGGACACTCTAGTATAATAACGTTTATGTGCAAAGCGGAAAATGGATGATTGTTCTCAGTAAATCAATTCGACCGTATAGGGGTGATGATGATGACATCTCCCATCCCCGCCTTCATTCTTATATATCGCGTGCGGAGATTCGAAAACGGCAATCATCCTGCCCCCTCATTCCTCGTAACGTTTGATGTTCTTGTCTAACTGGACACAGAACAATCGCCATGCTGCTGCGCCTCGATTCTTGGGGGGGGGCTGCGCCTCGCTTTGTTCTTGTTCGTTTACCTGACTTGGCTCTTGGTGTTGTCTTGGTACGTGAATCCTCAACAGGCTCTCGCGTGTGGCTTGACCCTCATTGTAATCTTCCGCACGAGGATCTTCATCATGTTGAAGAATGTATTATTACGTTTCTCGCAATTGTTATTTCAACGACGGAGCCATGTTGAACGGAAAAAAGAGAGAAAACTTGGTGAATCCGCGATACCCACGAGAACTGATGTTAACAATCTTGGGATACCCTAGCATATCCCCAGACTACCCACACTAACTAAACCTTTGTAGTTACCAGCTCGCTTTCAAGATGAGATCCATGCACTGCAATCTCCCGCCGCTAAGTGACATGGACCCTTATATCAACCTGCCCTCCATCTAGCTACCTAATTCGCATAGGAGAGCAGCGCACGCCGAGCGCCGCTGAGACAAACTCTTGATCAACGTTGGGCATTTCGGCTGTGTAAACCACAGCACACGTCAGATGATACAATATCTTGTTAGGTTAGTCAACAAGTAATCGCACACGCGACTTCTATCACTTGGGACACTGCTTTGGGTAAGTAATACAAGGTATCTGCACGCTGTTCGCTGTTTTCGGGGTTATAATACTGTGGATTATGATTGGTTTGCGCCACAGGAAATGGGACAAGGTGTTGATGCTGGCCAGCAAGCAACTTCGTTGATGCGGCCAAGTATCAGCCAGTGGGCCGTGGATCGGCAAACGTGGTGAGAGACAGACGATCGTTCATTCGGTTTGAAAGATTATAATCCCGTCCTATGGTCTGCAACAGAGAAGCGGATTATCACTGATGCAAGGTGATATCTTAGCGATCACCACCGTAATGTCCCCTCTTTAATCTAGATGTAGTGCGAAGTGCTTCACAGCGCACAGCCACGCTTCGCATTTATGCGCTTAAATACGAGCTTCTTTATGACGGAATAGAATTTATACCTTCCTTCATGGAGGGGTGTATCTTGGAGAGTTTCTTGCGGAGGTACTTGCGTGTTCGTGGCTGTTTCTTGCCAATGATGCGAGGCTGGCTGATGCGCGAGATCACGTTTATTAATTCCCTTTGACTGTAAAACATGAATTTTGCACATTGCATTTGCTTTTTGTTTTGTGGTTGTGAAGTAATTTCCCTATCTTGAAGTGATATACATGGTACAGTAGGCAGCGGGAAAAAAGTGTCGCCCGCAATTTTTGAATGCTAGGTACATAGTCAGGAGTCATTAAATGGAACACTGAGAAGAAAGAGGGCAAAGAAGAACATGTAACTAAAGAAATAGTTTTCATTTTGATCTGACAGGACACTGTTTCGAATCTTTCAAGCTCGGCGCTGAGCGTATTGGCGTTGATTTTGAAGGGTTTGTCACGCAGTGTAGGTGTCAGAGTAGGTGCTATAGCAAGGGTTAATAGAAGTAGAAAGCCTTGTAAGAACTCTGCTCTTTTTTTTATATTAGAGGACAATGAGCGTACTATAGTTCTTAACCTTAACATTACAAATCTGTACATCTCAACTGGATCGTTGGGACGTCGTATACGTTACTACGTCAAATGCGCTCAACAGGACACTGTTGTGTGTGATGTGTGACTATCTACATATGCAATGTCTGCACGTCTTACACTTGGATTCCCCACCACGCTCACTAGCACAGATCCAGCGGGCCCACGGGCGAGATGATGCCACGGCTTCAAAGAAACGGTAGAGCGAGCCAGTGCCCAAGCCCAGAACTGAACAGCTTTTATGAAATCCGGGTTTTGATAAGCCGAATTGAATGATTTTACAACCGAACGATCGGGAGCGGGAACACTCTGAGTCTGCCCTCGACCGGCTACACCATACAAGATGCGAGTTTCAGGAATCTCGGGGACTTTGGTGTGATCGATGGCGGATAAATCTTTCCAGCCGGGAAATATGATCGAAGCGTCGACCGGAATACCAGAGGTCGAAAGACCTGATGATGAGAAACCCAGAGTCGAAATGGCTGGGACCATACCACAGGACAGAGCGACTTTGACATTCTTGCACTGTCTGGAATGTAGAGCATCCGGGCTATCACTGTCACTGGAGACCACCGAATCGGCATCGCCATCACTGTCCAGCTGCCCAACTCTATCATTCGGTCGGGGGGCAGTGCGCAAACGACGTATGAGAGGCACGTCATCATCGCTATCGACGATAATTTGTCTCTTCCGGCTACCAAGATGACCAGGACCATCTCCAGACGACGGATCTTCAATGAGCTAGATACCGCCATATTAGCAAAGTGTCTCAAGTCAAGGAACTAAGTAAATACCGCGATAGGTTCGGATTTGGTGGAAACACCAGTTGAGTCAACGCGAGTACTGCTAGCTTGGACAAGCTGGTGAGTAAGGGCGTTAAGCTGCTGTTCCATGGTATGCCTGAACTCGTCAAGCTGCCGCTCCATGGTTCGCCTAAACTCGTCTAGCTGAGATTGTATAGGGTTTGGAGCGGGTGTTGCAACAAGCAAATCCATTAACGCATTGTGCTCGGGTGTGCCCTCTTCAGGTGGTTCATCACCTAGAAACGTCAGTTTGTATGAGGCGTTAGGGTTGCATATGATCGTTACCTAGGTCATAAGTCTGATGAATAACTCTCAGGTCGCGAGCACGCTGCTGGCTTTGGGGCTGCTGAGGAAAACGCCGTCGCGGCATTAGATGAGTGAATGTGACAGAGGCTCCAAGAGAGTGCGAGAGCATGGGGAGGTAGAGTAAGGGGAAGATTTGTGTTTTTGTGTGTCTGTTTACCGGCAATGACGCCGTCGTACGATAATAGAGGAAAATGGAAGGAGGCAACAAACAAAGGCAGGAGCCAGCAACTCGCGCTAACAGTAATGAGCAGTCGCCATGGCCGAATGTAAATAAGGGCGTGCTCGGTGCACTCACAGAGTCGTTAGTTCCAAGCATAAACAATCACCCTCGATTAACTCACCCTTTACTTTGTCTCTCTTTTATAAGGCCCCACCACCTCTCTTTACCTCCAACTGCCACCTACCTTCAGCTTCATGCAGCTCAACCATCCTCTATTCTGTCCGTCATCTTCCATACAACCCCTCATCAACTCTCTTTACCCTCAACTGTCAACCGCCGGCTTCAACCATCCACCTTCCACTTCCTAGAACTCCACCACCTTTTACTTTGTCCGTCTTTAATAAGGCCCCATCGGCACCTCTCTTTATTATCGACTTTCAGCCACCATTATTTGCCGTTTCCCATTCACCAAGTCTCAAATGGCGGTTGACAGCCAACAGGCCGCAGTTGATGCAGCCGAGGAGTTATATCTGTCAGAGCTAGAAAAGGCCAGCGGGAAGCGCAAGTCTCGCAGCCAGCCAACATCGCTGAAGCGAGCGAAAATTGCATTTGAACAAGCCAAGAACAACAACCTTCCAATCAGCGAATTCAAGTTCATGAACCTACCAGCTACCGAGCTTCCAGCTCTTTGGCCCTCATACCACCACACCGGCCGGGACTTACAAAAGAGGTATTGGGAAGCTATGTTCGATGACCATCAAGAGATTGCCCTACAAATGTTGTGGGCCTTCAGAGACATAATCGACGTTCCAAAAACTATCGTCAACGCTGAAAAGGTTCTCAAAACGGTTTTCGTAGCCTTCGCTCAAGAGTTAGCAAATCGCGAAGTAACTCAGGAACAAGAGGTGCAAGCAGTCGACCTGCTAAAGGATGTATACGAGCCAGGATATCGACCAAACCATGCCAGTCTGCAAATCAGCTACTGCGACCCAGATTGCAGGCAAAATTACGTTTACCCTGCAATGCGTTCCATCCTAAGCAAAGAATGCAAGGATGAAGAGGGTCTCGACTTTCTTCGCATGCCAATTGCTCTTGGCCAAAGACTGAGCAAACGACAGCCAGGGGACTCTGGAGATAAGTCCAATAAGCGACCTAGGATTGGTTGAGGATGAATTGCAGAGACAGCCTTACAGGCTTGAGATACAAACGATGCGAAAATCAACGGAACCATCTCAGGGCAATGTGTGTTCAACCTCAACCAGCCAGGCACTATGCTTGCGGATACATCCAATACCACGCGAATCACATTCGTGGACCACAACAACCAGGTGGCTGGAGGTGGCGTAACTCACACGAAGCTCCTGGTCCTTGGTATGGGTGGTCTAGACCATGAAAGCTGGTATGGTCTGATCCTGGGAACCCACAGAGTCTCGAGGCGTTGTGGGAACGAGGCTTGTCTTGAACGCAATCATTTGATCTGCGAAAGGTACAACCAAAACGTATCTCGCGCTAGATGTGTCAAACGTGAGGGTAGATGCGATTGCGCAGTGAACTGCATCAAAAATATCATACGCTTTACTGATGAAGAGAAACTAATACTTGCTAAGCAACAGCGAGCTGCAGCTCAGATGGGCAAGTGCCCTTATTGCAATGCTACTATACATGCTGAAGGTACTGATTAGATAAAATCAGCGACTTTGTTAAATCAGCATTTTATTGTTGCGGGTCACTACCAAGAGAAGTCTGGATAGGGGTTTGCGAGTGGAATTTCCATTGACCCAACATGCTAGCGACGGGTGAACCAACAGCCAAACCATCCGAGATCGGGATCGAAGAAGGCCTAAAGCTTTCTTCGGACTCTCAGCCCAGGTCCGAAGACGATCAGTTTCGGTATGTCAAGCTGATTTTCGCACGGTATTTCCACGTCTCGAAAAGCCAAATGGCCGAATCGCTTGGGACGATCGAGAATTTCAATGCCAAAGACGAAAAGATCAGACAACTACAAGCCAAATTTGACGTCTTCAATCGGTCCACCAAGTCGAGGATCTTCGGTCCTTCATCGTTCCTCACACAAGTCGTCCATCACGGGGTACAGCAGTACAACTACCACCAGACCATGCAAAACGCGCGCATAGCTGCCAGCTACTGCAAGAGTCGTAGTCAATCAGAAAGAGACCCCGTCAGGAATCGAGCATTCAGAAACCAGTCCGACGCATGGGAGACATTCTACGAGGATCACCGCGACAGACTCGTTGACAGCCAGCCTTGCATTACCACTACTCCGAAAAGACAAACAAAATGGGAAACCCTTTTTTCCATACGAGAGGAAACCGTTTCCTTGTACCACACGTCCATTTAATTAAAAAGTCGAGGTTCACACACCAACCCATCACGACCCTCACAGCCCGAGCTAACCACCCTCCAAATCTGTGTCTTTTCATATTTCCATCCGGCACTATCGGCAAATGAGAGCCAACACGATGCCAGCACTGGGGAGTTCAATGCAGCCAGTGTGGTTGCGATATACACGCGCTGATGCCCAATGCATGGGAAGCTTGTAGGTTGGTGTTGACTAAATGCCTACAGGGAGGTGTCGCATCGGGATGTCACAGCTCAGGAGGTTAGGTATACTACCTATTATTCGCGAATAGAAGGCTCTAGTAGATTCTTAGCAGCTCTTGTATTTGCGAGGAGAGTTATAGTACACTATGCTCCCGTTATGTGACATCCCCTTGTACGTCGTTTCCATACTTTCGTGGGAAACGATCAACCAGCTCACTTCGTCTAATCAGCCAGCCTCGCATTACCACTACTCCGAAAAGACAAACAAAATGGGAACTCCGTTTTTTTCCGTACGAGAGGGAACTGTTTCCTGGAATGGCGTGCATCTCAATTGTCCGTACATTAATACATGTATGCACGATGCACGATACCATTCATGTTCCTGTGGTTTACTCAGCCCCAGCCACTAAGCAACCCTAGCGCAACCCTCTCCAAAACTCAATTCCCATGTCGTCCAGAAATCTATGACGCCACTTTGCGCACCCCTAGTCCTTCCTTCCCTCTTCTCATACAAACCCTCCACGCTTTTTTCTCTCTGGCCTGGCATCGTCCTTCCATGCATGACAAGCAACAAGGAGACGCTCCCTGAACGTACCGCAGACCCGGTATTCAACTGATCGACTGAAGAGTGTTGGTATGCAGTGAGACTGGTCAGACGGGCAAGGTTTCTTTCTACAGCGCGCACGCATTTTTACATAGGTACTTGGCCTGTAACAGGGGGTTACTTGGGTAAGTCGTCAGCTTACCTTGCGTTGTTTTTCTTGCACATGTATAGGTGTGAGGATTAGCGCCCACTGCTGTGTGAGAAAGGGGTGAGAGCATACACGAGGGAAGCCGGTCTTCCAGCATTCTGCGTTTGTGCGCAGATCGAAGAAGCATTTGCACGGGGGTTCATTTTTTCCTCGGGGAGTTTAGTGCTGTTGTGTAACGCAACTATCACTTTGCTGTGATACCTGGACGGCTCTGGGACGTAGACTAGGGAGAATCGAAGTGGAAAACATATAGGACAAGCCGGCAACTCATTAAGAAGAGCTGGGATAGGAAGAGATATTGAAATACGCGTGGCGATCAAAAGGAGGTGAATATACACAGAGAACGCATCATACACAAAGAGAAGAGGAGGAGAATAAAGTGGGGAAGAAGTACTTTGAAAGTTTTGCTGTAGAAGGAAAGAAAAAGTTCAAGGAGTCCACAAACAATCACCAAAAAGTCGACGATATCTAAGGACCGAAAGAGAAGACAAGGGAAAGATAGGCACGTAAGATATCACAATGCCTCCCCCACGCGCACCGCTTCTCCGAGTGCCCTACACCGACCCCTTCCCAGCACCACGCCTCATCCCCGCCTCAGCAACAACCCCTGAAGCAGCCATCGAAGCCCTCGTCCGCTTCCTCCAACCATCACTCGCTACTTCTCGCCCAAACCGTAACCAAGATGTACGCAGCACGCTCATCCTCACGGGTGCTGGTATATCCGTTGCCTCTGGCCTTGCTGACTACCGTGGTACCAACGGTACCTACACTCTCAACCGCAAATACCGACCCGTATACTTCCACGAGTTCTGCGCAAGCCATGAGGCCAGGAAAAGGTACTGGGCGCGATCTTTTCTTGGGTGGGAGAATCTGGCGAAAGCGAAACCGAATGTTGCGCATGAAGCTGTGGGGCGGTTAGGTCCTTCTTCTCCTTCACCGCCATCACAATCGTCAACCAGAGAAGGAGAAGGAAGAAAGGAGGGATTGGGAGTATCAAAACACCTTATAACTCAAAACGTCGACTCCTTCCACCCAACATCCCACCCTCATCTCCCTACCACCGAACTCCACGGCTACCTCCGCACCCTAACCTGCCTAACCTGCGGCACCGAATACGCCCGATCCTCCTTCCAACGCGATCTACGCCGTCTCAACCCCTCATGGGCGGTGTTCCTAGACGAAATGCTAGCGAGCGGCGCGTTGGCTGTTGAGGATCCCAAACAACGCGAGAAACTGGGCCTCAAGACGAATCCGGATGGCGACGTCGATGTTCCGGGAGCGAGGTATGATTCTTTTCGGTATCCGGCTTGCCCGACTTGTTCCTCTTCTGCTTCGGCGGCGGCGGCATCACCATCCTCTGTGGCTTGTTATACGGATCAGGACGGCGCTTATACGCCACCTCCTTCTGCCTCTTCTTCGTCGGCGTCCACTTCAACATCGTCAGAAAACAGCATGAAACAAAAAGGTATCCTCAAACCTTCTGTAACAATGTTCGGCGAGTCCATTCCTTCACCTCGGAAAATAGAAGCCGAATGCGCCGTCGACGCCGCAGGCCGCATTCTCGTCATCGGGAGTAGTCTAGCAACGTACTCTGCGTGGCGCCTAGTCAAGCGGGCGCGAGATCGCGGGATGCCCGTGGGGATCTTGAATGTTGGTGGAGTGAGAGGGGAGGAAGGGTTCTTCGATACTGATGCTGTCGAAGATGGAGCGGGGAGCAATGCGGTCAGAGTTAGTGTGAGGGCCGATGAGGTGTTGCCCAAGGTTATTGAGGAGCTGGAGCGGTTGAGGTGAAAGGGGATATTTGAAATTGCTTGTCTTTCCGCCCTCTGCTGCTTTGCATTGGAGTGGAGTTCAGCAGGCTACAGTGAGGGGGAGCAACTCAACGTGTGATAGATAAGGTTTGTACTATACACATTGACGGCGCATACATCGCATTTGAATATTCCTCACGGATGTTACATGAGCAGTAAACATATGTATCAGCCATTCTCAGTGTAAACATTCGCTTCCATGCCGCATTGTGGAACATTGTAGGAGGGTATTAACCTACTAGAGGGTAACTGGGGGGAATACACGTTCTACAGTCCAAGGAATTTAATAAACGTGATCTCGCGGGCTGTGTAAGCCCTATAAACCAACAAAAGAGTGTTATGATCATGGGAACCCATGCCCAGGTCAATACACACCTACACGTGTACATTAGAAGATTCAGCGCATCCTAGGACAGTCTATTCACCACACTTTCTACATGAACATAACCACTGAACAGCATACCAGCATACCTCCTACAGCTGTTAAATTCTCATCTAGATTCGACCCAAATCAAGATCTCGATAGGCTGTTAATGGCGTGTTGGGTTGCAGCAAGCCCTATACTGTATACCAAATATGGTATGCAGGTCGCGTTGCTTGCTCGTTCGTGCCATCATCTATTTTTAGTGCATGCGGTGCGGTGCGGCGCGGGTGGGGGGAAAGGTGTTCACGCTTGCCTTTTTTTGAATGCTGTTTTGCGGCTCGGTTCGGGAGGGAGGCTTATCATCTTTCTAGTCTGTATCTGTACCGTCGGTCACATCATTAGGGATCGAGGATCGGAATCTTGCGTTAGCTTCCTGGCGATGTGTGGATGGGTGTGGTGGGGGGGATGGATGGATCGAACACAGAGAGAGTGGTATGCGCAGCGCGTGCGTCTGCGTGAGTGAGTGAGCGAGCGTGAACGTCTGTGCGTCTTAGTGGTAGACGGTTTTTTTTTTTGAACAAGAGATGGGTACATGCGGAAAAAGTGTCCAGTCAGATCAAAGGCAACAAGGATTTCTTTAGTTGCATTTTCCCTTTTTGCTTTGCTTTCTTTCTTTCTTTATTTCTTTCGCGATGTTGTCAGCATCATCATCGTAAAACGTCAGCAAACATGCAAGTAGCGCGCAGTGTCAGCAAGCATCGGACCATAAGCCGTGTCTTTTTTGTCCAACCACGTTCGTCCACGGAACAATATCCCACGTTTTTTCTGACATTTTTTTTGGGGGGTTGCAGGGGGGGTGGGCAGATGCATGGAAGTATCGAATTGTTCCTTCCTGCGCGTTGGATCATTTTTCTGGGTATGTGGAGGCTGTGTGGGTGAGCGGGCCAGCCTCGTCTGATGCCCACATACGACCGGATTTTGATATCGAGCGTATTGATTTTTTGTTGCATGTCCGGGTGCATGGCTGGCCGAGTGGTACTGATGGAGGGGTAGTCGCTGGCATTGTTCTGAATAGAGAAAGAGGTGGGCTCGTAAGAAGGATGGCGTAGCAATCGAGCCACTGACTACTGACGAACAAACCTGCACATCGCAAATGAAAGGATGAGATGTAATAATCAATTGCACAGCTAACGATAATGACTGTTGTCTAAATGCCCTTCGTGAATTGCTAACACAAACGCCTCCCTTCCCCGCATCTAAGATGGATATCAATGTGAGTCAACCCCGCAACAATACAAACGCAAACATTACGCTTTAATGGAAACATTATACCCTCGCTATAAGACAGAGTAGGGGACGAAAAACGCACGCACATATGAGAGAGACAGTGTAGTAAGAGAGGAAACCTCAAAAGACAGGAGTAAGATAAGGTGGTTGGAAAAAAATAGAGTAAACTAGGAGATAAGAAAAAGATATAGAGACAATGAAATGGGAATCTAAAACCGCCTTCTGCCGCCACTGCGCGCCTATGTGTACCGGAAGTGTGGATCGTCCCTCCTTTCTTTCTGGTAAGGAAACATTGAATATAGAAATCGGGGAAAAGAGGGCAAGAGAGAGATATGAGAGGGGGAAAGGGTAATTGGCTGGGAGATAGGAAACAGCAAAAAAGGAAATAAGAAATTAACACTAAAGAAACCACAGTAATGAAATAATATACGCATCTGTCCGTCAATCCGTCCTCGAATCATCCTTTCGTAAAATTGAGTGTCCAATGATCATCCTATTCGCCGTGTGTTTTCTCAAAGTTGGGTTGAACCGCGTCCTGACGGTGCCCGGGAGAAGATAGGTAGATAAAGTGACCGGATCCAAAGTGGCAAAGCCCAGTTCGTGACCAGAGGAATGATGTCGATGCCACCGCCAGGTCAAGTGTTGGATCTGGCGTTTTCTAACAGCAACGATGCATCGAGCAGTGCCGATTTTGAAGTGAAGTGAAATAAATGGTTCAACGACCAAGTGGTCGTAAATCGTGAGGTAACGAGCGTGTTGAAGGGAAAAAGCAGGAAGAAGAAAAATAAAGAGATAATGAGAAAAGGCGATAAGGGAAGATAACGGAATAACAAAAAACGACAACATGTCGAGACTGCAAAACACGATGAAGCCGAAGCCACAAGAAAAGAAGAGAGGTAATATCCGAAAGGCAGTGCACTAGGCTAGTACTGCTGGTGTGCGTATGCCATGGCGGGTTGCTGCAGAATAGACTGGATGCTGTTGACCCTTTTTGGTTGCTGGGCATAGTTCCGATACTGAGGATAAGACAGCCCGGAAAGATGGTCATCGTCGTCCGAGATGCTGATTCCACTATCGTGGGCTTTCTTCTGGGCCGAACGGTAGACTTGGTTCAAGTTCTTAAGGCCCTTTTCCATGCACTGATTACATGTTAGCATTGATCTCGTATCCTGAAGCAGGGCCCAACAACAACGACAGAAGCATACCTTTTGCTCTACTGTGGCCCACTTCTCGCCTAAAAGGTTAGCAAGAGGACCCCAGATCTCTGCCCTGTGATCCATGTATGTGGTGGCCAGAATTTCAAGTTTCGGGCCATCCCACTGCTCTGTGTGCTGCTTCTCCATCAACCGCTCGTGCCTCTTACGGCACGCATTCGGTGATTTGGCAGGAAAGTGTTTGGGTGCAATCTGGTTCCAGTTCAGGCCTGAAGCACGAGCTTGAATCAGGGTCTCATCATCTTTGGTAGACCAAGACGAGCTCCGCGTACCAGCACCAACAGCGGAAGCAGCTGAGATAGAGGAATTGCGTTGGTGAGATGCAGAGGTTTTATCGACCTTAGGCATATCGGATACCTAGTGAAGGAACAGAGAAAGGTAAGGTGATAGAGAAACGAAGAGGAATGCAGGAGGAAAGAGATGGAGAGAAAGGTAGGAACTTTTGGAAGCAGGAGACAATGACGATAGTAGATGTCTATTAGGAGTAGGGATGGGTGGACACCCGCGAACGAAAGTGATGTGCGGTAGCGGGATAGAAGATGAATTGACAATAGGAAAACGAAGGAATACGGATTGTCTGCTGGTATGAACTTGGAATGGTCTGCCGAAGAAAAAAAAGGACCCCACGAGGCATGAACGAGTCTTATATCCCAAGCTCAGGCCGGGTGGTAGAGAAAGCGTGAGATGGTCTGTACGACAGCAAGCAGCGGAGAATTACTGAAACAGGGATCTGTGGGATCTGTTTCTGTACTCGCCGCATCGAGCACCCCGTGTAAACGATGGTTTTGGAACACTGCGGTTGGCGTTTCTCAAAACTGAGCGCAAGCAGCCAAAATAGGCCGCCTGAGTGGCCCGTCTGCTGTACCTGTCCCCGCCACCCCTGCTGATGCTATAAATGCAGACCACCAGGTGGGCGCTTACGCGCTTGCGATAGCGATTGGGCCTTGGACAGAGGACCCGGGCCCGCACACTGCGACCGCAGGGGATCATGGCACCCGTTTTGGCTCTCGAGGGTAGCCATCTCACCTCTGAGTAGGGCTGAGCCTTCGCCTGTGCCTGTGCCTGCAGTGAGCAGTGGGTGAGGTGCAGAAGCCGTGTGGCATCTGAGCAGGCCGGCTTCGAATACCCGTCATAGCGCACCGAACGGGGAGCATCTGAGGATAGACTCGATGAAAACCCAAAACTACCACGGCAGGCAGAGATCAGAGGTCGGAATAGAAACAGTGACATCAAGCGATGGCACGCTGAAACACGGTGTTAAGCGCGAGGCAGTTTGTGGAATCGATCTTTGATGAAACGCAAACAGGCAGCGCGAAAATGGGCGGCCCGCTGCCCTCGATGTTCCCCCATCGGCGCCAGGCACGTGCCGTTCAAGCGCCCACATTCAAACATTTGAAGGCAACCTATGTACCTACATACCTACATATGCACATGGTGCACTAGACTCTAGAATCAAGGCAAGTATGCAGTTCGCATGCTTCTCGTCTGCGTACAACTAAAACGGGTGCACCTCCATCCTCTGTCAGAAAAATAGACCCTGTGAGCTGCACCACCCATGAGAACCATGAGAGGCACCAGGATGGAATACTTCCTTGTACATGGGGTGAGCTGCGACCACAATGGCTACATGTGTGAACAAACATAGAATGCCGCTGGGGATTGGGCAGTGTATTGTACAACACAAGTTCGTGCGCTATTCTAAGGTCGGTTCTACCCGTTCCGCACATCTGGTCGTCTCGACATGGTGAAGGCCTTTCCCATCTCCATGTGGACCTGCAGCCAGCCGCAGCGGCCTCAGCCTCACTGCCTTCCAACATCGGTATCCGACCCTGCCGCTTCCACATCACATCATACCTAAACATTATACACTATATGTTGGCAAACACATTAAGAAACAATTCCAGCCAGTCACAATTATTTCCATCCAATATTTCGTTTACATCTTGAAGCCCCCAGTCCTCCCCGCAAAGAACCCTGATGGGTCGTACTGATCGCGCACCGTTCTCGCGAAGTCCGTCGTGCGCAGCCTATTGAAATAATCCTGACGATGGTAACCGTCATTGGCGAACAACGGCAGGTATGCTTGGGATAGTTTGCCAGCCTCAGTGTATTGTGTGACAATGTCCTTGGTACCCTTGTAGAGCTCCTGCGTGGCCACGTCCATCTTTTCATCGTCGAGTCCGAGCCAGTAGCTGTAGTTGAACTCCAAGATGATCCGATCAACCGAATCATCCAGATCAATCATATCACCTCCCCTTTCGCGCGCTTTGCGGGTTAGCACCTTGGGGATCGGCTGCCACGCAATGGACCCAATGACACCTGTCACGCCCAACACACCTGGTACATAGTCAGCAAAGTGAAAACAGAGATGTTCCAATACATCGTCATAGTCTTAATACGCCACACACTGTGGTGCTTTGATCTGCTCCGTGTTTGGGAATACGTACCCTCTGTGGTGTTCCGCCAGTGATCTTGAATAGCGCCCAAGACCTCAGCTCCGTCGTCGGCACTGGGCAGTGGCAGAGTTTCGGTCGTGATAGTGTAGATTGACCCTTTCAATACTCCAAAGTTGTTGTACTTGAGAAGCTCTCCGTAATCTCGCGTTTTGCAGTTGTTGATGCTAGGCCCGATGGATGTGAAGTAATCAAAGACACCGACAGGTGGAGTTGGCCCATCGTAGAGCAGGAACATGATCCACATATCAATGGCACCGAATGCGGAAAGCTGGGCTGTCATGATAATGGCGGCCTTCTCATCCGGGTAGAATTCGGTGAAGTTGCGTACGGCGGCGAGCAATTGCGTCGTCTTATCGGCCGAGAAAACAAGGTTGCCACCCCAAACCTGACACATAACGTTAGTGACTATTTGCGAGACGTTTTCTGACAGCGTTCTTGGCTCACCTGGCCTTGGGGATGGGCCACCATTGTGTACGATGTCACAATGCCGTACGCGTTGCCTCCACCCTTCAACGCCTGGTATAGATCGGGGTGTGAATCCTTGGATGCGGTCACGATGCTGGCATTGGCAAGCACAACCTCGTATTCCACTATGTTGTTCGCGGCCCATCCATATTGAGTCGACAAGAAACTGAGACCACCTCCGAGCACGTAGCCTCCGACGCCGACTTCTCCGATTCTGCCTCCTACAACTGTGGTGCCAGTACCTTCGAGAGCATCGTGAACATCCTGCCAGTCGTTACCCGGTCCGACGCGAACAGTCATGGCTGACTTATCCAGGATGACTTCGTTGAGCTCCTTGGTAGAGATCAAGGGGCCGCCTTGAATACTGGCGAAGCCTTGGTTGGCGTTGTGCCCCCCTGATTTCACCGCAAAAGTGTCATTGTTCTCATTCAGAACTCTGACGATTGCAGCTACTTCCTGAGCAGTGGTTGGGTAGAGCTGGCACGAGGGCTTCAAAGCTCCACATCCTGTCGACCAGTAATTCTGCTGCTCTTGAGTGTACTGAAGAGCAGGGGATTTCTTGATGTCGATTCCCGTAGTGGCGGCAATGCTTTCACAAGTGTCGCCAAGTGCATCTTGAAAGAGTGACGATAACAAAGTAAATACAGCGAGAGGAGATAAGGTGCGGCGCATGGTGAAGATTAACAATTACTAAAAGACAGTGGTATACAGTGAAGGGTGAGAGGAAAGGAAAGGAGAAGGAGTCTTTCCAAAATCCGCATGGTGGGTTATCAATTACTCTTGAGTTCTGACTGCCGTCGCGCAATTGTGCTTGGACCAGCATTTCATCATGATAGCCATGGGGACTTTTCGTATCTTTACCGGGAAGAAGGTAAACAAAGCCGTATTTGCGTCCGATTGGAAATCCCACAAGGCCCAAAAGGGTTGAACCAGGCACATAACGAGCAGTGCACTAACCTTCTACCAGGGAAAATCTGACCCCCAAATGTTGGTAGGACCAGGGTACCGTAGGATGTTGGAAATAGCTGCTCCACCCGAGGATCGTCAAGTCAGGCACACACCATTGCTTCTCGAAGAGACGTTTTGGAACGTGTCAGGCCGGCAGATATGGCCCGAAGACTGACTGGTGTGCAGGGTCGTGCCGCCTCGTAGATGTGAGCAGCCCAACGTCAACAGCCACAGAGCAGATCCTAATACCACAGCTACCAGTGGTGAACCGTCTAGCACGATGCATAAAACAGAAAGTACAGCCGTAGGATGAATTCTGTAATTATCGAGATTAGCTGAGAATGCGAAATCTTCAGATGACGTTTCTTGATCTCAATGCGCTGTGTTATACCTCAGGATGTTTCTTTTTAGCGCGAGAGGCCGTGTTAGCGACGCATAAGAAAAAGACGTTTTGGGAAAACAAAGCCACTAGTCGAGTCGTGCGCGGGGGAATGGCGCCGTTTCCCCTGTCTATCTCCCTCGCATTCTCCTATCCAGGCACCACATTCACACCCCTCGTCAATAATCTTGTAGGACCGACACGTCGTCAACAGGAGATCGCATGACCGGAGGACCAACTCCCGCTATCCATGTGGTCAGCTCGCCGGTGAATACGGCTCGGCGTCTCGACACGATCCTCAAGCGACATGCCAATGCCCTCGATGCGTGAACATCTGCATCTTTTTCGCTCTGCGGTATCTGCACTAACCCCAAGCCCGTGTTGGCAATAGGTCGATGATCATGAATCGATACTTTTGCATTCATGCGACGAGCTCATTGGAGGGATGCGATTGGACATGCCAGGAATCGCGAAAGCGAAGCGCAGCAATCCTAGACGTCATTTGTTTGTCGCGTTCATAATGCAAGGGCTATTCCTTGTCCCCTACGTCTTCTTTAACCGGCCATCGAAATATCGCGAAATCTTAAGTCGGCGCTGCTCACTCTTTCGGGTTTTGGCCGAAGCCCCGACCACTCAACACCATGTATTGTGCCAGTCTGATCCGCATGACTACTTTTACATAGGCCATCATTCCTGCATCCGAACTCGGCATCGTGTGTAGCGTCTTGACATTATACCGAGATACAGTTCCCCTGATGCTAGTGTGAGCACGTGCACACCGGGGTAAGAAGTCGTAGTAGACTTCAACAGCTATATGTATTTCGAGTTGCTCCGAAACCTTCCGCCGGTGAGCTACGAATCATCGTGTTCGATTGTCATTCCTTTATCCTGAGGACTCTCCAGTTCCAGATCATGTATTCGGCCCTCTTCCTGTCATTTCTGTCAACCGCATCTGCGGCAGCGGTCGACAGGCGAACTCCCGTTCCTGCTGGATATGTCGCAGCACCATACTATCCAGCTCCCCATGGAGGATGGGTCGACAGCTGGAGCGAGAGTTACCGAAAGGCTTCGCTCCTCGTATCCAACATGACCTTGGCCGAAAAAACCAATTTGACTTCTGGTACTGGCCTCTTCATGGGACCTTGCGTAGGCAACACCGGAAGTGCTCTACGCGCAGGGATACCGTCTTTATGCCTCCAAGATGGACCTCTCGGTGTAAGAAACACAGAGCAGAATACAGCTTTCCCAGCGGGTATCACCGTCGGCGCCACATGGGACAAGGCACTCATGCACGCTCGTGGTGTTGCACTTGGTGAAGAGTTCCGTGGAAAAGGCATCAACATCCATCTGGGTCCTTCTGTCGGGGCATTGGGACGCAAACCTCGTGGTGGGAGAAACTGGGAAGGTTTCGGAGCTGATCCCGTTCTCCAAGCTTTCGGAGGCGCTCTCACCATCGAGGGCGTTCAGAGCGTCGGCGTGATTGCAACAATCAAACACTTTATCGCGAATGAGCAAGAGCAATTCAGGATGTACAATCTGGTTCAACCGGGCCTTTCGTCGAATGTCGACGACAGAACTTTGCACGAGCTCTATCTGTGGCCTTTTGCTGAAGGCGTTCGATCTGGCGTAGGAAGCGTCATGATTGCATACCAAGCTGTAATTACCCCCCATCTCTTGTTCTCTAGTCCACTCGATTCTATTCATTTAGGACGCGATTGGTGCAAACGTTTGCATGATATCATGAAGGTTGAATCACGTGATTGAACCTCTCCCGTCATGATACAACTTATAGGCATGACTAACATATTCAGGTCAATGGATCTGCATGCTCACAGAACAGCGATTTGATCAACAATCTCTTGAAAGATGAACTCGGCTTCCAGGTACGTCGCAATAAATTGCGCGCACAACATGCGAACAGTGAATTAATAGCTTTACTAGGGTTTTGTAATGTCGGACTGGCTTGCACAGATTTCTGGAGTTGGCTCAGCGCTTGCAGGCCTAGACAGTATGTATATATATCTTCTGCTCGAGAACCTAACTGACTCATTGCTTTCCCAGTGAACATGCCAGGCGACATCCACACCGTGCCGCTTGTTACCGGAGAGTCACATTGGATGTATGAATACTCCAGATCCATTCTAAACGGAACAGTTCCAGTTGATCGCCTGGATGATTCCGTAACACGGATCCTCGCAGCGTATTTCCAGATGGGCCAAGATCAGGACTACCCACGCCCCAATTTCGATGCCAACACTCTTGACGCGGAGGGTCCGCTATACCCTGGTCTTTTGACCTCCCCACGAGGCGTTGTCAACCAGTTTGTGAATGTACAGGGCAACCACGCTGAACTGGCAAGAGAAATTGCTCGGGATGCTATCACACTGTTGAAGAACACTGATGGTTTCCTGCCTTTGTCACCAAACGCGACTCTGAAGATCTTTGGCACCGACGCGGAAAAGAACCCCGATGGTATCAATTCGTGCGCTGATCAGGGCTGCAACAAAGGCACCCTCGGCATGGGCTGGGGTTCTGGCTCAGCCAGATACCCTTACATGAACTCTCCTATAGAGTGAGTATGCCTTTGAAGATTCTTAATTGGAAAAGACTGACATTGCGTTTAGTGGATTCAAAGCCCGCGGCGCTCCCTACACCTACTTCAACCGCGACAACTTTCCTTCCAACTCTAACCCATCACCTTCTGACACCGCCATTGTTTTTGTTACTTCGGACTCTGGTGAAAATTACATCACTGTGATGAGCAACCCTGGAGATCGAACGACCGCAGGCCTGAACGTTTGGTATGGCGGCGACAAGCTCATCAAAGACGTTGCCAACGCATACTCCAACGTCGTTGTCGTTGTACACACTGTCGGTCAAATCATCATGGAAGAGTGGATTGACTTGCCCTCGGTCAAAGCAGTTCTATTCGCTCACTTGCCTGGTCAAGAAGCCGGTGACAGTCTCATGGAGATTTTGTACGGCGATGTCTCACCGTCTGGTCATCTCCCTTACACCATTCCCACGTCCGAAGACAACTACCCTGAGAGTGTAGGTCTCAGGGGCTTCGAGATCGGACAACCCCAGGATACATTCACCGAAGGTCTCTACATTGATTATCGCCACTTCCACAAGGAAGGTATCCAGCCTCGCTATGCCTTTGGCCACGGACTTAGCTACACGAACTTTTCGTACTCCGAGGCAACTATTACCCCAGTGACACCTCTGACCTCCACGCCTCCTACGCGTCCCGCCAAGGGAGAAACCCCAGAGTACTCAACAGAAATCCCCCCCGCCTCGGAAGCATACTGGCCTGAGGGTTTCAACCGAGTCGGTCTCCGCTACAAATACTCCTTCCTCGAGAAGAAGGATGCAGACAACGCAGCCGCCGACGCCAACTCTAGCAAAACATACCCCTACCCTGCCGGATACTCTGATGAGCAAAAGGCCGAAGGACCACCCGCGGGCGGCGCGCAAGGTGGAAACCCCGCTCTCTTCGAAACCGCCTACGACATCTCCGTTACCGTCACCAACACTGGCTCTCGCCCAGGCAAGGCTGTCGCACAGCTCTACGTTCAGTTCCCCGCTGGCATTGCCTTTGACACACCCATCATCCAGCTCCGTGACTTCGAGAAATCAGACGAGCTACCCGCGGGCGAATCGCAAACCCTGAACCTCCGCGTCACCAGGAAGGATCTCAGCGTGTGGGACGTAGTATCCCAGAACTGGATCGTGCCTGATGTCAGTGGCGACTACGGTATCTGGGTTGGCGACAGTTCAGACACGCTCGGATTGAGGTGCGGCACTGCAACGGGCTCGTGTGAGACCGGCGTCGAGAGCCCCGTGTAGTTTTGGCCCTCTTACATTTCCACTTGGACATCCTCCTCCACTATAATTAGTTTTCCTTTGTCATTGCTGCCCACTGTCACGACCTTTATTCCCCTATTCATTTGATATCACGAAACTGGATGCAGAGTATATATATTAGTTAAGACGCAATAGTCATTGCGTGATGTAGTGTAGTTTGTAATTCAACCCTTGAACCAGAAGAGAGCTTAAGCATCTTTTATTCATAACAATTCTTTCGTACACATTCTCTTCATACCACTGCCCTGCTACACTTGCTTCTTTAGGTGCCTTCATTATCTTCTGTTTCATTAGAATATGATTACTCACTCAAAGTTATTCCCTAGCATTATTTTTGAGTTAGAGTCTAGGTAATCCTACACACAGCGATAAGTTAGAACAATGAATAGACTAAAAAAACGAGTGGCAACCGAAAAATCAAACGAATTGTGCCTTCACACAAGATTCCCTAGCATAAGAAAGGGATATCATCTTCTGAAATGAAGAACATGAATGGAGCATAAACTGTCTCCAAATTAGCGACAAGAAATACATACCAGTGATGAAGCTTGACTTTGTGTATCTGCCTAGGATTTTTTCCTTCTCTCTTTTCCCCTTGTAAGTATCAAAGTCCTTTTGTCTACATCAGAACAAGATAGAATAGCACTAGTGCCTGAAGTTCTCTGATTTCCATCGCAGTTTAGGTTCAACACAAACACTTCAAGTACATACCAAGATCGACTATTAAACATCAAACTCAGATGATGCAAATAGTAGACCTGCTGCTTTGCTTTGATAATTCTCTCTCTATAGAAGTGAACATACAAGACATGCTCTTCTTTAGAGGTACGTTAGAATATTGTGCGCAAGGGATATAAGAAGCCTAGCGTAACTGCTCGCTCCATCTCAAAACCCCCCTTCACAATCTCAAAACCAGCCTGAGTCATCCATACGGCATTGTTTTCGTATCATAGAGAAGATGTAAGAAGTGCACTGTATTCCATGTATAGTGCAAGATACTGGAGAGCAAGAGCACATGGTAACGTCTAAAATACCAGCCCGTGATACGGACCTAACTATTGCACTTTCCACTGTACATAGCAGACCATCAGACAATATTAACTGTCCATTAGAGACCAAATATTGCAGAATACTGTTGCTATTGTAGATGCATAGGGCGAGCAGAAGTCATATCTATAACACTGCCCGGTTAGCGTTCAACCCGTCCCCCTTGCGCATGAAAGGTTGGTGGGTACACCACAGAGCGTAACTCGCGATTCAGTTCAATGCGGTCATAACTGTACCCAGTGTTATTATCTCATTGTTCCACAAAATACTTAATCCAAAGGCAATGTGCTCAGCCACTGAGTCGGATTGGTGGGAAGGGTTTCAAAGGACGGGAAAAAGTTGCCCCTTTGCGTACAAAAATATTGCGCGTACAAAGGATGATTTGGGTATATCAAAGGAAATTATATCGCATGAATTGTAATCTGGGGTGCACGTTGCCGACCACTCACTCCCATGCTGTGCCACCAGCATGTTTGTTCCTCGTTTCGTTCCATAGGGTTACAGTAGTAACGCCAAATCAACTAGCGTGTCTCTGTGTGTGTGTGCCTGCGCGCGGTCATTACTTCCCTATATCAAGAGAAATATCAAGAAACTATCAAGAAAATGAAGTGAAGTACAATTATCCACTCAAAGCGAAGATTTGATCGGACGGAGAAGTACCCAACTTATGTGACTCTTGACGAGGAGAATTGATGATTGTGCGCAAGCAATCAAAGTATTTAAACTGGAAGCTTAGCATAACAGCTTCTTTTAATGCTTCAGGGTCAACCAAGTGGATGGCTTCCAGATGGATGTTCATAGGTTGGGGACCCGCTTTTCAACATGTATGCGCGCTGTGTACCCCCTCCTTGTATGTCTATTGATATGGGCAGGTATCACAGAGAGGAACTCGGAATGACCGGAAGCCAAATTTTGGGTTACGGTTAGTTGGGAATGTGATGTGTTTCTAGCACGTGGCATCTGGGAGCTCAATGGTTGCGAGACGGCACCGGGGAGGAGAGTGTGTAAAGGGATGCTCGCGATGGTAGCGGATGATGAACCAGCATTGGCGGGGAATATTTTGATCAGCTTAGTCAGGCCAGGTTCTGTCTACCAGGGATTGATCTCGACATTGTCTACCCTGGTAACGAGGGGCTGAGATGCATCACATGTTGAGCAAATTGATAATAGTGCATCGTGTATGCAGCCATGCCACTGTGGAGGCCTGAAAAGAGGATATCGTTTGTGTGTTTGCCTCGCAAGGGAGGGCGAGCCAGGAGGGGCAAGACGCAGCTACGATACTCGGGGTCACCAGAGGATTGGAATGTGCGATCAAGATGTGTTGTTATAGTAGGGGTTCGCGGCGTTAATTTGAATGGCGATGCAAGATGGCAGGGCGAGGAAGCTGACAAGACGATAACAACCCGGTTTTTGTTTTCCACGAAAGGCAGGTAAATATTGGCGATTGCCAAGAAGCTGTAACAAGGCAATTTATTCACAATATGGACAAGAAAGAGCCGAGGGCAACGCACCGCTCATTCGGCGTTGGATGACACTTTCGTGTTGTTGGTACTTTGCCGCTGTTGGTAGCAACTTTTCCATAGGCCCACGATAGTAATGAAAAGAGGGGGAGAAGACTTTTCACAGCTAGCGAGGGCGCTGGCGCCGATGGATAGCGATTGAAGGATATAATTGAAGGGTGTTAAGATGAGATGAATTAGAAGCAAAGCGACGAGCACCATACAAGTAGACTAGCGCTGTGGTTGTCTGTGTTGTTAGTCAGGGAGTGGCCGTTCATGTCTTTGAGGCGTGGCGTATTGGCTCCCACATCTGGGCAGCTCAGCCAGCCAGCCAAATGCAACCCACCCAGTCCCACGTACAGAGAACGGCATGCTCATAGGCTTTGCCCGTGTACAAACGCTATGTTTGAATATGATTGTTGTCAACATCCAGTCTCTTGCTTTGCTTTGCTTTTTTCCTGTTCTCCTTTCAGCCTCATGGTTTTGAAGTCTGCTTGGCGTGAAGGTATCGCGCGTGGCCTAAACCACGCCGAGTGGATGGTTGCTGGAGGCCTAGAATAATGCGCCTGGTGGGTTGTACTCGACTGTTGTATCGTACCGTACCGTATCGTACCGTACCGTATCGTACCGTGTCGTGTAGGTACATACTACATAGATATGTAGTCATGTACATACATGCAGTCGGTCACCAAAGTGTACAACATCACCACCAACAAACTGGATGAGCGCGCGCTTGGAGCTCATTTGGCAACATGGTGTTTGGTCGACCGAACTGGTTACCCCGGTGGAGCAGCGCACGCTCCCATCCCTCCATTCGATAGTCTGCGGTGGATGCCACCGGAAGATAGGTCTACAAGTTTGCACCAGGGGTGGAGAGCCAGACCTGCTCCCGACTGAATGGTCTTCAATCATCATGTGCTATCCAATGGCAGCCCGCTGTTCCCAGGACATTTTGCCTCGAAGGCACTGCCGATGCATTATTACCCGACTCGCAGATAATTGATAGATCACCCGATAGTCCTCTTTCTGCTGGCATGTGCAGGACGGCCATGGCTAGCAGCGTGGCGCGCTTCCAGAATCCCAGCCGTCGCCCAAGAACAAAGAAATAAGGGCGCGGCTCATCCCTTCCATTTAGCGGCTCATCACCCGTCTGCTTTGAAATTGCTGTAGAGGCGAAGAAAGGGAATAGGAGAACGGCGAAGAAAAAGACTCGTTCCCCCCTCCTGTTTCTTCTCCAGCCCCGATCGACATCTACACCTTCCCTTTCTCACCCGGCTGACAGGACAGCCTCTTGGACGTTTCCCACCAACATCCATCTCCAGTGTCACTCGCCCCACTTGTGTGTTGGACCCTCCTCCTGCAAGGGACGTCTATCAAGGAGCTCTAGAACCGCCAATCTCACGGCTGTACGACGACGCAGTCTCCCAGATTGAAGCATCGGTCATGAATTTCAAAGGTCGGAGCAGCACGTCAGACGCATAAATATAGCAAGTCAGTCGGTGGTGCAGACCCTGTGGCCACCCGACGCGAAACAGAGCTCGGAAACATGTTGTCGCACCATGGAGCCTTCTCGCCAGGGACGGCAATCACCAGCGCCAACAGGAAACAATCAATACAGCGCCGGGTCCACCAACAGGTGTACTTGAGAACCCTCTCACCCGCTGCTTCTGTTGGCCGCTTGCTTTGCTGGCTGGTTGTGCTTCTGTTTGTGGCGTCACTCTTTGCAACGTCCGAGGCTGCACACGGTGATCTTAGAGATCGACGAAAAAGACCTTCGTTCCCTGCACTCCCCATCAACATCGACCCCGTGCCAGCGCCTCGAGCATCTTCTCTTTTGCTCGTTGATACTCGCCCTCCCCCTCAAGCCCCTCCTTTAATGCCTCCAACCAATGATGGAATTGCGAATCAGATCCCGAATACGCCGTCCATCAAAAGAGCGGATGGCACTTTTGAAATCCCGAGACCGTTCGATTCATCGCTGTCGAACAATTTCACGGACAACTGCGACAATTTCTTCAAACGCATGCTGTCCAGCGAGACCGTCACCACCTGCCACCCTTTCTCCATGCTGCTCCAGGTATTTTGGCCTCTGCCAACCCTCATCATGATTGAATCATGTAAAACCCAGTGTTAACCTCGTACAGACTTCCAATGGTCTCTTCGAAGCATCCAAATCGTTCGTTCGCATCACACAAACCCTGGAGAACACTTGTGCCGCGAACATGACGCAATGCCTTGGGGGTATGGATGCCCTCGCCCGCGAGCTCAAGACCGATGCGGCCTGTGGCGTGGACTACAACAACAACAATGCACAAGCTGTGCAAGCGTACAACGGGCTGATAGCGTACGAGCCCCTTTACCGAGCGAGCTGCTTGCGAGACGACAGTGGTAACTACTGTAAGAGCGAAGGCACATGTTGTAAATCTGGGTCCCCGCTAAATCGTGCTTAGGTTACGCCAACGCCGTTACCAACCAGACGTCACAGGGTTCAGACGGAAATCCATACTATATGCCCATCGGGATGAAACTCGTGAGCGGCCGTCCAACGTGCAACACTTGCCTTCAAGATACCATGGCCATCTTCTCCACCTTTGCTGGCAACGCCTCGCAGCCTATCAGCCAAACCTACGCCAGCGGCGCACAGCAAATCGTCGTCTACTGCGGACAGAACTTCATCAACGTAACCGCCGCTCCATTAAAAGGTGCTGCTTCAGCTTCCGCGACCACTGCTTTTGCGCCGGCCCTGACGCTTTTCCTAATGCTTTTCTTACTAATTTTCCCATAATCCCACCAAGGGATATTTAATTTCTAGTGTATATACTTTGTTTTCATCATTTGGATTCTCGCGGCTTTCGCGGAATCAACACACATCAGCGACGGCGCACGGGCTTTGTTTCTTTTTCCTCTTTCTGATTTCGCCCAGCAAACACAAAAGGCTGGTGGCACGGATACCCCCATGGAGGAGTCGTCAGGCGTTATCATTCAATCTCGGCGTTTGGGGTATATATCCAATCAGGATTCTGGAGGCCAGAGGTGGGAAAAGTCGGTTATTGGCACACGGCCGAAGACGAATGAGCAGCTCATTGCTTGGGATACTTTATCCATCGTGTACACATTATTTTTTAATCAACTCGCGGGAGAGGAGCTCCCGGCGTTGGTACCGAGCCGGGACAGCATACGTAGTTGCTAGCTCCTGGAATCTCGCTATCAATATCTCCAATCTACCTGTTGCGATCGAGTAGCACATAGCACGCAAGTTTCGTCGTCATCGGTGACCTTGATCGTGAGCTCCATGTAATTACTGGAATCGATAAAAGCATGCTAGAGGGCCCGAGTGTCCAGGATTCCAAGCCCAAGGTCGGATAGTAGCGGTGCTATCCGATCCATAGGCACTGGGCGATTCAGTGTTGGTACATAATCGCACACGTGTGCTTGTGCATGACGCAGCATTGAGGAAACACGCGGATGTGCAAGTTTTCGGGTACGCAAACGCAGGTCCCAGGAGCCTCGACGCCCAAGTCGGGAGTGCTGAAACAGGTCACGTGCGTTGCGAGATGCGGACATGATGATTTGACATCACGGCCCCCTGAACGTCACACCTGTCAGCAAGCCCGCCATCATCGCTCCTTTGCCCACATCACGAATCGCTCAACCGCTTCGCAGCACTTGTCGACTGGAACACGATGCTGAGGGATGCTTGCGCTGGCCGAGTGCGGCGAATACATATATTAATGATGCTTGCGCACTAGCAACCCACGATCGCCCTGTCATTTTATCCAAGAATCGAGACTCGTGGGGTATATACGAGGTTCCGGGTCTACGGTGCAGTTGAAACAGGACTTGTGGCAGGCTAAAGGATTGCCTTATTCAGAATTCCCAAACACCAACGCGTTTGATGGCCTTAGGTCCATCATGGGCTCCATGGACAGGTACCTGGGGCGGTGGTAGCACCTTTAGTACCTAAGACCGCCGCCTCGCATCGTAACCTAGCGGCTAAGGCAACCTCTCCTCACCCTTCATCTTCTTCTTTCAACCTATTAGTGTTCCTGGGAACCGATTCAGATGCATCTTTCTTAGTTTATTAGTCGCGATCCTTTTTCGCTGTCCGTTCCTTCTTGTATCTATATTATTGGCGCCCTTTGTAGCGACCGCCTCTCGTTCAAATCCAATTGGAAAAGCAAACAAGGAGCAAAAAACAGTAATACCAAATCATAATGGCCTCCACAATTACCCGCAAAAGTCTGGAACTTCCATCCGCCTCCTCGCGACAGGATATCGTGAGCGCTCTTTTGAGCGAATATGGCACCTTTGGAGATGACGACGCTTCGATATACAGCTACAATTATTCACCCGCTTCGCCAGCCAGAGATCTGTCGCCGCCACCGCCTCCACCCAAGACTCCCGAAAAACAAAGAAGCTATAGTAATGATAAACCGCTACCCTATGGAGGTCGGTTGAGCATGCGTTTTCAGCTCCGAGGTACGCCGTTTAATTTCTTCTTTCAAGGGGAGTCCCGGATCGGTCTGGCATGCGCCAGTGGGGGCATGCGTCACTGTGGAATCGATCAATTGATCACCGTGCATGTTGCTGTGGCCTACGTCCGGGTCGTCCACTTCCGCCACAACTACACTATTGTTTACACTAGAAACATTACTTCTTCCTGCCACTGAAATAGAACATGATCATCTCAACTGACATTCATATAGTGGACGGACCGACCTCTCCGGAGTCTCCAATCAACTCTCAGACGGACAGCCAACCAAGGCGTATCAACTACAGGAGCATCTCACGGGATTCAAAGCCCCCTTCACTGACACTTGCAGTCAGCAACGGCTCCACGGCCAAAGTTCCATCCACTCCCACCTTGACACCGGGGTCCTCAAGGTCTATACCATCTTCACAATCTCCCCGAGTAGAAGAGAAAGAACTTCCCCCGCCTCCTCCAGAGAAGTCAAAACGCCGTACGCAACAGTTACCTTTGAACGGCCCAAAATCTCCAGGACGTCCCGAGCGGAAAGACTCGCAGCAATCACGAGAGAACAAAGAGACTACCCAGCAGTTGGCTGAGCCTGTGAAACGAAAGCCTCTTCCCCCAAAATTTACATCTTTGCTCGATATGAAGAACATGCCCAGGGGAGGGAAGGGAGGTCCTCTTCCCATGCCTCGGACACGAAATCAGACTCCCAACACTGCTCAGCAAGACACTAGCCGCGATCGTCCAAGCACAGCGGTCGAGGCAAAGACTTCGAAGCTCTTATCAAGTCCCATGGAATCTTTGCCGGTAAAACCACACTCAGTAGCCGCTATTACCAATAGATTGCCGCCTACGCCCGTGCAAGACGAGGACATGGCATCAAAGGTCTCTGCTCCACCTCTACCCCCGAAACAAGTCAAAAAGCCGTTCGCAGGCATGGGCTTACCATCAAATCCACGGGGCGCCAAACATGTCAAGGGCAAGAGTAGCACCGGTTTCGACTGGGTAAAAGATTCGAAGACGGTACTTTCGCCAAAACCAGCATTGGAACAAATACCACAATCACCTAGTCATCCGCCCGAACAGCTTTCTGTTCCTGCCCCAGTCCCATCTTTGTCGCCTGTACCCAACACCATAACGCCTGGGCTCACACCACCACCGAGACAGATGGAGCAGTCACAGCAATTGTCGGACTCGGTATCCTCAGTGAACGGTGATGACGATCGCCGACCATTTAGCTTCGAAGGCCTTCCACCTCCTCCACCGCCAAAACAACAAGCAAATCAGTCCGTATCAACAACACAAATCGTCACCGTTCCCGTTCCCCAATCAACAACCGCTGTTTCCAAGCCAATCTCACCAGCCCCATCGAATAGCCGTAATCCACCTCCACAGAACGCTATGAGATCACCCTCTCCACCGCAACCCGCCTCGCGTCTCCCAAACGCCTTCGCAAACCTTCCCTCTCAACAGCAACAGCCGTTCTCTCCTCCTATGTCATCTGACTCATCACGTTCTGTTCAACAGCAACAGCCAGCACCACGAGCTTTGGCATCTGCCTTTTCGAGTCTTCCCTCCCAACAACGCAGTGATTCTCCCGTCTCTCCACCCTCAGGCAGCCCGCTCCCCGAGTTCACAGCCCCGACCCCAATCTCGCCCATGCAATCGCCAGATGCCGCTCCCATCATCACCACCGCGGCCGACAAACCTACTTACAGCAACAACACCAACAACAATACCACCACCATCTCCATGACCCACCCAGTCCTCAACCCCAACCCGACCGACACCGACCAAGCTCCCTTCACCCCACTGACCCACCAACCCCTCCATACACGCGCCGCCCCCATAACTGCCACACACCTCTCCTGCTACACCTCGCACGCACACTCCATCTGGTCGAAGAACGAGTTCCAGCCCCAAGCATGCATGACATGCACTTCTTCCCGCCCATCGACCAGCTCCTCCAACCACACTTTCTCATCCACTTCTTCCGCGTCCCGCGAGCGCATGTGGGCGTGCACATGGTGCTACCTGCGCATATGCGAGTCCTGCGCTGCAGAGCTCTACCGCATCCCCGGGAAGAATCTGCGTGTGCTTGTTGAGAGACGGAAAGCTGGGTTGGTGGGTGCTGGGGTTGTGGGGAAGGGGAATAATGGCGGCGTGATGAGCATGCTTGTTGAGCAGCAGGAGGAGGAAGATACTGGGAAGATTGGGGGGTTGGTCGGGCCCAAGAGACATGATAGCGGTGCTGGCGGTGGGAATACCGCTGCTGCTGCTGCGATGACGTCGAATGCGGGTGCGGGTAAGGCGGGATGGCAGGCGGATGAGGAGAGGTATGGGGGTGCTGGGTATGAAAGCGATGATTTCTCATGAGGCGTTGTTGGAAAAGCCTTCAGCGTTAGACGTGGTTTTTTTCTTCTTACCATCATTTCTCTTCTTCTTACTAGTTTTTGAAGGGCCTTTTCTTTCGTTTCTTTTCTTTTTCTATCAAAGTCTGTAAAATTACAACTGAAACGATGCATATGGCCAGTCAGCATAGGTTAGGAACGGACAGGGTAGGACAGAAACAAGTTTCGATGCGTAGATTTGCATAAGACCAGCAGGAGGAGTAGAATTTGTTATTTAGGAATGAAATGACGAGAACATGCATCTGTATTCCAACTGTTGATGATATCTACTTGGATTCTCCACCCGTGTATATCTCGACCCCCTCTCACGTCCAGTAGCCAGTGGAATATAAGCAACTCAAATACGACGCGAGTATTGCAACGACTACCTACACACGTGTATTACTACCACATAGATCTCTTAGTAATACTAGAGGAATTTAATGTTTAAGATAAAATTATCACTATGTAGTAATTTGTGCAAAGAAGTAGTTCGTTCACAGGACGCTGCATCTCTCATGTCCCACTAATTACTGGACATGAGATGCTCCTTTCCCTCGTCCACACTGACGAGAACAACAGCGATGGAGCGCAGTCAAAGCCGCGATGATTCGGATGCAGAGCTTTCAGCCCTGATGCGTAAGGTTATCCACCAAGCCACGCTACGACGACCAAGGTAAACAAGACAATAAAAATATAATGATCCAAAACCTCAACTAAGAATTCCGTTTATTCGTCTCTTACTCGTTTAGTGTTGGCCATCATCCCATAATCACATTCCTTACCAATCAATCCAAACGTTCCATCCAACTGTTTATGTAGTGGGGGGTATTACCAATGCCTGTCCCATGCGGATATAAGAAAATCACATGAAAGAAAAACGCCTTAATGACTCCAGCGCAATGCAATGTACAGGGGGAGTCCACCTCGTTAAAAGTCAATCATGAGCCGTAAACCATTATCCATCATCGATCTCGATCAACGGCGTCCTCTCTGCTCGGGCGCCTTTGTAAGCTGCCTGTTCGCCCAACAGCGGCTTCGAAGCCGCGCCAGATGGTTGTCGCGACGGAAGAACTGACTTCTCGGAGCGAGCTGCTCAAATCTGAATTGCGAGACTGCGGTATCTCGCGACCATGTCGCTCGCCTTGCTCTTCTGTCCAGTTGGCTTCAATGTCATCGTTGTTGCTGCTTGGTGAAATAGGTACTGGGCGCGAAGCAGAAGGGGAATCATCATGTGCCTCGGCCGCTTGCGCTTGAATATCGTCATCGTCCTCATCCCGGAAGCGTGCTTCAAATGCAGATATAGCACGGTCGTGGTATGATTGGGACAAAGAGCGGACAACATCGCCTTTGCATATCGGGCAAGTCCGTCGACGTGTCACAAGCCATGGAGTTCTGTAGTTTGTTAGTGGCGGTTCATCAAAAATGTGATAAGAACTTACATGCAGTCCGCGTGGAACTCGTGGCCGCATGGCAGACTCATAACTTGACTGACGCCGTCTTCGTACTCTTCCAAGCATACAACGCATTCTTTTTGTCTGCCTCCATAACGACGCCTCCATGCTGCCAGGCCTGACTCTCGTCTCTCTTCCTCAGATGTACTATGGGGCTGGAGGAAAGAAGATGACGTCGCGGGTGCGTCTGATTCTGGTGCGGAACGAGGACGCGAAGGCGTAGCTGACTGCGGAGGAGCTACATGTTGAAGCAGAGGAGTAGTAGGTGACGATGCAGTGGGGGTTGCAGCCGGGCTGTTGTCGCTAATGGTGTGGTAGGTACGGACAGGAAGACGTTCGACTATTGATTTGGGCGCTCTCCAGCGGCGTCGTCGAATACGTGATCGGAGGAGGAGGAGCGCATACACAATAGTCAAGGTGACAAGAGGGCTCACGACCAGGACTAGCAGAGTATCAAAGAAAGGGCTAGTCGACATATTGGTAGGGGTGAGCGTGACCCAGAGCCCTTCATGTGAGCCAGTCGGATCGGCTGCATGATGCTTTTCTGGTACAATGCCCATGTCTTCAGAATCTTCCGGCCTATTATTCCGCGAGTGTCGTTTACCACCCAAAAGGCTACGCAGCCAGCCATCGCTTTCGGCGGTGACATCGCGAGGGTACTCGCCGCTCGTAGGCAAGTTGTTACGGCCGTTTGTCGGTCTTCCAGGCGCATATGTTTTTCGGGGAACTGGATTCACCGAAGTGGATGACGCCGGCAGAGCAGCATCGCGCCAGTCGTATTCGCCTATGACGAAGTCACCTGTAGCTGGTGTGGGGGATTCCAATACGACGGGATCTTGATCGCCTCGTCCGTTTTCCAGGCCCAATTTAATGAGAAAACATCGCAGCCAGCCTTGACTTGATGCAGCACTGCGCTGTTCCTCCTGCTCATGGATATCCATACCAGATTTTGTGGCCTGTGCCGCCTTGCTTTGTTGCTTTGCCGATGCCTGTTGAGTCTTGCTCTTTCCACTTTTCCCACCTTTGACCATATTTAGTTTGGCGACATCTTCGGGAGATAGATCTTGTATCATTCCTCCGGTAGGAAGCAGCGAAGAGAGGAGATGGGCGGTGGTGTGAGAGGTGAAGAGTGCAGGAATGATGATGTCTGACGTATCTCCACGAGCATACATCCGAACCAAAACTCCACCACGAACATCATCTCCTACTATGAGGGCAACGCCGCCCCGTCTTTGTGCCCACCTGGCCTTCTCTAGAAATCCACAGCCACCTCGTTTCAGCAGCACCACTTTGCCCTTGATCTCGGCACTCTGCTGAAGGGACTCGATGTCGGCATGGCCAGCGAAGTTTCCGTTGCTGGCCTTGGAAGGGGTGGTGGCGGGGCTCGGGGAATTGAGATGATCGTCTGTACCGTCGTCGTTCCGTGTTGAACTTGTGTCGGACGAATCTGTATTGGACGATTGTTTGGCATGGGAAACGGCTCTGTCGTTCTCCGAAGTAGCTTGTGACAGTGCTTTTGGTGGAGTCTTGAGACCCAAGGCGCTCATGTTATCGCTGCCATCGTCCCACCCGGGCACGTCGCTGCAACCTAGCTCTCCTCTACCCATGGCTTCGTCGCCGAAACCGCTTCCAATCCATAGCGCGCCACTGAGACCGAGGGTAGGAAGAGGGGGCCCAAAAGCGGCGGGGCGGGCGAGGAAGAAGGTGGAGTTGTCGTCTGTCAAGCTGATAATGGCGGAGGGGGGAAACAGCGAAGCAGGCGAGGTAAAGGAGAAGAATGCGCTGGCTTTGGATCTCTGGGTTTCGGGCGAGGTTTGCTTAGTCTGTGGGTGGTGGGGAGGTGAGAAGGCCATGTATAGTAGCAGGGTGAAAGCCATCAGGGTCGCAGCAAACGACAGCAACAGGCGAAGCGGGCGCATGGCGGTGGTGGGTGGAGAGCGGGGTGCAATGTGGAGGCGCGAGAGGGAAAATGGGCTCGAAAGAGAAGAGATGAATGGCAGCAAACAGCAGACGCTGGACCCTAAAGGATGGGAAGAAGGATACACATGCGGCAGGGGTGGTGTGGTGTCGTCACGGGTGAGAGAGCTGTCTGCGGTGGTCGTAAGCGGTACCTACAGCGGCGTGCGTAGGTACCAAGGGCAAGTTATGTAAGTAGGTGGATAATCAGCTGGAGCCGCGGCGGTCAGGCGTCGGGTCAGTCGATGCGGTAATGTCCAAAGTGGGCGGGCCGGGTAGTCGCGTGTGTACAGTCAGTGATGGGCGCCCAACGCACGCACGCACGCTCGCTGACCGACCACTCGAACAACGGACGGATGGAAGCAATGGAAGCAATGGGGTGCGGGCTGGATGGGCATCAAGGAGACGCACAGAAAGAGAGGAGACAAGATCAAGAGTGAAGAAGAAGAGAGGAGGGGAAGGAAAGAAGACGAGGAAGAAGAAGAAGAAATGGCGAAACACTCCAAGGAAGCAGCCAATGTACAGGGAACAAGGCTCGCTTCATTTATTCACAAGCTACTTACCCAAGTGCCCATTGCATTCAAAACATGCAAATCGGCTGGCGGCTATACGCTGTCACCCGCTGGTGCGCGCCACAGCTATATATGTATGCCGTAATAATGTCGATGGATGTGATGGTGCTGTTCTCGACCTACATGTAACATGCATACCCATCCTTTCAAGGTACATGTGCGCCATTCGGGTGTGCTACCACGGTAACCGTATCTTGGGTCGTGGTGGCCGAGTTTTATACATGCTACTCCAAGTGCCTAACTTGGGTATCCACACACACACTAAGTAACTTCACATGGTGTCGCCAAGGGCGAGAGACGGAGAGAGCGGCAACAACAAAGACGCCACTCTTCGGCCATTTATTTCTTCACTCACCCATCGTTTACCTACATGTATTCAACCTCCACCGTGATGCGCTGCACGCATCCATCCATTCAACTCACCTTTGCATCCCATCGTCCTCTGTCTTGATTCCGTGTTGATGCATTCGGTCGTCTGTTTCGAGAGGCACGCCCAGGTACGACATGCAGACAACCATGATACCATCGAGGCCCCCAACACCCTCTGAACTCACAGAAGCTCCGTCATCTCGACGAGGCCTGTCCTATCATCTGGTATCATCGAGTCTCTGTTTTGCGCAATAATCCCTCTTCCTTTAAACAAAGACCTGCGGCCAGGCATCTGGACATCGCCATCTATCACGTGATACTGCTGTTCGACCTACCAGCTGACAGCTTGAAGGTTGATCGCATACATATGTACATACCTATGTATGAACTTGATCTTCAAGAGCATGCTAGATACATCCGACGTCTTTCGTATATTGCAGCTTCCACGCCAAATAGACTACCAAGGCCAGCATGTCGTGCCTACCTGATTTACACACGTAAATCCCAGATATGGCCTCACAGCCCAAGGAAGGCGCTCCCATACCCGCACCTGCATCGCCTCTGCTGCTACTTCTCTTCTCGTATACGCCCCCCCTCTTGAACGTCTCATCAAGCTCGCTTCATCTTCCTTTTGTCTTCTCAATCTATCCTATCCTATCATCAGCCCTACATATCTGCAACCGTCATATCTAACGTCTTATTGCTTCTGGCCTTTCATTTCCTGATCCCTAGTTGATATATTGTCTCTCCTTCAAAGACCTGTTTCTTACGCGTTCATACAACCTACATCGGTCAACTATTAGAACCCGTCCTCCATCTGCAACGCCCTAGAATGGATGCCAACCATTCTTCCCAAAGCTTCGAGGTTCTGCCAGGAATGAAGCCCGCCTACACCACGGATCCCGACCGTCCTGGGGAAAAACGTCTCGCTGGCCTCCGATGGCTTCCCAATCGAGTCCGCCACATGCTGGTATCAATGCTCGGCGAGTTCGTCGGCACCTACTTGTTCCTGTTCTTCGCTTTCGCTGCCACTCAGGTCGCCAATACTCCTCCAAGTCAGCTCGACAAGCCTGCAAGCACGGCCACTCTGCTGTACATCTCCCTGGCTTTTGGGTTCTCCTTGGCAGTCAACGTTTGGATTTTCTTCCGTATCAGTGGAGGATTGTTCAACCCTGCGGTATGTTCAATGCCATCATCTTTCGACTCGTAGCTGATCATTAAGGTCTCCGTGGCTCTCGCCATTGTAGGGGCGATCGGATGGCTCAAGGCCGGTCTTCTCATAATCTCCCAGGTGCTTGGTGCAATTACAGCCGCAGCCGTAACGTCTGCCCTATTCCCCGGTGACCTGAACGTTCGAACGAGTCTGAGTCCGGATACCTCAGTGACGCGCGGCTTGTTCATTGAGATGCTGCTCACTACCGAGCTCATCTTTTGCATATTCATGCTGGCGGCTGAAAAACATAAAGCCACATTCCTCGCTCCCATTGGTATCGGACTGGCTTTGTTCATCGCTGAATTGGCTGGTGTATACTTCACTGGTGGCTCGCTCAATCCAGCTCGCTCTTTTGGGCCCGACGTTGTCCTTCACACATTCGATGGATACCACTGGATCTACTGGGTTGGCCCGATGCTCGGAGCTCTTATTGCCGTGCTGTTTTACCGTCTCATCAAAGTGTTGGAATATGAGACTGCCAACCCAGGAGCGGACAGCGATGGCAGCAATCAGCCCCACACAAATTCACCGCCTGAAGAAGACGAAGAAGAAGGACGCCCCAGTGAGTAAACCCGATGGTCCCTCTAATACAGAGTTTCCAGCCATCGATACACCATGCGGCGTGGCTTATCAAATTATTTACCTTGGGAAATTCTCGAAATCACGTCCACCTGAAATTTAGGTAGTTCTGCAGTTTACTATACTGACAACAAAGCAGATAACCGTACCGACGGCACAAATGAATCGGAATTTGTACCTCCTTTTCACCCGATCAATAAGCCAGCCAACTCGCATCGGTCATACTCTTCACGCTATGAGATGCGAGACAACGAGTCACACCTGCTACGACCCCTACCAAGCCAACCCCATAGCGGTGATGGGTACGTCATCCATTGACACCAAGTCACTCGAGACGCGTTGTGATAGAGCGTTTGCACATGCTGTTCGGTTCATGAACCCAAATCTATTTGACTATTACTGATTTTATATCCGCGTTTCTAGACCCCATTCTATTGATCTCGACGAACGCCCTCGTGCTCAACACCACCCAATTTCAGTACAATCCCGCGCTCCCTCACATTTTGACGAGGCTTCGGATCACAGCTTCCGAAGTGCACCAAATACTGAGTCTGGTAGTTCTGAATACAGCTCGAGAAACAGTTCCTGACATGAGGGTCCGAGCTGTCTGAACGGCTATCTGTACTGGCCGTTTTGTTGGCTCCCACATTTCGTACTAAGGGCTTGCTTTTGTCCTTGAAATGTACCATTCACTGCAAAGTATAGGATGGATCCTTGGCTGTATCTTCGATACTGATCCAAGTTCGGGATTCAATAGGAAGTTTGAACGCTAGATACAAGCTCTTGTTAGGCACGATTAATTAAAGCAACGATTTCTCTACAAGTGCCCCGACATCCTCTAGGTGACTTAGACGTCGTTTTCATATATATCGAGCGGGCTCCGTTGTGCTTGTGGTCGCCATATCTACTGACTCAAGGTCATTATTCTAGGTCGTGCGACTAGAAACACCTACCACGAGAAGTTAACCTATGCGTCCCCCCCATATCAACTTGTGACGTACGAGGCTCGTGATTGGTCGCGTTTTGTTTTCCCTCTCCGTAGAGCAAACAACAATCTTATCATGACTGCGCCAGCGGTTCCTATTGTCTTGGTGGGTGAGACAGATCCGCTATCCATCTTGGACTATATCTTGAATGCGACTTCACCGCGTCTTGCACGACACATCCCAACTGTATGAGCCTGTACTATTTCTGGCGCAACGCTTTGTTCTCCCCCATAGAAATTGAGTATACCACCACATCACCCGAAAAGACCATTCCGAAGCGCATCATCGGTATGAAAATTACAATCAACGACCATGGGGATTCAGGTTACCGCCCTCTCCCCACCCCGACCACTCGGTTCCAGTCCGATATTCCATCGCCTTCCCAAATCTCCCCTGACCCAGCTCAATCTCTTCTGATTGCGGAGTCCCAGTCACGCCGCATTCAAAAGGACCTCATCATTCTTTGCAGTTTTCCCGACAACACAACGCTGACTTGGAGGCCCACATGGTTCCCCCCTCTCCCCCCAAACAATACAACTGGCTTGTGGACGCTGCACAACCCACCGCAAGTAGTCACCGATGCGCTTCCGCGCGTGACCGGACAAGTTTATAGCTTAATGACGAGGCGGATGCGGAAGAATGGAGATCGCGCGGCGGCGTATATCCAGAATGAAAGCGACTGGCAGAGGTATTGCGAGGTAAATGGCGTTCCAACGTCGTTTTTGAACGAGCAAATGATTGCGTTTATGAGGTTGGGCTTGGAGAAGGACGGAAATGATGCGCCGAAAGGTAAGTCGTCTCTTTTCCCATTCTTTTCTTCACTACCGTTCCCCTATCTTACTCCCACTTTACCGGTCTCCGCACTTCTTTTGTTCATCCTCTCTAAATCTGATAATATCTTTTATAGCTAACCATGTAACATGACTATAGCGCCTCCCGCATGGCCGCGATACCCCGAGCCCCAGCTCTATCGCTACATCCTCCCCGGCTCGAGCATCAAGAATCTCCCCCGCAAATTCAGGTGCGTCGATCCGGAATACCCGCCGGATGGGGAACGGATCGTGGTCTACCCAGACGGCGCGCTCGAAGTGTGCTGGGCGAAAGATGTGGAGAAGGGCGTGCCGATGCTGCCAATTGGCAAGCATTGGAGTTATGTTCCTTGGACCGCGCAGCAGGAGGAGAGTAGCCAGCCTAGGGTTTTGAGGCTGCATTTGTGAGGGGGGAAGAAGCAGGTGGATGCTATGAACATTTGTCCTCGGTGACGGGAGTAATTGTCTATCAGTCAACAGATTGACGGTGGGCCTGTATATTCTCTCTCTCGACCTCAAGGCTGTCTTTGTTTCCGCTGTTGGGTGGATCCATATACTTTGAAGCTCCTTATCACGGAAAGAATATATCTCTCAATTGATGCTCGATTCTCTCTTACTTGTGCATTATGCTGTCTTCCTTTTCTTAACCTGTTCTCTCATCTTTTCCTCGTGCTCAACTCTGCCCAAACTAGTACACGCCTTGCGAGACGTCGCTTTGTACAATAGATGTCATAGTATTGGCAACGGCCATTGGGCGAGAACGAGTTGAAAGAATTGCGACTTTCTAACGCGCGCGATGGCATTCTCAAACCAGCAATCTAGCCGAACACAATGTCGAAGGGGGCTTGCAATACGTGGAAAGCCCACGGACCTCGGCCCATAACCCCAAAAGAAGCAAACTGTAACAAGCTTTTGTGTAGATGCAACGGCGTGGCTATAAGAGGGCGTATGCAGTCATCTTCAGCATCGAGCGCCCCTGCCAATCACAGCGTTTCCCTTCAGGTACGGGGTTCGGGCTGGCCGCGCCCGACGGCGATTCGTCAGCGTCAATGCCCTACATCATAGATCATAAAGACCTACCACGTCCCTGGATGCTCATTCTTCACCATTCCGAAAAACATTGCAATATCCCCGGTTACGGAAACCTAGAATCAAACCCACAACCATGGCACCAAACTACTCACTCCACACGATCCCCATCTACTGGATCTTGGCCCTTGTTCCACACGCAGTCGCTGTACGTTCATTACATTGATCTTAATGGATCCGACAAATCAACAAAACTCTTACTAACCATTTGATATTCACACAGGTGAGCTCCTTAAAGAATGCCAACAATGGAAGATGGAACAACGCAAACCCACGATCCGCTCAGAACGGCGAGAATTGGCGGAAGTCCATCCCCGCTGCCGTGATCTCAAAGTACGAGCGCTTGGAGGCCGCGCACTCCAACAGCATGGAGAACGCCCCTTTCTTCATTGGAGCCGTCATCGCTGGAAACCTCGCTGGTCTTTCATCTGGTATGCGTGTTTTTGATTTCGCGATGTTGGGCTTGCATCATCATTATGCTTCTAATCCCTCTATTTGATGGATTGCTGACCCGTGACATTATAGATACGATGAACACGGCTACAATGTCGTTTTTGGCACTCCGCGTGCTATATGTCATCGCGTACGGTACTATCAAGTCGACTAAATACTCGTATATCCGCAGTTTGATTTGGGCCGTCTCCACGGGTGTTCTGATGCGGCTCTACTGGCAGGCGGGCAATAAATTGATCGCTTGAGGTTAAATCGTGGCCTGGCTGACTCGTCGTGTGGCAATTGCATTCTCCTTCCAGCGTGGTATGAAGATCATGATACCTACCTAGGTAGTTATGGCAGATAGCAGAAGAAAGACAATAATAACCATGAAAAAATCCTAAATATCCTATCGAAAGTCGATCGAAGTATCTCTTTCAATCCTCTCCTTAGCATCTCTTTTATTCTGGCATTCTCTTTCACAGAATTCACCCATATTCGATAATGATTCAGCAGTCATGTACAGGCGTGCCTTAAGACCATGCACACATCCAATGATTGGCAGTCAGCTCGAAGCGGTTAGCGCGGAGGGTTGATCCGTGTCTCCTCCATCTCCGCTCGTCATCTTCATTCCATCCATGTTCATCACGCAGATTGATCGCTGGTATTGAGATAACAGCAACTAAACAATCAATACTCACCTGTTCTATCAATCGCTCGTACTCACCGGCAATGACAGAGTCCACTTCACCTACACCATGGCCGGTCACCGCCAAGTCAGTTGCTCAAGTCACGGAGCCCACTTCACTATCGACATCAACTGCATTGACAAACCTTCCTTACGAAATACTCGAAATGATATTGCTGTTTCTTCCCATGAGAGACCTGCTCTTATCTCAACGCATCTGCCGTTACTTCAAGGAGACGATAGTTTCATCCAAAACCATTCAGCGCGCTCTGTTCTTTGAGCCTTCACATTATCCAGAGAATCCCGCCAAATGGGACATTTTAAGATGGAACCCTCTATTCGAAGAAAAGCTAGCACCTTCTTTCAACATACGAATCATCGGCGTTAGTTGCACACAAGAAGGTTTCGTCAAGATGGTAGCTCACGCTCGGTTACCAAAAGACGCGTCGGCTTGTCCAAAGTGGTCCGACTGTGCTTCATGGAAATCAATGATGATCACTCAACCTCCTGCAACTCTACTCTTGCATCCGGCTTCTAGCTTGTTCTGGAAAACGCCGATAGAATCTCAAGCCCAGTTCTTCCATGACCCGGATGGTTTTAGGATCTCAGACATTGTGACATGCGAGGGTGATCCTGCAAAGGGGCCACGATCCTTGTACCGGAGGGAAAGTGTGACTTTGGAACAGCATCGGAAGCTTTTTGCTAGATCGACGTGAGATCTGTGTCTTGAACTTTTGGGCTGAAGATTTGGCGCAGGGTTGTGCTTTGGACTTGTACAATTCTCACGTCCATAGAACTCTTGTTGATAATGTAAACGACGGTTCCTTTATCCCACCCTACATGTATACAACTGCAACCGTTCTTCACATGTGTTTCTAATCATACTATCCACTACATGGTATCATGATCATGCTGAGCTGCATTGTCCGCAGTCCGGGAATATAATTGGGGCGGTTTACCGATAAGTTGTTCACTAGGTCTGTCCCAACCAAATCACGATTTGAGTATGCAGGCCATCAAATGGTTTGATTCGGTTCGCATAAAACGATGACCTGTTTCGTTGTTTCTAACCGTGGTTACCCAATCATCAGTGAGCTATAACACCACAGAAAAACATATTTTCTAGGAGACCGCAGCATACACAGCAGAAAAAACAGTTCGGTCTTACAAATCCATATGGATCATTGGATGGTCTGCGCACTCTGATTGTGATCAGATTGGGGAAGAGCAGAGCAAGTAGCACTATAAGAGATCCCCTCTCCGCCCAGCTACCATTAAACACAATCATCTGCCTATTTCCCTTCGCACTTTACTTCCACGCCAGGAAGAAACAGAGAATCCGGTAATCCACCGTCACAACTTTCACAGACCGCAAAAATCACCATGAAGCTCAACACTCTATTTGCATTCGCCCTTGCGGCCACTGTCAGCGCCGCCCCGCTCCACGAACCCCGAGAACAACCCCACAACCAAAAAAATGATCAGTATGAGTATCGACCAGTCACGAAACTCGACGAAGGTACACTTCAGGTGACTGACAATGACGACCCACCTAAACACACCCCACACGTATACGAATCAAAGAACTGGTCAGGAGCTGTACTCAAGAACCAACCTGAAGAGAGATACATATACACTTCAGTTCGCGGCCGTTTCACCGTACCGAGCGTACAATACCATGGCTCGCACCACAAGGACGAATCCGCTGCTATTTGGATCGGCATAGACGGCTTCCCGGACGGCACATCTATGCTGCAGGCAGGCGTCAGCATAACCGTCCCCGAAAAAGGCCCCGTCAAGTACGAGATCGGCGTGGAGTGGTACCCGGAGCCCCTTCAGAAGCTGTCGTATTTCCCCATTCACGCGGGCGATGTCATCAGCATCGACATTGTGGCAAATACGTCCACCACGGGTACTATAATTGTGGACAACGAGTCGAGAGGCGAGCTCGCTAGGATACCGATGCAGGCGCCGGCCAAGGAACCGGGTGAAAATTACTGGCTTATGGGGCAGAGTGTGGAGTGGATTGTGGAGGATTTCCAACACCCTCTGGCTAACTTCAGTGAGGTTGTTTTCTACAATGCAAGTGCCGAGACCAGCTTCTACGAGACTGTGACGCTGTCGGAAGCTGATGTCATTATACTCAAGCCGCGGCAATCTGAATCTCTTAGTCAGGTATCCATTGATTCCGACTCGCAGCTTACAGTCAGGTATCGTGGTTGATATGTAGATAGAAGCGGTGAAGAGCAATTCGTTACTCTCAAGTTAGATGTTAGTTCAAGTCTTTGCGTTCAACATAATGGAAGTCCTAGTTTTATCAAGGAATCCCCTCTGCTCAACGCCAGCACTGTCTAGTTTATTTGACTGTATGTCGCTATGCCAAGATTAAAGCAACCACAAGAGACTCGAAGAGAAAAGGAAGCGGATGAAAGATGTGTTCAAAGTTTTGTCCAAGACCCCAATACCTGCAGATGTCTTCAGAGTAGCAGGAGAAACAGGCTGCTGGAAAAATCCGGGGTCAGGGAGCAGTGACTCCCACTCCCGCTTGATCACCGACCAACCCTAACACAATAATAGTCACTGAAGGAGATATCGAATGTAGCGTAATGACCCCATAGACTTGAAACATTACATTTCCATAGTATCAAGAACTATTCAACACCTAATCAGATCTGTTCCACTCCAGCTAGAGAGAAGCAATAACATAGATACCCAATCACTTCAATTCCCCGGATCATCTGGAGACAAAAGTAGCAAGGATGCATACATCCCCATGAACAAAAAAAATTTACATTCAAATCAAGGGAAGAACGCTCCGAGTACCTTGATATGATTTAATATTGAAAGTTAGCAGATCGAACATCTAACAAATCTACTCTCGGGCACATGCAAGAAAGAACATAAGAAAACATCTTCCATCCAGAAGAAACCCCTGAACGTCTTGAAAAGATATAGGAACACAAAAGAAGATATGGAAGAAAAAATGAAAATTCTATCCCACATTCCACCCCACCTTGACCTCTTCCGATTAAATATACGAACCATCACCTCCCAAGCCCAAGCCCAACATCGCCGCCACCACCATCTTTCTTCCCCCTACTTTTCTCTCTCCTGCTATCACGATAGGATTCATTTTCTGCTGGAGCCTCGCCCTCATCCTCATCATCGCCCACAAAACCGCCCTCGTCATCGCCATTGTGCGCATGCTGCCTTTTTCGTCCACTTTGAGCAGCAGATGAGGTATCGTAGCGCTTCCCTGCATCCCCATAATCAGCAAGCAGACCGCTATTATCTGCGTCGTCGGAGTCATCATCTACAAAAACTCTGCTTTGCCTGCGTAACTCGGACATGAAATTGCCGCCGCCTCCACCGCCCACACGCCGTTGATGGAGTTGATACAGGGAGGGAGATGGGCCTTGCTGGTTCGAAGATGAGCGGAGTTCTATCATAGAAGACGGGCGGTTTGAGCTGAGATAGGGCGAAGCTGGGGGTGGTGAACGTAGTGTCGATGGTTCAAGGGATGGTTGGGGTGGATTGGAAGAGCCAGATTGCTGTTTGGGCCCGAGAGAAGACCACCATCCCGACAAGCGGTGGCTGAGGGATGGACTGTCTGGGGCGGTTTGTTTGGATTTTATTGAACTCGTGGCGACACGTGGTGGTACGCCTTTGCTCTTGGATGTGAATGTGAATCCTAGGGGACGGTTGACGGGAGACCCCGGACGCGATGGTCCTGCGGAAGAAGACGATTCGGATCCGGATAAGGGATACGAAGGGTTGGTTTCTAATGCGCCACCTTTGGTACGCTGTAAGAGACTGCGCAAATCGTCTTCCGAGAAAGTAGTCACTAGGCCACCGTCTTGGGTGCCTCGAGGGCGGAGTTGACGACGGCCTTGTTGTATTACATGCTCAAGCTTTGCACGATTCGCAATGAACTTAAGCTTTGGGAACGTGGATTGTTGGCCAACGTGTATCATGCGGGCCAGGCGCTCAGGCGTAGGATCTGCAAGAATATAGTAAAAGTCCGATAAGATGGATTTGGGCCAAATGGTAATAGTACCACTAAATCGCTGGAGCCATATTTCACTCCAGTCTTGGCCTAATGGGCGGGGAAGCAACTCCAGATGACGAAGGACTTTGAGCCACTTGTTGAGGTCCAGTTTTATCGTCTGCTCAGCAGCAGAACCAATAAAGCCGCCACGCCATCCACGCCCCCGACGATGGGTAACTGGACGACCGACCGATCCGCGCGACGAGAAGAAAAAGATGCTGATATGAGGATTGACCTGGCTGACAATTGAAAATCGAACATTGAAATGCAGGTTGAGTGCTTTGAGAGGAATATCTGTTCGCAGACTACCATCCTTCCACTTGTGTCCAAACGAGTAGGGCGATAAGGTGCCGTCTTTGTTCTTTTTCATCATAACGACAGGGTTGAGAATCCCAGGTACTGCGGCTGAGGCCAAGACAGCAGACCAGATCACGCAGTCGGGAGACGTAATATAATTGGCTAGAATGGTGGGTGAATGGGGATCAGATGGTACGCATGAAACATTCAAGATACGCCCGGTTCGTTGGTATGCTTCTTTGAAAGTCATGCTGCCTCTGGTGAACCATGAGGCTCGTTGAGCCCAATCGACACTGTCGAAACGGGCGCCAGTCTGTCTCCATCTGTTGAACCATGTCCAGGTACTATCGTGGCAGGCGGTGATGCGGTTGGCGAGAGCAGGAACCAAAAGCTTCTTCAGTTCTTCATCCGTCCTAGTGCCCAGCAATGCTGCAACAAGAGCGCCTCCAGAGGTACCTGTGATCACTTCAGGAAGCAGGTTGGCATCCAGAAGTGCCTTTGCCACGCCAAAGTGATAGTAAGCAAATGTTGCTCCGCCAGAGAGGCACAGAGCAGTACGACCAAAGTTGGAGCCAAGGTGCTTAAACAGAGCTTTTTTGGTTTCCTGATCGAGCTGTGTAGTCTGAAGGAGGAAAGATAGTGATTTCTCGGCTTCGTCGACGAAATCTTGAACCAGATCTTTTGTTCCGTAATACGTTTCACTGTACAACCGTGGATTCTCGAAACCAACGAAATTATTTTTTATGCAAGCCTCTACAATAGCTCGGAGATCCTCGACAGCGCGGTGTTCACCGACGGGACCGTTTTCCTGCGATTCTGCCTGCTGACGTAGTTTGGCCATTTGATGGTGGACTCTGCGCACACTTTTATTATCGTAGTAAGCGTAGTCGGGGTTTTCCTTCCACTCGTCATTGTGAAGATATGTGTCTAGCTCCTTTGCCCCTTGGATCCATTCTTCGTAGGTCCTTGCAGCCTGCAGCTGGGCACGGAGTCTCTGGCGCCTCCCACGCCATGTGACCCAGTGTTCGTAAGTGTAAACATAGAAGCGAGTCAGAATGTAGCCTATACTCAAGACAAAAAGCCACGCAAACACGCCTAGCAGGAATGGCCACTTGAGCACGCCATAGAAAAAGCCCTCGCGGGTTTCATCTTTGCCGCGGCGAGGGGGCTTCCCATGCTTCCGTCTCCGGCGCACACGCTGATGTATGGGCCGCCAGTCGTTGAGGGCCGTGATAAATCTTCGTGGTTCGGGTTGAGGCAGAGTGATATCCTCGGCGGAGGGCGAATTCTCGGGTGCTTGGAGGGCTTTTGTGAATTCGACAAAGTCGGCCTCATTGTAGAAATCGTTGTGTGCGTCAGGAAGCTGGTCGAAATCGAAGCCGGCGGGCGAGTACGGTGTTGGGCCGTCGGTTTCTTTCTTGATGTCAGCCATTAAGGTATGGTATGGGGGTAGGTTTGTGCATATTCGAGGGAGGAGATGTCGCTGTGATAGTGGACAGACGGTGGGTGGGCTGTTGCGGTCTGGTCAATGTTGAGTCGGGCGCATGTGATGTCACTGCACGGCCCCTTGTACTTGGGTAGGTACAAAATAAGCGGGCCGCCGCCGGGGAAGGAGCTGTCGACTGTTGTGCACGCGTCTTCGATTTTTTTCCATGTACGGCAACTAACAACATTTCAGCTTCCTTTTTGTTCCGTTTTGTTTAACATGTGAAGTCATGCGCATTTCCCCATCTGTTCTACATGGCGTCCGCCGTCGTCCACTCGTTCCCTGCACTTCATCAGCCCACTCGCGATCTCTCCTTACCCTCGCTATCGAGACCAGTTGTGATGATACCTCGGTCGCCATCCTTCAACTGGGACAGCACGATACGTCGCGCCGCACTGCCGCCCGCCTGCATTTTCACAAGAAAATCACTGCCAACAACTCCGCTTTCAATGGCGTTCATCCCCTGGTAGCTCTCGAATCCCACCAGGAGAATTTGGCCAAACTGGTCGCCGAAGCCATCGAGCATCTTCCCAGCCGGACATCTGGCGTGACACTCCACTCGAAGCAGCTGCCAGACTTCATATCTGTAACCCGAGGCCCTGGCATGCGATCGAACCTGTTCACCGGTCTTGATACAGCTAAAGGTCTTGCAGTTGCCTGGCAGAAGCCCCTTATTGGGGTCCATCACATGCAGGCCCATGCCTTGACCCCTCGTTTGGAAAATGCATTGGATTTGGAGACCACAATTGGTCTTGACTTTCACAATCAACAAACCCAGGACATCAGGTCCGTCGATGTTCAACCTGAGTTTCCCTTCATTTCGGTGCTGGCTTCCGGCGGTCATACACTTTTGATCCACTCTTCAGCCTTGACTAACCACCACATCATGGGAGGCACAGTAGACATCGCGGTTGGTGAATGTATGGATAAGATCGCACGCACAGTACTTCCTTTAGAAACCCTCCAAGGGGCAAAAACTTCTATGTATGGTGCCGTTCTAGAAGAATTTGTTTTCCCAACAGGAAGTCATGATAGCAAGGATCCAACGTGCTCCAAAACTATTGACTCAGGGCTCAGTGCTTCGGACTATGTTCAACTGTACAAAACTCAATATGCATACGAGGTGCCTGTCAACAACGAATTGGCGCTAAAACGAAACATCTCCAAATGGGGATGGAGTGTCAATCAACCCTTGACAAAAGCATCAGGTGGACTCAAGAACAACACGTTGGAGATGAGCTTCACTGGCCTGACTACGGCTGTAGAGCGCCTAGTAATGTATAAGCGTGACTCAGACACCCACAAACTTACCAAAGAAAAGCGGCGGATTGAGGATGTTACTATTGAAGAGAGAAAAGATCTCGCAGAATACTCAATGAGAGCAGCATTCGAGTGAGTTACCCTCCATCGTATTCGGTCTACTCGGATCAACGGGAAAAATTCTGACACATCTGCTTCTTTCTAGACATATAGCAAATCGTGTCCTGCTAGCATTACAACAACGCCCCGCTGAAACCGTTGTCGTTGCGGGAGGCGTTGCCTCCAACTACTACCTCAGATACATTTTAGCGAGCACGCTCTGTGCCCGTGGTTATGGGAATATAAAAGTTGTCTTCCCTCGACCCAATCTTTGTTGCGATAACGCTGCGATGATTGCCTGGGCCGGTATGGAGATGTACCTGGACGGTGCAAGAGATAATTTAGACATTCGAGCTTTGCGGAAATGGCCACTTGATCAGCTTCTTTCACCACCCAAAGAGAAGACTACCTGATCCACAATCACACAGGCGCCTGACCTTTGGGTCTGGCCTGGCCATCAAGAATTATCCTTCACTAGTTCTGGAAAGATCAGATATGTCCTGATTAATATCACACCACAACGCTCATCACTCCATGCCAGGAAATACGGACCAAAGGTACCGGGTCTTCTTTTGTTCTAAAAACAGGAAGTCTTCCTGGTCGACATGACAGCCTGGTAGCCGCCTGTGCTTCTTTGCCAGTCTATGGTTGACCACCAATCTCAACACGAATACCGTATGTGGCAATTTCACTATCCACCCTTCTACAAACAATAGATTGTGGTAGAACGATTCGCATCTAGATTAACCGTGCGCGACTATTAAGGGGCACGGCAAGGAAGCGATAAATTCGCAAAGTGAATTGGGCCCTCGTTTGAATGGGACTGCATGCTGCAGGGCTTCGCTTAGCCGTCTCTTTGCCCAATACGAGCTCGTTCGGTTGTCGCCGGAGCCCCTGCTGCGATCTTTTCAAATATCCAGCAATATATCCATACAACACCACACTTTATTTTTCAACTTCTGCCGTAGTGTTTCACCGTATCACATTGTACGATCCTGCGACGGCTCGTCTTCCATGACTAATTATAGCTCTGCCAATGCAACGATGGCCGAAATCATGCTCGTTAAAGGTTAACTAAGCATTTTCCGACATTGTCTTGCGTCCCACCTACTCAGTCCAGAACCCGGATAACAAATTTCTGTCGTTCTAGGGATCGAAACCCATGCCGTCAATAATCAGCACGTGAAGAAATTGTACAAGTACGATGGACAAAGTGGAACCCGTCGTATCTTTCATTTGCACAAAGTGCAGAGTGGTATGTGACCCGGGTGATGACCAGAATGACAAAACAACCTTATATAACATCTCTGTGAACACACCTTGGTTAACCACTTGCGTGTTGGCCATCAAAAAAAAACGGACCTTCTGCTCTAGCAGTTCTTTGACGGGCAAAACCGCAACGATGACACCTCCACGCAATGGCGTGTTAGTGTTGTTGAGCTTAGCGGCCAGGTATGTTACCTATATAATTGATTCTAACTGGAGATCACCTGCTGATCAATTGCTCTAGCATCCAAGCTGCGCCAGCGTCCATCCCAAGTGACCAAATATCTCTCAATCCCCCATCATACAGCATCAGCTGGGATGGGCCTCAGGTTCCTACACAGAAACCGGAGGAAGATCCTATCGAGACTGCAGCACCTACCCCGACGGACCAGATCTCTCTTGATCCACCTTCATATACTGTGACCTGGGATGGCCCGGAAGTTCCAACTACTATCATCACTTCCTCAACGTCTACGCAACCTGGCTACTCGGTCAACCCAATACCAACCAAGAAGCCTCATTGGCCAAAGCCACCTCATTCTTGGAAGCCTTCGTCCTCAAAGACTAAACCTGCTGAAACGTCTTCAAGCACCGAATATGAGCCTATACCAAGTGATCCCATTGAAATCCCAGACTTTCCAGAGCCTTCCAGCAATCCTCCTTCCAAGCCCTCTGATTCGTTTTCCCTTGGGCCTCCAAGTGCCACAATCTCATGGGGAAAGCGTCAAGGTCAATTTGAGCCTGTCCCTACTGACTGTGGAGACCCCGAAGAACCTACCCCCGAAGAGCCAACCCCAGAAGAGCCAACCCCAGAAGAGCCCGAAAATCCTCCCACTCCGCCAGATGATATTACACTCGCACCCCCCACTGCAACTGTTAGTTGGGGTAAGCGCCAATGGCCCTACCGACCTAAGCCAACTAAACGACCACAGCCCACCAAGGGACCAAAGCCAACAACATCTCTGGCTCCCGAGCCGTCTGAGGAACCAACGCCCGAGGAACCAACGCCCGAGGAACCAACGCCCGAAGAGCCGATCCCTGAAGAGCCCGAAGAGCCTGAAGAACCCCCAAGTAATCCTTCATCACCGCCAGATGAGGTCACGCTTGCGCCTCCAACAGCGACGATCAGCTGGGGTAAACGCCAGATACGCCCAACGCCGCATACGAAACCTAAGCCAACGAAATCTAAGCCAACGAAATCTTCCACTATCAAAACATCGACTAAGCCTACCCCTACGCAATCAGAGGAGCCAATCCCGGAGGAACCGATCCCGGAGGAGCCAACAAGTAGTCCTCCATCTCCACCAGATGAAGTCACGCTTGCACCTCCAACTGCAACGGTGACTTGGGGAAAGCGGCAATTTGACGACATCACGTTGGTGAAGCCTACAGCAACTGTAGGTTGGAGCAGACGCCAGGATGAAGAAGGCCCCGGCCTTGAGCTTCCCGGATTGCCTGAATTACCTGAACTCCCCATTCCAACAAACCCGGATGATGTGACCTTGGTTCAGCCGACTGCGACGATGAGCTGGGGTAAACGTCAGGATGAAGAGGACCCTGAAGTATGTATATGACGTTCATAAATCCTTGCCTGTTTAAGAACATCGTGATGAAGCGTTTTGACAACCAGATGGCTTATGTAACCATTACATGAACTGACTTTACTTCAGACCGAGCAGCCTCAACTACCGGCTCCAACGATCTCAGATGATATCACTCTAGTGCCACCCACTGCGACGGTGTCTTGGGGGAAACGTGAAGCTGAAGCCGCCCCTCAAACAAACAGCTGGGGAATCGTATGGCCCACCAACATACCTCAATTTCCGTCTATCCCAATTCAAACAGTATGTATATGTAGTAGTAAGCAGCCGATCTTTCAACTAACAAACACCCTACCAGATACCCGGTACCGTCTCCTGGGGCAAACGTGACCCGGAACCCACTGTTGCCGCCATTCTCGACGATGCCCAGGACGCCCGCTTCACCTGTGGCTCTACCATCACAACCTCCAGCATCCATCCCTGTCCACGCCCGTCCTGCCAAGCCCATTGCACACTCAGCCCTGAATTCATCACAGCGCCCTGGCCCTCTATCAATACGGAGACAGGCATACCATCTTGTCCCCTCACTGCAACCGCAACAAACGTCTGTGCCTCTTGCGTCTGCCCCACGACCATCGTAACGTCTCACATCACGACTCCGCCCCCGCTACCTACCGACAAACCTCAACCGCCATTTCCCTGTTCCACTGTCACGCTTACTGTGGCCCCGCCATGTGTACCGCCCACGTGCCCGCATGTCGATGACATTGCGTGTAAGATCGGTAACGCGAAACCTATCCCCGTCGAGAAGGTCACGATTACTACGATTACATCTGCGGCACCGTCGGCAACGAAGCCATTGCCTCCGGGTGGGGAGTGCTCCCCGCGTCCGACCACCACAGTTCACATGGGCTGCCCCACATTTACTTGTGTACCAGCCACCAAGGCTTGCCCAGTACCCACAGGTTTGTGAGTTGCGATGTGCGAGTGAAGAGTTGAATATGAGCGCACCGAGGAACATGGAGGTTAGATCTTTTGGCAGGGAAGTTGTAGAGTCTCTCACCATGTAGAGTCTTGCTGTTTTCAATCTAGGAAATGGGAAATATAAAAAATAATAAAAGCAGTTGTGTAATTCAGAGTTCCGCGAAGTGAACCTACATTCAAGTGATTGAGGCTACACAGTGAACTCTGGAGTAACACGCTTCTATTGTCACATATGCTGATACACTGTGTAGAGTGTGAAGGAGGATGCTAAACTCATTAAACCCCTTCCTGATGCTGTTCAACTATGTATGAGCCTGTAGCAGCACTTACTATCGACCCTTCTTCTTAAGCGTCTATCTTTTGTCCCTTTCAATTGCTTACATTTGCATCCCACGGTTAGCAAAGCAGTATCTTCTCGGTACCGCAAGCGCCGTTGGTATAGTTGTTCTGCGAGTTGGTTCTACCACACGCCAAGCAGTAGAAGGCATTGGTTATCCTAGTCTGTGCCTGGTCTATCGCACTACAATGGTGTCCGGTCCTGCAAAGAGCAAAAAGGCAAGCAAAAAGGCAAACAAAGGTGTATATCAAACTATTTTAATGCGCACTTTCTATGGAAGAGCCATGATTTTGCGCAGCTGCTCTTGTCATTCACTAGCTACTGACGAGGAAAAGAAAGAAAAAAAGTAGGGAATTTTAGAATGTTGGCGTAATTTCGTATTTCGTAATCGCGTTCATGGACTGGACGTGAGGTGCATTCGTACACGCCAATGTAGCAGAGACAAGTGTCGTCACTGATTGACTCCTATGACGGGTCGTAGAATCCCACAACGCAAGGAAAAACCCGCGGATTTATCAACCTTGCATGTCCTGATACGTGTACTGACGCACAGGGGTCAGCATTTGCATGTCCCAATGTAAGCCATCAGCAGCTTCTACCGCAGGAGGTAGATTTGTCAGTCCCATCATCTTATCCATTTCGGCGGCAGTATCATCATCATGGACATCTTCACCCGGAAACATGGGCATGTCGACCTCCATTTGCGGGTCGAACACGTTGAAGTTGTGCTCTGGCGCCAGATTGTTGCTGTAATTCATGGCACTCATGTGATCTCCTGGGAAAGCATGCAAAGGTGTCTGGGGTACGCTTGGATCCGTCGAGTCGGGATAGGATAGCAGACCGGAATCATGGAATGGGTGGTCCAAACCGCCGATCCAAAATTGTCCTCCGGTTGCGGCGTCGCGCTCGAGAATTAGCTCATCAATCTGGGAGTCTGAGAGCTTGTGCAGTGGGGAGCGCAAGTGACGCCGAAGATCACGGTCGTTGTAAAAGCGGTATTCGCAAGGCTGCTTGAGGCAAGGTACGTCTCGGCCCTCGTCATAGCCTTCACCCGTGAGTTGCGTAAGTATGCCTGGTTGTGGCTTCTTCTTTCGGGGCTTCGCCATCTTGCGCATTTCTTTGCGGTTCTGTAGACCGAGATGATGCGTGCGTATGTGTTGGTCTAGTGAAGATTTGGCTTTGAAAGGAGCACCGCACGCATTCTTGCCATCCCAGCCTTGCAAGTCTGGGTGTTTAGAAGTTTGCATAGCTTCCGCGGTGCATGTATATCTGAACTGATGGTCATGTACTGTCTGGATATGAACAGTCAGGTTGTGTTTTCTATTAAAGGCACTTTCGCAGCCGTCTCGTGGACATTGATATCGGGTTTGGCTGGCTGGGTCGGCGTGGACCGTCTGTATATGGCTTTTGAGGTTGCTTTGGTCTTTGAACTTGGAGCCACAGAATCTGCAAGTGGGTTTGTGAAATTCTTGCGAATGAGCTGCAAGTTCGTCCTGGGTAGCAAACGACAGAGGCTGCTTAGGTATCGAGATAACTTCGCCCCCCTCGTTTTGGATGGTATCGTACTCGGTCCCTGGCGGTATACAAATCATACAGAAATGCACATGTTCGACTTTTTCATGAGCCTTGATTATATGTTTGCGCAAACTCCCCTCAGTCTGGTATCCATGCGTACAGCGTTCACCCGACTCAGGGTCGACGTATGTACACGGAAACGGCTTTATTTCGAGATGCTGGGACTTGATGTGTGCGTCCAATGTCTTCTCCTTCCTGAATGCTTCATTACAGGGTGGAAATCCAGTGCAGTAAAATTTGGAATCATGCACGTCTCTGTGCCGTTGCAGGCGACCATTTGAAGTAAATGTCTTCGTACATCCCGGCCAGTCGCAAGCAAAGTCGCGATCCGGCTCAGCATGGGCATTCTTGAGATGCCGCTGGAGGTGGTCCTTCCGAGGAAAGTCCTTATCGCAGCCATCATGAGGGCATACATAGGGTCGTTGCTTGGTATGGCTTCGCATATGTGCTTCCAGACGGCACGGTCGATTGAAGCGTTGACCGCATCCGGCGATCTCGCAGACGTAACTCCATGCACGTCGGGCCTCACTATCGGCACGTTTCGTTCCGTTCTCTGTGTAGTTGACGCTGTATTCGCCCGAATCGTCCGAGCTCAAAACATATCCTTCGTCGCTCTCGCTGTCCTCGGGATCTAAGATTGTCAGTATCCACCACCAATTCGGTTTGGAAAGCGATTTTGCCCACTTTTCCGGGGCTTTTTCCGCGTAGATACCCCGCCTAATCCATAATCTTTGCGCTTGGAAGGCATTGCAAGAACCCTTGTGTGTGCGTACACAGCCTGCAATGGTCAGAAACCATCAGCATCAACTTTGTTGTCAATCGGAAAAATTACAGTGGACCTGCCAAGAGTTCGAGGTCTGTGCGCTTGCGCTATGCGTTGATTGGAGGCCGCTTTCAAGATTTGTTTAAGCTGCCGCTTTCTTTCACCTTCAGCACTGTCTCTCGTCCGCCGCCATCGACGTCTGCGCAATACCACCAACTTGACCGGCCAAGTCGCGAACTCTTCCCAACAACTAGAGATCTTCTAATACATTCGCGCATTATGTCTGACGACGGCTATGGCGGAGATGATGGTTACGAGTACGCTATTCTCCATTCCTCCCCTCTATAGCGTCCTTTTTGAGCTCGCATAAGCACCGGGACCAGTGAACTAGATCTAACAACTCATTACAGTGGCGGCGACTTTGGATACGATGAGGAGCCCGAGATCGAGCTGATGGACGAGGAACCCGAGGACGAACAACAAGGCGGACAAGCCGAAGACCCCGAGACCGTCGATCAGAACAACGATAACATCGTTGAAAGCGGTGACCCAAGCGCGGCAGCGGCCGCAAAGAGCCAGAATAAGAACACGGTCGCGGCGGTCAAGTCAAAGAAGATTGCCAACGAGGACCGGAAAACGACGCCGTACTTGACAAAATACGAAAAGGCACGCATCTTGGGCACACGAGCTCTGCAGATCTCGTAGGTTACCTGTCATGTTCTGAGTGCTTGTGGTGATCATAGACTGATAGTGAGCAGAGGGAACGCACCAGTCCTAATTGATGTCGAGGGTATGACGGATCCTCTTGAGATCGCACTCAAGGAGCTCAAGGAGAAGAAGATACCTCTGGTTGTTCGGAGATACCTGCCGGACGGCTTGTGAGTGAACAGGACTCCTTCCTATACATTTCAGCGCTAACTGCCAGTAGTTACGAGGATTGGACCGTTGAAGAACTTATATACCATGCATAGAGATATGCAGTGCTATTTGCATTTACAATGGAGTTTGGGTGGAATAAATGGCGGACGGCTCGGCGAATGGTGTTTGCGAGAAACATAGGATAAACCCCAGAATCAGGACGTTAATTCCGACTCACAGCCGAGAACAATTGATATGTTTGCTTCCATTTTGGATGGTGAGCGTGACTCTTTCACGAATGTGCACGACCGACTTTGCAGCAACAGCGCATTGTGACAAGCTGCAAATCACCTTTCTTTCTATAGAAGGTATGATAGTAGGATGTATTATATATGTATACGCCAGAACTAACCAGATTACTAAGTTATCTAGGGCATTCATGATATGGATGCTATATTCTCCGCTCCGTCCCATTTGCACTACCTAACATGCCAGAAAAAAAAAGCGCTCTCCATGTGTTTTTCCTTCCCGCGGTTCTACGTTTCCAACTACAGTATAAAGTCTTGCAGCTATGTTTTGGTAAACTTGGAGTGTTCTAGCGGCTGCTCCCGTTCACTGTACTAAGGATGCAGATTGCACCTCGTACATGGATCCGACCATACAGGTACCGACCAGAGAGGCACAAAATGCGGCTCCGAGCTGCGTCCGGAAAGACTTACCTTGTCAGGAGCGAGCTTCGAGAAGTGGGGCAGCCGTAGAGGGGAAAAGCACCCCGCAATAACATCATCAACGTCACAGACAGATGAGCTTCACACAAAACCGTAGAACACTGCTGCGACTTTTCCGATCTCATTCTCGCGCTTTTACGTCCTACACCATTCGACCTCCATCGCGTCTCTTCACAGCCATGTCTTTCGAAACCACTGCTACCATTGCCTCCTTTGGAGGCAAGCTGCTGAAGCTCAAGCACAAATCATCGAGCACAAACACTGATATGGCACTCAACCTTTATCTCCCACCTCAAGCTGCCAACTCGAGCTCCAAAGTCCCAGTGCTGTTCTACCTCTCCGGCTTGACATGTACCGGCGACAATTGCTCAGAGAAAGGCTTCTTCCAGCACGGCGCCAGCGAGAAAGGCATTGCAGTCGTATATCCAGACACCAGCCCAAGTACGCCGTGGCACATTGGATGACGTTTCATGGATTTTGAGCTGACAGCAGGTAGGGGGACTGCAAATACAAGGCGAAGACGATGCATACGACTTCGGTTCTGGTGCCGGGTTCTACGTCGACGCAACGAAGGAACCGTGGACAAAAGGCTATAACATGTATACGTACATCACGAAAGAGCTTCCTGAGGCCTTGTTCTCATCCTTCAAAGAGCTGGATGGCAGTCGCGTCAGCATCACAGGTCACAGCATGGGCGGCCATGGAGCTCTTACACTTGTTAGTATATGTACCGATTGCTTCTCAATAATTATGCTGACGTTTTGTAGTTCCTCAAGAATCCCGGAATGTACAAGTCCGTATCCGCATTTGCGCCCATCGCCAACCCAATTAACTGCCCATGGGGACAGAAAGCGTTCAAGGGATACTTTGGCGAAGACCAACAAGAGCAATGGAAGCAACACGATGCTACGGAGCTCGTAAAGCAATGGAAAGGCCCACTTGAGATTCTCATCGATGTGGTAGGTCAAACTTGTCAGCAACTGGTTTCGAGGTATACTGACTGCAGGATAGGGTACTGGCGACAATTTCTACAAACAAAAGCAACTGTTGCCCGAGAATCTGATTGCTGCGGCAAAGGAAGCTGGAAACGATAAGGGCATCAATCTCCGCTTCCAGCCGGATTATGATCACAGCTACTATTTCATGGCTAGCTTTGCAGATGAGCATGTTGCGTATGCAGCGAAGCACTTGGGCGTATAGTAAGTGATTGTGAAAAGGGGGAGAGAAAGATTGATACTAAGGGCCGTAGAAGCGATTCGACATCAAGACCGAAGCTTTGAAAGACTGGCTGCATCGCGGGACTTGCGTATTTACTGGGAGATGGCTTGTAATATATTGTATACGCAGGATGTAGCTAGATGACTCACGCGACATGCGAAAGCCAGAATGAATCATTAGCACTATAGAAGCTGGAGGACCCGCAATACATGAATACAGTCAAAGAAAGAAAGCAAGCAAGCAAGACAGAAAACCGCTGAACAATTCAGTCCTGTGAGGATTGTGAACCAAGATTTGGATTTGCTAGTTCGAAGGTCTGGTTTGTATCATGTATGCGGATTTACATAAACATTGAAATCATTGGGTAGTTGCAGAGTAAGCAACACCCGAAGGTGTCGCTGGGCTTTTTTTGGCACTCTACTCTCCTCTACACGGTCTACCCAATCATCTTCCCTACGTTTGACAGCTCCGGTTCTTGACGTTCAGACCACTACACAATTTTTGAAGGTGCACGTGCCTCGGTGACGAAAATTGTCCCTCGATTTACCCACCCCACTAGCGCCAAGCCCAACACACACTCGATGCTTGTTATCGTCTTTCTGCGTTTCCAACGGCGCACAAACAAAGACAAACCAATTCTCTTCCCGCTCTCGGTTCCATTCCTCCCGCTCATATAGGTGGTGCTCGAACTGCCTGGCTTCGGAGGCGCGTTACCCCACTACACCATTCCATCATAGCCCCGCGATCCACTTTCACCGCCCGTAACCCTCCCATAATGCTACTTCTACCAACAGTCCGGTAGCATAGTGTACAGAACCTCCTACACTCACGAATTGGAACACCAACCTTTGAAACCGCCGTACTGAAATTTGCGCCTGCTACGACACAACACATCACATTCAAACCTCGGGACGGTGGTAGAAATGGAGGCACAGGTAATAATCCGTGTTTCGCGCAGTTTTTGTGATTCATACATTGGACACCCTGCTAACTGTTCACCCTCTTTCAAAGCTCGAAAATGCCATCCAGATTGCCTCCGATCCAACCTCGAACCAGCAACTGCGCGGGCAGGCTATTGAGTACCTCAATCAACTTCGTACAGAAGGCTCTGCATGGCAAGCTGCTCTAGCGCTATTCATTCGGGACCCTCCGCAGTCTGAAATTATTCGCCATACCTCTCTCGACTTCGTGAACAATGCCGTTCAAGAGCACCGGCTGGATGGCCAAAGTCAGGCGTATATCAAGGACACCTTGATGGGGTACGTCCGTCAGAAATACAGCCCAGGCAACACATCCACAGATACAAACCCCATCCAAAATAAGCTCATGCAGACCATGACATATCTCTTCGTGGCATTATATCCGTCTTCCTGGCAGTCTTTCTTCGACGACTTCCGTGAGCTGGCCGGTGACCAGGCAACCATCGGCAGTGTCAACTATACTACCACACTCCTCTATATCCGTGTGCTGAGCCAGGTTCACGATGAGATTGCTGATGTCTTAGTAGCTCGACAGGATGATGAAATGAAGCGCAACACCGAATTGAAGGACCTGATACGCCAGCGAGATATTCAGAAAATATCATTATCGTGGCAGGAAGTCCTCGCTAAATGGAGGGACACTGACTTTGGTCTAGTAGAGATGTGTTTGAGGACCATTGGCCGCTATGTCAGCTGGATCGACATTTCGTTGGTGGTCAACCAGGCCATGATCACCACATTCCTGGAGATGGCTGGTCAACAAGGAATCTCGGATCCAGAAAGCCCAGCCGGCAGGGTTCGAGACGCAGCTATTGATACATTTTCGGAGATAGTGAGCAAGAAAATGAACCCAGCGGAGAAGATTGGGTTGATCCTGTTCCTTAACCTCGCAGACGTTGTTGGGCAACTCATCAACAGTCCTGCTCTTTCCGACCAAAAATCGTCAAGCTACGACAATGACCTCGCTGAGACAGTGGCAAAACTTGTCAACACTATCCTCTTCGATATCGTGAAAATCTTGGACTCGGAAGCTGTGGATGACCAGACCAGACAGCGGGCGGATGAGCTTCTCCAAACCTTCACACCTTATCTTCTTAGATTTTTCGCAGATCAGTACGACGAAGTCTGTTCGACCGTGATTCCCTCCATCACCGACCTTCTCACGTACTTCCGCAAGCTCCAAAAACGAACTGGCGCATTACCACCGCAATATGCCACCATGCTGCCTCCAATCCTGGAAGCTATCATCGCAAAAATGAAATACGACGAAGCGGTTTCATGGGGCGAAGAAGATGATGCATCGGAGGAAGCGGAATTCCAAGATCTCCGCAAGCGTCTGCACATCTTACAACAGGCTGTAGCTGCCGTAGATGAGTCATTCTATATTGAGACTCTCAGCCGTGTCGTAAATGCCACATTCAACCGCTTTTCTTCGGGTGATCAGTCCTTGGACTGGCGTGATCTTGATTTGGCGCTGCATGAGATGTACTTGTTTGGTGAACTCGCAGTTCGGAATCAAGGACTGTATGCAAAACGCGATCCGTCTTCTGCTGCCAGTGAGCGGCTTGTGGGTATGATATCGAACATGGTCGAGTCTGGTAAGTTGAAATCACTCGTGGGACAGGATGCATTGCTAACGTCCGCAGACCTGGCGAACTACCCTCACCCAGCCATTCAACTCAACTACATGGAGATTTGTGTACGGCACCACCAGTTCTTCGAACAAAACCCCCACTTGATCCAGAAAGTCTTGCAAAACTTTGTAAGCCTTACTCATCACACTCATATCAAACTTCGCTCGCGATCGTGGTATCTATTCCAACGCTTGGTCAAACATCTTCGTTCTCAGCTCGGCAATATATCTTACGAGGTCATACAAGCAATCGGCGACTTGCTTACGATCAAGGCCGAACTTCCAGAGGACTCCACGGATGACATGTCGTCTGATGATGAAGATCAAGCCGAGGATGCACTTTTCAACTCCCAACTGTACCTCTTTGAGGCCGTTGGGTGCATTGCCTCTTCCAACACCGTTTCCACCGAGAACCAGAAATTATATGCACAGACCATTATGACTCCATTGTTCAACGATCTGGAGCAGACCTTGCCGCAGGCCAGGAATGGTGATGAACGCTCCATTGCCCAAATTCATCACATCATCATGGCAATTGGAACACTGGCTCGCGGCTATTCGGACTGGAACCTGTCGAGCAACAGCGAGCTTCCGCAAAGCGTGGTGTCAGAAGAATTTGGCAAAGCGTCTGAAGCCATTCTTGTAGCACTCAAATCAATGAACACTTCCGCCAAGATACGCAACGCAGCACGATTTGCGTTTTCTCGCATGATAGCGGTTTTGGGCGCGCGTCTGCTCCAGGACCTACCTTCGTGGATAGAGGGCCTCCTCACACTGACCTCGTCCATGAATGAGATCAGCACATTCTTGAAGGTTCTCAACCAAGTCGTTTATACTTTCAAGGCAGAAATCTCCGGGATTCTCGATACTGTTCTGACTCCCCTACTCCAACGGATCTTCACCGCATTGGCTTTGACTCCGTCTGGAACAGACGACCTCAACCAGCTGAGGGATCTTAGGAGAGAGTATCTCAACTTCATTAATGTCGTTCTCAACAATGGCCTCGGCGCAGTTTTTGTCAGCGAGGCAAATCAATCGACATTCGAAACCATCATCACCTCCATCGACACCTTCGCTCGGGATACATCGGATTACACAACCGCACGCCTTTCTTTAGGTGTCTTGATCCATATGACGTCTGTCTGGAGCGGCCCTGATAAAATCGGCCCTAATGCCAATAACAACACACCTACATCACCCGTCACCACCCAGCAGGTTCAAATCCCAGGCTTCGAAAACTATGTCGTGGAACGCTTTTCTCCGCTTGTCTGGGCGATTCCGTCCTCTCCAGGTTTCAACTCGAAAGACGCACAGGCCAAGCAAGTTCTGTACGAAGCGGCTAATCTGCAGGCTGAGATTGTCAAGAAGGTTGGCGAGCCTTTCGTCGAGCGCGTCAAGTCCGATTTGGGTGGCATGGGTGTCGGCGAAGATATCGTGAATCAATATCTCCAAACTCTTGCCGGTGCTTTCGAAGGGCACAAGAAGGAGAAAGAGTGGCGCATGTTCTTCGCCCGCTTCATTGACTCAGCGCGAGGCTGAAAGCGGCCAACCGTGGTTGACTGCTGCAATAGGCAATTTCGCTACAGGTCTCAAACAGCACCACAGGAGGAGGTGCAGAATTGTAGACGATTCGATCTACCCGGACCTGTCGTTCCATATCTGCCTTTCATCTCTGTCGTCTTTTACCGGCTTCCCCCGTGGATTTCAGGCATTCAGTTCGTGCATGTTTAGCATTTCTCATCGACATGGACATGGACACGGACGAAATGATCATGGTCTCTGATTACGAGGTGGCATCCACAGCAAAGCTGGCTGGACTATCTGCGTATGTGGTGACGGGTTGGTCGGAATTTTCTTTTTCTTTTCTTTCGATTTTGTGTAGGAGAGTACCAGAGTACCATAAGCATCATCTAGCAGCATGCAGCAAGAGAAACTCAACTAAGAAATAAACAAAAAGAAAAAGGTCCCTTGATACTACTAGTTCGTTACTTTCTGTGTGAGGGAATCACTATACTGCCAGCCACCGCCCACCTCGTTAAGTCTGTATATAAAATCGAGCAAGTGGTTTCAGTCAGCTATCTACTTTTCCAACTTGCGAACCCATGGAGACATCGTCCAATCAAGTCCAATCCCCTAAACAAAGGAGTTCAATGAAGATAGGGGTGTGTACGTGATGCGTGTAACTTTCCCCTGCCTTGAAATTACGGTGAACAGCAATTTCCCTTTTCTTCTGTTGTCCCGCCTTAAAAGCGAAAATAGAATAAGCAAAGGAATCTCGGTAGGAAGAGTCAACACAGTCAGTATGAAAACAAGTATTTTTAATCCCAATAGTAGCATTACCTTTTGATATTTGTTTTGCGTATACATTCATGAATGAATGCATATACTGACTGACTACTACTATACAAAACATTAAGAAGGTCGAATCGTAAGTATACCTGTGCCCCATCCATCTATCAATCGTCCATTCCTATGAGGTGTTGTAAAAAAAAAACCCTATTACATCGAAGCGAGTTCGCTCTAGAAATCATCAGAGAGAAAACGAAGAGGGTGAATTCCGTCACTGTCCTTTTTTTTTGTTTCCTCCTCTCTCTCCAACCCATCGTTAAGAACATGGGAAGCACAAAGATCCCAGGATATAAGATATATATACAAACCGAATCGAAGGTAGCAAGAACTGTGCTACTCTCTCACAGCCCAACGGCAAAAGCAACGACAGCACCAACCCCGACCCTAAAAGCGCCGCTACTCCATCTCGACGCAGACGCAGCGCCAGAAGTATTCCCGTCCTGTCCGTCCTGCCCATCCGCATTCCCCGCACCCGACGCCTCAGGAACCCCAGCAGTCTTAGTCTTAGACCTAAACTGCATGGAATAATCGCTTTGCGCCGCCGTCGCCGTCGTCGTTTCGACATCTTGCTCCTGCTGCTGCGCAGAGACCGCAGTCGCGCTGACCCGCGCAGTAGAAGCGGTCGCTGCAACGCTGCTGATCCCGCTTAGAACTGCACTGCCCAGGATATCGTTGGCGGATCCTGCGATGCCGTTTGGCGATGCGGAAGCAGTGGCAGCAGCACCAGCAGCGGCTGTCGCGGACGCGAAAGAAGACAAGGGGATCGTGGATCCTGCGACTACGACGGCGGAGCCATCGGGGCTGAGGGAGACGGGTACGCCGGCGATGGTGGTGGGGATGCCTGGGAGGAGGGTGATGCCGTTGGGGAGGGTGATTGGGGAGCTTGTTGGGAGGGCGGAGAGGGGGATTGTGCGGGTCTGTTGCTGGCCTTGCTCCTGTTGTGCTTGGACTTGGATTTCGGGGTCGTTTGAGTTGGGGTTGATGTTTTTGTTGTTGTTGGGTGGGGATGTGATGATGACGCCTGCGGTAGCTTGTGGGGAGCCCTGGGCGGGAAGTGATATAGTGCTTCCATCTGCGAGGACGGTGGAAGATCCCGGGGCCAAAGTTTTGCCGTTTGAAAGGAGGACTCCGGCGTTGGAGGGGAGGACTGCTATAGGGACAACGGGGCCGGCTGTTGGGTTGGGAGCGTTGTTGGCAGCTTGAGGCGCGGCAAAGGTTTGGGTGCCTATTTGGAGGTTTTTGCCCTGGGCGTCGAGGGAGATGGGAATGTTGTTGATGGTAGTTGCTGCTCCTGGACGGAGGATGACTGGAGAAGCGCCTGCTTGGGGAAAACCCGCTTGAGGAGAACCCGCTTGAGGGGAACCAGCTTGGGGAGAGCCGGCTTGGGGAGCACCGGCTTGGATGGGCAGAATAACACCCGGTCCTGAGGGGTTCGCGGAAATAGGACCGATAGGACTGTCGCTAATGACCTGTGGAGGAGATTGGGGAGCTCCCACCGAGGGATTTGTGACTTGAGCTGGCGGTGACGCAGGGGGTGCGGTGGTTTGCGGGGCAAAGGTCGCTGGGGGAGGTCGCTGAGGTTCTGGGACGGGGCGTCCTAAGTTCCCGGGGGCAGCTGTCACACCTGGTAATTGAGCACCTCCCATGCTTGCCGTGGGGACGAATCTCGCGGGTTCTGTCCACACAGAGCTGACCAGGTACAGAGCTGAAATGGGCCTCAAGATGGGAGTGGCGGCCAAGCACCAGAATTGCCTCTCCGGAGTCGTACATGGGGTATCGTCATCGCTGGACCAGTATTAGTTTCACATCAATGAAACGCAGAGAGACAAAAGTGAGGTTTAGGGGGTGAGGAGGAAGACATGGGACTTACCATACTACCACGGCGGAGGGCGTTGTGGCGGGCGCTTCTGTGTTGAAACTGGTCACATTGGTTCCATCTTCCTGTTGATAGATCCACGGCACCACCGGAACTTGGACATTGTACGTAGATGTCGCAGTAATGGTGTAAACTGGAGATGGTGGGCACACGACACGATCTGTGGTCGCAGGGAATTCCCAAGAAAAGTCGTCGGCATCCACCCCAGCAGATGACATGCCGGATGGCTTGATACCCGAGGGTGTGATGGCCGTGGTGATTGTAGAATTCCATCCTGAGAGTAAGGGCCTTCTGGTTGTTGTTGCTGTCGTGGACGATATTGGCCCAAGAGTGACAAAAATGGGCGAAGGGGCCACTTGCGATGTCTTTGTGACTTTGACTAGTGATGTACTGTTAGCGGGATTGGAATATGGTGTTTTTTGGAGGACGGATAGCCTTACTGGGCATGATAGACATCCTGGGTTCATCATCGTCAGTGGCCATGGCCAAGTCCATTACCATGGCCACTGCGGCATAACGTATTAGTGCCCTAAGCCCCAACATATTTCGAGTAGGCGATGTACAGAGATGTACAGAGATATGAAGAGCGAACAGCGAACAGCGAACAGCGATGGAGCGGCAACGACGAGGACGCTAACTTGTGGCTCGTCTCTCCACTACATATATGAACGCTCTAGGGGCGGCCAGCCTACCACCCAGCCCTAAGGGTCGCGGATAATATTCATCTCGGGGACGACGTGGTTCTCGGCGTAGACATGCGTTGTGGGAGCGTTAAGGCCTGGCTAGTAGGATTTTGGGTTGGTACTGACTCGTTACTCACCGTCGCTAGCCCCTATCGGCTGCCTACAAGGGACAAGTCTCAGGGCGCATTGTGTTAATTTGCAGACATCAGCAATGCCAAAATGGCCGACAAGACGTTGATTGGTATCTGCATGTTGGACACATGGACTAGTGAATTGGCAATCCCCATAGCAGCCTGCCTTAAACACTGGGCCTCCGAGGAGTTGCATCCCCAAACGGTCAAGCTCCTTTAGAGCTCAGATGATAATATCGCTACTCGTCCCCACCGGTTGCCTGGGTATGCGGGAGAGCATGTTCACCTTCACAACTTCCCTCTTCACCCCGAAGCGGAACACAGGGCCAACAACATGACAACGGGCGTACCCGCTCCGCTTTCGCTCCAACCTGCAGAGGCCTGGGTCGGGAACGACGGATCATGGTCGGGGTGAGAACTTCCAGTGTCGATACCGCTTCGAATCGCGTCTAACAGTGTCGGTGCAGCTTCGTCGTCCAGGTGGGCACTCCGCCGCAGAACTTCACGGTACTGCCAGCCACCAGCGGCCAACACACATACGTTCCCTCGGCGGACGATTGCCAGCGCACGAATCTAACTGACTGCGGGTCTTCGCGAGGCGTATCGCCATTTGCGAACCAGCCCAGCCCTGGATTTCAGACCAATGCATCGAGCACCTGGGACTTGATCGGGATATACGAACTTGGCATCAACTCACGACTGGGCTATTCCGGGGGCGCTGTTTCTGGATATGAGACGCTTAACTTTGGAACCGAAGTCCCAAACGGGCGCCAACCTTCCGATAAACAGGTCGTGACATCGTACGTCTCTCAAGACCTGTGGATTGGAACACTAGGGCTGGGATATGCGCAGATGACTTTCCGGGCCAACGAGCGGGTCAACTCGACGCTGGTAAGCATGCAACAGGAGAACCTGATCCCCAGTCAGAGTTTCGGATACACGGCCGGTGCAAGCTACAGAAAGGCTCCTGCCAGCTTGACCCTCGGTGGATACGATGAGTCGCGCACTTCCAAAGGGTTGAGTATTCCGCTCAGCACCGATGATCCGGAAAAGCCCTTGACGGTCGGTCTGCAGAGCATCGTCGTGGCCAACTCGTTGAATGGCACGCAGAACCTCCTCCACCAACCGATTCTTATTCCCATCGATTCAGCGGTCACCGAACTTTGGCTGCCGGAATCAGTGTGTGAGGTGTTTGCAGCCGCTTTCGATCTCCAGTACCAGCAAGTATCTGGGAGGTACGCCATCACGGAGGAGACACGAACCAAACTTCGGCAGCTCAATCCGAAGTTGACGTTTACCATCTCGGACGGATTCGTACAGGGGCGTAGCACTAATATCGATTTCCCATACTCTGCGTTTGATTTGCAAGCAGAATACCCCATCTTTCCAGAGTCAACCAGCTATTTCCCGATAAGAAGGGCTGCAAATGACAGTCAGTATGTACTGGGGAGAGTATTCCTCCAGGAGACGTATATCGGGGTTGACTACGAACGGGAAACGTTCAACGTGAGCCAGGCAGCTTTCCCGGATTCGACAGAGGCAGCAAAGATCATAACCATCACATCACTCGACTCTAGTACCAATTCAACAGGAGGATCTGGAGAAGCGGCAACGGCTTCGCAACTCTCGGGCGGGGCGATTGCGGGCATCGTTGTGGGTGCAGTGATTGGAGTTGGAGTGATTGCAGCGTTGATCTGGTTCTTTTTCTTCCGACGGGCTCGACAGTCGAAGAAGGAAGGAAAGAGGAAAGGAGAAGAAGAAGAAGAAGAAGCAGAGGAAATGTCGAGCACAACGCAGCTAGAAGCGATTGAGGAGCAAAGATTACCCAGCAAATCATATGAAGCAGAACCGGCCGAACTACACGGTGCGCATGGAATACACGAGGCGGGAATACCTCACGGCACGTTTGTGGAAATGGATGGGAGGATGACTTCGTATAAATATGCGCACGGAGAGATTGCCGAGCTACCAGCAGACGATATGATCTACGAAGCGGATGGAGGAGCGAACACGTATAAGCAAGGCGAAGACAAGAGTGCCGCTGCGTTTCCCGAGAAATCAAGATGACACGGGGCGTGGGCACTGATTTGACCTTTTTTTTTTGTTTACAATTGGCGGGCTGGTCTTGCTCGGAGTTTATGAAAGGATTCGGAGGGATACATGGGTGGATGGATGGCGTACTATGATACCACAGCGGAAAGCATTGTCGGGAGGGATTGGGCCGTCCACAACTTGGTAGTTTCCATGGTAGTAGGGGTTTACTAGGGAAAGAATAAGATTGAGATGTGATGATGTGCACAGCGCAGTTGGAGGCAGCAGTTGGCGAGGCGATGATGGCAAGATCAGGCAGCTGACAAGGCAAGAAAAATATACACATGTATGCTAGCGGGCGAGAGAGGAGGGTGATTGGCGTGGGCGGAGTGGGCGGAGTGGGCCAAAAGCTGACACGATGATTGCGACCGGGGCTGTTGGGAACATCAAGCTTTTTTCTCGCCTACGGTAGCCAGCGGCATGCCATGATTATGAAGACGGCAAGAGGGTGAGGGCAAGAGTGAAGCTGGGGCCCAGGGAGGGATGGGATGGAGCGTGACGGTGCGAGGTGGAGGACGGAGCAGCAGGCCAGGTTGAGGGAGCAAGAGGGTTGAGGTGGTCGTGTGTGTGCCTGTGGGTGTGGGATGGGATGAGATGCAAGCAACGATGGGGCGTTTGCTTCTAGGCTACATGGAACAGGCTGATACGGAGCTAAAGGCTTCTAGAAGTGGCGAAGAAGGATGGCAGCAGCGGGGAAGGACACGCCATGACGCAAGACTGCGACACTGGCGCACCTGTGTGCCGCAACCAGACAGCGACGTTTCTGCGCGGAATGGAGCCCACTCATCAGTCAATGGAGAGGAATGCGACGACAACAATGAGCACAATGACAGCAAAACAACAATACACGGGGAAAAAACCCCATGCTAAACCGTGACGCGACAGCAGCGGCAGGGATGGTTTGGGCAGTGTTGGAGCTTTGCGGGCCTGCTGTGATTGGCCAGCTGAGGGCTGGTATCGAGGAATGCTAACCACGTACATGTCTACGGCCCCAGTTCTAGGTTCAATTCAACTTCGAAGCAATCAATGCCCGAGGCATCAATGACCACCAGACGACAGAAGGGGAAGAGGTTGGAAGAAGAAGAAGAAGAAGAAGAAGCATCACATGCCCGTCTTGTATATCTCCATATGTATGTATGTATGTATGTATGTATCCATCTACCCAACAACCATGTCCCATGGAACGGCTACCTGTGTCTCTCGGGGTACCTACATGCCATCACGTAGTGCAGAGTGGGTTGCCATACCAAGGAGGACTCGAGCTTGTTCCCGCAGTCCGCACTCCGCAACCCTGCGTACTTGGTCAACCATCCATCTGGAGAAGCATTCTATCCCACACCTCTCTGCCTGTGTGATGCCCGTCTCATGTCTTGTACAAGTAGTAGCTGCCCATACTCGAGCACTTAGGCACCCGACCACTTGACTGACTGAGGCTGTCAAAGAGCCCCTGCGTTGCCCAAATCGACCGACTCCGACACCAACGCCTGTTTGTCGCGTCGCTGATCCTTCCGTCTCTCTTTCTCTTTCTCTCTCTCCATCTCCAATTCTCTTACACACTCTCTTTCCTGCTCTCTACGACTTGCTCTGTTTGTACATGTGTGTGTGTGTTTGCGCGCGCGCTGTCATCCATCGACAAAGTAGACAAATTGGGTGGTGCGTCGCGTGTGGAGTAGTGTCCAACGTTGGTTCCCAAATAAACCCCGACGACCCATCGACCGGCAGGAAGGCAGGAACCCGCTTCGCACCTTCCACCCTTCCACCACTTGCACCTTCCGCCTCCGCCAGCCAGCCAGACAGCCTACCAGACAGCCTGCCCGCACCTACCTACCGACTACCCATTGTGCTCACCCACTCCTCCCCTCTCTGCTAAGCACTCTACTACTTACCTACCTTACCCACCAACCTTGTTCCACCCGCACACTCACCTGTTCTTCTTGCCTCTTCTTCCATCTACCACCAACCTCCGCCACCACACTACTACACATCCATACCCATCTATTCATCTCTCCCCTCACCACCACATACATACATACATACATACCCACCACGCCTTTGTCGCTTATACTCCCCCCCGCGATCCCATCCGTCTTCCTTCCAATTCCTCCCCATCCATCGCTGGCGGTGATTGACTCTCTTGTCCCCTTCGTACCAAGCCCGCCCGCTCGCCCGCCCGCCTGCCTGCACTGCCTGCCCTTCTTCTGCTTCTAGCCCAACGTCGCTGTTTCAGATCCCATCTTGATTGAGATCAATCGCTTCCCTTGCAGCCTCCTCCACCCGACTGCATGCCTGTCCTCACCCACCTGCCTCCCATCTGACGACGTTATCGCATCCGACCCTCCTTCTGGCCCTTTGTCCCCGAACCACCGTCGCATTCGTCCCCCCCAAACACCTCGACGACCCTCACCATCACTCCCCACACCACTGCCGCTCCACCCCGTGTCGCCGCCACCACCTAAACCATTCGCGACCACGTCCCCCATTTTGCGACGACTCGACTCTTCCTCCCCATAGTGTGGGAGGCTCCACGAACCGCAGAGACCGGCCCGTCTGGTCGCTGCTGCTACGGTGGGGACAATGGAACATGGCGCGTGCAATGTCATATACATTGATCGTCGCGCGAACGATGAATATGTTCGCCGCGAGACCTTGTCCAGCTCTCTTGCTGCCACCACCACCACTGGCAACATGAACCAGGGTTATTTCAACCTGGGCAAGACGACTCCTCCCGCCGACATTCACGCCAACATTGAGACCATCCTCTCCACCTTCAACCAAGGTAGCCCCACTATCCCCTCTGCACCAACCTTTGTATATCTCTGACACTCTTCCAGTACACATATGTGGCTCCGGAGGCTCCTGTTTAGCCAGGATCTCCCAAATCCTCGAGTCGGCTAAAAGCAACGTGCCCACCATCGTCCTCATAGACATACCGTACCATGAAGAGCAGCGTCTCAAACGATTGTCGCGCGAGCCTCGCACGCCTTCCCCAACCGCCACCCGGATGATGCGCCTCGACTCTGGCGAGCCCGACGACATCTATGGCATGCATCTCCTCACCCACATTTCTTCCGAGATCGCTTCGAGAAACTTTTCCAAGCTCGTCATACCTGTCGTCATCCTGAGTGGTTTGGAGCGCGAGTGGGCTTCCAACTCAGTACCCTCACCCGCTGTCCACGGTTCGCAAGTCCTGCCAGACACTCCCCGTCTGGTGCGCTATCTCGATGCCGGCGCAATCGACGTTCTTTCCAGCCCTCTATCAAAGGATAGTGTACATGGACTTGCCGTTCATGCCTACCGAATACACAAGGAGGTTTCGAGAGACGAAGCCAGTTTCTTGACGACTAAGCGCAACAGGAAGCTGTCTTGGGTCGGTGTTGACGACACAAAACCATACGCCTACTTGCGCGAAGCCATGGTTTCCAGCCTCATGAGCGGCATATGCAACCCGGAATTGGTTGGCGATTCTTTTGATTCCAAGTATGTGGGCCTTGCCATCATTCCATTTGGTTGCGAATACTTACTCAGTCTTTCTCTTTTTTTAGTGATTTATACGTTGCCGAAGAACGCAAAGAAGCCGTCGCACGTGCTGTCGGTACCTGGTCCTTCTCGGCACACGAATTTACCGACGATGAACTCGTCTATGGCGCCCTCCTCATGCTGAAACATGCCCTCCAAATACCTGAATTAGAACAGTGGAGCATGACTGATGGTGGGTCTATGCACCGCTCTTTTTTTTTTGGGAGCAGCTCTGACTGACTTTGCGTGTAGATGAAATGATTGTCTTCCTGCTAGCGAGTCGCACCGCGTACAACGAATTTGTGCTATACCATAATTTCCGGCACGTTGTTGATGTTCTCCAGGCTTTGTTTCACTTCCTTGTGCAGATTGGCACGCTGCCTTCATATCCCGCTGGTGTCCAACGCAATGAGGCGGTGCCAGATTCACCGATAGCGCGATTGCTGAAACCACTGGACGGTTTGACTCTTCTAATTTCGGCTGTCGGTCACGATGTTGGTCACCCGGGAGTCAACAATGCCTTCTTGGTAGCGCTCAATGCGCCCCTCGCCCAACTTTACAACGATCGATCTGTGCTCGAATCGTTCCATTGCGCTGCATACTCCCAGATCTTGCGCCGTTACTGGCCCAAGGTTTTTGCCGATGCTGGCATGAGGAAGTTGATGATCAACAGTATCCTAGCTACAGACATGGGCTTGCATTTTAAATACATGTCTGATCTCGGCAATTTGCAAGAGAAGATTGCGCACGACAACGGGCTTACCGATGGCTGGAGTGTGAAGGTCTGCGAGGAGAACAAGGATCTCACGTGTGGTTTGCTCATCAAATGCGCCGATATCAGCAACGTGGTATGTATCCCAACATGTCTTCAAAGACAGACTGCTGACAATCCAAAGGCACGGAAATTCGAGACTGCCGCACGCTGGGCAAATATCCTGACTGACGAGTTTAGCAACCAGGGTGTCATGGAACAGGAATTGCAAATGCCGTCTTGCCTTTTCGGTGGACCGCCTGTCCAGGATGACCTGATAAAGCTTGGAGAATCGCAGATCGGATTCATGAACATCTTCGCCCGACCTCTCTTCGAAGCCGTCGCTGATATCCTGCCAGCTATGGGCTACGCAGTGAATGAGATCGTCACCAACAGCAGCGTGTGGGAAAAGAAGATTGAAGGGGAGAAGGAAAAGAAGAGAAAGAACCCTAGATTGTCGTTGGGTCTCCTGTCTGCATCCTTCAGTGCGGATCCGACGCCGAGTCCTTTTTCGGGAGGGCCATTGAAGCAACCCGTCGATGCGTCAGCATTACCTCCTCAGGTGGGCCGCTCAATACAGCCTTCCCACGTGGTCAGCATGGAAAATGCAGACCGACGCGGTTCTGGCAGTTCTTTTCATGGCTTCTCGGGCTCGCGCCGATCATCCACTGGGGTTGATAAAGGATCCCGTCGTTCTTCTGGCGTCGGGCTACCTGGCGGACGTTCCCGTGAGAACCAGAATCAATCGCGACGGGAAAGTGGAGACGCCAGCCTGACTGCTATTCTGGTGACGCAGACAACGAACGCTCCTGATACGTCGACCACTGCCCAGAACTCAGAAGCACGCTCGAGCTCTCCGGAACACCAGAAAGAATCTTCTAGTCGATCATCATCAACTCCCAGGAAGGATAACAATGGTCTGCGTCCTGTGACAGCACCATCTCATGCAAGGCAACATCAAGGTTTGTGCCCCCAGGTCGCCAGCGCCTACCTCGGCTCCATGATGAGACCATACGCAACGAAACTCCATGCTGACTGATTTAGCTTCCTCCCTGTTTCCTGCACCTCGGGTTCCTTCTCAGCGTCATTCCGAAATAGATCTTCAGCAAGCTGCCAACGGCAATCTCGACGGGTCAAGAATGCAACACTGGGATTCAAACAACAAGATGAGCGGCGACAGCACCATGTCCAGGTCTGATGGTACTCGAGACATGACACGAAAACCCGACTGGTGGCGGCAAATGAGCGCAAGGAGACGCACCAAAGACATGAGAAACGGCGATCGGGAGCACCACCCCCACCCTTCGCACAAAGAAGCAGCGTTGAACCCGACTCGATCCAATTCCAATTCCGAAACAACCACTCCCAGCGCTACCACAAGCCCAGGTCGAAGCAGTCGGACAGACAAGCTGAAAAGCTTCTTCAAGAGAAAACCCCGGACCAGCAACGATCAAGAGAAGCAGCTTTCCAGCTTCGGTAGTTCCTCTCAAATGCGGACACCGCCGACAAGTGATCCTGGGCGATCGCTAAACAGTGATGAATGAGCACCGCAGAAGCCATCATCCCAACTCATCTTTCTGCAAACCACCTAATCGCCGGCTTAGCGACATTTTCCTATTCTGACTTATACACCGCTCGCACTGTGGCCTCTCCTACATGTACGCCTTCGAGGCTTGTTACCGCTCTCCCGACACCCAAAACTTTCCACGATATCTCCTTACGTATGATTTTACTGAAGCTATGAAAAGCTCCGATGTACTTTCTGGTTGCTAAAATCGGAGTTTGCAGCCTTCGGGTGTGTTTATTGGTGAGGCACTCTGTTAAACACAAGTTTTCTTCTCGATATTTTCGCCCGCATCGCCAGCTTGCGGAGCATCGCATTCACGCTGGATTACTGAAACCCCTTTTCTTTACTTTTCTCATTCAATTCCCGCCCGCATTTGAAGCGGCCCGCTCTTCCCATTCGAAAAGTGTATCGGTTTATATAGGATTAATGGGGGTTATCTTCTTGACGGGCAGACTCCCTTGCACACAAAACGAATGGGCACTTGGGTGCGCCGGAGTCGATGTGCACGGGTCGAGTCAAAATTTTCAAGCCCTCTCTCCTTTCCTTTCCCTCTTCATTTTCTATGTTCCTAAAAAGCGGCTGTCAGGAGGCGACCATGGAGTTATTGTTCGAATTCACGGGCAGGCGATAGAGGATGGCCAGTGATTATTGTGGAAGAAGGAAGGGCGACGAATCGAATGAAGACGGGACATTGAAGACGATAATAGGGAATTAGAGGATGATGAGCTCGACGTCGTCTGACCCTTTTCCCTGATTGACCTGGGCGGCAGCTTACGCTACGGATGAGCGACTTGCTGCTGCTACGACACCTATGTAATGAATGTATTTTTTCCATCCCTTCACCCCGCTGTGCCATCACATGTGATTTTTAATCCTACTCGAACGTCAATGTACCGTTACTATCCATCTCATGTGTGTAGTCTTCTCCAGCGATGGCCGCCTCGACGTCTTGTGACTCAACTGTGCATTGTCATATCAATTGGAAATGATATTTTGGGTGCTCCTTGCACACAACAATATATACAGCGACAAAGTACCCTGAAAACAAAACAGGCGATAACCACAACATTCATCTTGCGATATTCCCACCACCACCGTGTGTCAGTAGCACGTATATTTCCAGTTACCGTATCACAGGATGTGTTTGTTATCCCAATATCCAAAAAGTCCAAGGCTTTTGCGAGATATGCTAGAAGCGGATTCTCGGTTCGGTGATTGCAGTTGTTCTTGCCAATCTTTTTTCCTTTTGGGAGTGGGTAGTCACATTTTAACATGGTAATACATGCTGCTAGTAGTTCGCAAGAGCGATGAAAGATGGGGTGAGTGATTCCAGTGCCTTGACGATGAACTATTGACGACGCACAGAATCTCAAATGTACGTAGAGTTTATATCTCGGATGAGTATTACTGTGTATGAGAGATAGTTTCAAGTTTCCACTACTTCCATGATGAATTGATATGATTAGAAAAAAAAAGCCGTCTAATATATACAAAAAAAAAGAACACAACAACTGGGCCACGATTCTACTCCAGATAAACAGGGATGCCGTACACGACCGCCGCAGCACCATTGAGATACCTCAACACGCACTCCTTCCTAGCTTCCCTAACAGCTTCATCGAGCGCGACTCCCTTGCCGTTCCCGCTTCTAGCTCTACTACCCTTCGACGAAGCAGCCTTCTTACCAGCACTTCTCTTCCCACTTCCCCTAACGACCTCAACTTCCTCGACGAGTTGCGCGACTCTACCTTTGCCCTTTGACTTTTTGGCCGTTGGAGGCGCAACTGGCGTTTCATCTTCGGCAGGCTCAGGCCACAGGCCCCACAGCTCGCCGGCCTTGACAGCGAAGCGGTCGCAGTCTTTATCGGTCACGTCCCACAGCATGCCCAGCACGGCGGGGGCGCCGGCCGTGAGGTACGAAGCGAGCATGCCCGAGGGCTCGTAGATGCCGTTGTCAGAGAGGTGCACGGACGAGCAGCCAAAGAGGAATGTAGTCGCGCATCCTGGCTTCATCCGCTCCTCTTCTCCATTTGTGTTTTGGTCGCTGAGATAGAGTTTCCGTACTGACTTTGAGCGGATGTACTGCGCGCCGCTTCCGTGGCCGAAGTAGAGGACTACATCTTTTTCGCGGAGAGAGTTTTCGAATTCTTTCTCGCTGGGGGCTCGGCTGGTAATGTGGTTCCAGGATCCGGACATATCCGCTAGACGCGGTTTGATGGTTTTGAGGGTGTGGGATAGATCGCCGGATGGGTTGAGGATGCTGGTGCCTCCAGCTGCAGCGGATATGTGATGGCCAGACTGCGTGTCGGAGTCGATAGCAGATGGGCGCGCGGCGAGAAGTCGCTCGCGTAACGCTGCTAGGGAGGGAAGTCGAGATATTGAAAGCTTCTCTAGACATGGGAGTGATTCCCAAGGAAGCATGTGCAGATTCCTGTCCAGAATGAGGATGGTGTGATCCCTGATTGTTTGAGCGTTTTGAGACGCGTGGTGGAAGGCACGCAGAGCATCGATGGTCTCGATAACCATGGTGTCAAAGTCAATCTCATCGTATGCATTTCGCTCGCCGTTGAACTGGAGAATATCGACCACGAAATATAAGAGATCCGCGAGCGCATCATCAAGCTCTCCATCTTCGTTCGACGCATCGCCAAGGCCGATAAACAGTCCTAGAACCTTGGGATTCAACTTGAGGTCCTTCTGTTGACCTCTTCTGCGTCGAGAAGGCAAGTGTCGGTTGAGTATGGCCTGAAGAGAGGCTTGGAATTTCGCCAAAAGTTTGTCCTGTGGCACGTGATTGGAGAAGATGCCTTTGAAACCACCGAGCCAGATGTTCTCGATATTTAGCAAGAGTTCTTGTAGTTTTGCGTCCAGGGCTTCCCGCTCGGACCACCACTGATGCCTCGCTGCTTTGGTGGTCATGTCTTTCGCACTTCGAGTGCTGAAGTCGCTTAGCTCAATTATATCCTCAAACTCGCGGCGGCCATCCGCAAAAGTGAATTCAGCCTCATCGCCTTCCCGGGAAGACTGCCTAGCCATGGGTAAGCGAAGAACAAACGGGTCCTGCTTGCTTTCATAGCGAGTTATATAAAGCTCGCTTTGGTCGTCGTTGAGTGCCAGAGAGATCGCCATCCACGAGTCCGGAATAATGTCAATGTAGTCGTTCTGGAAATCAAGTGCAGATGCAAGGCTTGATTTGTTGGCGTCTGGAACAGGCCACTTTAGGCACTCATCTCTTGACATCGGTTCTTGTTCGACTTCGACTGACTCTTGGGCAAATTTGAGTGACTTGCATTTTGGAATCTCACTCATGTACGCAGCATACAATGGACCGAGCGATCCGCGCACAGGCCCTGCCGATACTGCCGAAAGTAGAGTTGTGACATGACCCAAAGCAGCAGATATCTGTTGGAATGCATGGCTTGAGCCTGACGCTGCGCACAAATCATGAGAGTTTTTCAGACACTCGCGAGCAGCCAGTAAGGTTTCCACAAACTCAGGGTCCTGCTGTTTCTTCTCCTTGGCAGTCTTGGAAACACTTTTGGCCGATGCGATCTTCTTGGTTGCAGTACTCTGAGGTGTATGTTCGTCAGTGGGTGGTAATGCAGGGAAAGCAATGGTAGATTCGGGCAGCGTATTGAATGTAAAGTCGTCCTCGACATCTTTGATGGCTTTCGAAAACATGGCTTTAAAATTTGTCCACGCATGCAGGCCATTGTAATCCAGGCTAGTTTTCAAGGCCTCAGCTTTACCCAAGAGCACCATGGCTTTCGAGACATCATTACGAAGTAATAGAGAAAGAGCTTTTCGATGGGTGATCTCGCTGACAAGGGTGGATAGCGGCGCACACTCTTCACCAACACATGCACTTTCGACAGTCTTTGAAATCGTCTTCACCGATTTCGTAGCCACGGCTGTAGAGGTGTTCTTAACTGCAGTCCTGCGAGCGGACCTTGGAGCTGGTTTTGCTGGAGCCTTCGGAGCAGCCTTCCGTGGGATCGCACGCCCCCGTGCAGCTTTGTTCGGACACGATTCGGTGGCCTCTAGGTTGCCTATTGTCATAGCAGCCATATCGTCGGTTAAGTTGTTTAGATCGATCCCAAAGCTATCGATCCCTTTGATGTATCCGGGCGAAGTAAGCTTTGTCAACATCTCTTCCATCAACTCGTAAGTGGCAAGCTCATCATTCTGACTTTCACTGTGGTTGGCTCCGTCCGATAACTTGCCAAGGTACGACATCCTAGCGATGGATGAATAATACGCAAGCTTCGCCAAAGCATTCCCGCACTGTGATGGGTTGAGAGCGTCAACGATCGGTTGAGCTTTATCCAGTCGTCCACTTTGTATCCAAAATTCCGCGCGCTGACTGGCATTTTCAATGATCATTGAGGAGGAGTGTGTTGCGGTGACGATTCTATCGGCTTGCTCCGCCATGTATATGGCCTCCTGCAATAGCCCTTGGCTGATGAAGATGCGGGCATGCTGCATGAAAGCCCTGTATAGTGAGGGCACAATGGACCAGAAGTCTGCCCCATTCAAAGCATCATGCGTGATAGACATAGCAAGAGGCATTCCTTTGTCATTTCGCACGGAGCCCAAAGCATCAGAATTCGACCTGCCTGAGACTTCGAGTGACGAGCAAGTGGATTCGCTCACAATGGCCTTTTTTGCGTTTGCTCTAGATTCAAGAGCAGCCCAGATGCGACGATTAAGTACGACACACTGCCTAGCGTGTTTGGCGGCGTCTTTGTAGTCACCTAGCTGTGCCGAAACAAGTGAAGAGACATAACAAGCATTTGCGAGTACTCTGTGGAACCGGAGCCTGCTACCCAAGGTTGTCGACGACTGTGCCAGTTCCATGAATTGGACATCTTTGGTGGCAATAGCTTGAGCGGCGACCAGAGTGCTTCCGCTTTTCGTTGTGTTGCCAATAGCCACCAGATATTCTGCATATCCGATATGCCAATGCAGCTTTGCTTCTGTGGATGCGGCATTTTGGGATAGGAGGGTTCCCGCTCTAGCAAACACCAACCCAGCTTGTCCCGAGTAACCCAAGCGTGAGAATTGGACCCCCAGGTTATTTAAGGCAGTGATCAATTCGGATGGATCAAGGTCGTTTTGGAGCTCCAGCGTTTTCGTAAGTAGGCGCAAAATAGGTAGGCACTCATACTCTTCGCCTTTTGCGGCTAAGAAGTCGACACACATTCGCATTGTCTGCAACCAATCTTCGGCATCATCAACGTGGTCTAGCAAGTCATCCCATGATTTTGCTGTATTGACAAGGGTCTCCCAAACCGAAAAGGATTCTCGTATTACTGCAATGGTAGGTGTTTCACTTTGGAGAGAAATCTTGAGTTTACAGAGACTCTCCAAATGACCAGCAAATTTCGCTAGACCTGCATCCATCGTGCCTTTGAGACTGATTAAAGTCACAAGAGTATCGTCCGTAGGAAGTGAGTTGTTGGAAATGATACCCGGATGTGCTTGAATCAGGTCGAACACAGTCAGAAGTAGCCTTCGACGCCGGAGTGGGAATGCGTCCGACGTATATATATCCAGAAGTCGGTCAACGATAGTCTGAAGAGATTGATTCAAGTCGGAGTCCCAGTTACGGTTCCGTGACAAAGTTTTTCGATATTGTGACAATTGCCATTCCAGGATAACACCTCGTACAGATGCTGGTTGTTCACTATTGTCGAAGAACGTCAGCTCGCCATGACTCCTCAGACCGTATCTCAAAATAGACTTGTGGTAGCCGTTGAGCAATCTCTTGAGGGTGCTGAATAGGCTTTGCGACTCAAAGATGTGCGAAACTGAATGCCTTCCAGCTGCATCGGAGAGCGCTTGGACTGCATCAGCGTTGCAAACAAGTTTCATACTTTGCTGCAGCGCATCGCGGGACTGCTCAATCGCGCTTATCTGGTCAAAAACTTCTCCCAGGCGTTCGAGTTTTGTTGCCAACAGTCCGGCTTCTTTTTCTATCAATGGTCTCGGTGAGAGGATATCACTTGATCGCTGAAGTGGCACAACTGATATCGTCGATTCCACATTCAGCTTTCGTAGCTGCGAATGCATGACCCAGTAAGCATTGGAAAATCTAACAAATATGGAACTAGCAGCAGTCTGGTGACTGTAATTCCAAGGATGATCATCAGGAGCCAACTCCTGCAATTTGTGCACGAGTCGTAAACAATCTTGCACCAGAACATCAAGTTGTATCCATGTTGGCTCGCTGGTCAGTGGCCGTTTACAACAAACCATGACAGAATCCACGAGACTCTTGATCAGGTTCAAAGTTATATGTAGTCGTTCATGGTGTCGGGTCGCACTTTTCGTATCTGTTCCAGATGATGGTGTGGTGCTGATAAACCTTAGAGTGAAGTGGATGCTCACTGAAAGAATACGTAAACAGTCGTCTTCGAGGTTTAAGAGAGGCGATTTTGCGGCAACAGAGTTTAAAGTGGATAGCAACCGGGTGGCCATACGTCGTAAACTATGGACCTCGATGAATAAAGCATCAAGTTCCGTGGCAGATCCTCCCAAACTACCAGAAAGCGCCCCAATCACAGCGTCAACGTTGATATCAGTTGTTTGTTTTTCGGGATTTCGAATACGAGCATCAATGGAGAGAGTGCACAGACGCGCCAACTTTGCAGCTGCTTTTGCAGCAGACAATTCGGACTCTGATGGGTTTGTCTTACCCAACCATCGAATAGCTTCTTCATGTAGCCCTGCAGCTTGGGCCAGAGAGCTTAAGGTCTTTCTTGCCAGTTCCTGGGTATTGTTATCCTGCTTTTGCGAGTATCCTGACTCTTTCAACGTGTCCAGCATATTGGCATATAGAGACTCCGCTAGTGTATACTTCTTGTCGTGAGCCTGTTTTGACCTCCTTGCGTAAGCTGCCATGCACTTTGCAAGAGGCTCTAGGAGCTCTTTTTCGACATCGCCTCTATGATTAACGAGCCCCCACCACATCTGTCGAATCTTGAAAGCTAGGTGCTGTAGCTTTAGACAGATCTCTGGACTTGGGAGATTGTCTGCGCCGTCGTTGGATGTAGAGATGCTTGGGCAAAGTGTCAGTATGGTTCCAGCAAGAGATTCCAGCTGCCTCGCAGCTTTACTCGAGCTATTAGGGGATTTCGCTATGTGTCGGATCAGGTTCGCAGGAGACGATGGGTGTGACAGCTTGATGTAAATCCAAGCTGTTTCAACAACCCTGGGTCGATTCATCCTAGCAATCATCCTCAGTGCGTAAGTTTGGAGGTTTGTAATAATTGGAAGTGCCGCGCTTGTGCTGTCAACTTCTCCAAAATCCAGGAGCGATACTACGCTCTCTCTTTCATTTGGAACAGAGGCTTGCATCCCTGGTTTTTTGACCGTCCCACGAGAAGTTGACTTCTCTGGATCACGTCCAAGATGTTTATCCAGCCTCCTCTTCAACAATCTCATCTCCTTGACTGCCAAGCTATCCAGTCCATGAGCCACCAGCTTTCCGACAAGAGCGAGCATACCACTCTCTAACTGCAATTCTGGCGAGTCTTTGCCTGCTACCTTTCCAGCTTCCGGGGTTCCCAAGTACGCAAATGCTGCTCTTGAGCATTCTGCCGTGTATACCAGGCTTTGATCAGAGCCATCATTCCCACGAGAGGTATTGGTAAAGGAGCGATTTGGTGGTGATCGTTTCTGAGGTGAGTTGACGGCTTGGCTGACGGATACTTCATTGAGCGGATGCGAAGCTGTAGTAGAGCTGGTTTTGGTGGATGGGCGAGGCCTACTCGAGGACTGTGTTTTTAATGCTTCTGATAATGTCTTCAGAGTAATGTTTGCGACTTCTGTGGCGAGTATATATCGTTCTCGAGGCGTGAGGGTAGGCGTGGTCGGTTTTGCGCCCTTCGTCGTAGCCTTCGCGGCCGTGGCTGCCCTTCCACGCGGAACGGTTGTTGAGGTGCTATCTGCCTTAGTCGTCCGTACGTTCTCTTTTTGAGTAGGCTCGGTGGCTTTGTTTAGCAGCAAGCTTTGAAGCTCTGCTACCGTAGTGTGTGAACATGATGAGATGGTTCGTAGGTCGTTTTCGATCCGCGCGCGCGCCGCGTCGGCTGTCTTCGCCATTAATAGTGCTTTGAAGGTGATGTGCGATGCAGAATATCATAGGATGTGTAGATTATGCATTATAGAAAGACGAAGGTTGATGTATCGTAGGGTTGTGTGACCTTGATGTCGCGCGCAGCTTGAGGCCTATTGTTTGTATTTGTTTTTCTAAATAAGGATTAGCGTCGGGGATCCGCCCAATAATATCCACTAACGTCCGCGGGTTTCCATGAACCAAACATGAATGTGCCAGGAGTGAGTGGAACACGAACTTGCATTGCAGGAACACATAAATCTTAGGTACATAGGGAATCGAAACAGAACTATGAGCATATTATGATATCTTTCAGGATAGGTCCACAGGCATCTACCACCATAGTATTTATTGGTCGTTATGGTAACCTGGGCAATGTATACAAAAGAAAGCTATTTCATGCTCAACGCAATAGTAACGCAACATGCGCTGTTGACGGGCGCTCTATGTCTATATGTAAGCCACCAACTCAAGATGTGTGACATGATTAGGGGTATTAAATGTCCCAGAACTCCCTTGAACCCGACCCAAAGCCAAACCCGGACGCAGATCTTCAATCGCAATCGTGCACTCCCGAGTCCAAGTCTCGCCTGCCTTTGCTCGATGCTCTCTCCCGATTCTTTCCCAAAACTCGTAAGTCTGTGGGCTGGGTCTCACCATCGGGAGTGAGCGTTTCCTTTTGCTCCTCCAATGGACTCTGATCTATATTCATCATACAAGGTTAGTTGCAATCCCGCATCCGAAACCTCGCAAGTATGCAATCATCAAATCAGTACGCAGAAATCTTACGCACTCGCCACACCCAAGCCTTCACAGAGCTTTTGCCTCCACATTCCACAGGCCTCTTCGAACCCATTGACCACATCAGAACACTCGCGTCTAGCCTGTCTTTGCTTCAGCTTCTCTTCCCAGCCACCTTTTTCGATCCATACGACCCCAGCTTCTCGCAACTCCTGGTCACGTTTCCACTCGGCAAGTTGATCTTTTGAAGACTTTAGGCGCCGGGTAGCATTTACAGTGGTTTGGCGTGTCATGTGTAGCGAATCTTGTACGTTGGATAGGTTTTCAAGTAGCTCGCGGTTAGTAGTGGTGAGTTGGGAAAGCGCCATGATGGGTTCGTGTTGAGAGTGAGGCAGAAGTTCGAGTGTGGAGGTGATCAACGGAAGAAGTGCGTCGATGACTTCGGGGTCGGGTATTATCGCGCGTGGGCCAGAAAAGGACGCGGTTAAGGAGGTGAGTGTACGGGACTGGTGAGTAAGATGGGTTGTGAGTGCATCATGTGCGGTTTTCAATCTGTGCGGTGTTAACTTCGTATATCCTCTGAGACTGCAACACAAGCCACCAGCATACCTTGTTGCGCCGTTCTCTAGTCCAATCTGACTCCCAAGATCACGCAGTTGTTCTACTACTCTTTTTACCACACCGTCTGTCGTGCTACCGTTTTCCTCCGTGCCTCTCCGGACCAGACTTTCGATAGCCGCCATTCGAGCCTCGAGTGCTGGCGATATGCCTTCCTTTGCCTCTAAATCCGAGTCGTCGCCGTAGTCTGAGCCGTCATATAACGAATGATATCTCTGATGCCTCTTCACTTTGGTTGCTAGCCCGGGACTTAGCGTAGCCTTCGAGCCTCTGGAGGGCGGAGACGAGGGAACGGCGGCACCACTGTCTCGAACGTGATCTGCGTTTGCGACTGCATCTGCCCCCGCCGACCCATCATGCTCCAAAGCGACACCGATGTTGTCTTCGTTGTCCGAACCGTCTAGCTCGTCACCAAACTCTCCATCTGCCATCTCATCGTCTTCGTCCCATACATCGCCAAGCTCATCTGCCAAATTTCCTAGTCCTCCATCTGCCCCACGTTGTGCCGGGCTTCCGCGTTCGAACTCTTGTGACGACCGAGGCGTCATTGGCGAATATCCTGAGGATCTACGAGTCAATGATTGTCGTCTTGAGTTGCTGATTAGGGACATGTCCAGACTTGAGGGATGACGGCGGTGCGACGAAGTTGGTTGTTGGGTCGGTGTCCGTGGTGGTGACGACATGTTGTAAATTCGAGAAAGACGCTACGGTATACACTGAAGATAAGGAATTAGAATAGGACGTCGGTAGTTTTTTCAGGGTCGGTGATGCTGCGCATTCGTTCGTAGTGAATTCGATTCCGGCAAATGAAGTTATAGTGGCGTCAGGGCACAGGCGGTTGTCCTGGAAAATTGTTTGTCGCGTATAGTCGCAAGCAGCAGAGCGCCAGGCGTGGGATAGCACCGCGTTGTCTCTGTGATCCACGGTGGGAGTGTGTTGAGAGAGGCTCGGCTTGTCGTGGAGGTGTTGAGTGAAGGTGCCAACGAGTGAGATGTCAGAGACGTGCGCCGGATACTGCCGACAACGGTAACAATACAATAATGAAAGCTATAACGGCGTGATTGGGTCGGGGCAAAAGAATTGTGGTGAGCAGCAGAGTTCGTGTTTGTTGACAAGATCGAGGGGTATTAAGCTTTGGCATGGTAGAGAGGGCCGTGTCATAAATTAGTAGTCGTGGCTAGTACAATGTCGTCCCCACCCCTCCCCCTGGTAGCTTATAGCATGCCTGACTTATTTATATGTACATCACCATGGAGATACAATCCGCCTCCGCCTCCGACCATGGACACCATGACAGCTTAAATAACTACATGCAGTTTAAGACTATTCTACACAATACCCTCACGAATATTCTTCCTGCATCGGGTGGGTTTACACGGGTTTCGAATATGAACGAATGACATCTAGAGAGAGAGTCCGAATAATGGGTATCCCTATAATAGCTTGGTAAACCGAAGCGCTGAAAACCAACCAACGCCAGATGCCGCAATACTTCAGCCATGTGCTATACGTCTCTTACTTTGAGGACTGAAGCAAGAGAAGACGTGACGGAAGCTCTGCCTCCTGCGCATGAACACGCAAAGCATAACAGCCTGAAACTCCCGCAATGCCCCCTATAATGCTGATGGAATTGGTTGATTTGGTAGACATAACGCGTTTACGGAGATTCATTTGCCCTGATCCAGGGTTGCTAGCTGCTTCTTGAGCTGGGTGAAGAAGTCTTGCCCGTTAGGCATGAGATGGGGCATGTTGCCTGCGCCAATTGTTACCCATATGCTCCTGTATGATGCCTCACGAACCTACCTCGAGAGCCCCATGCCCCACTGCTCCTTTTTGCAACGGAATCTCCCTGGACTTTGTGGTATACCGAAGGGCGGTCTTTGGATGCAATGTCAGCCAATGTGCTTGTCAGATCGTGGTAGCTCGGAGGGGATGTACCTGCGACGGTCTCAAGGTATTCTATTATACACATTAGCTTGCATATTACAACCATTTATAGGATAACGCATACTCTTTTTCAAGAAGTCCTTGACCTCGGCCGTGTTGAAGTCCTTCACTGGGTGGTGTTCGGCCTGAGGAGGGGTGGAGTGAGATTGAGCTTGCGCTCTCTCCGCAGAACCCGCTGCCTTTCCCTTCCAAGCATTGCCCGAGAGCGCAGACATGGCCTGCTGGCGGCCGCCGTCCTTGCCTGGAGCGTTGGAGCCCGAGGCGCGGTTGTTGCCTCGCCCTTGCGATCGCTGCCAGCTGCTGCTGTCGTGGTTTTAGCTCCAGCGGGCGGTTGTGGGAGTTGTCGCGAAAGCTTACCGGTTATCGGCCACTCCACTCATGTTGGCAGAGGTACGGAACGATGGCGGGGTGGAAAGGTGGTGGGGGGAGGTCGAAGATATTTAAACGTCGACGCGCCCCATCCAGTGACATGCGCGAGGGCATCTATGCGGGAACCATCATCTGGGGGACGTGCATCTCAGCCAATCAATTCCTCTCCTGCACTTTGTCGGCCAGCTCACAGATCCGATCAATGGTCTTTTCATGAAGACGCTCTTGTCATCCAGCTGCTCTGCCATCTAGTGGATGAGAGCGTTTTAAAGCTTACCGCGGGCGGTCAAACCCCTCTTCGCTATGTGTCCAGCTCTCACCGCCTGCCAGTACATAGCGCACTACGAACAACACTCAGCTCAAAGCAAATTTAGGCGACTGATCGTCTGTGCCTTGGACTATGAAAACATGATATTGTGCATTGCATATGGTACATCTACTATTTATATAACTGGCGGTGCTTTTAAGCTTCAGCCTGCGAATCGGCAGTACTCGATCTTTCCATGCGCCGCCAAAGGCCAAGGAATCCACCGCCTACAACCATTTGACCAGCCTTGGGTCGACATATCATAGCCCACTTTTCCTCTTCCTGCTTTTCGAGAAGCTCTTCTGCAAGCTCCCCGTCCCTCGCCTGCTGCTCTTTCTCGGGATCAACCGGCCCTGTACTCGGAGACGATGGCTCTGATTCCACTCCCAACGGCTTCTTGAGAGTGGCACGAGGTTTAACCTGCCGCACATCCCTTTTGATAGTCAGCCAAAACATTCTTTGGCGAGGGTGCATGCGGGCCCAAGATTACTTACCACTCGCGAACTGTTCCAACGCCTAGTTCAACAACCTGCTCTAGCACATAGGGCATATGCTGCTTGCGGATCTCGTCTACGCATTCTCCAATTTGCGTGATGCTAGGATTGAAAACAGCGAGCATACCGTTGGGGTGCAGAGCGGGAGCAACATTGGCCAAATGGCTCTGTGAACTTGGCAGGTCCAGGAAGACGTGGGAGAGAAATGGGTCGTCCGTTTTCCTAGAGGCTTTCTGTTGGGCTATCCAAGCAGAAACATCTCCTACGTGGAAATCAACGTTTCGAGCATACATGCCTCTCTTGAAACCCGCTACAATCTTCCTAGCATGTTTGGAGTGTTTGGCTGATATATCGAGCGAGTGAAGAATGGCACGGCGATCGTCCTGCCATGACTTTTGGTTGAGCTCGTCGAGACCTGCGCCATCGTAAACGGCATCTTCCATGTTTTGCTCGTCATCGAAAGCCGGAGACTTGGGGGGTGGCGGTGGCGGGTTCCCAGCATGGAGAGCTCGAGAAAGGTGCAATGTCAAGGCTCCATGACCGGTGCCGGCTTCGAGGATCTCCATAGGCGGACTGTCTGCGGAGCTGGCATATGTATCGACATGAATGTCTAACAGAGAGACAATCAGATTGGCGTCGTGTGGATATATCTGGTCCCGGTTACTTTTCGCACGCGGAGAAAGTCCCTGGAATAACGCACAGGAGTAACGAGACGTGGGGTCAGTCGGACATAGTCTGCCAATGTAGGCTCGTGTATCCTGTATTCATTGGAGCCACACTTGACGACCTGGCGCGGTTCTTTCCCTATTATATCGTTGTGATGGATGACTCCGAAATGGTTGTGATAAGAGTGACCGGACTTGAGCTTGCAGAGCGTTCCTTGGTCATCATAGCCCCGTTTCTTCTTGAGAAGGACGTAGTCGCGTTCTATGGGGTCGTAAGCGGCGAGTTGGCGGAGAGGAGGAAAGGTTCAGTTGACAACCTTCAAAAGGTCGCCTGCAAAATGCAGTGGCGGAAAAGCATCGACGAGGGTTGGCCGGCAAGCCCCTAAGCGTTGCACGGGCTACTTTCATGCCTGGATGCATGTGTTGTGTGTCGTGAGTATGTGATGCATAGGTTCACGCGAGTGATGGAAGAAGATGTTTGTTTGTACCTGCACTAAGTGCTTAGGTACCTAGCTACTTAGCTGTCGCGGAACGCCCCCAGACGATTTGAACGGGAATCAGGGTAAGCGGTATCTGTGCATTTTGCACAATAGTCTGCATCTCTTCATCATGTGTGATTAGGAGTAACATTTAGAGTTTAATCAACAGGCCGTTGCTGCTGGAGTCCTTCGTGTTCCCCCACTTCTTGCAGTTCCGCGAGAGGCTAGTTACCTCGGAGCTGATCTGATGCAAGGTTGCGGAGAAGGTGTGGTAGCCAAGCGTGACCCACCCAAGAACAATGCACACTTGGATGGATGAATGAATGCTTGCTTGCTTGCTTCTACACACAATTATTACCGTTCCTGTACTGCCTAGCAACACGACACATCCCTTGCGACCCCTCGGCTCGGGGATATTCTTTTTGTTCCCATGATGGCGACTGGTTCGCTCTTCATTTGCTGAAGCTATCCGCAAGTTCTACCGTCGTCCCCGTCAGTCTCCTAGTAGCACTATGACACGCCGAATCGTATGTTCGATGCAATATCTCGTTTGCACCCATCCTCTAACTCGTTGCGCAGGTGCGAACGGCCGTTCAGCTCGGTGTCGCAGCTTTCATCGTCTTCTTCCTCGTCGTCTTCCTTGATAACCGCTATCGCGTGCTCCCTCAAGCCATCCATGGGAGGCTGCCTCTCCACCACGAAGGTCTCGTCATCACCGATCTTACCATCACAACCTGTTCGTCGCTGAACCCGATATCGAAATGCCAACTCGATCCCGACACATGGCATCGTGTCGAGAAGGATTTATACCTGGGTTCCGGGTGGCTGTCAAGCGCCTACGTCCACATTCAGCGCAAGAAGGAGGAGCATCTTTCAGATGAAGATAGGGTTATAGTTGATGTGCGCACTGCGAAGCTAGATCCAGCTATGGGAGATAAGTCGCAGGCTTCTGAGAAATGGGAGGCGCGACCGGCGGGCGTGTGGATCAAGCGATCGTCGAGACGTCACGCCAGTGACTCCAAGAATACGGTTACAGCTGTCGATGTTTTGTTCGGCGCAGATGCAGTAGAACCCAGACCTGGGTGGGAATTGGTTCCCAACGGAGCGTTGCGGATGGACGGCGGCACCAAAGAACCACGATTGACTGTTCGCCGAGGGCAACCTCACAAAATCGAGAAGCCCGTACCGAGAATTAGGAAGGATGGCAAGTTCAAGATCATGCAGGTATCTGACTTGCACCTTAGCACTGGTTTGGGCGTCTGCCGGGATCCAGAACCAAAAGGCCATAACGGTGGAAGATGCGATGCGGATCCAAGAACCCTCGAATTTGTTGAGAGAGTTCTTGATGAAGAAAAGCCTGACCTGGTGGTACTTTCTGGTGATCAGGTCAACGGAGGCACTGCGCCAGATGTGCCGAGTGTGAGTCCGATTGCTCTATTTTATACTACCTTCACTAACTTAGCTGCAGGCCCTCTTTAAAATCGTCGACGCTCTCGTTGAGCGCCAAATCCCCTATGCCGCCGTCTTTGGCAATCACGATGATGAAGGCGTACTCTCTCGCCAGACCCAAATGCAACTTTACGAGTCCCTACCATATTCCCTATCCGAGGCTGGGCCAACCAGCATTGACGGTGTCGGCAACTACTACGTCGAAGTCCTAGCCCACGGCAACAATAAACATTCAGCCTTGACCATTTATTTACTCGACAGTCACAGCTACTCGCCCGATGAGACTAAATTCAAGGGCTACGACTGGATCAAGCCTAACCAGATAGCCTGGTTCAACACCGCCGCCGAAACCCTCAAAGCCTCTGATGCACACGTACACTACAGCCACACTCACCTCAACATGGCATTTATTCACATCCCTCTCCCGGAATACAGAATCCCGGACAACGGATGGTATGGCAACTGGAAAGAAGGCGTAACGGCCCCTGGTTTGAATACCCACTTCAAAGACGCGCTAGTCAAGCAAGGCGTAAAGGCAATATCATGCGGGCACGACCACGCAAACGACTATTGTATGCCTTCCGTGGATGAGTCCAAAGATCCTGAACTGTGGATGTGCTATGCTGGCGGGAGTGGCTTTGGAGGATACGGAGGCTACGGAGGCTACCACCGTCGTCTACGCGTGTTCGAAGTCGATACCAATCAAGCTCGCATTACCACCTGGAAAAGATTGGAGTATGGAGACACCGCTTCGCGACTTGATGAACAGATTATTGTGGATTCGGGCAAGGTACGTCCGCTGCCGCAACCGGAGGAATCACAATGAGCATGAGATACTGTGTGCGGAGGTATAGTCTTAGCTCGTCGATTTTCCTTTTTCTTTTGGTTTTCTCGTGAATCACAGCAAGGAGTTTTACTTTGGCGTTTCTTGGATTGCAAGTACCTTTTTTTAAGGTTTCATACTCCTCTGGGTTTGGATGGGAGACATACCACCACTTGGGGAACAAGGGGGAATGGAAAAGTACAACACCGAGTCCATTCTTGGTTATGTTTTTGTTTTCCATTGTATGAGTGTGGACTGTATCGGGTGGACGGAATTGGCCTCTCTTGTCTCCTCTCTATGTAGGCAGTCTCAGTCCATTACAATTCGATTGAATGTGTCAGTTCTTTTCTATTCCCCTGATGGTATAGGAAAGATCAACCTGCGGATATCGATGAGCCTGTTGGAATTGCGTACCCGGGTGTCCCTTCCGACAATGACAATTGCGTGACTACATTCATGCGCATGATCCTCGAGCACGTCACTACTTCTCATCACATCAAGTTGAAACGGTATATGAAAATAAAGAAATCGATATTGAGAATTTGGATCGGGCGGTGCAACGCAGAGAAGTAGATTAGGATATATGTAGTTCAAACATTTCACGTGGAGAGGCCAAGTGTTTAAGCGCGGTGTAATGTTACTTAGTCGAAGCAAGTTGTAAAATATCATAGAAAGATTTGATATTTGTATTCAAGTGATTCCCCACTTTTTTTTGAGAACAATATACACATATAAGAGGAAAAAACCAGGAGCATTCCCAATCACGTTCGCGCTAGAGCCAGCTAGCGACGTGATTCTTCGCCATCTCGAACCTGTACGTGGGATCGAACTGGGACTCTGGATCTAAGTAGCGGCCAACGTGTTCAAGGACATCGTCCGCATACTCGCAGTCCTCTTCCATGAGGTCTCGATGCCCCTCGAAGTCCTTGAAATGCTTGTAGTGCATGACTACATAGCTAACGACCAGTCGACGGATGGGATCGATTCGATCGCCCTCACGATCAGGAACAAAGTCGTTATCGTACACGAAGGATGCAAGTTTCATGACCGACGTGAGAGTCGGCCGGAAGAGATACATGTTCTCCAGCGTACGAGCCAGTTTGGTGAAGGCCATTGGCTTCAACGGGTCGATCAGATACTTGCTCGCAAACGCGTAGAGGCGCGCGTGTCCGAGAAGCACTGGGGTCTGGCATCCCGACCACGAAGGTTTGTAGTTCGTGGTGTCGAGTTGGCTAGCGTCGCAGAGTGTGTTGGAAGCCAGTTCGAAATACTGCGCTGGGGTCACACTTATGGAGACCTGCGTTGCTCGTCGCCACAAAGCACCATACGCTTTCACGGGGATCAGCGATAGGTATTCAAGTAGATTCTCGGACGTGGGTGACTCTTGGTCACTCTCGTCTTCATCATACTCGTCAAGCTCCGAAGGTTCACCTGTTGACGGAGCTGTGTAGTTCCCAGAGTAGGCGAGTTCTGCAACGCGATTGAAATCATGCAGATTTATATTTTGAATATGAGCGGTGTTCTCATTCGCTTCCAGCATATGGCCGTTGATAAGGCGGTACATAGGCCCCGACAGTTCTGCGAAGGCGGCCGAGTGGACGACCACAGGCTGCTTGAGCTTGCCAACGAGGAAGGTGAAGAGTTTCGAGCCTAGTATATTGGCGAAGGACGACATTTTCTGTAAGATCTAAGCCAAAGAATCGGTTCGGTGGTAGCGGGTGGTAGTTGAGTAGTTTGAATTGTTGCATGGTGGGTGAGAATGTACCCCTTCTTATAGGGAGGCGTGGAAACGACCGTTTATCATTGTGTGAAAACGTGTTATATATGTAGCGCATTGTGCGATAAAATTGAGAGACCCAGGCGTGTTTGTTGGGGTAACAACACATTGTGTCGTTAAAAGACTGTCGCGGGTTGTGCATTTTGAGGTCTGATATTCCGCCAAAGCAGTTTTAGATGGACTGTACTGCTTTATATCCGTTCATGTCTAGCATTTTCTTCTTGGATATTGTAATCGAAAACAAGAGACATTGTCGCTCAAATCTGGAACGTGTTCTAGAATGAACAATCAGTAGATATTCAACCAAATCAAAAATGCTCCTCGAAACCAGACATTGTACAGTGGCGCATCAAAGCATGTTCCCACCAAGGTAAAGAAATCAAAAGGATACATACCCCACCCCAAAAATCCCTCTCGACAATCCTCCCTTCCTTAATCCCCTCCAAGACGACACCAACCCACCCAGGTGGCCCTCTTCTCCCCATCCCGTCCCCACCACGGATCGGACACACATCATCTCCACCCTTCACGAATCCCCTCTCCATGGCCACACGCTCCACCTCCTCGGTGATTCCCAACCCCTTCTTCGCCTCCTCACTACGCTTCCGCGCCTCCCTCGCTTCACTCAGCGCATCAACGCGCTCCTGCCATCTGCGCTCGAGGAAGGAGGAGAAGGAGTCGAGTTGGCGCGATGCGAAGCGGTGGAGGTGTGTGAGGAGGCGGTTGAGGATATCGAAGAGGAGACGGTAGAGGAGTTCTGTTGCAATGGCGTGGCCGGTTTGCGCGGTGAAAAGGCGGGAGGAGACGATGGAAGAGGATGAGGATCTGGTGGTGGTGAGGGTTGTTGAAGGGGAGGAAGATGGGCTCCCGCGGTAGGGGACGAGGGCGTTGTGGTACCACGATGGGTCAGAGCTGCTGCTTGACATTGTTTTCCGAGCGTGTCGTTGCGTAAGTTGGGTGGTCTAGCTTGAGGAGGGATGTCGTATGTGTGTAGGTGGGGTTGGCAGCCCTGTAAATGGCGGGATTGGAGAGGTCCAATATTGCTCCTCCCTGGTTGCCCTGCAGAATGTCAGGTACGGGGGATGACGAGCGGGCCGCGCTTTTAGAGTGGTTTTAAGCTTCTAGAAGAACGGGCGGCCCCATCCTACCGTGGGGTTGTTTATGCCGAACAGCAAATAGCACACAATGCACGCCGCGGAGTGCGGACTTCTGGCTCAGTGGAAACTTTTTTATTTATTTCTTGTTACAAGTGCAACGATCCTAGCAAAGCTTGCACACAGGTGCAGGTTTCACAGTGACAGCTGCTGTAACCACCGACATGGCGCAACCTGACTAATGGGCGCTGTCGTACGTTCAAATGTTTGAAATAGCCCGGAAGCAGCACAGTATTTACGATATTTATATAGGAGACAATTTCCAAGCCAAAAGATTGCCGACTGCTGTTGTTAGCTCATGGAATGCTGGAATCAATTCTACATGTAAGCTTCGCGACACCATCCATATTCGGCCACGGTCACCACCTTCAAAGCGAATAACCACACACTCAATCAGACTAATCTTCAGTTTCAAGAGCAGATAGGGTATCTGTAGATATGCACATATTAAAATCTTTCTTTAAAGCTTTGTGAGAACAGAGGTCTTCCGCCCTGGCGCTACGAAAAAGGAGAACAAGAACCCCAAACAATGATAAACACATCCTGATGACCAGCAATGAATGCAACCTAGCCAGTCCAGAGCCTGTCTCTGAACCATCCCAGTGTTTGGGAAAATACACTTCAAAATACTGATTACAAAAATGAGGAGTTCGACGCCAATATCGCCGGATCCAAATGGGAAGGAAGTAGCAAGGACAGATGCGTGTGCTTTTAGGGTTTGTTGTTATTGTTGTTGCTTTGGTTGCTGTGCAAATAAAAGTCAGCATTGATTCCTGGGAGCAGACGCAAAGGCTTACTGGCTATATTATAACCTGGTGGATAAAAACAAGGGCGGCTTACCGGGTGACGACGATGGCAACCACGACGGCGATGATGATGAGGATGATGACGACAATGAGCGCGCACCACCACTTCTTGCGGCGAGCACTGCGAGCCTTTTCAATGGCGCCTCCGATCTCCGTGTTTGCTTGCACGACGTTCTCGTGGATCTCCTCGCCCTTCTGCTCAATGTTCTCGACAAGGGGCTCCTGCTGCATGACGATCTGGTCAAGGTCCTGGAACAGTTGTGCAAGCTCCACCATTTGCTGCTCAATCTTCTGGATGGCTTCGTGACGTTCCTTGACATTGCGGAGGGTAGATGATGCTTGACCACGGCGGTCGGAGCTGAGAAGCTGTATGCAAGTTTAGCGCGCGTAACATGAGAGAAGAGGGAACAGAGTGTGCACGTACAGCTTGTTGGAAGATGGGGGCGCTGGGGTCCTCGACGGCCTGCTGGACTTCCTCCTCCGTGGCATCTGGGCGGACAATGCGGTACTGTCGCTCAGCGGCAGCCTGCGAGTCTCGTCGGAACTCGGATTCAAGGCTTTGGTAACGGTTGATGGTAGCCTTCAGCCGACGGTCGACCTTGCCAACCTGTGGGGAGTTGCGCGGGTTTCCTGATTCGGGCTTCGACTTGATGTTCTTGACGCGTGTGACAAGGGCGCGGTATCCCGTCATGATCTGGGAGCTGAGGTTTGTGATTTCGCCGGAGGGCATGTCTGGGCGGGCGAGAACCTGCTTGAATGTGCGCTCTAGGTTGTCGAGTTGGTTGTCGAGCTGGTCGAGGGCGCGGTCGACTTCACGGCACTCGTTGAGGATGGCATTGGGGTCGGCGGCACCGCCGTTCTGGCCATAAGGTTGCATCTCGACGGCGCTGGCTGGGGTGGGTTAGTTGTGTGCTGTGGAAGGCAGAGAGTGGAAGTGCATACGGTCATCGTAGTGGCCCTGGGCGTAGTTGTTGTAGCGACCGGCGCTCTGGTCGTCGGTGCGCTGATCATAGGGGTTGGCGCCGTAGCCCATCTGTTGGTAACCACCGTTTCCGTACTGTGAAGCCATGAGGTTAGTGAATGGATGCTATAGTGTTGTTTGGCTGGGTGACTAAGTCGGTGGAGGAGGGAAGGCGGGCACGAGAGAGGTTCGTGGAGAAGTGAATCAAATGAATGGTGGAATGCCATGTCGGAAAGTTGGGATGCTTACGCTCATGATGAAACTCGATTGGTGTGGTGTGCGGGTCTGTCGTGACTGGCGAACTCCTGAGACGGTCGGGGGCAAGGTGGGCGGCGGGAGTGTGGATGGAGACTCGGGGATGCAGAGGGTTAATTATGGGAGAGGTGTCGCGGATGCGCGTCGACGAGCGAGGGCAGATCAATGCAAAGGAGGCGGCGAGGCAGGAGAGATTTGAACGACATGCCCCGTCCGGCGGCCGTTGTCTGGGGGCTGTAAAGTACCTACGCGTGCGACGGTCAAGCTGAAGGGAGGCCCGGGCTTTGATCAATCAACTGCCAATGGCCTGTCTTGCGAGCTGCACTGTTCTTAGCCGGGTCTTGGTTGCTTGCCCGTTGCGTCGCTAGCCCCTCCCAGCCTTGTTCGACTTATTTTTTGTTTTTTCTTTCGAGCACGCACATGCGACGCCGATCCATCCACCTGCAGTGTATTATTTTTATGGCCTCCATCCATCGTCTGTGAATCCTACACCACCCTTCACATTGTTCATCGTCTTTTTTACTTTGCGCCTTCGCTCTTGCAAAAACCTCTGGTTACTACCGACAGCCCGTATACGTACATGCACACGTCAGGAATGGGGGCTCATGATAATTCACCATCACCACAAGCGTGTTGGTACGGCCGAAGCCCGCCTCAGCCTCCCTCCTACGCGCTTACCACACCTCTAGACGATGCGGACATTTGCAAAGTCAGCCGCCGCTAACTTGCACAAGTGCCGTCCGGCCTGTGTATCTATCTAGACAATGGACCTTTGTCCATCGCGCCCGTTGCTATCTTGTGGTCCCGATTATCCTACACTAAGCACTCGACCCGAACACGCCCTACTAAAAAGTCTATCGTGCGTCTCCAACTCGTCATCCCCTCACCTGTCCGCTGCCATGATGCCGTCCAGAACGAGCTGGCTCACGCCTCGCCCGCCTCTTGCGCTGTACCCCACCTTGTGCTCTCGTTACCCCCCGCCCACGCCTTCTCCGTGTACCCTAGCACTTTCTTGACTTCCTCCACCGTCGCCTTGTCACCCGTGTTCTTGCCAATGTTGTCTGATATCTTGACCGCTTGCCGCCCGGACGCTGTCGCAATCTTGATGACAATGTTTAGTGGCGTCGACTTCTTTCCGCTGCTTGTCGATACAAAATCATCTACACATGGTCAGTACTTGTTTTTCCATGTCAAACAGCAATCAAATACGCACTGGTCAGGAATGTCCCCACGCCAAAAGTCGGCTGGAATCCCTCCTTCTCTGCCGCAGCTTTGTACTTGAGGCAGAGATCAATGTTTAGAGAATCCGAGAACACTATCGTCTTCTTCTCCTTGATCCCCTGCTCGTCGTAGAATTGCCGCATCGTCTTGATGAAGTCAAGGGGATCCCCAGAGTCCTGACGTACACCTGTGAATATCTCGGCGTACGTTCTCTGCTTTTGCTTGTTAGCACCATCTACGCCAGCCTTGATGGGTGCCTCGGTGGAACCCAGTGACTGTACATCATCTGTGTTTGTGCTGGCCGCTGCAGAAGCAAGCGTTGTTGCACCCCCTGGTACCGCGCTTGTAATGGCGGGTGAAGGTGCTTTGAAATTCTCCAGGAAGGTGGATGTGCCGAAAGTATCGGTGAGAGCGACGGCCAGTACCCCTTCACCGAAAGTCGAAGTCCAGTACTTCAGTGCAATTTCGTTTGCGTTCTTGTAGTCGTTTGTAATAGCCGCCACGCCCATGAACCACTCGTGAGCAACGGTGCCTATTGGCAGCAAACCATGCTTCATTGCAAAGTGCACATTGCTGGTTCCCGAGAGTTTTCCAGTGTACCCCTTCTGGGTTGCTTCTGCTTGTGCTCGCCGCAGGCCTTGTAGGACTAGATCTTGCGTGTGATAGTCTCGTCGTCTCCGCGTTCCGAATTCGGAGAAGATGCATCCCTCTTCTTGTAGTTTCAAGCCCTTTTGATATGCCTTCTCTACCTGACCTGTGTACTCCCAGTCCTTGTCGCAAAACTTGAAGTAGGCCTCGCTGATCAGCGCCAACAGTGGTATCTCATACAGAATTGTATCCAGCCACAGTCCCTCGGTGAGAATGCGGAAGTCGCCGAGGTCCGTGTCTGCGCCGGTATCTTCCGTCGGCTCGAAAACCAGCTTCAATTGCTTTGAAGGGTGGAGTCGGAACTGCGACAGGAAATGGAGATATTGGTCGTTCAGGTACGGGCAAGTGTTCTTCAGGAATTGGAACTCGTCGTCGGATAGAGAGATGTGTTCAAGCTCTGAGCAGCGTTAGCAATGATGGCGCAAGGTCGTTAGCTATGGTGCTTACTGTCGACCTGTGTTTGAAGCCAGCGATAAGCTGCGCGACTAAGCTTCTTCTCGGGTGTGCGGTTTGTGAAGCTGTACGTGACAGGAACGTCGGGGAAGTATTTGAGGATGCAGCATTGCATAGACAGCTTGTAGAGGTCACTGATGTGGGTTAGCAGATGCGCACTTGATCAAGTGAATAGAGGAAACGTACGTGTCCAACAGAGAGATGATGCCTTCGGGCAAGATGCTGGTGTCGTTGTTGGTTGCCATATTGGGTGGGTTGTTGGGTCCAAAAGGAAGGACCGACGGTACAAAGGTAGGTACAATTACTTAAATAGAGGGGTGGTGGGGTCGAATTATTTAGTTCTACTGAGTCAAGGTCGGACGCGCGTGTTTCACGGATGGAACGCAGCAGCGGCTATCACGGTTGTGGACTTGCAATCAATTGCCATGGCAGGTGACATGTATTTCTTTTTCATGTACGTGCTCGCGCCCGTATCCGCGGCCGACGCCGGTACAAACGCGTCATGTTGATGATCTTCAGGGTGTTGACTGGCAGGTATTATCAACGCGAGCTCGGTTATCGATAAGTGCCATCATGATTAAGCTGCTGAACCCTGCTTCTAGCCTCTGCTTCGCTAGCTCGCTTTGCCCGCATGGCTTTCTTTCTTTCTTTCTTTCTTTCTTCCCTTTCTTTGCCCTGCACCTCTTGCACTCTCTTGGTGCTTGCATGCTTCACGTGGCCCGGAGACATGCTCGTTGCTGCTTCTGTGCTCGTCATCTCCCTGTCTATTCTGGTCTACAACTACCCACCTTCGACATGGCACCTCCTTGCCTCCAGAGTGAAACACGAGCCAGACGCTGACTCTGCCCATGCCCCCACCAAGCATCAACCGCCCGAAGAGCCTCAGACGTCCCAAGCTGTCCCAGCTGATAACCAAGCGGGAACCCCTTCCAGTCGCACATCGTCGCCTTCTTCTACACCCAAGGCAGCCCTGAGGGGTGTCGCCAACGGCCCCGCTATACCCACATTCACCCTCAACACACACCACGATGGTGGCAATGACGATAGCAACGGAGTGAACGATGAAGACGAGGACGATGAGGAAGACAATCTACCTCCTCCTTCTTTCCCGGCCATGAACTCCGCTCAGCGCGCATCTGCTCCTCCATCGAAACCGACCTCGCTCATGGCACCGCCTCCCAAACCGAGCCCATCCCTCATGGCGCCACCACCCCGAATCAACCCGTCAAACCTGCGGGCTCTGCCCACCTCCTCCTCATCCATGCGCGTCCCCACAAACGGCCCACTCCCAAATCGAGGACCCGTCCCAAACCGGGGGCCTCCTACTTCGAGTGGCGGGCTAGCTCCGACAGTCAAAACGCCAAATGCGCGAGGAAAAATACAGCTCTCTCCAGGTCACTCCCCGCTTGATTGGGCCAATTTGCAGCGCTCTGGCAAGAATCTGGCAGGTGTGGATTCGCTCATGCGCGTGACGCCATCCATGCTCAAGGAGATGAACGGCCGGAAAGGGAAGCCTGCGTGGTCAAGTTACCAAGGCAAGGTATACAATATATCTCCTTACCTTCCTTTCCATCCAGGCGGCGAGGGAGAGTTGAGAAGAGCAGCCGGTAAAGACGGCGGGAAGTTGTTCATGGAGGTACACCCCTGGGTTAACTGGGATAATATGCTCGGCGAGTGTGTGGTTGGGATCATGGTGGCTGAAGGCCAAGTACCGACCGTAAGCGACTTGGAGGAGATGGATTGATACTGTGATACCCTATAGACAAGACGATATAATGTGCATATTCTTCCTTCTGGTTCTTTTAGTACGGCCTGGACCGCTCACCAATAGGTGTGATATGGTTGCACTCAGTTGCGCAAATCCTTGATTACACCAAACATTTTCTCGATTGATTGATTAATTAATTATCTACAGGGTATCTCCGAACTATCATCCTCCACCACCATTCAACCTCTGACTAGGCTGTCAACGGATTAGATACTCCTGACAAAAGCCAACATATCCGAGCGTAGATGATAGCTCCAATAAACGCATGATGACGCGCAAGAATCACCCCATAGAGCTATTCATATGGCCCCCTTCGCAAGCATTTCCTCATTTGGAACTTGAAAGCTCCGGTAAATCGGCATATCGCTGCTGCTGCTGCTGATGTTGTACCGCTGGCGGAGTCGATAGCTCAGACACATTATGGGGATATGCAGCGCCGCCGGTATGTTGCTGGGGCGAGTTCAACTCGGTAGCATTCGGATGCTGTTGATACACAGCACCACCACCGGTATGCTGAGGAGAGCTCAGTTCCGGCGCGTTTGGATGCTGTGGTGGCGGTGCTCCTGCCTGTCCGAACTGAGAAACGGGACTTACGGTATCTTGGCGAGGAACGGGATCTTGTGCGTAAGGAGACGAGAATTGCTGTTGCTGTTGAGGGGGATACCCGGGCTGCTGCTGTTGTTGCTGTTGTGGGGGGTATGCCGCGTTGGGTTGTTGGTAGTTGTACTTCTCCATGGGGATACCAGCACCGTTATTAGCAACGTTGCTGGTGTCGGGTGCGTACTGTGGCGGAGGGGCGCTCGTAGTCGCTGGTGTGGTGGTGGTGGTGGTGGTGTTGTTGCGATGTCTGTTGAAGTGGATGAAGAGGATGACTGCGCTGACAGCCCAAGTAACACTGTATTTCGAGATCAGTCTCAACCATTCTTTTCTTTCCCGAATATGACCATTGAGTTGTCTCCCTGACTATTCCTAGGGATAAGAAGAAGAGTGGGAAACTTACAGCTGAACACCAGCAAATACGGCACCCGCAGCAAGAGAACCGTAATACGCTCCCACAGTCGTGTCCCTCTTCTCCAATCCTCTGGTCTCCAGTTCCGCTCGCTTGTAGTAGCAGCTCGAGCTATAGCCGGAGTAAAACGAGTACGAGGAATAGCATGACGGACTGGCCCATATGCTGGCGAGGTTGGCTACAAGGCCCAGGTCCACAATCCAGAAGATGAGCATCCAAATGTGGAAGGCTAGAGCAACTACGCCTTGGTACAACTTGTGGATGAACAGTTGAGAAACTGTGAGGTAGATTGTTACGAGGAGTGTACAGAGGCACTAGACTATATTAATTCATGCGTCGTAATTGGGATAAGAGAGGGAGGGAATCAACATACCACGACGAGGCTGAAGATCAAGGCATTGTAAGGGACGTATGATATCCCATACGCACTCAATCCTAGAATGATGATGGCGAAGACGAACTGGACGGCATGAAGAGCGAGCGTCCAGCGTGGCACGCGGACCACGTTTGATGGTGTCTCTGCGTTGAAGTTGACCATTGTTTCTCTGCTTCGCTTGCTATCGCCCTGCCTCTTCTTCTCGACTGTTTTCTCTCTTTCTTCGTACGACTATAGAGTAAACAAAGAAGGTCGAGAAAGAGGAAAGAAGAAAGAGAAGGTAGTGAGAAAGGGGACTGAGAAAGTAAGTCAACAATGCTCAGCTGAAAGAGTATACGCGGGAGTCCAAATCCACGAGAATACGAAGCGCCTCCCATCCCGTGGGCAGTCTCTGAAATATAAAAAGACGGTCTTGCGGCTCAAATCACTCTCCCGGTTCGTGTCACACACACCTCATGTACCGGTCAAGCCCATCACTCTACTTCCCACTCCCCCCTAGCAACATTCATCCAATCCGACACCTTTGCCAAACCTTGAATGCACATCCGGCCCCAATTGACAAATCCAAACTACGCAATCGGAGACAAAACCAGTGTAAAGTCATGCCCAGATGGCCAGAGGTCCCCGCCAATTATTCATGGACTTCGTATCTTGTTGTAGCTTTGTCCACTCAGCATCCGGCACGATTCGTGATGCTTCGCTTCGCCCTGTCCTTCACTCCCTGACCCGCCCCACCCAAAGTCAACAGCCATAGGCGAGAAGCAAAAGCCACCCATTCATGGCTGTGGCGTGGACGGCGACTTTGTATTGGAAAGGGCAGTGTGGAGACGGGGTCCTAAACGCTTTGTAAATAATGTGGGTGATGACATGTTTTTTTTTTCCAGGGTGGAGAAATACGAAAGGGCGCAGTCTCGTCCATTCAGCTGTGCTGCTTTGGGTGCGCGTCTCGTGCATCTTCGACGGATTTCATGGGCGCGGGGGGAGACGATGATTGCATGAGTTGTCCGTTTTTGCACTGAACCTCGGGTTTGAGGCGCTTGTGGTATTGTGGTACATGTATGCGTGGAAATGACAATACGATGAGGCTGTAACGTGGAATTGCAATCCGAGCGAGCAAGCCGAACCCTCTCTCTTTATCTCTCTCGGTCATAGTATCAAGCAGCAACTGAGTGTTGTAATGGATTGTTGCAGCTCTCTGGCAATAAACACCGAATGTCCAAGCATGCAAAGTGAGCGTTGCGGGCTGTGTTTCCTGCATATGTCGGAATCACGCGCTTCGTACGTGACATCGGAGGGAAGGTCGTGTTGTTTGTCCTGCAGATGACGGACCGACTAGGAAGGGAACCCAAAAATAGAAGCGCCATGCCACAGTTGGGATGGAAAGACTCAATTCTTGCAGATTGAATACGAGAACCTGAAGGATCATATCCCCCACGCATATGCTTACTGTGTACATACATAATTATCCAGCCTGTCAGAAGTAGATAGTGGTCCTTCCACTACTCCTTCGTTGTCGGTGCTCTTGAGTTCGCAGTAGAAAAGCGAGTGTTTGCCAACATGACAGGACAGTGAAGAGTGACAGGATATACAACCCAATGTCAGACAATCGCAGTCAAAATTGCAGGTGAATTTATCATCTATACTGAATCCAATAGCTAAACCCCGTTGTTTGCACAAAAGATGCCAGGGGGAGAGGAGTGGCACAGTCAGAGAGAGACAGAGAATCGCCAAGAAAAAAGTCACATTCACTGATGACCGTGTACTACTACGATCAATGGTTGAGCAGCCAACATTCCATATCGGGCAGGTTGAAAGCGCACGCCAAGGAAAAGTCATGTTCATGAACGTGAATATAGCTTGGCTGTAAACGACACTTTGGCATTGTGCTTACTGCATATGGCAGTTTGAGGCTTGAAGCTAATGCAGGCTAACGTTGAATCAGAAAAACATTAATTCCGTGATCGATGGCCTGATGTAGAACTTACCGTAATAGGCAGTTTGACATCTCACCACCTGTGCAAGCCTCAAGGATAAGATTCCTGCTCCGTAGTCGACACTTTTCTCATCACTTACCAGAAACGGCAGTTTGCATTTGGGCACATATTGGGATGCATTCAGGAACCCCCTCCCCCCCTGTAGCGCCACGGTTTATAGTGTGATATCGCTTGGGGGTAATCGACGGAAGATTCAGAGTTTACTTGAAGGGGCAGTTTCGGGCCACGGATCTACGAATGCCGCGCCATTAGTGTGAGGTAGACTTGGGGTTGATCGATACTTTGATAAAAAATTAGCTCGAATAAGCAGGTTGAGGTCGGGACCCTTGTCCGGCCTGGAATAAAAGACCACTTCGAATCCACGGTTGAGCATCTCCTTGGCATCATACTTCCCTCTGGTTTGCTTCAAGAGGTGCGGGGGTCTTAATCGAATGGTCTCCCGTGTACTGCCAACACCGGTTCCCACAATTTGATATACTTGAAGTGTAGCACATGTGCTCCACGCTACATATAAATCAGGACAAAGACTTCTTTCGTTGTAAAACACATTTCATATTCTGCGAACTACCTTACAAGTGCACTGTTACTTCAAGGCCACATGACACCGCGTTTGTTGAGATCCAACCCCTTCAAGTCCGTGAACACGTCCAACGGATACTGATCAGAAGACAAATCTCTCCTCCACTGCCGCACACTCCTGCTGTACAACTTATCTTGAACAGTCAATTCCCTCTTCACGCTCCTCCTGCTACTTGACGATTCAATGCTACCCGCGACACAGCGGCTCTCACCACCCCATGCCGAGTCCACCGCCGCCTTCCAAATAGCAGTTGCGTCGACCGTCATCTCCTTGGTGTACAAGATGCGGCAATCCGCAGGCTCGTACACAACCTGGAGCGGCGTTTCCGTTTCATCGCCGTCGCGGATGCCATCTCGGAAGTTGACGTTGAGGCTGGTTCCCGCGGCTGCGCGACCAAACGGCGTGTTGTCCCAGTAGGATCCTAGCTCTGTTGCATTGAGCTTAGCGGCTTCCTCGGGACTCTCAGTCAGTTCTTCAATTGCGTATTGAGAGAGGAATTGAATGTAGCTCCAAGGGAAGTTGTTAGTGCCCTTGACACCACCAATTGCTTGGGTAATGCCTTCCTTGGCGCGACCGCCTAGGGAAATGTACTTGACACCAGCGCGCTGTCGCATCAGCTCGGAAAAGATGGTGCAAGTTGATGCGCAGTAACCGTCAGTAATAACGACAATGTCTTCGGCTGCAAAAGGTTGGGTGGTGTTTGTTAGATTTCCGTATCCATGGATGTAGATACCCCCGGAGTTGAAGGGCGTAAGTACGTCTGAAAGATTCCACCGGAACAGATTTGAAAATTTGTCGCCTTTCTGTTCAACACCCGGACCGAACTTGTCGGGCCAGGAGTCAAAGTTTTCGACATTGACGTCGACGTCAGTTTGGTAGTTGAAGACCGAGCTCACGACATTGGCCTGCAACTCGTATAGAGTGCCATTCTGGTCCTCTGTGATATATACGCGTGGAACACCTTCGGATGCTCTTGAGTAGTATTGGCCCAAAAGATCAGTGCTCTCAAAGGCACGGAAGCGATCGGCTGCAGCGTGATCAATCTCGTCAGGGAACAATTGCTTGTAGAGATCATATCCTTGGAGAATTGTTCCACCGCCGTTCGCGGACAAGTCAATGACGAGTTTCTTTTTGCCGGCAGCTTTGGCTGCTGCAAGGAATTTCTCGCCGGTCTGTTGGAATGGTATCTCGGCTGATTCGAGCGAGACAAAGCTGGGAACTGAGAGCTAAATCGAGATTATAGTATTAGTATAGATCAATCAATAGTATTCGGATGAGCCACTGGGTTTCCGGGATCCCGCTCTACGTCACGCCTCGTTATTCAACAGGGATATACGTACTACCGCAATGTCCGAATAATCGTCTTCAAGGTAATAACCCCCAATCAAATTGTTGGCCTCGCGGAATACAGGAGGAGGGTATCCGGGAGCAGGAATAGAAGTAGCAGTTGGGCTAGGCGTGGGTGATGGCGTTGGCGATGTGGAGTTTTCAGGGGCCCCAGAGATGGTTGACGTGGCAGTGTATGTAAGATAATTATCATACAAGCTCTCGCCATCCGTCACGCCGGTGAAAGAAACCAGAGCCTTTGCGTAGTTCTCGAATTCAGCTGTTGTTCCATTCTCGAACGTGAGAACAGTGGTGGCTCCCGGGTATGGCCATCGTCCGCGGCCGCTCCCTGCAAAGGTTCCAACACCTGATCCAACTGGACCGAGAGATACAGTGGCGAGTTCGTAGAAGACATTGTTGTACAAAGCATCCCGATCTTGCAGCGAACCTAGTTGTGCCCACTTCTCCAAGTAGTCGGTGGCTGTTTCTCCGTTGATCTCGGTGATCGCCGAAGGTTTGAAAGTAGAGTTTCCAAAAGACTCGGCGAGGATGTCAGAGTATACGTAAGGTTTGGGAAGTTCCTTGCCATCCGAAGACACTGATACAAGAGGAATCGTCCGAGCCCAGTTGAATATACCACCCACGGAATCAGGCACATAGACAAAATGGCCGTCATGAGTGCTCTGCGAGAGTAGGTAAAGGTCGTAACCGAACTTGAACGGAGATGTTAGCTAGACACCCGATAGATATTGCAAATGATGTCAAGAGACAGTGGGTCTTACCGCGAACTCATTGGTGTACTTTCCGCTTTCCACATTCGATTTTATTTCTTCTAATTTACCCCATATATCAACCGGACCCTGGACCTTCTCGGCGTACTCGGCGGGCGGATCCTTGAGCCAAACAGTGTTGGATTGCCATTTGAAATACGGGGCAATAGACTCCAGCAGCTTCAAGGCGGCATCCTTCTTGAAGGGTGTGCTGGTGATACAATCGTAGGCCAATCCCGCAGGCACAGTTGGCGTCGGAGCAGCCTGTTGGGCAGCAACAGCCGAACTCACTTGAGCGCAAGCACTCGCATTTTGCCTCTTGTAAGTATGTGGTTGTTGCAGAGGTGAGGCTGCCGCAACTGAAACCAGCGAAGCTATAAAAATACGAGAAAAGACCATGGCTGCTCACGAGGGATTGGGAGAAGACAACCTGCGGTGGAGAGACGCAGGCCGGGAGGTCGTCGTCATTATATATTAACGCAGCAAGTTGCTCCTAGTTTCGCCATAGATACCATCCCGAGTCCTCGTACAAGGGTATAGGGGACTAGGATTGAAATGTTGACGTTGTCCCGGGGAACCGCACATGGGTCCAGGGTTGTTTGCCACAAGAAATAGCTTGTTTTCTGAGGTTGTTTTGCCTTTTTGATCCATACCGGGGCCCTCGTTCATCGCGGACTGCTGCCACGACGAATCAGAGGCGATTGATGTTGGTGCAGTTCTCTCCTTCCTGATTAGGAAGCTGTGAAGCGGGTGGAGCCAGGAGGCTTGTTGTGCTATGGAGAAGATTAGCGGGCGAACGGTTCCAATAAACATCACTGAGGCTTTTTCGGTGTGGGAATTCTCCGCTGATCCTGTTCTTCATCTCAATCGAAGTAGGAGAAATCGCTCTACAAAATATAGTAATAACACGCGTTTATATTGATGCGGTTATACACAAGTGTCAATCAATTAAAAGACATGTCGATAGTGACAAAAAGTAGTGGATGAACAGGCGATTAAGATCGCTTAATCAATAGATCGGCGCCGTTTGTTCCGCGTCGCTCGCCTTTCCATTTCCCGTAGCCTAATCACGGCGTTGACTTATCGACCGTTCGGCCTCCATGAGTGCATATATGCATGCCTGTCTTGCACGAACAATCTGTACGATGACACGATTGTGCGCTGATGCGGTGAGCAGAGAGAAATGGATTAGCCTCCCCATTACCAGGGTCTTTCAATCGTGCATTATCATTGCTGCACGGTCATGACGTAGGCCGTCTGTGAGAAAGGAGAGCGTAGAGGGGAAGGTATCCGTTCCCTCCTTCAGTCTAGACGTCGCAACTGCCCGCAGGCATGTTCACGTGATTTTTGCTACTGAACGTTCTTGCAAGGTTCAAATATTAGTCCTCATTGGGCACATTTTCATAAGATCACCCGATATTCTGGAGTAAACCCTACCTAGGTCCTTTGACACACCGGTGTTCCTTCTCCCCTTCTGTGAGAGAGATTGAAGCTCTGACGAGGTACAAGGGCTTGACACTACACTCGAGGGACCGGCACTTAAATCAGGACAACCAAAACCAACAAACGAATGTAATTTTTTGCGCTATGCGCTTGAAGAAGGCGTAATATCTACGAAAGAAGCGAATTGTACTCCTCGAAAGACGTCAAGTCCCTCCAAAAACCCCAGAAGCTCGTACCCAGAAACATGCCCTTCCCCCGCGACGATGTTGCTCAACTGAAGTAACTGCTTAGTTGTTCTTCCACCAGGCCCACGATTGCCCTTTCTTCGGCCTGCTCTTCTCCTCCTCTCCCTCCTCTTCTCCGTCTCCGTCTTCCTCATTATCATCCTCGCTGGGAGTGGTGGGCGTCGGCTCAGGAGGAGCCCCAGTCTGGGTAGCCGATGGAGCCGCAGTTACACTTGGCTTCGTAGCACCATCCGTAGCCGAAGGTTTCGCAGAGCTCACGGGAGCTTGACTGGAAGATGGGGCAGCAGCTGGCTCACCTCCGCTGACGGCACACTGGCCACCGAGAGTGTTCAACCCCTGGTCGGCGGGTTTGTTCAAGATGGTGAGTTTGACATCAGCAGGAGAATCACACTTTTGACCGCCGTACTCGATGTTGAACACGGCCTTGTCGGCGGCAGTGAAAGGCTTGTCTAATATCGGAGATAGGGGATGAGCAAGTGTTTTGCGGAACTCTCTGGGATGTTTACTTACACGCATCACATTCTTCATACTCGTGGCACTGCTCATTGACCGCGAACTGAACTACATCGATGACGTCAGGGATGAGATCGAGCGAGTTCTTGAGGCCAATGGAGAGGTCAACGGCGGCAGCTTCTTGAGCCAAAAACTTGATGTAGGCGGCGTAGTCGGCCTTTTGGAAGCCCCAGCCGTCTTGGTTACTGCTCTGTGGCACAAGTCAGAAAAGAGCATGATGAGGAATGAACCAACGAAGAGAGAGACTTACGAAACCATCGGTATTGTCTGGGTCGATTGCATCACAGCCCTTCTCTTTGGCCAGTGCAATACGCTTCTTCATAATGGCTTTGACGTTGTCACTCTTCACGCTAACCCAGTTCTCGCCAGGCCAGTCTTCCATGGCCTTGCCATAGTCACTGCTCTGGAAGCTAGTCTTGTCGTCACGCCAGTCCTCACGGGTTCCAGCGGAGAAGTAGCAAATCACTTTCTTGCCAGCTGCCTTGTAGTCGGCAATAGTGTTAGCATCGTTGTCAAACAGATCTATATCGATGACCGAAAAGGCGTTGTTGGAAGATATCTCCTTGGCGTTGGTTGAGGCTTTGTTGAGAATGATATCGAAAGAGGTACCGGCGGGGAAAGAGGTGACGGCTCGACGAGCAGTGGTTGGGCGAAATGGATGCGCAACGGCGAAACTAGCCGTGCCGGCAAGAGCCAAAGCAGTGGAGACGAGCATCTTGGAATTCGGCGATGACAACGGAGCGAAAAGTGTTTCTGGGAATATATGAAGCAAAATCGTCCACGACAAAAGCAAAAGCGGAGAGACCAAGCTCTGTCGAAAAGGAAGGTATAGTCGGGAGTAAATGAATGAACGAACAACAAAGGTTCAACAGCGAGTAGAAAGGAACGAACAGCGCAGTGCAGTGCAGGTAGAGTAAGTGTTTGATGCCGGCATTTGCCTTTCTTTATATTCGTTCTGCACAGCGCACCTCCGCATAGATGCCCGATCGCCGCCCCCATATAGCGCCGTCTCCACGATCCCGCATCTTACATCCTGGATCCTACGCCCCGTGTTGGACTCCTCGAACCAAACATTATGCATAAAACGGACTCCGATCCTTCGACTCGAGGACTCTTTCATACCTACCAACGTACAGCGAGCGGTGTTGCCCTTACAGTGAGTGACATCTCAAAGCGCGCGGTTGCCTACTCGAGAAACCAATATACGTCAAACTCCATCTACCGTTCGGAAGACCATATGAGGGGGGAGGAACAGTCAACAAACAGATTGTTCTTGCATAGATGCAGTGCGGGTAGATTAACGACCAGGATCTGCGTTGCTCCAAACACCAACCCCCCTGTTACAGCAGCGGTAAACTAGCGGATCGAGAACATCATTCGTGGGAGCAAAAACTGTCGTATGCACAGTACTCTCAGAACCAGTCTAGATGATTACCACTGCCATGCTGTGTAACTTTGCGTCGTAGCTGTGATTTGTAAAAGTCGCTGAAACACGTAAGCTGCACGTAGCGGAGATTTGATCTTGTAAGCGTTTTTTTGCTTGCGTGCCACCGTTTGATCTTAGAGGCTTGTTTCGGGAGGATTTTTATCTCCTTTATGGTTTTCTCGTGCGGATCCTCTTTCCTTTTTTTCTTTTAGCCGTTGGATTCTAGAAGGACGTTTAGAGCTCAGCGTCAGCTTACTGTGCACGGTGGGTATATACGCACCGTCTGATGTAGGTGTTGCATGATGCTCAACTACCGAAAAAGAAGGCAACGGGCAATCTAAAAGTTCCTCAGCATCTTGTATGAACGCAATGGAGGGGTAAGATTATGAGACGTGTATGCATATTGTAAATGCTTGTTCGTGCTTATACGAACTTATGGTGACCACTTGCTGAAATTTCTTGATTGGGAAACATAACCCGGTCTGACGTCTTTGGATAGAGGTGGGCACTCCGAGTTTCCCACATGAACATTATGTGAATGAAGGAAGTCTGTTACTAGGTATAATATTTGATTATGTATATTGATTTATGCAATCATCGCAGGAATGAGACTACATGGTCTATGCTCCCCTCGCACGAAGGTCTTGGACCAAAAATCAGAATTACCCAACGCATCCAATCATACATGACCTCGTAAATTGAAATGACAACAGAGACATCTAGAAAAGAAGAAAGAACACTAGACCGACCGTCCAAAGTTGAGTCGGCAGAGGAGTCTCCGTTACCATCCAAGACGGTGAACGTGAAGGACGGGCCGCAGAGGTGCTGTTCCTTTGCTCTAGATTTAGCTCAAATATGCCTTGAATGTACAAGAAGATTTTTTGATCATCAGATCGGATGAAGATGAGGACTAGGAAAGTGTGATTTAGTGTCGTTGTGTACACGACTTACGAAACATGCACAAACTGGCCCATGGCTGGTACGCCATCTACCACGACGTAGACGACATAAGGACCGGCAGGTGCAATGTTTCGGTTGGGAGGCATGGTGACGGTGATGGTCTGGCTAGTACGTGAAGCGTCGAATCCCTCAGTGTCGAGGAAAGCCATGCGATGGCCCATATGAACGGAGTGAGTGACGAAGCCGCCGTAGTACAGGGAGACCTTGACTGCCTTGGAGTTGGCAGGGTTGTTGAATTTGATCGTGAATTTGGAACCATCGGCTTTGAGGTCTTTGCTAGATAGCTCAACATCGGACGGGCGGGTAGGGTTGCCTTGGAGGTAAGGTGGGGTGTAGATCTCATTGCGGAACTCAGTGACGAATGGGTTCTCCGCGTTGGGTTCGAGGATAGGCTGCTCAACGGGGTTAGAACCGGAGATCAACAGAGTGCCGTCCAACAAGAGAAGAGCAACACTGTGGTAGAGGCGTGCGATTTCCGATTTGGGGCCAGTGCTCCAGCGCTTGCCGAGAGGCTGTTCCGGTTCATAGATGAGAACCTCAAGGGCAGGATCGCGGGCGACTCCAAAGCCTTGTGCACCTTCTTGTGCGCCGTTGACCCAGATAACAGTACCATCAGGAAGCAATGTACCCTCTACCATTCCACGGCCTTCGGGCATCGAGTCCATTTCCCAGGAAGGGTTGACATCGAGGGGCTTCATGCGACCGCAAGATGGGTCACCGGGGGCAGTGATATCCTGGTAAGGACCGCCACCGCAGATGATGACGTCCGGAGCCCAGTTATTGGAGCTTGACAAAGGTAGCATGACTGATCCACCGGTGTTAGGGTAAGTGCGATAGCTTCCGGGAAGGTCGGGCAGAGTACGAACGACAGTGCCGCCGTTAACATTGAAGATCTCAGCAGACTTAGCGGTCATGACAAAGAGATTACCGTCGTTGAGAAGATGAAGGAAGGGGTACATGTAGTAAGGCTGGTTCTTGTTCAAAATCTCCATGTTGATGCTCTTTCCCTGGGGCGAACCATCTTCATTCAAGATCTCGTAGGTTGGGTTGTTGTTCTCAGGTTTGGTGGGATCAAGACCATTCAAAGAACCGGATGCAACGAAAATCTTGTTGTCTGGCATAATCTGAACAGAAGCATACCAGCGAGCAGTATCAAGCTGGCTACCTGGCTCGTCCCAACCCTGGCCATCAAGGGAACCATCTGTAGCGGAGCGCTTCAGGAAGCGGATGCCCTTGAATCCATCACCGACCGTGGGGTCAATGAAGTCGAGGGGGGCGTTACCACCAAAAGAAGCGAATCGACCATCAGCGAGGAAGATTCCACCGGAGCAGAATGCATTGGTTTTGTAAGAGAGCGGGGTGAGCTTTTGAGTCGCAGGGTCGTATTCGGATGAGTAGGCGTATTGGCCGTTGGCGAGTTTAAGCTCGGTGTAGTTTTCGACCTTGTCCAAGAAGACAACTTTGCCGTTGGGCATCAGACCAGCGTGCATAGCGGGTACACCAGATCGACCCTTCATTTCTAAAGTACCTGGCTTGACTGCAACAGGAGCCGGGCTAGCAGCGGGGGCCGGGATAGCGGGAGCGTTGACGCAAGGTCCAGATTGACATCCCTCACCGCAGTGGGAAGTGGTGTTACCACAGTAGCCGTACATGGAGCAGCATGATCCTTGAGCCCAATCGCCACAGATGGTGTTGCCAAATGTCGCACCACAGCTTCCATCGACAGTGGGTACACCTGTTGGATTGGTTGGAGGGTTGTTTGCAACACTGGTAGGAGCTCCTAGAACAGGTTCACCAGAGGTTGTTGTAGATGGGGGTCGCGTGTTGGAAGCAGAGGCTGGAGCGGAGGTACTGGGGTTGTTGTCTTTGCAGCCATTCTGGCAACCGTTAGTTGCGAGACAGTGTCCGTCCGTGGACCCGCAGTAACCATATGACGAGCAGCAACCGCCATAAGCTCCGTTGGCGTCACAAGAGGCACCTCCAAAGTCCTTTCCGCATCTACCATCATCTCTCGCGGCTACGGCTGGGGGTTCGTCATCAGCGGCAGCAGTAGCAGTATCATCGGCTTTGTTCGCGCAACCCGAAAGACAGCCGTCGCCGCAGTGAGCAGGAGTGCTTCCACACTGTTGTCAGGTCAGTGAGGGCTCGCGCAGATGAAGGCCATAGTACTTACCCATCCGTACTGACTGCAGCATGTGCCATCGTAAACTTGGCTATTGGCGTCGCAAAGTAAGTTATTATGAGCTGGTCCGCACTGGCCGTCGGTGGAATATTTCTGATTCTGCCTCTTCGCAGGCACATCTCGTAGGAATGACCTAGAGATCATGTTGTGATGAGCTGTCACATCAGCCTCGCAGATGTTGTCTTCAGTGCATGACTGGCCCGTCAGGCACCGTGTTGAATCGGGAAACTGGCATGATGGATTCACCCATTCGAAGTTGATATTGGCAGCAGCAAGGCTGGCGAAGGCGCCGGTCGCCAAGAGTGCAGCCCTCATAATGAGATCTAAGATAGTGTAAGTGGGGAAACAGTGTTGAGTAAAAGTAACAGGAGAAGCTTGAATAGTGAGTAGCGGTATACAGCAAAGAGATGTAACCAAAGGAAAAGAAGAAGAAAAGAAAAAGGTGTGAGCAAACACAGACGGCACCAAAGTGACGTCGAAGGTTATGTACATATACGTGTGACTCCGTCTCGTGCAAATAAACGAGATAGGCTGTGATTCACCGCACATGTTTGTGCTGAACAGAGCAGAACAGACAAGGCAAGCGCAGCCCCCGACACAACTTGGGTAAACAAGGGGCCAAGGGAAGGTGCTTACCTGATGTGTTGATGAGGGAAACCTTGTTATATTATTATATGTGTTGCTCCACGAGGGGACGCAACGGGAAATGGAAAGTTAATGAGGGAAAAGGCGAGGTGAGCACACCGACACCAAGAGATTAAGTGGAAACTGGGGAAAGCGAGAGGATGTGCCAACAAGGACACGAGAACGAGCGAAGAAATGGACAAGCGACGAGTTTTGCCCTTTGCCAAGGTACAAAAAGCGATGGAAGAAGAAGAGAAGGAAGTGAGGGCGTGGAGTTCTTGTAGTTGGCCATGGTACGAATGCAAACGGGCATGGGATGTTGCTAGATGGGTCGCTAGAGGCACTTGTGTGGCCACGAGTCGGGGAGCCCCAGTAACAGTTTCGAGTGTTTTATTTAGAGTTGTCCAATGGGATGTGGACTCATCCCAAACATGGATGGAGACAATAGATTTCTGGAGCAAAAGCACCGCCTTGCGAGACGATCGGCCCAGGGGCATGCATGTGTTGTTGCATGGCGCATTACTATTTCAGGACCTGTCTAGCTGGGACTCACTACCAGGAGCTGGGATGAAGAATGAAGTTGCTGCGAAGACGGCCAACAGATGGTGAAGGGGGGCAGGGGGGAGGCGATTAGAGGTTACCTAGCATATGCGGTATTCCCGATGACAGCAAACCCAAGGAAAAGAAGACGGGTACGAGCTGGTGGGCTACGTGGTTTGTCTTGGTGGTGGAGACAATGAGGCGGTGGAAAACGAGATGGTAGAAAACCACTCGGCACCATGTGTGAGGCGATGGCGGGGCCAGCTCGGGATCCACGAGCCCTGGCTGGTTCTGATGGTACTCAATAGATGCGTGCCAATCTCGTCGTCGCATGTGGTAACACCATGAGCTGCATTTATTGTGCGCACTTGTCAATCAATCAATCAATCCAAGGACGAACTCCTCAGTCCTTACCTACCGTGCCATGCTTCGTGCAAGGCGACCAAGTGTTTGAAGTACAGCCGACCTCGATGCCCAGATGCTAGCTGCCAACATAAGGCCGGGAGCACGCTTCAGTCCTGACAGCTATGACGCAGCACCAGTGCGGCCAACGGGAGGGCGGCAAGCTGTCTTTGACAGACTGGCTTTGGAAGGGATTTCAACGTAGCAAAAGCTTGAGCTGAGGTCAAGCAATGGCCGACAAGCTGCCGGCGTGCCCCTGAATCTATTCCAACGGCGCCACAAATATAAACTTGCCACGTGAGGCATAGCGGAGGCAGAGTGCACTCCAAAACCTCCGCAATTTCTGATGCCGCTTGGTGTCTGTTTTTCTAGTTGGTGGATGGAGCCGGAACCAAGCCGTGCCTTCGGCCCTACAGTAGTCAATCGCCAGTGCCCGTCTCACTTGCGAGGACACCAACCGTCCACAAATCACTACCTTGTGCCATACTGACTAGGTACGCTAATCGCTGCTAGAGCTTCTTCTCGCTGTAACCAGTTGCTGTCAAGTGTTTGTCAAGCTGTGAGGTTGGGCGGCAATCATGGAATTCCTGTTGGCCGCCTCGGTACCTCTTCGGTGTTCTTGGGAAAAGGAAAAGATCGATACGTGCCTCTGGAACACGATGGCTGACTGCTCAGTTCTTTTTTTTTTTCTTTCTTTTTCTTGGCTCTAACATATTTCTCAAAGGGGCTGCGTTATGGTGGGTATTCGAGAGTTTGGATGCATGTTACCTACTTCCAAAGATCAACTCAACCGGAGAGGGCTATGTTCCACCTCGTTACCGCATCCGTACCGTCTTACCCGACTGAAGACCCCAGCCCTCCCCACTCTCCCCCTCCAATAGGTAGAGACACTATTACCTAGTGCTAGGCTTCTCCAAGCGCCCGACAAAGTATTGGAGAAATCAATCCTCAAAGCCGTCTCGTATTCTTCTCCCATCGTTGCTACTAGCTAGCATTAGCATTGTCATGTTTTGTGATTCCCATACACTGTTCCACTCCAACACGTTTACCCGTCAATGGCCTTCATGGTGCCATTCACCAGCCCACTATTCATTTCTTCTACAACCCACCCTGCCCGCTCTGACCATATCGGCCGTCCAGCATGACTAACAGAATCTACCTCATCAGTCAGGTGCAGCTCCTCCTCGTCCACGTACTCTTCTTAGCTCAGTTCGAAGCAAAGGCGGGCAGTCCCAGAGTGGTGGTAGAACATTGTCTTGTTTCGAACTCGTTCCAATTGCTTCGTCGGCTGTCTACTAACAAGGTTGCTTCGCCCATGGATCGTGTGTCGGCCGAGCGCTCGTCGCCCGGAAAGACGGAGGCGAAACGCGGCGTCTTGCCTCCGGTGCTATGTATTGCCGCTAGCTGCAGCCTTGCCCAAGTAAGCTTTTTTGATGTTGAATAGGGGAGGCTTGTTCCTGGAGCCAAGGAGAATCGCCTCGTTCCTGAATCGCGGCCTGTCTGCTATTCATCCGTTCGCCTCGTCCTCGACCTTCTGCTTGTCACATGATGTCTGGAAAACGATCGTATCGTGTTCAATAGGGTTCTCGTTTTATGCAGCGCCCGGTCGAAGCTACTCGATTCCTAAATTTCCACCCGATCCAATAAGAATTCGCTGTCAGCGGTATTGCCCGTCAGCCATCCAAACACAAACTCCAGATGTCGTATACTTGTATTGTTCGGAACCTAATTCACGATTTCAATTGCACTCCAATCATCAGTACATCTGATCTTCGGCGTTACTTCGCATCTCCCAGCTCTTTTTGCCTCTCCATACCTCTCAATGTCCGAGTTCTAGTCACCCATATTCCGAGATAAGATTCCATTTACAAAGCATATGCTTTCTGCGATTCATGATTTATCTCCAACGGGTACCAACAATCGACCACGTTATCTCTATTACAAAAGAGCATGCAGGACGGGTGGACGCACTATACCGTCAAACATTAACAAATGTCTCACACCATACGATGCCCACTCCGTAACTCGAGGTGCCGGCATTCTCCCCAGTCAGATACGACCACTTTTTCATTCCAATAATAAACAGATTAAACGATGAAGACTGTCGATTCGCCAGCTCATAATCACAGTCATGCGTTGGCGCTGACAATTTTACGCTGTAGTGTTACGCTCGCCTACAGCCGCCCAAAACACACGGTCCCGTGTGCAACAATACACTCGAAACTCATCAATGTATCACCGCATTTATACCCATCGGGATGAATTGGCCATTCAGCGCAAGGGAATTGCAGCAAGGTGCAATCATAGCGCATGCAACCATTTGACAGAGTTTTTTCGTTTTGCAAGCTATCTGGGTCTTCCGTGCCTTGCTCACCACTTTTACCGAATGACTCCCTTCTATGACTGTGACTGGTCGACTTGCTCATTAGGCATATATGTATACAGGTGAGTCAAAAGCCGCCTCGTAGTTTTTAGATGGCATGAGATGGAAATGCACGACCAGCATGATTGAATATAAGCGAGGGGGAGGGGAGGGGGGTTAAGGGAAATGGTGAATGAGGACATTAGTGGCAGTGAGAATCTCATGTTTTGTTGACACATGCCATATAAAACTAAAAGCATATCAAGTTTTGGTTCAAGATGTGATCGTAGCAATGAACAACACTGTCACGCTTAGTTGACCTGAATAGTAAAGATTTCACAACCTACATTGCGACGATATAAAGCAGATACCAAACATTTTTCATTATAATCGTGTGCTCATTCATTCGTTATACGTACCTCGATAAACCGAAACACCTTTTTGCCCCCGCTCAAATGCATCCATCGCTCACATGCGCCGTAAAATCATACAACGCATAGTCTATCGGTACAGCTCGAATCGATCCACTGCTCCACTCACCAACTGCCATGCCAGTCAAGACTTAACACACCCGCAGCTGATAACCCTCACAAACCCTCTCCTCTTCCTGCCACTACCTCCACCATTCTCTCTCTGCTGCTGTTCCACCTCCTCACTTCCAACACTCTCCCTCCTTCCAGCCCCAATGCCTCCTAAGCTCCCCCGACTACTCCTCCACCTCCTACCCCGCCAATACTTCACCAACCCAGCTTTCTCTTCTTCCCCATCGCTATCCCAGTCGTCCCATGCGCTTATCATACGCTGCAGTCCTACGCTCGCTTGCGACTCTCGGCGCGTCGATGCCGTCGTCGTCGGTGTCGTAGGAGATTGCGTAACACCCGAAAACAGCGTGCTCGATTCGGTCGAAGTAATGCTCATGTGGCGGTACGATGCGTATCCATACGTTGGCAGCGGCTCCGACGGGTTGCGTACATGCGCCAGTGAGTAAGGAGGTGAGTTAAGGGGGGTATGGTACGAAAGCCCTGCTGCTACTCCCCTGGAGGCGGAAGGTGGTGTTGATGGCGCGGATGGGTGAGCTGCTGGAAAGTGCCCTGGGTTTCCTGCGTCTTCAATACACGGAAATGCATTGTGTTGAGAGCTTCTTAAAGATGATTTGCGTGGTCTTGCGGCTTCCTCTGGAGAGCGTGGGGAGGTAGGAAGGCGTAAAGGTGAGCGCAAGGGGGAAAGTCGGATTGGAAGATCACTAAGATGAAGAGAAGGCATAGATGGTCGCCGGGGCTTGCCTTCTGGAGATTTGGCAGTTTCTAGTAGACGAAGGTTTCTCGACGTGAGATCGGTATTTGCGGTGTTGTTGGTTGTTGTTGATACTGTAGTGGTAGGGGCGGCAGTGGATATAGTTGTTGGAAAGGCTGAGTCTGCGGCAAAAAGAGAGGGTATTGTAGAGGTGATATTTTTGCAAGTCTCACAATCCCCAAAGACCGTAGTCATGGGGGTTTTGCAAGTCTTACATAGAGGTTCGTCTACACCGGAGACCAAGTGGGCTGGGGGTTGGCTATGCGCGTTGAAGCCGGATTCCAATTGCGGGCTGGCCGCGACTGGCGGCGATGGACAGGGCACTCTAGGCGATGAATGCGGGTCATAGCTCTTTATAATCCCCAACACGGTGTCACTTGAGAACCGCGTGGATTTTGGTGTTTGGAGAGTGGAGCTTGAGCAGATGGTCTCTCGCCTCGGATTTTCAACCGCACGACGGTCATCTTCATCCCATAACTTTAGTGCACTGCCAGTGGGGAATGGCGACAAATGGAGGTTCCTTGGTCGGGGAGTCCTTGCAAGTGGCGAAGAATGATGCGGAGTGAACATGATTGATGTGGGAGAGACGAGCAAGGTGGTTGGGAGCGTAGCGCAAGGTAGAGTGGTCGAAGAGCAGCCCTAGTAATATCACAGTCTCCAATGGCGATATATACATGCTTTTGGCTCTGTACCCCCGCAACCAAAAAAGGTAAGACGGAAGTTGTTAACTGGCTAGAGTAATACCCCTTGAGAAATGTTTTGACTCTGGGGTTACGTAGGACCGCCCAGCTGGATTCCGCGTGGTGGATAGGCAGTGTATTGATCTGCTTGTTGAAAAGAACTCGGCGCCCAACCCGCCTCGATTCAACGCTATGCGTCACTTGTGACTAGATGGAAGGCAAAGAGGCGACAAGATGCTTAGGCAAGGGAGTGCTGTCTTGTCAAATACCGACATGACGCCGCCCAAGAAACGGTCTCCCTGAGTGGCGCCCTTCTCCGAACCCAATTTTGCATGGCAAGTTATCAAAAATATAGGTGCGAAGATTTGTAGACGTCATTTCATCTCCAGATCGAAGCTGCCTTTGCGGTATACACTCCGAGTCTTCGTGGTCGTGGTTGAAAGAAAAAAGCTTATTGTGACGCAAAGCATCATGCATCGCGCGAGTGGAGTTACACGACTCCAGTGGAATGTAACAATACCCCTAATCATGTTACTTCAGAAAACGAAACGAAAAATATAGATTGGAATGCGCATTGAGCGTTGCCGGAGTACCCTACAGTGTACTTTCATTGATCACGGTAACAGGAAGGATGCTCTTGACTCTGGAATGTAAATCAACGTGAAGAAATAAGTTCCTTGTTTACAAAGCTGGCGCTGGTCTTGAGAAATGTGAACTATTTGTGTCTCAGCCACTACAGCCCACGAGCGCGCAGATCTGCAGCCACATTTCAAAAAAGTGTATCGATAGTCGTAGCCATGGTGCTGCAAAGACAGCCGCAGCAAGGACCAACGATAGGTCTCTGGTCTGTCGGAGACAACGTCTTTGCGCTTAGTGTGGCCATTGGTAATGTGCCGCTTGAACGAGGACATACTACTCGCGAATTGTCATCGGTACAGCGGGGCCGGGACTTTGCAGTTACCGGACCTCATTCCTTGACGTATAGGAAGAAAACCCGCCTGAACCATACTTACTTCTCGGCTTTTGTGTTCAATGCATTTCAATCGCCCCTAGCTAATGAAGAGGTCTCAATTTGAGATGCAAGTGGGGTAAATTTCGACGGATAACCTTACGTCGGTCGCCTATGGCTACTCCCTTCTCTTTCTTTTCACCTCGACCATGACAATGTTGATGACGGCCAACGTGGAACATGAAGCTCTTCTTTTTGTGCTTTGGCATTTTACAGCGCTTATGACTAATATTCTTGATCCTACTGCTTTCTTCTTCTGTTAGAGAACAGCTGATGAAGTCCACGGTTCCCCTGAATATCAGTTTTCGCCAACTGTCAGCGAAGTCTTGTGTACATGTGTCCACCCAGAAATCTTGATACGTCGGCCATGATTTGCTTCCATTCATGGTTGGCAGAGGCGCTGTATGGCGAATCCTAACTTGTTGTTGGGTTGGTTGGTTTACGAACTTAACAAGACCTTCAATGCGCCGGCTGCTAGTAGGGATTCGCTCCTGTTCCAGACACCTAGTACCATGAGATGACCATACTGGGGATATGTAGTGCAGGAGCATGAGGGCTGAGACTATAATAGAAAGTGACGTTTGAACGAGCGATCATACGCGCATATATCCTCGTATCGATCTCCCTGGCAGATGTTCCTCGTTAGCACTGGCTTGAAACAGGGAGTTGTTTTCATCCAGGCGAGTAATTCAGCCCAGTTGTTTCAACTACTAGCATTTCGGTCAATATTTTCAGTACTGATACTAATGAATACACAATAACACAGCGCATGCTAGTTTCGGAGTGAAATGTGACCAAGTAATATGACCACTGTGAACACTAGAGGGCAAACCCTAGTCTTTGGTAGTTTGTGTGTAAAGATCTTGCTTATGTTTCTATGAAGCAGGTCTTGCTAAAGTTCGTTCGATATACTTTGTGTGCATCTGCTGTATCTCTGGAATGATGAGGGATTCAATCTCAACAACAGGCTCTCCCTGTGTTTCGGTATTCTCGGACTCCAATAGCGAGGAAAACTCTTCAGTTTTCGAAGACTGATCAGCAGTGCCAACGAGCGAAGCCACGCCGGAGAAACTCTTTGTCCGACGATGGCGAGGAACACGGATCCATTTTTCGCCTTCCAAGGCAGAGACGAAAACCACCTCCCATTTCCGGGTTAGCAATAGATTTCCGATAACCAAGTGGTGAGAATATTTCTTGAGAGAATACTGGGCCTTCTTCACCAAGATAGCTGGATCGGTCTCAAGCTTGAAGCTGACTATGATGCCATCCGGAGCCCATCCGTCAACCAATTGCTTCAAGAACTTGGGCACAGGCTCCAAATCTATAACCAGTTTGCGGCCGTCGGTACGAGCAGCCGGCTTCTTGGTATCATCACTGGAACCGTGATTTTGATGAAATTCCTCGTTGGACTGAATCTTGTGCTCCACCATGCGGTCCTTTGGAACGAAGAAATCGGACACGGCAGCGGCGAGGTAAAACATGGCTTTGGGCCCCAATGGTCGCATAAGTTTGGCAACCTCGCGCAAATCCCATAGGTATTCAGTGATTGTGACAAAGGACAGGATAAGTAAGCGGCCTTCACGTTTTACGTTTGTGTACTGACGCAGGACCTCGAGCATATCGGCTGACTGCTGCTCATCAACCACGACACGGCCATTCTCTTCTCGCATGTAGTCGAGGAACGAGCGAGTATTGTGGGAATAATGACGTGAGTAAGGCAGGAGGGAGAACTGGCGGTGCAGAAAAATGACAGCATAACCATGCTGGAGAAAGTACTCGGCGCTTGTTGCGCCACGTGTTCCAGCGGAAAAGTTATCGATGTAGCGCACTGTGTGCGTCTCAAGAGGTACTGTAGTACCTCCCGAGGTGACCAGGACCAGACGGCGGCCTTCATCTCCATGACGACGGATGAATTCGCGTGCGAGCGTGATGTTGGCCTTCAGATCCTTTGGTGGCGGTTCGTTGGAGAAGTAATCATTTTCAGCCTGCTGAGGGGAATCGCTGTCGGCCATGGCTAGCTCAAGCAATCAATTTCGAGGTATAGAAGCAATGTATAATCAGACTGAGCCAGCTGTGCCAGCATTTGTTGACCTTTCCCTAAAGCAAGAAAAACCTCATTGATAGATGGCTGCCTCGGTACCTGCGCATGTTCCTCCCGACCAGTGATACTAGTGCGCGGGGCACTCATCACGTGATGCAACCACTCAACCATTTGAAGGTACCTATGTACCGTGCAGCTTCAGTTTCTGGTGGAATAGACGAGAGTGTAGAGCAGTCATATGTTACATTGTGCGTGAGCCGCGTAATATGTTATCGTACATATGTACAAACGGGCACGGAAACGTCTACATTCTGATCCTGAAAGGGGGTTTTGTGCGAGGCCAGCCGAACACCGTCTACCAATCAGTGAGTGTTACCTCCTTGGCCCGGAGGTACCTTTAGAATAGACAGGACCGTGTCGTATTGATCAATAAGCACCGGATACTACTTATCCGTTCTCGATAGACATTTTGTTGCACTTTTAGAGCGTGCACATGCTCATAAGAGTGGAGGGTGGATTTTCCTGGTCATCGGTATGTTCATCATTGCTATGTGAAGCAGATGCGAGATACGGACCATTGAGATATTGCAAACCGCCCGGTCAGAGAAATACGCATACCTCGCTACGTACATATCCATTATCCGTGCCGGCATTTCGATCCAGCGAGTCCTGTGCTGAGCCCTTTGCGCGTTCGAAGCTTAACATAAACACCCTCATCACAACGGTCAGCCTGGATCCCGGAGCATTGTTCCATCCAGTAGTAGGCCAGCTATCGGTCTATTCCGAGACGTGTCAGTCGCTTTCTCAATCCATGGCAGTGCAAGCGCACCGGTTCTGCCGCCCATCCATAGCCCGTTCTTTCATCATGCCGTACATACCAGTATTTGTATCCTCACTTCACCATGCCTGCCTATGCTGTGTAACTTGTACCTGAAATACCCTCATTGACATTATCGTCTTCTCCACTCGTCGAATGTCGTCACATCAGCCCCAACAAACAGGTACCGGCCGTCCAGCTCACAACAAGGTCGCCATCCCTCGCCAAGAGAGACGGAACGATTCACCCCGCAAGCCAGCCACTGTCAGACAAAATCGTGTCTCTCGAGCATGTTTAAGCTGTCGTTCCAGGAAGATACGGTGCAACGGCGTGCACCCGACATGCAAGAATTGCGCAGAGAGTTCTACAAGTTGCGTCTACGCGTCTACTCGGAAAGACAGGTTGAAAATGTTAGTGGCCACCTAGTCTCTTCGATGATTTCCACTCCAGTACTGATCAACACTAGTGCAACTGAACATAACGAAGAGATGATGGAATTTCTCAAGTATCTTCGGACTGGCGTTGGTGACACAGAGAAGAAGAGAATCGATGAGATGCTCAGTGGTGTGCGTATTGTACACTGTACACATCAGGAAGTCTAACCACAATTGATCACGTGGCTAACAAATCACAATACCAGGTCAGCGAGGATGTCGCCGATGCTGCTTCTACGTTCCGCAAATCTCAATCGTCGGAGATGCTGAATTCCGACGAGGTTGCGGGTGAGGCCAACGTGTCAGCTGAAGTAGGTTCTAATGAAGACCTTGATCATATGAATGAGGATATTTTACACGACGAGAAAACCAGAGCTACTGGATTCTTAGGGAAAAACACCGAAGTGTGCGTATATTCCGACTAAACAGTGTTGAAAGGATATCCTAAATGCATCAACAGCAAGGCAGTGATACTCAAGCTTAGAGCTTACTAATTATGTATCCATGACTATAGACAATGGCTGCGCCAGCTTGATCGCGAAACGGAAAATGCTGCTCATGGCGGCTCTTTCGATAGGCCTCATGGACCACCAGGGCACAGCGCAAACGCATCAGCTCAGCGTACGGAAGCCCTGAAGGAGCGACAAAAGCAAGATCATTCCACATCACTACAGACGAGTGAATTTAGTTTTTACCTTGATGATGAGGCTATAGACATGGATTTCGTGGTCAACTCCTCAGAACTTCCATCGCTCGACATCGCTGATAGACTTCTTCGATGCTATATGGAAACTGTACAGCCATACTTTCCAATCCTCGCTAAGAAGACATTCGTCAATCAATTCTATCATTATTATGCTGCTTTAGCACAAGGGGCACCTTATAAGGTTCCTCGGAAGTGGCAGGCAACTTTGAACCTCGTCTTCGCAATCGGGGCAGCATTCTCCCATCTGGTCGAGTCTGATTGGCGTGCAGATGGTAAGTACAAAACCATGAAACTGCTGGACATAGACTTAGATTCCCATAGAACGCGATCACTTTCTGTACCACGCTAGAGCTTGGGAATTAAGCATCAAAGATCCATGGTAAAGACACCATACGATAGCTTTGTCTCAAAGTAATCGTGTTAGTTGGCTGACATGCTGGTCATAGGTGGTTTTCCCACCCCGATTTACCACAAACCCAGATTGTGCGGCACGCTTTAATTCCCTTGTCTTGTTAAATTACTGATAGAATGCAGACCGGTCTACTAGCCATCTACTACTTGGCTATTGGTCATACTAACAGGTTGGTGGTTTTCTTCGATACCGCTGTAGTTTCTCTAGCTTCCATTGTTTGCAGAAGCATGGAAACCTAGCGTCCCGCTTCATTGCACAGTCGCAAATGAAAAATTTAACACATTCTCTGTTACTGACAGATCACTATAGAGCGTGGATTCTCACTGGGATGGCCATAAGATTTGGATTTGGACTCGGATTACATATTCGGAATGAGGATCGAAACGCTAGTGTCGTGAAAAAGGAGCTTTTGTCACGCACTTGGTGGGGTTTGTATACACTGGAATGCCTGTTATCTGTTATGACTGGTAGACCCAGCATTGGCGTCCAATCACATTGCTCCGTATACCTTCCGCTTCCTATATCATGCGACGATATCGAAGAGGCTAGAATCAAGGCACTATTCGGAGAGAATCCGTCACAGCCTACCCACGAGAAAGAGTTCCCACTGTCTGAGACGATGAGCACACCTTCTTCTGGGATGTTCAACTACGAGAGAGCAAGATGTGATCCTGCCAACGTGGGTACCTACCTCAAATGCATCATTAGGATAGGTCAAATCCAACAAAGAATCTTGACACAGCTCTATTCACCGCACGTCGTTGCTGAATCTTGGAAAGATGTCCAAGAGATCATACTCAGGATCAATGGAGAACTGGAAATATGGGCGGCATCTATCCCTCCAGGACTTAACTTTCTTAGCAATGGAAAGGAAAAACCGATGACAAGCGAACAAAACATCCTGTTGCTACATTATCGGAGCACAATCATCCTTGTCAACCGGCCATGTCTCTGCCGTCTGGATCGTCGAATCCCGAATCAAACACAAAGCTCTTCTGATTTCAATCAAAGAATGGCTTTGTCCTGTGTCAGTACTGCAAAGGACTTAAGTGCTAGCCTTCCAGATGACATGCAAAACGAGAGCGCGAAAGTGTACGAGTTGTTTCCATGGTGGGCTGTTGTTCACTATATCATGCAAAGTCTTGCTATTCTTATGCTGGAAATCTCCTATGACGCAGTTAAAGGATCGGACATGTCTGAAACAATAAGTGCTATGAAGAAACTCGTTCGCTGGCTGCGTGCCCTGAGAGGAAACAACGGAATGGCCAGACGCGCTTATACCATCGTTCTCGACCTACTGCGGAAGATGGCCAGCAACACACAGCTTGTAAGCATACCACATTATGGTCCGACATTGAGCTCGCAACATAGATTGCTAACATGGATACAGGACATATCTGATCTTCTTCTGGAAGATAGCGCACATAACGCACCAACTGATTACGACTTGACTCAGGCGGTGGGACTTTATACGCAACCATTTTTCAGCGAAGAATATCTCGATCGGTATTCGTTTCCAAATGCATACGCCGATTATTCAAACCCCGGGGTTTATCAAAGTAAGCCTAAACACCCCTCAAATCGCAATATGGACTTTATTTGATCTGACGACTCATGCAGCAAATCTCTTCCACACTGGACATGATCAGCAGAACCCCTTTCCGTTTCTAGGATACGTACCAATGGATGACTCTCCCGACAATTATCGGCCAAGCGGGTAGATTGAGGCCGGGGTTGGGTTGGTAACAGCGTAAATAAGAAGGACAAGACTCTATACTGTTACTAGAAGAAATTGAGGCAAACTTAAATGTCGGGTGTCCGACAGATGTAGCGAACCATTTGTAGGCAATCTCTTACAATCTAATCTATGAGTGAGGCTGTCATTTGAAAGTGATAATCTTTCTCCCCAAGACTAGCGCTAACAACCCCCTTGTCATGGCTGGTCTTTGATTGTTACTCTCAACCAACCTCTGCCTACTTACTGCATCTGCCGCATTTATGCATGTGCAAATGCTTCCAGTCGAAATATCGCCCCTTCCGCTCATTGTACAGCCGCGCCCAAGCGGCTTAGTCTCAGGAATGTACATTCGGCGTCCACCTATCATTAGATCGCGAACATTGAACACACCAATATGAAGATGAAGAAGATCGTCAGCCTAGGGTGTATGCAAAGATGATGCATCCAATAATTTATTTGTCAAGCTCTACTAATGCATAAGATGCTTTACCGTTGTTTAGGAAGCAATGCATTGTCAAGTTGGCAGCTTGCCATGAAGAGCTGTCTTTCGGCCTACTATCGCACAATCTTGTCTTTGAAAAATAAGCTCGCCATTGCACGTCTACCTCGTCAGGGCGTACACTGGTGAACGACCCAGATCGAGAGATTTGACTAGAGCAGAAGCATGAGGGCATCTGTGTTGAAGAGTCCATTGCAGAATATGTGTCGTATTCACAATGAATTGTGCACACGTGGTAGAGATCAATGTTTGCGAATTAACCGGGAATGATTGGTGGTCATCCATCATCCATGTACACAAACGGAGAGTGCGATCTACCTAATCTTTTTTAACCACGAGCGCACGGACACCCTGGTTCTGTTTACTTCACGATCTGACTCAATTTTCAGCCCAAGGCCACAAAGCTCTACTTCATCCGCGAACACCGACCCCTTGTTTTCGAACAAGATTTCTGACGACCAAAATCATGGAGCGTGAGACTGGACGATCTACAAGCGTCTCCAACCAGGATCGCATTTGCAAAAAGTGCAACAGGACCATGGCGACCACTTCTCCGGAAGGAGACTTAGTACCCCTTATGTCACGAGACAGTGCTTGCGACATGTGCACGCCATTTGAAGAGCTCTACGCTGTTATGCAAACAAAGGACGAGGCATTCCTGGCTCTCGAAAGCAGAAGGTTTGACCACCTACCGCGTTATCACGCGATGGAAGAATCAAAGGCGGCGCACAAGGCTTTAGACAACTTTCTTCTGCAAACCGAGATGCAAATCACGCCTAAGATGACGCTGCATACACACTCAAATGCTCCGGGTTCTCTCCTAAAGGAAAATGCTGTGGGGTTCGCGACGAACGAAGGACAGGAACAGTTACGACCGCAGTCCGAGGAAGATAACAGACAACGTACCGTTCTTTCGTCCCTATGTGCCATTCCTGTAAAGCGCTCACGGCCTACACTTGATGAACAACGACGCGTAAGTTTTGATTCGGGGGTGGTTTTCTACGACAAGGAGAGTGGCCGACCAGACGAGGCGTTCAGCCGGAGTAGCAAAGATTATGTACGAGGCCGTAATGCTCCGACAGAGGGCTACCATTTTCTTGACACAAGTGGACTAAGCACAACCGCAACGAGGTTCTTTGGAATAAAAAAACATAGGAAGGGATGGGTAGAAACAAAGGAGGGTAAAGAAATGGACGCACAATGGATAAATGAAAAGACAGCCGAAAGATCAGTGCACTCGTCGTCACAGGACCATACAGCTGGTTTGGGAAAAGACACACGACAAGGAGATCAGAAAAAATCCGACGATGACCCCGAGAACACGACAGCCGTATAAGGTACCTTGATCTTGTGGTCATTCCAGATGGAGCCAAGCCAGAGACTTCTACTCAAAGATGGTGTTGGTGGTTTGAAGATAAGCGGCCTGGATGAATCTGCAACCTGTCGGAGAAGATTGAACTCTTATTACACTGTGGTATCTTTTCGCAGTACATTGTGTATCCTGAAGGTCCCCGGACATGGTGGGTGTTGAGAGATGGATAGCATGATGGCGGCGAGTAAACATATCCGAGGACAAAGGTCACGTATTCGGTGAGAGTTTGAAAGGTGATACGCTCTGGCGTCTCATGAAGCCAAGTAGAACGATGTCGGATCGAGTACACACTGGAATCTGTGAGCGCTGCTTCTCGATCCGAAGACTACCTTCGCGCAAAACCTTATCGTGGGGCTTGGCGCGTGTTTGTCAACTCGTGGGATATTGTTAAGGAAGGTTCGGATGCTACACTGCGAAATTCCAGTGGAATTACAATGAACTGCATCTACAAGCGACTGGGAATATGTATCCGAACGGCAATTGATCACGGCAGTTGAGTATAAGAATTTGGCATATAAAGAGAATTGATATCCTACAGTCAGTCTTCAGTGTTGTACATTTTTTGATGCATCAATCTCACCAGACTCATACAGATGTTCTCTGTCTTTACTTGCTTTATTCAATACTGGTCCAGTCAGCTACCATATTCCAACGTCTGGTCATTCCAGCTTTGTTTCGTGCAATTACCACCGACGAAGACTGGAAGTATAATATGCCACATCACTGGATGGTGAGTGGATGCTGTCTCTCACAGTGCTTACGCATGTCCAGCCCACATGCAAACGTCTCAATGGACGGACAGTGGGATACGAATGTGCGATTCAGGTTTTTCGATGTCTTACCTTTCACATGAATAGTCACAGGCAGCCCAAGGTAGAGGATTGTCAATAGCTTGCAAGCATGATTTCCCCGCACGCCTGCGTTCATCGACTGTTTCAAACCCAGCTATTCAGGAAAGTTACGCTGCTTGAGGGAGCCGCAGTGGACAGGGGGGAGTACGGTTGCACACTTCCGGTCGGCGCCATCTCGCCCAAAGAGCTCGAGAATCGGAAGATGGAGGCAACATTATTTACGACCATCGGAAAGGAATGAGCCGGCACGAACTGAAATCGGGTTCATTTGCTACATCACGCCGAGTTAACCCCTAGCGACCGTTGCCATCGGACCTACCGGATCGATCCTTCCGCCAGAACGCACTTTGCCTACTTGGTGCGATAGCGAAACACATCGGAATCCACGATTGTAGATATCAAGTAGAAACAACACCTCACCAGTACGCTTAGGCCAGTACGCAACCTCGATAGTTACAGATAGCAAGGATGCGACAGCAATTTTGACAAGATTACTCAACATAGGAGCCTCTGAGTGACGTATTCGTCCTCGAAATACATCAATTGCACATAAGCACATACATAGAGGTACTCGGGTATCAACCACGTTGCAAGCACGTTCCCTGAGCATCGTCATGATGTCTGTATACCGTAGAACATAGTGGAGCTGTGTGAAAACTAAATAGGAGAATTAATTAGACTGATCCTACAGTCCACACGCCTGAATCGTTTGGAGGAGCGTTTGGATGCAATCTTTGGTCAGGTGAAGGCGATCCAGCGGAATAGGATAACCCCGCAAAGGTGTAAGGCAGTTGATTACTGTAATGGTGCCCATGAACGAAAGATCGGAGCCGGATCACGCTCCTTAGTCCTTGATTTGCAATACGCGTTCGAAGCAAAACAGGTCCTACTTGTCAGTACTGGGTCCCTGACATACCGCATCTTTGCAGCGTATGTATGCGTAACGACGTCAACATGTGATCCCTGATTTCTACCACAAGGAAAAGCTATCAAGCTGTGCGTCTCGCGTGAGCCTGCTGCAAGCCATCATGCACAGAAGCTGCATGAGTGCCCGACTAAGCCATTCCACACCTCCAGTTCGTATTCTTTGGAGTCTTCGATGCTTCTATTATCATGGTGCTAGGCGTTAGGGCTCTGCGTGTTCTCGGTAGCGTTCTGCAACGCATTGGTAAATCATCACCTAATGTATTGTGGAATCTGGATCCGAACCAGTGAGTGAAGAGCATCATCAGTGTCAAACTGAAGCTGCGCATTGCATGCATTCCTACCATCGAATTCGCTCATTGTGAATCGATGTGCTGCAGTAGTGAGTAGACAATTGAAGAAGAAGGATGATGGAAGGATTCAAGCTTGCAAAATAAGTCAAAGATCTACGCCAATAGAACCATGATATCACTTGAATGGTCGCGCTCGATTAGATAGTGCCATGTATGCTTCACTCCTCGTGGTAGCCATACCAGGGTAATAGCAAGTCTCGTCACGAGGGTGGATGGGTGTGGAGACCCGCCAACTCTAATTGAGAATTCATCTGCTTGTCGCCCCACTTCTGCACGCGCGGAACAGACGGAGGGGGGATATCGGTCGCTCTCGCGTATCACGGCCTAGGACTTTTCATTGTCCTAGCCGGTAATAGCATTTTTATGGTTGACTGCTGCATACGACACGTGCTTATTGGGCGCATACGCCTCTTTCTTCGAGGGCACGAGCTTTTCTTCAGAACGCCACATGAAAAACTCCCAGTCTCAAACAAAATTCCCGGGCAAAGCATTGGGGAAGGGGGCGCCTACTTCGCTGCTGTGTAAAGCACACAATGAGGGGTCCTTCTAGAAGGCAGCTATCTGCATTCTGGCTCACATAGTATCCACAGTCCACGCGCCATCCCCAGTGATTTCTTCAGGGGTCTACGGGGAAAAAGGGAAGCGATGCATACAAGGCTTGCGTTATTGATCGTCCACTCGCTGCAGCAGAAGCGTGGCAGGCATTAGCTAGTTTTTTTTATTGCCCTCGTTGACGGGTGCACTCCTTTCCGCTCGCCTGCGTCAAACTAGAGACATCCCCCTTTGGCGTTTTCGGACGGAGGTGCTAATGAGTCAACAATGACCGCCATGCAAAAGTCTCCCTGTATTCACCGCACCTTTCCCATACGAGACCGAGTATCCTGGATGTCCCACATGTTCCCTTCGCTGTGATATCCCTGTACACCACCAGGCGATTGTGGCATTACCGCTAGACGCATATGCATCAAAGATACACCCATGTTATCTCGATCTATGCTCACCGATAACTGTCACTATTGTCAGGGTTCGACAGTGTTTCCATTAGGACTTCTTTCCGTCAGGACTTCTCTCCGACTCTACTCGACAAGACGTGAATCTGCAGCATACGAACAGAAAATCGCTCACTACTCATATGCAGGTCAAGGTTCTTTGGAAAAGTCATTTGCCCAAGGATTGGTTTGCCTGCACCTCGAAAGCAGCTATCTAAGAAATGGAGAATGCTTCGTAATGATCGGCAAGTCGAGAAGCTTGAAACACAATGTTTTGTTCATGTAGGTACGTCAGATAAAGGTGGGGCAGTAGTTGCAGGTTCAGCATGCAAGAGCCCCTCCCCCCTGGTGAATGAAAGTAGAAGTGGAGCAGTCTGAAAAAAAATGCTCTCTCAACAACAATGAAGTCTGCACCTGCAAGGATCGAATGTTTCTATTGGATGATTCTTGATTGAATGTATTGGAAATCCTTCAAAATTTGTAAAAACCTGATATCTAATGTGACAATGCGCTGAATTTGGGGGTATCAATTTATCATGTCCACCCCATCCTGGTTTTCCCGATGCAATGCTAAAATCCTATCACCTGCCAATACTATCGAACGCCATAATGCGCCATTTATGCTCGTCATTCATAACTGTACTCCTGGTTGCGCTACCGTAATTTGGAAAGGAAAAGGAAAAAAAAAAAAAAGTAGTCGTGGAAGCACTAATATGCTTCCAAGCGATTTGAAAAGACGTGATCTCAAGGCTCCTTCGTGTGTTCAGTTCATAAGTGGCAGATCGCGTTCTTCGCATTGCCACTGCTCAGACAGTGCTTGCGCGCGGTACTGGGTAGCCCATCCAATATCTGACTCGATTCCCCGAAGTAAGTCCATGACCACCTGGCGCTCTCTAGGATCGCTCAGGCATTGGCCAGCGGTAAATAAAGGTTGGACCGAGTGGATGCGAACGGCCTCATCCGAGCGGCTCAGTGAGATTCCGACAATCTCGCGGCTGTGAGCCTGGCACGACGCAAGAACGGACTGATATGAGTTCATGCGGGCCGAGACCGTTGTGCGTCCTTGGGTTGACTCGTGTGGTTTGTTCATGAGCAATTGAATCTGGCTCATGTGATAGGCTTGCATCGTTGAAGCACACATCGGGATACTGTACCACACCTCCGGAAATAGCCCCTCATCTCTATGAGGGAAGCCGACAGCGGAGCTGACAGGATCGACTCGAGCGCAGGGCTTGAATGTTATTGGTAGCCCGTCGTACCAGGCCTGAAACTGTCGTTGTAGGGAGTTCCAATGGTCGAGGAGAGAGCGTTGAGTGACACTAGTAAAGGAGACACCGAATTCTTCGGACAATTCGTCCCCGGCTGCCATGAAGTTGACCAGTTTCGCCATGAGCCAAACCAAGGCGTTGCAAATGAGATCTTCCTTCATCATGTTCTCGCCTTCAGGGTAGCCGCTATCAGTAGTATTACTGGGGACGATAAAGCCATTGTCGTCAATCAGAAGACCGGCTTCTTTCCAGAGCGTGTGATCTTCGGTGTCTAGACGTGTGTGGGTTCTGTTGATGACTAGTTCTTCTGATTAGACTTGATCTCGGCGGATTTGAACATCACTGAACTTACAGGCAGCAAGCATGTCTTGTCGGGCAATATTCCAGAAAGTGGCTTGGCGAGCTTTAGAGATGATACCAACATTAGCGGATGCAACCATCGAGTTGGGCGTAGGCATCTGTAAAGGCATCATACGTTCTTGTGCGATAACCAGCAGTGACTTCGCACCATTCAGGTGTTTGGCCCACTCAGGCACTGAAGCGTCAAGGAACTCGTAGACGCAGAGTATAGCCGAAGCAGCTAGTAGCTCATCAGTGCTGGACTTGAACGAGCTAGTGCTAGATTTTCGCCGCCGCTTAGCAGGTGGGCATTCAACCCCACCCCCGCACGCCGACTCTCGATCCGAATCTGAGTCGAAGGAGATAGCATCGCTTTTCAACGCCTGTAGCAGGAGTGAAACAGCAGTGTCGTAGTACTGCGTGGCTTTGTGATACCAGTCGACCGATTGTGCATCTGGATATGTGTCTATGCGTGCCATTCTCGAAGAGTTGCCTCCCATGGGTTTGCGACCTTGCACTCGTGCAAGAGCTTTGGCCGCGTAAGCAACAGCTGCGTACTTCAGAAGCGGATTTTCTTGAGCTCTAGCAGGCACGTATGAGGAAAAGTATGTGCCAAGATCGAAGAGGTCCATCCAATTACCAGGGCCTTCGGAGAAATACCGTAGTAGAAATGCAATCTCGTGGTCTCGCTCGGTCATCAAATCGCTTCCAACAAAGGACGGCGTTCGCCCGGCGGCCGAGTACGAGTTTGATCTGGGTATCTCAGAGACATCGAATGGTGAGCCGAGGCGTGGATCGATGGGTGGCGGTGTCATGGAAATATGGTGGCCTAATATGGAGTGAAGATGGGAATTCGCCAGTGAGACTGGTGGTGAAATGGGTGTTCCAGCTGAGGATGTTTGTGGGGAGTTCAAAGAGGTGCGGTCCAATGGCGGTATCGAATCAAGCTCAGGTGTGAAGCACATGGGTGCAGACATACTGAGGTGTGGCATATAATCCGCGCCAGTACTTGATGGCGTGCTGGTGACGGTGTGAGGTTGATTTGAGGACGGCCAGGATGTGATGGATGGTCGAACATCGAAGGGGGCAGGCGAGTCCGCAGATGCGGTGGACAAATTGTCGAAGTCGGATGTGAAGGGGTCCAGGTAAGGGTTGGTGGTGTTGATGAATGTTACTGAGAAATGTGGTTAGGGAAATGTGTGCTGGGGGGAGAAAGCAGAGGCATACCTTGCTTTGGGATGTCCATCCAAATGGCATCATCGTCAAAAGTGTTCTTGTAGGCATAAAAGCCCTTGAGAGTGTTTTCATCCCCAGAATCGTCCCCATTCATGGAAGCATTGTGTTGATGTCGGAAGACAATGCCAGAGCTAGGCACGCATTCTCTGGAAGCTTTACAGCACTTTCCACAGATGGGCTTCTTCTCGTCACACTTCAGCTTCCGTTGACGACACGTCAAGCTGTAGGATGGAGTCAATTGACATGGAGAGCAAGGAGGTAGCTGAGGATTGACTTACCATCCGGTTCTCGAGCGCACCATGGTAACGAGTTGATGATGTTATGGTTGAGAGTGAACTCAAAAGCAATCAACACCAATTCCAAGAGTCAGTCTTGATACCTTGCGTGCTGCCTGGCCCGGCGACCGACGCTTATATGTAGCAGCTATAGTGGTTACCGCCTGGTTATGAGGAATTCATCAGTGAATGCGGGGTCCGCGATGGTTCGCGCCAAGCGCATGAATGGATCCACCCTCCATTCTAGCTGCAAGTCGGCGAAGGTTGGCGGAAAGGTTTATCATTTGCTCAAGTGCTGTGAAGGGCTGCTCAGTGCTGAGTCGCAGGCGCGCTGCTCGATCTGGGGTCAAGCGTGAAGCTATCGACCCTACTACCTTGCAAAACCTTGGAAGACGACCGCTAGCTAACTTAGGTGGTACCCGCACGCCGGTTCCGTTCGAACGCAAGGTCCGACTCATGGCCGGCGCCATGCTGATGCAGCGGGCACATCACAATGAGATTTTTAGCCAACACCACCATGCACGTGTTTTTTGTCCGGAATATGACCGCTAGCATTTGCCACTATCCCAATCCCGTACTTGACTGGGTCGTTTAATTCCTACACGATACCGCCAATGCGCCTATGCCGACGTTTCCAACCCACGTTTCGGCCAAAGTGTACACCACTCGATTCCATTCGGAGCCGACTCCACAGGCCATATCTTCTCCTCCGTGAAGCACCTTCGGCGGCAGCAACGTCCATGCATCGGATTTCGAACATCGACATATTCTGGAACACTGAAATCTCATCGGCAGACTGCTGCCGTCACCGCCTCTGTACCATGATATTCGCTTTGCGCGTGCGGATAGGTTCCATCACTTTGCCGTTTTGAGCTTCTTCTTGGGGCGTTCTGCCAACTCTTCCTCTGCTGCGTTGTCGCCACCGTCACTGTCAGCATCTTCCATCTCCTCATCACTGTCACCACTGCTCTGATGGTCCTCGTCGTACTCTTCGCCCACCTCCGATTCGGAGTCTGCCTGGAAGTCTTCATCGACGCTCTCGTCATCTTCGTCTGCGCTGCCTCGATTGGCGACTTCACCATCACTAGAAGCAAGGTCGTCATCCTGAAGGGCGGCCGCGAGGATTGCGCCAGACTAATGAATGCATGATTAGCAATGTATGTGTCCAGTGAAGAAGAGCGGTGACTTACATCATCAGCCATTTCGTTCTTAGTTTTGATCCCCTTAGCCCTGAAAAAGTTCTCGAGGGGTTGCTGCTCCTCACTGTAGCGTGCATTAGTTATGCAGGGCCCTTGCCAGCGCATGGCGACTAGGTATGCAACTCACCGATTGATATTGGAGAACTGGTGTTCAGCCATTCCACCTTTCATGGTGAATGTGATGTCAAACGTCCGGCTTGCCGCCATGGCTCCTCCTACACGAGACATGGTTACCGACTGCACGTGTTCCATGCTAATGTAAGTTGCCGGTTTAGGCACGAATACGAAGGCTTTGTCCAGGCAGAACAAGTGTCCCTCGTTAGCTTTGATCGAGCACTTGACACCGGATTGCTCGTGATGGCTGACGAAATCTCGAGAAGGTCTGGTGATACGTTTGCCGGTTAATCCACGGAAAATGTCGGAGACGACAACTGCGATAGGGGCCTCGTAGTGTGACTGCAACTTGTCTTTATATTTCGATTCGAGTATATCCGCCTGCATGTTCAAGTCGAGATTGACTTCCTCGTCCCGCTTGAATTGCATGACAAGGAAGGGATAACGCGTCTGACCCTGTCGCAGCGGAGGGTCCAAACCCACGACAATGAGCGTATGCATGTCATCTGGCTTGGGTAGAACCATGAACTTTTTGACAGCATCAAACTGAATCTTGTAATCGTACGTCTTGCCTCGCAGACGAAACGAGCTTTCATACATGTCAATGTCGAAACGGCCACGTGGGGTCAGGTGTAGAATCTCCAAGAAAGTTGCGTATGTGTCACCGGCAACCTCGCCAATCTCAGCCTTCTCCATGAGCGTCTCATAGAAGAGGTTGGCCGCATTTTGTTCTTCGACCTCTCCTTCCTCTCCGCCCGACTCTTCTTCGCCGTCCTCTTTCTTCTCCTTTTTGGAGGTCATGCCGGGTATGTAGAATCGCATTTCGACAAGTTGGTCCTTCGCACCAACCGACTTCTTTCCCCGAAATTGGGCTCCACCGAGAGCTCCATTGGTGCCCGCGTCCGCATCGGCTGGGAGGGAGAAGTCTACGGCAACTTCGTTCTTTCCCGCCAAGTTTGTGTTCGAAATTTCGGTGTAAGGCACTTCGAACGCAGGTCGGTTGGACACGTTGAACGATAATTCCGCTTTTCCGAATTCGGCCTTGCCCCAGTTCCATCCGCGCAAAGCATGCTCCCTACTCTCCAGGTTGACACCATACCATATCTTGAAAGACCTTGCTATCCGATCAAAATCCTGTTGACGTCAGACAACCGCTATACGGAATGAATACCTGGATGTTGTACCTCTTGATTGAAGCCATCGAGCTGAACGATGCCATCGTTTCGTGCAAGCACTTTGACTTCGTAGCCTCGTGCTGCCCGACTCCACTGCGCGGATATTATGTTCGTCTTATCGAGCGTGTATGTACCGTCGCCGCCTTTGGAAGGTTTCCATCCCCATCCGGACTCCGCGAATCGTGTGACGCCCGGCTGCTTCGACAGGTTGAGGTAGATGTTCTCGAAGGCTTCCCTATTAGTTTGTCAGTCGCGCTCGTCCGCTAGAGATACAGAATCAAGGTTTCTTCATGGAATTTACATTTTTGACGCCGATTTAGCTCAATGATGGGGAAGGGGTTGTTGAGAAAGCAGCAGTCCAAAGGGTAGGCGGGCGAAGCGTACGTTTGCAAGTAAAGTTGCGCGCGGCTTCAAGTGACGCGCCCGACGCGAACTTTTGAGTGACTAAGCCAATTATATCACGTGACTCGTGTCGTACTATCAACCCTCACTTGTGGCTTCTCTCACCTTCCGGTGAACGCCTTGACTGACGGGTGGCGATTGTTCTAAATAAGGGAAATCCGCATGTAAATGGTGAATAATTTTGGCAATCGCTCGTTTTGTTGTACCTTATATCGCTATAAACCATCGCTGTGTGTAGGAACACCTAAACTCCAACTCAAAATCAATAAATGGTGAATCATCCGTGATGCCATCGTCTTGGTTCGTTTTTGTAAGCATTAGGCACTTCGAAAGCCGTGTCATGACTGCCCAGGTGGGAACAAACATTTGAATATATGGGCATACCTGAGAGTTCGTGTCGCAAGAGTCACCAGCTACATACTCAACATCTAATTAAATGTTTGTGCTGCTAAATTCAACAGCCTCATGACAGAAAGCCGAGAAAATAAATTCTACAAATGGGCTATTACCAAAAACTGCCCCATTACATCTAGGATCAGGGGTAAGGTCAGTGCGATTCAGACTCCAAAGCCCCAATGAGTGAAAAGAGTCACAGAACGCATCACAATGAGAAAATTTGTATTGCCTTCAGGTGGCGCACCAGATTATTTCTACCCCATGGTGCTTATTCTTAGATAGTTTCGTATCTGCTTAATTGCAGCTCCTATCTTCACGATATGAATAAGTTGGCTATTGCATATACTCAAGAATAAGTTTCCTAGAAGAGCGAAGCCAGAGTGCCTGTCCTATCCGTCTTACTTTTCATATGCGCTGCTGGCTTTTCAGAAATTTCCGCAACGGTATTCCATAATTTCGCACGAGAATGAACTACGTATGCAGTGTCAGTCAAGTATCATAGAGTAACGGACTCACATTTCCTGTTGTGCACTGAATGTGCACTCGTGTCTTTTTATATCCTCATCTTTGTAGATGTCTTCTGTGCCAGAATCACACATACTCCTGTACTATACAATGATAATGATTAGTACCAACAGTGATCTTCAATACCGCTCAATCAAAGTTTTCTGTTCACATAGCGATATTCGACACTGATGCAAACGGAAAGTTTGTTTGTCAAGCACAGCGCAATACCTTATAATTTCTTCTCAAATAAGCCTTTTAAGTTGATCATGCATGGCAAATATCAGTCACAAACACAGAGCTGTCCTTGTGCAATGACATGTTTATCTTTAATGTCTACAACGTTTAATGGAATGAGAAGCATTTAGATCATGAAAGGAAACCAATGGCTCAATATATGACTATGATTTAGATCTCCAGTTCGTTGCCAATCAGCTATCTTAATGTTTCATACTTTCCTAAGCGTCCCTGCGTTTGTTATGGAATTCATATCGTACCACTTCATTCGGCTGAAATTCTAATCATGAGTATCTCAACTGAATCAGAGCAAGTACTTAATCCGTTCAGAGACCACCGTATCCCGCTGCCTCTAAAACTCAAGCAAGTCTTTCGAGAATCATATGCGGACCGCTTTACGACTCCGACTAACCAGTCATATCCAACTTCGCTCACCTAATTATTCTCAATGATGATCCACGTAATGCGATTAACAGGCTTTGTAGCTCACATACACATGAACAACGTATTTCGCCGCCTGCTTTCGGTAAAATCAATCTTTTTAATCAGCCTCTTCAGTATGCGAAACACTCCAACTTTAAGTAAAAAAACTACCTGAATGATCTATACACAGATTGTAGATTTATCATACATACAGCAAGTCGCAAACTTCTTGCTTTTCCACCAAAAATAGTACATTGACACCAAGATCAACTCGCTGTTACCATGTTTCAGTCTTTCACAACTGTCGCCGTCAACTTTCACTGTCAGGCCGTGATAGTAGAGTATAGTCTGGAATGTCAGCATTGATCACTACTCTTGCAACTACAGCCTAGCTTTTCCTAGATATCAAGATAAAGTCTGTCGAATGAGTCTTTGACACAAGAAAGGCCTGCGAGTCTGTTTCCAATGGTATAGCGAATGCACATCAGCATTGAGCAAGTGGCTTGATACACAAAAAGCCGAAGTCAAGTATATATCTCTCACCGCATGTCCGGGGGATCATTTGAATTTATTTGTTAACCATCGAGACCCCTTCCCCAAGTCAGAAAGCATGTTCGATTCCTTCGAACAACTCCCAATCCACACATGACCAAAAGATGCCAAACATGCAAAAAGGAAGGAAACTACCCCACAACATCACCCCTAGCATCTATTCAGCTTGCGCATCAACAACCGAAGTGCTGTGTGCATGCAGCCAGTGAAGAAGAAAAAAAAAAGAGAAAAAAAGATGAGATGCCCATTATCAGAATCGAACTGATGATCTTCTCATAGCTTGGGACCGTTAAGTAGTATTACTAGTGAGACGCTATACCACTTAGCCAAACGGGCGTTGTTGAGATTTTTCTGTTGTAACAGAAGATGGGATGAATTCTCTACAACATCAATCATATAGTCTGAAAAAAATAAAAGTCACGCACGCTATCCGCGCAACGTCGGCGAAAACCCGAACCATCCTCTACTGGGCTACGGCTGACCATCTTGATCCGAAGACCGAAACCCCCCGAGGAACCCCGCACCCAAGGTATAAAACTCCACTAACAAAGTACGCGAACATGCTGCAGCTTGTCTCCACACACAACCACACGCACAAACACACACACCCACAGAGCAATCTCCGAATCCGGGCCGCGTCTTTGCGAGCCGTTACCCGCGGGAGAGAGGCGTGTCTCTACTCGTATCCAGACTTCAACATTTCAAAGACCGGGTTCGAGACTGCGAAATGTTCCCCACCATACGGGGAGCTGATGGCTGGGGGATTACGAAGCACCAGCTATTGAGAGGAAGCACACCATCCATCAGACTATCTGATCCGTTGTGGATGTAGAACCAGGTATGAAGAGAGCAAACGGTTGACGCAGCCGTTTCTTCCTAGTGCTCACGATAAGGACGTTTTTTTCTTTTCTTTTCTTCTTCAGCCAGCCACACGGGCTTGCCGTTTCTCAATGGGAATATTCTTCGCCTTCTGTGGATGTAATTTTATTCTTTGAGGATAAGACTATTATTTCCAGTTTGTAGCGTAGGGACACAGTTCTAGAGACAAACACAAGTTCCATGATTGCTGTGTAAGAAAAGTGATTAGATTGTTCATAATTCTCGAAATGAGCATTGAAGCCGAAACAGCATCCTTCCCCATCGCTAGCGAAGAATCGTGTTGGTGTCTTTAGTGTTGGATATACATCTTAATACATGCCGCGGGTATGCCGTGCAGGAGGGGAATTGAAGAAGGTGGGACACTACGAGGGATAGAGAAATAAGGGTACCATCGAAAGACATTACGTGATCAACCACCACGATATGGGTCCAGGCGAAGAAGGACCGGTGGTTAGAACGCGGGTTTTGCCTAGCAATTTCAATTTGTGTTGGATGAGTTTATGTGTACAGTTGGGGGTGTTGAGAGAGGTCGTTTCGTTTACTTAGACAAACTATATGATCAGTCAAAAATAATTCAAGGATACTCTAAATAAACGCTGTGAACGGCTATTACGATCTCCCTGATGAACATCGAATGGTCATCTCCAGTGGTACAAAGTGAACGGGTTATCGATAACTCATGCGCTACCCCACATGCTTAACCCTTCTCCATGCCATGCATTCGTGGCTTGCTGATCTTCACAGTAGACCTCGTGTTGAGATCACCATATATTGGAAACCCCGCAGCTGTACAGCAGTGGTTCAAGAGCTTCGCCGGACACAGATGGGGTGCTCGGTAGATACGATCGTAGAGCGCTGAGATGAGGGGGAGTTTTCTCGGATGCTTGCTTGCAAGTATACACCAGAGGGGTTATCCACTCTTGAACATATGGAAATTGCGGTAATTGAGGAGAGAGATCTGGGTCTAGATCGTTACACGTCCTCGCTCTTGAATCTACGATGCAGCTTGCAATCCGGGAGTTGTGAGTAATGTCTGTAGGTGAATTACCTCAGCTATACCTAGCAAGAGATGGCCTGAGACGCGAAGCTACTGCGTATATCAATTGGCCTATAGGGGCACAGTTCGACGCTCGTTCCGTACGACACGGCAAGTTCCGTGGATGGGAAAGAAGGAGAATAGCACTGGCGGAAGATAGCGCTTGATGTGAGCCAGAGCTGTTTGTCCGTGAACATGACTCCGTAGGTCTTGTATGGCAACCGCAATCATTAAACATGTTACACCAGTCCCAAACTCCAGATTGCGGAAGAGCTCATGGCCATCGAGACTCGGATGATGTACTGGTGCGTGTATGCGTGTGTGAACAAGAGGACTCTGACGAGGCGAGACGTGAATTGAGACTGCAGTGTAGCATGGGGCACGCAAATCCTTTCTTTTCGCCAACGAAACACCACTAGTTGAACGAAATTAGATGTATGTAGTTGATATTGCAATACATTTGCCAATTTGCTCATGTTGCCAGGAGGCATTTCGATGGAGGAGATTTGGTGACGGAGTCATGACATATGGATTTCTGCCTGTGGAGTGTCAACGGAATGACGCAGTTGGGATGATTCAGGCGATTGGAGAGAGCGTTCGAATGTTGATCAGATCGGACGCTGATTGCGTATAGCGATGTCAGTGGTTGAAACGTACGACACAATCAGAAGCCATGACAATAGCCCGAGATGGTGCAATCACCGCTGCGCACATAGCACAGAGGTCAATGCCGATGACGATGTTCTTTACCTAGCGATCAAACGTAATCGATGACTGTCGCATGACAACGCTTGGTTGGATCGATGGTTCACTTGAGCATCGCGATGAGTGTGGTGTTTGGAGGACTGATCAACGTTACGAAGGAAGAAGATTTGCAACATGCAGCAATGCCTCAAGCTGTATGAGTACTTGCTGGGCAGCCGATCTGCAGAACGGTACATGTAGTCCACTAACAAGCACATGGCAATCACGGCCCCACCCACACTCTTTGCCCATGTTCAACTTGGGCATGCGGGCTGCATGCGCGTCATTGGAGAGGATGTACCTGATGACGATGTTGGAAAAGGGTCTTCAAAGCAGGGCAGATGATCTGCTCTTTTCCTGGAATACGATGGCTCGGCTGGCTCCACAGAAATGGAAATAGAAGACGAAAGAGTACAATGCTTGACCTGCCGGGAATCAGAATGCGCACACCATGAGTGCAAGTTCATCATCGATGAAGCAAGGCGGCATCGTCGATGCTGGCGTCTCACACGACAAGTGCCGGGCGAGATATTTGGCGGGACGTGTCGGCTTGTTATCTTGACATAGATGGATGTATATTTGACGGCGGGCACCAGATTAGGCACAGTGGTGAAACGAGCAGTCGGTCTTTACAGTGGAGCGGCGAAGACGCGAGGGTTGAAACATGAGGGCTGGAGGCGTGTGGCGGGGAGATTTTTTATGGGGATGGGAAAGAGCAGCCGAGAGTGGCTCTGTCTCCAACGGTTTGCACGCACCGCCGCCATCGGGGGCATCGAACGCATCTTGGGCTCAGGCCATCAGCATCAGCAGGGAGTCACCCGACACGCATGGCGGTGTCAGCAGCTAATCTGCTGCTGCTGGTCCTCCACCTGGCGAGGGCGCCGCGCGGGCCGAAGAAAGGGTCGACTGCCACAGCGTGCCCCCCGGTAGATAGAGCGCAGCCATCAGAAAAGCATAGCAGCATCGCGCAAAGGACAGTCAGTGACACGCCTTGGCGAAATGCGGGCTGCCGATAGGCACACCATGGCCTGGATCGAACGCACCCACCCGGGTTTAATCATCAAAGAAAGAGGCGCCTGGAATCTCCATGGCCGCCATGATCGACGATCAGTTCCCTGTCCGCGTTAGTCCGCCGTCCTTGGCCAATCACGCCCGCCGCCGCCGGACCACCATCCTTTGCAGTTTTTAAACATCGAGATGCTCTTCTTTGCCATGACATGGGCATCTTTGCGATTCCGATCCCTTACCTACGCCATCGGTAACATTCCTCTTTCCAGGTGGCTGCTGAATCTGCATGTCTGTGTCTGCCCCAGGGAAAACGACTCACTGTGAGTCCAGCCTGTCTGCATCAGCCATCGCATAGTCCAGTGTCAAATTGTGAAACATGTTGCAACCGCACATCCATCTTTATCGATATTGGGTGACATGGTCATGGCGGAAACTCGGATCCCACTAGACAAGACAAAGAAAATTCTCCTATCGTATCCACAATCATGAGGGGGGAACGCAGGCGCTTGGGAACATGGCATTTATTGACTTCGCAAAATGGGTATCCTTGAATAATCCTACAAAACTATCGTAATTAAGCGGCCATCCTACCAGAGACGGACCCTATAGACCAAAAAAAAATCAAGACCTGCTCTGCGTTCCTGCGCTACTACTCAGGCATCGTGTCCCGACGTTTGCCCTGATTCCTTGTTTCCTTTCGTCCTCAATTCCCCCTCTTCTCTCCGCCCAAGATCGGTCACCGCGCTCTGGATGCTATGCTTCCGTGAATCCAGCCAGGGATATGTGCATAAAGCGAACCTGACTCCTGCAATAGACCAGCAGAGCTCCTCTGGGGCCGGTGCGCATGACTGTGGTGCTCCAGACTAAAGGCTGGACATTTGCTATACTGGACGGGCAGTTGGCGGATGCTTGAAAACACCGCGATAAGAATGATATAATGATGATGGTGATGATGTTACTTGGTATGCGTAGGAGATGTGTGCAAGTGCAGAAAAGGTGATTCAGCCGGCGCAGTATCCAGTCATGCGGGCACAGTGGTTGCAGTAGTAGATGTTGACGCCGAATTGGATCATGCCAGACCCGCTCTCGCGGCGGCAACGTGAGCAGCAGAGCATCGGGGAGACTCTGGCGTTGGGGGTGCTGGAGGAGCTGGAGGAGCTGGAGTCGGAATCGCTGGATGGAGTAGTCGAGTTCTGTTGCAATGGCTGGGCAGCAGGCCTGTGAGCGGCCGAGGTTTGCAGCTGGAGGAGCTTGGAGGAGTGCGCAGTCGAAGACATACAGCAGTCGGTGGTGGACTCGCGAAAGGCCAGCAGCGGATTCCTAGGGTCGGCGGGGATGTCTGGGGAATAGGCGGACAAAGGGCTGGTGGAAGGCGTCTCCAGGGAGTAGTGTGCCGAGGTGTTGATGACGGGAATGGAGAAGTAGCAGGCGGGCGAGGATGGTGTGGTGAGCATGTGGCTGTTCATGTCGGTTGGGTTGGAGTGCAGGCAGGAGGTGAGGGAAGATGTAGTGTTTGATAAATGGAGGGTGACGGGGGTAGGTGGATGGGAGAGAAAGGATCAGCAGCAGCAGGGAGGGCTGGGCGCCTGGACTGATATAACTGACTGACTGTCGTACCGTCCGGAGGCAGTAGCGAGCGATCAAACAAATTATGCGCGTACCATGGGATGCTTCATCGAGCGATGCAGAGAGGCCAACGCTACAAGGGACCATCGGTGATTGGGCCCCGCCACGGTCCACCACGCCTGCGACTCACTCACGCACTGCCTCGAGCCAGAGCGAACACGCACCGCACAGGCTCGCTGGCAGTGGTCCCCGACCGAGCGGAGCGTCGGGGCATTTTTTTCTTCGTCTCTGCTGTCTCGGCTGGCCATGGGCGCATGCGGCCATGGGGGGCAGATCGGCCATCAAAGGGCGATCTAGAGTGCACGTCGACGTTAGCGTCCGCGCATGCCACGCAAGGCTGAAGTCAAGTGAGGGGTTGCCGCCGGGGAGGAGGCAGAAACATTCGCGGTATCCACCTGGCTCCAACCACCCATCATCCGCCTGCTCCGTCGCCACAGCAATTCCCCCATGGCATTTTGGCGCCAACTCATCGACATTCTGCCTCCCCATCGCGTCTGACCCCTCCCATCGACATCTCCATGATCTCGATGCAGAGCTGCATACATGTACTGGCCACACGCGCTCTCGTCACCAGTGTTCCGACTACTCTACTCTACTACACTACTCAGTCGTTCCACCAGCCTCCTGACCTCTGCGTGCATCGTCATCCTTCCGACAAATCTTGATGCTGCATGCTTTCTTTCTTGCTCTCTTCTTGCTTTTTTGCGTTGCTTTTCGGGCCCTCCCCGCCGTCCTGCTCATCAAACTTTATTGTTTGCTCCCCGCCGAGTCGAAGCTGCTTAGTACCCAAGTAATCTTTCGGCACTGGCGGGGATAACTTGCGCAACGCCAGTCCATTCGTGCTCCTGTTTTGCAGGCCAGCAGCCAATGCCAGCCACAGCCACCGCCGCGTATGCTCACCAGTCGTCTGCTTCAGATAGAGCCACTATCCATCTACATGGTGCACCTACAGCCAGATTGTAAACGGCATTCGACGCCTTACTCCTGCTCTCATGCACTGTGCAAGTGGCTTGTGAATGTGATATCGCCGCCAACGAGTTTCAGTTCCCAGAGTAACACACACACACATGCACTCCGTCTTCATTCATGCTACCAAACCTCAACACTGTTGTGTGTGTGTGTGTGTGTGTCCAACGTGGAAAGGCTGTTCACCGGTACCACATGGGACAGCCAAGGTCTAGACCACCAGTTGACAGCCTCCCGGACCGGTCAGTTGAGCATCTCATCTACACCGGCGCCGAAAAAGCGGACCGAATTCGATAAGAGCAAGCAAAAGGTAAAAACTCAAAAAAGAAACTTTACGGGAACACTTACCCAATGCTTTTCCCATCTGCGTTGTTGACCGAGGCTGCTGCTACTAATCAAGCCCCACTGTGGCTTTGGAACAATAAAAGTGAGAGGAGGACATGCGAATAAGAACAAATACTGCCCAGTTGCATCGCTGCATCTCTCTCGGTCGTTGCTGGCTATGCCTATTGCATTGTCTCGAGAACTCTTACACATGTCGCAGCGACCAAAGACATATTCCATCACAAAGTGAGCCCATGAGTGCGGATTTAGCACCTGGGCAGCGTCATCTCGTACCAGCTAATCCCACTTCCCACCATCTTGGCCATTTCAGCTGTCTAGGGCAATCGTTTAGTATAATGTTCAGAAGTGAGATATCAAACTCCAAACCCCTCGGGTGGACAATCTGCATGCCATCAATGGCCATGTAACTTGTAGTGTGTAGTCCTTGTTGCTGCTGCGCTGGTTGTGAGACGCTCACTCTTCCATCTGTTATCAGGATGCGTCGGTCCAACACCCAGGCCTAACGAAGCCGGTAGAAAACGCCAGTAATCAAGGCCAGAGTCCTCTTTCTTCTTTCGCACCGAGAGTCATTCTTGGTCATCCCGCACCGCGCCTTGCAGTTGATACTAATCCATTTGGCCACGACAGTTGGCGCGCCGTATCTGTTGTCGTTGATCTTTGATAGACCGACCATTCATCCCACTTCCATTGCCGCCCCAAACGAAACAAATCAAACTGCCCCACCAACACCAACACCACCACACCGGCATTGCCCCTCCTTTCCATCGCAACCACCCTTCCATCCTCCATCGACGCTGCGCATTCACCAAAGCCACAATGGGAAAACCCCCGAATCTATACGCCTTCCAAGGCGCCGACGAGCTCGCCCAAAGCCTGCGCGCCTACGTCCTCGAAGCGCAGAACAGCGCGCTGACCCGACACAAAGTCTTCCGCGTCGCCGTATCCGGCGGTTCGCTGCCCAAGATGCTCGCACAAGCGCTACTGCGCGAATCGACCGGGGACGACAAGGACAAGGTTGAATTTGACAAGTGGGAGATCTTCTTCGCTGATGAGCGCGCGGTTCCTTTGGATCATGAGGACAGCAATTACAGATTGGTCAAGGAAGAGATTCTGGACAAGGCTCCCGCCGGGCTCGGCAAACCGAAGGTGTATGCCATCGACGTCAAATATCTCGACGACGTCCAGGAACTGGCCGATCAATACGAGCAGACTTTGGTCAACGCTTTTGCCTCAAGAGACAGCGTTAGACTGCCCGTGTTTGACCTACTGTTGCTGGGGTGCGGTCCAGACGGCCACACATGCAGTCTGTTCCCAGGCTCCCCTCTGTTGCGCGAAAGCGACGCATGGGTTCTCCAAATCTCAGACTCGCCCAAGCCTCCACCGAAAAGAATCACGTTGTCGCTACCTGTTGCGACTCATGGCGTCAAGATTGCCTTTGTGGCTACAGGAGGTGGAAAGAAGGACATCATGAAGCAGATATTCGATACGGACGAGGGTCAACAGCTGCCCTGCGGTCTTATCAATGCACAAGGGCAAGAAAGAGTCAGCTGGTTTGTCGATTATCCCGCAATTGAAGGCGTGTCTTTCCCGGCTCGCCGAGGAAGCCTCTAGATAGGCACGGGGCGTGTAAACCATATCATTATCGCACAGCGCTACCATAATCTAAGGCCATGACGGGCTTTGTCATCGCCTAATGGTTTGATGTGACCTTGAAAAGTTGCAGTTTTCGTAGAGCACTTGAGGATACCACGTAAAAAATATCACATGTATTCCAGCTGCACCCAATCAGAGCCGTGCTCATGCGCGCCTTGGCACTCTCGAAAACCATATCGATAAGTGATGTTTGTTTGTGTTGTTTGACCGCCAGAACTCAGCATTCAACCAACACATCTGCGACCCTCACACAATGCCTATACCTACGCTTTCCTCGCCTTTGAAACTGCGAAGTCGTATCAAGGAGGCTTCTACACGCTCAGAGGTACTGCTCGCATGTCATACAGCTGCATGTGAAGAGATGGACTAACAAGGATAGCGCTCCCAACCCCAACTCGATCAAGCTCGCAGCGGATCCGCCGATACCCAATCCACATCACTCAACGCCACCGACGAACAAAAACGACGAAGTTTTCTGCCTCAACGAGGCATTGCGAGATCCCTCTTCCGTAAGAATGCATCTGCGGATACGCCCATAACGAAATCACAAAACGGAGATGGTCCTGCGAGCGCAAGAGAATCCCTCGACGACGCAGTGCCTTCTCAGACACAACAACACCATGTAAACAGGTCCACTGCTGAGCTTGGTCGCTCCAGGCCTCGATCGTTATACCAGCCTCGTGCAGCTCAGAACCCCATTCTGGAACGGGATGAAACAGATTCAAGTCGTGCCAGCGATAGGGTCAATAAATCGTTACACTCTGGGGGACTGCAGCGCTCGGCATCTTCAAGGCAGCCCGTAGCCCCAAGTCAGGCTACGCAACCTGCCAACAGCCGTGGTCATGCTCGAACAAGGTCCACCGCTACCGCTCTGTCTAAAGGCTCCACAGAACGTCCACGGTCCCTTGTGTCGATGCCCGGGCATGGCACCAAGCCGACCTTGAGTGTTGATTTGGACTCCTCCGCTGCTGCCCCGCGTACATCTGCCAGACTGGAAGCTTTGAAACGATCAAGTAGTACGAGAGCCAGACCAGAATCTGTACGCGATCGCCCAGCTGCTGCTACGAAACCTGCGCCTCGTGATGTATCTCAATCTCAAAGCGGTCTGCACGAAGTGCCAAAAGTCGACTCGTCGAAGTTGGCTCGTCCCGCATTTTCTACTCTCCAACAACATTTCACTCCTCGCAAAACTGCGAAGGCAGCAACGTCGACATTCTTCCACCCACCTCCGGATGTCTCTGCTGCACATCTTCCGCAAGAGGTTATATTACTTCAATCCGAGCTTCTGCAACTTCACTTGCTGCATGCGTCATCGGCACAGACAAGTAGACAGTGGGAATTAAGTGCACAAGAGTCTTTGCGTGGTAGATTTGACGAAGTTGCAAGCTTGTATCGAGTGATGCGAGAATATGAACGAAACGAGATGGAGCAGAAAAACATCCAAGCTCTGCGCGAGCTTAACGGCGCAGCCTCGTTCTCCGGGCTCGCCAAGCACTTACAAGCACTTTCAGGCCCCCTCAATGAAGCGCCAGCTCTTTTGGACTCGGGCGGACGTTATCACGATGTCCTTCGCCAGTTTCAGGAGTGGATGAGACATGTTGAGGAGATATGGTCGCTGCGGAACAGCAGTTCTTCAGGTGGTTTGAGTGAGACTGGCTCGATCGAGAGCCTTGATGACTGGTGGAAAGAAGAGAATCAAGTCTTGACGCGAAAGCTGACTTCGTTCTTGCGTGACCTGGACAGTCTCCAACCACCAACATCTGAATCAAGCATTGCATACATTGTCACTGTCTGCAAGCAACTACTCGAAGGAATGGTGGCAGAGCTGAAAACCATGCAATCCATCCATGCTGATGTTGTGGCCAAGGAAGAGATGTGGGTAGAGGACTGTTTACGGAAAATCGCCCAAGACATCGGGGCTATATTGGAAAACAACGAAGAGGAAGAAGCGTGGCGCTTCTAGCAGCGATTAGGCAATATAAGAAGAATGCATTGGGCGTAATCAATTCGCAACATGTACGCCCGTTTACGGAATATGGGTACCAGTCCAACAAACTATTCTGAATGCTGATGATTACTACCAGGTGTGCTGACGAAAACCTCTGTCGGCATGACGCATAATCAGTTCGCTATACACGCTGTGGTTATCTATGGCTGAGGCGGGCGGTGATATTTTTTTAACTACTGCCATTTGAGTGTCGGCCGTGACTGTCGTTCTGAGAGTGTTTATGCGAAGACCTCAAGATTAGTAACCGCACTAGGCTTGAAGTAGAAGGTGACCGTCAACATTTGGATGACTAAAGTCATCACTCAGCATTCACCATCATTGCTACTTGTCCACTCATACAACGTTGAACCATGCAGATGCTTCGGGAGGATGCTGTTAGGGAGAGTGTGCAACGTTCGCCCTTCCCGTCAAGCATTTCGGTGCATTTTTCTCGCTTTTATACGATGTCATTAATTCCTTCTCCAATGAGTCTAATGTCTCTGTACAATATCAAATGCCACGACTTGGCATTTGCCATACTCACAACGTCAAGCCGCGAGAGTCAGACGTACGCCTTGCACAGCTAACTATACCTGGTTTAGATTCGATTCGTCGTCACAGCTGGAGAGCATTCTGCACACAGTGCTTCGCTCTGTTCTGTGCGAGGATTCAATGTAGCTTGGATCAATTCCTGGTTCATTATTCACTTTTTCCATCTCGCAATTACTTGGTGTCAATAATTGGGTATTAAAATCGCTTCGGTCTTCCTTTATACTTACTTCCTTTGAGTCCCGGGCCCTGTTGACAATACCCTAAGCCACTGTCGCGTCGAAGAGAAGGCGTATGCTCGCTGCCATTGGTTTCTGATCCAACTCATGAAATCGATTCTGAACCGAAAACGCTCACACGAGGAAGAAAATCCAGTGCAATCGCAATGGAGGCGCAGGGATGCTTTTAACTCTTCCCCGTTTGAAAGCGTATCCCGGCTCTCGCAGCATACCGGTGATTACCCTGTGGGCGGCGCCTTAGTAATTCCACGAGAGAACACTGGCCGCATGTCAGCACCATCTATTATGGTGGGGAAGTCGGTGATATCTCCCCCGACTCAAGATCAGCACGATGATCATTTTCCTGAATTGAAGTCTTCGTTCCGTCATACTCAACAACCTCAGCAACATCTATTGCAATCGAGTGATAGAACCGCAGGTAAGCTCAGGTCCCAATTCATATGCATAGCAACGTTTTCAGAGCGCATTATGCTCCAAAAGATAACAGGCACTGGAACGGGGCTTTTATCAATCTACGGATCTGGTGTATTGATTCCAAAGCTTGATGTGGCTCTGAACGGCTGTAGTATATACCGCTAAAGGGGGAATACAGTTTCTTCAACTACTCATGAATATGTGGTAGAACCAGACAAGGAGTTTGCCAACCACGAGCTTCCAGGCCCAATTGGTACTAACCCAGTGCCGCCTGCAGAAGCAGGGGGTTTGATCAGTTGTCCATCCGGGTGCAAAAGCCAAGAATGTTCCAGCACTCGCGCTCTCACGCGCCAACTTGCCGCTGAGTTGCCGTTGATCGAGTCTAGAGCTGGAGTGCTATCGCAGCCAGGTCCTCATTTACCTAGCCCTGTAAGTGTGCTCCTCTCGTCTTCTCTGGCACACTTTATTACACAATAGCCACGAATATATGACACGGTCACGCTGACTACGAAACTTCAAGCCGCCAGGATCACAAACTAACGATACCAAAGATATCCTCCTCCAAGCGCTAGCTATCGAGCAACGGACTGATCTCAAGCTACGAGAATTACTTTATCATTCTTCGTCGCATGACCTCGATATTATAAGTTCGCAGCCACTCGATATACCTGCCGTCATGAAACGAGGCTCACCTCATTCAAGCGAACGTGAGGAGCAGCCTTTCTCGAACAGACAGTCCACTACCCCCCACCATGGGCGCTCTGATTTCGGGTCTACAGTCGCGTCTTCAGATCAGAACCGCAGTTATCCTTACAGTGTCGATGGAGTTGCCATGCCAAACCTCCCAAATATTACCGCCACTTCCGGTTCAGTGTTCTTCGGCCCTCAATCATCCGGGCAAATCTCTCAACCTTCCAGACCTGGAGTGCTGCCAGCACCTTCTTCATTGAACGCTATCAACCAGTCTCAAATCCCATCTTATTCACCGCCCTCAGCGGTCGTGCACAATCCGACCCAATCTTCTCATCTACAAGACTTGCAGCACCAAGTCAGTGTTAAAACACTCGCATTCCAGACGTTACAGCGGGAATATGACAGTCTTATACAGAAATTGGAACGCCAGCAAATAAAATGCACTACTCTCGAGAAGAAGTTCGAAGTCAGTGATGTAGAGATCAACACATTGTTGGATGAAAAGGAGAAAATGCAGGCACAAATTGCTTCACTAGAAACTCAAGTTGAAGAGCTACAACAGAGCAGGGACGACACGCGCAGCGAACTAGTTGCAAATGGAGCTCAATATATGCGCATTGTGGAAATGGCGAATCGTCTGCAAAACCAAGGTGCAGAAGATAAAAAGCGTTGGGAGGCTGAGAAAGCAGAGTTACAGCAACGAATCCGCGTACTAGAAGAGGCAATGGTCACAGGGCCCGACCCTCAAGATTCATCTCGTATTCCAAACACGGTGATACATGGGGTAGGCGAGAGTCCAGCAATATCGTCCTCTGCTATCGAGACTCTCAATGTTCTACGAAACGAAGTTGGGCGGCTTCGACTACGGACAACAACCCTCGAAACAGCTCTATACACCATGAGAGATGAAACTGCTACCATTCAAGAGGCTGCTAAGAAGCTGGCGCAATCTGGGGCAAAGATCGAAAATGTTACTAAAGACGTGCTGAGTGAATGAAGATGACTACTTCATGCAACAGGGTCCAGTTGGTGTATTCAGCATTCTGGGTAGGCAATTCATTCGGGATGTATCTGATCCTGAAGGACAGATAACTGGTTCGAACAGTGCCATCAAAAGATTTTACACAATCAACAACAGGATTCTATGTATGCTTTACTCGAGAATCCTAGTCTAGCCGTTGCTCGCTCCCTAATCACTTTTAATTCGAGTCGTCTCAGGGTCCTCCTCAAACTCAACTTCGTTGTGGATCAACTCGATCACTTCTTGAATCTAACTTGAGAGTAGATACATCAGCCTCATGATGCACTACCACTTTGACCAGCTGGAAAAGGCCCGCCTCCACTTATTAACGCAATGTGTTGTGAAACCTTCGCAGAAACTACAAAATCCCTACACTCGTTCATGCATTGAACAGATGAGTCATCGAATGAAGATGAAGAAAAAGCAACCAAGCGCCACCAAGCGCCGGTTTCTTTTTCGTCTGGAGATACTGTCACCACAGATTAATATGCTTCTCTACTTCTCTTGAATCCCGATCACAATACACAGACCCCCTCCCCTATTACACTTCCAAGCTCAATTCGGCATTTCCAGCGAGTTCCCAACCCATGCGTGCATGTATGTACTATGTACTCCGGATTTTCATGGCATCAACCGATGCAATCTTTCTGTCGAACGGTCATCGGTGTGGTCCGTGTGTGCGTCGCCATATGCTCAGTAAGCGTTCAATACAAGGACCGAGCGGTGCCACATGGCCGCTCCCCTACCCATAATCCTTTTGAAATATCGATGTACCATGTTGGGAACCCCGTCTTGGAAGACCTTTTGAGCTCGCTTTATGGCTCGAGAGTTGTTATACCATGGTATTTTGAACAAGGAATCGTATCGCTTCTACTCCATAATCCGATAGCATCGACGAACGATAGCATCGACGAACAGATAGCCGAGAGATAAAAAAGGGTTCCCTGCCCCCAGCATTTACCCTACATGTCATATATGAATGCGATCAAGCAGCATCAGTAAGCCATGTCTTCATACCAGGCAATCCTTGCCTCAACCAAACAATATTGAATCCATCTCCACCACGCACCACGGGCCAACCACATAGCACCAGCACACCATACCACAGCACTAGCCAAGAGTATGCCTAAATTTCAGCCTTATCTTCCGTCCCTTACTCCCAAGGCAAGAGCGGCTTGAAGCGAGCTTCGCTGGGTGAACAAACGCGAGGACCTTCCTCCCAAAACACGGGGAGGAACTGCTTCTTTTTCCCTCATTCCCCTTCCGTCACCTTTTTTCTCTGTTGGGTGAGTGAAGAGGAGGGCATGTACAGCCTGCTTTAAACTGTAGATATGCCGTATTTGTACGTCCCGAGACTACATGGAACTTCCATGTAACACACAGGCAGACCCTGGCTCACTGCTTGCCGGTTCAAGTGCGCTGACAGTGATGACGGCGTGCCGGTGTTACTGCGTTCAATAATGATGGCTTGTTTCTCTCGGATGAATGGACGGCTGGAAGTGGCGATGAGTAAGTCGTTGCGGCTCTTGCATTATCAGTGTTTGTTTTCAGAACGGAGGGTGGAGTAAGAGGAAGGTGCGACTAAACACGAGCGAGAGCGAAGCTGTGGTTTTTTGCAGCTGTTCGCTGACTTGTTTTGCGTCCTCGGTCTTTATTCCTTGCTTTTCTTCTAGCTGGCTGCTTGGCTTCACTTCCCCTTCTTCTCTCGGATTAGTGAACATTGTACCCCCCTGTTTGCCCTTTTTTCCCCTTTCCTTGGGTTTGACTATTTGTGTGAGCAACTCGTCGAGGGAAGGAAGAAGGGGCAAGATGATGCGCGAGATCTAGTCAATTCAGATGTTAGAGGGGACTGGGCCTTCTCGCGCGCCTTTTCTGTCTTGCTCCACCCTCGTACTCTAAGTACAGCACGCTTAACATCTGCATGGGTAAGGAGGCAGGGGAACCTGGGAAGTATGTCCGTTCATTCGTACCTTGCCCAATCCCCAGTGAACTGAGAGATAGTTTGAAAGCTAGCAATAACTAAAAATCTATTCGTTCCATTCGCTCCATCTCCTCCCTCGGTGCTGATCCATCGACTCACTAGCTCACTAGTCGCCAGCCCCACACTAACATGTAGCACTCGATCTTATCCTAGGCCTAGACATCGATCTCATTGTACATCATCGTTCATATCTTCTATTATGTCCCTGAGTCTTAGCATGCCAAGTTACTACTCCCCATTTCCCGAGATATAAGACTTCACACAGTGCGTGGCATTAGATCCCAACAAGTTCATCGGTCTTCCTCCACCAGGCAATAGTTTATCATCTGGATTCTTCTCGTGTCTCCATCGTTCTGCAGCTTCAAACTCAACTACAATCCCCACAGCGCTAGAGAAGCTTTGAAGTTTTGAAGATTGAACTAACCAACGCTTCTAGTGATGATTCTCGGTCAGAGCTTGACATAATATTCAGTGACCAGAGCCATAGCGAGAGGGTGGCAATGAATAGTAATGATGACCTTGTGCGGTTCTGACATACATGGGGAAATGATAGAGACAGACGTCTGTGTACAATACATGGTAGTCATGTCATATCAAGATACCACATTTGATGGCGCTCTGAAATCCTGGTAAGCCATTTCAGTGGATAGTTTGAGTTTCAACGCAGATCAAGATATGGGGAAAAGGCCTCCAGATCCTCTAATTACCATAGTGGATCAGTTGACCTTCATAGGTGATTTTTCCTTCATCACAGTGGCCAAACTAGCCCTTGCTATTGTTGTTTATGCCTCTGATCATCCGCTAGGTTATTGGTTTCTGGTATCTCAAGAGTCGTTGTGATTGCAATGAAACACAGCTACTCCAGCGCACATGGCCGTGTTGATACCCTACGTTTAACTAGCTTTTCCCTGTCAGGTTATGAAAGTTTACGGATCCCTGAGCAGAGCACGTAGCCCGGCGTATATATAGATGAGCATGGGTAACATCAACGAGGACGTTTCTTTATCGGACCGGTAATGTAGACGAGGGTCAGCCATATAGCTGATGTCTCCTGAGGCTGCACCATGGGATCAGAGGGCAAAGTGATGATAGTCAAATCAACAACACATGCACATGAACAGAGGCACATTGATGCACGTGAACTTGTCCAAGGAGTGACATTCCACTAGACTCGTAGTCTGCAACCAGCAGATGGTATCTCGCATATCATATCTCGTGAACTCCGCAAACTCCTCAACAACTCTGCCCCGATGCATCGCTTTCGCTTCCCACTATGCCGAACCTAACCGCTAGAAACACCATGCTCCGATATGCTGACAGTCCGACTCAAAGTAAGCTTAGTTGGGGCAGGTCTAGAAGATGTCAGCGTTGGCACATAGCTGCGAGGATAAGTGAACACTTACACTGCCGCACGAGCCGCAGGACTTGGAGCCATCGGTGATGCCGGCGCCGCACTTGGGGCAGGAGGAGTGCATGTCGACGAGGATTTCGTAGGATTGCATCTTGGATTGTTCTGAATCTGTTCTTGTGTTTTTGTCCTTTGGTGGTGTTGTGTTTGCGTTCGGTTTGTGCGAGGGGAGAAAGACGTTGGGAGCGGGGTGGTGGGGTTCATAAAAGTACAGCAAGAGCTGCCTGGCCATGCAGGGCAAAGGGAGCTAGCGCAAGCGGTCATCAGATGACTCGCGCACTGGTGGGGTTGAAGCTGGGAATGATTGGATACAAAGGCTGGGTGGGTGTGTGGCCTACATTGTATACGATCGTAAGAAAGATGTCGTGACAAGCTGCTGGAGCTGAATGATAGCGGGCAGGAACAATATGTTGAGGGATTATGGTGGTCTCCCTACCACCAAGATGAACAAGATAAACGCTGGCAGCGTCAAGCTCTCCTGTGACAGATGACTTCGCCGTGAATGACCAGAAACCAACCGTCGTCCTTCTTCTCCATCTCTTTCCATGCCTGCGAGAGCTCTTCCAAGTCCGCTTGCGTTCCATGGTTTCCCTTGATTACCTTGTCACGGAACTCGCTTTTCAATGTTCGTTCAGCCCAAAGACCACACCAGAACTCCCTTTCATCTGGTGTACTGAAAACCCAATTTCCCACTGTTGCATCGATGTCGCTCCGTGGAAAGCCAGCTTCCATCGCTACCGCGTGCAATCTTTTCCCGATATTAGGATCGAATCCAAGACCCTGGGCGACCTCGATATACGTCTTTTTCCATTTATGTAGGCCCGGATGATCTGGATAGTGATTCATCTAGATTCGCCGGTACACAATCAGCAATGGTCGACCACATTTGTGTCAAAAGCGTTCAGTTTGTGACCTAATACTTACCGCACTGTAGTCTACATCTCGAACTGCGACCACACCGCCAACTTTGACTAACTCTTTAAACTTTCCCATTGCTTTCAGTGGATCTTCAAGATGCTGGAGTACTTGGTGTGCATGAACAACATCGAAACTTTCTTTTTCGATGCCAGTCACTTGTTTCCAGTTGAATATATCCCCTAATTCGAATCGAACATTCTTGACACCTTGGTCTTCGGCATACTTTCTAGCTTTTTCAATGACCTCGATAGAAGGATCTATTCCCAGAACAGATCCGTCGGGTACGCGCGCAGCAAGGTCCGCAGTAATCGTTCCAGGACCACAACCCACATCCAAGATTCGAAGGTCCGACTTGTTCAGATATGGCAGAAGATGCGGACAGGAATTCTCAACTGTTCTCCAGCTGTGCGATCTCAGTACCGAGGCGTGGTGACCGTGCATGTACGAGCTTGACATGTTGTGACACCTCGGGCTTGTTGAAAAGAAAAAGGGAAACAGAAGTACTCGGTGATTAAATGACTGAGTCTATGGCAGCGTCTCCAATGATGATGATTCCTATACGAATTGATGCTGTGGCAAGAATAACACAGGGTGGGGGGAGGTTTGGAGGTACTGTGCAACTCCGAGATCGGCCTGGCATTGAACCATGAGAATAATCATAGGTGTCACCGGCAATAAAATCGGATATAAATGTGCGATAATGGAAAATCTGTGGAAAGTGTCAATCGCTCATCGGAATTCACGAGCTCTCTTCCTCTCCACGACACAGTAAAATATGGCATCTAACGGCTGCACTACTACTCTTAGAGTAGATATTAATCTGAAGTAACGAGAACCAGGAAATATCCAGGGAGCGTGGATCCGCCAAATAGGTACTCATTACTAATCCAAGGAGTTTGATTTATTCATGAACCATACTTGAACTAGCCACATAAATACTTGAGTACTTTGTGATGCGGGGGTACGGTCATTGAATGCCAGATGTTGCGGTAGTGTTGAGTTCACTAATGAAACCAGCTTGCGTGTCTCTGACGCAAGAAGAAGGTGGCACATTCAGGTACGGGTTGCGCCACAAGCCACGAATGACATCACATTCAGGCATAGTCGCCGTTACTCCAATCGACCAGTTGCCCTTCCGCTTTTCGTAAACAGAAACAGCTCCCAAATCTCTTTCACCCCTGCGCCCACCCCATATCAACATGCGATCATGACGAGAACAAGAACGAGTTCCTATCCGCGCCTCACGAAATGGATAGCCAATCCCACAGTCTTACATACTTCTTCAAGTTACCGTTCTACCTGCAATGGCGGACTGCCCTGGTACAACTCCCACGATATGTTCCCCTGTCGATACTCCACATCACTTCACCAAAAGGCCCGCATCCCTTCATCATAGCGCTGCCAAGCCGCAAAAACGATACCATACCCATCTATGTGTTCGTGCCACCTGCACCAGTTCAGCTTGAAGAAGATGAGGACCACAAGGTGGAAAACGGCGAATGGACGGTGCCCGTAGTACTCGATTTCCACGGTGGTGGTTTCATCATGGGCTCACCCCTCGAGCAAGCGCCTTACGCAGCAATGATGTCTAGGAAGCTGGGAGCGGTGGTCATAAGTGTATCTTATCGTATTGGACCGTTTTCACAGTTTCCCGCTGCTATCCACGATGCTGAGGATGTACTGTCCGCGATCCTTGACAAGGATGGCACGTCGAAAGCTGGCAAAATATTGCGGAAGGAGATTCAGCGGTACTATATCACAAGAAAGTCCGAGGTCATGAAAATGAACAAGAAGAAAGGGAACGAATCCACCAAGCGCTCGGCTGTGCGCCTAGAAGGGATCGAAACGATCACACTGGATCCGTCAAGGCTGACTATATCTGGCTTCTCGTCTGGCGGGAACATCGCTTTGAACATGATCATGTCAGTGCCGCCTTGCGCCCAGACGATTCCCACATCGCCAACATTAAACTCTTCCGAAGTTCGAGACCCCAATTCTACCAAGGGCACGCTGTCACCTTTACTACCACCATCGCGAGCTCCTACCAAACTCGATGACCCCCGCGAACAATGGCCATCACTGCTTCCCCCATCCCAAGTCCAACCGCGGATGATACCGTTGCTTCTTTTCTACCCATCGCTCGATGCTCGCATGCTACCACACGAGCGACCAATGAAACCTTTGCCCAACGCTCTCAAGGGCGAAGACAAAAAGCCGCAAAAACAGAAAATGCCTGGCTTGTTCAGTATCATGGGACCGACGTATCTTCCCAAGAAACTACGAGCCCACCCACGCGCGAGTCCAGGCCTAGTCGACCCAGAGAATCTGCAGGAAAATGCTGCCATATTCCTTGTTCTTCCCGAGAAGGATAGCTTAGCAGTACAGAGCGATGTTTGGGTGGACAAAATGAACAGCAGCGGCTGGAATGGCCCAGCTCGGTTCGGCGATGGACGGGAAAACGACTGGAATGGGACCCAGAAGGAAACACCTAGATCCCGGCACAATGGCGGTTTGGAAATATGGCACGCACCTTCGTGCAGGCACGGATGGACACAGTTCCCGCAACCTTTTCTGGGCAAGCATGAGAGGCAGGAGCGGTTGCTGGTGTTTGATAGAATGCTGGATTTTGTCAAAGAGAATTGGACCCGCCGGTTACCAGTTGCTGAAGCGGACTATCTGCCAATGGATCTTCAGCCTGTGGAGATGCCTGCGCACTTCAGTGGCTTGAATTGAGAGCGCTATTGGCATTGACATTGGCGTATGTGGCGGTTAATGGCTTATCAAATGAAGGGTGGGCTGGAAGGATTTGGCACATTGGCACATTGGAGCGTTATAGAGCATCCATTTCTCGAATGAATTCAAACATGATATATTGCTTCGCGTATGATGACGAGTGACCCACTAAATGCCCAACACGCTGTGCTGCATCGCCATGCAAGCCATCGACATAGCCCGCTCGAAAAGAGTGCAAAGTCGGCCGCAGGTGAGTGGTAATGATGCGCCGCGTATATTGCAACGGGTTCCAATCTTTTTTTCTCCATGGTGTACGCGGCACTTCTTGGTCGTTTGCTCGGCGTCGAGGTTGCACTGCCATCCGCGTCATGTACATGATACAGAGAAGATGAAGGGAAGAACAAAAAAGAAAATGCGAGATCGATAGAAGTTACGCGTCCAGCGATCAACACTGCCACTACACGTACACGTCGTTAACAGGATTTACACTACCACCTACTTTGGTAACGAGGGAGGATAGGCACAACCAGGAATCACCATCGAGTAATACTTTTGAAGGAGATCGACATCATTTATCGTACACGCGACAGATCCCCCGTCGATCAGACTAGACCGTTTGAAACTCCGCTGTAGTGGTTGACGATCCCGGAATCGACTTTGCACCGCACTCCACCGTATAACATCGATCAACTCTATACGTCAGGCATCTGCTGTTTTCGCTGCCCGACAAGAAGCGCCAAACTATCACGACGATAATGGAAAGATAGAATAGCGGAGGCGATTGAATGCACGGCTGTGCACGGTATATTGCGTACCAAGGCCGACACGATATTGAGGTGCACATATGAAGATATGTCCTTGGTATGCATTGCATTGCCTCTGTTCGGTCTTGGCTGGACAAACTCGATGTTGAAACACGGTGCATGCCAGCAGTATCTACATGCTACCTAGATGGCAAGTAGTATTACACGACGAGTGTGAAATGCCGACGCCCCTTGGCGGCGCAACAAGACTCGCCGCGCCTACGGGTGATCTGCACGGGTGAAGGCTGATGAGCCTGGTGTGGGCGCGCAGAGTGGCAGATTCGCAGAAAGCCGCGAAGTGCCAAGGGCGAAGTGTCTACAGACGAGGTCTTGGGGCTAAGGCTTCGTAACAAAGTCAAGAAACGGTGTTGCAGTTGGGTTGCAGGACATGGCTTGGCTGCGCGACCGACAAGAGAAGAAACATTGCCGATCTGTAAAAGAAGAACAATAAGGGGTGGACAGAAATCTCTTTCTGTTCCGAGTGGAATTCGGAGCACGCTGTTGGACCAAGAAGCGGTGATTTGTTGTCAGGAGCAACTGGCGGTATGTAAGGAGTGAGTTATGCATTTTTACTTTTGCTGGACTGTTCGATCTACCGTCTAGTCAATAGGGCCGGGAGCGATGAGTATGACAGGAAGTGGAGCAGTGGATAGGACTATGCATGTACCCGTAAATTGCAACCCAGTTGTACTGTATTATCAGCCCTGTACTCGAGTCGGCTGATGCTTTCTTTGGTGATGGAGGATGCTGCAGCCCGTTGTTCCTACGTGTGTAGCGCTCTGGACCAAGTGGATCCGGTCCCAGTAGATTCTGCACTCGGCGCGAATGCCGAGAATGGAAGTAGTCACGACGGGCGAGGGCTTTGCAGTGTCAGTGTTTAACGTTGCGTTGGCGAAACAGCTGCAAATGGGTGTGGTCAACTGGTTTGAACATGAAGAGCATGGCGTTGGTGGATTAGGAATCCTTATCCGTTACAAATGGGCTAGTCGGAAAAGGTCGGGAATCGGTCTACCGCGTTTCCGCTGGTACGAACACCTTCGCAGGACGTCACGTCACTGGCACAGGGATGACAATCAGGAAATGTAGGCTTGGACAGAGAACTGCTGTGGTTATCCTTTGCAGTGGTGTTGCAGAGCAAGCTAGCACGCTTGGGTGCCCCTACCCGCTGTTGCATGTGGTGTGAGTGAGCAGTTGTGTGGATCGGCAGCAGCGCTTGACGAGAATTGACAATGAATCAGGCGAGCAGTCTCAGAGAAGCTGCATGGGCGCTGGAACCAATGTCGAGTTTCTCCAGACGATGCTTGGCGCGGACATATGGCGCGTGGCTGCAGAATGAGGATTTCTGCTTGGAATAGATACAAGCGGGGTAAGGCAGGACATCTGGAGGCATCGTGCCAGCGACCTATACTGAAACGAGGCACGTACGGCGCTTCAGGTGCTGTCAGATGACTTTGACAGCGACGAAGCGGAACATGGCGCGTTCCGTGGTAGGGCGACGGGCGAAGAGCGGTGAGATGGGTGAGATGTGTAGAGAGTGAGGTCTGGGGCGGGCTGTCGAGACGAGGGCGCGAAACAACGAAGGCCCTGGGACACGGAATCATCAATCATCTCATGTAGCGATGCCGATGCTGTCGGCGGGAAGAGGTCGCTCTAGGCTCTGCACATGTCAACAGCCAGAGACTGGTGCCATTGACGATGGATTGGCTGAACGATGGAATGGATGGATGGATGAGCGAGTAGAAGACAAGTACAGTAGGTGCATGGCGGATGCATGTGCTCGCGCTGATTCGCAGGCGGCCAGAGATTGGAAGTGCGTGCAGTGGCATGCCCGTTCCAGCACCACCTGCATCGTCCGGCAGCCTGCAGCGGCTTGCTTGCTTGCTTGCCTGCTGGCTGGCTGGAGCAACAAAGGTCGGGGGAGCGACATGTGCAGTCTGACAATAAGCTTCCATTTGTCAATCTCAGGGTCCGTCTCGTATTCCTTCCCCCTCGGCAGGATTTTTTCTTTTTTTCTTCATTAGAGAGCCTGTCGTGCTTTTCCGTGTATCACGGGGCTGCTTCGGGAAAGGCGCGGCGGAGATGACGCTGAGTAACAGGATGACGATGGTGCTGCTGCTGGCGCTGATGATGATGATGATGACAATGATGGCGGCGGCGGCGGCGGCTGTGTGTGTCTGTCTGTCTGTTTGTGTTGAAGGGAAATTCATGAGTTAGTTGGGACAAAGGAGAGTCGCCGTCGACAATAGCAACAAGTCAGCAGGGCGAAGCTTCTGGCGGCTCATGTCCTGCCAGTCTTTGTCGCCGTGGTTGTGCACAATGCAATTTGCGTCTCGGCGCCCGCCCTGGAACTGCGGTTAGTTCTGTACAGTAAAGTAAAGCCATGGTGATAAATTACTGTTTCCGTCTGCTGGTTCCGCCCGCCCATCGCCCTTGCACAATTGCGCTCTCGCGCACGCACTCGCACCTGCTCGCACCCACCCCCGAACAGTGGCCCTGCCTCTCTTGCTGCTTGAAAGCCCTATTTGTTCCCGCACACTTCCCTTTCTTTTTTCTCCCTTCCCCTTCTGCACCGCACTCCAATCCACGCCCCCCACCGTCGAGAGACGCGTTGCCTCTGCAGCTCTTCTTCTCTCTCTCCAACACCAGCGCGCTGCGACATCCCAACACAGCCTGGCCCCTGCCCTCCTCGCCATCTTCTTCCGTGGTAGTTGGCAGTCGGCGTACGTGCGTGCGTGCGCTTGCTTCCCACACTCGCCTGCCCAGAAATCAGGCTTCGGTCCACAGCCATCCTGCGGCGTCGCCACTGTGCCGATCGCCCACCACTCCCGCCAGGTAGTCCCTCCTAACGTCCAACTTAGCAACAAGCCAAGTCATGACATGTCAAACGCTGACTTCATTTGAGCCGCAGTCCCCTTTCCACTACGTTTTAGAAACGACACTTCATCCTTTCAATATGTTGATTGCCATATCATAACACCACTCGTCCTTCGGGGCCCCACCCTACCCTACCGTACTTCCACCACCATCACCAACCCGTCTATACATCTGTAATACCTCCATCCACACCACGTTCCACCAAGAATAAATTCTCCATCCTCGCCATTCTCTACCACCTCTCTGTCCGCCGGTACCCTCCTACGTACTCAGCATCCCTCGCCAACCACCCCTTTCTTCTTCAACTTGAACATCGACATATACCAGTTTCACCGCAACCGAGAGCGCTATGGCGCAGGCCGAGCATACACCAACAGCCACACAGGGCATGCAAACGAACCGCATCATGTTCAGCATCCCTACCAAGACACCGGATGCCGCACCTCTGGAAGAAGACCTTCTGGACGACGAAGCCGACGAGCCACCCGAACTAGAGCGCACCCCACGCCCTTCGGCCCTGACTCTTCACCAGTCCTTCAAGGCTTCGTTTGCCAAAGCAAGCCCCCATTTGGAACAAAAGCTTTCACTTCTTACCAGTGCGCTGCACTCCAACAATACTTCGCCTGTAGAAGAATTCGCCAACAGCGAAGGTCTAAGCCGAGACAGATCGTACGCTTCTACCTGGAGCAACAATAGCATGTCCACAGCCGAACTCACCAGCGATGGCGGGCTCACAAGCCCTGCCACGCGTACCAGTACCCCGAGTCCTACCCTTCCCCCGTCTTCCTTTCACAAACTGGCACCAGCCTTCAACTACAACAAACCTTCCGGTGGGATTGTTTCAATTGTCCAGCATGACGAAAGCAGTAACCCACTGCAAAGACCACCGATGCGCTCATCCGCGGGAGAAAGTAATGTAGAAGTGAGTCTAGGTCGCAAACGATGCATATCATTCGCATGTGGACCCAAGGCGGAAAAGAAGGCTGAATTGGAACAAATCAAAACGTCACAACCTCCACAAGCAGGCGAGCCACCGAAACGCATCTGCACTATCAAATTTGCTTGTCCTACCAAAGTTTCTACCGACGCTCCTTCCAAGGACAACAAACCTCGGCGTGCAGCGAGTCCCGCCCCATTGCCACGGAGGTCTAGAGCGTCTCCAAAGGTGCCAAAGTTACACCGTGACTCCGATTCAACTGTTCGAAATCCTTCCCCCATCGCTTCACGGAAATCCGGCCCCCGACGATTCAGTGGAAATTCGGATCTTGCCCGCAGCGAAGCATTCCGCTTTCACGAATTCGCAAGTTCCGAAGAAGAGGTTGAAGAATGGACTTTGGAATCAACCTGCCATCGCCGTCCCCTGACCATTAAGGATACACTCAGGATCGAGAACAACCTTCGTCAGTTAGGAGAGGAGGCCGAAGAAGAGGCCCTCGATGACGAAGAGGATCTGGATGGATTAGATGACGATGAGATGGACCTCGATGAGGATGACGACGATTTGGAGGAGGATGATAACAGTGATGAAGCTGAGGATCCCTCATCTGACGAAGGCTTTCAAACCGATGACGAGGAAGGTTTTGCTGGCTCAGACGACGAGAGCGATGCTGGTTCTGACTACAACTGGTGGGCTCCTGGCCATTCAACTGCTGCGACATCTTTCGAGCACCTCGACATCATCCGCCCTACCAATCGCAGAAGCGTCTCTGAATCCTCCTTTGGTTCTTTGGAAAGTGAGCACCATCACTACAAACCTGACAAGACCATCAAGCGACGGAAGTCACGACCTGTGAACATTCGCATTCCTACGCCGGAACTGCCCGACAGCACGGATTTTGTCTGCGGCACGTTGGACGAAGATCGCCCTTTGGAAGATGCGTACCTGTCAGTTTTGGAACGCCGACGCGCTGCCAAGCACAAAGTAACGCCGCAAGATGTCGATCCCACGTTCCCAACGTCGGACCCGGAAATGGACGAGGAAGATGAGGATGATGAGGTCGACCATCTTGCTTCGGAGAGTGATCAGCACCTGATGATGCACGGGCAGATGGATCACGCTGACGTTGACGCTCGCGGCCGCCGCAACAAGACTGGAATAATGGCCAAACGCTCCCCGGGGCAATCACCAAAACGTTTCCGTTCACCTCCACCGCCTGCCAAGCGCAACATGCACAGATCTCCGCCTCCACGCAAGTTGTTTGGGCAATCACCTAGACCCATTCGCTCACCACCTGCTCCTATCCGTCTTCGGTCACCGCCTCCAACTCGCCGTGGATCCTCGATCGTTACGTCACCTAAACGCCCCGGTCTTTCAATTCAATGGAGTGGCCTTGCGGGACGTCCTGCACCTACTGTGTCAGCATCGCTCCCGCGAACTCCCGTTATCAACCGCCCTCTCACCTTCGGGTACGAAGATGACGAGGACACGCCAAATGAGTTCCCTGTCCGTCGCGCGATCGACATCAAAGTAGGGCTAGAAAGGAAACGCCAACGTCGCAAAGAGCAGCTGTACAAAAAGAAGCACTGCAAGAACACAAAAGAGAAGAGACCGCCTCCTGGAAAAGGCTGCGAGCGCATGCGCGAGGTCGGCCTAGGTCTTGCCGCGCACAAAGGCAAAGCCACCGGATTCGCATTCCCTGCTCCTTCTACCCCTGATCAGAAAGACATGCACGTCCTGTCTGTCTAATTTCCGTGCAGAACAACGCCGCTGGCTACACCGGTCGGCACCTTTTACATGGTCTTCGTCGAAAACCTTGTTGGTCGTTGGTCTCACATGGCCGAACGAGTGCTGCTTGGGCACTTGCTCGTTATACTTTCATCATTCTTGCACGCTTCCCTTCTTCCCAGTAGGGGCCCTTTGTGTGTATATGACGGGCCTTGTACTTTTTTTTTTGAATCACATTACTTCTTTTCACATACCTTGTCCATAACTCCTCTTTAGTACATGACTCTTGATGAGAATCTCCTTTGTTCAACACATTCATATTGCGCGCGATGACTTAGCGGTTCAAAGGCTTGATCATATTTTCTTTACTGGGGTGACGCCCACGGGGGACACCATTTGCATTTACATGGGAGGCCTCCCTGGATCGAAATCAAGGTTGAGAGCCGGAGGAGTCTTGAATTCAGCGAATGCTAGGGTGGATGGGCTGGCAATATCTGTGCTTATGCGATGTTTTTTATTTATTTGCATGTTTACTACTACTACATACGTCTTCTACAAGGTCAAATCAATTTGAGTTGAGATTAAGGCATTCCGATCATTAGCAGTTTGCAGAAAGTGACGCGAGTTATATGACGCCAGGCTTGGAATCCACCGCTTGAAGTTCAGCTTGGGTCAAACCATAGCTTGGATCAATGGCTAGCGGGTCTGGCGGTGCAAAGGCTCAGCGTGGAAAAGCCCGAAAGTAAATGAGGCTTCGAGTTTGCAGTAGTTTCTAGCATCGCTTGCACTTGGCTTGCTTGACTTGGCAAGGCAACATTTGAACATTGTAAGCTTGGAGGCCACTTCATCGATGTCAGGACAGACGCACAGCGGCTTCATGTCTTGGGCGAGACATAAACAAAAACAAGCTCATTGCGCAATTTCGGCGAATTGTTGACAGGACAATACAGGGATGATGTCTGAAAATGTTGCTGGGATGGCCGTGTTGTTCCATGTTTCCCCAAGCTCGTTCGTCTCGCCAATGCAAGCGTGGCGCTACCGTGACGGGACGAGCGATCGCTCCAGGGTTTTGCATCCTGCCTTCGCTCCACTACCACCCTGCCTGTCCTCATCCTCCAGCAAGATTGCTCGTCCGTTTTCTTCACTTACTCTTTGTGTGAATAGTGTGGCTTGCTTTGCTACAATGTTGCTACCGCCTTATACAGCTCCAGCATAGTAGCCTTTTTCTTTTCTTCCTCTTTTCTTTTTCCCGGAGAGGCCGCGCGGCTCTTCCTGGCTGGCCACGGGACGAACGCTGTTGGTGTCACCCAGAATTCTCTCCCTCACTTTCTTGACATACTTAATACTTGCCCACCTTAACCTTGTCCCCCAGACGAAATGATCCTCCGGCGACGCTGTGGTGCCTCTGATTGTCTAGCTTTCTTCTTCATCACTTCACTTTTACTGTTCTTCATCTTAGTCTGCTCCATCTTGTACGGCACCCGAACCGAAAGCCCCTCGCTCCCGCCCCTAGTCAAGGAGGTCCTCCCCGCCGGCCGCTGCCTGTGCGAGTTCAGTACCATCTTTCAGTGTGATACTTGCTTGGATTGCGCCTCGAGCCCGGCTGTACTATTGAATACAACATCGGGGGAGGGAGAGGCTTGGATCTTCGACCACCGCCGCGATGGCCATAATTATGGCCTGGATGAAAACCAATGCGATTCGGCGTTCCCTGGTCTATTTGAGGACGTGAACAGAGCCAAGAAACACAGGAAGCAGATTGGCAAAATCACCGAGGAAGAGCTGACGAGCTTCAAGATGACAAAGGGAATGGTGCGGGTCCTCATCTACCATGGTCATGTATGTAAAAAGAAAGACACGCCACCAAACACGCTGCTCCCCACTCTCACATTACCCAAACAAACGAATCTTGCTCACAATTGGTAGCTCCATGTCCTACAAACATTCCTGGTCGATAACGTCAACCGTCAAAAGGCTTTGGCTTCACTTTCCGCTCTGCATCGCGCTCTCATTTCCTCAAACGACCGCTCTGCGACTCCCAACATTGAGTTCATCCTGAGTGTCGAAGATCTCCCCGCTGAACCAGAAAAGCCCCTTTGGGTACTCGCACGCCGTGCACAAGACAAAGAGCTGTGGCTCATGCCGGACTTTGGATGGTGGAGTTGGGACATGCCGCAGATTGGCACACTGGACGAAGTCGCCATCGAGGCTGTACAGCGCGAGAGCATGGAGCCTTGGGACCAGAAGCTAGAGAAGCTCGTATGGCGTGGCAAGGTGACTATGGCGCCGAAATTGCGTAGGGCGCTCTTAGAAGCCGCAAAAGGGCAACCGTGGAGTGATGTCGGACAATTGAAGTGGGCGGCGCCCAACTTCCAGCAACAATTCAAAGGACCAGTCGATCAGTGTCAGTACAAGTTCATTGCACATGCAGAAGGTATGCTGGCAGTTTCCGTCCTCACTCTTGTTACGACCTACTGCAAGCTGGTCTATATAAGTTGTACAAGCATGCATGTGTAACACCCCCCATCACTGACTCTCGTATACAGGACGCTCCTACTCCGGCGCCCTCAAATACCGACAACTCTGTCGCTCTGTTATCGTGTCGCACAAACTGCAATGGATCCAGCACTACCACTACCTCTTCCTCTCGTCGGGTCCCAACCAAAACTTTGTCGAAGTAGAGCGCGACTTCTCCGACCTGTCCTCGGCCATGGATGACCTGCTTGCGCATCCTGAGAAGGCAAAGCGCATTGCCGACAACAGCGTCGCGATCTTTAGGGATCGATACCTGACGGCTGCTGCAGAAGCCTGCTACTGGCGTGCTCTTGTTCGGGCGTACAGAGAGGTCACGTTCGAGCCGCTACTGTATAACAGCGGGGTTGAAGTCGGTGCAGCCATCAAGAGGCGGGAAAAGAGGGGTGTGAGGTTCGAGACTTTTATGTGAGTTCTGCTTCTTTTTGCCCCTTTTGATTGGATTTCGGCCGTGATAAGAACAATCCTTGCATCTCATGCACTCTCCCCCTCTCAACAATGTCGACCCCTTCCCCACTGTCCCTTCAGTCCCACTATCAAGCAATATACACCTCCGTAGTGTGCCGATATCCGAACAATCCATGCACTGGCTGACCACTCACGCGATACCTCCCTCAGGCTCTACGAATCAGACAAGCAGATGGAGTTCCCCCAAAGCGCGGAATAAGCATGCGCTAATGCAGGCGGGAGTTGAAAAGCTTGTTCAGCGGTGGATCAAAAGATGTTGCATGGGGAGGGAGTTTGAATATACCCGTTTGCATGGTCCTTCTGTTATCTTACACTGCATGTGTGCATGGGAGGGGCTGGTTTTGCAAGTCCTTGTTTTTTTTTAGCGGAGTACAAACTGTTCAAGACAATGAATCAAGCATTATGGTGTGACAGTGCCCCAATTACACTTGTTATATTGACATGTTGTTAGAGAGCAAGTCAATGTACCTTGTACAGCTGTTAATGAGAATGACAGTAATGAAGAGATTTCCAAGTACGCTTTCTCGTTGTGTTGTTTGGTCAAAGTGGAGAGAAGAAAATAAGTATTTCGTCTTGAGTTAAGTCAATAAGAGTTAATGTCGGCCGTCAAAAGCCAGTCGTTTCCATCAATGGCAGGTCCGTGTCCCCGCCCTTCCTCCGCTCTGTCTCTCTCTCTCTTTCTCTTTCCCCTCGCCAGGGTATTGCATACACTAGACATTGGGATGACCCGGAACCGATAAACAGGGGAATACGGATATCATCAATAATATGGGCACGTTACACGCGCGCACGAACGCACGCAGCGTAGCAGTTGCCCTGACACCAACCAGCCGGCTATTCCCATTTCATCCACCGAGGGTAATTTCCTCTCTCAGCTTGGGAATACGAGTCCGTCCTGTGCTACCACACCAATTGTGTGTGCACGCCTTGGAAAAAGTGGTGTAGAGGAGGAATAAACTCTTTCGCGCTCCTCGCCGGTTTAAACACTTGCGATAATTGGGTCGTGCAAGGATCGATCGATTGAGGAACAGTTGGTAGTAGAAAGGTTCGAATTCGAAGCCAAATTCAGAGGTGGTGGTAGTGGTAGTAGTTAAATAGTAAGGAGTAATGTGTAAACTCGCAGAAAACAAAAAATCGAGAAAGTGTCCTTGGTAGGTCATGATGCGGTCACAGTAGCTTGTTGGACCGGCTCCACAGCGTCGAGGGATTCGCAATATTGGCTCTTCTCGTTGAGCTCAGGAGCAGCGACAGCGCCTTCCTCTGCAAAAGCAACGAGATCCTTCTCGTTTCCGCTGAGCTGAATCTTGCCTTGCATGGAAGAATACCTGTTTGCACTCCAATTAGTCAAATTGGCTTTACTGGGGGATGGGTGCACTGCTTACCTCGCCCAAACGTACTCGCCAACAGCGTACAGGACCAAGACCAAGACGAAAATGCCGGCAATTTCACTGATCAAGCCATCGCACTTCCTGCCCTTGATTTCGCTCTTGGTCGCGCGGGTGGAATCCGCTATCGTCGTCGTCGTCTCGACCTCAAGCGGCACCTCGTCGACGTACTTCTTGCTCACTTCATCCCAGCTACCGCAGACGACGCGGCTCCCCACCTCGCTCCTGCCCTGACCTCGGGCGAGACCGCCATACAAAGTCATCAGCACGCTCGTAGGGAGCGGGCGATCTACCTCGAGGACGCGTGAGACGGCGGTTTGGCTGGCGAAGGTGATGTCGAGTTTGTTGGCGGCAGCGAATGATTGGGCGGCGTTCCAGGAGAGGTTCTGCGAGTGTGGGAGAGTGCAGGTTGCCGGGGGTGAGTAGGTGTAGAAGGTAAGACAGTGGCATTGGATGCTGGAGAGGGTATCCATTGGAGCAGCCATGGCGGGTGAGGAGAGGACGGCGAGGAGAGTGAGGCAGAAAGCGTAAGTGGGCAACATGGTCGAGAGTTGGTAGGCTGTGGGGTGGATGGTAGTCGAGGAGTGGTGAATGCGCGTAGAATATAAATATGTAGGAACGGTGAGCGGGTTGCGAGGGCGGGCGCTAAGAAAGGAAAGGGTCAAGGAAAGTAGGTGGGGGACGAAAGAGAGTGAGGTTGGGGATGGAGCGACGCAGAGCGGACTTTTAGGTTTCTTGGGAAGCAGCGTGTTTAAAGGGATCAGCGAACCTGAGACGATAAACCCCCCGTGGGCTGGGAAAATACCGCTCAAGCATGCGCGAGCCAGCAGCCATAGAAAGGCCGAGATCAATGCTCAGTGCTGCGCGGAAATTGCTGGATACGAGGGCTAGCGCTTGCGACAGCAGGGACAGCAGGGACAGCAGCAGGGCGCAGCTCCCCAGACTCTCAGGGGACAAGCCCGACGTACGTGTGGTCAAGGCAGGCAGTCAGACAACAAGTCAAAGCTCAGCCCCCCGCCGCGACGCAAACATGGCGCTGCCATGTATGGATGCGTGTCCTTTTTTTCTTGTTTGTTTCTTTGTTCGTGACGATGCCGTGCAGTGGTTCCCTTCACAAGGTTTGTCTGGAGAACATTTGAAGGTTCCAGCGCGGGGCTGCCAGTGGGAGCGAACATGCCACCGCCCACGTGTCAGCAGTAGCGCCAATGGCCAAACATTCAAATGTTCCCTTTGATATCGCATCGATTGTGAAGTACTTAGTTACTCGAGCACCCCCAGCGCCAATCACCCTCCTTTGAGCAAGTCATTCTCGGATGCATTGAGGATTGGAAGAGATACTGCCAATTGCCAAATGCTTGTCAGAGATGTGATGCTGCCCTCTGCCTCTCAACTGCCAAAATTCAACATTCGACCCTCCACCGATACCCAGTGCCCGACGAACATGCCGAAAAGCTAGTCTCCAGCATGGAACATGTCGACTAGGAAGGATTTTAACCTGTTGAATTTCTGTTACACTATGCTCCATTCATTTATTTTCTCCATCATCCTCTTATGTTTCACTGGCAATGCCGCTATCAAGGTTGGCGGGTTTCACTTTGGGCGAGTTATACGGGACCCGAGACTACTACTATCCTGAGCCCATGATTATGTCTTCGATTAACATCCACACGCGGTAGAGCTCGTTGAAGAACACCTAGTCATAGTCATACTTATGCCCAAATCGAATACCTGCCTCCGCCGTAAACTCTGCACCAGTTTCATGGGCTGACAAGGTCTGGAGTGGACCGCGCCTCGACACCTCTTTATTGAAACGCCACCCTGGCCCATGCTGGCTGGTCCTACAACGGGCATCCATCAACCCCCCTGCCTTACCGCAAAAGATAAACAATTGAGGAAACTTGCCGACTTGGCTAGCCACGAGACCCTTGATTTTTTTTTCTCTTCTTTCTCTTCGCGATCCACGCCGTCTAGATGCCCACGGTTCCCGAAACTATTTTGGCTCCACTCTCTAAATATACTCGTTTGTTCTCGGCTGCCACGGATTGCGGCACAGGAACGGGCATAGGGCGTGCTACGGGCTGCTTCCGAGATCCTTCAACGAGCCTAGCTCCAGTCATCGCTGGTCTGGAACGTTTGCTTGTTCCATAACTCCATACATTTGTCAAAAAGAACCATATCTGCTAGAAATTCCATTACATCTTCCATGGTGTATTTTGCATGTAGAACAACGGCTGAGACACGTTATCCATGGGCATGGAACGCGGTTTCGTCTCTGTTGAAACGCGAACGTGGGCGCGCGCCCTAGTGTGCTTTCCATGTTTCGGCGCCCGCGTCGTGAGCGCTTGGAGTGCCAGCATCGCCGCAAAAAAAAACGATAGATTGACTTGAACTTCCCAGGATCGAGAGCCGTTAGTCGAATGTGTTTGTGATAATGAATAATCGCGTGGCTCTGCTCTCAGTAGCCTCCAAAATCCCGCCCTCGCTATACGCTATGCCCAATCAAACGACAGCATGCATTCCCGTTCGGGGTGTGATGGCCCATTAGTAGTAGTATTAGAAGTAGTAGTCAACGGCAAGCTATTGAAATTCCTACTCCATACACTACCTTGTCTTGTAGCCATGTCCCTGCTAACGACTTCATGCTTTCCATTTGCGGACGGAGCCGGCGATCGGTATTTCACCGAAAATACGGGGGAGCTAAGGGTTTGGCAATCAACCACGCCTCGTCCAATACTCCCACGACCTCCTCGGGCAAGGGACCTTTCTCCAGGTCCTTCAAGTTTCCCTCCAGCTGCGAGAAGTTGCTCACTCCAATGATGATTCCGTCGTTCCCACCTTTGACTCTGGTCTTCAGCTCCGAGTGATGCATAGTCCAACGTAGCGCTACCTCCAGCAGCGTCAACCCGTGCTTCTCGGCTACCGGTTCAATGATACGCAATGCCTCGAAGGTCGCGTCCTTGAAGTAGCGATCACGATACATCTTACCCGTCTTCTCTGCCGTCTGCCCGAATCTGCCTTCTTGCGGTAGATGGTCCTTTGACCTGATCTTCCCCGAGAACAATCCTCCGGCGAGCGGATTGTATACGACAATGTCGAGCTTGTACTTGCGGCAAGCAGGAATGAGCTCCGGCTCTATTCCCCTGGTGATGGCGTTGTACATGGCTTGATAAATTGTCGGTTTCACCTGGAAATGTTAGAAGGAAAGGATTGCACTCTTCTTTCCAGGGGGCCAGAAATCAAAGAGTGAAGGTCATACCCATCCGCGTTCATTGCAAATGTTCCAAACCTCTGCAACCTCCCACGCAGCAAAGTTACTCAAACCCAGCTGGACGAATTTTCCCTCTTTGTGGAGGTCATTGACGGCTTGCAACGTCTCGGCGAAGGGGACCGAGTGATCTGGTGCGTGCAGGTAGAAGATGTCTACACTGTCGGACCCAAGCTCCTTGAGAGATGTGTTCGCGTGTTCCTTCAGACGATCGGCCTTGTGAACGCCTGGTTCGTAAGGATAACATCTCGGGTGTACAGTTAGTGAAACATGACTAGACGCCTCATCCAGATTTTGGAGTGAAACATGACTAGACGCCTCATCCAGATTTTGGAGTGGAAGATGCATGCATGTCATCCGAAATGCAACTCACTTGGAGGCAAGCGTAAGCCCGCGGTCCTTCCATCTGTATCGCGCGCAACGGGTTAGTGAAATGTAACCATATATGATTTTGATGCAGTATCGCAGTCTGGAGATGTCTGCAAGTGGAATATCACTCACTTGGCGTCCCGCGTCCAGCCCTCCTGCAGGCCGCCGACGTACATGCGTGCTGTGTCGACCTCATTGTAGCCCTGGGACTGGAAGTAGTCGAGATGCTTGGTGTACTCGTTGAAATCAGTGATCCTAGCGCCAGCCTTCTCGTCGGGTCCTGGGGAATATTAGTGCAACTGAAGGGTTGGCTGTGCTTGGAGGGAGGAGATGGTTCACCAAACGTCATCAACCCAAGGATGACTCGATCCTTTGGGTTTTGAGCTACGAGAGGCATGTTGGACAAGCTTGAAACAAGGCTGTATGTAGTACTTGTGGGGTTCAAAGGTCTTATGATGAGTATGGGATGGAAGGCGAATTCACATTCGGTGTCACGGTGGACTGCGAATCACGGCCACTTGCTTGCCCCCCGCTCTTCGGAACGATTCCGAACCCAGCTCGATTTAGCTTATCGCGCGTTCTTTAGTATACATGACGTGACTCCCGACGGCCAACGTCAACTGGCACAACAGAGTCGATAGGATGGATGATTCAACAGCAAATACTTGATGAAGCAGCCAAAACAATTTCACAGCGATAGGGGGGGTATTGACATGCTCCGAAAGCGGACGAAGCTGGATTGCAAAGTGACGTAGCTGATAGCAAAGTGGTTCGAAGTTGCAGCCCAAGCAAGTAAGTAGCCAGTAGAGTGGGGAAATAAGCAAACCTTAGCATATGGCGACCAGGTATTCAAGTATGTACCTAGGTATACACATATGTAGTTGTGTGAGGTCTGAAACCTGCAACCCATTGTTGGGATACGTATGCACGAGAAGGAGCTCCCAACGCCGCCGATGGCCAGAGGAAGAGTGACATGACATGCATGGGGTTGGTGTGCCCAAGCAGCAGCAGCAAGTCAACAAGACGTGATGGCCGGAAGCGCTGGCTGTCGACGCAGGCACACCCGTGCCGTGCAAGCCCTGTTGCACGCAGTCAATAGTCCCCGAGCCAAGTCGACGGTGGTGATGGCTGACAGCCGTCAGAATGCCCTGGTGGCCTCGCTTAGGGGGGACATGTCAGCTGTGTAGACGGGTTCCATGCAGCTACTACGCAACTGAGCACACGCCATCGCTCTCCTAACTCTGTTGAAGCAACGCTGCTACAGATCCTCGCGCGCCGGCCCGCCATGGTGTTCGCAGCACAGGTGCCACGTATCGTGCATGTCCTGTAAGTGTCTCTGATCCATTGCTCACTGGCCTCGCGCAGGTACAGCGAATGCAGTCACCCCCTCGCCCGCGTCTGCTGGGCCAGCGTACCACGGGCTATAAGACTTGGGATGCCGCACTGCCCATCCTCCTCGTCGCCATGAGCGCCGGTACTCCAACCCTCTAGTCAGCGATGGACACCCATGGAGACCCGGGACGAGAGCGAGAAGGCATGCATCACATGGCCTCCCAAAGCCACTCCACCCAAACCGAATCCCACACACCCTTCACCAGTGCCATGCTCCCATTGGCCGGCCCCTTCTATCCTCAGCATCCTTTCCTGTTTTAGCCTCTGGCCATGGTCACATTTGCGCAAACACTGTCGCGCCCACTTGCTGGGATGTCGAGATGCGTCCGCCTCAGTCTGTCTTTCAGTCTGTCTGTCTGTCGCCCATGCCGACTAATGTCATAATCTGCTGCTGCTCTTCCCTTCCGACTCTCCTGCTGTCAGTCGGTACCCTCCCTTGCTTGCGCCGTCCGCCTTGTTTCCCTTCCCGGGCCTGTCTATAATTAAGCGCCCGCTGTCCCCAAGACATGCGAACAGTCACCACCTTCAGAATCGCGAATACAGCTCCCATCTTTCGGAGCGCATACCCTTCTTCAGCCAATCTTGGGTCGCCATGTGTTTCCCTTTCTCTTTCGCCTCTCAGAAACCCAAACGCAACAAGTCCTCGCCGCCGCGCGACAAAAAGAGACGGGATACACTGCCATCGGAATCTCTGCGCGGCGATGGTAGGAGGGTTGTCGTAGAGGCCAGCGAGAAGCGCCCGCCAGCGGACTGGTCTAGGCCTAGAAAATCAGTGGATTCTCCATATCAAGAGTGGGAGGACTATATGCGCCGCCAGCAGTCGCATCGCCCACGTGGAAATGCGCAGAGGAGTCGAGTTCACTACGCTACGCCATTGCATGTAGACATTCCTGGTAGAGTGTCCACTTTGTTCTTTTTGTTTTCCCTTCTTATACTGATATATAAACAGATGTCTGGCACCGATCTGTTGCTCATGATAATGCGGACTCATCTGACGAAATGCTTCGTCCACTGTTGAATCCTCGTCCGCACAGAAGTCCGCATCATAGACAGAAGCATGCGTCGCAAAAGACCCTGCGTGGCCATGGAAAGCGCGTGACGTCGAAGAAAAGCTCCCAAGACAAATCCGGCTCCGGATGGCGGAACCCCTTTGCGCCGTCTTCCCCCGAAAAAGCAAAGAAGACGAGAAGAGGTGATAGTCACCATTATCAACACATGGAATCCCCTCCACGCACCCACCGCTCGCATCGTCAGCAAACCTCCTCCCAGTATGACAATGTTCCTGAGTCGTCTCGCTCGCATCAACGGCGAAGTCGACCACGCCGCCACGCTCCATCTGGTCGCCAAACAACTCCAAACACATCTGCGCGCCGTGATCCGGACAGGCGCTTTGCAGTTCTGGCCGCCACTAACAACGCTCTCGAAGATCTCCGACGGGAAGCATTTCAACAGCCATCTCCGCCCCCACACAGAGAGAGGCTGCGAAGGTTCCAAGGTGTTACTATCCCCGCATCTAGCATTCCTTATAGTTGGGATTGCGTTAGCTCCACGACTTCTAATGGGTACGGGGAGCCAAGTTCAAGGAGTCCAAGAGGACGATAGTTTCGGTGCCGTCTAATATTGAACGAGTGCGACCTGCGATATCGGCTTGCCGCGCTTTGCACAGGGTTCAGTGCTTGCATCAGACACAGATCATTCATGATCTGGCCACATTTTTCATCTTCTTTCTTTTGGTTCTCATTTATTCCTTTTATCTAATATCGGTTTGATCATATCTTGGATACCCCCCTACACGCATCGTCATTTTCTTTTTCAACATCACATATACCCTGCATTCAAGTATACAACGGGAAAGGATGGTGCTGGTTCTTTCGTCTTCATCGCCCACTACAAGTTTCTGGTTTCCTTTATAGATGTTATTCTCTCTACGCAACCTTGACCGTATATTAATCTTGTCCAACTTTCCAATCGAACAAATCCACTATATCATTGTCTGCATATATAGGTTACTTCCCTTAATATCCGGCATGCTCGAAACCTATGATTCAGTACAGGCCACTATACTCGGCTGCTCATGACGATCTAACTTTTTGCTATGGCTTGAAATCTTCGACACGAAAAGAAAACCCCTGGCACAAGCAGCGATAACCGCATCTTCTGCCCTCAAAATACCTTCGTTGTCTTTCTCGCGCAATGTCCAATCCACCGTCACCCGCGAATACAACAACCATATAGTCTGCATATGGAAATCACGCCCTCCCAACATCAAAGAAGAGAGCGGGCCGCTATGGGATACATGGATGATACTCTGCGTCATGCCACAAGGCGGTACAACAGTGAGCCTGAACAATTGGATACTTCAGCCACAATACTTTCAATCAACATCGCATGGTTCTTGTTGAGTGAATGAAGAATCGAAATTTTGTTGTCATTGTGTTTTGTCATTTCAGTCGTACAAGCAGGACTATGTACGGGTTTTCACACCTCACCGCCGCACCCAACATGTCTCTCGCCATCGACCAACGTGTATTCAATTTCGCGGCCCATGAGTCCCCGCGCCGAAACAGTCGCATTCTGCGGTGTCTTGGGAATGATTTCGTGGCCCTTGGTGGCGAGGATGCTCAGCACATGAGCGGCAGCCTGTGAGTTTCCCACCAGTCAGCAAATCAATCCGATATGCAAAGTCCCACAACAGCAGAAGAAAGACGACTTACCTTGGCGTTGATAGTGAGCGTCGCAGGCTCTGGGTTATCAATGGTGTCGCAAGACTGGTGGTAGCAAGGGTCCTGCGCGACGCCCGTCCCGGTGTGCAGTCCACCAACCGGCTTTCCAAAGTCCATGAACGACTTGTAATCGCTACCGCCCGTAAAGACAGCAGGGGTTACATTCACACCCTTGCTAACATGATCGTCTACAAAAAGTTTCTCAATCACGTCGCTTCCAGGGGGGCCCTTCAACCCGTGGGTGCTTCCATCGCCATCGAAGACGCCGAAGTACCCCTTAGACACCATGTCGAAGTTCAGATAGGCCAGGACGTTGTCCAGAGCCGTAGTGTTGAGGTTTTCAACGTAATAGATCGACCCCAATTTTCCGTTCTCCTCTGCGCCCCACCAAGCAAATCGGACTTTGTTCTTTACGCTAAACTTCTCCAACGCTGTCTTGACTTCCATAATAAGGGAGGTGCCTGAGCCGTCATCATTGATGCCAGCACCTGCTACGACGGAGTCGAGATGGGCGCCTAGCATGATCACGTTGTTTGGATCTCCTTCTACGGTCTCAGTAAAGACATTCTGGGTATCGAGTTAGCACTGGCCTCTGGATCGTGATGCAACTAGAAATGACGACAAGACTGAACATACCTGTGTAATACGTGTCTCGATAATCTGGGTCTGCTGGAAGTAGGCAGAGACGGTCTCGCCAGCAGTCAACTTCGCGGCGAGAGCTTGACCCTCAGCTTGGTTGATCAAGCCGGTGGAGACGTACTCTTCCGGGTTCGGGTTCGTGAGAGTTCCACCTGTCGCGGGCGTCTCCACGTTGTTATAGATGACCACTGCCGCAGCACCGGCGGCCGCTGCAGCCTTCATCCTTCCAGCGAACGTAGTCCCGTCGGGGCACAATCCTCTTTCCACGAGAACGATCTTGTCTGCAACGTCCAAGTCGGCGTATGCTGCGCTATCGCAGCCCGCATCGCCAGTAACACCGAGTGCGAGCGGTGTTGTCAATCCTTCGGCGCTGGTGGATGGGGAGTACGTCAGACCAACGACACTGATGGTCTGGTTGTCAGCCTTGAAGGAAATCGACTCAACGAATTGGAACAAGGCGGGGAAATCCTGGGTCCAAGTCACAAAGTTGGAGGAATTCTGCGTGCGAGACAAGATGTAGTCCACGCTGGCTTGGTAGCCAGGGAATCCGAAAGCTCTGTTTCCACCATTGGCTTTCGCGATGGTGTCTAGCTGTTGCAAGTTGCCCATGAGACTATATATTGGTTAGCCAGACCCAATTGGAAGCAGTGGGGAGTTCTCTACGTACTTCTCGGTTGTAATGGCATCCTGGAGACCTTTGGAGTTCACCACTGGCTTGTACGGGTCGTAGGAGGTCCTTGGGTACGAAGCAGCAAAGGCCCTCGCGGCCCCCACCAGGAACAAAGTATCTTGAAGTCTCATTGTGAAAGCTGATCTTGACCTTCAATCGCGTTGCAGACTGAACCCTGGGAGTCGGGAAGCGATTGAAAGTGCAGATGGGCCTTTATATAGGAGCCCGCCACTCGGTAGCTCGCGCATATTAACCCTTGATTGCAGCGCGTCATTAGTGAGGTTTGTTTTTGCCTTCCTTATCACGACTAAAGTTCTCGGCTGTGGTGCAAACACTTTTGAGTAGGCAGGTACCAAGACATTTAACGGTCTGCGCTAGGATCGAGGTTCTTGACACCTTCCACATCCAGTCAAGACACGTGATAATCAATTGGCTAAGGAACGAATCAGGCAGTGCTCCGCAACAAGACTCCAGGGAGCCGGAAGCGGGAGAGCGAAATGTAGATTGCAATCATCCTAGCAGTATGCGTCGACCATTGCCACATCTTCCTTCGGAATATCCCGAGTTGCTTTCAAGTTGAATCTCTGCTTCTCGAAGTGAGATAGGATAGATACGGATTATGTCCAACATCATCTTAAACATACTTGTACCTATTATGAAGGAGCAAGGATTGTATTGTTCGTAGTTTGGTATGCGTATCGCGCATGAATCTTCATTTGCCAACATCATACTAGTATTCCCTTCGATTACAGCATTGTGCGTAAGCTCATGCCTTTGAACGTGATGAGAGGGTGAAAAGTGGAATTAGACAAATATTGATTCCTATGTAGTGTAGTGACTGTTCACCCTTCCGCTTCCTGGGAACTGTCGACCGCGGTTCTTGCCTCTTCCGTTTCTGACTCTTGTGTGTTGGGTCGATTGTGGAGCGACGGGGACTGTTCACCGGTAGGGGAGGCAACAACACCCGCTGGTGGAACAAACGCGTCTTCCTCGGAATCCAGTTGCATAAGGAACGTCTCCCATATTTCGATAAGCTAGGGGAGATTAGCATGCTAGCAAATAGTCGTACGTAGCAATTGGGAGCGTTTCTACTCACCTCCTTTTGCGCTTCAACAGCACTCTCCAAATAGGTCTCTACGCCCGACTTGAAGTCCTCAACCTTTTCTTTCTCAAAACGTTCGAGCTCACCCCTCATTAAGCGGCCCATATCCTCAAACAGCAGCCTAGCCTGGTGTACCCGACGCTCAGCATCAGCAACGTCAGCGCTGAGTTGATTCAATCGATCTTGCTGCGACCTTCCCTGCCGGAGAAGCTTGTCCTGAGTTGCCTTGCGTTTCTGAAGTTCAGATTCGGCTGTGTGCCAGGAATGGTAGGCCTTTTGTCGCTGCTGGAAAGCTGTCTTGACCGAACCAATCAAGCGGATATACTCATCGATCACGATTCCAAGTGTAAGCACATCTTGCTGGGCCTGGCGTTCGTACAGTTCTCGAATACGAATTTGGATATCAGAAAGACTGTCAAGTGGACCGGAAAGTGACGGGGAAAGTTCTACAGTGGAAAGGGCATGCAGTGAAGCAGAGAAATCTCCGCAAGCATCAGCAAGACCTTTGCGCTGCGCCACTACACTGTCGGTAGCTTTGAGGAGAGCCTTGAGTTGATTTTCAAGAGCGTCCAGGTAGACTTTACGTTCGTGGAACCACTGCAGATATTAGCACCGAAACATGAAGCAATTTCAGGAATGGCATACATCGTCATGTTCAACGAATTTTCCAGTGCTCGAGCCAAGCATCGAGCCAAACATGCCCTTGCTTTCGCCGAATCCAGGATCTTTTCTCTCCTTATTCTTGATATCCATGTTAAATGCATCACTCTCCAGAAAAAGCTTAAGATCGCCATCATGCTGAAGTACTGTATGTGAAGCAATCTTATTCAACATGCGCTCCAATGCAGCACGCCTTGACTCGACAAAATCGGTATCGAAACGTCCTACAGCCTGCTTCTCTGGTGGTGGAGGAATAATAATACCGGGGTTGTTGTTATGCATTTGGTTGTATAACCAGAGAAAATCACGGTAACGGCGGGAAACAGTAAACTCGGGGTTACGATACCCCTTGGAGGTGGTCTGATCGATGATATCAGTGTGATATGCTGGCAAATCAAAGGGAAAGGCAGTACCTTTGTCATGACTGAGTACTCGGTGTGCGAGCTTGTCAAATCTCCAACTTTGTGCGGGTCTCCAACGTAGATTGAAAAGGTTGGCTTTGCTGCTTGTTCCACGCTCACGCTTGGCTGTATGTGTCTTTGCGGTACAGGAGCTGTCGGTGGCTGTACAGGAGGGGGTATACGTGGGCCGCGCGATGCCGCTGTATCTTGATCGTCGTCATCTAGGTTGACTGAGTCCATCAAACCCGAAAGGCTTGAGGCAGCTGTTTTGGCTGTTGGTTGAGCGCCGGGGCCAGCCGGTACTGGCTGCGGAGGTTCCGAAGAAGCCTCTGGCGCTGAAGTTGGAGTAGGAGCACCCAGGGGTCCAAGGGGATCCTCCACGGCTTCGAGTTTCGTGGCCTGGCCACCATATTGTCGTTTTCGCGGACCTCGTCCTGCTGGGGAACGAGGGGCGGCAGAGGCATTGGGTGTGGAAGTCGACTCGGATTTGGAGGGTTCGGAACTGGCTGTAGCGCATTAGGAGCCCTGTATAGCGATGGATAGGTGGAGATCTATCCGCATACCTGCTTCGTTCTCTTGGGCTATTTTGGGGATGTTGTGAGACGAGCTCGAGCGCGAAGGCACATCTGGCGGGTTTGTTAGGTGACGAGACAGTATATTGATGCGTCGAGCTTACCTCCCCACGGGGAACTCCCTTCATCGCCGAGATCCATTGCGCTGGGTGTTGGGAAAGCTGTTGACCAAAGTTGTGGTCGCTCAATGAGCCCGCAAGTACGCAACTTCCGCCCGCGGTCTTGGCAGTGGGCGTCACGGCACCAGCGAGCTGCATCCCAGAACATCGACACCAGCCACAAGTCGTCATCATCATCATCACCCAGATGTCGCCTAGAACCATTTCACTCCGTGTAATGGGAAATAACCTTTGAGTAGGTCACATTAATACATGAAAAGACAAATCTAAAATTTCAATCCACTGCTACAAATGGTAACTGTTTGCCCAGAATTGCGCTTCACGCAAAACGCTATGGTATTGACTACCTACTTGAATACATAGGTATGTAGGTATCAATAGACATCAGTTCACACGCCTGATCGAGCCTGCTCACAAGCTCGGATCTCCCAACGTGGCTTTGCTGTGCTCGCATGTGTAGCACACTTTCCCTGCAAAAGTCGTTAGTTACCTGTGTTTTACTCGCCATGAAGTCAAACACGAAGAAGCAACTTACCATCTTCTGTCCGGATCAAAGCTCTCGTCAAGCCCATGCGTCTGCCCAAATGCACAACCTCACTCTCAATCCATATCTTTTGTCCTTCCGCCACAGGCCGTAGATATGTACAATTCAAGTTCCTACTCACATTTCCACTGTCCCAAAATCCTGGTTTCGAGACCGCCGTTATCGCTAGACTGGTGGATATATCAAAAATCAACGCTACTGCGCCTCCATGGAGATTTCCACCCAAGTTGCATAGTGTGCGTGGAACAACGAGCGAGTAAACAGTTTTGCCATTGTGAGGAGATGCATGCGTTGGCTCGAAGCTCGCAGATTCGAGTACCATGCTGGAAAAGAGAATGGCATCATGACCCTGTGTTTGTATCAGTATGGTAGCGAAGTTCACATGAATACACCGACGTTCTAGAAACTCCCGAATACAAGGCACAGTGGAGGACGCGGCGGATAGGACAAGATAGTGTGCATTCGTCTGGTTTACACTTACGTCGTAATCCTTGTCAACAGCAATTTCGTACCATTTCTTCACCTTCTCTAGAGCTGTCAGGTTAACATCGCTAGCTGCACTGAGCGCAGCTGCGGCATGTTTGATACGGGAGCTCATCGTGTTTCCGTTAATTGGTGGCTTTGAGGAGTGCAAGATTGTTGAATGATAGCACTTGAGTATAAGGGGTTGGAAATACTTGAACAAACCACTCGAGGAGAACACCTTGCACCGCAAAAGAAGATCAGGAGGACGTGGAGGACTACGATTACTGGATTATAACGACCAAGCCGTGAGATGTCCAGGATGTCGGATATCTACGTGTTTCAGTGCTACCTTGTTTCAATACGAGATTCAGTACTCCAATATGGGGTTAGTAAGCAAATGGCTCACGCACAGATAGACAGGGGCATTGCATGCATGTGCACACATGGTTGATGAAATGCACTATGCTAAACGATACAGATGGAGGCCCGAATGGCAGTTTTGAATGACCCATGTACTCCGATCTAGGTGCATGATGAGGTGGATGTTGGGTAGGCCAGGACGATTTGGAGGCTGTATGGAATGTATAACACCAAGAACGAGTTGGAGCTACCCCATGATGCTTCTGACTGGTGAATGATTCCAGATATGATTTGCCAATTCAGTTGTTCTAAAAGGGTGCGAGGCTGAAGAAAGCCTTATTCAAGAACAGAAATGGATTCCTTTGTGATTCGTGAGCCCAATTGCCAGCTTCGCACGGCACGTGGCAAACAAACACTCAAGCTGCTCTTACCACACCAAGAAATCTCGCGTCTATATTAGCCTTGCACTTCTTCTCAATAAGTACCAAACATATCAACAGCCGCGTATTGGCCATCGAAAATCTGTGAGAAGCGCGGCACACCGCCTACAAAGTGTATCGACGATCGAAGTCAAACAAAACGCCATGTTTGGTCGCTGGAAGCGCGAGCCTGACTACAAGCGAGTTAATGCTCAAGATGAAATCAACGATGCGCCGGAGAGAACTCAGCGGCGACGAAGCGAATATCGAGGAACTCCATCTCACTTTCTTTCCTACCCCGTGTCGTTCCTCTCTGGCGTTTCGGTGACCATAGCCGCCCTCGCCCTATGGGCAGCATTCCACTCGTCGAGCTCGTTTGAGACCGGCTTTCATACCGAGATTGGTGAGTGTCTCGGGTCTTGTGGGGGCTGGGCTATATCGACGACTAATCCCATTCCTTTAGGTAAACTGCATCCTATCGTCAAGCTCGCGCCAACGAAGTTCACTGGGACACTCAAGTACAAGGGTGAACATCTATACATCGATCTTGGACCCAACGGCACGCAATACTTTGGAAAACCATCGCCTGAGATTGATGCAGCATGGGACACGCTCGTCGAAGGGATAGGTGAGTATCAACAGACAGCCCTACACTGCTTCTACGTTATAGATTGTTGACGAAGGTTACTTGCAGGCAACGAAGATGTATGGCCGGGAGACATCATTAGGTATGCATCTCTTGGAGCTGATATATTCAAATATATGCTCCCCACTGAAATCGCTTCGTAACGTACGGATAATAGCTAATCTTACTATTGTAGTCCGGATGTCTTACACACACTGCACTGTCTGGTATGATCCACACATACGTTAACGAAGTCAATTGTTCAGCCAGCTCTAACGATCTTCTAGAATGCCGTGAGGAAGCTTCTCGACAGTCCGTACTATTATAAAAAGCCAATGGAGGCTCATAACCGGGCGCGGAGGATTCATATCGGTATGTACAAGCTCTGTTAAGACTATTGCAATCGATCGATATCGTGGCTGACCTCTTCTTAGACCACTGTCTCAATCACATACGCCAAATCATACAATGTCACATGGACATCACTCCCGTACACACATTGTACTTTGAAGAGATGAATACGGACGTTGGTAACTTTGATCAAGTCCACATGTGTCGTGACTTCAGCCAGCTGCACAACTTCATGGTGGAGAAGGGAAAGGATAAACAGCTGTCAGATGAGAAGGAGCTGAAACCGGGTGAGATGGGGCCTGATGGGAAGAAAGTGCATCGGGAAGGATACCCAGAAAATGAAGAATCGTTCCTGCCTTGGAATACGACCTGGAAGGAGTTTGATTAGAGAGAGCAGAGTGTGTCAAACATCTATATGATGCACCGAGACTCGGGATTCTGGACTTGGTTAGATACTACATGTATGATCGTGTCGCTGGCATAGATTGATGCATGTATATAGACAAAATCCAGTGTTCAAGCAAGCCTATCAAATAGTATGTTGTACTGTAATATATGTATGTATTATAACAGCAGAATCAATTCGAGTACACCGATTAAGTCGTTACCAACACAACCGATCAGGAACCTCGGCTCGTAGGTTATCAGAATCCCGCGGGCATCCCAGCCAGACGCCCGAACAGGCCCCGTAAACGCTAAGCCCTTCTAGCTCCACCACCCATCGAAAGTTTCTCGAAGCTCTGTTCAAACATCTCCAAGAAACCACATCCAATCCCACAAGTACAAACCCCCCAGATAACCCATCCCCCAGCATCTCGTCATGGACTCGCGAGCCGTCCTCCGTCAAATCCTTCGCGCACCGCACGCGTACCGCACCTCGTTTCTCACCACCCCAACGCGTCCCCAAACCCGCAACTTTGCGCTCCTGTCCCCAGAATTGCAGCACCAGCGGTACATCTCCGCCCCGCGCATCCTGCAGCCGAGTTTCTGGGCGTCTATGATACCGCAACCTTTGAAGAACCGTTCGAGCGCTTCCCCGCAGCGAGGCTGGAATCCTGCGACTCCTTACATTATACTGGCGTTGTTGGTGGGTAGCCAGGCTATCCAGGTGATTTGGCTGAAGCAAGAAAGAGGGCATTATCTCAGACATGCCGATGCCAAGATTGGGCTGCTGAGGGAGATTATTGAAAGAGTGCAAAGAGGCGAGAAGGTGGATGTCGAGACAGCTCTGGGGACTGGTGATGCTGGTGAGGAGGCCGAGTGGGCGCAAGGTACGTGAACAAGGATCTATGCAACAGAGATGGATCTATGTTATGAAAATTGGGTGAGGGATTGGGCTGACTTTGTGATCGTACAGTTTTGCGAAACATTGAGCAAGAGGAGAGACTGTACACTCCGAAGAGGGCGAGACTCGCTGCGAAGCAGTCCGCAGCCGAACAAGCTGCAGCAGCGGAGGCGGAAGCTGCATCGGCGCCAAAGGACAAGAGCGATGTTGATGCGGCGCAGGGTGGGAATGTGAAGGTGGAAGTGGTGGATGGCGCCAAATTTTACTGAAGAGAAGGAGATCTGTTTTGAAGCTATTTGACGATATATCCTCTTTATCCTCCGCCCACGACCTTACATCCGGCTTGTACTATATTTCTGTAATCATACCCTTACGTACCGCGTACCATCACGTTTCTGCGAAGTATCAGCCAATGTGGTCGCACGCACGGAGGAGTCAACACAACTGTTTTATCACCCATCATCCCACGCCGCACTATCAATATTCATCGCAAGCAGCACGAACTCTCAGTTACGCCCACGCGTCACATAGCAAGGTCATCGTTAATCCATATCATTAAACATTCATATTGAATCTATGTACAAATTCGGACCCCATTAGAATGCGAGTGCAAATTCTAATAAGTCTCCGCGGGAGGAGTGCCCCTTCCCAAGCCGAAGCACTCGGCCATGGAGAAGAAGATGTCGACAGAGTTGTAGACACCGCCGAACAACTCTTGACAAGGGCCCATTGCGAACACGGGCACATCAGTCAAGGAGTGTACACCCTGGTCGTTCTCCACGGGAAGGGTACCGTTGAGCAAGATGCCGTCTTTGCCATCCTTGGGGTTGACGACGTAGTCATCTTCCTCTGCCTCAACAGCGGGCTTGCGAGGACCATCTTTGTGGACGGCCCAGTTCTCGCGACGGTCGGGATCAGCCATCAGACCCTGGAAGAGAGTGTAACGAGGATCCCAGGTCTTGGGGAAGTTGCTGTCGGTGTAGGTGAGGTTGCCGGTGTTCTGGTACTGCGACTGACCGGAGTTTTGGTACGTGCCGATGGCGTCACGCTTCTTGCGGTCCGTGTTCTGCGCAGCCAGGTATCGCTGATCGACGGATCCCATGACATCGAAGCCGTGACCGTGATCGGCAGTGACGAGGATGAGGGTCTCTTTGAGCGTGTCGGTTTCGTTGAGCTTGTTGACGGTGGCCTTGATGGTGTCGTCGAGCTCAAGGAGTTCTCCGAGGGCACGGTCGTAGTCAAGAACGTGCATCATCTTGTCGATGGAGGCGGCCTCGCTCATAAGGAACCAACCCTTGTCGCCGCTGCGCTCGGCAAGGATATCGATGGCCTTGAGGGTCATGTCCTTGAGGCCCGGTTGATCGAGAGCGGGCTTCTTGTCGCCAGCGGGAGAAAGTGACTGGTTCAAGTTGTCGCGGTAGACATTGCGATCGAGCCATTTAGCCATGTTGTTCACGGCGAAAATGCCAAGGGCTCTTTCGTCATTGGGAGCAGACATGAGGGAAGTGCGGTTCTGAAGGACCTGGTAACCCCTTTTGGCAAACTCGTCGTAGTATGTCCTGTTCTTATAAGAGATACCTCCGAGAGCCGGAGAGTAGAAGTACTCCGCGCCACCACCGAACAGGACGTCGGGGCCATCCCACTTTGTCCACGTGTAGTTGGTAACACCGTTGAGGAAAGTGTCAACCACATGGCCGTACTCATTGCGAGAACGAGTGTGTGCAGTCAAACCAGCAGGTGTGGCATCCGCGAGGAAAGCGGTCGAGACGATACCAACATGTCCGCCAGTGAGCCGGTGGAAGATTTCGGCGATGGTCTCGACTTTGGGGTCGTCAAACGGACTCTTGCTTGAATCGGCATACACACCCAAGCAGTTCACACTGCTCTTATGCCCAGAGTATAGTGCCGAAGCAGAGTTTGCGGAATCGGTGATGAAGCTGTCGATGGAGTGTGTCATTTGGTGGCCCAAGACGGGGAACTTGTCCATTTGCATCTTGGACTGATATTTTCCGTTGACGCTCTTGTGTCCGATCAAGCGTGCAGCCGTGATCATGTTGGTCGTCATACCGTCTCCAATGAACAAGATGATGTTCTTCGCTTTGCGCTCTTCGGCCAGATCACGTACCAACCAAGTCGCCTTGGTGGAGCTTCCATTGTTGTAGTTGAGCGTGGCGGTGTACTCCCCCGGCTCATAGAGAGCGAGTCGGCGATACGCCTTTGCCCTGACATCGACCACAGTCGACTGCTTTGCATCCCTGGCAAATAGGTCTGTAGAGGGATAGGTTAGATGTGGAGTGGGAGCCTTTCGGAGAGGGGCAACGCACCTTCGAACCAGGAAAAGGTCCAGCTCTCGACCTCAGCGTCTTCAATGCCAAAGAAGTCTGTCACTGGTTTGGGTTCCTCATCACCCTTGGCCAGAGTAAAAGTGAACTTCTCATCCGGAGGGAGGCCAATGGCTTCGGATCCGTTCTTGGGTGCGTGGACCTCAAGGCGAATGTCGAAGAATTGGCCGGCCAAGAAGTCGGCTCTGGAATCAATTGATCAGCTGAAGGTCGTCGGGAGAGTTTTTTTTTTTTTTCGGTGTGAATGGCACTCACTGGTCTGGCGGGAAGACGCATCCCAGAGTCGGGCAAGCACCGAGACGCTGAAAGGTCTGGGCAGAGGCAGAGCTCGCGAGCAGAGCTGCTGCCAGGCCAATTGCCTTGAAGGACGACATTTCTCTGGCTTGTGGAATTGCGAGAAGAAGAGCGAGGTTGGCGACGCGTCCAGGCGATTTTCAAGAGCTGCATATGCAGCTTTTATAAGCTCTTCCCGCGGGGTTCTGGGACCCTGGCCACATGCAAGCATGGCGACGGGGGCCAGCACGCCAACCCTCGCCATGGTCTGGTGTAGCAATCACCGAGTGGGTATTGTGATTTGCTGCCGCTTGGGCATGGAAGCTGCAAGGAACGCCGCCGACGCATTCGGTGGGCCGATGGACTCGTTCGGGGCTCCCCGTGGGACATGTGTGAAGCTTCACTGGTAACTGCTGGAGAGGCGTGGTAAGGCGCCGGCTACCCGGTTCGTCATTGAGCTCCGCCATCATGGCTCTGGCGTGTTGGCCATGGTATACTTGGTGATATTGACAGTTGAGCTGCCCCATAAGGTTAAGAGAGGCTGTTGTTGGATGAAGCGAAGACGCCTTGGCGAAACGTGCTGCATGTTCGCATTTTGATTCGCAACGTCCATGGCTTGCGCCTGCTTGGCGGCACTTGGTCCCTGTCCCCAAGAGAATGAATGCATTCGCGCCCTCCGATCATCACGATTTCCTGCAATTTTATGCACGAGGGATTGCTTTGTTGTCGTTGTCGTTGTCGTTGTCGTTATTGTTCGTCTGCCGGTCTGTTGCTTTCTTTCGTTGCAATGCTGCTCGTCACTGTTATTGGACCTTCTTTCGTGGTGGTAATGCTGCCCTGCCATTCCCGCTCACCACAGTTCAACGGAACAAAGCTTATTAAAGCTTGGTGCTGTGATACGACGACAACAATACGCATGTGGCATTGTTTTTGCGCCCAGGTCACGGACGTGCGCTGCCCGCTCAAATGATAATTCTAGAGGTCCGCCGACGCGTTCGAATTCGAACTCGGAGTCTTCGATGGGAACCGTGACGCGGTCGCCCCGAGCGGGTGTTCGATGACAATGGAACAGGGAATGTCATTCAAGTGGTTCAACCACGAGTTTTCCAACATTTGGTCCCTGATTTCGTGTGGTAGGTCTCACATGAATGGAGAGGGCGGGATGCGCTTTTTAAATCGGCAGCAGAGCAAAGCACCTTGATGATCAATTGAGCACCCCATTGTCACAATACGGCAATTCCGGTTAGCCTGACACCATGTCAATCACTAATCGAACATTGCACTATTCGAAATCCATCATCCAAGGGGAGTCAACTGATGGTAAAGCAGGCGTGAAACATGGCAGATTCGATCTACCATCTCAAACGCGCATCATAGATACGCGAGGCGCCAAATGGAGCATAGCGCCATCGCGACGACGTCATGACTGGCCGAGAATGTTGAAAGCAGCTGCAAGGTACAAAGGTACGGCAGCTCTCAAAATGTCGGGAATCTGTCTTTGAGATGAGTCTGCGCTTTACTAGAAGTCTCTGTCGTTCTAGCACAAGGTTCCCAAATCTTTACACTGCTCTGTTCCTCCCATCATTCATCCACGCTACACCATTGAGAGCTCCCTGCACCCAGAAAACATTCAAGTCAACTTCAACCAAGAAAAAAGCTGCTGCCGTCACCATGTCCAAACGAACTGCTTATGAACGTTCTGAATTGGGCCATCCTTCCACAAAACGGGCGAAGCAGATTGACGAGGATCTACCATTCGACAATCTTGTCGAAGCCCTCGATGCCCAAGAAGAAAAGAAGGATGTTTCCCGGGTAGTCCATTGGTTTCGCCCCAAAGACCTCCGCATTCAAGATAATACCGGTTTACACCACGCGTCGCAGCTAGCCCAGAGTTCTGAGAAACCTCTCGTCTGCATCTATCTTCATTGCCCTTCCGAAGAGAGTTGGCACGGTACCAGTCCCGCGCGCATGGATTTTATGATCGACGGGTTGAAATCCATGCAGAAGGAATTGAAGGATCTCAATATACCTCTTGTCTTCTTGCACTCGGAGAACCGCAAAGATCACGTTTCAGTGATTGCCGACTTTCTGAAAAAGAACAACGTCTCACACCTTTTTGCCAACTTCGAATATGAAGTGGATGAACTTCGGCGCGATACAGGGCTCATCAAAGAAGTCGGCAACGATGTCCAAGTGTCCATCTTCCATGACCAGACCGTTGTAGAGCCAGGAACGATGTGCACTGGAGCTGGTAAGCCTATGAAGGTTTTTACTCCGTATCATCGTGCGTGGCTTGATATCATCAAGTCGGAGCCCCATCTTTTGGACACACAGCCAGCCCCAGCGAAGAACAGCTCCTCTGCTACTAAAGACATCAAGTCGCTCTTCGATTCCGATCCCCCCAAAACATCCAAAGACAAACAATTTTCGTCCGATGAAGAACAGAATCGTATACGCAAGCTCTGGCCAGCGGGTCACGCAGCCGGAAAGAAGCGCATGGAGGCCTTTCTCAAACAAATCAAAGATTACGCTGCCACACGCAGTAATCCAGCTGCCAACAGTACCTCGCGTATGTCAGCTTACTTCTCTGCGGGTATGTTTTCTGTCCGCGAAGCCCTTTCCATGGTCAAAGAATACAACAAGGGCAGTTCCAACTTTACCGAAGGCGGAGCCCAACCTGGAGTTTACGCATGGGTTCGCGAGATTGTCTTCCGAGAGCTATATCGCCAGACTCTTATGACGACCCCGCATACTGCGATGAACCTGCCGCAGAACCTCAAGTTCGACTTCGTGCAGTGGGAGGATGATGAAGAGGGTTGGGAAAAATGGTACAAAGGAACTACCGGCGTACCGTTCGTAGACGCTGGTATGCGGCAGCTGAACCATGAGGCATACATGCACAACCGTCTACGCATGAACGTTTCGTCATACTTGTACTGCAACCTTCTGATCGACTACCGCAGAGGAGAGCGATATTTCGCCGAGACTCTGATTGACTGGGACCTTTCCAATAATACACAAGGGTGGGAGCCTAGCTATACAGTCTTCAACCCGACATCACAGGCCGAAAGGAACGATCCCGATGGTGACTTCATTAGAAAATGTAAGTTCATGTCAAAACGCAGAGTATGAGAGTACTATTCTGACCAATACAGGGGTTCCCGAGCTCAAGGATGTTCAAGGAAAAGCCGTTTTTGCCCCGTACGAGAGATTGAGTAAAGAAGAATTCGAGAAACTAGGATACCCAAAACCACACGTCGATTGGAAGGAAACAAAGCAGAGGTGTATGGAGAGGTTCAAGAGCGACATGAAAGATGCCGATCCTTGATTGTCGGGCCTTGTCTAGCTATGTGCTCGTGTGTTATCATAAGGTGGCAATGTAGATGTCTGGAACAGAGACTTCAACTCCAGAGAGAGTTGTGAACTAATGGTCCTCGGATATTGTGAAGGCTTCAGTCTTTGAACAGGTCACAAAAAGCTTCGTTTTTCTTCATCCATTCCCTGTCTTTCTTCCAGGCTCTTGCCACAATTTTTAATGCTTCGTGCAAGAGTGCCTTGCCCTCTTGATTATCATCCTGCTTTGGGCCTCTGCTCCACCAATTGATCATATGCACTCCAGCATGCATTGCAATGCGGAATGCTATATCTTCTCCCACATTTGCGTATGTCGTAGTGAAAGCTTTGATCAGCGCGATGACCATTAACTGGAGTGAAGAGTCGAAATGTGCAGTTTCCAGAAGATCGCCAATGAATTGACCCGCATCAATAGCCCGATGCGACACATGGCTGAGTTCAAAGTCGATAACATGAAGCCGGGGGGTTGCAGTCTCAGTAACAAGCACACTATATCCTCCTGTTAGTGATGTCGTCTCCCTCCAAATCGCCTCGTCACAAAAGCTAGGACGTACTTTCCAGACCAGAAGTCGCCATGGGTAACTCCGAAATCATCATCACTGTCCGCTTCTTCACCACTCTCATGAGAAGCTTTAATCTCATCCCACATCTCCTTACTCCTCTTTCCCACGATGTCCGGAAACCGCTCCAGCACCTGCGTACCTTGCTCATACGTAATCTTCCACTTCAACGCGCGCATATCTTTGTTCCTTTCGACTGTATCCCGCAATCGTTTTTGTTCGGGCTTCGAACTCCAATCATGGAATGAGCGAAGCCATAGACCGACTGATCGGCCGATAGACGTCGCTTGCGAATCTGTCAGAGACGGCAAAGCATCCCTGAGGGTAGTGGTATTTGGGAAATACTCCATCACTTGAACGTGATTGTCTTGGTCGAAATGGTACAGTCTAGGGGTACTGACTACAAGTCGATCCGCGTGAGTATTGACATACAGACCATCTTGCAGAGCCGCAAGCATCAAGGCTTCGAATTCCTGGCCTAGCTTCAGTGATTCTGTTGGCCCTGTGACACTATCTGTACTGGACTTACACATCGAGAAGGGTTGATGAGAAACTCCGGGCTACAGGATAGATGATGTGCGGCATATTTTACAATGGCCTTGCTTGGAGTGTCGCTGGTTCCAGATCCAGTTGCAGGCGGAAGAGGGTAGTTCAAGTTGCCTAGGAATACGAAGCTGGTTGTTCCTCCACTCAGTGGGGTCAAGTTCGAGCATGAAAATGTGGTTTTTGACAGTGCTCGCTGTACATGCACGACGACCTGGTCGTGTTCTGTCTGCATGATGAAGTAGCAGTGCGGATGATCTCGGATGGTTGTTCAGCTTTGATTATCAGTAGTGAGGGTATAGTCAGATCTAGTTGTGACTTGGTGATGACTACCGAAGTAATATCCTATTACATTGCCGTAAGCATAGGAAGGCTCCAGCTCTACGTGAGTCATCACGTACGGTGTGAAGTTTGAGAGGGAAGGTGTAACATACATACACTATCCGTACATAAGCGAGAACCTTCCTGGCAGGGATTGCCAGAGCTTTGGTATTCGCAATATCGTTTATGGGGATGACGACTCAATCAGCGCTAGCTCGATCATTCGGTGAAAGTACAATAGAGGAGAAGTGACAAACTGCCGCATTTCCTAGACAACCGCTCTTTACTACAGCGAGCGTCCCAGTAATTGGACAGAAGACGGATCAATTCGGAAGTCGCGGGAACTTCCTCGGTTCCTTCTCTCCTTCCCTTGATCGACCTCTCAGCGCTTTCCTTTTCACCACAGAATGTGTTGGGGTCCGTCAAGCACGGAATGTACGTACCATTTCGCTATCTTGCTGCGCATCGAAGTTGCGAATGACGTGCCATCGCATATTGTTTTGGGCGTGTATTTCCAAGGCTATACTTTTTGGCTAGCTTACAGTGATCGTCAAGAATCATGTCTCGTGCTTTACATGTTCGGATCTTGATCTGCGCATCCAGTCGGAACGGCAGGGGTTGCTTGTTCTAATGTGGCGAAAGAAGCAAGACCAGTGCTATGCAGAATATTGAACACGTTCCCTGACAGGCGTAGCATTGTCTATGATCTCATGTTACGCATTAGACAATTCTCTGACGGGCACTACTGCCTCTCTCTGGGTGCATACACATATTTCACGAGTCAGGTCCGGAGGAGGCGACACTGAATGAATCCTAACTCTCGCATAACGACAACATTCAATCGAGTTCCACATTCAGAACATAAATTCGACGTAGATAAAAATTCGCAGCAGAGGCTGGAGCAGTAGAGCAACACTTTCCTCCGATGATTCGCGAACAAGAAATTCCAAAAACTTTTTAGCCCCTTTTGACCTTTTCCCAATTTAAAACCCAAACTTTTATACGCAAAGGCACCAGTCTCAACCGCAATAGACTCATCTCCATCTAGTTCCAGGCCACGCCGTGTCGTATTGGCTCTGTGAAGCTCTGCGCATGCTCGCAGCAGCGGAGAAGTTCTGAACTACATCCCTCATGGTAACCAACACGTTGTACGCTTCCGACCATGCGTTCCCTTTCAATCTTGCATTTATCGTTTCGATTTGCGTGTTTATATCCAGGACTATCTTGTCAATGTCTTCAGCCCTCAAGTTTGCGGGTGCTGCGTTCGCTTGCGTCTTGTCGCCGTAAATCCGCTGAGCTATCCGTTGGATTTGACTTCGTTCCGGTTCGGGCACGGCGCGAAGCTCAATCGTTATGCCGGATGACTGATTGAGCGACTGATTCAAGTTCCCGCTCATCCTTTGATGGATGGAGTCGTCGGCGAATTAAATCACTCAAGCGGGAGCGATGTTCCGAAAAGGAATGGGTACGGCGCCGGGAACTTAGGAAACTTAGCTGTTGTTAGTCCACTGCATTCGTCAACAGCGTCGGACAAGACCCACGTAGATGTGCCGCCTTCACTGTTTGTCTTCCTACGAATTGCTCCAGCTTCACCGCAGAATGAAGAAGGTGCTGCGCAGGTTGGGACTTGTTCACTCCGGAATGCCAATGTTGCCGTACCCGCTTCTGATTGGATGCATGCAAGCGCTGCATAGTAAATTTTTCCTTAGGATCACCGGGCCTATGTGGAAAGACCCACGCGATGCCTCCACAATGCTGGTGCTACATGTGTGGTGCTGTCCCAGGGGTGGGGATGCTTTTCAACCATCCGAGCACGCGATTGTATATCAGTTTACCGTTATTCGCCCAACCCCACAGACATGTGCGCAAACGCCATCTAGGCTAAAATGGATTCAAGTCATGCAAGTCAAGTCCTGAAGTTGGTCACCTTCACCATCAGTTCGACGTACGTAAGATCGTCGGATTCATCCATTGTATACTTCCTCGACCCCCTTCTTGGTTGCCTGACTTGAACGATATGCAGTATGGATGCGCATGGTTGTCAATGCCGCATCGTCATTTCAGGGGTGTACACACTACGCTCACGACGTACTACTTCCATATAAAGAGGAATCGTCTTCATGCCTCATTGGAATATCGATGTTTCGATTCAAATAAAAAATATTCTCAACAAACGAGTCTTCGATTGCACTGTTCCATTACTTGGTAACCTTGGAGGTGGCAATTATCGGAATGGACTCAATGACGGTCAAAAAACCATTCATCCAACATATGGTGCAGTTGTCTTCCAATCCAGACTCGAATTCTTACTCCCAGTACGCGTCACATCCAGCTGGTACATACAGGACCTCACAATACTCAATTTTCATGTCGCGACTATCCTCTGAGAGATACCTTGTTGATCCAGAACGCCACAAAGTTCGACATACACCTCGGTTATCCCACCCCTGTCTCCAATTCTCGTATACTCCAGCCACGTCTGCTATCCTCTTCAAACCATTCGCTCGTTATTATTAGCTCGGTGGAACAGCGTCCTACTTCAGGTTCAACTTGGAAATTTTTGACGAAGAAGAGGCTCGAACGTTGGTTTCGCGCATGCAGGGCAGTTTTTGATTTCGAGGGGTAAAATGCAGCTCTCCCCAACCTCACTTCCCATCTACATGTTCCTCTTGTCAGGCTTGCTTCGTATACCGGCCCTTGATCTACTTGCAAATATATCCGGTCATTACATATCTTCAACTACCTGCATCGACTTGGACTTCTAAGCAAGCTTGCTCGTGAATAGCATTCGTGGAAACCAGCATCTTCGCCCTCAGATACTCTCTGGCCCATCTCTCTCCCTGCCGCTTAAGCACGATAATGTCTTCTCGCAGCACTATAACAACCCCACCAAAGCCTCTATCGCCACGGCAGACCTACAATCCGAATGATTACTACGATTTGTCTTCACTGTCCTCACTGTACTCTGAACTCTCCTTGCTATATCCAGATGTCTATTCCTCTCTGTATACCAACGATGCCTCGTTGAGCCGCTATTACTCGTCCCTTCTCAAGTCATACAGCCTCGATAACTATGGATTGCCGACCTTGACTGCAGCCAGTACGGGACCGGATACGGCGGGTTTCACCACAAGGACAAACGCGGGGGTATCATCGACGGGAGCAGCTGCGGCTCCAGCTACGAGTAGCGGAGAAGCGAAAGTAAGCAATAGCGGTCTTTCCACGGGAGCCAAGATCGGGATCGGTATCGGGGTTACGAGCGGTGTCTTGCTGCTTGTCGGACTCGGCATCGGCCTCTGGTGCATGGGGAAACGCAAAGGGAAGAAATCTTCGACGACCGTGGTCGCCCCCAGTCAGTTCAATCCTGCAATGCAGCAGCAGCCGTTGATGGGATCCAGCCAAGGCCAAGGATACATACCCGCTGGTCTCCAGCAGCAGCAATATGTCCCCAGTCCAACGCAATACGCACCGCAGCCCCAGGTGTTGCACATGCCGGGACCCGAAGCACCGTATGGAGGCTACGAGAAGGTACCGGGTCAAAATGTCGTCGAGCTCGAGCAGGAGTACCATTTCACGAGGCCAGGCGTCGTGGAGATGGGCAATGGTAGTTCGATTACTCCTGTACAGCCTGCGAGATAAAACCATTCGTTGAGAAGATCATGCGGACAACCAGCACTCGGTGCCACGTCCCCTCACATGAAATGTATATTTCCCCGAGTTCTTAAGCAATTCACCATGTTTTTATATTGTGTCAAGCCAGATCTCAAATCTGAAGGCTCAATACATGGTACATTCCGCAGATATTGAAAGCAAGGGATGCGCTTTAGATCTGTCATTGAATCAAATACAGTCTGTCACTAACATTGACATTGGATTATTCTTTTTTATCCTTTTCCTTCTCATCTCGTTTTCACCGCAACGGTGGCGTTAGCGCACATCCGTCCTTTGTCTCAGACAGAAACCAGCTTGCACAAAGCCACCTTTGCTATGGTCTCCCCCTTTATATTCTTTCCTGCTATTTCATCACCCTATTCTCTCGGTTAGATCAAATCTGCATGTAACAAAGACTTAGCAACCGCTCGCGGCACCCCAATTCATGTAAAGGACGTTTGCCTGGCGAACTAGACAGATGTTCATGGTCATTTTTAAAGCAAACAGGCAAGCCGAAAACAAGTTCCGAGAATACAAAAAGATAATTCTAGAGGTAAGTGTATAAATCCGCATTCTTTCCAGTACGCGATCTTGTCTCGTATCCATTTCGTCTGGTCCAGATTCGGTCTCTTGAATACGCAGTGGTAGCAGGACTCCTGCGCAAGACTTCAGCATCTTTTCCGCTATTCAGGATATCTATTAGAGTTACTCAAGACGACAGGGCTGCATTTATTCTCCAAAGTCTGCGGGCAATGCTAACGGTGAATCAGTGACAGTCACCACCTGCTCTCACCACAAGCTGGCTATGAGAGTGCGTGCGCAATTCTGTGTGCACGCGCCCTCGATCTGAATAGGGAAACGTTATTGAATCCCTGTCGCTATTGAACTCAATAGGCAGAGTTCGAGGTGAGGGCTGCAGAAAAAAAAAAGGTGAAGGTGAATAGGGAGCACGGGCCATTGCGTATGCCCTCACTCTCGCAGTCCCAAAGCTCCCACCTTATTTAGAGCCCCTCCTCCACCTACGACTTTCTCCCTCCGACAAACAACTTTCTCTGGCAGCCAATTTTCAACCAACTGTCTGCCTCCAAACAGGACGTCAATTTCGTCCGCACTTCTCTTGTCTACCTCTTGCCTACCTCTTGTCTCCGCTCTCGACTTGCTCTCTGTCGCAGTCGACGCAGTTACTCAGACAAACATTCTCTGCACCTCTTTCAACCCTTACCACCAACGTCAACAATGAGCCCCGCCATGTCTGTCTTGCAGCAGAACGATGCGCAGCTTCCTCTCATGTTGACCGCCAATGAGCAAGACACTATCGCTACCTTCGAGTACAACCTCAAGGAGTGCGAGCACTTGCTCAAGATGGCCGGCTTCGCCTTTAACGGCGCTGTCACCTTGCCTCGCTCTATGAAAGATCGATTCCGCACCGATGCTGGCGCCGAGTACGCTGCCCACCAGCTCAGCTTGATCTTCCAGCGTCGCATCGTCTTCACTAGCTATGACGATCGCACCGAGTTCGGCTTCGCCTTGGAGAACGATATTCAGCATGGTCTCTCAGCCAATCTTACGGGTCTCCTTGCGTCTGTTTCCAAGGTGACTGCTGGCCGCAAGAACCCTCCACGCCCCATGAATTGCTGGATGCTGTTCCGCGACACCAAGCACAAGCAGCTCAAGGATGCCAACCCCAACCTGACTGTCCAGGAGATATGTAAGTTCAATATCAAGACGAAGTCTTAACATTTTGATTCCATTCAACATGCATTCATTTTGACTGACATTTGACAGCTACTCTCTGCGCTCAGGACTGGCGCCGCCTCGCTCCCCAGGAGAAGAACGAGTGGCGCGAGCGTGCTAAAGAGGCCAAGGAAGAGCACAAGCGCATCTATCCCGACTACAAGTACAACCCCCGTAAGCCAGGTCAGAAGAAGAAGCGTCAGTCTCGCAAGCAAGCTGCTGCCGCCGCCACTACTGCCGCCCAAGTCACCGAGCCTACTGCTGTCGAGCCCGTCAACACCGCTCCTGAGATCGTCGACTTCAATGATTTCATCGGCATTATCCCAACTGTTGCTTTCGGAGGCATGCGTACCGAATTCGCTGCCGACGCCATCGCTTCCAATGTCACTGATTTCCTCGCCGGCGATATCATCTCCAACGGCAACCAGGGTCAGGGCATGCAGTTTGCGGTCTCCCAGGATCTTCACTATGGAAATGAGTTGCTCCGTCAGCAGGCTCTCGAAGAGGAGTTCCGTATCGGCTTCGAGCAGACCCTCATGGATGACAACTTCGCTTTCGTCGACGGCGCTAACGAGGATGTCACTCTTCCTGCCTTCCAGGACTTTGTCTAATCTACTCCTCCGGAATCATGACACCTGCACGTCGTTAGAATAGCTACCCGCATTCTAATAACAGTGGCTGTCTTTATCGTCATCTCAATATCAACGAGTGGTTCGCATTGTCAATCGACCGTATGCCCTCCAGCGTATCGGTCTACAAGGAGCTACAAGATTCTGGTTTCTAATTGCATCCCCATCACATCGATACACCATACACCCTCTACTGGTCTATCGTCAATCCCCCTACCCTAATTGCATTCAACACCCTTTCACCCCCCAGCATAATTTGTTTGTTTTCCATCTGCGGCATATCCTTGGATACCCCGATACACCCCGCACAATCCCTAATCGCACACAACCGTGCTTTCTTGCCTCGGCTTTTGGTACACAGTTTGGGATAGTGACGGCTTTGGTCCGTTTGGCAAGGAATGGTGGCTCATGCTCACCTGTGGAGGAGCTCTTCATTGAGTAGTATTGGCATTGGCAAGGTTCTTACTTTTCATCGATGGAGGTTACAAGGGACAACTCAGCTGGGAGGATTAATGGTATAACTGTGTGCGGACTTTGGTTGGTGTGGGCTTCCTGCTACTTCATAAGCTTACCTATCCGGTACCTATAGCTGGGTGAAATCATGGTTGAATCTGATGTTTTGAATGTTTGCTTGTGACTTCTCTTCCTTGCTTGCTTTGATGCCTGGTCTGTCATTCCTTTCATTCTCTACTGATCGAGTCTTGTTTTGGCTTTTTGCCTTCGTGGTTCTGGCTGGACAAGGATGGGGCTCTTTTGCTCTCTGTCTCGGACAGTGAGGTTGACTGGAAGTATGACCGGGATCAGAACAGCAATAGAGCTGATCAATGGTTGGCGGCCATCCGCCAAAGTAAATAGTTTAAATAAAAAAAATGAAAATCCTACTCATTCAACATTATCGCATCCATCCCATTTTGGAACATAGTGAGCTATAGTGGAGTGATCTTTGCCATGATATTATATATTTGACTGCTCTGTCCTTTACATGGAGTAGTTGTTTGTGTCTATATACTCTACACACTCTGCTTTGCTTTTGACCTCCCTTATACTAGACCCTTTTGTCTTTAATATACATCATCTTTATATGCCATCACAACCCGTATCCTCGACACACGGCGCCGACTTTTTAACATTTATCTGACTAGCCGCGATGGAGCTGCGACGCTAAGTGATGCTCGGATTTTAGTGTGTCGCGGCAGATGACTTGCGCTCTGGCTTTGCACCAGCTCTTATTGCCCCCGCAAATATGTATGTTATCAAGCGTCGATTGCGCAATTATAGGTACGATCCTCACTTCACCGTGTCCTGGGCATTCCAATCGCTTGCCCATATGAAGGTTCCACAGCGCCACTGAGTCCCGCTTTCTTTCTGGCCGGAGGGCCCGATGGGTCTGGAGATATTGGTCAGAGGACAAGAAGTGTCATAACGTAGTCAAGAGCTTTGCTGCTTACCTTGGACATATCCAAAACTGCCTTCCACAATTCACACCTGGCTTTTTGGTCTTTAAGCTTATGCAAGGCTCTTTGTGCTCTTCACATCGAGGAGATGGTTTCTTGGAGAAGAGCTTTGTCCATGACAATTTGGTATCTTGTGGATCGATAAAAGTCGCGTTGCCACTGAGTGACGATGGGGGCTGGGTAGCGACGTTCGGATTGTCAGAGGCGGAGGACTCTGTACTGGGCACAGGCTTGGACTTATCAACGTGCTTTGGCGCGAAGAAACCTTTGAGTGACTGTTGATTTTTGGGTAAAGGTATCTTGGGAGTGGCGGCATTGGATCTGGTCCGCTTGGATGGCTGCGTGGGCAGACTACCGGACAGACCACTGGATAGGCGTCGTTTCTCGGGCGAGTTCAACGGACTTGCGCTTTTCACGGAATTTATGTCCCGACTGTTTGATGAAAGTACTGAAGTGCTCAATGATCCTTGTTGCGACGCGGTTTGGGTTGTTATGGAGGTGGTGGCTATGCACTTTTTCTTGAACATATCCTTGATAGTCTGCCGCCGGTCAAACTCTGGTAGAAGCTTCCCTGACAGAGATAGAGTGTCCTTTACTGTATAGTCGCGCTGCCTTCGACCCTCTTTGAACATACCAGGCGGATTCATGATATCGAGTATGTGTGTCTCCTTGCCTTCACAATCCACTGTATCCTTGGTAAAGGCATATACAGGGCAATGATCCGACCCCATGAGCCCCTCTTGTATGTTACTATCGGCGAACCAAGTCTTCATGTCTAGACTACACAGCACAAAGTCGATGCGCGAGCCAAAGTTTCCGGGTCGGGCGTTGATCTTTTGCTCCCAGTGAGTATACATGCCCTCACGATCTGGGTGGAACTCGCGGCAAATGTCCCAAAGCACTGGGTGTTCCCTGCCCGGGTCGCGGTCGCCCACGACCTTGCCATTCTCAACAAGTTGGTTGAAGAGGCGCCTGTTAGGAGTATTGAGATAATCGTTGTGCGTAATACCTTCCTGACGCATGTGCTCTTCTGCTTTGGCTGTGTCGATCTCTTCTCTAGATACATTGAGATCACCTGTCAGCACGACTCTTTTACCCATCTTGACCAGATTGCGAATACGAGTGTCGAGAGCGGTCACAAAGCCATAGCGAAAATCGTCTCGAAGTCCATTGCTGTTGGCTGGGCTGTAAACGCCGAAGAGAACAAAGGCAGGGAATTCAAGTACCAGGCAACGGCCCTCTGCATCTAACGAGGCGGCGTCGACGCCTAGATCAGCAACCTGAGAAGGAGTTGGGTAGCCACCGATACGGGTATCTTCTGGCAAGTCTCGGTATGGAACGGAAGAACCGGGTGGGCAGAGTACTCCTAGAAGACCTTCTTCGGCACGAATGGGGGCGCAGACGGATTGGCGTGTGTAGATTCCAACACCGGAATATCCTGTGACGGACGTCAGTATCCGGACACACAGTTGTACGAGCGATTACAAAAACGAATGTATTTGTGAGGCTACAGGCAAAGGTGTGCATGATGAAGAAATTTGGAGCATGATATCATGGTGTCGAAGTACCCTTTTTATGCTTTGGCAGACTAAAGTAGCAGTCCCAGCCCTGAACCAAGACCATGTCGTCGGTCAGATCTTTGCGTTGGATCTTCAGTTCTTGCATGATGACGATGTCGGCCTCCAGGACGTCAAACATGTAGTTAAAAGTGCGATTTTCGCGCCATGGCTGATAGCTGAAGGGATTGCGAATGCCGTTTACATTCCAGGTAGTGATGCGAACCATGGTGAGAGCGGCGACGACTAGGAGTATGACGTTTCTACTGTTTCGTACATACAACGCGCAAAGCGCTCTGAGCTCAGCACCTCATGCAACGTACGGCACTCACAGATTCAAATATCAAAAGTAACGCGAACAGCAGCTGTGTGCATCAACGAGCTGATCGATTAACCACCTGCAATGGACGCGACGTCACGTTGTGCTGGGGTAGCGGACGTACATATATACGCATGTAGACTAGTGCGGCTGCTGTCTACAAGGGTACGAGCAAGAGCAAACCGGGCAAACGCGCCAAGACGACGACCTCGCCTGATCCACTTGCATCGTCAAGCTCAAAGCTCGAACCTCACACCACTACCAGCACCTCCAATTCACGACTCCAATCGATACACTCTCCACTCAATCTGCACCACCACCGCCGAAATGTTTGCCCCGCGCACTCTTCTCCGCTCTAGCCAGCGATTGGCTCTCGCCCGCCCCCCCGTCCGCAGCGTCCGCTTCTATAGCTCTGAGTCCCCCAGGAAGTTTAGCGGTGCCGAGGACAACGATTTCAACCGCGAGCGTGCCGAACATGAGGCGCACGCTGGTGAGAGTGGCGGTAAGTAGCTGCTGCTAGCTGCGTGCACTTTGAGCTGCCAACTGACCTTGCGGCGATACAGAACTCTGGCGCAAGCTCTCCATATAGTGAGATACCCACCACCGTCTCAACCCCCCTCCTCCCGCCCACCTCTGCTGACAAGGCACCAGTGTCGCTATTCCCTGCATCATCATTGCTTGTGTGAATGGAAAGATTAGGTGGGATGCCCACTGGGAGCACCAGGCTCATGCACCTCCCATGTCGGAGAGGCCCGAATACCCCTACCAGAACATCCGCACCAAGAACTTCTTCTGGGGCGATGGCGACAAGGTATGCTGCTCTTCCGAGTATGATGTTCTTTTGCTGAGACAGCTGCACAGACCCTCTTCTGGAACGACAAAGTCAACTACCACAAGAAGGACGACGAGTAAATCTGTAAATTGGAAGTCTCCAAACTACATGCTAGACGTTAGAGTGCGCCTGTAAATATGAGGCGCCGAGGCCTTGCAGCACATGTTACATTAACAATCAATTCCTTTTGTGTTCCCCGTCATCGCTCTTCTCAGCCCAGGGGATTTTATCTCAATTACTATAGAGTTCTCTAACCAGACAATGGGCTATCTGCTATGCGTTTCATTCCATCTTCCCAAACCTTGTTGTGATTTTGCGCCCACTCCGTAGCCAGCTTCTCATCCCCACGGAGCTTTGCTATCATGGCTTTCTTCATGAGCTGCTCGCATTCGCCGCCCGTATTTTCCACCTTTTTGAAACCTGTATGACGATTAGCGATTCTGCATGCATGGGCATTGTACTCTTTTCCGTGACGGGCCAACTTACACTCGCGGGCTCTTTCAATGTAAGTTTCGGCTCGACTCACGTGCAATACCCTCATGCGTGTCCCTGTAGAGCTTGCCGAGTCTTCTTGTCCAGCTAACCCCATGTACGAATCACCCAGGTGCGAGTACAACTTCCCATTCCCGAAGTGGTCGAAATTCTCGAGCGACTGGTGAACAGTGAGCACAGATTTCTCCACTTTTTGGATTTAAAGGCGCACTAACTTGTGGGATTACCGCATGTAAAAGTCTCATTGCGGCACCGTACTCGCCGATTGAATTCAGGATGTTCGCAAGCATCCCCACAGCCGACCATAAGCATGGCATCAGCCGAGCTTTGAAGGATACACTAGCAGCGCGCAAGGCCACACTAAATCCACGTTCAGGTTCGCCAGCCAACCTGTATATTTCGGCTTTCGCGATAAGCACTTCGACGCGTTGCATCACATCTGCCCCTTCGTCCTTCAAAGACGTTGATAGAGTGTCTAGGGCCTTGAAAGCTTCTGAGAAGAGCCCGCGGGCTACAAGGTAGTAGATACGGGATTCTGATAACATGAAGGATAATTCAGGATCCGTAGACGAGTCGGGCTGTAAGGATAAAAGCAAAGCCTCGCAAGCTGTCCAATCCGTCCTGCCAAATGTTAGATCGTGAAAGCGAGGCGCATGGTTGGTGGACGTGACTTACCAATGTATTGCCCTCTTCAACTTCACCAGTCCAGTACATAGGAAGACATAGTGGTGAAACTTTATGGAATGGTTGGCCGGTGTATTCATTTTATCCAGCATGGACAATGCTTCCGCGTACTGTCCTTTCTGAGCGACCTTTAATATACATCAGTAGAGGCACTCTGGAGGGGGCTCGGCACATACTAAAAATGTACGTCGGCCGATGGCGCGGACTTGTTCGTCCAGCGGGCAGCTGTGGTGGTAGCAATGGAGTAGTAGCTCACAGTAAACGTTGGACATGTAGTTGAGTCCCAGTCTTGAGGAGAGTGCAGATTGAAACAACATGTGGGAACCGTGATTACTGATGTTCTCCTTGAGGTTTAAATGCGAGGATTGGAAGAGGTGGTCGAATGCGCGAGTGACGGGGTCGCCCTGCAAACCACAGTTAATCTTAGTCCAGAAGTGTGGGGAGTAGCCTACCATCAGTAAATGTAGCTTAGCTTCGTTCAATAGAGTTGCACTGAGAAGATTGTAAGTCTTCGTTTCTCGGGCTTTTGCCTTTAGGAAAGCCAGCGCCTCCTTCTCCGAGCCGAGCATACCCATATAGCCAGCTCTTTTCATGTGTTTTGGATACGCTTTACTCATATGATGTAACCAGTTCAAGCTGAAGTTCAGGCAATGGATGTCCTGGTTTTCTCGAGCCGTGGCGATGGTTTCGTTGATTGCAGCAATCGCTTCGTCAAAACAACCAAAATCAGCATGAAGAATAGCCATGTGTAAGAGAGCATATTGGTAGTGAATTCTTTCCCGCGCTTGCATGGCATAGTCGAAGTATCGATGCAGGTGATCGAATGCTGAGGTATAGTCGCCAGCTTTCCAGGTGTCGAAAAACTTGACCAGGTGTGCCTGGCGCGGAGCGGTGCCGGATGATTCTAGCATCTCACGCAAAGGATCCTTCATATCTTCAGGTACGCGACAGCCAAGACCTTGGGGAACGTTAGTAGAATTACAAGTGAATTTACAAAGATAGCGTACGTTGCAGACGATCAAGCTGGAATTCCATCAAACGCTCAAGATCATCAAGGCTGAGAGCGTATTCGGTAGCCTCTTCACCAGAGAAGCGTCCATAGGCAGTCTCGTAAAGGCCATCACCAGATTTTATCCCAAGATCCGCTGCGACACTATCAATCCCCAAAGAAGACAGGCCAGCAAGCCTCTTCGTCCACTGTGCTGTGGGTGCGCGGTACGCTATGAAAGCTGACCAGAGTCGAATGGCATCGTCAAACGGCAATCGTACAAACTCAACTCGAGCACGACGAATGAGGGAACCAAGGGGTGAAGTTGGCGAAAGGTAAACTCGTTCAACAGAGTGATTTCGTAGTTCTTCTTCAGAAGGTCGTGTTAAGAGCCCGCCCAGCCGATCAAACAAGTTAAACAGTTCATCAAAGGAATTCATTTCCCACATATTCTTGAGAAAGACATCCAGGAGAGTCCGCCCCGGCATACTGGATGCATGCCGATGTAAGATGTCTTCAAACGCGTGAACCGAGGTGGAGATGTCGTGGTGTTTTGCTACGCGTGATACGCGGGCTGCCGAAGGAGGTGTAGGGAAACATTGGGAAAGTATGAACGAAAGAACCGGAACGATAGCGGAGGATGGCACTCCCGAGCTACAGTATAGATTGACAAGAACCAGAAGACTGATCTTGGAAGGGGTGAGATATCGCGGTTTCGACATTTCGAAGAGCGATAGCAGGATTATTCAGTTTGTACCGTTGAAGTTTCTGGTTACGACCGAGCGGGGTCCATTCTTGTTATGGTGTTGAGCAAATCCATAGACTGGGTCGGACAACAGGCGCGCAGTGCCGTGTAGGTTCGCGCTTGCTAGAGAATAGACGTGGTATTTGGAGAGTTATACATATACATATATGTACCTACCTACCTAGGTAGTTACATGTGGGCATATAGCCGGTGAACACCAGTTGCCCGTACGCGAAATCACGTGAAGGCCTTACCCGCATTAACTGGTCGATCTTCAACACTTGAACATCGGCGAACATTCAGTCGATGATTTGATAGCCCAAATATTATCACAAAGCGTTACCAGTATCAAGAAGGCGCATCCGATAAAGCTAGCATCGATGCCTAGGTCTTTATGCTCACATTTGTATGTATGTACCTACCTAGGTAGGTCGGTATTTTCCATTGCTCCTTTGCGCCTACACAGTGCAATATGTATACCTACCTCGGTAGGTATATGCAGCACACATGCACATGTGCTGTATTATGCACTCCCCCAGAATAGCAGAAGGTAGACAACCAAAAAAAAGCTTGATTTGTTATGAACGTGAAAGTAACCTCGCCTTGAATTGCCTCTTCATACTTCCCCTGACCTCAACGTAGCCGGGACATGGGCAAGCCTGTGACAGCACCTTTGACGTTGGCCAGTATCTCGTCATCGCTCCCGCCATTTGTAGCCCACACTTTACTGATGCTCAGATCGTAAGGGCCCGGGATCCTGTCAATCAAAGCTGTACCCACGGTCCGCACCTTCTGCGTCAGCATTTCACGTTGAGGCTCTACGATTTGGCCGTGATTTGTGCGGACAAATTCACTCCATTTTATGAGCAGAGTCTCCCATTCGCCAGGCGTCTTTGTATATAAGCGATGTTGGTGTATATCTGTAGGGACTATCGACTCGGTCTGGACGTTCACAAAGTATTTGCGCCCGTCGCTTTTGAAATGAATAGCAAGATAATTATAGCTGTTCACATCCCAAAGCGACTTGCCAAATATTGTGAAGCCGCGATCCAGCGTCCGCCACCCAGCATATCCAGTTCTTTGAACGTTTGGTTGATCTGCAGGCAGCTTTGTAGAAATCTCGCCGTAGAAACGGGCATGTGAGGGCGCATCGTGCGTGATAGGGTGGAAATCCAAGTGTGCGCTGGAGAAGCCGCCAATATCTTTGTCGCTCATGCGCTTGCATGCGGAAAGGTCATCTGGCGAGTCAAAGGTGATGAGAGGAAAGGCCTTCGTAGGCTTCTTGATTGCTTCAAATTTCAGGGCTGTACAGATTATTTAGCTGTGTCGGCAGCTGCGAGTCGGCGGACATTCTTACCAACATTGGAGAGGCGTTTGAACTCATCCAAACTCCGCCTGAAGAACCCCGGCGCGAGACAGCGTGGAGAAGGCCTCATGTCCGTGGTCAATTTGTGGAGGTTCAAGCGTGTTCGCGGGCAGGCAGTAAAGGTCAATTGCGCGTGTACACTCTGCGCCGATGACGCAGGGCTGTTGCAATCAAACGAGTCCATTACATAGCCAGAGTGGTACTTTCTCCTTACCACCGCCCACTAGGCCTTTTCGGGAGACCATCCATTAAATTTCTCGAGCACGTAACAAGGTAACAAAGTACCACCACACTTCCACCAAACCAACCATAACTACATATCGAATCGAGACGACATCAACAATATAGCCAGGTGACGGCCTCTTCACCTTGTGCGTAAATTCCATCTGTTCTGCGCATCCTCTCGCCACCGCCACTGCTCGGCTTTCGATGACCGCAGACCACGCGACAAGACCTCGAGACCTTCGAGACGACAGCGCGCTGATACAACAAACACTCACTCCGCAATCTCGAGAACTGGGTGGGGCTATTCCCAGAAAGCAGCACGACGGTGCGCCGGTAGCCACCGATGGCTCACCATTTGCAAAGTCATGGGCGCATTTTATAGCAGGAGGGTATGCGACTCCAGCTCCTTATTCCGTCGCACTGGAGACTGATTTGATGGCAGACTCGGTGGCATGGCCTCTGCAACGCTGACAGCCCCGCTTGATGTACTCAAAACTCGCCTTCAATCCACCTATTACCAACAACACCTCGCCGCAATGCGCACTGCCCGCGGCCTTCCCCCGATAGAAACTATGTCATTTGCCCGCAGCGCCTTGCTACACATCCGCGAAACAGGCGAAATTCTTTGGCAAGTACCCAAAGCCGAGGGATGGCGAGCCCTGTTCAAAGGCTTAGGCCCCAATTTGATTGGTGTCGTCCCGGCTCGTGCCATCAACTTCTATACCTACGGCAACGGCAAGCAAATTATTAGCAACAAGTTTAACAATGGTCAGGAGTCTGCATGGGTTCATCTCTCCGCCGCGGCTTGTGCCGGTGTCATCACGGGAACAGCAACGAATCCCATCTGGCTCGTGAAGACGCGTTTGCAGCTGGATAAGAGCATACATGCTGATGGCCGAGGGAGACAGTACAAGAATGCTTTGGACTGTGTCATGCAGACCGTGCGAAAGGAAGGCGTGCCCGGGCTGTATCGAGGATTGACTGCGAGTTATCTGGGCGTGACCGAGAGCACATTACAGTGGACATTGTACGAACAAATGAAGTTGTATCTGGCGAAACGGGAGCGGAGAGTTGCTGAAAGCGGATTGCCCTTGACTGCTTGGGATCAGACCGTTGCTTGGACGGGCAAGCTGTCGGCGGCTGGTGTTGCAAAATTTGTCGCCGCCCTAATCACGTACCCACACGAGGTATGTTGGAATGTTGAGTCAAGGGCTAATTGCAAGCTAACACAATATTCAGGTCGTCCGAACGCGCTTACGACAAGCTCCATTGGAGAATGGTCGAATGAAATATACAGGCCTAACGCAATGTTTTAAGCTGATCTTCCGAGAGGAGGGGATGGCGGCTTTGTACGGCGGGCTAGTGCCACACATGTTCCGCGTAGTCCCAAGCGCGGCGATCATGTTTGGCACATATGAAGCGGTGCTGAAGATGCTCGGATCGAGCAGTAACATGTAGAATAACCAGAGGTTCCTGTAAGAATATGGCGTGCATTAGTTTGGCGTTTATCTTGAACGTTAGGAGGCATCTCAACAGTGTTGAACTTCGTATCTCTCACTGACTATGTATATTATTTGTATGCTAGATACGATTGTAGAATTATGGCTTGGAAAATACCGGAAGAATCGGATGAGTTCCGGGGGCGTTGAAATGCTCTGGCTTTCGGAATTTAAATATACCTACATATGTACCTAGGTAGGTATGTAATATCAAATTCAGTGACAATCTGTATATGCGATACCTCTGGCTATTGGCGTCCTTCACTGTTCATACTGCCCTTCAGATTTTATATACGAATCGTCGATACACCTCCTTGCTTTGGGTGTTCCCAAGCTCCAGTCTTCAATGTTGCCATTTGAACCAAGCTTTTTCAAGTTCGAGGTTGAGGTTCGGTCACGTGCGCTCAAAACTTCTGTTCCGACTGGTCGGACCCCCGAACCTCATCCGCACCTCTTGACCTTCATTCAACACCGTGCCCACCGTCCTTCGCGACTGCGCATCACAACAATGTCGGCACGCGCGCCAACCCGAATACCTCGAACAATATACCGCAAATGCATCGTTCCGAGACCCAGCGCTCGTCCCTTTTCCACAACACTCCCTACGGCCAGAGGAAGGAGATCGGACCACATAGGTACTCAAGAGTTTTGTAAAAATGTTCGAGGGACACCAATGCACGCACAGCGGCAGGAACAATTGGGCAATGAAAAGACCCTACAACAGGATATTGGGATCATTCCTGGTGAGAGCCTGCTCCATTCCTGGTGAGGCGCCGGCCCTGGATTATTGCTAATGTGGTTTCTTCAGGATCCTTCATTCGCGCGCCAATGTCCAAGTTGATCTCGTCGTATCCCTTGACAAAGATTACGAGCTGGAAAACTATAATTTTGTATCATTGGCGGTTCCTTCAAGCGACTGTCAAGGCTGCCGTTGCGTACGTTCAAATCCCACCATTGTACGACCAGCGTCGTAAGAAGAACTTTATTTAACATAGAACGAACAGGAACGTTCGTCTATGGTGGCAAATCCGCCCTCCCACCATGCATGTTCTACCCTGGAAACAGAAGGAAGCAAAGAACCTCGCTCTGGCGAAATACACGCACCTTTACCAGTCGTTTGCACGGTAAGTCGTTGTTACGGATCAGCCAAGGAACTACCAATTGGCAAGATTACTGACGATGAGTAGGGGCGACTCCAAAGCCATATCTGATATGTGCTTAGACGCTGTCGCGGCTCGCTTCCAGGAGCGTATTGCCGCTCGCCCACGCGGCCGAGTCATGCAGTGGAAAGTATCGAATCCATCTGTCCGCATCGTTTCGAACCGCTCCCAATTGGTAAGCGAAACCGGATCCGATACATTGGGCTTTCAGCAGATCGTTTTTCGAATCAAATCTGCCCAATCCCTCCTCAGACCGGGAGAACAAAAGACAGTGCAAAATAAGGGGGTGATTGAGTACATGGTCTTGCAGCGAGTCTTGTCGCGAGGCCAGTTCAATGACTGGACTGTATGGGGCTTTACGAACGAGTGGATGCCGCAGAATGTCGAGGAGAACGCAGCGTATGAATCGCATCTGCAGAGATACCAGGCGCAACAAGTTAGTTAGGGCCGTTATGGCGTCCGATGAAATCTCGTGATTGTATTATACATAAATTAGCGTGGTGCGATGGACATCGCTGTGTATGATGTGTAAAATAGCTAGCTGTATACTTGACACAAACTACCACGATGAGATGGCGAGGACCGAGTTCTGAATGTGAAGAAGCGTTGTGATTGGTATCCGTCAAAGAATGCTATATCAACCCATGAAAGCCCATAGTACAGTCTCCCCTTGACGCCTCGAGAAAGCCTATGAATCACGTCTGAACGATCAACGGGTGAAGTTTGATGCCTGGTACATGGATGCTTTGCTACCCAACCAGCCATGAATTTCTTTCGAGGGTCTCGCGGCCATATTGCAAGGTCATTAAGAAGGCGGCGCCGCTGGTGGCGCTTCTGCTGTTCCAGACCCGGATCCTGCTCGGACAGGCGCGGGGGGCAGGAAGAGAGGAACATAACTCTTTTCCCCCGATTGTTAGAGGGTGTTGATACTGAACGCGGATTGATTGAGCGCTTACAACTAGGAGCGACATGACTGGAACATAAGTTAGAGTGGACCCAAATCGACATGAACACAAATAGCTCTTGAGTTGTGTAAACTTACAAGACATGCCGACGGAAAAGTAAGCAGGAGTGCCCGAGGTTTTGGCCTGCTCCGGCGACTCAGCGAGCCATGATTGGATGGCGAATACTACGGCAACCCTACGGTTCAGGTCAGTATGGAGGTTGAGGGGGGACGAGGGCGTTGAGAGCCACGTGAAAGCATACCAGCCGATCATCCTATGTCACAGAATTATTGCGTTAGATAGACGTCCTCAGCTCATCGGGTTCCATCCCTTTCTGGCATCCTTTGTTTTTCGTTTCATTTTGTCGTACATGGAAAGTTCTTACTTGTTACGGGTAAAGATCTAGGACGAGCAAAACATCAGTGTCTTGACACGGAATAAAAGTGGAGAGTGGACATGTAACTCACCGCAGCCATGGGCAATGTGCTGGCCATAGTGCCTGGGTAAATGTCCTTTAGAAGCAGTCATTTGAGTTGATGCAGGGATGATGTGCGTACTTGACATGTCACCCTCATTCTTGTCCTTTTTCGGCTCTGTGTATGGCACGACTGCAGGTTGGTATGGCGTTAGATGACTGGCTGGCATGCTGAATACATCGATTGGTGACAGGATGAAGGAGCACGTGACGCAATTTCAGGCGATCCCAGGTGCCCCCTTTCATTGCCGACAAGAAGCAAATTGCGATGAAAACGCGAAGCTGTTACGTACTGAGATCCGCCCGGCGCATATCCTTCTTTGATGCCATGTTGATGATGATGGTGTGCTGGCGAGGTAAGAATACCTAGGTAGCTGATGGATCCAGATGTCGTTCACGGTGGGTGACTTTGGCACGGGGTGGTGTTCAAATGTTCAGGGCTAAAGTTCCACGGGTTCCGCACCTCGGGGAATTGGAGTTGGCCAATCACGGGCGCCGATCGGCAGTTTACCGGAATTCGGCCAGCAGCTCCCATTCGAGGGGAGTAGTCAACAACAAAGGCCCAGCATCAACAGTTGAGATGCCGTGTGGAAGGACGTGCCATGGCGAGTGGTTGTTACCGAGCCTGCAAATAGGCACGTGCACATGCGTACCGTTTCCAGGTATGTATGCCACAGCCCCTACATACAGATGTACGTACCTACTCCAGTAGCTACCTAACACGATGTATACTCGTGTACATATAGGACTCTCTCAGTAGAGGGGGGATGATGGCGAGACGTGGAGAAGTGTAGTTGTTGCGCCCCTTTGCACGATGAAGACATATCATATTCACCAAGGCCAACCCGACATGGAAATAAGTACGGCGCTTCGTCGGGAACGTCTCTGTCGTCTTCGTCTCCACTGCCTCTTTGCCGATGCAACAACCCGGGCGATCTGGCGGTGGAGAGTCAGGCCTTAGATCCATGTACGCAGAAGATGCATCGGTCGGTCCTCAGTCGGGGGGGTATTGGCGGGATGCCGGATCATCGGCGGCGGCTGCTGCTGCTGCTGCATCGCTCTCATCTGCCCTCGTCTGGTCTCGTGTCGTGTCGTGTCGTGTCTTGTAATCTGTCGATAGATAGCATTAGCTCCCAGATGGCTGTATTATGGAACCCTCTCATCGTTAAGCTAGCCGCTAGTTCCAAATGCACCCGGCGTCCGGCAGATCGCTGACTTAAACCCTGTTCTGTCTCGTCTGCGTTGCGTTGTAACCATCCATCCACATCTGTTCCGCTGCCGGGCATCGTATCGTATCGGGCGGGCCATGCCAATCCTCACCTCACCTCATCCATCACTCACTCCACCACCGGCCCTTGACGTTGAACTGACTCCGCTCCCACGTCCACTCCCATCCATCTCGCTGCCCGCCTACCTACCCATCTACCCACCATCCCTCTCCCTTCCGCCTCCTGTCCTACACTACTCACCAGCCCGTCTGCTCTAGCTTCCGGATATCTCCAGCCCGCCCACCCGCCGCCCGCCTGCGCTCCCGACGACCATGAATCCGCTCTCTGTGCGATGACTTCTCGTCCTGGCCCAGGGATCCAAGAATCTCTGCAGCATCGCGGGGGCGCCTCTGCCTATGCGCCTGCTCGTCGGGCTGCGAATCCCCAGCATGGCCAACAGGACTCGACCGCCGATCTCGACCGCCCACCTCTTGACGACCGAGTCGCGAAACCCAGATACAAGCCCAAGCCCATAGCACTTGAAGCCATCCAAACTTCAGCTTCTGAATACGTGCGGCCCGCCCCCAGAGGAAAACCCCAACTATTCTTCACCACGCCTGCTACTGTTGGGCCTGACTTCTCACCACATGGCCAGCCCATCTCTATTCTGCCTATACCCCCTCGTCCGAGCTCCTCGTTACCGGGAGATGGGCTTCAACAGCCTCGGATACTACCGGGAGGGTCAGGTGTGAAGGCTGAGACTGCAGTGAAATTACAAGGAAACGATGCGCCAGCGCCGGCATTGGTTTTTCCGGAAGGAAGTGAGTGCCACTTTCTTTCTTTTTTCCTGCGGGACGATGTAACGCATATGCTGAACTCTAGATAGAAACTGTAGACCTGTTTCCATGGACGGGCAATCACCCAGAAGATATCATGTCAGAAACCTTGGTTAAGGGCGGCATCAGCAATAAATCACAGATCATGAACGAAACAAATACAGCCCGCCCTTCGCTTTGGTCAAACCTCAAGAACAAATCCGGAATATCCACGCTCTCGACATTGTTTGTCGCCGTTCTCGAGAAGCGACAATCGTGCAACCGGTTGACGGCATCCAACACCTTCAAACCGCCTCCGCGCTTAACTTTGCGTGACTCCACAAGGGAGACTTGGCTACACGATCTAGCCAACCCCACCATCGGATTGCGAAGGCTAAGTCGCACAATCCCCCACGGCATTACCGGCAAGGTGCTATTGGACCAGTGTTTGAACAAAAACATTCCCATTCCGAGGGCAATCTGGCTCGCCAAGTGCGTAGGGATTAATGAAATGCGGACACATAAGCGTAAGGGTCAAGCTGGCGCAATCTCATGGATCCGTGGCTGGACAAGTTCTGTCGAGCAATTCTTGGAGAGCACAATAGCCACAATAGGACAACAGGACTGGAAGCCCCGGGTGACCTATGCGTAAGTCGCAAAAAATGCTGGTTCTTCATATATTTGTCATCCTTACTGACGGGAGCAGTCTTCAACTTACAAGCCATCTTTTCAAAGAGCGCCTTCTTGAGAATGACCATTTCCTCGACTGGGCCCTCAAAAATCTCGATTCCAGCACACCCGAGCGCTTGTTTGTCTGGCTGCTTATAGTTTGTATCCCTGACTTTTGGAACGACCTCGTATCGGTTCGACGCAGGGGCAAACGATTAGCTGAATCGCTCCTCGAGCACACTGAAAAGGTAAGACCGTGCTATCTATTTGTCGCCAGAAGGGAGTAGGAGCTGACCGTCCACAGTTCTACGAATTGGAGGAAAACACCGAAAGCCTGCCTGTACTTTCGTTTCTAGAGAACACTCTTCTGAAGCTTATTGTGACAATGCCGGCTTGTTTGCTGCTTCCCACCGCATGGGCTAAGCATTCACGAGCTCTCCATCATCTTGCGAATAGACGTCCACAGCCTGATTTCATATGTGCTATGAAAGTCCTAGATGCCAGAAACAGAAAACTGATCCGGCCGTCAGTAAGCACAGTGATTCTTCCCAACGACGCTTACGGTCGGATCTATCAGCTCCTGGACTCAATCGATTATAGCAATAGGATATGCATTGATGATTTATCCTATGGCTGTATGGAGATGATGTACGATACAACCCAGCTTGTCACGGCGGTCCTCTCTTGGGCGTGCTCCTTATATCGACAGGGCTCTCACAGGATATACTTGGTCACTCGCCTGCTTCGGAAGTGGAACCACCTGGGCACAGATATTTACGATGCAATACTTGCCTATCTTCCGCAGTTGGCGCTGGATCATAGTAAGGAGCCTCGTGCAATATTCCGCATCATTGCTGAACTAGTGCGCTCGAAAACATTTTCTCCGGGAAGATTTTTACAATGGTTGATAGCTACTGGTTCTTTACGTCAACACCAGGATCTACATTCGGTACGTTTGTCACTTTTCGATCGCTTTCCCCCCAACATCAACTAACTTTTGTAGCCTTCTGCCTGGCCGTTACGGCTTGTCACCGAAATTCCGCTCAGTGGCCTGTCTGAAAACGTACAAAACCTTCGTAACACACTTCTCCAAGGCACGATTTATTCAGTAGAGATGGAAGAACAAGCGATCGAAGCAGCGGAAACAACAATTTGCCATCAATTACCTGGCCTATTCAATATTAGAAATATGGGATTTCTGCAACCCAATCCCACAGCGGTCGATTTTAGCTCAACAGTACGGCTCGAAGTTGGGACCTGGCTTCGTCGGGAGGTCGCAGCAAGCGTTGAATTTATGAACAAGTGAGTCTGCTTTTTTTTCGCTCTTTGCATGTATGACATACTGACGACGAACAGCATACCTACGAAAGATGTAGCCATAGAAGATTCCGGCGATGTGTGTACGATCTCACTGTCTGATTTCCACGTTGTGCGCTCCTATCTGGAAAATTTCGAGGATCATGCAATCCTCGCCGATATCATAGGTATAGTGGCTACCACTCTTGATTCCAATGTCTTGAGTGCTGCCGCCGATACCTTGTCTTACAACATCGAGACCTTTCGTGCAATCGGTGCCTTTGAACCTCTATTCGAGAAGGTTGCAATGCGATACGCTGCGATAAGGACTGTACAATTTCCGGAGCGGGATCTTCTTCTCAGCCTCACCGACCTGGCCCGCAATGCGCATGCCGATCCTCAACTTATGCAACTCTTGATATACGATTTGAGCCGGTATGATCAGAGAAACTCACTTGCCGCATGTTCACCCGCATCAGACAGCATGGCCGATGGCATTGCCAATCTAGATGTTGAAGATGAAATTGAACGAAGTCTCTCCAGCGGCACCAGAATGGATCAACAAATGATGGCCCGGGTATTTGAGAAAATCGTTGCCAACTTGGAGGATCAGTTATGCAAGAACGTTAAACCAGTGGAAAATTTCCCGACCTGGCTTTATCGCTTACGGAGTTTTGAGGAAAACACTTTCGAGGCAATCTTGAGTTCTTGGCTAAAGACACTACTGATAGGGCACCAGACGCAGATACTGTCTACCGTTCTTCCGCTCTTAGTCACATCGCAGTCTTCAACTTTGCATAGCTTTGTAAAGGTTGTACAGGAGTCTATAAATGAACGACAAACCATACAACCAGAGGACACTCTCCGCATTGCAGCGGAAGGTCTAGATTTGCTCCTCCCCACCGAGCACATCCAGAGTTCGTGCCGCAAGCAAGACAACTATCGGTATCGCCTTGAACAGCATAGATATTGCCGACAACAGAGCGAGAGTGTCATTAGCCTGGTGAAAATAATAGCAGAAATCATACCTATTGGATCTATGCACCTGGTAGATCGTACGGTGTTGGATATCTATTCGAGCGACCGGCTTTTACATGTGCTGCGGCATGTCGCTATCGCTGATGTCCAGAGTCTATCGCCGTTGGTTACTTTTCAACAAGTTTCCATGGATCGTCCGGACTTCAAGTCAAGTCCGTTGTTTGGTCGACTGTTGGATCCAGCGGGCAGAATACGTGAGCATAATTTTCAATTATGAAATTACTGCCACGATAAACTAACATCAATGCAGAGCTTTCGAAGATGAGTCCAGAAGAACAGGTGGCAACTGTTGTTCCTCATGCGGATCACCTCTCTCTTCCCTTCTGCCAACTTGCGCTCCAGCAAATCTTTTCGGCTAGTGCTTCCGCGACTGAAGAGGCCGCGGAATCTGTCTCTGCCGTTTTCCTGAGCACCATTAAGAGCGCAATAGAAAGAGAACATTCTTGCTGGTCGCAACTCATCTCGGGCTTGGAGCAAAGCCTAGTGAACAAGGTAAATTGTAATGTTACTGGTAATTCGAAATGAATATTGACAAGAGCAGATCCGGGAGCATGCGGAGCGTACAGTCATTGATACCACTGTATTTCTGTGTGAGCTGGCGACCGCCCCAACAAACGAGGAAATGATGGAGAAGCAGACATCTGTGCGCCGATATCTCAGTGTGATAGAGGCTACCACAAGTGAAACTCTGTCCGAAGTCCAGGCTTCTTTCATTGTGTCTTTGACCGAAAGACTGAAAGGTTTGTTGGAGTTGTTCACAAGGAGTATTGGAATGGATACGTCTGGGGATCAATTTGCCGTCCCATCTAGACCGGATCTCTGCTACTGGTATATGCCACCCCCGATACCGACCACATGACGCGTAGCTAAATGAAAACAGGTTGAATGTGCTACTGCGGTTAGCCGTAATTCATGGTCCGACGATGATGACGAACACCAGTCCTCAACACCAGGCTACCTTTATGTGGGCATTGCGGTCCCTCCTCTCTCATCCTTCAGTAGCGGATTTTCCTTCAACAGCTCTGTTCGTGTTTGATGTTGCAGTTCTGCTTTCGGACAGCATCTCAGACGACGCACGCAAACATTTAGCCCAATTGAGCGCAACCAAAGCGGCTGGTGACAGACGTTGTGCGTTCATATTTGGGACATGTGTCCCGTTCGATGGGTGGCTCAGTCTCATGAGACCAGTCGTTGGTCCCTCAAACGGACAATCAGTCTCTTCTCCCCCGGTGCAACCTCCGTTACCAAACACGCAACCCGCTCCACATACAGGTTCTCTGCAGCGAAGTCCAAGCCAGCAAAACATGCAGCAGCAATATTCTGCTCAGAACCAAGGTCGAGCATACGCGCAATACCCCGGGCAATCACCAGGGCCAAGAATGCTTCCCCAACAACTGCAGCGGATGTCCTCGAACGGACAAACGTCACAGCTACAACAACTGCAACAAATGCAAGCGATGGCGCAGCAACGGGGCTTCCAAGGTGTGTCAGGGCAGCAGCAGCAGCAGCAACAGCAACAGCAACAGCGGCCGGCAGGGGCGATCCCTCAACAATCAGCAGGAGCAAAAGGTATCGCAACAAAACCGGAAAAGGTGGAAATGAGAGCAATCCCCTTCTCACTCAATAGATGGGATATACTCCCCGAAAGTGGTGGCAACCCCATGGGTAACGAGACAGCCATTAGTATGGGGCTATTCGGGGCTAGGCGGGCTTGACTCTGCCTTGGTCTTCTTTTATTCCTTTTGTTATAATCTAAACATATTGGCATTTAGCGACGGAGTTTGTGTTGGTTGAGTTTGAGTACTAGCATCACGATGCATATGCGGACACTGGGATATGAAGTGTTTGCATGGAATTCTGGATTCGGCGTCCCGGTGCATCTTCTGCGAGGATTTCGGAAGGATGTTGGCACGATAGGAATTTGTTGGTTACATAAATAAAGTTGTAGTATAGCTTGAAGTCAGACACATGGGATTCGAAGAATTCGAAGAGCCGATTACGACCAGCAATTACCCAGCAATGACACATGGCTATGCTCGATGCATCATATACAAGCAATTCCTAGATATGACAAAGTATATAAAGTGTAAGTCGACCTCTTGGACACTTCGAAAACTAGATCTTGGTAGTCGCTCATATACCGTTTGTCAAAGAAGCTGGGGCGTCTTGGCCCACCACCCAATCCCTCACCTGGCCTTTCCAGTCTGTAGTCCGTCCGTCCCGAATCTTCACAACAACCACCCTCACCTCCTCCCCCTCTACGTAGCATTTCGTCCCACCATCCCCCTCAGCTGTCTCGTCGTGCCCGTGACTCGCTGCACCACCTCCGCCCCATAAGCCACCTTCGAGAGGGGAATTCGCATTCATGGCATCCGTTGACTCGAATGTATTGTTCGCCAAATGTTGGGCCCTGTACCACGCCTCCTCCTCGCTCCCCGATGGTACTATCTGAGCAATGCCATTGATCTGCGTGCTCTTGTCGCTCAGAGATGCAGAGTTGATGCCAAGGAGGAGCTCAGCCAGCGGTCCGAAGCGCGGGTTCGGACGAGAAGGAGAGGGAGAGCGACCAGGTTGGTTCAGCGTCGGGGGTCGATGAGAAACCCAGTCGTGGACTAGGACGGATACGAGCGGGTTGGACTCGAGGTTGTGAGTTTTGCGTGAGGAAGGTGGCGTAGTCATTATTATGGTGGGGTGGGAAGAGTAAGGTGATGAGGGAAGGTAGGTATAGTTCATCAGGGCGATGTGAGGGACATTGTTTGCGCAGGTAGAGAGGTGAAGCTAAGGTCAGATGTTAGCAGATTGAAGCAGTTCATTGTGAGGGCGGGGTTGTCAGATGGCGGTTGGAGTTCTATCAGAGTGGTTGCTCTGGATGATGGTGTGGACAACTAGAAATGTAATTCCTGTGTCAAAGAGAAAGGAAATGTCGAATGTGAATAGGAAACGTATGGCTCAGACTGACAAAGCGAGCATTTTGTAGACAAGTGATAACTTCGTCCGGCAAACCGTTTGTGACGGGTGATGCAGAGTTGACTGAAGCCATACTGGCCAAGAGTTTGCGATGGAGTTTGGGTAGAGCACAGGAACCGAAACAGCAGCCACCGCAGGTATAGCGTACAAAGTTGACAAGGATGATGGTGGTGGAGCCGAAGTGCGTGAATGAAGAGGCTTGGAGGAATGCGGGATTGCGATAGCATACGAGTTGTAAATGTGCATGGCAACATGCTACGTCAATGCAGAGGCCCGTGCGTTGTTGCCGTACTGTGGATGCGGGCGGTGCGGACATTATCTCGCTCGATCAAGCACACTTCATTCGCGTCGTTCTGCTTCATCGCGAAACCAACCGTTGGACCCTCCCTCCATACATGTATTGACTGTTCTCGAGAATAATCCCCTCCTCATTACCTTGATCCGCCATCCCCCCACTATCACCAGCACTACCGCTACTATGGCTGCCGCCCCTACTCTCCCGCCTGTGGAGAGCACCGATAGCTTCGCCCCCGACTTCAACAACACCCTTTCTGCAACTTCAAATGGCGTTACTCACGCCGAAGATTTTGCTTCATCACCCACCGAAACTCTAGCCCCTTCCCATGCTCCTGCTACCGTAACCTCTACAGCCCAGCCCACCGACTATAAGCCAGATCCCCAGATCCAGCAGAAAGTGCAAGATGTACTCCACTCAGATATTGGTGTCAATACCCTGCTCAACCGCCTCAAGGCCAGTATTGCTAGCGCAAAGGTTTGTGTTCATGCCATACCTTAAGTCTCTATACTGACCACTGCAGGACTTCGCCAGCTGCCTGAAGCGGCGCGGTCAGACCGAGGAAGAACATGCGGCCAGCCTCAAGAAACTAAGCCGCATGACGTTGGACAGCATCAGTAAACCCGAAGGCCGCCATGAGAGTTTCAAGACGCAGTTCGAGCAAGTGTTGCACGCCAACGAGCGCATTGCGGACAATGGAACCCAATTCGGCCTGGCTCTACATGCCATGCATGAGAATCTCCTCCAGCTAGCCACCAAGATGGAGGGCAGTAGGAAGACATGGAAGCAACAGGGTCTCTCCGCCGAGCAGAAAGTGCAGGATGCCGAGAAGTTGGCGGAGAAGGCAAAGGCCAAATACAATCAACTGTCCGAAGACCTCGACAAGGTCAAGACTGGTGACTCTGGCGCAGGCAGGAAGTTCGGTCTCAAAGGGCCTAAGTCGGCTGCTCAGCACGAGGAGGATCTTCATCGCAAGGTTCAGGCCGCTGACCAGGACTACGCCTCCAAGATTCAGACCGCGCAAGCTTCCCGTAAAGAACTGATCACTACTCTACGCCCTCAAGCCGTCGCTGCTCTTGTAGATCTCATCAAGGAAATCGATGCTGCGCTGACCATGGAGATGCAGAAATTTGGTAAGTCGAAAAGTACATATTAGACAGATAGGTGCCTACGCTAACCTCGACAGCATCATTCAACGAGAAGTTGGTTGTCAACAATGGCCAAGTAGTCAGCCCTCAGGCCCCGAGGGGAAGCACCGCGCAACCCCCACCAAGCATCAATCAAATGATCTACCAGATCAACAACGATAAAGACTTTGACGACTATGTATTGAAGTTTGCAGCTAAAGTCCCAGCCGTGCGCACCGATCTGACTTATGCCAAACATCCAACACAAGGCTCAAATCAAGTAGCAACCCCATCTCCCGTAGCACCCAGTGCAGCCCGTCAGACAATTACCCAGGTTCAAAATCAAGCTCCATCGGCTTATAACACGCTGCCGGAACCTGTTGAAACCCCCACTCATCATCAATCCCCTCCCCAAATCGAGACGGCACAACAATCGGGTTATCAACCATCATATTCCCACCAGCAACATCCACAGCAGCCTCCACAGCAACCCTACCAGTCGCAATTTGGGAGCTCTGCCTATTCATCACTAGCCCAAAACCCTTATGGTCAAAATCCTCATCAAGGATCATCTCCGGCGCACAGCTCATCGCCACAAAGCAGCGGGGTATTGTACAAGAATTCGAACCTCTCCTCGAAACCACCTCTTAACCCGGTCTTTGGGGTCAGCCTCGACGAGTTATTTGCAAGGGATGGCTCGCCTGTACCCGCCATAGTGTATCAATGTACACAAGCCGTCGACATGTACGGTTTGGAGGTTGAAGGAATCTACCGCATTCCGGGAACTGCGTCACATATTCAAGCCATGAAGAATCTTTTTGACACTGGTCTGTAACCGAACTCGTCTTTCGTCTATCCAAACCATTGACAAAATAGTAGATGCGTCCCAAGTGGACTTCCGCAACCCCGAAGCGTTTCAACACGATGTCAACAGTGTTGCTGGTCTCTTGAAGCAGTGGTTCCGAGAACTACCTGATCCTCTTCTCACCCGAGCATTTTACGAGAGGTTTATCGAAGCCGCACGCAAAGAAGACGCCACTGTGCGGAGGGACATGACGCATGCAGCCATCAACGAACTCCCGGATCCAAACTATGCTACTCTCCGGGCTCTTATGTTACACTTGCATCATGTAGTCCAGTCGGCCGAGGTCAACAGGATGACTTCTGTGAACCTGAGTATTTGCTGGGCGTAAGTACATGTCCTGTCCTATCTGTAATTCCCAGGTACAATACTAACTATGTCAGACCGGCTATAATGGGCTCGCAGACAAGCAATGACTTGTCTGCTGCCGGACTCCAATCTAAAGTTGTCAACACCATCTTGGATCACGTCATGCAGATTTTCGACGAGGACTAGGTCGCATCATATCAGGAAAGGCTGCGAAGGAGAAGCCTCTCACAGCCAACAGTCTGTCAAAAGCAAGTTGTACTCTCAAGCTTGAATCTCTCTTCCTTTACCAGAAGTGCGAATTGTCGAAGCGAGGAAACAATCGATTCTTCGTACTGACCATGTGCTTTAGCGTATATCCTTCGATACCCTTTATTTCTCATTTCATTCCACTTCCTTTCATTTCATTTAGTCACAATAGAATGGGAACTGCATACGTGCTGAGTAGAGCCAATGTCAATTCGAGATTGCTTCTTACTTCATGGAGTAGTGATCTTGGACAGAAAGAACCTAATCTCAATCTGTGACAATTCCGTCGGTGTAAGGCAATTTTCCATCCGCTAAGTGATTGTAGCTTGTCCATGCTAGAGCACAGATCAAGATACATGTGACCCCCATGTATTTCTCGAGAAAACACCCAGTTCACTGCCCCACTGCTTACTCCGTAGACTCAGAGCAGCCTAAGCACAGTCTACACTTTTCAGGATTCTGGCCACACATCGAACGGCTCCGTATAGTCCGACTCCTTCATGACCGAATCATCAGCCGGGGCGGCATTAGGCATAGTGCGGATACTGAGCATGTGGAATTGACGCTGTTCATTGCCGTCAGGATGTTCGTACGCATCGTCACCTCTGAGGGAACCTGAAATCCACCCGTCAGTAAACTAAAAGATGTTTGCATACAGCGAACTCGCCATACTGGAAGCCATCAAAACAAAGGTTTTGGACGAGTCAAATTGAGGCAGAGCGCGAGAAGATGACTCACCAATGTGTTCGTCGAGGAGGTTGAAATCAGGCTTTTTCACTATGGTGGCCGGGTCGCCCAAGCCTGAATATCTGCGTGGCCCTGTGCGCTCGCCAGAGAGAGGGTGCATCTAACAAATTAAACCCGTTAGCAATTGCATGATACGTTGGGTGATCCTCACACATGTGTGAGGGCGTACGGAGAGTGCTGTAGATGCTTACCTTTTCCGCTGTCATTTGGCGACCATCAAGGGTTTTGTATGTGATGAAGTTCTCCGAGAGATCCACAGCCTATCGACAATGTCAGAATTACACACTCGCTTTGGGAGAACAGAGGTGTAGGAAAGACTTTACATGAGCATCGTATTCGCGTATCATATTTTCTTCAGAGCGCCGCGCGTCGACTTCTGTGTCCTGCTTAACGTCAGCCATGTGATCTGATTCGCGGAAAGAAGAAGAAATAGAAAGGAAATAAAGGAAAGACATCGTATGTGTTGCACTTACACCTCTGAATACTTCGGTAACCAAACGTCTGCCACGTTCCGTGTGCCTGTCGACGATAGCCAGCCCACCCATTGGTATAGTCTGCTCCGGTCGCTCTTCCTTGAACTCCACCCCCATTCGCGCACTCTTATCAGAGATCTGAGAACCATACGGGACGCCGAATCCGGGCGATTTAAGGTGTAAGAACTGTCCCCACGGCTTCAGGCCCGCCTTGAAACTGCCCAACCTCACATTCGTACGCTCGATGTGCTCCTTGTTGTGATGCACCGCTTTTTCCGCGCCAGGGTTTACAGGAGGCGAGATCACGTCATTGATGAGCTTCAAAATGCCCAGGTACTCCATGGCAAACTCTTTGGAATGCTCGCAGCTGGGGACATTGGGCTCCCAGAACATGTGCGGCAGCCTCTCCGCCACGGTCTGGAGATCGTCGAGCATATCGTACCAGATGCTCTGCATCACTAGGCTGTCGGAGTGTGCGAAGTCGGCGAAATAGTCGACAATGTTGGCGAAGCACGTGAAAAGTAACTTCAAGAATTCTGGTTTGCATTCCCTCACCGAAAGTACTGCGCATGCGAGGTCAGTAATGCGTCCAATGGTAGGGTAGCAAGTTCTGCGTTGTTGGCTTACATTGGGTGTCCGCATCGTCGAAAACCAGTATCTGTCCACTTCCTGGGTGGGAGAGCAGGTTTTTGCAGGTTAAGAACACCTCGTCCACATCCAAGACGTTATCACCACACACATAGAGCGTGGCGAGCGCTGGCAACTCCTCCCAGTCGTCGACCCGTATAATTGGTGGCTTCATCTTGGTTGGTCAGGGCGTGGGGTATGAGCGATGGAGAGGTTGAGGATTTGGAGTTGATGAGAAGTGGGGTGTAAGAGTCAGTGGGTGAGTGAGTGGGTGAGTGAGTCTAAGTGGAAATTATATTGATCTATTGTACGACGCAGTGCCCTCCCCCCAAACACCCCAACAAAAAGGGAAAGAGCAAGCGCTAGCGCCCCTCCCCTGTAGGTAAACAAACAATTTCGACAAGTTGGCAGACGAGTGCGTAAATGTAAGCCCTCCAACGCTTTCCCTACCAAGAGTACTGAATCTTCACTAATACCAGCCTATCAGTTCCATTCTCGCTGACTCCGACATCATAGGTATCTAGATCTCAGCTGACTGAGTGTACTCATTCGTCCATGTTGGATATTGCTAAGCAAAGCTTCCTCGAGTGCCGATTGACTAATGCTTGCATCTGAGGAGGTAGGTCAGCTTTTCTCTCCAAAAAATCGTTCAACCTTTGGCACGTCGACCTCATGACGCGTAGAACGGAAGAACACTGTAACAATGATGTATCGATAACGATTGAAGTCGAGAAAAAGATTGACGTACCATCAATATCGCTGAAGCTACTGCCCATGCTGGGGGTGCCCTCGCTTCCTTCTTTTACTGACCTGTTACCCAGCCTCCGGGGACTAGCTCGCACCAAAGACTCGCGATGTCGTGGACTCAATGGACCAGGACTTGCCAAATCTGACTTAGGTGCATCACTTGAGGAGCTTGCCATGGAAGAACTAGCCTCTGTTCCTGATGGTCCAGCGTCTTGCTTAAGGGCTAGATCAGCAGCCCCAGCTCTCCCTGCTTTTGAATTGCCCGGTCGCGACGTTGCAGCTGAGAAGCCGTGAACATCCGTACCTTTTGCTCGCGCCGATGAGTTTGCAAATGGTAACATGCCGCCCGAGTCTGCATCGACTTCATCAGACTCTTCAATATCTTCATCATGAGCGCTCAGATCCCTCGCTCTCTGTGAGCGAAACCGTGGGGGTCTCTTGAACAGCTGGCTGCGTGTCGCCGGATTATCGCTTTCCGATTCTGACTCCGATGTACTGCTGGAAGACAAGCTACGAGTCGAAGGCGAGAAATCGGGAGATGAACTTCGAGGTTGACCAGATGAAGTGATGGTACTCTTCCCCCGTTCAATTCGTTCCTGCTCCATTTTCTGCCGATACAGAGGCTTTTGTTGACGCCCCGGTGGAGCTTGATTCGCCCGAGACTGTGTTATAGTGTTTGTCGATGGCGTCCGAGATAATGTTGGCGCTGTACACATCAGTTTGGCTGTTATTCTGCCCATTCCGAGACGATTATATGTACCTGTTGTGCCAACTTCACCAGTGGACGCAGGATTGTCCTTTGGTCGAGTAGACTGTGAAGAAGTGGTCCTCGAGGCTGCGATTCGATAAATAAAAAGAACAAAGAGCCACGGCTATCATCAGTTATACAATAACATACCTGCCGATCCCGCACTTCCAATTCTTTTCATCGGGATACCACCCATAACAGTGTGGGTACTATCTAAGCCCGAGGGAGTAGCTGGCGCACCTCCCCCTACCCTCTTCAGTTGAGCACGTACGTGTTCTAAGTGACGCTCATAGAGCCACGCGGCTTGTTGCAGAAGAAAGGCAGGAGGCACATTGAAGCTGTCAGCTCTGTTAATGGTCAGTCTTCGTCACCTCTTGAATTCGCAAAAAGCCATACAACTCCACCCCTGCTTTTCCGTTAGTAACAATATTATTATCGAAATAGAGATAGAGTAGGAAATTATCTTACAGTTCAAGTCGCTAGCTTTTGCCGATTTTGATACAAGTCGCCATAAAGCGCGATCCTTTGATGAATCCCAACTTGCCTGAAGCATGGTCAGAACGCAGCTAGTGAGGTTGGAGCGATCATAAAGTCTCACTGGAGGGGGTTCCGCAAAATCGCCACGCGCAAAAGGGAGTCTGATAAGAGCTGTGAATTGAACACCAGACATGGCGATGGTTATTCCGTAAAGGCTGTTAGTTTATGCAATGAAGCCTGTTGAATGTGTTGAGCAGGTGAGCATGATGTAGGTCACGAATCTGCCAAGGCTAGTGGCGTGCGCAAATGTACGCCCAATTAGGGCAGCTGAACGGGAGCGCGGTGAACACAGTGAATAGTGTACATGTAAATGCCTTATATTGAAATCTACACTAGAATTCTAAATGGACATGTCATTGACAGTCTTGTACCATCGTTTCGACCGCGAAAAACAATGAATCATGGCACCTACGCGGCATGGAGTTTCTCGCCAGTAAGCATCTGGTACGCCTCTCCATACTTGACAGCGGTCTGCGCAGCAATGTTCTCTGGGATAACGACACCTTCTTTACCCTTGAGACCCTGATCTACTAGCCAGTCTCGCAAGTACTGTTTGTCGAAGCTAGGTTGTTGCTTCCCGATGTTTTGCTCCCAAGTGTCCTTTGGCCAGAAGCGGCTGCTATCTGGCGTTAAGACCTCATCAACAAGCACCACCTCGTTTTCGCTCGTCAAACCGAACTCGAATTTGGTATCAGCAAGGATGATGCCGACTTCTTCGGCCCGCTTAGCCGCTGTGGTGTATATCTCGAGACTCAACTCCTCGATCCGCTTGGCTACCGTCGCATCACCAATGAGTTCCCTCGCCTTCTCGGGACTGATGTTCTCATCTTTCGCGCCAGCTTCTGCTTTGGTGCTGGGTGTCCACAAGGGTTTCGGGAGCTGTTGGCCCTCTAACAATCCGGACGGAAGTTTGATGCCGTTCACAGTGCCGGATTTCTTGTACTCTGCCCACCCAGAACCGGTGATGTACCCTCGAACGATGGATTCCACAGGCACGATTTGCAGACGCCGTACCTGCATGCTTCGCTTTTGGAGCGAACCAAGAAGTGACTGGTCGCCTAGCGATGACTCAACATCTTCTGGTAAAGACTGTTTGATGAAGTGTGTCTTCAATGTGGGGATTCGATTCTGAAGATACTTGAACCAATACACGCTGTATGCATTAGGGGTGAATAATATATAATTGGGGAAGTTTGTGTATACCTCATTGCTGTAAGCAGTGCGCCTTTTCCTGGAATTCCCTTTCAGAGAAATTAGTATCAGTTGCTGACTTCGGGAATTGTATGAACGTACATTCTGCATGACTACATCATATGCGGAGATGCGGTCACTCGCAACAAACAAAAGGGTATTGTCGTCAATGGCGAACAAGTCTCGAACTTTTCCAGAGGCTACTTTTGGAAGAAGACCTTTGAGATCAATGTCGACAATGGTTGAAGAAGCCATGTTGAGTGCCTGGGCGTGGTGGGCAAGTGTGCAGTGCTGATTCGAGTCATTTATATTTTTTCTATCACTTCGGTTTGCTCGGGACCTTGCATGCACCAGTGGGGCAGCAGGTGGCTGAAGTGTGGCTAGTGCCACCATCCCCACCTATAAGTGAATAGAGAGCATAGAGTCCAATCGAACTGATTACATCCCAGTCTCTGTTGGATCGCTATATAGATTCTCGGTTTCAAATAATCATGATGAGGGGTTATCTAGAAACGACAGATCGCTTGTGTTGGGCACATCCTGCAGCCCCCAGAATCCCTCCTCGACAACCCACTTCTGACTATAATCCTTCAAAGTCTTGCATGCGTTTCCAACGACAAGCAACCCTGGTGGCCGGCTACCTTCCTCCTCAACAGCTGCACATACGTGTTCCAATGTGGTTCGGATAACCCGCTGGTCCGGACAACTCGCTCTCTCAAGAACGGCGCACGGTGTAGTAGCAGGGTACTTTTTGAGCATCAAGGATTCGACTAGTGCAGATAGACGATGCAAAGCCATGAGAAGCACTACCGTTCTTGACTCGACAAACTCGGGCGGGTCAAGAGGGGCACCTTTTCGGCCAGTGCCAGTGCATATCAGCACCTGATCGGCAACCCCACGGTGAGTCAATGGGATAGCTGCAAATAATGGAGCACTTAAAGCACTGGTGATGCCCGGAAGGACAGAGGGTGTGTACCCGTGCGATCGGAAGAAATCGTACTCCTCCCCGCCCCGACCATATATATAGGGATCGCCTTGTTTGATCCGCACCACCACCTTGCCAGCCCTGAGACCCTTTAATCCTAACTCGAGAAGCTCTTCTTGCGCCTTATCCGCATTACCGGGAAATTTTCTTGCAATGTGGACTGTCGCGCGTCGCGGTATAAGATCCAGTATCGGGCTGGGTACAAGTTTGTCGGCAAGAACCGAGTCGGCAGATAGGATGGCTTTATGTGCTGCCCGGGTCAACAAATCGGGGTTGCCTGGCCCGGAGCCGACCAGTATTATCCGCCCTTGCTTTGAAAGATCCGTGCTTTGATCAGCTTTGATTGGATTGGATTTGCTGTAGTCTTGCAGGAGGAGCTCCACGTCGGCATCTGATATGGATGCGAGACGGCGAAGTGGCCAGTACTCGCAAATTTGTGAAAGCCAACGCATTCGGCGACCACGCGCTGCCTCCACGCTTTCTGTTGCGACAAGTTTGTTGAAGTTTGCAGATTGACCTGCGTCATCATCTTCGACCTCCAAATCAGCTGCCAATTCAGCTGCATGGTCCTCTTCCCATATCCGCCTACGCATGGTACCTAGTCTCTCCACCGCATCACCAAGCTGCACAGGAAGGGAAGCGGCTATCTCCCGGCGGATCCTGGCTGAAAGTTTGCAGCCTTTCCCTGATGTGGTTACACCGATTTGTAAAGGACCATCGGAATAAGTGGATAGGAGTGTGAAAGAGCAAAGATTGGGGGCATCTGCGACATTGACAGGTATGCGAAGGCGGCGGCAGAGATTGGAGATGTGTGTGCCTGCGAATGTATTAGATATGATTATAGAGGAGCGAAGTCGTGGGGGACTTACTGGTGTACTGCTTGCCACCCGATGTGACGAAGACAGCATCGACTATGCCATCCACTTCAGGTCTTCCCAGCGTTGTGAGATCGGATTCCTCAAAGCTACGCTGTAACCATTTAACCTCTCCTTCATCGATACGTTTTACCAAACCGTAGTGAAAGGTTGCGTTCTCTGGGGCAATCAAGATGGGCTGAGCTCCTACTTCAACAGCACGAGCACATCTTGCGCCGGCGAGTGAGTTCGAGCCGATGATTAGATGGACATGGGAGGTCGAATCGACAGCGGTCAACATAGCGGGAGCCATGATTGCGTGAGGTACTGAAACAGAAGAATTGGCGAACAAAGAGCGGAAGTGATGACTATTATTGCATTAATAGCAAGAGAAATATTGGGCCAATCTGCAATCCGACATTCGGAAAGCGATTGCGTGATACGCTCGTTTTTAGTTCCGATATCGATAAGAGGGGTGTCCGCTAGTCCCAATCTAGATCAAAGCGGACTCGACCGCGGAGATGCCACTGCTATCCCACATTGTGGCATTGTGCCGCTGTTTTCCACGGAGATAGCGAGAACTGCGCTGCACTTTGTGGGACATGAAGACAACATGCCGCAGGTTGAAATGGGATTAGTGAGATTCAATCTAATTGCTCTTCACGCCCCAGAACAATGTGCAGGGCTTTGCGACTCAGCATGACACTATGTTCAAGAGCATTGAGTTTGGCCGTGGCCGACAGTAGAGCTGGATCCTGGCTCTCAACCCGTACCTTCTCTTTGACGCGAACTTCCTGACCTCGATAAGAGAATAAACGCTCGGCTTCATCGTGAGTCGGTGGTCTAGCGCCTCCTAAAGCAACAGCGAGTCGATCGCGGAAGTTGAAGCCTGTATATGATGATTCCTCGGCCGCATTCTGGAGCTCGAGAGTGCGGATCTCCAGAACAAGAGCAGCGTCGAAAACAAAAAGATGGAACGAGACGTTCGGGGGCAATGGAGGATCGAATATCTGTGGAGTCTGTTAGACCGACTCCAGACGACTCCAAACCAGCATGAAGAAGCCGGTACTTACCTGCTCATCCACTGGAGTCTCCCACCACGCTGACTGCACATCCGAGTAGCCTTTGAGCGCCTGGCGACCCTCTTGTATATGATCGTAAAGCAGGCGTAGCTGGCCAGCGACAAAGTTGGCATCTTTCGCGTCTCCCGTCCATGTTGTAACGTCTATCACATCGAGGCAGGTATTGATGGAAGTTCGGACGGAGGTCAACTGAGGGACAACCAGCGTCGGTGCTTGCGGGGCGGAGGAAATGGACAGGTCGTAAGATGGAGAGCCGCGGGGAGGTGGAAGGCTAGGAAGGCGCAATCGGACATTCTATCTGTTGTTCAGCGTCGACAGCCGGAGGTAGGGGGAGGTGTGCAGGGCGTACGCCTTTCACGATGCGAGTGCCCACGCGTGTGACGAGGCCCTTGAGGCTCTCGGAGCGCACCGATGACAGCACAAGCGTGGAACCGTTCTCGACGGGGGCCAGCAGGGCAGCGCATTCTTCGAGGCCAGCTTTTAGTGACTGCAGCGTGTCGCGGAGTTCACCTAGCAACCACTCCAACTCGCGAGCCTATAGTTTCGGTCAGCGCCTCATGCTTGGTGTGATTAGGCTGGTTGGCAGGCGTGTACCTGTGAGACAGCCTGCTCGTGAGCAAGCTGGGAGACGTCTATGGGCGGCCAGACGGCGGTGGACATGGTGGGTAGGGACGACTGATCAAGGCCAGCGGGCGATACAAAGGCTCCGAGGGTTGGTGGTGAGAAGATGGACTCTTTCCATGGTAAGGTTCGGCAGGCACCCCTGCGATCATCCTTCTCGGCTGCATCCGAACGAGGGTCAGCTGTGGCTCACATGCATGCACATACCAAGCGCACCGTGCAGACATGGTTACATGCACATGGGCGTATAAGTTACAAGATGGTTGCTTAAGCCAGTACCTACCTAGCTAGCATCGATCTTCTCCCAGTGCAGTCCCACTCTCATTCTCTCTCTCAGCAACACCAGGGACCCCGATGCACAAAGCTGGCCATGAGCGCATTCGCAATTCAATGGCACGACATGTTTGCGTTGCGCTCCAGATGATGCCCAGTGACCTCATGGCGGCAGAGCTAACGGGACCGGCGGAGGGAGCGACTCGACTCGACCAACAACATCGAGGCCTCTACGTCACTGCCGTCTCTCTTCTTAAACCGGATGCGAGCCTCTTGCAGCGCAGAATTTAACTGTTCCTCCGCATCTGCCTGGGCTGCTTTGACTATAATTACCATAATTCTCCTGCAATAGCCATTCATCTAGTTAATCGTAATTCGCCTTTGTCTTCATTTCCGTCCATCTATCCCACACTTACACTTTACCTGGTCCTGCCCGCCAGCCCCGAAAATGGTATCTGCTGCTCGTATGCATGAGTTCCCCATTGTCTGCAGTGATTTTGCTCCAGCTGACAGCCTCACCCAGGGCCCATAATTGGACTTGTGTCTCTGACCGTCCTCGCCGGCGGTATCCTTCTCCAGTTTCTCACAATCTTGAGTGGAGGTGTCAAAAGTAGCCCCCTCGACCAGTTCTACTTCCTCGAAACATCCACAGCCGGTATCCCCAACGCAAGGAACCCCTCAAGATGGACTTTCTTCTCCATCTGCGGTGTTGGTTCCAACGGTCACAACGCCAACTGCGGGAACTCCGTACCTGCTCTTCCTTTTGATCCACCGCGAAATTTCGGAACGACTGAAAATGTTCCCGAACAATTCATTGGCACACATAGCTATTACTATCTGTCGCGGTTCATGTTCGCGTTCTATCTGATCGCCTTGTTCTTCGCCGTCTGTGCCCTCTTCACTGGCCTTCTTGCTCTCTGCAGTCGTCTCGGCGGGTACTTGTCAGCTTTGACCACGGCCGTCGCTCTATTCTTCCAGACGCTCGCAGCTGCATTGATGACGTGAGTCTTTTTATAACAAACTGAAATCGTATTTATCAGTTAACATCATACCAGTGCTTGGGTCGTAAAAGGGAGAGATGCATTCCGCAGTGCCGGCTTTGATGCCCATGTGGGCGTCAAGCTGATGGCATTCACTTGGACTGCCTTCGCTTGCTTCGTCATTGCCACTGTCTTGTTCTGTGGTGGTGGCGCCCTGGGCCGTGATAAATCATCGACCAGCATCATGCGAAAGCGATCGACCCGATCAAGCAGAAGCCGTGGATCTTTCTTGGATACGGAATCCCAGCGAAAGGTGAAGAGAGATGATTATTCGTAGACATACAGTCTTCATCGTATCGTGGGCAGGTGTAATGGTATGGAATGGGGTTTATTTTCGGACAGATTGATGATTTGTGGCCCCATATAATGCGGAGCTGGGGGGGAATCAGTTTGCTTTCGCAGTGGAATTTCCAACTTCTGCTGTGCTTATGTACATGATCTGTGTTTTTAACCCGCTAGCTGGCATCAAAGCAAGGAGCGTGATACGTTAATATGATATGAGTTGGACGATAACGAGAAATACGATCAATTCCATCTCTGGTACTGTTTGGTTTGCTTGTTCGAAACTGCAAGACGAGCGAGTGATGGTCCAAAATTTACATATCACTGCCATTGAATATACCTTGAAGTCCGACTGTGACAGACAGACAGAGTATGTACACATGCAGTGTATGTAGATAAGTTACGTAAGCGGTCCAGGTCAGGACCAGGCTGTTTCTCCCCCGCCCCACTCTACGTTCGTCGGGCTAGCGAAGTGGTCGAATGCTCTTGATTGCTCTCGCGCCCCAACGTTCTGCTGCTCTAACCTCCTCTCGACCACTCCGCCATGCAGTCGCTACCAGAATCGCGCCAGCAATCCTTTGAGGAGCTCTACGGCCCGCCCGAGAACTTTCTCGAGATTGAAGTCAGTCTCTCCCAAAATCGCACTACCTTCTACCCCCCTCCCCTCCCCACCTTCGAAAGCGTGCCCGCTGACAATCCCGTCCCCACAGGTTAGAAACCCAATGACCCATGGCGTCGGCCGGGGCATGTACACCACCTACGAAATCGTAATGCGCACCAACATTCCCGCCTTCAAACTCAAATCCTCGACCGTTCGCCGCCGTTATAGTGAATTCGAGGCATTCCGCGACATTCTTGAGCGCGAGTCGGCGCGTGTCACGATACCTCCGCTCCCAGGCAAGGTCCTCACAAACCGCTTCTCCGACGATGTTATCGAACACAGGCGGGAGGGATTGCAGCGCTTTCTACAGATCGTTGTCGGCCATCCGCTGCTACAAACCGGGAGCAAAGTGTTGGCGGCATTCGTACAAGGTGGGTGTCTTTTGCTCAGGAATACTTTCATTCACTTTGCTGGGCTATTTCACTGACAAATCTATCTGATAGATCCTAACTGGGACCGCCATGCGTGGTAAATCGATACGACACCTATGAATTTCGCCTTCATGGCAACCTTTTCTTGAAATATTTCTTAACGACTAGTCACGCGACATAATGAAATTACAAGGTACGACTCCTGGACAGAGTCTTTTATGCCTGGAATATTTTGGTATTGCTTGAGAAGCACAGGGCATGATTCGGAGGGGTGCTTCCAAAGTTTTGAGCTCTTGAGTAGCTAGTGTGGTAGGATTCCGATTGGTACGACGCCTGTTCATACGTAGATTGTTTGTCTTTCACCTATACCCTTCTCCTCTGCGAATGACTCCATGTCTTTGTCTGATTGTTTGGGCCTGTTACGCATGATCATGCGATTCCTATAACTTTCCTCCTTGCTTGAAGGTGTTGTACCTAGGTTCCCTTCAACCACCTCCAGTGTCAATCGTCAAGGATTTGCAAATCGTAGTACCTTTCCAATGATTTTGATATACATGACAGATGATGCAGACTTGCTGCAAACACTTGAAGTCATGAGTCTCTACTTGCTCGGAGGACAGCCACGCGCTAGTGAGCTGCCCAGAGCGGAAAGGCGCGGGGGGTGGAGAAATCTCTGCCTTAAAAAGGCAGCCAACCCACCCATCACGAAATAATAAAACCATACATTTTGCGTACTGCCAAGTTTTCGTGATCAGCATGGGCGTTCCATCTACTCCGGCTTCAAATGCCATCATCTACTTGACCTATAGCGCATTCCTGTTAGTGCGCTGACCCACAAGTAGAATCATCGCCAACTGACCATCCACAGGGTAACAGGGTGTTACGTAGCATGGCGTTTGCGACACCAGTCAAAAACAGAATGGCTGTCGAGCAACAGGACACAAAAGGGTCAGAACTACCAAAGCCAGTGTTGATTCGCTGAGATTCCCTGATTCGGCATATTTTATGTATCAAAATGACGTGCAGAAACATGCTGACCTATAACAGGCATACCGCTGGCTCTTAATTTCATTGCATCGGGTGAGTGCATTAGAGCGCAAACCCTAAAAATATGAAGAGCAGCGGCAGCATCGGTATCTCGACCAACAACTCGATCAATAACAAACACAATCCGGCTTCTGGAAGCAAAGCGCAAGGCATTTCATGATCGAGATAGGCAAATCCAAGAATAGGTTCGTATTTGATGTCCTGAACAGGGGCTTGCTCTTGCAGGTACTTGCCTTGGGTCCGTTCCCATGGATCTAAGAAGAGATCATCCTCAAGGGCAGGTCATCTGTGCGGCTACACAGCGGGCGCTGAGCTGAAGTTGTGCTTGATTGATGTACCCAGGCTCTGTCTGATCAATCAGGTTAACCCAGGCGAAGCTGAGAAGTACCGTATGAACTCGATCAAGATAATACTTGCGTGAGGATCGTGCTGCCGCTACTCCCCCCTTAAGATCCTGCTGTTTCATAAGATGCTAACATAGGTACCTGTAACAAACAGCTCTTGGATCCGGGATCCTCTTCACCTACCCTCAGATTGCCACTATTGCTGGTGTGCAAGGCCTAGTAGTGTATGCTCTGTCTTCCTCGCTGCCGCTTTTGGTATTCGGGTTGCTGGGTCCGATCATCAGACGCAAATGTCCAGAAGGATTTGTCCTCACAGAGTGGACTCGCCAGCGATATGGAGCTGTCGGTGGCTTATTCCTCAGCATCTGCACTCTTATCACCATCTTCTTGTATATGGTCGCAGAGCTCTCGGCTCTTCAACAGATCGTCAATGTTTTGACCGGCCTCAATGGATTACCTGCTGTAATTGTACAGTGTACAATCACAACCATCTATACATGTAAGCACTCAGCATTCACACCACGATGATTCAAAACGCTGATGAGTCTGCAAAGCGCTCGGAGGTTTCAAGGTTTCTTTCGTTACCGACAACATTCAGGGGGCCATGGTGATTGGCCTTATCATCATGGGTGTCATCTCAGTTGGTGTGGAGACAAGCGTCGACCGTTCTCTGATCGACCAATCTGGATTTCTGGAGCCCAGTCTATTAGGCTGGCAGCTGATTTATATCTTACCTGTCGCCATTTTGACAAACGACTTCTTTCTCTCCGGTTTCTGGATGCGTACCTTCGCCGCGCGTACTGACAAGGATCTATGGATCGGAGTCAGTTTAGCAAGCTTCTTCGTCTGCATCATTTTGATCCTAGTAGGAGTGGGAGGGCTTCTCGCTGCATGGTCTGGTGCCTGGCCTTTGGATGATGCAGAGAATGGTTACCTCTCCTTTTTCCTCCTTCTTGGGCAGCTACCAGCATGGGTTGTGGGGGTGGTTCTCGTTATGGTCATCTCGCTTTCAACTGCCGCCTTCGATAGTCTCCAGTGCGCCATCATCTCGACTGGAAGTAACGATCTTTTCCGGAACAAACTCAATATTTGGGTCATTCGTGGTCTTGTCGTCGTCTTGATCGTGCCAGTCGTTATCGTCGCACTCAAGAGCCCCGACATTCTTCAAATATTCCTCATCAGCGACCTGGTTAGCGCTTCGGTCGTACCGTGTTTGGTCATAGGATTGTCGGATCGATTCTATTGGTGGCGCGGCTTCGATTTTGTTGTTGGGGGACTTGGGGGGATATTCACCATTTTTCTCTTTGGTCTCGTCTACTACAATGGCGATGCCAATCTAGCTGGAAAGTTGATACTACTCGAGAATGGACTGTACGCTGAAGACTGGAGCGCCTTTGGTAAGTTTACTATCTGATCTTGCTCCCCACACTGTATTGACATATGTGTAGGTGCTTTTGTAGCGGCTCCCATCGGCGGCTTGATGTGGGGATTCGGTGCTTGTGGTGTTCGTTTAGCTACCCTTTTCATTCTCTCGAGGGTCAATGGTCATCGGTTCGATGCTCTCGATCGGCCCATCCCCCACACCCAGTCAATCGAGTCTTCCGATGATAGAGAGGTCGAAGGAGTGCTCGAACAAACGAGTGGCGGAAAGGCTGGGAAATTCTTTTAAGTCAGACCTCTCTCGCAGTATGGGCCTCAAGCTGGCCACTAGATTAGCTGGGGGTGGAGGACTGTATAAGCGCGTGCTGATGCGGTACCAAGTTGTCGCGATAGTTGTAATGTGTTCGATGGAAGTTTGGTCAGGAAGCAAGATGGAAGGAAGCAAACAAGACCAGAAGTTACATTCATTTAGTTCGTGGTTAATGCAGGGAAAATGATGTGTATCATCTACACTGATTGGTGGTATCATTCAGCTGCTTCTTCTCCTCCTAATTTCCACGAATCTATGCTGTTTGCGTTTCTATTGATCGACCCGATGATCCCTGTGATTACATATTCTGTCTTGAATACGTTTCGAAACGAACAAAATAGTATGATACGAGATACAGTATTGTTGCAACAATAATGGTGAGTGATAACGAAGATCTTGGCGAAGCTTGGCGAAGCTTCCCTATGAAGAGTCTGATGAATACCTAGCCTCATGTCAGCACCCGCAGGCAACGACTAATACTTAGTGAATTTGACACCCCGACAAGCCTACAACACTTCACTCTTCATCAAACACGTTACCTTCTCACACCTTTCATCAGAACTCCTTCCGTACTACATTACTCCTGCCACGCATTGCCCCGCATTCACGATGCAAATGCCCGACGTGCCGGTCAATGTGCCCATTGACGACCCAAATGCAGACACAGAATGGTGGGGCATCGCATGCATCAACGGCTGCAAGATAATGCTTACACAGATGGGAACAGGAATGATATTTTACGCAAACATGGCGTGATTCCCGAAAAACCACCCTCTCCAACGCCTATGATCGAAGAGGCGTTGGAAGAGGCACGGAGATTGGCCCATGAAAATCGTCTGGAAGGCAAGGATCTCGACGAATTGGCTGAGTTGGAGGATGACGAGGATGACGATTTTCTCGAGCAATATCGGTATGGCCGAACTTCCCATGCTCGGAAATGCATATCACGTGACTTCATCCTTGCTCTAACTTTGGCCGTGTACATAGGCAAAAGCGTATGGCCGAGATGTCTACGATATCGGCTGCTTCGGTGTACAATCAAGTGTATCAAATCCAAAAACCCGACTATTCACGCGACGTCACCGAAGAATCAAGCAAGACCCACGTCCTGGTGCTTCTCACATCTTCGCATGGCACCAACGTCGAATCACGCGTTCTCACTGAAATCTGGAGGGAGCTAGCCCAGCGATTTGGGGACCTAAAGTTCTGCCAAATACGGGCCGATCTCTGTATTGAAGGTTACCCTGATAAGAACACACCTACGGTACTTGTTTATAAGGACGGTGACATTAAGAAGCAGATTGTGACATTGCGCGAACTGAAGGGACCGCGCACTAGGTCTGAGGGTAAGCTTACTCTTAGAGACTTATCTCTTCCTGCTGCGTTGTAATGATCACTGACCTATTCTGCCGCGTATAGATGTTGAACAAGTTCTGGTGGACATTGGCGCGGTTCAACTCGGCGACCCACGTCTACACCGCAACAAATCCAAGGAAGAAGATGCTCCTACCAGCAAAATACGGCAAGGCACGACAGTCCAAGACCCCGATGACAGTGATTGGGATTGATGGCTGTAAGCCACGTGTGGATACAAGACAATGTGATGAAGGAAGTGCGAATAACGCTAGACCTCCCCACGTTTGTCCGAATAGTGTTTGCTGCCTGAACTCCTAGTCTGAGTTGCTAGGTGCGAGTACATTGAAAACAGTTAGTGGCTACAGGTGTTGCCCGGTGGGTAAGCGCGTGTAGAAGAGAAAAACATGCTCATGTACATAGAAGGGAAGCGAGATTATCGTGCAGCAAAGATGCCTTGTGCCCCACGCCCCGCGCCGTGCAAAATATGAAGAAGTTCCCGAAATAATATACGCATCTGGACTGACTTCGGATCTGAGCAGAGCGTGCGGGAAGGTCAACTGGTGATGCTCGCGTTGTAGCATGCATGTCAAGCAATGGACAGCAGATTACCCCGCCAATAGGGCTTCCCTTCGCTTCCAGGGTGGATTGCTCACCTTACCTTAGCACTCTCACCGCTTAGCTAACTACATAGACGCAACAGTTGCTGCGCTGACTCTTCATCCATATGGCTTACTGTGTGCATGCGCATCTGCATTGCATCCACGCATTACCAATCGGACAGGGTCATCTCCGTGCAGACGGTACGCATACGCAAATGTGCCGATCGACATTGGCTTGAGGCAGGCAGGCGGGCAGACTGTCTAGCCAACAGCAACAGCAAACAACAGCCTTACCGTTCTCGCTAAATCCTTCGCCCGTGGGGCGTTTTGCATGTAGCCCTATCAGAGTCCAGGTAAAGCGAGAGAGAGAGAGATGATGGGTGGTAATGCTCGTGCCATATCTATGCACATGCGTATCGCTAGAAAGGAACGAGATCAGGGTTCCATCTTCTTTTTCCTTCATGCCATCCCTACCCACCTACCAGTTCCGTCCCTTCTCGGTCGTGTGGTTTCGCTGTTTCAATGCAATGCTTTCGTGGCAGACTGACCGCCCATTCAACGCCCATCGGAGCCCTTGCCCGGGGTGAAGCAACGGGTAATATCTTGGGGAGACCCACCGACAATGATCCCACGCTTCCACTCCTTTAGTGATTCGTATCTGCTGCCTGGACACCCTAGCTGCATGGACTGGGTGCTGTTGGCTCACGTTCCCGGGCTGGGGCTTGTACTATAGACTCCCGCTCTTTGGCTCGCTCGGAAGAAGGCACATATGTGCTGCAATTTCTTCTATGCATCCACGGCCTACCGATGGGGTAGTTAAAGAGAGAAAGCCGGACGATTCTGTTGTCCATCTACTTGCTGGTTTTTTGTGGCTATTCCATGTATTTCAATAGTGTATGTAAGTCGATGCCGGCATACTCTATAAATGAGATGTGTATCAACGGCCCCCATCATCCCCATAATGTACACGTGACAGACAAGGAGTAGCCCACATAACACCAGTAGCATTTTCTAACTGTATCAATTCACAGTGACTTTCAACTGAGATGGATGGCTTACCATATTCTGCTGCCCAAATTTCGTTGGCCACTGTTTTCTCATCCTCTGTCTTACGCCATTATCCTCTTCATCCTTCAGGGTGGAAAAAAGCAGGAATACTACATTTTGATAACTTGAATTCGTTAAGTGGGGAAAGATTCAGTAGCAGTATTACAGTCCGACCATATGGCTTGTTATACGCTGACCACTCACGCGTGTTATAGCCATAACTAATGACAACATCTATGTACTCCCAACAACGTCAAACAATCACTATGAAACTGCTTCTTCTTACTGAAAAGTGGGGTAGAAGTCCGATTGGGCAAACGAGTATTCTCACACTGGGGTACATCTCAATCATTCAGATTCCCTGAGTTCATGTCAGGGGTAATATAAGGACTTCGAAAATTCCCAACCATCGCCTTACCCTTGTCTTCGCCCTCAATCTATTAACAACATCCCCCAACCATCCAACACCACGAGCGCGCTTCTGCACATTCGTCCTCATGGCGCAGGGCGGTAAATCCTGCAAGAGAATCGGTATAGGTTCATACGCCTTCCGGTCATGGTTGAGCTTCAAGCGCGACTCAAGATGAAATCAAAGCGCTCTACATTCCCCCTCCCCCCTTGCATCCTTTAGCGGAAATTACCCTCAAAGAAACGGATATAGCATAAACTAAAGGATGCCATAGCCGCACAACAAAACCTCTGTTGCCTATCAAATACCCTATACATAGTTAGGTAGGATACATACCCCGAACAACGCCCCGTGGGGCGAAAACTTACTTCTGCCACAAGCTTCAGCTGCAGCACACTTAGCGAGTGAAACCAAATGTAGGGGAGGATTTCGCCGAATCCCTTGCCTTTATTTGCCCCAAACACCGGTTTGCCCCCCTATTTGAGATCGGCGACGATGTGGAGGAATGTACGCGTTTATCACGTTCATTATCCGACCTCCCCTTTTCAACGGATTACAAGGGACCTTTTTTCCCGCCCTTTTTTTACGCCTTGTTATAAGAGAACGCCCGTCTAGAACGCACTGGACCGCGGTAATGGCATCTCAGAGGATTCCGAATCAGAGGGTCTCGGGTTTTGAGATCCGAGAACGCGTAAGTGTGTATATGAGTGGATAATTGCGGGATTCTGGATGTTCTAATTCGCTCCACTCGCCACTGACTGTTGTTCCCTCGTTTTCCTACTCTTCTACTTTCTGTATTGGGTCAAGTTGAGTGATGTGGGGGCGATGTTATCTGCCTGGCCTCCGATGTCTCAGAGCATGGATAGGAAGTGGTCCGATGTGGCAGTTGTGATTGTGTTGGTGGCTCCCCATCAATAATCTCTCCTTTTATAAGTTGGTGAGTTTGTCAGGGTAAATAGTGTGATGCAGATGTGTATTTGTGGTGATGATACCTTTTGATTAGCTGGTGATGGCAGCGGCGATGATGCTGGCCCCGTTGTCGTCTTATTCAGATCCTTATCCATTCGTTTCACATTAGAGAATAACTATATGCTATAGTTCCTGGGTATCACTCCAAGTCCAAGCTTGTGGTCCTTCTGCAACACCTGAGATTAGGAGGGAAGGATGAAACAGGATCGAGAGTCGCCCCGTCTGAATAGGCTAATACAGAGGTATCATCAGGGGTTAGACGTGCGGAAAGTTGTTCACATGAAGAGTTTCTGGGATATGCAGGATTGGAACTTATTGATTAGACGACGAGTCTACTTTGTGACGGTGCTCTGCCGTACTGGTCTGGATCCCGTACGTTGGAAAGGGTGTGGACGACGCATAGATCGTAGGAACTCTATCTGTGTAGGATGAGCCCTGCATAGAAAACGACCAACCCCAGTCAGAGAGGAATACGCATATGCAATTACCCAAAAGCCTGAGATAATGCGAATTTGAGATTCTTCTGGCTCTTTGTTTGAGTGGGTTGCTTATCAACGGCCGACGTACAACGTGATTATACTTAAGCCGATCAAGTACATAGGCGCGGAATACTCTGCAGAATGACGAAGTATGAATGCTACCCCATCTTTTTGATTATGGGGGCGGCTTCAGGTGTCAATGGAATGGCCCTCTGATTGTTGTTGAGTAGCTCGCGTATCTCCACAGATAGATTTACACGCAGTACCGCTAATGCGAAGAGTACAGTAGTGCATGCGCTCTACGTTTAAGATTCTTTGTATGAAGTGATACAGCCGACCTTGTAGCGTTAGCTACTTCAGCCATCATCTCGGAATCCACATGCGGGAAGCAGAATGCGATTCTGGTGTCTTGGGATGTTTTTCGGAGCGAGCCGTGGCCAATAAAGGGAGGGTGTGTATCGAGATGCAGGGAGCGGGCGTCCTGCGGCGCATCGAGGAAAGGAGGTGGGGTTTGCAGTCTGATGATCAGAATCATTGCACTAAAGCTGTAGGCTACTATAGTGCGCCTGCTAGTCAGTTGCGGCAGTCTCTGATCCGAAAAGCTTGAAGCTGGAGCTGAGGCCCCGCCAGCGAGGGCGGCGACTGGAGTGGACTCTGGTAAATGACACGGCGACCATGATAGCATGAGAAGAGATTTGGCAAACACAGTGGGCGAAGATTTTAGTCATGATTGTTCTGTGTTTGAACGTGTGACATTGTTGTCTGATCCAAGGGGCATGGTCACCGAATGTATGATTGAGAGTAAAGAAGTTGGGAATAAGAATGTTCTTATGCAACATGAAAAATGCTACGAGTGAACCATAAATTGGAAAGAGAAAGATAACCCCAAGAAGAAGTAAAAACCCGATCCATGCACCGCGTCCAAAGATGGCCCTGTTTTGTTGAATAAAGTGAATGACATCCATCATCCATGTACGCCAAAGAATGAGACATATGTCTTAACAGACAAGCAGCTGAAAGCTGGCAGAGCCTCAAAAGAGAAGAGAGAGAAAAGGGTATAGCCTGAATGAAGAAGAAATTGCTCCAAAAGAGCATGGAAAATGAGATAAGAACAAACATAAAGGAAGAAATGAAGAAAGGTACTCCTCCTTGTTCAGCATGCCGGTTGTGTTAAATCAACTCATCACCGCCACTCTTCCGTGAGCTTTCAATGGCGGCCCAGATGAGCCTTTCGTCATACACAGGACCGCTCCCACCACATTTTGCAGCGCCTTTCAGTCGCTCGCACACATCGGCCACATCAACAACTCCCTGCTTGACCAAGTGATGGGTGTGAATGGTATCCCAGAGTTGGGACGCTGGTATATCTCTAGCCTTGGAAGACTTCTTGGGCAAGTGGTGGTTCAGATCGCCGTTTGTGAGTACAGTACCGTCAGACAAAGACTGTACATTGTAGGACTCCTCTTCTTCGTCATAATCAGAGTTATGGTCTCCTGAGGAACTATATGTTGCGGAAACTGGGCGGGAGTTGGAAGGGGAGCGGGCAGAAGTAGCGCGCAAGATTTCGTTTTCAGTGCGTGCGCGCTGTAGAGCCAGCTTGAGACGCTCGTTGTCGGATTGCAGAGAGTGCGCGGAGGATTCTAGTAGAGACAGTTTGGCTTCGAGGTCGCGTACATGGCGTTCTTTGCGTTCGCGAAATGCGCGTTGGCTGTCGTTGGGTTAGCACTGCTGATGCTGATCTGAGGCTCCGACGTTTCGCCGGAAAGGGATGGGACGATACGTACGCTGCGCGGTTCTGTGCTTTCCTCCTGCTCTGGGCGGGTGTCAGACCCTCCTTCTCTTCGCTGCTGCTTCTCGTAGTAGGGATGGTGCGGCCGTCTTCCAAGTCGCCCCCGAACCCGCTGTCCACGCTGCCGACGGGGTTGGGCGTGTTGGGGATTGGCGAGCCCTGCGAGATAGGTACGCCATGGGCAAAGGAGAAGGCGTCGTAGGATCCGTTCTGGGGTAGCAAACCGGCATCGAGAGGCTCCTGTAATCCATCGCTCTTGGTTAGTAAAATGCGGTGGTGGTTGTGGATTGTGAATGTGGGTGCGGGGCTCGAGTTTTGCTTACAATGCTGTGGAGGGTTTCCGGGTCGAGGCCCGCGTGTGGAAAGCCAGCAGAGGTCTGCATGCCCATAAACGGGTAGTGTTGAGGTGGAGGGGGGTTGAAGTATGCGTACTCCATTGCTGCTCGGGGTGTTGCAGAGAGTTCTGGAGTAGTGGTACGGGGGTGTTCGGGGGACGGCCCAAAGACCAATCGCAGCGGCGCAGTCCGGATATATGATAGATAGGATGGAAGGATGGATGTATATATATATCCGAGTATGTGAAACGCTGGTCCACACACTGCAAAGCTAATTTTGTAGATGAAATAGTTCCAATGTTAAAAAGTGGATAGAGGCAGATGCTCTTATATAGATATGTGTGGATGTAATGATGTGTATCGTGGGTGTCGTGGGGGCTGCTGGGAGGGTAGGGCGTGTGTCCTTATATCCCATGTTTCCCACTGCGAGGGTAGCAAGGCATGGATTAGCTTTGAATTGAAGTAGACGCACGCACGTCCTCATCTACTTGCATATCTGATTCCGTCCAGTCGAGGTCCAGCTCCATTGCCCCAGTCCCCAGGCTCCAATCCACGCTCACTCACTGTGCACCACTCCACTCGACTTCCTCAGCCGCTGCGTCCGCTCGACTCTAGCCCTGCCGCTCCGCGTCAGTGCCCCTGCCCATGCCCGTGGCAGAGACCGCACAGTCGACCTTTTGCCCCAAGGCTCTTTGGTCCGTGGCACTGACCTCCCACAACATCCTTCGACCCCTCATGCAGCCTTGTATCCTTCAACGGCCCCCTAAGACAACGCCCCGTCGTGGGTGAACAGGCGAATGGAAGCGTGCATGTATGGATCATGTAGGCGGTCAGTCGCTGTAGCTTCGCTCCTGTCTTGCACCGAACCAGTCATGCTCGGCTAGCAGACAGCATTTGCATCCAACCAATCGAGCCAAAAGTGGGCAAGCGTCGCCAAGTCGGGCGTTTGCTTACACGCAGCTGCTGGGATGGCTTCGTCACACTTCATCCATCTCCCTCAACGGATACATCCCTTGCGCAAAATGCACTGTACAATTCATAACCAGGATCACATAACGAGTCGAGCTACCGCGTCAACTGTAGCTCGGCCTTGCCCCCAATTGTCCAATCTAGCTACATGTGTATCGCTAGTACTGTCTACTGCCGCCCTTTCCATACATCTCCAAGCATATACAAACCCGGACCCTATAACCGTTTTGCCCGTCCTCATGCCGCCCCCGGATCTTGCTGGACATGCGTCGCTCTCACCGGCCACTAGCCGCTTGCTCCGTTCCCTGGTAACTTGTTCTTTTCATGCACAGAACATACATTACATGAGCGGGAAGCGTAATACAGAACAAGCATCTACACGTGGGTATCCACTCTTACAGTGTCATTTACAAAGTGCTGCTGAGAAAGACCTTCCAATGTAGACATGTCCTACCATCAAGGTATTTTTGTCTCAACTCGTCGGGCGTTTCTGGGGTAGGACACTGCCACTCCGAATTTCCACTAGCGAGCATTTCCCATCCTCTCCCAATAAACATCGATGCTTTCTTCTGGAACCCATTCCTTGTTGATGATCACGGAGTTTACGGTGCCTGCACTCGCTACCCCTAGACACTATAGTTTGAGAATTCAAATCATTGCCACTAATGTCAGCTCGGAGCTGCAAGGTACATGCTAAATTACCATGATCTATACAGATCTTTTGGAAAGTAAGACCTGAAAACCAGGTTATTATAGCGGCCCGGGCGCCAGAACGAAGAGAGGCTGATTCTAACTACAACGGTGTATTTTGGTCGACCCTTGTAGGTCGCCTACTACCACAGCCATACAACACTTCATTTTGATGTCAGCACGTTAATTTCCCATGCTTTACCGACCCTACGATCGGAAATATCAAGGCGGAATACACAGAATGTTCGGGAACCTTTTACGGTGCTTATGCCCACAGTAGTGTGAATCCTATCCCACAATTGATCTTCTTTTTGGGGTAACATGCCAGTATGTGTTCTTAATTGGGAAGCCTATAAGGCGTTGCCTGCTCATTTTCGTCAAAGCGGCGGAAATTTACCTACGTGGCTGTACTTTGATGTAATATACACTTGGAGTACAACGCTGTGTCCAGCAGCCGCAATCATCGATGGGGCGTGACTATCCAATCTCCTGGCCCTCTTTATTTTTAACTACTATTTCTCGAAAGTATTTTGAGTGGCATCACCCAATTATTCTGGATATTCACGATCAGCTTTAGGCTTGTATTGTCTTACGCTCCTTCGCACCAAGTGTTGAAATGCGTGTCATTGAAGGGTCTGTCAAGGTTTTGCTTTATATCTAATCTATGTTAGATGGGATTCAATAGCTGTGGAAGGTAAGTTGGTATGCTGTTCCCCATTATGTTTATGTAGAAAGTGTAGTCACCGCACTGTCCTGGGGTGCGCTAAATCTCATAATGTACATTCATATGTAATTCACTCTAGGAGGCAACTCCACGCTCAGTGGGTTTTGCAAGTATGTTGGCTTACTGACGAGTTCTACGTGCTGGGCACTAAAGTAACATATTTTGCAATTCCCTCAATTTTAATTTTTTTCAAAAAGACGATTGTTGACTTACATCCAACACATAGAAGGGAGCTTCGGTTCATGCAAGTCGATTGCGGTCATTTGCACGTCACGCCACAGATGAAGCCGTTTGTTCGTTAGCGAGAGCTCCATCTCCTACTGGAGCATTTCACTTCGACGTATATTTCGAAGAAAGTGCCATTTAAAACATGATTTCAGTATCGAAGATCACGCCGTCCATGCTTGCATGTATATGTTAGAAGTCTCTCTCCTTTGGGACACGATGTTTGTATCGAGCACCATCATACGGAATTCATGGATCGCCGGCTCTTCATCAAGATGCATATATCGAGGACATCACCGACTAAAACTGTCCATTGGTTGGAAACGGTCTTTCAGCTAAGCTCCCAGGCAGTGGTGTTCATCTCTCGTTCTTCATATCCTGAGCAAGTCATGTCTGCTTTTTGAAATGATCTCTGGGTGCAGAATGAACTCGGCTCACTCATACAAGTGAGCCTTCTAGCAACTACATGAGTACTAAAACCCCATGAAACGTTGTGGATAAAGGCAGTGAACGCAAGATAGACAGGAAGTGATGACGTCATCGTTGCTACTAACCCGCAATGATTAGCCTAGTTTCACCTGCGCCACATCTCGTGCACCTGGCGCGTGGTGCGGCATGAGCCAAGCTTATCTGCACAAAAACAACACTCTTCTTTCTTACATTCGACATGCCTTCATAACATGCCGTCTCACTTGCGTCGAAGTTCTTTGTTACCATCTATTATACTGCTCGCTGTTATTCTGCAGCTGCTGTTCATCAGCCCCGCTTTTGGGTTCGACTTATTCAAGTCCAGGCGTACACCTCCTAGGCTTCCATCAAACAACAGAGCGAAGGTTCAAAGCGATGGATCTTCTAGCAATCTCGAGTTGAGACATATCATCCATCATGGCGCTGGAAAGCCCGGTCCAAAAGCACGGAGATTAGATATCACACCTGAACGTATAGCGGCTCAAGTGAATACAGAGGGCCAGTTACCATCCTTTTCCATCAAAACTTCATCAATAACGATCGACAAATCGGCATTACAATCATCTGGCTATCGAAAATATGGCTCGCAGTACCCTATGTCACCACTTTGGGTTTCTGAGGATGTATCGGGCCCCGACATGACGGATAGATATACCGTTCTCAACTTTGCCAACATGTCTGAAGACGCATACAAACCCAACCAGGACGATCCTGAATGGCTTGATGTTGGTGAGAAATACAACTTCTCGCTCCCTTTCGGCTGGGAGGACAGCGGAATCCGGGGTCAAGTATTCAGTGACCCGACGAACTCTACTGTTGTACTTTCTGTCAAAGGCACTACAGTGTCCGTGTTCGAAGGCAATGGGACGTCGGGTCATGACAAGGACAACGACAATCTTTTTGGCTCTTGTTGCTGCGCTCAAGGTGGACCCACGTTCATGTGGCGTCAAGTTTGTGATTGTCAAACCGGGACATACACATGTGACCAGGAATGCGTAGTGAAAGAGCTTCTGAAGCCCAACAGGTATTTTGAAGCTACCTTGGAACTATTCGACGAAGTCATTCAGCTTTATCCTCGAGCCAATATCATTACAACGGGTCACAGCTTGGGTGGAGTTCTAGCGTCATTCATCGGTCTTCGCCATGGTCTACCAGCTGTCACCTTCGAAGCCTATCCCCAGGCCCTAGCGGCTGCGCGCTTGGGTCTCGAAGTTGCAGGCCAAGATTCGCCACTGCGACGAAATACCGGTAGCTTCCATGTCGGACATACCGGAGACCCGATCTACATGGGCACATGTAACGGTGCAACAAGCTTTTGTTCAATCGCTGGCTATGCTTTCGAAACGATCTGTCACACAGGAAAGCGGTGCGTTTACGATGTCGTTAAAGACTGGGGCTGGAGACCGAGCACTAACACCCATCGCCTGCGATATGCTATTGAGAACATCTACTCCAAGTACGAAGAAGCTCCTGTTTGTGAGGATGAGGATGTGGAGTGCGTAGATTGCTATTTGTGGAAATTCGAGAATGGAACACACACAACACAAACATCGACCTCCTCTACAGCGACCAGTACCAGTTCATCCAGAACCAGAACTGAGACGTGCCAGACGCCAGGATGGTGGGGTTGTCGTGACCCAACGACCACCTCAGCGCCAACGACGACATCCAGTACTACAACTACAACTACAAGTACTTGTAAAACAGTAAGCAATCTCATCCACTTTCAGAATTGATATGCGCTAACAGTTCCAAAGCCTGGTTGGTTTGGGTGTAAGGACGAGACTACTACCAACACCGCTACAACGACAACGACTACGACGACTACTACTACTACAACGTGTACGAGTAAAGGCTGGTTTGGACGTTGTTTGGATCCTACTACGCCGGCAACTACCACGACACCGGCGGAAGCCGCATATGCATACCTCACAGCACCAACAGTGACTGCCACAACAACAATGTCATAAAGTACGAACCCGTTGCGTATCCATGTAGTTAAATTGTATCGATTTGTATCAAGCTTCATGCTATCATTATGTGATTACATTGAAACACGCCACTCCCTCTCAGTGTACAGAAGACTGTTCGAAGTGAAAAATTACCACAGGATAGACCCGTTCTAATTTCAGTCTCCTCATACATCCTTTGGCTTAATAAAAGCCTTCATAACGTTCACTAACATCGCGTCCGCCGCGTTAGCAGGCATCAGGTTGTACAGCGTGACTGATTGCACACGGTGCCAAAAGTATGCCTCCACAGAGCGGTGCCCATGCCCACATCGTGCTATGATAGCTTTAGCCATATCCTCCGCAGTTGGCATAAACAAACCCGCTTGCAGTCCTTCTTCCTTCTGCAGCTGCGATGTGTACGTAGCACCCACTACTATCTCGAGTATATCGACCTGTGGTGACGATGGGTGGCTTTTAGCTGCGGCTGCCTGCTCAGCAGCGAAAGCGCGGTTCCATGTGTGAAGCGCGCCCTTGGTGGCCGAGTACGCTGCCACGTACGGTTGTCCCCGGTAAGACTGGCTGCCGACAGTTAAGACGAGAGAAGGCGTTGGAGCGGCGCGTTGGAGGTGTGGAAGTAGGGCGTGGGTCAATTGGAGCGGGAATTGAACGTTGAGGGAGAAAACAGCCTGGATCTCTTCGGGGGCATAATCTTCAAAGGGCATGAAGTTTGTCTGTGGAGATGATCTTGTCAGCTGGTGTGAATATGACCGCGATAGATAAATGATCTTCAACAAGCAGCACTGTACTGAGAGCTTCCACGCCCGTGGGCGCGTTTTGATGCTTTCAATGTAGCTATTCGAAGCTTAGACGGACATGTTGCACCTACCGAAAGTACAGCGGTACCACCAACGTTGTTGATCAGCACCGAGAGCTTGACATCCTCCACAGCAGCCACAATCCTTTGAATATCCTCCGACTTGAACGAAGCCGCGTCGGCAACGACATATCGAAAATTTCGCTCTGGATGCTCTTTTTGTAGCTCGCCCACTACTTTGATCAATTTGCTTTCGTTGCGTCCGTGGACAATGACGTTGAAGCCTCTGGCACCAAGCTCGCTGCTCAAAGCTCGCCCGATACCGTCACTACCACCGGTAATGAGCGCCCAGCTAGCTTCATCAGCACTGCTAGGTTTATGGTTCAGGTATTTCGTGATGTTCGAAGGATAAAGATAGTGGATCAATGGAAGAGGCATGATGTAGCTGCTGTCTGTATGTATAGTTTCGCGGTAATATCCAGGTGCAAATAATTCGATTGAAGTCAAATCAATATGTATATTGATGGATCCGCTGTATAGTACTGTAGTCGAGATAATCTTGAAAGGGGTGCAACAAAGCATATTTGTAGTTTGGACCACAACCCATGTCGGGCAACGTGTGGTGCATGTTGCCCCGAATTCAAATGTAGTCTGACCGACCTTCCTTCGTACAGCAGATGTTCCGCTGGTATAACTCTATGGAGGTTCGTTTAGCCCGCTAGTTTGTCTGATTACCCCGAGCTTGTTAACGAAAAGTGCATAGACCAGAAACGCAATGATAGAGTTTCTAAATCAAGTAGTTCAAAGCGAACATGCGCATGCGCAGTCGTGAAGAATAACTGGCTGTCCGTGGTAAAGCCATTTTGAAATAATGCTATGTTCAGATGTTGTGTCTCGGGTGCTATACGAACATTGCGCGAGTTTGTATGGTGTGCGGGATGGCGAGCAGGGCTAAGGAGGAAAGTTGCGCCGACTCGGAGAGTCTGCTGAAAACCTCCCTGGAACTACCTATTACATACACATCAATTGATGCCTGTATGTTCTATGTAGGCATATGTGATGGAGCTTATCAGAAGCCTTGGATGCATCGAGAAGATGTGTAATATCATTGACTCAGTTTGACCGGTCTTACTCAACTATTCTATGTCGTTAACTTCCTCCTTCAAGGTGCACCAACTCCTGATGGGAGATTCACGTGACGTGCACCGTAGCGCGTCTCTAGTAGGTCCGAGCTCCCCCATTGGCCGAGCGGAGAAGAGGCAATCGAGACTCATTTTGGTACGTATGAGACGACTGTTGCGTGAAAACAAGGACGGCATTGGATACAGAAGGTATTTTCTCTGCTTTTTGGTATCAGGAAATGACGCACACTCACGCCGTCACGCCACTTCTCGGACGCTGTTTGTCTTCATGGGAAGCCGCACTCAAGTTATAACTGCTTCCACTCTTCCCTTCATATTTCTTTTGACAAAACTTCGTCTCCATCCATCACGTCCTTTCTATCCAATTTGCGCAAACCGACCGTATTAGTGTAACGGAATGACTGTTCACCAACATTGATCCGCTGGCCACGACGCATCCAGGCGCAGTGTACGTCTCCAATCACATCGACACCTTCTGCGATTCCCACCCCGAAGTGTCGAACTTTCGGGCAATGTTCAACTGGCCAGATGCATGGAATATTGAATTTGTGCTTCAATTATGTTGCTTCGCAGCAACTCCGCGATGCAGCGTACCGGTTGCTTTCCCAAAACATACCCACGAAACTGGTTGCAACAACACGGCCTCGAATATGACGAGAATGCCAAGATGCCGTTGACACAAACAACATCGCGGATCGGAGCCGTCGGACGCACGTTGGTCAACTTTTCGATCTGGCAGCTGAGGCTGAGGCGTCAATTGCCTTAGGCTAGCAATTTTGTTGTCACAATCAGAGGTAAGATTGCTGGAGCTGTGGTTGGAAACAAGACATGAGGCTTGTCGAGTTTCAGGATGCGATGCGGCACGCCGAACCCCTACCCCCAAGAATTTTTTCGAGGAACTAAAACTGCCGAACTGAGAAATCAGGAGTCGTTGAATTATTATGAAGAACTGCACAATAATGATATTTTGCCGGATTCATGCCATGAATTCCGGTACGATGGTCAGTTGGCGATCTGCAGAGCTGTCAGTCCAAGATCCACGACTATTCCATCATACAAAACAGTCTCAATGAACAGTACAGTGTAGAGAAACCGATTTGCGTACATATGCACGAACCATAACGTGCAAGTTTAAAACTCGTGAACGATCTCCGTGCTAGCCGCTGTCCATGTCACCCGTCCCCGTTGCAAGCTCGGACAGGGGCCCCTGGATTGCTACAGAATGGTTTCAGCTTTCCTTGGGCGCAATCACAGGCCCTCTATCAGCAGCATCAAAAGCTCGTGATGCGCTGCTCCAGAACGAAGCTCACCACGAACCAAAACACAATTCGATTACTTTCTCCAGCGGAGCCGGCTCTTCTCGCCCTACTTTTTAATTTTTTACCCACTTTATTCCGGTTCTTTCTGTCCCTTTGCATTAACGTTGAACGTATCGCATTGAGACGAACCCTACCCATTCGCTTTTTTAATCCAGATCTGATACTTCTGCTACGTTTCCAATCGAGTCTTGAGATTCAGAAACCAAGGACACTTCCTTTATTCATATAAACTACCCAGGGAAATGTGGACTGCAAACCGCGCCAGCCAGCCTCAGCGACCTCAACACACTGCTAGCATCAGTGTAGCCTCAATCCGCTCCAACAGCAGCCGACCCACATCAGTGGCATCCCCTCAGCCTCAAGTGATCCGCCAGGTATCCCGAGGATACGAGTCTGATCAGTCGTCTGATACGGCCGCCGAAGAAGAATATAACAGTAATAACATGCCCGCCATGTGGCAGAGCCGAAGACAAGAAAGCGGCTCCGCAGTTAACCGCCTAAGCCAAAAGTTTGGTGGAGCAACCGCAACTACACCTCTACCTACACGAACTCCGGACGTGCACGAGATTTCTTTGGATGACGATACCCGCTCGCGCTCTTCTACCCTAAACGGCGACGACCGCGAATTCGAATTCCCGGAGAAGACAATCAGCGTGCTTCCCAAGCAACACATCAAGATGGACAAAGTCATGGAGGAGATTCCCGCTTCCGTGCCAGCACGCACCTCTACCAATCCCACCCATGTCCCTGGACCTCTGGAATCACAACTCGCTGCCCTAATGTCTAAAGTCGTCTTCATGGAACGCAAGAACCCCGTAGCCTCCGTTACCCCCGAAGACTACGAGGAGATGACTGCACGCCTCAAGGCTCTCGAGACGGAGAAGAAACAATGGACAAAGCGCCACGAAGCTATCTGGGCCCTTCGTGACGAGGACGTCGAGAACAACATCAAGATCCGCGGTTACCTCGCCAAAGCGCGCCGCGAGCTTGAAGGCATGACGAAGCTCCGCGACGAGGACCTTATCAACGTACAAGTTGTGCGTATCAAGCTCGCCGACGCCACCAGACAGCTTGATCGCCTACAAAACTCGAGCGGCCGCACCAGCCCATCGTCCCGCAGGCCAGGCAGCACATTCATGGAGAGGAGAGACACAGCAGACCTCTTCGCCGTTGCCAAAGCGGCAGCACTCGAGCAACGCGCTCTCGAGCTCGAGAAGCGCAACACAGACCTTCTGTCTCAGATCGAGTCACTCAAGGGCGGTGCTAGCATCGATGACCTCAACCGCATGACCGCCCACCAAGCCTGGAAGGACACGGTCGAGAAGTTGGAGCAGAAGCTCAAATCCCGCGATGCCGAGATTCTGAGACTCCGCGGTGGTGGTGCCGTAGTCAGCACCGGCGCTCCGTCCTCGGGCGAGTGGCAGCGCGTCGAGATGCTCCACGAAGAGCACGGCGCCTACAGGGAGAGAATGGGAGGCAAGTTGCAGCAGCTCCGCAGCGAGAAGGAGGCGCTGCAAAAGGAGCTGCATCGCAAGGAGGACGAGTGCCACGGGCTCGAGGCCAAGATCCAAAGCATGCGGAGAAGCATGGGGATCATGGCGTAGGATCCGCGCCAGTGCGCCCACCGCCGTACTAATACTTCCACTCCCGCAAGCTTACCGCGGAGACAGAAGGTCGGGGTGGCTGCGCGATGGTTAAGTTTGGGGGGCAGGAAAAGCAAAGAAAAGCTTCGCGAAGTGGAATGGCTGTGATTCTGGTCTCTTGGTTTTGAGCGGGTTTTTCTTCGTTTACTATGGATTGAAGTTTATTAGTGTCGGTGGGCTGCATTGGCGTTCTATGTAAATTGCCTTTGGGGATTTGACATCCACGGTTGGAAGCATTTGGTAGTGTTGAATATACTCAGAGCTCCTGTCTCTTTTGTTACTCTGCAATTCACTTTTCTCTGCACAATGAAGCGTCACTCGAAGTTTGGGGCATGTATTATCAAATATAAGCCAATTGATCAACTGAAGTATAACACTCAACTGGCATGCTAAAATTCATCACCGAACAATTTCAATTCCCAAAATACGAATGAATGGAAAGTCATTCCGAACATCCGTATACATCCGAACTCCTAAGGTCACCCAAGCTTGATCTTATTCCCTTCAATTCAACCCTGCTTTGATGAGCCTTGGGCCCACTCCAGGCTTGCGAGGCTTGCGAGGCTTGGAGTCCTGGTTCAAAGACTTCATTCATCCAGAACTGTCCTTGAAAGAACAAAGCCAAGATCTCTTATGCCACGGTTCATGGCCTATATACACAGAGTTCCACGATAAAGCTATCGCTCATATCTTCTTCGTTTCTTCTTCAGATTTCACGATCTCCGCCTTGAGTCGCTTCGGCGGTTGCTCCGAGTGATCCTTCACCCTTGATTCCTGTGCTGGGAACATGGACTGGAGTTCTTCAATGGTCCTTGTGTACCTAGGAAGCCACTCTTGAAGCTTTTCGCGCGCTTGTAGATATTTCGTATCACCCCCAACGTTATTCTCGAAGAGCTCTTCGACGTTTTGGATGAAGACATCAAGAAACTTTCCTAGGCGCTCCAAGAACCGGCTTGTTTTCTGTGCCAGCCCTTCTCTCATCATTTCAATGGCGTGAGTTTCGTAGATAGATATGAATCCCTCCAGAGAAGATTTCAACTTCTTGTGCTGCTTTTCCAACACCCCTTTCCCTCTCTGTTCTTTTTGAGCTTCCCTGAAGGGCTCCTTGGTGAGTTTAGCAATTATGCAACCGATATCTTCTTCAGTGGTGACTTTGCGATATTGTGCTATGGTGGTTCGATGTAGGTCCTTCTTGAAGCGACCAATCAGATCGTGGACGTCGTCCTCAGTATCACCCCATTCCTGGAGAATTCGGTCCATCAGAGTCTTGCTAAGCTTGCTTGTCTTGATATTGTCTTCCACCTTTTTGAAAAGATCCTTGACACGACTTCTGACTTCTTGGGCAAGATCTTCGAGTTTATTGATCACACTGTGTTTCCACGCATCAATCAACTTCTTAGGAGCTGTAAATTGATGTTCAATTTGACGGGGGCGCTCCATAACGTCCAATATCTCCTTGTTCCAGTTCACAATTTTGCGGTAGTACGCTTTTGAGACACTTCGATGTGGAATTCCGTTGGTTCGTAGAGTGTAGTCGAAAGTAATCCATTTAATGTCCCATCGCCATCTCCACGAGTCAATCAATGACTCGAGTCGCCGGTCAGCGCTTGAACGCTCAGCCTCTGAGAAAATTATCGGTACGATTTTGGGAACCAAAACGCGGATTGGATTTATTCCTGTTGACTTGAAGACCTGGAAAGCATCTGTAATGGTACCTCGTAGCTTGCGGTAACCACGTTCCAGTATATTTTTACTCAGAATGCGATTCGCCCTATCGCTGATCTTTGAATGTACGTTGAAATAGTGGAAACGATATCGCGACATGTTTTCTGTTGCTGTCCGATCAAGTAGTTCTTTCTGCATTTCTGGAATTCCACTCATCATCGGGCCAAATTTTGGATCAGTAGTCCGTTTTGTGTTCAACCATTCAAGCCAGCTCTGCGAAGAGACTGCAAACATCTCTAGAGACTCTCCGTGGGCTTTCTACATCTTGATTTTCAGATCATTAATTTTGGACCTTTGCGCTGTAGCCCTAGTATATGCACGCAGGTACTCCTCGTAAGCATCTGCATCGGCGTCGTCCAGATCGGAAATTGATTCGAGCTCATCCAGCCTTTGAGAGATCTCGTTGAAAGGAGCCCTCTCCTTCCGCTCAATCAGGTTGTCAACTTCTTCATCGGAAACCCTGAAGTTTTGCTGTCGAATTCCATTAGTATGAAGTTCGAGATTGAGAAAGTCCAGACCGGATGATCTACTTACGTCCATCTTGTTGACAACAAGCAAAGTACGCTCCAGTCCGTGAGCATGAATTGAACTTGTTATCTGGCTGTACACTGTCTTGCTATCTTCAATTCGCAATCCTTCTGCGATGATGATCTCGTAGTCTGCCTCGAGACGAAAGTTGTTTGTGATAGCAATCCGACCCATGTTTAGGTCTCCGTAACCTTCAACGTGTTTAGTAGTAGTAGTTTAAATCCACGAGAAAATTGTACATACCTGGCAGATCGGTCAAAACAATACCATTTCGCAAAAGCACACCACCTGTCCGGATGGTCACTTTATGAATGAGCGGCCATATCATCGCTGCTAGTTGCCGCACAGCGGGAAGATCCAAGGTATCCTTCCCTGGAAAGAGCGCATCCGGGATATCAGTGAATAGAACATTCTGATCTTGATCAACTCTACCGTTTTTGCCTAGGTCCTGGAGACGTTCTTCCTGCTTCTGGATACATTTTGCCAAAAGTTCTCCGCTCGAAATATAGTTGTGCTGGAGCATCACTTGCAGCTCCTTTTCAGCCTCGGAATTGTTCTGTGTGTTCCAAATAAGATGAAAGTAGTCGAGCGCATGTTTCGCCAGATTTCGATCTTCCTCCGTAAGCATCGTTATAGATGGATTCGCCTCGGCTGGCTCAGCCTCTTCGTCCTGTTCATATATATTCATGGACTGGCCCTCTGATCCTCGGCAATGTACCTTGGAATAATTTTCAATCTGCATCTGGGCTTCTTGTTTCCTGGTAGCAACATCTACAATTGTGATGTAGACATTGCTCAAACTTGCATTATCCGGAGCCCCAGGAAGATATTCATAACTTGTAGCATGCTGTGTACATGCTTTAGTAGAATCGGATGCATCCGCAAGTTCTGGGCGGTTAAGAGCAGCGTTGATAAACGTTGACTTCCCAATGCCGGTCTCACCGATTACACAAAACTCAAGTCGAGTATGGGATGGACCAGGAGTACACTTATCCAACTCAGCCACGAAGTTGGCAAACTCCTTGAAATTCTTGCAGGCATCGCTCTGAACCAGCCCTTCAATGATCTCCTGACCTATCCTTTGGGCTCTTGCATTCATCTTAAGAGGCTTCATCTTGAAAAAGTCGCAATTCGATTCTGACTCGCCCAAGAGGGTCGGCGTCCATCGTGGCTCAATTGTTTTCACCTGTGATCTCTTCATCTTTCTTGAAGCTCGTCCAAGCGACTTGGAGACCTTGGGTCGTCGGATTTTCCAGTCCGCGAAGGCCAAAATCGGATCGAGGTATGCTTCTTCCATACTGGTAATCGAGCGTCAGTATTGGTGGTTTCAACTACCAGATGTTTACTTACGTTGCAGAGAGGGTAACACTGCTTGATGCGAGCGCTGATATGAAACAAAGCAGCTAGATGATGTATTCCAGGCGGAGGGTGAGCAATTGAATTCGATGAAGAGTCTGAAGACAGCAGATAATTTCTGTAAAACTTGCTGCTGATAGGATTGCAACTAAAAGCAACAATGAGGAGAGTGTTGTTGGTTGGAACAGGACGAGGTTGGCAGATCTGCTTTATATAGACCATCTCCGGCAAGGTAAATGAAGGTCTGAGTGAAGGTGAAAGATGACAGTAGAAGTAATATGTGGGTAAGGGCCGTTGTAGTATACTTACCCGAGAGAAGGATAATCGGCACAAGTCAGTGTGCATCAAGAGGTCAAATGACTTACACGTATTAGGTGAGAGACGTTCGCTCGTTCCCTTCCATTGCACTGCGATATCACGGCTCTAAATTCCTTGTTGTGTTCCGGCTCAGAGCTCAAGCTGCGAGCCTTCCTGACATCAAGATCTCACCATGTGCTGAAAAGACAATGAAGAGGAAAGTTGTCATTGAGGTAGATGGATAGGAAAAGGGTATCATGCGTAGTTGTCCATCCGTGAAAGTCGTCCGCCTGTGAAATCCATCCATCCATCCATAATCCCATTCCATTGACCTAAACGCCGAAAAGAAAATCCATACGCCTGGATCCCTAACACCGAATCCCAGAGACCGAAACGCGGTTTTGAGCGACCATGAACAGGGTCCACGTTCACACCGGTGCTTTAACAACGCTAACGCGGAGGGAATGTATCGAAACTCCAGCATGGTGCATGGCAAAAGAGGGTGAAATACTTACGTGAAAAGAAGTGACATCTTGCGCTTCCAGCCTCCTTAATTGGACATAGAGATGCGCCTTATGGCTTCTGCGTACATCAGGTGGCTTGGCGAACGTGTGCGAGGCCTGTCTTGAGATGGCGTGATCGGCATGATCGTGTCGGCATCGGTTTCCCTGACCTGGATGTTGCTGTCCTTGTGATCGGAGAAAATATCTGTCAAAGAGCCGCGAACACGAGACTTCTCCAGATCCGAAATCCATTGTGGGTGTTTGTCGGCAACATTTGAGAAGCCTGGGACAAAATTGGAGACGTCCCATTTGGTCTTGGAGGGATCTAAGAACTCGTTTGTATTGATAACGGCATGCCGGCGAACGTTCGAGGCCGAAAGTTCGACAAGCTTGTTCAAAATGGAGAGCTCAAGTTTCAACTTCAAGCTGTATACGACACCCTTGAGTGTTTGCTGGACGACTAGAGGCAGGGTTCAATCAGTACAGTTCCCCAAGCCAGTGTCCACAAGAACCGTTGGGACCTTTCTCGCGACCCATTCAGAGCGCATTGTGCTTTGCCAAAAACTTACCATGCTTCCCAGCGAACTCGGTAGCGAGAAGTCCAATGTCGAGCAAGATGATGATGACGTTGATGAAAAAGAGCTGGCGCATGACACCACGCGAACGCACTCGATCCGAAGTCATGAGCATATCCAGGGCTTTCCAGATGTAGAGACCGCTGAGGGCTAGTTCCTGGGCGGCGAAGATTGACATCTGTACAGGCTCGACGACGTTGTAAGCACGCTCCCAGCCCTTGGTGGATGACTTGGGTCCGAGGTTGGATTTGAAGGCGACCAATGAAGTAGTGCCATGTAGACACACACCATTGAAGATGATCATGGCGAGGATGGTTCGTAAGAGCTTCTTGTAGCCCTTGCTGAAGACTATATGCAAGCGGCTGTACAAGACAAAGGCCTGGCCGGTGACCATGAGGCTCCATCCAGTAGTGTCGATGGCAATGCCCAGGGCGAGTGTGTCCTGGTAGAGGCGGAAGTACTCCATGGTGTATCCGATGCTGTATGGTATGATGCCGAAACTCGCAATCATCAGCGACCAGAAGTAGAGGCCTCGGTAGGATTGGAAGGTCAGGAGCAGAGTCAACATGAGCTCGAGGACGGAGTAGATGGAGAGCGAGGAGCAGATGACGACGGCAAGAGCTTCGGGGTTCCACCCATGGAAGTGGTTATCCACCATGCTCGCCATGATGACTACCGTTGCGTATGTTGTTGAAGTGGCATGGCTTGAAGGTTGGCGGGCTACGTTTTGTTGCTGGTGTGGGGGAGGGTGTCTTGGCAGGGAAGTCGCGAGTGAAGCAAGAGGAAGGAAGGCGGAGAGGAAGGTGAAGGTTGGGTACAAAGTCACGAAGCGCGCAGAGACGTAGGGCGAAAGCAAGAAGCAAGAAGCAGGAAAGGTGTGAATGATGGCAGGAAACCGGGTGATGGTATAACTACGCCGGGGAAGGTTGGGATTAGCTGTGCAGAGGTCAAGCGACCCAAGTCCACGGCAGGGTCGGCGAAGGCACAACTGAACCCTTGTGCTTTGATCACCCTGTATTCAGGATGCACATACATCGACTATGTACTAGCGAATCCTTCGGGGCGGTGGTGTATGCGCAAGCCGCACGACACGAGCCGCGCTCCACGTCGTCGTCGGCCACACCCACCTCGGCGAGCGGTCTGACACGCAACGATCCAAGGACTGATACTGTTTCTTTTGTCAGATATCCATCTGCCTGCAATTGGACACGATACGTCCATGTCTGGAGCTTGCACATATACGACATGTATACATGTATACATACATATATGCGTGCATGGAGCGCAGTGCAGTGCAATGCAGTGTGCATACCATGTACGCCTCATGGTGAGAAGCTGACGTTCTGGACTTGCGCGACCAGAGCCCATCATGCGCACTCCTCCCGTCCCTCGGGCGGACCAACGGTCATGGGGATACGTACTGGACTGTACGTACAACTCGACGCATATCGGCCATCCTGCAAAACGCAGGTCCGCTACGCAGCAGAGTACCTACCTACCTACCTACGCAAGAAACACCCATCGACATCGTGTATACAAACAAGGAAGAAGGAGCTCCGGCAGCGCATCCCTTGTGCTGTTGTGATTCAACTCGGCTATTGATGTTCGAGACATAGCGGTAGCAACAATGCCATCTCGTCTCCAACGCTTCAGGGAACAAGTGACGGTCGTGGGTTGTGGGTGCAACACCTTGGCAGTTCACAAAGGCGGGGGTGGGCGAATGACAAGAATCCCATCAAGCCATGATGATTTTGTCGCAGCACACAGTAAGCGCCTTGCGACTGGGGTGAGCGAGAACTCTGAGCCACCCATCGGGGTTGATGCATAATCCTTCCCGACGGATCCTATCGTGATGGGCCAACTTCTAAGAATAATCACGGGGGAGACGATACTCTACAAGTGTAGACAGATGCTCGCAGTAAACAACGAGTGTAAGGAATGTCAACGCACACTGGGGGATTATGCGCAATAGCGCCATGTATGTATACATACTCTCTACCATATAACTTGATGATATTTATTGAATCACACATTGTTCAACCTCTATTGCAGGTGCACAACACGTCTCATTGGGCACCCGACATGGCCAATGTGGAACAACGATATCGGTGCGCGATAAACGAGTTGTACAGTCTTCCCGTTCAATACTCGACGAGGCCAATCACCATGATAACTTCACCTCGTCGTAACGTTTTCTAAACCTGCGAATGCTCAACTCAACGCCCGTGTTTACTTCCGGGCATTGTTCGCCAGAGAACTTCCGAATATGGATATACCCAGCCGGCAGACAGTGGCACTCATTACATCTGCACGAAACTAGCCAACGCCTAGAGTATACGCCCGCTGAGTACGTGTCTGCGGATGCCTACAAAAGCTGCATAGCTCAGCTCGGAACCGTGCATCGTTATGAGTGGTGGGCCTGGTCGGCAGGCTACAATACTTCGTATAAACAGAGTCCGATGAGCGTTATCAAGTCTAGTAAATACACGACGTCCGCTATACGATGCTGCACCCACGTATTGGCTCGCAACTCATCTTCGTGGCGAGATTTCACTGCTCGCAGCTGGCAAGTAGGAATTGTTTTGATCAAAAAAGTCAAAAAAGAAAAACAGGAAAAGAAAAGATAATGCGAATAGGATTTAATTGATGGAATGACAGGCGGCATACCAAACACACTGGTCGTCGGGGCAGGGACATCGGGAGACCCTTGCAGACTGATCGTCTACCAAGTACCAGCTAATCACATCCCTGCGTCCCCACATCACACCTCCAGAGCGATAGCGCACGTCATCATTGTCTAACATAATGCTTCAAGATCGTCATGAGAATACACACTGTGACACTCCCGCAGAATCGAACTGTGAATTGGGTTCAGTGCGCAACCTGACCCAAATCCCCAACGATGAGGCTGCTTTTATTCTTTTCGGCGTTCATTGGTTTATCCCAATGTCGCAACAAGCAACAACCCATATCGCTGGTACCGCAGGCGATCAGTGGCCAGCCGTTGATTGGCTTCGGCACATGGAGTCTCAAAGAGTCGGCGGAAAACACTACGAGTGCCGTGTCAATCGCTATTGAATCGGGGTACCGGCAAATCGATTGCGCTGCAGCCTACGGGAACGAGAAGGCTGTGGGTCAAGGCATCGCCCAAGGTCTTGAAAAGGCAGATATCCGGAGGGAAGATGTGTGGATTACTTCAAAGCTGTGGAATGACCAGTTAGTAATTTATCTCGGTGGCATCGGACCAGGCACTGAAAGTCTCTAGTCATGACCCTGGTCGCGTTGAAGAAGCTCTCGATCGTACTCTTGAAGATCTAGGACTTGGTTACCTAGACTTGTATCTTATGCATTGGCCCGTGGGGAAGGGTCCCGATGACAAGAATTACCACTTCGACTACTTAACTACATGGCACGCTATGACGAAACTGGTCGGGACAGGCAAAGTCCGTCACATTGGCATCTCCAACTTCTCGCCCGCTCAATTGAAGGATCTGATCGCTACCAGCGGAGTGAAACCCTCGGTGCACCAAATGGAGATGCACCCGTACCTGCCGCAGAGCGATTGGGTTCGGGAGCATCAGGCGCATGGGATTTCCATCACTGCGTACTCTCCGTTGGGGAATATGAATCCAACGTACGGCGATCGCTCTCGTCGCTCAGTCACTACTCAATCGAAAGCGCCCCTTCTTCTTGAAAACCACGTGATAAAGGAAATTGCCGACACGTCTGGTTGCACTCCGGCTCAAGTTGTTCTGGCTTGGGGGATCAGTAGGGGAGTAAGTGTGATTCCAAAGAGCAAGCACGCAAACCATATTCAAGAGAATATTGGTGCAGAGAAGTGCGACCTTAATGCGGGTAGTCTCCAGCGCATCGATAAGTTGGGGGAGGAGCCGGTGAGGTTTAACAACCCAAGCAAAAGCTGGGGCGTGAAATTGTTTGAAGGGCTGCAAGATGCATAATGATGCAACCAATCGAGAGTTGAAGTTTTTTCAGGTTGAGATTGCAAAAATAAAGCCTATATACAGACAACTATCAAGCACTACATAATTAGTGGGGATACAATTGTTCTGGAAACGCGATTCTTGAGACTGAATAAAGCGTGCAGTGTCGGTAAGCACGGCAGCTTCCATGGCAAAGGATATGAAAGTGACACGAAACAGACGTAGTTTGCGATCGTGGTCCCACTGGCTCCCGTGGGATTTACTCTTTCTTCAGACCGACTTTACCCGCTTTTCTCAACCCTAGGATCGCAATGATGACACAAACGATCATGTACGCAAACATGGTCCAGAAGCCGGCACGATATCCCTTCAAGAGCGTAGACGGATCCTGGTCATCAAAAGCTGCTTCAGAATTGTCGTCATGCCCGACACTGGCGCCATTCCCCATGACACCCAAGGCAACAACTTGACAAACCCCGATGCCCAGGGATGTGCCAAATTGAGCCACTGTGTTGAAAACTGCTCCTGCAAGAGCTTGTGTCTTTTCGGGGAAATTGTCGCTGACGATTATGAGTCCAACCGTGAACAGCACATCGCCGGAAAATGGGGCGAACACCTGGGCCCAAAATTCGAGGTACCAATACTTCCATTCCGGATTGACCACGGCCATGAGCAGGGGAGAAGCAGCGCTTATGACGGCTGAGCCCGAGACTAACCAGTTCGCCGGGATTCTGTCGACAAAGATGCCGACACTTAGATTGATCAGGGTACCTGTTACGAGGTTCGGAAGGAGGTAGAGAGATGTTGTTTGAGTCGATACACTCTGGACTTCCTGGAAACTATTGGTCGCGAGTCAGTATAGCCCTATAGAAGAAAGGGCAATGAACCTACTACAAGCTTGAGAAAATCTCAATCGAGTTCACCACACCGTAGCTCAGAGCTACCATAATACACGTTGAAGTGAAGGGGAGATTTTTCCAGATTGAATTCGGGATCAACGCCGGACGACCAGCCCGTTCCTGGGTGTGCATCCAGAACGGAAAAGCAGCGAGCAAAACCAAGCTCACAGCGAGAAGCGAGGCCGTCTCCGCTGATTTTATCGATCCTAAATCGGCACTGAGGACTCTGTAGGATAGGTCAGCCACCACCATTGAGTTTCGTTCAGAAGACGTCCTAGTCACTTACGCAAGCACATATGCCAGCATTGCCAAACCGCCGCTCGCGATAAGACCTCCGATCCAGTCCACATCTGTCCCGATCTGCTTCCATACGCTCTTTCCGTGAGTGTCTGAGCTTCTCTTCACTTTCGGAAGCGCCCACCACGCTACTATAGCAGTAACCAACATGGCTCCACCAGGAATATAGAACCCAGCGCGCCATCCGATTGATTCGACCATGAAACCGCTCGCGACAAGGCCAACCGAGAAACCGAAGGGCTGGCTCAGACCCAAGCACGCAAAACCCAAGTTCCTTGCTTTTCCGGACGGCACAGCAGCTGCGATGACTATAGACAAAGACGTAGGGTCAGTATTACACAAGAGGTAAACTCGATGTTTCGAGGTTGATCAGAAAGGTACTTACGCGCCACACTGGATGGCAAGTGTATAGCCGTTGCCGCGCCCTGCATGGCCCTGAAAACAACAAGCTGCACTCCATTCGCAGCGAACCCGCATGATAGCGTGAAAGCACCCAGCAAAGTGATACCGAAAATCTCAAACCCCCTGACTCCTATGATATCCGCTACCGCGCCGGCTATGAGTAGCAGTGAGCCCGACGTGAGACCGTGGACAGAACTCGGCCAGAGGTAGAGAGCGCGTGGGAGCTGGATATCCTTGGCGATCACTGGAAGCCCGACAGTGATGACGCCATTGGTGAAGCTAAAAAAGAAGTTGATGAGGGAAGGCTGGAAGATGGTGAGGATGAGGCGGATTTTCGAAAGTGCGGGCGGTGGGCTTTGCGCTAGCGCAATGGAGCGCTCATCGTCGTCTGTAATGGGGGTTGATGGATTGTTGATGCTGGAAACCGATGATTGAAGCTGCGATGCGGGTTCCCGAGTGTCGTTGCTGGTGGCATCTTGACGGGCTTTCAAGGGCGTGAGAGGAATGGCCTCGGATCTCGTTGTTGTTGCAGTACTCATGATGTTTCTTCTTTTCCAATCCTCGGCCTATACAAGTTTCGGGGTGATGGAAAGAGATCCAATGGCGAATTCAATCCCTTGCGCCCGACTCGTTGTTTCGGCCTCGCAAGCTCTGCTTTCCTATTGTGGTACGAATAGAAACACACGAGAATACGAAGGAACCGTCGTCTCACACATCATTAAAAAAAGCAATATGCAAGCCAAGCTTATATAGTGTTGATGTAGACAGCAAATAAAACTCGTGAGCACTAGCGATGTGAAGACGGTTAGCATGCGCCCTTTCACGAATGGAGATGTCAAAAACGCCGCTGACTGCTCTGATTGGTCAATTCCAGAGCCCACCACGATCCTTCGCAGTGCATCTTGTCTCTTCCCCGCCTCGGAAAACGATTTTTCTGGGATATTCTTTGGAGAATTACCGTCAGTATGTGCGGCGTAGTTTCCCTGCACTACGACTCACACTGATGCAGAGTCTAGATGCGCAATCCAGGTGACGTCGTCAACGGAATACCGATCCACCTATTGATGTTTACAAGTCTTTGTTCTAAAATCATATTAGCATCTTGAATCTAGAAATTTTCAGGAACAAATGTAGTACGCTATATGTAGTTAATATGATTGGGCATCACTATCCGTAAATGACTGAGCAACAGTATCTAAAAAAATATTGTGTATTTTTAAAAGAGTGACTGCAGTTAATGAAAAGCAAAACAAAACTCCAAAATCTCAATTCCCATGCAGACAAAGGAGAGTTCTCGGCCATTCAGGACCAAAACAAACAGACAAGTGGAACACAAATTATTCAAACACAAAAATCAATGACAAATGAAAATTTCAGCAAAGACCGTCACATCTCAAATGTAAAACATGGTGTCGTCCAACTTCGACTTCCATGGATGCGTAGCCTCCTTACCATCTGCGCGGATCTTATTCCCTTCATGATCCTTTTGCAACGTGCTTTCTACAAAATTCCGCATGGTGTCTCCCACAGGCTCAGACTTTTCCTTTGGCGCATATGGTTGGCCTGAAGCTGTTTCCCTAGCAATCGATGGGACATTGTTGCTATCCCTGCGTGAAATGAAGTCGTAGTAGTTGACAACATGGCGCGAAAGTTGGCTAGCGTAGTGGAGTGGAAGCGCCAGGCTCGGAAGTCCGTCGAGCTGTGCGGAATTGTTCAGTTTAATCGTTAGCTCTCGAATGTCTTTGATGCTGCTCTCGGAAGATCGATTCACTTCATGGACGCGGTACTGGAACTTGGCTCTTGGGTCAACTGTTTGGAATTCTGTGTCGTTATCGGCATGTCCGAGAGTGAATATACTCGCGTCTTCAAGGTGCATGTTCTTGCTGGCTGTAACATAAGTTAGTTGGATGTTTTCGTTGGTGACGAAAGCATCTTGATAGGCACTGATAATATCGTGGACCTCGCGATTCGACCTTGATGAGGTTTCGGTAGAATCTTCGTGAGGGTTGACAGAACGATAGAATACAACGCGAGGGAGTAGTGCGCGCTGTTCGGTGCAGTTCTGGGCTTTCCAAGCCGCAAAATGACCTTTCAATCGGCTTCGCAACTCAGTGATTTCGGGGCTCTTAGCAGAGTCAGGCCCTTCAGAATCCTCTACAGACCAACCCCGAGTCTCTTCAACCATATATTTTGGAAGCTCGACACGCGATGAGCCTGTAAAGTGAGTCGGGCATTCGTTGTATCGACTGACGACCAGAGCTGATACAGACGGGGAGTTCTCAGTCGCTGGAGACGCCGAATGGGTAATGTAAGCACCAATAACGATCAGACCTTGGGAAAAGGCGTCCTTGTTAATATTTTGAACAGGAAAATTACTCAGGATGTTCTCTCCGCGCATGAATTTGATTTTGCGAAGTATGCTTGTTGGGAAAACGTCCCGCGTCGATGGCCAGAAGAAATCCCATACAGTATCTCTTTTCGTGCACACTGTGATAGCACCAATCTTTCGTTCACCCAAGCGGTGAATCTCGGCTGCAATCTTCTTGTATTTATTATCGTGAACATCTTCTTGAGAAATAATTCCAATCAACACATCGCAAGTCTCCAGAGGCTCCATCAAGATGGAGTTATCGTGTTTCTGCTGTCGCATAATTTCTTGAACAGAGGCAGCGGGAACTATCTTCACATCAGTAGAAGGCACAATATTCTGGTTCTTTAGTGCAGACTGAATTCTTTTCATCGACTCATGAGTCCCGGGGGTTTCACAATCCTGGCCGACATAGATGACCCCAATGGTGCTCTTCTTCGATGAAGTTTGGGCGTTGTATTCTTTCTTTGGCACCACCTTGCTTTGTGCAGGGACTTCTTGAACAGAACTAATTGGTGTATACAAAACGATTCGTTCATCACCTTGCGCAGTGGGAGGTCTCTTCATGGTAAAGTCGAGAGGCTTAAGATCGTTCAACAGTACATCGCCATGTTGAGATATGATGGGTTTCGCGTCGAAGCTTTCTCGGAACCGTTGGAGTGCTGGAGTGAGATGGCCGCTTCTCGGGACAGCTTGATTGGGCTGGATCCAAATGAGATCGAGCGCTACCCAGAATGGTTTGTTGCGCCCTACGTCTGCGAACAAGATTGGCCCTCCGTCGTCGATGATCTTGATATCGTTATTCCGATAATACTGCCGAATTGTGACGAGTTTTTCCTCCTCGCCGATTGGAAGCGATCCAATCTCCGTGCTTGACTTGACATCGCGGATGTAAGTATAGTTTTTCTCGTCGGTTGATTGCGCAGAGCCTTGCTTTGAATCATATCGCACATAGAGGCCTCGGAGAAATTCCTTCACCGAGCTTGGATTTGTGAGAAATTGAGAGTCTATCAGCGTCCGAGCATTTCGCTCCTCCGCGAAGACATATATGAGATCAAAGTACAAGGTAAGAACGAACTGGCCCGAAAAATCTATCTTCGCACGCACTCCCACCTCAAATCGGCCTTTGCGTCGCTCATCAGATATATTAGGCAGCGTAATGATGCTATCTCCCGCTACATATGCATTCTCCGATGCGTGTAGCATATGGAAGGAAAGCATTCTAATGTATTTGGAGTAGGCTTCCGGGGAGCGAATTCGAGTGATAAGCTTTGCATGCGTCATCAGACAAGTCAAGGATTCATCAGGCTTATTTTCCTTCTTGTTGAACGTCTTCTTCACCGACAGAGTTCTCTTTGTCTCATTGAAAAGATTCTTGACGATGTCTTGCGCTTCCCTACCGTTTTTAACAGACATGACAAGAGCGTTGAAGATGTTACCCTCGACCACGGTATCAGGGGTCGAAAACATCTTTGTCCCATCTAGATTCGAAACTTCATCTTTGAGTGAATGTAAGTGTAGTGCCACTTGCTGCGATTTTTTAAGGTTTGCTTGCTTGGCGAACCTATGTATTGCAGTTTTGGTGTATTGCGCAATTCCACTATTGCTGAATTCCCGGAGTGCAAGACGTCGGAGTCTCGAGCTCCGCACCGCACCGGCCTCCTCATCAACATTTGCCGTACTTCCCGTGGATACGACCTGGACCTCAACTATCAGAAGATCAGGAGATTTTTCGACTTCGTAGCGGATGTTTCCCAAAGCAGTCTTGCTAGCGTTCTCCGCAATGAGCTCGGAATCGTTGCTACTCTTTGTGGGCGACGAGCCGGAGGAACTCCATGTCGTACTACTGTCTCCGATCGACGAGCCACTCCATGTGGAGATTTCACTATCGCTTGCTGAACTACTCGAGAGTTGAGGGGATGGCATTTCCAAGTACTTTGGGTCGACAGGAACGGTAAGCTCCTTCTTTTCACCGGGGCTGCTCATTTTCAATAGCGTGGAAAAGATTGATCAGGAATTTGTCAAGAGATGTGTAAGATATTGAATAAGAGCTAATTGAAGTATCTGACAGTTGACAGGTAGAGAACCTTACCAAAGACCAGCGAAAAGATCTGGATTTGAAGAATCCCCGAAAGCTGAAATGAAATCTTACTTATACTTCATCGTTTCTCTCCGGCCATACACGATCCCATCATGAGCACCGATCATCCAGGATCCGACATTTGACGTCTGACAGGCGGACACGGGTTGCAGGAACGCGTGTAAAGTCCTGTGCTTAATACCTGGCGACTTATGACCATTGCTTTGAGTACAAGATCTGAATGTATCAAGTGCACGTGATAGAAAAGCGTGTCAGTCTCCGTGTCACGTTGTTTGCCTGCTCTCGGAAGGTGAGCTTACTGCATTATAGCCGCTTGAGGATGATCAGCATGCATATACAGCATGGCGGCGTGCCAGCCGTTGATCAGAAGAACGAGGCGGTAAACAAGGGTGATGTCAGCGTGAACAAAGAGCATGATTCGCACGGAGCGTACGCGATGCATTGATGATTATAAATTATACTAAGTTGAAGAAAATTGACATGATTGCTGCGTTCCATCGTCAAGAGGAATTTTGTTTGCGTCCATGTTCAAACCGCGAATTTCCAGGTCTCCCACACGCCGAAACAATGGCAAGCAGCGCCCAGGACAACGCATATATGAAAGATCTGATGGCTACCGCCAAAGACATCAAATCTACTTCTCTTGAACCACACTCCGTCCGCACCAGGCGTGCTTGACCAAGCCCATCTCTCGGGAAACCTGCTCACGAAGAAGACGACTCCGACCGCATAACAGAAACCCTCTGCAAGCCACCACTTGATTCCGCATTCATGGAACCCTTTGCTCACGCCGTGTATGTACATGCCGTGGAAGGTGGGTCCGAAGCCGGAAAGCACGGTAAGTACAAAAGCCGATGTGCGGTGAGTGCGGTATTTCATGCCCTGGAGGCGCGGGTGTAGAACGAGAAGAGCGCTGGTCGCTATCAAGACTCCGATCATGGTCCAGTAAAGGCGACGCTCGAACGGGAAGTTGTAAAAGCCCATGTATATAGCGCTGACAAAGGAGCACAGGATAAGAACGAGAATACCGCCAAAATCCATGAGCAGGCAGGAAGATGATACGAATGGCGAATGGTTGTTGAGTGTGTGGTATGTTGCTGACAGAGAAAAAGTGATGAGGGCGGCCATGGGCGAAAGGGTCAACATGAAGCGGTCGATCCAGGGTGCTTCAGCATATATCCTGGAGATGTGGAATTGAAGCAAAGGTAGCGCAAGAGCTAGAACAAGAGCTGGAAGCAAATGGGTCCATGTATTCATCGTCTCATTGTGAAGGTAGAGAAACAAGGACTGTATGGAGGTCTGGCAGCTATTGCTCGGTGGCCGGTAATGTGTTAGAATGTAAGGGCTCTCCGACAGCCTATACCAATCCGGCAGCTCATCATAATTGCAGAGTCGCGGGCGCTCATTTCGATCGCGTGTGTGGTGTGACTTGCGATCCGACTTGGTCTGTCTGCGGAACAAGAGTAGTGGTAGCTGAAAAGCAATTGCCAAGGAAGCCATAATGTGATTCTCAGGAGATGGCGCAACTAAGTAATAAGAAATTCGCGATAGAAAATGCGATGAAAATTCAGCCCTGTAACGATAGGTGTTTGGACCAAAGGGCCGACTTGCAGGGGGAAAAGGCAACGTGTGGTGCCTACTGGCCCTACGACGACGAAAGGCTGAGAAGGTAGTGAAGGATCATGGCGAAGGAAACTGTTGGGGAAGCCAGGGAATATGAAGCTCGCTCTGAAGAGACCCCCCGGAAACCTCCTGATTGCAATCGGTTGGTGCGATTTTTATGAAATTTAATTGACCAGCTCCTATTCGGCAGAGGACGTCGAGGGTCGAGGCGGGATTAGCGCTGATGCCGCGGCACGTGGTGACTAATCAGGGGCACACCCACCTCAATCTCAACAATCCAAACTGTAAAAAAGTGCAACGCGTACGGTTGATGTGATGTTAAAATCTGGTATACAACGCTAATTTCGAATAGAAACGCCTATTATGCTAACAATGCTATTATACAATACGCTTATTGCTCGTAAATCGTCAAGACATCGGTCGAATTGCTGTATTCGGGCTCACACCGCTCCGTGAATCCACCAAACATTTCTCCCTTACTCGCCACCCACTCCCCGAACTTCGAAGCCGGGCAACTCTCGCCAGGGCCATCGTTGCATTCTTCTAGCTGGTGCGGGCTGTTGTTCACGAGCACCCGGACATAATCTCCTGCCTCGTATCCGTAGCTTTCGCAGGACATCCGCTCCACGGCAATGTTGGAGAGAAACGGCAAGATATGCGATGATCGCCATACGCGGTTGTAGTTTTGTGTCTTCAGCGGCATCGTCGCGTTCGGGTCGTTCACCCCCGTGAAAGCCGAGTTGTTGAACAATCCCATGGCTGTAATAACGGCAGGTGGCAATTCTCGGTGCGTGAAAGAAACGTAAATGTCTTGATCGGCAGTGTCGGCCAACAAGAGTCCGGCGGAAGCATTCAACCAGGGAAATCCAAGCACGCCCGAGATCGGATTCGCATAGCCTGCGTTGTAAAAGTACTGGATGTCGTTCATGTATTCGAAGTCGAGCCACTCGTTGGGCGAGAACACGTCCAAGTCACAGAAAGGCGAAGAGCCTCTGATGACGGTTTCATAGCCGCATAGTTGTTGCATGCCAACAATATCGTCTTCTGTGAAGTTGAACCCAGGGGCGAGATCGTGGAATCTCGCCATAATCGGCTTGGTGTACGTCTCTTTGTATTGCTGGAAGCTGTCAGTGTCCCGTCCAGTTTTGACTTCACACCGCATTACTTACAGATGATTGCTCGCTTCCATAGCTACTGCTGTACTTTGGACATCCTTTGTACGGCGTCAGAGAGTCCGCACCTTCTGCTTTGCTTTCCGGCACATCGATACGATGGGTTTCGTTGCTCCTGGACAGGCCATCGATGAAAGAGGAAGCACTCAATTGCGTCCTCTCCGCAGTCGATGTCCACACCTTTTCAGGCTTCTTCAAGCCAGGATATCGCAGGCTGACATCCACACCAAGTTTGTAGGATTGTAGCTGGCCAATCTTGGTGAGGTCCTCCAACTCTTCCTCGGAGATGGGATTTTGCCAGTTGGAGAGGAAACGCAATGGACCCGCCCGTTGCCAGTCGACCGTAGTATTCTTCAACTTATCGGTGAAAGGCTCAATGTACTCCTCATAATCAAAGTCGTTCGCGTAGATTGCAGCATGGCGAACCAGGTATGTGCTACGTGTGACGTTGCAACCCTGAGCCGGCTTTGGATCGAGCGGTGGAGATTCCGGTTCAAAATAAGGAGCAATCCCAGCAAGATGCTCCAATGGGTTAAACGAATAGGCTGAAAGAGTGCCTACGAAAGCGAAAAGAAGGGGGCTTGAACGGAGCATTCTTGCGGCTAGCAGGGTGCAATGAGACCTGGTTGCTGAGGGAAAACAGCATCCATTGATGTTACCGTACTGTACCCTATATACCTATGAGGGTGACTGGATCGGACGATGTCATTGTCCCCATAATTGAGCATCCTGGGGATAAAATCTTGGCTGAACATTGGTCTGTAGGATGGCATTTAGTGCGCAACATGGTAAATGTTGTAAGCGATGACGCGGGTTGATGAGCGTTCCTGGCGAAAAATCAAGGAACAAGCTTCCCAGTCGGCTTAGCGTTGCCGCTCCCGATTGCTAACGCCCGAAGCTGTTGTCCGACGTCGATCATTATCTCTTCTCTTCGCCTTCGAGTCCTTTGACGTGTCTCTGCTTTCAATAAAGTTGTAGGTCAGCTCCAGTGAGCTCTCTCGCTTGGGTTGATACAAGGATAGCAGAGCATGCATGTTACTATGGGAATCCTTTGTTGTCCATGTCGCTTGTTGCTCGTCGTCATGCAAATCTTACAGAAGCGCAACAGCTCATCATGACGTTTTCACTACCGGTTGCACAGTATCGGGTACCCGAATTGATGGTGACATTCTAAGTACAGACCAGATGGAAACGCTTTTATACACATCAAACTGAGGGGAAGTTTAAAGCTATGAAAGACTAGTGCTTCGGAATGTGAGCCAGCAATTGTTCAAGCTGTACTCAATAGCACGAACGCTCAAATTCCGAGCACTTTTAGCACTGCCACAGGCTGACGTCCCTCCATGATCGCTTGCAGATGGAAAGTCAAGCCTGAATATCTTTTGCATGATCTCCCATCACCTGCAATTCATATTCGAATAGTAAAGCCTGCGTGGTGCTGTCTAGTCATTACAATTTACTCTTGCCCTTATCACCTCGTTGTTCCACTATATTTTTCTCAGTTCCAGACCTTTCTGCGCCCAAATCGAAGTTACTGCTGCTCGTTTCCGCTTTCAAGCTCACTGGGTCCCCCAGCATGCTTCGGTTCACCTGTGAAGCAAGACATTAGGTAAATTCATTCGGAATACACTGTGAATCAGCGTTATATACCTCATACGTAGTTTTCACGTTGTTTGAGCCCTTCCTGGAATCTGACTTGACAGGATCGTATTTATCCCGCTGGAGCGATACTGGATCCCCCAGCTGAGGGGGTATCGAGGATGCTTTGTACTTCGGGTTGGAGAAAGTCCCGCGCACAGTTTTGGAGTGTTCTACCATTTTGAGCGACTTTTGATAGATTTCGCTTGGCTCTTGACCGTGTGATTGTTGGGTGCGGAGCGGAAGGCTTCGGTTCAACGCCAGCGTCAATCGGACTTAACGTGACAATGTCTCTATAGTTGGAGGGAGCGACACAGGAATATCAAGTGCACTTTCCCTCGATGCGATATGGGCATATTTACGTTGTTTTGTCTTTGTACCATTGTTAGTGTGCTGCAATGACGTCTTCCATTCACGTTCACGTTTACATGTGATCGTTGCAGAAAGTCAAGTTTCAACCGCGAACCAACGGCACGCTCATCATAATATGTACCAAGTACCAAAAAGCCAATAGAACTTCTGAAGAGATCAAAGAAGTGTATCTCAGGTGATAAAACTACTTCCCCTACGTTATCTTCAACCATCTCGAGATCATACCCCATACACAAACGTCCATTTCTTGTCCGCGTATCTGATATCATTCGTTCTCTCCTCCTCAATATCTGTCGGCGTCATGGAAGCGAGCTTCTTGGCCTTGTACTTATTCCATCCTTTCAATTCGAAGTAATAAGCCAGATACCCCAAGAAGCTTACCGCAATCAGCCCAGTGGTAACCTTCAGTGGGAAGACATAGCTTGGACCATATCTTGACAGAAATAGTTCACTTCCAATGATACCGCCTAGATTTCCGAAGCCGTTGATTCCAAGGACCACGGCTCGCTTCCCTGGTTCAGGGGTGTTGCCAGCGAGCCACGCAACAGTGATCGGGGCCGCGATGAAAGTTCCCGACAGCAGAATGATAATACCTCCATATCGAGCTGCAGGAGAAGATATCGGGATCGAAAAAGCCATTATAAGGCCGATGATGACAAGCAGGAGACCGACGAGTATGTGTACTGTCCGTTCGCGAAAATGATCTGAGGAGTAGGCGAACAGTAATAGGAGACCAGCGCCTACAACGTATGGCGGTACTGTCATCAAATTAGCGGTGGGACCAGAATATCCAAGGCCCTGTTTCGTTGTCAGCGTGTTCAATTGCCCGTAATTTCCTGGCAAAATACCTTAATAACTATAGGCATGAAGATAGTAAAGCCTTGCGGCGCGATACTTGCAAGGACATTGAAAGGCAAAATGGCCCAAAGTTTCCAATCTGCAATACCCTCCAGAACATCTTTCTTGCTGAGCTTAAACCTCGAGTCCTCATTCGCCGCAGAGTCAAGCACCATCCTTTGTTCCGCAAATTCTTGCTCCTGGCGGCTTAGAAACCAGCTTTGACCGGGACTTTTTGCAAGCCAGAACGGTGTGGCAAGAGCGATAGCGATGGTAATAGTACCCTCAATGATGAAGAGATACTGCCATCCGTGCATCGATCCATCGATTTGGAAGCATCCATATGCAATCAAGCCACCGAACGCCCCCGCCACAGCATAGCTACCATAGAATAGCGCAATGCGAAATGCGAGGTCGAATCTTGGGTAGAACAATGTCAAGTATGAAACAGTCGTTGGATAGAAACCAGCTTCAAAGACTCCAATTAAAAGTCGTATGGCTATCAGTTGTGCTTCATTCTTGACCCATGCATGACTTAACGTCAAGACCCCCCACCCCAAAGCAATGATGCCCAGGTAGGTACTCTGGCCGACCTTCTTTCCTATTATCGTGCTGACAGGCTGCAGTGGCACGAAAGTCGTGAAGAACAGGCTCGTCGCTGTATTGATTGCTTCGGGCCGCATACCAAGATCGGCTGTGAAGTTATCTGTTTGAGCATTGCCCAAGTTTGACCGGTCGAGCCCATTGAACATGTAGATGATGATGCAGAATGGCAGGATGTACAAGTCGAATTTGCGATTGAGAGCTCTGGAACGTTTCTTTTCTTCGGATGTAGTAGGGATGTAACCGCCTTGTTTTGAAGTTCGTAGCTCCTCGCGCAGATGCGTGGCGTCCTTCTCTTCTGAAGCAAGGGGCACAGAATTTGATTTTTCGATCATTTCGGCTTCTGATTTAGTGGCCATGACGGATTGCGATCTAGCAATTTATGAATTCCCACTTAAGACTCCGGGACCTACCCTTTATCAACTTCTCAATTGCATGTGTTTGCTGACCTCACATCGGTCACTTGACGAGTGGATGATAGATCGCCATAGATACAGACACAAGTGCGGGGCTGCCCAGGACTGCTATGCACATCAACCAAGGAACCTGGTACAGAATAGGAAAGACTATATAAGCCTTATGCAATAGCCGGAAATGCATCCTATTGTCGTCAAGCGTCATAAACACTCTGATTTAGGACATGTAACTTCGTCAATAGAAATCTCTATGTAGCGAGCTTACCCAAGTACTGCCATGGATTCACTAAGAATTTAGGTGAATAGCGCATCAAGAGAGTGGAATTATCGTACAATACACAGATTAGAGTACTTTGCAGAAAATTGTAAACGCAATGCATTTTTCTTGCTTTCACCTACTGCCGAGTCAATAGGGCTTAGTCAGTGAGCGTAACCGTATTCTTGACGTACATAAATGCAATGTCAGTGGATCTTACTGGCAGATTAACTTGAGGGACACATGCATTAATATGATGACATATATACACTAGATATTCACGAAATGCTACACTGTTAGTCACTGCCATCAGGGATCTTGAGCGGTTAGGATTCGCAGCCAGTATGGAGATCTGCGTCTAGGGAAAATGTTAACCGTCTCACATTTAAGCGATCATTCAACACTCTACCGTTTACTATTACACGCGATTTCGAGAATTTCAAGAGAAATTATGCCTTTTTTCAGACAGGACGAACATATCTGGGCATGGTCAGAGTGTACAACGCTGTACGATGCTTTGTTGTTCACATGATAGCTATAGAATTGGGCGGGCTCGCCCCCCCTCGAACATTCAAAACCTGGCTGGTAAACATAAACGTCATCTGCTCCCCAGAGACCCCACGCTGAATATGGTAGATACGAGGGATCGAGTGGAAGTTCTGTGAATTTGGGATATGAACGTGTCATGGAATTGAAGCTCTTTGTGGAGTAATAATATGAGTGAATTCAAGAAAAGCACTCCAAATATATTTACGCGCGTATACATATCTGGAGGTACTTCTTAACTTTATTTTTCAACTTATCACGAGTATAGTCTGCCTTCTCTGATAAATCCTGATTGGTTAATGTCTAGTAAAACAGCTAACCTCCTGATATACAACGACCCGATGTGCTCTGACCTTGTACATGCTTACCCAAGACCAAGACAAATTGAGGGGAGACTGCTCCAAACATGCAACCCTATGTCTCCGCTTCGAATATGATATTTCAACATCTTTAAAGCTGGTGCATTCAGGAATCTATTCTTTCTAGATGACCAATTTTCAATTCCATCGCTATCGACTTGCTCCACCTCTCTCTGGTTGGCATATGCAGGCCCTGTGCATCTTGACACATTGTGAAAGCACTTTCTAACGCTTTGAGACGCACACAATGTGTAAAAGCCCAAAAGTGTAGCCCAGCACCAAGTTTTGCGTCTGTGCTTGAATCTATTGCGAAGTCGACTCGATTCGAGTGTACCCACACAGTGTCTTTACATTGTTACAACCTTCACTTGGATCAAACCTATTCCTGGTGCAAAGAAACCATACGACTGCATTGTATGGAGATCTAAAAATATACTTCGCCACAATAGACCGCGTATTCGTCTCGATGTATAAAGCCCCAATTTTTTCCCCTCACTTCTATCTCGTCAACCCCATTACAAACATGGAGAACCTAACACTACTAATCCTAGGTGCAGCTACAGAAAGATCCATGGCCATGGATCTCCAGAGACCACAATACTAACAAATCCAGAGACCCCAATTAACGCATCTAGATTTCCCATTTCTTGTCGTCCCCTTTGTGATTCTCCATGGATCCCACATATGTCGACAACAAGGACCCACATCAGTCGACCGGAGCAAACACGCAGCTCCCTTTCTCTCCCCGTTCCCGAACTCCGTGCAAAAAGTCGTGATCCATCTCTTTTCAAGGTCGCTCCTGTGATTGACGATGATGACGTGCCCATGCATTTGGTTTTTGGTGATGTCGAGTAGTATTGCGCACTGCATGCTGTGACGGATCGTCGCTTTCTCCTGATTTATAACGAGAGGAACCTTGTGACTCTTTGATAGCTAACATGCTAACATGCAGTACTCATATACCACTATAGCTTACTTCAAGGCAGCACTATATAAATTGTAGCTGGGAAAGTATTGGTTCTTAGCCACAGGTTTAGAGGTATGTATCACCCCCAAAAAGAGCTTGCTAATATCCAATGCAGATTTTCTTACATGACAAACTTGATTTCTTCTGCCAGTTTGCTATCATATGTATGGAAGAGTAGCCGCTGGGGAATGTATCGGTCTCCAGCTATCCCTCAATAGATAAGTATAACCTTGTACCAAGAATTGGCTAACTGTGACCATAGGATTCGAGCATCAAGAGAAAAGAAGTAAGTAACTCGTTGCCGTCATTGCTAACAAACTGATAGATCAAGTGGTTTTGTCGCTTTGAAAGCTTTCCACTTATTTAATAGTCGACGGGATCCCGCATAATCGAAATTTTTGTTGCAGCAAAAACATTGTTATCCCTTCCAAACTCCATGTGATGAATGATGTACAAAACACTTTGTATACTACAGGTGATATTACACAGGACCAGCAGCAGAAGCTTCTCGAGCCTGCTTTTCTCTCTTTCTCGCCTCCCGCTCTGATTTGCGTATCGATCTCATATTCGGTGGCGCTTCGATTCCCAGTCTCGTTCTCAGCTCATTGACATCCGTTTCTAACTCTTCTTCCCAGTAGACATTGATCACGTCATCGCTCTTCGCCCCGTTCCGGAAAGCCCACGGCCCGTATATCTCCCAGAATCTTTCCCATTCAGCCTTCTTCAATGTGAATGCGCTGAAGACTGCCAAGCCTGTCATTGGTAACCCAGTGTTCGCGAATTCGAAGGCTTTGAGCGCGACCTCGCCCTCGCGGAAGACGGGCAGCCCGACCAGCGCATGGTAGAAGTCATGGCATTCACGATATCTTTGCATGACGTATGCGCATTCTTCGTCATCAATGTATCGCACGCCTGCCCTTGTGTCTGGCGAAACGCCTTCGGCGTCGAGCCACGCGGCATACGCATAGCCGAGCGTATTTGACGGGAGTGAGCGCAAATGAGGTACGTTGAGAGATGTGGATGTAAGTCGAGGACGGTCGCGGAGGATTCGACGGCCGGTTGGATTGAGCAGCATGCGGTCGCGGAGCTTGTAGATGAAGTACGGTTGCGCGGTTGCTTCACCGAATGCGGCGATGAGGTCTATCAGGATGAGTCGCTGTTGTCTACGCAAAGATACAAGTCGAGAACATACCGCCTCTTCGGGGATCCAGGAAGCTCAAGAGCCCGGATCCTAAAGCTAGACCAAGTCTCTCTGTCCTGGTGAGAGGTATGTGGCCATCATAGTTCGGCGGCGGGCGGTTGAGCACGGAGAAGCATCTTGAGCTGGCGGGGAGCAGCTGGCTTTGTGCAAAGCCTCTTTGTATGAGAGTAGTAGCAGATCGCTTCAATGATACTGCCATCATCGTAGTGAAAAATCCATGCGATGGGACTTTGAATCGCAAAAAACTCACAGAGTCAATGTTCATCCGATGGTGGTGTGACGCGTTAAGACGAATACCAGCTTCAGCCACATTTTACTATCGATAACCAGATTGGCGCCACAGCCACAGCCACATATCTACAAATCACGCCTTACGGTTGACTCAACATTTGAAACTTTCAAGCTTGTGCACTAACACGCAAATGACAAACATTTCACATGTTGGATAAAGGCAATAGTTTTGGAATTTTTGACATATGGTAGCATCAAGTTTCCAAGATATACAGCTCACAATAATCAAACCATGGCAGCACTCGATCCAGGCGAAAAACACACCCTCTTCACGTCATGGGCAAGATCTCAAGGCATTGAAATCAACGGTGTGGCACCAGCGCAATTTGTCGATCGAGGAATGGGTATAGTAGCTGCCAAAGATCTAAAAGTATGCTTTCGCATTTCCATCAGAATATAGACTGCCCGCTAAATTACCAAGAAAGGGGATTGTTTAGTCCATGTACCGACACACGCACTTATCTCAGTGGCACAGGATTCTATCTACAAGATGACGTTTCCCACCAAAGTCAGCGTACATGCACGGATTGCCACGTACTTTTCTCTGTTGTCCCAAGAGAAGGAGAGTCCATATAGTTTATGGCAGGATGTCTGGCCGAGTGAAGAGGACTTTAGGGACATCATGCCAATATATTGGGCGAAAGAACTCCAGGAACTTCTTCCTCCTGCAGCAAAGAGTACGTGAAACTTTACCTAATACTTTCCAAGATTTTTCTTTTGTGTTAGAATGATAGCGATCAAAACTAACAGACTCAATAGCCATGCTTTCTACACAAAAGTCCAACCTGGAAAAAGACTGTACGACCGTTCCTCTCTATTCTCCAGCATGACTATCCAATTTCCGCTACAAAAATGAATAGGACAATATGGATCCAACTGATTCGAAAATAGACCAAACGATCCACCCCCTCTGTCCCACCATTACTCGCTCGACTTTCACCTACCACTGGATAACAACAAACACTCGAGTATTCTACTGGCTCTACCCAAACCTTCCCGCGCATTCCCCCCGTCTCCCCAAGAAATCTCGCGCGAACCTAACCGCCGACGACTGCTACGCCATGTGCCCCTTCATGGACTATTTCAACCACGCCTCAACGGGGTGCATACCGACCTCTGACGCGAAAGGCTACTCGGTGCACGCGGACCGCGACTATAAGGCCGGCGAGGAAGTCTGCGTGACGTACGGCCCGCACAGCAACGACTTCTTGCTCGTCGAGTACGGCTTCATACTCGTGGCCAACGAGTGCGATAGCGTGCCGTTGGATCACCTTGTTGTTCCGCGGCTTTCGGCTGCGCAGGTAGAGACGCTGAAGGGGGATGGGTTTTATGGGAATTATACGCTTTCGCCTGATTCTACGCCGCCTGTCTGCCATCGTACGCATGGGGTGGCGAGGTTACTTACGTTGCCCGAGCGGCGGTATTCGGCGTTTGTCGGAGGAACAGATGAAGGGAGTGCGGATCAGGGGAAGGTGGATGCGTTTCTGGTCGGCTTACTTGTGGAGTTTGAGAGAGAAATCATCGAGATTCTGGATGAGGTAGAGGGCCAGGGGGAGAAGGCTGAAGTGTTGGTGAGGAGGTGGAAGCAGGTTCAAGGGATAGTGAGGAGAGGGGTAAAAAGGTTGAGTGGAGAGATTGTTTGAAGGACAAAAAAACCTCAAGTGAGTTGTTCAGGCTTTTCAAGATGGATGTTCGATGTATGTGTATTCTGATACCTAAAAACGCTTGTCGAAGACCAAAGTGTCCTGCCTCTACCTCCACGATAGCTGTGTAGCTACGTTCTGGTGCTTCGCGCGAACGAATGCACATCACCAATCTTCAGTGCACTAGTAGGACAAGGTTATCTGTACTGAATAGTTTGGCCCTGTCGTTGAAACCAGCACTGACCAGCTGGAAGATATGTCGTGCTCTTCCACCTGCTTGACGTGCTCGCTATAACCCCACACATATGTCCCCCACGAACGGGAAACGGGAAGACTAGTACACTGCGAGATAGGCGAAAGCGAGCTTATGTTCAGTCCTAGGATCACGGCTGGACCATAAAGTATCAGATCCGGCACTGAGTATTTGATCATATTCTACTTTTCATGGGACCTTGACCATGGGACCTTGAGTTGCAATCCATACAGGGCCATCAAGCCCGTACTTAGGCGAATGCATATATTGTAATGAAATTTCATGATCGGGTTCATAAAGTCTATAACAGAGGGCATTCGATGTGTGTGACACGAACAAAAAGTTGCGGGAAAAAGGAGATTACATGACTTGTCATGTATTCAAAAGAGAAAATCACCCACGGCAACACCCGACTCATTCCACCTTGAGGTCGTTGTTGTAGTTAAAACACACTTTCCTTAGAAAGGGGTAAGGAGAAGAATTTACAACTGCTCCAAAAGACCCTCGGCCTCCAAAAGGAGGATAATCTGGTGCACTGCGGTTCTCACGTTACTTGTGGAGATGTCAACGGTGAGATCCGGCTTCTGGGGTGCCTCGTACGGGTCGTCGACGCCAGTGAAACCCTTAATTTCACCGTTCCTCGCTTTGGCGTAGATACCGCGCTTGTCAGTCTTCTCAGCGTATTCGAGTGGTGTAGCGACGTGGATAAGGTAGAAGCTGCCGGACTTCTCGACGAGTTCTCGGGCGTTCTTGCGGCTGCTCTCGAAGGGGGCAATGGGCGCGGCAATGACGGCGGCGCCAGCCCTAGTGAGCTCACCTGCGACGAACGCGATGCGACCAATGTTGGTGTTGCGGTCTTCTTGAGAGAAGCCAAGCTCGGATGAAAGTTCCGAACGAACGGTTTCACCGAGAAGAAGCGAGACAGAGCGGCCGCCTTGCTGGTTGAGCGTGACGTTGAGGGCGCGAGCAATAGCATCTTTTCCGGAGTTCTGGTATCCGGTGAGGAAGACAGTGAAACCTTGCTTGTTGCGTGGGGGGTGCGACTCGCGAAGGACGCGGACGACTTCTGGGTAGGAGAACCATTCGGGGATTTCCTGACCAGTACGGAGACGCTTACGGAGCTCAGTACCAGAGATATCGAGAGTTCGTACGCCCTGGTCGACTTCGTCCTTGGGCTTGTACTCATCGGTATCAGGGAGGTAGGTCATCATCTGGAAGGGGACAACCTCGATGCCTAGCTCATCCCTGTACTTCTCAACAGCATACTGGGCATCGTAGGGGCCGTAAAACTCCTCTCCCTTGGAGTTTTTGCCAGGACCGGCGTGGTCACGGCCGACAATGAAGTGCGTGGCACCGTGATTCTTGCGGATAATGGCGTGCCAAATGGCCTCGCGGGGACCTCCCATGCGCATAGCAAGGGGGAGGAGGGCCAGGACAGCCATTCCGTTGGGGTAACGAGGCATAAGCGCTTGGTATACACGCACGCGGGTGAAGTGGTCGATATCGCCAGGCTTCGTGAGGCCGACGACGGGGTGGATGAGGACATTGGCTTGACGGGCGCGAGCAGCACGGACGGTGAGCTCTCGGTGAGCGCGGTGCATAGGGTTACGGGTCTGGAAGGCTACAACCTTGGACCAACCGAGTTTGTCGAATTGCAGACGGAGCTCAGCGGGGGTGTCTAGTGATGATTAGTTTTGGACTACTTTCTGGAGGGGGATCGAGTCGGACGTACAGCGCGCGCCAACATAGTCGTAGTGCTCTAATCTGTCAATGGCATCGAGCTTTCCACCAACGTAGAATTCCTGTGCGGTTTCGAAGAGATACTTGACGGCAGGGTGCTCGGGGTCGCCTCCAAAGACCTCCTTTGCCTCCTTCTGCCTAGAATGTGTCAGTTGATTCCCTTTTGCTTCTAGCTACGGGAACCATACTTGTCTGGCTTGTAGACGTCCTCGACGGTAATGATGGCCAGGTTGCGGTCATCGCGGAAGTCACGTAGTGCAATGCGAGCTCCGGGCTTCACGCCCTCGCTGTCTATCGTTTGTTGCGACACATCGAGTGTGATGGGCATGCTGAAAAGGTTGCCATCGCTGAGACGGTTTTCGGAGACCACACTGTGAAAATGATCAGTAAGATTTTTTCTCGACAATTGATCACTGAGACCAGTCAACTCACCCATCATAGTCTTTCTGGTTCAAGAAGCCTGAATGCCATTCCAGTTAGCGACGGTTGGGCTGGAGGGAGTTTTCGGGGCGCTGTCGGAATGACGCGATTGCAAACAATGCAAACAGGAGGGGCGAGATCGGACCCCGCCAAAATGGAACTCAGAAACTCACCTTCCAGCGGCGAGAAACCTCCGCTAAGGATGAGTTCCAAATCGCAAAGCTGCCTCTCGCTCAGCACAATGGCGGGCAGTTTCTCAGCCTCGTTGTACAAGTCCTGTCGTCGGGGTGCGTCGCGCGCAATCAGGTCCTTGAGGACACCGCCTGGTTACCACAGGTTAGCGACTTTGTTCGCTGGCTTCCGCGTTCGAACAATGCCTTACCATGAGGTGGGTTCGCCATTCTAAAGATATGTAGCGGAAATTTCTCAGATTTCGAGGGTCAAACTTGATTATGTGAGATCCAAAGGTCAATGGCTTAATGTTGCGCAAGTAAATCTTTGGCAATTGGCGTGGGGAAAGAAGAGGATGAGGTCGTGGATTCGCAAAGTTGGCCGCAAACGTCGACTATGTAGTCTCCACAAACGACCCTTGTAGATAGTGACGGGCCGGAGGAGGTGGGGAATAGTATGGAGCAAAGTAATTAAGCCTACAGAGTTTTCCTGACGGGTCGGCGCGGATTTATACGTGTGGATGGATGCTGTACTGGCACGTCTGGCTACCACCGCTCACTGGACGTACGGCACCATCTGACTAGCTACAAACGGAGTCTTATTTAGTCGTCATTTTTCTTGGTAGCGATTGCGCAATTGCACGAGGTGAGCGGTTGCGTTCCAAGTTGCGACGTTTGTGGGCGCATGAGCTGTCTTCCATGACATATGTACACAGATTTTGTTGTTGGGATTGCGCAGAGCAAACCTTGGAACATCACCACGATATCGTAGACGAGGAACACCGTCCTCCCAATTAATATTTGATTGTTTAATTTTTGCTAGACCCAGGCTTATACCGGCGTCCAATAACTCAACCTTGATGTTTCCAAGGGAATTTTGCTATTCCCATACAATGCAGTCCCTGATATTGCCCCAACGCCAATGCTAAAATGCTACAAAAAAGACCACTCACGAGCTTTGCCGATGACGACATCCAGCCCCACGCCTAAACGGTCAAATAAGACGTGCTTCCTCAAGCTTGGACGACAACTCCTCTTCTTGTTGCTTTTTCATGCTCTCGGCAAGGAATTGCGCGTATCTTGACTTGGGGTTGTGGATACCACACTCGGTCTTCTGCTTTCCCTTCCACCTGCCAGAGCGCTCATCCTCGCCTGCGGCCACAGGCTGTGTCGAGTGCCAGTCGCCTACACTCTTGTATCCCCGGTCGAGAAGAACGTTGTAGGGAACCTTGTTGGTATCAACATACTCCTTGACCTGAGCAAAACTCCAGTTTGCCAGTGGGTTAATCTTGACCAGGCCCGAGTCGTCCACTTCGATTATGTCGAGGTCGCCACGCTTGCCGCCTTGGCTCTTCCTCCGTCCGGTGAGCACGGCCTTGACTTGGAGCTCAGAGTTGGCGCGCTGGAGTGGTTCCACCTTGGCAACATAGTCGTACATCTCATCCTTGGTCTCCCACAGCTTCTCACCATACTTGGCGTTGAAGTCTTCGACAGTCTGGCAGCCGCGGGGTTTGTAGACGTGGATGGGCGTGCCGTAGCGTCTCCGGACACGGTCGACCAGAGCAAGAGTCTCGTCAAAGTGGAATAGAGTGTCGAGAAAGATAAGATCGATGTTGTGTTTGAGCGGGCCGTCGAGTTTGGAGAGCATGTCCAGGGTGACCAAGCCAGTCAAGCCGAAGGCCGTGGTTTGGTAGAGACCAGGCAGCGATGCAATGCACCATTTCAAAACATCTACACGGGTTAGTTTGACAAAGACTACATTCAGAGCAAGGACATCGTACCCTGAGGCTCGAGCTGTTGCAGTTGGGCGTTCAAGAATTTGAGGTGCGGCTTGCTGAAGTAGATCTCAGGGAGACTCTCGTGGCTGGAAGAGCCAGAGGCGTAGCCAGACTCGTCGTCGTTGATCATGGTTGTCTTCTCGACGTATTGGGAATCGAGGATGGTCGCCATGGCCGAATCAAGAATAGGTGCCGATTCAAGTTAAGGTAGTACGTATCGATGACTATGGGGATGGGATGGAAAGCAGGAATGGAAAGGCCGTCCAGAAGGTTTAAGAAGCAAGATAGAGGAGGGAATCAGGGGACAGAGAGCAATTCCATTGCGAGATGTATTTGAGGCCGTCATCGGCATCTTGCTTGGATATCAAGGGCGAAGGTCTCATACAAGACTCGTATGGCGCAATCCGCGCTAACCAGCTCGATACAAAAGTTTTCTGGGACAAAGGTGTGATTTCGGACCAATGAAAACGGCGGCAGCGATGCGGATCCAGAATGGTCAGACGCGTTTGTGCCTGACAGAGTCTCCGCGGCTCTGTTCTGAGTAATCGCCCTGGTTACGCTGCTTGTCAATCAGCCCAGTATTCGTGGCGATGCTGTCATCAGCACGCGAACAACCACGGACAAACAGCCCATACACGTCAGAGAATGCCTGATTCCGAACATTGTCACAGGCAGTGATGTGCACTATCTCCGATGCCTTCTTGATTCAATACATATGTAATTGTCATCTTCGTTCGGAATCTCTGGCACCATGGGTACCTGTGTTCTTTGTTGGCCTGATAATCTGTGTCTGGGACCTCCAGTGATTTGGTGTTGAAACTCTTAGCATCGTTATCCCCACATGAATGCATCGTTCAAACCCTGACCGCGTTTTTGTCATCATATGCTTAGAAATGCAGCGTAGATGGTCAGAAATCAAGCATGCCGATTTCGATGTCGATGCATTGCTCGGCTGGTCGGGCGACGGCGCCGACGACCCAAATCGCCCACAATGGCGTCGTCTTTTGTGTGGCCAATGGGTAAAGTATGCAATGTTGACTGCGCCAAGTCTCGTATACAATCCGTTCACAGTGATCAGTTGACAGTTGACAGTTGTTACTTTTCACGGGGGAAAAGGCTCTTATACGGTAGTCCGGTGTCGTGAGGCCTCACAATATGATGTGTAGAATAAGCATTCGCCACTAACCTTACTGCGGCCTAGTGTCCGATCAAAAAGAAAAAATAGAGAGAGATCTAGTGCTTCCATCTAGCGAATCCAAATTAGAACACGGCAATCAAGCACGGGAGAAGGCTGGTATTACATGCTCATGAACGAGTCCGAAACTCCTGCAGGTCTTCTAAATCTCAAGGCTATTCGCATCGCGACTAAAGAGGAAGTCGTTATTACTCAACCATATGAGCCATAAGCTTCTGCTCCTCTGAGCCCAGAGTACCTGATTTTGCCATTTCCTTCCATTTCTCGAGATTCTCGTAATCTTCCGCGCTTAAATTGACTTTCAGCTGCTTGAGCAATTTGGGTGCGAATTTCCCAGTAGCGTACACAACTCCCGGATGGTATCTCGCGGTCAAGATCACAACAAGAGTGAGAAACAGCAACGGTCCGTCGTTCTTTGGCTTCTGTATTCTCCTTACCATGTCAGCAACCATGGTACTCTTGGCTTCTGCCTTTGAAGTCGTATCAAGCCCGGAAATCTCCTGCTTCTTTTCGAATCTCTCCACCGCCGACAAGACATCGGTCAGGTCTTTCTTGCCTGACAGAAGGCTGCTCTCTAGCCTCTGAGCATTCTTGGTGGTCTTGTTGCTGCGCATAAGCCCTTGCGATCGGGCTTTTGATAGAGTGTCTGGTACAAGTTCTTTTCGGATGTAGGACGACAGTAATTCGGTGAGTTGGTCGCGAAGCTTTTGGTCCTCGATGCTTTCGAGCGCTTCGTAGTGGTTTGTTTGCCGGGATACAACTCGCTTGGTCCAGAATGCGGCAAATTCAGACTCGTTCTGCGATTCTACGTGAGATATCGTGGCCCAGAAATGGTCATTTAAAGATCTCTCGAGTTTCTCATCCTTTGATAACACGATTACATCGCGTGCTAGTGCGGGTATGGCGTGGAGAATGTCTTTCATGTGGAATTTCATTTCCTTGATTGGAACGTCTCTAGAAGCTTGTTCCTTTGCTAGCGATTCGGTTGAATTGAATAATTCCTTCACACTTTCATCATAGGAAGAGGACGTGAACAATATACTCCCTACGTGGCGAAGGTTGTCCGGGAAAGGACTTGACAAACTCATGAGCCGCTCCGTTAAGCTGCTCGCAATTTTATCCGTTGTAAGTTGTGGTAACTCAGATTGGAACCAGTCCGAATGGATGTTGAGATAGCCGCTGTTCTCTTCGAGGGACGTCAGATCCAGGGCCACTCTATCTGATATGTACGGTTGTGAGATGGCATAGTGATCATCGTTGAATGCAACCGGAGAGGCTGCAAACAACTCATCGACTTCGTATGACGACGTATAGAGTGCATCGAAGCGGCTGGCAAACTCTCGTTTGTCAATGTAACGCAATGTTCCAGTTTCCAGTTCGGAGATGATTTTTTGGCTATCTTCCACGATCAACTGTCTGGACATAAATCGGATTGAATTTGCCTCTTCCGTGACAATGATTTGTGAAGTCAATGCCTCGGTTTCAAGTAATTGGTAGAAAGTCCCGCGCGTGAATGTCATTGGCGGGGCTCCGATTAGACAGGAAGAAGAGATAGTTAACGGTCTGTGATTTGTTAGCCGCCCCGCGGATTTTATGGACATATGATCCCTTACTCGAGTGTCATCAATGAAGACTTGATTTTCTCTCTTATTTCTGTGGTCAAATCTTGTTGATATGTCTCACTAACGAGGTGACCATCTATCTCATGAACACGTTCACCTAAGTCGCCTGAGCGAATCAAGGTGTCCATGCTTGACTGCGATACATTGTGGTCTTTTGAGAATAAGTTTTTGTCGACTATCTGATGGTTCAATGTGCTGCAAAGGTCTCTAACCATGGATTGGCGTTCTTCAGCGGCAATCACCATCGACTGATTCTCGCTGAGCAAGGCCAGCTGAGGACATGCCTGCACAAGATGCAGAATTACATCTTGGTCTACATCCAGCTGCGAGGCTAGTGCCGAGAAAGATACCCTGTTCTTTTCTGTTGAAAATTAGAATATTGATCAGAATCAGTCGTGCAATGACCATAGATACCTTTGGATATTATATCCTCGAAGCTTTGAAGAAGATGCGTAGCGGTTACAAAGCCTCCGCCGCTGTTTGTAAGAATCAGATCCGGTAAAAAATTGGCCGTGCCGCTCTTTCTGGATTCCAAAGGTGGAAGAGATTCGAATATATCGTGAATATCCTGATCGGAAAACATTTTGGCGGAAGCATCGCTGCCCGCGGCCACATTGCGACTCTGTAGGAGTGAGAACATCCGGGTTACGAATATTCGGAATACAATATATGAGTGGGCATGCACACTTAGAACTGGGTTGAAGTGCAGAAAGAGTCGCCGAGGCTTTTTGATGGGAATATCAATTACGTTTTCTGAATCGTTCTTTCACTGAATCATCGTCTACGGATGGTCTGCGTAAGTGTTGCACCCGCTGGACGTAGCCGAGCAAACAGGCATGGGAGTGCCCCGAATCTCTTCCGATGCGCGATTCATACGGAGCACCCTCTAACCATCTTCCCATCCCAAGCTCACCACCATTTTCATCTCCGCAAGCACCCCCATCTACGACCATCGCCATCATGTCTCAATTCCGCGCGAAGAAGCTCGATATCGGCGGCTACGTTAACATTCGCAATATCCGCGATCACACCAAACGGAAGGTGTTTGCCGAGAACGAACCGGAGCGGTATGCGCATCCCATGCCGACCAAATATCATGTCTCTAATCGTGTCTGCTCTAGAAATGCGCTCCGATACATCATTCGCAATACTACGCTCCCGCAGCGTGTCCGCGCACAGGCACAACTCGAGCTATCTAAAATGCACTGCTACACGAGGTTCACACAGGTCAAGAACAGGTGCATAATGGGAGGAAGGGGACGTGGTATTTTTAGCGACTTCCGGATGGGCAGAGTATGTTGGATTGCGATTTCTTCTCAAAATTTCAACGCTGACATTATCTGCAGTTTCAATTCCGATTGAACGCGCTGGCAGGAAACCTACCAGGTGTTAAGAAGGCAAGCTGGTAGTGCCGGGTAATCAGACTGTATTTGAACCTCGAGAGGATATATATGTATAACATGGAGCACATTGGCATTGGGTGGCGTTCAAGATGGCTGTAAATTTGCACATGTAGCAATAAAATAGCTGTTTTCAGGTCAAAAGCTCTTCCCCACGGACGCTCGTAGCGGCACTGAAGTACACTCTCTGTACAGACAAGACATGTGGTGTCGTTGCATGTCCAGACACCGCGTGGTGCATCCGGTTTGATCGACTGACAGCCCATTGAATCGTGTTTGGATGGATTACACCGACTCCGCGTCCGCTCCTGCTCTATTACAACTACGGCCGCCATCTTCGAGTCGGTCAGGTAACCTCGCCCCCCCATTCTATTACTTTCCTCATCAAGAGGAGCCACTAGCAAGCAGCTCAGGACCGCGTTTTATTTGCCTTCGCCTTCACCCTCACCCCCATCACTTGGCACATTGTACACATACAAATACCACTTTCCCGGGAGGCCGTACGCCCAGCTCTACCACGCCATAGCCCTATCGACCCGAGACTTGATTCCCTCCAATAGCTGCCATGTTTCGCCGGATGGAGGAGTCGCTGACACCTGACCCGGTCTACCCAGCCGATTTGGAGCAATTGGGGTATGTTATCCCAAGGAGGAAAAGTCAGTAAGCCTGGAGTTGCAAACTGATACGTGGACAGGTTCTTCGTCGACGACAGCGATGCTGCTTGCATTCGAAATATCCAGACCCCGGAGCTCTATTTTGACTTCCACCATACGAACAACCAGCGTCACAATGAAGTGCGCTCCGAGGCGATGCGCGGTACGTATGTTGTGGGACTTGCCTTAAAATAGTTATTGACTTGTATGCAGCTTGCATGCGGCAAGAAGTCGAAGAGCGGCTCATAGCCCTGGGACTACACCGACTGTATTTCCCAAAGCTCACGACCATCAAACCTGCAGGACCACATATGCCTATACTCGCCCCAGCCATAGAAGCCCTTAAGCAGCGAAAGCGCGTAGTTGTCCTCATCGGAGACGCCGTCTTCTCAGACCTAGGCATTCTCGCATATAGGGAGCTACAGCGAGAGGGTGGGATCAATGGTGGTTCCATCGTGAACTTTGCGAAGACCTTGGTTTCGCGCAATGACCCAATTCTACAAGAGCATCTGTTCAAAGATAGGGTTGGCGTTAACAACAAACTGGTCCCCGGTCTCATTGTCATGAATATCGCGGAGCAGCTCTACTCTCACAAACACAACAGGACGCTCACAGTCCGTGGCTGGGAGACATTGCCTCGCAAGTCCACGTTCCACGAGGCTGCAGCGATTGATGAATTGGAAAACCGGGTTGAAGGACATCGCACTGAGCAGGAGCATATCAAGACAGTGTTTGACAAAGTGATCAACAACCCCAAATACGTGGCGCCGGACTCGGAGATATACGTCATTGCCATAGAGCTTGGGGCTGCACACATGTTGGAGATTTTGAACGAATCCTGTAGGTACATCATTGTATCATTTCTTGACAACAAACTAACACGCCAAAGTCAACCAGTATGGCGCACGTATCGCAGCTATGGCCATTATCAACAACTACCGGTTCAGCAAGGAACAAATTACCAGCAAATCCTTGGAGACATTCCTCCACCAGCGAGCGAGGGAATGGAAAGTATCGGGGGACCCGAGCAAAAAGCCATCTGAGTTGATGGAGCTTCCGCAACACTACACGTCGCCGTCCGCAGATCAAGAGTACTCTGCAGCCCTTTGTCCAACTTTCCACGGAGGCGAGACGAATGTACCAGAGTGCATCTTCACCCAGGCCACCGTCCAACGCGCCATTCTAGACTTCTTCGACGAGGTGGCCGAAGCCCCAAAGACATATCGCAACCCGACGTTCACCTCTACGTCCGAGGACCAGGGAACAGATGCGCGGAAGCCAACACCTGCTGACCCTCAGCCCTTCTTCGCGCGTCGCGATCCAGACGCAATCGAACTCGTCATCGATGAGTCGGACTACCCCTTCAAAGACGCGCCCACGCCCGAACGCAGCGCCGTCGACGACGCCAAAGGTGCGCTCGAGGCAATGAAGCATGCGCTCGCGTCCACGCCCATGAGCACGCCTGCTCTCCAGGCGAGCCGTGAGCGCTTGGCGCAGCGCATCGTGCAAAAGGCGGCGGATATCGAGGAGTTGGAGAAGGAGGAGATGGTTCAGGCTGGGGAGGAGGATACGGGGGACGTGCAGGCCAATGGTGATGAGTGGATCCCCAAACCCGAGTTTAAAGGTCCTATAGTCCCCTTTGCGGGTACGGAGGTGCACAGCGAGCTTGTCGAGAATGTGGCGGGCGAGGATACAGTTCGAGATGAGCTGGCAAAGCTGGGGTTGGAGTAAAGGATGAGCGAGACATGATTTGGAGAGGACGAGGTTTGCACGAGTGAGACAGAGTGCTTGAGGCTACAGTAATATATCATATGGAAGAGGCTTCCGCCTTTTCTTCTTCTTGGTATACAAAATATGTCCAGACTACTTTGGATACTGTTTGGGTTCCTTTTATCTGGAGGCCTGAAATGTGCAAGACTTTGAAAAGTGAAGCCAGAAAACGCCAGCCAATGCATCATTTTTGGGAGGAAAAAGAGTTTCCGCTTCCCTTATTCTCCCAACGTCTTTCACGTCTTGAGCTACGTCTCCACACCTTGATCCCCCCTCCCCCTTCCTCACACATCCTTCAGCAGATCTTCCAGCTCATCGTCATCGTCCCAGCCGCCTCCACCCCTCCGGTTCACGACAATGCGACTCTCCTCCTTCTCCTGCTGCTCGGCAACGGCGCCCAGCAGATCCTTGAGCTGGTCCTCTGTGACTTTTGCGCGCAGCTGGTTGGTGCGGGCGAGCATGATGAGCCTGTTCTCGACGTCGGTGGCGCGCGACTCCTTGACGAGGCGGATGCGGCCCAGGCGGTCGGCGGCATCGGGAGTCAGGATCTGCTGGAGGATGGAGGCGCGCTGGTCGGCTTCGCGCTGCTGGCGCGAGGCTTCTTGGTCCGAGGAGGAGGCGTTGCCGCCTGAGGGGGATTGCGATTGTTGCTGGAGCTGTTGGAGGCGGGCTTTGCGGATCTGCGTTTGGGGGAGGGTGTGTTAGTGGGTGAAGCGCAGTTGGGAGATGGTGTGGAATGGGATGGGACGGGATGACGTGCCTCTTCAAGGTCCGCGTCGGCCATGGTGGTGGTGGGTTACTGTGGGCTGTGGGTTGTGGTTGTTGACGCTGCTGTTGCTATGGGTTGGAGTCAGGCAAAAAGTCGGTTGCTGTGCTGTGGTTGCGTGGGTGTGTGGTGTTTGTGCGCAGATGAGGTGGGGGTGGGGTACTTTGCTTGGGGGTATAGCCTTGTCAGTTGCAAGGTAGTGCAGAGTACCTACGTAGAGCTGCACATGGTAGCTTTCTACTCCGTTAGGTACGTGAGGGTTATGGTTTATTTGCTGTTATGCAATCCATGTTGTCTACCTAGGTGAGTGGTCGCAATACAACACAGTGCCTTAGTGAGGATAAGGTATGGGCTGAAAGGGACGGAGTGGAAGGCCCATTGGCAATGTTGATGACGGACTAGAAACAGCAGAGGATATATTGATTATTGATTAAATGGAGGGGAGAGGTATTGGATTTGGGGGCTGTGTCTCTGGTACATTGGATGGCAGCAAAACGGGAGCCAAGCTGGCATTGTTCCTTATGTTCCGGCCTCACGATTGAGCTTGAATTGCCTCAATCACGCCGGCATGCATGCACTCACACATGCATGTCTGAGCTGACTCTGTAGAATAGAGCAGATAACAGGTCAAGATGATCAATTGATAGTATAGTCGATGCACCTCGGTCTAGTTGCCATGCAGCCATGGATTCAATCGGCAACCGATGGGCCGACGTGCGGGGAGTCAGCATGCGTAATGGGAGGCGAAAAAGGTGTAAGGCTTCAGAGGATGCGTACTTGAACGGCAGACAGGTGCAGGAGGGGGAAGAGAGATAAGCGCCATTGAGTTTCAGCTTGGGAAGAAAGAGGAAGGGATACGTCGAAACACGGGGCCACAGGGACGATAATGTTTGATTTCGTCATGCAAAGCACTCAGGCAGTGAAACAGGCGCCGCCGTTGTGAGATGGATGAACGACGAGCTTCGGCTTCGCAGCTGTGACGGTGAAAAAACTCTCTGTCGTTGTTGTTGTTGTTGATGTCAATGTCGTCAGCATCTGCAAACACGGAGTGTAGGAGACTATCTACTGACTATCGTGCAGAGAGCGAGCCGGGCAGCCGCCAAGACAAGCTCGCGGCCGGTGCGTCCCTGCAGGGAAGGTGGGCAGGGCCGGATGGAGTCGAGTGGGGGCTACCAATGGGCTGGCGCTTCCATAATCCAGATCGGCTGCGGCTGCGCCTTCCAGGGCCGTCTGAGCAGGCAGGCAGGGCAGGCAAGCCAGCCAGCAATCTTGCTTCCATCTCGCTCTCTCTCTTTGCCTCTCTCGCCTTGCTGGCCGTCTTCATTTACCCATCCGCCGCCCGCTTTTCCATCCCGTCTCCCACCCTCTCTCTCTCCCTCTCCCAGACTCTTGTGCACGTTGTCCACGTCCAATTGCCTCCCTCCCCCCAAAATGTGCTACTGGTCGTGTTGATTCCTGCTGTCGTGCCCTGCTCGTCTCTGATTGTCCTGCCTGGACTTACGCTTCCGCCTCGCTGCTTGCCCTGCCGTGCTACAGCGTCTTGCGTCACTCACCACTCCTTTGTCCGCCTGAGCACACCGCGCCTCACATCTTGTTGGCTGCCACCCGGCGCCCAACAAAACCCTTTATTTCAACCATGGCCGAGTAAGTCATCAACAAACCTTGTGTGCTTGCCTCGCAACCTCATGCTTACATACTTTGCCTCTTACAGCTTTGTCTACGCTGCGCCTTTCCTGCACGCGGCCGGAACTTCGGGCACCGGCTCAGATGCTCTGTCTCGTCCTCCTCTCTCCAAGATGCGCTCTTCCACCTTGAGCACGCCCTCCAAGACCGTGACCAAATCCGTCTCCACCCCCCAGCTCAACAATTCTGCACATGACCGCGTCGACAGTGAGGTCATGAACACCATTCCCGACCCTCGTGTTTCCACACCTCAACCTGCTATTTCGCGCAACAACTCGACAGACTCCAACATGCACCCGGATCTTAGTCAAGAAGTCGCAACCCTCAGCACAAAACTCATCAACGCCATCAATCACCAGACCAACCTTGACGATACCCTTCAGCAGACTCGTCACGAGCGAGATGCTGCGCAAGAAAAGCTATCCAGGGTCGAATTACGATTGCGAGTGCACGAGGAGAAGATGTTCAAAGGCTTGGTGGTGGACAGGGTCATTTTCGACAAGATGGAGAAGCAGATGCGTATAGAGCTGGACGAGGAAAGGAAGCGAAGGACCGCCGCTGAGATCGCAAAGAGAAAAACTGACGCTGAAGTCGAGCAACTGACGGCAGCCTTGTTTGAAGAAGCTAATGTCGTGAGTGGGCACCGGGCACTGTCCTCCAAAGGGAATGTTACTAACAAGGTCAATAGATGGTAGCGGCTGCTCGAAAAGAAACCGAAGCTTCCGAGAAGCGCAACGAGCAACTGAAACAGCAACTCAACGATGCCGAAACATTGCAACTGTCTCTGCAAGAGCAACTCCAGGATCTCAAGGGAGTCATGGAGAAAATGAGCTCTCATGGCGACGACGAAAGCAACACGCTTACAACCACCACGGCGCCTTCGACTCCTGGCATATTACCGGCTGATAAGATGAGCAAGCTCTTTGACGGTGCCACTCCCAACACTCCTGGAACCGATGACGTTACTCCCGAGCATCCTTTGCACTTCTCCCATCTCATCCGCCCTGTACTCCGTTCCGACCTTACTGGCTTCAAAGAATTCCAAGACATGCTGAAAGTCAACCTACGCTCCGCCCCACCCAGTCGCGTATCGAGTGGCAACTATGGAAGCTTGAATGCGCTTGGACTCGGGTCTCTGACGAATAATTCAACCAGCTCTCTTCCGTCGGTCAAGGGGCAGAATGCTGGCGGCGCAGCAGGTGGACGCGATTCTCCCGCACCCATCATGGTAACCAACCTGAAGGACGAAAAGTTCTACAAAAGAGCTGTCTCTGAAGACATTGAGCCTACCCTTCGCCTTGACACTGCCCCTGGTCTTTCCTGGATGGCCCGTCGCAGCGTATTGAGTAGCATCACAGCAGCAACCTTGGTAGTGGAACCCAATCCACCACCACCCAAGTTCCGCGGTCCCGTATTCGGCTGCTCTCTCTGCGGCGAGTCCAGGAAGGGGGAGCAGTATTCGAGAAGGTTCAGGTTCAGGACCTCGGAAACCGACGAAACCCGGCATCCTCTTTGCGATTACTGCCTTGGTCGGGTTCGCTCGACATGTGACTACGTAAGCTTCCTGAGAATGGTGGCTGCTGGTCACTGGAGAGCGGATACCGAAGAAGAGAGACTTGCAGCATGGGAAGAGAGTGTGCGTCTCCGCGAACGAATGTTCTGGTCCCGGGTTGGAGGAGGTGTCGTGCCATCCTTTGTGCACATGCGGGAAAGTCCACGCAGCCCGACGTTCATCAATGCATCAAACAACTCCGACGGGACCAGGAAGAGTGAAGAGAGCCAGCTTTCTGATAAACCACTCGACTCGGCCGTTGACATGACTGAGCCCAAACTAAAAGACGAAGAGGACCCATTCCAATCGAAACCCAAAAACGAAACGAAAAGAGTATCAATCGGAAAGATGATCATTCGGGGTGACACGGCAACTGAGGAAGTCTTGACGAAAGAGGACGAAGAGCAGATTGAGAGGGAGGCAGAAGCACAGTTACATGAAGAGGTGCGCAAGTCTGTCGACGCCAAACTAGCGACAAGCGACGGACCAGAATCGATTGCGCTTCCAGAATCACGACCTGTGTCGCTTGCGCCAGCGCCGCCTGCATCTTCCTCTCCGAAAGAGGAGAGACTGAGTTTAACCATCCCCGGCTCTTTCAACTGAGCATCGCAACAACTACGACATGGAATCCCGTTTTCGTCGCACCGATCCAGCATCAATCATATCATACTTGTCACATAGGACATTCGCTTAATACTTGTACTACGACCGATCGAACGCCTACACATATTACCCACCATTTCATTCATAATCAACGTTTCGATTTACGATATCATTAGGGATTCCGGAATCATCATCATCAAAATCATTGGCATATTTAAAAGCGGTTAGGGTTTCCTTCAGTTTCTTTTGTTGTCCTAAATCCTGCTAGGGCTCTTCTCTTTCCTTTCTTTTTGTGCAGGATGATATACCAGGTCTCGTCGGGAAGAGCTTACGGCCTTCGGAGCCATCCACAGTCTTTGCTCTTCCTTGTTTTCTTTCTTTGCTTTCCTGTAATATATATTAATCGTCTGGTATTCGGAGTTCAAGGTTATCCTGGGTCAGGGCTGTTGCATCGACGGAATCGGTCAGTGGCAAATGGGTTGAAGAGTTGGTTGGTATAGGCTTGGATCAATAGGCATGTGGATTTTGAATTCCTTTTGCCTGCCCTCCTTCATAGAATACCCCCGAGTGGGTTTGCTCATTAGCTAGTTCAATTAAGATACATAATGTCTGCTTGCCTCTCGATGGGCAAGTTAATACATTGACTATTGTGACTCTACAAGCTGTGGGCAGACATGGTTGTGACTGCTTGCTTGCCCTCCTAGGAAGTGGTCACCGCTGTTCTGTTCGCCGCTTCAAGAAGCTCATAACAGTTGCACGCTAACAATTCTTGCTGGCCCATATTGAGTTCAAGGTCGTCGTGAGACTGCAGTGGAAATACGATTACGGGGTCGGTCAAACCCCTTTGTCATTCCTTCACCCTCGTCTTCACTTTTTCCCACCCTTCTTTCCCTTGGCAGCCGTCTCGGCGAACGAGCCATCCAGCAAAGCGTTGAACGTCTGGCTGTGAGATTTGGGAGCGCGCCCATTTCCTCTCGTAGGGATGAAGGTTTGCTGCTGCTGCTCCCCCTTCCTCTGTTGCTCCAGGCGCTTCGCCATCTTCTTAGCACGACGTTCGTCCTTGTTATACTTTGACTTGTCCTTTGTAGTCACCTTCACCCTCGGCGCGGCAGGTTCCGAGGAGCGAGGATCCAGCGCAGGGGTTTTTTCGTACTTGCTCTTCTTCTTGTCCAGCTTCTCCTTCTTGCCTCTCTTCTCCTTCTTCTCGGCCTTCTTCTCCTTCAACGCTTTCTTCCAGCCCGGCATCTCCGACTTCTTCTTGTCGTCGGCGGCACCGTCTTTGTTGTTGGGATTTTGCGATGGGCTTGTTGTTGTGGCGCCGTAGAAATCTTCGTTTTCGCTGTCGACGTGGTCGCCTTCTTCGCCGCTTCGCTGCTCCTGTTCCACAACCTCCGCCTCTTCATCGTCCTCATCGTCCTCTTCTTCGCTGGAGTCAGACTCGGAATCGGAGGAGGAGGAAGAGGAATCATCCTGCATTTCCACATCCTCGCGTTCCGCCTCCTTCTTCAACCGCGCCTGCTCAGCCAACTGCGCCTGTGCCCGGTCCTCGTCCTGCTGGTTGAATTTTTGGCTAGCCTTGATTTTCCGGAGTGACTGTTTGGCACGCTCTTTTGCATCCTTCTCTGCCTTTTCGCGCTCCGCCCTCTCGTGGTCGTACTTCTCGTTACCCGCCAAACCATGCTTTACGAACCTCGCGGCAGCTTCTTGATTGACCCTCATCCTGGGCTTCTGCTCGCCGTCTATAGCGTTCTCGGCCCGCTTGATCTTGTCGCTGTATGTCTTGAGACGCGCGAGCTCGGGCCAGACGGCGTGGTCTTTCGCGTCGGCGCCGGATGCTTGGAGCGTGTTGTAGATGAGGAACTCAATGGCGGAGGCGGTCAAAACGTTGAGTTTTGCCTTGTCGAGGAGCGGGAGCGTGGCTTGCGTGGTGCGGAGTGGGGTTTTTAAGAGCGGCGCGAGGGCGTCGGCTAGTTCGTCGATGTTGGCTGTAAAGTCTTCGACGAGTTCGGGGAGGTCGGACGGGACATCCATAGCAAGTGGATGGTTCCTCTCTCTATATGAATCTATTTGGGCGCTCGCTGGTGGAAGAGCGGTGTGCTGTCTTGTGGGGCCGGTTCCCTTTGTGTGGTTTTTTTGATGCGGGGAGTAGTATCGGAGGAGGAAAAGGTATCGCGCAAAATATTGTGTCGCTCACTTTCTTTGGGCGGGCCCAAGCTTTCTTTCCGCGCGCTAAACTTCCCTCGCGGGTCACAACGTCAATCGATCCGATCGTTTTGTAGACGACAATGTCATTTACCTACCAAGACTTTTAACTCTTCTTCTGCGATAATACTCTTTCTACCGTCTCCATCTGTTTCTTTATTTGTTAATTAATTGTAAAAAGTTTTCAACCTGTCTTTCTTCTCTTATCCTCAGCTTCTCGCCAGGCTTCGGCCTCGGATACCACACACACAAGTATGCAGCTCCGGTAGCAAATGCGCCGGCCGGGTGGCTTTTCATCAATGGAGCGCGAAGAGGCAGATTTGGAGGAGTCCAGAGAGTATGGATCCTCAGGCGAAGCAGGGCATACGGTAAGAGCCTCTCGCCTACGACTTTGTACTCTGGTGAAAGGCACACTGACTTTTGGTAGCGCATCAGAGCAAGACGAGCCCCCGAGCCTGAACGATGAAGAGGAGAGCGGTCCCCCAAAAGATACAGCCGAATTCTATCGCGCCCAACCCATTTTCAATCGACGAATCCACGTGCTGGGAACGGGCAATGTGGGCAAGTTCGTTGCGCATTCACTGCGCGGGATACCTCAAGATCCGCCACCCGTGACGCTCATATTCCATAGACACGAACATCTCACAGCTTGGGAGGAATCGCGAAAAGTTATAAATCTGATCACAGGGGGAGATAGTGTCTACCGGGAAGGTTGCGATGTGGAGCTGGCTTTTCCAAATCCCAGATATCATGGCAAGGAGATCGACCAATCCGAGCTTCGTCGCTCTGATTCATGGCCTGGGAAGTCTGACGAGCCGATCGATTCCCTCATTGTATGCACAAAGGCACCCAACGTCCTGTCAGCTCTATCTCCAATCAAGCACCGTCTGCATTCAGAATCTATAATCCTGTTCCTTCAAAACGGCATGGGCACCGTCGACGAAGTCAGCAGAGAGATATTCCCTGACCCCGCAACTAGACCTTATTACATGGTTGGAATCAATTCTCACGGTCTGCACCGTGCCGCAGACCAGTTTACGACTGTTCACGCTGGATTCGGATTGATTTCGCTCGGCATATTACCACATGAGAGGAATCGTGACCCGACAGCGCCATATGCTCCTATTCTGAAGTTCGCCCCTGGACGAAAAGCTGAACCGATAGAACCCAAGAATCCAGCAACCCCGGGCCTTTCTGCACAAGAACCTGAGCCTGTTGCTGCCCCATGGACCCCCAACCAACGATATCTTTTGCGAACTCTCCTACGAGTACCTGTCCTCGGCGCAACTGGTTTCTCGCCGCCTGACCTACTTCAAATACAGCTCGAAAAGCTCGCCGTAAACTGCATCATCAATCCACTCACAGTTCTGTTAGATGCGCGCAACGGATCAATCCTCTACAACTACTCCATTTCGCGCGTAATACGACTCCTACTTGCTGAGATATCACTCGTCATACGCTCCCTTCCCGAGCTCCAGCACATACCCAACGTCGAACAGCGCTTTGACCCAGGTCGGCTTGAAACCATAGTCGTCGGCGTTGCACACGCGACCAAGGATAACATCTCCAGCATGCTTGCCGATGTCAGAGCAGGACGCGTCACTGAGATGAACTACATCAATGGATGGATCGTGAGGAAGGGGGAGGAGCTGGGGATCAAATGTTTTATGAATTACATGATGGTGCATCTGGTTGAAGGCAAGGGTCGAATGGTGAGCGCTGAGTTGCGGGAGGGTGTTCCGTTTGTGGATGGCCCGCTTGATGCAACTGAAATACGTTTGAAGGAAGTGACAGCAACAGCGAATGAGGGTAAGGGCAACAGCGAATCAGCAACAGCGAACGCGAGGTCATTGGAAAATAGTACTGGGGAAGGACCAGATGGAAAGCCCGTAGCAAGTACGTAACACAAAGACTTTGTTTGGTAGCGCCTTCTCTCGATTGTTTGCTCAATCCCACACTACATCAGTACCCCGTCTCTCTTTCACAGTTCAACACCACTACTGTCGGCAAAATTTGACACTCAGTTGCCTCCCTCCTTTCCTTTGCTCTGCCTTCCCCATCCGCCTTTGCACGCTTCCATGAACATACACACACAACAGACGAGAAGGAAACGCATACAGGCGAACACACACGCAAACAAAATCGCCGATCTGCGCTTGCTATCACTACCTCGCGGCACCTCCATGTTCTCACTAAACAAATAACAACCATGCCTGCTTTGACAATCCAGCGCCCTGGACTCAAGTACTACGTCCAGGCGCTAACCGGAAGCTTGCATTATAGCCACGAACGGAAAGGCAAAGCAGCCTTCTGTGATGCTATCAGCGACACTGACCTCGAGGATGAGGTTTCTGAGTCTGAGGAACACGCTTACGAGCTAGCGTCGGACAGTAGAGACATCATCTTCATCAGTGCCATCGGACTGCACGTTGCGATACTAAAGAATGATGGCACACTGTTCATCTCATTCCGTGGGACCCAGGGTGGACAATATGATTGGGTGCTTGAAGGCCTCAAAATTATAGATGCACAAGGCGGAATGGCTGTGCAGACCGAATTCGCTCCCATGACCACTGCGACTAAAGGCAGAGAGGTCGCGACCCAGACGCAATCCAACGCGATGAGAGATAGCGGAACTCAAACAAAATGGTCTATCATCGGAACAGCTGCTGGGCCAGATGATAAACCTCGTGCGGAAAATGTTATTCTGAAGAAGGAGACGACCACGAACAGCCCCGAGGGAAAGACGCCATCTCTGCAGCCATCCGCTGCACTGCTCGCGAGGCGACCAAACAAAAAACGCAGACTATCACCTGAACCCCAAAATCTTGCACGATCTATACTGACTCCACCGCTACCACCACCTCCTCCTCCTCTTCCTTATCCGTTTCCGAATCACTGTTACGTGGAGTGTCTTCGCTGGCCTCCCCCGAAAAACAACAACCCCAACCCCCCGGGACGATTACACGTTGATATGCTCTCATGCAAAGCCTATTTCCAAGTCCTCACTGGCCATTCAACTCGTGCTAGAAAACACGAGATTGACCTTTCCAGTCCAACTAGTATGTCACTGATCATGTGTCAATTTCGCAATCAGTAATCACTGACGTTTCGTTCTTAGCAATTATCGAGTTCAAACCTCATTTGAGACCTCTGATTAAAGAAGGTTTCTCTTATGGGGTCACCTTGTGCATCCTGCGCGATTCAACCAAAAGTAGTGGGCGCTTCACACTCCTTCTTTCTTCCTCCAAGAAAGCCTGGGGCCACGACTGGGGAAACACGACCACGATGGAGTTCGACACACATCACATCATCTTCAACAGTCTTGTATACTGTATCGATCAAGTGTCTAAGCGACATCCGGCTCTATGCAGCCTTGAGGGAAAGACTAGGACGGATGTGAGCGATTATTTTTGTACCAACACATAATGGACTGGCATGACGCATAGCGAAGGTTCTCAAAGCGATGCACTGAGATCGCAGGGGGACTGTGAGCATTCTTGCTTACGATAGATGGCATTTTATTGCCGGGAATATGTGAGGATATGGGCCTCAGGCATCACTAGCTACTTAAGTAGTTACTCAATCATACAAATCACCACCATTGCAGTCCATACATACGTGCCAGAATATCGTATGCGATGTCGGATGTACGGAGTACGGTGTATGACTCAATCAGTATGTATTATATAACTTCTTACACGGATCACAGGATGTACGGGTAGTGTGGGGCTCTTTCTCCGCCACGGCTAGGTTACTTCGTAGAGCTTCCTCTTTTTGCTCTTGTGAAAGCCGTAAATCATTGGTTTGAGTATATGAGCTGTGCCTATCATGATACTCTAGAAATCAAAGAATGGTAAAAGATTGTATTCGAACCTTTATTTCAGGGGACCGCAGGCCCAGATTGACCCGAGTCGTCAAGATGCATGAACTATCATTACTCAATACTCTACACACCAAACCATATGGATTCCACCCAAACCCCCAGATTGACTGTAAGATACCAGACTCCCATTTCAACGCCGAACCCCCATTATGTTCTCAGTTCTGTATGATGACTATGTCGGCGTAGCTGCTGCTGCGCCGTTATTCCCACCTCCTGTAACATTCGCAACAAACTCTTGATACCTGAAAACCTCGCCTCGACCAAGTCCCCTACTGGCTTTCCCAAATGCTCTCCTACCACTGAATCCATCGACAACCATATCAATCTCTCGCTCCGTCAACCGCTGTTCCCCCGGTTCGGGGGCAGTGTGCAACAAAGCATCCTTCAACTCTCCCAGGTCAATCTGACCATCATCTCCATCGTCGAAAGCCTCAAACGCCGCATTCAGCTCGCTTGGGTGTGACAGTCCAGAAAGAAGGTCGGACAGTGTATTGAGGTACGTAGCTAGGTTGATAGAAGTAGCGCCGTTGGGAAAGTAATGCGCCAGCGTCGAAGGCGTAGCACTCAAACCAAGCTGGGAAAGCATATCCGCGACGTCTGCCGAATTCACGCTGCCGCTATTGTCGCGATCGAGGACGCTGAAGGACTCGCGCATGCTGTGGAGAAGCGGAGGTGGAATCTTGGAGAGCGCATCCGTGCTGGTGCTGCGCGCTGCCATTGCGGGTCGTGCTGGTCGCGGCTCAAGTGGTCGTGGTTCAAGCGGTTTCTCAACCTCTCGCTCGGGTAGGCGTTCAGCGGGTCGCTCCAATGGTGGCGGCGTGCTCGCACCGTCAAACTTCGCGGCGATGGAGGCTGTGGATGCGCGGAGGGTACTTTGTGTTGAAGACGAGACGTTTCGTGTAGGGGATCGCGGCACTTCGGGAGCGGTGCTGGAACCGCGTCTGGTCATCCATGGAGGGGGATTCTGCGAGGCATTGCTGGTAGCGGAGCTTCGTAGCGGGGCGGTCTGTGTGGTCTGTGTGGGTGTAGTGGGCTTAAGAGGAGAGCTGGTGGGTGTTGAGGGTTTGACAGTGGAAGGCGACTGAGCTAGCGGAGTATTGGGGCGTCGGAAGGGCGATGTGCGTGGGCTATTGAAGGAGAGTGGTGAGGGCTTGTAAGGTGTTGGCGTTGTAGGCTGGGGAATGGTTAGCCAATGCGTTTCTGTTGTAATGGATGGTGTAGATTGCCAAGTACCATGTTTACTGATTCAGATACTTTTATTGTTGGAATTGTTGAAGTACTGGGGTAAAATGGGTTGCGTGGTGTCGATGATGTCGAGGTTGACGATACTATACAGGTATGTTTGTGGTGGTGTTGACACACTGGAGGTGCCCTAGCAACGCGAGTGCAAACCAACCAAACACTTCAGGTCGGCGGTGTCCATGTCCGTCCGGTCCGCTTTCCTTGCCCGATATCGATAAGTTTTGGACCCTGGCCCCTAATCCTCCCAACCCTGGCTAACTAAGTACCCTTCGGGTTTCATTCCACTCTTCTCTCTCCACTCCGCTCATCGTGTACAAGTCCGCCATGTAACTCTGCTGGCTGCTCTGCTCTCCTCTCTCTCTGTTCTGTCAATCCACAATCATTGCACTCCTCTGCTATTAATACCCGGGGACACTGCAGCCTGCCCGCGCCATCCCGTCTCCTCAGCGCACCTCAATCCCGCATCAACAAGCATAAACCCCCCAGGCCCTGTTCAGACGAGATTCCCGGGAGGGGTTGTTTCGCGCTCGTTCCTGGTACACCACGCCATGCTCGAGAGCTTTGTATAATCCACGGTACCCGTCACAACCATGACGGAAGTCATAGCTCCGCGAACGAATGGTACCGCATCCACCGCCGCCCAATCTGGACTCCAGCGCCAGCCCTCCTTTTCTTCCTTTCCGTCGTCTCGCTCCCCCTCCGCCGTTTCTAGTCGCAACGAGGGCAGGAAGCCACGCTCCCCCCAGCCGCCCATGGTGCTCGAAGACGATGTCTCGATTGATTCGTCTGCGGACTCTTCCCTCTACCCCACAAACTCCAGAAGGGCACTCCTGCGCTCCCAATATCCCGCCAATTCCGTCGAGAATCATGTCGAATATATTCTAGTCGCCTCCTTCGACATTGACCGCGGGCCGGTTTTGGAACATCAGTATCCAGGTGCCATAAGTGGGGATGAGACCATGTTAGCCGAACTGATGCTTCCCGATCAAGCCCACGAGCGGAGTCAAGATTGGACTACCTTCTTCCTACACAAGGATACGACTGCTGAGGAAGAGGAAAAGGAAGCGCGGAGAGAAAGACGTCGCAAGCGGAGGCGGCGGAAAGAGGGTGGGGAAGATGGGGACGACTCTGTAGCTGGCGCTGATGAGGATGAATCCGAAGGCGACTTGGATTCGGAAAGTGAGGATGAGATGGGTCCGGACGGGCCTCCGCTTGTTTACGTCCTGAACTTGGTGAACACTATACTGGACGATACTAAGAAGCGGTGAGTATTCAATGCGCAATGGTGACTTCGGTCAGAGCTGACCTTTCTCAGGGGTGCTGTGGTGAAATCGATGGCTATATGTACAAGGCACTCCTTCCTCCACATCTACAAGCCGCTACTACTGCTGGCCCTGCAGGAGTATTTCAAAGCGCCCACGATCGAAACTCTAGAAATTCTATACAGTTCGTTGAATGCCATGGACCTCTCCCTGCTCCCTAAGCTATCGAATTTGGAGACGTTTGTGCTTCAAGCGACCGATGCAAAGGATATGTTTGTTGAGAAGTTCGAGCAGATGATAAGGCAGCGCAAAGCCGAGGATGCCGAACGATTGTCCGTCCCTTCGGCAAGCTCTCCATCCTCCGATCCCAAACGAAAGACGTTCGCCGTTCCTCGAGATACGCACGAGTTCGAATCCAAGGTGCTCTACAAGGGCGTGCCTGTACCCATCAAGGTCCCAACTGCTCTCAGCCCCGAGACCGTTGGTGACTTTTCCCTTATCAAGCTGATTCAAACCTTTTCAGCGCCGCATGCTTCCCAACCCCAGCCTTTTGCTCTCCATCCACATCTTACCACAAGTGGCGCCTATACCCATCCCATTATTGTCCTTGTCAATGCTCTTCTTACCCAAAAACGCATCATGTTCATCGGCTACCAGCGACCTTCAAGCGAAGTCGCCCAGGCGGTATTGGGAGCATGTGCGCTCGCATCAGGTGGTCTTCTGCGTGGGTTCGTTCGTCACGCTTTCCCATACACTGATCTGAGCAAGGTTAATGATCTGCTCAAAGTCCCTGGTTTCATCGCCGGAGTTACAAACCCTGCATTTTCCTACAAACCTGAATGGTGGGATCTGCTCTGTGATCTTCCTACGGGGCGAATGAAAATCAGCAACAAGATCGAGAATGCACAAGTGACAGATGGGCAGATGTTCTTCCAGTCGCAGGGTATACCCGTAGGCGTTTATCAGGCTGGTCCAGATAGCAAAGGTGCTGTAGATCCAACTGGCGACACGCAGTTCATGGAGCAGTTGAATCAGAGTATCGCCAATCGCCATGGCGAGAATCTCATCCGCGCAAAATGGCGCTCATGGGTCCTAAAGTTCACCCGAATCGCTGCCGCCTTCGAGGAAACCGTTTATGGCGCCTCTGCTTTATATATCGGCTCCCACGAAACCGACGTCGGCGCCTACGGTGTACAAGGCCACGGCTACGTCTGGCCTGATGAAGCCACTAAGATGCGCGAGCTCGCTGCTAATGCACATCGTATCGAGGGATGGCGGAGCACCAGAAGCTATTTCAGTTTCATCCAGGACCTCGCGTGGCACTGGGAGAAACGGCCCGTCCGCGGCATCGACCTTCATCACCAGCACGACAAACTGCGCTGCCTGAAACTCACGCAGGACCAGAGCGCGGCCATATACTTAGCGCTCGGGCGGTGCGTCGAAGAAGCCGGTATTCCAACATCCACAACCTCGACGTCCTCTGTCGATCTCCCCAGCCAAGCATCTAACTCGCTCACTATTGCAAACGACCCTGATCGCCAGCCTGGAGAGCAACTGCAATACGACACCATCCTGCAGCTCCTATGTGTAATTCCTGAGACAAATTCGGGTCTGTTCTACCTCAGTCTGGGTTTGTTCCACCCCAGGCAGGATGTCCGGATCGCTGTAGTCAAGCTGCTTGAGCGCATCATGGAGCATGCCGCTGGTAGGCACTTCTGGAGTTCGCTGGGCAGGTTTGCCAAGTTGGCGTTCTATAGAGTCAAGAGAGAGGAGGTTGCGAAGTCAAAGGATGAGAAGTAACGAATGGATATGATGATAATGATGCGATCATGAACTGTAACTTGGGTTTTACAAGATACGAAGGGAGACTCCGGGAGAGGGGGGAACGTGGACTTCACGCATGCAACGAAACGACAAGAAGAAACGTTTGGGATGTTGAAACCCCACTGGCGTGCGGCAAGAAAGATTAAATACCATTTTCGAAAGCGTTTAGAAGTCACTGTAAATTTTCAATCAATCGAGAGATCTTAACCCACATGACAATTTGGGGCATTCATTCGTTCATATTCGTTACACATTATGACTAGTTGGAAGAAAAGTAAGATTAAACAAATTGTCACAGGCGCTTCGCCATTCAAGATTGGAACAGCGTGTGTATACATGATTTGAAACCCGTTAGAGGCGAAGACACTTCACTCGTGCGACGCTCTTTCCTTCCCTCTGTCTCTCCACACGTCTCTCACAGCAACGGCAATACCCACCACAAGCAGCACCCCGTTGAATGCCGCCATCATGAAGAAAGGCGCGCCAGGGCCACTGGAATCGAACAATGCGCCTCCAGCTTTGGTAAGCAGTAAGATGCCGAACCCTCCCAGCAAGCTATACGTGCCCGCTATTGCGCCTTTGAGATGGGTATGCGACGTGGGAGCGTTAACCGGTGAAGACGATGGTCGCGAAGAAGGGAGAAGCGGTGCGTCTTCTGAGAGGGGCGTCATGGCGGGACTACGCGTCGGTGTCGCGCCGGCTGAAGGGTGACCATTGCTATACAGTGTATCATCCGCGTTGTGACTACCAGAGGCCTCATCGTTGTTGATGCCGCGACCCAGGAGTGCGAGGGAACACACAATAGCGCCGATTTGACTAATCCCAAGCAGAGATACGATGGGGAAGATGCCTCCCGAGCCATTTTCGCTCCTAGGGTCTGGACTTTGAAGGGACCCAAAAGCAGAGTAACCTACTATTCCTGCCGCGGCCGCTACAAGCAGCGGAAGATTGAATCGTCGATAACGCCCCGAGAGATAGCCGAAAAGCGGTGCACACAGAAGAGCGATGAGTTGGCTGATCCCAGTAAGCATGGCGGCCAGCTTGTACGCTTCGGCACAGTTGCGCTTGACGTCTGCCGGGTCGGAAGGGTCCGCGGGATGGCAGCGTCCTGAGTTCAGAAAGTACGTGTTTGTAAAGAGCGGGATGAAAAGCGAGATTGCTACCGACGATCCGCGTGCGACGAATCCTCCTACATAACCCAGTCCAATGGTGGGAGAAGCAAAGCCTAGACAAATGCTTTCCCAGAACAGTCGTGGATACGACAATATACGCTCATTCGGTGCGGAAGTTCCAGATTGTTTTTGCGAGTCACTATACACCAATCTTCTCCATGTTTTACCTTCCTCTCCAGGCAACTTGCGCAGTCCGAAGAAGCAGCTAATTGCGACTATGAATGCAATCGCACCAACTACGTAGAATGCATCGGCGACAGCTGTGGCAGGACTCGCGCCTGAGTTCTGGAAACGCGTTGGTAAAGGGAGGAAGATAAGGAGCGCCACCAGGGCTCCAGATCCAGTGAACATGCCAACCAAGCCAGCAAGGTGCGATGTTGAAGCTACTGTATCTTTCCTTGCGAGTGTGTTGTCATCTATTGGCGAACTGGATCGGAAGCGCGCGGGTGTAATCGTCAACTCGGAAGATATGGACGGCGTGACTACATGCGAGGTGCCGTTGGCTCGTCGGGAGGGTGATCGGGGGTCTTGAACAATCTTCACTACGGTCATGGTAGGCAAAAGAGCCGTGACCATAGTTGCCCTATAGAATCACCATTAGCCAAGTGTTCAGCCCAGCTTGCCCTCTCATCACTTACGTCGCAGTCGCACCCAGACTGAATAGCAATCTCGCAAGCAAAAGATCGGGATATACCCTTTTCGCCGTCATGAACACAAACAAGCTCAGTCCAATGATTGAGTACCCGCAGACGACCACTGTCCTCACACCCACCCTGTCGCTTAGCAATCCCCACGCAGGACAAGCTACGAGTGCGACGAGTTCGTCGGCAAAGCCCAGTGTACCGACTGCATCGCCGACGTGATGGGACTGTCCGATGCGTTGCGTGATCACAAAGGAGATGCTGCTGTTCAGGAAGACGAGGAACGATATGCTGAAGAGCGCCACGCCAAACAAGTAGGTTGCGATCTGCGTGCGCGTTGCCGTGAAGCCGAGCATTATGGCGGAAATGAAGGATCAATGGACGAATCCGCGATGGATGTGACGAGCGCTGCTCAAAAGAGCGTGCCAATCGCAGTTTCAACACGGGCGCATGGAGAGGTTACGAGGACGGTGGTGTTTGCTTTCACGAGCTTGGTGTTCGTCGGAACCTATGACGATTAGTACGAGCAAGCGTGGCCTTATGTGCGGCTAAGGTTGTAACATCAAACTTAACGCAGCCACCAGCCACAAACGCACTGCCACTCCATGTATAATCGACCTCTGATTAAGAGCGTGCACATGTAGTCGGAATTTCTCGAATGCATTTTGTAAGTGCATTTCGATTTCACTCAGAATACCTGGTCTATCATCTGCAACTTTGAATGCGACACAGCTTGTCGCTGTTGCAAGTGAATTCAGTCCGTCACGAGTTCCTGGTTGCCTTACGGCCTTCAGATGTTCGGGCAAACATATCGACCTCAAGAATACAACTCCTGTCGAACATGAATACTGTTACAAGCTCGTGAATTCAGCTCTGTCATGTCCGAGATTGAACAACATCCACCAAACCTATCTGCACATTCCAAGCTGCCTTCGTTCGGTTTCTATTCTCTGTCAAGCAATTCATCGAATGAATTTGGCAAATACCAAGTATTTACCTTGATGTAGATAGCTTTATGTCTCTGCTAGACCATATCTCATTGTTTCTTTGACATAGTTGAAATTCTTCGCCCGTGAATGACGTTTGTATGCCAAATGATTAGTTGATATGAAATTGTAAACGGTATCCAATTCAAAGATAGTAGGTTACACCGCGCTATTTACCGACGGAGGCAATGACCAATATGTGACCCTCTCATTACGGGATCCCGCTTGGAGCTTGAATGTTTGAAAATCTATATCTCGTGGTCCGTGGCTTGTAACCTGAGGTAAGAGCACTTCCCTCCCAAGATTCGCACCTCCCGACTCTCACCCACCAACCCTTCCACTGAATCTCCATACCATCTTCTTCTAGGCCCCGGTTCTCGGAAAACTCGCTTCAGAACGGCGGGAAAAAAACGGCAGAAAAACATGCTCAACGAAAATTCGAACCAGACGCTGGTGGGAATTGTCCGCACTATGTCGTCAGCTTCCCAGGCCTATGCACTCATACCGTTGGCTGCTGCCCTTTTGTCAGCCGCTATCTTCACCGCCGCCATTCAATTATCATACCAGGCTCGAATACTCGCCGTGCCATTCATGATTAGCGCAGCAATCCTGTCGATATGCACAAATTCATATCTCGAACCAATCCCACACGGGCCCGAAACCCTGTCCCAATTAATATGTTTCTGGGTCCACCACGCGCTCGTAACCCTCCTCATCGAACCAGTCTTCATCCCAACAAACTTGCCTCGAGAGCAGCGGCGTCGTTTCATTCGTAAGATATGGAACGATCCTCGGCGCTTGACCACCTTGGAGGCATGTGAAAAGACAAAAGGGTCCATGACGAGGACAAGGTTTCTTATGGGAGCTATACAGCGACTGGGTCTATACCTTGTCCTGCATAGATTCTTCGCAGTCATAAATGTGTTGGTTGGCCCTGATCAACTCACGGCTGATGATTTCTCACCACAGCGCCGAGCGCTTCTACGCCGGGTTCTTACTCTTAACCCCGTTACACCCGTCACACTGAGGGAGCTCCATATTCGAGCTTGGATGTCTGTGGAGTGGATATGGTTTTCCTATCTTAAGCTCAACACGTACAATGTTGTGGCATCCATCATCTTCGTTGCAATTCTGCGATTCGATTCACCAGAGGAATGGCCTCCTTTGTTTGGCAGTCCACTGGAAGCCTACAGCATTCAGCGATTTTGGGGGAAGTTTTGGTAAGTATTTTGAATCGGACCGTGTAGTCCATTCCATCGGGGCCTTACTTGATGCTCACAGCCTATGCCACAACCTCTAGGCATCCACTTCTGAGACATCCCTGTGCCGCTTCGGGTCGGCTTATCTCGAGAAAGGTATTTCGGTTTCACCCACGCTCGCGATACGAAAAGACATGGCTCGCATTCTGGACGTTTTTCATATCTGGCGTAAATCATGCCATCGCGGCCCGAGCAATTGGGTGCGGAGGCACCCTGGCAGATTCCATAAGATTCCGCATGTCAAATTTCGCAGCCGGAGCTATGGAAACGATCATAGGCCCAGTCCTAGAACAGGTGATACTTGTTCACCAGGATCGAGCTTTTGGTAGGGTTTTGGTAAGCCGTTCCGCGAGGAAGATCTTTGGTTACACGTGGGTTTTTGCAGTGTTCTTTTGGATCAAGCCCCAGGAGCGATATGCGAAACTCTACGCCAATCTTGAATGACCCAGGGAGACTTCAGTATTTCAGGAGCAACCATATGGGCACTGATGGCGCAGCTTCCTCTCGGTAACCCACTCTTGGGAATTGCATAAGGATAGATATAATTAACGGTAGAATGAAGGGGAGTGTAAGATGGAATGCCGTACTTTATGTTTGGCTGGCCAACTAAATCAAGTAATTCAAGCCCCACATCTATCATATTCTAACAACTTCTTTTCATACCTCCATTGCTTTCTGGTCTCATCATACCACCCACACTCTATTTCAACTTTCGTAGTCAACTTATCGATATCGAAATGAACGGAATTCACCAACTTCTCCTGGTCAATTGAGTCCAACTCGTTCAGATCTGGCATGGAATCCTCCAATACGATTCTCTTGACCAAGTCCTGAGCCATTTTTCCCGCAATACAAAACGGCAAACTCGAAACATCCTTGTCTCGTTGACCCATGTCGAGCGTCTCGAGGTTGGCTGGTGGAATGTGCGATGGAAAGGTATTCCCCTCCTCAAGATTGATCAGGTACTCGGCAACGCAAGATAAGATGGTACTATCCCAGACGCCCTCCCTACCAGCGCACTTGAGCAACCCCAGTGCGCATTTCCGTAGTAGGCTGTGTCGAAGTTTTGTGGCAATATAGTACAAAGCTTCCACAATGCTGCTTTCGAGGCTGAAGTAGTGCTCGCTTTGCGTTTTTGGTAGGTAGACCGGATCGAGTTCTGCATTGCGTCGTTTGAGGATGATGAAAGCATAGCAAAGCATGGCGGAGAAACTTCGTATGCTGTCAGGTGTAGAGTATATAGACTCATTTGAGCACAATGTGACAGATAGCTTAAGGGTGGTGAGGTGGTATATGAGAAGGAGATGTGCTTCCATCGATGTTGGTTCCGTGTTGATAGCGAGCCAATGAAATTCAGGGTCTTTTCCTTCGTGGTATTTGCGTTTCCATTGTCGAAGTGTGTTTAAGAGTTCTGTTTGCGTTGCGTATAGCTCTTCTGGCGGATTGGGTGAGTACCTCCATGGCGCGGCGAAGTAATGTATCCAATACAAATCTCGTCTGAGTAGTTGATGCAATCTCACAGCAGGTTCGTCTGGAAACGGTTGCGCCAGTTGAAGCATCTCGTATCTAATATGGTCCTCACGAGACATTGCACTCAGGCGTCGTGCATGATGTCGCTTTGGGAGCAAGGAAAGAAGCTGCATGTCCATTCTTGAAAAGACGGCGAGCAGGGATTTCGCGCAGGGGTTGAGTGGGAACACAGTGGATAACGACCCGACTGAACAACAGCACGAGGTAGGGCTGCTGTGGTCGCACGATTCAAGAGGGGTATTCTTCAGGTGGCTTTCGAAAAGGTATGTTTGAAAAAGAGCAAGGCCGGAGGCGATGTGGCGTGATGCAGTGTCGAAATTGCCTAGCAGTATTTCAATGGTAAAGAATACGACGCAAGCGACCAGGATCTCGTCTGTGACTGCACTTCGATACTTCCTTGTCTCTTTGGGGGGCCGTGATGCTAATTCGACCAGATGTTTGGTACTTTTGACAGCGATGGAATATTGGCGCCAACATTGTTCGTCAGATATCTGGCTGGAAGGAATGCTAAACTTCTCGTGAAAGCCCGCCAAGGCCACCACAGCGTGTTGAAGAGCTGGGCTGGTAGCACATACACTGAGAATGTGTTCCTGCCAGATAGAGCATTCCAAGGGCCCCGTTAGGTCGATTGCTGAGCGGTGTATAAAGTAATGAAACGCTCGACCCGGTAAGTGGTCTGTAGTGGACCCAATAGAGAACAGGGGCAAGAAGATGCGCTCGATATGAGGGGGGTCTACGGTTGGCCAAAGGTCGTCAAGGTCCACTGACACAGCTCCACCCGACATCAATTTCCCCAATGAGGGTGTGTCCAGCGCCTGTTCGGTCACTTGGCCGTGAGTGGATGACCTCACAGGTTCCGATGTTTGAGATTTAGTGTCTTCTGCATAACCGTCGCATTTCCTCCCAGTCGAAGTACATCTCCTACAAGCAGGATGGATTTCATCGCACTTGACACGACGTATCCTACCTTTCGTTAGTTCACCCGGTTGCTGCATATGACCATGAACCCAAACCTTAGAATTTACTTACTTACACGTGAGACAGCCTGTTTTCTTCTTTGGCGTTTTCCGTCGAACTCTAGGCTTACCCCTCACAGAATCGTTGAAGTCTACCATCGTGCATGCATTCAAGGAAATGTAAAGGACCTGAGATGTTATACGAAGGGAAGTCTAATACTCCGATTATGCTAGCGCGTTAATGTGATTGGCCGGCTCGTATAGCATCTAGAACTGACGCTAGGCAAATGAAGGATTGGCTTCCAACCTATTCTTAGTATTAGAGTGCTCACGCGGATTTTAAGAGCGCCGGAGTGATATCACACAATATTGGGATGTTAGGAATCTTTGAACGTATCCAAGTTTGGAGAAGATTTGGCTATGATAAACAATATGGTTCGATTACACATAGCATACTGACTTAGGGTGTCAACATGGGTTTTAGGAATACCGTTACTTCAGTCTTCCAAACTCGACTTTCAAATCCGTGTTGCCATTGTCGTCGAGGATCTTGTTGCGATCCCATTCTCTTTTTTCCCCTTTGGCCGCCCAAATGACGTCTTCTTCGGTCTTCTCATCGCCATTCTCCCACTTTTTGATTTGTGCATCAGTGAACCCGGCTTCTCTGAGTCTGTCTCCTCCCATTCTTTTCCACTTCTGCCGGTCCCTATAAGCTTCTACTGTGTCCCCGAACTTATCTTCGGTGTCGGGGCCCAACAGCATTTCATTCGATGGGTCATAGGTGGACGAAAAACGAGCGTCGATCCCCATGGAGTGTGCTTTATGGGCGCCACGACCACGAGTACGAAGAGGTGGCTGTTCAGAAGGTGGCAGAGGGCCCACTATTGCTTCCAGCGGATCGGAGTCAGATGCAGAAGAATAAGAGCGACGTGCTGAATTTCTTTTCCCAAGGTCCAGTTCCTCATCTAGCTTTCTAGCTGGATATGCTGATCTTCTCGGCGAGCGCGATCTGCTTCGACGTCGGTGCGATACCCTATGGCTTCTTGTGCGCGGCGAAGACGACCTTGTGGGTGAATTTGATCTAGAGCGTGACCTACGCCGTCGCCGTGATCGTTCGGTGTGTTCTTTCCTACGTGAGCGGTTATGTTCTTCCTCGCTACTATAGTCACGCCGATGCCTCCGTTCTCTCCGGTGGTGATGGTGATCCCTGGAGCGCTTTGAATCACCATGGCCCTTGTCGACATCGTTGTTACGAGACTCTCTTCTTCTTGTTGAACGTTCACGATCATGCTCCTTATCTCTGCTATGCTTATCGGTTCTTTTACTCCGCCGCGCCTCTTGTTTGGTTTCTTCGTCGCTGTCGCGATGCCTTCTCTTCCTCCGGTGTCGTTCGTCGAGAGGTGGTGTGATGCTTCTATATCTTATTGGCGATTCTCGCTCGGATCTTTGATGAGGCCTGTTTCCACGATCCAGTTTGTTTAACCGTGCTCGCGAATCCTCGGCTTCTTTGGCCAGTAATGCTGCATTATGGCTGTCTGTCTGACGGATGATGTGTCGGAGGAAGCCGGTATTTGGTTTAGGTGCGCCAGATCGTGGCCTTCAAAAATTAGCTATCGTTCTGTCGTATGACTAGACAGGGTGCGTTCGTACATTCAGACGACAAGGTCCATGATCGGAAGACAGGCTGATGTCAAGACGCACCTTTTCGGGTTGAAGGCATCTACGCCCACCAGCTCATACTTCTTTGCGGCATTCTTGGCATCCGCTTTGAGAAGACTAACCACGTAGTCGTCATCATTAAGATTTCCGGAAGGCATGGTGGGTTTGTCTGTTCAGGTTGGGTGCAACTTGCAGATCCAGCAATCTAGCCAATGCTAACTGACGAAACTCCGCAAAACCGCGCTAGACGAAAAGCGGTAGTGATCATCGTAGCCTCCGCGACCCGCGAACCAAAACAAACATCCCGCATTCTCAGGAAAAACCATCAACACCATCATGGCTCCCCGGAGGAAATCCCAAACTCCTACCCCCGATTCGGTATTGCAACAGCTGAAGAAACCGCAATCTCTCAAGTTGCTTGCAATAGCAGAAACTTTGTCACCCAAAGACATTCCACAAGCGCAGAAGCGAAGCTCAGCAGTTTCCGATGATAGCGAGCAAAATGGAGATACACATCCTGTGGCGTTAGAAGCAGATTTAAGGCATTACAAAGTATGTACGCTTGCAAAATGCCGCACTGAACAAAATTTTGACGTGGTCCCAGGAGCTATTCAGCAAGCTGCGATTCAGCTACGTCGAACAAGTCACCAAAGAGAAATTCTTGCGTGGCATCACTGAGAATCCCCCACGTCTTGTCGAAGCATCCGAGAACGAAGAAAAGGAGAAAGAGATTTTAGCGCAGAAGTCCAGCCTCAAGGAACACAAGTTGGAAATCGCAGAGATACTGAGGCAACTAGAAGAAAAGGGACGAGAGTTAGCATTCCGATATGAGGGCGTGCAACTGCGCACGCAGCTATTGGAAACCTTGCCTACGGAGATCGAAGGACTTGAAGAAAATATCGAGAAATTAAAGCAGGAGCAAGCGCCTCCTTCCAACAACCCCGAGCTCGCTATGCCTTTGCCGGAAACCATGACGCTAGTCCAACAGCGCGAGGCTGAACTTGCTGCACTGAACGTCCAGCTCTCAAAGCTTCAGTCTTCGCTGCCCAATCGATCGCGTGAGTTGGAGAAGCTGGAACGCGAATTGAAGCCATTAGAAACACAGAAACAAGGAACGGTTGCGGCAGCAAAAGAGGCAAGACGGAGGAGAGAGGAAGGTGGCGGGATTGGCGACGAGCTCGAGGAACGAGGCCGATGGCTCAGAGCTTCTGAGAAGGCATTGAAAGACATGCTGGAGGTCGAAGGATGATCGACATTCTATTTGTGGACTTGGAGTTTTAGGATGGGCGGGGTTTACAAGATACCAAGGGTCCGGGGTCAATGTTATGAATTCTTTTCCGGTGCTTTATGACGTTCGGTCTGCGTTTCTTCTTTTCCGTACAAGTTGAAAAGTGACCTGAGACAGTTGAGGCATTCACGGGATACCTAATCCGATCATCCCCGCGTAAACACGGCGGGGACCCCGCAGAGGATACCTGAACACGGGACATGTGATTGGCGTATCGTTCGACTTTCCCGTCGCAACTCGGTAAAGTTGCCCTCGATAGGTACCATTCCCAACAACGTACAGCTATCCTTCAACGTATGCACTTGCTCTTCCCAGTTGAGCCACTTGAGAAAAGAATCCAGGCGGATCTCACTGCGGGACCATCACCATGGTTGAATGTTGTGCGTGCATATATAAACGGGCACTCAATTCCCCGTCATTACCGCGGATAACCTGAATCCAGTTTCATCATTCAACGGCTTGCCAATATGGTGTACGATTCTGAAATCCTCATAATTGGGGCCGGTATGTCGGGTCTTGGTCTCGCCGTCCAGCTAATTCGAAAATATGGCATTCGAAATTTTGAATTGGTCGAAAAGACTGACGATGTGGGAGGAACCTGGTTTCAGAACAAGTACCCCGGATGCGGTTGTGATGTACCTGTTACCACCTCATGCTCCTGCTTTCCTAATGCTAACAAAGTCAACGGTTAGGTTGCTTCCCACTTCTACTCATACTCGTTTGCCCTTAATCCTAACTGGACTCGCAAGTATTCTATGCAGCCCGAAATCCATGCATATTTTCGATCAGTCGCGGAGCAATACCACATTGTGGAGCACATTCGCTTCCATACTGTGGTTGAGAAAGCAGAGTGGGATAACCAAGATAAGACTTGGGTAGTCACATTGTTTGATCTGGAATCGAAAACCTACAGAACACGTCGAACAAAGATACTTGTGAGTGCAGTGGGTGCACTGAGTGTCCCCAAAGAATGTCACATCCCGGGCAAAGATAACTTCCGGGGACTCATGTTCCACTCTGCTAATTGGGATTGGACATTTGATTGGAAAGAAAAAGATGTCGTCGTTCTTGGTATGCCAGCCCCAGAAAGCCACTCGAGGAATCGTCAATTGCCCGTGTCAAAGCTGACGATGCTAGGAAATGGCTGCTCGGCAACTCAGTTCCTGCCCATTATGGCATCTACCACCCCGGTTCGAAAGGTTACTCAATTCTCGCAACAGGCGCAATATCTTTCGGAGCGTGAAAACCCATACTACAGCTCTGCTTTCAAGGCAACTATGCGTGATGTTCCCTTGGCCATGCGAATCTACCGCGCCGTTCTCTACTATCAGATGGAACGAGACTATGCTGGCTTTCCGATAGAGGGCGGCAAGACAATCCGAGAAGAGTTGAAGCGAGAGAACGAGAGATACGTCAAAACAACAGCCCCAAAGCGATATTGGGAGGCACTCATTCCGAAGACGGAAATTGGATGCAAAAGAAAGGTGCTGGATACAGATTATCTGGCAAGTTTACACAAAGACAACGTGGAGTTGGTCCATGACGACCCTGTTGAAGAGATCACAGAGAATGGGGTTAAGACTCGATCCGGAAGGGAAATAAGAGCTGACGCCATTGTCCTCGCTATCGGCTTCGCAACGCAGCAGATGCTGTTTCCTATGCAGATTGTAGGAAGAAAAGGAGTGAGTCTGAACGAATACTGGGATACTACCACCCAATCAGTAGCACAAGCCTATCTCGGTACCTGCGTCCCGTCCTTCCCAAACTTTTTCATTCTCATGGGACCAAACACCACCACCGGTCACTTGAGCGTTATCTATACTGTCGAGTGCCAGATCAATTTCATTCTTCGGCTTATCGATTCCCTTGTTCGCTCTCTTCCATCTTATCGTACGCGTCTCCTCCCGTCTCTGACGCCCTCGTTTCTCCGACCCGCGCCTAGAACCATCGAGGTTACCCGCGAAGCTGCTCAACGTGATAGCGCATGGACACAAAAGGAAGCTCGGAAGTTGGTGTGGAATAGCGGATGTGTGAACTGGGCGGTAGACCAGAAGACTGGATTGAACAATATGATGTACCCCGACTGGCAGTATCTATTCTGGCTAAGGAGTGTGTTTTGGAAGAAGTCAGACTTTGAGTACAGAGACGAGAAGACTGGAGTGGTGGTGAGTAGGAGCAGTTCAGGTCTGCTGAGTCTTGCTGGCTTGATGGCAGTCTCATTAATGGTTGGGAGCGCAGTGTGGGGAGGGGAAGGGGTGACAGAAGGTTGGATCACCAAGTTCCGTTCCAGAGGATTAAAATAGTGGTTGACTTGGATAATTGCAGACATACCTAATAAGCACATTTAGCTGTGTAGAGCGAATCACAAACATGTCACGAAGCGCATGAGATACTTGAAAGTGGGGGTTTAATGTATCATTGGCAAGTACCAAGTGACTGCCAACATTCTATCAAATTTTTTTGTGATATTCTCATGATTATTCCATATTCTCCGACTTGACGATGACGATCGTATCAGACTTTCCTTCCAAGTCTCTCTCAAACACTTGGTCCTTGAAATCAACCTTCTCATAATCCTCCCATCATGCGAAAACGACACTAGTGCTATGTTGTCATCTCTGCAGTGTTTAATGATTGAATCCACACTCCTTCCAATCGACCACCGTAAAGAAAATGAGATATTTGATCGCTTTGCTCCGAGAAGATATTCCCCCAATTGAGAACCCTTAGCGTCGTTGCTTTGTTCCACGCGACTCCGGGACACGGGATTGACCATTGACTGGACCTCCATGGAAAAGATCCTCATCACCGGACGAAGTGTACTTGTTATCCTCCATCGTTGGCATATTGTATGTGTAGTTTTGAAAGACCGGAACTACCCTCTCTGCACGCTGAACATGCGGCTTGACCTGGTCGTCTTTCTCGGGGTGTCCAGCTGGTTTCGAAGAGGCCGGGTTGTAAACGGACTGAGACAGGGTCGGGTATATCAATTGAGTGTCCTTGCCTGGAGTACGAGGCTTTGATTCAAGCTGCGGGGCTTGACGAACCGTCTCGGACTGCGCTTGGGATGGGTCCGTTGATTGATTGTGGCTGGGCTTAGACTCGGGCTCGCGCTCTTCTTTGTGCTTTGAGCGTCGTGGGCGGCGTTCATAGGCTTCGCGCAACTTTTGCAATTTTGGATTTGCCGACACGTTATCCTTATATTCGGCGTACGAGTGCCTTGAGATAGGAATACCAAGCGCTCTGAGTCGAGCTCTCCAATCCATACTCGAGAGATCGTTGTTGTTGCTCTCGTGAAGATGGGTAGAAAACATCTCCGCTGCAGACGCCGGCATGGGGGACTCGGCGGGCGGCATCGATGAAGCATCGGCGCTGGCCGTCGTTGTTGTGGTGTTGAGGTTGACGATATCTTGGGCCTCAGCACCGGCGACACCGTTGAGTTGACGGTGCAATTCGATTTCCTTCTGGTGCTGCATCTCGAGGAATAGGAGTTGTTGATCGCGAGCGTATTCTTCGATGGCGTTCTTGCGTTGGGCTTCAAAGATCAGGCGCTCTTGCTCCTGTGCATACTGCTGCTGGAGTCGCTCCGTTTTGAGTTCTTCTTGACGTTCCGCTTCGAGAAGCATTTGCTCCTGCTCTTTGATGTAATACTGTCGTTGCTCTTCGATGTAATACTGTCGTTGCTCTTCGATGTAATACTGTCGTTGCTCTTCGATGTAATACTGTTGTTGCTCTTCCACCCAGCGCTCTGCATTTGTCTTCGCTGCCCTGATCTCTTCGCTCTTGCGCCTTTGGCGACGGCCAGAATTGGTCGCGAATGTATCATCGGCGGCTCGCTTTTTGCTAACCTTAAGCTCTTGACCCTGTTGAGTGGGTGTTTTGCTCTCTTGGCCCTGCTGAGCGGGTGGTTTGATCTCTTGGCCCTTCGTGACCTCCGAGTCTCTTCCTTTCATAACCTTCTCCACTTCGAATGTGGTGAGGTAGATCTCTGCTAGTAGACCACTTATCATGGCTGGACTAGCCCCGATGATATCCCACCTCAATCCTTTGATGCCTTTGTACGGAGAAGTCACATACAAGTCTTTGACGAAGGTATCGTAGTCCACCGCAGTGAGTGGGCCCTTTGCCAATCGGGCTATGATCTCCTTCTGCATTGCTTTTTTCCGACCCAGCTTGATGGATTGATCGAGCGGAGCGACCAGAGAAGCGTTATTCAGCGCATCATATTGTTGTAGCAGCCAATCGTAGAAGAAGCCCTTGCTGTAACGGGCAGACGCAATGATGGGTGACCTTGGACTGTTGAAGGAGTTTTGAAGACGTACTCTAAGCAATCCGTGGGCGTCTTGAATCTTGTGGAGAAGCGCGTAGTATAGGTGCTCGTAGTCTGCAAGTGGTCGCAGTATGGGTGGTGTAGGAGCTTGCGGGCCCATACGCGTGGCGACTTTCTTTTTGTTGATTCGAACGGATTTCAGTGGCGATGGTGCAAGATAACCGTCCCGCAGACGTGTGAACAGAGTCTCGAGCGAAGGCATGTACGGGTCTTTGTCGAGGGTTCCAAAGATGCCGGGTTGGGACAAGATGTCAAGAAGATCGGCCGCGGTACTGAGAAGGATTCTCTTGACCTGATCATCGGGAACCATATCAGCCAATTGGCATGTATCAACTTCTTCTTGCGTGATTGCCCGTGGCAGCAATGGCAGATCCGACATGTCCGCCATGCTTGCGTGGGGCGAGTGGGCAAAGACTTCAAACGAAAACAAGATATTTCTCCGAGGTGACCGTCAATGGCAAAAGAGAGGAGGATTCAATCAAAGACTTGGATGGAGTAGCAAAAGAACTTGCCGCTCGAGACAAGAGAAGTCTCTACCAGCGAGGGCATACCTAGTCTTGGCATGAGGTGCTAGTCAACGAGGAGGAAAGTGAGGTGAGCAGCCCTTCACCTACGCAGCCGCTTGGCTCTCACCAACGTTTTTTCCTATTGTATGACGCAACAATACAAATCAGCGGCAAACAATAGGAGCCTGCAGTCCTGGCGCGCGCCCGATAGCCACCCCCGTGTTATTGAGAGCATATTGTATCCAGGCAGCAAACCCATCTACTCTTCGGTTAGGCAACACAGAAATGAGGCCAGAAATTTGGCTAATCTTATCAATCTCGGTATCCCTGGAATTACATTTTCATGATATTGGGTGTTGATAGCGCGTGCGACACGATGCGCAAACCCACAGCTGCTTTTACATGTAAGCAGGATCAACTTCGATAATCAATTCTCCGTTGAGATCTTTCATAGGCGGTTTCGGCAGTACAATCTCCGGTATGTGCCATATATCGTTGTTCATCAGATCGATGGTTTCGCTGCTCGTTCCATACGTTCCCTGGAGAGATAGAAACTGCTTTTATGTTAGCACGTGCAACCCCACGAACCCGTATCACAGCCGAACATGCTTACCTGCAAGCTCCTTAATCCTCCAATGACATCTATTGCAAGCTCTCCAAGCTGACCACCACATCCCATGATACCCAGTATATGCAGGGAGGCGCTTCCTTTCCATCCGCTCCCGAGCCAGTCCCACATCTCTTCTCCAATAGATCTGCACCTGGAAAGCCACAGCTCACGACACCAACGACTTCTAGCGAGTAACTGCGACAGTTGTTTTGTGCTTACTTCCCCACCTTCGATACGCAAAGCTTCAAGACGAGGTGCCCATGCCGCCGTATCAGTCAATATTTCCCAGGCCACGCGCTGCTCCGCCTGCTGACTGGCCCTCCCACTTCTCGAGGTGGCGCGCATGTAAGGCGAGTCCTCGATTCGAATCGACAACACCCTCAATGCCCGAAGCCTGGCTATGGACCTCGCAATTGGGCTCGTGAGGGTGCACAGAGACAAGTCTAGATTCCGTAACGTACCACCGTGCCGGGTCAAGATGCTTTTCGTGAGCGCGGCATCAAAGCTGATCAGTGTTGGATAATCGTATGTCCCCGCATCCGGAATCAAAACAGACACCATATATGGATCGTTTTCAATGTCGTCTTCCGGATAGTAGTCGCTTCCGATACTGGACCTTCGGCTACTACAGGCTTTACTCGCAGAACTGGACGATTGGCTTGCAGCTTGGAAAAAAGATTTGGAGTGTTTGGGCTGCGGGTATTGCGTCTTAGCTAGTTTGCTGAGCATGGCAGACATGTGAGTTTGGTGTACACCTAGCGAAAGGGTGTGTAGACTGGATTTTGCAAGTTGTTGGGAGTACTGAGAGGTCTGGCCGAATCTTAGGAGCGCTTGGACTGGAAGGAAGTTGAGAATGTGTATGAGAAGTTCAGGTGGACAATCCATGAGTGAGGAAGACATGATTGGATAGATTGAAGAATATTAGAACTAGAAAAGGATGTGTGCAACGAACTTGGGGTAATGTAAGCGTTGAGTTGCGCCCTGGAGATTACTGAAGAGAAAAAAGAAAAGAAAAGAAGAGGTGCACCTGTGGGTTTTATATAGCTGTGGATTGCAAGGCAAGGCAAGGCAACCTACATTTTTCTGGACATCGAGGGCACCATACAAGAAGCAGTGCCATAAAGGTCGATTGCTCATTCCATTTTCTTTGGGTAAAAAACGCGTCATGCTCAAGCAAGTATAGCGTCACACAAATGAGCATATGAGCCAACTTGTTCGAATCAGACCAATACTCTACCAATAGGTGGCTATGTATGATTGCTTCAAGAGTTATAGATCTGCCTAGATCCACACGGAGGACGGAATGGGGTGTGTCATGTTGGTGTGGCTTTGGCTGCACATGTCGTTCTACGCCGCCCTGTATACCGTCAGAACTGTTTCCAGGCAGCCTAAGCGAATACATAACGATCAAATAATAATGCTTCGCCTAGTAAAATTCTCCTCGTGTCTCAACGAAGACCTGGGGGATGAATCACAGGTCATGGATATGACATACGATGAACCATGGTAAAGAACCAGGGTCGGGGCGGCTGCCATTCTGCCTTGTGAGTTCCTAGGCTGTATCGCCGGAAAGTGATTCTCAGTACTAGCGGATTTTGCAGCGACTCTGCATACTTTGCGACACTCTATGTCTTCATCTCCTCGAGCATTGGACTGTGCCACTGTTTACCGCCGCCAAGTTTCTAGCGAACGGAAGCAGTGAGAGCTCTCGGAACAGAGGAGGAGGCTCAGCTTTACAAGCCAGGCGCAGCTGAAAATAAAGTCTGCGGAGGGCGTAGCTACCAGCGCGTTGGGATGATGGATGGATGATGTTGGTCAGGCGTGCGCGAGCAGAGATGGAGGGTGGCCTTCACCGAAGACCAGGCCTTGCCTTTTCTAGCGCTTAGCTCCAGGTACACCACCTCGGGCCTCAAATACTCTGCGTCTTCAACATTATCATGCAGCAGCCTTTGTAACTTCTTAATGCCCTCCAAAAAGTACATCGCCACCCCTATGTGAGACACTGAGCTCCTGAATCAGTCACACCGGCACATTATGCTTAACAGGCAACAGGTCACGATGGATGCATTTCGCGAGCGTGACTCACCTGATACGACGAAAACGTCATTCAATATCAGTATTATTTCTGCCTTTTCTTGCCTGCCTCTGGAGCTGCACACTACTTGCTTTGTCTACCTTCATTTTCTGCGCATGGGTCTACCTGCATCTCACCCGCATAACTGCTGGGTCACGTGATCACGATACCATGCCAGCATACGCTAGAAATAACTGTTGACAGTTTGTTGAGGCACTGATTGATTTTATATAGATATAAGATACTTTTATCCTAGTTAGAGAAGGTTTTCATCTTTTTTCTTATGTTGGAAATTGAAGCATATCCTACATTTAAAAGGCCGATAAAATGATGTGGCAAAAAGTGAGCAGTGCTAAAAAACTTCAAAAGAGTCGTGTTTTGCTTTCCGCACCGGGTCAAGGTGCAAAAACGAACCTGTTTAAATAGACTGTTTCATGATAAAGGCCGTTAAAACTCTATTCTCGAGAGCGCCCTCCTACAGTACACACATACCTACCTAGGTAGTAGGTATTGAGCGCATTTAACGTAGTGACGTATACGACGTCCCAACGATCCAGTGGAGATGTACGGATTTGTAGTGTTGAGGTTAAGGTTATGAACCATAGTACGCTTGTCGCCCTCTGCTATAAGAGCTACAGCAGAGTTCGCACAAGGCTTTCCACATCCATCAACCCTGTTCTACCTGCCTCACGATGCCACCTAGGTAGGTATGTATATATTGACCTAGTAAAGGCGTATGCACTTCAGCACTTACTTGAACTTTGAAGAGCTGTACAACTTAGGTTCCAGTTTCTTTGCTCGTTCTGGATTCCCAAAAATATATCCGTTGCCAGTCAGGTTTCTCTGTGCTTGCAATATATTCATACGCGGTGGCTATGCCTCCCTCTTTTTGGGGATGTATCCATCTAGCGGGCTCCAAAACCGGATGATGTGTATCTTCCGACTAATCACTGCATGCATATAAGCGGTACGTGCTTCGAATCTTACTCCTTGATATGATCTGAAAATACGAGGGAATAATTAAAATATTTTTCACACCTGGTGTATGATATGAGCCTTTGGGGTGCAGAGTCCGGGATTTCTCATACAACTAAGATTCAAGAGTTCCTTTGCCTGAGACTCGTTGTAAGACAATAAGATTGGAAGATGAAGAGTTTAGTTTCACGTACGATCTGAGTTTGCGCTCGCAGGAGGAACATTGACCGACCCAGTCTTAGAAACAGAAGATGTTAGGTGAAAGTCAAACCAGATGTTAGGAGTTACACTCCGTTAAGTCATGATTCATTGTAAATTGCAAGCTACTTTCGAGATCCTTCGTGTGGTACTCACACACATATGGAATGAAAATCCAATCCAGACAGGATAATATAAGGAGTGCCTCCAATCGCTTTTGCCTCTTGCAAAGCTTGTGTGAAGGCATACTTCGCAAATACTTTGGTAACCGCATGTTTTCGTGGTGTCTTTATCATTATAACTGGGTCGCTGTGTGTAAGATCACCCAGACTCCAACTTACAGTTTTTACAGGATATTACGCTCGGTTGCGAGGTACGGTGAACGAAATAAGATGAAACACACTGGAATATATATATTGGTAGAATCTCAATCCTAGGGTTCAAAAACTAAAAGAGTTGGAAAACGTGGAAGATATACTTACTGATCACTTAGGCATGTAGACGCGATGAAAAGGCAGTAAGAACGGTCATTACCATCTGTTTCCGAGATTCGAACGCATCTCGAAGACACGACCCATTTCAGTTTTTGTAGAATATGATGTCAATATCCAGAGCAAGTTCATTTGTCACAAATCTGGTAGAGCCTCGTAGCTGTTTCTTTCGCTGTAGTATCGTATCACCTCACCTTGATGTTACAGATTTGGGCGAAAGTTCTTCAAGGTACGCAAAGTCAATATGCATATCTTCCGGGATAGCTGGTACAAGCTACAATAATTCTACCGCTCGTTCACAGGTGTATTCTATAGCGACTAGATCTAATAGCATCAGGAATTTAACTGGAGATGCTCGCAGGTTACTAATTCACATCAATCGACTAGACGCAAAGTCCGACTGAATCATGTAACGATGTATTGAAACGCCCTATGATCACTGTTTTTCGAGGAGTTCAAGTCGATGATTGTGTCGTACAGAACTCTGTTTGGGGGCATAAGTCGCAAATCGGCTTGTGCGATATCGACTCGAGTTTTCAACGAGCTGGTGGTAGTTACGATGTAAACAATCAGGATAATCATTGTAGCATGAAAGGATTCTAGCATGACGAGCGAGGTAAGTGGATCTTTCCCTTCGAAGCAGATCGAGTCTTGCTGGATGCTGGATTCAATACTATCAATATGCTTCTACTACGAGTGAGGCTATGTTACACCGTACATCAAATAATAAACAAAAGCATCATCTCAGCCCTTTCACACTGCGACATCGAAACATACAGATCGATATAAGGGCTACAGCATAGTGACAGAGCCCATAGTCTCCGTGCACAATAAACACACACACACACGCAAACAGAACCAAACTAATCCCATTGCCAAATCTGCTACTTTGTACCTCCAACGCAAACAAACACGCAACAAGCTATAAAAACCTTACACGTACCACAGCATCATCCCGCAGGAAGCAATCAAGTTCACCGATCCCAACTCCACCAAACCATATGTAAATCCGTGATACAAGCGACCAAACAACCCGGCAAAGACGGCAGCATAGCATATTCATGCAACAACACACAGCATACACGAAGTGTGCCAACATCGCACATCTAGAATCAAATCGAGGCTGGCATTCATGTGTACCGGGTACGAGCATATACACTGCGCACACAGTCCCCTCCCCCTCCTCCCTTCTACTGCAAGCAGCAGGAAGAAGAAAGAAGGGAAAAGACGTGTACGTACCATGTAACACTCCTTCCCCTTCCCCTTCTCCTCTTGCGCATAGAAAACTAGCCGCGTAAATGCAAGTTGTCGAAAGAACAATGATAATGCAAGGCTGTCGTGCTCAGGAAGAACTCGGGTCTCTATATGCACATATACGAGGGCAGGGGAAACCGAGATAATGCTAGCTAGAAAAGAGTGTTAAAGAAATGAATCTACAGAAGAGGGAGTGTTCGGGTAGAGCATCCTTGTAGCTACTAGCGAGGGAAAGCAGCATGTGATTGGTGCGGAATTGGAGTCCGGGCGAGTGAGGGGGGCCCAGCTGACATTCTGGATATGCGAGACGCTGCAAACAGAGAGGAAGGATTGACGATGGGGATTGAGGAGGTTGTTGGTGGTGGTGGTGGTGTTATAGTACATTAAGCGATGGATCTGTTTTTTTGCATACGCGACATGCGTGGTACATTAGTTTTTCTTATTGGGGAAGGTTATGTAGGAAACTAGATACTTTGTCGGTATGTACGAGGGTGTTTTTCTCGTGATAACGGAAGACTCGGGATGCAAGAAGACGAATGAACGAATGGGTACACGAATACGCGGAGGAGTCATACAGGAGTTATGCGATGATAGGTGGTGGTGGCCGTGATGATGAAAGAGTAGGGTCTAGAATGTACCTCTGGGGCAATCGTATGTTTGGTACAGATACGAACTCGCGAGTGCTGAAGAGCAACATTGCTTCTATCAATCAAAACAAAGGTTTCGAGAAACGTGGTTTGATGTCGTCCAACGACAGACGACTACTGATACGGGAAACCCTAGGACTGTCATCCTCGCTTGATGATTTGCATGCCAGATTTCTGTTTGCATCTTCTACAGATGCAATTTTTCCTAGTACTACTGTGTAGATAGCTAGGTTGCTGGCTCACGGATTCCACGATGATGTTGCTGGGCCACTATACTATGTAGCTCCAATGAATAAACGCCGACCATGAGGAATCAGCGCACGTACATACGTACGCACGTACGCACACAAATTACAGCCAACCAACCGAGCGAAGACGTATTGACTCACACGGGAGACCTTTAGCGTTGAGATGCATACGCCTTGTTATGCGCGAGAGGAGAACGAACCAAGAGGAGCAAAGAAAGAGCGAATTGAGGACTCGCGTTGCTGCCCGAGCAGAAAAGCAAGTCCGTGTTGGCTCTTATTACTCATTGAGATTGAAGGGGAGGAAGGAGCTGCGACGCACTGTGGCTCTTTTTCTTTTCTGGGCAGGCGGAGGGGGTGGCTTCCGTGTCGGATGCTGACGTCGGGAGTTGGGCAGCTATAATGATGTATTTTCCCAAGGAAGTTGGTAAAGTAGACAAAGCTGCAAGCGCGCAAACGAACCCTCAAAACGTTTTAGTTGTACATGTAAGATGTAGATCGCTTACCTCGTCAGATCTTGTATACATGTAACCCTTGGAATTTTGAGTTTAGCGTGCCTTTCTCCCCCTACGCCATGACATGCTGTGATATTTTTTTCCTGGATGCTTGCTTGCATGTAGTGTCCCACTTTGTTTTCCGTCTGCCGGAACATTCAGGTATGTAATGACAGAAACCTGAATGAAAAAGACAGCCGCATCAGTGCCCAATGAGATCTTGACCCGATTCGACTGTGATCAGCGGTCCCTGCATAACTTTAAAAACAATAGTCAGCCCCGGGCTATCACTTACCCGTCCATCGTCGTCACATCGCAGCGCTACAACTGAGTGGCAGCTTGGCATCTTTGCCTTTCCAGACCTTGATGTAGTGTCTATGTGCTACTGGGTACGTGCATAATGAATGGAGAAATGGTTCCGAGCCTGGCCCAGAACCCAGTCTCGTTGATCCAAAGAAAGATAGCGGTGAGCAAGTAAATGGGGAGGCAGGTCGATAGCTAAGCGAATACGTGACTCTCCACGTCCAATTTCGTGCCTCGAGATCTGCAGCATTTTGGTTGCGAAACAGAAGGTTCAAAAGGAATAATGGGAAGCTGGCCTTAAGTATGTAAGTTTATCAACGACGACGGTGAGGTTCGCAAGTGGTTTCTGGTTGGCTGTGGAATTTGTTCCGGTCGCCAGTGGAATGAGCTGTGGCTTGCGGTGAAGATACGGCAATATACATGTGCATGCAGTGTACATTTAGGTACATCAGTGTACAGACGACCAAGGTCTCGCGTGACGTCTTGTTCTCGAAAGTCGTTTTTTTCTTCTCGCTCTCTCCCTACATTTGGAAGATGCAAGCTCGCCCGTACCTCATGTTGTGACACCACATGTACTTCATCAGGTAGCATCCGTTCGGAAACCACAAAGCTCTCCCCGACAAATCAATAGTCGACGGAAGACTGCGCCGTCAAACGAGATTAGAAACGAAACAAGAATCCGGTTACCAGTGAAAAAACGGGAGAGTAGTCATCGCTACGGTCATTGGCCATGAATCGACCAGCAGATTAAATCATTCCATGCCTCGATGCGAGACCACGAACGAGACCAAAGCAAGTCGAGCCGCCTTTGAAAGCTGCAATATTGGACGGTTGGTTGGACCCGGGCGACATCATGGTGCTCCCGCCTCACTCTTGTCACCATCATGATTCATCGAGCACAGCGAACAAGGAAGAAAGAGAAAATTAATTTGGAGGCAGTGCAAAAAGGAAAAGACTGAGGAGAGAGGGGAAAGGGAAAAAAAAAAAATCAACGGCTCCGACAACACCCGCACTGGCCCTCTGGCCCCCAACCAACCAGAGGCAAGCCGAGAAAACCAAGGATCGCCCGCTTACATAAACAATCGACCGGAGGCCGAGGAACCCCATAATACCCCCGTGAAACTGGCCGAAAAAACCCGCAACAACCATAAGCCAGCCATTGAGCCAGCTCACAACTCATCATTCCCCCACCGCCCACCACATGCAGCAAATTCTTCCCGTGCCTGTATGCAAGGTACGATACCGAACCCCTCTTCAACCCCAGCAAATCCCAACCCCATCCTAGCAAGGTTGCATGCCATGGAAACGTCGCCGCCGCGCAAGTGTTTGGGAAATCTTGCTCGGATCCTGGACGTCCCTCAAACCGGTTCGATAGATCTGACTCCTCCTCTTTCTTTGCTGCTGGCCATGTGTATATTTTCCTGCCTGTTGCTATTGAAGACTCCGCTATGGGAGTCATTGGTGATGTCACGAGGAAAAGGCAAATCCACGTCTATTTAAGCTCGCGAAAGAAGCAAATCCCTAATACCGGGGTGCTGGAACCGTGTCTGAAAGGGGACAAGCGCGGTCAGAGGAGAATAGCAACGCAGTCATCAAATATAAGCGCAGAAACCTCGAAAGAGTGCATGGTTCCAGTCGACTGCGTGATGATTGAGATGATTGTAATGGTAGGGATCGTAATAGGGGAAAGAAAGGGATACTCGGGAGAACGTGGGAGTGGCTGTGTTTGCATTTGAAACCCTCCGCCTCCCTGCGCCTCAAGTGGCAGAGTGGATTGAAGCCCAAATCGCCGCCCAACCAACAACTGATCGACTTAAGGAGAGAGGAGGAGACACCGGGGGTGACATTGCGAACAAGATCGATCCATACGCAACGTAGCCTACAACGGTCATGCATGACTGACACACAGCATTTGTACAAAATTGGCAACAAAAAAAAGTGGCATGATGCGCACATCAAGCGCCCAGGATGTCTACAGTCGTCAGCCTTCTTCATGATGCTGTCAAACAGCAGCCAACAGCAAGCACTCTTTACCCCTTGAATCGAGTATCGAAGCTGGGTTCATCATCACGTCTGTTTGGCCCCGGTCTCGCAGTCCATACTCGATGCACGTACGTTGAAGTTGCAACGGGCGGAGACCGCTGCCCTTGTCCTTGCACATTCACCTCTCTCGAGGCAAGTCAGCAGCACTAGATAAAACAAGTGAAGGAATAAGCGAAAACAAAGATCAAGTCGATTCTGGAATCCCCATATTCGTCAGCTTTGTCAAGACTGACAAACACCCATGAACCATGGCCAGGAAAAAGACGGATAATTATTCACACGGTTAAGCAATCGCCCTTGCCCATGCGTTATCAATCGTCATCTGCTTGCCCTTTCTCCGCACCGCCGCGCGCGCATCGCGTGGACGCCGACCGTTAGGCGAAGTTAGGGTTAGGGTTCAGGGTAGAGAGAGCGAGGGTTGGTGGGGTGTGCGACATGAGCCGTGCCGATGCAGCAACGTCACCTATCCTTGCCCGACTCCCTTGAACCCAGTCTCAACATCATCTGCGAAATCAGGGAAAAAACTGGGGAGGGTTCAAGGTAGAGGGGAAGGAAAGGTCGTTTGAGGGTCAATGCATCACGAGTTCGAAAAATGATGGGACGGATGCCATGAGAGGGAGAGAGGGTCGTGCGTGCGCCAAAGAGCCAACGACACCAACTTTTTTTCTTCTCCCCGCTAACGTTGCTTGGACACTACTTCTTCACCTCTTCTACTGCTACACGTGGTCTAAATTATCAATATGCGAAAAGGGGAACCCGTGATGCTCGCCACTCAGGGGTGGGGTTGACATTGTTCCAGGGATACCACGAGGAGGGAGAAAAATGATGAAGAGTGCCCCACGGGTTGTCAAGTGATCCCTACTCGTGGGTGGCTGGTTGGCTGCCCTGAGAAAAGCCCAACGGGGTCCATGCATGTATGCAACGGCGGCGGCCCGATTCACGGATTCCGATTTGCGGCAAGGCTGACGCAAGCTTTACTCTCTCATTCGCGTTGAGAGTTGATAGCATAGAACAGCAAGATAAGCAGCACAAGGAAGAAATCTCTTCGCTATTGAGCATGCACCTGAACAGAAAGGGTATGCCTAATTGACTGCATTGGTATAGTTTGACATTTTTCATGCTCCTCTCGCTATCCATCGACTTTACTACATGTGGTTTTCTGTTTCCTTGTCCTTGCAGTTGAGTCAGGAGGGAGGTTTCTCCTTTACCGCTTGTCTTGTCGATAGGGTTGAGCCTGTGTTGGCTCTAATCAAGTTGCCAGGACTTGTAGTCACCTTGTTGGAAAGGAAAGTAACGCGAACCACTGATTGTGATAAGTGGGCAGGGCCAACCTAGTCTGTACCCGGTGTGAAGCGCTTCAGCGCTTGCTACTTCTCCTTCTCGATATTAAGATGAAGAAATCATGCCACTCCGAGAAGATAACCCAGCATCGATCATTAGACATGGTGTTGGCATTTCCAAAGATCGTGACCCACGGACCCCAAGGCTTAGGCTTCGGTTGCGTTGTCTATACTTTGTATGTATGCGTGCATGCTCAGCTGCCTGGAAGTGAGGCGTCATTTCAACGCGGCGCCCAGCATTGACATTGTCGCAGCGGCCTGCGAAATAGACTGGGCTGATAACCAATCACACATGTTTTCGATGAGGCGTCGTCGATTAATAGCTCACATGTACAGCCCCAGCCGTTGCCGTAAACAATAGTTCCAATGGTTCTAGCTTCATATCGGGATGATGGCCCCGGGGATACCTAGCATCGACTCAGTCTGGGGATTGCCAATGCTTGTCTGGTTCAGCTTCCAAATCCTCCGTGTCCCCTTCCATGTCCGATTCCTCCGCGGGACGCTCCGTGTGATCCATGAGCATACAAGTTGCTTTGGCTGTGTATATGTCCCGTAGTATCCACCTCATCCTGCTTGTAAACCATAGAGGGATCTACCGGAAAGTTTTGAACAGTAAACCGCGGATCATAAGCTGCAGTGTTAATGCCTAATTGATGACTTTGCACCGTCGCATGCTGGGGGTGTGACGAAGGAATGGAGTGCGCTGGATGGCCATGTGCTTGGGTAGTCAACTGAGACCGTGGCTGGCTCGTGGTATCGTACGGGCCAGGTGTTCCGGATTGGCTCGGGGGAGCAGAGCCAGACGAATGCGCGCTGTGCGGTGCAGGTGAATCGTACAATGAAAGATCTTCGACACGAGCTGCTGGGGCTTGGAGCAGGGAGTGCTGCGCAGCAGTATTGAACGGGAGTTGGGCTCCGGTCTGAGCAGCCAATTGACGAATCAACTCGGTTGAAGGGTAAGAGGGGGATGTGACTGTCCCAATCGACGACAAATCATCACCAAGATTCGAAGGCACTGCCCCAAGACTATTGGGCGTAAGGCCGAGTCCGGCACCGAGCGGGGAAATATTGAGGGATCGGGGAAGCGGCAGGTTGGGCAGGACCTCAGACACCTTTGCCACGAGCAGTTGAAGGTATCGGGTTTGGCCGCCATGGAGTGCGGAAAATAAGGTAAGAAAGCGGGAAACGTAGTCTCGAGGGCCGAGTGCAAAGGCATCGGGCGAAAAGGGGATGCATGCAACTACGTCGGTCAAGCAGCAGGCAATGTCGAAAAGCTTCTCAACCTGCACATGTATCAGCACAGTGTTCGTATGGATCCAAGGTTGGCCAATGGGAGACGAGAGGAGGGCTAGCAAGTGGTGATGCAGTACGCATTTTAGGTCAGCAGCAGGGGCAGACAGGGACTAGAGATCTAGCCTTTGACACGATGGCCTGCCTGGTCGTTTGAGATAGACGTTGCAGGGGTGGGGCAACAAGCGAGGGCAAAGATGTGCAAGGAAAGCAGGCAGGCAGGCAAAGCCAAGCCAGGCCAAAACGGGATCGGGCGGTTACAGAGATCGCGTTCACGACCACGTAGCGCTCGGAGAATTGTGAAAACTTACAAGACCCACGCCATGAACCTCCATTGCATGTTGCGAAAATTGCTGCGTCAGCGAAAGCAAGTCTCGAGAGACTTCGATTGGGTATTTGAACGTCATGCAGTTGTCCGCTGCGACGCTGCTGACCAGACCTTGGCTGACGCACAGCTGCCACAGCATGGTACGAAGCCACTGCTGCGTCACTCGCAGATCCACGGCCTGGCTTTCCGTGCAGTCGAAATACGAGGGTAGAGCCTCGGATAGCTGATTCTGCACCTGGGCTGTCCATGTTGGATTCGGGTGCGCGCGGACCTTATTCCACACATTAACAAATGTGTCATCGACCGGCTTGTAGAGATTGATCATCATATCAAGACCCGATGCGATGGGTCGCTCGTTTTGTATTTCGTCCAGAGAGGGCGGATGTATAGTAGGAAATAAAGAGATCGGACGGTGTTTATGTAAAGCGTGAGTTCTGTACACAATAAAAGGCATCAGCGGGCAATGTCGGTTTTTCCCCATCATGTATGGATATTACCTTTCCGCGATGTAAAGCAGCCAGTACAAAACTCGCCTGCGAGAATTGTCGAGTGGATCACTTTTGTACGTCTCCTCGTCGTGCCAACCAAGGAGATGGGCTTGAGTTGAGGCGCACCTCAGGTAGGACCATGCCGAGTTATCCCTACCAAGGCCGAATTGGCAGCCATAGAAGAACCACGATGTCAAGACGGATAAATGTGACGGATTCTCCAGGTAATCCAGTCCCCTGCGGACTCGGATAGCCTCTTCGACCAGAACATGCCCTATGCTAATATTCGAAAGCTGTGCCATCTCGGGGCGCGGGAGCAATTCGGGAGGGACTGTCATGTTGGCCTGGATCATGACATAGGCGCAAAGAGCGACTACCATGCAATATGCTTCGGTCGAGTGTTCAATGCTCATGACGGTTTCTTGAGCGCGTTGGCGGTGGATAATGGGCTGGGATGGGTAGACGTTGACGAAGAAAAATTCCAAGCAGCTTTCAATCAGAGCCAAAGGGAGGAGGCCTGGAGTGCGGGCGAAAGTGCCCACCAAACGAGGGTCAAAACCCAGCTCGTGGGTGAGACCGGTGGTAAGCTGCGCATTTCTTTGGCTCTCTCGTAGCTCAGATAGAACCTTTGCGCGGCTTCCCTTGGGACCTTTTTTCTGGGGGATGGCATTATAGGTACAAGCCAAGCCGGCCGAGACGCAATTCTTGCAGGAATTGGTACCTTCGCCGATACACTTGACTTTGCGTCGGTGACAGCTGAAGATGACATTATGGTCAACGCTTTGTTTGCGACGGGAACATCAGAGGGTGGGGATTCGGAGAGGTAAGTACATACCTATCGCATGCTCGCTTGACTGGGGTGGAGCCCGAAGAGGTGGACATGATAGAAGGAGAACAAGAAGGAAGAGGAAGAGAAGGAGAGGAGATTTAGCATGCTCGTTGTGCAAGACGGGCACAACAAGAACGAAGACTTGATTAATCAATCAACCAAGTAATCAATCAATCAACTCAATAGGGACGACAACGGGTAGACATGGTAGATAGATAGGATTGGGTTGGGGGCGGTCGACGTTTTTGCTTGTTTTGCATCGTAGGCAGTGCTCGTCGCCGTGTCGAGACTACCTGGACATGAGCAGCAGCCTTGGCTCGCCAGCAGCATTAGCTCAGGACTAAGAGTCGAGTGGGAGCGGCAGGGAGATGGTGGAGGGGCCAATGGCGTGCATTGGAGCGGCGGCCGGGCCTGTGGTATCGTAGGGAATGGGCTGGCGCAGGGAAGCATGCTGAACGATGGCCCGCTGCCTCATCAGAATCATGTCAGGCGCGTCTCCGAAGGCGGATGCGGATCGAAACCCCCCCTGGCAAGCATAAGTAATAACTCGTCAGAGCACTAGACCCGACGGAACAAAGCGACAACGATGGCGTTGATGGGAAACCTGGTCGGCAGCCCGCAGCGGTGGGAGGCTAATCACCCAGCTAGTTAACGTTCTCTTTGGGGTTGGGGCCCTGGGGGATCAATGGCATGGCAGAGCATGGCAGGGCAAGGGATGGGTTGGGATGGATGAGAGGGGTGAGGGGTGGGTGGTTGCAGCCGAAAATCATCCGACCGACGGCTACTAACATACTTGGGCGGTGCGTTGTTGCTGCTAACTATGGCTGCGTCGACGTGAGAAGGTTGGTAGGCGGGAGGTAGTAGGTAGGTTGGCCGTTGCGCCTATGTGTCTTCCCCTCCTCTCCTTGAATCATTGCCATTTCGCCTGCTCATTGGTCTCCTCTCTTTTTTTTTTCTTCTTCTTGCCCTCCCCTCCTCGCTCTCCGTCCCCCTTGCCAATGCCGGCTGAAGTTTTTTCCCTCCCATCTTCTTTTCTTCCTTGTATCCCAACTTTCCAATTTGTTGCCTTCAATTCCTCCTCCTATCATGGCTTCTTGTGCCTCATTGTCCACCTGATCTTCAGGTAACAGCGCCTGTGTGTGTGTGTGGATGTGTATCGTCGTTCGACTTATTCTCTAGGTAGCCAAAGGTAGGTAGGTATGGCAAGCAAGCGTGGACTGTTCAAGTGACGACTTGACGTTTTGGAGCAACATTCCCGAGCAAGCCCGTCGTCTGGGTGCATCTTCACGCCAACATTATTCGTGTGTACGTCTGGTAACTAGCAGCATCTCTGTTTCTCATCACCTGTCCAGCTGCCAAGTAGTACCTCCTAGGAAGGTGTAGGTAGGTAAAGTACGATATAGGTGTGCGGGATCGCATGCGCAAACGGCGCAGGTAGGTAGGTATATGGCCTTGCTTTCCCACAGTGAACCCTGCGAGGGCCCGTCGTGTTTATATCCCCATCATCTCTTCATCAAAGGCCCGTCTACCTGCCCTTCGCCCGTCATCTTGGTGTGGGACGGAGGAGCCCCGACATGAGGCCGAACGTTCGCGCCGAACCGAACCGCTCGCGAGAAGCATCCCAGGTTAAATACCTAGTTTACCTGTCTGCCATTCGCGCATCGGATGTGTAGACCGACCGCTCGAATAAACAAGTCAAGATGCAGTTGCGTTCTTTGGTCTACGTGGTGGTAATACATGGTGGTGTCGCTGGCAAGTCAACGTGGTCGAGTTTGCCAAGCCTTGACTTCGACCTAGCCGTGACGGACAGCCTGGAGATCAACATGATCGTCCTGTTTTCTGTCTTCACTGTTCCCTTACAGACACTTTTTGCCGTTGGTGAAACCATTATTTATTTTTACATACACACACAACTATCTACTTGAATGCACAAAAACACAATTCCCTGCCGCTTGCTGCTCTATTTCTCGCTTCCGCACATGAGACTGCTCCTTACCAAAACCACATTGAAGCCACCAAGTACCATGAAATTTACATCGTCGTCCTCATAATCTATCCGGATTGCGGTCATTGAAAATCAACGCTCTTGCCGCCTTTGGCCGCTTTGGCCTGGGCTCGCTCCGCTCTGCGTCTCCTCCGGTTTGAATCAAAATTGCTGACATCTGTTTCTGTGCCACCACCGTACGGGCTGCTTAATACACTCCCTGCTGCTGCTGGAATCGGGGGAGGCGGCGGGAGAGGTGTATGTTGTCCCGCTGGAGCGCCAGACCCTGGGGGAATGACTGGTTCAGGCATCGGTATCGGAGTCGGCGCCTGTTGAGACATTTCTTGAGCCTGAGCTGCTTCCATGGCCTCTGTTCTTCGCCAACGCTCTCTGTTCTCCGAGTTCCCAAGAGAGCTCATGCTACCAGTCCTGGGCTTATGTCGCTCCTTCTTCCTCGCTTCTCGTTCTGCAGCCGCTTCTTCCTCGTTTAGTCTCCTCAACGTCACATGTCGTCCATCGTTGTGCATCTTCACTTTGACTGAGACGGGCCGAGATGCAGAGCTGTCATCTTTGCTACTGCGTCGCTGGCTGTGATCTCTTCGGGACGGTGATCCGGTAGACATGGCGCCTGCGGCTGCACCCGCAGCTAGTGCTCCACTACCCGCATTGCGATGCCGACGATGTCGACCACCACCCCCTGAAACATAAGCTTCGGACCCAGAGTCCGAAAGAACGCCGTGTGCATCGCCCGAGGGTCGCACCGGGCGGACCGAAGGACCTGCTGCCATGTGAGACTGTGTGAGGTCGGTTGTGCTTCTGGGATGGTGGGGTCGCGCTGGAGCTGGAGTCATTGCCGTAGAGATATCGCTTTCGGAAAGAATTGTGGATGGAGCATGAGCTCGTCGAGGAGGGAAGCCGTCTCCAGTGTACTTGCGCCTCGCACTGTTCTGACGCGCAATGCGCTCTTCCTCGATGTCTTGCTGCTTCATAGCCGCAACATGTTCATCTTCTTTTTTCTTCCTGCCCAACGAGTACTTGAGGTAGCCAAGTACACCCATCGCCGCGATGCCATTGCGCAGGCCATGTGACTCTTTTGGCCTGGCAGCATACTCGTCGCTAATGCTGGTACGGCTATCGAAAGAATCCATGGAAGCAGCACTTCGCGTTGGTCGGTGACCTTGCCGTAACGGACTTGCGCCCATGGCGGCAGCTTGTGCAGCCTCCCTTTCTTCGACGCGGCGCCAATGATCTCGCCCGGGCGAAGCAGGAGCTCTCCCCTCTTCTAGTCTGCTCAAATCCGTCTGAGTAACCTCGGACTGCCCAATAGGACGGCTGTAGCTCACGTCACTTCCCGTCTCGGTAACCGCGTGTTTTTTCTTGCCACCACCAAAAAGAGACTTCAAAGCCAGAATCCCCCCAGCAGCTGCTCCAGCCCCAAGAAGCCGATCTCTCCAGGTGTGTTGCTTCTGGCCGTGTCTGTGCTTTTCATCCACGTAAGAATCGCTGAGGTGTGAACTGTAATGGGAGCTCATGGCGTCGTGCCTCCCGCCACTAGGTCTTCTTCGGCTACCGCTACGTGATCGAGATCGCCTTCGGAGAGCAGCCAATCCGGCACCCGCAGCACCTGCAGTTGCTATTGCCCCGAGACCGCTACCTCCGCGATGACTTCGACTCCGACGAGTAGTATCGGTGCGCTCGGATATGTATGTACCGCGGTCGTCGTCGAAAGCCACGGACGGTTGGTTGATGTAGGAAAGAATGAAGTATGCGATTAAGAGGACGAAACCCCACAACGCATAAAGGATGAAGAGTATCTTTGGTGAGCCATACAGAGTTAATCCAAGAGCGACTTGGATGATCCCCAGAACCGCACTCAATCGGCCTATCCATTGATGGAGCTTGGAGTTGTTAACTGGTGTGTATACTTTGTAGAATGTATGTGAATTTCAACTTACCATCAGTTTCAGAGGAAGTTTATATCGCTCTTTGCCTTTCTCTATCCTATGAATAAGACATCCTCCAATGGCTTGCACCATTACCAAAGTATAAAGGGCGACACCAATTCCATGGTGTGGGTTGGACAGTGATCTCCTGAGGCCTACTGCTTGGAATCCGAGCACAAAGAGGGCGGTTGAGAGTAACACGGTTAGAATTTGTAGCCAGATGTGGAGGCGCAGAGCCAGCCTAGGGTTCCGGTGGTAGAAACGTGCGAGGAAGATGGCGGCCGGCACGATAGCGAGGAATGTTATTGCAGCAAGGATACCGTGACCTAGGATGAGACCTCGATATCCAGCCATCCCGCGAAAACGGTTGCCCATACCTGGTAAATCAGTACATGGTCTAAACAACAGAAATTACGCACGAGTCGCTCACCATTGTATTGGGTAGTCGCAAGATTAAGTCCTTGTAAGTTGGGGAGCAGGAAGGTGTTCCTTTGTGAATCCCACGTCCCATCCCCCACGTATAGAGTATCAGACGAATAAGCACTGCCGCCAGGAGGTGAAAACCCGGGGTTTGACATAATGAAGTGTCGGAGAAAGCCTTTGAATTAGTCCTGTGTAACAAAGTCGTAGAAAAATCGATTGGTAGAGCTATCAAGGCGACAGCGAATGACGCAATGTTTTCCGCCGAGGGTATCGTGGAAGCGATGGAGAAGTCGAAATCGCAAGCAAAATGAATAGAGGATTAGAGAGTCGTGACGTCGTGATAAGCGTAGCAATACCGGGAACAGTTCTCCCCGGCTGAGCACACCAGCACTGTCGTTGTCGCGGTCGCGGTCAGACTCGAATGCGTTGGCGGTGGGCTCGGCCTGGCTTCTGGAGCATGCCCGCCAATGCGGACAGCTCAGTATGATGCGACAAATGGATCGCTGGTGGAGAACGAGAGTTGCTGACTGGTTCGCAGGAGTAACGTTGGAATACGTCGTTTCTTTTGGGGGACGGAACCTGTGAAAGGGCGGGTTGGCACAGTTCAAATGTTGGAAAGTTGCGGAGTGGGAAGACAGCTAGTCGCAGCTTCCCTCTCAAGGCACATGTTGACATTAGCATTGGTGGGGCAACCACTAATACACTAGGCTGGGTTTGGCATTAGTGTGGCGGTGAAGTCAGAGGTCGTGGCCCAATCATATTCCTAGCCTCTCTGCCAGAATAACTTTGAAACAACAGCAACAAGAAAACACATGGAGCGAGCGTCTGGCCATGATGTTTCTACAGATGATTTGGCATACAGGAGCCCCTTGCACACACGATTTGGTGTGCGAGAATCACTTTGAAAACATCAGAAAGTGAGTCGAGGTCCTGCTTCCTCTGTGCTTCTCAGGTCAACATGGGATTGCGTCATCATATCTGGCTCCAAGAGTGAAAAGAAAAGACTCAAATGCTAATGCAATGACCATCTGTTTTCCGACCATCCATCAAACCCATTCATCCTTACACCACTAACACCACGCTTTGATATAGGAGAACTAAAGCAAGACAAGAGAAGAGAGAAGGAAACTACAGAAGAAAGAAAAAGGAACAGGAACACACTACTAATACAGCGTTTGTCAAGTTCGCGAGCAAAGAAAAAACGAAGGGCCCATTATGTCTCGTCTGCTCCCCCGAAGAATCGAACAAAGGATTACCAAATTGAGAGATTCCTGCCATGATACCCTTGCTGAATGTGTAGTGTAACCCACTGAGAAGCAATCCCACGTATGGATAGCACCTTTGATTATAGGCCTAGGTCAAGATCTCGAGAAGGGTATATGCGCAAGCAGATTATATGCAGGATCGTTGTAGTGCAGCAGCCGCTTCATGCGGTGGTACCGAGTATATGCAGTAGCTATGCTCCTCCCGTAAAGAAACGCAATGCCAGAACGAAATCAAGTTGTAAGGGTTGATGCAGCACAGAAAGCATCTTGCTGCCGTTGGAGTGTTCCTGGCTAGACTGTCGCCACCTTGACATGCAAACGCTGCATGTATTTAAAAGATTCCTCGGCTCGTCTGGCTGGCTCGGCTAGGTGAGGTCCTGCTCCTCTCATCTTCTTCCATGACATCGCTGAGCCGTGTAGGATGGTGATGTCTCATATTCACCCACTCGCTGCCGTAGTCGGAACCGCTGTAGTCAGGAGCGCTCGATGTCGCATGACCTTGATGTGTAGGCCCTGCGCTTGAAGTAGTAGCATATCGACTAGGGTCGGAAGCAGCGGTGCCATAACGTTGCAGATGCTCGAGTTCGCGACGACGAGCTTCTTGCACGTCGAACTCATCAGACTCCTCTTGCCGCAGTGCACGGAATGGCACACGGTGGCCTGAGGTGTCAAGGATATAGTTGCCATACTCGTCGATAGCGTACTCTTCGTCGCCTTCAGATGTAACATCTCCATGCGATGCGACACCGGACATCTCGTCTTCAGGCATACTGGTGATGGACTCTCGATGTAGGTATGCTTCTGGTTGTTTGTAGAAGGCTTCTGGTTGCGACGAGGTAGGTAGTTGCGGTGAGGGTTGGGAAGCCGAAGTAGCGGCGCGTTGTGGATGCAAAGGTGCAGGCACATGAGATTGTTCGGTGGGACGAGATGCACTGGGCTGACGAGATGATGAAGCCGCAGCCCCCGAGGGGACATACGCACCTTGCCCAACCATGGAAACATCAGGCTCGTGCTGCGCGTGACTCCTATGGCGGCCTTCTGTGAAAGGGTCTGTATCCGTTGGCGACTGAGCCCCCTCATAGGAGTATTGTTGTTCGATGCTCTGACTTCCACTAGTTCCTGCATAGGCATCGTCGCCGCCATGTGAACGTTGCGAGACACTGCCATGCCTGCCCATGCCTTGAGCCATGGGAACAACTTGAACACCACCTATCACGGTTGGCTGACCGTCTCGTAGTGAGAAGGTGCGATCGCGCTCTTCTTGCTCACGCCGCCCGAGTTCCTCCCAAGCTCGTCGTGCCTCCTCCTTGGAAATTTGCAGTTCCCGTCGCATTTCTTGCACCATGCGTTCGGCATTTTTTTTCTCCGTGACAATGCGATCAAAGTCCGACGATGATACTGTCCGGGCCTCACGTTCTACTCTTAACGCGTTTTCCAGTTGTGCTTCACGTTCTTGTGCGCGCTCTTGCTCCTGTCTGTGCTCATAGAACCACCTCTGGAACTTACGTTCCGATGAAGCTCGAAGCCGCTGCAATTCCACGACAGCGTGAAACAAGTTAGCCCCAGCAGCAGAGAGATCATTGATTTGCCGAGTGTATTGGGTGTTCAGAGGGTCACGGCGGCCCTCATCTGTGCTCTGCTCTATTTTTCGTATCCAATACGAAGTGAGACCTTCCCAGTGGGAAGAAAGTGTTTCCCATCGTTCAAATGCATGCGGGAATGTCGAAGTGGTGGATTGACGAGCTTGTCCAGATGATGATCCTGCTTGCGGGGCTGACGGAGGTGCAGCTGTTGACGGCCCAGCCTGAGACGAGCCAACGGGCACCGATGGACGTCTCGAATGCTGCGTAGCAGGTGGACGTCGCGTTTCGCCTGCACTACCGAGAGCGGGTTGCTGGACAGGCTGGGGTTGTTGCTGCGACTGAGAGTTCGCCCTTGGTCTCCTGTGCTGCGCCCCGGAGGTGGTATCCTGAGGGCGATTCGAAACGGGGGGGATTGAGGATGCGGTAGATACAGGTACAACCCTTTCTGGCTGTCTTTGTGTACCTCCTGCAGTTGGTGGGTAGTTGCTGTACCCCTCGCCGCCTGATCCAGTGCCAACTTGTATGGGCCTCTGGGACGGCAAATCTGACGTTGTCATGGGCGTACCTGCAACGCCAGCAGCTTGGACTCTTCGTTCTGCACTTCTCCGTCGCTCTTCCTCAGCTATCCGTTGTTCCTCGGCAGCACGTGCATCTGCCTCTCGGCGTGCTTCCCGTTGACGACGCTCGTTCATGATCATCTGCGGCGTTCGAATGTTGGGACGATCAGACTGCGTAACTGGTACAGGACCGCCAGCTCGTGCGCCGCCGTTGGCAGCACGCCCGTTGCCCCCCAGATCGGCCATGGATGCGGTTTCTTCCACCAGATCTGGCGTGAAAGAGTGGGGTACGCGAAGCGCCTCTTCCAAGACAAATCTAATCGCAGATGCGGTCCGGCGCGAGATGCGTAGCGCGGGATGGGCTGGCGGGGAACTTTCGGCAAAGCGGACTGCGCGTTGTGGCAGCGGCGAGGGCGAGCCAAAGGATGGGCGAGTCTCCTGGAGATTGGGATTTGGGTGTGGGCTAGGAGCTTCGCTTCCTTGACTGGAAGGGGACGAGGATGAAACCCGGGACAAGTTGTGCTGGGTGCGCAAGAAATCCTCGGCAGCCTGCTGCTGGCGTTGCAACGACGATACAAAGGGCGGGTCGTGAAAGCGTGGATCGTGATCGTGGGTCTCGTCAGGAACGGGAAAGGTAGATTGGTACAGGGTGGGCGAGGAGGGGAGCGGGGACGTCAATTCGGCGGGCCCAGACTGCTACGCGCAATTGAGCACCGCTAGAAGGGAAGAACGCCCGCGGTGAAGACGATGGAGTGGTGTGGTGTGGTTTGGTTTGGTTGAGAATGTGTGCCTCCGCGATGGTGGGCGGACTGGTCTAGCGGGAGCGCTGGCGGAATGCAGCAATGCCTGGTAGAAAGACTGTTAGAGGGACAGAGTTTGGTGCAGGGACAGGACCCTAGGGGTGGTTTGCTGGTCGCAACGGCAGTGGGGAAAGAGAGGTGGTTGGGGGGGTTGGTGATGGTGGCTGGGAGCGCGGACGTGAGTTGGGGATGAACGCACCACTTCGCAAACAAGAAACACAGCACAACGCGCCAAACATGCTTCACCGACTCTTTCGGAGGATGGCCGACGGGCGATTTGGCGTCAAATATGATGCCACAGCGCCCAATGGCAACGCCGACGCAATAACGTGTTGTGTCGTCGTGTTGGGTCGGATTGGGCCTTGTCGTGTCGTGTCGTCGATGGTGTTGAGATGACCGGGCGTGCGCCAGCGACAGTTTCGCAGAACAGGCAGCCACAGCGGCAGTGCAAACAGCGCAGGTTGCAGAGTAGAGCTGGCTGTCGCGCAGAGGGATCTGCTGGATGCAATTGACTGGTTTTCAGTCGCGGTCCATGATACAGCGAGCAATGGGTAGACGCGCGGGAGAGGAGTTCGCGGGGAACCGGGATGTTCGCGCCCGGGTCCTGCTGCGGCTTCTCAGGTGCTACGTACTGGACTGCGAGCAAGCAAATCAATCAGCGAGCAAGCGAGCAATGACGAGTCAATTCGAGAAAGCGGACGAGCGAATGTGTTGGTGAAGCTAGAACGAGCAGGCGTCGAGACCATGCATCAATCAACGTCAGTGTATGCGCTGGCACCGCTTGTCAGCCAAGGCCGTTTCCAGGTTTATGTTATCGAGGGACTGCTCTGTCTGGGATGCCGGACCCCACGTGCCATCTGAACAGGATGGAACGAGGACATGGTTAGGGAACATGTATGCGAACGAGTTGCGACGGGACGGAACGAGATGCAGAAGGGAGGACGAATATAACGATGGACAATAATGCATATGTATGTGGAAATGTCTCTAGTGGAGGTTCGAGTACGCATGAGGGGTCGCGGATGGGACGTGGCCATTCATGTAGGAAAATGTTAAGCATCCCACACGGCAAAGAAGAGACAAGATAGGCTGCTTGTCTCATCAAAGCTACCAAACCCACCATCCAATCAATAGCCCTTCCACTTCCCACCTCTCGTTGCCCCTGTTTCTCGTTTATCAAGATATATTCGGAACATGCCCAGGAACTAGAGAGGACACCAGTCATGGTCTCCTAAACATTATACGCCACGATACATATCACGTAGCTACTCCATATACCATATCCACAATCTCAAAGCCCGCTTCTTTCGTATACACATGCGAAAAGGAAAAGGAAAATGCAAAGAAAGTGATGGAAGAGACATCGTTAAACCACACAAGAAAAAGTAAGATCAGACATCCACTATGCTACGTCTTCTCTGGACCATCATCCAAATTCATCATTCCCTCAACTCGTGCTACTGTTACCACACGATCACACCAGCCACGAGTATAGCCAATCCACCGATGCCACTAAATCGCACCAGCTCTGGAGCGGCCCCTTGGAACAATTCAGATGTTGGCACAGACGGCGACGCAGCCTGGTAATCGCCATGTTGTTGCGCCACCTGCGGCGCCAAAGTGCCCGTCGCAATTGCGTGGTATGCTGAAGCAGTGCTAGTGGTGTTAAAAGCTGCATGGCTGGATGGTCCAGGCATCTGAGAGCTTCCTGACGAGACACTGAGATGAATCTCACTTGCAACTTTGGAGGAGTGAGCGCCGGATGGATGTATGAATTGGACACCGCTAGAGCTAGTAGGACTCGAGACGGCGGGCTTGGTAGCACTAGAGCCAATTTTGGAAGACTCCTTACTGTTATGGCCACTGTCAACAGGAGCATTGGGGCTGCCGCTACCTGGCTGATTGGCATATTTTTCACTGCTATATTGGACACCGGCAGATGGGGTAGACTTAGGGCCGAAAGTCGAGGCGGTGCTGACGGTAATTCTTTTTGTTGTATTGATTAGAGCCATCTTATAAGTCGGCAAAGATGGAGGCGCAAAAGGTGCATTGGCGGGTTTCGTAAGAGTGACAGTGGTGGGAATGGGTCCGCATGCTGTGCAAACAGTCACAGTCTCCGTCCAGTCCGCAGGGATAGCGGGTGGCGACGTCGGCTTCGCGCATGAGTCGCAAATCGTGCGAGTGAATGTAGTTGTGATCGTGGTCCATCCAGTTGGGCAGATATCAACATACGTCGCTATAAATTGTCAGTCATGCAAAGCTACTAGAGCTAAACTGACAAAAACAAAAAACAAAAAAGTATTAATAGTAAAAGGGAAGAGAGAAAGAAAACTTACTTGTGTATACAGTCGTCGCGGGACTAGAAGCAGTCGATACAGGCGATGTAGCTTGAGTGGGTTGACTAGTCACAGAGCTGGACAGAGAGTGGGAACTCCCGAATGATCTCGAACTACTCTGTTGAGCGCCATAGACCGGGGCGCTACTAGGCTGAGCTACCCCATAAGACGTAGGATTCGCATGCCCGTAGCCGGCGGCTGAGACTGTTGTGTTGACATAAGGACCGTGAGCGGAATGAGAAGGGAACAACAACGATCCTGATGGCCCAACGGCACCTGAAATAGCAGTATACATGGGCTGATTGGAGCCCGTACCAGTCGTCGATGCTTGTACGAGAGCAGTTCCAGAATCGACGATGGGGCTTCCCGTGGACGAGAATCTAGAAGTAAAGTTACCCAGACCAGCAGTGCTCAAAGGAATAACGCCAGAAGAAGTGACGGTTCCGATCAAGATAGTAGATATCCCAGTTCCGGATGGAATGAAGCTCGAGTTATTCGAAGTGGGAAAAGGCGCAACGGGGGCAGATGATGATGCAGTAGTAACAATGCCAGATATAGTGCCGGTGGGACCAAATACTGAGGTCGAGTTACCCTTCCCAGGGAAAGGTGCGGAAGTTGGGGACATGCTCCCAGCACTCGACCTGATAGCACCGCTACTGGTGGTTGCATTGGCGGACAATGCAGGGGAGTCTGAGAACGAGCTTCCAGTACCCAGACTAACACTTGGTTGCGTACCTGTAGGACCGGCAACGACGGTGGAATTTCCGTTAGTAGGGAATGGAGGGGAGCTCGAAAGCGCAGTGGGGACAGTGTTGGAATCCAGGGTATTCAGTTTGATAGACACTGGATTACTGACACTGTTCGGGCAAATGCCAAACACATTCTGGCAACCGGCATCGCAGTGAAGCGAACTGCTTCCACACCAACCATAAGAGGAACAGCAGTCGCCGAACGTGGATCCAACACAAGTATATCCCTTTGTGCCTCCACAGCTTCCATCCGTACTGATTGCCGATGGAGCAGTGGCAGTGGGGACTGGGCTGGAGGTCAAGCTTGGAGCGCTGTTGCTGGAGGAGGAGAGAGAAGCAGAGCCGCATGCGCCAAACAACGATTGACAGCCTTCCACAACGTCGCAGTAGATTGAGGTGCTTCCACAATACCCATAGGCAGAACAGCAATTTCCAAAGGCAGACCCAGCACACGTGTATCCGGATTTTGGACCACAGCTGCCGTCAGGACTAACGGCAGTTGGCGATGGAACAGAACTGCTGGTGGATGAAGGCAAAGATACTGAAGTGCTAGGGCAGACTTCGTTCTGGAACGTTCCGTCCAAAATACTTCGGATATATGTCGAATAAGGCCTGTCACAGATTGGATTACGAATGTTACGCATGACTTCCCACAGCATCACGCCACCAAATCTTTCGGGGTGAGATGATTTGTATGCGTTGATTAATTTTTCGGCTTCCGTGGGAGTCAGGTACGACGTTGGATCGCTCGGGACTGCTACATCAGAAGCGGGCATTCCCAAGTAAATTTTTACGTTTTGATTGGCCGAATGATCGTTCAACCTGAGGAAAAGAGTCAAGATTAGAAAGATATCAAGCAGAATTGCTCCAATGAGCGATGAGTTGGAACATACCAGGCAACCCATGCATCGAACGTAAAGGTAGTGGTATCCTTGCCGAGGCCCTCGTAGCCGCGGCGAGTGTTGCATTGAGCCGTGTTGTAGAATTGAACGAAAAGAAAATCGAAATGGGATCGCTCAATTGCATATGCCATTCTCTCATCAGGAACAATGCACTGGGGAGCCCCAGAAATGTAGTACTCGCCGCCGGAATCAGCGTAGTGTGACCGCAATTTGTTGACAAAATGATCGTAGTTGACGTATTGGTACTCGTTGGATGCCGCCGAAGGGATCCAAGCCTCAAGATCAAGGTCGAAGCCGTCCACGGCAACATCTCCAAAAGGACGGGGCTTTCCAGCTGCCTCCCACGTTGGATCCAAGGGTCCAAACGCACCCCAAACAAAGTCGGCAAAGTACTCGGCAACTTCTTGGCTGGGCAGACTGTAGTTGGTGGGCACTCCTCCACCGAGGGACAAGAAGACCTTTTTCCCATTCTCGTGGCATTTCTTTATACCAGGACCAATAAGAGGGCAATTGGAACTCAACTTGGTTTTGACTCCATTCAGAGTGTACCACTCAGGCTCGCAAGCATTGGCTACAGAAAGTCAGAGGTCTAGTCTAGCAAATAGCTGATGATTCTGCCGTACATACCAAAATTGTTACCGGGATATTCACCAACCGCGGTGGGAAATTCATTGAGAAAAGCGAGGTTCACAATGTCGATGCTCTCGTCACTGCAAACTTCGGGGAGTGTAATTTGGGCATCTCCTTGCCCCCAGTAGATGGCTACGTTGGAACTAGATTGAGCATCGAAACTTGCGGAAACGGCAACTGAAAATGCAGCCGCAAGACCAATAGAGCGTGTAAACATGGTGAAGACGGGAGAGATTAAGTATTAAGATGGGAATTAAGCCGTTGAAACCGGATTTGAAGGAGAGTGGGTTGGAACGAGTGTGTTGGGATGTTATTCCCAGGAATTTGAAAAGAGTGAACGCAGGCGGTATGTCTGCTGGGATGATTAAGGAGTGTGAGAAGTTGGAAGGCTGCGGCAAAGCCTATATCCAGCACATTGGGGAGCGCGGTGAGAAAGCAAAAGAGAAGAAGAAGTCAAAACATAACGGCATTCAACGATAGAAGTATCTGGGAAATTGCATCACATCTGATGGAGAACAACAGCCGATGGTACCTGCAGAAGTGCAATGGGGCTGGAGTGTAGTTTGACGGGTGGAGCCTTTTGCGCATTGTTGGCCGCGGGTCCCTATATGTGAAGGTCTCGTTAGGGAAAGGTGTACCGATTTATTGGATCGGATTCGGACATCTAGGCCGAGTTTGGATATCAAAAACACATGGCGTACAGACGACTTGGAGAAGGATTCTAGATGGGCGGTGGCACTAGACGAGATATCCCTTTTTTGAGTGGCGCTGGAATCACGATGTAGGGCTCGCGCAGAGAATTCTTCGTGTTTTCAGCGGGCAAAACGCACGCCGTCGCGCGCCAATATTGCTTTTGAAACTGGCGAGGCCATGGTGAGCTGCTGAATCGGGCTGGGTTTGCGAGTCGCGGACAGGGCAAGACCAGACTCAATAACTGGTGGCACAGGCTTGGAGGACTGGCGGCACGGAGCGGGGAGGTCAGTATATATATATATACATATATACATGTAAGCATGTAAAGGGATCGACCGCGGCGTCGAGTGACTCTGGATTCAGGCGTGAGGAGAAGACAGAAGTCGGATTAGTGGATGCTCGAGCCAGCGTTTGACATGGCCGGTGAAGATGATTGTTCACCGACACACAGGTAGTCAGGTGGGGGAGGGTGTCAGCGAGTCGTGGGCTGGCATTGGCGTATGGGATAAGGGGGGTCGGAGGAGATGGACACATGGACTGGAGTGGAGATGGACTGATGGGATGGAGGCTGCAAGTGGGCAAGCGCTAGGCGAGGGGGCTTGGCGGCGAGTGGTTGAGTGGCATCCTGTCGCCCCGAGGGAGCCTCTTACAAAATTAGCTGGAGGGGTTAGCGCCTTGTAGCCTTGTAGACCAGAGGGACTGGTGACTCGTTTTGGCTTGGGGAATCCCCCTCGTGTTCTGCGATCCGGTGGAGAGACGATGGGAGCATACGCAAGCAGCTGCTGGATCTATGTATGTGTATATGCACGGATTCATGTATCATGATGTATGCATGTACATTTCTGCTTTGGACGCACATACATTCCTACATACATACATATGTACATGTATCCCTAGGTATATATCCCCGGAAATGCAAGCAACACGGATAGGAATGGCGGGCAGCCGGCAGCCCGGCAAAGAATGGGTGACAAGTGAGTAGGAATCGATATCACATCGGCTCTTCTTGTGCAATCCAACGCACAAGCAAGGTGACAATGGAGATGACCTGTACAGCAATGATAGGTAGAGCTTGGACAGCACCAGCAATACAAAAAGTGCAACACAGGGTCGGGGCGGTGTACATATCAAAGTACTTGGACGTGCAACAGCAGGCTTAGCGGGCACGCCGGGTCCTTGGGGAAGCGATCATGTGAGCGCTGCGATAGCCGAATGACTGCCAGGCAGCCTCAAAGGGCTGCGATATGATGTCACTGACAACGTTTGACATGCAGCCGCAGACCCTGTAATCTTCCCTTTTCTGCAAACTAGAACATCGCCATTCACACTTCCGGCGTCCGCTGCAATGGCGACAGGCGCACTGCTCCTGTACACACCCAAACACGCTCCCACGCGCTCATTTGCAACAGCGGCTGCAGCGTCAGCCATGGACACTGACAGTAGGCCAACCCGGCCATCTGACCTTGGCCATGCATATCCCTACTCGAGTAGTGTGTAGCTACTTCCATACATCACCATTCGACGAACCGCCGATACTTTATAGAACCCAACTTTCCCCCGCCTCCATTTCAAACCTTCTTCTTTTGCTTGTCTTCTCTCCACCGCCTTTTCATTCCTCCCTCCCTCCCCTCCCTCCCAGTCCTCCCGTAGCATCCTGCCTTGCTCCTCCATCTCACACCGAGGGACTGCGCCATGTTCGGCTTCCTAAAGTCGAACGCCAAAGGCGCGCAACAGCAACCCCACCATGAAAACAACGGCAGCGACCAGGACGATCCACGCCCAAAATCACATTTGGGGATACTGAGTGCCGATACCGATGAGGTTCCAGGTGCATAATTCCAACCAACCCCCAATCTTTGTGTTCCCTGTGCTCAACTTGTACCAGGCTCTGTCATCCTACTGTCCCGTGTCCATAAGCGCAACGAACCCCTCGGTCTCCAGCACGCCCGGGGCCGAGCGTCTGCTTCCTCGCTGCCTTCGCCCTACGCCTCTCGAGCCTCGTCGAGGGTGAGGCCCTTGGAGAAGAAGCGCACAAAGGATGGCAAATTTATTCTGGACCCGCAGCCCGAAGACTCGCAGAACGATCCCCTCAACTGGAAACAGCTTCGCCGGGACCTGGCTCTCATTTCTCTGGGTTTCTACTGCATGGTTGGGGGAGGTATGACCCCGGTGCTGGCTGCCGGCTTTAACAACGTTGCCGCCACATACGACGTATCCATTCCCCAGGTCGCCTTGACCACTGGCTTATATATGCTCGGACTGGGTCTCGGGAGCGTGCTGGCTTCCCCAACCGCCATACTCTACGGTAAACGCCCAGTCTATCTCGCCGCCATTGTCTTGTTCTGTGCCAGCTCTGTCTGGTGTGCCTTGTCTCCCAATTATGCATCGCTCGTGGTAGCTCGCATTGTCCAGGGTATTGCCGTGTCTCCTGTTGAGTGTTTGCCGTCCGCTACCATTGCCGAGATTTTCTTTCTGCACGAGCGAGCATATAGGCTAGGCATTTACACGCTGCTACTCCTTGGTGGCAAGAACCTCGTCCCCCTGGTCAGTGCTGCTATAGTCGAGTCGTTGGGTTGGCGGTGGGTGTTCAAGATCGTTGCCATGGTTGTTGGTCTCTGCTTCTTCCTCATCTTCTTCTTTGTCCCCGAGACATTTTGGGATCGCAGTCCCCATGCTCGAGGAAAGAATGCCAAACGTACTCGAAGCCGAAGCCGAAGCCGAAGCAGGCATGCCAGCCAGCTTCGTCTGCCTTCAAGCTGCAATATCCCCCTCACTAAGCCGGAAGACGGTCCAGACTCCGATCCGTCCGGCAAACCTTGTGCTCGGTCACAGCACGTAGGCTTTGCACCGACCCCAGAACCGGCGGCGATGCAGCAAGCCGAAACTGTAGCCAATGAGCCTTCAACACAGGTGGAGGCTAATTTGGATCAAGAAAAGATCGGCCCGAGTAGTCCTGATGCTCAGGATACCCGAGAACAAACAACTTCCAAGCACGATCTGGAAAAACAGTCGCCGACGGAAGCGTTTTTCCACGCGCCTTCATCAACCACGGGCACCGATGGGCACATCTCCGATACCATCTCGGAGCAATTCTCTGTCCACTATACTGACTACTATCGCTCTGCACCGCCCAAGTCATATGTACAATCTCTAAAGGTATGGAACGGCCGGCTGGTGAAGGACAAGTGGATCAAGGTCATGTTACGGCCCCTGATTCTTTTCGCGTACCCAGCGGTGTTGTGGTCCTCGCTCGTATACGCCCTCGCTGTAGGGTGGCTGATTGTCTTGTCTGAGTCGGTGGCCCACATTTACCAAGATCGAAAGTCGTACAATTTCACCGCTCTCCAGGTTGGCCTCGTGTACATCTCACCGTTTGTAGGGGGAGTGATTGGCACTGCGGTGGCTGGCAAGTTCTCGGATCTCATTGTTCGATTCATGGCACGCAAAAATGATGGCATCTACGAGCCAGAGTTTCGATTGGTGATGGCGATCCCGATCGCCATCAGCACCGTCATTGGTCTTATGGGGTTTGGCTGGAGTGCCGAGGAAAAAGATAACTGGATCGTCCCCACCGTCTTCTTCGGAGTGATAAGCTTCGGATGTTCATTGGGGTCCACCACGGCGGTCACTTTTGTTGTTGATTCGTACAGACAATATGCAGGGGAGGCGCTCGTAACGCTGAACTTCTGCAAGAGTACGTATCTCACTCGACTAACTCGACCTTGTTCCTGTGCTGACTTGCGTAGACATCCTGCATGGGTTTATCTTCTCCCTGTTTTTTCCCCATTGGCTGGAGTCGGAAGGCCCCAAGAAGACTTTTGTTGCAGTGGGTGGTATTCAACTAGCATGCATGCTTTTCTCGATACCCATGTACATGTACGGGAAACGGGCTAGGATGTGGACTGTGCGGAAAAATCTCATGGAGAAATTCTGAGCGGCATGGGAAGATGGAATGAAAGCATTGCAAACAAAGTCTTGTATGATCAAGATGGCTCACGGCACACGATGTGCCTACTTGAGCAGAGACGGAAGTGTGAGGACGGAGTGTGGGAAGTTGACGTTGAAGAAGGCATTTCGGGGACGCGAGACGAGGTTCCAGTAGCTCAAGCGGTAGCAGTAGTTGCTGGGGTGGTGATGCAAACCACAGAGGTACCTTGTAGTCGGAAAAGAGTCATGGACAGATGGACGGGTGGGCAGCATCCATGGAGAAGAGGACGCGTACAGTCACGGCCAGAGATGGACAGATAGATAGATAGACAGATAGAACAGATAAGATAGCGGGATGCGGTCGGCGGCGATAGCATAGCATAGCGTAGCATAGCGTAGCATAGCATCTCACAGCATATCATACATAGCAGACGATGGCGCTTTAGTTGCCTATCGCAGGCAGGACTCGTGGTCGATGACTCTTGGAGATTGGCCGAGCCGGGGCCAAGTGACGACGCGCCTCGATCCGGGTCACAGACTATGGGATTAGACGGTGTTGGAGGGTGAAGCTTGAAGGGTCAACAACGTTTATCCCCAGGATGCAGGCCATGACGCTCGACTTACGCCGCAGCAAATGGCAGTGGGCAGCCATGCAGCCATGCTATCGCTGAAGACGGAGCACAAGCATTTGTTGGCCGGCGGCGCTAGGCCGCAAGCGGTCAACACATCCAGGGCACCGCATGTGGGGAGGGCGATCTGGCGCTTCGTGTCTTTTGTATACAACTTGTACGGCTTCATTTTTTCCATTTTGGCAGGCCAAACACGTCGAGTTTGCTCCGCGAAAAGTTCTTGCCGCCGCCATGCCGTCCTGCCAATGCGCATGCGCTGGAGCGGGACGAAAACATGCCGTTTTGCTTTGCCCGCGGAATCGGTTGCACGATACGACAGCCAGGCCAGATCTAGAGTATCAGCGTGATTCCCTCCGAGCTCGGCACCACAATCGCACCGCCTGGCCTCCCCCAGCGAACACGTCGCTATCAACAGTTCCGTGGCCACCTGCCCAGCTATCTGAACGGTTCTTGTCGGTTGAATCATGCCAGACCCACCGCCGCACTTAGAAATACCCCGGATTCTGCGCTCCCTTCCACCTTCTCATCTTCCTCTCCCTCTTGACTGCCCTCCGTCCACTTTCCTCTTCACCTGTCCTGCTCCCCTCCCCACATTGCCATGCCTCCGCCCCCAGGCACTTGCTCCTCTACCAATCTCACACCAGACTCCAAGATCAAGAAGACCAAGAGCAGAAATGGCTGCACTCGCTGCAAGATAAAGAGAGTACGTATATTCACATTGCCTCAATCATGCATGTGCAAGCCATAACGTCACGTGCGTTTTGCTGACGCCATCTGAACCTCGCAGCTCAAGTGTGATGAAACCGCTCCGGGCTGCTTGCAGTGCAAGAAGAGGAACGTTGCCTGCCCTGGCTATGAGAAGACGCTCAAATGGTCCACCAAGTACGAGGTCTTCCAGCCTCCTCAACTTGCCAAACCGCCATCCAAGGCCCTTCCAACCAAGATGAAGGACCGAAAAACACCCCCCGACGTGGACCGTCATTTCCAGGCTCTGGCTGCTGTCCTCCCTGCTGACACCAAGGCTCGAGAGCAGAACCAAAAGCCCTCTTCCCTTCCATCACTTTCACTTCCCGACGTTCTTACCTCCTCGGAAGAGTCATCGCCTGAACCAAGCGATCTTTCCCCTGCCGGGTTACAGGTACTCGCGGAACCTCTACTGTTTGAGGACAATGCCTCCTTGGACTCCATCACATTCGATGCTCTCAATAGCGGCGTGGGCATGTCGATGAGTAATTGGAGTTTTGATGATCTGGATGGCTTCAATGTCGACCCGGGTCCAATTGATTCCATCGACTTGGACTGCGAGGAGCTCTATGGCGCCAATGATACCACGAATGATAACACAAATGCCAATACTCTTTCTAGTAGCCCTAGGCTGTCCAGATCTCTTCTTCTTGACTTCTATCGTCTTCCAAGCCCTTCTCCTTCCGCTACGGCTGTGGACGATGTTGAATCGGTCCTCATTCAACATTATTTCAATCACGTTTGCGTTCTTTTCTCTTCCTTTGATTCGGCTCTGAATCCTTTCCGGACTGCCATTGGCCGTGTGTACCAAGACACTCCTTCTATATACTTTGCTATTCAATCCATGTCGGCCGCACACTTGGCCAATACATTCCCTAACATGGCCGCCGTCGGCTTGGATATGCAGCAAAAGGCTTGCGATGCCCTACATCAGGAGCTTGCAAGTGTATCAGGCGGTCAGGCCAATTGCACCAAAACATTGCTTACCATCATGCTCCTTGGTCTCACTACCAGTTGGCACGAGGTGGACAACCTCGGCGAGGACTTCTTGACTACTGCTCGCAGCCTGATCTTCCCCAAGCTGATTTGCAACTCAGATACCGAGAAACAGCAGCGGGACATTCAGTTCTTCGAAGAATGTCTCATTTATTGGGAAATGCTCATGGGTTTCATGAGCAAGAACTCAATGACCTGCGCTCCTACCGGATTGCGCTCGCGAGGAAATGCTAGGAAAGCGCCTGCTGCGAAACCTGATGGCAAGATCGTTCCCCACCCCTGGACTGGGATAGCGCCTACGGTTCATATTCTCTTCGCCGAAGTAGCTAGGCTTGTTCGACGGGAATGCGCTTTGGACAAGAAGAACTGTGTAAACGACATCCGTCGCCGCCAGGAAAACTTGCTTGATGCCTCGACACTCGAGGAAGACCTTCTTGCTGCAGAGTATCCTTCAGTGGACGAGCTCGCTGATCTTGGAGATGAACAAACATCAAAACAAGACTTTGTTACCATGGCTGAGGCCTATAGGTGCGCAGGTCTCTTGGAGTTGTACCGTGTCTTCCCATCCATTCTCCGCAAGCGTCTCGGTGCCTCATGGAACAGCAACGTTAGCTTCAAGTTCCCATCGCCTCGTTTTGAGACTCGATACGAGGAGACTGATGTCAAGTCATGGTTGAACTCTCTCGCCATGCGTGTTCTCGACTTGATAGACTCCATCTCAATCTCTTCTGGTACAATATGTACCCAGCAGATTGTAATTGTGACTGCTGCTTCGCAACTTCAACGTTTCATGTCAATCGACTATTTTGATCCACAAACCAACCACCAAAGTATACCCGAGTACAGAAATTTGGCCATCAATCGCCTCCAAGCGCATGCTTCACGTCTACCCGCCAAACCCATCCGAAAACAGATCGAACTTCTCATTGACACATGGAACCGGTTAGATAATCCCGACATGTTGATGGGCGACAATGGATGGCAGGGTCTTGTCATCTAATTAATCCTCGGCTTTTGTCCAACAAGACTTGGCTACTTCTACTTCTTTCGTTCGTCTTGGACCTTTCGGTTCGGATCCATGTCACTGCACATGCTTCGGCCGACTTTTGCGGCTGGCAGCCCCCAGCCTTCCTGTTTGTCTGGAACTTCACTGTTCACCTTACGTTTAACGACTTTTCGCTTCCTCCGCGACACTACCACTCGGCGTTTCTGCAGTACTGTTGTATTACGTTCATATTGCTGTACATTCCTCTCTCGGCACTCGTTCGACTTCTTATCATGGACGAATCTCCGAGACTGTTTACCTATGGATTCGTTCAATAGACGATTTTCCTTAACACTATTCTGGCGCAACATTGCATCTGACATCATCGGTGATGTTTTTTCGGCCGGTCATCGCATTTCGGCGAACATCCTCGCGACCTTCGAATACGAATTGATACCCACAGCCATAATCCACCTTTAGCGACAATAACCAATATTTTGAACTTTTACCAAAAGCGACTTTTCCATGCGACTTATCCTTTGCCCACCCTTTAATCAACAAATATTCGATGTACGATGACCCAGAGAGCGACGTTTCCCCCCCAATTGCGAACATGGTATCCGATCGATTTTCCTTGCGACACAGCCCGCCTTTCTTGTTCATTGCAAGACCCAGAGCGACTAGTTTAAAGAAGTACGACTTTTATATAGTTTCCCCCGAGCGATCCGCACAATATCTCTTTGATCGGTTTGTTGGAACTCCCCTTTTCCTATGTTGTTTCTTGATATTCATTTCCACGACTGTATATAATGAGTATTTGCTGCGCTGGGTGGGCGCGTGGTTGGCATCTGGCATGCTGCAACCTTTCTCTTCTTCACTGTTACCCTATATTCTCCCATCCTAATGCATAACCGCACTGATCCCCTCTTCCCCATCCAACCAGCATCGATCCGGATATGTTCGTAGTCGTCGACTCGTTGTATCCTATCGCGGACCCTTCTCCCTTCTCGCTAGCCTGCCGTTCCCCAGCCATCCCCATTGCCCACCCTCCAACACATCCCAAAGTCCCCTCGCCATTCTACGCACCATCCACCCCCCTTTTGGCGTTCCACGCTCGTGTTCACCCACCTCATCGATGCATCGAATTCTCCTTTCCTGTACCTTGGCGTCCCCTGCTTTGCCCCTTCTTTCATCTTGCTCGCGTCGAAATGATACCCAATCTTCTGTTCTGTATTCCCTGTGGATTCTTCAAAATCATTCAAGACGGCTTATTTTATGCATATTCTACAAAAGAGAAGGACAGGCTGTACATTCCCCTTGTTCAGTTTATGGACTTCCATTTGTGTGCATATTTTCTGGATTCATACTTTAATATTTTTGTATCCGTATTTGTACTTGTACTTGTGCTCTCTTTTTTTTTTCTTGTTCTGGTTATTTTTCTGCAAAGATACCCCCCAAACATTGGCATTGCGAGGCGCTTGCACATGTACACATGTTTTCCATCATTTCATGTAATACCATCTATATACAGAGTGTGAATCTACAACGAATTGCCGCCGTTATTTGCAAGTTCTTGCAAGCTGTCCTATGGACACTATAATCGTTCTTTCTCCTCCACTACGTATGCGTGCCACCTTTCGGAAATTCGTACAAATAAATCCCGTGATATCCATCCCAGGTCTTTTCCCTTTCTTCCTTTCCTGATCGTGCGCTCGCTAGGAAGATGCTCCAAAACAAAGAACATGGTCTTGGTTCGGCGATATAGTAAAACAAACAAAAAACTCTCACCAGAGAGAGTGTGTGTGAGAGAGTGAACGTGAAAAGAGAGTTAAAAAAAAAGTAAAAGTAAAAGCCCCCTCGTCCAGAAACACCATTCCGCTCACATGAATATATACAAAAAGACATTTTGAAAAGAAAAGAATCTGTACGCCGTAAGATGCGACTTCGCTGTATATACAAAGACAAGTTTTAAGAATCCGTCAAAAGAAAAAAAGAAATATGCAATATAAAAAAAAATAGCAAGGCCGGGTGGATTGTTCACATGACAGGCCGATTCATCTCATCGTCCTCATCGACCCAAGCCTCAAAGACCTTCTTCTCGCTGCAGCCACTCCCCACGGGACTAGGCGACCACGACGACGCCGACAACGCAGCAGCAACCATGTGCGAAGAAGCGCGGTACGAGCGCATCTTCTTGTCTGCTCCGGGGCTGAAAATGGGATCCGACGAGGGGAAAGCGCGGAGCCGCTTCTCGGCTCCCGAGAGGCGGAGGGCAGCGGCGGGTTTCCTGGATGCGGCGATGCTGCGCGAGGGCAGGGCGAGGCGCGAGAAGGGATCGTTATCGTTGTTGTTTTCGCATTCGGCATCTGGGTAAGGGGATTTGCGGAACCTGTTTTGGAGGATTGTAAGTTGGTTGTTGGGGGTGGATCATGATGGGGAAGAAGAGGGGGACGTACCATCGGGCGATTAAGACGAATCCCTCGACGATGCAAGCAAGGACGGTGAAAGCGACGATAATTTGCAGCGCGAGGAGCGTGTACACGCTATCCTGATATGCCTTGAAATCCTCGACTTCCTCTGTGGTGCAGCGGATCCTGGGTGCGGACTGTAGGAATTGCTGTTTGCTGGAATCCACGACGCCCAGTCCAGTCAAGCCTTTCCTCGATGCCAGCTGCAAGAGGACGGTTGTAGAAAGCGGCACTTGCTCTTCGGTGGGCGACGACGATTCCGTTGTTGACGATTCGGGCTGTGAGGATGACGGCGGCGGCGTTGACGGATCGACCCAGACTTCTGTAGATGAAGAATGCGCGATGAAGTCGGCATACGCTTTTGGATTTGTGAAGCGGAAGTTTTCGAGTTCCGGGCCCAGATCGCGGCAAACGTCTGCGCCGGAGGGGGATCGTTTGTGGTTGCGTATTGATGATGGTGAAGTTCTTGATGTGGATGGGGAGAGCATTTCCGGGTTTTGAGAGACCATGATGGAAGGGGAGCTGCTGTCGACGATGGTGCACCGGCAGTGCGTCCGCGAAGGGAGAGCTGAGGTGGGCGATACTGCCGCTGCTATCCAGAGCAACGATATTATTGATTGCGAAACCATTGTGAGAATTGTATATGTAGAACGAAGGTGAGACGGTGTATCGTTTGTATGTAAAGACCGGAGATGAGCAAGCTGCTGCAGATCCCGATGCTGTGGTCTTTGGGCGTTTTATGTAGGCTGCTCGCCTTTCCCCTGGGTGCTTTCCCTGACGAGTTTATTGATTGCAAACCGTACGAGCAAAGCCAAGAATTGTGGAGTTGGGTGGAGTAGCTGGGGAGTTTACGCGATACAGTAGCGGAAGGGTCTATTTACTTTAGCGTGCTCCAAGGCAAGCTGAAAGGAAAGTAATGGCGGAGATCTAGAGCTGCGAAGAAGAAAAGAAAGGCGAGATTGAGGCGTCAGTAGCGACAATGGCGGATGGTAGTCGAGGGCGGAGGACCAGGAAGACGGTGTTGAACGGCGGCCTTCGCGATAGCTATAAAGGACGGCGCACGTGGGTGTATAGGTGCGGGTGATAAGCAAGTCCAACCGAGTCGAAAACAGTCAGCCGCAGTGCTTAGCAGGCGTGTGGTGCGGGTCTTGGTTCCTTGTCTGTCTCTCTCGGAGCCAAGATGTTTACCGGAGGTGGCAGCAAGGAGACCGTGTGTCGTGAGACTGTCGTGAGTTTAGGGCTGGCGATTGGGAGCAATTGGTTGGATGGCGGCGAAGGTTTGGGGGCGAGGTAAGAAGCCAAGGACAAAACCAGGCGTGCTTCTTTTCTAGCAGGTCCGTGTCGTACTCGGGAGAGGGTAATTACTGCATGGGGAATTGTTGGCTGAAGTCCGTAGGTGGAGATGCGCGATTCATTCAATGCGGCGGCGCGAGACTTACTGTTTATGTACAAATACGTACATACAATGAACCGGCTGTGCCAATGTCTCTGCGGATTCTGTTTTGATCGTCTTCAACTCGATCTCGGGGAACTGGAGCAGAAAGCACAGCTGGGCGAAGACGGCAGCTAATAAGCATAAACCTGATGGTCCAGCAGAGGCAGAAGCCAAACCACCGCCCAAACATGACATCTCCACACACGCCGGGCTGCTCCGCCGGAAACAGCACCGCCTGGCGATCAATCCAGTCCATTGCATTACAAGCTGCACGAGGCGCGACCCCAGAAGCCCTAGCACGCTAAGCATAACTGTGATCCTACACGGTCCATGTCCCTACAGCTGTTCGTTCAGAACCTCTAGATGCCACCCTTATGCCGCGCCGTCTTTGGTGGCGCATCTCGAGGGTGCCATGGCTGGCTGCAACAGCTATCTAGAGATCAGCTATCAGAGTTGAAGCATAACATCGCGCGAGCCTGGAACCAATCCTGGACAAACGTGCTAGCAGAATGGATGGACCATGGACCGCCGCCGCCTACGCCTCGCAGTCATCTATTCTTGTTTACTGTGCCCTTGGACCTTGGTCATGGCTATGTGCTCAACTACCTACATGTGCATATGCGCATGCGGCGTGGCAGACGGTTGGTGCAGATTGCATCGCCTTCATGCTACAACTGAACCAAGCATTCAAGTTCGCGACCTTGAAAGACTTGTCATGGACCTGTGTCTCCATTGGGGTGTCTTACACGAGCCAGAGAAGCGTGAGATGCAATCACCGAATTTCGCCGATCCTCACCCTTTCTCCGAATCCCATCACGCGGGAATAGAAGCCAACATTTGAACAGTCCACTCTGACTTGGAACCTCTAGGCTGCCTACGAGACAAGCTTTGTGTACGGTTTCACCTTGACAAGCAACGGCCATGGATTGTTCACATTTCACCTTCTGCATCACCACAGGCGCGCTCAAAACCACATTCGAGACATAATGCGACATTGCCCTGATTTTCCCTTCTCTAAGCGAGCAACAACTGTGAACGATTTCGTCACATCGCTTCAGCGGAATCGTCGCCGCCTTCTCGCGGAACCTCAAACAGTTCCCAGCGAGAGTTTGGAAGCGTGTTTCATCGCCAAGAAGCGTCGGAAAGCTTGTCCCCAACTATCAGGGATGTGCTGCCCAGTGCGACTCCTGATGGGTCAAGCTCGGGCATGCACATCTCGTGCCTGAACAGTCTCGTAATCGCGTGAAGGCTAACTCGAAAGGTGGCCATCGCATCGCTCGCTCTCTATGACCTAGGCTGTTGATTGCGGCAAGAAAATCTTCTGATTTTTTCTCATCATTCTTCAGATTCGAATTGCTGCGAGTCGGACGAAATGGCGCAATAATCAGTCAGTCCGCTACTAACAGCACACTGATTCGGTGCCCTCAGCCATATTTCAATCTTTTTACTTCTCGAGGGGTTTTCAGCTGGTCGTAGGCTATGCATCCATTCTTTCTTGGCTCTCGCGGTTCTCGATTTTCTCTCATTCAGCTTCGATAGGATTCATTTCCTTATACGAATGACGCTTCATAGTGCGCCGCAGCCACCAATACAATGCGCAAAAACTTCCCCTGTTCCTTTCAGCTCGCAACTTTCGCGCTAAACATCCTCACTACTAACCACCAAAACTCCACTGACACTAGGAAAAGGTACCCGCCTTATCGTTCCAGATCGTTCACCATGAACAGCGAAGCATCAATCTCAATCGCGTGCGGGTGTATTGCAACTCTTAGCGTCCCTGGAAAGAACATCCCGTTCTATAGTGGCGTATTGGAAAGGACAAGATTCATCGGACGCTCCGCTAGCTTCTTTTCCAACCTCACTTAAACCAAGTGACATTTCGCTGTCCAGCTGTGAGAGTTGTCGTGGTACTTGCAAACTAATTTCATGAATAAAATGCGATGCAGCCATGTATTCCAAGTTGATAATTAAGGGAGGTCAAGTTGCAATGGATGCAACCCACAGTAGCTTGATCAAGATTGTCGATTCAGGCGCAGCAGTGTTACCACACTATATCCTACCACCTATGTACTAGGGATCGTCTCCATCGCAAGCAGAAAATCCAGGAGATAAAAAAAGGTGTTTTCTGGGGGATGGTTCAGTTTAAGAGCCCTTCTCTCTGGTGGCAGACGAGTTCTCCTTGCTTGTTAAGAGAGTAGAAAGTTTTCAACCACGGAGCTCCGACTCCGCAATCTTAGCGAGCTCATTACTCACTCCACTCTTCCTATCTTCACCAAAATGCTCAACAGGACCAGATTTTCTGCATATGCCAGCGCTCTCTGCATTCCGAACGTTTATTTGCTTCCGCTATCGACTGCTCGACAGCAGATGTGGCATCCATGGAAATCTTGCTTCTTGGCATACAAACTCTGTTCATTGTATACGATGCTTGTCAGCTGGAAACACCAAACAAAGGTTGTCTTGAATACGGTATAACCAATTGATTTCTTCGTCTCGATTTATGTGTTGGCTAACTGCCGATCGCAACCAAACCAATAGTAGACCCGTAAGCCGGAATCTGATGTAAAGAAAACTGTCCTGCTAGCCGGTTGTCCATCACTCACTTGTACCACTACATACATAGATAGCGCAGCACATGAATTACCATACAGCGTTGTCTTTGCTGCAAGTCTCCGACTCCGCTACCAGTGCCTGCACCTCAACGCACCGAGGCGGTCAAGGTGGTCCTCGATTATAAGAAAGCTGGTTGGATGCCCTTTCTTGAATGCAGCCTTCCACATCTCAACTTCGGTTTACATAATCGCAACCTTCTTCATTCTTTCTGCTTGTGTGGTAGTTTACTGGTGCCCGGATGTTTCTCAAGGAGTGGCTTTTTCTCGCGCCTACCCAATGTAGACACATACATACATATGTACACCCGCCCACAATCACGTCGTGACCAGACACATGTTCTTTTCCGCAAACTTCTCCTAAGGCCTCACTACTACCGCCAATACCTTCGCCTCCTGCGAAATGGCATACCTCTTCAAGCACGCCGCAATAGGATCCATTATCCGGTACTGTGGCACGGGTAAAATTTCCTTCACACGAGCGAAAGGCAAGAACGTCTCATCGAGCTCGTCATCCGACGACGTCGATGGAGCTGGACCTCCGATCGACGGCGAAGTTTCTGCGAACCATTTGGTAACCTGGAATGGAAAGGATGACTCTTCCAACCCCCAAAATTGGCCTTTCTGGCAGCGGCTTGTCATAACGCTGATTTTATGGTATGTGGTGAAATTCGATGCAATACAGCTACACCACCTGAACGGACACTAGCTAACATAGATTGCAGTTTCTGGACCTTTGCAGTCTTCGTCGGATCGTCCATCTACACTTCTAGTCAGGAAGGCGTCATAGAGGAATTCAGCGTCACCCATGCCGAGGGCGCTCTCGGCCTCTCGCTATACGTTTTGGTACGCGGTCTTTGTTCCATCGATAGTCGGTTTGAAAATTTCAACTTCACAGCTGACAGCCAATAGGGTTATGGGTTGGGGTCATTGCTCTTCTCCCCTCTCAGCGAGGTTCCCGCTATCGGTCGCAATCCCCCATATTTCGTTTCCGGTTTCCTATTCGTCATTCTCTGCATCCCGGCTGCACTTGCCAGCAACTTCTCAGGCCTGATGGTATTGAGGTTTCTACTGGGATTCATGTGCTCGCCCTCTCTGACAACCACCGGAGCGTCTCTTGGCGACATCTGGTCTGCGCCCGACTTCCCCTTCGCCATGGCTCTCTTTAGCCTTGTCACCACCATGGGACCTACCTGTGGCCCTACCATCTCAGCGTATGCTGTTCGTACAATGGGCTGGCGGTTCAGTGCCTGGGAATTGCTGATCATCAGTGGATTCATCTTCTCCCTGGTGGCCTTGTTGGTTCCGGAGACTAGTGCGCAAACCATTCTGTTCTACGAGGCAAAGAGAAGGCGTGAGGACACAGGTAACCAGGCTCTGATGAGCGAGGCCGAAATCAAACAAAAGAATTTGGAAGTGAAGACTATGCTTTGGAACGCCTTCGTCAAGCCATGGGAGATGAACCTCAAAGACCCAGCCCTCATGTTCACCACCATTTATCTTGGGCTAGCGTATGGCATTTTCTACAGCTTCTTCGAGTCATTCCCATTCGTCTATCCTGTATACTACAACTTCAGTCCCACAGCCGTTGGCCTGGTTTTCCTCGCTGCGATCCCATCGTGCTTTATCGCCTTCACAATGCAGTGTCTCTTTCTCAAATACAAAGTCATGGCGGGGCTCAAGAACGGCACCTTCGGCGAGCTTGAAGTTTACCTTCTTCCCGGCCTTGCGGCTTCGCCCTTCATCCCCGCCGGGCTTTTCATATACGCTTGGACTGCGCGCACCTCCACTCATTGGATGGCCCCTACCGTCGGTCTCAGCATGGTCATCTTCGGCATCTACTCCATTGGGCAATGCATATTCTTGTACATCCCCAACATTTACCCCAAGTATGCCGCCAGCATCTTCGCAGCCAATGGGCTGGCGAGGAGCTTGTTCGCCGTCGTCGCCGTGCTGGTTGCGAAACCCATGTTCGAGGGAATAGGCGTAGGTGGCGGTGTTAGCTTACTGGGGGGGTTGATGGTTGTGTGCATGTTTGGTCTTTTCTTCTTGTACAAGTACTGCAAGATTCTTAGGATGAGAACCAAGTTCGCAGGAGCTTGATCGAGGCGACGGAACGGTATTATTCAGCTTGAAATGCCCGAGAGACACGCAAGTGCTGCGGATATAGAAAAGAGAAAGAAATAGACATTAGAAATAGACATGATCAATGTTAGTAGTTGCATTGTAAATATACTAAAAGTGATAATGATTCATCGCATATTGCATGCGGCACAAACACTAGGTATTAAAAACACAATAAATCTGCCTTTAAGCTCTAGGCAGGACACATGTTCTGTAGTTTACAAAACTAATAAGTTATTATTCTTAATAGCTAAGTGCAGATTAGGTCTTAACAAGGACCTTAACACTATAACTTAACAATCTAAATTAACTTATTAATTAATAATAAAGATATTAAGCCTAAAGTTGCTTAATAATAGGTTATAAAGCAAAGAGCTTTCCCCTAGCCTTCTTATTTATCCTACTTCAAACGATCAACCCGCAATACAACTACCTGGTCTTCTTGACTCTTCATTGAATCAACGCATCTATTCGACACTCGATTGTAAATATACTAAATCTGCAAACGCAATTCGAGCTTTTGTTGGTGATTGGCGGCTTGCTGGCACTGCTTCTCGCTTTTTGAATGACAAGACAGAAGGCGGATGTCTCTGTTGATCTCAAGAAGATCTTTGGACTGCATCATACACCCGGTCGTGATATATCCTTCCCTATTCATCAATCCTTCACTCTTTCCAGGATGTAAACTATCCCGTCTCACTGGCCACCCTCATTCGTCTCTTCCACGTCTCCAAACCATCGGCTGATTCCTCAAGCACATCCCGAATTTTTACCATGGTGGGAGAAGCTCATTCAGCGTCATTCATCCTCTTACATTATGATTCATCAGCGACGCCCCACAATCGCGTTGCCGATCTATCAGGCATCATCTCGCATAGCCATCTACCACGCCTTACAAAGCAGCCTCACGCTCTTGCGCCGCCAAAACCCCCGGATAAAAACAGCGCCAGCCAACTCGGGAATTCCGTCACGGAGCCTAAACATGACAGCAGCCACGCCGTGTCATGGATCCGGTAATCCGGATAGGAACGTCTACACCACGAGCCCTAGTCCCAAAACACCAACAACCAGATTTCCATACCACGCTGGCCAAGTACGTGCGATTATAGCACTTCCTTGCTCATCGGTATTTGAATCTCCGGAACCGGCAGCGGGTCGTGCAGCTACTGTGGGCGTTCCGCCGAAATCCGTTGCCGGCACAGTGGAGGTCTGGAGGGTATTTGTGACGGTCGCGGTGACGGCGGTGCCGCTAGAACTAACAAGGATCACGGTGTTCCCTGTGTCGGCGGTCGTGATGGCGATGAATGTTGCTGCGCTGTCGACTCCCAGTGTCGTTGATAAGCCCGGAGTGAGGGTGAGGGTGGCTGCGGGACCCAGGGTTAGCTGGCCGCCGACGGTCAGGGCAGGCCTCTGAGATGGTAGCTCTTGAATAGGTTGCGATGCGACTGCGTCTGCTGAGGCTGGGATTGTTCGGGATGTTGGTGAGGTCTTGGATGGGGAGACTTTGAGGTTGGAGACAATGTCGATCAGTAATCCATTCGCAACGGTGGGTTTTGCTGTCGCAGGGGCAGGAGAAGCAGCATCAGGCACAGCAGGCGCGTCATCTTGTTGGACTGGTGCAGTTGGAGCGACGACATCGCTTTGAATTCCTATTATAGTCGGCACCGTGACGACTATCTCATTATTGCGACCTGGAACGAGTGATTGGCTTGGTGGAGGATTCGAAGCACCTTGGAAACCAGACGCGGTCGGCTGTGCAGTTGCTGCTGTGTAGGTATCACTTTCGAAGGTCGATCTTGATAACTCTAGATGACCATCGACCTGGCTTATGCAAGCAACCTGTGTTCCCGGACTGAGTGTGTAACAAGATATTTGGGGATTTGATGGAGTTGGGACGATGTCGGAAGGAAGTGGAGGAGAGGTTGGCTGTCCCGACTGAGACGCAATCGCGGCTGATGACCATTAGCTGGGGAATAAAGATTAACGATGCCATAACTGGCAGATTGATGAGCACCCACACTTTGTAACGAGTGATGCATATGTCGAGTCGCTCGTACTCGGTGGTGAAGTGGCGGCGGACGCGAACGCACCACTTATCAGCAATACGAGGAAACCTGGGTCGACAAGCATTTTCTTCACCGGTCCATGACCCAAGCGTCGGTTGCTACGTCGCTGAAGGTTATAAGAGACGCGTCTCGCGGAGTGGCGAAGAAGAGAAGCGGAACAGCTGCTGTGCTCGATTTCGCTCCTCGTGCGACAAGTGCTTCACAGCCCCTAAACATGCGGGCTACATGTCGACCTCCTTCTCAATGCTTATCTTGGCTCGAATACATACCAAGAGTCACTAAGCTACAAATGAGCGTCCCTGCCAGAGCGCAATAGTTAGCCGAGGCTGCGTTACCAATGCTGGACAATGTCCGGAATGTGATTTGTTAGGCGGAATCCTACGGTCACGTGTCACTGGCATTCATCACGTCTCTCCAAACTTCGATGCAAAGTGTACGTGCGTACAGCAGACTGCCCGCGTATATTTGCGCTCGTGAATCTGCTTGTTTGCTCTTGAATATACGAAATCATTTCCTGATATACACGAAGAAGCATGCGTTCAAGCCATCTGCCGTTTGCGGAATTCAGAGCCATGTCCGCTTCCGGTGCTCTTTGTTGTAGCAAAGAATTCATATCAAGTCCTCTCTCAACGATGGGAAATGAACTCAGACGTACCATCCTTAGTTTCTGAGCTTAAGAAATAGTTTCCAAATTTTTATCCCCGCAATGCCGCCATCCCGAGGCTACAATAATCGCGCTTCTCCACGCATGGATCCAGAGGACGCCTATTACTCCAACTCCAGCGATGAGGAACGATTGGATCGTCAAGCCAACGATCGCCGCCTTCGTCAAGCGATTGCTTATTTAGCAAACGAAGGTGGTGAAGACAAACCTGCCACGTATATCCGTCGGATTCAAGCCATCGACGAGCATATCCTCAAAGGATACAGTGCCGAGAACTACGCCTTCGATCCCAGCTTGTATAGGCAGTTACGCGCCATGGTACGAGAAGTTCAGGGCGATCTTGATTATGCTGCCGAGGAGGAAATCGTCATCAACCCGGTGGAGAGCGACGCGAGCGACCCTGAACCCATCGAAGCACTCTATAGAACTGACGATGGACCCGATGATGATGCCGCGGGAGGATCCGATGAAGATTCACCCTCTTCTTCTAACCGAGCCGACCGACTGCTGACATTTCGCAACCCACTTATAAAGGGCAATGGAAAATACGTAGATTGGGATGCTGTACCATCAGAGAAACAATTCAAGTATGGACAAGAGCTCAAAATTCCTCCGGAGAGGTGGCTCAAGACTTTCCCGCCAATGATTCCCTTCGGAGAGACGCTCTACATGCAAGAGTGGGAGAACCTGAAGATCCACTTCGATCTGTCCGAAGCCAAGAACCAGGAAACTGCGGTAACCACCAACGTCCCCTACGAGATTCTTTCGGACGAATTTCATCCCAATGAAGAAACTTTCCAATCCGGCTCTCGTTTCAGACTCCCAAAAATATCCGAGGGAATGAGGAAGCAAGTTGAAAGAAGTATGGATATTGAAAAGACGGTCAATGAGTTCAACAATTTCGTTTCAGCGCGGATCAAGACGAAGCATAACCCTAATAAGGCAACTGTTCGTGCACCTCGACTCTTCCTCAGAAAAGTTTCTTAAGTCACAGACACCATTTGAGCAGTACACAAAGGCGAAGCAAGAAAATTCCAACGACCATACATGCAGACACTAGAATCTGGCGAAACCTCGAAGTTCGTGGAAACAATTGAAGCGCAGTCACATCGCACTATAGTATACCCATAGGCAGTGGATATTCGTTAGACAGATGCCAGGCAAGCTGGGTTCCGAGGGCCGTAATGGTGTTTTTTTGTGAAACTACATCTCTTTCACACATTTCTGGAATTTCATTTTTACTATTCGCTATATCGTATCTTACAATTGATCCATCACATCATTTGACGCGTATTGGGTGAGCAGGTCTCTGTGCAGTTCCCACAAATCATGTGATTAGACCCCTGTTTTTATGTGGCAATTACAGTATGCACCATTTTGAGTGTGGCTCTTTCGTGGCTGCAGCTGTACATCTCTGAGAGCCCTGAGAATGATCATTCCGGCAGAGAAATTAGTGCACGCCCAAAAATTAGATGGCGAGACATATTTCTTTACTATAATCAGTATATTGAATGATAGATTGAATGCGGATTATTTAAAGCCGGCAGCTTCGTGTCTCGGTGATGGAAAAAGTAACAGAGACGAGAGGGCAATCTTGCTAATGCATCAAACAATCACCAGGAGACTAGGAAGTATAGGACAGTCAAAATGTGAAAGGGCCGCGTATATTTTTATGATACAGAATGGCAAATTCCCCAGATCTAATAAAGCAGTACTTCATCATTTAACATATCTTTGTGAAGTCGATTTTACGTTTGGCACGCATAACTAGCTAAAACAGACCCTTTCGCAAATGTGTCTCTAATGGTACCGGGACGGGAACTTTCGCACTTAATTTACCGCAAAGGCGGTAGCATCAGATTATGACCTTCAGGGCGTAACCCGCCAATGCGACCATATATCAGGATAAGAAAACGAACTTGAAGGTGGTGAGACTACGGACCTTTGACGTCGGCTCTCCACCTTCGTCATGTGCGCAATCCCAGTTCTCGGCACAGCAGTCTCGCGTTACGAGGCAAGATCTACATTATTTTCCGAGTGGCCAGCTGATTGAGGCGTCAATGTCCACCAGTCGTAGTAAAGGCTCTTGGAATGCCGCTAGAATCTTCCGCAAGTGCCATGACGCAAGATTGTCTTTCGGGTTTAGCGACGAAATACGAGTATTGCCGCCACCGCATATCAGGGTATCAGAGTGAGCTCTAAGAACTGAAATTTATGAATAGAACTATTGGGATTGTGTGAAACCTCGATCGAAGAAGTAAATGGGTTTGTATGTATGAGCATCGGCGAAGTGTCACATTTCAGACCTGCGAGTCGTATGCATGAAGTTTGGATTCTCATGAGTAGTAGGTATGCGTCTGCTTCCATTGTGGAATACAAGACTATACTTATAATGTTCCCTGTCGGGTTTGGAATACGAATTATGCAACTATGCAACCTCATCTATCTTATACTTGGCTCACAGTACTCAGAGCACGCGGACTTCGGACGTGGGGAATTCTGTGCCACCTAGTCTTGCTGGTCAATATTTGCCCTTGGCCTGCTGCAGTGTATATGTCGCGAAACATTGCAAGCCAGTCAAAAGTCGGCGTAGCCGAGCTCCTGGTGGTTGGATTCTCTTGATACGTCTCAAGGTGTTCCACACCGATAGTTCAGATACATGCTATAATCCCTTTTGCGGAGACATTCGGTGAATCAGCTTCCATTTCCACCCTCCCGGCTCATTCATTAAGAGCAGACGACCGGGTCACCCCCCATATCTTTCATGATGTATATGTAGAACACATCCCGGTTTTTGCACACCAACCACCTGCATCCTTTTCTCCCACGTATCGCCTGTCAAATCATTCGAACCTTTCTTTTGGATCTAAGTAATACCTACGTTTTACCTTGCGCCAATATGGCAGTACTTACCTTGATCTTTGCAGCTTCCGCGTTGTCAGTATACGTACTCTGGAAACTTTTCGAATCTTCTAGAGGTCGAAGAATACCTCGTGGCTTGAAACCCCTGCCTGGGCCCAAAGGTACATCACTCACACTGTTCCAGCATACTCATGCCAATACTGACTTGCAAAAGGATACCCCATCGTGGGTTCCGTACCTGATCTACCCGAGAAGAACAGTTTCATTACCTTTGCAGACTGGGGCAAGATATACGGACCTCTCTATCAGTGCAATCTGGCCGGAACAAACCATGTCTGGATCTCCACGGACAAGATTGCCCACGATCTCTTAGCAAAGAAAGCTGCTATATATTCAGATCGACCACACATACCTGCGCTGATTGACGACAATCGAACGAGCGCACAGTACCTGCCCCTCCTAAGTAAAAATGGTAAAATTGTTTCCTCCAAATTCTAGTACAACAACAGTGTCTGACTCGTCACAGAGGGATGGACGCGGCAGCGCAAATTTGCCAATATCATCATGCGAGAATCCGAAAAAGCAATGTTTCATCGTTATCCTGAAGTAGAAGCAAAACGTATGCTTGTTGAGCTTCTGGACAAACCCGAGCACTACAACCATGCACTGGAGTCTTTCATCTCTCGCGTGACATGCCGTCTTGCATGGGGCCACAGCGAAGCAAGCGACGAGCTCAAGCAACGAGCCCGCGAGCTTCTCATTGGTGTTTCTCCTACCGGTGCTCTCGGCAACAAGATTCCATTCGTCATGGGCCTTCCTGATTGGCTTTCTCCAACCAAAGCATGGGAGCGTAGGCGAGCCAAAACCGAGCGCAGGTTCTTTGAAATGATGCAAGGGCAAGTTGAAAGCGACGTGCTGGAGAAGAAAGCATCACCATCCTGGATGAAATTGTTCCTCGACAGTCGGAGTAAGTGGGGCTTCAAATACGACCTGGAAGGGGCTTATGCGGTTGGTATGCACGGAATTGCTGGGGCTCTTACCATCGCAGCACCCATGCAAACTTTCTGCCTGGCTATGGTCCATTACCCCCAGTTCCTGCCGATCCTTCATGAGGAACTAGATCGCGTTTGTGGGGATAGACTCCCTGTTGCTGAAGACCGACCACATTTGCCCTTTCTACGTGCTGTCATCCGCGAATGCCTTCGTTGGCGGCCACCTGTGCCCACTGGTATTCCTCACGAGCTCACGCAGGATGATGAATACAATGGCTACTTCATCCCCAAGGGCAGTGTCATGCACCCGCTAGAGTGGTAAGTTTCTAACTTCGTAATTTGACTACTGCACAGTCTTACACCCTATAGGGCTATTGCGCGCGACCCAGATCTGTTCCCCGACCCGGAAGCATTCAACCCACTTCGATGGGTCGAGCCAGGCTACCCTACATACCAGGAGCCGCTGACGCAATATCCTACCATCATCAACTCGACGCAATTTGGCTACGGCCGACGAACCTGCCAGGGTCAAACAGTGGCGGACGAAGACATGCTCATCGGCATTGGTTCCATCGCATGGCTCTTCACCATGGAAAAGACAAGAGACGAAGATGATGCGCTAGTATCAGACCCGTTAGTCGCAAATGCAGCAAACGCGAAGAAGCTTTCCATCGGCATGAACGAGAAGGCGTCCATTTCTCAGGAAGAAGTCAACACAGGCGGAAACAAATCCTCCAGCCCCACAATGGAAAAGAAGATACTGGCAAAGTATGAGTACCCCGGCACGAGACCAGCCGCATCGCCGAAATCGAATATGTTGAGGAGTGAGAAGAAAGCCAAAATCGACCCGACGCTCGATTACAGCATCCTGCTGATTGCAAAACCTTTGCCTTTCAAGTTCACTCTCAAACCACGAGATTTGGCGCGTGCCGATATGGTACGTAAATCTTTCGCTGAGGGTAGGGAGAAAGGAGAGTATGAAGACTCGAAGGAGTACTGGGGCGATGAACACGGGAAAGGAAAGGAGTGCGGATGGGGCAAAGTGTAGAGTTCGACCCTGGACCAACTTAGATTTCTTTGTGTGGCGGTTTTATGTGTGAAACGTTATTACTATAGACTGAACTATGGGAGAGGAATACAATACCATCAATCGTACCAATGTCTTTCCATTCTGGCAGTGAACACTAAATTCGTTCTCTATAATACAAAGTTCGATGCTCGTATTAACAAATTTCTTTCTATGTGATGTTACTGTGTCTGCGTAGACACGCCTGCACCCAATAACCTCTCCCGTCCTGAAGCAACACGGCCATCTTCATCGCTAATTCTCCTCCCGGCTTCAAGAATCTCCTCCATCCCAAGCCCCTCGGAATTTAACGCCGCAACATCGAACTCTAAATCCACCTGGTCAAAACAGTCCCGCACAGGCGTTCGCTGATACCCAGCCGCATACTCCGTCCCGCCTTCATCGAGCTCGCCAGACTGCCGTATCGAACCTGCTCTCTCTGTTTCATCATTTGCATCGCCACCCCTCCTAGACGTAGATTCCGATGCACACTCAAAGCCATCATTCGGCTGCTGATGATGCTGTTCACCTCCGTATGTATCTGCGCTCTCGAACCCTTCAACTCCAGCAGAAGTAGTGGCAAGTGTAGCAAACGTGCTCGGCGTTCCCGGCCGACTGGCAGTGAGCACGTCTGCAGCGCGCCCGTACAGCTCGCCGTCGCCGCCGAACTGGTCCCGGAAGTCTGAGCGGCGCTTGAAGTTCTCGAAATCGAGGTCCTCTTCGGGTACGAGCTCGACGGCGGGAAGGGGGAGGTGCTCTCCGTTCGAAGGAGCAATGTGAGTTCCTGTTGGCAGTGCTGACGGTACCGCTGTTGGAATCAAAGCGGGAGTGTGGGTGTGTCCTGGATCCGAGGGGTTCATGTCAGCGAGGAAGATGTCGCTGTAGCCTGTATTTTGGCGGTGTGGCGGGTCGAAGATTGTGTGAGGTTGGTTAGGGTTGGAGGGAGTGTTTGTGAGGGTAGTTTGGGAGGAGCGGTTGCATGGTGTGTTCAGACCAGCAAGAAGATGTTTCGATCCAGAGTGTACCATGGGCGTAAGAAGAGGTTTGTAGAGTGCCGGATGACCAAATCGAACTGCGATTTTATCGTTGCGTCTCGTCTTTGGAATACCGTTGCCACTGTTGCTCACATTTTCTTCTGCGTCGGAGAAAGGCTTCGTGGAGTAGTACATCAGCTTGTCGTCGAAGCTGCGTTTGCAGTAATATTTGAACAGGCCAAGTAGGAAAGGTAACGGGATCATAGCGTATAGCATGTTACCGTTCCTTGCCGCGTTCGTTACCGAATTCCCGCTGCCCACGCCTTGCGCACCTACAACGAGTGCGATGACTGCATTGGCGAGGACGACTGCGAAAAGGAGACGGTTTACAAGCAACTTCCAGAACCTTCCTCCCGACTCGGTTTTGGTGATGAAGACATATTGCAACAGGTACTTTTTGAACCACACCTCGATGCAGAGATAGAAGGCAGTGATGGGAAGAATGATAGGCTGTAAAGTCCCAAAGCAAAGTCCGACGATAGCGATTTGGAGGTAGTTGTTGTAGTAGTCGGCGTACATAAAGGGTTGCGGTGCGGTGAGTTCGATGAGCTGGCGAGGTGTTGGGGAGAAGAAACGCCGCTGAATGTAACTGGAGATAAGAGGCCATGCCTGGGCGAGGTCGATGGCGGCACCCAGATTCTTCTGCATCTGCCATGTCAACCAGAAGGTGCTTACATTGCACAAACCTGCCATTACTTGAGAGAATGGGTGGGCAGATTTGATAGCCTCCCAGACTCCTTGGTCTTGGGCTGCAATGACTGAAGCTACAAAGCGCCATGCGGATCCAAATACGGAAAACACGATCAAATTATTGAAAACGAAGAAGGCGTATAGTCGCGCTGTGACATGGCGCTCACGACTTGTCTTGGATACATCGCCCGAGCTAAGAAGTGATTGAACATCAGTATCATTCAAGTAAGGTTAGAGGGGCCAACATACTGTGTATACAACCGACGAAACATCACCGGGATCGCCATATATATTAAAGTCTGGACCAACGGTGCAAGAATACCTTGCGCGATACCCCAGCCAGTAGGATGTGCTTCGAGATTACCCTGGAATGAAGGCCAAACAAGACCAAGATGTGAAAAATCGGACAGAAAAACAGAAGTAAGAATGTTGGGCACAATGAAGGCCAGCGTGAACAAAACCATCCACATTCCGTCTGTGAATCGACGCCTGCGTCTTGTAGAACGGCTCATGGTTAGATTTTGCCACAGTAAATCATGCGGCTTGGGCGCAAGGTAAACATCGCTACCTGAAGGGCCTTGTTTTCGCGCTGCGTATGCCATAGCATGTGCATCCTCGATGTGCGGATAGCTTGCGAAGCCGTAGGATTCAGGGTTACGCTTTTCCACGCTCTCCCGCACATCTTTAATCTCAGTTTCTAACCTCGTGATTCGATAGGTTAGGTAGTCGATCGCGTCAGCTTTTTTGTTGGGGAATTGCATTCGATCATCTTTAGCGACCTTGCACGTGGGACGAGTCGGCGGTAGCTTGTTGGGATTCCTGAGATATTTTGCCAGAGTTGTTTCTAACGCACGGACTGCATCTTCATGTGCTTTGATCAGAGATGGTAGCTCTTTCATGTTGCGTCCAATTGTTGTGCGAGGGACCGCAGAGGTTTGTATAGCTTCTTCTGCCAGGCTTGCGATTCCTGCATCGGTTCTAAATGATTGTGGAATGTGGGTGAGCTTTTCAGTTGTCAGTGTGTATTCTCGATTCTCTAGGGGATTCTTTCGAATGGGGAAGTGACGGGATAGGCAATATCCCAGCATGCAGATCAAAAAAAATTCGTGGGACTTACCAGAAGCGTTCTGGAGTGGAGGGAGGACTGATAATCATGACTGCTGAAGTATGTTCGTCTTAAAGCATATACTTTTCGATAATTCCACCAGACAAAAAAGCACACAGTACCTTGGAACAGATATGAGCAGACGACGAAAGCCCAGAACTTTGGGCCAAAAATGTATTGCGGCGTAAACTGGAGCCGACGACGTTAGCACTTTTCCACCACTTCCTACACCTCATTCCCAGTTTTAGGATTTTACGTCCCCTAAGTTTAGGAAGACTCACTTTCATCAATGTAGCAATGTTGCTCCACTGCTCATAGAACGCACTCCCACCCACGACATTTACCGGGATCAAAATCCCACATCCCCAAATAGTCAGCACGGCAAATATGTTTCTGATCATCTTGAGAAAGCGTAAGAAGATGACAGCATCCAGTCCGATTTTTTCAACGAGTTCCTGCTCTTTGAAATCGCGGACGACGGGGATCCAGCTGAACAGACTGCGACCGAGAGACGGCGGAGCATGCTTGGTGTCGGCGTGTTTGGCTCGTGGGGCGTATACGCGGGAATTTCGTGGTCTCAGGAGACAAAATATGAGGAAGAGGCCGGATGAGAGTGCGAAGGAATAGACGAGGGCTGCGTAGATAGAATTCGATTGTATCTATGAGGGATCAACTATCAGTAATCATGTCCACCAAAAGAAGATTAGATCTTGACAAAGATAACAGTTTTGCTGATCTGCTTAGGATCATTGCAAGACTTATCATCATCTATGACTGATATGTTTGAGGAACTTCCAAGGGGATCTTGCATGAGAAGAACTCACTTCGCTCTGGAACGGATCCGATATCAAATTCAAAAATTGGTCTGTACTATCGCTCCCCGACGATTGCTGGCGTTTGGCCAAAGGGCTCTCCATGATGCCGTTAGATCAAACCAAAAGACCAAATGCGTAGAACGATAGTGAAGGAAAAGGAGTTCCAATGCATAGAAGATCGATCTTGAATAGTAAGATGGAAAGAGAAATTGAATGAAACAAAGAAAAGAACACAAACGAGACACAAGGAAAGACAACTGCGCAACAGTAGAGCTTACGCCAGCCCGAGATCCACCGTCTTCCCCACAGCAGTTCTAGAATCACAACTCTTTTCCACTTTGCTTGTCTGTTGGGATGTGGAGTATGCGGGATTTCGATCGTCACTGCCTCTTACGTCATCTCGCGTTGTAGTAGTTGAGCATGCTCTACGCTAGTCAAATTGGTGTCGTCGTTGCAATTGACGATTTTTGTGTATGTATCGGTCCTGATCCGAGGAGGGAGACCTTCTGCTATTTTTTTTTCTACTTAGCTGTTGTCTAGCTTGTATCGCCGATGCGATCTGAGCTCGCTCGCCTATATATGTATATATTCACGAGCTCTGTGGGGCAAACATTCATGATTTAATCAATGGGAACCAGCCTATCAATCATTCGAATCGTTCTCCGCAAGTAATGAAGTAGTTCAACCCTTCAATTATCGCGATAACCTCCTTGTCTGGTACCCTAACGCGCCCGACGTGTCAAACAGCCCGTGACATGCAGCCACGAAACGGGCATCGAAAGCTCTTGGCAGGAACCGAGATCGATTCGATGGGAAACGCAATGCGGATCATCACAAGTTGCCGCAGTTGGCCATTTTTTTTTCTTCTCGGCGGTCGAGAACAAAAGGGTCCGCGTCACCACCGAAACCGCCGCGCTTGACTAAGGGGTTAGACCAAAGCTTCTATTTTGGTATGTGCAGTCAGCTAGTGGGGTTGGAAGTGACGTACATTTGGGCTGGATAATAGTAGGAAGCGTACAAGTGTATTGATGACTGTTTATTCATTCATCAACGAATTCAATGACGCTTTTGGACGTCTGTTTATTGAATCCGATGATAGAAGAGGTGATCCGATCATTGAGGAAGGAATTTTCAAACTACAACAGACGCTAGCGAGCGCGCTCCCAGCAACAGCCAATTCTTCAACATCGATCCAGCTACGCATTTCCCTTGACAGATCCAACCGAAACATGAATATCCCACCTCAAATAAGCGCCCGATTCCATGTCGTCCACGGCCTCTTTCCTCTTCTCTCCCACTTCACCAGCGCTCCAAAAACCCTCTTCCTCCCCTGCCCCGGCCATATTCCCTAAAGCGCCAAACACGGCACCAATCCCAATCTCGGTGAAGTCTCTCCGCAGCTCAGGTAGACGATCCGTACTCAGCACATCCTCTTCCACCTTCTCCAGCCCGGCCTCTTCGAACAAAGCCCGCCACCCGTTGGGAGGCCAATTGTATCCGAATCGCTTGGTGAGCCGGGAATTGAGTTGCATTTGGCCCTTGGTAAGCGCGTGGCCAGGCGTTGAAGCAGGATCAGACCCGCGGAATCCTCTCGCCACAAAGAAGTTGCCCTCGGTCCAGATGATAGTGCCACCTGGTTTCAGTAGTTGCACAACATGGCGCAGCGTGGACTCCCAGATGCCGGGGCCCATGGAAATGATGATGAGGCGGATGTTGACGACATCGAATTTCCCATGGAGTTCCGAGGGGAAGGGTTTCTTGAAGTCCCCGAGCGAAAGCGTGACGTTGGAGGGGAGACTACTGCTTGGGAGGAATTGCGCGTCTGAAATGTCATAGCCGAAGAATTGATGAGTTGATGGTGATGTCTTTGAGAGTTCCGAAAGCCAGATGCCAGTTCCTGTGCCGACATCCGCAATTTGTGCATTCGAAGGAAGAGCGGAGGCGATGGAAGGATGAAGGAGGTAGCCTATGCTTCTACAATGATTGTTAGTTTGCAATGAACAGAGAGAGAGAGAGAGAGAGAGAGAGAGAGAAAAGGAGTAGGTACTTAGTCCACGTGTAATGTTGCTTTATCAGACGTTGCTGTTCTGCTGAAGCTCTTCCGAGCCAGTATGGTTCATCGTATGCCATTCTGCGGGATAAGATTGTATGCTGAGAACACTGATGTCGGCCAAGTTCTTTCACACGTATGTAATGTGCGGATGTATCAACTGCAATGTACCCTATGTCCGGCGAATTTGTCGATTGAAGTTTTGTGTCGGAGCCAACCTTGATAGCGGGGCACGACCACGCCACTATGTGAATGAATACGTTCATGGCCATCACGCATCGTTCCATGCGTGTATACCCCTCCAATCGCTTGGAAAGCTTCTTGAGGTTTAGCGTATCAGTAGCTCCACTACGTTCGATCTTCATCTAGTGGGCGAATACAATCATCTGTGTTGAGGATAGAAGTGGTTGTTAAGGAGCAGCAACGTTTGCAGCAACAGAAGAACAGGTCTCTCGAACGCAGATAGTTTGACGGTATTCAAAGAAGCTTGAGCAACACATAGTATTCCTAAACACCCTATAAAATGCATAATGCCCTCAAACAAAACCTGTTTGCTCCCATCCCTACGCTGTGAATTACTGTAAACGGAAACTCTGTGCCGTAAATTAACCACTCCAGACAGCGGGGCCAGGCGCGATATAGTTGGAGGCGGTCTGTTATCAGAGTCAGCAAGAGACTTGTTTTCACGTCTTCCAATGGTAACAATATAGTCTACTTACGTTGTAGATGTTGATTTGAATTCCTGGGTCTGAGGACTTGTAAGCGCCAGGAATGGCGACCAAGGGGCTGGGGTTTCCACTGCCACCGCCAGTAACCTTGATCTGTGCGCAGGAGATGTAGAACTGTGCTCCGTTCGGCTGGCTGGCCTGGTGCAGGGCAATGTGCTCGATGCGGAGCAAGTACTCGCCATCGGGGGTGGCATTGGGGATCTTAACGCTGACGGTTCCCGCATCTGGAGGGGAGGGTCAGCTAACCTCTTCACGATGCAGAGATACCGATATACTTACTCAAACTTGCCCAGCTGAGTCCTCCATTGGCCCTTGATGCAGGCTCGGTGTAGATCTTGAACCACACGTTGCCGCTTCCGTCCCATGTGGCCGCCGTTTGTCCACTTGGTACCTTGGCCATGTAGAACTGCAAAGGACCTTGATGGAAGATGTTGGGGCTCGCCTTGAAGCTGACAGTGCTTCCGGCGGCGACAGATTGGGTGTTGGCAGCACCCCTGTTGCTGCTGGTGTAGCATCGCATCAGACCAGAAGAAACGTCAGAAACACCTGCGTTGCTTTGGAAGTTGGCTGTCTGGCGGACCGAAGACCAATCCGAGGTTCCCTGGATGCTAGGGAAGAGGTCTGTGTATCATATTAGACTTGATATTGGAGCACCCGAAATCTTGAACGTACAGTGGCGTGGCTGAAGAACCGCTGCGTTGACAGAGGTTGCGGTCATGGCCGCACCAAAAGCCGTAGAGAACTTCATGTTTGCAGATGATGTTTTCTTTCAAGATACTGACTGCCTTTCAACACGACCAACACACAGCTCATAGCATTGAGCGTACATACAGTATTTATATGCCAGACCATTATAGTTGTGCGCTCACGTTGTATTCCAAGGTTTGGTGTTGTTAGATTGCATAGATTGCAGATATAGCCGGTGGTTGTACCATGGTGGTGGCATGTATATTACTATATATTGCGAGAACCCCAATCGAGATTGTGGAGCCCCATGATTCGGCTGTTGCGAAGAGCTCGGCTTCTAGGATTGGAAACAAACTGTGCGAGTCACCACACAGAACCTCATCGGTGTTTAACGAGCTCCACAGTAACAGCGCCGTTGATCAGGCACAAGTCTCCGATGATGGGCGCTTTTCAGGCTTCATTTTCTATGCCTCCGCAAGACCTAGTCTCAAGCTCATTACAGCAAAATCGTGAGTTGAACAACTGCTGGACTTTGAACGAGGAAGACTTTATATTGATAAGACGACGCATGATGACCGAATTGAACACGCGATCGGGATGATAACGGTGTCCAAAGCAATGTAATTGATCTCTTCGAGATCGAATTAATCAACTGCGTTCACTTTGAGGTGGCATCGTAAGCATCCCATGTCGATATCATCACGGCGCTAATGCGGTCAGGTCTCGCACGCGACGACGACTGCCGTCTGACGGCACTCTGGACCGTATAACAGCCTTGGAAGCTATGACCGCAAACAGTGCGATAGGTTCTTTCTGGACAACAGGTGGTCGAAAATAGTTTTCGTCTGCGGGCATGGCTTCTTGTAATTATTGATTCAGCCTAGGCGAAGTCTCAGCGTCGGGGCTACCCTGGCTTTGGTGCTTGATAAGTGCTGTACGAATCGCGCTGTGGCTGGTAGCATCGTTATGGAGCACTTTGCCTCTGGTGTGGGAGGTTGCCTGGAATTCAGTTGGATCTATGATGGGTTCCAGTTCCTTTCAATGAGTGTATGAGTAGGCTCATTCCTTCATGGCTATCTCCAGTTCTTTCGTTTCTTTGCTCAAATTTTGCACTTCGTCTTGTCCCATCACAAGCGCGCTAGCTTCAAGATCCCGAACAACACCCTCCAGACTATGCACCAGAGCTACGATTTCAGCGCGCTGCGCAGTAACTGTGGAGAGGAGTTCGGTATTGGCTGTTTGTGTTTCGGCAAGGCGCGTAGTCATTTCGGTAGACTGGTTCTCCAGAAAGGGTAAAAGATGGGCCATGTGTATCTCGGCGGGTGACAGCGTGTGAGGCCTAGGCAGTGCGATTAGCAATCTTCTGCAGTGCTTGCTAGACATGCTGATACTTACGGAATTGGTCTCTCTACTGGTCCACCGTTTGCATTCGCCTCGGCGCGTTTCTTCCTTAGCCTCGCATCTTCAATGCATTGATCCAGCGAATTGAGTAGTTGCACAACATTTCGCCTTGCCATGATATCGTCAAAATTTGTCTTCCAGGTGCGATCCAGCTGATCCACGATCTGACTTCTGAGGTTCTCAAGCACCTCGGGACTATATTGGGCGGCAGTAGGGAAGCATGACGCAAAATTTGCGGGTGAGCATTTATCCAGCGTCGCCTTTACGGCCTGGTTGAAGATGTTGACGAGACCTTGAGCGCGTGGACCGGGCGTGTCTGCGATGGGAGGGGCGGGAACGGGTGACGGCGAGCGCGAGTCGGCAGCAGGCATCTTTATGAATTAATAGTTGATAGCTTGTAGGTGAGTAAGTCGATATGTGGTGAGGAAGCAAATGGCCAAAATGTTCGTTGCCGTTGTCGATGTCGCATGCCCTCTGTTTACCCATTGTTTGGCGGCGACGCGCTAAGATGACAGTTACACGTGATTGGGCGATCCAGCACTTAAATCAATTGATGTAATCAACCCCACCTGTCGATTCCAATTCCTCCAATTCGACAAGACAGCAGGAACATTAAAGATGCATGTGTTCGAATGCACCGTTCGCACGCAAGGAATGATATTATTAATACGAATCATGTTTCCTATGATATAGTATCCAATCCTCATCAGTTTCACCGCGTCTGCTTATAATCACACTCTGGTTTCGTCTCATCTCGAGACAACACTTTGCCTTGTTCACACATTGCTCTTCTCGAAATTCATCAAATTCCGAACACGAACCATATGATGAGGCCCTTTCGGCCTCCTTCTAGCATCATCATGGCCTTGCGACGTCACCGCCGGACCAGCCCTTGCACGCATTGTTGGTGAGGGATCCCGCCTCATCTGGCTGCTGTATAACGTCTCTGCTTCGGCTGCTAGGTTTTCTTTCGGGCCATTGTATATATCATATGTCGCAACTTTAGGGGACTTTGGACTGATTGATGTCTTCAATGGCTGTTGCCCTGACGCACCGCGTTCGATACACACATTGGGACTGAGGACCCTCAATCCTGCATCGGAAATGTGAACACTTTTTGCTGGAGGCTGACTCGCCATCTTGGTTCCGCGAGAAATTGAGGAAAAGGTGAGCTGTTTGCAAGTGTCGGATATATGACGGCTCTTTTTGGTAGCAGCAGGGATGCGATTGGAGATTTTGGATTCCGTATCGGTCTGCTCGGGCTCTGATACGAAAGGATCTCCAGTGGCATAATCTCTGCGACGAGAGGTAACAGATATGGTATGATCTGTCGCAATATCGCTATTTGATATAAAGTTTGAGATGCTGTCAGCATCATCATTGGCATCCGAGACGCCAGACAGCCAGTCTTCAACTAGACTATTTGACTTCTCAATCGCCTTTTGCGCAACCCCTGGTCCCGCATTGATATAACCGGAATCACCAGACCAAGACTCTGATGAGGTTTCGGAAAACTTAATCGATATCGTCCTAGACGGTTTGGTAGCAGCCGATAGCGGTTCTTGTGCATCTACATTCGATTTCCGAAGATAATTCACGTTTCTCAGAAACGCTGACGAATCTAACTTCTCAAAGATTGTAGACGATGATGGTTCCAAGACCACAGGCAACCGAGGGTACTGAACTTTTCCCTGGTCGAGAATTGTGGCGTTGGATTTGCTGATGTCCTCGAAGATCTGCTTCATGCGACTACAGTGTCCGGGCCGAGCAGGCGAACGCGATAAGATGGAGTGATTCACTCGACGTCGACTAGTATTGGCTTCATGGGTAGGTGTGAAAGATGGTATACGCGCTATTTCACGCAAAGCACCCAACGGCACATCGGCTTCTTCATGGTGGTACGACGTTTTCACTGGCGACGAAGGCGTTCGCAGTGCTACTGCCGACTTCATGTAACTCGGTTCAGCACCCGATCGGTCCAAACGGTCTATGATATTGGCTTAGTGTATTTCAGTGTCTTTACAGTATGTGAACATACCTTGAGAGGTGGCAATGTGAAGGCCATTTAACGTTTCAGTCAAACGTGAAACTCCGTGAGATTTGGAGTCGGGTTTGTCCTGGAGAGGCGAGGTGTGTCAGCCGTGAAGATGGACATACGCCAGCCGCAGTGATACTTACAGGGAGATGTGCCATGGAAACCCGTAAGCGCGACAGAAGGTCAACTAAAAGTCCAGGCACTGGCCCCTGGTAGCACCGCCAATGAGAAGCAGCAAAAAGGTGATGCTGAAAAAGTAAAGGCAAATCCTAGCCAACCGATTTTCACGATATTGTTGGATATGTAAGAGATCTGGAGTCTCAACAGACTGACAAAGATGCAGCACTGCCCATTCTGCGCCTGCCCTTGACGTTAGTCGTCGTGACTCAGATGTTGCAGGGGGAAAGCGCGAATATCGCAGCTCCAAACACGTACTTACCTTTTACAGGGTATCATCACGAGCCCCGTAGCTACTGAGGAGCATTTGAAATAGTAGACACAATCGCGAGCTTAATTGATTATATTGATCTCAAGGAGATCCCCCATTCGAAACAAAGGACCCCTACTCTCGCCCTCGTCGTCGTTGTGTCCTTGACATGATGCTACACAGTAGTAATCGAAGGCTGCCGATTACTTGCACGCGCAAGAGGAGGCGGCTGGTCAGTAGCATGGGCTTGCGCGATTAATCCTGCACCTATGCTAAAGTAGGACATTATCAGTATAGCTATAGTTCAGCATATGAAACCTTCTGCAGGAGCCCTTAATGTTGCACTGTTTTCAGCCTTGTTCGTATCCTGGAACAGTACGTATTCATGTTGTTTAAGATGAAGGATGTGAGTGGCTGACGATACCTCTTGCCTAGCTGGCTTGTTCCAGCTTCGATTTGGCTTTTCACTCTCCCAACATTCCAGTATCTTGTGTAAGCAGTCTGTATTTTCACCTGGTTGCTTCGCGCATTTGCAGAGAGAGAGAATATGCACAAGAACGAAACGAAATTCATAACGAGGGTATCTCATGTACGTGGCGCGGCAAGTGCCTAGGCACTCTATGTTTTCAACAATCCCACTTCCTTCCACCAAAGATTACGTCAATATAATCTGTCCTTATCCAGAATTTCCGTCACACCTTGCGATCCATAGAACACAATCTGCGTCCTACTCAGGGACGTCTTGACGGGCTTGGGTGACCTGAAGATCTCAGACAACTCTTCCAGCGTTCTTCTCCTCGTTTCCACATAAAAGAAGTAAATGAAGCCAAACTCAAAGATATCCCAGAAGATGAAGAGAAAATAGTACTTCCACCCAGCACCCGTGAAAGCGATGCCGGTGACGAAAGTGTTGTAGAAACCAGCAATGTTGACCCAGAAGTTGTAAAAGGCCATGCCTTTTGCCCGGGATTCGTAGCGCAGACACTCGACGGGGTAAAGCTGTTGTAAGGGAGTATATCCGGCAGCGAAGACGAAGCCGAAAATGAAGATGAAAGCGATGACGGCTTTTGCTTGACCAGTGCTCTTGATGAGTGGTGTGTCGTTCTCGTCGAGTATGGGATTGCCATCTGGGCCATTGACGGTGTTGGTGGCAACGAGGGCGCAGACAATGATGAAAATGATGACGATTAAACCAGTCGAGACCAAAAGCTGGGGACGGCGTCCCCACTTATCAGTATATACGGCACCAAAGATAGCGCCTGCAAAGCCGATTACATTCTGCATGCCGTTGTATAGTAGACGAGTATGATTGTCCGTGATGCCTGCACCTTGAAGTATTGTAGGATAGTAATAAGACACGGGACCGTTCCCAGACCATTGGCCAAAGATACCCATGGAGAGGACCAGCATGGTGCGGTAACGTTGCTCACGCGAGTTGAAAAGCTCTCGGTAATCCCACCACCGTTTGTCGGATCCTGTGACTGAGATGTCTTCCACCATCTCCTTGTACTCGAGCTGAACAATGGGTGAGTCGCGACTGCCTTCACCGTGGTATTTGGCCATTGTGTTGAGCGCTTCTTCGTGTCGGTCGTTGGCAATTAACCATCTAAATCGCGTGGTCAGTACATTCTTCCTCATGATCTGCTCCAATTCCAAGAATATTTGCTTACCGCGGTGTTTCCGGGAGGAAAGGCGAGCAGAGCAAGACGACGCCAGCGAACACCATTTGTAACCAGACGGGTATACGCCAAGACCGGGTTCCAGGCATGGTTGATGTAGCGAATGGAATAAACGTCCCGGGAATGCCACCGACAAACCAGAACGTGTTGAAGATTCCAGTCATAACGCCTCGATAAGCAGGGTGAGACATTTCTGAGGCGTATGCAGGGCCTGCCGTCGAAGTGATAGCGACGCCGAAACCCAATATGAACCGGCCACCCATGAAGCCACCCAGATTGTGGGTAGTAGCCTGGACACAGGTTCCCACCATGATGATTATACATCCAATGAACATACCCCACTTCCGGCCTCTAAAGTCAGTGGCCGGTCCAGCAGCAAAAGACCCAACCAGATTTCCAATGGTATAGATGGCGTACACTATTCCGGTTTCTGGCGTTCCTTTGGTTTTGTCGAAGCCGAAATACTCTCGATATTGCGGGTAGGAGTTAATGGCACCCATCAGTGAACCATCGTAGCCGTTTATACACGAATTCAAGGTCGCAATAAGTAAACACAGGTAGAGCTTGAACATGGCCGGGGTCCATGGTGACAGGACAGCTTTGGCAGTTGCGTCGGCTAACGCAACATTTTCTGTCGTCCTGATTGTTGGTTTGAGTTCCATGTGGGACGCCGTAGCGCCCTTTCTCTTTGCCACCATGTGTGCTATGCGAGTAGCTTCCTGAGAAGCATACAGCCGGCAAAGCAAACCGTCTTAGGTCGAAGGATGAGTGGTCCCACCGTGGGCTTGAGAAGAGGGCGTGAGAGCTCGAGCTACGAAGAAAACAGTCCCAAGGCTGGGGTAGGGCCGCATTACATATACCGAGTAATAAATAAGGCGCAATGACCCCCTGGTTCTCGAAATAAGTACCAGTGGAGAGCGACACGGCTGACATGAGGTTTACGAGCGAGCTATCCCCTCCCGTTGGTAGATAGCCGGGGTGGACAACAACCAAAGGCTTTCTTGGGGCGGGTGATTGGAGGATAAGCATGTAAGCTTTGGGAGCAGGGACAACGGTGAGGGCGGCGGCCCCTGTCCATTTACTTGCATGGGGTTCTAAAGTCATTCTAGATGCGGCGCCTGTGTCGCATGATGGTATTTGCCGTGCATTTCGAGATGCAATGTTCTGCTGCTGCAACGAGAGACCGTCTCTGCACGGCTTGAACCTGCCCCTTGGTTCCTCTCTTTTTCTGCGTGCACCCGAAGTCCTTGATCCCTCCCTCTTGGAGTTGAACACTCATCTTCCTTCCGCTATGATGAAGGGCAGTCGATTGTGTTTTTCTCTTCGAAAAGGAAAGAATTGGTGGTCTCCAAAAGGCCACCTAAATTCTCCCAGGGAGCCGCGGGCCGTTCTACCTACCAATTCATCCTTCGCGCCAAAAGCAAGACGACAAGCCTCGCCACAAGAGATTTCCAGAACGAACAACGAATGCAATCAAAGCGACCGCGATCGGCATGCGGGGTACTGATATCCGCGGTTGGTCAGCTGGAGCGCAATCGCTGTGATTTTGTGGGGAAATGGATAACACCGCTCGACCAGGTAACAATTCCATGATGGACATATTAATTTCGACGAGGGTTCGGAACGGAGGCGAGTCACCCGTGCCAGAAACAGATTAGCGTTCTTATCTACATGCTTCCCCATTCCATGTCATGATATGTGTAGTACACCTTTTTTCCACGTTAATAATATATTTCTCTCGTCGCTTTCATATTTCATCTATGTCTGGATGGAACTCTGTCTCCCGGCAATCAATCTGAGCAAGACAATCCTTGCTGCGCAGTGCACGTGTTTGCCCCAAGGTGAGATTGTCGGAGAGAAGAGTTGTCTCTTAAGATGGAGTGGTGATGTGAACCCCCACACTCCACGTACAACTAAACAAGCCAGGTACAGATACACCATGTATGCACCATACCAATCATCATATGATATCTCCTTTCGACTCTTTCTTCAAGCCGGGTATCCAAACTGATGAATGACTGAACCTAAAAGAATGCCACCTTATATAACTCCTCCCGATCCAAAAGAAAAGGCGCGAAGACCTCATCTCGCAGCGCCCACCAGCCAATCCCAGATTCCACCTTCTCGGGTACCCGATTCCCATCCAGTATAGGCTCTGGCGACGGCCACTATACATGCTCCTAGCACGCTCATGCCACCCAACACTTTGACCAGCACAAACCCACGTCGTCGGACTTCATCGCTGAAATCGCACAGGCCCAGAGGATCACGTGAATCCAGTCCGTTAGCCCTGTACCGCTGCCTAGACTCTTCTGTCTTCGTGGTAATGCTGCGTTTTGTGACAGCCCAGTCCGCTCTCGGTGACCCTCCTGGTGAAGCGACAATGTTGCCGCTTGCCACCTCTTCGCCAACTCGTTCCAGAAGCCACTTTGCTCTTTCGGTCCGTTGTAGATCGTCATATCTTTCACGTTCATTGCGTAGGCTTCTTTGGAGGTCTGTCGCCCATTTTGCTAGCCGCACTTCTGCCAACTTCTGTTCGCCGTGTGCAGCTTGCTGGTATCGAGCCAGTTGAAAATCACTCGGCTGACCACCATTATCGAGCTGTGTGTGCGACAGTGATGGTGATGCAGGAAACGGTGAGTGTAATGTAGAGTTATAAAAGGGAGATCCCATTGGAGGGACAAGGACTCCCGAGGGCGAGGTAGACGAGAACAATGATGAATTTGCTGATGCTAGTGTGTGTCAGTATTAGCCCACGATCTTCTGTGGGTCGTACTATGATTTGGATATGGGGACATACTGTTGATTGCTGCCCCAGTCAGTCCTACAGAGCCACTTGAAACACTACCGCGTTTAATTGAGGACTTCTGCATGTCTGGTAGGATGAAGGATTCCTCTGGAAGCTTTGTGCGGCGGCGCCAGGCAAGAAATTTCTTTGCGGCCGCATATCGAAGCCAGGCGATTGACTCGGGGTCAAACACTCGACTGACAAGAGCAGTGAGTTCGGAAGGAAGAATAGGCTGCACATAGTCGGGCGACATGAGCAAGGAAGCATCCATAGTCTCAGTGTCGGGACCAAGTATTGATGAGACGGCGTAAGGATACGTAGGAATACTGAAGGGGAACTGCTTGTTTTCGGTCGCCTCCACATCATCCGAGGGCGATGGTTCATTTTGTGGGAGTCCTTGTACGGTGAGCAATGCGTCATCAATAGCAGTACCGAACAGAAATGGTTTGATAGATGTGAGCTGCAAACGAGCCAGGATAGAAGTTTTGATCGCTATCAGTTCGGTGGGCGAAAGTGTATCGGACTTGGCAATAATCGGTATAACGTTAGTGAGCTGAGACATACGCTGCATATATTCAATATGACGTGTAATATCATGAGCTGTACAAGTAAGCAGGATGTTGATGAAGTCAGGTCAACACAACTCACACGGCGGCAGCAAATAGAGAATGGCATCCACAGAAATGCCTCCGCTTCCCCCAACAATTCCCACCAGATCATTGTCGTCCAAAGTAGTCATAGAGGTAGTCTGGTACAGCTGCGACTCGATGTAGTCGATCACATGGCTCATGTCATCGACTTTTGAGGCTAAGTTGAAACCTGGAGTGTCTACAAAGCATATGTTTCTCTCCAACACAGCATCGGTGGTAGAACTTTTACGTTTCTTTGATGTCCGAGACTCCTCCATATCAGTCCACCAAGAAGGATATGGCTTGGTGCTTGCATGCATCTCGACGATCCGTGAAGTACCTGCAGGTACATTCTTTTGTTTACGAGACGAGGTTTTGAGGGATGATGGCGGTTGTATTATTGAGCTCGAAGGTGAAAGGTCGTCCACATAAACAATATCGTCGCACGATTGCACGATTGATCGAATCAATGAAGTCTTCCCAATACCTGCCATATGGCGTCAGCATGAGTCCGTTGATCGTAGAAAGATGAACCGGTCGGCATACCAGCTTCACCTGCGACAAGCAATTTGAGTTTTCCCATGGCTTTGCCTTTGTCCGTGAATGGTCTTCGCGATGGCATTTGGATACTGGGCATTACTAGTTGAGGAAAGCTGTCGAGACTATCTGGCATGACATCATCTTCGTCCTCCTCACTGGATGCAACAGCTTGACTAGCCACATCATCCGACCCTGGCTCTTCATCAGATAGCTTCAGCGATTGTACGGACGTAGATCGAGGGGTGCTAGACATGACCGACGTGGGGACTGGAGAGCAGGAATCGGGATGGAGAGGAGTGAGCGGATTGGACAGAGTATTGTTGGAAGGCTTCTGTTTAAGCAGCCGTGTAGGGTACGGCCTGTTCTCAGTCTCTCTTCGCGAGATCTTGGGAGAGGTGGGTAAGGACTGTCTAGATGAATCATTTGCTTGAGCATCACTTGCACGGACATGATCGATTGTGGAGTCGTCTGAGCGAGCCTCATGCCCGAAAGCGGCTTCCAGTGTGTCTGCGAGGCTTTGCACGCCATAATTACTGCTGCGCTGTCTTGCTGTAAGCTCAGAAGAGCGGGAGGCAGCTAGCGACTGTTCCATTTCCTCCTCACTCTTCATGTAGAAGGCGGTGGGGACATGGCCGGCGATGGGTGGAGGATCGGCGAGACTCGACTTGCGGGATCGCGGTTTCGCGGCTGGCAGGGCGTCGCCGCCCGATAGCGGTCTCATATTTTACTCGAGAGGACAAAGTCTTGCGGCGTGCCGTGACAAACAAAGTCAAAGAGCGTGGTTCGAAGTCTTGCATCTACAGTGTACCAGAGTGGTGAGGTAAGGTAAGTCATTCGGTGGAATGCCGCGAGCGTAGCACTCCCCGCGTGACCCCGCCTTGAGCTGTCCGTGAGTCTAACCTCTTTGAGCCTGCCTATCGGGCTGGAGACAAAGATAAAGTGATGAGTATGAGAGATTGAAACCGACAAAACTGTATTGCGGATGATGGGTGCCTGGGTAGAGAAGAGTGTAGTTCAACGCAGGTGGATAGGTGGATAGGAAAGCCTTCAGGCCGCCTGCAGCTTGTCGTTGCTATTATTTGCCCCAGCTGGCTGACGGGCCGCCGCAGGGCAAGCTGCTAACCCCATCCCCATGCCTATGCCCATCCGATGGAGCAACAAATCACAGCCTTCACCAGCCCTCCATCATTGAATGCCATCTCGAACCGCATCACGCCAAAATATCACAATGCCAATGCTGGTGGTGGTGGTAGAACCGGTTGTATCTTTCAGTCTATTATACAGTGACACCTTTTTTTTTTCCACTTGTATTGCCCCGTAGATTCGTTCACCCGCCCGCGACGCCCGCCCTGCGTTCTGGGAAACATTGCCGTATAAACACTTGCAACACCCCCTAGACCGTTTGAACCTGCCGTGACGCTCCTCCTATCCAGGCCAGCCGACCCCATATATGCCGTTGAGAAAAGAGGATATCAAAACATGAACACGGGAAAAGAAAGACTAATAAGTTGATGGAAAAACACACGGTCGAACGGGTACATACGATACAGGAAAATGCCAGAAAAGGGAGTCGCTATGCAAAGGTGCTCGGGTGCCATAGCATGAAAGAGTAGGCGCCCAACTTTTGTCGAAAGGGAATTGTGGTTTTTGGGTCGGACAATCGCTGAAGGGCGGACGGATACAGTACACGTAAAACAAATCGTCAATCATCATGCTGATGCCTAGAGTCATGACAGCAATGACGACACCGAAGGGAATAAGAACGAAGGAGCGTGAATGCTGTTAGGCGTTCAAGCCTCGGGGGCAGCGCCACGGCCGCGAACAGAGCCGCCACGGCCGCCGCCGCGCTGGAAGTTGTTACCACGCTGAGAACCACCCATGCTGCCACGGCCGCGGGGAGCGCCGCCACGAGGGAAGAATGGCTGAGGAGGACGCGTGCGGCGCTCTTCAACCTTGATCTCAATGCCGTTCACGGTGTGGGGATTGGCATTGACGGCAGCTTGGAATCCGGCGGGTGTCTTGAAGTCAACGAAAGCACAGTTCTATTATCAAAGTGTCAGTGATGGAACGCTTAACAATGATGATTGCATCATCTTACCTTGCCACGGCTGATGTCCAAATACTCGACCTCGCCGAATTTAGACATAGCACTCTTCAAAGCACCTTCTTCGACTTGGCTATACACGTTCTTGATGTAGGCGCGCTTTTGGTCAGCATCGGAAGCGACTTGGTTCTGAACACGCGACTGTTCCTTTTTGTGACCGACACTCTGCCACCCGGCAGCTTCACCCTGGCTGTTAGCGGGCGAAGCTTCGCGGGCGGGCGCAGAGACTTGGGCGGGCACAGCCGACGGCTGGCTGGGTGCGGGTGTGGCAGCAGCCTTGGCCTGCGATGGGGCCTGCTGGCTGCTAGAAGGAACAGCAGGCATGGCAACCTTGTGTGCTGAAGCAGCAAGGCTTGCCCAAGTACGTGGGGCAGCAGGCTTGGGAGGAGCGGACGGCGTAGCAACAGGGGCAGCCTTGGGTGCGGCAGCGGGTGTAGGTGCTGGCTCCTTGGGCTTTTCGGGCTCTGCGACCTCCTCTTTGGCGGGCACCTCGGGCTCTACAATTGGTTCCTCGGTAGCGGCCGGAGTCTCTTCAGATTGCGCCGCTTCAGTGGCCTCTGTGGCGGGGGTACCGTTGGTAGCAGGTGCCGCTTCCTCGCTGACAGGCTCCTCTTTCACCGCTTCATCGAGCTTATCGTCAACCTTGGCTAGGTTCTCTTCGTTGGAGGTAATCTGGGCACTAGAAACCTCCTCGGGGGCGACATCAGCAGGAGCCGACTCTTGCGCACCAGCGACCGAGGTCGAAGGTTCTTGTTGAAGTTCCTCCTCCTCTTCCAAGTCCTCAGCGAGATACCGGAAGATGTCGTTGAGAACGAAGTAGCCATTGGTCTGCTCTGCCAATATGAAAGTCTGGACAAATCGCTTGTGCGGTTGGCCCCTGTTGGAGATCTCGCCGATAACTTGAATGACAATGTTTGCGTCGGAGCCTTGGGAGTCGACGTTGGTGACGCGGACCTTGGTGTCATGGAAATCGAGTTCCTTGATACGATCGTTGATAGCCTGTGAATTCCTCTGTCAGCTAAACTTGTCGCCAGTTGATTATAAATGATAATACCTTCTGACCAACGCATACGTTGACCTTGTCCTCCTCGGTACCAGAGACGAATTGCGATCGCTTGTTGTAGAAGAGCTGCGTGTAGTGTTAACCATGGATCTCCTTTCCCGTACAAATAGCACCCAACTTACGTATAGCTTATCAGGCGTCTTGCTCAAAGTGGTGTAGTACTGCTCCACGAAGTACCAGCCAACCTCGTCCTTGGGGATCTGGTCAGCGGGCGCGTTGTTTGCTGGCTGGCTGGCGGCGGCGGGCTGAGCAGAGTAGCTGGCAGCATTGTTCGCCACAGCGTCGTATCCCTGAGGCGCATAGTTGCCATTGACGGGAATGGAGTCGGTGCTAGCCATCTCGACAGGATATTGCTGAGGGTATCTGTGGGATCGAGATCGCGAGTGCTCCCAGCGTATAGGTATAGAGATAGGTTTTAGGCTGTATCAGAAAACCACAGAGGATCTATGAGAGCAGTCAGCGAGGCAAGCAGAGAGAGCACAGCGCTGCTGTCACGAGAGACTACGGACTTAGCTGTGGTCTGGAGGGAGGAGTGGTGAGAGAGCCGATAGCCAAGTGAGTGTGACGTAGGCTGTCTGATGCTAATTAGTTGGATTTAAATGGGGAAAGGTCGTGTAGATATGAGGAGAATGATAGATGTGAGGATGGAGATCGATGACCAAAGGTGGCGGGTGAGGACGATGATTGTTGTGCGTGAGGAGCAACGAAGAGGAAATTTGCGACTAAGCGTCTGGTCGATTTGAAGCGGGACCGTGCACCCCGGCCCGCATACATGTACCAAGTAAGTACTCAAGTAACTATCTACTTGCCTACTTCTTATGTATTTCCATGTATTTTGTGTCTACTCACCTGTCTTCCTACTTCGTGATGATTTTTAGATACATGCATATGTACTTTGCCGGTCACTATTCACCACCAAAATGGAAATTAATCAACAGGCAGTCTTGCACTGTCAATCTCTGAGGCGGAAATTGTGCTACGTGAGCTGTTGTGTTCAATATTGATTGTATCTGACAGCTACTGCCGCCCATTAGGTTCTGCAGCACAAGCCGTATGTGACCGTATCAATGTTTCCAGGTTCCATCCGTACAAGTCTGTTGTCCGAGCGATAATTGTAGAAAGATTCGAGGCGTGACATTGGGACTCTGGGATTGGAGCAGAAAGTTGCACATGGATTTTGCACGTCCATCGCCTATTTATCTCGAGCTGAAGTGCAGAAGTGAATGACATTGTAAGGTAGAAGAGGTCACAACTAACCTTGCGCACTGATCACAGGGGAATACGGTCTGAAACCGGGAAGTTGGCTGCTTGTATGGACCCTGAGCCACTGCATGCAGCTTGCCGGACCACCTGGATTGTCGCAGACGGCTCGGGAAAGAGTATCAATTGGAACACTTTTCACGCCTTTGACAAACTCAAACAAGCAAGGACGCCCTGGAAATTCATAGATATTCTCTTCAATAATTGTTCTCGCAACGCATATCTATTGGAAAAACAAATCGCACACATTCATCGGAGACCTTGCTGTGTGGTATGTTGGATACTGCGGGACAGCAACGACTCAGACGCCAAACGCAAACCAACGTACTACTGATCTTCATTGAATTTGTTGCTTCAGTTTACTATATCCTATGAACGTATCTATCTTGAAAGAAAAGAAAAAAATCTGCAATTAATCACGAAAGGCAAGTGTTAACAACGGATGTGTGAGCGACCAGAACCTGAGGGTTGACCTTAATGAGTCGCAATGGAGATTATCTTGAAAGTGGGCTTAAAACCCCATTGCCACATCTGACTAGTAGCACTGAAGTAAATTCCTCGCCCTTGGCCAGCCTCGTGCTCGCGCAGAAACAACGCGAAAGTCGAGATCTGACCTCAGAGCCTCGGCCAAAAGATATACAAGTTCTTAGTATGTATTTAGCTTATTAAGATTTTGATCTAAGACGGCAAAAGAATCGAAGCATACGGAGATAATCACTTCACAAGTCCGATTGACCAAGAAACGCTGAGATATCTGCCCGATCTTACGAGTAAAGCTTATCTTGACTTGACCTATTAGTTATGTTAAACTATTTCGCTACTCGAACTCAGTTGATGTCTTGCATATACCGACGGGAGGCTGTTTCATGATGCACATCGGAGATTTTTTTTTGTTCTAAAAAAGAATTCGAAGTTGAAGTGTTTCCTGCACTCAAAAAGGCAGATAGAAGAAAATTACAAGAAGCAGCCGGTAACAAAAAGTTCCAGTATCTCGGAGAAGTCGCACAAATGTACATCTCCGATGTACGAAATTAGCACCATTTGTCTCGGTATCCACATAAAGCGAGCCACCGAGTCGCGCTTGGAGTCCAGCCGAGGACCCTAAGCACTATCCAGTATCTTATAAGTTGGCTTGGTCCATGTTTCAAATGGATTGTCTCAAAACCGATCACCGTGTTGCCGGGAATTCCTATCGACAATCTGAGCTGGTCTTGACAAACGAACCGGATTAAATCATGTCAACTACCGCCACAACTCCAGTTCCTTCTGAGAATGGCTCACTGCGCCATGACAAGATTCTAGATGTTGAACAGCCAGCTGTCGACGAAGCCGGCGAAAAAGCCGCTGGATCAGCACCCGAGCCCATCAGTCCATTCCACCCAAGCCAGTTCCCAGACGGGGGTAAAGATGCATGGCTCTGCCTTTTGGGTTCAGCATGTTGCCTCTTCTGCAGCTTCGGCTGGCTCAACTGCGTTGGTGTCTTCCAGAGTTACTACTCGCAGAACCAACTGCAAGATTATAGTGCTTCTCAAATTGCATGGATAGCATCACTTGAGATTTGTAAGTGCAGAAGCAAACAAGATTGCTCAAGAAGCCGAAGACTGATCTAATATAGTTATGATGTTCCTTCCTGGCCCACTCGTCGGGTTTTTCTACGACAATGTCGGGCCTAAGCCCCTCTTGTTGGTCGGCGGCTTCTTCCACGTCTTTGGTCTCATGATGACAAGTTTGTGTACAGAATACTATCAATTCATTCTTGCACAGGGTATCTGCAGTCCCCTTGGTCTCAACTGTATTTTCAATGCTGGACTGAACACTATTCCTACCTGGTTCCTGAAAAAACGAGGACTGGCCTTCGGGATCATGGCTGCCGGCAGTGGTTTGGGTGGAATCATCTTCCCCATCATGGCATCGCATCTCATACCATCTATTGGATTCGGTTGGACCATGAGAACCTTCGGTTTCGTCATCTTAGGACTTTTGGTAATTGCTTGTGCCACAGTCAAATCACGCCTTTCGCCTCGGCCCCGTAAATGGCAACTGGCTGTTTTCATCGAGCCATTCCAGGATACTCGCTACACACTCACCGTCATCTCAGCCTTCGTCTTTTTCTTTGGGCTGTTCATTCCTATCAACTATATTGAGATTCAAGCGCTTTCGAGTGGCATGTCTCAGCGATTGGCTGGTTATCTTTTGTCTATCCTCAATGCAGCAAGGTATGTCAACCCCGAAATCCACATCTTTCTTTCTTTCTTTCCCAGGAAAACTGACTCTTCTTGCTCGTAGTATCTTTGGGCGCGTCATTCCTGGTGCTTTGGCTGATAAATTCGGCCCCTATAATTTCCAGAGTATCATGGCCTATGTCTCGGCAATCATCGTGCTTGTGCTGGGTCTCACAGCCTCTAACAATGCTGCTTTCATTGTGTACGCAGTCTTGTACGGCTTTTCACAGGGCGCCTACGTCTCTCTTCTTCCTGCACAAATTTCCAGTATTTCAAAGGTGGAGCAGATCGGCATTCGTACTGGCGTCCTATTTTCGATCACCAGCTTCGCAGGGTTAGCAAGTAATCCTATTGCCGGCGCTCTATTAGGGGGCAGTAGCCATGGAAACGCAGCTGGTTACGATAAGTTGAGTATTTTCTCAGGTTGCATGTTGATGGGTGGTGCAGTCTTGTTCACTGTTGCGAGAACATATATAGCTCGTTGGAAACTATTTACAAGGGTATAGTGTCCTCGAGGATGTTACTCCGTTTCGTTTAGGTCACAGATTGGGACATAATGTCGCACTCTAGTAAAAGGCGGATATGTATCATATAGATTTCTGGCGCATTTGTTAGATTATATCCATGAGATAGACATGACAATAGATATCAAGATGACGATGAGATATTGATTTCCTCAACATACTAATATGCGCGATGAAGTTTAGATACCTGCTCTCATCATTCCTTTTGTATCACATACCCGACCAACCCAAATAACATCATCCGCTTACTACAACTCCACAATAACGAAGAAGATATATTATCGGCTGTCTGCATGGCTACTGATCAACTTGGACCGCGGAATGCTCGTCCCACAAAGGCAACAGCAATCGGCGCTAAAACACTAGCGGCTCTTGCCTTCACGACACCGACATATAGACCGCTCCTCAGGCCTCACCATGCGATTTTCGACACGCGCTTACACTCTTCCGAGATCCCATGGTGTCAATTGTAATGATCTTGCTGTTTCTAAACCTGGATGATTATGCTACACTACGTCTACTAAGCGAGCGGTAGAACTGCACGTTCAGCGCTTACGGACTCACATACGACCGGTGATTCGCTCGTTCGACGGTACCATGCATACCGTAGCCGCCCTCACGAACTCTGGCATACTGACCGCATCCGCAAGCATAAAACTGAGACTGTGCCACAATGGGATAGAAGCAGCAAAAGGAGGATTCTCCCCGCTGCGAACTGCAAGCCTCGTTCTACCAGCAACCGGTGTATCCTTTGCACTCATTCAGTTCACCGATCTAGCATACCGGAGGTGCTCATGCTACTCCAAAGCACACCGGAATCTCTTCTGTTGGTGGCTGTGGAAGTTTTCCTCCTTTTGCGAGCGATCCTAGTACGTATTAATCTCTGGAAAGCCAATGCTTCGGTTACACTCATTTTTCGATGATTGGACTAATAGGGACGAGAACAGCCATTGCATATACGTCTCGATACTTTCGAGTACGCTATATCCCGCAAGCAAGCTCAATGGAGACTCCTGAACAGACAACAACTGGACAGCAAGCGATGCCGGAAACGAGGGCGAAGACCGGGGCAACAACACAAACTACCATTGCCTCTGTTCCAGACTGGCCCCTTGAAGCTCAGACATTAAAGAAGAAGACATGGACTCGCTATATGTACATACTTGGAGATATTCTCTTAGTTCTACTGCCGATTTACTTCATACGTAAGTCATGTTGCATTGGATACTCTTGCCAGTGTGGGTAGCAGGGCTGAAGTATAGACTAATCATTTGTTCACAGTACTTGGTGTCGCTGTTGTCACGCTCAATGGGAAGCCCACTAAAGATAACCGATTTGGGGAAAAAGTGGAAGCTGCCATTCAACTAGTAAGTACTATCTGTATTAAATCGATCGATCCTAACCATATTTCAGGGCCCTACCATATTCCCGATAGTGTTTGCCGCGATTTGCGGTAGAAGTATGAAGATGATTGCCCGTTACATTGCTGAGCGACGTGCGAAACTCGGTGTAAGTTTTGATTAATTGATACAGCACTCTGATTTCCTTTATCTCTCTATATACTGACTGCATGCAGACATTAGAGCTACTCATGGCAAGCCAGTCAGTGTGGGGCACTATTGAAAGCCAATTTCTTATGCAGCGTCTTACACTTGTTGGTGTCAACCTCTTATTTCTCTGGGCTCTATCGCCACTCGGTGGTCAAGCTTCCTTGCGGTTGATGAATCGAGGAGATAAACTGTACGAGAGTACTGAAAAAATTCGTTATATGAGTACTGGGCCAGGCAGTATTTTCTGGGGACTGTCTACCACGTACGTAGACAGTGGGAAATTTGCCGATGCGACAGCTTTATACAACACTGCACTCATGGCACCCGTGTCAAACAAACTTGGTCCCCGAGATCCATGGGGAAATGTTAAGATTCCTCGCTTGGAGCAGTACAGCATTTCCTCGACCGAGTGGCATGATGTTCCAGCAGCCATGGAATCTGCAGAAGCGTACTCTTCCTTGGTCGGGCTGCCAATCGTTGGGCTACCGGCTCATGATGATTCATCTTTCACTGTAGAGACTACGTACCTTACGGTCAACTGCACACCTTTCGGCAAGACGTACATCCCGAAGTTAGAAGGAGCAGGGAATAATGAAGAAAACTGGCCTCTGATTGAGAAGTTAGTCCCTGGTCAAGTCTGGAAAAACAAATCAGAACAAGGAACGAATCCATTCGGGCTAGGTGATATTGGCGCACCGAACGTTGATAAAACTTCATTCTTCATAGACACTGACCGGCCCTTGTGGAGCCAGTCGGAGCAGACATTGGAGAATGCGGCATACTTACAGCGATTCGAAGCGTCGCTTGGAAGCACCAATGTCTCTTTACTCGTTGGTGGGAATAGCTCTTTTCGGGAACCTCGAAATCTGCTGTACGCCACGAAAAGTCCTCGACAGCGCGAAGACGGAACTTTCAGAACGAACGAATTAAACCTCGGTGTCACAAAATGTGCACTCACTCAAACCCACGTCGAGGTTATGATCCAATGTTCCGGAGAGTTATGTGCTGCGAGGAAGCTGAGGACATCGTTATCAGACAAACGGTCTCCCAATTACACTGGTATGTTCAGGGTACGAAGTGCACTGCGGCTCCGCGTTACAACCATCTAGGATCTTACTATGTAATTCGTTTTGCAGCTTTGATGATGCACGGTATTGCTCTTAGTAAGACCTAACTGACTTTCCATTCTTTCTATCTAGGTCTTGAGCATACGCTTGTCATGCAAGGGTTCACGGCTGAGTTTCCATTCGCAGTGGCTCCAGCAGTGGGCAGCAGCAGTGCTACCGAGCACTTTTTAAACGACAGTTCAGACTACCCATTTGTGAGAAACAATCGACATGGTGGTAACGACGTAGATGTTCTCTATGTGGACTTAGCCCAAGTCCCGAGCGACATCTTTTCGCGAAGACTGAGTTCGCTGTTGAGCACTTTCTATCAGCTTACGATACAGCCTTCTGGATATTGGGGGAGCCTTCCTAACAACCTGTCATTGTATGGCCCTGATGTATTGCCAGTGGATGATTTCCAATACTATTTTCCCGGTAACAAGTCTATTTCAAATTCGACTCTAGAAGAATGGGGGGTCGAGGTGATTACAATGATGGATAAAGAAATAACCGCGCCCTTCATCGGAGCAACCACTACGGCGAACGTCACGTCAACGGAACAAGTCTTCGTCTGCCAATACGCTTGGTTGGCTCTTCTATTAACATGTTCTACGACCATCCTCCTGACCGGATTCGCTGGCTTAGTACTGAAGAGGAGGACATTGGGACCCGAGGTATGTATAAAATCATAGAATGCTGCGTAGTAGCATATGTAATCACCGGAAGAAGACCCAAGCAAGCCATAGCTAACTCGCACATATAGTTGTTTGGCTTTGTTGCCAGCATGACTTATGAAAATCCATACGTACGCATTCCGGAAGGAGGGAGCACGCTGGACGCCATGGAGAGAGCGAAATTACTAAAGGACGTGGAGGTGTGCGTCGGTGACGTTCATGGCGACGGTGTCACTGGGCACATCGCCTTTTCCGCCGGGGTTCCCGTCCGGAAACTATGGCGAGGGAGGCTGTACGCATAACGAAGTGTGCATAGCAGGTAGCCTCGATATTGGTCCACTTGGTATAAACAGACCGACTGCCTAAGATGGGATGATAGGCGAGCGGAGGATTGTTTCGAAGCGAATCCCAGCACGCACCAGATGCAACATCGGAATGTTCTTCCTTCCTCCTTTGGCCACGACTATTTGTATTCTTCATGCGTTTCAGAAGAGGCCAATGGTCAGTAGAGCTTTTGGGGTGACGGCCTTGTTCTCGAAGAGTCCGCTATGTTTCGCGGCGAACTCAGCCACAGCCCAAGTAGCGCGATTGGCATGTCGCTGTGGTGTGTGCCGGGTTTTATCGGTCATTGCGGACGCGGGTGCTGCTAATGCCCTATAGGCACGTCGGAAGAAAGCATGTCAGTGGATGCGAGGCCATGCAAGATGTCCAAGATGCGATGACTTCATGGCGCGCGACCATGTTGAGAAGAGTAGGCAGGATGGAGTCTTTGGTCGACACGGGGCCATGACGGGGCGAGCGGCGGCGGGTCGACGATCTCTATAGCCGAGCGCTCCCTTCAGGGCCAATCTCTGGGCTCGAAGCAGAGAAAAATGTGACAGGCGGTCCTGCAGGAGTCAAGCTTTGGTGGTGGTGGTGAAGGACCCAGACGGTGGAGAAGCCACGACAGCTCGGAAGGGGGATGCAGATGGGGAGTCGCCAATCATGCGGCGGCGACATGGGGCATCCAAGGGCAGGTGCGACGCCCTAGTGCCAGTGCCTCCTCTGCGGCCCGCTTAGCGACTGCAGTGCCAGCCAATCGCCAGAACAAGACATGTGCAAAGCCATACTCTCCACCATCCACACCAGCACGACAAGGTTGAGCGGCCGTCGGCGACGCCACCACTCCCCCAGCCAGGCACACTCTTCAGTGTACCTGCATACGGCCCTACTGATCATCGCCCTTTCTTTGGCTGGCGAGCTCAGGCGACCGCCCCAGTCCAGTTTCAAACATAAACGCTCGACCAGGTGGAGAACCGCATGACATGGCCACCTCCCACGCCTGGATGCCATTGTTTGGTTTTCGGACTTCTTGCCTCGAAACTCTCGCTCAGATTACGGATCATCGAAGGGGTTCCAGTAAATGGAGCAGGGGTGTATTGTGGATACTGCCAGTACTACGTACAAATGTTTTCCAGATGGATAGATATATAAACGCTGTTCCACAGCCCTCTCCGAAGAAACATCATCATCACAACACATTCTCTCATTCCTTCGACTTCTTTCCGCTTTTGCAAAGCTTTCTTCTCTTCTAGCCAGGTGCTATTGTCTTCATTTTTCAAACTCATTCACTCTCTCAACAACTTTGCTTTCCAGCACTTCCCACTCTTTCATCATTTTCAAGATGTCTCTCCGCTCCGCTCTCTTCGCAGTCGCCGCGCTCCTCGCCGCCACGGCCGAGTCCCACATTATCATGTCCAACCCAGTTCCTTACAGCAACGACAAGATCGACAATAGCCCCATCACCAAGGCCCAGTTCCCTTGCAAGTCCCAGAATGGATTCACTGTCACCAAGATGAACGCCATCAAGGTCGGAGAGAAGCAGCAGGTCTCTTTCAAGGGCACTGCCGTCCACGGTGGTGGATCTTGCCAGCTCAGCTACACTCCCGACACTGAGCCAACCGCAAACTCCAAGTTCAAGGTCATCAAGAGTATCGAGGGAGGATGCCCAGGCGTTGAGGGTGGAACCAAGACCTTCGATTACACCCTTCCCGATGTCATTCCTAACGGCAAGGGCTCGTTCGTTTGGACCTGGAACAGCAAGATGGCGGGCCAGCCCGAGCTTTACATGAACTGTGCTCCCATCGACGTCTCTGGCGGCGCCAGTGATGATTCTGGACTCGACACCCTTCCCGACACTCTCTTCGCCAACGTTGGTGTAAACAGCTGCAAGCAGGTTACGAACAAAGCCATCAAGTTTCCCAACCCTGGCAAAGAAGTTGAGGACGGTGGCCTCGGTGACGCTGTCGCTCCCGAGGGCGACTGCGGCTCTTCTGGCGGCTCCGGCGATAGCAGCCCTGCTCCTGGTAGCGGTGCCTCCTCTGCACCTGCATCCAAGCCTACATCTGCTGCCGCTGGTCAACCTTCATCCGCTGCCGCTGGTCAACCTTCATCCGCTGCCGCTGGTCAACCTTCATCTGCTGCCGCGGGCCAACCTTCGTCTGCTCCTGCTGCTTCCAAGCCCACTCCAACAGGAGGTGTCTTCGCTCCTGGGGCCTCCAGCGCTGCTTCTAAGCCTACCACTCTTTCAACTGCTATTGCTCCTTCTGCTCCCGCTGGAACTGCCTCGCCTCCCGCTGGAACTGGTGCCCCCTCCGCAGGCGCTCCCTCTACCGGTGCTCCTTCGACTGGTTCTCCTTCGACTGGCGCTCCTTCGACTGGCGCTCCCTCTGCAGGTGGTGCCACGGGTTCTTGCTCGGAAGATGGTGCCATTGTCTGCAACGGTGCTACTCAATTCGGCATCTGCAACAAGGGGCAGGTCACTTGGCAGGCTGTCGCCGCTGGTACACAGTGTGCCAACGGTGTCATCGCCAAGCGTGGCTACAATGGCCGCATCGCTCGTCCTCGCTACTAAGTGATTATGTCGATGAGCCTACGAATTCTTTCCTACACATGATGACTTTTTTCCTGGTGGCTGGTTGGGGGCATGGTCGAGTTATCTTGGGTGTACATTCTCTTCTTCTCTTCTTTTCCTCATTGCAGCCTGATGTCTGAGACTGAACGGTTGCGGTGGGCTTCTTCCTTTTGGGTTTTGCTTCGCAATTCCCATTTTTCTTGTTTCTTTTGGTTCATTGGGTTTCCTTGGCATTGCATAGCGGGAAGATTTTGGATATCTCCCGAGAAGAATGATGACATCCTCAAAGCGCTTGAGATGCATCACACAAACAACCTATGATTGGTACATACATACGGGACAAGTTTAGCTCCCTTTTCTAGAAAATGAAAATTGAGTTTCTCTCATAACAATGTGCAGCTTTCCATAAGTATTACGAGTGTCAACCTTGGAACGGCCTTGTTCCGCGAACATTGATAAACAGATACATCCAGCGTCTAAATTATCTTCACGCTTCCAATCTCCAAGGACAATTGCAAAAATGCGACTTTGCAAACTTGGCCAGTCGACATGCGCACATGCAAAGAACGTCTTACCTGCCTATTTGTCCGACCACGGCATTGCCGAGTTCGCCTTGCCCGCAACCCCTTCCCTGCCCCCCCTGCCCTCTTGCTGCACGCCTCCTTGCCCCTTGGTGCCTGATCGACATCCACCCCCGTTTCCACATCCGAAATGAAAGGGAGCAACACCAGATCGTTGATCAAGCCTATCAAATCCACCTTCTTTTCTTATCCATTTTTTCTTTCTTTTCCTGGATTTGACTTCCTCCCTCCTTCCTTGCGGGAAGAGGGATTGAATCCCCTGCGCATACGGGTTTCATGCTATTTTATCTTTTCTTTGTTTCTTTTTTCTTTTCTTTGGGAATGGAGATTTTGTTGGTGAGGGATTCTGTTGTGGGGTGGGGTTGGAAGGTTGTGCATGGCTTTTGTCTCAGGGTAAGTTTAGGTACATACCTACCTACCTTTCTGTAACTGGAGTTGGAGGGATTGCAATGGTCTTTCTTTCTGGTGACGGGTAGTTTAGTTTTTTTTTATTCTAGTCCATGCTATATTTTTATCCTCACTTCATATTTGGAATGTTTTCATAAAGTTATGTTTATAATTCATGGTTCTTGGGATTAGTTATGCGATTGTTCGATTTCTGGAATGCTTCCATGTCTTGTTGCGGAGCATTTTACGCTCGTGTATGCACAGTCGGGCGCACAGCGAGACACGGCACAAGCACAATCCTGAATCAACCACTGGGAATCTCAAGTTCCATTTTTGGGCGAGTAAGTCAGAAAGTTCTTCCAGTGTGGCAATTGGAATTCCTGGCGACTCGATGGATTATCCGTTTACACGGTAGTCTTGCCAGTCGATCTCGCTCAGCTGGACTGGGGGTTTCACTCCAGTAATCAAGGTCAGCTCAGCAAGGATACAAACACCCTCCTCATCGCGCGAAGAAGGCTCAAAAACCTGTCAATAGCAGAGCAGTGGCAAAACTATATGCAATAGTAAAAACAGGGTGCAATAGTATAGCTCCTTCGCAGCCTTCCCGCGGGGATAAGAATCGAAAGGAAAGGCTAACCTCCTGCCCTCGTTTCACCTTCCGAGGCAACACCCTCGTCGAAGTATGTGTGCAACTTGTCAAGTAGGTTGGGTCGCAAGACTCCAAGGGAGACCCAGCGTCGAGTCCAGAGGCCATTTAGTTAGCCTACTACATCTGTCTTGCGAAATCCTCGCATTGCGCATGACTTTTGATTCTCTCTTTGGGGGTTGCTGTTGCGTTCGTGGCGAAGTCATACTCTACCCTCCCTCTAGAGGTAGGTCGGACCAAGATGTGACATGGAAAAGCCCCCCAGGTCACGGAACCCACATCGGCTCTCTTTTTCGGATTAGCGATATTCATGCGCTGAGTAGGGGTGCCTCTGCTAACAGTATGCTTTTCTGGCTTTCCTTCGATCATCCTTGTGGCTTGGGCTTGTGGCTCAGCTTCCTTTTCTTTTCTTGGGGGGTGGAGCAGAATGCACAATGGCGAAGCGTTGGAAAGCAAACTCTTTTTTCCTTCTTCTTGCCATGCGCGGAAGAAGAAAAATATTCTAGCGGCTCGAGCTATTTGAAAAGGATATAACTGCGAGCGAGTAAGAAGTCGAGATGGAGAAACTACACCTGTGCGAAAACTCAGTTGATCCGGCTTGTGTTGAGTTTTCACGATCCGTCTGGTAGAGAAGGAATTGCGAGTGTACAACCATGGTTTCCGTCTACTCACTGTTCGCTGGCTTGCCCAAAAAATCTCAAAAAACTTATTTTGTCTGATCAGTCGGCGGATGGGGAATGAGAATACTATTGATAATGGATGGTTGTCATATACCAGGATGCCTTACGCACCGTTTCGATTCCACCCAAGACTTTGGGAAATCTTACTTTTGAACGGTGGGTGGGCATTACGTGAAAGCAAACTGCCAGTTGTCGACGGACTTTTCTCCTACTTACCCGTTTAGGCATGTTGACATATCTTTACATAAACACCACAGTAACAACGCAAAGTCGGTTCCGCACATCACGTAGCAGTCCGGATAGTTTCACAGTCGCGCCATCACACCCAAGCGAAGGAAACATAAACATCACCAGCATCGATTGCATGGATGGCATCAACGGACTCATTGGGCGCCTTACCTACCTATGTACACATGTACCTACACACGTGCAAGACATTCTTACCCAACCCATGCTCTCTCTCACCACCAGCAATCTACCACAGACAACCCCCTCTTCTCTGGCCGTAGTCCGAATAAGAATACCACATCGCACGCAGTCCTTCCCAATCCTCCGCAATCAATCCTCCTTCCGCATCCTACGTCACGATAACCTTATCCTTATCATTCTCTCCGTTCCCGAAAGCAAAGCCTCGACCTGGTCTAAGCGTCTTATTCCGCAAGCATCGTTCATGCAAAACTAGTGTGCAAGAATGAAAAAGTCCGTTTGCATTGTTCCGCGTAGATCCTGCGAGACGCTGGGGGCGCTGATGGGAGAGAGAACATGCCAGATGCGGGGCGAGCTGATGTGAGATTGTGGCGCTGCGTCGTGGGTTTGGTTCGTCAAACACCAGGGTCCATCGACAATTGTCCGTGTATGGGGTTTAAAGCTCCTATCGTACAGATGGATTGGTAGTGTTTGAGATGTGATGACGAGGGAGGGGAGAGTTGGGGACCTAAATTCGTTATGATGTGAGCGATTGACGTTATTCGGCCAGTGTAGAGCGCATGAGGCGCGCTGGGACATTGGAGTGAAGATTAAGCACACATTCTACTACCCACGAGCATGTTCCTTCGCTCGCCGCGCCGCATTCATGCATAGCATTACTTGCAACTGCTAGGCCACCATGTGGTTCAAGTCAGGGTTCGCCGATCGTGGGGTATGTCTGATAGATAGATGCGAGGTTTAGTGTCTAGTGGCTCCGGACTTGCCAATGTTTCATTCTGCATCAACACGCTTAGTTTCAACACATCTCGTATGTACATGTACGCAATGCATTCGAGTGCTGCGCCTCCACGTTACTACGTTGGTTTTGTTTCTCATCGTCAGGCAAACAACGATTGCGTAAGTGGAAGGAAGGAATGAAGGATCCTCAACGTCGTTAATGCAACACGTTCCTTCGTAGGGATGTTTCATCATCTTGAAACAAACACCACCAATGCATGTGAATCTCGCGGATCTATTGCTTCTTTCTGTTGTTTTCTTTTTTAGCTGGTTTCAAAGGTACGTGTACAGGTTTTCTCCTCGCTTTTCGTCTCTACCGAAGCCGTGTTTGAGCCATGATACCTAAATAGAGTGGCGTCACCGAGTCTTGGAGAATGTAAAGCATAGGCCCGAGAATGTTTACTTGGGTGCTTCAGGAAGTTTTTACGAACTAGTAATTTCTAGTATAGCTACTGATCTTACTATAGCTCGCTCCGCATTCTCTACCTGCTCTATATCAGATAGGTTTGAAGAACGGATGAAGGATGTTGCCTCAGAGCATCTTCTATCACCAAGAAGTTTTGCAACGCAGATGAGCTATCGTCCACATGATGAGAACACGCGTATGAGGAACAATATTTTCCGTTCCATATCACTCTGGAGCTGTTGATTCATTAGTTTCTTCTTCAATCATACACTGATTCTAAGATCAATATAACACCTCAAGCTTTATCCTTGTATTCATATCCAAGTCGCCTATTCTTTTCGTGGAATATCGTGTCTACTAGCATCACCCAAATTCCCATGTCAAGACTTATTGATGCGCATTTTCAAAGACTGACGAACTGTTTGGTAATCGCCTGTTTTTTTGGTACTTTGTTTCGCTGTAGATATCGCTGTGTGTGGGAATACCCGAACTCCAACTCCAAATTTCGTTATATTCAATGACACGGGTTTGTCTTCTGGGGTATGCACACTCAACCTCTACCAAACTCAGTATTGATGTCTACCAATACTCAAAAATGATACCACTTATCTATACCAATGGGCCATTGACAGTGGGGGGTGGATAGATGGTCTGATCAGCTGCTCTCCTCAAATATCTACCCAAGCTAAAATTAAAGAGTGCATGGGCTGAAATGTAACAGTGTCAAATATCACTACATGGCAGGGCACAAGCGTAATAGTAACCGGGACAAGAACCATAGTGCTCGATGCCTATACTGACCAGCGCTAATGGGATTATAATTGCGTAAACGGACAGATGGGTGTTTTGCAGATTTTCAATTGTTTTTTTCTTTTCTGCTCTATCTTTTTGTTTGTCTTGCTAAGTTTTGTTCATAGAAAGCTAATTCATGTATACATATGTTACATACAGGGAACACGCTGGAAGGAAGGGCAAAAGACGACTATGTAACATCCTCTGATCAGAATACTGGAGACTGGAGCTACACGACGAGAACAGTCGCCCTCTTCCTTGAGCATAACACAGACATTCAAGAATCCAGTACCCTCGTATCACAGCACGCAGTAGGAGCTGTGCATTCAGATATTTCTCAGCAATCAACGTACAGTCTAGTTAGATGAATCATGCAGCAAGACTCCTCCGTGGCTTCTTTCTCTCCGAAGGTCCTGCTGTTGAAACCATGATCGCATCCGGAGCCGGTGTAGCATCACTGCTCTTGATCCTGTCATCTGCATCTGCGGCACCTTCTTTGGGTAATCTGAATGCAAGATACGTCTCTTCTGCTCGCCTTGTTGTGTCGAAAACATCGTTCATATACTTCTCAACCATGTCCGGTGGACGGACAGCACGGGGAAGCGATTGCAACACTTCGTGGTTGGCAGTGAGAATGAGAAATGTGACGGGCTGGTGGAATTCGATCTCTTTCATATCCTTTCTCTCGTCGTAGTCCTCGATCCGGGGCGGTGGAACGTATGGTGCCACTGGCTTCGCGGTTGACTTTGGGGTAGGTACCAGCGGCGCCTGTCCAGGTGTCTGGATCCCGTTGGGTGGTGGAAGAGGGTTAGGCGTCATAGCAGGCGTCATAGCAGGCGTCGTGGTAGGTGTCATACTAGGTGTCGCAGGAGGCTCAACCTTGGGCGCAGGTGTTGAGGGTGCATTCACCACTGCTTCCGGCTTCTGTTGGGGCTCGGGTTTCGGCTTCATCTTCGTGATGAGAAACGAGAATTTGGCGCCCTGTGTCCCGGGAAGCCACTCCATGAAGCTGTAAGTAGGAAAGTAGAATTTGTCTCCGTTGCCTTCCTTGAAATCAAAAACCAGCGGCCTATAAGTTGTTGGTCTCTCTACATGCGGGGCAGGCATATATCGAGGCATATGTGGCTGTTGCTGGGGAGGTGGGTATGGTTGGCGCGGAACCTGATTATTTGGATGGTTGCTATAGGGGTTGGAGTAGGGCACATGGGGAGATGGTGCCGGAGGCATGGGCGCCTGGTATGGTTGCGAGGACGCTGGATTGTACGGATTGGACGCGAGGCTCGGTCGTTTTGGTGGTGGTTGCATACCTGCACCTGGTGGTAATGGAGGTGGTACGTTTGTTGGATGGGGAGCCGGAGAGGGTACATGCGGGGGTGGAGGATTTGTAGCAGTCGGTCGAGGAGGAGCGGCGGCGGGCTGAACATGCGAGGGAGGTTGGGGATGTACTTGTACAGAAACTTGTGGGGGAACCTGTGGGCTCGCATGACTTGGGCCCGGGGGAGCAGGTTGCGGAGACAATTGCGGAGGAGCTTGAGGAGTTTGTGGAGGTCGTGGAGGTGCCTGCGAGGGAGATGGGGCAGCTTGTGGAATAGTATGTACCCCTTGGGGTGACGGTTGCACAGATTTCGGTGTAGGTTGCGCAACCTGAGGGGGAGGGTGTGAAGGATTTTGTAGAGTTTGAGGAGTTTGGGATTGGGGTGGCTGCGTTGTTTGAGGAGTTGATTGGGAGGCCTGCGAAGGGGGTCGTGGTATGTTCGAGGGAGTCTGTGGAGTCTGAGACGGAGGTCGTGGGATCTGACCTGGAGGCTTTGGAGGTTGCGAGGAACTCGGTGGAGGAGCAGGAGCCCGTGGAGAGGCTTTTGCTGCCGCGTCCTTCTGCTTCTGTAATATATTTGTCAATTCATTGATGTGACCCTGGAAGAATTCCAGCTGTTCCTTGGTAGCCTGTCCGGCAGCAACAATCTTCATAACAGACTTCAATTCCGCGTCATGACCTGCCCGTTGAGCTAGCATGTGGATAACGGGATCGGGTGCCGGGGCCTGGGCAGCTACGGGCACAGGTTGCGGTGCTTTTGGCGGTGGAGGGGGTTTGGGCTGTGGGGGCCTCGGGGGAGGCGGAGGCTGTTGATATGCAGGCTGGACGTGATTGTATTGATATGTGCCCGGCTGATTATGATTCCCCCATTGGCCATATGTGGTGGTGGTCTTCTTTGGCGCAGGTTTGATTACCTCACGCGGACCATAAAGACGGATAGTGAAGGTATGAGGTTCAATGACGAGCTGAGCCTCTCCCACCAGAGGAAAGTTGCGCCCGATTTCCTTCTGGCGCTGCATGTTCGCCTTGTCCTCATCGCTACGGTCCGCCACCTTCTTCGGGGGGACAAAATGAGCATGGAAGAGGCGAAAGTTTACACCAGAGACCCATACTGTTCGCGATCGCTGGAGAGATGCGCTGAGTACGCCGCTATGCTGTATGTCCTGATATTCGCGAGCTGGGAGATCGAGCGGTTGGGGCTCCGACAATGTTGGCAGCGGCTGGCCGTCGGCTACGCGAATGGGCAAGACTTGTTTCGGGGGTTGCTGAGCGGGTGCAGTCTCAGCTTCGACATCGATGGCAGGCGTCGTACGGGCATCCTTGGCCGGGACGCTGCTCCGCTTGCGCTTCAGAGCAGCCTGGGACGGTGGTTGGGCCTGTGGTTGTTGAGATTGGGATTTGGATGATTTGCCGGGTGTCTCCTTCGCGGGCACTGCTGGAGCTGGTTGAGCCTCTTCGCGCGCGCGAGCTCTCGTTGAGCGCCGTGGCTCCGACATGTTGCGACCATGCAGATGTGTCGTGGTGATGTATCACTTGCAATCCATCATGCAAAGCAGGAAGCTATCTGGGGCGTGTCTCAAGAAAACACGAGCTAGGCCGCTTCTAGACTAGCTTGTCAACCACGTGTGGCTATAGGGCCATGGAGCGACGCGGTGTATGTCGTATGAGGCAAAGTGCCGTCTCCTTTCTCACCAACACCAACAACAACCCCAGCAGGATACTGGCGTGCTTGTATCATGTGTATAGCATTTGGAATCCGGCCAGGTCTCTCAGAGGGCCAGCCTGTGAAGGTGGTAAATAGAGCCAACAGAGCGAAATCATCTCGACCATGACAATCCCAAAGTTCGCCTTCAGGTCCATTGCTTGCAGTGACTATCCAACGCACCTTGCTTGCCTCGACATCATTGTCGATCCACAACGCGGAATTACTCTCCGACTAGTCGCAACCAAGCCCGATCCTTAGGCCTATAGGGCAAGCTACGGCATTAACTAGGGCGAGCCGCCCATTAATTCCACCTACTTTGCAGCCCAATTCCTTCGTTCCTCCCGTCAATTCCCTTTCTTGCCTGCGTAATTGTCCCTCAACATGCACTCTTTAATACATCTTGCGACTATCCTCACTCTCTCGTCGCGGACCCTTTCGGATTGTTTCTTCCCCAATGGCGACCGGTCATTCTCCGATACAAGTGCGTCCTAAGCTTCCATGGGCTCCCACTACTTTGGCACTGACAAGCTGCAGTATGTAACCCTGACGCACTGGTATCTTCATGTTGCTATGATGTGTGTATTCTCCACCTCCAATCTTTGGTAGCCCATGGACCAGACTAATACTCCAGAAAGAATCAAGCATGTCTTTCCAACGGACTGTGTGTGAGCGACCCTCTGGACGCACAAAAAGCCAGAATCCACAGAGGCACCTGCAGTGACAAGACATGGAAAAGTGGGAATTGCCCCCGATCTTGCTTGAGTGTCGAGGACAACGGCGCACCTGTATATCCTTGCAACCAAACTGGCACGGATTCCTACTGCTGCTTCGACAATTGCAAATGCAATGATGACACTTTCGAGACCTTCAAGTTTCCGGATCTTGACGTCTACACTGTCACCATTATTGGCGCAGCTTTCACCCAAACACATCAATCGTCGACCTCATCCTCTTCTACCCCATCCTCTTCGACCGTTGCATCGATCTCGACTCATGACGCACCCGTACCAGTCGCAACCTCAGCCTCAAATCCCGTAGAAGCCTCCAACCTCCCTCTCAGCAGCGACGCCGCGGCTGCCCCGACATCTTCAGGCGAGCCATCACAATCCACGTCATCCGTCACCATTGGAGTGGGAGTGGGAGTCAGCGTTGGAGCGGCTCTCCTGCTCGGCGCCGGCGCATTCTTCTTCTTCTGGAGAAGAGGGAAGAACAAGGAACAGCAGCAACAACAACAGCAGCACGACCACCACCACCAAAATTTCGCCAACAACCCTTACGCAAACGATACAGCGGCCAGCACCCACGGGATCCCGAACTACTCGGAAATGGACAACAACGAGGCTCCTGTGCCCTACTTCCCCACGCAGAAATATGCCCACTATGCTTCGGAAAGCCCGGTCGCACCATCCCAAAGGTAAATTACGATCCTGCTTGCTGCACTTTTGGCTGTGTATTTATGGGAAGATGGTTAAGCTAACATGGCCTGGTAGATCAATCAACGATGAGCACCTTTTCAACACCCCACCCGTCGAGCTGGCTTCGAACCCGCGATCAGACCCCGTCGAGCTCCCCGCAAGCCCATCGTATAACTCCAAGATGGAGAAGAAGAGGCCGTTTTGAGATTCGCAGCTGCTTACTAGACGAACCGAACTGCAGGAGGGTCCGGCCCAGTCCGGTCCAGTCCGTGCATGGCGCCTTGGGTGCATATATATGTATAAATAGATGGAATAATGGAGACACAAGCATCGCAAGTCTGATGCCCTTTGCGAGTTTCCCTGGTAGATGGAAGATACGCACGAGGCGAAGGAAAGGAAGAACCCCGTCTACGGACTGCATTGGTCTACCTTCCGCCGCCCACAGCGCGTAAATCGCCACAGGCATCAAACGTGCAACGATCCACGCCCGCGTACAAGATGGGGAAAATATAATCCACGTTGTCCTGGTTCATGATCGCATCCCACGGTCGTCACCATTGTACCATTCTTTTTTTTTCTCACTTCCTATTCGTATATACCCCAAAGCTCAATTCATCCTGTACCATTTGGGAGCGCAGAGTCCAAGGTCTCTCCAGAAGAATTAAAGACCACCTCTTCCATCTATCCATCAGTCTTATTTATTCCTTGATATCTCTTTGGGGTCTTCTTCTTGATTTCTTAAATCTTACCCTGGTTTAGGATCAAGGGCAAAACAATGGCTATAGAGTACTCGTATATAATAAACACATGTAGACATACAACTTGCGACCCACGAATTCCAGCACTTGCACCATCACCACCACCACAATCTAATAGGATCTGACGGCTGGATCTACATCGTTCAACTCAGCTATCTCACTACCCGCAATCTACTCAACGTCCAGCCCAGGCCGGAACATTTTCCTCTGGAAAGAGCGTCTGACAGCGAGTGCAACCTGCGGCCACCCCACAATCTCATTATGCCCGCCATATTTGACAATCTCCAGCTCCACCGTACGCTCGCCGTTCGCGTCCTCGACGCTTCTGTAGGCAAAAGCGCCACGGCGCACTCTTTCCTTGCCGTGGATGCTCATGCGCTCCTCGGCTGCCGAAACGCCTTCCTCCCTCAGGAGTAGCGTTTCTAGCGGCGTGTAGAGCTGCTCAGATAGTTTGAAGCCAATGTCTTGGTCGTTGCGCGCATGCAGAAGTGCGAGGTGGAGCGGGACTTTCGCGTCTGCCGTCACCGTGATGAGGGCTTCGAGGCGGGCGAGAGTTTCCCAAGAGTCGAGGATCCTGCGGGCAAAGAAGTTGCGGATGCGCGGGTAAGGGGTAAGTGGAGAGAAGATGGGGAACACGCCGCCGATTTTGTAGGTGTCGAGGAGGTTTGAGAGAGATGTAAAGGAAGAAACAAGAATGACCCCAGCGAAGTTTTGAGGTTCCTTGGGGGGCGGTGAAGGGTGCACTAGGTTGGAAGGAAGGTTGGGAGAGTTTGGATCGGCAAAGTAGAGCGCTGTTGCGGAGGTCACTGCTGTGCCTAGGCTTTGACCAAGAAGAACGGTTCGAGAGGCTGGGTGGTTGAGGTTGTTCAGAATGTAGGAAACAAGAGAAATCGCGTCAGTGATTAAACCGGTTTCTGTCGGGATGTGCGGTGCGTTCTTGAGAGATGACTTTCCAAATCCGCGGTAATCGCAGGTCAGTAGGTGAGTGTGAGGTATGCCGGATATGGAACGATACGTTGACGGCCTCCACCCTTGAGCTACGTGGCCTGCATTCTAGGACAGGTTAGAGAATACTGTTCTCCAAATGCGTACGTGATACTACTCACTCCGTGAAAGTTGACCACTACTCTGCTCTTCACGTCCTTTTTCAAGAACATGGCACCCACGCTCGACTGGAAGTCATCAACCACGCCACCCGTGGTCTTCATGGCGATCTCATGTTCGTTTTTCAGATATACGTCCATTGGGAGGACGTGCCAACAGAATAATTGTTCGCCATCACTCGTATCGAGCCAGAACGGCGTGACCTGCCCCTCTAAGGTTTCATTAGCTCTCAATCTCCTCAGTGCTCATCATTTTCACAATTTTTCTTCTATTTCTTCCCACCCCTTGATGATAGCAGAGAATGAGGAAACAACAACATACTAGCAAACCCAAACTCCTCCGGATTCACAATATTATGCCAGCCATCTGAATTGACCTTATGCATATATAGCGCACTGTGGTACTGATAGTCAGCGCTCGCTTCAAATCCGCGTGGTCACATCTATATTTCCACTAGGTAGACCCTTGCATCTCGTCCATGGTATAGCCCACGAAGAGACTCAGACAAATTATCACAAAGAGAAAGAGAAAACTCACTGTCGCTGAAACCACCCCGAGCAAAGCGCAAGCACAAAACAAGCATAGGATGCGCCCAATGCGAAAAGCCCCCAATAGCTCTTCTTCAATATCGGAACGAGCTCCATAGCTGGTGCCTATTCCTCGTACAAGGACAGAAGTAGATAACCCCCTCCCTTCTATTTTCTTTTCTGCCCAGTCCCTTGCTCTTTTTTATTTGCTTTTTTGTTAAACCGTGTGCTTCTTAGATCCGATGCCGAATGTGCGAGTAATCGTATTCAGGTGTTTGTCGTTTAATCTCGAGTGTGATTGGATAACCACGCGCGATGGGTAGGCAAATGCCGATGTAGAAAAGCGGTTCCGATACAATTCACAACAATGAACTAAAGAAAATTGCCATTCCACGCTCCCCAATGACACAAAGAAATAGGGGGAAGTGCAGGTGATGATGGCAACGGAGATGGGCGATGGGTCGGTGATGTTGTTTGAAGTTGGAGATAAGTGATCCGGTCCGTGCTAGACCTCATCTGGAAGGAGATAAACGTCGCAGCTTCATCTAGTGTGCAGCCTTGGCAAGAGCATGCGCGTGTCGTTGTGCTCAAAGACTCACCTTCTTTTCTATTCTACTTGATAATATACTTGACTTTTAGTTGTTGGATTGAGAAGCGTGGTCACAGATTTGAGCAAGGTGCCCAATATACAGCGCACATATTTCAGTGATATCGATGAAAAGACTGTTTCAATTCAATCATTCGAGTTCGCAAGTGCACTTTCCTTCCGCACTTCTTCCTATTCTACGCCAGTGTGCAAAATCATCCACAAAAACTAAAAGGGTCCAAATGTTTATTTGACAACCTCCGTCCTCTCCTCCCGGACAGCATCCTTCTCCTCGATGGTCGTGGGTGAGTGGGCATGCGCCTCACGGTCTCCATGTTCAATCTGCTTGACCAACTCCGTAACACCGAAGAGATCGTCCATCTTCTCGAGGGACATACCCTTGGTTTCGGGGATGAAGAACCAAACGAAGAAAAACATGGCGAAGCAGAAGGAGGCGTAGATGATGAAGGCACTGTTACGATAATTAACAAAGTGATGAATGGTCCGCACAGAAATTGACTTACCCGTATCCTTGCCTTCCGGCTGTGACCATCATGACTGGAGTAGCACGTGCAACGACGAAGTTGAAGAGCCATTGCGTTGCGGCCGCGATGGCGACGTTCATGGAACGGAGACGCGCTGTGGGGATTTCGGAGACGTAGATCCAGCAAACTGAAGTATTGCAGATATGGTTAGCTTGGTTCGACTTGTAGTTCTTCATCCACAGCAAGTTGGATCGAGGGGAAATACTAACCAGGACCCCATCCCCATTGGAAGAATCCAGCAAACAAGAAGACACAGACGAGCGAGAAGTAACCGGCAGGAGGAATAGCGGCGCCTTCCTTGGGAGGCGCAATGCGAACGTACAAGCCAATGTACAACATGGCTGCTCCTTGCGCAATGGAGGTCCACAGCAACGACCTACGACGCCCAAGAGAATCGGCGGCCAGGATCAAGAAGACGGCGCAGGCAACCATCTTGACGACTCCATAGATACCGGTCGCGAAGAGGTTAGTGTTGGTACCCTGGACACCGAGGGCCTTGAAGATGAGCGGCGCGTAGTAGTTGATGGCATTGGTACCTGTCATCTGCTGGCAAACCATGAGGGCAATCGAGAGTAACATGCGCTTGCGGTTACCGGGGATGGTGACCATCTCCTTCAAGAGATCCTTGGTTCCAGAGCCGCCCACGAGCATGCGTTCGTGCTCAAGCTGGTCACCAATGTCTTGCAGTTCAGTCTGAACGTAAGGGTGTGTAGGCGATAGTGCACGGATTCTGGCGAGAACCGAAGTAGCTTCTTCCCAGCGGTCTGCTTTGGCAAGCCAGCGAGGTGATTCCTTGTTGAGCATCATACAGATGACCAGGATAACAGCAGGCAGAGCTTGCATAGCAAGGGGCACGATGTAGGTAGCGTCCCCTTTGAGATGAAGACTTGAGCCGTAGTTGACCCAGAAAGCCAACATGGTTCCGGACGCGATAAAGAGCTGGTAGATACCGGTCAAACCGCCACGGATGGCACGTGGAGAGTTTTCGGAAATGTATAGGGGAACGACCATGGAGCAACCGCCGACACCAAGACCAGCCACACATCTACACATTGCGTAAGTACGCTGTAGGGAGTAATTGGAGCGGGGATAAACTACTTACCTGCCAACATACATGGAAGCGAGACTTCCAAAGCTGACGGATTGGATAACGCAACCGACAATTGTGATCCAGCCCATGACGACCAGCGCGGTCTTACGACCCCACCTGTCTGCTACCCAAGAGGCCAAGAAGCAACCGAAGAAACAGCCGGCTTGGAGAGTCGAAGCAATGTTTGCACTCAAATCGTTCCTCTGCTTGTCATTCATCTTGTCCTTGCCGAGTCCGTATTTTCTGTGGTTCACTGTCAGCTTTCGCGACCCAGACGACAAAGCTTCGAGTTGGCAGGCACTTACTTTTGGAAAGCCGGAAGTGTGAGAACTCCACCAATCGTGCCAATGTCGAAACCAAAGAGCATGCCGCCGAAACAAGCGGAGCAGGCCATCATGAATGTGCGCCATCCGTAGATCTCGGGGGGATCCTCCTTCATGGCATCATTCTTGATGATTGAGCGGAGGAATCGAGCACCGAGGCCCGCCTTCGCAGTAGAGGTGGCCATTTCGATTGCAGAGGGTAGCTAACAGTCGGCCAAAGATAGGGAAAGCTCCTCAACAATTGACGTTGGAGGGACGCGGCAGAGTGCTGCAAAGAGTGGAAAAGACGGCCAAAATTCCACAATCGCAATTGACGAAGCGTCGGCACATGGCTCTGGGGTACTCGAGAAGCAGGCACGTATATATAAACACCACAGGTCCAAGCTTCCGGGGGAATGGGGGATGGGGATAGCACACGCCAACGACCGGACCCTCCACACCTGCATGGTAAAAATGAACCCCCAGCCGACCCCCCTACCCAGTGCCCTTGCCGCGCATTCACGACATGTGTATGGTGGGTTATCTTTGCTCACAACGACCGTCTGGATTTCCTCCAGTGAGGTGGCTGCATGTCGGACAGGTCAGAAATCACAACGAATATAAGAAGCAACCCCAAATCCGGGGTCTCCAACCTCCACTCCGCATTTCGAATGATGGACAGCAGCCCCATCCCGCTGTAAGCCATCGAATAAGCATAGTGCTAGCCGCCTCCTTCCAGAATGCCCAGCGGCATGGGTGAATGGGACGCTGGTGGCATCTGATTCGTGGGAAATTGAGATTCCGGGTCGGCGGCCTGTGTTGCCAAGGGTAAAAGGTCATGTCAGCTAGATGTGTGGCTGGACCGTGTCCGAACCACAGTGGTGTTCGCGATCATGGTGGACATTTGATGGAGGCACGGCAACGGTCAGCAGGTGATGTGACAAGCCTCGTTTGGGGGGCGGCGCCGGCGCGACTGAGTCGTTGGTCGTCCGTCCGGGGTAAATTGGGGTAAAAAAACAAAGTCTAAAGTCTTCAAAGCTAGCTGGGAAGGTCGACGGAGAAACCAGATGGGAATCGCGCAGCCGAGCAACAACCAGAATATACTGTGTATGGCCCGCGTCGCGGCAGTTTTGCTTGCCATTTTACCCGTCTTCCAATCCTCCTCATGATCATCGATGCGAGTGAGGGGAAGTGGAGAAGAACATTGGGCAAGTAATCGTGGATGATTGGAAGGGAAGAACCCTGGCTGATTGGATCAAAGGCGATGCATGGCATGCATGACATTCAAGTCTTTCCGCAGTGATTCCTCCATCCCTAACGAGCTCTGCATACATACAGCATGCAGGCAGCGTTCGCGATAAGACCGTGGCCTTGTGTACATGTGTTGTTGTATCTGGGATGCAGGTTGATATGTGCTCTCATCTGTCGGTGGGTCTCTTCTTTTTCCGACTCGAACTCATATCTTCCGTCCCCCCACCAATCCCCACACCCATCATGTCACCGTGCTCCCCCGACCCTTATTATATCCAGACTACGCAACATGTGGGGAGCTTGGGTCGGCTGCCATTTGCACAGGCGATAATACCGCTCTGTTTATAAACAGCCCAGTCCCTGGTTGTACGCTTCGCGTCTTGCTTTTCTTGTTCTTTTGTTTCTGCTGAAACTAAAAGTGCTGCATTTTGATCCCTTTGCGAAATAAAGTGGTAAACAGTAAGAGTTCGGAAGCGCATAGGCGGCATTGACTGCTGCTTCTCAAATTTCACAAACATTCGATTTGTGCCCCAATCTCCAGAGTTCCTAAATTGAACTGACCTTGTTACATTTTGCGCATATCGTGATCGTGTTCCGAGTTTCCAAGCTCTCACGGCGAAAATCCTCAATCAGCATTCTCTCCTCAATTTGCGACAAAATTCCGGAACCGACTGAATAAGAGAAGGAGACAAAGAAAGAAAACCCTCAAAAAACTCAAGAGGGATCCAAGAATATACAACCATTCACCATGACGGCCAAATCAGCAAACGCCAACCGCTCCTTCCCCCTCCATCCTTTCCACTCCAATCCCTTCGAATCCCGAGACGACGTAGTAGCAGCCGTTGCCTCGCTCCTAGACCCACTCCAAGACGGCGCCTCCGCCAACAATGCCATGATCAAAGTCGGCAGCACAGGAACCCGCTTCGACGAAACAGCTGCCCAAGTTGAGGGATTTGCCCGTCCGCTCTGGGGGTTAGCACCACTCCTCGCCGGCGGGAGCCAGTACGCGCACACGGACCGCTTCGTAGCCGGGCTCGTGGCAGGGACGGATCCCGAGAGCGACGAGTTCTGGGGCTACATGGAGGATACAGATCAGCGCATGGTGGAGGCGTGCCCGATCGGGTACACGCTCGCGATTGCGCACGCGCAGTTCTGGGATCCGCTTGGGGAGCGCGAGAAGCGGAATATCGAGGCGTGGCTGGGCAGTATGAATGATAAGGAGATGCCCAATACCAATTGGTTGTGGTTCCGTGTATTTGCGAATCTGGGGCTGGCTAAGAACGGCGCCAAGTGGTCCGAGGAACGTTTGAAGGCGGATATTAAGCATTTGAACACGTTTTACCGTGGTGATGGGTGGTCAAACGATGGGCCCGAGGGGTACCGGCAGATGGATTATTACTCGGGGTCTTTTGCGATTCAGTATCTGCAGCTGTTGTATGCGAAGCTGGCGGCGGATTCGGATCCCACGCAGGCTGAGGAGTACAAGGAGAGGGCGCGCATGTTTGCGCTCGACTTTGTGCATTTTTTTGACCCGGAAGGGCGTGCAATTACGTTTGGGCGCTCATTGACATACCGGTGGGCTATGGTAGCTTTCTGGGGCAGTGTGGTCTTCGCTGACGTCGAACTTCCATCGCCGTTGAGCTGGGGAGTGGTCAAAGGCATCTACCTTCGAAATCTGCGGTGGTGGACCAAGCAGCAGGATATCTTCCAGTCCAACGGTATGCTGAGTATTGGGTATTCTTACCCCAACACGTACCTGGCGGAGAATTACAACTCTCCTGGCTCACCATATTGGTGCATGCTCGCCTTTGCGCCGTTGGCTGTGCCGGAGAGCCATCCTTTCTGGGCTGCAAAGGAGGAACCGCACCCGTTTGCCAACCAACAAGTCTGCAGACCCCTGACTCATCCAAGGCAGATTGTCGTCCGAAGTGGTGGCCACACGTTCTTACTTTCGAGTGGCCAGGAGTGCCACTACGCGCTCAAGAACCAGCAGGCCAAGTACGGAAAATTTGTGTACAGCGCAGCATTCGCGTACTCAGTGTCAACGGGTTACTACACTCTGGAGCAATTCGTCCCCGAGTCGTCCCTGGCACTCTCCGACGATGGCGGCGAGCTGTGGAAAATGCGACGCGCCCACAATGGCGATTCAGAGATTGAGACGCACGATGGTGTCCCAGTCTTAGTATCAAGCATGAAGCCCTGGCATGATGTCAACGTGCTCACGTACTTGATCCCTCCAGCTGAAGATACACCAAATTGGCATCTCCGCGTTCACCGCATCCGGACCGGTCGCGAAATCATGTCGGCGGAGGGTGCCTGGGCGGTTTATGGATGTCGAGAGTCCGACGGAAGGCAATTGACAGGACTCGATGAGTCTCTGTCCGAAGGCGGGAAAGCGGACGCCAGGAGTGCATTTGCAGCAGCTAGGAACGGTGCCGTGGGTATCACGGATTTGGCCCAGCAGGAGAGGCAAGGCAGCATTCTACTATCGGATGCGAACTCGAACCTTGTTGAGAACAGGACCGTTTTGCCGACACTGCACAAGGACCTCAAAGCGGGTAGCACGACTTGGTTCGTGACGGCTGTGTATGCTCTCCCTTCGAGCGTCGAAGGATGGAAAGACCAGTGGAAGGCTGGTTTTGAGAAGAAGCCTGCGATTCCGAAATGGATCCAGAGCAAGATAGACGGCCGGTGGGATTGATTCGGAAACATCTGATGTAGAGCCGAACTCCAATCACCGGTAGATGAATGCAATGAACCTTGACGATATCATCAAAACCTAGACGCATTTCACACACTGTAACCCGCGACGTGTTGCATAGCATATCATTGCTGGGAGTTGGCTGGTTATAGCAAAAGTGTTGTTGATTCAATGCTAGTTGATTCCCAAGGACTGCAATCCGACCGTTCACTGACGCCGCAGTTAAAAAACATATGTGCTCATAATCCCATGCTCCCAATTCCCGTTGTCTGATCTGTGTCTCAAGTACGTGCCCTGCTCTTCTCTCTTGGTGCCCTGGGCTTGATTTATGACTCCTTGAGCGGATTCTCATCCTCGTCCAGGATGCCTTTCTTAACTAGCTCCTCGGGGGATGGACGGTGCTGGAGCCCTTTCTCCAAGCTGTCCGCACGCATGTGCTTCTCGAGCTCCTTCTGGTGGCCCTGCAATGCGGGGGCAGCATTCGAGTCAGGGAGGATGTTTCGCTCGACCAAAGTGTCGCGGTCCGGGCGCTGGGCGAGCCCTTTCTTGAGATTATCTGTGGCGCGTTGCCTTTCCAACTCGAGGGCTTTGGCCTGCAGCGCACTGATGCAAGCAAACGCAACAAGAACGTTAGCTGGTGGAAACAGTATATAAAGGAAGGTTGGAGCGGAGACGTACGGGGCAGTGCTTGTGTCCAAGAGAATGTGCCTGTTCTTCAAGTCCTGAACATCTGGGCGGTGCTGCAGATGCTTCTCCAAACTATTACGACGATCAAGACCCTCCCGGACGGGGGAGATGGGTGTCTTGTCTACGGGTGCGGGGACGTCAGCCATGGTGGTGTGGTGAGCTTCGAGAGAATACGTCGTGGATGGTAGTGGTAGTGGTAGTGGAGCGGTGGAATTGATCGGCGGTGTGTTTATGCGATTGATATGCGGCTGCTTTGTCTGTGATGGTGAGTAAAGTGGAATGGGCAATGTCTGGCTTTGTACTTTGTACCGACTGAACAGTGCTCAGATGAGTGTCAGAAGCCAACAGCAGCAGCTGGGGGCTTGCTTGCTTAACCTGGAGTACATGGCTGCTACCCCGCCTTACCGTGTTGATCCCTGCGCCGGGTGACGGCTGCCTGGAAGCCACAGCAACGGCGACTCACAAACAAAAACATGACAATCCAACCATGTTTCGTGCAACGCTGGTCTGATGGCGCCCATAGGCGTGGCCAGCAGCAGAGGCAGAGGTAGGCTGACCGTCATACGATTCACATGACGTAGCCGCCCACGGGTAGTGACATGCCCTCGCGCCTGTGTCTGTGACTCGGTGTAGACGTGACTTCGGCCTCATTACGGCGCTTGCGGTACATAGGGTGAAACGTGCGTCAGGTGTGACTTGGTCTATTCTTTGTAGCTATAATAAGAAGTTCATTCACTATTTAATTATTGCTAATATAGTTGGCGAAGAGTTGCTATGTTTCTACAGTTTCAGAGGAACTACTAGTGCCTACTACTAACTACTGTGATGAATTATGAGTTGGAGTTTGGGTGATCCTACACAGCGATGGTTATAACAACAGAAGAACTAGAAAACAGGCGATTGCTAAAAAGTCAAAGCTCTAAGTATATGGAAGAAGTACTTGAATATTGATGGTGTGAAAGTAGTATCCACAGCTAGACTTACAGATAGACAGCATAATCTATATCGATCAGTCTTCTATACGATAAGGCTCGAGATCTGGCCTGCTTAATTATATTGATAATTTTCTTCATTCGCAGTGATTGTTATCTTCCCTAAAACGATATTTCGATGACTGAAATGATTCTATAATCTAGAGAATTATCTATCTGAAGATAACCGGCCTGAGGCTAACAAGTCCCGACTCCGCAACCAAACAACATTGCTAGGAACTTTCTTCGTTTAGATACCAGTTGGAGGCAGCCCATGTGGAACAATAATCTCGATTTCAGCCTTGCAGTCATCTCTTCCAAACGGGATTTTTCCACCAATCTTACCGTCTGTAGCACACTTGGTGACGATGCTTAGAGTAGAAACTAGGGCATCGTAGTAAGTTAGACCGCATATCGCTTCCTCGGCGGCAGCTTCATCAGTGCCGTTAACAGACCAGTCAGATATGTAGTTCAGCGAGATTGCACAGCCAGTTTGATACTATAATATTGTTAGTACTTTCCTAATTGGTCTTGACTGGAGAAATACTTACCGCGAACCACCAGGACTTGCCTGGGCGACCCGCATTCAACCGTAACTCAGTGTACGTCCACTGGGAGCGAATAATCTCAAGACAGGTTTCCAACGCGGGGGAGCTGTCAGAAGTACTGCAGGTAATGTCCTCGTCATCCTCGCTGGATTGTTGATACAGTTCCTCATCACTAAGTAATGGCTCATCGGTCGAGAAGTCCGACACGGCGGTGTTCGGATCATCGTCCGTCGACAATTCTTCATCCTCGCCTTGGATAGCTGGTGCGCTCCAACTTGCGGGTGGCTCCTCAGGATAAGCCGTTTTAAAGTGCTTCATCATGTAAGTTGACAGAGCATAGTACACGTAGTTATCCGTGTTGGTGAAAACAAGTCGACTCATGGCTCGGTTTTTCATCTTAGCAAGGTACTTCGCGCGGTGTGCTCCATACGCCTTCTCTGAACCTCGACTGCTATCCTGATCTTCGTATGGCTTGTGATCGACTGCTTTAGGCTGGCTGATGCCTGCATTCCAGCCTCCCTGTGAGTGATGCGTTAGGAAACATAGATTAGTGTTTCGTGGTGAGGAAGACAGGGCAGTCCTTAATAATCTTACCAAATCGCACAGGCCCAAAGAAGCCCGCGAAAAAAAAGGTGTAGAAAGGATGTAGAAAGGGTGAGAATGAGAGGAAGTATGATTGATTACTCACTTCCACGGAATTCGCTACTGTATGGAACATCTCATGTAGCATAATTGATCCTCTACTCCTCAGATTCTCGGGATTGTCCTTGGGAAGCACGCCATTCGTAATGTTTCCAATCTGCAAGAAGGATTAGCTGTATGATGGAACGATAATACTAGTGAGTAGAGGCTGACCCTTTCTTTGAGCGATGGCTGAAATTCGAAGAAACGTGGACAGAAATTGATACGAGGGTATTTCCCACTATGTTCCTTGGTATTAGGATCATTCTCATAGGCATGGAGTCCTTCTTTGGATGAGCAGCGGTCCAAGGGATCATCACAAGTGATCTGGAAGTAACGATCCCACCACCAGTCTCCCCGCCACGTTTCGGTTCCACCCAAGATTGCCCGTTTATAGTTCCCTATGGAAGTCAGCGCCTGGCAATTTTATACGGCACATCCATATAAAGAGCGCAATTGACTGTGTGAAAAGCTTTGACTGCTTTTGGGGAGCGCTTTTCTTGAAATCGAAATAGTTGAGAAGATACACATACCGCTAACAGTAAACAACCCATCGCTCCATTGCTTCTGTGGTCCCCAATAATCGTACGCCTCTTGGCCCTGCTCATAATCACTGCCTGGCTTTCGTCCAATAATTTCAGTTGGATTGCCAACCGAGTTGACAATCTTGAGGGCATCGACGAATGCTTCCTGAATCTTTGTCTGGTTATCGCCAGGGCAACCTTTGAATCCCGTGAGGCGGGACTCGATAGTGAAATCGCCCTTGCTGGTTTTGACGATTGTGGTAGCCTCGATCTCGGATTCTTCAAACACGTAAAAGTCGACACTGTCCAGAATGCTCTCCGCGACAGACTCCACGTCGGAACCAATATCTAGGATGTGCTCCAGGAAAGACGCCAGGCCGTGACTGCTAAGCAGGGCGGTGGAAAGGAAATGTGTAAGTTTCATTGCCGCGACTGATTTTGTTGCGTTGAGGCAACAAATGAATGGTGGTTATGAGAAATCAACGGGATCAAAGGCGGTACTTTTATACTCATTTCCTCTCGGGGTATCCATTGCTTCTGTAACGAGATGCAGCATTGATTATGGCCGTGAGAAAATAGCTTCATGGCTGTAGGTCAGCTGTGCACATCTCAATGGGAGTGATTGAGGGTTCAGCTACCTGGTTGGGGCAACAAAAGGGGCGAAGATAATTTGCTATTGTAGGTCGACCTCAATGACTGTCCGATACATCCTAAGGAGCTCGTTTGACAGCTTACATGTGTATCTGGGCCGTGCTATTTACCAGAATCAGTTAGTGTACTTCTGAGTTCACAAGACACAGCAACTACACCTTGTAAGCAAGATTCCTAATCTGCGGCTTTTTTAATCTACCGCGTCCAAAACACCCTAGTTGTATATATATATATAGGAGAGAAGAAAAGACATGGCCCAGCGCTGACAGAGGAACAGCTCTTTGTAAACTCCCTTGTTTTACTACCTACTTTCCCAGAAACAAAAGGGGAGACAGTTAGATATGGAAGCACTTCAACTTCCAACCAGAAAAAGAAAAGCAATATCATCTATAAAGCAATTAAGCAATACCCAAGAAACCCAAAGCCCCCACGCAAAATTCCAACACCACCGCCCCACAGCTCATCTCCATCCAGTATTCCATCCATCCCAACCACCACAACATGCACTACACAGACCCGCTGCTTCTACCACCACCAACTATGTCGAACACGCCGTCACAGTCGCCGTCCTAACCCCCTCGACCGTCCTGACTTTCGTACAAACCTATAATCCAAAACATCACACGTCAACCCCCAAACAAAGCAAATCAAATCAAATCAAAATAGCAAGATATACACATGTCCCGGTAGAAAAATCCAAACACCAACACCAACAACAACGAAGAAAGAAGTAAGAAAGAGATAGGAAGACTGAAAGAAAGACTCACAGGCCCATGCCCAAATTTATACGAAAACAAACTACACCCCGCACACTCGGTATACACTGTCTGTGTGCGCGTGGAACGGTGCGCGGTGCAATGTTGAGTACCCAGGGCGGGGATGTGCAGGATGGGGATGTAGCAGCCCTGCGTACCGCTGGATGATGGCGAAGTTGAAGGCGAGGGGGTTGGAGGAGGAGGTTGCATTAGCACCGTCGCCGCCGCCGCCGTTGATGATAGAGAAGAGTGGTTCCAGGGGAGCGAGATGCTGATTTTTCCGATTTTTACTGTTAGAAATTTGCTGGTGCTGTGGTGGTGGTTGTTGGTTATATAGGGTAAGGGTATTGTATATCACGAGTTGTAGGGGGAGGGGGATTTTTGTTTTTCGACTCACGTTGTTGTTGATAGGATGGCTATTACTTGGGCTCCTGCTGCCATCATCATGGTGGAGAGGACAAGGAAAGAGATGAGGACTAAAACACGAGATCCAAAAGAGATCCAAGAATGGCCAGAAAGAGGGCGTGCAGGGAGACGTTGAGGCACAATTCTCTGGTTGAGATGGAAGACTGCGTACCCAGGAAAGAGGTACCAAGTGCCTACATACTTTGGTTCTCTCCACCAAGTACCATTGCAAGTGCAACTTCGCGTTCCACACACACCATGCACCACCCTTGACTAAGGAATGTACGTATAAACAACACGTCACATCAGAGTCCTCATGCCACGAAGATATGTTTTTTTCCCTCATTATCAATTACGGGGCATAACAATAGCTACTAGGTATAGAGTGCGTTTGCGCACCGGCTAGAAACGAATCAAACCCATCAACCCCAGAAAATGCTAAATGAAATATGGAATTCGTACTCATGCGCCCAGGGCTGTCAAAAGGCTCAGCCTGTTCTCGTTGTTCCTCATCCACCTCTCGCACCTCTCACATCTCGTTTGTTCTCATCTGTTTTCCTCCCATTTACAATTTAATTCCTGCGAAGCGGCCAGACAATGGCCCACGATTTAAGCGCCATCGTCATCACCAAGGCGGACAGAGCCTTCGCCTCCCAATCCATGAGCCCAGAAGCCACCAAGATCAATGTTGGTCTCGGGAATGTTGGCGTGGGTCAAGAGGAGCCAGATGCCGAAGATGGGCTTAGCCAGGACATCGAGAACGGCGTAGGCAATGATTTCACCATCGACAGAGAGGTTGCGGGAACCGTCGGCAATACCCCAAACGATTGGGTAAGCGGTCCAGATGACCAAGGTGAAGCCAGCAATGGCGAGGAAGAAAGAAGCCACCTTCTGGCTCTTGGCCTGGGCCTGAGCGCGGCCATTGACGGCCAAGTGCCAGATGACGACCAAGTAGGCAATGCACGCAATGGTGTACCAACCCCACTTCTGGGGAGTGCCCTCGGAGCCAAAAGCAGCAAAGAGACCGGTCAAGATCATGATGACATCAGCAGCAATGGCCATGAGGATGTGGGCACCATTGAGGCCAGCGAGCAAGCTGAGATCGAGCAGAAGCAGAGGGGTGGTCAAGGTCCAGTCGACATAGCGGGCCCAGAAGACCTGGCGGTGGACCTCGGTGAAGGTGTCGGGAGTGTGGTCATTCTGGTGACGAATGGTGATCTTGTTGACAGAGACGCCGTGGCCAGTGGCCATGGCGAAGTAGGAGATGGCGGCGGTGATGGTGATGAGAGTGGTAATGACATGGTACAGGCGGCGTTGAACGGGAACACGCCACGAGAGGGCAGCGAAGGCAGCCGAGGCAATGACCATCAAGACAAAGACAACCCATAGAGTTTTCTCTGGCGACGAAGTCAGCGTGTGTGGTGCAATGGGATCAGAATAGGGTTGTACTCACTGCCCTCATCTCCAACGAATTGATGCTCGATAGGGTTAGGGACCACGGTAGGCAGCGAAGTAGGGACGGCCGTCTGGGTAGCGGTAGGAAGGGGAAGGGGACCCTTTGTGGTCTTGAGGAGATTGACGGCTTGGTCGACAATCATGATGGCGGTTGAGTATGGAGGATTGCTGTGAATCAGACAAGCAAGTGTGAGGAGAGGAGAGGAGTTGTGGTGGAGGATGGATGGATGGTGTAGGCAGCAGAAGCAACAGGCTTTATGTCACGACCCGTCACCCGTCAGCTCTGAAGCTTGCCTGGCCGGGCAGGCTGCACTGGACTGCGCAGCACTGTACTGCAGGCGCAAGCGGGGAATCGAGTACGTCACATTGGGTAGCGTGGGACGATGATTGGCCCATGAACCCCGCCCGAAACCACTGCAGGCTCTCTCTCCGCACCTTGGGCGTCCTCTGTATGAGCTCCGGCCCTCCGCCCCGTCCTGATTAGTCTGCCTGTCATCCATCCACCAGCTTTATTTTGTTTTGTTTTCTTTTTGCGCCGGCTGTCCATTGGCACGAGTTCCGAGCTCTGCCCCTTTGGCGTGGACGTGTTGCTGGCTGCTGTGGTGGGTGTTGGTGGTGCCGTCTGCTTGCGATGGAGCAATGGGTGCTGAACATGGCGATCTCCAGGGCGAACATGGAAATGTTAGGAATCTGCATGAGCCTCGTCGATCGCCGATGTGCTGCACCCCACAAATCGAAAGGTCTGACAGCCCGGCCTGATTGGCTCATGCGCCCTCCGTCTCTTGTCTCGCGAGAGTTGGGACGAGCCGCAGCGAACCGATGCTCCGCGTGACGACTTCATTGTATGTAGGCGTCAACTTTCGTACGTAAGTATGCGCATATACAGCAGGTATATAGCATGTCTCGTGTGTATCGCTGCGCCGCTCTCCATTTCCCAGTTTTGCTTGCCATTTGCATTCTTCTGGTCAATCAATTCTAGTCCAGCCTGGCCGAGCCGCCGTTAAGCCGCTCCCGTGCGATGGAGTAACCGGAAATCGACATTTGACCATCAACAAAGTCCACTCTGGTGCTCTGGCTGTCAATGTCCAACACCCAGTATTATGAGCACCATACGGGTATAGGAAGAGAGACAAGACACATGATGCTATGGTTGAAGACGATGGGAAGAAGGTAGTGGCACAAGTACTTTTGACGTTCCTTGTTTTCCGACACACTCGCGGGAGGTGAGAACCGTGTTGAACGACTATTGTTATCCAATCTCCGGACACGACAATATGGTTTGATGCTATGTCTATGGATATGATACCTAGGTATGTATCCTTCTCGGGGCCAAGCAGGGCCTTGGAGAAGGTGTCGCCGACAATTGTAGGCAGGCCCAAGTCATCGCGACCGGTCCCGACCTGTAAGTAGTGTCCGCACTCGAACATCATGGCGTGCTTGCATTGCGACTTTCTTCTTTTTTTTTCTCTCCACCTCGCCGCACTGCAGGTCAGCATACTAACAATGCTCCAGTATTCCCCTGCTATAATACCGCACACTACTATAAACTTATTCCATGACAAAGTTACGCTCAAAACAATTAATTCCTCGCACTGCCGTTGACAATGGTGTGGCACAGGCACTCAGCCTATGAATGTAGGGTGGTGCTACACGGTACTCACATCTTCCTCGTGGCTAGTGTCGCACACCCGCCCTCACCCGCCTGTGCCTTATCGTGCACCACCGTACAAGGCCCGCTGTCTTGTATTGACTCCTCGCCGTGGCATCCAGGCATCCTCCTAGTCGCTGGCGGATGATGACGAGCGGGTCTTCAGTGGCTGCTCTCAGTCGACTATCGCTGACTAGTGCCAGGAATGAGTACCCCAATGTCCTCTGTCCAGTTCCGAGTTTTCCTGCGCATGTGTTTTTCGCCGTCCTTATATTGACCAAGCAATGCACCCAAGGAAATCTTCTTGAATCTAAGCGTCTTCGAAGCTTTGCTTGGTACCGAGACATCTACACCCGTTCAAAATCTTTTTTTTTGTTCGCGGATTGGCTTTCCCTTACTCGTACATAGGTACACATGTACCTACATCTTCATTCACCTATCACACCTTCTATTTCAATAGAGCATCCGAATCAGCCCTCAAGATTCAATTCAACCAACAACTCTATAAACGCATCACTCCCCAGTCAAATCTTCCTACACAAACCTATCCCCCAACCTTCTGCCGCTGTTCAAAAAAATGTCTCTCTCAGCCAATCTAGCACGTTTTGTCGTGCGTCAAGTCGAAGAAGCTGCTGCTGAGGAAGAACCAACACCGGGCAACTGCATATCGGAAAACGAATACGATGGACGGATGGGCCTTCGAATTTCGGCCATCTTCGTTATTCTTGTTGGGTCGACGCTTGGTGCTGTCTTTCCGGTCTTTGCCCGACGTAACAAGAACCTCGGAGTTCCAGACTGGGTTTTTTTCATTGCAAAATACTTCGGCTCCGGTGTCATCATAGCCACCGCTTTCATCCACCTTCTGGCCCCAGCAAACGAAAATCTCACCAACCCTTGCTTGACGGGTCCCATCACGGTCTACCCATGGCCCGAGGCAATCGCTCTCATGACCATTTTCCTCATGTTCTTCCTCGAGCTCATGACTATGCGTTACGGTAACCTCGGTGGCGATCACGACCATGCTGGTCACTCACACACCACCCCGACACCAGGAAATCGTGAAGCATCTAGTATCGAAGACGGCTACAGTAAGGATGCAGCCAGCGAAGAAGCGGGTCAACACCATGGTCGGGGCGACGATCACCTTGGACATTCTCGCCATCATCAAGACAATTCTGATGTCGATGAGGATTGGACTTCAGGGGGGAACATGCCCGAGTCGTATGCTGCCCAGATGACGGCCATCTTCATCTTGGAATTTGGTGTCATTTTCCATTCCATCTTCATCGGATTGACCTTGGCCGTGGCTGGAGAAGAGTTCGTCACACTGTATATTGTTCTCGTCTTCCATCAAACCTTTGAGGGTCTCGGTCTCGGTGCCCGACTTGCCACTGTCCCCTGGCCCAAGGCTAAGAGATGGACCCCCTATCTGCTTGGTCTAGGATATGGTTTGTCGACTCCCATCGCGATTGCTATCGGTCTAGGTGTTCGTAACACTTACCCCCCTGGCTCGGCTACGACATTGATGGTCAACGGCATCTTCGATTCCATCAGTGCTGGAATCTTGATCTATACCGGTCTCGTAGAGCTCATGGCACACGAGTTTATGTTTTCGCCCTATATGCAAAAGGGCCCTGTGGGCAGGGTACTCAGTGCATTTGGACTCATGATTCTGGGTGCTGGTACGTATACCCGTGATAGCTTTGGAGACATCTTGCTGACTCTTGACAGGATTAATGGCATTATTGGGCTATTGGGCTTAGTCTTTGGGACTAGTCTCTCAAGTTGTTGTCAGTTTTGTACATGTTTCAGGGTGACGGGCGTCTCCTCCGACATCGGATATCAACCAACAGTCATATGAAGTGTCTTTGGATCTTATTCTTCTCTGCTAAATCTGGATTTGCTGGTCATTGTTTTTCTCGTTTTCTTTTTTTCAACTTAGCCGGCGACCACGGAGTTTTACGGATCTTTCACGTAGACTAATACCCCAATGATAAACAAGACGACCATTGTATGCATGCCAGGTCCTCTAGAGAAATGTGAATTGCTTTGATCCATGGACGATTCTAGTTCGAATTTTCTGACTTCCAACACTTCGACGCTAACAAGGCATATCATACTGGAATGAAAATAACGTCAAACAGGCGACTTTTAGCCATTCTACCTACCTAGGTATCGTCCCGTGAGAAACACAAATGTGCACACTGCATACACATGTGCACGTGCACAAAGCTATCTGCCCACGCCATCCGCTGCCTGTTCGAAACTAGAAATCTGGAAATAGATGTCTCTCCACTCCTTCTCCAAACAGACTCCACCTGCACATTGATCATTTTGCCCCCCAGAAATGCTACACATGCGACAGGAACAGCACTGATCGATGATTGGCTTGCGCGAGAGAATAACGAAAATCAACTTGGCTGCGTGGCTCGTGATTGGCCCGTCAACCATCACCTGTCCATGGAAGCACACAATGCGCAATAGTAGGTTCGACAGCCATATAGAGCGACCATCCAATGTATGGAGAATGACGAATATTGGATGCAAGCGCGGAACGTGCATAGATTATTTGCTTGTTTGGACGTTGCTTGTGTATGTGACGTTATGCTGATGGTACCTCACTGTTTGTACACACTACCAATTAGGCTTGGCCTTTGTTTAGGTCTCTCCTGGACGCTCCAAGGAGACACACAGTCTCTCCTGCCACCCAGCGTTTCCGCGCAGAAAGCAAGCATTGAGAGTCATTCCATTGAAATTACGGTTGTTGTGAGTGCATATACCCTTTATTAGCCCTGACACGGCAGCACAGTCCCTCTTGAAACAAAAGTGCCGCCAGGGACACGCGTGTGAGCTGATCCTGGTCACAATTTCCCCAGCACTTACTTTCCCACGTTACATGTACCTTGTCCTTCCTCTTCTCCCCCATCGATCGCACCACACCGTAAACCACCCTCACTAACTCTCGTCGTTACGTCGCAGCCATGACGGATCGCGCGAATAGCGGCGTCCGAAACCTCCGGGCCATGTTCGAGAACCAGGGCGGTCCTTCGTCTGCCTCTCCTGAACCCCGCGGCCGCTCGCCAGCAGGCAGTGCCAGCGACGGCGCCAGCCGTCCAACGTCCAAAGTCAGAGCATCGTTTGTGTCTGTAGAATCGAGCGGCCATGCTTCCAAGGAGCTGGGCACAACCAAAGGCGTCAGCGTCAACAGCCTCAATGCTCACCGCCGCGAAAGCTTCAGCGTAACCGACTCTGCACAAGATGTACGGGCGGAATTCAAGAACTCTATCAGCGAAGGAAAGGACCAGCAAGATCCTAGCGCTGTTTCTGTTGAAGCGGTTCCAGAGCAGGCTGTTGATACGCGGGAGTCTTCAATGCCACCGCCGCCAATCCGTGCAAAACCGGATGGAACAACGACTTTGGGAGGAATCATGAAGGGCTCCGACTTTCCCAAGTCCGCTACAGGAGAGAAGCTAGACTCCAGAGATACGCCTCCTGATAACCCAGACAAGCCAGTTTCCGGGGCTCAAGAAGACGTTACGCTGAAGCCTGCCGATCCCACAAGCGCTGCTGCCGTGTCTGGCGGAGATGCTCTTCCTCCTCCGGCTGAGTCTTTGAAGCCTGTCACACCCAAGGCTAACACGACCGCCAAACCAAAGACGAATGGTGCACGTTCTACTCCTAGTCAACCTGCTGGAAAGAAACCCGCGTCCATATCGACGGCCAAAGCTTCTGCCAGTAAGCCTGCTTTGTCGAAAAGCCCGCTACCAAAATCGCCCGGGGTACCAAGGGCAGCGCCAAAGACACCTGCAACGAACTCGAAGCCTACATCTTCTACATCCACCGCGAAATCCCCTGCGCCTACAAAGGCGACAACTAAGGCCAAAGAGCCGGTCAAGACTACAATCCCTTCCGCAAGAACCGGTCAGAGCTCTCTCAGAGCATCGACTGCTACTGCAGGAACGACAGCAAGTTCTGCTGCTAGATCAAAAGCACCAGTGACTGAGACTAGGAAAGCGGTCACTCCAAAGCCTGCAAGCTCTGCTCCAGCTGCCAAAGAGCCAACCACCACTTCTCCTGGGGGGTTCAAGAAACCCAGACCAAAGTCGCCTACACGCCCCGTACGATTGCCGTCCCATCTGACTGCTCCCACGGCATCTTCAGCAGCCAAAACCGGAGAGGAGGCCGCTGCTCAGAAAGTTGTTCGCAAGCCATCCACGGTGTCACGACCAGCCCCTAAAGCTGCGGCACCACCCGCAAGGAAACAGCCCTCACGTGCATCATTGGCTCCCGCCACTACCACCACGCGACCCGAATCGCGCACTTCTACCAAAGGAGCCCCGGATGAGAGCTTTCTGTCCAGAATGATGAGACCCACAACTGCCAGTGCCAGTAAAACAAGTGACAAAGACAAGGTCGCATCTCCACCACGGAAGACCGCCTCTAAAGCTCCCGCCAAACCGAAAGCTCACGAAAGTGTCCTGACAAAGGGCAAGAAGAAGGTGGAAGAGGCTGCTGCTAAGACCAAAGCTGCCGTTACCAGCAGTCACTCGAAAGAGAAGGATTCAGACACAACGTCTGCGCCAGCAAAATCCACGGACAGTGAGCCTGTCGCAGTGGAAGCCAGCGATGACAGCCATGAGGAAAATGCTGGAGCTGAAACTAGTGCCTCGAACCACAAAGAACATATCGACACTGAAGCAGGCGCAGCTGCTCCTGGATCTCTCTCGGAGCCGGATCAAGAGCCAGAGGTTTCTCCAGCCCCTACCGCCGACAATGATTCTGTAGTTGCGCCTGTTGATGCGCCTGCTAGCGAAGCAAACCTTGCCGAGCCAGAAGTAGTGTCTGAGGCCGATACGAACCCAGTCGAGCAGCCAGAACCTTCGGAAGAGCCAGTGACAGTCGAGCAATCCAAGGTCGAAGAGGAGCCCGCTGTGACTGAGCAACCAGAAATCAAGGAAGAGCTCACTGCAGTCGAACAACCAGAGATCAAGGAAGAGATCGCCGCGGTTGAGCAACCAGAGATGAAAGAAGATATTGCTGCGGTTGAACAGCCAGATATTGTGGAGGAACATGTCCCAAGTGAGCAACTAGAAGGGGCCAAAGAAGCGCCTGTTTCAATTGAGGTGCCTGGAGAAGTCAAGGACGAGTCTATTCCAACTGAGCAACCAGAAGTCAAGGGCGCGCCTACTGCCGTTGAGCTACCAGAGGCCGAGAAAGAGCCCGTTGCGATTGAACAACTGGATCCCAAGGAACACTCTGCCGTTGAACAACTCGAAACGTCGCAAGATCTTGCTGCAAATGTGCAGTCAGATGCTTCTAAAGCCCCGGCTGCAGTTGAGCAGCCAGAAGCCCCAAAAGAACCTGCTGCAGCCAAACTATCAGCAGCCACTTTGGAATCTGACACAGAGGAGCTATAAACGCGACATCGCTCCTCCAACTTGGCCTGCAGACGTACTTGTTCATCGTGTGTAGATGCCGCCTTCAATTCGTACGGTCTCCCATCCCTCCCCCATAGTCTACCTTAGCATTCTACTGGGCGATTGTTTCTCTAGGGTATTATATTCATGGCGAGGTGTTATTAGGGAGATATTTCCTTTCTGCATAACCCTTTTTTTTTATTTTTATGGCTGGAAGGATCCACCAGTGGCAAGGGCAGTTGATTACCATCTGTTGTCTATCTCACCTCAACGGGTATATTGGGCTTGTTCTCGTAGCTTGATAGGAAATTGTTTGTATAGATAGTTAGGCAGCCTTTTTACTTCAAACTTAGGTAGTTATATTTATATTGTAAATTCGCATTCAACCCTCTGATATTGTTGCATCGCTAGAATCATACAAGCCACACTATCATTTAATAGAGGCTATTGGGTCATTGATACATTTCTCATCCTTACGCTTTGCGAATGATTATCAATGTGGATTGAATGGATTCATCAATTGTTTTCAATGTTCAATGTTGGTAGGAAGCGTATCGACGCACGTGATGAGGCGAAAGTCGTGCGGACCCCCGAGACGGACCCATGCGCATTTTTTCCCTGATAAACAACCACAGCAGACTTCATTGTCGTCCCTTCATTTCCGCGTCATCCCCTCTTCTTTATTGTCAATCAACACGAGATGAGGGTTCAATCATTTGCTCGAGCGCAATCGTTGGCATCGGGTTGTTTGCGCACTTCCATCCGCTCGACTGCGCGAGCCCCTTCGCGGAAAGCTTTGTCGACCGCTACGCTCACACGATCGGCGTTTGCCAGTGGGACAAAGACGGAGACATGGATCCAGAATCAGAGGTCAATTAATCAGAAGAGATGGCAGTCTGCTGCTGCTGATGTGTAAGTTGAGGCTTCCAATGCGAATTCGCAGCTGGAAAGGGACGATGTGTATGGATAATTTCATTGACGGTCTTTGTAGGATGGCAAAGGCCAGCGCTGATCCAAGCACCTTATCCCAACAAACAATTGTCGAGAACTTGGATCCGGTAGAAGCGGCTCGATTGTCGAGAGTCAGGAATATTGGTATTGCAGTAAGTTGTTAATTATTTTCCGTTAAAAGTCTACATCGCCTGATTATGAAATGTGAAACTGATCGACACTATAGGCACACATTGACTCTGGAAAAACCACCGCAACGGAACGCGTTCTCTTCTACACCGGCCGAATCAATAGCATACACGAAGTTCGCGGCAAAGACTCCGTTGGCGCAAAGATGGACTCGATGGATCTTGAAAGAGAAAAGGGAATCACCATCCAGTCTGCTGCAACTTACTGTGACTGGGTGAAGAAGGAGAATGGAAAAGAAGAGAAATACCACATCAATTTGATTGACACACCTGGCCATATTGATTTCACAATTGAGGTAGAACGTGCGCTACGAGTGCTCGATGGGGCCGTCATGATCCTCTGCGCCGTGAGTGGTGTACAGAGTCAGACCATCACAGTGGATAGGCAGATGAGGCGATACAATATTCCCCGAATCTCCTTCGTAAACAAAATGGACCGCATGGGAGCAAACCCGTGGAAGGCTGTACAGCAAATCAACGAGAAGCTTCGCATACCCGCAGCTGCCTTGCAAGTGCCCATTGGACGCGAGGATGGGTTCTTGGGTGTGGTAGATTTGATCAGGATGAAGGCCATCTACAACGAGGGTGCCAAGGGCGAGGTTATTGTTGAGAAGGATGAGATACCGGCGGATATCGTTGATCTTTGCAACGAAAAGAGACAAGAGCTGATTGAGAAGTTGGCGGATGTGGACGATGAAATCGCTGAGATCTTCCTTGACGAACGGACACCGACTCAAGAACAGATCAAGGCCGCGATTCGTAGAGCCACAATCTCGTTGAAGTTCTCGCCCGTGTTGATGGGTTCCGCCCTGGCCGACAAGTCCGTACAACCGATGCTCGATGCCGTCTGCGATTACCTACCCAACCCTGCCGAAGTGGAAAACATGGCTCTGGACAAGAAGAGAAAGGAAGCTCCTGTGAAGCTCGTCTCATATAACTCTCTCCCCTTTGTTGGGCTGGCTTTCAAGCTGGAAGAGAGCAATTTCGGGCAATTGACGTATATCCGAGTTTATCAAGGAACACTTCGAAAGGGTCTGAACGTGTTTAACGCACGATCGGACAAGAAGGTCAAGATCCCCAAGATTGTGCGTATGCACTCGAACGAAATGGAGGAGGTACAAGAGATTGGTGCCGGAGAAATTTGCGCTGTGTTTGGCGTTGATTGTGCATCTGGAGACACCTTCACTGACGGCTCCCTTGGTTACACTATGGTATGTTCTTCTCAACTTCTGCTTGCTGTGGACTGTTTTTAACTCTTTGCTCAAGTCCTCCATGTTCGTTCCGGAGCCCGTCATCTCTCTGTCCATCAAGCCCAAGAACAACAGAGACACACCCAACTTCTCCAAAGCCATGAGCCGCTTCACGCGCGAAGACCCCACGTTCCGTGTCCACGTCGATCCTGAATCCCAGGAAACCGTCATCTCCGGCATGGGTGAGCTCCACCTGGACATCTACATAGAGCGCATGCGCCGTGAGTACCGCGTCGATTGCGAGACAGGCCAGCCTCAAGTCGCCTACCGCGAGACCATCACCAAGCGCGTCGACTTCGACCACACACTCAAGAAGCAATCTGGAGGAGCCGGAGACTTTGCCCGTGTCATCGGATGGATGGAGCCCGCGGAATCACTCGAAACCAACAAGTTCGAGCAGCTCATCACAGGAGCCAGCATCCCCGAGAAGTTCCTATACGCCTGCGACAAGGGATTCCAAGCCAGTTGCGTCAAGGGACCACTGCTCGGCCACAAAGTGCTCGGCACCAATATGGTGATCAACGACGGTGCGACGCACATGGTCGATTCCTCGGAAATGTCCTTCAAGATGGCCACGCAGCAAGCCTTCCGCAAAGCCTTCCAAGCTGCCGCCCCGCAGGTCCTCGAACCCCTCATGAAGACAACCATCACCGCCCCCAACGAGTTCCAGGGCAACATTGTCGGCCTGCTCAACAAGCGCAACGCCGTCATCAACGAGACGGACATCGGCGCAGAGGACTTTACCCTCTACGCCGACTGCAGCCTCAACTCCATGTTTGGCTTCTCCTCGCAGCTCCGCGCAAACACCCAGGGCAAAGGCGAGTTCTCCATGGAGTTTAGCCACTACCATCCCGCGCCCCCGCAGCTCCAGAGGGAGCTCATTGCCAAATTCGAAAAGGAGCAGAAGGATAGGAACTCGTAGATTCTCGCTCCATCGATCCCTCGTTCGTTTCATCGGTGCGATCCATCGATGCGACCAATGGATCAATGGATGCGGTGAGGAAGCAGAGTGCGAGGTGCGAGCTAGCCTCCATCCCCCCCCCCCCCCCCCCCTCCCCCAAAAAACGAACAAGAATCAATAAACATCGAATCGATCGAGTATGACGGGGGGCTGTGAACCGAGCGAGCGGTTCCACGAACCAGTCGTTGACCAAAAAAAATATGAAAAGGAAGCATGCGTGTCGCATAGATCTTCTATCTCTCTCTCTCTCTCTCTTTGTTGGCAAGCAAACTATAGAAACGGGTTAGGATTGTTGTTGTTGTTGTTGTTGTTGTTGTTGTTGTTGTTGTTGTTGTTGTTGTTGTTGTTGTTGTTGTTGTTGTTGTTGTTGTTGTTGTTCTTTCTTTTTCTCATGTGTCTGCGTAAATTATGGGGAAAGATGGATGGATGGATGGATGGATGGGCTTTTTGTTCTTTTCGTCCATCCATCCATGCGTTCCTTTTTGTATTATAAATCTTGGGTCCAGGACATTATATCGCGAAAGAGAGAGAGAGAGAGAAGGTGTGTGTTTCTGCGTGACGGTAAGGGTAGGGTAGGATGGTATGATATATGTATGTAACATTGTAACATTTGCACGAAGCCGGAATCGAGGGAGCTTCTTATATTTTTCCCCTCCACATTTAGTAATCCATCATTAGACAAGTTCTGAATCTCCCAAAAAAAAATGTGGCGTGATGCACGGGAAGAGTCCAATGAAGAAGGAATGTCACTTTGATAAAACGTAATGTAGATATGGACTTGTAGCACAGCAGGTAGATTCTCGCTACATATCTTGTTGGGCACTACGACTAAATATGAATTGGTAGAACTCGGTTCCAGGGATGTTCGGGGGGGTATCTCATAAAAATACACAATGGTAATCAAACATAGCCGCCGTACTTGTGACATGTCCATGCCCAAAGTGTGCCAGGAGACAGAGAAGAGGCAGAGAGATCAGTGAGGAGACGTTAAGAGAGACATGGGCGTTTCGGTGCGTTTCACGCACGGAAATAGCAGCGGAGTTGGGTGACCTTGACCGCTGGTGCCCTTTGCTTCCCCTTTTGCTGCTGATCTCCCGGGTATGTTCCAAGTATTGTGGCGCGGCACATATGATGTTCGAAGAAGTCGAGAAGTTTAAAAACAGACATTAAAGGAAAAAAGGGTCGGCGAGTGACTAGTTGGTTCGATGGGAGAAAGGACTCAGCCGGGATATCATGTCCACGGCCGTAATACAAGTGACAAACGCAAGAGAGAAAATAAAGAAAGTAACCTCCGTGTAGAAACAGCAATATGAACATAAGAAAGATTCGTTAGGACGTCGAGATCACACTCGATGTATAAGCCGTATGCGCCGCTGAATGTGTACAGCCAATAATCCCAATATACCCGAAGCAAACGCTGAGTTGAACAGGGAGATCGAGCGCCGATTGGCGTGGATAACTGGGGTATGTGACAAAAGAAATCGAAAAAAGTATAGATGTGAATCGAAGGAAGAATGGAATGTTGTTTCAATGCCTTATTCGCCCAAAGGCAGTCGTGCTGATGATGACTCCAAAGGCGATGCAAGTGGCGATATGATGCTGGGAAGATCTGCGATGATGGGTTGCATGCTATCCAGATCAACTCCACTGTCGCGTTCTTTGCCTTCCGAATCCGAGAGAGGGCTAGAACCAAAGTCCACAGCGCGATGCGGCGGTGTCCAAGGGCTCAGCAGTCCCTTTGAATCTTCCTCTTGCTCAGCGTCATGCTGTTCATCGGAGCTAAGGACACGCCCTCCAAGCTGTACATCGCTAACACGAACCTGAAAAGCTAGTGCTTTCTGTGCATCCTTGATGAGCTCTTCGGTCCAAGTCAGGCATCTTCCCAGGCTTTGATTCATCTTCTGACTGTCGACGAGAAGTTCGCGATGTTTTGACAGATCATGTCGCAGTCGTTTCTCGTCCCGCGAGCGGTGGGCAGCATCACGCTCTGCTAGCGCTGTAGGACTCATAACGCTCTCGTCAAAGGAAGAATCACTACTGTCTTCGGAATCCTCCTCTTCCTCCTCCTCAGACATATCAGAGAGGTTGCCGAGCTCCTTCGTGTCTGTAACAGAATATTCTTGGGGATCGGTGATGATTGTATCCGCTGAGAATCGGCCGGCGCGTGTCATACGTCGAAACCTACGCAATTCTGCCTTCTGTTTGCGAACTTCTTTCTCTAGTGAGCGATTGATGGCAAGCAGAGAGCTGTTGCTGATTTCAAGATCTAGTACTTTGCGCTCCCTCCTAGCATTTGCGGCCAATTCATTCATGTGTTCCAGTACAGTCTGCCCTGGCGCAGGCTTCCCGATGATAGGGACCGGTGACAGCAATCCAGCTTGGGTTTCATCTGTCTCGGCAGGTGCAGAAGTTGCATCTCCGGGCAATGTGCCGTTGTTGACGATTGTGTTCTCGTTATGTAACGGGCTTGGATGGATATTTGCCAGATCCTGCGAAGGTGTTTTCTTCAACGAATTCGTAGAATCGATTGACGACAAACTGGCACTTTTCGTATGGCCCATGCGCGTGATAGAAGACGCACCACTGGTCTTTCTTGCAGTGCTGACAACACTAGCCTCGGGTGTGTGAGTTCCGGAGAAGATGGACATGCCTGAGGAACCCCTATGCAAATTCGGTCGAAGAACTTGAGAAACGCCTTTCCGGTACGAAAGGTGCATACTGTCCTTGTTTGGTGATGGAGGTCGAAGGCCTTGTTGGCCTGGCGCAAGAGCGTAATTAGACCACGAATCGGGCGAGGTGGATATTGGTGGTGGAGTGAGGATCGGGGGCGGGGATGATGGAGAGGCTTTCGCTTCAGAAACGCTATCTGCAAGGAAGAATTTGCTGTCTGGTCGAGACTTTCCTACGGCGGATAGTGGTGGAGAGGAGATATGGTGATTCTTGCGGCCCTGATCCTGCTCACCATTGGCGTAAAAGAACACGGGACTCTTCTTCTGCGGTAGCGGTTGTTCCTGCGCCGGGCGGGTGTCGTTGACATGGAAAAACATGGGCGAAGTACTCCGCCCTCCCGCATCAGGAGCATGGTTATAAATGTTGGACAAAGGCGGCCGAGGCGTGGGCGTTGTATTGTAACCATTGCCCCCTACCACGCTCCTCGGACGTTTGCCTTGGCCACTGGGGGGCTTGACCCCGAGTGCACTGTAGCCATAGCTCTGCTCTTTCTGGGGATAATCAACGGTCGAGGCTGGTCGCGAGGTGATGGGAGTGACAGAGGGGGTGCCGGTGGGGGTGGAATTCGCACTGCCTGTGCCCACGCGAGTCGTTCTTGCGGAGGATCGTGGGGTGACATTGCTGCTTATGAAGGGTTTTGCGGGGGTGACATCATCGTTGGTAGAAGCAGCAACCCTAGGAGTAGAGCCAACAACGCTGCGAGGTTTCCGGGTGCCTGCTGCACTGGTGGTGGTCGAGGCCGAGGGTGCAAGACGTGGGGTGACGGGAGTCTTTGCGGTGCGGGTGGTAGCGAGGGTGGGCTTCAATGGCCGCGAGGTGTTGTTGTTGGTGCGGTCTATGGGCATGATCCGGCTGCTTTATTTTATTTCAGAGGACAATTGGAGGTGTTGAGGAGGGTGAACATGGCCGTCCGGAGAGGCAATGGAGTGGTTGCTGGGGGGCGGTTTGGCGTGTTGACGAGGGCGTTGCTAGTTTGTAGAAACCAAAACAAACGGGTTTGGGTTGGTTCGGTAAGTGTGTCAGAAGAAGAGTTTGGGGCTCAAGTGAGTGGAGGAGAAGGGTAGACGGGCACTATCAAAGCCATACCCAGGCGGTGAAAGGTGACTGAGGGGCTTTTGAGAATGAATTACCCACCTCCTGTTGTGGGCGACTGAGATGAGTGGTGGTCGGGTTCCGCTCTGTGTTATGATCAACTGAGGCCGGATGGCGACTTTGCGCGGGCGGCTCTAGCCCCATCCGGCCGTAGCGCCTTCATCTGTCATTTATCGCCTTGAACGTGTTGTTATCCACGTCAAGGGCTCCATTCATTATTACCTCTTCAATGTTATGATGGCTCCACCTTCACCATGAATAGCCATGTCACGGGCACTGCCAGTTCATCCCCTCAACGGAATACCCGCGACCTATCGCCTCACCATCGCGATGCGCCTTCTCCGACGACCGCCTCGTCCCTTCCGTCTGATGCCACGACCACACGAGTTCAAGCCGCCGTGGCTACAGATGCCTCATCAGATCGACCCGTCGTCTCCCGGACCCCTTCCGACGAACACGATACTTTGAAATACCACCTCCTAGGCCCCAGTCTAACAAAGGCCGGCCAGGACGCTGTCGACCAGCAGAAAGTCGCCGAGATAATATACAATTCGTCCAAGGGCAGCAAGTTCTTCAACAATGAGGAGGTTAGGGATAAAACCCTTACCGAGAAAATCAACCGGATTCTGGCCAAGAAACACCAGCTGGAGAAGCTGGATTTGAGTTCGCATTTGAGGAGAGCGGACGACTATGTCGCAGAACTAGAAATGTCGCGAGATCTGTCACAGGTCGTAGTTCACATCGATTGTGACGCCTTTTATGCTGCAGTCGAGGAGCTCGATCGACCTGAACTCAAGGACGTACCCATGGCAGTTGGCAAAGGTGTACTCACCACTTGTAACTACCACGCTCGGAAATTTGGTTGTCGTTCTGGCATGGCCGGATTCGTGGCCATGAAGTTGTGCCCTCAGCTCATTTGTGTGCCCATGAATTTTGCCAAGTACTCTGCCAAAGCGGAAGAAATACGCACTGTGCTGGCAGAATACGATCCTCGTTTTGAATCCGCATCTTGCGATGAGGCGTATCTAAACCTGACCCAATACTGCGACGATCACAGTATGAGCCCCGAAGAAGCGGTTCAACAGCTTCGCGACGAAGTGAACGAGAAGACCAAGATCACCGTATCAGCCGGCATCGCGGCCAACGCAAAGCTCGCTAAGATTTGCAGTAACAAGAATAAACCTAACGGTCAATTTTCGCTGCCACGGGATAGACAAACAATCATGGAATTCATGAAGTCGCTACCGACTAGGAAAGTAAATGGCATAGGGCGAGTGTTTGAACGCGAACTGGATGCGATAGGAGTAAAAACTTGCGGAGATATTTACGAGTATCGTGCATATCTAGCTCAGCTCTTTGGACAAAAAGCTTTCCAGTTCTTGATGCAATGTTATCTAGGACTCGGTCGAACTTCGATTCAGCCAGCAGAGGAATATGAGCGCAAGAGTGTGGGTACGGAAACCACATTCAAAGAATTGAGCTCGCCTGAGTCTTTACGTGCTAAACTGCGAGGCGTCGCAGAAGAACTAGAAGGTGACTTGAAGCGGACCGAGTTCAAGGGTCGCACATTGTGCATCAAAATCAAACTCCACACATATGAGGTCTACACGCGGCAGACGACACCGCCTTTCGCTGTTCATAAAGCAGACGATCTTTACAAATACAGTCTACCTATGCTAGACAGGCTGATGAAGGAAATGCCAGATTTCAAGTTACGGCTAATGGGGCTACGAGCTACGCATCTCGTCAGCGCAAAAAAGCCAGGCATTGACTTCTTCGGTCGATTCAAAACTGCCACAAGTACGTCGGATTCTAAGACCATTCCCAAGGCATCAACCAAACCTACCGCCACAGCATGGGAAGTCTGGCCAGAAGCCGAGTTCGAGGAAGCGGCCCGACAAGAACGTGACAACGATATGAATGAACTCGAACGACTCTCTCAAGAGTACGAAAAACAGACAATAGATGAAAAATCTAACATGTCAAGCGCAACGTACCCTAAAACGGAACAAGAACAAGAGCAGAAGCCGGGGGCATGGACATGTCCAGTCTGCACTCTTCCACAACCACCTGACGACACCACTTTCAACTCGCACATTGACTTTTGTCTCTCTCGGCAAACCATCAGAGAAGCTGTTCAGTCGACAGCCAATGTACAGCCAGTAGCCAACCCAGCAATGAAAGCACAATCGCTATCATCTGCAGGTAGGACGCCGCCTTTAAAAAACAAGGGCAAGCGTGGTCGGCCAAAGAACGAGGTATTAGACGAAAAGACGCGCGAAAAACGTCGCGCCTTCTTCACCACTGCCAGGTCGACAGGTGCAACTGGGCCGCCGTCATAGCAGTCAGTGAGTCCCATGCGAGGAGAAGATTTGTTGACGATGAAATGATTGAAAGAGAGTAAGTAAGCCAGTGTTCATTATGTAGAGATACACGCACTATGCACATATATGTAGATAATGATCATGACCGACACGACCCTGTTTTGTCTTGAGATGAGAATAAATGAGGCGATCCTCATAATTTGAAATTACGCCGAATGCACAACTGACACGTGCCAACACGTTTCCTGACACAGGGACAGTCCATGGTTCAGTCAAGTGTCTATCTACATGCATGTACCCTTCCTTTCCCAGACATGCATACAAAACCAAGGCACCCCTTACATCCACACTCAACACGCCGTTATGCCCGCTACTAGCACCCGTTGTCAGACATGTTAGACAGACAAGTCATGGCCAAAAAGAAAGGGGGCGGGTCAAAAAAAAAAGTCAGGGTCCAGATATGAAACCATGGTCCAAAAGCGAATTCCTTCTGCTGCTGCAAGGACACCCGTTCATTCTCAAGGAGAATTACAGACCCTGAAGCCATTTATAGCAGCAAAGGCAGAGAGAACCGACCTCCAGTTACATGTACGAGACAATGCAAGTCGACCAAATTACATTCTCTCGTAGCATGCGAGCATCAACTAAACAATAGACTTCAGACATGTGTTATTCTCACCATCTCCAATTCTACAGCATTGCTTCTCCCTCCTTTTGTTTCCTCTAACTTTTGCTTCCATGCTATGGTTGTCTCCACCTATCCATCCGCCGAGCACAGTCAGGGTCCAGCACCAGCACAGCACACACCATCGCTCCAAACAAAAAAACCCAAGCAACCCAAAACCAGGAGAAAAAGCGAAGCGGCGCGCCGACCAAACTCAGAGTCAAGCTGACTCTTGCTCGATCCCTGTCATGTAACTGACACCTGCTTCACTGGAAAGAACAAAAAGGCCACTAGGAAGAGAAGAAGAAGACGACGCGAGAGCTTCCACGCTATCTACCTACTAACCCACGACAATTCCTCCTTTCCCAGCCCCTCTCCCCTCCCCACTGCTTGCTTTCCCGAGATTCTATATTTGACGACACGCTATTTGCACCGGGTGCCCGCACGGTAGCAGCAAGGGCCAACGGGCCGCAAGAAAAGAGAAAGAAAAAGAGCGGTAAGGGACGAAGGGAAGGGGACGTTGTACCGTGAACAGACATGCTGTACCTTGCCTGCGTCGGTGTGTAGTGCAGTGCGTCGCGCGCTACACATCGATACAAGGATGAAGCTGGCGTGAGTCGGAGTGGGGAGGGGACAGGTCATGGAATGGGAGGGCAGCGAGAGAAGGGTCCGGTTCGGCGGTGGATGGGGGACTCGCCGAGTTCGCCGACTTTTGTTTGGTCGGAGCTGCTTTTTTGGGAGGTTGGGATGCTAGCGCTTTCAGTTGGAGAGAGAGAGGGAGTGAGTTGATTCTCGTGGAAATAGGCAAAGAGGGTGGAATGGGGAGCATTTTGATGTATGAGCATTATTCGATATGTATATCCCAAGGTGGTACAATTGATGTATATCTTGATAATTCATGTTACGCTCTAAGATGGGAGGATCATAGTTTCAATATAGTCTATCATATACACCTGTGTGCCTCTGTCTTTCAGCTCTGCGGACATTAGTTAGTTAAGACGATTGTTTTACATATTCGACAAGCCGATTTGAGGAAGAGAAAATGTAATAATGGTTGGAATCGATCGTGAACAACGCATTCACCATTCATATTAGTACTAATATATACCCCGACAACCCATCCAAACCACCGATCAAATTATTCCGTGTTCGTAAAGGAGGTGAAAAGCTCCAGGAATTATTCGTTAAGACATGGCATCGAGGGAAAAAAAAGAAGGGAAACCAAGTAACCCAAAAAGGTCGCACATGACCTTAAAGCAAAAACATCCTCCACTCAGCCCGACTACATTACTTGTTCTGATTACGGCTGGTCCATTCTGTGACTTTATTTGGCCCTTTCCGTCGCTTGCTAGGGGGTATACATCATAAGACGAGAGCGATCTACTCTGGAGACGAGCTGCCGAGTCTTGCACTCGAACAACACGTTAGCCATCCAAGTTTTCTGGTTTAAGCCGCAATCACCCTCTCGTCTTCCCGTCCCCGAGCCTCGGTGGTCGCGATGGTAGAAGGTGCATCAAGATCATCCTCCTCTTCATCCTCGTAGCCGTTACCCTGATGTTCGGATGCGGGAATCCAGAGACCCGACTCTCTGCTCTCTAGTGGCTGGTCTTGCTGAGAAAGATCCACACCTTCGGCACGGCGGGCAGAGTTCTTGCGGCGTTGAGAGAGGGTGCGGGATCGTTGCGAAAGCTTGGATGTTACAGAGGCATTTTGTGACACCCAGTTGGTGAGAGCGTCCTCGCAATCTTGGATAATGGCCTTGCTGGCCTCGTAACCGTCGTACGCATTCCTGGTTTCACCGGGTGTGACGGGGTTGTCATCGACCAATTCGAGCAAATGCTTGCCGAAACCTGCAATGATGGCCAATTTCTCGCAATGCTCGCGCATGGCATCGAACTGATATGTGAATGCAGCCTTGAGCTTCTCGCGGGTGATGTTGGACAATTGGGCTTCGGCAACCAATGACTCGGCCTCAGCACGAACCAGCTCTTGCTCGAGAACAACGATCCTAGGAGAATTGGGCTCCTTGTATTTCAACTGCGCAATCTGGTCGGTGATCTTTTGCTTGCCTGAACAAGTATTAGTATACAGCTTGTCATATCAGAATTGGGCCACTCACGGTCACGGCTGGGTTGCACAGACGCCTCGATGTTGCGAATGCTCTTAATCGTAACACGGTATTGGTCGTAGCGATCCACATACTGGTCCTCCAGCTCGCCAATTTCGTAAATCAAGACGCCCAGCTTGTCTGTTACATCGGAGACGTCATCGTCACACGCCTCACCCCAGATAGACAATTGTTGCTGTTATTTGATTAGGTCCCGTTCGCACAATGCTTCGATTGGGTGTAACCTTACTGCGACTTCCATACGCTCTCTGCTGACAAGCTCCATGCTGCGCATAACGTTCTTCTCCATCTTGACCAGCGCGGAGAGCTTCTTGGCCAAGTCGGGGCCAAATGCACCAGCAGACTTGTGGCGGAAAGTGTGGCCTGCATCAAATGTGCGTTAGGGATGTATAGAATTGTATAGGATGGCAACCGAGAGGGCAGCACTCGTCGGAGTTGACATACCGATGTTGCCTTTGCCAAAGAATCGTCCGGCTTTGGTCGAAGAAGTGGGAGGAGGGGGGTTCTGGATTTGCGACGCCGTAGGGGCGCGCGACTGGCGCATGCCTGGGAGAGAGTGCATGTTAGCATTGTGTATGATATATGTGTGCGTGCATGCTGTAGCACACGACAGCCTATGGGTCTCTGGTATGTCGTCCTTCTAGGCAGGCGCTGCGAAAGCGTGGAGTTCCGAGGCTGAGAGGGGGACTCACTGTAGGTGCGGTGCATTGTGCTGGTATGTAGGGGTAGTTGTTGTTGTTGTTGTATAATGTGGTAGTGGTGAGGGTAAGGGCAACAGATCTGCTCGGGGATGTAGGAAGTTGTGGGATATTGTGGGAACAAGGTTGGATCACGACCAAGTCGAGGGGGCGTAGCGACGTTTTGTTTGCGTACGATTGTCCCATACGACGCTCCGGCCCCATGACGTAGCCGACCGCGTAGATCATGCCCCACAGAACACCGACCTGAACCAGTACATCGCGTCGGGACATGCACACTAACCGTAAACATTCTTCATCTTGTCATATTGGTTCTACCGAGCCGCAGGGGATACGCATCGGGAACCTTTTCTGTAAGCTTCCGTACATATATTGTGCGTTTCCTCGCTGCTGCGGCGACGGCATGCTGTGTGTTCACTCTTTCATCTCGACATGCTGACATCGCAAGTCTAAGCAACTTAGCGTGTGGCTGGCGCTAAGGCTTGACCGGCCTATACTTCCATGATATAATGATCATCTGTGACGTCGCCCTATGTGATACCTCCAGAACTGGTTTCCGCGCATGAACGCTCGTCTTGCTGCATCTCGGGGAGGTCTATGTACCTACAATGAGGCCTTCGTACATTGGAACAGCCTGGAAACAAGTATTATCGACCAACCAAGCTCCACATCAGCAGAATTTGATATAGTGGATTGGTTGGAAGGTAATCTTGGAGAACGACTGCTAGGCGTTCTTTGTTACATCCAGGTTTTCCTCATCACGAGAGAGGGGGTATATAACGCCAATTCTTGCTAGTATAATACAAATGCATCCATTCCCTGTGCACATCAAAGCTTACATAGAAGCACCCCCTTGCATCTGACCTGCCAGAACACTGAGAAAACTCTCGGCTTCGCCAAATGCGTTGAATCCCGTCGACGGACGAAGAGCCCAGAATATAAGAAGGCCTTCACGTGGGTTGCGCCGTTGGTGTATAGCGAGCCCAGCGAGACCTGCTGTTGCAAGAGCAGAACATGCGGCAATTGTGTTCAAGACCCATGAGCTTGGGAGGGATGATCGGCTTGCACTGATGAGTGACTTTCCATCATCTTGTATTACAACTTGATTTCGTACCATTGCCGACACAACAGGCATATTCCCCATGATTTGGTTAGCTGCTTTGACTGCAGACGTGACTAGCCCTTGTCTGCAACGTGGCTGCCATGGCAGATTTTGCGGTGTTTCCGTGTCTTTGCCGTTTGTGATTGACCAGACCAAGGCGGAATCGATTTCTACGCCACCAAGTAGTTCTGCACGTAGTCGCCGGATATACCGTAATATGCGAGGATATTTCGTTCCTATGGCTTCCTTGAGCCACGCTTGGGGCGCGGGAGCATATAGCATCAGCGATAGATAGCCGAATGCAAGGCAATCTAGGCTAGAAGGCTTGTCCCCATCAAGAAGATAATCTTTCTTCCCCAGAAGATCTGAAATTGGGTCAAAGACCTCACTGGACAGCGCATCGAGTTTGAAGCGCGCGGCGTATATCGGCGAGCTAAGTAGGCCACCAAGTCCTTTCCTTCGGCCTAGATTGAGAGCCTTCGGCTGGCCCTCGGTCGGTATCCCAGCAGCTCTCTTCGCGGCCTCATACTCTGAGGAGGCTGTGCCGCTTCCAGGCCCACGTGTTTCTTCCGTAGCTTCATCTACGTCTAAGCTACTTAAGCCAAGATGAGATGTTCTCGCTCGTGCAAGATCTCGCCTCTTGGGAGGTATCGTGTAGTTTGCGAGCCACGGGAGAATTGCTGTATACGCCGAAGATGTTGCGGCATTGTAGTTCTCGGAAGAAACGTACAGGAAAAGGTCAAGGAGAGGGCCAGCAGTGGAGCGGAGGAACGAAACGTATCTAAAATCGAGTGAGTAGGAGTACAGATACTGTGGTAGTCGACTCTACTCACGCTGTCCTGTCTGTCTGTTGCTCATGTGTCAAACTGTAATCGAGGTCGTAAGCTCCGGAATGATGATTGCGGAGATAGGATACGATGTTGCTGAAACCGGTCGTCTTCGAGGCACCATCTATTAATACTGGGAATTCATCTACATGTGGTCAGCCATGCCAGTAAACTGGTTGAGCGAAGACTGACTCTGTGGGCTTATAGAAGTGTCGTAATCGGCAATAAGAGTCCATTGGCCTTGTGGTATTATACGAGCGAAGTATGCAACAGTGGCGGCACATTCGGGATCAATCGACGGGAGCCCAAATGCGGGACCCCATATGTGGAGTTCAAATGGCATTTTGGGCGGGTGTACAGGCGCGTCCAGGAATTAGACGGTTAATGATGGATGGGATACTTTTCGCCCTAAGAACGGCTTGGCGGTGATTATGTCATGGATCGCGACTGCCTCGACAACAAATGAACTTCCACGATCATGCACGTACATGCTTGATACAAAAATCCCTCATTCGTTGCAGCTTGTGGAATCAGTCATGGCACCTATTCGACGTTATCTGAGAATCACAAAGCACTCCGTCTTGGAGGTGCGCATCTATCTCGATCGGCCGGCTGACGCCGAAGCATGGCTTCTGAGACGCGAGAATCCAGCCCTTCCACGCGTCATACAAGCCGTTAGACCCTTGGTGCTCCCTAAATTGCGAGAAGAGAATGAGCGTTTCAAGACCAAGAGCAAAGGCAAAGCAAAAAAGAAGGGGGTGAAGGATATGGTTGCCGAGGGTGAGTAGATTGGCTACGTGACACTGGGGAAAGCTCCAGCTCTCTGCCTAATGAGCTCCGAGTTATCAATACTGACATGATGAATCAGATGATTTTGAAGTCTCTATTTTTCTCACTGAATTGTCATCTCGACATTCTCTGATGATCAAACAGAAAGTCTTCAAGGAAAAGCCGTCTATCCAGAGCAATTCGGGCAAATTGACTGGGTGGCTTACCTCTGGAAGTAGCGAGCAGCCGGTGATGGTCGATGAAAACACCACAGAATCAATCACTATCAGAGAGGAAGAAGATGATGGAATAGTCAAACTCGCTGATATACCTGAGAAGGACGATTCAGCAGAGCAGGGTTCTGGATCAGAGAAGCGAAAACGCAGAAGAGGAGACAATCGCGAAAATCCAATCACTGAAATTGAAGACTCGGATGATTCTTTCCAGTTGGAAGTGGCACCATCCAAAAAACGGAGCAAAAGTGCCAATCGCGAGGTAGATCAGGAGCTGAATGATGGGGAGAGTGAAGGAGATGGCGAGAAGAAAAAATTGGCGCTCAACACTTCGTATGAGGGGTTCTCGATTTACGGTCGAGTACTATGTTTAGTTGTCAAGCGAAAGAACAGACAACAACAGAAGAGTACTGGCAATCGCCCCGCATCTAGCGAGCAAATGATGGAAAATTGGGTATCGACACAAGCTGCAATTGACCACGAAGAAGAGATCGATGATGACGAAGACAATGGATAGATGGCGCCCGCGCGAACACCTGCTCCCCAACTCGCGTCTACGCCAGGACTTACAGATTAGGCAAGTCAATATTGAAGCGAGGACCTCCCTATACGAACAACAACTATGTATAGCACTTTGCCGACCCCAACCCCCCGTGTTTAGCTTAGCTTCACATCCTACACAGCACCACGTGGTTTCCAGCTCATCGGTGACGGGCGCGGATCTCGTTACGTGCTGTGCTTCGATGAGGCGGCTTGATGGCTTGCAGAAACATCCCCAACATCATGAGCTACATGATCGCCAGATCGGACGACCTTTTGGCAAGAATGTGACACAACCAAGCAATTCAATCGAGTCTCAAAAGCTGTTTCACTTGGTGGCTATGCTCATTGAATTGTGGGTGTAGGTGCCGAATTCATTGACGACATTGTCATGATGATTCCAAGGCACAGAGTCTTGGCTGCAGCTAAGCCTACTAAAACGATAAACCCTCTTCGGGTAGCTGATACTGGGGGGAAGAAGCTTACAGCAACGCGTATCTCATTATATTTTTGGCAACTATTCAATACACTTCTCCCTAACAATTGAACCTCCGGAGATTCTCATTATGGGGATGGATCGCGAGCTGTTGGAATATTGTTCACTTCTATTAGCGACAAGGTCCCCGGTGACCCCGAAGTTCAGTCTTCTGTGGCGTTTATCCTCAATGGCCGGGCCGGGTCTGAGCCAGGGCGTACGCAAGCCACATGATCGCTGCGCGTACCTGCAGACGGGTACCTGATTAAGCATGGCAGACTATGACTTTTTCAAGAGGGGCTAACCAACTCGGCGAACTGTTGATTCTGTTAGACTGTGGCTCGCCGTCCGAATATGCCGACAAATTGTGGTGGTCAGCGAGTGCAGGCCGGATGAATAGTGGCTGCTGACCGAGAGCAAATTTGGCAGTCATGGGTACTTGAGGAAGTATGAGCAGGGTCTGGAACCAGGATAGCAGAGAGCGAGGTCACGAAGGTGCAACTTCGGCTCCTGCTCGGAGAGAGGATTATATCGATGACGACAGCATGAAAAATGTTGGAGCAACGATGAGTGGGACGATGTTCTGGATAAGCCAGAATTGATCGGTCCTGTCCGCCAGGCCAACTATCAGGCAAATGGCGCGATTGGCAAGTTTTCATACCATCGCAAACAATCGCGGCGACCGTTGAAAAAAGGAGAGCAGAAGTGGACCAGTCCCTATTAACGGACGGCCTAGCAGATGCCGGCTAGTGCTCCGACTTCATAGGGCAAAAGCATAGCTAGGCTTGAACCTTGGTGGTCTCTCCGCAGTTTCCGAGCGGCCGGTACAATCAAGGTCAGACGGAGTAGAGAGATGGTGCGGTTGGCGAAGTGAACTTTTCTGGATTACGAAACTTGACGTCTCGATGGATATGATTGCAGGCCCACCCACATCAAACACACGACTGTCCATTTCCCAACTGCCGTGGTGGCAACGTAATGCAGCGCGTACTTTGATTGTGGAGGAAAAGGCAGTGGAGCGACGGTGCCCCTGAAAATCGCACGCAGACTGATATCATACCGCCTATCCCTAACAATGAGCAGCGAAGGGTGCAACCTGGTTGGCTTCGGTTGCACAGTGGACGGACTGGGTCATCTGAGGGTGTACGGGGAAACGCGGCCAAGGCACAAAAGAAAAAGGGTGCTGCTGCTAAGTAGCAGACAACAGGGTCAAGGTGATAAGACAAGAAAAGAAAGATGTGGGTGGGGATGACAATAATGAAAGGCAATTGATGTGTTGCAGGGGGCTGGCAGAGACAATTGCGCAAAAGCATGGAGCAAATGGCAGCGTGCATGGGTGGCTGCTCGGATCCTAGAAAAGTTTCGCTCAGGAGCCACGTGTGAAAAATGCGACGGCCGACCAAAGGGGTGGAACCGATCTGTTCCTCCGGAACTTGTTGTTCGCCAGCACGCAGCATCGTCGACGCCTGGCCAGCCCCTTTTGAACTCTGTTCCTGTACGAGTACGGGGCCCAGGAGCGGTCGCCTTGAGCGCTTCTGCAGCGCATGCATCAGCAGCCAGTCGCCTTTGGCGGAGGGCGCAGAAAGTTGCATCTTGCAGCAAAGCGTGTTGGACGAAGCAGCTCGTGTTGCCAGGCTTTGTTGCTGCTCACCCCATACATGGCCTACAATAGAACACACCCTCTCTACACAGCACACAAACCTGCAGCATGCATGTACACGCAGGGGCCAATACGAGTCGTCCAAAGCGGTCGGGCAGGGGAGACAAAAATAATCTTGATGTTGGTTTGGTGCTCAGAATAGGGACTGCATTGGAGAGAGTGTGTGTGGGTGTGCGGTGTGGTGGGTTCCTTTTCCCCGACGGGCTTTTGCAGACGTGTATTGCTATGACGAGGCAGCTGAGATGGATGGCCGCTCGGGCTGGCAAGTCAGTCAGTCAGACAGACAGCCAGCAGGCGGGCAACCTCACCGCCAACGGCCGTGTCGCAGTGGAGCTGGAACACAGGCAGGGGCAGGACATTATACGCCCGAAGTGAAATGAAATGGGATGGAAGCCTGATGGAAGGACGGGAGAAGGCGCCAGATGTGCTCGAGAGTGGAGCCCAATCATGCCCAAGGAGCAAATTGCACGACGAAATGTGTCCACAGTCGGCCTCCACCTCGACGTAGCAGGCAGGCAGGTTTTTTTTTTCGTTGCCTTCTTTTTTGCCCTCGCTTGGTGCCTGTGCGGGCTGGGCGAAGGGTGTCACGGTGTCAGGTGTCAAGTGTTTGAATTCCTGACGCGGATTGGGAACAGATCCCTGCGGTTCCTGAATTTGCAGCAAGCACTCCCACACATGGATTGCCGGGGACGTGTTTGATGCGACTGGCGTCCCCTTCTTGGATGGAAAGGGGAGAGGCGCTAGGTTTGATGCACCGTTCTCACCAGCAGCAGGTACCACGGTAGGCTCGCAGCAGGCAAGCTGTGCGTGGAGTGGAGTGGGAGATGGCATATTATCCCATGTGGGCAGGCAAAGCGCCAACGCAAGACAAGCCAGCAGCAGCAGCAGCAAGCAGGAACGGTGATGTCAGAATTAGGCACACGATGGATCAACACACGGCGACGACAGAGGAGGAGAGCGAGGAGTCACACTCTGGCAGCCTCTGCCGTCTCGCTCCGTCACCAAGTGTTGCACGGCGCCCGGATTGGATCCGTGGCAGCACCACGCCAGTCACGAGGACGATGAAACGACAAGCCCCCGTGTTTCCTGCTAACCGCGCTGAAATGCTGCCCAGGGGCCTCCCCTGCTCGGCCTAGCGCGTGCGTCAAGGGCCCACTCTGCCCACCGCGTCCGAGCTTCACCTCTCCTTTTTTTTTCGAACAGCCCAGCGCCTCATCAGCTCACCGCTTGGACCATGCCTGCCATGCTATGCCTAGCATCATTACATTACACCATCGTCGTGTAGCCAGGCTGACCGACATTTTGGGCCATGCTAATCTCAGCGCACAAACATAAATACAGCCGGCCCCCTTGAGCCAGTCACGCTTTGTTTCATCATCACCAAGCAGATATCATCACCACCACCACTACTACTACTACATCTACATCTGCTACTGCCATCATTGCAACAACTCCATACCAAACCTACAACCACTCCTCAATCTTCTCACTCAACCAACCAACTATCCAACAACTTCCAATGGCCATCATCTGCAACGAACTCAACATGTCGACTCAGAACCTTCCTCCCTGCCCTGGTCCACCACCAACCCGCCCTCTGCCTCCAGTCCCTTCAAAATAAACAGCTGCACGACTCTTACAAAATCACCGGTCGCTACGGGCGTTGGCGCAACCATCCGGCATCACCATCTACACCTACCAACAGTGTGCTATATACTACCAGCATATTACCCTAATTCTTGCAAACACCAACATCCACTCGTGCTTTTAGGCATGCAGTTCGGGATACACCACTGAACACCAGGCCATGTGTTGGCCAAGGGTCTCACAGACGATTCCGGTTGCCTTCTTTAAGCACGACTACCGCAACACACCAACACTGCGCCATAACCGGATACCGAATGCTGCAATCCGACCATTCCCAGTCTGCCGCCCTAGAGTCCAACAATGCGCCGCATGCATCCCGCGGGGCTCCCTCATGGCATCACTGGTGGCTTGTCAACCGCCATTGCCGCCTGGTGACCCCTCTCCTGGGGATTCTTTCTTCTGATGTCAAAACACGCGCTGGTTCGGGTGAACGAAGTTAGGAATTTCTATTTCTAGATCTGCCTTCACTAGAGCAGTGATTGTAATACCGAGCGACTTGTTTCCTCTTTCCTATTTTTGCTACCAGTTCTGTCTTACATTTTCCTTGGTTATTGCATGAGATGGGCGCGCAACATGGGAATGACTGTATTTTTAGCCTTGGTCGCACATTTGGGAGTTTTATACAACGGGGGCTCAATCGGCCTAGGAATACCCAATATCTGCTAGCATCTAATTACTTGATCGAAGATCACCACCTTTTCAACATGCCTCTCCACTCTTGCTACCGCGTTCCTCGGGAAAACTTCGCAGTCAAGTCATGATATCAGCGCCCCCCGCGGCTTCCACGTTGTTGGTGCGGATCCATGTCCTCAGCAGATGGCTGATCTTAATACGATCAGGACGATAAGACGACCCAATGGATGGAGGCATGTGTTTAGTGACACGGCAGCTAGCAACGTGCAGCATCGCGGTGGCACAAAGGGCCGTTGCGTGTGTTGCGCGGAAGAGCTGACCGACCCCTCAGTTCACGTTGCACGTTCTCCCCCACTGGCGCCGGTGAGGAGCACAGCAGGCATTGGCCATGATGCATCACGATCTCGGATGAAGCCAGCAACAAAGACACAGCGAGGACGGCGGGCTCCCCACGAAGGACGCTTCGTGGCTGAAATTGACTTTCGGCCGCGCAGCACGATGTGACGCGTACATGGTCAGTCCATGGATGGGCGCCTTCTCCGATATTCCCGTTCAAGGACTTGGTCGCGCGTGACTCGCCCTTCTCTCTGCCTGATACCGTAGTGTTTGGAGACAGGCTGAGACACTCCAACAGCACCCCACAAACCCAGTCGGGTGGTGCAACTTGAATCACGTCAGCAGCCAACGGCAAATCCTACGAGCATCCATGACTCCAAGCCCCTTCGCTCCCAACATCTGCAGGAGCTTGGGGGGGGGGGGGAATGGTTCGATGTTGGGCCTCTCTGTACACTTGTTGTACAACAAAAGGGCAGACACGCAAGCAGCTGGTTCTGCCCCGGTCAATTGATTGTTTGATTGATGGATGGATTGATATCTGCTCAGCCAGCTCACATCATCACAGCTAGCGCCAGGCTAGGGAAACCTGTTCGTAGCGGTTCGTGCGGCTTCATGGACCTGGGTACTGCTGCGTATGCTCGCTCTTCTTTCTTTTTTCTCTCCCGAATACGACCCCACGCCTGAAGACCACATCCAGGTAACATCATGACCAAGCTGCTGTGCCGCCATAGCACACGCCGCTCCCACCATTCGCTTGCTGGAGCGGGGCAGTTGCAATTGCCGGCCTGGTTGTATCAACGAGCAAGCTGTCAGCGCCAACGGCAATAGTACATGCAAAGTATCATAATGGTTCGAATACGATATCGTGGGCCAAAGACCATGTGGGTGTGGGTAACGCAGGCTTCATCCGTCGTGCCATGGCATGGCATGGCATGGCATAGCATAGCATATCATATCATAGCACAGCAACCACTGCCCAACCCACTCTTCAGGTCCTGCTTACCCGCGGCATCGTCCGCTCATTCGTATCCATCATTCCATCATGACGGTTGTTCCTGGCTCTCTGTTGCTCTCTCACCGTACTTAGCGCCCCGCTGCCAGGCACCACCATTCACTAAGCCCCCTCAGCAGTCAGCGGTCAGAACTCAATATCCATCCCCCCCCCCCCCTACACAATATGCTCTAAAGAGCTTTTACCCCGCTACGTCTCACATGGGACGACGTCTTCCGCGCTCGGCCATTGGCTACGCCCTCGTATCGTTCGTTTCCCTTCCCTCTCGTCTGCGAACACCTCTTGCTCTCATGCGCGGCTGCAGTTCCCGAGCCAAAGGCTCAGCCACCCAGCAGCAGCAGCATCAGCAACGGCCGATCTCTGCACACACACACACACACACATACACCTCACGTCTGAGTATGCCAAATACTATCCCAGCAAGCTTGCTACCTTGGCTCTCTGTGGAGACAATCCCATAGCGATCCAACTTCAATCACGCTTTGTTAGTCCTGCCTTGTTATGGGGGCCGCTTAGCGGTAGTACACATGTAGCCATCGGCCTTTGTGCTTGTCGGCCCGCTCTGTCGTCATGGCCTCTGTCCTCATGACTACTAGCAAACTCCTTTTTTTTCTTTTTTCAATCAACATGGACAAGTCAATTCTCCATCCTTGACCACGTTACAGACCCCAGTCCAGATACCTAGTCCATTTCTACAGTGCAGATAAGGAGACCGAACCCAGAGTCCCCAGTAATCATATCGGCTACGGTAGCCAGCGGAAAAGAGCAGTGTATGCAGGTTTCAACTTTGCCTTGACCCCATGCTCCTCACTCGTCGCTTCTCCATTCCGAGCTGAAGAGAGAATCCCAGGAGCTGCTTTGAACGCTGCGCGTCGGAGCAGTGGAGTCAGCCCATGCCTGCCTGCCTGCAGGCCAACTGCGAACTTCGTGTATTCATCCTTCGTGCCAGCAACTATGGCTCGCGTCTGCAGAATGCCAATCCTGCAGGACGCCTGTCGACACTGCGAGCAAGCAATCAAATGCAGTCACATGGCTCACATGCACACGTTCCTTCGCGATGCTCTCAATCCATGTCTGCAGATCTCCTCATGGCATCGAATGCTTTCTCTCCTACAGGTCGCTCCATTCATCTCGCCTGTCTTGCGACACCCCCAGCAGATCCTTCGAGATCGTTGCGATGACTGTTCTTCAGGGGACCAGGGGTACATTGGCCACACCGCTTGCCCCAATCCATCTCTTTCCATGCTGACGCATCCTGCACCTCCCCTCCCTCTCTCCATTGCTCCTCTTGTCGTCGTAGTCGTCGTGGTCATCATCGCCGTCGGAGCGCTCGCCTGCCGATTTGCCGGCACCGTTGAGGCGCCAAAACTTGTTTCACCTCTTCGACTTGCAAACGTTAAAGCAGTTGACGTGGGAACGGTCGGCCGAGGAAGCGACTACACGCAGGACCAGATAATTGGCCGCTGTCATGATGGTTGCACGATTCCTCTTCCGGGAAATCTCACGACAAACTTCACCCCATCTCCGCTCAAACGGCAATGGCACAGATGCCAGGTCTATCTTCCGTTTCGGAAATTTGGGCAACAACAAGAAACAGCAACAAACCAGGAAAGATCCTCCTAACCGAGCGGTGGCAAATCCAGCGCACACCCCCTTGCCATTCGACCTTTTTTTTTTTTGCCTTCTGACGGGCTTGGCGGTGAGAATCTCCAACACTTTTTCTCTTCGGGCGCCCTGTTCTCCTGAAGATCATTGATGTCGCCCTGCGACAGGGCTAGGATTTAGCGAAGCTTCGTGACTCAAGGCGCTACGCTCCAAGTTGATTCGGTCGGGCTTGACTCGTTGATTGAACTGCCTTTTCCTCCCTCCACCATTTCCTGTCGATCAATTGTACAAAGAAATGTACGAGACGAAACCAAGTATTATGAGCATCCTGATAATGTTTCGTGTTTTGGATGTCGGTCTACTGCTCGGCACTTTGCAATTTATTGATCTTGTCAAGATTGCTTTTCTACACGGCAATTGGGGCCATGTGCATGTTGCAAGTTCGGAACCGCGAAATGATTCCAAGATCATCTTTATGTTGATTGACTTCCTGATTCGACCTCGCGCTTCAGGCGCTTAGTCTTGGAACTTCTCACTCCACGGTTTGGAAATGTCTCGAATCGTATGCAATTTCCTATTTTTGTGTCCAATAAATACAAAATACATGGGCTCGGTCCTTTGCGCTATCCGCGGAACGCATTCCTTCCTCTTATTTCATCAACGTCACACATTCCGCTTGCGTTTATCAATTGCATTGTTTCAATTGTCAATATTTCTCAAGTGTGGCGTAGTCGAGAGAGTTTGTCCGTCCGACGTGTCCGAGCAACTCGCTCCGATTAGCAGGCCCGCTCGGCCGCTAGAGCATCCACTGCTTCCCATTTCCAGACAAAACTGCCAGGGCAGACGAAGTTTGTCCCGTTCGTGCATCCCTCCCTTCATCTCATCAAAACTTTTCCAGGGAACCCGTGGGCGTGCAATTGAGGCACAAGCTTACTCACCGGCGCTTGTTGGGGCGTCAGGGTCTTCCGAATGGGACGGCGTGCATATGGCCTTTGCAAGGGATATAGTATTTCCGGGGAGATTACTTATGGATTGTCACACGCTGGACGCGCGGGACAAGGTGTGGCTGTCACATGAGGCGTGTACCCCGGTTTTCTACCACGTTCCCACGTGATTGGCTTTTTGTTCGAATGTTGGTACCTGTCTGATATCACTGTCTGATATCACTGTCAGCACTTGCCTGGATGCATACAGTAATCGTCTACGCTACCTCACCGATCACGACTCTCGCAATATACTCACTGTGTACATGGTTCCTTATCTCCACCCAAGCGTTCTCGACTCAGGCGTGCGAGGCCACTGTAGACCCCGGATGAGCTGAACTGCAATTGTGTCAAGACAATTGAGTGGAATGATGACGCCGAAAGCCACGTTCATGCGTGTGTGTCCTTGAGATAGGTTGTGTGAAGATCACTTGGTTGGCGGCGTTCATAGATGCAGATATCGGTAAGTCCCTGGTCACTGTGCTCGAGCACAACATGTGCCACATGGCTTGGCATGGCAATTGTCGGGACTGAAGATGAAATGCATGAGGCGTCCCATAGTGGCACAATGTGCAATCATCGATGAAGATCTAGTCCTGCTTCACGTATACTACATATCTTGGTGGGCTAACACCTCCCTAGAACGTCCCAACAATTACTATACTCAAACAGGTGAATACAGTCCTAGTAGCGATTTCAACTTCAAAGTCTTGCCCGTCTGTAACAGCAAGCTCAGGGCACCGTTACCCAGATACAGTGGACATTGCAAGCCCTGAGCCTCCTGTACAGCCTTCTTCAAACCGTCAAAATATGCCTCTGGAATAGTCGCATCCTCAGTCCCATTCCCCTCTAGTATGGGTATCATCTTGGTGGCGTAGTCTTTGAATACGGCGCTGCCACCAGCAGCCTCGACAACGAGCTCATACATCTGAGCCAGTGGGATTCCAACGTGCTTAGCAAACGCAAGACTCTCGGCCGCGGCGCATAGGTGAATGCCGGTGAGCAGATCGGTCACCAACTTGAGTTTGGCTTTCTTATCATCTTCTGAATACGTGCTCTGGATGCTGGAAACGGGCTCAGATGTCCACAGGCGCACGAGACCTGCATCATCATTGGGACCGAAGCCTTTATCCAGACCCGAGAAAAACACCTGTTCCGTAATGGAGCAAAGCGGTAGCGGGAAGCCGAGCAATCGACCCATGGAAGTGATTATCCCCTGTGTTGATACCCCAATTAGCATTCACCTTTTGCACTTGATTCCGAACAGGAAATTCCCACTTACAGCATCCTTCAACACAATCGTGACGGCACTCGCACCGGGGAAATAGTCCTCAGCCAGCGTCCTCACGCTCCTATTCTCGAACATCCAACTCCAAGCCTCACCACCCACCACGGCCTCCCTAACGTCCCCTCCATTCAACCCCAACCGCGCCGCGAACCCAAACGCCTCGCTCACAGCCAAAATGTGCACCGCGGCAAGCACCTGATGCACCATCTTCATATTGCTCCCAGCACCTACCCCACCCCTAACGACAAACAGCTTCTTTGGCGCGGCCATCTCCTCGAGCAACCACCGCCCCTTCTCAAACGCCGCCTCGGACGCGCCCGCCATAATCGACAACGTCCCCTCAGCCGCCCGCACCGCCCCGCCCGAAACAGGCGCATCCACAAACATGACATCGCCCCTCCCCCTCGCGCCCAATTCCTTGTCCACCCCCGCCGCGTACGCGCTCGGCACCGTCGAGCACAGGTACAGCGTCGCGCCCGCCGGTAACCCCTCGAGGATCCCGTCGGGCCCGAAGATGGCGTCCTGCGCTTGCTTGGCCGTCGCCACCATGCACACGTAGAAGGCCTTGTCTTGTGCAGACGCTCGCAGCGACGTCGAGGGCGTGCCGCCGGCTGCGGCGAATTTCTCGAGCGTCGGCGCCCACACGTCGAAACCTGTCACGGCGTAGCCGCTTTTCACGAGGTGCGTGGCCATGCCGAAGCCCATTGCGCCGAGGCCGCAGAATCCGATGGCCGGTTTGGTCGTCATTGTTATTGAGATTTGTTTGTCTCTTTTGTTGCGGGGATGATGGGATGTGAGGGGTTATATCTTCTACTCTTTTTTCCTTTTCTTTTTTTTCTTCTTGTCTCTTCTGCTTCGTTGCTCGTTTTGCTCTACTCTCTTTTGAAGGAGGGAGTGAGGTGGTGGGTTGGGGGGTATATATATCTAATAGGAGCTAGTGGGCGGAGAGTGTGAGAAGTCAAGATGATATTTCCCTTTTTCACGTCGTAGAACGGCAACGAGCAGGGTAAAGTAAGGTATGTGGAACAGCTGAACAGGTAGATAGAGAGAGAAGAAGAGGGAGGTAAGAAAGCAAAAAACCCTCCAAACTACAGCCCAACAAAAAAAAATCCAATCCACGCAAGGTAGATGGAAAACACAAGAGGAGTCGGGAATAGACGCGGGCAAATGGGCTATTCGGCGCGAACGCCGATGGGCCTTTTCGTTTTCTCAAACCCCGGAAACGGATCCGATAATAGGATAAATTGGATAAGAAGAGCCATTTTTTCTTCCCATTCCTCTTCTTATATCACCACCAAAATTCAATATCAATAAAGTATCGGAAGAAGAAGCAGAAGGAAATCCCTCTTTTTCGCAGGATCCAACCTTGGAATCTCAACCGAGAAAAGAAAGTAGAAAAGAAAAAAAATTCCTTCGCTTTTAAAGAACTTGTTCTAATCCTCGAAAATAAACATACTGTTTTGCTTCGGTCCCCTTGGGATAAAAAAAAACTCAAAAGCCGCCCGCGGCTCCAAAGGACCGGCAGAATACATAGATCTACCTTAGCTTACATACCTCATACGTAGAGGACGCTGCCCCGCACTAATGACGGACTGCGGGCTGGTGGTGGGCTGGTGGTGGGGTAGCTTTTCCCTCCCTCCCTCCCCCTCCCTCCCCCCTCCTACGGCAAATGAAATGAATGATTTTCAAGCCTAGCTTGCGTCGGAGTTTGATCCGATGGAGGGAGGGGAGGAAGCGGGTGTTCTGTATGAGGGAAGCCGCCGCGGGGCGCGTTTGGGTGGGAGTCGGCTCAGCGCGTATTTTTATTATTTGTTTTCTTCGATACTTTTAAGAAAAGAAAGGGGGGGGGATATAAGGTAAATATATATTCGTTTCTGCATTTTTGTCTTAGAAAGGAGGTGTTCGTAGGGTAATGTGTGGTTGATTTTATTGAGATGGATAGGGGGGTGGGAGGGGGATTTCTTGTGGAAAGATTGCATGTTGGGGCACGGTATGTCAAAAGTCCTTAGCACTTTATATGTATACCTACTTAAGTAGGTAAGAAGTTGTTGACCAATTCTACTGTATTTGGAGCTGAAAGATTGCGGCGAGTGTGTCAACATGCCGATTCGAAATACCGTCCCAGCACGTAACGAGGAGTGACGACTGGCGAGGAAGATCGAGGAGAAGTGTACATTCACCCCAGCACGGTCATCAGGTACCATCAACCCGTAATAGTCATTTGTTAGGGAGTCACAGTACATTGACACTCGTATTGAGGCGCCTACATATGTAGATTTCATACCCAGATACACGGAACATGTATCATGAGTATATGCCCATTTTGCTACGAATAGTGCATCGACGGACCAGGAAACCAGTTGCTGCATGTTTTCTTCGTTCGAGAATACGTCCAGCAACTGCCTGCCCCACTGTTCACTACAACACCCGGGCAGCTGCACTTGAACGGGCGGCGAGGTAATTGGTCACACACTTTGACAGTGGATGTCGATATGAAATTCACTCCCAGATGGAAGAGCTTTGAGATGTTGAGACGAATGGCGATCATCCTTGAGGTATTGACGATGAATGGAAAATGGTAAAAACCCGCTTTTATAGATAGGCGCTAGCGCTTGGCACCTCCACTGTAGTGTACAGCCTGGATCAACTTTATAGTCCCTGGCCCGGCGCTGACAGCAACATAAATCCTCAAGTAGAAGCTTTCTGCAACTGCCTACTTTCTATAGACTTATTCTATTGGCCCGTTAAGTGTGGGGAACTCCTCAATTTTCTTTCAAAAGAATACCCCCTACAATTACTTCCCTATAACACTAGATGGGCACTTTTTGTGCAACAGTCATCCAAAACGCACACCTCCTACCCAGAAGTGTAATCTTCCCGTCCATTACACCTTGACTGTTCACCACGAACTGCTTCCCGTCTTTCACACTAGGAACACTCGTTGCGTTGCTATTTGTGACCTTGTGCGCGTTTGGATCTCCCGTTTGTATGAAACTCGCCATTGCGCCTGCGTATGCCTGGTAAGTAAAGGGATCGGTTTGCTGCACTGGGTTGAGCGTGTTCCACTACCACATCGAGTCAGCCCTATTACCGATGAATCTCGAAATACGATTTGGACTCACATATATGGTATCGCTTGCGTGTTTGGCGGGGCTGATGGTATATTCTACTAGCCACCCCTCTCGTGCTTTGCTCGATAGCCAGTATGCAGGACATGCTAGGACGAGGTCGCGATAGATGAGCCCTGCGCGTTCATAAGTCGTGTTCCACGATATCCCCTCAGCTGTTCCATCAATAGAATATTGTTGCTTCACCTGCTCCAGCTCTTCCGGTGAGAATCCTGGCAGATACCCCGCGAGCCACGAGTCGAATGAAGCAACGGAAGAGTTGAACCCGGCTTCGCCATCCACCGATAGAAACCCCGGGGGAACAAAGTTCTCGCCCTCGTGCAAATTGTAACTGGTCATGATCAATTCAGCATCGACCTCACCACTGCTTACCACCTCCGACAACGGCTTCGTTAGGAACCCGTCGTCGATGACCGGTCCCCACGTAAAGGTGCTCGTAGTATACTGTTGGCTCGTCGTCAACGGTAAATTGACATCTCTCAGCCGCTGTACATCGACGCTCTTCAAACACGCAATCTCATCTTTTCCCTCTGCTCTCTTGCAATCTACCCCGGCCACGACAGCCTCATAGAGGGCCTCATTCTCGGGACTGTCGTAGCGGTACGTCTTGGGCCAGAAAGGACTACTCGTCATAGCCTTAGAGAACAACTTCTTCCCCCCCTCGCCAGCTCCCGCTGCCGCCGCAATCGTCTGCGCAACTACACTCCCTCCACCCGCACTCTGCCCCCAAACCGTCACGTTCCCCGCGTCCCCTCCAAACGCATAGATATGGTCCCTGATCCATTCCAACGCAGCCCTCTGATCCAACAGCCCAACATTCAGATCCGTCTCGGGATGCCCAGCCACTGCGTGACCAGAAAGGAAGCCAAACACGTTGGTGCGGTAATTGCTGTACACGACGACATAGTCATTGCTAGCACTCACATTCAGCACTGGGAACCCCGACGGTGGAACCGCGAACGTAGCGCTCCCCTGCACGAATCCGCCGCCATAAAACGTCAGTAGCACGGGGCGTAGCTTCTGTGGCGTCGAGGCGTCCCATGGTCGCGAGTATACGCCCAAGTATAGACAGTCTTCGGAGCCGTTGACGGTGCGCTGTGGACACATGTCGAAGGCTTGGTCGGTGTTGTAGATTGTGCCATTTTCGAGTCGGGGAGGTGGTTGCGGACCGCGGAAGCGGTTGCGTCCTGCGGTCGATGCGGCGAAGGGGATTTTACGGAAGTAGGTCAGGTTATATGTTGGGGAGTATGCGCCTTGGAACGTGCCGTAGCTTAAAGCAGCCGTAATGGAGTCATTGCGGGTAGGATAGGAAGACGTGATGGTAAAGAAATACAGTGCTAGAATTAAGAGTGAGTATAGATAGCACCGGAGATACATTATGGAGAATCATGGAGCTTAATCGCCAAAGTCTGCATGGGGAAGTGTCTCATTAGTTGTGAATTTGCTGTTTTGGGGTGGGATATATGTACCGTGAAGTTTAGGCTCAATCCTGCATATCGAGACCAGCTTTGCGGTTTTGAGACTGGCGCTCATGCGATATAAATCGACATGGGTATTGTTGTTTGTAGGTTCATGGCGTGTCGGCATATCTAGTACCGAGCAACGCAGATCAAGTCCACAGGCCTGCCAGCTTCCAGGATTGTTCCGGCACTTTCCAGCTGCGGTACATCCATACCGAAGGCTGACCCGAGTACATATAGGGCTATATGAGTTCACGAGCGCGTGAGTTAGCCAAGTCGGAGTTGCTGTCCCCTGCTAGAACTTTACAATTGTGAGATAACAGATGCAAGCGGGTCATTTCCCCACGCGTTTTGAGCTACAACGTGAAGAGTGCCATGAAGATCAGTATTTGATTGACAACAGTAAACAAATATCAACGCCATTCCCTGCCTTGTCGTATCTCATCAAGTCGTTCGAGTCTACAGATATACATATGCAACTGATGTGTCACGATCAATCAATGACTACGTTCTCTCACCCTTCCTGCCAGTAGCTTTCAGCCTGTTGCACAGATCTTGCACAGCCTCAGACCAGGCTGCCATATCTTTCTCGTCTTTGACTTCATTACCGCAGTAATCGCGTATGAAAGCACCCATTTTGTCTTCACTATATTTCTCTCCATAAACAAGCTCAGCCCCTGCATTGACTTCGGTCTCGACACCGCCCATACTCAAACTGACACCAACCTCAAACGTGACCTTGACTTTGGTTTGTAGGGAAGGTATGAGCATGATGGATGATATAGCGATACGTTCGTCGGATAGGATGGACTCCTCGGTGATATGGTTGTGCTCAAGCCAGCGCACTCCTTCAGCCACAGCCAGTGCAGATGCCCACCCTTGCGTGACAAGTTCAAGGAGTTGTGGAATGCGCGTTTGAGATTGAGGAATACAGTGAAGATGAGCGCGAATCATTTGGAGAAAAAAGCGTTTGCTGGTTGTTAAAGGTCGCGGGTGCGGTGTGGCACTATCACCAATGTATGATAGCGAAATGGATGCGTTGGGCGTATCTGTACCGGTCGCGAACGCAGACGGCTGGAAATACAGTTCTAGGTCGCTTAGGTACGCCATGGTTATCATGGTTGAAGAAGCCGATGTGATAGACCACCCGTGTGTTTGCTCGATCGTAGTGACTTTAGCTGTTTATATGTCAGTACAATTCACAAGATGGTTATTGAAAACATACTTTTCAGCCCATTGACCTCTGTTGTCGACCATCCACGGTACTCTTCACGCATGCGCTCGGCGGCTTTAATCTCTTGCACGCACTCAACCTTGCGGTCCTTGGCTGCTTCAATACGCGCTTCTTTTCCTTCCAACTCCTCCTGAAGTTGCGCTACAAGTTTCCGTTTCTCTTCCAACTCGGTGTCAAGAGCGACGAGCTGCTCTCTTGCTTGCTCAAGGTCGTTACGATCGCAGCTGTTCAACTCATCATGACGTTGTTGGAGTCGCTTGTGCTCGATATCCAGCTGCTCTTGCTTATCCGTCAATGAGGGAAGCACGGTTTCGAGCATTTCCTCTTGCTTTGTCAGTACGCCCTCGTCCCGTTTGAATCCGTCCATCGTGCTGAGTAGGCCAGCTTTGAGATCTTGGAGAAGTGTGCTTCTCCAGCTGTACCATTCTCCACGTGCTTCGAGACGCGCATGAGTCTTCAAGTTCTTGAACTGGTTATCCATGACAGAACGCTGGTCGGGGGGTGCCGTAAGATACTCGCTGAAAAGAAGTGGATTGTCCTCCATGACATTGACTTCCATTGTGCGAACAAAATGGCGCCCGTCGGATATGTACTTCTTCATCTCGTGACATGCATGTTGATAAAGTTCAAACTCCGGGACTGTGCAGGCTCCGGCAGCTACGTATCGGTCCAGTGATTCTTCCTTCTCTTCAACCTCAGTGTCACGGAACGCAGCCGGGGCAGCGGTATGTCGACGTTTGGTGGTGCTTAAATCCATAAATCGAATCCTAGTCATATCCAGGAAATCTTGCAATGAGATACGCTCGACTTCCGATACATCATTCTCAGCAACGGACTCAGCTGCTTCGACTTCTTGTTCAGGCTCTGCTCCAAATACAACCCGCTTTTTGGGGCTCAGGCTCTTTCTTGGGGTAGGCTTCTTCTGGGTTGGTGTTTTTTGCTTTGGCGTGGGTTCCTTTTGCGGCGTCTCTGATTTCTTCGGAGTCATGCCACGCTTCACAGGAGACATGAGCATTTGCTTTCTGGGCGTTGACAGCAATTTGATATTGTTTGATAATAGCGCAGTATTTTTCAAAGCTGGCTCCTCTCGGGTAACCGCCAGGGGACTGAATTGCATTGAGGATATAGACGAACGACGCCGGTTCAGAATAGGTGCAGTGATGGGGTCAGCCGGAATGTGAAGTGGCGCATTTCTTGATTGACTTTGTGGTGTAGATACATCTTCCACGGGTTTAGATATGCTTAGTGGAGTACCCCGGACGAAAGGTGAAGGCTCAAATTCTTCAGTCTGTATAGGATTTCGGACAATATCCGGAGTCGCAAGGTTAAGGCTCCGGCGCAATAGCCCGGGGGATTTTGTGGGAGTTTGAGAGGAGACCTTTCTCGGTGATATGAGAGGTGTCGTACTAGCGCCCGACGCCATGGTGCGTCCTGGTGATTTTCTTGGTGATCTCTGTGGTGTGGGTGTGATGATCTTTGGCGACATAGCGTCGTTTGCTACCGCACTCTTCTCTGGTGTTTGCGTTTGCGTTGTCAGTTGTTTGATCCCTGGACCAACGATCTTGGTGAACTCCATAGACAGATCTTCGTTTTCGTCTTCTGGTTCACTAGGAGGTGGAATTTGGATAGCAGGCACATTTTGAGCCGTTTTGATGCTCCCTACCGCAAGCGTAAAGTCCATTGTGTCATTTTCAGGGGGAAGGTCTGCACTATTTCGTTGCTGACTCTCGACCTCTTGGATAGGTAGAGCCTGGCCTTTGATAGCCCCGATTGCCAGAGTAAAATCCATTGTTTGATCGTCCGAAGTTGGACTGGTGTTCTGTGACTCCTGGTGTCGAAGACTCGTCCTACGGCTCGACACGCGTTTTGCCGGGCTACCTTGCGACGTATCAAGTTGTGATACCCTGCGTTTTAGGCTCTTTCTACGGTTTACCGGCTCTTGAGAGGCAAGTGCCTTGATGCTCCCCAATGGCATTGTCAACTCCATGCTCATATCATCAGACTCTGGGCTTTTCAATTCTGGATAAGCGACAATCTTGCCAACAGCTTTCGTGATATCCATGCTCATGTCTTCACCGTCCGACTCGGCGTCCTGTGACCCTGCCGGGGACCGAGAAAAGGGATCTTCACTCTCTTGCTCGGGTGTGCGTGCGACCTGGGTCTTTTGCGCCCAAGGTTTGAACGAGGCTGTGATTTCCTCTTCCGCTATTTCCATCGATACGTCCTCATCATCGAGATCCAACCTCTGGGTCCCGGCTAGCATCGAGGCCTGGCGCAAAGCGGCATCTAGCTTGGCACTGCTTTGAGAGTCGTCATTCTCCACAAGAGGCGATTCATTGAGGTTCGCAGTAATGTTTTCCTCGTCATCTGATTCATCTTCCGAGGCCGGCAAGCCACCTGGAGAGGCATTGTCGCCACTTAGAGGACTCGAGGAGTAGACATCATCTGGATTGTTGAAGTTCATGGGCGGAATCCCGGAACTCCGGCGGCGATTTTTCTTCTGGTGCAAGTCGCGCTGATTGGCTGGGGAGGATCCAGGCTCTGGTTCCGGTTCTTCAATGCGCTCTGGCGGAGTAGAAGGCGGCTCTTCGCCATCTTCTCCAGAGGCGGGATCCTGTGAAACGCTCGATGCGCGTCTTGTAGCTTCGGACGCGGCGGAAGAGGAGGTCGCATCTCTTAGGTACTCGACAACGTCCCATGTATGTAATGTGGCTTCGGGTGCAAAGCTGACGCGTCGCTTTGCGAGCGACTTTCGACGGGCTTCGCGCCGCTTTCGTTCTTCGTCGTCTGCTGATGCGCTCAGAATAGACTTGACCGCGGGGACAAAAGCAGACTGCTTTTGATTAGTACTGGCCCCAAGCTTTGCCATTCCTCATATGCGATGCGCCTACCTTGCGTCTGTTTCCGGTGTGACTGCTTTCCTTGAGCGCAGGCTCTCCGAGCCCACCAGGACCAATTGATTTGCTGCGGGTTTTGCGCGACGGCTTTTTGGGGGATGGGGCCTTGAAAAGACCTTCGGCGATGCTTGCGACGTCATTTTCCTTGCCGCGGCTGGCTGCCATGCTGAATGTGGTGGTTGCGATGGTTTGTTGTTGTGAGGGCGGGGCGCGGAGCCTTGTTGTTGATGCGTTCGGAGCTAAACAACAAGCTAGAACAACAACAAACGAAAACGCGAGGGCACGTGCAGATGACTAAGCCGCGAGCAGCAATCAAACATTTGAATCAACAGCAGCGCCGCTCTCACTTCGCAACTTGGTGTGTGCCAATAATGTAAAATAGAAATACATCCTTGTACCCGAACGCTGGGCTGGGAGGTTTTGTAGCGCCGATTCTACGTGTGATAGCTCTCTCTCGTGCTCTCACTCTGGACCTCACGCGCCGAGTGCCTGCCATACCTGGGTGTTTACCTAGGTAGCAGCAAGAGCCTGCACAAGAGGAAACCCCGACCTTCGCCTCCCCTTTCGATGGCATCTACATATCTCCAATTTTCCTGTTGGCACCCCGTTCCATCCCTTTCCCCAACTCTCCCTTGCTTCTCCTCGGCGCGGCAAAATGGCACGCAGCGACCAGTATCAGGAGGTGGTAGATTTGACTGGAGACAGCGATGATGCGACTTCCCCACGACAATCACTGGATCGGACAATAGTCTCCATGGGCAGATTCAGACAATCGGCAGTTGATACAAACAAGTTCATCGACCTGACCGTGGAAGATGGGCTTAACATCAATGTGGCTCCTGCTTATAGACGGAACGATGCAAGAGATCCGCTACCCCTTGGTTTTGCAGCCATTAATTCTCGAACGCCAAAGCTATCTGGCAGAGCATCGCAGCTGCATCCAAACGACGATGCAATGTCCGCTCCCAGATCCTTCCCTATTAGGCAGCCGCGCAAATCAGGTCCTTCCACCAATTCTCAACAGCCAGGTAATGGCAGTGATCTACCCAGGGAAAGTTTTTCTGCTTCAGCATCAAGCGACAATGCTCGGTCGGGGTCACGAGGATATGCAATCGGAAGTAGCAGAGTTAGTAGGATGTCAATGGACAGTGAGCCAACCAACAGTCAAAGTCATCTGCCGAATCCAGGGGTCAATTCGCGACATAGCGTGGACAGCCGAACCACGAGGACTGATTTCACCACCACTAGCAATGATACACAAGCAGATTCATGGTATTCAAGTCGAAAAACTCAGTCATTCTTTGATGACGAATCATCGGGAAGCAGAACTCCTGTGACAAATCCCGGGCCAAGGTCACAGCGTACAGCGGATATCGAAACCAACAGAACTGGATCCAAAATTCCTGCCGACAGTACGGAAGCAGGCTCGTCGGAACCTCGAAGAAAGAACAACTGGCGATGGGGTGTGCCAATGTCCCAATTAAAAACCCCTACAAGAAATCCCACAAACGGCCCCAAACCTCGAGAAGGCCATGGCAAATCCCGATCCAGCATTGTATCTATTCAAAGTCCAGTGTCTTCCGGGAATTTGGCGATCAAATCGGCTGCCAAGCCGACGACAAGTATAGGCGTCAGAGTCGTGCGAGCTACTAGACCAGGCTCCAAAGGTACAACTAACCCGGCTGCAATCATTCCCACAGTGCCGTTGGCACAGGTTCCTTCCATTCCATCAACAGCTCTATCTCCTTCAAGGTCAAGCCCAAACCCGGCTGCGATCATTCCCACGTTAGAACAGATTCATCCCGGTCGATCGACAGCTCCATCTCCTACGAGGCCAAGCCCGAGCCAAGAACCTGTCAAACGTGCCCCAACACCCATTGATTCTTGCGATATCGCATTGGCAACGGCAAAGGTTGATTCTGCTCTGAAAAATCATCTACGTACTGTTTACGAATCCCATGCTTATCTTGTTAAAGTAAGACATGAAACTCTAACAGTGAAACCATATTCAGCTGACAAACTTAGGCTTCCCTGCGCAGAAATAGACAGGCACTTGAGCGTGAAATACGTGAGAACAACAGTAATAGAAGAGCGGGTAGATCAAACACGCCTGACCCTCAAAAGTTTGTTCAAACGTCATCACCTTTCAAGAACATGATACCAGTGCATGCTCCTTTTACCAAAACCGGTGAGGATGGACATGAATCGTCGCGTCACTATCTTCAAGATCTGTTCAATAACCCTCGCAGCAAAACCGGGTCTAAGTCGAGAATAACGACTCGTCTGACGGGATTCAAATCTACTGCTGTTCTCATTCCACTGTTTCGGGAATATGTCCCCTTGAAGAACAATATACTCGCTCACAACCAGACAAAACTCTTCAATTGGCCATATTTCCCAGATGAGGATGAACGACTCCCCATGAAAGCTGAATTGATGGATCGTTACAGAGTAAAGAACCTGAGACCTTCGTGGGACGATAGTTTGATAGATGTGCATCGATTCTATGGCCCGAGCATAGAGGCCTTTCTGAAAGAGATTGGTATCGAGTGGCAAGATGTTATGTCTTTTCTATTGGCTCCATATGAAGAGATCAAGCGAATCAACAACCAAAATGAACATAGCCGTGGGGAATATGAGAAGAAGATCTCGAAGCGCCAATCTCATTGGGAGGCCAATCTCCAAATTAACCAAGAAAAGTGGGAAGATCTCATGGAGTCGCTACCCCCATTGTCCACACATAAACTCAGGCTTGCGGCACTCGCATGCGATGCATACCTCGAACAGTCGAGCTTCAAGCTTTGGCATCTGGCGCGAAGAAGCGAGTTTGTGAAATCCAGCATTATACAGCGCTTGCGAGGAAACATCAGCACCGCGGAAACAGAATTTCGCTACCGGAATTATGCATGTAGAATTTGTCACATGTAAGTATACTTTTTAGATAAAGGTTATGGGACCACATACTGATCACAACCAGGCATAACTGCCCATACCATGGTGCTTTCGAAGAGACCCCTGAAGCATTCGATGATACAATAGTACCACAAGATGCGCACAGTACTAGCAGAACTGGATCGGTACTGGGCGGCTCGGACAATGAAGATGTAGGCTCCAGTAACGACAACATCACTTCGAACGCCAAACCTACCTCGGATTCGGAGTCAGAGTGGGAATCGGACTCTGATATCGAAGTGGTGACGAACTACAGACGACATGTAAACACGCATGGAGATCTACGGTATACGAGACCCAACAACAAATACCAGGGCTTTACAGCTATACCGCCCCCTGGAGAATTCAAGGCGACCTGGTGGAAAAATAAGACCGTGGCCGGAGAGTGGGCGAAACGCACACCTTTTTTCCCATGTGAACATGAAGGTCCGTGTGACCAGGCGCAATGTCGATGCTATCGACATGGCATTACTTGCGAAAAAACATGTTCTTGCGCGGATTCATGCAAGAGACGTTTTCCAGGCTGTTCCTGCGCACAGTCTGCGAATGCAAAACAAAACCCATGTAGAACTCCGAAATGTCCCTGTTTCAGCCTGGGTCGGGAATGTGATGCAGATCTCTGTGCTGATTGCGGTGTAGCTGAGATATTAGACCCCGCCAATCGCTACAGCGAAGGATTTGCAAAAGCTTGCGGAAATGCTGCTATACAAAGGGGTGTCCCGCTGAAGACTTATATAGGGCACTCTGAGGTTCACGGGTTTGGATTGTATGCAGGGGAAGACATACACAAAGACGATTTCATCGGAGAGTACGTCGGCGAAGTAATCTCTAACTCAGAAGGTGAACGGCGAGGTGTCATCTATACTCATCAGCAAGCGATGTATCTATTCAGATTGAATTCTGGTAAGCCAGCCTGTACACATTCGTCAAAGTCTGATCTGGCCAGAGCTAACAAACTGTGCGTAGAACAGGACATCGATTCAACACACTTCAGCAATAAAACTCGCTTCATCAACAACGCAAACCTTGATTACACCAACTGCAGCTCATCAGATAAACTGTGCAATGGTGTGCAGCGCATTGGTATTTATGCCAGCGTTAACATCAAGGCCGGTACGGAGTTGTTCTTCCATTACGGGTACTCGGAACAGGAAATGAAGAACTTCAAACAGCCTGCTCGAAGGAAGAACAAGAATAATATCAGCACAGATGACCGACCCCAATCCCCTCTACCAACAGCGACTGTGTCTATGAATGGCGCGGTCAGATCTGCACGAACAGACAATCATATATCCGTCCGTCGTAGTAGGACACACGAAATCCCCGATAGCGATAACGACGATGAAGAGGGGGAGCAGTCCTCGCACCGAACACAAAGTAATGCACATGATGACAGTGAGGAAAATTCAGGTGCTCGTTCTGCAGCACAGACTCGTGCACAGAGTATGGCGCCCGGGGGGCGATCAGCAAACCGTCGTGTAACGCGAAATAGACGACTGGTAGGAGTGACTGGGGAGTCGAGGAGATCGACCTGGAGAGGGAATCCAGGAGGAGCTCGGGCTGGAGTGAGCAAGCGAAAGAGGCACGGTGACGGAATTGAAGATGAAGATTAGAATTCTTCTTCTGCTTCTCCTTCTTTCCTCACGCAATGGTCTGAGTCGGACACGGATTGGGTATGCCACTTCCGGGATCAAAAGCATTGACTGCCGGGTTTAGGGCGGACAAATAATCCAAGGGTGAAAACTTAGATTCAGGATTAATAGTCATTCATTCGAAAACCAACAGTAGTCTGGGTATATCAGCCCCAGACATGTCGAATCTATGGCACATAGCATAAAAATGTTTAGTGCAACTTGATATGTCTTGTCTTCTTCTCTATGCGACTTTTCTCTACATCTTACCGTTCCTGTCCAGCATTCTAGCCATTCGAGTGGAAACTAAGCGTAGTGGTGATTCATCGCATTTCGATACAGCACAAACACTCAGTATTAAAAAAACACAATAAATCTGCCTTCAAGCTCTAGTCAGGATACATATGTTCTGTATTTATCACAAAACTAATAAGTTATTATTATAAATTGCTGAGTTGGGTGCCCCCCGATCCCTGCTTTTGTCTCAAAAGCTTGTGTGAAGGCAAAATTCGTATGAATTCTTTTTGGTTATCGCTCGTTTTTTAGAATACTATTGCTGTAAACCCTTCGCTGTGTGTAGGATCACGTAAACTCCAACTCAAAATAGATAAAAAATGAATAGCTGAGTGCGGATTAGGTCTAACGACCTCAGCATCATAACTCCACGATCCAAATCGACTCCGTTGAATGACGAAGAGAAAAAGTCTGAAATACCCCATCAAAAGACAAAAAACTTCAGACTTTTTTTTCTCCCCATCATTCAACGGAGTCGATTTGGATCGTTGAGTGGTGGGGAGGTTTGAGTGGAAACATGAATCAATTCTAATCTCTCTTCCTTATTTTCTCCTGATCTTCACCGCAATCCTTCTTCCATCTACGGATTCATACGTAAATCGAGCCTTGCAACTACGCATGCGGCACATGCATACACACACTACAATATCACCAATACAACTCATCGTTAGCCATCTCATCATTCATACCTTCGCCACACCCATTCACCTACACAGGAAATACAACAGCACACATACAATAACATATCAAAAGCCAGGACCGGAAAAAAAAGATAAAAGAAAGGGAGGGGAACTCACACCAGAGACAAAATACGGCAGCCCCAAACCCAACCCGCCCAACTTTATCGCCCAAACCCACAGCGCGGCCATGAGGGGCGCGCCGACTAGTGAGCCCAGCGTTTTAGTGAGCATGACGATGCTGAAGTCCTGGACGTCCGAAGGAGCGTCTGAACTCGATTCGGCGGAGCCGAGGGCAATGAGCGGCGATTTTACAAGCGACATGGTGAAGACGGGGAGCGCGGAGCCGAGGGCGTAGACGATGAGTGCTGTTGCAGAGGTGCGCAAGTAATCTGTTAGTACAAGAACCCTAACCCTAACCCTAGGGGGTCTTGGAGGTAGTTTTGCATGGATGGTATAGTGTCCATGCACATGCAAGCACACACGCACGGGAATATTTTTTTTATTGGAGCTGCGTACGTACCTGTTAACAACATCCAGAATTTGAATGCTAGAGCTACGCAGAATACACCGACGATGGAGACGAGGATGCTAGCTTGGGCTCCTAGATAGTTGATGCGGATTTCTGGCGACGCGGAGCCAGTGTGACGACGATGGTCGGGAGACGCGGCGGCCATGGAGGTGCGGATGATGCGAGGAACTACGATGGCGAGGAGAGTGAAATTGACGATGGCTTTGGCCGAGAGCATGTAGCCTGCCTATACGATATATGGTTTTAGCATGACGATTTGGTACCCCGTGTTGGCTGTGGTCACAGATGAAAGGGGAGTATGGGGTAATGTACCTGTGCGAATGTCCACTCGTAGCGCTTGGAGATGTACTGCACCAGGAGCTTTGTATCTGAGCTCGCGAGGGCGGTGAGGAAGAACGAGCACAACAGGACCTGGAAGTTCCGACGGCCGATGACGAGGCGAACGAGTTTCTCGATGGTATGGATCGAGACCCTAGCGAGATTGGAGGGGGTAGTCTCAAAGGCGTTTGCATATCTGTTCGTCATGATGGGGCTTATGCTATGGTCACTTTCGAGAAGCGGGCCAACCTCATCGTCATGGACGATTGTATTTTGACGGTTCTGAGCCGTGGCGCTGGTCAGAGTACCTGGGAACTTGGGATCGGCGAGGGTTGCTATCGTTGGTATGGCGCAGAGGACAAGGGCGATGTTGATCCAGAACGGACACCAGAGGTTGTAGCTCATGGTGAAAGATGCCAATGTTGGACCTATGAAGTTGACAACATAAGATACGGAACTGATGTAAGAGAAGTGTGAAGCACTATCCACAGTCAGATACCTTTGCGCTATTTCCTACGGATCAATATAGTGGAAGACAAACCGCTGAACATATTCGCGTGTTAGAGCCGAAGTCAATGTGAATATTGTCGATTGGAAAACGCATTCGCCACCCAGTACAGATAGGAACGGACCGACGATGATGGCTTTGGTTGGGAAGACGCCGGAGAAATTCCCTGGATTCTCTCATCAGCAGCATGTCACTCACATGTATAGGAAATCAACAATTGAACAGAGGACACATCGACATGTACAGGGACCTACCAACAACGAGTGCCCAAACCGACAAGAACACACGCGGCACGAGATTACACCAGAGCACCACTCTGATACCGAACCTCTCCGCAACGAAACTGAACGGGATCGTCACGAGGAAATCTGTTTCAGTGCATCAGCCAGATATACATGAATACCTAGGTATATACCTATCTACACATCCCGTGACCCATACTATCATCATCAAAGTCTGCTTTCCTATTGGGAATTTCGTACCGCCTACGACTTGGGTGGTCTCCATGACACCTTGCAACCACGCCAGTCGCCTTTGCACATCATCAATCTTGCACAGCTTCTCGGGGACAGATCCATCATCCAGAATGGCGGAAGGATCCCATTGCAGATAATGGTCTTGGCAGAGACGGAACTCGATAACGCGGTTTATGGGGAGCGTGTAGAGAGCCTGAGCGAGGTAGATGAGCAGAACAGTTGTTATGAGCGGTCTTATTGATGGCGCAGTCACGGACGTTATGGGTGGTGGTGATGATGATGTAGAGCCTCGCATTGTTGAGATTGTTGACGCGTAGTGGATGTTGAAGGGTAACCGGCTAGGTGCCCGTCGGTAAAGACAGTTTCCTAGTGCAATACTAGCGTGTACCATTGCTCATGAATGCCAACGCCACATTGGTATAGCTAGCACCAACTACAATATCAAATTGATTTCGAACTTACGAATATTCAAGAATCACACTATGATAATTCTGACCTTGAGTACATGTTGTTGGCTTACTTATGCATGACTACCAACAGATGGTCTTACGGTCAATTTCCACCACAGCACTAGCTATCTATTCCATTCGCCTACTATGTATACATCCAAAGCCACGAGCACCTTCATTCCCACAAAGGAAATAAAGCAATGCGAATGCGGTATAGATCCAACAAATGTCTTAGAGTACAACTGAATAGTCACACCGAATAAAATGCCGACGACCCCCCCTTCCAAGGAAGGAAAAAACAAAACAAGGCATAGGTAGAGACTTGCCTCGGAAGAAGAGAGAGCATTTAATCTTCGGATGCAGATAACTGCTCTAAACGTGTAGGAAAAACGTCGTTTTTTTCAGAACATGGTAATTTTATTTCAGGGTGACCGATTAAACGGATACATACCTTTTGGTGTGATTTTCCCCCATGCCTTACTTCCGAAAAAGGTCCACGAGCGTGAAGAGAAACAATATAAACCAAAAAATATTTCAACTACAAGAAATCCCCCCCTGAAAGGAAAAGAAAAAAATACGAAAAAAAAAGTCAATAAAACCAGTCAACCAAGCGACCCAACTCAACAGCTCGCCACAAACCCACAATCCCTATCCCTAAACCCCAAAGGAGGAAGGGGGGGGGGGGGTGTACGTCGATACGTCTCCGCCTCGCGCTGGAAAGGCTGTCAGGTCTACACAAAACGCCGACCCCTGTCCCCAAATGCCCTCTCCCTCTCCAAGCTTATCAGGGTGTAAATATAGCGCTTTTTTTCCTCTTCGCTCTCCCCCAGCCACAGGGAAGAGAGGCGCCGGGGATCCCCTTGCTTATTCGGCTCGCTACGAGGCTGCCAACGCATCGAAGAACCACACCCATCTTCCGTCTCTCCATATCGTGGGGTGGGGGGGGGGGGGGGGGGCGTGATCAAGGCACACGACGACGACGAGTCTGGTTTTCATCTGGCTGATTTGCTGTTTGTTTTGTTTTGTTTTTTCAAGGGGTTTTTTATATTGCTGGTGGATGTATAGATTGTTTGTTATCGGCGTGGGATTTCTTCTTTTGGAGAGGAAGGGGGGGGAGCTAGATTGGGCATGTTTGCATTTCATGTTGCTTTCCTTATCGTTTACTGCTTTTTTTTGGGGGGGGGGGGGGGGGGGGGCGTGGCGACCTAGACTTTCCCTCGTTAAGGGGCGTGTGGGATAGATGGAGAGAGAGAGGAATGAATGGGGCGAAGAGGCGGTTGTATGTAGCCTGTAGGGAGTGCTGAGTAGGTATGTACATTATGGGCCTAGGCCTTGCCTACTAATCGCTTTTGTGTACCTTTGCGGGCTGCCGCAATTCCTGGAGTCGCGACTTGCGAACTCGCCCAATATGAGGGGGCCATACAACTAATGTAAATCTAACATGGACAAAGGAAAATAAATCGTGAGGAACCAAATGGGGGCATGCAATGCAGCCAGAAGCATTTCCCCTTCCCAGATCCAAACACCCCCCTTTCCAGACGCGACACCACATGTCTGTATGTCAGTCCATACGTAGTACTTCGATATCGGTCGCCCGCAATTGTACATTCGTCCTCTTTCCATGTCCAGACATCCAGTTTAAACCCTGATATCACTCCAGCACATGGTTCGAAAACATCACCACCCTTTCATAACCAAGTCCATAACATCACAGCATCACAACATCCCCTCGCAAAAGCCCACCCCATTCCCCGCCACACACTGAGCCCAAGCCCACTCGCCTTTCCCCCAACACCTCTCCCCACCACCGCCCCTCCTCACACACTCCTTCCTCACCCTTCCATCCTTCTCCCACCGCGCAGCAGCCCACCCGCCAACCACACACCCCACCAGAAACAGCGCGAAGAAGAGGAGCACAGCGATAACATGTGCTCTGCTCCATCTCCTCCCGAAGACATTGCATGTGCGTCTCGAGCCGCGTGAGTTGTGGTGGGAGTAGTGATCGTGGCCGCGGCGCCAGGCGATGGAGTCGAGGATGTCGAAGGACTCGATGGACGCTGTTGGGGACGGAGGGGAGGAGAGGTCTCGGGTTCTGGTGGAGGAGGAGTCGGTTTCCGGGAAGAGGAGGTTGGTGGTGAGGAGAGTGGGTGAGGAGCTTTGGCTGTGGAGTTGGTGGTGGTGGTTGTAAGGTGAAAGAGGGTTGTGTGCCGCGCTGGGTGGGCGGGACATGCTGAGGTGGATGGGTCCCTATAGGGTAATTGTTAGTTGGTAGGCATATTGTTGCGTACGGCAGAACATCTTGGGTTGTTTTTTGGGGTGTTGGGTGAGGAGGGGGCATTGGAGTGGTCGAGTGCTTACTGGTGCCATGCTGGTTTGAGTTGAGCAGTGCTGGAAACGGATAGGTAGGTGGGATAGTATGTGTCAATGTCAATGGGCACTTTCCTGTTGGTTGGTGGAGAAGAAGAGATTTGGACTTGCGGAGCGAACAATGTCCAGCCTGAGGTCTTAAAGTGTTCAATGGTCACCGCATAGACGTCAGGTGAAACCTCATCTGTGGTGGGCGAGCCTCGTCCATCTTGCGGCGTGGGTTGTATGATGCTCGTCCGGGAGTACATACCCATGGGCTATGTTTCTACTCGCCATTCTCTGGTCCATAGGAAGAGCATAACGCCTCTCAGCCTATGAAACAACCCACCTATCAGCAGCAATCGGCTTTCTGAAACGCCCAACAAAGGGGTATTATGCGTATGGGGACATCGATATATGCTTGTTCGGGGTTACACATTGCTCCTATTTTTGTGATTTTGTACTAACTGCTACTTGATGTTCGTGTGAGGGACAATTCTCGAACCCGACCTCAATAACAGTCTAATTCGACTAGACTGTACCGACGTCCCATTTTTTTTGGTGCTTTACCGCAGAATATGATGTATTCGACGCTGGAAGCGCGCACGAAGCTGTGCCGCCCAGTGTCCCACTACCTTCGCGTCTCTCATGGACAAAAGGGAATCAGGATGGGAAAGAAAAGAAAAAAAGGTATGAGAAAACAGAAGGGTATCTCTGCTCGCTTAGCAAAGGACATGTGTGCGAGGGAGTTTTGGATATGCAGTTCTGCCGTATAATATGGCGTCTCCCGCTTGCAATTTGAGCCTAAGACACGGGCGATTCCTCATCCATCATCATCCAGTTGTTTCCTGGACAGCTTTGAAGATGGTGTGGCCATCAAACCTAGCCCAGAAACTGGATGTAGAGGGTACGCCGTTTAGACCGTCTACTTTTCCGCCGACCAGGCAACCTTGGTATTTTATGGTGCCGGTGCCTAACAAACAAAGGAAATCACGCAGAGAGGAAGGAATCTTTGATATCGCACTTGATATGAAAACAGAAAGAGTTTGTAATGCCGAGAAAAAAAGAGCACGCTATGACGCCCGTACATGAGAAGTTGGATTCAACAAGATGTAATCTCTAGTTGATCCGAGAGTGGAGCTTTTACAAGCATATATTATCGACAGTGGCCACAGCAACCACCTCCGAGACGAGAGAATTAGTACTGCTGTGGTTGTACATAGGATGCGTTGTAGTACTGAGCCTGGTGCACATTGGCAGGGTGGTCAGGGGTCGGGGTGGTAGGGTACGCATGACCGTTGGGTTGAGACTTGGGAACGGTGCCATACGCGAACTGTTCGTTCTCGGGAGTGATGGGTGGGGTCATGCATCCGTTTTGTACAACAGCAGCGCCGTATTGCGTCTTTTGAGGGGTGTGAGGACCATACACGCCGTTGACAGGCTTGCGCTCATCCATAACAACAGTAGCAGGAGGTGTGGGAGGAGCAGCCTCTCGTCGAGAGTTTTGGGCTTGGCGTTGGAGGAACTCATCCACGACGTTGGAGACGTTGGAGAGATGCATTGACGAGTATTTGCGAGAAAGCACCTGGGAGGGTGTATACAAGTGGTTGGACAAACCCATGACTGTCTGCGGGTCGTAAGCGCCAGACCAGTCAGAGGTGCTCTGTTGGTTGCGGGACAATATACACCTTGCAAGCGCGAGAGCGGACTTTGCAAGAACAGAGGGCTTGGTAGAAACAAATTCCTTGTGGAACAAAGCGATCTCGGCAATGTACAAAGTCATGTGTTCGACCTCGGGATCGCAGGGGCCTTCCAAGAGAGCCATTTGCAGGAAGCCATCGATAGTCGGGTGTCCGATGATCCAGTTCAAGGTCTGCAGAACATGCCACTCCATCTGTGTGAACATTTCATCGTCGTAAAGCGAACAACACATGGACTTGAGCTCGCGGACAGTGGGCACACGATCCTTCTTGTCACCATACTTGGCGGCGATGAGGAGAGCAGCACAACCGACCAACTGATAATGGCGCTTGTACACAACACGGCGTGAGCAATAACGGTCCAGGAGATTGACGGCGAGGAAGAGAGTCTCGGGGAGCAATTGGAATGCGGCGTGAGCTTCGACGAGGAAGTCAAGGAGATATGGGCGCATGAACCATTGAATCTCCGTCTGAATGTCAATGGAGTTCACATCGGGGAGAGTTTGAGTCTATGCACTGTTAGTTTGGGAAGCACTGGTGGGGAACCTCCTGACTAACCTCCATGTACTCCATATGGGCTAGGACGTCCTCTTGATACTCATCGGCAGTCAATCTTGACAACTCCTCTGCGATTGCACGCTGCTGCATACGAGCAATTGCTCGTGCGCGTTCCCTCGCCTCTGCTCTAGCAGCGTAAATGCCGTCTTCTTGAGACTCGACAAAGTACGAGTCGCAGTGTCCGTAACGCGGTTGTGATTTTTGGTAGGCCATGATGATCAAGTTGGTTGAAGGAAGGGATGTCAGTTCTCCTGGATAGACGATATGTATTGGTGATGTCGAGGTGTGTTGTTCGTATTAGAGATCGACGGTCGGCGGATGCGACAGGGTTGGAAAGATTGTAATTAGTTGGGTATAATTATAAAGAGTGAAGTGAGGCTTGAGAGTATCGAAGGTGAAGCCTCTACGAAAAAAGAAACACTACATTTTCGTCACATCAGCGTGGGCTCCTCGTTCATTACCGGCTATAGGAACTCACCTGAATGATTATATGATTAGGTGAAGGAGTGGACGGGATTCCGGGTAGGAAGAAACCGAGAGAACTTTAAGAAAAGTTGAGGAGATCGAGCGCCCTTGCGAGTGGCATTCAGGGAGCCGGGTGGAATGGCGAGTTCTATTGTCCTGGATGGCGAGTACCGCAAAGGGAGGGCTCGAAAATGGCAGAGCACGAGTTAACGAGTCCGCACAGTATAGGAATGGTGTTGCCAAGAACAGCCGAGGAATGCCTCTGATACCAGATCTGGCAAGCACGAGTCTAACACAAGGATGTTCAGTTCCTGACTAGAGACAGTGGGTGTAATGCAGAGACCACTCACGTTTGGTACGGCCTTTCAGGGATTGAAAGGTCGAACAGGGGGAGCGGAGGGTCGTGTCTACGACTAGGTACGACTAGAGAGGAGTATGGTTAGCTGGAGTTGTTCGTCTAGCGGTGGATACGAGATGTGCCAGAGAAAACGCAGGATGTTCCGAGAATGTTCAAGTGTCCAGGTGTGGTGGAGTGGTGGAATGAAGCAGGCGTTCGGAGAAGATCCGCGAAGTATGCAAAAGTCCCTGGGGTGGGAGAAATAGGGGTGAAGGCGAATACTGTTGAAGCCGGTGCCTCGCATCTTTGGTTTTTGGTAATTGGTATCCCAAACTCGCGGTGAAGGCGCATTTCAGACTTGACAAGGCGGTGTCGTCGGCGGCATCTGGCATTGACACACAATGATAGAGGCGTAGGTGAAGGCAGATTTGATGAGTCGAGACGACGTGGTCATGTGCGGTGTGCAATTCCAGTGTTCGTGACGGTGTGGCATGGTGTGGCATGACACGGTGTGGTATGCATGCATTGAATCTGGAACCTCCATCCCCAGACAGGCCTGGCTGGTGTCTCTCCTTCATTACGTCGCGCCCTGCAGAATCTGCAAACCCAGACATCGACAAATCTCTTTTTATTGTTTCTTCATCTCTTCGCCAACAGCATCGGGTCGTATTGGGGAGGTGTCGGCATTGCTCTTTGGGTAGCGGCTGTTGGTGGTTGTCGTTTCCCATTCCGGACATGACCTGTCAAGAAAAGGGGACGTAGATCCAGGCATAGGTGCGGCAACGGGAAGCCGGGCGAAAACAAAGCCTCCAAGGACCGAACACACGAGAGGAAGAGCAAAAGAACGAGACAGGGCAATGGCAAGAGATAGTTATGGGGGATTGGCTTACCGATGGCAATTAGGAAAAATTGCACAGTCTGCACAGGAGCAGGACGACGAGAGTCGGAGGATGGACAAGGAGAGTGATGTCGGGAGAGAGACAGAGAGGACGGACGAGAGCAGGATGGCTCAGCGTCGGTGGATAGGAAAGCGAGGGTGAACGGAGACGGATGGGTACAGAAGGGAAGAGTCTGTACAGTCCGAGGATCTGTTCGAGGGAGAGAGTAGAGAGGGACGGTTGGTATGGTAAGACCGAGACCGAGGAGCAGGCGGGGAGAGTTTATGGCAGAATTTGACAGGAAGCGACAGCAGCACTTACTCCATCCAATTCAAGCAAAACTCTTATGCTCCAACCGTAGTGGGGGGGGGAGGGCGGATAGAGAAGAAGAGAGGAAAGTGAGGACAGTGGGGAGTGAAGGGGAGAGGACGAGGACAAGTCAAATGTGAAGAGTCGCTGGGTTTGAGACGACAGGGCAGGCTTACGGCTAGGCTAGGCTGGCTAGGTTGGTTAGCGACGGGCAGGCATTAGCGGCGGTGGAGCTCTTGTTCTGGGTTGCGGTGCGCGCAGACAGGCTGGCAAACACGCAAGCCGGGCCCGTCGTCTGTACGTGCGTGCGAGCAAGGCCTCCCCAGCCAATGGATCCTGCCAACTGCTGCCGATGTGCTGCTGCAGAGCACTGTGCAAGCAGGCGAGCAATCAAGCAGACAGCCCGCTCCCAGCCTGCCATCTGCTGCATCCGGCGTGCATCTGAGGACGATGGAGAGCAAGAATTGAAAAAAATACAAAACAAAAGAGCAAGCGAGAGAAGTAGCCCATATGTCACCAGCGAACCAGCTGATGACGGTTGGAACGAGAGAGTGGAACATTTGAAGGCAAGCAGAAGCAAGAGACTCGAGGACCGGGGGAGGGGGGTCCCAGCCACTGAGATGGCCGCCCAATCGTGATCTGATGGGATTCAATGGATTGAAACATTCACATTGTTGCATGCTGCCACTACTGGCCACTACGGCTGCTGCTGCGACCATGTACCATCTCGACGTCTCCATGGCCGGTACTGGTGTCACTCTTCTCTCATCTCTCTCTCTCGCTCTCTGCCGTCGTTGTTGCAAGACGTGCCACCATGATGACGGTGGATGGTGCCGACGGCTGAAGGCTGCTGGCCTCCTGTTCCAAAGCAGCCGTGATGCATTGTCGGGGTCGAATCAGCTGGGAGAGGTGCTCCGGTGAGCCTGCCCCGCCAAGCTCCCTCCCTTCCAGCACTCCCCTGGCCCTGCTGCGTCCTGACGCCAAGTGGCCCGCCACAGCAAGCAATGTAATACTCCATAATAGCAGCAGCACTCAGGAGTCGCCGGATCGTCATGTCATCTCTGCTGCTTCGCGGTGATTATTGCTCGCCCGCCAGCGCACGCGTTCTTCAAAGCTCTTACACGACGCGACACCACCACACGGGAAGCGCCTTTCCTTCCTCTTTGGGCGCCGCGGGTGCTGGTGGGCAACCGCTACTTTGCCTAGCATCATTCCCTCTCATCACCCCGTCACCACAGCACCGCCATCACGACTCAGGCCTGCCCATGCTGTCATACCCCACACGCTACCTGCACAGCACAGCGCAGCCCAGCGCTGGACTCTTCACAGTTACTTCCGCTCCTAGAATCTAAATTTCGTGGTTCAACAATGGCCCAGCGTGAAGTCGGTCCGCCCTGTTGGCTGGGTGAAAGCCAGATGGGCCTTTGAGCTCCCAGCAATGCACCAGATAGGGCAGCCAATCTGTGCCTCGCTACTCACGTTTGCTGCTCCTGCCTGCATGCCGAACCGAGTGCTGCACCAGAAGAATAGTCGTGTCTCCGTGCTCCGGCGTAATGTATGGCTCAACCTGGGAGGGCCCCGCTGGCCGCCCCCTTACGTCCCTGACTCCTTCGTGCTGTTAGTTGAGCTTGCAGGGCACGCAATGGCGGACGCTTCGACTGCCAATCTCACTGCATACGGGTCTGCAAATTGCTAATAACACCACCCTCACCCCGTACAAATATTGCCACGCTCAGCCGTCATCCGCGAGCGCTACCATTTGGGCAACTCCACCGCTCCTTTGCCTTAGTCATCCACAGATATGTCCATAGTACCTATACATATGTATTGAACACGGTACGCGTCTGGACGCGGTCGCTCAAAGTCTATTTCAAGGCTGCCGTTCCGCCGCATGCATGCATCGTTGCGCCTCCACACCTCACACATCACAATGACATTGTCTCGGTGCGAGCATCCAATTCTGCCCAACACACAAGTCACAGATGGGAAACATCTGACAGCTGCATTGAAACGCAACCCATCCGTGGTGCTTCTCCAGCTGTTGTAGTACCCATGTCCCCTTTGCCCGTTCCGACATGCATCTGATACATGGCATGACATATCTACATACATGTGTATCCCAGCACAGAGAAGGGACTCGGACATTCTAGCAAGCAGCACTTGGAGAATTCAATTGCGAAGAAGAAGAAGATGATGATGATCAGTACTGAACCAACTGCTTACATGAACCAACTAAATTCCTTTTGCTTGTCGCGCCATTGGGCCTCGGGTGCGGATAATCAACCAAGTTTCCGGTAGTATCGGGTTAGCGCGATCTGCATTGCATCGTGGGAACATGGAACTGGAACCTTGCAGAGCGAGTGCTGCGTGAGTGTCAACCAAGCAAGCAAGCAAGCAAGCAACAGGAAAAAGCAGCTTTCACATCACCAACACGCTGCTAGCCCCGAGTCCGGCCTGGATGCGACCTTCAACAGACGGCTCGTATGCACCAGAATAGCCACCCTCCCCCAGGTTTCGGCAGCCAGACCCAGCCACTCCGTTTCGTGTGAAGTAAAGTGAATCATCCATCATCCATCATCATCACGAACACCACACGCGTACGCATGCACCTACGCACGCGACACGCGACGAAACCCACCCAGGCGAGCAGGCAGACGCTGCTGAGCTTTAACTATTTTCGCCCCTCTCTCCGCCCGTGGCTCCATCCACTCATCCTTCCATCCAGTTCCGCCGTCCGCCGAAACAAAAACCCATACGCACATAGTGGACCCATAATGCAACCATCCGTCCTTGCCTTCTGCACTTGCGGTACAAATTTTCAACATCATGCGGAGCCTTCAATACTTTGCAGCGCTCCGTATGACAAACCTCAAAAAGAGCTGTCATGGCAACCATTCATCCCACTGCACAGCATGCGTAACACGGCCCCCTCGTTATAAGGGGTCCCCTTTCTAGTGTTCCATCGCTTATGTCCAATTCGTACGTGCACAGCAGTTGCGAAGCAAACTTATGTATAGCCTGCACATCCGCCGTTGCGGCCTGTCCCCGTTCAACGCATGTCACAGCATCAGCGGATGAGACGATCCACCCTGCCACCAGAGTTTTTTTTTTTGCCTCTTCCTGCCCGTCGTCAGCTCCAAGCGCCTTCGTGAATGCTGATCCGCGTCGATTTCCTAGGCAACACTTGCTGGATTCATCTCATGTCGCAGCACTGGCTGTGTGCTGTGTCGGTCCCCCTGATCCGAGCTTCATAATCACGGTATATAACCAGAGCGAGGTGGGGCAACCCCCTCGGACTGCCATCCGTTTACGCGCATCACAAGCTTACTTACAATTACATGTAAGAGATGAGCGCGCGAACTGCGCGCGTCCACCAAAATGCAGGCTTCGTCATGTCTCAGTCAAAGGCGCGTTGCAACGAAAGCTCTGATATAAAGTTGCAGAAAGGACCGACAGACCCGGACAGCAACCCCACAACGGCGGCGTCAGTCGCCGTCGTACTTCCGTAGCCCATTTGATCGACTCATGACATCAAGGTAAGCTGGTGGAATGCATGTTGAATTGGAACCACGTTGCTTCCAGCCTAGGATTGTCAATTGGAGCGGTTTTGCTTTCAACCATCCCGAATTATATCTTGGCGCAGTCTTTGCGTTGCCTGCGGCAACACCAAATCCCACCAACCTAATGTCGCTATCAGGCAGGATCCGCGCTTGCTCACAAATTGTGAGCAACAGATTACTGTCATGTCAATATTCCAGAAGGTTTTTGACCAGGATATGAGTTGGATGTTGGAATCAGACGTTGGTTCATGGCTTGCTGTTTCTTTTTGATTCCCATCACATCGTGTAGCCCCCTCCGATATCAAGATAACCATGATGTCTTGATTGCAAGGCATACCCTGCTGATTGTGTGAGTGCCAGCAACACTCTTAAACGAGTATTCATTAAACACTGCCGGACACCCAGGAGGCGTATGCTAGCAAGCGAAAGTAAAGTATTTATGTGAATCTAACGTTCCGAACCAGGGCGCCTAAATCGTCCTCCGTGCCGTGAGGCATAATCCTGATGTTCCTTCACTGTCTCCATCCGCTCAACACCCCAAAATGCATTATTGTATCGAGACATTGGCTTTCCCACAGCGTTCTGCTGTTGCTTACAAGCATTATCAACGTTGCACCAGGTTATGCCATAAGGCTTTCGTGAAAAGTTCCAATCACGCTCCATTAGCATTCCCAGCTCGGTGTCTCACTAAGAAACCGCCTTGTTTGTCACCCAACTGCTGATTAGTTCTACGTATGCAGATAATGCCATGTCCGTCACTCAATGGCTTTGCCATTGCTTTTGCATGACCGACTACAGGAACGCAAGTGCAGAGCCAATCGCATGGCTCATTGACAAAAATCGAGCCATAATCTCGCTCGAAAATCGATGGATGACAGAGACTCAATCAATATGGCTGCGGCGTCATTCCCGTGTCCTCAATTTGTGTATGCATGAAGGGAGGAGGGTTCTCGGCTGAGATGATGTCGACCGAGGATGTTAAATTCGTCGGGGTTAAGCCTACAACGGTTTAGCGCCGAAAGGGACCCACTAAAAAATGCGAACTCTTGGCCGGCAGCGTCTCGAAATCTTCAAGGTACGGTTGAATGTCTGTTCTTCTGCATGCTTGAGCAATTTGTCCACCATGGATATTCACCGCTCTCGCTTCGTGCCTTTCCCTCACTCGGCGATCAATGCGCTTGCATTTTCCCACGAACCTCGCGACGGCGAACGAGAGCCAGAATGCCTCCGGCTTGCAGTTGGGCGTGCAAACGGCAACATTGAGATATGGAACCCTGCCGATGGCGAGTGGCTACAAGAGCGCGTATTCTACGGGGGCAAAGATCGTAGTGTAGAGGGTCTTGCTTGGACTCGAGAGGCAGACACAAGGGATAAAAGAGGCGTCAGAGTACCTGGAAGACTGAGATTGTTCAGTATCGGATACTCGAGCAGTGTCACAGAATGGGATCTCACCACCGGACTGCCCGCCCGCCATTCCAACGGTAACCACAGCGAGGTCTGGTGCTTCGCCGCACAGCCTGCCGCGCAAAACGAACAGACCCCTCGGAAGTTGATCGCAGGATGTGCAGACGGTACTCTAGTCCTCCTATCTACAGAGGACGATGACTTGCAATTCGATAAATTTGTCGCACGCTCTACCGCAAAGAAAGCTCGAGCGCTGAGCGTCGCTTTCAAGGATCGCAAGATTGCACTGGCTGGCTTTGCAGACAGTACAATAAGAGTCTACGATACGCGCAATGGCTATGTAATCCGAAATATATCACTCGGAAACCTCGGGCCCGGCGGTCCTAGAGAGACGCTCGTCTGGAAAGTGAAGTGCCTGGCTAATGGCGACTTCGTCTCGGGCGATTCCAATGGGGACATATGCATATACGATGGCAAGAATTACAGTCAGACCCAGCGGATATCGGGCCACGAAGCTGATGTGCTTGATCTCGCTGTTTCGCGGGACGGAAACATGATTTTCAGCGGAGGCATGGACCGGCGTACGTGCCTTTATACCTCGAACAACAAGGCTGGAGGTGGGAAGTGGACCAAGGTTTCCCACCAAAGGTACCACGATCACGACGTGAAGGCAATGGCGACCTATGACGGGAAAAAGCTCAGCATTTTAGTGTCTGGAGGTAAGCTATTGCAACATTATCTTGGCCATTTGAAATGCATGCTAACTCTATACAAGGTATTGATACTCGACCGATTGTCCTCCCCATCCGATCTTTTGGCAAGGAGCTTAGCCGCGGGCTTCCGTCTCTGCCTCACTCTCCCCCCCTTGTCAGTGCACCCGAAGCGCGGCTTGTAGTCAGCTGGTGGAATTCGGAAATTCGAGTTTGGCGGGTCAAGAGTCAAGATGATGGAGCTGAAAAACCAAAAGTGGTCGCTCGACTTGCACTCCAAGGCGATGAAAATATAGCATCTGTGGCCATGAGCAGGGACGGACGACTATTGGCAGTTGCAACGGCCAAAGAAGTGAAACTATTCCAGCTCGTCCAAACGAGATCAGAAGACAGCTTCAATCTACGCATCCGTAAGCTCGAGGCACATTTGGCCGACGGCGCGAGGTTGATACAGTTCACGCCGGATGGCAAGTGGCTAGCTCTCATCACCGCTTCCAACGCCGTTTCCCTGTCACGTATTATTCGAGATGAGGATCCAAGCGAGCGACCCCGAGCACTGCCCAAATTGATCCGACTGCAGCGACTGAAGCGGGACCCCCAGCAAAATCCTCTAGATGGTCCCTCTGGCTCCTACTCTCGTACCATATCTCATGCCGAATTCTCGGATGACGGGTCAATCTTTGCTGTGGCTGATTTGGCGGGTTACATCGACACATGGGTCACCCAAGGCCATGAAGATCCGACAGCTCTTGAAGTCGACGTCGACGAGACTTCCGACTCTGTCAACGCTGACAATGATGACGACGGAGATTCTGGTGACGACTCTGATGACGAAGACTCCCGGCCCGAACGAGTTACATTTCTGGGTCAGCGATGGATACGTAACCCCTCGGCGCACCTGTTACCACGGCTAGACTCCAAACCAGTTTTGCTTTCATTCCAACCTGATCCTGCGGCGAACGCGCAACCCGAGCCTAACGGCAATCCCGCAGTGCACCCCACGAGACAAAATCCCCATCCACACTCACAAGACATAGCGTCTACTGAACATCGCCTCCTCGTGGTTTCCGCCAACAACCAGCTAAACCTCTTCGATGTCCTAGCTGGACGGCTCTCGGAATGGTCGAGAAGGAACCCCCCATCCAGCTACCCCTCGGCCTACCGCCACCTCAAATCCCCATCAAAAGGCTGTCTATGGGCCACACAGGAACAGCAAACACGTCTATGGCTATACGGCGAGGCATGGCTCTTCATGTTTGATCTTTCCCGCGATCTCCCTATCCCAGATGCCATCGCCGAGGACGCCAGCAGCGACCCCTCCAAATCCCAACCCTCCTCCACCAACAAAAAACGCAAACGAGACCAACACCACAGCCACAAAGGTGCCAGCGGCGCCGGCGACGCGATCCCCGAGACCGACATCCCCGTCACCAAAATGCGGCGTTTCGAGGGCGGGGGCAAGGACGTTGATTCGGTCAAAAGCACAACGGCGGAAATCACGTCTCGCGGCCTCCGCGGAACCTCGACCGCTGCTCCATCCGACGACGACGATGACGAGAGCAGCGACGAATACGCCGCCTTGACTACTCTCCGTCGAGGCACGGCATCGGAGAAGAGCAACGGCCAGACAATCGAGGAACAAGAGGACAAGGAAACGAACCTAGCCGTCGTCAACGGCGACAACGGCGACTCGCTGGAACAGAGTCGCCAGCACTGGTGGCACACGCTCAAGTACAGACCGATCCTCGGTATCGTTCCTATAGGCGGTAGCGGTGGAGCAGCAGGGGAAGACGTGGACATGGAGGGCGGCGAGACGAGCTCGGCTCTTGAAGTCGTGCTCGTCGAGAGGCCTGCGTGGGATCTAGATTTGCCTCCGCGCTTTGTGGGGGCTCATGAGTAGTCAGTTTAGGAAGCATTTGTTGCATATTACATCTTTCCTTCTTTCTTTCTTCGTTTGATATGTGATGGAGGCTGAATTAGATGGGAATCAAGCAGTTTGGGCATCACCAGTTTTATTTTATTTTCTAGTGTTGTGGTGAGAAAAATCAAAATTATACGTCTTCTATGGCCACATTTGCCTGCCTGATCTGATTTTCCACGTGACACGTTTTCGTTCTCCTTCGTACGTTGAGAGAAAGCGAATCTAGTTCTATTCCGCGATACTCTATTTTTCTTTTAAAAAATAGATCTTCAGATCCTTTTTCTCCTCCCCCCCTCTCTCTCTTCCTCATCCTCCTTCTACGTGTGCGTACATCTAATATACCGCACGCCTCCCCCTATACCTCCTCCTCCCACATAACCTAACTCTAGCCTAAACCATGCCCCCCATCCCATCACACCTAGTAACCTCTCAACAAACAACACACAAAAGCCATTCAAAAATTGAACAATTCCAACTCCCCTTTTTCCTATTCTCTAATCCCCCGCTCATCTCTAGAGCCAGTGCAAGAAAGATAGTAGCAGAGTACATCACAGCACAAACACATCCAAAAAAAATCATATCCATCAGGTAAAGTAGAGTAGACTAGGGCGGTAGGGTAGGAGGAAGTAATACATTACCTTTTCCCATGCATATTTTTTGTCTTCTTTCTCTCTCTCATTTCGTTCATGGATTGTTTGTAAAAGGTGGTGGTGATGCCACCACATACACACAAACACATTAGCGATGGAGCTGTAGCAATGAAAGTAAGGAATTTTTTTTGAAAATAATCAGGTGGAACTTCGATAAATCGAGTGAATGAATGAATGAATTACTTGGGGATGTATATTATACGTGTGTATACGTGGACACGCGCGGAAACTGGAATTCCAGTAGTTTAGGAGGGAGGATAAGGGGGGAAGAGGGTATAGATTATAGACTCATAGGATGCTTTTTTAGGGGGCTTTTGAGAGTGGGGGTAGGGAGTTTTTCATTTGGTAAGGCGGGGGGTAGGTTTCTACCACACACGCGGCGATATTTGATAGCGGCGATGAAAACCCCCATGAGGCGGTTTTATGGATTCGTTTCTGAAGTTTATTCCCCCCCCCCCCCCAAAAAAGGGTAAAAGTAGAAGAAAAAGATATTAGTAACGCTGCCCGACATGAGAGCTCCACATACAAGCATAGCGGATATAGATGGAAAAAATAAGGGCAGTGCGTTTGAAATGAGCGACAGGGCGAAGTGGGGAGAAGTGTTGTTGTGATTAGATATCGAGTTTATCGATATCGAACATGCTCCCGAACCACAAAGAAAAAGGATAGGACTGAGAACTAGGAATCGGAATGTGGGTCATGTCAAGGGCGGAGGACCAGATATTCTTTTTTTTTCATTTTCCTCTTCTTCAGCATACGTTGATCTCCGTTTTTGGAAATTCAATGGGTAGTTAAGAGAGAGGGGGGCTCCATTATATTATTTCCATGTGTAATGGAATGCATGCTTGTGCGGAGGAACATGTAAATGATGATTGCATATTACAGATTAGGACAGTAGAAAGAGAAGATCCCTGGTTGAAGGGGTTTCTGTCAAGCGGATGTGTCGTAGTATACGCGTGCAGAGAGGATTTTGCACGGTGCATCGTCATCCGTAGTCTTCAGCACTTGTGTTTCCGAGCTTGCTGTCCAACATGGTTGCGGCAACGGGAAAGACAAGCTGTCTAATTAGTTGCCCTGCTGCGAAGATGGAGTTAAACCAGTCCAAGAAAAAAGAAGCGGTGAAGATGCGTAATGTAATGGGCGTGGTCGGTGTATGATATACGTAGATACCCTGTGACATTGCGCGAGGTACTACAGAAAGAGGGTCCTTTCCATCAGGCGTACTGTGGAGTGATGTGTCATTGGTGCAATCGTCGAATTGGGGGTTTGCGCGTGCAGGTACACGCGTCGTTTACTGTTCGCCACCGCGAAAGTTTGAGTGGAGCGCGAACGGGACGAGGCGTCCCATAGCCAGGAGCGGGTTTTGTTTTTATTGATGCCGTATGAACTTTGGTGTACGTACAGTGAATCAGTGAGATAGGCGTGCGTGTGCAATTGAGCTGATTCGCGCGGACGAGCGAAATGGTGGCTCCTGGTGTCGATTTGTGGATCGCATTCGTCGTCGAATTGCGATTTTTTCTTCCTCTCTTTTCCGCTCGTTCGGCTTGGGCCCGGAGATTTTGTCCCAAACACACACAGCTAAATTACTTTGGGGACAAACAAGTAGAGAGTCTTGGGCAGATGTTCTAGACTGGCGTCCGCGTATACACCCACACCAAACTTAGGGATCGCTCTGTTGAAGTTATCGAGGGTATTTTGCTTGCAAATATGTATATCGCTATCAAGAACATGATGTGCTTTGTTTTGGCAGGGTTCCTCTTGTGTAAAAGGAAAGTGATGCATTTAGAACCAGCAGCATCCCGTGGACAAGGCGTCGAGGATGTGGTTCGAGACAGGCCTGTTTCGGAAAGAGAAGCAGAGAGGGAACGGAGACGAGGCAATAGGGAGGATTAGCAGATGCCAAGAGAAATGGTAAGCAGGGGCTCTGCAAGGGGTTAGCGCAGTGCGTAAACTGGGGAAATCAATGACGCGGCAAGGGTCACGACTGAAGGAGTGGTGCAGCGGAACAGCAGCAAGCTCAGAAAAGAACCGGCCTGGCCCAAGGATCCAGCCGTGTAGCTAGAGGTCTAGCGGGAGTGCCTGGAAGCGTGGTGCCAGGGAGGATAAAAAGCTACCGTCCCCAGGCTGGCAAGCTGGCAGATGGCAGATATGGCAGAGATAGTGTAAAGAGCGCCAAGAGGTGTTGAGTACGTAGTCTCTCCATATCTCTGCATCTCTGCATCAATTCATGGACCGCTGGGGAATGATCAAGTGGTCTAGATGAAGAGGGTGATGGATGGGCGTGAGCGGGAAAGTAGTCTTGATTGCGTGGCTGTCTAGTTGCTTCTGGGTGGTCATGATCTGAGGAGAGAGGCAAGTATTGCGTAACAGAGTGACGATTTCAGGCCCTTTTGTATTCGCATACACGGTAGAGAGAGCGGCGACGACGTGGGCGATGACGCTGGTGGTGGATGGGCTCAGGCAGGTGAGACGGGTCCTTCATGTGATGTGTGTGTGTGCGTGTGCAGAACGGGACAGAGCAGCACTTTACCGTGCGGGACGGTACATTCGTACAGAAACACAGCTGTAGATACAGAGGTGAGTGGTGTGCATGTATGCATCCATCGGTGGTAGCCGTCCAGGACTGCTTCCACTGGCAGGCGACGACGACGACGACGATGATGATGATGGTTCAAAGGCAGGATGGAATAGAGAGAGGATGGGCGTTATTAGTCAAGCGCCGGATCGGGGTTAGAAACGGGAAAATAGTAACGAGCTAGAGGGCAGGCCAATAGCAGCGGCCTTGGTTGCGCGTCCAGAACAGAAGACACGCAAGCCTCTGGCTGCCCCCCGGTCCGTCTTCATCACGGCCAGAGCGCACCTCGTAGTTACAAACTCTCCCTCCTCCCCGTTCCTCCCCCCGTCACTGTCTGTCGTCCATCGTCAAACGTCGGGAACCTCGCCAGCCCGCCCGCTTTTCGGCCCTGCGTTGTTGCTGCTACACCTCCAGACAATTGCTCTGCGCTGTGCCAGCTTCGCCCGTCGCCTTCCTGTTCCTGTGCTGCTGCTACTGCTGCGCCCAAACGCAATCCGGGCTGTGCACCCACGCTACCGCCCTACCGCCTACCGATCCTACCAATCTACTCTACGCCTCTTAACCCTCCCCTCCCCAACACACACGCACGCTGCCTGCTGCTTCTCTCTTCCACCATCCACCACCACCACCACTTCACCACAACACACCTGCACCGTCTCGCTGCGACCACAGCGAGTACTGCGACCATGGAGCACTCGCAAGGCGCCCCCCGCGCGCCCGCTGCCAATGTCGACACTGACCAGCTCGCCCACGAGATGACGGAGCGCTTTCGTCAGGTCCTCAGCACACGGCGCATGAACGACCTCACACTACGATCCGGCCAGTCGCGCCCATCATCGCCCGCTCCTCGAGACTTTGGCACTCCTCAGCCCCCTCTTCTCCAGAATGCTCCTCCCTCGTATTCGTCGCTCCGCAACATCCCCTTAATTCCCCAGCCTCCCTCTGATGCCCGTTCCATCCGCTTCAAGAACATGCTCACATCGCTTTCCAACATGCCCCTTCGTTGGGAAAACCCCGGCCTCCTCGACGAAGCTCTCACTGCAGTCCCTTTGGAGCAGATCTACAACGAAGCCGAAGAGGAAAGCCAGATTCTTCAGGCCGAAGCCGAGAGTCTGGGCAGCGGGAAGAAGGCTGCCTGGGGCTACCAAGACTGCGTCATCCGCGCCTTGATGAGATGGTTCAAACGATCCTTCTTCTCATGGGTTAACAACCCCGCATGCACACGATGCTTCTCGCCTACGATAGGCATTGGCATGGCCGCGCCGCTCCCTGACGAACAGGCCCGTGGCGCCAACCAAGTCGAACTCTACAAATGCTCCGTAGAACACTGCGGCACATATGAGCGATATCCTCGTTATAACGATGCGTTTGTACTTCTGCAGACTCGACGAGGTCGGTGTGGCGAATGGGCCAATTGTTTCACCATGCTTTGCAGAGCTCTCGGAACCAGAGTGCGATGGGTATGGAATGCCGAAGACCACGTCTGGACAGAGGTGTACTCTGCTCACAGGAAACGATGGGTCCACGTTGATGTTTGCGAAGAGGCTTGGGATAAGCCACGGCTCTACACTGAAGGTGTGTTAAACCCGTTCCGCTGTGCATCACAACATGGAAACTAATGATTCGGAACAGGTTGGGGCAAAAAGCTTTCCTACTGCATAGCCTTCTCTGTAGACGGCGCCATGGACGTCACCCGAAGGTACATCCGCGATCCCGCCAAATATAGCCTGGAGCGTAATCGTGCACCTGAAGCAGTTCTTCTGCACATCTTGGACGAAATCCGGGCCGCTCGACGAAACAACATGGAGAAGAAGGAGAAGTTCACATTGGAAGGAGAGGACATGCGCGAAGACCGCGAGCTTCGATCCTACGTCATTTCCTCCATCGCTCAACAGGTCAGCAAGCTCGACGCCGAAGACATTGCCAACGGACGCCAATCCAGCCCACGACCAGACCCCGACACGCAGAAAGCGTTGGAAGGCCGGACCAGTGGCAACGCTCAATGGATCCGCTCCCGGGGCGAGGGTGGACGTGGCACACCAAACCAGCAAGACCCCCACAACCAGCACCCGCGCTGACTGGGTGGCACTATTCGCAGCGCGACATCACTTCTCATCGCGCTTCTCATCATTTACCTTCTCACCGCAATCAAGGCCGCATCTGCTTGCCAGCCTTGCTTTGATTGCGCACCATTGCAATGCATCCCGTGAACGACCTTCCGATGATGACAAAGCTCCCACGATACCCGCTTGGATCCTACTTGCGTCATTCGCACCTGTACCATTACCTACTGGGAACCAGCAAGAAAGCATATATTGCTCGCTCGCTACGGCGTTACCGGCTTACACATTAGCACCATCTACGACTAATGTCTACAAGACCACCCTCGGGTGATATTCTTGGAATTTATCTGTAGCATTTCTGCGAGGGAGAACCCGGCTCGACGTTTAACCCGAGTGGTGCTCCCTACACCTCCACTATCCAGCTGTGGATACGCTCCAACCTTTTTCTTGCTTCGTTTTCGACCTATACCATTTTTGGACATTATTTATTTGTGTATTTATGATATACTGCTTCTAGCTGAAGTCCCGAGGACTTGCTCTCATTTGTTTACTAGCTATTAACGCCTTCGAGGACCTCTATTTTCTTTTGTCACGAGCAAAGCATTTCTGGGGCCATGGAAATCTTTTATACATATTTTCTTGGGCTCACCAGCAACCGGCAAAGGGGTGAAAGCCTGGGGTTTTGTCTTGTTCTGTTTTTTACTTTGCGCAATCGGGTTCGGGAATCAATGGCTTCAGGGAAAATACCCACTTGCGAAGGGAAAGGGAAACGATACAAAAATCGAAGGTTGGAAGGGGGAGTTGCGCCATTATCGAGTTTTTGCTATGCCATTTGGTTTTGTTTTCCACTGCTTTGTTTCGAGGGGGACGAAGGCGAGGCGCGCGCATTCAGGCGGCAGAGGGAGACAGACAGGCGAGAGTGGGGAACCGAAGATCAATCAAATGACATGTCTGCTGCAAGAAAGAAAAACGAGTCCGTCGCCTATTTTCTCGTGTCTTCTTCCGCTTTGCCTCTGACCAAACGTATACGCCGTGGGGGGAAGATGAGCGTGTGGAACAACCGAGTGATGGCTTGGATAGGCCGAGGCGGATGACGCGCGTCCTCTTTGCGTCGGTCGCCTTTCCTCTTACTCTTAGGTTGCGCAATCAGACCCCACGCGCCGCGAACGCATTTTTTCTTCTTCTCTTTCTTCTTTTCTCGTTGCGAAGCATAGAGCAATAATAAAAAGGGAATCAAAAGGGAAAAGACTAGGCCGTGAAAATCCCCCTTCTCTTGAGGAGAGAATCACTCGTGTTTTTCTACACATCTCTACTCCACCTATTCATGTCAACGCCCTAGTGCCGTTGGGCCCTTGTGTAACCTCGCGCCACCCACCTACCTTACACAACAGCAAGCAGCAGCAGCAGCAGCAGCAGCAATGACAACGCACCAAGTTTACAGTATTGAAACATGTAACACACCAATCTACCTATCTCCCCTAGTACGACTCACCGGGAATAAAGATGGCTTCCGAGAGAAGAAAAAATGGGTGGTAATCAAAAAGAACGGAGATAAATCATTATCTGTGGCGAAAGAAAGAAATGAAGAAAAGGTTTACTAAGAAACGATCAACACAAGAGAAAAGGGGTTTTTTGAGGAAGTTTGGATGGATGATCAAACATGGCCGATCTTTGGTTGATTTGGGGGTAAGGATTGACATGTTGATCTTTTGATCTGATAATAGGGCGGTTTTTTTTCTCTCTTTCTTGGTTCGTTGTTGGGATTTTTGTAAGCTTGTATCTTGGCGCTCTTTTTTTTTTTTTCTTTTCTTAGTTTTGCTTGCTGTGTGTGTGTGTGTGTGTATATTAAGTTTTCTTATTTTATTTTATTTTATTTTAGTTCTGTGGGATGAGTTTTTTCCTCCGATTTTGCGTTTGTTCGGGAAAACGTTGATGGTTGTGGGTTTACAGGTGTTGATTAGAAACTGTTTGTGGGGCATGCTAGTTTAGTTGATGATAGTGTTTGTGTGTGTGTGTGTGTGTGTGTGTGTGTGTGTGTTCGGTTTGTATGTCCAGATAATCTACTGATGTAATCTCAATGTTGTTGGAAGAGGGGAGAAAGATGCAGAATAAATGAGTTTGAATGGTGATGCTGATATTAGACGTGCATTCAAATTTGCAACAAAAAAAAATGTGAGAATGTGTGTACCTATACACATAAGGAATGGGTACCATGATGGGATGGTAACCTTGTTGCACGCATGTGCTTGTGCACCTATATTTGAGAGAAGCCGTGATCCGTTTGTTACGCTACATGGGGGAGTAGATATATATATGTATATATATATACAAACACATCATATTATTGAACTCCTGCAAACTCACCACTTGACGTAATTCCCCTAGCTGAAAGGATATGACGTAGCTCAAAGCCAAAGCATTCATCATGCACTCATGCCACGAATTCCAACAATCGCAGAATAGGATATGAAAATGGGGTGTTGCGATGTCTTTACCGCTCTCGGAAAAGCGCCGCTCCATTTACACTTGATGTGGAATCCCGAGCCATCGTGTCAGAGTGAGATCGCGTAGAATTACGATACCCGTGTGTACGTTGGATAATGCTGTCATCGTACATTAATCGGCATTGTCGGAGAGCAGTAAGAAACAAGAAACTCGAACAGCGAACAACTGAATATGTAATGCTGGTGGATCAGGCCTGGATGTCATTGGGTCAGTAGCGGATCCTTCGTAGTACCTCTGCTTCCCGTGTCGGTTTTCTTATTGGGGGCCGTTTGCTCTCGATATGGGCTGATGGTCAAGACTCTGTGCATCAATGTACAACTGGCAAAATGTAAGAACAATCAACAGAACGAAAGGACAATGGACAAAGATTACCCAAAAAAGAAAAAAAAAACGTGCGCAGCGTGCACGCATTCAAAAAGCGCACTGCCACAGGGGGCTGTTCAGCCTCCACTCTCACGTCTCAGCCTTCTTTTGCTTCCCGTCGGTCGGTGCGACGGAACACTTGGCACAGCTAGACTGAACAACGACAAGCGTCAGATCGTCACTCCCCTATTTTTAGTCGGGCTTGCTGATTGATCATATCTTTTTCCAGGGTTCGAGCTGATTTGTTGGTCAGTAACAGACTTTCTTCTCTTTCTCTGCTCGCCATCAGCTATTGCCCCCCCTCATCTTGCGTGTGCTGTTCCGGACTGGGGCTAACCGTTCCGGGGAATCGACGGGTTCGCTGTTTCGCCTTCTTCTTGGGAGATGTGACACTGCCGTAGAGGGACAAGAGATGGATGATGGCTCTTGGCACGTGCGTGCGGCGTGGCTCCCGAGCACGCTTCTGGCCGGTCGGTGCGTACTGCATGTTCGTGGGTGAGTGAAAAGCGGAGAGGGTTTCATCCGAGCAGGCCAGCTGACGGGGTTTTGCTCTTCCACTTTGCTGCACCTGGACGAGAGAATGCAAAGGGGGAATGTGTGATGGTGATTGGGTTTCGCGTGGTGGTGTGCCCGTCTCGACGAGTCGGAGGGGCTTCCTTGGAATGTGACATGTCGTTGGATGGTCGGTACTCGAGGCTGAAGAATGCATTACTGCCAATGCAACAACGGTGCTGTTAAGTCAGGATAGTGTCAGCAAGTGTAGGGAGCGTTATAGGCGCAATAGTGTCGTATATTCTAACTGGGTCGAGGCTAGAGTCGACGCCGCAGAGAAAGAGGATGCGCACGATACTACCGTTTTGGGGCTCGTGGGCTGTTGAATCTTTTCTTCTTGATGACAGAAGCCGGCTCTCGCGTCATCAAACGTCCTGCGCGCGAGGCCTTGCTCTTCCAAACCCGTCAGCCAGCGTTGTCTGTACCGTACGGACAAGCGACCTGGCGTCAATGTTTGTGTGATGTCACGGCCGCAGCTTGACAGGATACACGCACTCACTCATTCATCACCACGCTGCCGTGGGCACGAATCAGCGACCTCAGCTGTCTCCCAGTCCACAGCCATGTAGCTACCGACTTGACAGTGGAGACCGACTTAGCTACTTGGTTGCTAGCTATCGTGAAGCATCTCCGCCCAGGATTCAGTGGTCAGCATGGAGGAGCAGGCCAAACTGCAAGTGTCCAAGCCGGTTGAGGCTGGTGCTAAGGAAAAGCAACCACCCTGGACATGTACAGAGACACGGACCCTTGGGCTTTGCCTTGTGCCGTGCCCTCAGCCCCCCTTAGGGCACCACACGCTCCATCTTCAGCTCTCCCACCGTTGCCTTGCCTGCATACATAAGTCTTGTTGGCTGCTGCCGTCCAATTTCCCCTCCTATCCTTCCGTCCCCATCACCGTTTGTGTCCCGTTTTCTGCTTCTCACCAACCCACCTCTCGTTTCGCAGCCCCAAACCCCGACGCGCTCGCCACGACCTCCAGTCTTCTCCATACAACACACACGTCACCGCCGACATGGGTAAATTAGGGAGATTCGCCGCCATCTTCATTCCTATGGCTTTGACCATAGCCTCGCTCATCTGTCTGAGCATTGTTTGCGTCGGTCAGAGCAATAAGGATATGGATTTAGCCAATGACTTGTATTTCTTCAAGGTGCGTCGCTGTTCATCACGCTCCCCCGCTTGCTTTTCTCCATACTAATATGCGTCGCTGCAGGCCATTACAAAGGATGTGGATCTCAACCCCAATGAAAAAGCCGGCGAAAAGGTCAACGAAGCCAACGATAAACTCAAGAACCTCCCCAATAGCCCCCAGTTCAACGAGGATCTGTTGAAGGCTCTCCAGGGCAGCGCCAAGTCCAACAAGCTCACCGACTTCTACAAAGTCGGAATCCGTGGTTACTGCGAGGGCAAGATCGATGGCGACAAGGAAATTGTCGAGAAATGCAGTGACCAAGTCAACTACTTCTGGTTCAATCCCATCGAAGTTTGGGGTTTGGAAGGCACCAGCGCCCAAAACATGTTCTCGGACGAGTTCAAGAAGGGTTTGGACTCGTACAAGAAAGTCGCGAAGTGGATGGTGACTTGCTACGGACTGGCCCTGGCTGCTACTGCCCTTGAGATCCTCATTGGCATCACCGCTCTTTTCAGCAGATGGGGAAGCCTTGCCACTACCATCGTCTCATGCGTAAGTCTCGCTATCGCTTTAATAGCCTGTTGTACCAATAAGCTGACAATCTTACCTCTTCAGATCTCCTCTGGCCTCGCCTTTTCCGCTGCGCTGACCATCACTCTCCTATACTCGTCGCTCGTCGGCATCTTCGAGACGGTCCTCAAGCCCTACAACATCGACTCGGAGATGGGCAAGCAGATGCTCTCCGTGCTCTGGCTCGGCGTCGCCTTCTCCCTCGGATCCGGCATCTTCTGGCTCTTCTCCACTTGCTGCTGCTCCGGAAAGAGCGACAAGAAGAAGGTCAAGGTCGAGAAGACGCCTTACACCTACGAGCGCGTCGCTAGCCCGTACCTCGGTGCCAGCGCAAACAACTCCCACCAAATGCACCCCGTCGCCCCTCACGGTGGTCACGGCGCAAAGTTCGAGCCCTACAGGAACGGCCATTAAGCTGTGTTCGTGTCGCGTTCGCTCGATTGTGTGCTGTAGAAGGAAGGGGTTTCCTTCCTCGTAAAACAGGATAATCACTAATGATCTGAGAGTGTTTTTTCTTTCTCTCTTCTCGGTATGATTTGAAAAGGCGACCATGTGGAGGATCATCATCACCGACATCATCATCATCATCACTATTTAACGAACCCATGTTTTTTGTATTTTGTTGTTTTATCTGGAAATCTTTGTTTGTTTATTATTACTTATTGGGCTGCAAATCCTTGTTATGTATACCACTTATCACGAAAGGGATATGGCGCGACGGGCGTTTTTCTGGCGATACGAATACTCTGTGCGGATACCGCGAGTGGAATGCAAGACAGAGCGATGAGATGGAGGAAGGAGGAACGAAAAGCATTGAAGTGTTAGCAGCCCCCGGACGATGAATGCAAACATTTCTCAACCCTCTTCAAAAAGAAAGAAACTCTCATTACGCATCACAAACACTATTCCTTTCGTATAGTCCTGCGGTTGCTTCACATCGTTGATGCCTTTTCTTTCTTTCTTGTGCTCTACATGCGTATCTATGATCCCTCACCCCATGTTGTTGTGCGCTGGAATGCCAAACACACAGCCAACGCACGTCCTACCAGCACATGTCGTGGAGTATTGAACTCTCGTTGCTCTAGAACACCCATTTTCCATTTTGGTGTGACTGGATGCATTATCCCCTCCCTCCCCTATTTTTTCTCGTGCGAATGGGACAGGCACACGGGTATGTACCGCATTGTCCTTAAGCAGCATCACATGGAGTACTGTAGTAGAGTGAATCCCCCCCCCCGTGCGCTGGCTGGAATAATTACCTAGGTACATTTATTTTGGTGTTGGGGTGGGTGTGGGTGGGGATCTATGATTCCTTTACTTTTTTTTCTCTTCTTTTTTTCTCTCTAGAAACTGGTATCGTTGTTGTTGTTGTCGTCGTCGTCGACAGAAATCGGGTCTGGGGATAAGTGAACTTTGGGGTTAGTTGTCTTTTTTGGTGTTGAATTTGAAGCAGTGAGTTATGAAGTTTCTTTTTTTCCTTGAAGTAGTGCAGACTGAAGTTTTTTTTTTTTTTTTTTTTTTTCTTTTTCGTTCGGTTGGGAGGTTGGTCGCTGGAATAGATGGAGCAAGGTGGAACGGATGGGGTGTAGATAAATCGATGTATGCTACGTACTTGCAGGGTATATGTAATACACGAAGACCGATCAAACTCGTCTTTTTCATGAATCATAAACAGGATAAATCTCCATGGCACTCATACCGAAAACCGCGCTACAAGTCAATCCCAACTCCCAACCCACACCTCATCATCCGGCGGCTTCCCCTTTTCCCTGCCCTCGACTCTACACAACGCCTCCACGTCGGCGGGAACCGCACTCCGAGCCAGAACCTCCGACCGCTCCAGAAACTGCATAGCGAGCCCAGCCTCGTTGTGCCATCCAACATGGCAATGAAACGCCCACACCCCCGGATTATCCGCGACAAACCGGATCAACATCCACCCAAACGCCTCTAGACTCGCGGTATCGCGACGAAGTGGATTCGCCAGGTCCAGCGAGTTGCGCAGATGTTCGAGTTCAGGCGGGTACCCGTGACCCTGGGCGAGGACGAAGAAGGAGTGGCCGTGGAGGTGGAAAGGGTGGTTTCCGTCGTCGAGGTTCTGCAGGAGGATGTCGAGGGTTTGGATGCCTATGGTTTGGTAGACGAGGGATGTGGATGGCTTAAAGAGGTACGAATTTATTCCGTGCGGCATCGATAGGGAGTACAAGTGTGGTTTGGACCGGTGCTGCACGCCTGATGTGAAGGACGAGAGGGTGGGGTGAGAGAGGTTGGCGCGGTAGGATGAGTCGTTGAGGTAGCCGCGGCTTAGGCGCCAGTCGTGGGTTTGGAAGCTGGAGCGGAGGTAGATGGTATCCGAAGGGTTGGAGGGGGCGCGGATGGGGAGGACCGGGGTGAGAGTGGTGGTGTTGAGGTCTTTGCATTCGAGTTCGATGGTTTCGGGGAAGTCTTTGCTTTGCGGGGGGGAGGTGAGGGGGGTTTGAGCGTTATAGCGGATGATGGCTCGGACTTCTTCTTGGAGTTCGGGCTCTTCGTAGGCGAAACAGTGGGTGACCATGCGTGCTCGCATCCAGTATAGGCCTTTGTTGTCGGTGGGTGGAGTTACGATGATGCTGTAGCGCTGGGCGGGGTTAATGTTGAGGCGATGGATGGACTGGGGATGTACATCGACGCCGTCTACTTCGGTGAGCTGGACTTCGTGCTCGTCGAGTTGAATCTGGAATTCGGCAAAAGCGCCCACGTTTATGAAACGAAGACGGGTGTTGTGTTTCGGTGAAAGGTCGAAGAGAGCATTGGAAATGCCGGACGAGGAACAGTTTCGGTCTGGAAGGTCGGAACAGTTACGTTTCCCACGACCATTGATGACTGCCGCCTGAGGAACCGGTTCTTCATTTTCATTGCCTGGCTCAAGATACTTCTGCAAGAGCGAGGAAGATAGATCGTAGTAGTGGTCTGATACCAGCACGACCCTATCCTCCTCGTACGGTACCTTTTGAAGCGTTGTCCTTTCACCATCTCTAGCATGGATTACAATGGGTCCAACGACCCCATCTGAGGCTTGCATGGCCATGTGGCTATGATACCAGTATGTTCCACTCTGTCCGGTCACGTTGAAGCGGTACGTGAAAGAATGACCCGGGGCAATGGGACACTGCGTGACTCCCACTGTTCCATCCATGAAGTTTGTTCCGTTTTGGTACAGACCATGCCAGTGTATTGAAGTTGCGTTTGTGGCCTCATTGCGAACATGGACGACAATCTCATCGCCTTCGTTGCATTCTATGAGCGGCCCGGGGAAGGTGGCGTTGATCAGTGTCATGGGCCGGTAAACTCCATCAGGATTCAGTTGGTGCTCAGCAATGATCCAGTAGTATTCCCGCGTTACAGGCTGAGCTCCAAACGCCCAAGATGAATCCAGTATATAATCTTGCTCGGCGCGAAGTTGTGCTGTCTCGTGCATCTCACTTTTCAGTGGGATGAGAAAGGTATGTGCGACAAATCCTATTAGCCACGCAACTGGAACAGCAATGACGAGGACTTTGAACCAATTCCACGATGGCGACAGGCGCGGCGGTGATTTGTGAGGGATTTCCCAGTCCACGAGGTCGTCGTCTTCCGAATCGTTGCCATGCTCACGATGTTCCTCTTTCAGCAACCCAACACTTTCTTCCTCTTGATGGATACCGGTCTTCCTTTCACTCAACGGATATTCCTCTTTACCGGCCATATCCACATATTTGCTCCCCGAATAGATCTATGACACCCAACTCTGCCTAGGCACGTGCGTGTATACGTTGAAAGAGTTGTCGAGACGAAATGGATTATGTGTAGCCAGCAGTCGTCGTCTGCCGTGTATCCGGCCTTGCATGCCGCATCAGCTAGTCACAAGCATGGCAATACATGTAAGGAGAGAAGAAGTTGAGTGGTCTTGGAGCGGTGCGAATGTGAATGGCGTAGGCCACGGTAGTTTGTCCGATCCGGTTGAGCTGCCCTTCTGCCAATCATTGTCGAGCGATATTGCACGCGGGACTGGATTGGCCGATCACTCTAGAGGTGCGGACCTCAATAAACTGGCCACCTGCCTAAAAAGCGCCATTCCCGCCATGCACGCCTGGCAAGCTGTGAATGTTACTCGACACATGCTATATTGACACCAATATGTCACCGTCGCTAGCTACTGATCGCCGGCGAAACCCCCGGAAGCGGCCATTTTGTGGCACTTGACCCAGCAAAGTGCATACACCTAGCATGACGAGGCGAGGCTTATCCAGTCCCTCTCTGTGTGTTGTTGTGCTTGTCTGTGTCTTGTTCGCGCTTGTCTTTCTTCCCTTCGCTTCCCTTCGCTCCAACAACTGCAAAGAGGAGGACGAACTCAAGATGCGTTCTGCACCTGTTGTATCACTGTCGTTACTGGCCGCGAGCGCCACCGTCAACTGCCAAACCCAACCCGACTCAAAGGCAGCGAGCTGGGTTCCCGGGAAAGCCTTCGACCGATTTGTCGTCATTTGGCTCGAGAACACCGACTATGATCTTGCCTTGGGCGACCCCAGCCTATCATGGCTGGCCAAGAAAGGCATCACACTGTCCAACTATTTCGCCGTTACCCACCCTTCCATGCCCAACTACGCGGCTTCCATTTCGGGAGATTACTACGGCTGCAACCACGATGACTTGATTGAAATCCCTAGCAATGTCTCGACTGTGGTCGACCTGTTGGAGGCCAAGGGCATCAGTTGGGGCGAGTATCAAGAGGATATGCCTTATACCGGCTTCGAGGGGTTTGAATACAGAAACCAGAAGACGGGAGCCAACGCCTATGTCCGAAAACATAACCCGGCCGTCTTGTACGATTCAGTGGCCGACTCGCCGGCTCGTTTGTCCAGAACCAAGAATTTGACGTCCTTCTTCGTGGATCTGGAAGCCGACAGTCTACCCCAGTGGGCTTTCATTACTCCCAACATGACAAGTGATGGTATGTTGTCAGCCTTGTAGCCGTCGGATAAGCTCAAGACTAAAACCTGCAGGCCATGATACTACTGTGACCGTTGCCGGGACTTGGTCTAGGAAATTTCTAGAGCCGCTTCTAAACAACCCCAAGTTCATGAAGAACACGCTAGTGCTGCTGACCTTTGACGAGAACCATACCTACACGAAGCAAAACCGCGTCGTCGCTATTCTCCTGGGCGACGCAGTACCCAAGGACAAAGTGGGCACCGAGGACAAAACATACTATAACCACTACTCGGAAATCTCAACGGTGCAAGCGAACTGGGGTCTCGACACGCTCGGTCGTTGGGATGTTGGCGCAAACGTCTTCCAACTTGTTGCGGAGAAGACGGGTGATAAGCTGCGATCATGGTCGGGGAAGGTTCCCTTCAAAGAAATGTTCTTCAACGTCTCATACGCCGGAAAGCTGAACAAGAAGAACAAGACTGTTCCCTGGCCCGTACCAAACACTGCGCTGGAGTACGCGGGAAGGAAAGTCGCTCCTGTCGTCGTGGATACATGGAAAAACAAGCAGGCGGATTCGGTATATACTTCTGCTTTGGAGATACCCGATGGCCTTCACCCGGAGGCAGAATTTCAGAAACCTTAGTTGAACCAGCTAAATAAAACGTATCGCAGTCGAAGAGTACATCGAATATTGAGATGTACCACAGTGTCACGCCCATTTCGATGCCTGAATCTCATCCACATTGATGCTGGGATTTAGAGATGATCAATCGATTCTTGACAGCCACAATGCAACTGAGCCAGTCGTGTCGACTCGTGTATCATTGAAGTGTTTTGATTACTTGGACAATCTCGCTCGCTCTGTCGATGGCAAGTTCATGTCCTGCACCTTTCACTATGGTGATTTTGATCTTGTCTCCCAGTATTGCCTTTGAGTCTTCCACCATTTCTTCGGCGATGATGATGGGATCCGTCTCTCCCAACACTAACTGAACTTCTTTTAGTTTCCCTGCTCCTGTCTCTATATTGTTCGCCACAACTCGCCATCGATGATGTTGATTGTGAATAGGCGCATACCGAATGCTCGATATGAAAGCGGGGACGAAACCTCTATGATGGGAAATTTGCCAGTCCACAACACCGGATACGGTACTACAGCTATTGCCTGGAAGGAGGTTAAGATTGCTCGAAGCGTACACAGCATTGCCTCGATGTGCAGCGGTCTTCACATCATCAGAATTGGCAGAAACGATGGAAGAGTCCGGCTCAGGTTCGATGGATCTTGACACTTCAGCACCAGTCCACAACCTCCTTGTCACAAGCCTTTCAATCCAAGACTCGGGAACGAAACCAGCGGTGGAGTACAAGAGCCTGCTCTTCCAGCTAATATGCTCTGTCCGTATCAGTCCACCAGAAGCGACCAGGACAAGACCGTCGACAAGATTCGGAAAATAGGAAGTGAAGTCAGCAGCGATGGCACCACCCAGAGAATATCCAACGATGGTGAAGGAAGACCAGAGAACAGGGGAAGACTGAATGCAGAGTAGAATCTGGGACATGTACAGGGCAGAGTCGTATCGATGAGCATCCGGAGAGGGAGCGGAAGAGTACCCGCGACCAAACAGATCAAACAGCAAAACCCTATATCCTTCGGCTGTCAACCTGTGCGCCAGATCGGTCAGAGCGATGCTTGGCGTAGAGATGCCATGGATAAGTAATATCCGAGGGCCATCCTCTGGCCCCCACTCGTAAACGCGCGTTCGGCCATACGGACTATCTACATCGCGCAATCCGGGCAGTGGATGAGGGGGATATGGCAGTTTCTTCACTTGCTCCTGTGAGAGATGTGGGATGAGAGACGAAGCAGGACTGGGGATAGGCTCCGATGCGGCCGAGTGGAAGGAAGCTCTGACAGACGTCCAAGCCAGGAGGGTGCCCAAGGATGCGGCGCAGAGACACAGGGTCAAAGGGGATGCGGTGGTGTAAGTCCGAGCGTGAGACACCCGACCCAGAAGAGCGGAGGTCATGAATATGGCAAAGGAGTACGAGGCGGGCCGGGATGCAGCAACAATTGGTTGTTCAGTAGCACGTACTACCTATGTGCTTGGATGGAGATCAGCGGGTAGTCGGGAATATCATGGTTGAAGGGCATCTGTGTAGGTGGAGTGGATGGAGGAGGCAGAGGGTGTGGCGTAGTGGGGCTAAAAATACACGGGGATTTTAGTGGTCTTGTAGGGACTGCCATCTCCCTTGTCGTGGGAGTTCGCAAGCAAGGAAAAACGGAGCATGGAAAGGCGGGCGCTAACGAATAGCACGCAGGAACCAAGGTGTTTTCGTCTTCGGAGAGGGGCTGGAGTACGTACGCACGTTTCCACTCGGAGGTTTGGCCATGCACACACTGCGCTGTACGCATAGATATCGATATCTGCCCTTGACCTGCCGTAGATGTTTGCAGCCAAGTCAACGCGACCTCTGCCATGCGCGTGTAAACACCCAAGCTCCGCCTTCAGTTCCGAACCAGCCATGAATTGCCATCCCATCAGCAGCAGTACTAGATGCATCACTCGCATCTCCTGCCCTGCCGTGCATCGTGGAAATGCCGGTGGGTCGTCACTAGCTAGCCCCAATGAAGATGCTCAAAAGCCAAGCTTGCCCAGCGGTGCATGGGCGACTAGCCCTGGAGAAGGGTGCATGTTCATTGCTCACATCTGTTGCTCAGCCTCTCAGCCCTCTCTCCTGCCCTCTTCCTTTCCTTCTTCGCGCGAGGTTGCTGATGCTATCGGCCTCTGAAAACTTTTTTGTCCTTTTCCTGTTGCTGCATCTCTGCCCGTATTGTCTTCTCCCGGTTCGCGCGCTGCATCTCTCCGTGAGACCCTCCTCTTCGTATCCGTGCCCTCGCTCAACCAGCCCACCCACCGCTTCACCCCCGTAAATACCCTCCGCGAACGCGCGCGCCCTACGTACCCGCCCACCCATTTCCCATCCTCCGCCAGTTCCGCGTAGCTAAACCTCAACTTCAACCCGCCTTTGCACATCTCCACGGTCGAAACGGGAATAATCTCCTCGCCCGTCTTGCTATTAATTTTGCGGCGGATGCGGTAGAACCTCAACCCGTACCTGCACAATCATGGACGAGTGGAGAAATCCAAAGCTCCCCGAGCGCCTGCCCTTTTCTAAAAAACGCCTATCCAAGAGGGTCATCTTCTCCTACATCAGCGACTATGTCATTATCGTGTAAGGCCTCCAGCAAACTGCCCCTCTCCTCCTCCACCGCACGCAGCACACGACCTCCTTCCCTACCTGACTTGACTGCTGCTAATATTCGTCATGCTCCAGTGCCCTCGCCGCCCTGTTTGTCCTCGTCGACAAGATCGAACCGTTCCATCAGCCATTTGAGCTGACAAATTATACTCTCCATTATCCTTATGCGAAAAAAGAGCGTGTTACTGTCAACATGGCAGGAATCATTGCCATTGGTGGCCCCATGGTCGTCATCGTCTTCTACACCATGATTATCGACGGCTTATTCTCCCACAAAACATCCATGCCTGCAGGCAGGTCAGGCGTGAAGCGCTTGACGGGCAGATACCGGCTCAAGGATAGATTGTGGGAGTTGAACTGCGGACTACTCGGCCTGTTCCTTGCTGTTTCCGCTGCCTTCTCAATCACTGGTAGGCCCCCCTCAAAAACAGAAACAAAAGAAATACCCCGATCGGGTTGCTGATTCAAGGAAATAGGGTCTCTGAAGAATGCTATTGGAAAGCCTCGTCCTGATATCATTGATCGGTATGAACCCACCCCATACACACATCGCCTCGAGTTTTTAGCTGATTTGCGGCAGTTGCATCGTAGATGAAGTAAAAGCGGAAGTGGTTAGTAAAGGACGTCAGCTGGCGACAATCGCACTTTGCAAACAGGACGATCAACATATCTTGCAAGACGGATTCAAGAGCTTTCCCTCGGCTCACAGCAGTGGTACGCTGACGAACCCCTAAACCCCGCACTAGATGTATCATGCTAATATCCCCAGTGAGTTTCGGGGGACTTTTCTATCTATCCTTGTATCTTGCCGCCAAACTGCACATCCTCGACTCAAAGGGTGAAGTATGGAAAGCAGTCATCGTTGTCGTTCCGACCATTGGCGCAGCTCTGATTGCTGGTAGCCGTATTATGGATGCTCGTCACCACCCTTTTGACGTTATCACCGGAAGCCTCCTTGGAATTCTTGTTGCATGGGGTGCTTATCGACAGTACTTTCCACCGATCACAGAAACCTGGCGCAAGGGCCGAGCCTATCCAATCCGCAGTTGGGGTAGTGGACCTGAGCCACCTTCGACACGTCTGGCTACTGGAGAAGACGCGGAGCCCCTGAGAAGTGCACCGCTCGATGTTGAGCGAGGAGATGCATCAGGGTTTTCGACCAATCCCGTAGCTTCCGGAGGAAATGGTGGAGGCAACGTCTTTCGAGAACAAATAAATCAGTCGCAGCGCCGACGACAACAGGAAGGACAGTTCAGCTTGCAACCGAGTGATACCATGGAATCAACGTACTCGCAGAACTCAAATGGGTACAGGAACCAAGCCCCCATTTCGACTCCTTACAACAACCCGCGGAGACCGGACAATTACGACTACTCGAGTTCAGAAGACGATCAAGATTACGAATTACAACAAAGGCAGCCTAGATCAGCAGTAGCCTACAACCCTGTTACTGGACATACGGACACTGGGTACCATCCGCCATCTGGAGTCAGTCCATCACCCACACCGCCACCGCCAGCTAGTTTTGGCAATGCTCCAGCCCAACGTACCCGCACGGGAGACATCGCGGCAGCGCGAAAAGATTCTATGCCGATGGCCGCCCCTGCGCCGGCACCGCCTCCGCATGCTTCGGGGACAATGGCACAGGCATTTTAAGATTAAGAGGATGTTGGTTTCATTTCCCAAGTCTAGTACCTGACTACAAGGTACAGTTTTTTAGGGCGATTTATATGTACTTTCACTTCACTTCGGTTGCCCAGTTCTCACATTCTCTTCTGTGCACAGTAAGGAGACTGTTTTATGTTACAATAACCCTGGTGGGAGTTTTGCGTATATTTGGAGTATGCCCATGTGGCTATGTCTGGCGCCCGGAGTAGCTATTTGTGTTTTGTCTTCTACCAGCATTCATGGCCAATCTCATACGTGGTTCTATCTTGGATCGGACTTCATAGGACGAATAGCCATAAAAGTGTATAGTGCAGTGACTTCCAATCGTGCTATGCTGTAAGCATTCTCGATCGTTGTTCGGTAAGAAAGAAAAAAATAAACTGGTGTATTAACGGACATGTGAAAGTCGAGTACTGTTTGATGTTTGCGCACGTGGCGTGCGTTGGAACCCGCGTCGACGCCCGACCGACAGGGATCTTTGTCTTTGTAGTTGCACTTCTTCTCCACCTCGAAGATCACGGATATTAAACACCTAGTCCAGCGCTGGACATACCAGCCGTCCACGCTCTCTACCCTCTCTACCCTCTTGCTGTCTCTATCATTTGATATCTCCAAGACTGCAGACACGAGACAAACGGCCCATCCCCTGTGCTGCTACTCATACCCGTCGACTGCGGGCTGCGAAACCATGCGACCCCCTCGTCAACGGAGGTGACGATACCGAACCGCCCTCGAATTCATATCATGTCGGTCCCAGCTAGCGACGGACGACGATCAGTCTCCCCAGGACCCTCGGCTACTTCCTCTCATACTCTTGCTTCGGGGTATTCAGGCGCAAATGGGGACAATGGAGAAGGGAGCTCGGTGCAGCGGCCCAGCTTTTCCCACAGGCATAGCGGCGCGAGTCGAAACGATATGCCCCACGCTGACAGTCCGGCGAGCACTCTGTCAGTAGAGGCTATAGGAGAGCGTGACTTTGCGCGACGTAAAGAGCGAAATCGAAAATCGGGAGGGTTCCTGCTTGATTCAGCCTTCGGTAGCAATACGAAGCCGAACCTTGCAGACAAGAGAGGGAAGCGCGAATCACGTCACAGTCACACCCAAGGAAAAAAACATCGCCATTCTTCTGGGAAATCGAACGGAGCTGCCGCTGTCAACAGCTCGCCCCTCTCACGTGAAACCGACAAGATGGATCGCGGCAAAGCACCTTCGAATCACAGAGCGCATTCGCCAAACATGCATGTTCGAACCGACGAAGGGGTTCATGTTGCAAAAAGAAGAAGTGCGCATAACATGCTGTCCGTTCCCCCGGAAAGGAGCCCCGAACCGGCCCATCCAACGCCGTATACCGCGATCGATCCGAACCAGATTGTACACATGGCCTTGAATCTGAGCGAGAGTCGGAGACGCAATTTGGCATCGGGCCAACTGATCATTCCTCAGTCGCGTGTCCCATCTATGCCAAATATGGATGGGAGCTTCCATAGTCAGGGAACTGGTGGAAGCTTGCGACAGTACCTGGGCGAGCAGCGAAGAGCATCGAGGAATATCTCACCTGGTGGAGGGGTATCGCCTGGCCGTCACATGTCTACGTCTGCTCAGCGTAGCGGGATGCTGTTGATCCAGGGACGCGTTCCATCAGATGCTTTGTTGGCTCGACGAGATAAGGCTCGTGCCTTCTTTGAGTTGAGGGTAGAGTACTTGCGCTTGCTCTCTCTTCTTCCGCCCCTTAAACCCGATGCTAGCGAACCGGGCAACTTCGTTGTCGCTGCGAATAACGTGCCCGGTAGCCCTCATGTACATCTGACTCGAGTGCCGTCGTACGCAGGGAAATTGTACAGTCTGGGTCGTCCATACAACCCGCTACAGTTCTTACGCAATCGGAGGCTGCGAGCTCGTGAAAGGAAGCCCCTCGATCATTCGCCAGAAGAGTTTGGTGATGTTGACCATGTGCGGGACTGGGTGGATAGAGTGGAAAGAGAATCTAGTGCTCCTCACTATCGCCAAACGGACAGGGTGGCTCTGCCTAGCATCAACGACAATCCTGAGAGCCAAAATGCGCCTAGCCAACCTACAAGACCACAAATGGTTTGGATGTTCACCTCCGAAGAGCTCTTGGCAGATGCACATTGGCTTGAGCGTGACGAAAATAAGACATTAATCGAAGATCGTCATGGAAGCAAGATATACCCCCCTAAAGTGTCGGAGAAGCAAGATTTCCTTCAGCCGCGACCAAGCAGAGAGTACTCAGAGAAAAGGAGAAAGAGCTGGGTGGAAGGTGTAGCTGGCACTCCCGCCGACGCAGGAACTGGCGACGAAAGCGAGACAGCCAGTGAGCGTGGTCGCAAGAGACGTATACTGCCGACTTTCCGCGGAGAGAGCCCGAAGCTCAAAGGCCACAGTCGCATGATATCCAAGGTGAACACAGCCGTTCACACAGACTCTTCCGACTCTGATTCAGACGCTAAATGGCGTCGTTCACGCAAACCCCACATAGTGGTTGACAGCAATCGAGATACCGGACCACTCGAGTTGCGAATGAAAGAGCTCTTGGAAAAGGAGGCGCAGGAGGCGCAAGCAGAGAAGAACACGCCTGTCGTGTTCACGCCTGACACTCCAGACAAATGGGGAAGAGAACCAATGGAGCCAAATCCCCCCACCCGAGATTCTCTGGATGTTCCAGGGCGGATTTATGAGGCTGCCCGACGAAGCCTTGATCTTGGAATGAGACAGCCTCCGAGGAACCGATCTCGTGGTCGTGATACAGTAGATGCGGTCAAGGAGCCCAGGTCTTCTTTCGAGAACAATACTACGCCCAATACACCGCTTATACAGAAGCATACTCCTCTTGCTCAGGGAAACAAATCGCCTTCTCTTAGCAGAGCTGGATCTCTGACGAGTAAAGCTAAGAAGAGCAAACTAGATGTGTTCCGCTCAGAAGAGAGTAGCAAGCACCACCACGAGCACGACCCAAACCATGGATTAGAAACTACTAAATCTGAAAAGAAGCAAACTTCTCGACAAACTAATGAGGATGCGGACGAAACAAATGGGATTGGAGCTGCCTTGTGGGCTGCGCCTGGAGCAGTGAAGCATCTGTTGACCCACCGCAAGAATGAAAGCGTGAACAGTCTCCAAAGCCCTACCAAGGAACCTCGAAAGGAAACGAAGGACGTCAAGGAGCCACACTCTGCCGTGACCCGTTTTTTCAAAGGCGTGAAACACGAAGGCTCCAAAGTCCAAGAGTTCATCTTCCGCAAGGATCGACCGCACGGCGATTATGATACAGACTCCGCATCGGAAGACAATACAGCCCCTGAAACAGATACCGAGGATGAAGATGGTCAATTCGAGTACAAACGCACCTCGACGGCGAAGACTACTGATAGCTCGTCTTCGAAGAAGAACAATAACTATCATCTTGAATTGCCCTCTTTCCGACCATCTCACCAAAACAACATTGAAGAGGAAACGGATTATTCGGATTCACATCTGTCCGATCACCTCACCCGACAGGCGCGGGAGCGCGCAAGCAGCCGCTCGTCTCGTTTCGACCGCCTTGCACCTCCACGCATGGACCTGAGCAGGATCTCTTCAAAAGATTCGCAGCGGTCTGAACAGGATCGTATCAACAGAATACTTGCCCATCCGGGCGGTGTTGGTCGAGGTGGTCTCCCAGTCACTGCACTGGCCAACAGCAGTGAAAGGCGAACCTCTTCTCGACCGACTCTCGAGGGGAAACGACACTGGAGTATCACCGATGAAAACGGAAACGTGCTTCATCGCAGTAAGCCTGCTACCATTGTCACGGCTGCGGAAATCGCTCGCGTTCGCGCACTGTTCCTCTGCTCAGGCGTGAAAGCCAAAGAGATTGCACGTCAAACATCAGAAGTGCGAAGCGACCCTCCGGCATACCTCAAGCGTGCTGCTGAAACTGCAAACTCGCAGCTTTACGCCGTGCCCCGCAAAGAGGAACATGTCCTGGCGTCACGGCTGCTGCTCAACGACTTTGAGAACTCTACAGCTTCGCTCTACGCATCCGCCACGACATTCCGCGACACTACTGTCAAGGAACTCACGTCGCTCATCTCGACGCTGACAACGCAGATTGAGTCGGACCTCTTCCCGCGGGTGCGCAATAGCGGCGACGAAGCCGTCACCATCACAAGCGATGTCAACAGCTCTGCTCCTCTCACCGTCAAACAAGTCACGGACGAGATTGATCGCATGCTCCGGATCCGCCGGCGGCGCATGCGCTGGGTGCGCAGGGTCGGGTGGACCATGGTGGAGTGGATGTTGTTGAGCTTCATGTGGTGCGCCTGGCTCACCGTCACCGTCTTTGGTGCATTTGGTAGGGTCTTTGGTTTCATCTGGAGCATTGTGAAATGGCTGCTCTGGATATGAACGCCGTCATCTTTTTTCTTGTCTTCTTCTTCTTCTTCTTTGCCCTTCTCTGTATATCCTTTAGCCACCATTCAACTTTGTCTCTTGATTATTATTTCCCTTTGTTATTGGAGTTCCCAGCAAAGTAGTGCAATGTTGCTTAAGCGATGTATTACTAGCCAAGCCAGATGCTGTTTCTTTGGCCGTTGTAGAATGTATAATGTTTGATCCAGTTCAGATGCTGTATTGGGAGTATGTCCTGCTTCGGCATGATTTGGACAAAATATGAGGTTTAAGATTTGTAATTGATGGCTTCTTCGTATTCTCATCTATACATTTTTTGTTCCTATTATGATCCGTGCTGGGGATGAATACTGAACGCAAAACGAGTTCTGTGCTCAGTTTCAATTGTTGGATGGGCCCAGTAAACTATAAGATGCCCTAGACATGGCCGGAGGCTTATGTAGTGTCCGTGCCTAGCGCGAACTGACGTTATCCATCCATCCCAAGCACCAATACTTTTCTCCGTCTCCAAACCAACGTCAATCTACGCACATCATCACAAGTTTCTCTCTCACGGTCTCACACGTGTAACTCACGACTCGAATCCTAGCGCGTACTTTTTTAGAAAGAAAGAAAAAACCTCGCCTTCCTATTTGAGAAACGCAATGGGATCCGCGGCGTCCAAAAGCGCCCGAGCGACAAGCTCTACTGTCCGCAAATACCCAACCCGACCACCGCCAGCAGCAACACGAGCACGCGCCGCACCTCCGCCTCCTGTAACCGAATCATCCTCTCAATGTATGTAGCTTTTTCTTTTCTTTTACTTACACCATCGATCCTAGCTAACTAGGCATCTCTCATCCCTTCAATCCAATCTATAACCCCAGCCAACTCACCTCCTCCTTCTAGATCCCCAACCCTCCTCCTCCCACACAACAACAACAACAACCACCACACAAGTCCAACAACAACAACAACAACAACAACAACAACAACAACAACAACAACAACAACCTCCCCCCTCCATCGACCCAGACGCCCGCGACCCCCTCCTAGCCGCACGCCTCCACTCCCTCGGCGCAGTCCAGCCAAACCCCCACTACTCCCCAAGCTCCACCTCCACCCTAGACCCGCAACCGCACAACGCCTCGTTCCTCAACCGCGCCAACTCGTCCTCGACCCACGACTCCCCAGACATGCCGACCTCGCTGCCAGCCTCGGCGTTCCCGAACCCAGCGCAGAACCCGGCTCTACGGCTCCTGGAAGCGCGGAGCAGGATCGCCGACGAGGCCGAGGAGGAGCTGACGTTGGTCGGGCGGAAAGGGTTCCAGGGGAGGAAGTATGTGGATGCTGGGGCGGTGCAGGTGGCGCTTATGAGGAGGGCGAGGGGGGATTCGCTGGAGAGGATTGAGGAGGCGGTTGGGTTGAGGAAAGGCAGGTTGGGCGTGCTTGGGAGGATTGGCGTTGTGGATTCTGTTAGATAGACAGGTATGTGGGTGAGTGAGTGGGTGGGTGGAGGATGGGATGGTGACTGGGTTAGATTGGTGGGAATGCGCGGGAAGAGGTGTATGGATCATGATGATGGTGATGACGATGACGATGTCGATGTCGATGGAGAAACCCGGGCACTGTGTAAAAAATAAAGAAAAGGGGCGTGTATGAATACGATTGAGGGGTCATGTCTACGGTAAACAAAGAGGGCAGCAATCTTGTTGAGGTGAGTGTTAGTGAGGATTTGTCTATAATCGTTCAACTATTGGACCAAAAAACCATGTACAAATAACGAAATGTTCAGAGCAAGTCCGTCGCGCATATTGCTACCCATAAACAGCAAAAACATCAGAGAACAAAACAAATGTAAATCGTGAGAGCGAGACAGCAAGACATAAAAGATGAAATGATACATAACCCAGGAGAATGCCGCTATATGGGTTTGATGCTTATGCCATATGCCCTATCCCAAACCCAAGTTCCCACAGAGACCGATCCGTTTTTTGCGCCAGTTTGTTAGTTTTGTAAACGCCATGATTCCATAGTCATCGTTTGCCATGTCAAGGTAGCCGGACTTCCCACGGCCTTAAAAAAAGTAAAAAAAATAAAATCAACTCCGCCTCATGATTGACCCATCTTCATTCGTGATCCGAGAAAGAGATTCAAAAGTCGCGGTGCTCGTGGATGAAGTTGTTGAGCGCCATCAGCGCGGCATTGAGCTGCTCCTGACTTATCTCCAAGCCCCCGCCGTCCTCGTTGCCAATCTTGAGCATGCCGTCTGGGTTGTTCTTCCTGCCCGGGCGGGAGCCGCGCAGGACGCGCCACCTAGATTTGGTCGTGTTGGGTGCGGGACAGGAGTCGGAGATGGCCTCTTTTTCACCGAGGAGCATGAGAGCATTTAATATTGTGAGGAAGATACTACATCATCTTGGTTAGCGCGCAACGTCTTTCGCCGTGGAGGAGTGGGTTCCAGTCCTGGGTGGGTGGATAAAGGACATACCTCTGGGTGAGTTTCAGATCGTGGTCCCAGCCGTAAGCGGCGGCCTTGAAGCTGTTGCCCTGGGCTACGATATCCAGAAAGACGAAAAGGCACTCCTCGATGCTGATCTCGCGGGGCAGGTTGGACTCGGCGTTCCACATGCACCAGTCGGCCAGCTGCACAAAGGTGATTTGGTCCATGTGACAGAATTCGTTGAATTGATCGGGGACGCTGTTGAGCAGGCTGCGCGCACGCTCGGTGCCTGAGGTGCTTGAAATGGCCATTGGTGAGGGATAGTGTGGTGTACACGTGAGAGCGGAAGGGTTCTGGGCGAAGGCGCTACGGGATAGTAGGGTGCCTCGAGACGAGATGGGAGCTGAAGTAGGTAGCTCTGCTGTTGGTTTCTGTATGACGGGGTGCTGTAGCGAAGGCGCTTGAAAGATCAGCCAGACAGGCAATGGTATGTATGTTTGCGATCAACAACGGAGACGAAGAAGAGTGGTGAAAGAGCGAGAGGCACGCATATGTACAGACGGGATGAAACACGAAGACTAGGTGACGTTGAAGTGAAGTGGGTAAGCATGCGCGAGCCAGTTGAGTTGGCACCAGGGTAAGCAAGCAAGCAAGAGGGCAAGCAAGAAGGCAAGCAATGACAGAGGGATCAGAGGTGAAGAGAAAGCGTGCAGCAGCTGAAGTCTGAGGACGAGCCAGGCGGAAACAGCGGGGCCGGGCCTTGTTGGTGTATAGGATGGGAGGATACAAGCAGCAGGTGGGAGGGAGTGAAAGGCTGGGCGTTGGCATGTGAAAGCGCACGGGCCGTGCCTTAATGACATCAGCTGCCGCACGCCAATCGCTGGTGCCGTCCTCGCCGGGAGTCCGTGGTCGGTCGTGAAGGCGTGCCGTACCGTGAAACCTCTTCTTGTGGCTCTTCCATCGTGGCTCGATTGCGTTCCTGAAGCATCATCTGTATCGGCGCCCGTCTCGTGGCTGTGAGGCGTGGGTGGTTTGGCCGTTGTTGCGCAAGCGGCGGTCGTGGTAGCGGGTGTCGACTCGAAGTGGAGTGGTGGTCACTGCATGGAGGCTCTCCGATTGCAGGCCGGTGCCCGTGGTGGTCTTGTGGTGGTGTGGCTGCCGCGCGGTTGTATTGGGACAGGACCATTCGCCATGAGGGAGAAACTCCGAACAAGACACCATATCGACCGGGATACGCTGTACCGGCTATCTGAATACTCTTCTCCGAGTCTTACCCTCTCTTTCTGCATCTTCTTTTCTTTTGCTCTTGTCCTTTGCCTCCGAGGAACAGCAGTGAGCAAGTCCTGGTCTGCTTCGCGTGGCAATCTTCGCACATGTCTCCAGGTGCACGGTGCCTGGTCCTCTCTCTGTTCTTTCTCGTGTGGCAGTGGTGTTGAACCTGTGCATAGATGCGTACACATTGGGAGATGCTACCATGGGTGCTGAGGAATCTGACCGTTCACAGACAGGAATGGTGTGAGCGCCGGCATTTAGGCTAATAGCTCCTCCTCTCAATCAATCATGATTGTACTGTGTGTACATGGTTAATATGTATGTCGTTCAATGATCTACATGCGTAGTACTCTGTGAGATGTTAGAAGCGCTAGTTGTTTGTATGATTCCACGTTAATCATTACCCAATACACATAGCTGTGTAGGTATGTAGCTTACACATAGGCTATGTAAGCACTTTAATTGACGTCAGTTACTACGACTACTTTATCTTTTGCTGTATAGCAGTTTAAAAAGAACGTTGAATCCTTCATTTATTATTCAAATTAGGACATGATATGGCCCATCTGGCATAGAAAATCTAATCCAAGTCCAATAAGACTGTTCTCAACATGGGCCAATCTTCTCCCAATGCAAACGTGACCTCGCGTTCGAAGTCGCGATGGTGGAGTTCCGCTCAACTGCATTATGCCCGACCACAACGGGCTTAAGAGCCCTTTGCTTACTCGACATGTTAAATCCTATGCGACTGCCTAGGACTTTTTCTCGTCGAGCTGACTTCGCCACCTCTCCTGCCTTCCCTTCAAATACCCACAGCAAGAAACACTGACTTCAATTCCCCACACATTTCTGACTGAGCACGCACTCCGCCATGCTAGGCTACATCTCCTCCACGCGCAAGAAGTCCTGCCGCCAATGCGTCAAGGCCAAACGCCGCTGCGATTTGGGATATCCATGCTGCAAACGCTGTTCCACCAAGGCGCTGGATTGCGCATACCCGAATGCTGAAGCACACCACAGAGCCGAAGTCGTCATCAAGGCCACGCCGAACCAGCCCCAGCCAGCCACGAGAACAGCGAGCACAAACAGCGCCCTGGATGCGACATGTCTGGATTTCGGCGCACCCATGGAGCCCGCCATGTCGGGCCTGGAGACGACCAAGGAGTGGGACGGTTGGTGTGCGAGTATGGGGCTGGGGATAATGGGTGGGAGCGAGACGGATCTGGACGAGCGAATTGACCCCTCAATCCTGCTCTCCTCATGCGAGTCAGACGGGAGCAGCCCGCCAGACAATACCTGGCCAGCTCTGGACACCACAGGAGGGAGTTCTGGCCAGCAAATGTCAAGTGTCGCTGCATTCGATGATGCGCTTCAGCTGTATTCTACCTCGAGTGACAGCACGGCTAGTGGTAGTCGCAGTCCTTCCCCGACAGCCATCCACACAGCACTCCTGCCTGAGATCTGGGCCCCTTCGTACCTCAACCCCTTCCAAGTCCGCTACATCGTTGCAGCCTTTCGCTCCTTCGTCCCCGCCCTAGCCAAAAATGGCCATAATTCCTTCATCCACTCGCAATTGTACGCAGATACCCAGCCGTCGGCTTACGAAGACAGCGTCTCGCTGGCCGCCCTCTACACCACAAAAACCAACAAAACAATGCCAATCCTGATAAAATTCATCAACAGCAAAATCGCCGCTCTGATAGCCTCGAGCCATACCTGGACCCTGGAAGAACATTTGGCAGCGGTGCAGGCCATGATTGTGTACCAAACCATCATGCTGTTCGACCCAAGCCTCAAGCAACAAGCCTCGGCCGCCCCGCACAACGACCTCCTCGCTCTATGGGCCGCCCACCTATGGAAGAGATCCTTCACAACGCCCATCCCCCTCCCCGAATGCCACTCCTCGTGGGTATTCTACGAGTCGCTGCGCCGCACCGTCCTCATGTCCGTCGTGCTCCGCGGCGGCTGGCACTGCATCACGCACGCCGGGATATGCAACCAGGTCCCTGTCCTCGCGCGCCTGCCTCTGTCCACCGACGAGCAGCTGTGGACCGAGAACGAAAACAACTTCATGTCCCGCACGCCCTGCGACCGCAAGAAGAAAAACCTCATGACGTACGGCGAGTGGGCGCAGACGTGGACTCCTGGCCGCGACGACCCGGCTCTGCTGAGCGATTTCCAGAGGATGCTGCTGGTCGCTTGTAGAGGGAAGGAGGACCCTAGATTGTTCTTCAAAGACGCTACTAGTTTTGGGTGAGGGGTTGTTTAGTCTTGTTTACCCTTTTTTTTTGTTTGGTTGGTTGGCATGTGCCCATGATGAATGATGTCTACTCCTGCGTCGATACTGGTACCGACCAGTACTGGACAAGTATCCAGTAGCAACCGAGTCGCGAGTGCAGACTAACAGCACTCCCCGGCCTCGCTGCGCGGTCTTGACTGACCGGATGACCAACCTGGGCTGTCATTTTACAGTCGAGCACTCGTTGGGGTGCGCCCTCGACTCCTGTCGTGTAGGACTGAATGCGTAGATCTGACCCTGGTAAATCCCAAAACCCTCGAGCGGGAGTAGGTGGTAAGGGGCAGGAAGTAGCGGCCTCCGACCACGGGCATGTGCTATAAAAGATCAAAGAACGAGATAGCACTGTTGTAATGGGTACGGCGAACGGAGACGCTTCACGAAATCACGGATGCGATGGAACATTGCTCGTGAAATTGCTCAGTGTCGTTCGACGCACGCACGCCATGACATGTTAATAGCAACATTTGAATGCAGATGGCGGGTTTTCTATGAGTATGATGAGACGAAAATATATTGATCCGGGAAATTTACCCACACTCGCATAACCCAAAAAAAGATGTCTACAGTCTCCCCATCTTATCGTGTATACTCCCATGACGAGGCATTGCCATCCCACGAGATCATGTACAAGTCCCCATTCCTAGGCTTATTACCTACCATTTCACACCCTCCTTGAAAATGGGCACTTCGCCAAAATCATCCACGCTCCACTTCAGCTTCTTCCCTTCCAACCAAGCACCATCGAAGCTCGTCTCGAGCCCTTCCTTGTCATTCTCCCTCGCCTCCGCCTTGCATACTCCCGCCTCATCCTGGGGCAGCCAGACGACCGGCGTACGGCTGGTATACACGGGATTCGAGTACGCCTTCCGTTTCATATCCTCGCTGTACACCTGCACGTCGTCCTCGTCGAACTCAGAGTCGCTATGAAGCCACGTCTTGAGCGCGCGGTGTGAAGCATACACTTGCGGGTTGAAAAACCGAGCTAGCGGCGAGAGGTACTGCGGCGGGATGGGCAGCCGGCGGAGGTGGGACTGCGTGTGCTCCAGAGCTTCGCCTTCCTCCGCCGACGAGAGTAGCGGTGCGCCTTCCTCGTTGTTGGTATCGCCCGATTCTTGTGCCAGGTCTGCGGGGAGGTATTGCTCTAGCGGCGCAAAATACTTGTTGGTTGTGGCGTTGAAGGCTACGGTGGCAAGGAAGAGAACACCCGTCATGATGGATGGTCCTGTGGCCTGACGTAAACCGAATAGGCCGATCAGACAAAGTTCCGCAATGTAAACACCTGTGAGGATTTGTTGAAGTGCGAGCGTGTAGCAGTGCCCTTTTGTGTCGATTTTGGGTTGTACTGTGAACAACAGCATGTAACGATAGCTGACGTAGAAGAACATGAGGCCGACCGCCGCGAAACCGAGGACCAGCGGCGCAATGCACGAGTACGCAATTGCTGGTGCTGCATTAGTAGGCCAGCGGCAAAGATAGCTCCGTTGGACTTACCGATAATCAAGAAATTCCCGTATTTGGGGAAGAGCTTGCCCCAAGCCATACCTTTCAGCTTCGTGTAGCTGTTATACTTCTGCCTCGGTGTTTTGTCAAAGAAGCGATCGTAGAAGAGATAGGAAAATAGGTCCGAGTAATTCAGGATGTTGTTGGATGAGCTTGTCAAGCCTTGCACAATGAAGTACGTGAGGTACGAGTTGGCAGCACTCGGAAGTTTATCTGCTAATAACATTGGCACAGACGAGGGGTTGTTGGCAATCTGGGATATAACCGCAGCAGCACCGGACGCTACTGTGTTTACGAGGAAGATTTGTAGAACCTGGAAAACGTAGTACCACTTTTGGACTTTCAATTCGGTAGACGTGTTTGTTGGTTCACCAAAAGCCTTGAAGATCGCTGTTGACAAGTTAGCCACTGATTTCCAGACAAGATCGGAGAGAGTTTTGTTACCTCTGAAGATATTGGGTACCCAGGTGGCCAGCAGAGACAGAAGCAGGGGCGGTACGAGTCCAGATAACAGACTAATGACGACCTCAGGCAGCCTGTTAAGCCAAGCAAGCCAGCTATAATTTGCTGCAAGATACGAGACGTTTGAGAATGCGCCCACGAACGATATAGGAATGGACCTTGAACTGGTAAGTAACATGTCTCATCGTACAAATCCTTGCAATTTCAACCTACCAGAATATAATGATGGCAATGACCAAAGCATTTGCAGCTGTGCTCTGTGATATTCTTCTCGCTGGGGGTAAAGTGAGATTATCCCAAATCACCTCGCCCGGCATTATTCCCGTATGCCGTGGGTTCAGCGCAAGAATTTCCGCCGAAGCAATCTGTTGGTAAGCGCGTTGAGCAGCAGCCTGTGTTTTGAACTCGACGAACACTGCAGCAGCACCATTGTGGCTGTCGGCGTCCTCGTTCGAATCTCGAGCCTTGTTGATTTCTGTCTCTTTATTCTTGATTTGCTCGCGATACCAGTGTATGCTATCAACTCTCTTTCCAATCTCCGAGGTTTTGGGCCGGTGCGTGGGGCGCACCGAGTCCTTCGTTTCGTTTGGTAGGTCGTCAAATGTCTTTACGTCGCCATTGGCCTTGCTGTTGTTGCTCCGCAGCTTTTTACCGACGTTTTTGGTGAGTTTTAGCTCGGCAGCTTCCAGCTCTTCGACCAGTGAGTCCCTCTTTGAAACGAGTGATTTGAGTTTATCAGCCTTTGTGACAGGCCATACCCGCGTCGCATCAGGGCCGAAGTATCGCGTCATGTTCTCTTGGTCGAGAGCAGCCGTAGGTGCTGAGAGAAACAAAACCACGCGAGAGGATAATCTCTTTGCATTTGGCTTGGATAGATTCCAGGCTTGTCGAAGGCCTATTAACCACAGTCGTTCACGAGCGACCGTGAACATGATGAATCCGAAATAAACCCAAGCAACAACTGCATGAGCATAAAGGTGATTCTTTTTCTTTACGTTTCCGAAAGAGATACGATCCAGTTGTGACGATGTGCCGCCACCCGTTGCATTGATAGGCATAAGGATCGGCCATGTAATAGCGCAACCAACAACGCAAAGGAATATCAGAGTACGCAGAAAGCGGATGTAGAGATATGCATCTAGCGACACATGATACAGGATAAACTTGTCTGGCACGGCACGCAAAGTGTGAACCCAGTCGAAATATGAACGACTGGCAGACGGCGTGCGATCCCTATCAACGTTAATCGTACAGCGCATTGAACAAGCCAAGCACACTTACTTCTCCGGGATTGTTCCAATGAATGTTCTGGGTGAATAAATTTTAGGGAATCGGCTTCTTATGACAATGAATATGCCGATGAATATGGTCGCAGTTCCCCAAGTGGGCACGAAGGCTGATAGTAAGGAAGCGAGAGTCCCTGAACCACGGGGCTATTGATAACAGTTAGTTGATGATCTGTAACGTGGGGAGATGTGACTACAAACACTTGGTTTATCGCTCCAGGCTTCAAATGAATTGCCTCTCATCATTTCACCTCCTGGCAGGACCATGGCCTCTTGTTCATACATGGTGTTCGATGAGCTGGTTTAAATCCTCGGCGCCAGGCAGCAGGGTGCTGATTATTGTGCCTCGAAGGCAAGGGATTAAACAAGGTGAGCGAACGACATGCAATTCACATATAAGTTTTTGGGTGAGTTGAACTTTGCCAAGAGTAGTATCGTTCACGGTAGGGACACAACTAAACTTTGTTGGACTTATTAAGGACGAGAGGAGTGATGTTGGTGTGGACAGGCAGGCGTACTAGCAATGACGTAACGCGGTGGTGCGTGCCCGTCACGTGAAAACTGCAGCTTGCTGGAGCTTAGAAACTCGAACAAAGATACCTTGTACATACAATATATGTACCAAAATATGTAGGTATGTACGTGAAACTGTTTCAATAATTCGGAATCAACAAGAAATAAACTTTTTTTATACATAAATCTCGTCACTTTAAGCAAACATCGTTCTCCGGATAGGAGTGCAAAACGGTGAAAGGAGCTTGCCTGAATATTCTGAAATGGGGCCAACTTACGGCACTCGTTGGGAACAGCATAGTTTAGCTTTTCTCGTTCTCTCTGTAGTGACCAGCGACTAGAAAAGCTAATTCGAGTGCTTGCTTCTCATTCAGTCGAGGATCGCAATACGTCGTGTAGTTCAAGCCAAGATCGTCCTCGTTGAGCCCTTCACTTCCACCTGTACATTCAGTGACTGCATCTCCAGTCAACTCTAGATGCATTCCACCAAGGAAGGAGCCATGCTGTTTATGAATTTCCAAGGCCGAAGAAAGCTCTGAGAAGATACTGTTAAAGGATCGGGTCTTGATACCAGCTGGCGTACTATGCGTGTTTCTGTGTCGAGGTTAGGCATGAGTTGAAGGAGAAAGTGTGGAAATTTGGAATCTTACCCATGCATAGGGTCGCATTGCCACACGACAACATGTCCACTGCTTTTGACTGCTTCAATGTGGGGTCCCAACATTGAATCCACTTTGTCTTTTCCATAACGTGTAATCAATGTCACTTTTCCAATCTCTTTCGCGGGGTTCACAATGTCAAGTAATTCGATCAGCTCGTCTGATTTCATCGATGGTCCCACTTTGATACCGATGGGGTTCTCAATACCACGGAAATATTCGACATGACCGCCATCGATCTGTCTTGTCCGATCGCCAATCCAGATGAAATGTGCGGAAGTATTGTACCATCCTCGACCATCAGATGAAGGGTTGCTTGAGCGATAGCCGGCAGGGTGTCTGAGACGCCTTGTCAGGTTTTGTTCATATTCCAACACCAAACCTTCGTGACTGGTGTACAGATCAACCGTTTGCAGTTGACCCGCTGTATCTGCACCAATCGTCCTCATAAATCGCAGTGAATCCGAGATACTGGACACGATCTGCGAATACTTTGTTTGTAATTCCTGGTCCCGCACGTGACCAAGGCCCCAGTCTAACGGATTGTGCAAGTCTGCGATTCCACTTGCAAGCTGGCCGCGAATGTAGTTGAGTGTCGTAGCGGAGTGAAAATAGGCTGTGACCAAACGCTCAGGGTCGACGTTGCGGTGCGCATGATCAAAACCGTTCAGAATATCCCCGCGGAAGCTTGGAACCTCCTTGCCATCCAGCATTTCAGTAGGACTAGACCTTGGCTTCGCGTACTGTCCCGCCATTCTCCCGATTCGAATCACAGGCTTGTTTGATCCCCAGATGAGAACCAAGCTCATTTGAAGGAGAAGCTTGATTTTGGCGTCAATTGGGTCATCAGCGCAGTAGGAGAAGAGCTCAGCACAATCGCCCCCCTGTAGGAGGAAGGATTTGCCCAGTGCGGCATCTCGGAGACTGGATTTTAATTTGACGATCTCACTCGGTGTGACGATTGGTGGTAGGCTGGATAGTTTTGTCAAAGCAGAGGACAAGGCGTCTTGGTCTTCGTAGCTAACGATCTGCTTGATAGGCTTTGCATGCCAGGCTAGACATGTCAACTAAGGCGGCCATGCTATGATGCAAGGACTTACATGATGGTGACCAATCTTCTGTCGAACCCATTTTGCTCTTAACTAGAAGTCCTAAATACAAAAATATTAGGGTGCTGTGTGTGTTGATGGAATACAAAATTTGTCGATCGCAGAGGGGAAGGATACATATATAAGATCGGCGAAGAAAAATATATAAAGGTGACGAAAGCAAAAATGTGCGCAGCGGACGGTCATGCAAATCAAATTGCGATGAAAGGTGGCTAATATAGATCGACGCACTGTAGATTTGGGCCGAATATGTAAATGGAAGCCAGCAGCCTTACCTGGGTAACTTCTATAATGATTTAGAGTGGGTCGATTTAGGGCAAAGGTATTTTGGTGTATGCAGTGTAGAAGGAGGTTGAGGAAGTGTAGGGCCGATGTAATGACTCTTACAATTGAAGACAAAAAAGCTAGACAGGACAGGTAATCTATTTAAAGGCAAGAGTAGCCGGTTTCTGAGCCTCGCCCTGATTGGTCAATGTCGGACCGACCTCTTGGCAGGTACGCAATGCATCCAGATGTCTTCCCCTCACCCTCACTACACCAACTTGTTACGCGATAATTGTTAAATCGAGGAGACCAAAGCCAGACTGCTTGTTGCCTAATACAGAGCCCAACGGCGGGGCCAAGGGAATCATCGAACCGACCCTCGCGTACGGCTACTACCATCTATCATTTCCTCAGTTGTGTGTAGCACAAGCAATTGTCAATCAACGTCTGGTATTGACATTTCCTACTCCTTGATCTGGATAACTCCATTTATTTCTCAACTAGTGGTCACCCGAATTGCACTCATCATATATGATAGGAATAAGTACGTCATGAGGCAATGCTAGCTCAGCCAGCCCTCAAGACCATTACCTGATAGCATGGCTAACACACGGACATTCTTAGTATAATTTCTACACGGGAAATTTGATTGCAGTCTACCGATCACAACTATCTCCGGTTATGGCCGAGGAACCGCAGCCTAAAGCTCTCCAAGAAGGCGCCGCCGATCCTCACGCGCCAACAGGAACGGCAGAAGACCGCAAAGCTGCCGCTGCCCTCTCATCGCTTGATGCTCAAGACGAAAATGCGACAGGGAAGAAGAATGTAGACAGCAAAGCCCTGGGCGAAGCCATGAAAGGCCTCAGCGTAAAGGACAAGATTGGCGACGAGAAAAAGAAAGTTGTCAAAATTGACCCCGCTGATGTCTCTCTGCTGGTACGTTTCTCCTGCTAGTTTCAGATTGGGAGAGTCTATTGCGAAGGACGGTGGGCTCGCAATTGTTGTCAGCCCTTGTAATGACGCATTTATCAACAGATGTCGCAACTCGAGCTTCCTAAACAGAAGGCTACCGACCTTCTCCGCGCAAATGACGGAGATGTTCTTATGGCGATCAAAACTTTTATCACTCCGAAATTTACCTAATATTCTGGTACTTATGTTGGCTACATGGTCTCGTGCAACAAAACCCTCCTGGGATTTTGGATATATCGAACCCGATTGCCAAAAAGGCAGAAACCGATGGACTCGGAAGCGGAAACGACTCTTATAATTTTTTATCAATGCACATCCTAGTATAAAGTCGTACGATTCATGAGCTCTGTATCTTCATGCAGTAATCTGATAATTTCATTGATTCATCCATACCAGCGTTTTGGGTGCTTGGTTGCTCATGATAGCTGCTCGTTGTGTTTGTGAGTAGACTAGTCCGAATTACCTGGTAAATACTCGTATCTCTGAATTGACTGGGGGGTACTTCAAGTTCTGTTTCGCCCCAAAGAACCGAGAAAAATGTCCTCGAGTTAGTTGTTTCATTTGTGGGCACTAACCCCGAGGTTATTGTTTTAAAAGCCTGCCATGTTCAACATCACTCGCGGTTTTTGAGATTACGCCTTACACTGCGCCTTCGAGATGCAACTTCCGGTGTGCTGTCCTCACCAAATACAGGGGTAAGTGCCAAAAGAAAATTTGGCGAATAAGATGCAGCAAGCATCGGAAGTATGAATTCTGATCTGTGGCCTGCAAACCCTTGTGCGTGAGCATAGACGAGGCTGAGGCTGTGCTTACCTGCAGCCTTTTCAGCTTGATAAATACGAGACTCAGAACCCCGCAGTCAAAGCAACTTGGTCACAGTCCGCCTTTTAGGCATCTTTCATGAGCGCAGGCTGTGCAAATGGTCATTAGACATACTGTCGTATCTAGGTCCATTGTCTGAATGTAGGAAGATACTTCACTTCAATGCAAATACTGCATTTCCTCCGGCAAGCTTGGGCTGACTGCTACCGTTGCCAGTCAATGGGACGTTCAAAGAACTTGAATGTGAAAGAAAACAACAACTATGAAACACATATTTTATGGAAAGCCTCCAAATGAAGAGCCTACAAATCTGGAAGATGCACGCCCGGCATTCTCAGACAATATCAGCCAGCCGACTACTACACCTGCATCGCATGGTCCACCTCCTCTTGCATCATATGACAAGAGGCCTCACTCTCAAGGGAAAAACCACCAAACGTCGCCGGATGATGCTTCCTACACTTCAAACAGCCAATCGACAGCCATCCAGTCCTCGTTGTCTCAGGGACACCAGCGCCCACCCCTTTCATCTCGCAAGCCTCCCATGACTTACCAACCTCGCAGGCCTGCAAATGCATTTGCATATGCATCTAGTCCCACGCACATTATTCAGCATGGTATAGCTGAGCAAATGCCAAGTGCTCGATATTCCAGTGTTCCAAAGATTCCCACGTGGAGAGAGCACCAAGCTGAGGAGGATTCTGAATCATCGGCAGAATATACCTCTGAAGAGGAGCTGCTGCGGTCTCATCCTAAGGGACAAGCTATCAAGCATGCACGACCGCCGCTAAGAAAGGCATTTACACCTACTGCAATCAATGATGCACGCAATGCGCAGCTCCATTCTAGCGCCCAACCGAAATCCGATCGCCAGAGAGCACGAGAAACACGAGCAACTACCAACACTGCGATCAGTCAAGTTGCGCAGGAACAGCCAGAGGTTACACCAACAAGAAAAGAAAGTGGGGATTCTGTCAGAAGCGGATCCAGTATATCTCTAACCAACTACGATGGGAGCAACGTCTCAGGTCGGGCTGTCTTCACTGGACCAGATCAATGGGACGGTCTGAAAGAGCATATAGAAACCCTTCATCGTGACAACACGTTGCCAGTCAATGCCGAAAACTCCTCGTCCCCAAAAGAGAACAGTCCGCTCGAAAACAGATTTTCTTCCATACCGAGAGACACAGAGAACGGGATTGACGAACTTGGTTATTCCGCAGCAACAGACGTCTATGCAGATGGAATAGACCAGAATATACTCGATCAAAAAGAGATCACAGAGCAGAGACTTCCACCCAGGACATCTTCATATACTCATACTTCTCAAGCTAAGAGTCCCGATGCTCCCTACCACATTCCCCCGTCCAGAGCGGAGATTGTGGTAGGAAATCCCAAGACGCAACGCCGATCGTCGTACCAGCAACACTACGAATCTGGTTCCAGAGGAATTCAATCCAATCCAATGATAACTTTCGATGCCTCCAATGATCCAAAGGCTGAGCGTAAATCACGTTCCAAGACGGTAAAAATCTACCATGACGACAAATATGATAGAGAAATTGATCGTAGTCTACCTGACCGAAGCTCAATGACACACCGAGAGGATCCGCAACTTGAGTTTGAACCAAGACGCCGAAACTGGGAGCCAACGCGATATCGCCAAGAACGTCGAAAGAGGCATCACGAGCAATACGATGAAGAGTTTGAGCCCCGTTCGGTCCAGGAATACTTTGAGAACCACATTCCTGATGGCAGGCCATACAGTAGAACCCCAATAATATATCATGGCGACGGACGAAAAAAAGAATTTGAGTTTCAGGAATCCACTGGGAGTCAAGATTTTGAGAACATGCAATATTCGGGTCCATCAAAGATATATCGCAGTGGCGATAAATATAGAGGTGCCGAGTATATGTGCAACTCTTTGGGGTGCAGCCTTCGAACCGTAGTATGGCCAAACCTAAATGATTTCAAGCATCATCTCATCCGGAGGCACAAGAATGAGGACCATAGTGATTATATCAGAAGGCTAGTCTATAGAAATCATTGTAGGGTCAGGCGCTAAGTCATTGCAGGTCAGTCTACCAGGGATCGGATAAGTTGTATGATCCTGATGGTGAGTTGGTTTCCTGCATACATCTCGATTGAATCAGAAATCTAACAGAGCGCAAGTGATGGTCATAAACTCGCACAATACACCTCATTCATCCGTAGATACCAATGCCACGACTTCAAGACATGATATTGGTGTTGAAGAAATGATACAGCATAGCATGATGATAAAACGTAAAAACAATGAAACTCGGTAAGTAACGCCTTACAGTTCTCCTGAATAGATTATTAACTCAAATGTAGTGAAAGGCTTCTTAACATGACCCAGGAACGGGAAAATGACGTTGAACTTTCACACTCCAATGTAAAAGAAGAACTGCGTGATACGGAGACAGACGGCGTATCTGTTCCCGGTGATCATGAAATGATACCTTCTGGGTCCAATACTCCACTCGACCCACTGAAAACAGAACGAAGATCTCCAGGAGCTGGGGCTAAAGATGGAGAAATCCATCCGTCTCTTCCACCAATTGAAAACACGATATCCCCCGAGAAACATGATGGAGGTTGGACATGGGGCACTACTAGACCATCGATATACATTCGTGACGGTCAACATGATCGCGCAGCCCCCGAAACTAACGCTCGTGCCTTCAAAAATGCAGAACAGCAGCATGCTGAGAGAGAGATACAAAGAGAACAGAATCGCCGCCGGGATCATCTGTCTGAGGAAGAAAATCAGGTACGACTTGTAGACGATCAGAACGAGAGTAGACACGAGCAAAGCAAAGAGGCTATCACACACCAGCCAGCGGCAGTATCAGAACCTAAAAATCCCAAGGAATCCGAGCAACTGAATGAGGTTATTGAAAAAGATGAACAACCGCTTTTCGAAGGGTTCCTAAGTGATCATGATATAGATTTCGAACAATTTGACCATGAGGACTATATACCACCAGGAATGGTTGAAGAGCTTGGCCTGACGGACTTTTCCCCCGAGGACTGGCTGCGATCGACAATGGTTGACGAGACTGGTCTGGAGCACTATTCCCCCAAGGAGGTGACGCGTGATGAACGGCCAACAAGTGGTAACAATTCTGACTTGCACCACCGCCGTTCTGCGCAAATGCTGGTTAGCCGCAGTTCATCTGAGACACGCTTTCCAGCCTCACAAGCGTCGGCATCGAACTTCGTCCGATCTAGGGCTTCTTCCACTTCCTCGTTTGGGATTTCGGCACCAGGTATCATGGCAAGCCATGGTGAGGGCCCACAGCGTTTCCAGGAGATAGACGTCGATAGCGACTCTGGAATATCAAGCTACGCAGCTTCTGTTCTTTCTGTACAGTCATTGGCTTCCTCAGCCACCGACATATCGAAAGGAAGCGGCTACTCTCCACATCAAATTGCAACCGCAACCAAAGAGCTTGTCACAATTTTCCAAGAAGACACCTTTCTTGTATCGCTGTACAAAAGCGCCATCAACGACAGCAGCATTGGCCCAGAAAAGCTACAGCGGAATTTGAGAAGGCTGTTCAAGCAATTTGCAGAGCACTTGAAAGGCGAAGCGAAGGATAGTCTTGAGTACTTGGCCTCCCGGTTGGTCTCACTGAAAGCCCGCTTCCTTGCCCAATCTATTGTGCAGGAGTTCAGTGGTCGTATTGCGTCTCCAGCGAAGGATCTTGAGGCGGACCACGAGAGCTCGGAAGACGAAGAAGAAGAGCAGTCGTCTACTGTGGATGATGCAGCATTTGATGACTTGGTTGTTTTCCGAGAGTTTCTCGTCGGAAGCGATGCTTTCAGTACACTGCGAGCACAAATCCAGAATTTTGCTGTACCCAAAACTGCGCAAGCGCAGAGAAAATTTTTGATCGGCACCAAATCACTGCCCGAGACAGCAGCTCCAGATGTCGAAGATGAAGTACAGAGGATAAGGGATTTGCTTGCTACGAGGGATTCCGTCCAGCCGGGAATGCAGATCGATTGGGGCATGATTGGACGGAGCCGCAAGAACACTGAGCACGTTCTGCAAGCAGCCAAAGCAAGTCTTGAAAACTACCAGTCAAATAACCGCCTGCCACCAAAGGAATCAAACCATAGACAAGCGACCCGAACTACAGACTCGTTTGTTCTACCATCTATCATAGTCGCAGTCATCTTTGGCATACAAGAAGATGTCTTTGGGTTCGAAAAACATCCAGTCTCGTTTGTACTGGCCACATTCGCTCTGTTCATTTTAGCTGGGATATCACGTGTGCTGACGTTTTGGTTTTGGACTTACGTATTGGAACGAGCATATGGCCAGAAATTACAACCATCGAATCCACTGGTGTCGAAACAATATGATGCGGTGGGTATCTTTTCGTCGAACCCATCAGATGACAGCCCAGCAGTGGGCAGAGATAGAATCTGGAACAAACTAAGCACGAAAATTGGTTCGTGGCAGGCAAAATTGAAGAACGTGTCATCGAAACACTTTCATGCTCTGCTAATCGCTTTTGGGTGTTTTGAGTCAGCTCTGGAGCCTGGCAAAGTCAGGCTGAGATGGCGATGTGTAAGCTCCCCGGCCCATTCCTTGAAATGAAGTTATACACTAACGTCAACAGGGATGTGGAGATAGCTTCATAGGAGATTTCACTGAGCATCAAGCCAGTGGTATTTCGAACATGGCCACCCATATGGAACGGTTAACGGGGGCAAAGGTCACTTCTATAACTTCACACTCGGAGAATACTGCGCCGAAAACCACTGGTCAGCATCCTGGCCTGTGGCTGCGCAATGCCATGGAGAGCCTTGGAAGTTTGGTGAACAAGCGGTCCAAACAACGTACGCTGCCACAGCACACACCTAACACGGCCGTCGGGACCTCCACACCTGGCCATGGCTCGCAGCAGGGCCAGATGCTACATCTCCTCAGTTGTTTACACGCCGGACGCTTTCGTAAAACCCTAGCGCAAGACCGCATCGAGTCATTCAAAACAGACCGCCAGCTCTTCTACTTCATCCGCGACCAATACCGTGTCCACCGAGGCCGCATCAAAGGCTTGCTGTCACTGAAAACGGTAAAGGGTATATACTTCACCAAATTCCGCCTTCCCATGGGTGGCAGCGTAGAGCTTCGTGCCCACAACCCATGCTGCATCCAGCCCCACGTATGCGAATGTCTTCCTCCCCCTTCTCGCGTGGAGCCTTCCAAGGATGCAGAGTATCGCTGTGAACCGGTGCCGTCATCTGTTTGGCCGCCGATCGATCCACATTACCTGTCCCATCTTTTCAAGGACCCGACGTGCATCAACGAGAATGATACCTGGATCCTGGACCAGCTGCCCAAACGCACTCGCGGTGAACTTCAGGGGAAAGTAGGGAAACCCGCAGATGGTTGGGGTATCTATTACGAAGAAGGTTGGGATAGGGATATAATTACTTTAGTGGTGGTTTTGCTGTTCATTGTATCAAGCTTGGTGTTTGGTGTAACGTGGAGCTATTTCAAGATGGATGTTCAGGGTGCTTTTGGAGTTAGTTCTTACATGATGGCTTCGTGTGCGGCGATGATCAGTTTCGTAGCGATGAAGATGGACAAAGCGTAAATTTCAGCACCTTTTTTTGGTCCGAGGTACCAGACTTCGTATGCGATCAATTTTTCTGTGTTGTTGCTGGGAATTACCTCGATGTTTGATGACGAGGTGGTTGATTCATAGGAGAGATAAAGAGGGCATTGAATGTGGACTGATGAAACCTGGGCCACTCGAGCGAGGCTTTGAACAATCAATGGAACAGGAGCGGAAACGGTTTGTTTTTTTGTCAACTTCATATACAACGAGAAAGAAAACATTATTGATCGCGCCCGGCGATTGAGTCCAATCTACAACCAATAATAATAACCCCGAACTTCTAATGAAAAAATAAAGAGGTTGAACGGCAACACACAAAGGAGAATGTCGTTCAACATTTTGGGTGCGATCAACGAAATACTCCCGAATTCCTATTTCCATTCCACTGATCTGGCTGGTGGGGCTGAGCAGCCTGATATCCATGATACGTATTAGGTGACCACACGAATTGCCGGTCGTAGAATTCGGGCGCAGGCGTGAGCCCGGTATTATTAGGTCCGCCGTGCATCTGGTTTGGCTGGGATGGCGACTGATGGGGCGCTGCCGCATTCGTAGACATGGTCTGCGACATGTTTTGAGATGACATGGGCCGATTTAGGCCATAAGGATGTGAGGATTGGTTGCCAAAGTGACTGTATTGCGGCGACTGCAACTGTTGAGGATTAGGCATTTGTTGGGAATCTTGTAGTTGATGTGCTGCGGATTGGAGTTGGTGCAAAGCGGAAGGAGCTTGGGGATTTCGGATTTGCATGGGCTGTTGCGGTTGTTGCTGAGGTTGCTGCTGCTGTTGCTGCTGTTGTTTCTGCGCATGGTTGGATTGCTGATGCGATTGCTTGTGATGTTGACGTTGTGGTGGGCCGGGAGCTGGTTGGGGTTTACCATCAGATACAGGCTGCGGTTGCGCTTGAGGTGGTGGCTGGATGCTATTCGGATTTATTGCTTGTGGCGTTTGAGACGGGGTGAGAGACGCTCGCCTCTTCTCTTCTTCGAGCATATGTATCCGTGCTTTTGCTTCTTCTAACTCCTTCTTCATGCGCTCTAACTCGGACATCTCGGCACCGGCAGACTGTGCTTGCAATGGTGGGTCTACCGCCGTTGACCCATTGTTCTCATCTGCCTCGGTATAAAAGCATGTTCTTTTCTTTTCTATGCAAGTATTACAGACAGGCCGTGTGCCATCACACTAAATTACAAGTTAGTGGTGTACAAAGTATATCATGCATACTGAAAGTTACATACCTTGGTCTTCTTTGCTTTGCACACATCACAGCTGTTCCTAGGCCTTTTGACGCGGAAAGAGGGTGCAGGCACTTGTGGCTGTTGCTGTGAGGGCGAGGGTTGCGGCTGAGACTGCGGAACTGGCCTGGCCGCGTGTGTGATGTTTTGCTGCATTTGAACAGGCGGCGGTGGCTGTTCATGCTGCGTAGGCTCAGGACGAATCAGTTCCAGCAACGAGACCAGACTCTGCGCTCTCAAATCACTCTCAAGCGACGTGGGCTGCCTTTGATCTTCAGACTTGGTTCTTTTCCTCGGCCTCGGTGTGGTCTGAGGATCAGAGTCAGATCTGGCATGCCTGGCCCGACTCTGTAACCTCTGAAGAGTCTCCGGATCGTTTTCCTCGAGATATTTTCGGCGTTTTGAATCCTTGCGTGGTGCTGGAGCACGCTCTTCGTACGTCTTATGCATGGGTATATGTTTGTAGAAAACATCTAGGGACTGTTTGCTAGCGGAGAACTTGACGGACAGAACACCCTTGCAATCAAAAACGGGCTTTGTTGCGCGCTTGCCCAGCTTCGCGCCTTTGCCGTTAGCAGCGCGATCCTTGTTCAAAAGAGAATCGTTGCAGTAGTATGAGAAGCGGAAAGCGTCGTCCTCCCTGCTGTTCCAGCAATTGTGAAAGCTGTAGCGGTAGCCATCTGCCTTCTGTATTGCGTCCACGCAGCACTTGGCGATGGCTCTTTGATTCCGCATCTTGTCTTTTGGGTCTGAGGTGGGCTGTAAAGCCTCTATGATGGACATGGACACTCGCGGGACATCCTCCTTGCCCCCTTTCTTGTTATTTCCATTGGTGGTGTTGTCGGCGGTGTTGATGTTCGGGTTCGCGTTGGAGGCGGGATCGGACTGCAAGCTAGAGAAGGGCATAGCGAGCGAGGGGTCAGAGACGTCTTGATAGGGGTGGGACGCGTCATACTGGGGCACTCTATTTGAAGGTTGGATGGCTGAGGATTGCTGTTGTCGGAGGTGTTGTTGTTGTTGTTGTGGTTGGGGGACGGTCTGGCCAGGCGGGACGGGAACGAGGAATTCGGAGCCTATCCAGAAGGACAATTGGCAATCGGTGTGCTCGGGGTCGTCGTTGGGATTGTTCAGGTAGTCTCGCAGCGACGAGTCGAAGTCGTCCATGGAGGCGACATTGTAGGACACGGTCTTTGCCTGGGGATCGCGTGCCTGGCGGCCGCGGGCGAGTGGGACAGGGGCATTGTTGAAGATGGCGGAGCCCTCCTGGGGGTGGTGCTGCTGCTGCTGCTGGTGGAAGTTGGTGATGATCTGGGAGGGACCAGCGGTGGTAGAACCGGGACGGCTCTCCATGCTGTGGAGACGTTATACCCCCGGCAACAATAATAGCTAGAGGATTGTGGTGAATAGAGAGGTTGAGTAAAGGCTGGGTATCGGATATCGGGACTATCGGCAGTCTCGGTATCGCTGGCCAGTTATCCGACTCTATTGAACTGGAACGAACCACTCAATTTTACCTGGGATGCTGAACATGGGAGATGTCGCCCCCACACAGCAGCCGCAGACTATGAGAACGAACGACCGGCGGCGGGTTAATATGAAGAGGAGGGACGGAGACGCGATGCCCAGCAGATGAAACCGCTCGATGAGTGGTGCGATTGATGACCTGGTCTGCCAGCGCGCACTGCCAACGCCAACGCCGCTCCTTGTGGTCACGTTGTCGTGCACACACGCCAGCCTCTCACTTTTCTTCCCCCATCCATCCGTCCTCTGTCTGCATTGCGTACGAGTCCGACGCCACGGATATCGCCTCGATGACATTCCACCACCAGCCTGCCCTTGCCAAGATTATCCGGCGCCTGTTTTGCTGGAAATGAACCGCACGCGCTCTCTCTAATCTCCCCATCTCCCCCTGGCCACGCCTCCAACTTCACAGAAACTATCATCTCGTCCGCAAACAATCCATTTGCACCTTCAGCCGCGCATGTGTGCGATGCAACGAGTTGGATTCATGTGTTCTAGCCCTCGCTTTCTGATCGCCTTCATCCTTGGTTCCGCCATACCTGCAGGGCAACGTTCGGTCACGATGCATCGATATGTCATTCAGCATGCAAGCACCCTGGCATACATAGTACATGCGTCCCGCGCCGTTCTCGCTCCCGCTCGCTCTTTCGCTCAGCCCTATACTCTTACACCCGGCTAGCCTCTCCACTTCGCTTTGAAGTTGAAGTGTAGCGTCGAGAGCAATGGTTTCAGTCCCCATACTGATGCACCTATACATCAATAGCCTTTTGAGACGTGTTCTAGCAATCCATCATTCAACCCAGCGCAGTCTACTTACCTACCAATCGTCATATAACCGTGGAAAGATGGTAAGATACCAATCGGTAAGCTGCATATCTCTAAGAGTCTCTTCGTACAGTTTCCCCCAGCAGGAAGAAAGAGCATCGCGAGGGCGTCCAGTCCAGACACATCACCCATGCACGTAAGCACTGCTCGCACGCATCGTGTGCTCACCCACACCCAAATTTCTTTCCATCTCTCATTTCTCCGCATCTCAGACCGTTTCCTTCACCGTTTCCTCTTCTCCAAACCATCAGTCGAGAGTTCTGAATTGTCCTCTTCTCTCGCTTCTCTGTACTGCTGCACCGAGAACCTACATCCGCTATCGTCTTGCATCTCGCACGCTAAAGGATAAATCTGCCTGGCTAAACTCCTCTCCCAAATCTCACGATCCCGAACAGCCAAGCCCTGTAGGGCTGAAAGCTCGCACATCTTACGATCTTACATCGCTCCCACAAGCAAGCCAGTCAGTCGGCCCCAGCTAATCACACGCAACCACCATCTCAACCCCCTCCCGTCTTGCCAGCGAACAACATGAGTGAGACAGCAAGCAGGTTTTCGAGGAGGCGCCAAATGAGGACTAAACCCACGAGGGCTTTTCTTACATACATATGTGTGTATAGGAGGGGTGGTGCGGAAGTGTGCAAATGAGCGTCGAAGGAGCGTGCAAGGCCCGCATGCAATCACATGGGGTAAGACATACATATATGAAGAATATATATATTAACACACGTGTCTGTCTCTGTGCATACCGTATATCGTGCGTGTTGATTACCCACCCGTCGCATTTCTCACGGTTGATAAGGTTTATGGCCCCCCCTCCCTCTCCTCCTCCCTCTCCCCCCTCCATTTACCCCTCTTGTCCTTTGCTTCCCTCACTTCAATTTGCTGGTGGATTGTTCTTCTCGTCCCTTGCTAAGTCTTTTCTTCCATCATTGCTGTCTTAATATTCTTCTTCTATGCCGCATCTTTCTCCCCTGCGAGTATCTCTGGCTACGCCCATGCTCACATGCAATACATCAACTCTCAAGATCTCGGCCGAGTATGGACCCGATGCTGCGTTGAGGCAAACATGACATCCAAAAGCAAGAAAAGAGAATAATGCAGATGCAGCCATGCCCTCCCAACGACCCTCCCCACGATTAAAACATGCCAACACTAAGCCCGAACACACGGCGGTAGCAAGTACATGAACTATTCACTTCACCTGGACCAACCATCTCGACATCAGATTATAAACAGCTGAAGACCGTTTGTCTAGATCAGCGATGATAACAAAAGGGAGATGGAAACAGAGAACAAGAGCCGAGTCTAAAGATCAGAAACGACATGAGATGGAAAAAAGCATGTAGCGAGAGGTACTCAACACGTAAGGAGACAACTGTTCCGAAGAGAAAAACCCCGCCAGAAAAGCAAGGAACGAGAGAAGGAGAAGAAGACGGGGAAGAAGAAACACGAGTAATATACTAACTACGAGAGATTGAGTTTAGTCGGTCATTCCAACGCCCATCCCCTTCTTCCACCAAAGTTTTTATAAATACACACACACACATATATCCAATAAATCCAACACCAACAATCAGACCAAAGGAAAAAAGAAAGAAGCAACAACATACAATTTTTTTTCATACAAGAGAACCCCCGACATCTCTAAACCATCTATCCCCCCCTCCCCCCCACCACCATCATCAAAATACAAAGGAAAATCTCTATATCCTAAGAGAAACAGAGAAACGACCTTAACAAGAGGGAATTCATAACAGCTATTTATTCCTAAAATAATGTAACAACTGAAAAAAAAAGGAGAGAAGAAGGAAAGAGAGCCCCAGCGCTCCGTCCACGACGAAGTTGTGATGGGGTTAGGAATGGAGCTGGAGAAAGAGCTAGAGAGATGGAGAGAGATGGAGAGAGATGGAGAGAGATGGAGAGAGATGGAGAGAGATGGAGAGAGATGGAGAGAGATGGAGAGAGATGGAGAGAGATGGAGAGAGATGGAGAGAGATGGAGAGAGATGGAGAGAGATGGAGAGAGATGGAGAGAGATGGAGAGAGATGGAGAGAGATGGAGAGAGATGGAGAGAGATGGAGAGAGATGGAGAGAGATGGAGAGAGATGGAGAGAGATGGAGAGAGATGGAGAGAGATGGAGAGAGATGGAGAGAGATGGAGAGAGATGGAGAGAGATGGAGAGAGATGGAGAGAGATGGAGAGAGATGGAGAGAGATGGAGAGAGATGGAGAGAGATGGAGAGAGATGGAGAGAGACGGAGAGAGAGAGAGAGAGAGAAATACTTTCTACCTATATCTTTTAAGAAGAAGAAGAAGAAGAAGAAGAAGAAGAAGAAGAAGAAAGGATTACACAGAAAGCAAGACAGCAAGACAGCAAGACATCAAGTCCACCACCATCCGCATACACACACATACACACACACACACACACACACACAACAATCCTCAAGTTCAGCCTCCAACCTCAACCAGATCTTTACTTGAAGTAACCATCCTTCTAAGCAGGCAGCGGAAGCCTAACCACCAGCGTTGAAAGCCGGCGATACATATAGAACACGTCCCCGATCACAGAACGAGAATATGGGCATAAAAGATCACACCATCATCACTAGTAGAGGCAGAAGGGGGGAAAAAAGTGGTCACAATGAGACAAGATGAGATGAGGAAAAAAGTTTGGAAATAAACAATAAACTATTCTAACAAGTGAGCGAGAGACCCGAACGACGCGCCCAGCACAGTCGACCCGACCAATCAATCATTCCAAATCGCGCCTAGGAACTGAACCACCATCGAATTCCCCCGGAAGATACCTACAAGGAAAAGAGGATCCGTCCACTTTGAATAAACGTACACATTAATTCCCTCGGAAGCCTTTTGTCCGATTAATCATTCCATGCAAACAAATCATCGGCCGTGGAAAAAAAGAAAGAAAGAGAAAAGATAACAAACGACCGCGCCTCGCTACACCCTGCCGGGCTATCCTTCCTGTTCGGCGACATGAATCCCCAAGAATAAACAAAAAAAAACAAGCGGTGGTATCGAGAGAAAACAAGAAGAGAAAGACATTGCAAATGCCACCCTCTGTTTTGAGGAGTGGAATCCGCTCCGGAGAGTGTCGGCGTTGACGTTAATGGTACATTGAGGAGAAGAAGAAATTGGGTTTCGATAAAGGAAAAGGGTCTTGATCTCGTCTCAATATACGGGCTCGCATTTTCGAATCCAACGCTTGGTTCTCGACAGGGGCGTGCATGATCAAACAGAAAAACAAAATCCAATGCCCTCCCAGTATAATTTTTTTTTGGTAATCCGTGTTTCCTTTTGTGCATAATCCCAAGAGATGAGATGGAAGGAAAAAAAGAAAGGATAAACACAACGCCAACGTTTCGGAAGAGTGGGAAGAAGGATCAACCGACAAACTCTTCGAGCTCGGCTGTCAGGTTGTTTGAGTCGCCGATGATGTTGTCTGGCCGCCACGGCCCCTTTTCTTCTTCGGTCGCGTTGTGAAGAGCATCCGCACGTTTGAGTGTGTGGATGTCGAAGTCGGTGATGTAGCCTTTGCCATCAGGCAGCTTCAAGCGACACTCGTAATCACGGTCCAGCATCATATCATCTTTCCACAGCCTCCGCTGGCCGTCGTACACGCACATGACGCGCTTCTTCATCTTCATCTTGTCGGTCGGGCAGCCCCAAGACACGGGATAATTCTTCCGCTTCTTGCGTCCCGACCCTGAGATTGCCACCCCGCCCTTGGAATAGGTCAGGCCGGCCCGAGGACCTTTTGTGTTGTTGTTGACGGCAGAAGAGGTCTTCGTCACTTTGGAAGGGTTGCCACTCCCAGGCTGCGAAATGACACCCCGGGAGTGTGCTGATTGTCAATGCGATTTGCTCTTCAGAGAGCCTTTGCCAGATCGTGAGCGTCGCACGCCATATGTGTCGTCGTTGGTGTCATCGGCTTCAGCGTCTTCTTCGGACACTTCCTCGTCTTCTTCCTCGTAGTTGGAAGGCACGGTGTGTTCGATGCTGCTGGAAAGGCCGTTGCGGTCCAACGTCTGGGTGACATCGCTGTCTTGGGCAACCGATGTCAGGAGACGTTGGTTGATGGCTTCACTGGGGTCGGCTTGCTGCACGACACGGAGAACACAGTCGTCGAGATGCTCGTAGAACTCCTGGGCGTTGGCGAAAGTGATTGAGCAAGTAGAGCAAGTGCCAGCCATGGATTGCGAGCCAGTGTATGCCTTGCGACCGGCAGGAGACTTCTTGCGGCTGTTGGGTGGGTTCTGTTCTACACCGTGAACGGAAGTAAGATGTCTCTTGAAAACATCTGCGCGGTTAAACGACTTTTCAGCCGCTGAGCCCGAGCCGGGACAGAAACCGCACACCATCGTGCCCTTGTAATGGGTCAAAGTATGACGGTTCTTGTCATACTTTCTTGCGAAGCCTTTCAGGTGGTATTCGCAAGTCGCAATTGGGCACTTCTCTGGCCGCTCGTTCTGGTGGGTAAGCATATGTGCCTTCAAATCTTTGAAGACACGGCCGCACTCCGGAAGGGGGCAGAGTCCTTTCTCGCGGGTCTCGTCGTCAATCTCGTAGCTGCTTCCGCTCTTGCGGCTTGTGCCCGAATTCTGGGAGTGAAGGGAAGCATCAGACCGCCTCCTGTTGTAGGTGGGATACGGCTGGAATCTTTGGGTGTCAAGGTATGTGGCGGGTGACTGAGATCCACGCTTGAGGTTCCTTGATCCCGAACGTTGGCTTTGAGAGGAAACATGAGAGAGGGCTGGCGAAGGCGGATGCTCAACAACGCCAAAATACGGAGATGGGTGGGTACGGATTTCAGGAAAGGGCGATGGCTCGCCATATGCAAGGGGGTTGCCGAATTGAGTCAAGTTGGGATCTAGCGTTCAATGTTAGTCGCGACTTCCAAAAAACGAAGCAAAGAGGAACTGCACGGTGGGAGACAATGACAGAAGGAAACACATAGCAACAAGCGCAGAGAAAGAGAAGAAGAAAAATAAGAGAAGAGATTGGAGCTGCAGTGACATGTGACCGAGCAACGAGAGCACTAGCAAAGTGCAGTTGATTCGAGGGGAGTAAACACCTGCGGCTCGTACACAAAAGTACACGATGGCTCGGAGCCCAACCACTGTCGCTGTTGCAGGAGCGGTAGGCGGTCTAAATGCTACATGACTATACGAGATTTCCGGACGATGCAACGGAGAGGGAAACATGGAAAAAGAAGTCGACTTGACATGTGAAGGAGCTACAAAAGACTTACCCACGCAACCGGGGACCTTGGAGGCTTGGTCACCCATGCCCGCAAAATCGAAGCCAGGAACGAAGCCCAGGCCGTTGGCCATAGGGTTCCACGTGTCGGCGAACTGAGGGTTGAGCGAAGGAGAACCCATGGCAGAAGAGGACACTGAAGCACATGATTCCGACGAGGCAGAGAGCACGGGTGGCTGGTCCGGGAACGAGAGTGATGCCGAGTGTGGCGAGCCCATGGGGCTCAACTGCTGAAAGGGAGAGGCCTTGACGCCCTGTGCGATAGCGTCGTAGTGGAACTGGAGGTGGTTCGACCTAGGAGCTTCTGCAAGTGTGGACATGGGGTCATAGGGAGCACTGAAGGTCGAATCAACGGAATAGTCATTGGAAGCGAGATATGACTGATGGTTGGGGAGGAAGTCCAGTTGCTGGTCCTCGTTGGGGTAGAGGGAGAAGTCGTGGTGAGGCATGGAGGCAGCAGGATAGGGGACGTAGTCGACCATGGTGAGGGTAGTGCAGTGTCAACAGCAAGCACCGAAGGATGGAGATCAAGTGTGAGGAGAGAGTGCAGATATGGACAAGATATACCGCGGCAGCGTGCTATAGCCCAACAGTCAGCATAAGCAATTCGGAACATGGACTGGACCAGGGGGGGCATGGGTGAGCTTGAGGGGGGGCTTGGGGATCATATGAAAGGTTAGACAGGGGAAGCCTACCCAAGGGTTACTGGATCACCCGCGGCGGCTTAAGCCTGAAGCCGTCGTACGGGTCGGCGAAGTTTGGTGGTTTCTAATATTGACAGTTGTCGGATCTGCCGTTCGTTTTGCTTGACAGGTAATAGTGCGCGTAGGCCCCAAACGGCAAGTCGAGGCCAGTGGGCCGACGAGTCGGTAGCGAGGACGGGGGGGGGGGTTGATGTTTGGCTTGGGCTTGGGCGGGCGGCGTAGTAGTGGGAAAAAACAAAGGGCGAAGTCTAGCTCAGGGTGGGCGGCAGTGGTAGCAGTGGTGTGCAGTGTAGGCGCGTGTTGTATGGCACTGCTGGAGGACGCTTGTGCTGCAGCAGCGGGGGGTGGTGAGGATGGATCAGGCAAAGGGTGTTGGGTGACGACGGAGGTATTTGCAATTGCAAGTGGATGATGATGATGATGGTGCTTGGATTTCCTTCGGCCATGATGGTCGGGGGCGAAGTCGAGTTATGTTATACACGCAGGCTGGCCAGTGTGAGTGGTGGGTGAGAGAGTGGATAGTCTGGCCCCCAGGCATGGCACCAGGCATGGTACAGTATGAGGGATGGATGGATGGATGGATGGGATGGGTGGATGGTGCAGAGGGCAGGGGGTGTCGGTGACAGCCACGCTTCTGCTGCTCTGAGCCCCCCCTTGCTGGAGGAGCTGCTATGCGCTGCTCTGCTATGCTTCGCTATACAGACGGTGAAAAGCAGCGCTAGGAAAATAACAGAGCGTGGAGGGGGACCGAGCGCGGCCGGGCGTGGTGGGTGGTGTGTTTGCGTGTCCGCCTGGATCGCGCGCCCCGACCAGAGCACATGGGCGAGGGCAGACGGCGGCCACGGTGGGTTGCGGTGAAGAGGAACGCCCATTGACGCACCTGCAGGGGGGCCTGGCCAGCCCGCTCCCTCAGTCGGCGAGTAGCAGCCCGCCGCGAGAGCCTCCACGCTGCTTCGAGCAGCCCGTAAGCCCGACTTGGTCATGTTAAGCGGCTTGCGGGTGCTGGCCGGGACCCAGACCACCGCTTCTGTACACACACTCACCGTGTCGCGCAACCCAACTGAAGGTGAACTACACCGTGGTGGACAGACATCAATGCTGCAAAGCACAACACCGCACAGCACATACATACTACATAGCTTCAGGGCATGGCTGCACACTGGCAGGCAGCCACTTGGACTCACTCACTCGGAGATGCAACGACCCTTGGAATCAAGTGCGTGTGCGCCAAATGTACGAGAAATGGCCCAAGAGCGAGCATCCATGGCTTCCAGAGGACATTCCACAGTGATAGCCTGACCATCAGAATGCTGTCATCGCTTTCGTCCCAAGTGAGATTATATCACTATATTTCAATTGTATTTTTCCGCAACCTCAGGGTCGCCTCGACTCTGCCATCCGTTGATGGGTTGATCGATCCATCAGGCGTGCCAGATCTTACAATACTGCTAGTAGAGTGTAAAGCTTCTCGGCATCTGATTGGCCTGCGTCATTGGTCATCGCGTACGCTAGACAGTTCGCGTGGCCGCAACGTTGGGCAGCGTGGCTGGTGGCGAGGCGGTGCTCTTTTAGCGTCTGCTGATTCGACGCGGGACGATCCCGTGACCCCCCAAAATACACCTGCGCAGCCCGTTTTGGGGGGTCGCTAGTATCCATCATGCCCAATCGGGCCTGGCCGCTGCATGTTATGATGTAGTGGCAGCTCTCTGCCACCACCCGTGGGGCTCTGCCGTCTCCGTCAAGCTTCTCACCACACCGACACTCATCCCTGGGACGCTGCAATGCAATGCTATAGGGGCAGTACATGCACTCTCCTACTTCTCGGGTTCAATGACTAACAGACGCACGTTGCAGAAGACCTGCAGTCCATGTGCGTCATGTCTGCTCGCCTCACCGCCGAACCAGGCAGCACTGCAAGGCTTCCGGGAGGTAAAAGGGCGGGATGGAAGAGGCTGCACAAATGCATCCGCTTCCCCACTCCGCAGCCTGATGATTGATTGATTGATTGATGGATTGATTGATTGCTCCCTCCACGCCCACGCTGTCCTCTTGCTTTGTTGCAGCTAGGTAAAAATTTCATGTCATGCCACACATCCCTCCACCGCAACATATCAATACCAAGACGGTGAGCGGTTGCAGCAATTTCACCGGTCGCGAACCAGGGACCAGTGCTGAGGCTTGCTGCCATCACCTCCTCCTCGTTGCTTACCTGCACCGATTCGCTACGAGCCCTTCTTCCCTCCTCCCTCTACGTCTCGCTTGTTTCATTCTGTTGGATGGCCCGTATGTGGGGGCACGATGGTACATTGCAATTTCTGGCGGTGCCAGCCTCCCTGCTCGAGACTACTCGCCAGACAATCTGAGATCAAGTCCGTTTAGTCGTGTCGTGTTCGACATGTCCGCAGCATGTGCTTGCCATAGCGTGCTAACGCGTAATACTCGGGCTTTTCGTCCCGCGTCGATGCGCAACCGGGGTAATCATCCCCTACGATGACTCTCTCGTGTCCCTGAATCCGATGTCTTGGTAGAGAGCGACGAAGAAGCGTGAGCACCAAGCCCACGACCTATCAAGCGCTTGTCTGACCCTCCTTCTGCCGTATAACCTAGTCACCCTAGCACACCAGTATTGCCTGCGGTACTGCACTCTCGACTTGATGTCTCCAAAGCTTGCCATCCAAACACGCCCCTCCAACCTAGCGGCGCACGAGGTCGGGAGCCGTCTCGCCAGGTCGAGATCGAGATAAGGTCGTGGGGATCCACGGTTGCGACTGGCGGCAAGGCTTCTTGTTATCCAAGGTTCTCAACTCACATGAATGCCCACTATATACTATGACGCCCACCCTGTGGACGGACACTTATCCTCCTTGGTCTAGCTCGTGCGGGGAACGATGGCTTCTAGCAACGGCTCCCTCGTCCATGGGCCAGGTGTGGTTCGTTGTTCTGCCTCGATCTCCTCTCGAGCACAAAGTCTTCACCAAACACTCACGTTCCGTTGGTCGAGTTTCAGTCTTGGTGTGGGGTAAATGTGCACGGTAGGTGCCGAGGATTGGGTGGATTGGGGTGTCTAGATGTGCAGTAGCTACCATCTTGCTTATGGCCTTGACAATGGCCATGCAGAGCCCTATAGTGAGTGATTGGAGGAAAGTCGGGATGCGAAAGCGAAAACAAAGACTGAATCTGACTATTTTGGGTTGTACAGTGGCCTTGGTCGGGATCTGTTAGATTTACAAGGCGTCGGCACTTGCACACTCTGCACGCGATGGGTGAAAGAGGCTTATCTCTTCGCCCTCGGTCGGATAAGCATGTGGTTTCTCCGGATAGGCTTTTGCGTTGGTAGTGTGTTTTACCTTTCAATAGTTGCCTATCAGATTCATATTTTGGCCAGCGCAGAGCAAGACAACAAGAAGGCGTCATCATCTCGGGAGAAGCAGCAAAAATAAAAAGATTCCTCACGTATTCGCTGAGGAGAATGCGCTGCACTGCCACATATTCTTCGTACTTGGCGCTAATTATAGCACAGGCTCGCGTGGCATCCCCATCCATCGATCCCGCACCCCCCAGCACGAAGAACTCGTGAGCGCTGCAGACGTCATGATACGGTTGAACTTTGCACGGCCACAGGCGCCAAAAAGAACCTGCCCAGAGACCCAGACTGTGCGGCTCCACCCTTGACCATGCTCCGTGTTTGTTGACAAGGGAAAGGGGTCACAGAAGGGTCGTTGCATCGAACCCCCCGGCCCCGCTACGACAGGGTGGACGTTCAATGCGGGATGAGAATGTGAACGATGCTCGTACCTCTTATCACAGAGAAAGTCGAGACAAATAAAATAAACAACACCATCCCAACGAACGAACCACGCGCCAACACGAGCACATCTTCGGTAGGCCCCGGGCTGGGTTCGAGGTCGGGCGGGCTCGTGTTCTGACCGGAACCCGAAATTCTCCCTTCTTATGCACGACCTTGTTTCGTGCTGTGTATAACATATCCCTCTTTTGCAATCTGATTGGCAAGCGGCGACAATCTCTTTTTGCAGATTTTCATCCGTCCAATTTTCTACGGACTTGCTTTGCGGGTCGTTGCCGAATCCTGGGCGATGATGAGCAACGGGTCATCTTAACCGTAAGATCGGCTGCAAGTTACGCCGCTGACCACGACCTCCACCAGAGAAAGTACTACTTCCCCCATGGCCAAGTTATTAGACCCCACGAATAAAACCGCTGCGCTCTTGCACAACGCTCTTTCCACCAAGACTCACCCCATGGCCCATCGGTCAACCGGGAACATTAAATTTGGAACTGGGGACGCGGCCCTGTGGTTCGTGGTACCAGAGAATGGGCGACAGCATGCTTCTTCTGAGACACGCGCTACTTTGCTTTCGGGGTGAACAAGCAAAGGGGGCCAAAACAGCTATGTCCTTGGACCGTGTCTATCGCCAGCGCATATCTTTGGCACATCATCATCAAAGGAAAACGCAAACGGTTTGGGTTCGTCTTGCGTTGACTGAAAAGGCGGCTTCCGTGCTCCAGATCCGCAACACCCTCATTATCGGCAATCCTGTCACTTGAGGCATCCTGCTTTCCCGATCCTCGGACCACTCCTGGGCTTTTGTAAGTACAGAGGAATGGGAATTAGGATCAGGCATCAGATCATGCCTCGTCCAACATAGTGCGTTGTAAGCTCGTCTAATGCCCTTTTTCTTCTAATCCGCATCTTGCAGGAATAAGTTATAGACATCAAAGCCACAGTAGAGGCATAGAATACCTAGAATATTTTCACAGTAGGGCTGGAAGAGGACCGTTACTATGCAAAGCGATCTATTCTAGCCAGATCGTGTCCAAAAGAAAAGATCTACCCCGTGCAAGAAAAACATGAAGCATCCGATGCCTAGACCTTTGCATGGTTAAGCATCAAAATAGGAAAATGGGCGCTCCAAAGCCACTGCGACGGTATCTGTGCTCCAGAGCTCCCGCCCTCCAACACAGACTTCTTTTCTGGAACAGGACCCGGTGGCAGGCAAAAAGTCTGTTCCAATTCAACGGGTCTGGGCCGGGCCCATAAGCCCTCTCTTCTTTTTTGCTTCTTCAATCGTTCCCATGCACCGGGCGGCAGCAGTGGCTTTCTCCGAATATGCCATAATACTGCAGGTGGAATCCTTTGTGAGCCCCCCGCTGACCTTCCACATCTTTGGACATAAATAAATAAATGTACGAACGTACATGGAGATGAACCTGTGTACCTGACCCAAGCATATGGATAGCACACACCCCACAGGCATAACTTTTAGCAATTCACATGACCTCCAGTGCGCATCGCATTCGCCTGCCCTTGTTTTCTTTTCTTCTGGATCACGGTGGGTGGGCGTGTAGTGCATGTACGCATCCACAGGCGCGCACGCAAGCACGTTTGATACACCGTGAACACGAACGTAACCACAATAATAGCGTCTCTTCTGCCATGGTTCGTAAAGCCTATGTTCTGCAAGGCACCGGGTCCCGTTCTGGCTAGATGGTTGTTATTTGTGTCTTTGCCGCGATGACAATAGGCACACAGCACTACGACTCAATAAATTGGAATTTGATGGCGCCGATGCGCTGCTGTGTGTTGGAGTATTGATTCCTACCCTCTTCATCTCCTCATCGATGCTTGCGCAACGCGACTCAGCAACGATGGATTCGGGGACGAGTAGGCAACAAGCATTAGGAAGACGAAATAGTAGAAACAAGGCAAATTTTTTCCTCTGACTACAAGAAGAGTCATTGACAAGAGTGTGTGTGTATCGTACGAGTCTCCCATGTCAGGCTGGTATAGCGCAATTGACAAAACAATTAGCACCATCACTCCTCCACAAGGGCAGTGTTCCCTTTTCCTTAGCACAAAAACTACCATGGCACAAGAGCATCGCATGCCATCGTATCCACCACCCAACCACAACCGCGCGCTCTCTCTCTGTTTCTTACCCCACCACTCCATTCCCCACCATCGGGCACGCCGTTAGCTAGCACACAACCCAAAAGCCTCCGCTTAGGAAAAACCCACGACAGAGGTCCTCCGAAGCCCTGGACAGGGTCCAAGCCTTGAAGTCTTTTTCTTCCCTTTTCTTTTCCCGCTCGCAATCTCGGCTTCGCCTATGCATTTAAAGTTCCACTCCATCACAACGAAACACCCCCCCACCTCCCCCCTTCGTTGAATTTGTGTTGGACCGAAGCCCGACTCGCGTACCCCCCTCACCCCTCCCCCCAACATCCAACATGATATATCGTATTCATTCGTATGAGAGGTCCACGCGCGCCCATCCGGCGTAGCGAGGCTCCCAGCTCAATGGCTTTGGTGCCCGCCCGATCCCCGACCTAGCAGTCATGGAGAAACCTTACTCTTCGCGCTGTCCCGTCGACACTGGCTGGCGAGATGGCGCGCGGTGCTTCTTGCGAGGGTAACTCGGATGGGATTAGAGGATGGGGAGCGAGAAACGGATGGACCAAGTTCTGGGCGAAAGGAGAAGGGAAGGGGAGTGTATAGGTAGGAACCGTTGCTCCGTGTGCCAGATGTACCCCGTCGTGGATTGGGTGGGTTGGGAGCAGGTAGGTGTGCTTCACGTGAGCCATGCTGTCTGTTATGATATAGGTTATCTGTTTGAGGGGTGTTTATTTTTGTCGTCTTGGTTGTGTTACTTTTTGCTTCCTATTCTACCTCCCATCTCGCTCTGCTTGTAGAGAAGATGAGACATAGAGGGCTTAAGGTGACAATTCTTGCTGGAGGCCTCCATACATTACAGGAGCCTGTCAGGAGACATGCTATTCCATGTCCCAATACCCTCTCTTTTCTCCACCCACTCAGATCATTCGGCTCACCCCTCTAGCACCAGCCTGATCAGTCGTCTGCCCTTCAGCAACATATCCACCATCTTCCCGCCCACACACAAGGCTGCGACCAGCCATCCGGAAGAAAGCCCGACCACCAGAACAACCCCCCTCCCCTCACTCAGACCCGCCAACCATCCCCTTCTTGAAACCTTAAATAATTGCGCGGGAACAAATAAAAAGCAAAAACACCCCATTACGCGCGCAAAAGCACGAGGGGAAAAAAAACCAGTGTGCCATAGGACAGTCGACAGCACTGAAAAAGTCTAGTCTACATCAATACATGATCAAGAAAACGACCCCACCTTTTCCCACGGTCTCGACCGTCCTTCGAGGGAGGGAAGAGATGGCGCCTCCACATACTTACGCTCTCGCCTATCGAACTTCTTTCTCGGGCCGTCTTTTGGTCGATTCTAATAGCGTGGGTTTGGCTGTTGCAAGGCCGCCCTTGTTGTTTTGGCGGGTGGGTGGCATTCTGACAAGTGTACGCTCTTGTTTTAGGGGAGACGATAAACGCGGACGCTAAAGATTTTTTCGGGATTTGATCTTGTTTAGCAGACAGGCATCAGAATCGACGGTATCCAGAAAAAGTATTAGATAACTCGCCCGATGGTGTGCTAACACAGACATCGGATGATATTCGAGACGTCAATGAATTGGTTGACACCTGATCAAGAGAACCATCTGCATACATACCTCACTTACTTACGCACCTGTGCACGATTGCTTCGAAACCTCACACATGACAATTTGGCTAAAAAGGAACGCGGCAACTTCCATTACCTCGATAACATCATGACATTTTTGCTCCTGGACGATAGATCACTAATGCATTTCGCCTTAGGAAGGGTTTGCGAGATTTGCCGCCAAAACACCCACCACCACAATGAAGCCTTGCGGCCTCTGCTCCGCGGCTAGACCATCGGTCCCTGCGTTTGCGTGTTTCTCTTTCCTCACTCCCTGTACCGCGTCCTTTTTTTTTCTTTTCATGGTAGCCCACGGTGGAATTTCGCCGAGCTTTGCGAATAGGTAAGGGCAGGAAAAAGCAATGAGAGGGGGGAGATGAGGGACTAGCGAGGTTCTGTCGCAAACAAGTTATTGGTTGCGGGTTAGGTTATCCCCCCCCCCCGTCCAAAACGCACCACCACTCTCTGCGTTCCAAACATGGCACTTGGCGAGCGTTCATTTCAAATGGATGGGATACGCGAAGAGACAGGAGGAGATGAAGAGGAAGAACCAGAAAAGGAAAGAAAAGGGTACCCAAAATAATAAAGATTGATGGATAGGGACAGGGAAAGAAAAAAGTATCAACGTGATTTCTCCCCAACAACGACAACGACGAATTTTTTTTCTTTTTTTTCTTGCGAACTCGAGCCTTGCAACCTTTCTTTATTATGATTTCTCCGGGTTGGAAAACAGATCCCTCCCCTCGTCCATTAGCTCATCGTATAAGCTAAATCCCTTTCCCGCAGAAAGGAAAGACCCGTGGACTCACGAGGAGAGAGTCTAGACAAAAACACGCCAGCCAGGCAGCGCAGGCCTTGGTTTCGACCCTCGCCAACCCATGTTGACCGACTGCACGCGGCCCTAAAAAAAGAGGCAAACCTCGGTGTCCTTCAATGCATGTATGTATGTACATATTACATATACGTGCGGGATGCGCATGCATATGCATTGCATGTTACATGCAGTGATTTACTTGGTCATCTCTCCCTCTCCCTCTCTCTCTATGTTTTCGTCTTTGGCGAGGCTCTCGCACCTACCTACCTCTCGTTTTGTCTTGTGCATATATTATGTGTGAAGGAATTTTGGGTTTGAAGCATGGAGGACCCCCGCTTCTTCGACTGAGACAGGAGGCGTGCTCGTAAAAAATGAGAACAAAGCCTACCCATCTGTGACCTCTTTGAGATGATAATAATCTCCGCCGCCTGCGCTTCCCGCCTATCCGAGAAAATGCTGTGTGTATGGGTGGGCTGGTGTGTTATCTGAGTGTTTATGCGTTGTGCTGCGTTGGGGAGGTAGTACGCATGGCACAAATGTTGCGCGTGCCTTGCTCAAGCCTTCTCAGCACCCGCGCCTTCCATCGCTCATCGCTGCTTCGAACTTATCGAGCGGATTCCCATCGAGCTTCGCGGGGGAAAATGATTGCTTGATCGACTTGATCAAGACGCTTGTAGTTGAAGTAGAGTTGAAGAGATGGGCCCCTTGGAGACGGGCTGGCTTCCATTTTCGCACTAGTGCGCTTTCAAGACCATGCACGCGCCGCCTGCGGCCCGTCCATCTGTCATCATTGTCAACAGTCACCAGCACACGCGCCCAGGACGAGCCTTTGTGAGATTCTGGGCAAGTGAAGGTAGTACGCCTGAACTTGTGTTCGCAGCCATGAATCCGTGATTCTTGCTTACGATATCTTCCAACTCGTTTTTGTTTTTCACGTCGTGTTGATGGACTATTGTAAGACATTCCGGTAAGGCAAGTCTTCTGTTCGGCTTCGTGGTGAGATCGTCGTACTTGATTGTGCTTTCCCTTGGTCGTGTCACCAAGGGCGTCGTATCGCTTGCCACATCCGTGCAGTGCCTTATTGACTTCGGGGGGAGAAAGAGGTTGGCAGCATACGGCGGTACCTAGCGTTAGAAGCGCCGTCGCAGTAGTGAGGGCTATTCCTGGGCAAAGCGATCTACTGCTAGGGTATGGCACGCGAGAAACAAACGGCAATGGCCAATGTCGGGTTTTTGAAAAGAAAATCCAATCAGCAGAAAAGGCAGTCGAGCAGTGGTGGCGATGAAGTTTCGGTAATGCCAACACTTGATAACAACGAGGCTTGGACCGAGTCGCGAGACGATGGCAAGACTGCAAGTGGGGACTTGTCGCTCAATCGTGGAACAGCGAATCAAAACTACCAAGTCGAGGATATGCTCAGGATAAACACTAGTATGCAACTGTCGCAGCAAGCCAACTATGATTTCCTGGCCAGCACTACCACTAAACGCCGGAGAACGGATGACGATGTGGAAACCCTCAATACCGGCGGAGCCCCTTCAACTACCTGGGACAGTTATGGTTTCTATCCTTTTACGGGGACGATGGAACCGTCCGATATCGAGTTGCCCCCTAATCCTTTCGCGGATACCACACCAAGTCAAATTGGTACGGCTCCAAATGCCTCACTTGCAGACAACGAAGTTGACAATCTACTCGGGAACAGGATCCACAACGGTCCCCAAGCAAACGCGCAATACCTCCACAGTATGAAGAATCGCAATCTTCAGGACCTCTCGCAAGCAAGACCTCTTTCCCTCACTCATCCGCCGCCAAACAATCCCATCTCCAACTCGCACTATCTCCAAGCTCTACGCGACCGTTTTGAAGGGCGGAAAAATAGTCACGATGCGCTGGAAAAGTCCAACAATCCTCTTGCAAATATGCAATTCTTGCACGGAACCGGAGGAGGGCCATCTGATGATGGTTCAGTACCGGGTGCTAGCCAACACCAAGCTCACAGTCATGCAACTCAGATGCAACGACCGCAACAACAGTTCCAGCAAGCAGCAGCAAATACGCAGTACCTAAGTCAACTTGCATCTCCCGGGACGCAACAGCAACAGCATCCACAGTACAGTTCTGAATGGTTCAGTCAATTACCACCACATGCTCAGCAACATGCTCGTGCGCAAATGGCATTGGAAGCGCAACGAAAACAAAAGGCTTACGCCAATACGCCGTTTATGAACCAATCACCATCAACTGGGATTGTACTGGCTCCCCAACCAGTCCTCCAACAAGCGCCTGCCAATACACAATTTCTGAGTCACATCCCTAAATCTACGATGCATAATGTGCAATCACCTGAAAGCAACACAATAACACAGCCGAATGAACTTCATCAACCCAAACAGTCATGGACGCAAAACGCACAGTTCTTAGGCCATATAGACTCACAGCAGCAACAACCCCAAGCGTTTCGAACAAGTCAACCTAACCATGTATTCGATGAGACAGCATCGCTATCATTTAATCAACCAGAACCCTACCTATTCAACGATATGGCCAGTCAGGGAAATATAGGGCAGACACAGTCGAATCCTGCCAGTTCGCAATCTATTGACCAGATGCAAGTCGCCCAAGCGCAAGGTACACGACCTGCTGAACAGCGCCAGCAAAGCAACCCCAAGGAGTCCCCGGAGAATTCGATGGCCGAGAGACGCAAAAAAGGAAACAAAATGGCGTTAACACACTATCTCAAGAAGAAACAAGCGTCATCTAACAACAAAGCTGGAGGTGCTCGGCCCGGTTCGGTGACAGCGCGAAAAGCGGCCTCTTCATCGAAATCACCAGCAGCAGTCCAGTCGACTTTTCGATATACGCCATTCCCAGAGAGCCCTAATTTCATACGCCTCCTGTCATTCGAGATGGCCCCTTCCCCCGCTGCTGGGGATGGAAATGACCTCTTTTGCACATTGGCAATCCAGAACCCCTGGAAAAACCATATAGACTACCACTGTCTGTCTTATTGCTGGGGCGGCGAAGAGAAGACGCACAGAATTCATATAGCGAATTCGCAAGACAAGTCGACGTATAGCACAATTCCCATTACTAACAACCTCTATCGCGCATTAAAGCAAATAAGACATTCTCAGGGATTCCAACACCTGTGGGTTGACGCCCTTTGCATCAACCAAGATGATGCCAAGGAACGCTCGGCGCAGGTGGCCATGATGAGGAGAATCTATAGTCAATCTTCAGGGGTAATGATCTGGCTTGGAGAAGGCGAGTCGGAGCAGTTCGCGCAGTCATGCACCGAGATCATCGACACCATGTCGACTCGATTTACGTCAGCCACTGGAGTTCCCCACGACTCTATCATAGGATCTCAGGGCTTGACGCTGAATCTCCAACAGCTGGAGGCGCTTCGCGTAGATGCTACGAGCTTACCTGCTCGCTATGACATTTACACACAGATTTCTCGCTTCTTCATGTTGCCATGGTTCCGTCGCGTTTGGGTGCTTCAGGAGGCTTTTGCGAACACTACGGTTCTTGCTTGGTTTGGTTCTCGACACTTGTATTGGGGCCAAATCATTCTTGCGGCTCTGTGGCATTCGTTCCTCATCCGCGACTTCATCTCCAAGCCGGAGGTGGACGAGCAACGGGACGTCCAGGGGTACCTTCCAGAACTATGGCTTGGTCTGGTACACAACAGAGTGCCGCGCGGTCTGTCGATGATCGAACTGGTCTGCCGCGCGCGAGACTTCCAGGCCACCGACCCTCGAGACAAGGTATTCGCGCTGATAGGCCTCGCGAACGACTCCCCAGCTATACGTCCAGACTACACAAAGACCAAAATACATGTCTACACCGATTTCGCGAGGACAATCATATCGCAGACGGGGAACCTCGATATCCTTTCCGCCGTCGACACCTTCACGTCTCGATCTAACCCCCGCACCACGCCCTCATGGATGCCAGACCTCGACGTCTCCATCGCCACCATCCGCGGCCTAGGCTTCCCACGCAAATACAACGCATCCTTCTCCACCACCGCGACGCTCCACCATGCGCACGCAGCGAACCCTCCTCCAGACCCCACCGTCCCCCCACAACCCCTGCGCCTCACGGGCTTCGAAATCGACGTCCTCACCCCAACAATCTCTCCGCTCCTCTCCCTATCCAAAGACCTCCGCCTCTACATCGGCCCCTCCCCCACAGCAATCTCCACAATCTGGCAATCCTACATAAGACGGCAACGCGGGTTCCGCGCGCAGCACCCCGGCGCAACGCTCAAGGCCTTTGTCCGCACCCTCACCGCCACGGGCTTCGCCCTCCCGACCTCGTTCCCCGCACACCCTCTGGGCTCCGTCGTCCCCGCCGAACACGCCCCCTCGCTGCACCGCGATTTCCTCGCTTTCTACCTCCGCGCCGATCCAGAACTCGCCGTTTTGCAGGACGTGCCTGGGTTCGAGAGTAAGGAGTTTGTGGGGACGCTGGCGGGCGGTGGCGACGCGGACCAGTTCGCTGTGTTGGCTGGTAAGGCTTGCGACGAGCGCGTCTTTGTTGTCACGCGGGCCGGTAGGCTTGGGTTGTGTCCGAGGGATGCTAGGGCTGGCGATAGAGTCGTCGTGCTTTATGGGGGGAGTGTGCCCTATGTGGTCAGGCCGCTGCAGGACGGCACGTGGGTTTTTGTAGGCGAGTGCTATGTCGATGGCATCATGTTTGGGGAGGCTCAGAACCTGAAAACGCAGATGGGGATTCAGGATTGGGTTTTTGATATTTGTTGAGCAGGGGGAATCTTATAGACGTGTGGGTGTATAATACTGATTTCTATAGTTTTTAAAGGCGACTACAGTCGATTTCATATCCCCGTGTTCAAAAAAATAAAAATAGAGATCAGGGCATCCTTGCATTATTCATAGTGATTTGCTGTTAAACCACGAGAACGTGGGTTGACCACTGTGTATCATATAATTCCTGATATCGTCATGAGCATGGTCTACTCCTTTGCACCAAAACGCCTACAAATGCTTCGCTAGTATCGCCACGTGATCACTGCAGACCAATCTTGTTTCCAAATCCCCTCAAGCCTGCACTAATACCTTCACCAAATGAAGATGGTGCATTTTCCCTCTGGTGGCTGTTCCTTTCAGGGCGGATTTCCATGCCGGCGGCCAACATGTTCAGACGTGTCAATCGAAGTTGCAAAGTATGCTCATATCGCTGCGCCATCGATAGTGCATCGTTGTGAACATTGAACCGGGGATTTGTGGGTGGAGATATGAGAAGTCTATCGACGAGATCGATCCGTGCGTTGAGGGTGCCGTCATTGATCATGGCCTCCAGCTCATCTTCGATGGTGGCATGCTCACGAGTGAGTTGGAACTTTGAGGCCATTTCGTCTAATGTCACGCAGCTGAATGGGATGAAGTACTGGACAATGCTCTTTGTCCTGATACGGCTGTATATGTCGCCTACCACTTCGGAGAGGAAAACATCGAGCAAGTAGTCGCTTCGATAGCTCTCGAGTATTTCGAGACAAGCACTGTACTTGGAGCTGCAGAAAAGATTTATAGCGCGACGGATGTGAGGTTCCAGCTCAAGGAAGTTGCGGAAGTCGTTGTTGGCGAGAACTTGGTTTTGTAGCTCCGTCCGATCCATGGATGCAAGTGCGCACAAGCCGCCATATACAGCAATATCGTTGCCTGTCAATACTTCTCGCTGCCACTTGATTCCTGCCGCGGGCTCGGCGGTCAAAAATGCGGGCGACGTGTTGATAAAGCTCAAGGCAGCTTCCCGGAAGCGACCAAGGCTCATGTGAGCCAAACCTGCAAGAGCGGAGAGAAGCGGATCCAACTTGGTCTTCTCGTCGCCCTTGAGCTGTGCCGAATCTACCTTCATAAGGTTTTGTTGTGCTGTCAACCATGCTTTCGAGGCGATACTGACGAATACAAGGCGCAGAGCCATATCGGCAAGGTGTTTGGTCGAGGTGCAGTGTTCGCGCATGCGTAAGTAGGCTTTGAGAGCATTGGTCCAGTCGCCACAGGCATAGTAGAAGTGGCCCATGTCCTCGTTACCCATCTAAAAGCTGTCAGAATCGCCGGTTTTTGGAAAAGAATGAGAATGGGTCCATAACATACCCGGATGCTCTCCTTGATCAAGTTGTTCTTGTACGACTTCAACTCATGCTCCAATTTGTCTTGCTCATTTTGTACTTTGCGTGTCTTTTCCTCAGCCCAACGTGTGTCTGTCAACGCTTCGGGATCATCGGGAGCAATCTGGCTGTATTCTGCGACGAGATCGAGGTAGAGCTGTACGTTCTTGCCTTGGAGTGCCTCGGCGATGGCTGCTCGGTACGCATCCGTTGCGAGATAAGGAGAGTGTGAGCCGATATGGTGGAGGCGGTCGATGCGAGTGAAGCCTGACAAAATCAGCCTCTAATTATCTCACTTGGAGGGGTAATGGAGAATAAGTACCATCGTAATTGGAGATGTATGATTCGAGGTCGAACTTCGGGGGATCTAGATCAGTTAGTCGGGTTGCGTCGTCATTTAGGATGCAACGAGGATTACCCTTGACGATTTTCGCCTTTCGTCTCCGGAAGAATGGCGAGTCCGCTAAATCTGAAGCCATGGTGGTGTTGAATCGGGATGTCGTGTGGTGGTGTAAGTAAGCCTCTTGCGGAGCTCTGCTGGTAGGCGCTGTGTTGTTGCTATGCTGCCTGGGGTGCCAAGACCCCCACCAACCCCCGCTAGGCCACTACATGTACTGCTATGCTCACCTTTCTGCAACTACACATCATCGCCATCTTGTGCCCAATCCAAGTCTATTGTTCAAAAGGTGTGGCATGCGTCTATTTCTTGGAGATATATAGAGATTGTGAGTCTATACAGTGTAATACACGAGGAAGAAACAAGATCCAGTGACGAAGCTCGGTTTCACATCGAAGGACTGACAAAGGTCAACTGGTATATCACTATCATTTCCCGGAGAAAGTGTTGAATGATATCTTGAGATGGAGGAATGATCGCACGTCTCATACAAATGCGGTATTCCATTCTAGCGACTCGTCAACCTGAGCATAATCACGATTCCCATGGCGTATAGGAACATTGAATAACTGAACAAAATGGTCGAAGAATGATTTCCCGATTACTTCAGAACAATCAGTGACGCTCACGCGTTCCGTGTACACTTTTCCGCATGAGCATTTTCATTCATTGGATAAATGACGTATCTTCGCACAAGTGGGGGACACGAGTTATCGACATCACACCTTCCCTAAAGAGCTTGATGTACCTGCAGGGCCCATGGATAAATCGACACTTGCGAGAAGCGTGGCCCATCACGTACTCGACGACAGCGATTAGTGATGATAATTATGCTAGACTGCATGCTCACCACGACCCAAGAACCGGATTTGGGCTGGTGTAATATCCGCCCGATATAAATTATCCGAGACCATTCCCCCGCTATGTCTTCGACGAATTTCAGGGTTGATCTTGGATGCCCTTACCTCGTCCCTCTTTGGTCACCAAGGGAAACACCTGGATTAATACCCCGCCATGGCAATACTCGCATCGGGTTCAAGCTGGAGAACCAGTTGTCTGTTGATACTATGCTGGTTTACAACCACTATAATAGCCAAGCCCGTAGCAACAGTGTTGAACGGAACATACGAGGGTCTTTACCTTCCTGCCTTTGATCAGGATGTTTTCCTTGGAGTCCCTTTTGCGCAAAGTACCGGAGGATTGAATCGATTCCGTGTTCCGCAAGCACTCAATACAACATGGAACGGTACCCGAGCGGCCAAGCAATATGGACCCGCTTGCCCTGATTTCCAGCTTGACAGAGACGGCACATATGGCATGAGCGAAGACTGCCTTAGTATCAATATCGTCAAGCCGGCGAACATTCCTGGAAATGAGAGTTTGCCAGTGGCGGTTTGGATACACGGCGGCTCGTACCAAGTTGGTACCAGTTCGCTGCCGAATTACAACCTTACATATATCGTACAACAATCGGTGGATATTGGGAAGCCCGTAGTCGCTGTCAGTATCAACTATAGAAAGGGTGGATGGGGTATGTTGTATTCTCGGGAGATTCAAGGCACTGGGAACGCGAACCTATCGCTCCGAGACATGCGCAAAGCACTGGCCTGGATATCAGAGAACATTGGAGCGTTTGGTGGGCAAAAAGAGAGTGTAACGATATGGGGAGAATCTGCTGGGAGCTTCGCTGTGGGGCAATTGCTCATGTCGTACGGCGGACGGACTGATAACCTATATCATCGAAGCATACAGGAATCCGGGTCAGCCGCAACTGCTTGGTACAATGGAACCGACTACTACCAGCCCATATATGACAAGATAGTACGCCATACCAACTGCACAGATGAGGTGGATACCTTGGAGTGCCTCCGTACCATCCCGTACGATACTATTTTCCCATTCTTGGACAGTTCAAAAGTCGGCGGTCCAGGCTTCTATCCGGTAGTAGATGGCGACATCATGCCCAACTACCCAACCGAACTCCTCCACTCTGGTCGCTTCGCACATGTTCCTCACCTCTACGGCTCTAATAGCGACGAAGGTACTGACAATGCACCTCGCGGCGTCATCAACACCGACGACGATTTATACGCTTTTCTTCTGAACAGCACGGGCTTCGATTTCCCACCGTCTGTTGTCCGCGACATCATGAAACTCTACCCCGACGACCCTACAGTCGGCATCCCACTGAACACGGGAATGGAGAGATTCGCAGAGAATGGGTACCAGTATAAACGCATCGCCGCCATCATGGGCGACGTCTTCTATCACGCGACTCGTCTCGATGATGCGAGATGGTACTCGAAATACGACCCAACCTATATATACCGCTTCAATACACGGCCCTTCCAAAACAACACGAATGCAAACTATACAGACTATGTTGGGTCTTTGGCTCCTGCATACAAGGGCGTTCAACATTTCAGCGAAGTGGCGTTTGTTTTTGCCAATCCGAGTTTTGTTGGGCCGTGGGAGGAGTATAAGGCGTTGAGCGATCAGATGAGTGCGCAGTGGATTCATTTCATTCATGGTGGTGACCCGAATGCAGAGGGACTGCCGGAATGGCCGAAGTACAGTGAGGGAGAGGATGGATTGAATTTGGTTCTTCAAGCCCAAGGAAGAGGATACAATGGGAGTTATGTGGAGCAAGATACGTATAGGCTGGCAGGCAGAGAATATCTGACCCAGTGGGCGAGAAGGAGGCATGTTTGATCCATCAATGGCATATCGACTTGCCCGTTTACCGCTCAAAGCTTCATCAGCCGGTATGAATAGTCTAACAATAAAAATTCTCGAGCCGTCAAACACAATGAACAGCCAACTTAGATCTTTGACCTTCCTTGACTCTTCTTCTCCATCTCCGCCCGCTTCTCCGCAAACCTCTTCAGCGGAGCATCCTCGACAAACCGTTCAGCCAACGCATCTACCGCATTGAGAACCGCCACCATCCTCTGATCTCTGATACTCGAGTTCTGTAGCCTCTTCATCTCAATCATGCTCTTCCCATCGTTGGCCGCCAACTGGCCTTCGAGGAACTTGGCCACCTCCGCTTGGAACTCATCGCCTGTCTTGTCCCACACATAGTTGTACATGCCAGCCGCAAGCAACTCGTCAGCGGACAACTTACGGCCGAACATCAGGAAGTCGTTGGCACGGTGTATTCCAATGTGCTGGGCAAAAGAAAGCGCGGATCCGTTCTCTGGAACGAGAGCTAGAGCGCTGAAGGGGCATTGAAGCCAGGCCGTCGACGAGGCGAGAACGATATCGGCGATGCCAGGGAACCAGGCGGCTCCACCGCCAACACCCGGACCATTCAGAGCCAGAACGAGGACCTTTTTGTGGTCGATCATTGAGCGGAGGAGTTCGATGGCTATTTTGAAACGCTTTTGTTAGTTGTTTCGTTGTTTGATTCGATGCTGTGTATCCAGATGTCCACATAGAGATACGACAGGCAGGATACATTTTTTTTGAGTGGGAAAGAATGTAATCAAGATTCCAACTCACCATAAGCAAATCTCTGCAAGAAAAAGACTTTCTTTTCCCCGGCATTTGTGTACGGCGGAAGTCCAGAAGTTGCTGATGAAATTGCTTCACAGTTTACCAGTCAGCACAAATCCATATATATATACGTAGGTATACAGCTCGTAATCAGATGGCATCCGACATCACCGCTCCGAAAGTAAACGTACCCTTGACATCGGCGCCCGCGGAAAAGAACCGTCCTTCTCCCGTTATGACGGTAAAGACAGTGTCGGGGTGGTCATTGAGCACCCGCAGAGCGTCTATGACATTCTCGATAAGATTGCCTCCAAAGGAATTGAGAGCTTTGGGACGGTTGAACTACCCGATAATCAGCTTGTGTGAACCCAACAAACAAGACTTCCTCTACAAAACGCCGCGTTTCAAGGATATAAATATACTCGGAGCAAGCTTACCTTGATAACTCCAACCTGTCCCTTGATTTCCAGTTTGATGTCGGAATACGCCATGGTATTGGTTCGCTTGATTGCTGTTATCTGCAATCTGTATCTTTCCTCCAAGAGGGAAATGATAAGAAGAATGTGGAGATGAGAGAGAGAATGCTTCTTTACCTGATTTAGGTGCAGCGCTTCTGGAAGTTCTCTCGCTGACGAGGTTGGTCTATATGTGGAGTGGGGACCGTGCCGTAACGGATTACTGATACCCGTCTTGTACCCTGTCACCTGTGCCTCGGCTGTTCGCAAATGGACGTCGTCAACCAGCAAACGAGTTCTTTTTCGCGAATAGCAAATTCCACAACAATGTCGTGTCACCACTTCAATGGCCTATTACTTCACATCCGAATAGCAGAAATTACCCACAGATTGGTACGCAGGATTCACACTGGTTGTATTAGGTTCGGTATATCATTCACATCGAGGTGTAGATTTCTTGGCGAATCGCTTAGTGGTTCACGCGAAATAGCCTCGGCTCGGTTGAAAATCTGGGGGGCATGTGGGTATTGTCTGGATTTCTAGAGCTACCCCAGGGTCTGATCAAACGCCATACAATTATTATATCGTTCCAAAGCCAATGTCTGCTGAATGGAACAAAGACCGCAGTAAGCATCTAGAGCTTGAGCGAACACTAACAGGAACGAATGAGTACAAAACATACTCTGCGTATATTAACTAAGTCTAACCATAGGGGTTTCTGCATACCATCTATTTGTACATAGACTTCTAGGTGAACGCTCACAAAACGAAAAGGGGAATGTTTTCTCAACAGGTCATAATCTTACAGCCGGAACAGACACTTCTCCACCCGTTCATCCTTCAAAGACTCCATGATTAAGTTCAACTCCAAAGTCCTTCGCCATGACCCGCATCCTCTGCTCGATGTCCTCTTCCATACCTAGACCGAGGCCTAGCACTTGCTTGACTCTCGAATAGAAGAATACTGCATCGCTTAATAGTAGCACGAATCTGAATCTCAAATGCTTCACCCAATTGGACCATCTTTCCTGTCTGCTCAAGTCCATGCTTTCGGTTAATGCGCGACTGGCCCACAGCCCAGTGATCTTGATTCGATTGACCGGAGACCCAAGGAACTGATTGTTGCCCTGAACAATTCGCAGATTGCGACCTATGAAGATGAGTTCGCGAGGCCATTTGTTTTCGTCGCCGAGCATCTGCTTGATGCCATCGCGAGCTTTGGCTTGGATCTCGAAAGCCCGTTCTTGCTGTGTTTTCCCTTTGGGATTTTTTCGGAGCTCGTTGAGCGTGGAGTTGTCTCCGCCTGCATATGGCCGCATCAGCGTCGCAGAGGCAAATATATCAGGCTGATTAATGCCCCATTCGCTGACCACATCTTTGATGGTGTCGTTGTCAAAGGCGAGAAGAGACTTCCAGAATAGTGCGTATTGATGCCGGAACTTAGGGTTCATCTGAATGTATAGGCCATGATCAATCAAAACAACTTCAGGGTCGCCATTGGGAAGACGGCGAATGAAAATGTTGCCAGGATGGGGATCGCAATGTACAATGCCCCACAGGAACATCTGCGCGCTGAAGAGATCCACGATAGTGTTCATAGTGGTCTTGAGTGAAAGGCCGAGTCCACCGCTTGTGTTGGCGCCGCGCCAGCTTGAACGATTCGGCTTGAACAGAGGGTTTTTTGGTGCATCCTCAGGCACTCGAGTGTCGATATCGACCTGGTTTTGGGGCAATGGTGGAAGCCGAGTGCCACCGGCTCCAGGACTTCCCTGGTGCCATCCGCCCTTCCATCGATTCGTGATGCCTTCCTTATCCCAAAGACGCACACCTTCAATCCATTCAGCTGTCATGACTCTCTTACTCGACAACTCACTGTACACCTCTGGGATGTACACTCTCCCGTTCAGCCTTTTTTCTCCCGCGACGAGTTCCCTCATTTGTCGTGCGTTGTTCGCCTCGTTCTCGAAATCCGTTTCCAGCATCAAGCGCTCCGTGATGTATGGCACAAGAGTATAGATCGGAATGCCAAACCACCAGGAGTACGTTCTGGCTACAACTTTGAAAGCCCATAGGTCCCATCCCACCTGGCTTGCGATCTCTCTCTTCTGGATCTTGATGGCGACCTCCCTTCCGTCCGCTAGCCGGGCCCAATGTACTTGCGCCACACTCGCGCTCGCTCTGGCCGTCTTTTCCATTACCCCTTTGCCTTGTTCCTGCGCAAAACTCACGCCAAAAACTTCTTCCACACTTTTGCCAAAGTCTTCTTTAATCACCTTCTCGACTTCCCACCACTCATTTTGCGGTGCGTCATCGAACATCTTGCTGAACATCTGTTGAAACTCGGGGGGTAATATCGCGCTCTGCATCGCAATTGCCTGGCCGATCTTCAGATAGAGACCTCCATTGTACCTCAGCAGCTCAAAGACCCTCTGCGCGTTGCGAGCATGCAATGCTTCGATACTGTCAACCAGGGGCGGGTTCGGGCGGAAGTTGATTTTGTAGTCCAAGCCAATTAACAGCCCCGTATAAAACGTGCGCGAGCTTCGTGTGAGGGCGGAGGCATTGAGATACTTGTCGGCGACGTATCCAGTGCCGAGCAACGTGGAGAAGATGGCGAGGCGCCGCACCCACTTTCTGCGGCGAAATGGGGGTTTTATCTTGCGAGGTTTGGGTTTAGGCAACTCTGCGGGGTTGGGAGGGCGTAAAGGCTGCCATGCTTGCGACTGAACATGGCGCGCGATTGAGGGTCGTAGTTGTCGCGTGAGGGTTGGAGTAGAGGTTAGGAATCGTAGGTTAGCATGAGGTATTCTAGCAACTCGCAGGAGTTGCGAGCCATGTATCATGACTGCCTGAAAACGAAGAGATTTATCAAAGGTGGGATTGAAACCCTGTGTTGGGAGGCGTCCATGGTACTAATTATCTAGTCCAAAATCCACGGACGAAAGTCATGACGCAACCCGAGATCCGCGAATTCACCGGGCGCACGGGCCAAAGCGACTCTCGACAACCCAATTTCTTCCGACTCTGCTTACATCTCACCAGGCGAAATCGCACCCAAAAAGCCGACATGGCTTGAGATCCCGAGTCATATCAGAAAACACGGTACCGCATTTCCTGCGCTTACATAGTGTGGAGTTCCACAGCCACTTCGTATCCCCCAAATTGTCTCGCGACAAGACTGCATGAACTTCCGTGAGCGCGATTCTTCGTCGAAACACACTTTTCTCTGTGGATTTACCTACAAGATATTTGCATGATGAGGAGGAAGAACAGCTGAGGCATCAAGTGGCGATCTTCGAATCACTGTGCACCTGCAGAACCTCCTGTCTGAGAGGTCTCTCAACCTTGAGATGCAGCTTCTGTTTCCTTTGGACGTACTGCTTTTTTTTTTTCATAGGCAAACAGAGCTCGGCCGGGATGTTCGTGGCAAATGATGAGGAAACAGTGCTCAAAACTGTTCCGTCGCGACTGAACTCTCATCTTGGCCTCTCTCTGTGGCCTTCAAGTCGATGCCCCACTTGTCCGCTAGGTCGCGAACCTTGCTCATCCACATCTTCATGACTGGATGTTGCTCAGCAACTTCTTTAAAAGTTACTTCGTCGTCTTTGCCCTCCACCTCCCACTGCCATATCCCTTCTTCGTCAATCCATTTCTGACTCAAAAGTTCTTGTATTGCTAGTTCGGTCTGTGCTTCATTCCACAGCTTCTCAACGTCCGCACTCTGGGCCTCCTTACGGCTTTTCAAAGCCTCAGTAGTACCCTGGAGCAAACCTAACACATAGCCTACAAGAATGCCCAGGTTGGCTCCGAGTGAATAGCCCTCATCGAAACCCTCTTGTACAAACTGGCCTTTGCTGTTCGTAAGCCCTTCTCTGTAGGCATCCGTATCGAGAGCGCGCTGGCGAGAAGGCAGATCGGACAGAATTTCTTCGGACTGTGATGGGTTTTGAGTGAGGAGCGGGGAAGACGGGGCAGAACCGTAGATGTCATCTAACAAGTCATTCTGCGGCGGGGTCGGAGGAGCGTTTCCGGTTGGAAGTGGGAGTGGCAATAGACTAGGAGAAAGTTCACGAAGCATTTTGATCTCGACTGAACCGAAGCGAAATAAATCGGTGTGCTGCTATGGATAATTCAGACTTGTGATGGAGAGATTCACAAAACTTTGGATCGTGTTAGCGTGGGATCGGAAGCATCTCGGATCTTATCTCGGATCTAAACGAGCCTACGTCGGATCTACTCAGGGTCCTTCTGTTGACTCGTAGGTGTCAAGCAGGTACAATAACTATTACTTGTGGCTCGTTGATGATCTTTGTCGCAACAGTTCGGACGGTTGACAATCGGCCGTAGATATTCCAGTATTGCTCGTAGCCAATACGAAGCACCCTGGCACGGAACTCCACCGCTTCGTCCGCGTAGGAGTTCCGCCTCGTCCGAGCGTACGGCGTTAAACTTCAAAACCTGGCCCCTTGATCAATTAACACCGCCAGCGCACAAAAGCCGGGCACAATCGCGATACTTTCGTCTGCATAACATAGATAAGGTAAAAGACATATAAGGGGAGTAAGTCTGCATCACCAACTCATCATATACCATATCGTCAGCTTGCCAAACATCCCCTTTGGCCAATCAAAATGTCTGCCCTTTTCCCTAAATCCGCTTCCAAAACAATGGTATCGCTTGCTGAGGTGCGGTCTCATAACTCAACCCTCAAAAATCTGGCACCCGGCCTTGTAGCAGTATTCGTGGGCGGTACAAGTGGCATCTCTCTCTACACGGCCCAAGAATTCGCGCGCAACACCACATCTCCACACATCTACCTTATCGGCCGAAACGAAACCGAAGCCGAACGCATACAAAAAGAGCTCAAAACCATTAATTCATCTTCCACCATCGACTTCATCAAAAAGGACGTCTCGCTGCTTAGAAAAGTAGACGAGGCATGCAAGGAGATCAAAGAAAAGGAGAAGAAGATCAACCTACTCTTCATGACCATTGGCGCAATGACCTTCAAAGGAAGAACCGAGACGGAAGAGGGCCTGGACAGGAAATTCGCTCTGCATTACTACGCCCGCATGCGCTTCATACAAAATCTCGCCCCTCTCCTTACAGCTGCGGCAACGGACGCCGACCCCAAAGCAAGCCTCTCCCGCGTCGTCTCTGTTTACGACCCGTTCATCGGCAAGGACAAGCAACCAAACTTTGACGATCTCTCCCTTAAGAACAACTTCTCTCTGGGAACCTGTGCTGCGCACGCCAGTGCCATGCAGAATTTCGCTCTAGAGCGTTTCGCGCGATTATACCCGCAAACTTCGTTCATCCATGAGCAACCCGGGGCCGTAGAAACCGGCCTGGCGAAATCTTGGGCCCTAAAGCCCTTGTATTTTTTGCTGCGACCGCTTATGGTGGGGAAGAAGGAGAGCGGAGAACGGCATTTGTTCGCCTCTACGGCTCCGCGATACGCACCGCGGTCAAAGGCCGAGGAGAAGGGGGTGGTGGTGGGAGCTGATGGCGTGCAAGGAAGTGGGCACTACCATTTGAGCTATAGCGGAGAGGCTGATGGCGAAAGCAAGATCTCTGCTGAATTGAGAAAAGACCGTGCCGAGGAGAAGATCTGGAATCACACAGAGGAAGTATATAAGAAAGTGTGTGATGAGAATGGGAAATACTAATTTTTGAGCCGTGGTAGGTGTACCAAGTTGATCGGGAAAACTCTCCCATGTCCTTTTAGATACCATGATTTCCTAGATATCTCTTTATTGCAAGAATTGTAATATTATGAATTTCAACCATCGTTGACATAATGTAATTGTGAGAACATAAACATTCGAAAACATTAAAAATACAACACTAGAACCTATCAGCTATAATGTTAGTAGCCTGCACGGCAATACCTTATGAATCGATCCTATAGCCTAGAATAAGATTCTCTACCATATTAATACACACCTGTAAATCAAAATCCTAGCGACTTTTTACAGTGGGCTGTTGTTCTTGAGTCTTGTACCCCATTTCCCCATGTCTTGAGACACTGATCCGTCTTCTATGCGAATTAAATGCCAAAATTCACGATGCCGAATCCTCTTTTCAACACCATCAATATTGCTCCTTGCCCTGCAATCCCTCCACCGCAGCCGTCACAACAGAAACATCTTCTTCAACCGTCCCACCACTAACACCAACCCCTCCAACGAGCTCGCCATCAACGTACACCGGAAGCCTGCACACCGGATAATCAGTTTCAAACCCAACCCCAAATAACATCCTTCTCACCCATCTCTACACAACCACACACACACAGTCGGAGAATAATCATAGGAACCAACTTACCCGCCCCCAAAAACAACCAACCCGCCATTCGTCCTATCCACTCCAAACAAATCCCCGCCAGGCTGCACGGCATCGTAGTACGCGGCGCTCGGCCCGCCGTTGAACAGGACCGATGTGCGCGCTTTCTTCATGCTGATGTCGATGCTGCCGATATACGCGTTGTCCATGCGCTGGAAAGCAACTAGCAGCCCCGATGGGTCGACGACGGCGATGTTTTGCTGCACCGATAGCTTCGCGGCTTGCGAGAGGGCTGAGGCGATGACGGTTTGCGCTTGCGCGGCTGAGATTACGTGGCGTGTTAGGGGTTTTGTTGCGGGGGATGTGGAGTTTGGGGATGCGAGGGAGAGGAGGGGGAGGAGGAGGAGGGAGGAGAGGGTGGTGTTGAAGTGCATTTTTCTTTTCTTTCTGTCTTTCGGGTGGTGGGGAATTAGAGAGAGGTGTTATGGAGAGTGAGGAATTGGCGATGTGAAGACCGGATAGATTGAACAGATATGGAGGAGGGGAACGATAGAAGGAAGGGAGAATGGGGGAGACATTATATATATATATATTTTCTTCTTCTTTTGAATCGTGGGCAAGTAGAGTAAGTCATAGTATAGAAATCATGTCGATATCCAAGTTCCCGAGGCTCGCGATGGCACGAATCCAACTAAGTGGGATAGGATAGTGGATTCGCAAGACAGACAAGCCGTCTTCCATTAGAACCTCGCCAATCAAAAAAGCTTGTTCAGTACCCTAAAAGTTCAGTGCTTCGGCGGTTGCGGGACCCTTTTTGGTCTACGCTCCAACACATCCTTGCGCTCTCGAAAGCGGTGACGGTATATTTGTGAGGAATAGGCCCTTCTCGTCGGTTTCCGACCTTCGTATCATGTAGATAGATGGAGGATATTGAAATCTAGCATCGCTGTTTCGAAGGTCGGAGAGAAGGCTAGTGAACTAGGATTTCTAGATCGGGATGCCCCGATTTTCCGCTGCCATCAGATCACGTATGAGGTTACTACCACTACCACCGCAGTAGCTGCGATGATGGTGTAGTTGTAGGAGACACGCCTACGGCAGATTGCAAAAAACTACATGCTGACAACATGTAGTATATCTTGGCCCTTTGTGACTTTATCTTCGATTTTTTCAGCATGCTGTCATGGCTCTAGAATACTTATAATCTCGATACTGACAAATCATTTTGTTTGCGGCAGTGCATCATGCGATTAAGGAACCATAATCTTCCGGCTTGGGCGTTCCCGTACCGAGGGATATCCACGTAGTGGGGCGTGTTATGGGATCCCTGACGTATACGACAAACACTAGAACATGGCGCCGATCTTAGTTTATTGTGTGTTTTTATGTACGAGACCTCGTTGTGCAAAATATGACGAATACATGGTAAAAGAGAGGACACTAAAGGCAAAAGCGGGAATAACACAAAAGCCTCCAGCCACAACCCACTGCATTTTGCATCGTCCAATTGAGCCCGTGAAACCCAATTTTGCGGGCAAACCTTCTCTGCGATCGCGACCGCGATGTTGCGTGAGCGATCTCACACGCTGTCCAGGTATTCCGACCTCTCGTGTTTCTCGTTGGCCCCGGCTACATCGCCCGGCACGATACTGCTGTTCCTCCTCACTTCTTCTCTCTCGCGTTGCACATACTGCTCTGGACGGCCCTCTGTGATGGCTTGCTTGTCTTTGAAGACAAACAGCGGAGGCTCGCCGGCGAAGAAACGATCGAGATCTTCGAGCGAGCGTCCCGCAGTTTCCGGGTAGAAGAGATACACTGTGTTGTTGTTTTAGCATATTTCATACGTTTGATGTTCAGATAGGAAAATGAAACTGACCTATGGGAATAAAGGAGAAGTTGAAAACAATCCAGATGATGTAGAATCGCCACTGCAGATTACGAATCTGTCAAATGAAGTCAGTAATTTTCTCATGAACGTGAGCATGTGCTTGAGATATACATACGCCTGGTGGCGTTATCTCGACGACCATGAAATTGAAGATCCAGTTTGTAGCGGTTCCAAGCGCAGCGCCCTTTGTCCGCATAGCCATGGAATTGATTTCCGTGGGGTACAGCCAGGGCACACCTTGCCAGCCGATTCCGAAGAAAACATAGTATAGGAAAAAGAAAGCGATGGAAGCTTCGGCCCAGGATCTCCGCGTCGCAGCTGGTAGTGATTCGAGTTCGTTGTACCTGATGCAGATTGTAATGATGAGGTAACAGAAGAATTGACCTGCGAGGATGTTAGTTGATAAAGTAAAGCAAATGCAGCGTCAGCGAATTCGCTCATACCTGCTGCCGCGTACATCATCATCTTTCGTCGACCCCATCTCTCAACGTTGGGGATTCCGATAAGAGAAAATAAGAGGTAAGAAACAGAGTTGCAGGCGGCTAATAGACGGGCTAATGAATTCGAGAGTCCAACAGACTCTATCAAGACAGTAGGTAGATAATACGATGTGACATTGATGCCAGCTAGTGACCAGTCAGTTGGCGTTAAAATTTAGATATTGGTGCACTTACACAATTGCTGCATAGCTTGAGTTCCCATTCCCAGGACCAGTCTGCGCATCGTGTGGGTGCCACCTCGGTCTCCAGTACGACCCCGGAGTAAGTCGCGCCAGCGCACCGCGTTTTCCCTTTCGTATTGTACCGCCCATTGAATGTCTTTTGACTGCGTAATGATGAACGGGTCGTCTACTTCGGTGCTTTCCAGATCAGCAAGAATACGATCCGCTTCCTCTGTGCGTCCCTTCGCCATCAGCCAGCGAGGAGACTCTGGAAGCCACGGCACTGTCGCATAGAGTATGATGATGAAGAGAAATTGGAATGCGAGTGGAACCCTCCAGGCGGCACTTCCGCCAACAAATCTATGCCGCGTGAGCGAATGTCGTGGTGTCTGCAGAGCGCGCTTACGAGAATCCATAAGTGACCCAATTAGACAGAGAGAACCCGGCAATATTCATGATCATTTCAATAACGATGAGCTTCCCTCGCCAACTTGCTTTCGACGTCTCACCTTGCCAGACCGGCGCTGAAGAATACGTGAGCCGAAGCATCTTGACATTCAGAGGAGGAGCGTACCGGTAGAAGTGTTGATACCGTTCCCGATTCCAGCTACGATCCTAAGAACGGGATCAGCTCCACACAGGATGGGTGAGTCTCAATGCCAATTTACCTTCCAACAATCATCTGTGGAACGCCGAATGCAGCGATCTGGAGAATCGCCCCTATCGACATGATGGTAGTTCCCAACAGAATGCAGTTCTTCCTGCCCAGTGGGTCTCCAATCGCACATACAGAGATGGCTCCAAAGAAACAGCCAATGTCGTAGATTGCTGTAACAGTAGAGATGAGTGATGGATTGTTGTTCAGATTCAGCAAGTCGAGAAAGTCGGGCGTGACAATTACTCCGCCTGCTGCTTGTGAGATTTTGAATCCTTCGATAGTCTGAGTACTGACCAAAGACGCCTTGGTCATATCCAAAAAGGGTCATATCGGTCTAAAGGTGAGGCCAACCAATTAGTAAAACTCAGCTACAAGTCTCCCAATGGAGATTGCATGCCCCGGAGAGGCCAGGATAGGGTATCATAGCAAGGTTTTGGTCGAAAAATACGTACAGCGCATGCAACAGTCACCCAAAAAGTGAGCCATGCTCCCTTCATGCCAAAGTAGGGTTTTCCACCCCCAAACATTGTGATGGCTTTCCTGTCAAACAATTGGTACCTCCGAGGGACGAAAGATGTTCATGGAGATGTTCAGTATCTGCGCAGTTATGTGGGCCATTTATACCAACGCAGTGCGGTCTTAACGTAAAGCTCGTTGACCACGTGAGCTACTCATCAGGGCTTTCATGCGAATGCAGTGTAGTACACTATATCTGCTAGACAACAGACCGATGACGCCATGGCTCCGGTGCAAGGCGCCGCATTATGCACCCCGCACACGCTGTTTAGGTTGTTTTCCATGCTGTCCTCTAGTTGATCTGGGGCAGCATGCGGTGAAAAGCGAGCCAGCCCTCATCATCACGGAGGCTGGTGCGCCTCTTGCTCAGGTGATGGGTAGATCCGTCGAATGACGCGGATCGGGACAGCTCCAGCAGTGGGACCCTGGCGTCAAGATGAATCCCAACTGTGATCTCCAATCAACTAGCGACATATGACGACGCATGAGAGGAATCGGTTGAGGCCAATGACATGGGGCATTTTGTGGGAATTCGGGCCGTTTCGGTAAGGCATCTACACGGTGGATTCCGGGTGTTGGTGCGTACAGCGTATGAGGCAAAAACATCAAAATGTCATGTTCAAGGGAGTGTTGAAGTGTTGGAGATGATATTGTTTGGTGTTGAGCGCGACGATACCTAGACGGGACCCCACTGTGTTCCTTGCCGGCAGACCAATCACGTCGCCGAGCGACTCCTCGTGTTCATCTCTATCATTGCCGCATATCCTGATCTGCAATGGCTCTTCTTCATCTCATCTTCTATTTAAACGATGCAGAATGTGCAGTCCATCTCCATCTACGCCCTGACATTCACAGGCGTCGCCTTCGTTTTCCATCAGTCGTTGAATTGGGATATGCGGCCGTCACGTCCAATCCTTCCGTGGCTATGGCTGGCTTCAGCGAGTGCTCAAGACGTCAATGTTGATTTGCAATGGCACGCACCCAACAAAACATGGATCAACGACCTGGCACAGGTTGTAAACGGCTCTGGGACTCACGGATTTCTTTTCAACAACTCTGTCTTACCTGAGGGGGTCCGATACGGGACTTACAACTGGTGTAACATGCCACACGCCCGACCCGAAGAATATCCCCTTACCGCCGACGAATACACTTTGGAATACGTCGAAGTGGTGAGTAAATATCAGAATTGAGTTTCGCCGTTTCGCTTAATCACTCACGTATACTTCAGATTCATCGACACCACAAGCGGACTCCTTATGCCTCTAATACTTTCCCCAAGGAGTCGTACGAATGGACTTGCTCAGATCAAGGACTGTTCTATTATGGACAACCATTGAATCCCAATGGTAACGCATCAGCTCAGTCATATTGGTCCGTCTTCACTTCAGAAACAAACCCTTTCGCGCCGAGTGGTTTCAACGGCACCTGCCAATTCCCCCAAATCACGCGCGGCGGACTTGATGACTCCTGGCAACACGGGAAAGACCTCTACCGCGTCTATCATGATCAGCTCAAGTTTCTGCCTTCTGAGCCTGATGATAGTGTACAATATCGAGTAACAAATAACGTAATTACAAGCCAGGTCGCTGGTATGCTCATCAACGGGATGTACGCCCCCACGGAACCCATTCCTCTCCGCATACAACCTCCTTCCGTCGACTCGCTTGAGCCAGGATACTCTTGTTCTCCTGCGTCTTCCTTGTATTCATCCTATGGTGTTGGCAGCACGTCTGCAAACTGGACTGCGCATCTCACGGCGGCAAGCTCACTATATAGTTCCTTGGACGACATCTCTGGTGTACCGACAGACTCGACAGAATGGCACAAGTCCTTTGATCATTACTACGATAATCTCTCAGCACGACAATGCCACAACAAACCGCTTCCTTGCAAAATCGGTGACAGCAGCAAATGTGTGAGTCAAGAGCAAGCGAATACCGTGTACAGACTGGGTCAATACGAATACTCTTTCATTCATCGCGACTCACCAAAGTCATTACAAGCAGCTATCGGTTCCTATGGCGTATTCCTTGCTGAATTGGCCCAAAATATTCGCGATCGTATTTCGGGCAAATCTCCCCTCATCTACCGTCACAATGTGGCTCATGATGGATCTGTGTCCCGCCTCCTCAGCATTTTACAGATTGATGTCATGGTCTGGGTCGGAATGGGCTCGGAAGTGATTTTTGAAGTATACTCCAAGAAAGATGATGACGCTCAGGGTAAAAAGTACCTCCGCATTCTATGGGGTGGTCAAATACTCCGGAGTTCCAACCCGAGCCTTGGATATGTGGATATGCTGGATCTTGATGTATTTCTGGCATATGTTGATGGATTGGTCGGATCTGGCGCAAGTAAAGTAGCCGGATACTGCAAAAGTTGAGCAAATGCGTCATGATTGACTGTTGGAGTACTTGATGCTCAACCGAAATACCGAGTTCACGTCTACGCTTATACATAAAGATCCTGCAAGCTCAATTCCAATTTCCATTCACCGATACTACCTACGCGTACACGGCCGGGCATCATACATTAAGACATACATTCAACAATCCTCTCGATATCATCAACGCTATGCGTTAACAGTTGCTGCTCATACTATACCGATTTCGTTTCAGACTTCTCAAACACTATGTCTTTCAGATCAGTTCTCGGCTGTAGATACGCAGACAGCGAATCCCTGGGATTAAAGGACATCTCCCTCTCTAGAGCGTTCGCGACATGCAAGACTATGTTATCCTTGTCTACGCCTCCATAGATATACAACGAGAATCTGGTCGATAGTTAGCAGCTGGAAACCACAGTAATTACAGCACTATAGGAAGAAAACCACATAAAGGAAATACTGACGGGATTCCGGGGCCTATATCCACCATTCCATTCCGGGGATCTAGTTTGACTTTTGTATTAGCCGGATACATGCCCATAGGTAAAGACAGTGCAGGCGATCCAGCTTTTGCCACGAATGTACTCATCATCACTGACAACGATGGCACCAATATGACATCGACATTGTACTTCTCCAACGCCCCGGGAATCCCGCCTTTACCGGCGAAGAACTTGTCTTTTTCTAGCATGCTCTTGTACATTTGATCTTCGGGATCGGTAGCGTTCGCACGTTCTAGCACGGCGACATTTCGAGCGGGATACTCTTCCTCAGGATGCGCTTTAGTGAATGCGATGATATCGTCCAACGTACGTATATTATTTGGGTTTGTCTGTAGAGTTTCGAGGTAGGTGTTCAAAGCTATCTTCATATCGGTATCCAGCACAATTTGGCCTTCTTCCGTAGAAAGAGCGTCGTAAGCTTCTGCTCCCTCAAAGTCAACAGACTCAAGCTCTGCACCCAATCTTTTCAAAACCCCCAAGGCATTGAGGAACGCTACTCTTTTGGGTCCAGATAAAAACGCCACCTCGGCGATGTAACGTGGAATGCCAATACGGATCCGCCCAAAGTACGGAGAACCCGGACCACCCAGCAACTGTGACTCGCAACCAAGCATCGACTCGTTCGAACCCAACAGCGAAACCAACTCCTCAGCGTCTTGAACCGTGCGCGTCAACACACCCACCGTGTCCTGGCTGTGCGACGAGAAAATGATGCCATCAGTCTCAATCAGGCCCCTGGTCGGCTTGAACCCTACAATCCCGCTCTTCTCCGCGGGACTCACAATACTGTAGCACGTCTCGGTCCCTATCGCAGCACAGCACAGCCCAAGCGCGGTAGCTATCGCAGATCCAGTACTACTCCCCGATGCTTTCATGTCTTTGTGGTATATCCCTTTAGCCTGGCCACCTCGAGCACTGAATACACATGATTATCAGTACTTTGCTCCTCTCAGCTGGTCCTCCTATCCTCATTCCAATATCCCCACAGATACCAGAAAAAGAGGGAAAAAAAAGGAAACAGGGGGTAAGAGAGAAAAGGAAGAAGAGAGAGGGGGGAATACTAACCTCCACCCCGAACACCCACTCGTAGATCGAAACCCACACCACTCCGCCATATTCGCCTTCCCCAGCACCACAGCGCCTCGCTCCCGCAACCGCGTCACAACCGCCGCCTCGCGTTCTGGCTTCGCGCCCTCGAGCGCGAACGACCCGCTTGTCGCTTGCATATCGTGCTCGCCGCTACCCGCCTTGGTGACGATGTTGTCTTTCAGTAAAATCGGGATGCCATGGAGTGGGCCAAAAGAAGATGGGGAGTTTTTGCGTTCTAGATCGGCGCGATGTGCGTCTTCGAGGGCGTGCGGGTTGGTTTCGATGACGGCGTTGTAGGTGCGGTTTACTTCGTCGATGCGGGTGAGGTAGGTTTTTGTGAGTTGGTGCGAGGTTATGCGGGCTGTGGATAGGAGGGTGTGGGTTTTGGAGAGTGGGAGGGTTGAGAGGGAGGGTAGGGGGTCGTTCATTGTTTGGACTGTGTATTTTGGGTGGGTTATTTTGGTGGGCTGGTTGGCTGGTTGGTTGTTGGTTCTTTTGAAGTTTGCTTTAGGATGGAGATGTGGATTATAAGATTCTAGAATTCGCTGCCGTTGATGAATTCAATATGTATTTAAGTCTTGCCTGGCCACGTACACGCATAGATATGATCATGTTTCAGTTTCAGAGTCATATTGACTATGTGACATAGACAGAGATGATGACCACAACTGGCTGTTCAGCTCAGAGTCACTGTTTCGGGAACCTCTATCTATTGCCTGACTCTCGCGAATCTACGTACGACCATTCTAGTACCAATCTTGACCCCTCGCCACACGCTGCTCCGCAGAGCTCATATAAGCCCCCCGCTTCGCCGTCTTCGTACCCATCCTACACAGACCCGCTAAGTGATGAACGCCAGCAACCACACCGTCAATGACCTGTACGTCTTCCCCGACCGCATTCTCCACCGCAGTCTTCATATTCGTCATACCAGCGCACCCCAAAGCCAACACATCAGCGCCTTGCTTCACCAACGTCTTGCCCACTTCACACATGATGGCAAGGACCTCTTCTTCGGGCTTCGATTCGAGCTCGAGAACACCGAGATTGCAATCCAGCACGCCCGCGCAGAAGCTGTCTAGACCGTAGCTCTTCACGGCGTCTTTCATGGTGTAGCTCGACCGACGGGACGTAGCCACGATCCCGAAACGGCTGCCGAGCGTGCGGGCTGCAAAGAGAGAAGCTTCCATGATGCCGATGATGGGCTGTGCGAGCTCTTCGCGGAGCATCTTGACGAGCGCGTGCTCACTGTAGCAGGCTACGAGAAAAGCGTCGTACTCGTGCGCGATGGGGATGATGGCGCGCGCGGACGCTGCTGAGGACATGACGTTATCGAAACTGCCCTCTATCGCTGATGGAGCGGGTTTCGGGGCTGTGAAGCCGTAGACGGTGACATCCGGGGGAAGTGTTGGGCGGACCATGTCCAGGCAAGCGTTTGTCATGGACGAGGTCGCGTTTGGGTTGCAGAGAAGAATGCGGATCTTCTTTGAGGAAGGTTCGGGTCCTGATACCGATCTGCGGGTGTTTCTGTCTGAGTTTTGAGGGGTAGAGACTGGGTCGTTGGACGGTGCGGATAGTTTGGGAGGTTCTACAACACCGGTTTGGGAAGTGAGGATGGAGTAGTGCTCCACTCTTCGATGTCGTGCAAAATCGAATGTTCGCTTCTTTCCAGGGGAGCATAGATCCAGGTCGCAGTCTGCTATAATCACTTCGTCTTCTTCAGTTTTCGCTTCAGCGATGATCTTCCCGTCCGGACCAACAATACTCGAACCACCTATTAAATCGTACTTCCCATCATCGAGCCCACACCGCGCCGCACTGACGGAGAAACACGCGTTCGTGTATGAATGAGCCTGCATCACCAGCTTATGCTGAAATATAGCCTCCTCGCGTGCTTCTTCGGGGTCCTGGCTAGACGACGACCCCCACATCTGCGGCGCCCAACCTGGGGTGTTGTATCCCGCGAGCACTACTTCGACGCCCTGTAGCCCCAGACATCTCCAAGACTCTGCCCATCGCCTGTCATTGCAAATCATCATCCCGAAAATCGGTTCCCCGTTCTCCTCGCTGGACTCGGTGAGATCGGGTACACGGAATGCGTTGAACCCCAGGTTTCCGGGTTTGAAATACCGCTTCTCGAGTTGGTTGACGGCGTCTGGCTCCGGAAATGGCTCAAAATCACCTGGGAGATGGATCTTTCTGTACTTCGATAAAATCGATGCGGTTTTGGCATGGTAATAGATGCAAGCGTTGTAATGTTCTCCATCGTCTGTCGCTTCCGCAAATCCGATACATATGTCAACTGAGAGCTGTTTTGCAGTGTCGAATATAGCGCGAGTGTTCTCGGCGGCGGTGATGTCGCCATGCTCAAAGAACGACTCGATGGTTGCCTCGTCGGTCATGAAATGGCGGGGGAAGAAAGTCGTGAATGTGCACTCTGGAAACAAGACGAGCTGGGCATCTTGTCGAGCAGCCTGATGAAGTAGAGTTATCAGGCGCATCAGAGTCTTTGAACGAGCATCGTCCCGATGTACGGCACCCACTTGGGCGGCTGCAATCCGAATCGTACGGGGCATGATAGGGCGCGAGCGTTGACAATAGCCCGCAACGTGCACTGCAAGTCCAAGGAATGTAAAAAGACATTTTAGTAGCGATTAGGGGTACTCTCAATTTATTAGGATTGCTAGGTTGCGGGGATCATCTAGAGTGGGGTACGGTAAGTAGAGTGGTGGTGATGGCATGTTGGCCCTTGGACAGGGAAAATCAAGCCGAACCCCGGGTACCCAAGCTTTTGTAGACAATCTCTCAACTCCACTCTTTATTCCTCCGCATTCAACGTATACTTTTTGAATTCAGAAATCATGCGCCAAAACCACCCAACCCATTCTAATCTAGAAGCCTGAAAGCCGACATCGTGGATCCGGAGATGCTGAAAGAGCTGCTCCCCGGCACCCTAATACCGTTCGTAGCCTGTCTGCGAATGTCGACGAAATGGCCAGAGGCTTCCGAAAAGATCGGCACAGCAACCATCAGATCCTGTGCAATCAGAGTAATTCCTGAGTGTTAGTTCAATTGCTGCTCTTCTCTTCAAGCTGGGTCTAGAGCTTACCCTCTGTCTCCTCATCGCCTGCTGAAACCAAATTTGGCTCTTCGTTCATCTGCTCTCCGTTCGGCTGTTCTTCACTCGACATTTCTTCATTCAATGGCTCCAAAACTCGCTGATCCGTGGGTGCTCCTACCTTGTCAAGTTCCTCGGCATCTTTTCCAATCTCGAGTTCCTCTATGGCCTTGGCAACCGTGATTTCATCTTCATCTGCATTGTCGGATTCTTCCAAGTCCTTTACGATATCGGGTTCCTCCGTGTCTTTAGCAACCTTGGTTCCTTGTGGCGCGCTAGAATCCGCAGTCATTGTGAAGTTGTCATTGTCGCCGCCTTGAACGGGCTCCTCGGCAAAGCTGGGCTCCATGCCTACGTTGATAAGTGCTTCTTCCAAAGTCAGGAAAAGAGCATTTTCAGGCACTGAAGGTGGCCAGAGCCTCTGAGCGAGGGTAATGATGATCGGCTTCATCTCATCCGAAACTGGATATCACAAACGCTGTCAGCGAGGCCGGCCGGACGAGGCAAAGTTATCTAAAATCCTCAACCCTCCTCAACATGTACTTACTCGCAATCTGGTTCCTGAAAGCGCGGCGTCCTTTGGTGTGTGGCGGGAGGTCCTTTTCCGTGACGACCTCTAGTTCGTTGTGCTTGCAGCGTTTCCACAGTTTCCACTTCACTTCTTCGCGAGCGCCCGCAGCCCTGTACTTTGATGTGGTACGTCCCGCAGCGCCTTCTCCCACCGTGGAGTAGAATTTCTGGTATCGCTCCACGTCCGGCTGCTCCTCGACTGGTACTACAGGGTTCGCGGCGTGTCCGCCGTCTATCTCAATGCCCTCGTAATAATCGTAGTGATCGGAGTATGACACATAGTCAAAGTGTTTGGTAAAGTAGAGAGTTCCAAGCAGATGGTTGATAGCCGTCTTATCGATATCCGGATGGTTGGTAGGAAGGACAAAGGTGATTTGAGCTCGATCCTTGACCTCATAGTGCTGACCCTTCCACTGACCGCTCGCCTCGAGACCGCGTGCAGACTTTTCGGGCGCCGCAAACGTGACTATCAAGCCATAGTCATGGAGGCGAAGTAACACGTCGTTGAGCTTGTTGCTCGTGAAAGTGGGATATTGGGCATAGGCTGTGACCAAGCGTTTCTTCTGGATGAACTCACGATTGTAGGTGATAAGCTGCTCCCATGAAGTCGCGTCTCGCCAGTCATTGATCAGCCTATCGCATGCCGCACAACGAGGTGGAAGGTCCGGGCTGTAGTCCTTGAGCCTAGTCATGCACCATTCGCAAAAGCCTTGCGGCCGGGCTGGATGTGGTATGGGTGGGACAAGAGGCGGGAGAGCCGCCTTGGTACCTGCCTTGGGAGGCATCTTGCGGTGGTAATGATCGATATGAAGATACCGTGTTGTAATTTCTTGAGTCCAGTAATGATAGAGAATTCGTGTCGTGTACAGTAGTGAGTGGGGGAGGGGGGAGTTGTTTTGATGCCAAGCCTTGACTGGCTGCGCAGAGGTACGTCCTCTGGTCTGTGTTTGCTACCGCCCACATACGTTTGAAGACTACTTCAGTCTATTTCCTTCTTGCGTGTTCCAGAAAGCTCGCTTATATCGAAAGCAGCGCTGTTCCAAATACTATCATGAAATGCTGACACTACGTACACATAGTTTACTTCGAGCAGGATCCCGATTTCTCCCAACTCGGAATTACATTCGATGACAAAACATCACAATATGAGCTCTTACCCCATCCTATATCCCAAAACAGCGTTTTTCACACCCCGTTCGACAGTCTCGCCCCATGAGCTTCTTCACTCCCCGCGACTCTACTTCCACGCCTCCGCGCCGACCCACCAACGTCAACATTCACCCATCCAGAAGAAATATCATGACCCTCAGAACGCAACGCCGGTCTAGACTCACCAATAAGACCCCTCCTCTCCCGTCGTGACCGACCACCTCCATTGCCAGAACCTCCACCACCCACTCCATCAACACCAGCAGCACCCCCAAGATCCGCCATACCCACCTGATCGACCCCCCCTCTCCCACCATGATACGCCCCATGGAGATCATGCACAGACTCGACTCTATGCAACGCCGCCTGGACGCGATATCCCGCCGGATCAACCCCAACCCCCGCGACTATCTCGTCGGCAGGTAGTTCATGCGTACCACGAACACTCCTCACACCATCCACCACCCTAGATATCGCCGGATCCGCATCTCCATCATCACCATCATCGTCGTCATCGAGCTGGATGTTCGTCCTCATAGCTTCGGCCAGAGCTCCATCGTAGTGAACTGCTTGTCGCACCGGCATACGAGGGAACCTGCGGAACAGCATCTCCATGACTTCTCCGCGGATCGCGAATACATCCGCTGAGGAAAGCGCGATTATCGGTCTCTCAAACGTCGTCGATATGTTGTGGGGTTGTGGTCGCTGCTGCTGTTGTTGTCTGCATGTGTTTTGTTGTAGCGCTGGTGCTGCTCTGGAAACCCTCTCTTCCGGGAAAATGCTATTTTCGTTGGTGGCGCCGAAGATCCGCGGATACATTGGTTTCTCGCGAGCAGTGTCCTCAGCTTCTTTGACGACGCGCGCGGGATCCGCGATGGTTTCGCTAGATCCCGTTCGCTTGGGTGTTTGGAGTGTGTTAATATGGCATTTGGGGTGTTTGCGGTGGCAGTAGTAGCATAATATGATCGAAATAACGAGGAATAGGGTCGTGAGGGGATGGATGACGAAGACGAGGAATATATTGTTGTCTGCCATGTTTGCTTGTGTTCACGGCTGTCTAGGGGGATTTGAAAAGGGGTAAAGAAAGAAAGAATGGGATATTTAGAGCGAGGATGAGTTACTTATGCGTCGAGTTGTGGTATTGACGATCGTTGAATTCAGGGCTGGAACAAGAAGTGAGAATCTTGCCCTGGTGGTATTCAACATCTGGCAAACGAACTAGCGAGTTCGTTGACTATATACAAGCTCTGTCGGAATACATTGGATGCCGTCAGAGCAGGCGTATGGTTACGTTCTACTTATTAACTGGGTGATTGTGAATGCTCAGCATGCAATATGTGAATTCTTACAAGTAATGAATATCTCCTGGATGTCATCCAAGCGATCTGGCTCAACATGCATCTCCGTACTCATGAAACAATTCAGCGCTGTTCCATATGTGAATATTCTTAATGGGTCATCACATCTAGTTTTACATAACAAAGTCCAGGATATGCTAGATATGCAGTCTTCAAACGTTAAGAGCCCCCTTAGCGCGATCTCTGCCATGTTGGTAATTCACTGTATATGTCGGAAGTTTCGTGAACCACGGAACATGTGTCCTGCTTGGAGCTCAAAGGCAGATTTATCGTGTTTTCAATGTCCAGTGTTTGTGCCGCATGGAAATGTGATGAATCATTATTACGCTTAGTATATGTCGAAAAACGGTTCGGGTCTTACGAACACGCATACCTCAATCTAGAGAAAAAGAGTGATTGATGAACAACACCATGACAAGTGATGCAGGTGGTAAGCAGAAGTTGAGTCACTCCATTCAATTCAGGCACATTTGAGACAACGTGCAGGACCAGCTTATTACTCCGTATAAGAAGATAGCGAATTAAGTGTAATTAAGGCAATTTATTGAATGTATATAAGAAATTTGACTCCCCGCACGTGCTTTTTGGTATAAGAGTGTCACCCTACAACGTCAACTTTGCATGTCAGGAAGGTTGACGCTGAATGACTGGGGCTGGAAATTGAAACGAAACGAAACGAAACGGAATGATAGACTGGCACCGATTGGTGTCGGAGAGATCTAGCTCGGAAGACGCAGAATGCATATGCATGATGAAGATAGTTGAAAGAAAGATGAAGTGAGTGATGCGCAGCCAATGGCGTATGAAATGCAGAACGTGAATGGCAGTGCAGAACGCTAACAAGACAAAAGAAAGGCGGGCGAATGTGTCGGTAGACAAAAGTAAAATAACAGAGTGAGGAATCAGCGACGCCAGAAGCTTCTCATCCTTAGCAACTTGAAAGGACTTTCTTTTTCTTTCGTATTAGCGGGTTTACCGCCATCCTTGGCTCCTGAATATGGTACACTTTTGACGACAGAAGCGTTGCGAGTTTTGGACACAGAAGTTTTGGACGAAGAACTAGGTTTCTTAGCTAGTGACGGTGACCCAGCTAATCGTGTTAACACATTTTCATTCTTCACGCCCTGTGTAGAGGACGATCTGGTCGTTCTTGTTGGGATCGAGCAACTTGGTCGAGGAATGTCTGGTCGTGAATGGGTCGAAGGAGAAGGATCTGCGCGCAAAGGCGGCATAGCCTCGACAGCAGCAGCAACACGCATGCACTCCTGTGTGATAGAGTAGAGGGATTCTGCAGATAGCGATCGTAGAGATTCGTTTGATGACATAGATTTGATAGGGGAGGAAGTTTTGGTCTTTGATATAGGAGTAGCTGGAGCAGTCAGTGCTAGCCCGATAGGTCGGCGCTCCCTAGCAGCAGCATATGGTGTGCGTTGTGAACTTGAAATTGCAGGGTCTGTTGTATCGAACCCAAACGAAAATTCTCCGTACGTGATAGGTGTCCTTGAGGAATCTGATGATACTTTCTGAGTAGCTTTTCCAGAAAGTGTATCAGCAGCAGAATGTGATGTTTTGTACTGTTGGTCGTTTTTACTAGGACAGGTCGACAATTCGTGTGGCAACGCATACACATCTGCCTGACTATAAATGCTCAGATCAGATGAGGAAGCGCTTGCGCCATCACTCCAGAGGGGGCTGTCGCTTGAGCCTGTACTATTTGACGAGCTCGAGACGGAATGGCCTATTTTTGGAGACGACCTGTGAGAGAAATCGTATGTTTGTTCCACCGGCACGGGAGCTTTATGCGTGTCGTCCGCCGTATTGCAGTCGAGTGCTAGATGTGGCAGGTTTGAACTTTTGTAAGAGCCATTACGGTTGGGCCCAATCGTAAAAGAATCGGGCACATTGCTCAGGATCATCGATGTCCTCTGTGAAGATGATTGGGACGTGGAGGGGAGAGGAAGGCTTGTGGTTGTCTCATTCAAGCCATTGCCATATCCGCGCACCATGATCTCATGATGTGGGGGCGATTTGAGGTGGACGCTGTTCCTAGAGCCGGAGAAGGATAATCGTTTGATAGAACGCAAAGATGTGTTGCGCGCAAGCTGAGATATCTTGAGAGGGGCGGGGATATCTACAGATACTCGTCGACTCGGGGGATCTGTATTTGTGTGGGTAAAATATTGCTCTCGGTGACAATCAGGCTGTATGTCTGCAATTGATTCGACCGGGTGCTGCACTGTTTCAGATCGTCGACTCCTGGAAGGCTTCCGGGTATTGACTGATGCACTTTTTGGCGACGTCAAAGCTTTCGATCCCAGCTGCCATGGAGATTGTTCCACCACAAGGCAACATAATGGGTACTTTGGGCTTCTAGTGTCGCGTACCTCTTTGGGAGCTCGAAGAGTAGACACGAGATACTGTAGTGTTCCGTAAATCAGAATCCACCTAGCTTTACGAGCATCAGCTGTGGAGATCTTCTCTTCTCGATGAACATGAGCCCACTGCTTTTCAAATCGCTGATACTCCTGGACTAGAGAGCTGCTTGTCACGGTGACGTTCTCTCTATTAGTCGCCGCTGTGAGTGCAGCATGTGTGGTCATGTATAGATCTGATTTGTTATGTTTGGGTCCGGGAGAGAATGCCCTGAATGGGTTTGGGGACCCCGCGAAGTTCTTCGGATTGACTTCCTTGGGTAGCAGTGGGAGAGGATGAGGCAGGGAGGGGAATTTATGACGCTTGTCGAATGACTCAATATTCTGCAAGACACATATACCCCCACTGGCTGGTTTTTGTGAAGAAAAATCGGCGGTTGACTCTGGATCCACGAGATAATCGTACAGATTCTTGAAGTCATGGTACATTGACTGGAACATGACCTTGGGAAAGTTTACGCCTTTGGGTGGAGGCCAATACCCAAACTTTTCAATATAAAAGCCTTGCAAAAAGGACCGAAATCGATCAATGTGGGCTAAGGCACCCTCACTGAGACCCAGGTGTGTTGGTGAAACGTCGTCCATGAGGAATTCACGGACGGCCGCAGTAGCACGGCCCAGATGGATGTCCATTTCCAGGTATGCTCGGACAATAAGTGCCTTGGTCAGAGAGGAGATCAACTGGTATGTGTCAAAAGTTGTTGCAGAATTTGTGATGGGAAAGACATACCATGTACTCTGGACTCATAGGCAAGCTCTCGTTCATGCCAACACAATGCGCGAATGCATCGATCCATATACTGCGAAGCTTGTAGTGCTCTCCGTAATACAGCATCGCAAGCGCGTAATCCGGGCAATCCACGTAATCACGATATCCCTGACGTTCTGCATATGACAGAAATTTGCTTCGGCTATCATCGTGTGAGCAAAACCTTGAAATTCTCTCTTCGAGATTGACAAGTGCCCGACCCAGATGCTTGCCAACAAGCGGTTTACTGAAAATGTAAGCGAAAAAGTTACGGGTTGTCAGATGCCACTCGAAAGCTTCTTCTTTGGTAGCCGATGCTGGAGCCGGGATATAAAGCTCGATTTTAGGCGAAAAGGGTTTGTCCTTGTCACGAGATCCTGGAATCCTCGTCTGATTCTTCACATCGCTACCTAAAGGCTCCGCGATGTGTGGGAAGTAAGAATCAAACAGAGGACGGCACCGGGATCTGGTCAGAGTTTTGAATGGAACACAGAATGACGCTCCACGGCGTGATTGCCCGCGTGCGTAGAGATGCACAAGACAATTGCCGTTCTCAAACCAAAGGTCAGAGTCCTGCACACTTGTTAGTGATTTTTGAAAAGCATGCTTTCTTGATTGCACGTACACGGCGAAGGCCATCCCAATCGCTCACGGTGCGCGCTTTCCCATCCCATCTTTGGACCTTGACAGGGCGTAGGGGCGCTTGCGATGCTATGGAGCAACTGGAAGGGCGTTGAGGCATCGTAACTGTTGAGGGGGCGGCGCTGAAGGATTGGCTTCGGGAAGGTATCTTTATAGGGCTTCCATTGAGACACTCTAGGGCAGCGATTCTCTGGTGGACAAGACTTTGCGATGGTTGTTGATGCGTTCTAGTAATGCTACACGAAGTAGGCGTAGGCGGACCCAAGGTCTGGCCCGGTTTTGAAATAGTAGGTGTAGGGGTGAATGCAGCATGGTCAAAGGGTGCAGCGCAATGACTTTGTAGCGAAGATCTGTGGCCCGGACCCTCAGAGGAAGATCGAAGCCTCCTGTCAGCTCGTGAACCGGGCAGCCCCGATGACATGTTCCGCTTCGAAGTGGCAATTCGGTGATTGGAACTGGTAATGATCAATCTATTAGAAGAGGGGGAAAAGCAAATGTTAAGATTATTGTTGAAGTAGATGGACCTTTCGATAGTTGCCCGCACTCATCACCGTCCGAGCGCGACAAGATGTAGAGTCGATGATATGAGCGAGTATACATAAAATATGGTGACCTCAGCTATACTTGCTAGTGAAGCGCGGATTCTCGGGTGTCCGCAGTTAGCGTGGATATGTGCATCTGGTGGCTGAAACTAAAGGACGTCTGGAGCGACGCCGACACCAGAACGGGACACACACAAGCCTGGTGGCGTCGTGGGTGAATGTCAGTCATTGGCAGAGATTGATGATATCTCAGCAATCAATTGGAAAGCCTTGCCCCCCGGAGAATGCTATCTGCACTCTGGCCCTGCAGCTCGAGACTCCCGCAGAAGAGAAGGCGACCGGATTGGACAGACTTTTGAGATAGCTGTCCGTAATCATTTGACTGGTCTGATGGCGATGCTGGGCTGGGCATCTCGTCAAAAAGTCTTGGATTAGGCGTGAAGTCCACCTATGGTCTAGTTGCTGAGGTATAGTCGATTATTCGTAGAGGCCAACCGAAGCCCGTATACCGAGCATGCTGTGTCACGCAATGCATCGACTGTGTACTGCATTGGTGATGACGATGATGATGTGTGCCTCAACACCAAGCTCTGTGATATCGGGAGAGTGTTGAGCGACTGCGTACGAGCACCGAAGATGATCTGCGGGTAGGGTTGGCCAAGGCACGCGGGAGATCTTCGTTGCTATTGGCAGGACCCTAACCGTCCAAGTCCTTACGCGTACCACGCAGGAAGAAAAAGTCCAGTGCATTGTCGCATTCAAGTCAAAATGGTGTATCCGTCTCAACGTGAGGTGACGAGGCGGTGCCTTTTTCAGCAGCCAGCCTATCACAGCAGACGTCGGGGTTTCCAATCGCCGCCCACGACATTCGGCTCTCCCATGGCTACCGGTACCGAGAACCATCACCACCAGTTCCATCAGTCCTCCAAGCCGGAGGCATTGCCGGGGCGTTACCCCACCAGGCAAGAGTCCACGTTCCTACGACTACACTAGGGACAGTGGCCGTGGCTGCAATCATGAATCGATCGATCACTCTCCACCAACTCCGCCGGTTGCTATTGCCTTGCGCAACACTTGCTTGAGCCATGTATGCGACTCTGGTGCATCACATAACAGCCTGCATCGTCATGTTATGCAGACGACGCGTCAACTCCGAGGGCATCTCAGCAGCGCGAGTTCTGCAGAGGTTACAACCGAGGAAACCTGTATGCATAGACACGATACCTTTCGCCATCTCCCTCTTCCGACATCCAGCCACTCGCAGAGGGCACCTTCTATCCCACATGCTTGACCTCTCACCTGGGTACTTTACGCTGACTTACCAAGGGGATATAGATTGATCCTCGACATGTAGGAACCTTGGATACGTGTACCGGCACTGCATGTCCCCTACATATACTCAACCATCAATTGATGTGGCAAAAATATCACGTGGATGACCACCCTCTGGTAACCCGGGAGGGATTTCAAGAGAAACATATCAATATTGATCGTTTCCGTGCATTTGGTGGTAAAAACAACCTTTGGATGCGTATCATACTGTTTGAAGTAAGCACATGTTGTATGAGCACCATTGACGCTTATACCACGAACCCGATATCCTTCAAATACAGGAAACTCCCGAGCACGAAAGCTACGAAAGAGCAACAGATGACTTGGAACTCCCTTAATCAGCCTGCTCATTGGAAAACTGACCCGGAAGCAAGGAGCAACACATCCCTTGATTTGCAAGTTACACCGGAAACCTATGAAACCACCCTAGTGACCTTCGATGCCCTTCCCAAATCTGAATATTCCTCCTATTCGCAAACTCGAACCGCTTCCCTACGCGGTAGATGTTCGGGTTACTGGCCAAAAGTCCATATTTGCGGCTTTGAGTGAGTGATAGTCTCCAATACATCCTAGTTATAAAGGATGATTTTGATTGTCCTTCGTCTATGTTCCCTCTACTCGTGCGACGTGTAAGAATACCCGGTGTGTCACGGCCGTCCAAGCGTCTGAACACCACAGGTGCCCTGTCCTCATTCCATTTCCTTCGTTCACCGGAAAAATCCAGGCAACAATATATAACAGAACAGAGAGACTGTTTTCCAGTACAATTCGGACGGGAACTTTAAAAGACAAAAAGATTCTGTGGAGGAAACTCCCCTTTTCATATTTGAAACCGCCCGTTGCTTGTCGACTCTCATATTTGTGTGTAGAGCAGAGAAGGTAAACACAATCGCTCTGACGATCAACTTTTCCGTACCTCCTCCATGTTGGTTGAAAAAAGTATTTGTCTAATCCTCACCCGTCGATACTTGCATCTAACAATGAACAGCTATCGGCGGTGCAGTCAGCATCGACAATGTCATCCCTCAACTCCCCGACGCGATCAATATGGAAAACCCAACTGAATCCGACGTCCGCGCCATTAAAACCACGCTCATGCATATGGAAGACGTCATGAACATAGTGTTGAAGTTCAGCGACTCTTTAGGCTCTCAAAAATCCACCACGAAGCCGTTTTTGGAGGGGGAAAAGTACCGTGGCTATACCACCATCGCCAACACCGTCGCTGAGCTGGAGAAGTCTTTGGACAGTCTTCCAGATTCTTCTGAGCACGTGAGCAAACCCTTTTCCAAACATTAGATTCTTCTACGCATCTTGTACGTTGAGGATCTAGTCTGATGTGAATGTGAATATGGATAGATTGAGTTCGACCAAACATTCGCTTCCTCATCTTTGGACAAGGCGCGCAAGATAGCGACCACACTCAGCATGACGTCCGTGAAAATCACGAGCTTCATCAACCAACAAGCCACCGATTCAATGCGTTCGAGCACACAAAACGGCGAGGGCACTCCACAGTCCAGATGCTCCGACATCAAAGAGATGAAAGGCAATATCGACGACACCCTCGCTCTCGTTGCGACCGCAGCCAAAACGACCTGGAAAGCCCTGGACCGGCTTACTCACGTCTTCGCTTCTTCGAACCCGGGACCCGTCGTCGTCCCTGACGCGAAGGACGTTCCATCCACCGATCAAGTAGCTACCGCCAAAGAAACAAAGTCGTCCCACAACCTCGTCCTCCTCCTCTCCCCCTTGGTGCTATATTGTATCGTGGTCTTGTCGAGGTTGTTTCCCCCGTCGTCTTGTCCCCAAGTCACGGCCCCTTCCATTACAATTATCGACCTGAAAATCCCGCCGCCCGATGGGTCTGGGGAGAATGCGCCGCCAATCAGGTTAACTCGCATAACCTCCCCTTATGGCGAGGAAAACTCAATGGGCTCTGAGAGTCAAGGACAGCGGTTGTATTTTTCTTGGATAACCAATAGACCAGATACTGAGAGGGTGGCTCTGGAATCGCCAGAGGAGGAGGAGGGGCTCAGTGCTTGGGATACGCTGCACTTTGTAGGAACCGAGTCCTCGACGAGTGGCGAAGACGGCAATGAAGGACCAATGTCGGCTGGGCGATGTTACTATTACTGGATCCAGCATCGGAACGGGACGATTGTGAATGGGTGGTGGAGTGGACAGTGCCGGGCAGATCAAAAGAAGTTAATCAGGGAGAAAAGGGGGAAAATGCACTAGAAAACTAAATGATGGAGAAGAAAAAAACATGTTTGTAATAAGTAGTGATAGGGATATTTTGAACTCACGTAAGGAATTCGGGCAATACAATCATCGCCTGTAATAAGTTCAAGGCCATGGTGATCTATGAGATCTGGCACAGCACAGTAGTACACAAACAGCAGTGAATTGCCCAACGACCCAGACACATTCGCAGGACATGTGATGATCACATAGCACCAATACAACCATCTCTCCACTTCGTTCCTCCGCTTTCTCATCGGCAGTCCTCACAGATGGTCCCATCTGGATTCCTCTTCACATCCCCTTCGCCTTTAACTTCTTCGCGCTTCATCTCCACAGCGACGGCCCGCTGACCAGTAATTCCAGAGTCGCGCGTACCACATTCCTCCTCCTCCTTCTTCTTCTTCCCTCCACGATCCGAGTGGCCCAGGTCCCGTTTCGGATCAATGTGATCCCTGACAAGCTGCTTGAGAACCTTCGTTTCTACATGCACCAAGCCACGCATTCAATCCATGATTAGCCATATCTTCATTTTTTTTTCCCACCGCCTTGCGCGATAAAAGATCAGAAAAGAAAAAAAGAATGAAGTAAACAAACACACCTGGGAACCCTCCCTCAGTCTTCCGATCCCAAAGAAGCACTTTCTTCACTTGGGGGACTCCATCATCACCTGATTCCAACAACACTGATGATGATGATGCTGCCGCGGTGTCGTCGTCGTCGGCGGCAGAGGACGCGGGTGGAGGGATGTAAGTCTGCGCGCGATAAACCCTTACAATGAGTCCATGCCAAACAATAAAAAAAAATTGTTGACCACAGAAGAGAATCAACTCTCTGGGAAGAAAGAGGGAGAAGAGAAGAAGAAAAAAAGAGGAAGAAAGACAGACCAGTTCCACGCCAAAAACCCCACCAGTAACCGGCACCAGCGCAACCTCACCAATCTGCGTTCCAAACGTCGACAGCAATTCCTGGCCAAACTGTTGGCCAAATCGACATTGATTAGTTTATTTAGTTTTTCACTCAACTTCTTCGTTAACCGCTTAAAGAGGAGGGAGAGGGAGGGATATAATATCGAGGATAAAATTCAAAGTTCGAGTTTGGGTGGATGGGCAGTGTAGTGTTTGTGTTTGGGTTGGTACTTACGTAGGCGGCTCGGAGCATCCAGCGGCATTGCGTGCAATAAGTTATCGTTACGCGAGGGAGAGCGATGGATCCTGTGTGAGGGGTTGGAGTGGACATGGTCAATGGGTTATGCAGGCGGTTGGGAACTTGGTATGTACGTACATGTATGAGGTGGTGCTATAACGATATGTGATGTTAGTAAGCCGCCTACTAGTTTACAGTTACGTCAACCAGGTAATTGGGTTTTGGGTATTGATCGGAAAAAGTGTTTAAGTATATATTCATGAAGTGACAAGGATATGAGGGATTCATCGGCCGATGCAAGTACATCACGAGGGACAGAGCTCAAAGTTTTTTAAAGTTTTCATCATTCATATGCTACTCCTGAGTATCTAAACCCAAAAGCGCTCTGGTGAGATCTACTTAGAAGTACATTCCACACCTATGAGGAAGGACAAAACATCCTTCCGCCATTCTTTCCGCCGCCAGCATTAGATACTGTATCCGACGCATGCATGTAAAGGGAAGAGGCATTTAAAGTGAAAAAGAAAAGAGCCGTAACACATAACAAGGGAAAGGGGGAATCAAAACGCCGACCAAACTTTTCGAAACCATGTAATGCCGGGCGTTTAGTCAACCTCCTCCATGGCGCTCTCGCCAGCAGCGGCGGCAGCAGGGGCCTCGTCAGACTTGGCCTCCTGCTCGGTCTCAACCTCCTCATCGACGTTCAAGCCCAAGGAGACAAGCTTGTGGATGCGCTCGGCATACTGGACGGGCTCGTCAATGGTGAAGCCGGAGACGAGGAGAGAGGTCTCGAAGAGAAGAAGAGTGATGGACTTGACGGTGCGGTCCTCCTCTCCATCGGCCTCAACCTTGCGCTTGAGCTCCTTGATGATGGGGGATTGAGGAGAGATCTCGAAGGTCTTCTTGGAAGACATGTACGAGGACATGGAGGTGTCACGGAGAGCCTGGGCCTTCATGATACGCTCCATGTTGGCAGACCAACCGAACTGGCCGGTACGGATGGCGCAGGGGGAGCCGACCAACTTGTGGGAGACAACAACCTTCTCGACCTTGTCGCCGAGAACGTTCTTGAGGCTCTTAGCGAGACCCTCGAACTCCTTCTCCTCGGCCTCACGCTTGGTCTTCTCCTCCTCGGTCTCCTCGAGCTCGAAGTCCTTGGTGATGTCGACAAGCTTCTTGCCCTCGAATTCCTTGAGCTGAGTCATGGCGTACTCGTCAATGGGGTCAACGAGGAAAAGAACCTCGAAGCCCTTGGCCTTGAGCGAGTCGAGGAAAGGAGACTTCTCGACAGCCTTGAGGGACTCACCAGTGATGTAGTACATCTGCTTCTGGTGCTCAGGCATGCGGGTGATGTAGTCGGTGAGAGAGGTGGTCTCATCGCCAGACTTGGTGGAGTTGAATCGCAGAAGCTTGGCAAGCGACGCGCGGTTCTGGGAGTCCTCGTGGATACCGAGCTTGATGTTCTTGCTGAAGGCAGTGTAGAACTTGTCGAACTGCTCGCGGTCCTCGGCGATCTCGTTGAAGAGCTCGAGGGTCTTCTTGACAATGTTCTTGCGGATGACCTTCATGATCTTGTTCTGCTGGAGGGTCTCACGAGACAAGTTGAGGGGAAGATCCTCAGAGTCGACAACACCCTTGACGAAAGACAACCACTCGGGGATGAGGTCGGTGGCATCGTCAGTGATGAAGACACGGCGGACGTACAACTTGATGTTGTTCTTGGTCTTCTTGGTCTCGAACAGGTCGAAGGGAGCGCGCTTGGGAACGAAGAGGATGGCACGGAACTCGAGCTGACCCTCAACGGAGAAGTGCTTCACACCAAGGTGGTCTTCCCAGTCGTTGGACAAGGACTTGTAGAAAGAACCGTACTCCTCGGTGGTGATCTCTTGGGGATTCCGGGTCCAGATGGGCTTGGTCTTGTTGAGCTCCTCCTCCTCGATGGAGGTTTCCTTGACCTTCTTGGTCTTCTTCTCTTTCTTCTCCTCCTCGTCGTCATCGACCTCCTCGATCTTGGGCTTCTTGTCGTCGCCCTCGGTGGTCTCCTCGGCGGCCTCCTCATCCTCAACCTCCTTCTCGGTCTCCTTGAGAACGTGGAGGTAGATGGGGTAAGAGATGAACTCGGAGTGCTTCTTGACAACCTCCTTGATCTTGCTCTCGTTCAAGTAGTCCATCTGCTCGTCCTTGAGGTGAAGGACGATCTTGGTACCACGACCGATCTGCTTGCCCTCGGTGTCTTCGGTGATCTTGAAGGTACCTCCGGCACTCGACTCCCAGATGTATTGCTCGTCATCGTTGTGTTTTGAGACGACGGTCACACGGTCGGCGACGAGGTAGGCAGAGTAGAAACCGACACCGAACTGACCAATCATGGAAATGTCGGCACCGGCGGAGAGAGCCTCCATGAACTGCTTGGTACCTGACCGGGCAATGGTACCGAGGTTGTTGATGAGGTCGGCCTTGGTCATACCAATACCGGAGTCTTGGATGGTCAAGGTCTTGGCCTCCTTGTCGGGGATAATGTCGATGCGGAGGTCCTTGCCGCTGTCCAGCTTGCTGGGGTCTGACAGAGCCTCATACCGGATCTTGTCGAGAGCATCTGAGGCGTTGGAGATGAGTTCTCGGAGGAAGATCTCCTTGTTTGAGTAGACAGTGTTGATGATGAGGCCGAGCAGCTGAGAGATCTCGGCCTGGAACTCGAAAGTCTCGGCAGACATGATGGCGGGAGAGGGATGTGTGTGTGTGTGTGTGATGAGGCTGACAAGATGTTAGAAGAGAGGGTCTCGATAGAAGGGCAGGACGAGGTGGCGAAAGTAAAGGCAGAGACTTCTGCAGGGCGTTTGTGTAGTGTTTGCTGCCTTGCCCCAGAAAACGAGCAAGGCGGGGGAGGGACAGTGACGACTTACAGATTAAAGAGGGAGTATTAGTAGCTCTGTCGTGTGGGTAGAGACTAATTGGAAGTGGTTGCTGAGACACAGGAAAAGGTCTACAGGCGAAGGAGTTGGGTATGGCAATTGGGAGTGAAGATGAGGAGGAGAAAGGTGGTGGTGGCAGAAATTCCGCTGCTATATACTCGCATCGGTGGAGCTTGAGAATCTTCTAGACAGTCCGGCAGAATCGCGGCCAGCCGAGCGCATGGCCAATCAGCGGGCCCCGATGCGGCTCACCGCCTTTAGTGCGCTCTTTCCCCAGCAACTCACGAATGCAGCCTCCTTCCACTTCACTACAAACGGCCTTCCCGCTAGCGTTTGTACGGTCAAGCAGAGATTTCTCCCACCTCTGCCACTGTCCACTCGTCAATGAGAGGACAGCGCTTGTCGAGTGCAATCCTGTCCAGCTTCCTGGCATGTTCCCGAATCTTCTCTTCGTGGGCACGGACTGTCTGCCCCGCGTCTACGCCTAACACTACGCTTGGTTATCTGACCCCGGTCCACCAGCCTCACTCCTCTCTGCCTTACGCTGCAGCCTACGTACGCAGAAGGCTTTCTCCTGCAACAGCCGCATTCTTCGCGCTCGTGTCGATTTTATATACTGCCATTCATCATCAGTTCCCAGCGAGCGAGCTGATATAAGTAGGCTGGACGGCCACTCCCAGTCCGCGGAGCAAGCATCCATGTAGAGAGACAAACCCGACACGCATTTTTTACCCCTCCACAGCCAGATGCCGATGCCGACGTCGTATCTGCACTCCACAGCAATAAGGGCTGGATTCGAGGGATGCTATCGTGCATCGGACAAGGGCATTTAGTCTTACTCTTCCATTTGAAGAGCTGTGGAATCTAAATACATTGCCATTTGATGACTATTGTATAGGAACACACTTGAAATATACTCTCTCACTCTCCACTACAGCTCCCATTCGCTACGAATCTATTCGTAATATTACCCGCAAGTCTTGTGATTGCCCAGTCCGTCTCGGAGCCCAAATGTCGGATAGGACCAAGGATGCCACGCGATGCAAGCTTGTTAGACACATCCAGTCAATACCGAAAAGCTTGTTCGTTCGTTCCTGAAGATCACATACACATGATGAGCGTCCAGACTCAAACCCAATGAATATATATAACCCACACTGAGTGCTACTCACGAGGTTCCCATTATATCTACTTTGCTCCTCAAAAACAAGTGAACAATCATGAAAACTTTTGTTATTGCAACCGCTCTGGCTATCCAGCACGCCTCTGGTCATGCTATTTTCCAGGACCTATGGGTCAACGGCGTTGACAAATCCAACACCTGCGTCCGCATGCCGTCTAGCAACTCTCCAGTGACGAACGTGGGCGGCAACGACATCAGATGCAATGCTGGGACTAGAGGTGTATCTGGAAAATGTGCAGTCCAGGCCGGCGACATAGTCACAGTCGAGATGCACCAGGTAAATCCCTCCATTCAACCCCAGCACAACCTGTGCGAAACTGATGGACTGTGCAGCAACCTGGTGACCGCAACTGTAAGAACGAAGCCATTGGCGGTGCCCACTATGGCCCCGTCATCGTCTACATGAGCAAGGTCGCCGATGCCTCTACCGCTGACGGATCTGCTGGCTGGTTCAAGATCTACGAAAATGGGTGGAAAGCTGCTGGCAAAGGCGCCGCCGATAACGATCTCTGGGGTGTCAAGGACATGAACAACTGCTGTGGGAAAGTGGACGTCAAGATCCCATCCCAGCTGGCGGCTGGCGACTACTTGCTGAGAGCTGAGGTGAGTGCCAAACCCGTGCACTCAATTGTAGAGAAACAGTCACTGAATATCTCAAAAGGTCATTGCATTGCACACGGCTGGCCAAGCTAACGGTGCCCAATTTTACATGAGCTGCTGTAAGTTTTGCCATCGGGCTATTGCACGCTATAGACAAGTCTGATATCCCTTCCCTAGATCAACTTACTGTCGGTAGTGGTGGTTCTCTTTCCCCAGCTACCGTGAAATTCCCTGGCGCATACAAATCATCGGACGCAGGTATCAAGATCAATATTCACGCTGCCATCAGTAGTTACCCGATCCCTGGTCCCGCGGTCATTGCTGAAGGTCAAACCGTCGTTCCGGGAGGCACTGTCTGCACAAAATCGAACAAGATTCGCGGGACCAACGGCATCTTTTGATTAGTAGGACAGGCTTTCAGGCTGTGGAACCAATGGAAATCACTCAAGAGTGTGACCGGACGCAGAGATTCTCTTGAATAAAGATGAATTGACATTTCCGTCATCAAATCTAGAAATCTATATGAATGTCCTCAGGAACTCTCCCAGTGCCATGATGGCCATGGCTTGCCCATATGGCATGCTTGTCCGTTTGATGTCCTTGTAATGCTGCAAATCATGCCCCATGGCCGTTCCAAAACTCACATCCAACAACTCCCCTTCCTTGTTGATATTCCCCAGCACAGCTTTGATCGCCTTGACCGCACTTTGCACATACTCGTCGCCTACAATATACCTCTTCCTCACTGCCTTCAACATGCCATACGCAAACCCAGCCGTTGCAGACGCTTCCTCGTAGCTCCCCTCGCTGGCTGGAATATCCAGTAACGTGCGCCACATGCCATTCTCTGCCTGCAACTTCACCAACGCTTTGCACTGCGACTCGAGAATGCCCAGCAGGAACATGCGCAGCGGGTCTCCTTCCTTCATCTGCAGCAGCTCGACGAAATCCGGAATCGCAATCGTCAACCACGAATTCCCTCTCGCCCACCTCGCGTTCGCAAAGTTGTGCCCCACGCTTCCATCCCCTCTGTCCTCCCACTTCCAACCGTGGTAGAACAGCCCAGTGGATGTGTCGAACAGGTACTGGCAATGCAGCATAAACTGCCTCCGCGCCTCATCCACATACTCTGGTCTGTTGAGCACCAGTCCGATCTTGGCCAACGGCAGCGCACTCATCATCAGCGTATCATCCCACAACTCATCCTTGTTGTAAGAATTATACGTCTCGTGCTGGAACCCGCCGTATTTGGTCTTTGGGAGCCCATGCATGAGCCACTCGGCCCACGTGTCCAGCCACGGTACATATGTACGGTCTCCCGTGTCTTCGTACAGGTACGCGAGCGTGAGGAACGGGCTCATGGTGTTGATGTTCTTGGTGGTTCCTTTGCCGAGCTGTTTCGCGAACCAGTCCTGCATGATGGACTTGGTGGCCGTCGAGCCGGTTAGGGTGTAGTAGTGCCAGAGGCCGTAGAGGCCGATGCCGTGCGTCCACTCCCAGCCGTCCCAGCCTTTTGTGTCGATTATGCGGCCATCGTCGAGCTTGAGGAGGAACTCGCCCGTCGTGTCGGAGATGTTGATGAGGTTGTTGGTGAGCAGGTCGATTGCCGAGTGGATCGCAGAAGACTTGAGATTGTGGATTATGAGGGTTGACATGGTGGGCGGGGTAAACGCGGGGTGGATGAGATGTGGGTACGTGGTGCCGATACTGTGTATATATATATATGTCGAGAGTTGACGGTTTTGCTCTTGATGCTGCACGCCAACGCTCGTATGTCTCGAGCTTGAGAGGAGGAAAAGGTCCGACTCTTTCAATGCACAGAAGTATTCAGGTTACGCCCAACTAATTCCTGATATCGGTTCGCTCTTTGCTGTGCCGGCGGCTATCCAACGTTACCCTGACCAAAAGTGGAGCAACCTTGCATGTCAGTCAATGTTGGTGGGGATTTCGCTCGCAGGCTTCCGTCAAACATCCTTTCTGTCACTGAGCAAACAATACACTTCGACTTAGCTCGATCATTCTGCAGATTTCCTAATCACATGAACAAATCGGACACACAATATGGACGGCATACTCCGATAGCTCGGTCTATATACACCAGGTCACTCTTAGCTGCCAAGTCTCCGAGCTGCCTAAAGAGCCACCGGAGTAATATTTCCACCAGACACTGCAGATTACCACGTAGCTAGCGACAAGCTTCTGGCGAAGAGAGGACTTAGCTGTGCATATCACTGCCCAGTGCTCGCTCAGCGATTTCGGGACCCTTTGAACCGAAGCCCGTTGCCGAGGCCGTGATTGGCCAAGAAGGGAACGGTAACATTATCCCCACACCTTGTTCTGACCACCCCGCCTCCGCATCCCCGGACAGACCTGGGGTTATGTCGACCAAGGAACCTGATGCTGGTGCGATCTAGTCGGTGTTTGGATAGAAAGCCTGTCAATCTGCAAAACGAGCCAGTCAGACGATGGCAGAGGACCGAAGCGACATGTCAAATGGTAGCATTCATGCCGCTGCAGTTTTTCCGACATAAAGGTACTTAGGCTCGTTGAGCTGCACAATTTTTTCCCAGGTCTTGCCGTCGTGAGAACTTTGGTGGGGATCTCAGTACCTTCCCTCTACCTTCACGCTTCGTTTGTTCTCGCAGCCGAGCGCTCCACGTCAATTCGACATCCACGACAATGGGACGAAGTAGCCAGGAGGCAGTCCATGCTTCACCAGAAATCGCTCACGATTCTACCCCTCAAGATGCGGGGAAGGCCGACATTGGCCAGATGGAGCGCGTTGTTTCTGGTGGCGACGAGAAGGGCGATCACATGAACTACAACCGCGTCGACGACGAGGTTGCGAAATACGTGAACGCTACAGCGATTGAGATATCGGAGGAAGAAAACAAACGGTTGAAGAAACTGATTGATCGGAGAGTCCTTCCTATCATGGTATTCACCTACTTTCTCCAGGCGCTCGACAAAGGCACCATGAGTTTCACTTCCATCATGGGGATTCGAGATGACATTCCCATCTTGCAACAAAACGACAAAGTAAAATTGATTCATCACTATTGACATTAGCCGGAGTGTTTGGCTAACAAAGCGCAGTTCGCGTGGCTCACGACCTGTATCTACATCGCGGTGCTGATCGTGGAATTCCCTACCAACTATATCATCCAGCGCGTTCCAATTGCCAAATACTTGGGTGCCAACATCATGCTTTGGTCCATTACCCTGGCTCTTCATGCCGTTTGCTTCAATTTTCCGAGTCTGGTAGCGGTCCGCACTCTGCTGGGTATTTTCGAGGCGGTGTGCCAGCCCACCTTTTTGATCATGAGTTCCATGTGGTATAAGAGAGAAGAGCAGACCAAGATTGTCACTTGGTGGTATATGATGAATGGCATGCAACAGATTGTCGGTGGTTTGCTGGCTTATTGCTTCAGCTTGATCAAAAGTCCGCCATCACCCATCAGGTCGTGGCAGGCTATCTTCATGACCTACGGCATGGCATCCTTCTTCTGGGGTGTTTTTGTCATTCTTTGGCTACCTGGTACGTTATCTTTCATTATATTGGAAAGATATGATTGAGAAGACAAAAATCCTGATCATCTCCTACAGATAGTCCAATGCGCGCAAAATGCTTTTCGGAGGAAGACAAGAAGCTCATGGTCGAACGCGTCCGCTCGAACCAAACCGGACTCCAGAACAAGAAGTTCCGATCCTACCAATTCAAAGAAGCCCTCCTGGATCCGCAATCATGGTGCTACTGCCTCATCGCCATCTGTACCACACTGCCTACATCGGGCCTAGGCGCCTTCGCAAACATCATCATCAAAGGCTTCAAATTCACCACGCTGCAAACCCAGCTCCTAGCCATGGTCCTCGGCGTCGTCATCATAGGAACCCTCCTATCCTCCACAGCCCTCGTCTCCAAAACGAACCAAACGCTCCTCATCATGCTCGCCTACGTGATCCCGTACGTACCCACCATCCCCCAAAACATGCCGAAATGAACCTAATCCCCCAGCAGTTCCTTCATCGGCACCATCGTCCTCATGACAGTCCGCAACACGTCCAAAGCGAACCAGATCGGCCTCCTCATATCCTACTACATGGTGCTCTCCTTCTGGGCCGCGCAAACCCTCTCCATGGCCCTCCTCTCCCGCAATGTCGCCGGCCAAACCAAGAAAGCCACCGTCGTCGCCATGAACTTTATCGCGTGGTGCGTCGGGAACAGCATCGGCCCGCAAGTCTTCTTAACCCATGATGCCCCAGAGTACTTCATCGCCTTCTCCACCCACATGGGTTGCTACGTGCTGCTCGTCATTGTCATCATCTTCCTAAGGTGGAACTTGACTAGTCGGAATAAGAAGAGAGAAAGGGCGGCTGCGCAGGTGCAGGGTGATGGTACCGATCAGGGGTTGGTGCATGCTTTTGATGATTTGACGGATGGGGAGAACCCCACCTTTAGGTATATGTTTTAGTTTTGGTGAGAGGGAGAAGGATAATCGAGATGTTGTTCTGAGATGGAAAGGTGCTGATGCCCTCAGAGTAACAGTGCGTTCAGCAGGAATTATCTGATCAAAGTATCCATCCCCGTCTGATCTCATCCATTTGAATCGACGATTAGGGTCTGTATATCTGACAATACCTTTGTTACATAATCTGAAGCTGCCTGGATATCATTCAAATACAACATTTCCGTACATATTCCCTTCAAACACGTTCGTTTTTCTACGCTCCTCTAACCGAGATTAATATAGGTATGCACCTTTGCTTACCCATATGCTCACAACAAAAAAAATACGCCATCGTCCTACTCTACCAACAACATGCCATATCGACGTACTAAATCCCCACCTACTCTACTCCACTGTTTCATCGCGACACTTGCCTCTCCGACAATTTACTACTTCTATTCCAGACTCCCATCTGCTGCCATTGACACGCTGAGAACTGTTCCTCCCTCCCTCCCTGGCTCAACGCGACAGCGCGTGCTGGAAATCCACCCTCTCATTCGCGTTCTCTACCGAGATGTATCTGTGCGTTACTGACGCCACGCACATGCGCTGGTCTGCGAATTTCCCTTCTGGCGTTGGGCTGGGATGTGAGTTCGCGTCACGGCGTCTAGAGTCGAGGATGCGGTCCGCGAGGCCGCTATTATTTTTTGAGTCGGGAAAGACGGCTGTGGTTCGAGGCGAGGTCGAAACCTAACCTGGAGGCACAGCGTACGACGAGCCAGTGCATGGTTGGGGGGAGAAGGGCTTGGTAGTGTTTGTATAAGAATTAGGTGGTGGATTGGGAGTGCGGTGGGGAATGTAATTATTTTGATTATTTAGTGGTACTTGACAATGCTTTTATATACGTCTATATCCGATCGGAGGGGGGGGGTTATTTCGTTATTATGATATTGCTTTTGATAGTGTTGTGGTGTTTGGTATTCCGGTGAAGATGTTCCGCCGGCTTTAATAAGGGAATCTAGACATGACTGATAGATATGCTTTTGGGTCATCGTAAAATTCTAGAATGGGACTTGTCTAGATACAAGCGGTGAAACTGTCTTGGTCGAGCAAAACAAATCTACGTTCGCCGTTGTAGTGTCCGCGGTCCGCTGCCTCGTATTCACCCCAGAAAGTGAGGAAGGCACATTCTGGTTTGGGCTTAGCTTTCACCGGGCAGCTCAGCCTCGCAGCTCCCCGCTCAGGCAGAGTGAACCCCAATATCGTTTTCTAGCCATGCCTTCACACTGATTCCACACCCTCTCTCTTTCATAAACGTCTTGTTTCATTGGAGCCCCGTTGGGCTTGTGTCCTAGTGGTTTCTACCTCGACTGGATCGTTGTATTCGAGGCATGGCAGACCGAGTATCCAACAAAATTAATGAGTATCGCCCGGAGGTACCAGCGTGGGTTGAGGCGGCAATGCATACGTATGATGGCGATGAGGACTGGGAGAGCGACAGCGAGCACACCAAATCCATTCCAGCAACGAAAGTTACTGGTGGTGATGATGCCTACCTGAGAAACCTTCTGCCTCGTCTCCAGATCACCGATGCGTCTTCGCCTTCGAAGCCAGATAACTACAGGATTTCACCAGTCACACCCCAATCGGCAGCAGTCTCTTCAGCAACACCTGCTTCTTCGGAATCGGAGAAACAGCAGCCAACTGTCCAGAGTGTGATTGAGGATTGGTCTGGAAGGGGAACTCATGTTGATTTCCTTCCGAATGAAATCGTTCCGCTGGAGCAAGGTCGGTTCCTCGGTCACGGTTCCATGGGCGGCGTTTACGAGACTACTGTCCAAGGACACGCTTTTGCATGGAAAAAGATCTATTGCCGACGGAAGATTGGAGATAAGGAAAAGAAGGAGATTGCGATATTGAAAAAGGTGTCTCATGAGCATATTATCAGACTCGCCGGATCTTATACGCACGGGCAGTTCCTCGGTTTTCTATTGCATCCCGTGGCCGTGTGCGACCTTGCCACAGTTCTGGAGGATGTTGAAGCATTATTCAACGATAGCGCAGACTCGACACAGACGGAAAGACTAAGGACATTAGATTTACTGGACACAAGAGACCATGTCTTTTCCAACATTATGCTTTCTAGGGTGGGGTGCATTGCTCGAGCTGTCGAGTATCTTCACAATCACAAGATCCGACACAAGGATCTGAAACCTTCCAATATATTGCTGTCGGCGAACGGCATGTGGCTGACTGACTTTGGGACTGCGACGGATTTCTCGCTCCAGACTGTCAGCACGACAGATAACTGGGAAAGGGGAACGCCGAAATACTTTGCTCCCGAGGTTGCAAACTACAAACCTAGTGGCAGAGCCGCAGATATCTTCTCTTTGGGCTGCGTTATCCTGGAGATTCTTCTGATATGCCAACACGACACGCTGGAAGAAATTCGACAGGTCCGCAGTGAGCTAGATAAATCTTTCCATGCCAATCTTTCCCGAATCACGAAGTGGGTAAGAGAGAACCTCTTCACAGCGACACTGTTTGAGGGTCAGTTGGGCATCATTATCTGCCACATGTTGGAAGAAGATGCTGGCGATAGACCGGATGCAGGGCGAGTTTGCAAACAGCTATCGTTCATTGACACGGACTTGACGGACCAGGGTAGAGATGGTCTTTTCGACAAATGCTGTCGGAGAGCATTCATTTCCGTTGAAGATCACGAAGTCGGCCTAGAAAAGAAGTTGACATCCAGTAGTCACAGATCTCAGCTGAAGCTCTTGGAAGTCTTGAAGAGGCATCAACGACAAATGGAAACTCAGAAACGGGAACTCGAGGACCAGTTCGCCTCGGAAAACGCTAAGCTCCGACAAGAGATTGCAGCATTCACAGAGATTCTCGAAAACGAAGATGCAAAACAGATTCGACAGAAGTACCCTGATTGTCCGGTATGTAGGACAGTGTTCCCTTCGAACGACGACGTCGAACAACACATGAACAAAAAGCACCCCGCAAAGGATCGAGTCTGGGTGGATGCGTCGAAAAGACGAGATACCGTGCCTCGAATGCTTGTGGGAGGGATGCGCGAACCGAAGAACCGGCATCCATTGGAACAGAGCAAAAGAGAACGAGACAGGATACGCAGGATAATGCAAGTGGAAATGTCAACAAACGCGTCAGAGAATCGGTTACGGCAAGTGCCGGAGAAATCATTTGTATGCCAGTATTGTCCGATGATATTGCAGTTTGGCACCCCAGGTTTACACGAACAGCATTGGCTGGTCAATCATTCTGGCGAGGCTACGCTCGAGGAGTATTGGGAATTGTCAGAGGTAGATGTATATCCTGAAAGCCGACCCACGTCATGTTTGGTGTGTTCGAAGAGATTCGAATCGCAGCTGTCCCTCCAAGCGCACTGGGAGGCAGAGCATAGCCAGACGGAGTCATCCAACCACCATATAAGAGATCTACAAACGGACCATTCTGAAGAAAAGAGGGCGGTGATAGTTGGGCCGCCACCTGGTGCCCCAGGATATCAAGGATCGAAGAGGGATGCTATAGATGCGAGAAGCCGGAAAGCCCCATATCGGTTTAAGGTTCCAGAGCTCTTGAGGTGAAGGCACGATTGATGACCTGAGTCGTCGTGACCAATCATGGCGGCCGGTGCGCTCAATTTCGTGGTTTGACCAATCCGATTGCGTTGTGTTTGTCCGGATGCAGAATCGGCGCATTTACACAAGCGATGAAGCGACGCGATTGGCGCAGCCGATGAACAAAAGAATCACAAGCAAGAAATGTCGAAACGCCCACCAATGATTCGATCGGGGTGGCGATTGGAACATGTTTGCGTAACATGTAGACGACGCACCCAAGCTCTTTTTTTTTCTTTTCTTTTTTCTTTTCCCTCCTCCTTGTAGAATTTTCTTTTTTTCTTTCTTTTCTTCTAGCTTGCGACAGCAGATTGCGACGATGCAAAAGCGTTAGAGGGCAGAAGCAGGGCAGCCCCAGGGCAAGGCGGCGGGTCCCCGAGCGAACTAGAGGGTTAATGGGACGATCAGCGCAGCCAAAACGGCCTAAGGCGATTGGGCCCTGCATGTGCAAATCTCCAGCCCGACACCCCTTTGCTGTGCATACAACATCTATCTATTCAACGGGGACGTCGGATTGTTTCTCGCACCCCGAAAACACATGGTAAGACAGGCCGGGTGTCCATGCGGGGGTTACGTGGTTTGGCTGTATACAGAAACATGGATACTTGACATTTCACGTTGAGGGAATGACGACGACGACGACTGGATGCGATGCGATGCGAAGCGCCCGTGACAGATGGGTATGAGATTACATCAGCTAGGATCAAACCAACGATTCAGCTTCACCTTCAGGTTCCCACCACACATGTTCTCGCTCTCCTCTCTTCTTCTTGCACCCGTCTGTTGTCTGTCTGTCTGTCTGTCTGTCTGGCAAGCATCATGCAAGCAATATATCTGCGGGAAGCGCACAGGATATCAAGGTACATTTGAAATATTGACAATGATTGATGTGTTACTCCATCTATATGTGCCCGTTTCAAGTTTGGGGACTTGGACGAGGGCGTGTGCCATCCTGGTCGGCTTTTTGCCTTGGTGCGGCGGCCCCTGAGCGTCTGGGGCGAGCTCCTTCACGTCTCCGTCTAGCTTTCTCTCCGTCTGTCTGTCTGCTTGTCTTGTCTTGTCAATCTGTCGCCGTTCGCATCCAACCACAAGATCAGCCACTCCCAGTCCTGGTGACCCCCCCAGCGAGGCGTTTACCGTGTACTCTGCTCGCTCATCGTGGTCCTGTCTTGTCCAATCTGCATCTCTTTTGCTCTGTTCGTTTGTTTGTTTGCTTCCCCTCGCTCCTTCCCTACCCGGCAAGTCTGTGCTAAGTTGGGGTCGTGTCGTTGCTTGCTCTTGCTGCTTTCGCTCTTGCAACACCACCACCACCACTACTACCACGCATTCACACAGCGCTCCCGTTTGCGTGCGGCTCCAAACCTCCAGCAACTCACCAATCCTTTGCGCGTGAGCACCATCCGCACCCAAGCCGCTGCGCTTCCCATCCTCCACCCTCTGCGACTGGCCGTACCAGCTTCCTGTTCCTGCTATAGTACCCCCCGGCAGCGCTACGTCTGCAATCGTACGTAGGTCTAATCTCAGTCTTAATTTCCTGCCAGCGCCTACACGGAACACCACACTCGATTGCTATAGCTGATCTGCTAAACCGTGGGACCTAGCAAACGCCGCCCCTTCAATTACCCGCGCCCTCTCTCCTGTCTTTGTCGCACGCCGCGATAACGTGACGCCATTGTCCCGTTTGTCTGCCATGGCTGCCACCTCTTCTTCTACTCCCCCCCTTCAAAAGGAAGACTCTCCAGACCCGTCTGCCCTACCCCAGCTGCCTCAAATAAATCAGCCCACCCCCGACCCTCCTGGAGCACGCCGTTCCAGCTTTGGCTTTTTGCGCCGCAAATCTTCCAGCGAGACCAGAGGCGCGGCCAGGCGCAGCGCGAGCGGTTCCAAGATGAGTAAGAAGCAGAGGCAAGAGGAAGCTTTGCGCAAGCAGAGGGAGGCCGCCATGCTGCCCAAATCCCCTCCCCGTCTCCCCACCCACTCGCCTCTACCACAGATCGATCACTTTGGCGGCGACGATGCGCGTCCCGATTCCGTCGCCATCATCTCCAACAGGATTGGCGCCAGCCCGAGTCCCAATTTCAGCAGACCTTCGGGAGAGCACAGCAGGCCACACGTGCCGACGGCTGCTACCGCCAACGTGCCAGTCCCGCCCATTCCGCGAGCCATGGACTTTGATCCTTACCCGAGGGCCGAGAGCATGACCCACCGTGGACGTTACAGCTACGCGAGCAGTGCCATGAGCACTGTAAACAGCCCTCGGAGGGTACGACGGAGAAAGGACCCTACTCCCTTCAAGTATGTGTGCTACCTTGCCTTGCCTTGCCCCGCCACCCCAACATTTGGCTAACAAATTCTTGAAGCATTCTTGTCATTGGCACCAAAGGTTCAGGCAAAACCTCCTTCATTGACTTTCTGCGCAAAGCCCTTGCTTTATCTGGTAAGAAACGCCCTCACACGCCCTCCCCGCCTCCCACCGCCGTTTCCCCCGATTCCCCCTTCACTTCAGAATACCTCGAGACCGAAGTCGACAATGAACGTGTTGGCGTCACATTGTGGGACTCTCAGGGCTTGGAGAAGAACATTGTGGATTTCCAGCTCCCCGTCATATCCGCCTTTGTGGAGTCCAAGTTTGAGGACACGTTCGGCGAGGAGCAAAAGGTGATTCGCGCACCTGGTGTGCGTGACACCCACATCCACTGCGTATTCCTGATCCTGGACCCTGCGCGCCTTGACGCCAATGTGGCTCTATCCAAAAAGCGACAAAATACAACTGGCCGTCAATCGCACAGTGGCTTGACGAATGAGCTGGATTTGGCGGTGCTGCGCGAATTGCAGGGCAAAACCACCGTGATTCCAATCATCAGCAAGGCCGACACAATTACCACCGCGCACATGCGCCACCTGAAGAGAATGGTGTGGGATACCCTCAAGGGTGCGAAACTGGACCCATTGGAAGCTCTTCACCTCGAGGAGTTTGAAGATGAAGAGGACGAGGAAGACGTGGAGGAAGGATTCGATGAGCGCGACGAAGACGCATACATTCACTCCGACGCCGAGGGCAAATCCGAGGACTTGGCTAAGAGCCAGGACAGATCGTCCTCCGATGCTGGATCTCAAGCCGCCTCGGTACGCTCCGGTTCCCAATCACCCCCAACTTCTCCCCCGAGCGCGAGAAAAGGCCATGTTCGAAAACCATCCGCCATGTCCGCCAGCATTGAGAGCGAGAGCGCTGAGAACCCCTACTTGCCTCTTAGCATCATCTCCCCGGATCCCTATGAGCCCGATGTCATTGGTCGCAAGTTCCCGTGGGGCTTCGCAGACCCTTACAATCCAGAGCACTGCGATTTCATCAAGTTGAGGGAAAGTGTCTTCAGCGAGTGGCGATCGGAGCTGCGCGAAGCGAGCCGAGAACAGTGGTACGAGGGATGGCGGACACAGCGATTGCAGAAAGTTCCCACTAAGAAGAGGCTTGGCACTTCGGATGGTCTTGCGAAACACCAGTTGACCGTTCCCACGGCCAACGGTCGTGCGCAGAGTGCAGGTTACAACTCTCGCCCTCATCAAAGCATGCCCTACTAAATCGCCATTGGCTCGCCACGATTGACTTGGATCTTGTCGAGAGTTGGCTGCCTTTTTCTATCCGAGACTTCGCTAGCTGGCCATTTCCACCGGTGGCGATATCCCATTGTCCGGATTCTGTCAGCTCACCATATCTTTTTCCTATGTCTCATCCGCAAGGAAAAAATCACCCACCCCATCTTGTTTGTCTTGTTTATTTTTCGAATCTTTGCCCTTGTTTCTCCCCCCATTTTGAAAGGATGCGCATACCCCTCTACCTTTTTCTTGTGTCCATTATACCTTTTCCACTTCACTTCTACTACGTGTCCAGGCCGGCTTCAGACTTGATTGCAAAAGCGGGGCTTCGCACTGGCTAATCACTTTGTTCACTTCTCTTTCTACCTGCCAGCTCCATGGCGGTCTTTTCTGCGGACGGCTGATTGGCTTGATTGCTTGGACGGAGACGACAGGCGCGGGGGGAGATGGTCGTGATGACGTTGGGGCATCAGCAAGAGACGGGGAACACGAAGGGACAGCGTACATGCATTTGGAGGAATCCTTGGCCTCGACACCCTACTTGAGATTGGAAATGTTGGGCAAGATTGTGTCTCTGTACGCGCGAGCGAGCGAGCGCAGATTACGAGGAGGAGCGTTGAAAGATTGGGAAAACGAGAGAGCGAGAGAGAGACGGAGAGAGAGATTCTGATCCACTGTGCATGCATGCAAGCCGTGTGCGTCCCCCGTGCTCTTTTTTTTTCTTTTCTTTTTTGTTAAAAAAAGAGAGAACCTTTGTGTAGATTTTATATGGAAAAACCCTGCCCCCTCCCCTCCCCTCCCCTTGTTTTCCTCTTCTTTGACTCCTTTGCAACCTTTTTATAAGTTTGAGTTGCTTGATGTGTGTGTGTGTGTGTGTGTGTGTGTGTGTTTATTTTGCTTTTTCATCTCTCAACTTCGTTGTTGAAATGTTGGAAAGGAAAAATTCATGTTGTTGTTGTTGTTGTTGTTGTGCTATCTATCTATCCATCCATCCAACAAACAACAACGACTTACAACATACCTATGTAGGAGAAAGAGATGAGAATGAGATATATAGCCAAGATGGGGTTTTTTTTCTTTCTTTCTCTCCTACTACAAGAGAAACAAAAGTTAAAGCAAAATTAAAATCAAAATCAAAGCAAAGCAAACTATTCTCAATTAATTAATTAATTAATGACATTGTTTTTTTTTCTTGCTTGACCTCGCTCGCTAAGCTTGCTTCCAAAAAAAAAAAACTAATATAAATTCAAACCTCATGTGAATTCCAGGATTCAAACTTCTTCAAAATAGCTCCCTACTACAATGATGACCAAGTGGAGAGAGAGGGGGGGGGGTATATAGCCGGGGCTGTTTGTTTTCCATCATCACTTATTGCGGTCTTTGACAGCAACAGCAGCAGCAGCAGCAGCAGCAGCAGCAACAACTAACAAATAAGGATAAGCAATTGAGATGTATAAACAAAGAAAAAAAAAACAGGTAGCGATAAACGGCGAAGAAAGGCGAGGGGGGGTATATCCAATTCCAATTCCTAATCCCAAGCAAGCGAGCAAGCATAAATGTCCCAGCTCTTGCCTTGACCCAGGTTCAGCGGTGGTAATGAACCATAAAGAGAGAGAAAGAGAGAGAAAGCGCTAAAGGGATTAAGCAAGAGAAAAAAAAAGCAAAAGCAAGAGCAAGACCGTGACCGTTTCGCTATGCAACAATGAAAAAAAAAAGACGCTTGCACCCAACCAAAATGACGATGAAGCGATGAACAGCGGTAAAGAGAAGAAGAGCAGGAGCACGGGGAGTAGGACTTCACACACACACACGGTAGAGCCGCACCACTAATACGACTCCAACCTGTGCGGCCCCAACCTCAACCGTGACTCGAGCGACTGATTGCCCAGCGCCATGAGCAGGTCCGTCAACGCGCCATTGTAAACAGCCATGGTGCTCGTATCGACGATCAAGGACCCGGCATCGAGGTTCTCGGGCCACTCCTCGTGGGGGATGATTCCAGGCAGGGAATCCTGGTTCTGCTTCTCCCAGTCCTTGCGCCACATTTCGTAGCGGAGATGCCAGCGCTTCATGATCCTGTCGCGGCGCTTCTTGATGGTGGATTCGAGGCGCGCGAGTTCTTTTGCGTGGCGGGTTTCTTCCTTCTTGGTTTCGTCGGTGAGCCAGTTCTTGTCCAGGTGCTGGAGCTCTGCTTTTTGCTTCTCGAGCTTGAGGCGCGTGTCGCGGTCTTGTTTGGCGCGGAGCACGTTGATGGCGCTTTCGTGCTTGTCTGGGAGCTTCTTCTGCAGGAGGCGCTGGCGCTCGAGTTTTTTGCGGTCTTCGTTTGTCACGTCGTGGGCTAAACTGGCGTCTATGGGGGTGATTCCGGAGCAGTAGGCAGTCATGTATTTCAATGCTGTGGCTGCATTCTGAGTTTCGATTGCCTGGGCCTCGCGGAGTTCGTGTTCCGTCTTTAGCTGGAATTCTTCCAGGCGATCGAGTTCAATGGGGTGCTGCGAGTATGTGGCGTTAGCCACTGTCAGGATAAGTGTGTCATAGGCCTTACCTGTGCCTTCCTTTCTGCCCTCAGGGCTTCACATCTGGGTGTGAGTTGCTTGAGAGCCCAGTGATGATGTGCAGCCAGCGCTTTTCGTTGATTCGACTCGAATAGCGTAATCCGCTGGTATTGTTCCCTCTGTTCGTTTCTCAGACTCCTGAAGGTCTCGCATTCCATAGCATCGGGTTTGATGGATTTGCAGTCTGGCTGCATTGTTTCGGGGATAGATAGGAAGGTGTGCATCGTGGTCGTGTCGATATCGGAACCGCGTGGTAAATCTAGCGAGGAGGCGCCATCTTCACTGTAGTCTGAACCTCGCAGAGAATCCACGTCAGGCGATTGAACGCCGTTTCTATCACTCTTTGTCGTCAAATCCAAGTCCACTTCCTCGCCCGGATGAGACCAGTGGCGCGGTTTCGATGTGGGCGTGCTAGAGGGTGATTGTTAGATACGTCACCTAAACATGGACGAGTAGAAAGGGAGACGAACCTCGACGTTCTCTTGAATTTTGAAAATATGGCAGAAGCTCTTTTCGGCTTGCGCAACAGTCGTTCGCGTGTAGACGAAGAGCTCGAAAGGACGGAATTGGTGACCGAGAAGGAGGACGTGGAATCTCTGTGCTGTGCATTGGGGCGGAGGAGAGGGATAGGCTCCAGAGAATGACCAGAGCGATCCGTAGACAGTGAGACGCGGGAAATGGATGGAGGCTTGTGGTGCACAGGCGAAAGATCAAAAGCTGCGTGGTCGTGAGAAGTGCGACCGGATGGCTGCGAGGTCCAACTGGTAGACTGGGTCTCTTGAGAACGGATAGAAGCCGAGCTTCTCTGTTCGCTGTGCAAAGATAACGCAGACGTGGAAGTGAGGATAGCGGGCAGACCGAGATCAGATTCCGGGGCGTGGGCGAGGATTCTGTAGGGTTGATCAATGTCGGATAGTTCGGCGGCCATGGCAAGTTGCGCATCTAGGTGGTCCTCGTTCTCGGCGGCGGAAAGCAGCAGGGCTTCCGTGAAATAGACGGCATCATCGAAGATGGGCGTGGTGGTCAGGTCGACAAAGAAATCGCCACCAGAACCAGGCATTGTTGGAGAGAGACCATAAGAATGGGCGGTGTCGTGAGTTTGCGTTTGCGCTGGTGATGTCAGTATAACGGGGATGGTCGGCAGCGCACGGCGTGTGGTGGTTCGAAGGCTGGAAATAAGGCCGGCCGAGGCAGGGCAAAGATGGGATGGAAGGCGGGTCTATCGGACCGAGGGGGAGAGAAAGGTCGACACGGAGCGGGAAGGTGGAAGTGAAAGTCGGAGGGAGATGTCTGGAGGCGGAGGATGGGGGGAGAGCGAAGAGGGAGGGGGGAGAGGGGGGGTCAATGTCCAAGTATGTAGGTATGAGTAGTGGTGGATGAATGATGGGTCGGTCACGACGACATGGGGGTTGCGGTGTGAAAGTCCCGTCAAGTCACGAACAGGGCTTGTGCGCAAGTACCAGTGCAAGAGATGTATGCTTTGGGAGCTTGTCAGCAAACCCCGCCGATCTGACTGCTAGTTACCGCAATGATGTGTGCCTGCAGGCAGGCTGATGGATGTTTTTTGTGTATTGGGGGTCATGCTGGGTATGTATACACAGAATAACGGCTGGAGATCCAATCCTTCTGGCCCGGCTAACTCTCTTGATAGGTATATCCGATCCGATCGTGGCCATCTCCCTCTTGATCAGCCCAGACGTCCCTCGACCATTCGTCACCTGGAGCTGCGTACACACATACATATGTGCCTACTCACCCGTTCCATGACTTGCATTGCGGCTGCAGCCAGCTCCCTCACCGCCGTCCGCAGTACCCGCCGGCGGTCCGCTGCAGCAACCCGCTTGCACCTAAGCAGCATAGCACCCCTATACCGCATGAATACGCTCCCTACTCTGCGTCCGGTAGTTGGTTTGACATCTGACGATGCAACAGAACAAACAATCTCGGCGTCGTGCGACTGTTTGTGCTCGCCGCGACAGGGTCGACCCCAGCTTTTTTTTTCTTTTCCAGGTTGACGAGTCGGACGCTGGCTGTGTTCCCATTGTTTGTTTCTGAGAGCTCTGCACGCACATGCGAATCTAGAATAGGTGGATTGCGCCATTCATGTGTCCGAGGGTGCGTGGTGGGAAACTTAGCATCGGATACGACCAACATGTCGGTCGGCCAATATACAAGCTTCTCTCTAATTCTTGCACAACAAGCACGGTACCAACATCATGGTCGTACAGATCCATGGTACGCCACGGTACCATGTGTGGTATGGTACAAATATAGTTGGCCTAGCTCCATACCATTCCCATGTCTCCGAATCTCTCTCTCCCTTTCTCCCTCGACTGCAATGTCGCACACAGATTAGACGACGTAGAAACCTCCCCTCTCCAGCTTAGCTGCTATCATACCGCAGAGCCTCACCCGCTGCCATGCAAGCCAGGTAGAAACGTACTTGATTAATCGCGCATCTGCACCCGCTTGGGTACTTGCCCCCAAAGACAATGGCCATCTATTAAACAGGGTTATGCACTAAGAAAGAACCCAGATTCCTCCCTACGAAGGGCACCTCATCTCACCCGTCTTGTGGGTGGGGCAGATTGGAATACATGCTGGAAGAGCAATGACCAAGGGTCAATAAGTCTTGATACATGTAAAAAAAAGGGACAGAACAAGAGAAAAAAAAAACAATAAATAGTGATGTGCAGTGAGCCCTTATTCAAAACACTTCTTCGCCAAAACACCGTTGGTAGGATGGAACAAATGAGAGCCAAGGGCCAGGCCGAGCTGGTGTTGTGTGCATGTCTTTGCCCATCTAGCCCTGAACGCCGTACGAATGGAACGAGGTGGTTGTGTATTCATGTTGCGCCACGACCGCTTATCCGGCAATAAGTACCCAGAGGAGGAAAACTGCAGTCATGTCAGACATGGGTTTAGAGAGAATGCGAGTTGTGGGGAATGCAAGTAGGGGGATAGCATACATATCATCAAAACACCAAACATCTTCGCAACCAACCACCGGTTGCCTTGGACGCGACTCCAGTACTTCATGAGCTCGCGCTGCGCACCTTCCACGTTGTCCACCACGTCCTCGGTGTTGGCGTCGATGCGCTGGATCTGCTCGCCCTGCTCAGACACCATCTGCGCCAGCTGCCCGAAGATGCTGCCCAGCTCCGAAATGGTGCTTTCGATGGATTCAATGGCCTGGCCTCGCTGCTGAATGTACTGGTTCGGCGCCTGCGCTTCTTCCATGAGCATGAGCTGCGCATCTGACTGCTGTCCGCCCCGCGTCAACGCAGACGAGCCCGAAGGGTCCAGAGAAAGGAGGTCTTGTTGGGCGGCGTTGGTGTTTTGGAAGCCGCCCGGTGAGCGGCCGCGTTGCGGGGTTTGGTACAGCGGCGAATCCGTCCTACTGGGATCAAGGCTTGATTGTGAGTGAGATGCAGCAGCCGATAGGAACTGTTCCGTTCGCGACCGCGAGGCTTGCATGTTCTTGGTCCGGACCTCAAGTACATCTTTGAAGCTTCCTCCCACGTTCTGCAACTTGTCCTTGAGCATAACCACCACTTGATGGTTGTGCTCCCCCTCCTGGTCTGCTCCGGGCCTGCTCTTGGGATGCTGCTTCGATGTCAACATCTGAAGCTCCTGGATCTGCCGCGAAAGTTGCGCCATGTCTTGCTTGATGACGTATGTGAGCTCGTCGATTTCGACCGGCCGGTCGTCGAAGAGCGTCTTCCGCCGCGCCAGCTGTGACAACCGTTCCAGCTTCGCCATTGTGCCAGATATTCCGCGCGCAACGTCTCTTGCACTCCGCTGGAATTCCGAGTGCTTGCGCTTTGCGGCTGCGCCATCGGATTCGGCTTTCTGGGAAGCGGAGAGGAGTGATTGGCGCTGTGCCCCCGTCTTGGACTGCGCCTGTTTCCGCTGGGCTTGTTGGAGGATGGAGCGGAACTCGTCCGTCCGGTCTTGTATCGAGACGGCCATTGTGTGGTGGAGAGAAGTGGAGTGTGTAGCGGAAGGAGAGCGGTCGGAAGGTTGAGCCGCAAGCCAAAGGCCGGAGTCGAAGGGGTATGGGTTCTTTTTCGGGAGACGCGCAAGGGGTGAATAGCGTGGCCACCACCTACGTAGGGCTGGAACAAGGAACGCGGATGGCACGGGAAGTACGAAAGCAGGGGGCGAGCGAGATGGGGATGAAGTTGCGGGTGCGAAAAGGGCCACGGGTGGAATCGAAAGCGGAGGGCCGGGGAAGGGGGTGGAGAAGGAGTGGTGGGCGGAGAGAGGTTGGGGGTTCGGGATGGGATGGGATGTATTCAAAGTCGTCGATGGTTTCTCGAACGTGGTCTGTTCGTCCTCAGCACACCCAACTAGGGACGTGTGGCGGTGCGATAACCAACCACCAATAGCCGCTGTCTACCAAGCACTGAAGTGCGTATGTAGTGACTATACTAGGTAGTATAGTATAGCCTGTGCTACTAACAACTTGGGCTCTGTTCTGGCGTGACGCACGGCTCCCGTCCATCTATCAAAGTTTTAGTCTGTTGACGCTTTGTTGTTGTCGTCGTCGTCGTCGTCGTCGTCGACCAGGGGTATTGCCATCCTCATCCATCAATATCTACATTTCCGCATCCCACATCTCGTGCATACCCACATAATACATAATAATCACATGAACAGCTACTCCTCCTCGCCAGTGTACGTCCTATCCTCAACCCCCTCCCCTCTCCCTCGCTCCCCAACACGCCTGGCCTGGCCTCGACCAACCAGCCAACCCACCGCTCGGCCTTGCTCTGCTGGTCGCGCATTACCTCATCTTCATCCTTCTCCGCCTCCTTTGCCCATCTCACCTCGCGCGCCCTCTCTCTCTCTCGCCGCGCCGCCGCTCCATCCTGTGTCATCTGACCGTAGGGGCTCATCCCCACTTGCATGCACTGATCGACTCGACCGTAGTGCCCACATCCACATCTTCCGTCATCCTCTGCGACAACCCTCAAGTTGCATCTGACCTGCACGCCGCTTTGCCAAGGTCATGGTGGTGAACAGCCCTCTTAGGTGAAATCCAGTCAAGCAGCTACTGCACACTAGACGCCGACATGTCTGGTCCATATCGCTTTACCCACGAGCCGGCCAGGTCGCCGCTGTACGTTATTTCCACCCTTCTCGACCAACTATTTGACATTGACCTCCTCTTGCAGTGACCGTCGGGCCCAAGCACCCTCCCCAGCTAACCAACCGGTATCCTACAAAACCAATGTGAACCGCGCAAAAACGAAGAAGTGGGTTGAGGCCAAAAAGAACGCATATGATGGCGACGACTGGGGCGACTACGACGAGTATGATGAATACGGCGCCGACCAGCCCCCCGTCCCTGCCATGCCACCCCCAGCTCCGAAGGGATATGGCCAGCGGCTTGACCAGCCCGCGCGAAGCTTCACCGAACCACGGCAACAGCCTGCGCCGTCACACTCTGCGAGAAGGAATTCGTTCGAGGCTGGTGAAGAGCAGCGCGCCTTCTCTGCTTCGGTCACGCAATCACCACTCGACGACTATGGCCATCAGCCGTTTGGAGCCCCGCCTCAGCCGCAACCGCAAACGCAAACGCACCCTGCCTACAGACAGCCAAGTGGCGCTGAATCTGATATCAGTGACACACCTCAGCATCGAAAGGACTTTGTTGCCGCTGCCCTGCCTCCCCCACTTACCACACGAGCGTCGACAGGCCCACCGATGGCTCCGACATCATCACCACCCAACACCCAATTCCCTCCCCGCAAGAGCAGCATAGGCCAATCCGATCTACCTTCCCCGACATCGCCACGAGCACGTGCCCCGAGTAACCCAAACAAACCTCTGCCTTTTGTGAGACCTTCTGATATATACAAGCGGTATGAAGAGGATAAGCAGCGGACATCTATGGATTCGTCGAGACCAAGCATCGACTCTTTGAACGCGGCTTCGGCTCCGCCATCGAAAGAAGGCAAAATCACTGATGCGGGCAACACTCTGCAGCCTCTACAGACAGTCTCGGAAAGAAAGAGTGGGTACCTTCCTGGCCCCAACACCGCAGGAAACGATCAGTCATCGTCTTCTCAGTCGTGGCTTCCTCCTGTCGAAAGTATGGTGTCTTTCGACAGCGACTTTTGGCCGGGTGGACAGCAAACGCAATTGTCCGATCCTTCGAGCAATACTCCCGCCGATCAAGGCTTTCGGTCAGTCGTAGATCAAGCTTTTACTCGCAATGATGAGCAGAGGTCTGTACCGCCAACACCCATCTCCAAGTCCGAATCGGGTGTATCACGGAGCAATACAGACAGCACAGCAGGCATTAGCCCCATCATGAGTCGTGTACCCAGCGGTGCTGCCTCAGCACTTAGAAATCGCAATCAAAATGGTGAGGGTAGCACTCCCGTTATAGTGGAAGAAGCAGGCGAAAGACCACCCACCGCCAATGCCATGGGCGGTATCACCCCTCCCAAGCATTCGCGCAATATTTCCAACACGTCGCTACCATTAGCCACACCAAATTCCGTGGAGAGCCCAGCCAGATCCCCGGCTATTGAGCCACAGAAGAATGTTCCAGAGCCGGTGTCGGCCCAGCTGTCAACGCTTGCTTCGCCAGTGTCTGACGCTTCCACGCGAGAGGCGGATATTGCAATGGCCGTTTCACAGAATCCTAATATCCCGGCGCCCGAACTTGGTGCTCTCGAAAAGGATTCGCAGAGGGCATATCTAGATTCTCATAATTTACAGTCAACGAGTTCCGAAGCGCTCCCACGCTCCCGCTCTGAATCTCCAAGTAAAGGCCGTGTGCAGGAGTTGGCTGGCAAGTTTGGGGATGTATCACAATCGAGGCGTAACTCAACACAGTCGAATGCATCAAGAAACAGTCAGGAATCATGGGAGAAAAGCCAAGACAATTCACGTCCGTCTTCCGTGGTCCAGGATCCAGCGACAAGGCCCAATGCTGAACGTGAGGCCAGCTTCAGACCTAAGCTACCTGGACAATGGGAATCTTATGCAACAAGCGCCGCAACTCCATACGATGCTGACAAACAATTGGGCAGCGCTAAAGATGCAGAGACTGGTAATCAGAATTCCTCTTCATTGCAGGAGGTTGATTTTGCACCGACAACATCGAAGCATCCAGTCGCTTCAGCGGAGCCGTCAGACCCCTTAGCCGCCCTCAAAGTTGCTGGTGCAGCCGCGGCAGAGGCTTTGCAAGCATCATTTGGTGGACAAAATTCTCAAAATCCTACACGGGAAATCCCCCCGGGTGATGTGCTCCCGCGACCCTTACTTGTCGAGCGAACACCCTCAGCCATGTCCAGTATTCCTCCCACACCTCCCGCGAAGGACACTCCAGCATCGGAGACACCGCCACCTCTGCCGCCGCTCAAGGGAAAAGAAGCGGGTTCAGACTCGCGACGAACCTCAGGCGCACATGGCAACCTGGAAAGACCGGGCATTCTACCACAACTTAGCGTTGATCCATCTACAGAGGATCGTGAAAGTGATAGACTGCGTAAGGAGATTGTTGCAAGCCTCACTCCTAAGCGGACTTCAGTGGATCCCACTGAACAAACTTCGTTGCAGTCCATGTCACCACCGCCAGGTCGCGAAAGCTCCGTCTACCCAAGCGAATACGATAGTTACTTTGCGGGCGGATCACCTCAGCCTACCAACGACCTGGGACTTTCCCAAACTCGTTCTGGACAAAGTGTTTCCGAGCCTCCCAAAGCGAATCCAGAACCTCCTACAGGCGTACCATCCCTTCTTACTCGCTTCAGTTGGGAAAACAAAGGATCCCCAGTGCCAACCGATGCACAGGACTCTTCGGCTACAGCACATCAGGCTTCTCGTGGTGTAGAGGAGCACGTACAGATCTCGTCGCCTCCGATTGAACCCGACACTAAAGAGCATTCCAGCCCCGATGCCTCCCGCAGCAATCCACCGACAACAACTGATGATGAGACGAAACTTTCCACGGATCGCGTAGGAAGTCCAGCTCCAGTCGGCCTTCATGTTGTCAACTCTGCTTCTGATCCAGAGGCCGTTGATCTACCCCCTCGACTCAGCGCTGATGTCTCGCCGGCAGCGCCTCCGAAAGAAGCTACATCCACAAGTGCTCAAGAAACCAAGACATCTGATGCGCCAAAGGCATCGTTACTTACAACCCAGATTGCCGCTAGCGGGATGTCGGCTCAATCACCTACGATCAAGTCACCCATCTCTGATAAGCCTCTCGGATTCCGAGATATCGTCAACATGAAATCTTCAACTGAACGTATCACTACGTATAACCAGACCCGCGAATACTGGGCACATACAGACCATGGCTTGAGTGCTTGGATCTCTTCTGCCCTGGATTCGAATCCGGAGCTCGCATCGCAAACAATCTCGCCATCACGACCGACAAGAACCGCGACTTCGTCTATACGTCATAAACCGACTGGATCCATCTCATTGTTTGGGAAACATATTAGTTCCTCTCAGCAGACAGAACAAAGCGGCGCATCATCGTCCCATGCACCGACGGCGTCGACATCCAGCTCATTTTACGGAGGAAGTGGGGGCAGAAATGCCAGTCTTCAGATGCAGACCAAAGGCAAGGACCTGTTACACACAGCAGGTGTGCTGAGTGGCAAAGGCATGACTGGAGCGAAGGGTCTGTTTGCCAAGGGCAAGAGCCGCTTCAAGAGCGACAAGGTAGATAAATGATTTTCTTTGCTTTGGTGTTTTCCATTTCCTTTGGGACGATATTGTATGCGTTTTATTGCGGGTGGGGAGGCGAATTACCTCGGGTGTTTGATGGTCAGGACAAGTTTGAGGTTAGCCGGCCAGCTGAAAACCGAATCCCCATACTCATTCGTGGGCCTGTGGATTTGGTTTCAGCAGTTTGCGCTAACAGCTTGAAAGGTCTTTCAAGCCCAAGTGTGATAATCAGCGACCTCGACTTTTTTTTTTCCTCTTCTACCCTTCCTCTTTTTTCTCCTACTTTGAGCAATGGCCCTGATTTTCCCTGTAATGTGTCATGCGAATTGTGTACCGTTAGGGCCTTGAGAAAGCTTTTCCAAATATGATGCTTGTGTAACATGGTCCATCCTCGCTTAGAGTACATGTGTTGATCTGTGATGTAGGTGCACTCTCAATCAGAAACTTGGTCGTCCCGCGAAGCGTCCGAAGAGCCCGAGCTCGTAAGCACTACACCCGATCTTGAAAGAATGTCGGTAGATGGCAGTACGGCGAACAGTCCGATAATTTCACGCGAAGAAAAAAAGAGCAGGCGGCGCTTCTCATCACCGTTCCATCGATCGAGCCGCTCGCGATCGAGGCCGAGCAGTATCATCCTACCCGGCAGCCTACTTTTCGATTTCACCAGCAGTAACACACCAAGGAACACACCTCCTCCTCGGGAACTTCCCCCGCCCATTATCGCGGAATCGCTTGTCCAGAGTTCGTATCAGGCACCCGACGACTGGAACACGGTACCGGACGACACTACTACCACTACTATCATTTCAGCGCCCACGCCCCTCGATGCGAGGAGGCTTACAGCGCCAGAGCGATTGGGAGTCCTCCCGTCTCCCGCAAAAAGTCCATATACATTTCTACCATACGACAGAGAAGATGAGGGGGTGCCCCCGGTGCCTCCACTCCCCAGAGACACGCAGGAAGCGCATGTAGTGCACGAGGATGGGGTAGCGGGGGTGCATGGACTCAGCCAGAGACTGATTGAATCCATTGTGCGTTATTCGACACCAGCACCGACATTGACGGCGGAGAGTGTTGATGCGAAGAGAAATGAGGAAGAGGATGATGGTTTGCCTCCACAGTTGAACCATGAGCCAATTCCGGCACAGACGTTCACAGGATCAGCCACAGTGGACGGTTCGGGCAGCACTTCACGCGTACCGCACGACAGCCTTGCCGTGGGACAAGTCTCACCGGTGCTGTCGTGCGTGGGGGCGGATCGGTTGGACGGTGGCGAGGGCGACGGAGGGCGCGATCAGGGCTCAGGGCAATTGTTGGTACAAGAGCGACAACTGTCCATGGGCGACGTGAGTCCTATGTTCCCTCCCGTCGAGCTCGCGCAGGGCTATCCGAGCGACGACGGCGGATGGCCAATGACGAGTGCGCCAGTTCCCGTACGGCGCGCCTACGAGACGGAGCTGATTGGCGGAGACGTCTCTCCCATCTCACGGCAGGCCAGCAGCGACGACGTCGAAGAACGACTGTGCGCACTGCCAACAACAATGACACCACCGGTGACGCCTGGAGCGGTGGAGCCGGAGCCATCTCCCAGCACTTCCCCACCACCACCACCATCTCAAGCTCGCGGGCGTGCCATGGAGGATGCGCTAACCCCGCGTGCGGCTGAGCTGCGACCTCGATACACCGAACGCCTGTCTGCGACGCGTATCCAGGTCGTCCACGCTGAGCAGTATGTGCCGTCCCGCTCGCAGTCGTCGTTTGAAACAATCGATCAGGACAGCTTCGTCACCCACTCGCAGTCGGATGGCAGCCCCCTCGACGACGACAACAAGTCCATGGACGACGATGAGGTGCCTCTGGTGCCACAGCTCCCGCCTCTAAAGAACCCAGGCCTCCAAGACTCGCCGTCACCCGTCGCACCAGAACGGCCAAAACAACAAACGGGCCCACCAGTCATGATTTCCATCACAGATGCCTCCCCGCTAGCCACTTCGCCCGGCCCTGACTCGTTCAAGCCTAGGCCCGACCAATCTCCGGCCGCTGAAACATCCTCCTCCCAGCCTGCAAACAAACACCCAGAATCAATGCTATCCAGGCTTTCATCCATGGTTTCATCCGAACGTGTGTCCGTCTCCCCACTCTCCAGCCAGCACCTGCACTCTCGCTCTCCCAGTCTCCATCATCGCCAACCAATTTCTCCAGCCAAGACTTCTCGCAACCCTGCGCAGATCGTCCGAGGAAGCGCAACCAAAATCAATGGGGATGCGCCCAGCGACGATGACTTTGATCTCTACGCCGACCAGGATGGCGTCGTAAAGGATGTGCGAGATGAGTCTGGCCAACCGTTGCGAATCTCTCCACCAGAGATACCCACCAAAATGCAAAATCCCCCACCACCGAGGCAACCTCCCACTGCAAAATCTGTTGAAGATGATCAATCTCGATATAGCCTAGATCGCCCAATGAGCTTTGTATCAGGACCCAGGGATTCCAATGGCCGACCGCAGGATCAGATCAATCGTCCCAACACTGCAAGCAGCGAGCGACTTGACCCTTCGCTCCAACGCTCACCACAAAACAAATCCACCAATGGCGGTGCTTATACCGCATCGTCCCTGGGCCAGCAAGTTCCACAAACAAATGGACAGTCAGACCACAATTCTTCCCCGTATCCACAACATGGCGGCAACCCACAACCTAACGAAAGGATGGCTCCTCATGCTCCTATGGGATCGGGATCGAGCTTTGCAGTATCACCTGAACAAGCTCCCATCCAAGCCCAACACTCAGCAATCACTAGACTGAACCCGCCGAACGAGCATTCTCCCAATGTTCCGGGGACTGGCCAAATACAGGATCCCCGCATGGTATCAGAAGCTCAAATGCGCGCCACTGGGTCCGGTCGATCGTTTCCTCAAGATTTGCGTTTTCAAGGCCAGGATGTGCAACGAAATGCTGCTATACCAGGCCAATATTTGGATGCCCATCAAATGCGTGACTATCAAGCACATCAATCGATGATGCAACAAGCGGTGGATCCACGCTTGCAACAGATTCGACAACAAAGCTATGATGACCCCTACAATCAGCCCACCTTGCAGCAGCCTTCAAGGAAGGAAGAGAAGCCGACATCTCGACCAAAAATTTCGTCGGTTTTCAAGAATTTAGGCAAGACGAATGCAAAGACTCCAAGTCCACCTCCTCGGCTCCCACTATTGCAACCGTCTCAACCCGACTATAGAAGATTGTCAGCCGGCGAAAATTCTAGTACTGAAAATGGACAACCAAGCAGTATACACCAGCTGCAGCCAGGAGACCTTGCACAACAACAGCAGCCCGGGCTGAGGAAGGAAAGGAAATCGGGAGGGTTCACTCTCTTTCCCACTCGACCCGAAAGTACAGGCACCGCGTCGTATATCAGCCATGAGAGTACAAGCGTACAGCCTGCAGACTCTCGCTACAACTTGACCTCGCCGGAGTTGCCAGCCAACTTTGTGGGGATACCACCTCAGCAACCTCCACCAGCGCCGTTGGATTTTTCAGACCCTAGATTCTCTACACTCAACGTCCCGGAACCTGGGAAGAAAAAGCGCTTCTCGGCTCTCGGGAATTTATTTGGCAGGAATAAAGAGGACAAGAAAGCCCTTAAAGCGAAAAAACACAACACTCTCCCGCCAATGCCGCCCGGTCAACCATGGCCTTCACAGCAGCAATCGAACAGTCGCACTCATCATCAGAGCATGCAATTCGGGTCATCTCCACCGGCGCATCCGTTTCAGGGTATGCAAGCTGCGCCACCGCCGACCGTCAGTACAATTCCTCCGCAGGGCACGTCATCGCATATGCTGCCGCATCAGCCCGTCCAGCAAATACAACCAGGCTTTCAGCAACCGCTTTCTCAGTCCCATCATCAACAAGAACCGCAACAATACTCTTCGCCGCCATTGCATGTGCAACAGCAGCCGTCGCACTCAGAGAGGTCGGCATACATCGATTCTCAACAGCGCGCCCAGCAACATCAGGCTGCCGTGCTAACGTCTCAGCGGCCAGCTGAAAATATTGGGGTGACCGGTCATCCATTGAATCACCAACACCTAAGCGTCAATCGGAGTGGAGGCACGGCCCAAGCCCCCCCTGAAGGATATTACATATCCGAAACTAAATTATTACCAGATCATCGACAGGGTACCCCCCAAACGTCCGCGCAACAAAATTTTCCTCCTTCGCAGCAGCAACGAGCTCCTGCCACGCAACCACCTCATCTCTCCAACCATCAAACTGCGCACGGCCCAAATGATATAACTTCCATATCGCAGCAACACCGCAAAAGTTCGACGGCCAACGAGCCACGCTACGAAACACCTGCCATTCCTGCTGCCTATGCGCCAGTTTCAGGTGCTTATGTTTCGCCTAACGTAGAAGGGCCGCCGCCGCCCCCTAACATGCAATCACGGGATCGGCAGCCTTCTCCGACTTACTTTCAGCGCCAATATTCTGAGCCGCAAATGCAACCTTTGTCACCTCAGGTCTCTGCCCTTACGCAAGCACCCACACCAACCGATCATCGCCATAACTCGGAATCAAGTTCTGTATCGCTCATATCTCCAATCTCCACTTCACCCCCCAGCATGACCAATTCTGTTCCCGTGCCGAACCAAAAACCGCAGAATCCCAGGATGAGTAGCATTACAGAACAGTCGCATGCAGAGCGACCCTGGAATCTGAACCTGCCGCAGGGAGCTACCGAGCAAGAGATAGTTCGAGCACGCCAGAGGCAGTACATGGAACAGCAACTCCTCTTTCAAGAGCAGCTCTACGCCGAGAGGACTGGGAGGTCTCCTTCACCTCGTTCTAATACAACTCAATCCTCGAGCCCCCGACCATCCCAACAAGGATTTGCTCACCCACTCTCGCAAAACGGAGGGTTTCGTGAACTGATGCCTCGCAGCTCACCGCAGCCGTATCCAAGAGCTCACTCTTTGCACCCGCGGGCTTCCAGTGACATGCTTGATCCGGAAAAGGAAATGCTGGCCCGGGCGGCTGCACAGAAAAGCCCAACTCCTAACCGAGTACCAACTCCAACATCACACCCTCTTCCCATGTCGCCGGATCCGACAAACATTCACAGTCCCATAAATCCTATCGCCAGCTCGCTCCCACCGCCTGCACCTCCTGATGTCGCTCATCATCCGGTTCCCGAAAACTTCGGGAGCCAGCAAGCTCAATTATCTCAATCCCAACAACGCATTCATCAACACTCGCCTCGGTATGAAGAACATATAGCACCAGACGAGCAGTATCAGTCGCCGGTTCACCATCCAACTCAGCATGGAGAGCCAGATTACGAGCACTCACCTCCCGCCGACCAACCACCTCCGTACTCTGGACCCACCATACCAAATGTCGGCATGGAGAAGGAGCGCCAAGACCGGCATCGCCCACCAAACATTGTAACCAACACCGACGAGTACAACAACCAACTGGAGTTCCGACAACGCCAAATTTCCATTGGCATGTTACAGCATCCGCAACCTGCCTCCATGGCTGCATCACCCTCTCCATCCTCCGCCGATATGGGCGCTGAGTCTCTGCGCCGCCAACTCCTCCACCAAGAAGAATCCGAGCGGCAAGAACGACTCCGTCGGGCCCAAATACAACGCGAAGAATCATTACGAGAGCGCGAAGAACGTGAAAGAGCTCGTGCCCGCGCTCGCGTCCTCGAACGAAGCGTGTCAGGCGGCGGTAGAGTGCCCAGTCTCAGAAGTGATGCTGGTAGCACAAGAGCAACGGGAACCGGTTGGGAACGACGGAGAGGAAGCACCTCGCGCCCCGTATTCGAGCTATCTGCCGAGGATGACGAACCTGTTATGCGCGCCACCAGTTTCCCCGGTCAGGAATGGGTGCCCACCTGGACGGATGATTAAAGAATTCGTCTTGCCATTCCCCTTTCTTCTGCCGTTCTTTCTTTTCTTAACATGCATATTTTGGCTGTAAGCTACACGCGCATGATCCGTCACTCATGCACTCGGATATCTTTTTCCCTTTCACGATTTGCCTGCATGGCCGTCGTTGAGCTTTCTCCATCTCTACGTCTTCTTCTAATTATGTCGTTTGTACCAACCATTCACGTATCCGATTTTGTCTTTTTGCTGAGAGCGTATAGTGCTTAATTGGCGTAGTTGGATACCCCATCATTCTTCTTATACTTCTCGATATCAGCTCTGTGTCATCTTACATCATTTATTGTTTATTTATGCTTCCATTGTTTGGTATTGTTTGCATAGCCTGTAGTAAAACTTACTTGCTTTCTTTTGTGTACCTGCCATGGGAAAGGCCGTGTCAGGTCGCATCGAGTCCTGTGGAGAAGGAATGATGATGCATTCATGTACGTCAATATATGCGTATAGCTAGCCGTATGTCGGATATATAACATGTACACGAAATACATTTAATCTATGATATAGCTAAGAGAAAAAACGTGCTCCTTCAACTACATTTCTGAATGTTCGCTGTTGAACTTCTGATATCATGACTTTGCATGCTAATATGGAGAATTCAGCATCCTGCAGCTACACTAGAAGACTACAGCAGATCAGCTCATCCTCTTGCGGACGAAGACAGCGTTCCTATTTGTCATTTCGTGGTGTACCAACACAACATGTTACATTGACGGCTACAACTCTTTAGATAAACGCTCCTGCAATTCCATTTCTTTGACAGTTATCAATATACATGGAATTCATTCAATAGTAGAAAGATTATAGAAAGACCTATCTCAATTACATACACCGCTATCTGGACTTGAATAATAATCATCCATCTCCAAAACACCGTCCTCCAAACAGTGTCTCTCAAAAGCCAGCCAGAGAACACGCGCTAGATGTTCGACCTCATCGCTAGCCAGCCATTTGCGCATGCAAAGCACCATCACTTAAAATAGAAGAAGCCGCGAGGAACAGGACTGACTTCGCTGACAGGTCTGGCACGGATTTGCTTTAGCTTGTGCCGAGAAGTGTTTGATCTTTCCTCTGGCATCGAATCGAAGAATCGACCGCATCAACACAACAGCAAATGACTAGCGGTATAAAAGAAGTTCCCGGAGACGCACTTCGCCCGACCTACTTTTACTGGATAATAACACATGCTGTCCATCAATGTCCGCCTGGACGATTACGAAAATGAGAAACTTGAAGACTGGGCTCTCACCCGGGATCTTCTGGACCGGTGGGGGAGTTGAGGTAGGAATTGGGGAAGTTTTGGGGGTGATGCACGAGTTTGGAATCTTGGGGCGGGTGGAATATAGATGTGGAGGAGGTAGAAGGATGAGGGGGTTTGCGGTTTGGTGTCGGGTTTTGATCGTGTTAATATGAGGGGAGTTAGGAGGGAGTGTTATTGATATTGAGATACCAGTAGCTAAGCAAAATTCATGATTGCACGTGTTGAGAATATAATATTACCGAGCAATGCGTATGAACAATTTGCCACGACTGGATATGCGCATCGTTAGATAGCTCCATGATTCAGGGCCATATGTTGAACCGTGTAGTGTGCATTTCCCAACGTAGAAAGTACAATAACAGAACTTGAACAATCATCACATACCAAAAGTCTTTTATCGTCATCTTTGATAGTGTAAGTGTAAGAGCATGACTGTGAACCAGCTCGCATGTGATATAGGTGAAAGTATACATCACGTGCTAGCTGGCCGGCCGGTCAGTTTCTCCGAGTCTTGGCGATTGTCGTCAACAGCGGAGCCTCAGAGCTACACTACGACACCACACGACGACGCGGCCACAACCCTTGCCAGCCAGCACCGATACTCGAATTCTACTGGACGCCAGATCTGCGCTCTATTACTCCCAAAACCGTCCAAATCATCTGTTTACCATCCATAACATTTCCTGGCGAAGCTCCGGTCCCGTATAACTAATCGTTGCCACGATGTCGAGCGGGCAGGTACTCAAGGCGGACAAGGACTTCTCGAAGGAGGTTGATAAGGTGCTTCCCGAGGCCGAGAAGATTGGAAAGGTAATAATTTCGCGCTGGAGATCAATATCTTGCTGACAACTATTGTGTAGAGCGACCCCCAAGCTGCGATCGAGAAGCTCTTGTTGCTTGAGAAGCAAACTCGCCAGGTATGTCTGAACATCGCAATGGCGGTAATACGAGGTATTGACTTTACTTTCAGGCCTCAGATCTTGCCTCAACGTCTCGTATTCTCGTTGGGATATGCACAATAGCCAAGGACGCTGGAGAGTGGAGCTTGTTGAACGAACAGGTGCTGCTGCTTTCGAAGAAACATGGCCAGCTTAAACAAGCTACCACCAAGATGGTGCAGACAGTTATGACCTTTATGGATGCCACACCCAATTTGGAGACTAAGCTATCAGTCATCGAGACGCTGCGAACGGTCACCGAAGGAAAGGTACGTGGCGCGGTCAGCTCCGGCAATAACCCGGTTAGCTAATGAAGTTTCTAGATCTTCGTCGAAGTCGAACGCGCGCGTATCACCCGGATACTTTCCAACATTAAGAAGGAGCAGGGCGACGTCAATGCCGCAACAGACATTCTATGCGAGCTCCAGGTGGAGACTTTCGGATCGATGACTCGCCGGGAGAAGACCGAATTCATCTTACAGCAGGTGGCGCTGTGCATACAAAGCGGCAAATGGACACAAGCAGGCATCCTCAGCAGGAAGATCAGCACACGGTATTTTACGAGGAAGCCGAAGAAGTCACCTGAGCAATTGGAGAAGGAGCAGAAAGAGCGGGAAGAGAAGGAGAAGACGCGGAGTGCGGATGATCCACCCATAGAGCCCGAAGATGATGTGACGGACCTCAAGCTCCGATACTACGAGCAACAAATCACTTTGGCCAAACACGACGACAAATACCTCGATATCTGCAAGCATTACCGACAAGTTCTGGACACTGAGGCTGTGGAAGAGGATCCCAACAAACTCAAAGCGGTAAGCATTTTTCAAAGCTCTATTGGTAACCATGTCTAACTTGAGTAGATTCTCCAACGTGTAATCTACTTCATCATCCTCGCACCTTACGACAACGAACAGTCTGATCTCATCCACCGCATCCAGCGTGACTCAAGGAATTCCATGATTTCCGAAGATGCGCAACTTGTCAAACTCTTTACCATTCCAGAGCTAATGCGATGGCCCATGGTTGCTAAACAGTTTGGTCCACACCTCACGGAGACGGATGTATTTGATGCAGAGGCGGACGATTCGGACGATGAGAAAGCCTACAAGAGGTGGCAGGACTTGCGCAAGCGAGTCATTGAGCACAACGTTCGCGTTGTTGCGAAATACTACACTCGCATCCAGATTCCTAGATTAACGGAGCTCCTCGACCTTACAGAGGACGAGACGGAGAAGTACATTAGCGAGTTGGTCACTGCGAAGACGATCCACGCCAAAATTGACCGACCTGCGCGCATTGTGAGCTTCGCGAAGCCTCGCGATGCCGACGATGTGCTGAACGAGTGGAGCGGAAACATGAAGAGTCTCTTGGGCCTGCTGGAGCGCATTGATCATCTCATCACCAAGGAGGAGATGATGGCCCGCATCCAGCCCACAAAAGTCGACAAGAAGGCAGCAGCCAAAGGCAAAGCGAAATGAGATGCCCGCATGTAATGTTACGTGCTGAAATGACTTGAGAAATTATGATTAGTCTAGACATAGTCGAGCTCATGTTTACTGGCTCTGCGCAACTACTGCGCATGTAATATAGACATCTGCAAACAAATTTCGTGTCTTGAATCAGTCAGATGTGAGATTGTTGTATACAGGAATCTAAAGGAACGCCTGACCCACCGCTCTCTAGTATGATGCGAATGACAAGTACGTATGACACTAACCTTCTAATCAAGGATTGGGGGTATTAGAGCTACTCAGCCCATCTATCTCTTTTCGTTGTAGATCTATAATCTATACCCGAACGCCATGCTAATAATCTTGAAATATAACCACCAGCACTCAAAACGGCATGTCCATATCCTCTACACTCTCCTCCTCCTTCTCTTTCTCTCCATGCTCGGCCTTTGCCAGGATCTCCTTCATGAACCCAATCAAAGCACTGACATACGCCTTCTGACTACTCGGCAAGAAATGCCCCCCAGGGTGATAGACGACCCTCCCCGACCCATCGCCAGTCCCCTCGCAAGCAGCCGCAAGCGCCAAACTCTTCCCCTCATCAACAACCGCATCCAACGTCCCCAAGAAATGCATCGACGGCGTCGCAATCCTAGGCTCGTAAAACCCCTTATACCGCTCGCCCCCGCGCGCAACGAACCCCGAGTACGCAACCGCAAACTTCAGCGGCGCATGCTCGAGCTCCGCAAACGACGAAGGATACTCCATGCTCGAGCTGTGTCGCGCTCGCTGCGCGGCAAACGCCTCGCGCCGCCCGGGCTCTAGCAGCGCTGCCACCATCGCCGCACATGCCGCGCCCTGCGAGAACCCGATCACGCCGTCAAACGGGCCCTGCGATGCCAGCGTCCCCGCGACCGTCGCGAGCCCCGCTTCGAGGCCCTCGTACACCAGCTCGTCATCTGCGTTGGTGCCTGCGGCCGCGGCCTGCGGAAGCGTTTTCTTGCGCCACCAGCCGAATGCTTCGATTTCTTCTGGGGCGGCGTGCGTGTCTGCGGTTGCTTGCGAGGGGAGCGCGAAGGGGATATCTGTTGGAGCGAGGCGGTGCGGGGCGGTCAAGTACGTGAGCGATATCCCCGCCGGAAACGCCTTGTGCAGGTTTTTTTCCAGCGCGCGCGTTTTGGCGTGGAACGAGGGGCCGGACTGCGTGAAGCCTGTTCACAACTCGTTTGTGGTGAGTTTGGGGTTGGGGGTTCTTGCTGTCTGTGTAGGGTGGAGAACGAAGAGGGATGGGAACAGAGAAGATGGGATTCGAATGATGTGCATTGATGTATGGTTATGGGCCCGCAGGATTGTGCGAATGTAGACACGTACCGTGAAGCATCAATACCTTTATAGGGCGCTTCGGCGCGGGGGCTTGAGCCATGATGCGGTGGTGGTGGGTGAGGGTGGGATCGTTGGTACGGCGGGTTCTTTGCGCGAGGGATGCAATGGTCCGACCAGGCATATATCCTAGAGGGTGCGGAAAATATGCAAGGAGAGTAAAAAAGAAAAGGGAGAGTCGGGCTTGATTGTGTTGTGTGTTGTGAGAGTGGGAGTCTTCGATCGGAGCATTAGGAATCAACTTCGGAATGATTACCGAGGCGGTTATAGTTGCACTAAAGCGTCATTCGTGGGGGTGATGGTGATGGTGAGAATGAGAAGGAATTGCCGAAGTGAGATTTTTGGATCAGACAAGATATGCTTTTATTCGTTCGTGTGGAGCTGAATACAAAACAGTTTTGACAGCAGCAGTCTATGGAACATGTAGGAAATGCATATGCAGTATGTAAGTGTGGGGACACGAGTGCGCAGCAAAGGCCGACACTGTAGTATTTATTGTATTGAACGATAAGGAACAAAATGACAAAGTCGCGCAAGAAAGTCGAATGATGATCAAGTGTTTCTTTCCGAGTGTTCGGTGTGCCTCTATATGCTTTGGATACTTGTTGTTTCGTTGATTAATCTCAACCAATGCAGAGTACCATACATGGTATGGATGGTAAGAATCACTATTGAGGGTAGTCGCACTCAGTTGTTAATTCTCACGTCTCCGCGTACTCTCCTATCCATTCTACGGTGGTGACGATCAGAATTTCCAATTGGATGAGTCAAGATTGAATACACAGACAATGGCTGTAAAGATTCTCTGCATTGGCACGTAGGGTGAGATTGCAATCTAGGACACTTGTATTTTTTTCACAAACCTCATGGTTAGGAATACTTTTCAGGAGAAAAGACACTTTAGCTAATGCCGAACTTTCTACCGAATAACTACTTCCACTGCGACTTCATTGCTCCAGCCAGCCTGGGAGTCGGTCTCTTTCCACGCCCTTGCCGTGTCGATTTCAAGGACATTCTCTGACTCGTCACTTACTTTTACGCAATGTGCTGGGATCGGTCGTCCGAACAACACAGCCATAAAGTCTTTCTCGACTGAGCGTTCCTTGAGATTGGAAATGTACAAGCCGTAGGTGCCCAGAACCTTTAATGACGTCCAGACGCGAAGCCTACCGGTCTCGCGGTCAACGTAGCTGTCGCTGTTGACGATTGCAGCTGCGCCAGCCATCTTGCCCAACACACCTAGAATTGCAACCGAGACGTCTGCTGGCCCTTGGGCCTCATGTCTGTGCTCCAACGTGAATGTTTGTAGTGGGAATGCAGACAATATCTCCCAACCACGATGAGCAAGTTCTATGTGAACAAAGGTATCGTTACTGTCGGAGCTAGTCGGAACAGAGACCTGGCCTGTAGTATGGTTTCTGATGATATAAGTACCATGTTCTGTCCCGGGGAACTGATTGATGCCAATGAGCTCTGCGATGGGATGTTGGGTGCAGTTGAAAACGCCTACAATGCTCACCCCAGAACGGGCTGAACCTACGTATGTGCTGACCTTAAGAAGCGCAGCATCGTCATATGAGTTGTAGGCACATGTACTTTTGCCAACGGTGTGAGACCGAAGGATGACGGTGTCTCCCCGTGGTGTGTTTCCCGTCATTTGGTGGATGAGATCGACGTTGTGCTGACCAGGGACATCCGTGATGTATATTGGACCTCCAGATACACAACGAGCTGCCGCATGAAATGAAGCCCATTCGTGGGAGGTTTGAAACATATCCCAATCAGGAAGAATGTTGAGAAACTGAGTAAAGACAGAGTTATGGGCGTTGCAGAATATGTGCCAGGGGTGAGATGCTGGAACCTCAGGGAAAAAGTCATCAGAGTTTCGAAGAAGGATCCTTGGCTTGTTCGATGGAAGCTGGGAGTGGAAAATGATCTGGGGCACTTGGCTCATGCATGAAATAGCTTTACCGCTGAAGTGGCGAAGTTGGCTAATGCTCCATGCGTCTTGGTAGGCTTTAATGAGATCCCGGCGATCGTCAGCGCTGTCGAGTTCGTCAACGAAGAACTGTGCGTCCGTTTTGATTGAGTCGATGCCTGCGGAGCTCAGAAATTGGTAGAAATCACGATAAAAACGGTCAACGTCCTCCTTAGCAACTGCCAGCATCATACCTCCCGATACACCATCTCTTTTACGAACCTCAACAGTTTTGTATTCTTTTGCGATCTTCCCCGTGGGTGAGATGCCGCCCCAATAGCCAAACAGCGCGTGCCAGACAGCTATGTGCTTGATGTTCTTGTGTTTGCTTCGGATGTCGTTGACGGCAGCCTTCAGACCTCGGGGAAAACCGGTCTTCGTCGCCTCGAATTCCATCCATGCGTTCTCAAACTGATCTCCACCTTCTTTGGAGAGAGATTGCCAGTTGTCGTCTATGATCAAATTCGAGATGTTGATTTCGTTTTTCTGCAGTGAATCGAGCGCTTCGAATATTTTGTCCTCGTGGAGGTTTTGCCCCAATCCGTTCCAGGTGCAGTATGCTAAGCCATCGTACCAGTTCTGAAGCCATTCGGGTTGGAAGTCTTTCATCAGGGCCTTCTCTTCGGTGGCAAGTTGCCCGGAGGCATCTTCGTATCTGAGTACAAGTCTTCGAGCGTAGTACAAAGTTGCTGCCATGGCTGATTCCAGGCTCTTTCCTACAGACACAACTAGTCTGGTGATCCCTTCCTGTTCACTGTCGTTACGTGAGTCTACAACAACATTACCAGCTCCGTCATGATGGAGGGTAGTGAGAACGTCGTCCACCCCGCTTATGGCGAGTACAACTAGGTGGGACCCGTCTTCACGTTCAAATGCAGCGAGTATTCCTTCTTTGTCTGGCGCGAATGTGCTTTTGCCCTGCCGAGGAGCAATCCACGGTGACCATAGCCTGATGACAGCAAACCACCTCGCAAAGTTGGTGGGTTTGCCCAATGCAACTTTGGTATGTCCTGAAGATTTACCTGATGCTGCATTGGCGGGCCCGGTGATTGACCAAAGCAGAGTATCTGGAGTTTCACTGCTTTCCTTTTGTGTCTGGAGCTCGGACGGTAATCCATCAATATAGTGGTGGATATCATCTTCTAGTCTGCTGGGCGATTGATAGATAATATGGCCATCTGCAGTGGAAAATTGCTCATTTGCCCACTTCCACGGATCAGCATCGGATTCTCGGAATGTGATGGTAAATGACACGGGACCTCCATGCTTGGGGGCGCCCCGTAATTCGAGTGAGAACCATTGCCGAACACAATCATCGTCTGTCTTTCCTCTGATTGCCATCTTATAACCATCAGCCAAGGTACATATGATAGTTGCTCTATCTCTTACCAATGACGGACCTTCGTCGACAGATTGTAGACTTGCACTGGACCACTTCTCACGATTTTGGTGATTAGACCATAGCGCAACCTGCCAGTCTTTCCTGGATGAAGTCTCCAGGAGAACTGTAAAATTGACCAAAGATTTTTCAGAAGCAACAACTGTTGTCTGTCCTAGAGGCGGGCTACATGTGAGTTTGGCAAACATTATGATACCGATCAGCTACGGTACTGAGTACTAGAAGTAGTGACAAATGATGATACTGGAACGGTGGTGGAGGTCCGGAAAGGAATCTCAGTACAAGACGTAACCGAAAAGCAAAAGTATCAGAACCAGATACTAGGAACAACTTGCGTATTCAGTACTTAAGGAGGGATATGGATGGAGAAGGGTGAGGAATGCACTATGACGTGTGCGGAGTAGTCAGTAGGGCCCCATGAGTATGGGGTACGAATTACATGGGAGCTCCGAAATTAGACCAATCAGAAGTTAGCGGGGCCGCGAACTTTTGGCGATTAGCTAGAGGCGCCCATCTCCAGTTACCATCATGAGCTTGTTAACATAGACATGCCTCTTCTCACACACTTACCGCGCTCTCGGCCATACGTATGCCGCCGGTGCTTTCTGAATCGGCCCATCATACCCCTCGCGAGACGATCAATCGCCAAATGGGCTGCTCAGCACCCCGAGGCGGATGCGCAATGGGAGGAGCAGTCAATGATGATCCAGACCGGCGCCCGCCCGAGTATGCTGAATATTCTTGAAGGGCGAGGTTTTGTAAAAGACATTGCTGGGTGTGTGTTCCCCTCAACTCCCACCATGGGACGTAGCTCGGACTGACAGCTGTATGAAGCCCCCGCGAAGCCCTCGATTGGCTTTTGACCCGCAAACGAATCGGCGCATACGTCGGCGTAGACCCTACGGCTCCTTCTCTCCATGTGGGCCACCTGCTTCCCATGATGGCTCTATTCTGGATGTATATGTACGGCTATCATACCGTTTTGCTCGTGAGTGGCACCGGCCGATCTGAAGGGCGCTTCGATTGACAAACGACAGCTGGGTGGTGGCACAGTTCAGATCGGGGATCCATCCGGGAGGACGACAGATCGAGCGCGACAGGAGTATGATGTCCGTGCTATGAACGTGCAGAATATGCAACAGCAGCTGCAGGGGCTCTGGACTCACGTCAAGGCTCTGGGTATTAAACACGACTACCCAATTGAGACGAGCCGAAGCAAGGCACTCCTGAACAATGCTTCTTGGTTGAAGGACTTGAGCGCTATAGAGCTAATGCGTGATCTTGGATCAGGTATGAGGCTAGGTCCCATGCTCGCTCGTGATTCGTAAGTCTATGGATGAGCGTTATGATACATAAGACTTTCTTTCTGAACCTTCTCTAGCGTTCGCTTGCGTATGGAGAGTGGTGAAGGCATGCCATTTTCCGAATTCTCCTACCCGCTCTTTCAGGCATATGACTGGTGGAGTATGTACTCCACTCAAGGCGTACAACTTCAGCTTGGCGGGTCAGATCAATATGGCAACCTCTGTGCCGGGATGGATGCCGTGAACCACATGCGAAAGATCCATCGAGCAGACGAGCCGGCCGAGCAGGGCCCTCTTTTAGCCACCTTCGGCCTGACCACACCCTTGTTGACCACATCCTCCGGCGAAAAGTTTGGGAAAAGTGCTGGCAATGCCGTATGGCTTGACAAAGATATGCTCAATTCGTTCGATCTTTATCAGGTAAGTCGTCAGGGCATCTAAAAGTGCGCACACGATGTTAACGTAGAGTATAGTACTTTCTGCGCACGCCGGATAGCGATGTAGCCCGTTATCTTAAACTTTTCACTTTTCTCCCTCTTCAACAGATCGATCTAGTAATGGGACGGCATGCCCAGGACGAATCAAAAAGAGTCGCTCAGCACCTGCTGGCAAAGGAGATCGTCGAACTTGCACATGGAGCCGCGTACGCGAAGAAAGCTGAAACCGCACACAAGGAAGCATTTAGTCAAGGCACAAGCACGTTCTCTCTCAGTGCGCTACGACACAGCCTTTCGGTCTTCAAGAACGCCGAAGCCATTGCCAAAGGTGCAGTAGAGGAGAAGAGCGAGGGAGAGCAACGACTCCTCGCCTACAAACAAGCCTATGCTGGCTCCACCACCGCACAACCAACCGCAAACTCATCAAATGAACCATCTAAACACAACCCTCCTTCCGATATCGTCACTCTCCCACTCAGCCTTCTCAACGCGGGCTCCTTCCCAGGTGTTTTGTACGCTGCCGGCCTTGTCCCTACCAAAAGCGAAGGCCGTCGGCTCATCCTGAAAAATGGCGCTTATGTCGTTGTACCGAATTCCGGTTCTGTCGAGAACCCGGGCAGCCTGGCGTGGACGCATATACCTCAAGCGATCGCCACTGCAGACCCAAAATCATATCTAGTGGATTATGATGCGCTCATACTTCGGTCTGGCAAGACCAAGATTCAGATTTGTCGCGTTGTCAAAGAGGAGCAATTTGAAGCAGAGGGACTGACCTGCCCTGGATGGGATGAATTCAAGGCGAAGAGACAGGACGTTGAGCGGCAAAGGTAGGGCCATCGATGCGATTCGATGTGTAATATTATGTGGAATTCGGTAGTGTTTGAGAAATGTTGTACGAGTATTGTTGTGGCATGGAATAGGCGTCGATACGCTTTGCAAAGGCATTGACACATACCAACTTATGTGGTTATAAAGCTAAAACTGTGCAAATGATTGTTAGACGGTGTAGTGTTAAAGAATAGTCAAATAATTTGAGTCCGACCCTCACTCATCAATGCATGATAGAGGTGCCAGGCGGTCACTGAAAGTTCATCGCAGGGCCGTCCGATTGACTGCTGCGCGCCAACAGCGATGATCGAGAAGTCGTGTTTCAAAAAGGTATGTTCAATGAGATGGGACCAATGGTATCAATATTGATATTGCTTTTTTTAGAAGAGGTGATGCGACTTGCGCACAAAAGTAGAGGTACGGAAAAGACGAGCGATTAACAAAAAGTCCGGGAGAAAGGTAGTTCCTCCGGAATCTTCTGATGATCACTCGTCTTTTGCTCACGATATGCTTCAAGTAAAATTAAACCCCCAAGTATGACCCATTGGTGCCACCATGCAGTCGAGACGACCATCGAAAAAACACCTTGCCAGTTCAATAAATCAGAGATGCCGTCCAAGCGTCCGTTATGTAACAAGAAGTTGTGTGCCGGACGCAGATATCATGCTATCCTCCGCGACCGCGCAGCGAACCGCTTAAGCCCCGTGAGGGGAGAGTTCGGGGGGGAAGCAGAGGCTAGCTCATCTGCTACACGCTAGGCTTTCATCATCTGGAAAATTAATGTTAGCAGACTGTGTATGGATGCGGGAAATATGGTAAAGGTAGGTACGTACTTGTTTTAAACTGGAAGGATGAGGGTCGAGGATAGCGGGCCGAAGTTTTTTTATATGGTGGGCAAAGCTTGGACGGATGATGACTCAGCATGAACGGTCTTGGCAGTGACCTGAGTTTTGAATCGCAGAACACCATCGTCCATACTATCAATTTCACTTTTGCATCGATCATCAGTCGAAAGAGGAGGGCATTGTGTTTGGGATGAGCTTGTTACGGGCTACAAAGCATGTAGTGGCCCGTGGTAGGGGGATTGGGCCATCCTATGCCGGAATATCAAGAACGCGTTGTCAAGAGATCACGCTGATGCGATCTGATGCACCAGCATCTTATCGGAATTTCAGCAGAACATGTTCCAACAAAGAAAGTGCAGAGACTGAAATAAAGTCGGAGAACAATATCCGTCAGATCTTGGATGACTACAAGAAAACAAGTATGGCAGTCTCACTGCAATCGTTGAACGAATATCACTGACTCTCTTGTAGACGGGTTGAAATTTAACTCGATTGCATGGATGCCCTACCACATCAACAGACCTCGCCTCGGAACAGAGATTGAGCTAGAAGGTTATTTGATGAATCGGCGAGACATCAACAAGAATCTTTCTTTCACGATGTTAAGAAGCCCGACGCAGGAGTATGCCATTCAAATTGTGTCGTCTGGACAAGAAGAAGGATCCCAGGCCGCCGAAGCCCATACGCAACTTAAAACGCTAAGAGAATTCACGCCGGTGAAGATCACAGGAACCCTCGAACCGAAGCAGCCAGCGAAGAACGCCAAGAAAAATGCCGAAGATGGGGAAAGCCCAAAACTGGCTGATCATACGCGGGAGATTTATATTACCCATATCTTGCCCTTAGCTGAGATTCCCTCGGATTTGATTGTTAAAGAAGGATCATCGTATGGTCCGCACCAGCGTCATCTCCAGCTTCGGACTTCTTCCGAACTGCGTAGAAGACTGAAGTTCCGAAATCGAGCGAACCGGATAGCCCGAAGCATACTCCATAAAAAAGGGGACTTTGTAGAGGTTGAAACGCCTTTACTATTCAAATCCACGCCCGAGGGTGCTCGCGAATTTCTGGTTCCCACACGGAGAAAAGGGCTTGCGTACGCTCTGCCGCAGTCCCCTCAACAGTACAAACAGCTCCTCGTGGCTGCGGGGCATCACAGATATTTTCAGTTTGCCAAATGCTTCCGCGACGAAGATCTCAGAGCCGATCGACAGCCCGAATTTACCCAGGTATATCTTCCACTTCCTCGTTATTTACCTGCGTCAGTCTAATTCACATGATAGCTTGATCTCGAGCTGGCTTTTGCCAGTGACGAAGAAGTCATGTACACCGTCGACTCTCTCATTCGTCCCCTATTCTCAGATATGCTGGCATGCCATATTCCAACTATCCAGCGTATAACCTACAATGAAGCAATGTCCCGTTACGGATCCGACAAACCCGATCTCCGGTTCCCAGCCCAAATTCACAACATAACCAAATATCTGCCCGAAGATCTAATCCGCAAGATAACGCCCCTGGAGAACCCCACAGTCGAAGCTTTCAGAATGACCCTCGACCGCAACTCTAGCATCAACCACAAATTCATCTCCAATTTCCTCGACGGACCAGAAGGGAAACCGTTCCTTGAAAATCCACACGGACAACCTGGAACCTTTATTGGCGACGTTTCGAAACCGCTTGGGGGCCTCGCAGCCCTGGGACACCGAGCGGCCATGGAAATCCCCTCCGAACTCTCCATCGACCAAGGCGACATTCTAGTCCTACAAGCACGTCCGACAGCTCCCCATTCAGGAGGCTCCACCGTCCTCGGTAACCTCCGCACCGCCCTCTACAAAGCCGCCATCGCCGCCAAACTCTGCGACGCCCCGCCCCGCGATAAATTCGTCTTCGCCTGGATAACCGATTTCCCGCTCTTCACGCCGTCCAACGACCAGGACCCCGGTCAAGGCGGTACCGCCGGCTTCTCCTCCACCCACCACCCTTTCACTGCGCCCAAGACCGACGCCGACGTCGATTCCCTGCTCACAGACCCTTCGCGCGCCGTAGCTGCGCACTACGATCTCGTGGTCAACGGCGTCGAGCTCGGCGGTGGCAGCCGCCGTATCCACAACGCACAGGTCCAGGAATTCATCTTCAGAGACGTGCTCAAGATGAAGCCTGAACGCATCGAGGACTTCCGCCACTTGCTGGATGCCCTGCGTAGCGGGTGTCCGCCACATGCGGGCTTCGCGCTCGGGTGGGACCGGCTGATTGCTATGATGACTGGGACGGACAGTGTGAGGGATGTTATTGCTTTTCCGAAGACGGGGAGTGGCGAGGATCCGATGGTTGGGTCGCCGAATATGGTGACCAAGGAGCAGTGGGACACGTATCATTTGGAGGTGAAGACGTAATCGTGTAAGAGATGGGACTAGAGGGTGTGGTGGCGTGTTTGTTAGAGGACGAACGCCATTCGAACTGTGTATGTTTAGATCTGCAGACTTGGGACTTGGATGGTTAGCATGTATCTATAGCATTTGTGTATGATATGTATGAATATATGCAGAGTAAAACCACAACCGCTTCCAGTACAATCCGAACAACCCAGACAAAAAAAATGTGGAAAAAAGCAAAGACGTAAAAAAAACAACAACAACAACAACAGGAAAGAACCAGGAATACATTGAAGAGGAGAAAACAAAAACTATAACTTCACCCTCCCCCCAACAATCCCCTCCAACTCCTTGACCCCAAACTTCTCGTACGCACCCTTCCCTCCCGCACCAGCCCAAAACATGGTATCCCCTTTCCGCTCGACACTCTCGACATCAATGCCCTCCTTCTGCAACCCAACCTTCTGATGCTTATTCGTGCCGGTCAACTCGAGGGCGGTAGTGAACCTCAACCAAACGGGTCTCGCAAAAGCCGGCAACTCTTTATCAACAAGGTGTCTAATGTCAGCGAGAAGCGTGGGATCAGGAGCGAGAGATTTATCGACGAGGATGATAGCGGCACAGCCTGCGCGGCCATCGTGATGCGGGACCTCGACGCCGTAGACGCAGGCCTCAGCGACGCGCGGGTGCTTGCCCAGCGCATCGGCAATCTGGGCCGTGCTCGCGTTTTCCGATTTCCAGCGGAAGGTGTCGCCCATGCGGTCGACGAACCACCAGCGGCCGTCAGCGTCGCGGCGCACGAGGTCGCCCGAGCGGAAATACGCGTCGCCCTTTTTCTTGACGTCGCGGATGATTTTGCTCGACGTGGCTTTTGCGTTGCCAAAGTAGCCCTGGAATTTGAGCTTGATGTTGTCGGCGTCGACTTTGAAGAAGAGCTCGCCCGGCTGCGAGGGCCCGGCGGGGACGCAGAGGCCCGTTGTCGGGTCGCGGATGGGGTCTGCGTTTGTCGAGGGGTCGACGGCGGCGAGGAACATGGAGAGCCCGAGGAGGAAGGAGCCGATGGTGCCGTTGCGGCCAAAGGCTCCTGCGCTGAAGCCGTTGGCGTCGCGGTTGAAGAGGCCTGCTGGGGCTTCGGTGGCCGAGTAGAACTCGCAGACTTCGGGGATGGCGAAGCGGGTCTGGAACGCTTGCCAGACGTCGGGGCGGAGACCGTTTCCGAAGATCTTTTGGACGTGGTGGTCTTTGTCGAGGGGGGATGGGGGTGCCGTGAGGAGGTAGCGGCAGGTTTCGCCAACGTATTGGATGACGGTGGCTTTGGAGGAGCGGACTTCTGGCCAGAAAGTCTTGTGACTGAAGGTTCGTCCTATAGAGGTTGCTCCTCCAGCGCGAAGCATCGTGGCGAAACCCAATACCGAGGCGGATGCGTGGTAAAGAGGCATAGCTGTGTACATTGTATCTGTCTTGTTGACAGGCAGGTACCTGTGCGCGAAGCGTGGTGCTCCATTTGCCTTGCCCCAAGACACGATGGCTGGTTTGGGAAGACCGGTAGTGCCTGATGTGTATATGAGCATGGCCATATCGTCCATCTTTTGGCCGCCACGCTCCGAATCGGGTTGCCTCTCGGGTTTGAGAGTCAGGATGTGGTTTTCCAGCCGCTTGTCGAAGAAGACGATTTCGATTCTGTGTTGATGGGAGTCTATGCTGGCTTCTGGAGTGGCAGATGCTGTGGCATTTTTCTGCAGCGAGGCTTTGATCTCGCTATCATCACGCTCGAAGGCGTACGATGCCCGGTCTTCTGCCTGCAATCCAGCAACCGGAGGACCACTTGCTTCCAGGCCGTGCTCCGCCAATTTTTCCGCAGCGTATTTTTGCTTAAAATCCTCGCCGACCAGAACGAGCTTGGCTGTGCTCGTTCGAATGGTATGTACCAAAGGCTTGCCTTCCAGATTGTAATTGACAAAGGCCGGTTTGGCGCCGATGCTCCAGAGACCCAACCACACCCAGATGAACACGGCCGAGTTTATAAAATCCATGGCAACAACTTCGTCCTTTTTCACACCTTTGCTTTTGAGCCAGGTTCCATATCTCAAAGTTATCTCGTAGGCTTCGGCGTAGCTCCAAGTCTCGCCTTGGTAGATGATGCACGGGCGATGCCGATCCGCCGATTTGGCGTGCTGCTCGAGGACGTAAAAGACATTGATGTCGTCTCTTCTCTCATGGAGTCTCAACGATATCCGTTGTCGAATTAGGGATTGGAGCATCGGCCAGTCGTAAGTGAAACCATGGCGCGCATTCAGATATGCGAGGCAGGCGGCGGCGGTCGGGAGTGCGTAAGGCAGAGCTGATTCGGTGTTAGTTGGACGCCTCTAGAATACAGTTTTTACGCGAAAGCTAGAAGCTGTCAGATCGGCAGCCAACTCACCTTGCATAGCTGTATCTCTAGATCGGCAATCAGAGGATGAATGAAGCCAAAAAGTGTGGAAGCAGCTTGAACCGCAGGTCTGAAGTAAAGGTGTTTGACCTCAAGATACTTGCGACAGGATACCGAGGCACATCCTCCACAATAACATCTGGCCCGTGCAACCCTAGGTACGCCGCTTGATGATCTCCAATTAATCACTTAATCGAGTCAGGCCTAAGACCCTGGGCAAGTTCGGCAACAATCTCTCTGCCAGCCGACCATCAAGCTGCAAATATAACGAGGTGTAACGTGCGGTCGGGACGTCAAATAGTAAAGCAAAATGGGGACACCAGTAAGGGACAATCGCACATCGTGAATGACCAGTGGTATGAGAATGTTTTGGGTGATATTGATACTGATATCGGAACCCACGTTTCCCGAGCATGAGCCTAGGGGATATCCCCTGAGTCCACTAGAATTACAATAAGACTGGCCGATCTGGAGCGCTTAGCTCCATGCGCATGCTGTATCTTTGCATGTCCCTGGACATAAATCTTCCGAAATCCAAATGGTCCTGATCCACTTACACAAAAACAATCGATCCAGCAAACGCCGTACCACACCTGAGTGCTAACCATTCCCTAAGTTGATCGAACACGAAAATATTACTTTAGTTGGCGATTGTGCCCTGGCTCACGTCATCAGTGTCTCGCTGCTCTTCATCCGACTAGCCCAAAAAGTTCTGCGTTTGCTGCTGCTGCTGCTGCTGCTGCCCTGGACGCGGGAACACGCTTGTGGTTGGAACTTGATCGACGCTCATTCCTCCCAGCATACCCGAACCACTGTTCTGCCAGCCCTGTCCTGTCTGCTGATTCACGAATGCGCTTTGACGAAATGGATTTGTACTGCCAGTTGCGTGGACGGTAAGACCTCCTTGAGGAGATGGTGTGCCCTGAGAGGGCGAGGCGGTGCGCGCAAAGGGATTAGTCCCTGTAGGAGCGGGTTGCAGTGGTTGCAGAGACTGCTGTGGCGCAAAAGGTGACGGTTGCTGTGGCGATTGCATGGGTGAGGCAGAGAAGTGTGATGAACCGGGTGGTGAAAGGGTCGATTGGGGTTTTGAGAAGGGATTGGTCCCTTGTCGGCCGATGGGGGAGGAGGAGCCAGTGGAATTTCCAAGCACGGGTGGGGGCGGTAGACCAGTTGCTTGGGGTGGTAGCATGGACTGCCGGAAGGGGTTGGTAGATGTCGCCTGCGGCTGCAGTGGTGAAGCCGTGGTCTGGAATTGTTGTGAGGGCTGTTGCGAGAAATCGGCCATACCATTCTGCGGTATTGATCCAAGGGAACTCTGATTGCCAAAAGGTTGGGGCGTATAGCCACCAAAACCAGCACCTGTGAACTGCGTTTGGAGCTGAGGCGGCTGTTGCTGTTGTTGCTGCATTTGCGCAAAAGGATTCGTAGATTGAGCAGTTTGTTGGTTGAAAATCGGTTGCTGCTGCTGAGGAAAGCCCATGTTACCTGGTTGTTGCTGCATCTGAGCGTTAGGTTGCTGGAAGCCGGTCTGTTGTGGGAATTGCTGCATAGGCTGAGCCATAGTCTGCTGGTTGTTTTCAATGGAGCCGAACAAGTCAATTAAAGGAAGGCTGGTGTCCTGTTTCGGTAATTCTGGTGCTTGATTGACTGCCGCCGCCGGTGCGGGCGTGGATTTTGTTTCTCCCAGTGGCTTGCTGGCTCCGTTGGTCGATTTGCCTCCCAACTTCTTCGCTTCCTTCTCGGCAATGAATTGTCTGCGGTTCACCTCAAAATCCTTGTCATTGAGATACTCCTCCAATGCGTTCGCCAGACTGGTAGGGGCGTGCTTGATCTTTGGGATTTCCAATCGTGTCGAATGCTCATGCAACCGAGCTACACTCAGATACTGGACGACAGCCTCAGTCTGCTTGACAAAAGTACGGTAGATATTCAAGGCACGTTGAGCATCCGGCTTGGACAGTTCGAAGTAGTGTTCTGAGGGCGTTAGCAGAGGCCTGGGGTAGAATCAGGTGCAATCACCCACCAAGGACATTAATGGTTCCCTCATTCATGACATGGAAAAGCACGAGGAGGTCCATGGTGAGTAAACGGAAGGCAGTCAGCGTAATCTCGTTTTCCGGCTCATCGTGGAATGGCTGTCGAAGATGATTAGCGAGTGTTGCGGTACAATGCGATGGTGGTGATGTGTTGTACCTCGCATCGAATTAGGTATTTGATTTGAGTTTGTATGCTCTCCGTCTCGCGCAACAGGCCCTTGTCCACAGTCATCCGCTTGAGCCGTCCTTCACCGCCGCGCACATAGTCGACTTTTATGGCTCCAAACTCGATGGCCCGATGCAAAAGATACTCTGCATATGTTTGTATGTTGTGACCTTGCGATTGGACTGTAGATGCGTCTTGTCAGCACTCCAATCGAGACAAGCCTCCACCCCCTCATCTGGGATGCAAGCAGGGCGGCGTGCAAAACTCACTCTCGGTGAATTGATGCAGGGCGAGGCTGTGGCGTGGGTTCTTGGACAGATGGCGGAGGGTGACCTCGGGGGCGCCCTCTCTTATCATGAGGTGGACGATGATGAGACTTTTGAAAACAATGGTCCATGTGGTGTCGCGCAACCGGTTGGTCAAGGCGCGAAAGATCTCTGCGACGCCGGCATCTCCGGTGTGTGTTGCGACCAAGATGTGCTCGACATATTTGGACTTTGGCGCTGCAAGCTGTTGGATGCGACACGCGCGGATTAGCTCCTGTGCGTGTTTGTCTGTCTGTATATGCACCTGCGGGAATCTCCCGGGGACGACGACGAGAGAGGAAGCGGGAGGGCACCTACTTTGATCTTGGTGCCGCCCTTGACCGACTTTTCAAAGGAGCTTGACATGGCGAGGGGGGGTTCGTGGTAGAGGTGGTGGTTGTGGCGGGCGGCTGGCGGAGGATAGGTAGGTGGGTGTTTGTCGCTCGCTCGCGCTCGTTTGCAGGGCCGGTCGGGTTCCCGTAGCTAGGTGGACTCGGTACCAGGCGTGGTGGCTATAGCAGCATTATCGAGGCGGAATCATGCAACGGTATCATGTAGCAATAAGGCGCAGTGGAGGAGCAGCAGCAGCAGCAGCAGGAGGAGGGGATAGTCAGGAGGTGAAAGCAGCGGTGGTGGTACCGGGCTCTTTCCGGCATGCGTGGTGAGGACGCTTGGGCGCACATGCAATGTAATGCAGTCAATGCTATCTGTCTATCGGAGGTTTGCTGTGTGCCAGTCAACCCAAATCAATCAATTAAACTACTGCGGTACGCACGGCCGATGACGCTGCTGCCGCCGCCGTTTACCCCCCCACGCACGCACGCTGGACCCCGTTGAAACATTTCTCGCCAACACCCACCCAACCCCGCCGTGCCTCCTTGCTTGCTTGCGTCCCACCGTTCTCCAAACATGTCTGACGAGCCCTCCCCGGAAGAGCAGAAGAGGATCGATGCCGAGAACAAGGCAAAGGAGGATGCCGAGCAGGCCGCCCTGCCCTACAAATGGACCCAGACCATCAAGGACTTGGACGTGACTGTGCAAGTCGACGGCAAATACAAAGGCCGTGACCTCGATGTCAAAATCGCAAAGACTCACCTCAAGGTGGCCATCAAAGGCCAGGAGCCCATCATCGATGTGAGTCATGCATGGTCCCGCACCACACAATCTTTTGCCTCCCCCTCTGACACCATATCAGGGTGACCTTCCTCAGTCCATCCACGTAGACGACTCTACCTGGACTCTCGAGACCACTCCCACCGGCAAGGAGATTGTTGTGCATCTTGACAAAGTCAACCAACTGGAATGGTGGCCCCACGTCATAACCTCGGCGCCCAAGATCGATACCTCCAAGATTCAGCCCGAGAACAGCAAGCTAGGAGACTTGGATGGCGAGACGCGGGGCATGGTGGAGAAGATGATGTTTGACCAGCGACAAAAAGAGATGGGAAAGCCCACAAGCGATGAGCAGAAGAAGCTGGATTTGCTGGAGCAGTTCAAGCAGCAACACCCCGAAATGGACTTTTCCAACGCTAAGATGGGTTGAATAAAAATGGTCCACGGAATGTTGGGACATAACAAAGACCAAATCATTAAAGAGTAAAGGCCTATTGCGGTAAAGCATCTGCGTCGACAAGTGTACTTTTGATCGCATCGTGATTGCTCTGCAAGGCATGAGAGAAACAACGGGGAAAAGAGGAGGTTTCCACATGTCTTCAGTAGAGCCTGTGCAGTGCAGGGGAATCCGGGCTATTACGAAATGTCAGATATGAATACTGCCCAAGGTGTGTTACTTCATGCAGTCAATGGTCTGATGGTTACATCTCTACAACACTCTTGCGTCTATACGTGTCCGTCATGCCCATACTCGTTCACCGGTTTTCATACGGAAACGGCACTGTGCTACTTGCATAGTATAGCGACTGGTCCGGTGAAAGAAGTCGTATCCGGCATGCAAGGCGACAGTGATACACATGTGCTAGGCATGTGAAACATCAGTCGAGGTGAGCCAAGCGGGAATAGCAATATATAAGAATGAGCACTGCAGTTCCCATACTCCATCAAACTGAGGAAGACATCAAGCGACACCTGGCAAACTACACTCTGTAAACTAACGCGCAAGGTAGATTGTTCGAGAATTTGCACTGGATGTGTCATCTCGAGAGCAACAAACTTGTTTCTTACCCATCTACGCGTGAGCCACTCGAAGGAATACACCATAGACCGAAACACACCGACTTGGGTGGAGAGCCTCGCTCCAACAAGGACAAGGTCTCCCTTTCGATGATGTTCTGAATGATGATTCAAAGTGTTCGCCCACCTCGCTGAATGTTGAGCGTCCTGACTCCAACATGCCAGCGCCCTTCTTCTCCACCTAGTCTTTGCCTTGACAAGTGTCGTATAAAAAAAACCACGCAACCAGGCCATCCGGTCAAAGGAGAGAGGCTGCATGTTATTTAGTCCTCTATCTAGGCTACGAATCTCACCACCATTCTGGTTCGGCGGCGTCGTCATCTGCGTCCTGGTGGCCATTTCCGGCGCAGCCTAATCGCTACCGCAACCGCCATCTGTTGTCAGCCGCGACATGGGAAGGCGCAAGTTACAAGTCAAGTTCTTCCAACTTGGCTTCAAGTGCTTGGTAAACCCTACTCGTTTATTCCAACCCCTTTGAGCTCGTTCATTTGCCACCGTCCTCACATGAGGCCTACCTAGCGCCCTCATTTTCATTTTCAGCCCCCACCCACCATTAGTCGCACGTTGGTGAGTAGGTCTTCACTGCCTCGCCGTGGCGGGCTCGACTGTGGGCCAGCATGACCCATCCAGCTCACTCCGCGACTTTTTTCATGGGCTGGTGTTGGGAACGTTGAATCATACTTGCGGCCGTAGCCAGCCAGTACCAAGGCATCCGAAAGCGTGCATGCGACGGGGACTGAACACGCACGGGAGCGGCCGCCACACGCTGCGCGGGCCAATCAGAACCCGCTATCCCTCAGCCTCAGCCATTGTGGCCATGCACGCCATAGTCGGCGGAGCAGTTCGCAGGTGATGGCATTACAAACGACGTAGCAGAAAAGCTTAGACCTTGGAGCTATAAGGAAGATAGCAAAAAAAGGCAAATGAAACATGTTTGCTTAACAAGAGAAAAAAACTATATAGCCTTGTACCTGTGTCACGCTGTCCCTTTCTTTTCTGTTTTGCCTTGCCAAACCGCACTACAAATACTCCCTCATCGCATACTCATCCTCATCACTTCGAAGTATCTAAACAACCCACTATCAACTCAAGTTACCCAAAGCGGATACATCTTCATCAAGTTTCCTTTATCCCAACCCAACCAATAACCAACCCTCAAACCTAATACCCATCCAATCCTTATTCTCACTGAACCCCCCCAAAAAAGAAGAAACAACAAGAAATCCCACTACAAAAAAAAAGGCGAGAGAGCAATGTCTTCATTCCACTACCACTCAACCCGCTCCCGCTCCCGCTCCCGCGATCCCATCTACTCCTCCTCGTCCTCAGACTCCTACTACCACCCCACAACCTCATCACGCACTCTAATCCCACGCGCCCCGTCCAAACACCGCCACAATCACCACCACTATTCCTCCTCCAACGATAACGCCAACGACCTCCTCTACGACGACTACCCCTACACCAACCGCGCGCTAACCCTCCACCGCCCCTCCCATCAACCCTCCCAACTCGAAAAATACAACGTCTGGCCCGAGTCCTACCGCCCCTCCCCATCATCGTCAAAGTATCGTCGCTATGACGCCAATGATGACGACGATATCGTGTACCGGTATAAACACTCGACCTCGCGATCGCACTCTCCCCCTCCCCTCCGTCGATCCTCCTTCTTCTCCTCCTCCGAAGGAAAAGATACTTATAAAATCAAGCTCGCGGCTAGTTTCTCGCGGCCGAAATCCTCGCACGGTTTGACGTCAGTCTGGGGAGGTGGTGGTGGTGGCGGGGAGTCGTATCGGCGGCGCGAGAAGTGGGAGGATGAAGGGTGGGAGGAGATGAGTAGGAGGAGGGGTGATGATCGTGGTAGTGGTGGGTGGTTTGGAGGAGGGATGGGGGGAGGGGCGGATGAGAAGACGGTGAGGTATCGGAAGGTTAAGCGGACTAGGACGGATGAGATTAAGCCGCTGAGGGGGTGGAAGAGGGGGTTTTGAAGGACGTGGTTTTTTTTTCGTGGCGAAGGAATAGGAAAGAAGGGGAAGTATTGTTTTCTTTTGTTTTTGTTTTTTTTTCATTTTTTTTGGTCTTTCTTATTAGAGGCTTTTTTTTTGGAACTGTTGTTCTCTCTTTTTTTGCTGCTTTTAAATCTCCTTTTTGCTTTTTAAGGTGTTATAGAGTTTGGGATTTGGTTTAGTTTCCTTGTTTCCTTGTTTCTAGTTTCCTGTCTGCTGTTTGTTCTGTCAGCGTTTACACTCTCGATATTGCCTTGTCTTGTCAAAGGGTTTCTATCTTTCTTTTTCTTGTTCCCCCCTCCTAGCTGTCTCCTATAACTAGAAAGGTATTGGCAGCATCGGTGCTTAGATGGGATTAGGCATGTACTGTTACTGGCTTTTTAGTCTTTTTTTTTTTTTTGAGTGTTAATCAGGGCGTTTTGGGGTCACATGTCTTTTTCCTCCCATCATGTTGCTTTCGGTATTAGTTCTGGGATGGATTGGTTGCGATGGTTTGTTTTCATATCGCGCTGGAAATTTGCATTCTGATTTGTTGGAGTTTCGGTGGGGAAGGGGGGGGGATACGTATGTATATAGATACCCATATCGGCAAAGGTAGCTTAGCAAGTGTAAGAATGTGAAAAAAACAGTCAGTGAGATGAACAGGACTGGGATGTAACTTATTCGTGATTTGGAGACTGACTATCTGGTCCGGGGTCGAATGACTATTACTCAGACGGCCTAGGAAAGTGTCAACCACATATTACTTACTGTCTCTCATATCCGATCTCCTGCTCGCCCTTCTGTAATGCAGCCCGTCATGTCATATGGCAGTTTGCAAGTTATAGTACAGCAAACGCACTGCAATACGAGACACTGCTATCATCTGCGCGCTCCACCTCGCTGCTCCTCTCATATCTCACAAACCTGAACCTGCCCTTCCCCTCACCAAGCTCCGCTTGCTCGACCGCCGCCATAAACACGCCGATAGGATGTCTTCCACACACCGTGTTCCCCGTCCTCTCTAGCTGCTCCAAGAAATCCTCGTGCACTCCACTCTCCACTGCATCCATACTCTCAAAGTCGACAGCTTTGATGCTCTCGTGGATAGGGTACTCCCTTGTTTCAGAAGAGGGAGTGTTGGAACGGAGGTTCACGGCGGACCCTTCTTGCGGCTGGTAATATGTGTAGCTGAACCGCGATCCCCAGTGGCAGAAGTCGGAGGAGATGACGAAGATATTTGTTGGGTCGGATAGGTAGGGGGCAAGGTGTGCACCGAGGTCGCGTTCGATTTTGGGCCTGGTGGCGCCGACCATGATGGGGACAAGAGGAACGGCGGCTGGGTCTTCTTGGAAGCTCTTGTTATGGCTGTGATTTGACTGGTCAGTTACACGCCAAATACATTTGTATATGGAGGGGAGCGGTTACAGGGAAAGCATCCGATAGATGTAAGGTAGGTGCATCTCCAGACTATGCTCGGCTTTGTCTGTCCGCGGGTCCATGACTTGGAGTTTCCATTCCTGTTTAATCTTGGCTGTGAAATCGACATCTATGACCAAGTCTCCCAACGGTGTCTCGTACTTTGAGTAATTGGTCGTGGCGGCAACGGGAAGGTAATGGTGGTGAGATGGACCGAGGAGAAAGACACGTTTGCTGTGTTCCGTCAATGAATACTACTTCATCACTTGTTGCAAGTATGCGAGAAACGTACACGTTCGCCCAGTCTGCACTCTTGTAAGCCCACGCTGCTGCAGGCCCGGAGTACGCGTAACCAGCATGCCTAGGCATCATGAGCCCTCTACTGTTCTCATCCACTTCTCGTTTGAATGTAGCCTACGGTGCAATGATAGCTCGTGCATTCGAGACTGGCGGCGAGTATTCACCTTCCTGCGAAGATGCGGTGCCTATAGGGCGTGCTGAGCTGGGGACCTGGTCCAGCCACTCATCGAGCTGTCGTTGGAGTTTCTTGCCATCATCCGTGTACCATGAACCGGCGTGGGAGGCTGTGCGGCCTTTGGAGTTGCTCGAGAAAGGCATCATATAGAGAAGCTACTGGAGTGACTCTGGTGAGGCGTAGGAATCTCACGCTGTAATGGTGAATGGAGGAGACGGCAGGCCGCGGGGCAGGTGTTGATATGGTGGGGTAGTACGACGTAATCGATTGGCACTGTTCGGATCCCCAGAAATGATATTCACATACCAATGTACGAACCGTCTGTACCAGTACATCCAAGAATCATAGATACCTTTTATTTCTTGAAAGAAAGGTGGGTGAATTTATGGTCGATATGGTTCTGCCATCTACCGCTGGGTGAAGTGCTATCAGCCGGTATTCACATGTCGGTATACTGGAGCTCATCCCCGCCGCCGAAGGAACATCACGAAAAGGTCAGTGATTGCATTGCAGCGATACCTGCAGATGCAAACAAATAAAAGCATATGTGAAAGAAGGCCCAACCAGATAGCAGTACAGAATGTTGTCGAGGGGTTTGCTCAAAGCGGAGATGTGATTAATTATGGACCCCTCAACGCGTCGGCGCGCCCCGGTCATCGCGACATCGCGTCCTGCCTTCTCGCCAAACTTGACCCGACATCATCATCATCACTGTCAGCCGTCTCTTACCTTGCACTTCTCATACTCAACCAATACCACTCTCATCCCCACACGCTTATACAATTACCTTTCACCTCCTATCTTCTTACCAGTCACCACTATAGTCATCGATAATGGCTTTCAAACGTAAGAGATCCGTCGACATGTCTCCTGTTTCCATCTCCAGCTTCGGCAGCGGCGCCACCCCCGAAGATCAATCGCCCACTTCATTCCCACACAGCTATGGCGGCGCGGTGGAAATGGACGTTTCAGCTTCAAAAAGTACCACGGGATGGGACTTTTCGTCAGTGAGCCGGACAAAAGCCAGCAGCGGCGGTGACTGGGGCATGCGAACGCGCAAGCGGGTGCGCGATAACAGGCCCGACGAGCGCAGCATCCACGGTAAAGCCACGCACTCATCATAGATGAATCGGCGCATGCTGATTCGAGGAACAGAAAACACAATCAACATGCTCTTCACGGCGCAACGCAGACATCCTCACGCCGAACCCATCATGTCTGACACCCTACCATCTCAACCTGCACAAGCTGCACCGAAACCCCAGAAATCGACTCTGCACGCTTTCTGGAAGCTACCTGCGCCACCACCCATCTTTCACCAACAGCAAGCCCAAATCTCGCACGCGCCGCGCTGTGAGGACTGCGACTCTGAACTACAAACCGAGGCTGATGGCATGGATATGGATATGGATATGGATGGGCTTTCAATTCAGAACTCCCTTGCATGCAACGAGTGCGGCAGGAAAGTGTGTGCCACATGTGCTGTGGTATCTAATACGAGGCACTGTCTTCCATGCGCGACCCGCCATTCCAGGCGATGGTGAAGTAATACCTACGCTAGCGTTCTTTATAGCATGTTCAGATTCCAGCATACGAGGTCAATTGCGATGGCGTTTTTCGGAGGTTCCTTTTTCGTAATGATATCCCGGCCACAGATGTCCAAGTCGAAGTCTTGAGGCGGATGCGGCACCAAAGCCTTTAGTACATGTAGCTATACCCAAGACTTGTACATGATGGTCGATTCTACACTTTCAATAAATAGTCATTGAATTCAAATAATATACAAGTACATCCCTTGTGTGCCTTTTTACCAGCAGGTGGGCCATAATGCCTACAACAACAACGTAGATATGCGGTTATAGGCCGCAAGAAGCACCGACACCACCTCGTCTATATATCGTACAAAACAAAAAAACCCCCCTTCCACATACTCACTCAATCTCCACGACCGACCCATGACCTAATCCCCATGCTGCACACTCTCCTCCAGCGCAATAACCGCCTGCTCCAACTCGCGAATCCTCTGCCCAACCCTCCTCTTGACCTCCTCGGCAACAGCCCCATCGCCCCCCTCCACAACCCCACCATAGTACTCGAGCAACCGATCCAATTCCTCGCGCGCCGCGACGCGATCGTCCTCGGCATACGTGGTATTCTTCTCCGTCTCCTCGGCCGCGATCTCGAACTCGTCGCGCGCCGTCGCATACAGTTCCTGGATCTCCTCGATGGCGGCGTCGATTTTCTGCGCGGCTTGCGGGGAGGTGGATGGCGTGGGGTTTGCGGGTGTGAGGGTTGGGTGTGTGGAGGTGAAGGTGCGCACTGAGGAGAGGGTGTACGGAGTTGCGAAGCGCGTCCATTGTGTGGTGGAGGCGAGGATGGAGTGGTTGCGCACTTGGTATGCTGGGGGAGGCGAGGGCGAGCGACGGCTGCTGTTGTTGTTGTTGTTGTTGCTGAGTTGGGGGAAGAATTGCGGGTGGACTTGGGTGCTTGTTGGTCGGAGGGATGCGGTGGTGCTTCGTAGGAGGAGGGTGCGGAGGGATGGGGCGAGGGCTGGCATTGTGGCGTGTGCGGTGTGTTTGCGAAAAAATGGACGAGTTGGCGAGGGTGTTTGGTGTCGTGGATTATAGACAATGGGTTTGGATGGTTGGGTGGTTCTGTCGGGGTTTGTGGGGTTGAAATGTTGAAGATGGAGGGCGCGATATGTCAGCTTTCCTTAGTGCATTTCGTCTGTCGATGTCATCTGAGGGCGGTCGCCGTGGGCAAAATAAGCCAGCCGGGGCAACCTATGAGGCTTTGCTCCACCGACTTTTTAATGAAATGTTAAGAACTCAAACAGAATCTGTTCGAATGCAGATGGAAATTTATCATTTCTAATCCAGTGAAGCTGGGGGAGCCTGTCATTGCTAGATGGGAGAGTGATGAGATTTGATCAGGGCTCTATATTTCTCCCGTGTCTTTACATTTTCCATGTCCATCACACGATAATGATTCTCTGATACAAGCACTTTTCTACTTTTTCTTGAGATGTATATCATCTGCTCTATTCTATCAGTTTTTATAGCGAAGCATCGTCGGAGAAACAAGATCGCAGGTATCTTCCAATCATGCAGTTTACTAGGACTGCACTTGATTCGTTCACTTCCCGAGGACATTGTCCTAGTGCATCGTCAATCATCCTCTTTTGCTTCTGCAGTTTCACCACTCTACAGTTGACTCTATTCTTTCTGCAATGTTATGGAGAAATCCGCCCTGCAATTGTCTCCTACCTTCTGGGACTCAAAAACTGCTTGCTATGCGATGAGAATTAGCTCATCTGGGCACGAGTTCCTTCTCATGTGAAAGACCTCGAAGTGGCAGCTTGATCTGTCTGCATTCCCAACACTTGACGAGCGAGTCACTCTAAAACATGTCACACACAGTTTTGAAGCATGACTGTTTCCACTTTCGAAGCGGCTCATGTCTAAAGAGTTTGAGATATTTTCGGAAATGTCTTCCCAAAGCCTCCCTCTTGTCAAAGTTGATAGGCAGCCTTTGGAACATCAACAAGGCGTCTTTGGGTACTTAATGGAGAAGTTGGTTGCTATTAAACCTGCAAAAATCTGTCTTTATATTAAAGACATTGAAACTGCCCTATTGCAACTACATAATTATGGCTTCATCCACGGAGATAAATCTCCTAGTAATGTAATACTTAACAGCATGCGCCAAATCTGATTTATTGACCTAAGTCACGCTGGAAAATTGCACTAACCGCTTGACAATTCTCATCAGCATCTGGCAGAGTTTCGGGGTTGGAGTTCATTCGAGATTGCTATGGATCTGATGAGGTTGGCAGACATCAAGCAGACCTTTTCTACTCGTGATGAAATTGTCGGTGTCCCTCACTTCCTCAAAGAGAGAAGGCATATTATCGAGCCATTGGCGGGTTTTCAAAGCCCCGAATTGATACATTTTGCAATGATAGCACTCAGCTAGATCTGCACAATCTCCAGCATGTTCCAACACCTCCCAGACGCTCATAATCTCCTTCAGAAACAATTAATGGTAGTTCTCCGAGGTACCGCGTCAATTCGAAATCAACTGGAGTATGCTCACCCAGTAAATTCCGCTTTAGGAGCTTGGTGGATGGCCGCAAGTAGGGCACGGCCTGCCTGGAATGCCCTTACTACCACAGGTTTCGCAAGGAGCCGACATCTTTCGTTCGCAAAGTTTCCGAGATGGGTAGATTCAAAAGTCGCGTTTGGGGAATGTGAAGACGGTGATGTGGAAACGGACTCCGACGTGATTTATACCCTTCCGTGCTGTTTTCTTCGTGGGTTGCACGCAACGATAATTGGATGTAGTTGATGAGTCTAGGTCCCCCCCATCAGGTCATATAAAATAGACTTCACAGCGGTGTCCAGCGAAAACGCCGTTGATACCATGAGTGAGACTATAATGCAAATAGACTATGCGTTGGACTGATCATGTACAGCTTGACCTGTGCTTCAATTTTTTTTTTTTTGAAAGGCTGCAAGCTGCAAGGCAGGTGATCCACTGCGCCACATCTCTCTTCAGTGTGGCTTCACCTAGGTAGGTACATATGTACATATGTAGTTAGCCCGCGGTGCCCTAGCAGAAAAACCACGATTTTGTGGGCTCCTACCAGCTGACCACATCAACCACCACTTAGCGACTTGACTTGAGTCTGCTACATTATTATGCTAATAATTTATATAACAAATGACCGAAAAACCGTCATATCAATTCATACGAAGCGTATTTGACGCGGACGTAGTCTAGTGGTTATGATGTCTGCTTTACATTGATCAGACGAATAATGTAAAGCGCAGAAGGTCGGGAGTTCGATCCTCCCCGTCCGTATAGGATTTGCATCTTTCTTTTTGCTTAGAGAGGATGTAGACGCGTGGTAAAAAAAAGTCCCTTGTGGATAGACAGATTGTTGGTGTTCACAGTCAAAGTGATTTTTTTTGACGCACGTGCAGGGTGTGGAGTGGATGGTGGATCTGGTACAACGTCTATGTCGTGTCTCACTAAATAATGTTCACTTGCGGCCTCTACACCTCACAAAGAGGATTGTGTCATAGACATACAAGGATACCATGCAATAGTTGCAGGTGTAAGCCATTGCTGTCGGATTGTGAGCCTGTTGTATTCAGAGCACAGCATTCACCGAATGATTGATACCTGATAATTGCTTAATTCGAACGGATATGTCCTGCATGCGAAAGACAACTGATCATATCGTTTTACCACCTTCAAGGGGAAGGCTCGCAATACTCCAAAACCCCAACCCAATGCTCGCGTGGATATCACAGCGTTCAATCAATCCGATAAAAAGAAGCAATGATGAAAATATAGTGGTCCAAGGCAGATACACACGAATACAACATGTCGATGGCCAAGTAGTATGCAACCTATTGTTGGCGTGGGCGAGGGGGTGCATGATTCTTGACACTCCAGCCCTGCATTGTCCTTCTAGCACCCAAGGTCCTCCTCTGTGTCAGTGGTCCTCCAGCTCGGCTCTGCAGTAGCTCCATCGATGTTGTATGGAAGGTTGAGCCACTTTGAGAAAAAGTAGCGGATGCAGACGAGAATGAAGCCTGCTTGGTGGGACTTTCTGGTTCGTTGGCATGCGTCGATGAATTATGGTATTTGGGAGGACCTTCGGGCTTCGGTGGCGAGCTGGAGTACAATGTATATCGCAAGCTCTCTGCCTCAGTCCTTTTCGGCTTGGTAGTCATGCGCGCGTTCTGCACTTTGTAGTTCGGTAGCACTGGCGCTTCATAGGACCGTGACGCGGGTAGTGGCTGCGGCTGTAAATTTGAAATGTCTGCTAATGGGGGACTGCCTGTGAAAGAAGAGGACGACCGCTTCAGCAAAGATGTCTTGCTTGGTAGCTCTTCCGCCTCTGTGCTAACAGGGGTTTTAGCTCGAGAGAAGAAACTGGTGATAGACCCCTGTCCAGGGGTGCGTGCTTTGGCCTTCTTAGGCTGCACAGGCTTCTTCGCGAATGTCTTCGTCTCTTTGTACACAGCTTTACCTGCCGTCGCATCCTGAGCGGCGACAAGCGTTCGTATAGCTTCTGCCTCTTCCTGCATGCGTTGAATGTCTCCGAGGTCTTTTGCGCTTGTAAAACCGCTGTTGGTGCCCTTGATCGTTGTTTTGGCCATCGAGAAGTTGGCAGATTGCTGCATTGTGACAGTCTTCTTAGTAAACAAGGACGAATGATCAGTTTTTCTTCTCTTGGAATATTGCTCATACTGATCATCGTTGATCTTGGGCTCGTTCCAAGACGGTTCTTCGCCGTCAATTGCTTCTCGGGTAAGCGGGTATCGTACGTCTTCGGGAAACTCAAGCGTGTTACGAGCTGCTTGAATGGATGCAGCTTGAGGGCACTCTCTGCTCAAGATAGTTGCAATATCTTTGAGAACGGAACACCCATTTGTAGGGCAGCCAATCGTCGGCCCATTGAGACTGAAGTACTTCTGAATCTTGGGGTCTGATACAAATCTGGATAGCACAGTGTCTTCTTGATTGCCTTGTCGTATAGGGCAACTCAAGTATAGCAAAGCCTGAGCCCGTGTCATGCCGACGAAGAGCAAGCGTCGCTCCTCGTTGTGGTCCTCAGCCCTAGAGTGAGGAATTGTGCCATCGTATACTGCGGGGATAAATGTGACTGGCCACTCCAGGCCTTTTGCGGCGTGAATAGTAGAGATTGTAACTTGAGAGGCCTCCCTCCCTTCTTCTTTCTCTACTTCTGTGGAAAGAGCCACGTTCGCCAGGAACTTCGAGAGAACGTCGGCAGCGGTGTCTGCTCTCTGCTCAACTCCATCCACCACTGGCAGAGCGTCCTCCTCAGAATTCAGTAACGTGCTTGCTAGTTGAGTGGCTTGAGTCACAAGCTCCTGCACGTTGGCCCACCTCTCTTCGTGACTGTCTTTGTAAAGATTCTTCAGGTAGGCTTCGAAAGATATTTTCTGGAGCACATGGCTGATGAGCCCGGCTACAGAGCACTCCTCGTCCTCGTTGGCAAAAAGTTTCCGGCGTGAGGTTATGATCACGTTAACAAAGGTGTCGATGCCGTTCTGTGCCTGTGACGAAATCTTGCAGTCCGGCTTTTTCTTGCCCTGCGAAAAATCTAGTATCAACTGCCACAGACTCGTCTTCGTCTTGTCCGCTTCCTCAAGGAGAGATTTGATCGTGGTTTCTCCAATTTTTCGAGAGGGTAGGTTGATTATTCTGACAAGCGCGTCATTAAGGTGTGGCTGGTTGATGACGCGGAGGTAGTCCAGTATAATCTTGATTTCAGCTCGATCAAAGAAACGTTTCCCTCCTACCATACGGTAAGGTATGCCAGCGTTCCCGAGTGCCCTTTCGATAGAAAGCGACAAAGTAGCTGACCGAATAAGAATGGAGTAATCACTATGGTTGAGCAGGCCAGCTGCAAGGGTTTTGGTTCGGATGATCTCCTCCACAATCCATTTCGCCTCAAGGCTGGCGGTAGCCATATGGCGCAGCGTTGGCAGAGCGCCTGCACAGTGGTTTGCTACCAAGGGCTTATTGGATCGAGAGTCATCCTGCTCAATGACAGCCTTAGCTGCTTGTATTATACAACCAGAGGAACGATAGTTGATCTCAAGGTCGACGACGATGGCGGCAGGGAGTTGCTTTCTCATCAGCTCGAAATTCTTAATCTCGGCTGACCGGAAGCCATATATGCTCTGGTCCTTGTCACCCACAATGGTGATCCGTCCTTGTCGCTGCGCCATAAGCTTCATGAGCTCGTACTGAATATTGTTGGTATCCTGGTATTCATCGATCAGAACGGCTTGTATGCTAGAGACGCAAGCAGGGTGCTCCCTCAGCAAGTCCACAGTTCGCACCAGCATGTCGTCAAAATCCAGTAGGCTTTGCGCTTTCAAGTACTCTTGATACTCAGAATACAGTCGGGCAAATTCATGCTGGTCGACCTTTTTTTGTTGTGCGGCGAACTGCTCGACGGAAATGCCTTTCGATTTCAATCCAGATATCCGGGAGCGAGCCTGTTTGGGTTCCACGCCATAATCTTCGCGTTTTATGATGCGCTTCAATATGCTAAGGCTCTCGTTCGCGTCCGCGATGCCAAAATTCTTGGGTAATCCAATCAGATGACCATAACGAAACAGGAACCGCCGGGCCACTGAATGAAAAGTTCCAAGAATCAACTTCGACGCAATATCGGCCCCAACAAAGCCGCATATCCTTTCTCGCATTTCACGTGCTGCTTTGATCGTAAAGGTACACACGATAATGTTCCAGGGATGAAGGCGCTCATGGTTGATGTGGTACGCGACACGCGTTGTGAGTGTCTTGGTTTTGCCAGAGCCCGGAGGGGCAATAACCTGGAGAACAGATGCAGGACTCGTGACAGCACATCTCTGTGCGTCATTGAGCCCTTCCAACAGAGCTTCCATTGCTGAACAGTCGACAAAATCTCCCGAATGTCAACGAGATGGATGAGAGCTTGTCTTAGTGGCGCGGAACCGGAGCCGCCTACCAAAACACGCTAAACGCGACGGCACGTGAAAGCATCACGTGAAAAGTTCTATGCTCCACATGTTGGAACAAAATCCCAAGGTTATATCAATTGATTGTTCAGTCGCCAAAGTATACTCGAATACTCTGTTCAGCTTCATATGTTCTATTGATATTCGACTAGTGGTGTGGTACATATGTATGTATTCAGCAATAGCGAGCACTAAAGATCGTTGACCCAACAACTTGCAGCACTCAATTCCCATGAATCCGAATAGTCTTGCGTGAGAGCTATGCAGAGCATCTAAATGAAAAAAATTCATCAAGAATCCACCGGAAAACCAGTACATTGAATGTTTGTACATATGTCTGTCGGTATGTACATTTTTGATTTGTCTTACATCGGGTTCAAAATGTTTCTAGGATCTCTCTGCCCTCGGTGTTGCATGAGTGTCACATTTGTATCTTCCTCGGGCACGAAAGTTCTTTCACCTAAGTCATATGTTACTTTTAGTAGATCGATTTTTGCCAGTATTTACTGAAGACAGCGCATCGAGTTGATTGACACGGCAAGAGACCAAGGATCGTATACCATGACGGACTTCGTATTAGACTCGGGCGTTACTGGATCGACTATCTGGGGGCTCAAACGCAGGTACATGCAGTCAAAGCCACACAAAAACTCCGGTAGCCGTTGATTTGTTCAATATGACAAAGTTGCCGATTCTTCTACAATTGCAATTCGTGTTCGGACATTGCGCACAGATTTGGTGTCCAACTGATCATCATTTAACAGCGCAATGAAGACATGAATGCGAAAAACGATCCGCATGTTATTATTGCTCTCATAGTATGCACGCTTAGCACTGGTGATAACCGGTGCGTATTCTAGGTGCCCGAAAAATGACGAGGTAATACGAATCGATATGCAGTCTTGCATGACACGTAGCTCAGCTCTATGAATTACAATGCGACCCCCCTTATCGTACAATATTACTAACACTACATATATATACTAAATCGACAGACGCAATGTGACTTGTTCCCTGCTACAGAAGCTTCCGTTAAACCAAGTCACTCGTTGAAGCTTGTCGTCGTAGACTGATCCAACTCATTCATTCATTCAAAATGCGCGTCCAACTCGTCGCTACTCTGTTCATTACTGTCGCTTCGACGGTGGCAGCTAATATCATCTACCCTCGGTCTTCCCTGAACGGGCCTTGCACAGGCAAGGACGGCGCATCTGGTGTGTGCGTTCCTAGAGCTGATTGTAATCGCGACAATGGCACATATATCGATAACGCATGCCCTGGCACCCCCGAGGATATCAAGTGCTGTACGAAGCCTCAGTGCCAGCTCGAAGCTAAGAAGGGGGATTGTCGTTGGGTGGATAAGTGTACTGGAGGAAAAGATATTGTGCAGTGGCTTTGCCCGGGCCCTGATGCGTTTCGATGTTGCATCACCAATGATGACACACCGGCGCCATCTTCTGCTCAACCCAGCGAAAATCCGACCGAGACTTCAAAGCCTTCAGAGAAGCCGGAGCCTACCAAAAAACCAGAGAAGACTCTTGGGGAGAAGGTCCTAGCAAAAGCACAAGAAGCTGAAGGCATCCAATGTAGGTCATTGATCCTTGTCAATCGATGATAGACTATTCTGGGGCTAATGAGATACAGATCACTGGGCTGGAGGCAACTGTAAGGGACCAACTGGTGGTGGCTACGACTGCTCAGGTCTTGTCTCGTGGGCTGTCTGCCAAGTCACTGGACGTGATCTTTTCAGTGAAGGCCTACGCGTCACTCGCAGCATGTATTGTGCAAGCGAGTCCAAGCTTAAATATGAGTATGGCAGCTGTTATCTTGGCCTATAACCGTAGACTGACACTTCATGTAGCAAGATCAAGTGGGACGATCGCCGTGTTGGAGACGCTGTTTTCTTCGGTGGTAAATGTGACTGCGAAAACAACCCAAGCTCCATTCATCATGTGGGCTTGATGATGGATAGTGGCCACACCATGTTCAATGCACTAAAAACTGGCACTAAGATTCGAGTGGATAATTTCAAGAACTGGGATGAGGCAGCCTGCCCTTACGTTATTCGCTTCAAATAGATCATAGGCTTGGGTTATTAGCACTCGCAGGCCGATCTGATCTTTGGCAACGAAGGATATGCAACATATCCAAAAACTCGGTCTGTATTCCACGTTAGTGTATACAAATTATGGGATAGTGAAGTAGTCAGGACCTGGGATAGCAGCTAATAAAGTTAGTCTTCAGAATTGGATCAATGTCAGTGAATGAATAGCACAATATCAGTTGATGTGTTTTGGTGCCTAATCAAACCCCAGGATAGAAATGATGAGAGTGGATGGTACACCTGCATTTAGTTCATTGCATAGTTGATACCAGGTACCCAAGAAGGAGTTGGGGAAGCGAGAGAAATTTTTCCGCTATTTATCAAGATATCGTGACAGAATTGACAACTAAATTTTGGCAATACTCCGGGCGTTTGTTCATCTCTTGTTATCGCGAAACCACTCAACACTTCGTCTGAGCCCTTCTTCAGTGTCACAAACAGGAACATACCCCAATCTCTTTTTGGCCTTCTCTATTGAAAACCAATACCCCCGTGACATGATCTCGAAATGATCCATCGTCATCAATGGCCTTTTACTCCCGAGTGTAAAGACCCAATACAGCCACTCGCTTATCCACGCAATCATCATCATGACACCAAAAGGAATCACGATCAGTCTCTGTTGATCTGTAGGCTTGTTGCAAAACTGATCTCCGGCTATTTGCAGTAGTTTTCTTTCAAAGTCCCACATCTTCATTGGAGTGGGATCTGCGATAAAGAAAGCTTCGCCATCCACACGCATGTCTGGATGAAGATGCTTGCCATCGAGGAGCGCTTTTGCAGCGATAAGATGGGCGTGCCCTGCATTTTCTGCATAGCACCAGGAATGCTGGAGGCGATTTGGTCCAATCTGGATGCGCGCGGCAAACTTATTGACTAAACTGATCATCTGTCCGACCGTCGTCATGTCTCTCGGTCCATACAGTCCAGTTATTCGTATGCTGGTTGTGACTAGTTTCATATGCCAATCTGCATTCTCCGAGAAATCAACGGTAGTGGCGTCTGTATTTGAGCCTAACACAAAAGTCTCCGTGGCGCCTTTTGCACAACTGTAAGCTGAAGCTGGAGACTTCCAGTCGTTGACCTCAGCTTCAATCTCATTCGAGGGCTGATGGTTCATTTCGGGTCTCAAATTCACAGCGTTGCCAGAGCTTGTCCAAACAAACGCTCGTATAGCTGTGTGTCGTTTGGCAATCTCTAATAACGTCTTAGTGCCTTGATAGGATACTTTATACTGTCTGTTCATATTGGGTATCAGGGTCGGTTCATCTTCTGAAGGTGGTACTCATTCACCGGGTACTTACTTGCTGGGCAGCGCAAACGGCCCTGGTGAAACCGTATGCACGATGACTCTTGGTTTGACTGCATCCAAAAGATTTTCGACCTGTGAAACATCCGTAAAATCGCATGAGTGGTAATCAACCTGCGGTACCCGATACTTGTTTGGGTTTCGTGATGCGACTACGACGCGGTCGCATGATGGTTCTGCGGCAAAAGCCTCAGTGATGAACGATCCAACAAAGCCGCAACCTCCGGTAACGAGGACAGTGCCAAGAAATTTCTCAGCTGACTTGCTCTTGTGCACTTCCATCGCCGATACTAAATTGATAAAGTCGCGTTGGTAAGAAGGTTTGATTGTAGAGGATGCTTGTCGGATAATGTGAATGTGCTTAGCCATCTCAGGTTAGACACACTTCTACGTGCAGTATCTTGCTGCTCGCTTCTGATCCTCGCCAGCTACTGACCGCGTGCCATAGAGATAAAGAAATGACAGCACAATATTCTAGTTTTGTCTTAAGAAGACTGTGGTTCTTACAAGATATAGGAGTCACTGTGAACTCCAGCCTAAACTTTGACTCTGTTTATCTTACCAACATTGCACTTCACGTTCTTCAATATGTTGAGTACGTACACTACTGATTATCTGCATGCTGTTTCGTCGCTTGATATTAATACAATGCGCCAACCGCTTCGAGCTCATCAAATCTATTCGCAAAAGATGTGATGAGTTTGATTTGTGACTCTCGATTTCAATTGATTTGTTCCGTTCAGACTCGCTCGTGGCACAGCCAATCTGGCATCCGATTGGTTACATCGTGTTCGTATTGCGATCCAGAATCTAGCTGAGCCTGGGCTCTCCTTCCCTCCCCACTCAGCTCTTCTTCCACAGACGACTTCATTGTTAAATCTGACTACCAGAACCCTCATCATGTTTGTTGATCCTACTAACAGATTGCGGTACATTGAAGCCTGGGATGATGATGTACGCCAAGTTTCCTCTGCATTACATTCTTCTAATAAAGCGACAGGGAATGATACGAATGCGGAGTGGTCTCATATTCCACGACGACTATGAAAATTGGTTGTCATTGAAGGTAGTTAATGACAATTATAGCAACTCCCGAAATGCTGATGAAGCCTACAGGGAAATCATAATATTGAGCTCTCTACCGGAAATTCACTATCAGCTGAAGATATGGCTTTGCGCTTGGTGTATATCATGTCTATTATTCGATGATTAGAAAGATTCTGATCTGGATTATAGCACCCGTCATCATCCGGGGTATCCTTATTCTATCGGACACTGTAGAGCATTGATCGATCGTTTGAGTGAAAGTTTCAACCTCCACAGGAGTACAGAAGAGGCATTCATAAACAACAACGGTGTTTTCGTGAAATATACCTCGAAAGACAACGAGCAGGCTGACGTGAATCACTTTGGTAAATGCTCATTCCAAAGCAGAACATCGCTTCACTAACTCGACTAAGCCCTGGTTTTGAAGATCCCGGTCTGGGTAAAGGGTTGTCAGGCACTTTCAGTATCTTATTGTCCCAAAACTGGGTCTGTGAGAGCATTCATCAACTGGCTGACGGATAAGGATCACGCATTATTGCTTGAGCACCTCCGCTCACTGCCACACAAAACAGCACTCAGACATCCTCTCCTTCTTCCGACATATATCTTACAGCTTCATCGAACAATCATGGAACCGTATCGTTATGAAGTTGATCAATCCATTCTCAGGATTGAAAATCGTATCGGCTATGCTGTTCCTGGTCTACTGTATTAGTACGTCACATTCGAGAGTCAGATCACTGTTTCTCTCCCCATAATCTCTCTACTGAGATCGTGCCGTTGGAATTTGTCTCGATGAATATACTAATTCCACAATCACTCCTTCAGTAAGCCTGTAACAGATCAATTACTCGCAAACTCAGCAGAAGGACACGGCCTTCAAGACATCGTGCGTCGGCTCCATGCGTGCAATACAGAACTCGGTGGTATCGCCATGGAAGCAACATTCGGAAAGGAATATGGTGTGTTCCTGAAGAAGACTCTGTTAAAGCTGAATGAATGGCACATGCTACCAGAAGAAGACAACTGGTGGAAAGCTTCGGAATACTTGCGTCACGACATCGACTTTACAACCAATCTCTTCTTCACAGTAGAATCCCAGGTTTCAATCCTAAAAGACAGGGTTTTAAGTCACATTAACTTGGTACATAACAACACAATCTCGGTTGAACTGGCAAATGCTTACGATGCCAAGACCTTCAGCATCATTGCTCAAGAAGAGAACAAGCTTAGTCGAGCAGTAGCTGAAAATAGCAAGAGATACAGTGCTGCTATGAAGACGGTAGCTCTAGTAACCTTGCTCTTTCTACCACCCACTTTCGTTGCAGTAAGTTTTGTCACTTGGGTCCGAATTTGTAGAATCTATATTGATTACATCAGACCTTGTTTAGTATGTCAATGTTCGATTGGAACGGTGAGAAACCTATAGCAGAAACTCTGTCTTCCTATTTCTGGATTTACTGGGCTATTGCTGCTCCTCTAACGTTTGCTGTGTGGTTCATTTGGCATATTTGGTGGAAAATGGAAGAAAAGAAGCACATGAAAGAACTGCGAGCATCGGCATGAGCACCAAAGTGAGCAGAGGAGGTGGAAGGCATAATTGGCTTTTGAAAAAGTGGGCTCGTGGATATGGTTGATGAGCTTGTGAGAGATGTTTGAATAAGGATGCTCGGATGCTCTAGATAGTGGTAGCGGAACGACTAGTAGTATGTTTGGCCTTACTCTTCCCTTATGGAGATACCCTTTGGTAGGAAAATGGAACATGTCTAGGGAGTCGCCAAAAATCAGATTCACATCGCCGACAATGTCTGCTGCCTTCGGATTGCGTTATTTTATCTAAGATGGCGTGTACCTGCATGCTCACTGGTCTCTTACTATGATCATGCCACAAATGATCCGATGTGAGCAGATCAATGTAATCCACTACGTGAGAAGCTCATGTGGCGATTACTCGATGTGACGCCCAATCGGAGAGTGAATCATGTGAGGGATGTTGTTGACAATGTCGACAACACCTGGTTGCAAGTTGAGACCCTAGGTCTGGGTCGATTCTACCGAGCTTAGCTAGAGACACCCGCTGGTGTCGAGGAACCTCACAAGGTTGATGGGCCATCATACTAAGAGCTCAGAGGGACTTCACTTATTTGGGTTGAACGTACGTTCGCCAATTATTGTTTCTCCTGGCGGAGCAAGCCCGCGTTTCCTGACACGCTATATCCCTGTAAACCGATACTTGTTGTAGGAAGCACTAGCATGACATTGTCAGCAGCCATCAGGGTGTGGTCCGGTCTCAGTCTACATCATCGGCGATCGTCGATCATTGAGCAACTATCACTAACCCCGACTTTCCGAATCCCCGAAATTCTCCTATCAAGTCCCTCTCCTTATCATATTCAAGAATCAATAACTCTAATCTTGGTAGTTATCTTAGCAAGCTCGCTTCAAATCCCCCCTTTCAGAATGAGCGAGGATTGATCACCTTCTTGAATATACTCAGAGATTTTTGACCGCGCGTACATACGCACCCATGATAATCATGTTATCTCATAGTTCAACATGACAAAACCAGCTTCACCAGTATGGAACACAACTAGGTATCACTGACGACCTGCTAATAAATGACGGCATTATCGCATTCGAGCAAAGCTTATTCCAATGAAGAGACCGGATTCATTTGCCTCTGAAAGTCGTTCCTGGATATTTGAGATCCGATATCACACTATTAGTGTTGATAAGCATGTGCGAATTATGATACTCAAATTAAAGAAGAGAATATGTGTACCTCGTCGATGTAAGTAATTCAAGAAAGTAACTAACGATCTTTAAGCGGAATATCCGGGGTTTGAGAAATGCATTCTGGTAGACGATTCGGAGACGATTCGGCCTACATACAAGGATGCATGCTTATGAATCAATTCAAGGGCCGCCCTGGAGTTCTGGACCCTGCCAATGGCGATCAAAAATATTGCATGCATCTAGACGGGAGCGGAATTGGAGGATTGATGCTATCTGCGCAAACTCAACGCATTCCGCTATTCCCGCTGACCCCAGAGCCTAAGTTTAGGTCCTCCCGATTTATTAGAAACGTGTGGCAGGATTTGGGATCATAACCCTGGTTGAAGAACCTATCGGGAGTGTTTTCACTAGGTACACGGTACTATACTTCACTGGACGACCTATGACGATCGTGGTGATGGTAGTTATGCGACAAACAGCTACCATCTCATAATTCTTATTCAGTCAATACAATGTTAGGAATTTGGATAAGACCCAGCAAGCTTCAGTCATTTTACTTCGTTCTACACTAAGACACAAAATAGCGGTGCCCATGTCGTGATATATACTTCGATTGATGATATCGGACTTGAATTGAAGAAAGTAAAGACCAAAGAGCGTTCTACATACTTAGCCGTGCGAAATGGCGGTGATTATACGCAAAATAAAATAAAAAACTTTACGGATTCCACGGTAGTCGCTGAATAAGGGCAACCAGATTCGTAAACACTACCAGACGCTGACCCCCACTCTCCTCTACCCTTTGCGAGTCAGTTGCTCATGATTGACGGAATGCTCCGACTCATTTACAAGGGCCATTCCTCCGGTGGGTCACCCCGAAGTGGTAGGATAAGCTCATTGAAAACACGACGCACTTCACATATAATTTTTGCGAACTTATGATCCGCGTCTATTGGCAAGGTACTTGGTTCCTCTAGACAAAACACCAGGGATGTTTGTCACGAGAAGAATGACCTAGACAGCTTATAGCGATTGAGAGAGACAATGATTTTCCGCCAAACATCTGACCTCAAGTGTGAGCCATGTGCTTTCTTACGTATGCTAGTGTTGCAAGGAGTCTAGAATGATGTTCTTCAACAAGTCCACCAATCGAAGACCCGCAACTTGACGCATCGTCAACTCCCTTGCCGAGTAGGCATAGAGTTGTAACTCATGTGCAGGATGCAATATATAGTCAGAAACACGTGACGAATTTGTTATCATATGATTCTACCTGGAGTGATCGATTCTTCACACCACGGTGATGATTTCACTCAAGAGATAGAGACAGGCAATCGCTGCGACTACGCTGAAGCTGGCATCAATCCCGACCCGGTGGCGATCAGAAGGGACGGAGTTGAAATGGGTAAACAACGATTGTGCGGTGGCCGAATTTGACTCGCTACTATGCGCAGTTTCAACGCCTCCCCAAAACAGGGTTCAAAAACTTTTGGCTGATCGGTGAGACTTGTTCTTTTGTAATCAGCTGGTGCTCAGATCAATAGTCAGATCAATTCGCTGGAGCCGTTTCGCAGAAATCACGGCTGTGCCACGGTCTCATTGTTCCGTCCCGTTCATTCTCCGCAATATCTCACGAGCAATACAATCGATCCGCCTCTACTCTTGGCTTAATGAATGCGCCAGCATCGAAGAAAGAGTGTTCGTATTTGGGAATTGTACAGCGTAAGGATGCTGTCTTAGACCAATGAATCGAGTAGTGCCTCGTTAGGAAGTCGGGAATACATTTTTCTCACCGTTTAAAGTACTGGCCAAGCAGTACGATAGACAGGGAGCCTGTCAATCGGATTGCCTGCCGCATTTGCGTTGTCATCGGATAATATCATTGTGTGCACGAAGGATGGGAGCGCCGACCAATCCAAATGCCTCACGCGAAGCATGAGCATCTATGCGCTCCAGGTAAATATGACAAACCTCGAAACAGATCCCTCGACACCGTCCGAGAAAACAATCCGGCATGTAGTCCCAGCAACAGAGTCAGATCACGGATCAAATGTAGGTCTGAGCGATCCTGGCACTGCCACACGATCCTCGCCGCGTTCGGTTGCAAACTGCTTTTGTACTTACGCTTGCACGCATATCCTGCTGCTGTGCCGGGACGGATGCATTCCCCGTCGGCTTCGATTGATTGCAGCACATCCATCTTGATGCTCGGCTTCCCATCCTTTCTTGCTTATCCTTCCAACCAAAACGAACCGAGACAGCCACAGCTGCAGGCATTCTCTACATAGTCGCCAAGGCTCCATCATCCATCCACCCTGACTCCAGTCATCCTCCCCGCAGACTGGTGTCATCTCGATTTCATTGCGCATCGCCGCATGCGCTCAGCTTTGCAGCTGTCATGTTTTGGCCTTAACGAGTTGTGTGCATGTTACTGGTGTCTCTACCTGCTTGAAGACCGTAGGCAGTCACGCCAGTTGTTGTCGTATTCATCACCGCCTTCTTATAGGCTCTATATGTATGGCCACGACACGAGCACCTTACCGGATAGAGCAACAAGGCGGCGTCATTGGATAGGTTCCAGTTAGCAGTGAAGCTGCAAAGAGCACGGTCACGAGTCTCGAAGTCTAAAATGCGGTGGGTGCTGCTCTGCTACTCGTCCCTTCTATGCGCTGAAGTTTCATTGTTTTATTTGTATTTCGAATGTCGGATTTCTCATTGCAACATTCACCTTCGAATGATTTTCTACAGATGACAGTGCGACTCGTTGGTCTAGAAACCAAAGTGCTGGAACAAGACCCTGCTCGTAGGTGCATCATGCTAGGAGCCAATTGATGTTTTATCTCATTGGATGCTGGAACCCCAATCTAAGGAATACAGACCAGTGAAATTATGCTGCCTACAGGGTCTGTGCCGTCCCGATCCACTTCCTTGCATATAGAGGACTACATGGCTCCTTCGCAGTGCTGATTATTAGGGACGAAGCGCCCAGTCTCTGATGGAAGATCATCAACTGAGAGACCTGGACCCTGTCATCATCGGTCGCTAAAGTCCATTTTAAAGCACTCACATCTTCGGGCTTGCAGCATCGAAAACTTAACGGTGCTTCTAACGCCCTCGTGTCCGGCTGTTCAGCCCATTGTCGACTGCTATGACGTGGAATTACGCCTTACACCAAATCAATCGCTCTTTCGAGCAGCTCGCACAGTGGTAGTAAGTTTTTGAGCCAGAGAACCTAGAGCCATCAGCCACTGATGCCCTAAAAGTCATGAGTTCATCCTCCGATCTGAAGCTTCCTTTCAAGCGCTCCACAACCGAGTAGACTGTTTGGAGAAACGCCAGACTCAACTCGACGACGAGCAAATCGAGCGGGTACTCCGAAAGATACTCGCAGAGAGATTTGCGGATCCATCAATCCAACGAACGTCAGGTTCATCCGAGCCCAAGGAAAAGGCTATAAAAGATGGGCCCATGCCCAAATACGTCAGTATCGACCCAACAAAGTTATTAATTGAGCCGGATGCTGTCCCATCGAAGGCATATGGACGCACCTTTGCAATGCTGGAGGACAAATTGCGCGACTTCCCCCACATGGATCAAACGGGAGGGAAGGATGCCAGCTAAATGACCTAAACCAATATCGAATATCCAGAGTTCATGATCCAAACTATTCGATAAATCATACACGGAACAAGAAACGTGGGAATGAGGCGAGCTCTGCGGTTCAGTCTTATAGCGCAGCTTTTGCATTTGCAGTTCATCTTGATATGGGACTTGGATAGCTGGAGCCCAAATTCAAGATAGTACTACTCTATGGAGGACTGCTAGTTATCATCTCAACGGAAAAAATACACCTTGGTATAGCACGCCATGTGGAAATGGTCAGCATTCAGAGTATCGGATTTGGGGAGGCATTCTGGGATTGATTGTTGTTAGTTGGCACCTCTAGCTTGATACTATTTACTGGCAAGAGAAAAACCAAGATAACTGTGGGATTCGCAGTCTTGCACATGGTAGCGGCAGTCGAATGAAAGTGTCTACAGGCATGTAGAGTATAGCTGACTAATGCTGGAATCCATTTACCCATAAGTAGCTCGAACCAACAACAGGTTTCCTTTTTCTTCCTCTGTTTTCTCGTTTGCCTGTCTCCGATTTTTTGTGTCCGACGCGAAGATATAATTCCACATTTTCGTCCGACTGAAGTCCGAGACGGGGTGTCCTGTAGACGCCTTGGGCGTCACACGTTGTCACCAACAACACTGGGTGCCATACAGACTGTGCAGGACCTTCCCCTTATGGCCTTGTGACATCTCTATGTTCAAATGTTTCTTACCTCGGCGAAACACGTTCACCTGCGAATATAAGAGTCTGCGATACATAGCATATTGTACGGAGTCAAAAACCTCAGCTGCATCGCGTCCTCCACCTATTCCTTCACACAATGGCGGCGCTCCTCGGTTACGTCAAGCGCGTATACACTAGCTTCTACCCACCCATCGCAACGAAGAACACAGGCGCGCTGCGGATCGGTATTCTGGGAGCGGCAAACATCGCGTGAGTGTTGTTCGCGTTGAGCAAGAAAGTGAGGGCTGCATTCTGAATACTCGCTACCAGTCCTCTCGCCATCATCATCCCGGCCAAATCGCATCCCGATGTCATCGTTGCAGCCGTCGCTGCACGCGACTACAAGAAAGCGGAAGCGTACGCGAAAAAACATGGCATTCCAATCGTGCATAAAACCTATGATGGTAGGAACTCATTTGACGAGATCAAAGGTCATGTTGATTGACTCAGCGCTGACAATGATCATAGATGTGATAAATGACCCGGCTATCGACTGCATCTACAACCCTCTACCTAACGGATTACACTACGAGTGGACACTCAAGGCCTTGAAAGCGGGCAAACACGTCTTACTGGAGAAGCCATCTGTCTCAAACGCCGAGGAAGCGCGGTCCCTCTTCTCACATCCGATCCTCCATGGCCCCGGTGCACCTGTCTTGCTGGAAGCTTTCCACTATCGATTCCATCCCCTGTGGTCGACCACTCTGAGTTTATTCGAGAGCGACGACGTCGAAGAAGCTGTCGCTACCAACTCGTGTCCCGGAGGTATGTTCCCGAGAGACGACATCAGGTTCATGTACAGTTTGAGTGGCGGCACGTTGATGGACCTCGGGACATACACCATCAGTGCCATCCGCGGTATCTTCAATGAAGAACCACTCCGCGTCAAATCGGCAACCTGCAAGACTGTCCCGGCGCCGTTCGACCAGAAATGCGATGAAGCTGTATCAGCCGAGTACGAGTTTTCTCGTGGCCGCGTCGCAACGATCAACTCCGATCTCCAGGCTTCCGGCGGTTATCCATTCCCTGCAGTCACGAAGAACTGGCCTAGTCTGAGGAACTTGATTCCCAAGCTCGTGATTAAAATGAGACCAAGGTCTGAAAAAGTCGATGATGGGCTCGAGAAGACGACGACGAAGACGATCATTGTGTGGAATTTTATGGCTCCATTCTTGTATAACCGAATCGATTCAATCACCAAGGTCCAACTCAGAAGCCCCGACGGAAAAGTGATAAAAGAAAATGAAACTGTCGAGTACACGAAGGCTTACAAGTGGCCAACCGATCAAGATAACAAGAAAGGTGAAGAGTGGTGGACAACATACCGATACCAGCTTGAAGAATTTGTAAATCGCATCAAGAAAAGGAAGGGCTCGGGTGTCTGGGTGGGACCAGAAGACTCGATCAAACAGATGGAGATGATCGATGCGACGTATTTGAAAGCCGGGATGCCTTTGAGACCAACAACTCGAGCCCTGGAAGCTTCCAACTAATATCGCGCTATGGATGGAGGATCGATGCTCAGAACAAGCTTTCTTTGAATTGATTGGGAATTCATGTTAAACGAAATTGGTGATTCAGACTACCTGCGGCGCTCGATGTACATTATTTCTATGTTTTAAATATAAGCAAGGATCCCTTGAACTAGCATTTCAATGAATGCTGACCTATGTGCACAATGTCTTCATCTGAAAAGGGTGGGCAAGTGTCTATTCCAATTCAATCATTCCAGACCATCCATGAAGAGGATGCAGTGGCCCACGATAATTCCATAGACCGGTCGAATGGGGCGTATTCAGACGATCCAGCTCTAGAGCTGCTAACAGGTAGCAGCCGTCAATGATCTTGTATGAATGTTCGTTTGTTTCCGTTTTCTGGAGAATCAGGGGATCGCGTACTCCATCAACCGCGAAGATAGTGAGTGCTTCAGCGGTGTAGTGAGATGGAGTATGTCCGATACTGTATCGAGTTCGGAACACTGTATTGTTACGAGTTTGAGTACCGTAACCACTGTTCTCGAAGGAATGCCATGAATATCGCGTCTGCCACTCCTTGAACAGTGCTCCGAGATCTTGCCCCCCAGGGACTCCACAGCGGTGCATAAGTTGTATAATACGATTTGAGTCAGATCTTACATGTCTGTATTGATCCTGAGGCAACTCCTGGTCGAGTGGGAGCGTCTGCAGAGGATCCATTGCACCTTCTATCAAGTGCCGTACCAAAGTAAAGAACTGCCTACATGCCATAAATCCCATCAATTGTTCGTAGTCGATGCTGACGATAACGTCGATGAAATGAGCACGAACGCGGAGACGAGTGAACGAAGGCGAAGCCAACATCTCGGTTGTGACACCGCTTGAGTCAAGCTGTTCAGTTGGAGGTTCCCGCTCTCGTGAATTGTCCACAACAAGATCGACAGTGGACTTCCACGGACCCAGAACTTCACTCTCGAATTGACAAGACCAAATAGAGGTGTCTTGGTACCAATTAGGAACCCAGGAAGGCAATCCATCGACGCTATCAGGACTCAAAGGACCGCTTATATGTGCGTCCCTGCGACTGGTGATAGCCCTTAAGATTATGTCCAAACTTTGCCTTTCTCTTACAACTACAGCGGCTGCTTTCGTGAAGACTTCTGCAACCCCAGAGGCATAGTCTATGTCAATGAGCGCTCGTGACTCTGGGTTCAGCAAGCTGTGGATGCCGTATATCTTATCCCTAGGATCTGTTGCCAACGAAGACCTAGTCGCCTGCAGACAAGCTAGAAGATCCCGGCCTTCATGATTCCGACCGATATTTGACCCCGGGTTCCATAATAAAGGACCGGGAAGCTTTTGGTGTGCTGGTAGACTTGCAGAAATGCGAGCGACAACGTCTTCTGTCAGCATTATAGTGTGCCCATTGCATACCATGACGGCAACTGCTGCGAGAGCTACTTCTTGTATTACCCAAACACGGCAAAACCACCGCAGCGTGAGCATTTGCCTTGCAAGTTCCTTACCATCAATGTTATTGGAATCGCCCTTCAAATATTCGAACGCGCTGGAATAGTCGGTCTCGGAGTCGCCGATACAGATCATTACCCTCAAAGCTTTGGAATATATTCCGCCCATCAATCCCACTTGATGCATTCGTTCGCGGACATTGTCCTGGTGGATGCAGATTGCGTCGATCCACAGTCGTCTGCTGTGCGTGGGGTGACGAAGTTGGCGAAGCGCTGCTGCACAGTTCACTGTGACGGGTATAACTGTACCTCCAGGGCAGTGTATAATCTCAGATTTTTTGTCATCGCCCCTTTCCGTTGCCCAAGTGTAGCTCACAGCTTCGAAATCAGGATCACTCTCTAGATTGACGTGGATGATTTCGCAGCGTATCGGTTCCGAAGACGATCCTGGTTTCAAGACCACCAAACGCACCTCTTGTCCAAGTTCGAAATTAAGGTCTTTGTATTCGTACTGCTTGGGGGCTGTGATATCGAACGGCTCGATACTGAACTCGCTTGGATCTGCTGGCGGTGGGTCTATAACTGCCGCGCCGCATGCGAGGCAACATCGAACGCTATCGAACGTTCTAACGTCCAGGTGTTTACATTGAGTCTCGGAATCTGACATTTCGAATCTGTATTTTCGTGTGTAGTATCTCGGTAGGAAGGGCTGAAGTGTGGTTGTATTATACAGGCGCATACATGTGGCTGTGTTGTTCATGAATTCTGCCTATTCCGCCACCATTGATTGACCGGATATGCTTCAGCCCCCATGATTCCTCCACTCATATCTGCCCTGATTTAATTGTGAGGTAACAACTGCAGCTGCAGCCTTTCCGAGGTATCAATCGTACACCGCTCAGTTCTTTGCAATAAATGAGGTCCGAGAGGAGTTAAGCATAATACAGACAAGAAATGATATAGGAGAGTTTGTTGATTATTAGAGGAGAGAGAGAACTAGCTACGGTATTAGAAAGCAACCATGCCAAGGCCCTTACTTATATAAGCACGCTATAGCATTCTCGGAATCTGAAGCCAGTTGGAAGGAATATAAAAAGCGTACCACTATCGCTAAAAAGGCACACAACGGGGAAAGTCAGAGTCAGATGGACGGAAACGGATCAAGAATGAATATTGAGTTATCAAGACAATGATTAAAGTCGCATTGCCCCGAGAATATTTCCGGAGCCCATCCAAGTCTTCCACTGCAATCACCAGATATCGATTATCTCCGAAACAGTTGTCCACTTTTTGACTTCCACGCCACAGCAAAGACACGGATGTGGTCTCAAAACCCGGTACAAATAGCATTCTCCAATCATCTCATAATGTTGCTCAACCTTTCTCAGCAAGAACAAAACATTGACGTTAGGTAGCAGCCATACTGTATCGCCCGCATTGACCTGCGCCTGCGTAAACCCAAGAGATTCACCAGTAGAGAAGGGAAATTTCTCGAGTCCGAATTTCGTAGCTTCGCGTTTGAATTCTTCGATAATCGAGGTTTGTACGCTGGGATTTGTCTGGCAGATGGGCTTTGCGACGAAGTGTTGAGCACACATGCTACAGTAGCGACGGACAGGAAACAGTGCCCGCGAGTATTGAGCAGGCAAGGAAGTAAGACCTCTCATTGGTGTTCCGCTTGCAGAGTTTTTGACAGTTGCGAGACGATGTGCGTATACGCGGAGGCAAGGTGGACTGGAGGTCGGGGATGGGTCCCATGCTTCTGTCCATAATGCTAGAGATAGGACTTTGGGGTTCACGTAGCGGCTGCACACCATTTTTACGAGTTTTGGGGCACGAGCCTGGGTAAGAGCTAGTGACATGTCTCGTACCCACTGGGAGCTTGGGCGTTCTGTGATGTAGGGTGCTTCGTGTAGCCACAAGTTTAGCCAGTCGCTCCACGCGGCTGTCGGCATGATAATATCAGCGGATGGTAGGTACTGAAAAAGCATGCTGGCAGCTTCTGTACTGATTTCAGTAGCAATTAGCGATTGAAACGAGGGCCCTGGTGAGAGATATCGTTCTTGCAGAGTTACAAGATCTGTATCAGGCGGCAGAGGTTCGAACGGAGTCCAGACATCCCATCGAGGCACCCAAGTGGGAATCTCATTTCTTTCTTTCGAAGTTGCATGCGCATGCCAGTTACCGTGTTGGCATGTAGCGTATCTAATGAGATTGAGATCCTTGCGTACATCGATCATGTACACTGCCAAACCAAGGAATACTTGAGCACACGACAAGGAATATTCCACGGTTAGAGCCAGCCTGTCTTCTTCGCTCATAAGACCTATCACAGCAAAAACCTTATCTCGCGGATCAGTGGCGGAGCCTATCCAGTAGTAATTAATTAGTTCTTGTTTGCTGCAATGTAATTCGCTGTTCATACGAGACTTGAAACTGGGATGACCATAGATTTTGCAATGTTGGATGGGAATATGTGGTTAGAAGTTGAAACGAACTTACAATTCCTACTCTTGTGGAGCACGTCGAGAATAAAACCATTGGGCTGACTCGCTGGGGTGAACCGCAGAGCACTTGGGGTGAATATATGCGTTTTCTTGCAGAGATGAAGCACTTTATCAATAGAGACCGAAGTCCATTGCGCAGTCCTATCGCCCGCAATGATTGTCGCCAGTTGAGCGAAAGCCACCTCCTGTAACACTTTGTGGAAATAGTGAGTACTAAATTCCAATTTGATAATATTTCACAGGATCTAGGCCTTACCCCATACTCGACTGAACCATCTCAAATTAACGAACGCTTTGACAACAAGGTGTACTTTGTCACGCTTGATCTGATGCAAAGCTAAGGCGTCGCCGTTCAAGTAATCGAAAATCGTATTCGTTTCTTCGGTAGAACCCCCTAGATAAATTAGGACTTGGGAAGCACGTCGGTATATTTCGCTCATGAACGCGACCTGATGGTTGCGCTCAGCGATATTCCCTTGGTCGATCGAGATCGCATCCACCCACAGATATCGCTTGCGACCCTTCCTTCTTAAACATCTCAACGCCGCTTCGCAATTTTTGGTGACGGGAATATATCGCCCTCGACAGTATACAGATTGTGAAAGTGAGGCATCCGCTTCCTGATTCGCCCACGCGTAAGATGTCGCTTCATATGAAGGCCTGTCCATCAAATTGACGTGCACTATATCGATCAAGATGTCATCAGATTGCTGACCAGGAAACAGAACCACCAACCGAACCTCCTGACCGAGGGCGTAGTTGAGTTCTGCATACTGATAGGGAGTGACTTCTCCATGCTGCGGTGCGATGTCAAAGTTAGGGGTTGAATCGAAGACAGTTTCTCCGCAAGCAAGACAGCACCGAATATCGTCGAAGATGTGCACGTCGTGATGCCTGCATTCAGGATCTTGAGGCTCCATGAGCTGTGACAATCTATTCCATCAACAATTCTGTAGAAGATGTGGGCAGAGCATATACAAGTGAAGCCGGTACGCAGGGTAGCTGAAAAGATATTGGGCCCTTCGCATCCCCACCAATCGCGATACCGATATCGAACTGGGCGGGGGTTGGGCTCGTATACGGCTATATTTGTAATCCCAAGCCTTCAGCTAGAGAAAAGAAGCGTCGACGCAGTGAAATGCAATTCCAAGATATCCTCAGTATTTTGGAATAACTGAAGATAATACCATGTAGTGGAAGCTAGATCAAAAGCTCGTTGTGAATGACGAAGTATCATCTCGTAGTTGATGTTTGAAAGTATAGGAGAATGTGTCGAACCGAAGATCGGGATGGTTATGTAATATTGTACACCACCCAGCGGCATTCACTCTCTTGTTTTGTGTGTCGCGTTATATTCTGCTTTTCTTTGCGGTCAATATAGTTCGACATCGCACGGGTCGAAGTTTTGGTTGGGTAGACCGGTCAATGTATATGTATAGCATCATTGAATGATTTCCGGTTGCTTTGTGGCCCAAGGTGCAGCAACTCTCCATGGGCGGGGTTCAGGCATTCCATGTTTCTGGAAATCTGTGAATGGTAGCAATTCCACCTGGAACAAGACCTGCCATAAGTTATATACGACAAGCAGTGATGAGGAAGTCGAACAGGAGCAGTGGAAGATGGAGGTCCATTTTCTCCCGTGGGGATGGCGGCCCGGCGATTAGGTACGCTAACCCCGGGCTTTGATAAGGAACGATCAATGGCCAGCTCGTACCTCGGACTACGCTGCAACCTCACACACCGTTCTTCCGCCACCCCTCTTTATTCTTGACCCTGGAAGGAAAATGAGTGCTTCACGGTCACCGCAAGATATCCCAAGTGAAGAAGACGATCCCCGTACCATTGTCTACGATCCGACTGACCCGTTCTGGCGCGACACTGATGATGATGATGATGACGACATGGATTATGTGCCAGCTACTGGTGGCAGTGAGGATGAGGAAGGTGACAGTGCAGACTTAAGTTTTCATGGTGGGCAAACCGCACTATCTTGATTTGCTTCTCGTACTAGCACGTACTGATTGTGGATATAGATGCGGCAGAGAACTTGAGCGGGGTCGAGATCGAAGTCGAAGTCACTGAGGATGATGACGAAGACGAATCTGAAGACAGCGATGACAGCGAGGAAGGTGGTGTTGGAGGCGCGAACCCTGGTCGTCCAATTTACAGTACGGATTGTGCCGTCGCCCCTACAATACCCGTTATCCGCTGACAAATACAGTCTCCAGCGAACAAATAGTACAACTATTGGGAAACACAGGTCTCAGACAACTTTTGGCCACTGGTGGCCTGAGATTGGGAGCGCGGCGCCCAGTACGCATACAAGACGATGACGATGAAGAGGGAGGTACCGGCTATGATCCGGTTGGACCCCGAACTCGGCGGAGAAGAGGCGGAGGAAGAGCTGCGTTCCAGAAGGTGCCGAGCGATGAAGGGAGAGAATTGATGAATACAGGAATATTCGGTTCGAACGATAGGCCTCGCGACAGTATAAAAAGAAGAAAGCGGCTTGCGTACGACGTCATGTCAAGAGAGCTTGGAACGGGCAGTGTCGGTCGACAGAAGAATGTGAATAAAGTCATGAGACAGGGAATGATACCAGGATCGATGGCAGACACTATCATCCACTACAACTCCCGCTGCTACTCGGGACAGTTCTCAGATGACGGCAACTTCTTTTTCTCATGTGCGCAAGATTTCAAAGTGCGAATGTACGACACGTCGAATCCCTACGACTGGAAATTCTATAAGTCGGTGGTGTATCCATATGGGCAGTGGACCATCACTGATGCATCGTTGTCTCCGGACAATCGTTTCCTTGCCTATTCCTCAATCCGATCTACCGTGTGCCTTGCTTCGACTGACCCGAACGACACATCTGAGCCAAATCTTCTTGATTTCGCCAACATCAGTAATCATAACCCACGTACGTACCACACTTACTTCGGAATCTGGTCGATTCGTTTCTCTGGTGATGGCCGTGAGATAGTCGCCGGGACAGGGGACAATTCCGTCTACGTGTATGACATCGAGCGGCAACAAACTATTCTACGCATACCAGGTCACGAGGATGATGTCAATGCTGTGTGCTTTGGTGATACACAGAGTCCACACATTTTGTATTCCGGCAGTGATGATACGACGCTGAAAGTCTGGGATCGACGAAGCATGGGTGACGGTCGTGAAGCTGGTGTCTTTCTCGGTCACACCGAGGGCTTGACTTATGTCGACAGTAAAGGCGACGGGCGATACGTGCTTTCGAACGGCAAAGACCAAACTGCAAAACTCTGGGATCTTCGGAAAATGCACTCAAAGGAAAAAGCCGATCGCATCGACATCAATGCTTACACAACTCGCTTCGAATACCGGACCAATGCGTACGACGAATCTGAATACCAACCGCATCCCCACGACTGCTCGCTCGTTACATTCCGAGGGCATAAAGTACTCAGGACTCTCATCCGGTGCCACTTCTCGCCACCGGGAAGTACGGACTCAAGATACGTTTACAGCGGAAGTTACGATGGGAAGATTTATGTGTGGAATTTGGATGCAACGCTCGCGGGCAAGATTGATGTGCTCAAAGCGACCAAAAACAGTCGGCCGCGGGATCCGAATATGTTGGACGAAACTTACGACTTTTACGGAAGAAACAGCAGTAGCTGGATGACTTGTGTGAGAGATGCCAGCTGGCACCCCAATGCACCAGTTGTTGCTGGTAAGTGCCCAACTTTTGCCTGTGTACACATGTTAAACGAGAACAAGCTAACTGGTGATAGCGACATCCTGGAACGGCTGGGGAACGTCCCAAGGAACATGTACTGTCCATACATGGAATGATGGTCTTGAGGAAGATGAGGGAGAGCCAAAGATTGGAAGACGAGTGAATGCGTTGCTGCAACATGACGAACGACTGTACACAGCCACAGCTCCTCCAAGAAGGCACTGGTACGACGACTATATGAACGATGAGTAAATCGACTGTAGTATATCGTCGCTTTGTAGGACTCTGTGCTTGTTCAGCGGAACCATCATGTCTCCGTATGGTTATCGCTTATAACATTATCTGATGACGACTGAAAGGGGATGATCTTCTCGGTATATTTAACGAGGCGCACGTGTGGATCGGGAGTTTTATGAATTCAAGCATTGAAATGCAAATTTGGATATAATCAAACTCCGGCTGACCCTATGCCTGTCAATGTCAATCCCTATGATACAGCATCTTGGAAATTTGGATATGAAGCGCGATGATGCAGTGGACCCCTAGATATCGTCTACTGCACGCCGTCCCAGCCCTGTGATTCTTCTGTCTGCCCCTTTGTCGCCTCTGAACCACGTAGTATGTTCGAAAGTATTGAACCACGCCCGATTTTGCTCTTGCCACTCCGACGGCTCTTGTCTATGATCCACCGACGAGGATGTTGTTCACGGGAATGTGGACGAGCTTGACGACGTAACCGATGACACCCATGACTACGAAACCGACACCGACGGCCTGTGAGATCTTGAGGAATTCACGCTGGAGCTAGTCAGCAGAGGTTCCATCGAATACATCTTATCCCCTATATCGCAACGGTTGCGGGAGCTATCTCCGTCAGGGTAATCGCATGTAATAAAGCGGAAATCTGATAGGTCGTACCTTGTCGGGCTTTGTGCATCGGTTCATGAACTGTACACCCTCCTTGACGAATTCCTGGGGAACACTGCGAGCTGTTAGTATATGCGACCTAGGACTGCGGCATGCGACACGCGGAGGTGGACTTGGAGGCGTACTCGGCGAAATCTTTAACTTGATCCATTACGAAATGTAGAATCGATATGGAAGACTGCTGGTGGGGTATAGGATTCTTGAAGTTCCAGGGTTTGGAGTTGACAATGGAGAAGGGAAAACGGATGAGCTGCGACAGGTAATCGGTTCCAGAAATTCGAGAAGCTGGGGGACTCTGGACACATTGCGGGAAACGGAGGTTGCCGGCCGCCAAGCTAGTTCTAGCGTCTCACGTGACCGATCGCCCGAGCTCGATGGTGAAGCCAAACCTACCTAGCTGCGGGAGGTCTGTCTCATCATTTGCCGTCGCCCTGCCGCAACTCTTCTCTCATCTTTTCTTGCTACGACATATACGCCTCCATACTGACAGGCCCGCGACCTAGCATCTCGGCGGTCCCATTAATCGTCTCTAGGTACACAAATAACGCGTCTGTGACGGCACGACCCTAGGTCTTCCTCGAGGCTGTCCTCCGACATACTCATACTTCCGCAGGGTCTGTGAGGCTTCTGTATCACAGGAGTCACGTATTACCTACACTGTGCTGGCGCCACCGAGTTGGGCCCAAAGCAAGCGTCGGGATTGAGCTGTTGCAGCTGTCGTAGCTCTCTACTCTCCCTCACCCATCACTACTACTCTCCAAAACACATATACATACCCATCCTGTACTTTCACCATCTTCCGCATCTGCCAGAGGCGATCGGACTTCCCCTGTATCGCTTTCAGCAAACTTTCACGGATCTTGTTTTACGCTTCATCAGCGGGCCTGTACGTATTTCCTCTTGTATGCGCCCTATGTCAGGGGCTGCTCATGCGACGATACGCCGTTTCTTTTCCTTTCGTTCAAATGCCTGTTCTTCAATACCTGTCAATCCGTTCGCTGATAGATCAAGCGCATACAGACTTTCTTGTACATTGGCCACTAGGCTTACATACCCGAGTATCTAAAGCCAATACAAGACATCAAAGTCTATCCTCTCACCACAGTCTCCATCCAGATTGAAACCTGACCCAGTAGCACAATGGCCGACGACGATAATTTTGATATCGACATCTATGGCGATGACTCTGGTCAGACCTACCAGGACTCTAGTACCCAGCAGAATGGAGCGCAAGCCGATGCTGCCATGCACACCGATGAACCAGCTGGCAATGACACTGCAAAGTCGGATAATACAGGGGCCGCGGTGAAAGCGGAGGGTGCTGACGGTGGAGCCAACGCCGAAGAACACCATGAGAACGAGACACAGCAGATCTCCAGTACTGGTGCATCGGCAAACAACCAAGCTTTTCAACGACAAGCACCACAGCAGCAAGGCACGAAGCGCAAGCAGGGTGAGGATGACGATAGGCCCATGGATCCCGGAGCAACTGCCGCGCTTATGATTAATGATCTGAACTGGTGGATTAGTGAGGAAGATGTTCGCGGTTGGGCCAACCAAAGCGGCTGCGAGGACGAGTTGAATGAAATCACATTCAACGAGCACAAGGTCAACGGCAAAAGCAAAGGGTAAATATCATAGATCTTCTTACGTTTATAAAGCTGATACGTTTCTTTAGACAAGTCTACGTACAACTGCAAACTCCTCAAGCTGCGACCGCTCTCAAGCATCAGATAGACACGCTCTACCAAGACCAAGCGCATGCGAAGAAACCCACTGCCGTGTTCAATCCCCCGCACATCAATCCTTTCAAGACACTTCCCAAGGACGTGCCTCAACGTGACAAGAATCGTGGTGACCGATCGTCCTCGTCAAATTACAACAACCAAGGAGGGCAAGGAGGCAACTTCAACAGGTTCAACAACCAGCGGGGCAACTTCAACAATCGCGGCGGTAACATGGGCTTCCAAAACCGTAATTTCTCGGGTCCTGGCGGTAATATGGGTAACTTCAATGGCAGTCCTGCCCCGATGGCTAACTTCGGTGGAGGAGGCCCTATGGGCGGAATGAACAACTTCAATGGCGGATTCAATCGTGGAGGCGGCATGATGGGCGGCATGCGAGGCGGTATGAACAACCGCGGCCGTGGAGGAGGTATGATGGGGGGCAACATGGGCGGAATGAACATGCCCATGGGAGGTAACATGATGGGTGGTATGGGCGGCGGTATGATGGGTATGGGTGGAAATATGGGGATGATGGGAGGAATGGGTAAGTCATGTGTTTAATTCTGCATCATATACGCACTAACATGGGATACTGTAGGAGGTCCGGGAGGTTTTGGCGGAAACCAAGCACAATTCAATCCTGCTTTCTTTGGTCAGAACCAAGGTGGTGGTGATGGGAACTGGAACCCTCACGGCAACAAACGGCCACGACCGGAGTAGATCTACCTGCCCAAACGCCGTCATCTCCTCCACCTTGGATTGCCGAATCTTCGATCATCGACCCGACTTAGATCTTTGACACGATCACGAAGGATATCATTCCATGTTGGCTTACTATGGTCGGGTATTACACTGCACAACACTTCCCATCACTACACCACAAATACCAAAAACCACCAAATTTTCACCGGAGCACGTCGACTCCAGGCAGCACTGACCGTTGCTCATGGCGCATTGGGCTGTAGCTCTTCTCATTTCCAGGTGTTTGGCGCAAGACATAGGTATAGGGGGCTTCTCGTTAGAAGTTGCTTCTAACGTTTCTGCAATTAGGAATGAAAAACACCTCCTGTCAAATGTTCTCTTTTTCATCTCAATCTTCCATTCTCTTTACATCAATTCCGTGTTGTTTGTCTCATGTTGCATTTATAGCCTGGCGTCCGTGCTACTCTTTCCCGTCAAACTTCTTTGCTTATAATCGGAGTAGATCATTATCTAAACGGTCCATTCCGCTATACTCTCATTTTCTACATTTTAGTCTGTATTACTTACCTGAGGGCTACATTTGCGTTGTTTATAGTCAAGAATGTCACCATCCTATCAACCATACCACTAAAAAGTAAGAGACAAGGCTCGCGATATTTCTTCCTCTTCCATAAAAAAAAGGCGGCATCTTCGATATTACAAAAAGCTCTCATTTGCACTCATTCTCACCGAAGCATGCTAAATTTAGTTTTGATCTCCACCGCTGAAGCATTCAACCCGCAGAAAGCGACCAACCTAATTAGGGAATTTTGGACACCAGCATAACGTGTAAGTGGCATGCTAGCAGCTCCCAAGGCTTTAAGGTACCCTAGCATGCCACCTCCCAGGTAATTTTCTTACTGGCTTCGATCCCTAGACTTTCGCCTGCCGAGTTAGGAAGTTTCCCTTCCACCGCCTTGGTGCTAGCTACAACAGCGTACCAAACCACTTGCAAGGGCCTTCACGAGGAGAGGTACAGCACACACAAGCGTATGTTCCCATGAAGACAAGCTCGCGAGAATATCCTTGGCGGAAAAATATAGCACCGCCGATCAATCTGGATACCAGGCCCGAGACGATGGGACCTGCATAGCATTTTTGCCGAGACCGTGGTTCCAGATGATTACCCATTGCTGTAAAGCAACATCCTTCGGAGGAGCGGTACTCTTGTATAGCGTGAGCGAGTTTGGGGATTTGTTTGCTCGGAGGGTGTTGGGCCGTAGTTAGGCCTGTTCTTTTTTTTGCGTTATATTGGCCGTCGTATTCTTTTCGCTCCCGTGGATTTCTAAACTAGGATTTGGAATGGTCGGAGATGCGGTTGGTGGGTGACGGAATGACCAAAAATGTCAATATCGGGGTATGCATAGGCGTGTCTAATGGGATTTAGCGTTGCGGGTGGGATGTAGATCTGGCCGGAGGTGGTGAAGTGATGGCGTTTCTTTCCTCCGGGGAAAGAGGGTTAACTCGCCGCCGAGAAGGTACCCGGTCGAGGATTGATTCTTGTTAAATAGATGATGTTTCTCCTCTGCTAATATCTCGTCGCCAGGAATTAACGAACGGCTTATCTTCGTTACCTCAGCAATGATGGCGAGCAAATCTTTGAGAGCAGTGCTTCTGGCTACCATCCTGCAGGGTGCTTTCGCAGTTACCACTCCTTGGGGGCAATGTGAGTTTGTTGAAGTCTTTGATTCGACATAGCACAAGCTAATGTGATTATCTAAAAAGGTGGTGGTAAGGGATATACTGGCGATGAAGACTGTCCTTCAGAGTACTACTGCAAAGTACAGAACGAATGTATGCCAAAACACGACACTACCAACAACCTCAACCGGCGCAACTTCCCCTGACAAATGAGCAGGGTACTTCCAATGCGTCCCAGGCACTGCACCTTCAACGACGGTTCCAACCACGTCACCAACATCGAGCCCGACCGTTTCGACCACCATCACGTCAACCCCAACTTCCACCCCAACATCAAGCCCAACCTCGTCCGGAACAGCTTCGCCCACGACTTCGGGAAGCGGAGTCCAATGCACAGGAACCTTCACTCCAGTCAGTGCCTCAGCGTACATTGCGGCCCTCAACCCAGGCTGGAACCTCGGCAACACGCTCGACGCCATCGAAGACGAAGGCGACTGGAACAACGCGCCCGTAGCCCCCTCAACATTCGACTCGATCCTCGCCGCGGGCTTCCAGTCGGTCCGCCTCCCCGTCACCTGGGCGTACCACTTCACGTCCGGCTCGCCAACCTGGGACGTCGACCCGGCATGGCTCCAGCGCGTCTCCGACGTCGTCGACCAGGCCACCGAGCGCGGCCTCAAAGCCCTCGTCAACGTCCACCACGATAGCTGGACGTGGGCCGATGTTTCTGCCGCCGGTGCTAACATCACTGAGATCGAGGAGAAGTTTTCTAGGCTGTGGTTTCAGATCGCCACGAAGCTTGCGTGTAAAGGGAGCGAGGTTGCGTTTGAGCCCATCAACGAACCGCCTGGGACCACGGCCGAGCACGGCGCGGAGCTGAATAAGCTGAATGGTATCTTCTTGCAGGCTGTTAATGATGCTGGTGGGTTTAACCCCGAGAGGGTTGTGACGCTTGTTGGGTTGGGTGAGGATGCGGTTAAGACGAGCTTGTGGTTTGAGCCGCCTGATGAGAAGTTTACGAATCCTTGGGGGGTGCAGTTTCATTATTACTCGCCTTGTAAGTTGTTATCCCTCCTCTTCCTCCTCCTCCTCCTCCTTCTCCTCCTCCTCCTCTTTCCCTTGCTTCCTGCGACTTTTCTGCATCGTATCCCCAAAATCCGTGAACACACTTCAACAAAACCGACATACACACTCATTCCAAACCAAAAAACGCCTCCTCCAGACTAACACAAAAAAAAAATCAGACGACTTCATCTTCTCAGCCTGGGGCAAAACAACCTGGGGTTCCGCCACCGACAAAGCAACCCTCGAAGCAGACTTCTCCGCGCTCCGCGCAAACTTCACAAACGTCCCCTTACTCCTGGGCGAATGGGACGCGTCGACGACAAACACCGAAACCGCAGGTCGCTGGAAGTACTTCGACTTCCTGCTGCGCACGGCGGCCAAATACAATGTGTCGACCATCATGTGGGATAACGGGCTGGACCACTACGACCGCGTGGCAGATGAGTGGCGCGACCCGACGGTACTAGGGATCCTGCAGAGCGCCGTGGAAGGGGAGACGAATGCGTTGGCGGAGAGCACGACGGATGCGGCAGCGACGAGCGCCGTGTCGAGCGCGTACGTGTGGAAGAAAGTCGGCGACGACGTAACGGCGGTGTCGGTGCCGTACCAGTTCAACGGGCTGACGTTGACGTCCATCTCGGAGACTACAAACTCGACCTCGAAGCCGCTGGTCGCGGGCTCCGACTACGCCGTCGAAGAGTCAAACGTGACCTTCTCCGCAGAGTACCTGAGCACCGTCTACGCGGGCTCGAATGCAACGGGGACGCTGGCGACGCTGGCGCTCGAGTTTTCGGCGGGCGCGCCCCTCGCGCTGCGCGTTGCGCAGTGGGCGCCGCCGAAGCTGGCGTCGACGTCTTCGGCGTTGCCCGCGACGTCGGCGGATTTGCTGATTCCTGTTGCTTGGGCTGGGCAGAACCGACCTGCTGCTGTGCGGGCGCTGAAGAGCGATGGGGGGATTTTGATAGAGGATTGGACGCAGTACTTGGGGCCCTTGCAGCAGGGTAGGATGACGTACGAGAACCAGTGGAATTGGGACGAGGGGCATGTAATTCTCAAGGCGCCTGTCCTCGACGCGGTGAGAGCGGCGGGCAGAACGACCACCTTCACGTTTGAGTTCTATCCGAGGGTAGAGGGTTTGGTCAACTCAGCAAACTACACTATCACAGTTTGAGGGCAGAAGAACGGGAAAGGCAGAGGTGTTGATGGTAAAGCTCAATTGGAATTCCCTGCTTGCTTTCAATAGGGATAAGCTTGTTTTTGGTTCAGAAATTACATACAGAAGACTTGGAACGCAAGAGGCATGACACGAAGTGGTATTGTTGATGCACGCACGCACGCACATTCGTAAAAGGTGAAAACCTCGACCCGACTCTATCCACACAAACTCAACGCGCAATGATTTTCCAGAAATGAATGAAGACAAGTTTTTCACAGTGATATACACTTGTAAGGACGGTTTAAGCTGCGAGACTCATAATCGTTACTCCTCAAGGTATGAGAGTTTCCTCATCTCACCCAATCTAGATCTTGCAGCGGAAAGTGCATTCTCGAGCTGCAAAATCTCGACCTAGTAACAGTTAGTTAGCAATGACAATCATCATACGTGGGCGAAATTCGACGCATACCTGCTGCTCCATCTGCCTAACTTTGAACTCGCGATCGCTAAGCTGGGTGTAATCCACGACCTCGCCATCGTCCTTGTTCTTCTGCGCAATAATAGCTTGCACTTGCCTGACAAGCGCACGGCACGCTGCGGTGACGGCCTTGCTGGCATTCTCAAGGTTGTCTTGCGTCTTGCTCATGAAGCTGGCCTTCACACGGCTAGCTGCGACGAGTTGAGCAGTAGAAGCTGCAACATCGTTAGAGGCAACAATGAGCTGCTCGGGAGAGTTGCGACCCGAGATAACGCCATCTGCAGTCTCGATAAGTGTGTTGGTAGAAGACGCAACAGCCTTGGCAGCACTGATGAGTCCTTCAGTCCACCTGTTGTGTTTCTTGTAGAATTGTGTTACACTCATACTGCCTCGACCCTCGCGAACAATTTCTTGTTGCGAAACGGTAGCCGCCTTGATGAGCTGAGCAATGGCATTCGTGACGGCGATAGCGGCTTCCAAGATGGAATCATGAATCTTCAGCTCGTAGGTCGAGAATTGGTCACGCGGTTTGTTCTTGAGTTTAGCTAGACGATCGGCGGCCGCTGCAATGGCGTTGGCTGCCTTGGTCAGTTCGTTGTCTACCAAATCGCCAAGATCCCCTGAGGCATTGGTGATCTTGCTCTTGGGCGCGAAGGCATCTGCGAGCTTGGACAGACTTTGGAGGTTGCGGAGTACCTCGGCGTTATTGTTGATGACCACGTTGAACTTGCCCTCCTCGTCGAGGCCGTACACGCGTGGAGACTGGATATTGCGGAAAAATTTGACGGTTGCTGTGGCAGAAGTTCGCGCGGCATTGATAAGCGCATCCGACTTGTTGTCGTCAGAAGCGAATCGTGTGAGACCTTTCGTGTCGCTCAAGACATCTCCCATGGCGCCAGCAAAAGCATTGGCCGTTTTGATTACCTCCGAGTGGGTCGCATTGGGACCATCAGCAATGAATCCGTTGAATGCAGTCGCGAAGTCCATGGCAGTTGTGGAGGCCTTTTCGATCTGTGACAAGACAAAGGCACCCGAGGCATTTTGGTTACCAGCATGCATCGAAGAGTCTAGTTCGTACAGAGCATCGTCAATGCGCTGAACCCCAGCTTGGAGTACCGAATCAATGATCTCGTTGATCTTCTGGAGGTTGTCTCCAACAAGAGTAGCGAGATATTCATCCGAGACATCATTGTTCGTTCCCTGGTTCAACTTGAGATCGTTCAGCTCAAGCAAGGTTTGGTCCATTCCAGCTCGGAAGATCTCTAGTTCCTCCTCCTTCTCGCGAAGTTGACGCTCCAGATCCGAATCGCCTTCTCTGTACTTCATTTGCATGTCCTCTAGAGCGCGAGTCTTGTTTCTGAGCGCCTCCTCCAAATCGGCGATTTCACGATTGTGACGAGACAGCATGGCCGACAGTTCGGAGCCCTTGCCGCGTTCTGAGTTTTCGGCCCTGTCCAATGCAGACCGAAGTTCGCGCTTGAGTTTCTCAATTTCCTCGCGATGACCCCCCGTGTTGCGGTCCTTCTCCAGCATGGCCCGGTCTCGTTCCCTAATCATATCGGCCAGTTCAAGATTCTTCGTTTTGAGTTCCCTCTGTAGCTTGTCGCGCGCATCTATAGCTTCCTGGGCCGAGTTTGCCTTGAGTTGCACAGTCTTGAACTTCTGCAACAGTTGCAAATGTTCGTGTCGCAATTGCGAGTAGAGCTTGGCAAGAGATTCATACTTGGATCTCCAAGTATTTAGCTGCTCTTGCAGAGCTCGAATTTGGTCGTCACGCGATGACATTTGTTGCTGGAAATTGGTGTTCATCTGGTTAATTTCGCCCTCCAGAGCCTTCATACGCTGATCGTATTGTTGCAACATCAATTGATCATGTTCGTATTGGGCCCGCGCGTTGAGGTTCTCCCGCTCGAGCTCTGCAAGACGGCCTTGGGTTTGCTGCTGATATTGGTCGCGCAAAAGTGCTTCCTGATTCAAACGAGCCTGTTCAGCCTGCAATCGCTGCTGCTCCTCAAAATCCCGCTGTGCCTGCATAGCCTGTTCTTGCTGCAATCGCTGGTTCGCTTCCCATTGTTCCGCGAGTCTCCGTTGCTCAGCCTCATAAGCTTCTTGTTGCCTCTTCTGGTCGCTCTTCCAGAACTCATTGATTGGCTCTGGATCAACAGCCTCGGCAGCACGAGGGGCAGGAGCAGGCTCTTCGCCTTTGGGTCGTGCGGGGAGAGCTGGAGCGGATTCGTCTTCGGATAGGAGGTTTGGAGGATCTTGGGGCAGCTTTGGTACCGTAATCAGACTCGTAAGATATCTGAGATTGGAACATTCGTAGTAGAACTTGACTAGTCGATAATGCTGTGCGTCATATCGACCACGTAGAGGCGCGAGCGCTTCGTCGTCGCCCAATGCTGCGCAAGTCAGTAAGCCATCATCAGATTGGTCGCAGCGGACTTACTGGTATGCATGGCCCGCAACATGCTTGTGACAAACTTGTAGATGCCATAACTCTCCTGCACCAATGGAGTGAGAGCAGAGATTCGGCACTCGTTGTTTGCGCCCCCCCTAAAGTGTGAAAAGATGAGCTTCTGGAACGCATCGATTTGGTCTTGCAGCGTCATCAAGTCGGTAATGGTCTCGTAGCCTTCATTCGGGTCGTTGATTGATTTCAAGCTTATGTACTCCTCGTACTCGAACGTTCCTACTCAGCCCGTTAGCAACAGGCGCAAATCTGGGCATAGATGGCACGTACCATTGAATTCCGGGTGCTGACGGTGGAAAGCAAGCTTCGCGGCTAGAAAGTATGTGTACTCCTGGATAAGTTTCGCGTAGCCTCGCAAGCCCTCGCCAGCTGAGTTCGCACGTGCCAAGCTTGTGAGCCAATCCACGTTGTTTTGCGCCTCCTTCAAAGCTGTGGGGTGACCCTCCTGAAGGACCTTGTGGACTGTGATGAGGGCCTTGAACGTCTGGATCTCGTCGGCCATGATGGGCTGGCTGGTGATGGTTCAGCATTCGCGCCAGCACGGATAGCTCACGGCGGCGGGGGTTCTACGTACACCTTCATGCCCTGCCAGAAAGAGGCAGAGCTCTTGTGGTCCCAAGTGTAGACGATGGCAGCACGGACATGCTTTCCTGTACCATTGTGAGCTTCGCAACGAGGATCGATGGGCGGTACGTACGCTTGGGCGCCGTTTCTTCGAGGCTCGTGGCCTTGCGGATGTTGATTTGGAGATCATTCTCCTGCCTGGGAGGTTTTGTGAGATTGGCATACATCATATTGTCGGAGGGTGTAGCACATACTTGCCAACATTGACATTCCGCGCCATGATGTCTTCTGGGGAGGGCGGGACAGAAAAGAGTAGGAATGGCTGCTGCCTTGGCGGTGTCGCGGCGGGCAGCTGCGGATTGATATAGACGGTGGGAGCGAGGGGTGAGTAGGTAGGTAAGCTTGGTATAGGAGTGGGCGGGCAGAAGAAGGCGGAGGAGAATTAGCCAGGAGGAATTAGCTGGCGGGGAGGTGGGATGGCGATGAAGATGGAGATGGAGGTGGTTGATGAGGGAGCGCAGAGCTATCTCACAGCACAGTACAGTACAGTACAGTACAGTACAGTCAACTGGTAGCAGCAACGTCAACCCATCGGTCCATCTCAGCGCCAACCGACCAGGGATCCGGCCTTGAACAGAACCAGGGTCCGTGCTGTGCTCCGTCCGTCAGTCAGTCAGTGTGTGCTGCCATCATTGATGTGTTTGAATCCACCACCCCCTCCATTCATTCACTGATTCATTCATTCATTCATTCATTCAGGGCTTTCTTACCCGTCCATGCACGCCCTGGTGACGAAGCTCGTGCGCCACTCTCCCCCATTCCCACCCCCACAGCCTCGAACCATCCCATCCCCCTCCAGCGCATACACGCAGCTGCATGCGCAATCGCCCACACTACTGAGTTGGCATCCGCACTCGATGGCTTTTCGAACAAGAGTATGCCAAGCATCGTCAATCCGACCCATGCATCATGCAGGACAACGCATCCGACCATCAGGCACCTTATGTCATGCTGCTGTTTTCTAGCTACTTAAACCTATGTACACGCGTTTGATTCGAACCTGAAAACATCCATGTCCATGACCCTCACCCCGTCCCGCCAACGCCACCCAAATGCTGAGAAGAAGAATATGCTGCAACCGTCAAGGAAAAGGGAAAGGCACCGGCCAGCCTGGCCACGCTATGCCGTCTTTTGGTCCAGGTATTGCGCCATGGGATCGTTGGACATTTGCCGCTTCCGCCTGTAGGCTTCCATGTCTTCATCCGTTACACCGTTCGTCATTTCTTCCAGCGTACGCTTACGCCTAGCATCTTCGGCGCTTTTGCTGCTGGGCTCCACGGCGTTGGGTACGTGTTTCTGCAGCGCCTCCTCTTCCTTCCACGCTACAGCTTTCGGCACCTCCACTATGTCGGCACCCGTCCGCTTTCGCTCTGCCATCTCAAACGCTTCCCTACCCGCTTCACCTGTGCAGTACGAGTTCTTGACCGTCGAGTGACAGCATGCGTATCCCCACTTGAAATCTGCCCACCAGCTACCCCACACGGATTTGTGGTTGTTGATCAGAACATCCTCTGGGTATTTTGACTTGGCCTTGACTTGGGGGGCGCCCTTGATCCTGCCTCGTTCATCGTATTCAACATATCTCTCCGATTCCGTCACGGCCGTTTTTTGTAGCGTGTCGTCGTTGAACTTTTCTTGGCCTCCATATTTATCGAGAAGCGCTTTCTTCTGTGCTGCCTTGCGCTCTTCAGCCTCCTTCAATTCCTTCTTTCGCGTGACTTCGCCAGATGTAGGATTCGCTTGTAGATGCAATTTGTTCTTGTCGCCACGCTCTTGTGTCTCCCAGGCATAGCGCTGCGCTCGATCAAACTCAGCAGCATCGCCTGATGCTTTCATGAAGCCTTCCTCCGCGACTAGTGCGGCTGCATTATCTGCCGTTGCACCACTATCCACCATTGAGCGTGTCTTCGGATCGTATTTGGCCGAGTCCAGATCCAGGTTGAGCAGATATTTCGCCGTGTCCTCTCTCAGTCGTAGATTCCGAGTTGATGTGGCTTGTTTTCTCCCCATATCCGTCTCAGCATCGTATTTATCTCCATCGTCGCCTTCTTCGTCCGAGTCATTGGCGGCCTTTTCCGCCGCCTTGGCTTTCCTTCGTAGTTCCTCCAGTTCATTGTATTCCTCAACACGCTCATTGAAGTCGGCAGCATCGTAGCCGTTCCACCGGTCACGCTTTGCATCCCATCCCAACTGCATCTCTTGGACCACTTCATCTGCCTCGATGTTTTTCCCCGTGATCTTTGCGCCTTGCTTCCGCGGTCTGCTCAAACAGTCCTTTTTCTTGTGGGTCATGGCTCCGCAATTTTCGCATGCGCCCTTGCGGAATTTGGTCGCGGCAGGCCCAAGCTTCCTCCCTCGATCGTACCATTTCGAATCCTGTTCCTGCTTCTGCAGACGTTGATGCTCAAGGTAGTCGTGGTCCTCCCCGCTCTCGTCGACAGCATAGAAAGGCTTCTTCGAGATAAACGACGGGATGTATTCATTGCGTTCTTTAGAGGCGGCGGACACGTCGGGCTTTCGTGGTTGAGCGGGCGGCATGGTGAGGGTGAATGTCTTCGAGCGACGTTGGTCTGCACGAAGTGGAAATGGTGGTTGCGCTCAAACGCCGGGGATGGATGCGGAGGGTCGATAGCTACTTGAGCTAGCGCTGTAGGGCTGAGACTTGGCGCACGTGATAGCGCAACACCGCGTCAGAACGGGTCTGCTACTGTGCATTCCATGCCTATTACCACTTACGCGAACAGCAAGGTTCTGCGGTTCAACTTTTTGCGATACGAGTGAAAAGCGCCATTCACAACATGTGCTGTCTGAATCGACTTGAATTCACATATACCAACGGCTGTTCCCCATGAATACGTTCCGTTTCCGTCTGAACTGTATCGACCACTACCAGGCAAACCCAACAGACCTCGATCCCGTTCTCCGGCGGCGAGTCAATGATTCGCGACGCGAGCATGTTCCTCAAGTCCCCATCATTCGGATCTTTGGCGCCACTGAAACCGGCCAAAAAGTGTGTGCCCATATTCATGGAGCATTCCCGTACCTCTACATCGAGTACAATGGAAGTCTGGACAAAGATGAGGGTAAGCTCTCACGTTGATACACATCCAGAGGCATACTAATACTCACCTCTCGCAGTGAAAGCATACATCGCTAGTCTTCGCGCTTCTATAGACCATGCTCTAGCTTCTACGTATCGTCGTAACCCCTACGATGGCAAATCCGTATACGTGGGGCACATATCGTTAATCAAGGGTGTTCCGTACTACGGTTATCATGTTGGATATAGATTCTTTTTGAAGATATATCTGCTCAATCCGCTGCATATGACCCGCTTCACTGACCTCTTGCATCAAGGCGCTATTCTAAGTCAAGTCTTCCAGCCCTACGAAAGCCACCTGCAATACTTGCTTCAGTGGATGTGTGACTACAACTTATACGGGTGTGCCTACGTTGACTGTGCTAAAGTCAAGTTCCGGGGGCCCGTACCTGATAAGGAAGAAATAAACTTTTCCATCCACAAATGGCACGATGGCAGCATACCCGAGAATTGTATGGCAGATCAAGACCTGTATCCGCGCCAAAGCCATTGCACCCTGGAAATAGACGTCTGTGTTCAAGACATCCTCAATCGCCATGAGCTGCATTATCGGCCTATGCATCATAGCTTCAATGAAACCTCGTATGAATTAAGGCCCGACAAAAAGTACGTACCCTCTATGGCTGGTCTCTGGAAAGACGAGACACGGCGTCGAAAGCTACGCATGGGCCTTGCCGATCCTTCAAGCAGCCCTTTCCCATCAGATGTACTTGTTTCCATGTCTGCCAGCAACAGAAACACTGAAAAGGGAGGTTGGATCCATGAAGATGAATTCAGAGAACTCGTGAACGGGCTTATACAGGCCGAACGAGGCAAGAATCCCGCCGCAACTGCCGAAGACTTCACCAAGCCAGTTGCAGGCGAGGAGAAGATCCGGACCGCTGTTCAAAGCGTCGAAGATTTATACCCTGGGGTCATGGGAATTGATGATTTCTCGGATAACGAAAATATTCAGGGGCACAATCGCATGGTCGAAAACCTTGCAATGCATGATAGTAATGACCATAGTGCAATGCCAGAGGCCGGCGCGAGAGAGGTGCCAGCTGATCTCATTGATGACCCTAGCTCGGACGATGCAGACACACATTCTGGCACAGAAGAAGAACCTTCCATGGACCCCTTGAGTATATCGGAAGCTTTTGAAGAGAGTCTCGAACTCGCTGCTTTAGCTAATGAACTCACGGCCGAGGAAATTGATCAACTTGCGAATGATGACAATCTGCTCACCCCGGTCAGCAACAGGACATTGAAGCGGCCCAATCTGTTTGACTACCCGGGATCTGGGAAGCGCCGGCGTGTTGAAAGCACACAAGACACTCCGCGTGTATCACTCAACCAGGATTCTGTTCATGAAAAGGCGCGGCTAGTCGATTCGTCCGAGAATACTTCCCAACGTCCCAGTCAACTGCCGCAAGGCAGAGGCGAGGCTTCAACACAATCTTTTTCGGTAGTGAAGAATGCAAACGGTTTATCAACCGGATTGCGTTGGAGTCAGTCAGACTATTCCAGATCTCAAGGGACCCCCCAAACCCCCGCAATGAAGCGTCTTACCGCCACAAAGACTTACGAAACCCCCAAAACACCGTGGAGCACACAAAAGAAGTCGCCATTCGTTTCGAGCAGTAGTATGACTGCCACTGATTCGGATGCTGCTGCTTTGACGAAGCTGCTGGGGAAGTCTTCAGTCCACAGTGTGAACACTCTGTATTTTGGAATGCTACCGCCGACTGTGGATGACATCGAAGAAACTTGGCTGGAGACAGGGCTGCCTCCAGTTATATACCAAGATGCATTCTATAGCGATGAGAATGACGTACCAGAGAGGGCAAGAGAATATGCCGGCAGAGAGTTCAGGTTGCAAAGCAACACTCTGCCTTACCTTCCACCTTTTGACCCTACAGGTCAAGCCCCCGCGAATTTTGGAGAGCACCCTCCTGTTGTATATAACAAAACCAAAGAGGAATCAGAAAGTCAAGCTCGCGCGCAGAAATGCAGTCTACGTAATTGGGAGATGGCCGTTGCTCCCCCATCTTTCGATGAGGTGGAGAATTGGATGCATCAAGAGAATCAGCAAGCCACACCTGGCGTTACTAAGATGACATCGAAGTCTGAAGAAAAGTCCAAGCGCCCTCAAAGAGCGCTTTCCCAAATAGAAGGTCCTACGCAAAAGAACAAACACGACTTCAAATACTCGCAGAAGAAAAAGTCGACAAGTGTCAAGCATGAAACACAATACATGAGCATCATGAGTCTGGAAGTGCATATCAACTCAAGGGGATCGCTAGTACCAGACCCGAGTCAGGATGGGATACAGTGCGTGTTCTGGTGCGTCCAAGGAGAAGAGGATGCAATCGACGACAAGCCCCGTGTTGGTGTTCTTTGTCTCTCCGATGAAGACGGGATCGCGAAGCGTATTTCCAAGCAAACACACGTGGAGGTAGAGTACGAAGAAGACGAGCTGGATTTGATCAATCGCGTTGTGGACATTGTACGCCACTTTGATCCAGATATCATGACCGGCTACGAGGTCCACAATGGTTCATGGGGCTATCTCATCGAGCGTGCGAGGATGAAATATGAATATAACCTCCCTGATGAGATCAGCCGCGTCAAAACGCTGTCTCAGGGTAAATTCGGCAAGGACGCTGACCGTTGGGGATTCACGCACACCTCGACCATCCGCATCATCGGCCGGCATATGATCAATATCTGGCGTGCAATGCGAGGCGAATTGAACCTTCTCCAGTACACGATGGAAAACGTTGTCTTCCATCTTTTGCACAAACGGATTCCACACTACCAGCACGCGGACCTTACCGCTTGGTACCGCAGTCCCAAAGCACGGGATCTAGCCAAGGTTCTCGAATATTTCATTACTCGAGTACAGCTGAACTTGGATATTCTCGAGGCGAATGATATCGTTCCAAGAACAAGCGAACAAGCCCGTCTACTCGGCGTAGACTTTTTCTCGGTCATCTCGCGAGGGTCACAGTACAAAGTCGAATCGACCATGTTCCGAATCGCTAAGCCAGAGAATTTCATACTGGTGTCTCCCAGTCGGAAGCAAGTTGGACAACAAAATGCACTCGAATGTCTGCCATTGGTAATGGAACCTCGCAGTGACTTCTACACCAGCCCTGTACTTGTCCTTGACTTCCAATCGCTTTACCCAAGTGTCATGATCGCGTACAATTATTGTTATTCAACCTGCCTTGGGCGCATAGTGCCATGGCGGGGTCAGAACAAGATGGGGTTTATGGACTTCAAGCGTGATCCGCAACTTCTAGAGCTTGTCAAAGATCACATCAATATAGCCCCGAATGGCATGATGTATGTCAAGCCCGAGATGCGTAAATCGCTGCTCGCGAAGATGTTGGGTGAGCTTCTGGAAACCCGAGTAATGGTGAAGAGCGGCATGAAGCAGGACAAGGACGACAAGACTCTGCAGCAACTTCTCAACAATAGACAGCTTGCGTTGAAGCTGCTGGCCAACGTGACTTATGGCTACACGTCAGCATCCTTCTCAGGTCGTATGCCGTGCTCCGAAATCGCAGATTCCATTGTTCAGACGGGCCGTGAAACTCTGGAAAAGGCCATTGCACTCATCCACTCGGTTGAGAGATGGGGCGCTGAAGTCGTCTACGGCGACACCGATTCTCTGTTCATCCATCTCAAGGGCCGCACGCGCGACCAAGCCTTTACGATTGGCGAGGAAATCGCCGAAGCCGTCACAAAGACGAACCCGAAACCCATCAAGCTCAAGTTCGAAAAGGTCTACCACCCTTGCGTTCTCATGGCTAAGAAGCGCTACGTGGGATTCAAGTACGAATCCCGCCACCAAGAGGAACCCGAATTCGACGCAAAGGGCATCGAAACTGTCCGACGAGACGGCACGCCCGCGGAGCAGAAGATCGAGGAAAAAGCACTAAAGACTCTGTTCCGCACCAGCGACCTCTCCCAAGTCAAACGCTACTTCCAAGAGCAATGCACAAAAATCATGGCCGGCCGCATCAGCATCCAGGACTTCCTCTTCGCCAAAGAAGTCAAGCTGGGCACGTACTCGGACCGGGGCCCACCGCCGCCAGGCGCGCTCCTCGCCGCAAAACGCATGCTTGCCGACCCGCGCACCGAGCCCCAGTACGGCGAGCGCATCCCCTACGTGGTGGTCACGGGCGCGCCGGGCGCGCGCCTCGTCGACCGCTGCGTCAGCCCCGACACGCTCCTGCGCAACGACCACATCGAGCTCGACGCCGATTACTACATCACCAAGAACCTGATCCCGCCGCTCGAGCGCATCTTCAATCTCGTCGGCGCAAACGTGCGCCAGTGGTACGACGAGATGCCCAAGATCCAACGCATCCGCAACATCGCGCTCCCCATCAACCTCCCTCCTCCCACTACCACCACTCACAACCACCCTCTGCGCACCGCAAAACCAAAACCCAAAAAACAAACCCTCGAGAGCTACTTACCCCCCTCAACTTGTATCTTCTGCCGCTCCAAACTCCCTCCCCCTTCCTCCCACCACCCTCTTCCCTCCCGCTTCCCCGCCTCCCTCCCCCTCTGCCCCCGCTGCCTCAAAAAACCAGCCCGCTCCCTCCTCGCTCTCCGCGAATCCCTGCGTCAGAGCGAATCCCGCGTCGCCCGCGTCAACGCCGTGTGTCGCAGCTGCGCTAACGTACCGTGTGGCGATGCCATTGTGTGCGATAGCTGGGATTGCCCTGTGCTGTATACGAGGGTTAGGGAGACGGGGAAATTGGAGAGGTTGAGGGATGGTGCGGTTGGGTGGGTTGTTGGGGTTCTGGAGGGGGTTTGTGAGGGGGACATGGAGTGGTAGATGGGGTGGTGAAGGGGGATAAGGAAAGGGAGAGGGTGTTGATGATTTACTCTCCGTCCTCTATTCTCTTTTTCTCTCTTCTCTTTTAGGTTGGAAAGAGATTTGTTGTTTTGTCTTGTATCCGTTCAAGCACAACTCGTTTGATGCGTTCTTTTGCGTTTTACTTTTACTTTACCATAGAAGTATATATTTTTTAGAATTTTGTTTTTCTTTTGCTTATTCAATGGAAGTTTTTCTTCTGTATAGTAGTGTTGTTTTCTTAATCCCCCCTTATTTATTGTCTTTTTCTAAGTTTTTTTTTTTTTTTGATTAGAAGTTACAGTGGTTCCTACACTTAAAAAATGTCTTTTTCTTTTCTTTTCTTTTCTTTTTTCCCCTTGAATTGCTATCATCATTGTGATCGCGCTTATATCCATCCCCGTATACATACAAATATATATATATATATATTCTTTCAAGAAAAGAAAACTCGCTACCCAGATTATACAACTCTCGTAATTTACTCCGGTTGAGTTGCAGAAACAAAAGTGTGTGTGTGTGTGTGTGTACAATGTGTTTCCCTAACACAAGTTATTGTTCTCTGGAACTCCTTTTCGCCGTTTGCCGTTTGCCCACGGGGATATATATGTACTTAAGAACCTCGCTAAGAAAACAGAGAAAAAAAAAAGAAGGCAAGAAAGGAGCCCGTGTTAGAAAACGTGTTTTCTGTCATTCTCCCAAGTGCGCCTTCAACAAAGACGGAATTCTGTTCCTCCCAAATCACTGCAGCATGCAATGTCGTCATGTGCAATTGCACTTTTCACGGCTTGCTCTTCTTCACCGACGACGGCGGCGGCAACGCCGGCGTATGACTCCGCACAATCATATCCTCCTCGACACCCCACTGGCGCCTCTCGTCAACACCGGTAGAACTGCGTTCCCCGAATCCCAGGATCCGCTCCTCAGACGCCCCGTTCGGACTCCCTCTTAAATCATGCATGCGAGTGTCGAGCCAGGGATCCCGATCGTCATCGGCGCTCCGCACGGTACACGACCGCGACGTCTCAGCATCGCTACAAGAAGGCCCGCGCCCGGTCCCCATCGACGTCCCTGGACGAGACTGGAAAGAGCCACAGCCAAAGTAAAGCAGCACGCGCTGGAACGGGACCTTCAAGCACGGCACGCACGCAGCGACAAAAGCGAGCAGTTCTTCCAGCGTGCTCAGGAACCCGAGCCTGATGCCAACAAGCCCTGGTTCCTGGCCAGAGCTATCGCGAGCAATGTAGACGAGTTTGACGAGGGAGACGACGCCGGCGAAGATGCCGAGGCCCATGAGGCAGTTGACGACGACGCGCTCGCGGAGCGGGCGCTTGACTTTGCGCAGGAACGAGATGGGGAGCAGCGCGAGGATGCAGTCGGTTGCGGAATTGACGGCCTGCACGGCCATGGCGGTGTGGATCCCCGTCGACTTGTTCCAGCAGTGCTGCTTTGCGTATGCGGGGTCGCTGAGGAAGTCCCATGCTAAGCGTAAAGGGATGCATTGCAGGGCTTGGGTGAACATGCCGTAGATGGCGATGATGACGTGGAGAAGGATCATGGCCCAGAGGAAGCGGCGCATGCGGGTGCTCTGCTCGAGGCGCAGGAGCATGAGGATGATGGAGAGTTTAGTGAGGGACATGGCCCAGGTCCAGAAGATTTGAGCGATGATGACGTTTTTGAGGGATTGGGAGGTGTCGAGGAGAGTTAGGGTGGCTGGGTTGGTGCCGTCGAAAATCCATTTTACTGAGCGGAATAGCAGTGCACAGTTGACGACTATGAGGATCTAGTATGGGGATATGGTTAGTATAAAGGATGAGTGTACACATATCTGTCGATACAGTATAGTCAGTGGGGAGAAAGGGAGAGAAATTACATATGCAATTAGGCAGACATAGTCGTCCGACGACATTCGAAAGGCCGGACGGCATCTCGTCCATACTCTCGCGGCGCACAGCACGGTAGCAAGGGCGATCAAGAAGGTGGTTACGGCTACGAAAGTATGGGCGAGATCAACGACAGGCCCCGTCAAGGGCGCAGGTATCAAGCTCGCGTCCAGTTTGTCGGGCATCTTCCCACGGCATGGATCCCTCGAGGAAACGCTTCGGAAAGCATCAGTGAACAGCAAAGGACCAAGGCGAAGCTATCAGTGGAAGGGGCATTGGACTCTTTTTCTTCCCTGCAATGGGACTAGACGTCGACAAGAGTCTTCCCTTGGAAAGCTTCGCACGTTCCCCTAGTTCGGTTAACAATGGGACAGCCCTAACATTCGGGCTCGGATTCTGATTTGCAGTCATGCAATTGATTCCTTCGACTGCAACTACAGGCTAGGATCGGAAGGATGTTAGGGTGACAGACAGACAGGCGGCAGAACAGGGGTTGATATGAGCACCACCTAGAATCTCGATATGCCGGTTCCATCTCTCCTTGTCGAAATCACGATGCCATCTTCAATGATCCCGGCCAATATTGCGGGGTTCGACGTATCAGCAACATGCTTGTGCAGATAGGAATCCAATGTACGCGTATCCATCGATCCGATACTGTCACCGCACTGCCGGCTCTGATAGAACGGACGGGTGCTGTCGAAGAAGGAGTTCACCCTGGCTATAGTTCCGTCATTGAAATGTGCGTTTCCCTCGCCAAAAGATGGTCGACGAAGGAAAAAAACGCCAGGCCGAGCGTTCCTTGCAAGGCGGCTTGCCGACCATGCAGTGTATGGCTCTGCCGGTCGACGGTCGCCATATCTGCATGTGTCGAGTGGAGCTGCTTGACCTCCGATCCGTGTCTGTCGGAGGTGTGCGTGGTCCAGGCGAAGGCCCGGGATTGAAATAAAGTTCACGCTAGGAGCCCCGTCTACTTCGGGCGAGAAGTGGGCGAACAGGCCATTTGAGGATCCTCGCAACAGGCTGATCGGTGGAGTATATGAGGCTTGCGCATTGAGCCCTCGGGGATGCAGGTGGAAGTGTGAAGATGGACGGAAAGCGTATACGAGCGAGTGTTGATTTAGAAGGTGCTAATATGACTAGCTATGCAAGTGTTTTGGTATCGTTGTGTGGGGTAATTCAGGATGAGAGCATATTAATACAGTTTATCTGCTTCATTCGTATCGCCCGCCCATGCAAATACCCACTGAAGAACATTCACGTGCAGCAGGAAGGGATTGGACCAAGACATCAAAAAACAGGTAGGATGTCGGGGTGAATTATGTGATTCGGAACGACCAATATGTCACTAGAAATCGATCAAAATATTTTCGTGGGCAGCAATCCACTTGCAGCACTACCTATATCCCCCCTTTTGTTTGAGCAGGCATACTATACTGCCAATGTCCATTTCAAGTACCCACGTCAAAGGCAATATTGTTTCACGAGCCCAGTCCCTGCCGGCTCGGCCGTAGTAATGGCCTGCATTTCATGGATCCAGTCATACTATACATGTACGGTGAAAACGAGCACGACTTCCTCCTGTTCGTTTCCTCGAGCTCAGACTAGCTGGAAGCCGAACAAGAATGCGTTTTGCTTCTTCTTCTTCTTCACCTGAGTCCAGCAAGACGGCGTTCCTGCACCTCGGAAAGTGCCCTGCTTCCACTAACAAACGCAACGAGACCAACAACACCGGCTGCTGGGAGGACCTGGAAAAGTTTCCAGCTTGTGTAATACATGAAGAATATTCCTTCGATAGCAACGATGGAGCCGTAGAAGAGAGAGTGGGAGATGGGTGCGTTTCCAAAGGCTTTACCGAAATGGTTGCCATTGGCACCGAGCGTCGCCCAAGCACCGAGAAGCACGGGCAAAGCCGCAACTACTGCAGCCGCAAACACTAGACTGATGATGGTAGGTGGCGAGCGCGGTTCATCGCGGAAAATGTGGTGAATCTCCTTGTCCGCCGCATAGCGCTCCGGCTTCTCGGGCACCGCGAGAGGGGTGTTGGGGTCACGGGCAACATTCAGATCGAAGACCTTGGCCTTGTAAGGAGTGGAGGACCCAAAAGAACCGATAACAATGGACGCAGGAATTGGTTTCGTAGCGGAGAGGAATTGGTGAGGGAGGTCCTTGTGGGACTACGAAATCAGCACATGGGCATCAATTGAGAGTGATGGATTGCATACCAGATCGACCTTGGCCTTGCCGCTCTCCTTGACGTCAAGCACAAAAGATTCTTCCAAACCAGATGTTGGATCGGTCAAAGTGAGGAATGCCTGATGGGGCCTCTTGGCTTTCTTTCCGTCGGTAGTGGTGAGCAGCAATTTCAGTGAATCGCTGTCGCCCAATGACACTGATTTACCCAAGGGGGTATCGGGGCTCAATCTGAAGGTATGTCAGGAACCAGTATACAAGAAGTTGAGTTGTATGCATAATTGCTTACTTGTCCTTGCCGCCAGCACCGGATCCTTTGGTGGATACGGTGACTGTGGCATCTTCAAAGCTCCACGAAGAGGCAGCAGAGACTATGCAAGCTCCGGAGAGCAACAGAGAAGGGACAAAGGAGCGGAACAGCCTCATTGTGGGAGAATTGGGATGTTGAGTTGGAACTTCTTCCAGCAACGGCGGTATTGATGATGGGCGAGCCAATGCGTAAGCTGGCCTTTCGGCGACGGGAAATCGTTTGACCGAGGACGGTTATCACATGACGTAAGTAAGCGTGCTGGCTCCGAGTCCCAGTGCCCCACATGCCAGCCACATTACAAGGCAAACTACAGAATTGAGCAGACGCACCGGTGGACGACAAAAGCAAAAAGAGACAGTCATGGGACGGAAAAGTCATGACAAGTGGCTGAATCATTTCGGCAGCGCCGCACCCAGAGTTGATCAAGGGCGTGGACGACAGATGGGGTCATGACATGTGAAAGTGAGCAGCGGCTGACCTTCCATGTACCACCGATATTCGAAGCCATGCCGGATAGCGCCCGCTGCCATGTCAATCAAGTCAACAACGGAGGCGGACCTCGTGAGTCGTGGGAGTGAATGCAACCAGGGTTGGCAAGGAGAAGATGAGTCTTGTGATGGAGGATATGACGAGTGGTGTTGCGTGTACCCCATGTTTTTCCCCGGATTACCCCACGATACTTTGGGCAGAGAGGAGCGATGGTAGCTAACCAAACAGGGCCACAGTGGTGATTGTAGCGTGTGCATCAATTGATAGTACGTGAGCGAGGAGCAGGCTACGGGCCATGGCAGGGCCATGGCTGTGGTGGTTCGCGCTCTGAGCGTCCGCCACCTTTGAATTCGATAGGGTTTGCATCTGCTCCGCGGTCAAGTGGCGACTGGCGATAGCACATAACATGTACATGTGTACATAGATTTTCGAGTGTGTATATGTAACCGTCAACCTCTCTCAGTGAGGGCGTGCATGATAGGCTTCCTGGCGGTCGGAACGTGGGGGGCCGTGCACGCGCCCAATATGACTTGTCCTTTCCCTCTTTGTCGACGTCTTGTGGTGGTAGGGTAGGTGCGTGCGTGTGGTAGGTATGACGCTAGCCCTCGTCGCCGCTTCCTCCATCTGCAACTGCAAATGCCATGTTTTACACGATTGATCTATTGATTGATGCCACGATTGCCAGCTTCCCCTTCTGACTCCGACTCTCCCTTTCCTCCCTCTACCTAGTATGACTACACCTCCGCCTCCATCTGCTGCTGTCTACGTGCTCCTCGCACCGGCACTTCGTCCTCGCCCTCTTCTTCCTCGGCGCTTCTAAACTAGTCTGTAACAACTATCCACCGTTGACGTGCCATCTGGTAACCTTCCACGCCTCCCGCCAGCGCTATCCATACCTCTGCCTATACCGCTTTTCTCCTGCATGACTTGTTGTCCACCCCACACACACACTTCTCCATTCACCGCTCCCTTGCATCGCGACGCTTTTTACTCCTTCGGCTTCCTACATATCGCTGTTATTACTACCGACACCACCACCACCGCCGCCATTCGAGGCCTTTCCGCACCTGCCAGCGCACGCGCATGGCGTACTGTCCCGCCTCCTCATGTCCCTCCTTTCTGACACTGTCGTCTCGGGAGGCTCTCGATTCCATGTAGAGAAAGGAAAGACATCGACCGCGAGGGATGGCTCCGGACTGCCGAGTCAGCTATCCACAAAGGGCCTGCTTGCACCTCTCGTGCACCTGGCGAGGAACCCATTGGAACTCCTAGCCAGTCATGGCTCGGTGGAACCCAAAGGCACTGCTTCAGTAGAGGCAGATCGTCGACAGTTGCTCTATCTGCGTCTCCGAGAAGTAAGTGGGTAGGCCCTCGTAACACTTCACATGCTAAATCATCCCTGCAGGCCGAGAGCAACGAGGAGTGGACAGCCGCTGCAACCGAGCTAGACAACCTCGAAGGCAACGATGCTTGGAAGCTGGAGGACGAATCGACCGAGTATGACAATGTTTTGCTCAAAGCCCGACTGCGCGAAATCGATGACGCCCGCATTAGTTGTGACGTAAAGAGGATGATATACTTGATTCGGACCGCCCTGGCCCGCGACCTGGGTGGCATGGGCGACCTGCGCCTATACAAGCATTCCCACATCGGCACCAAGAAGTTGATCGAAAGATACAATGATTCCGTGACCCAACTATTGGCATCACTGCCAGATGTGGCCGCCAAGCAAGGAACCCAATGCTCACTCAAACCCAATGTGGTCTTGGACGAATTGCTGCGCGCTCGTCAGGCATATGGACGGACCGCACTTTTACTGTCAGGAGGTGGAACGTTCGGTATGAACCACATTGGGGTTGTAAAATGCTTGTGGGAACAGCGTCTTCTCCCGCGCATCATTTCAGGCGCTTCTGCGGGTAGCATTGTATGCGCTGTTCTGTGCACCAAATCCGACACCGAAATCCCTGGCGTTCTCGACGAGTTCTGCTACGGTGATTTGGCTGTCTTCGAAAAGGTCGGTGAAGCAGACAGCTTGGTCGCAAAAGCCACGCGATTTCTGACAGAGGGCGCGTTGTTCGACATTACCCATCTGACAAGAGTCATGCGAAGTATGCTGGGCGACATGACATTTCAGGAGTCGTACAATCGAACACACCGCGTTCTCAACATCACAGTCTCTAGCGCCAGCATGTACGAACTTCCGAGACTGCTCAACTACGTCACAGCTCCTGATGTCTTGATATGGTCCGCCGTGTGAGTCTAGCTATCATTCCATGCCGGTCAACTTACACATGCTGACATTGCTTAGTTGCGCGTCTTGCTCTGTGCCTTTCATTTTCTCTGCGGCCTCGCTTAAAGCCAAAGATCGTGCTACCGGAAAAGAGGTTCCCTGGGATCCTACACCCAATGATGGATGGATTGATGGTTCTGTCGACAACGATCTACCCATGAGTCGTCTTGCGGAGATGTTCAACGTGAACCACTTCATCGTTTCGCAAGTTAACCCTCATGTAGTGCCCTTTTTGGCCAAAGATGAGGGGTCTCTTCAAACAGAAGTGCAAGAGCAATCTTCCGGGCCCAGTTGGGTACAGAATATGGCAAACTTGGCAAAAGGGGAAGCTTTGCACCGACTTGATATGCTTGCAGAAATGGGTGTGTTTCCCAACGCCGTCACGAAAGCGAGGTCGGTGTTGAGCCAGCGGTATTCTGGTGACATCACCATCTTTCCTTCCATATCGTATACGAATTTCCCCAAAATCTTGAGCAATCCGACAACTGAGTATATGCTGCATTGCCTTCTTACGGGAGAGCGAGCGACTTGGCCCAAACTGTCGCGCATACGAAATCACGTGGCTATCGAGTTATCCCTTTACGATTGCATCAACAAGATGCGCCCGCACGTCCATTTCAATCAGGACGAATCCATTCGGAGACTCGAAACTCTCAACTCTCACACTGGCGATCTGAATCGAACTAGGCGTTTGAACAAGTCAGCACACTTCGAAAGTCAGACAGCTAACCCTACTCCTACGGTAGAGTTGTCTTCCCCGTTCTCTAGTCCCCACACAAAATTATCTTACCGTCACACCCCCCAATTCTATCTTCCATCACGCACTAGATGGGGCAACGACCAGCCATTAGACCTTGCTAAGTCTCTTTCAGTCGTCGATGCCGTCTCTTCCACAGATCCAGATGGCTCCTCGACGGGCGGAGACTTTTCCTCGAACGACGAGTCTAATACATCCGATTTCCTATCTTCACCATCCCCACCGCGCTCCCCACCTCTACGAATGCCTGAACTATGGCCATCCACCAGACAGATGATGTTTCCCTCGGCGTCCAATCCTTCTACCCCGTCTGCACCGGTGGTTGCCTCCGGACGCCGAAATAGCGCAACATTGAATCTCACCATGACCTCTCGTGCAGGCCCTAGCTCTCCTGAACTCCGATACAAACGTCTTTTCCATGGCCCAGTCCACAGTCCTATTCCCGGCTCCCCGCATATCTCACCGCAACTCAAGGCTGGAGAGCAGAAATATCCGACCATTGACTCCAAGATATCCCCAGTGCAGAAGAACGAGTCGCCCTCAGTAGATTCCCGTGCACGTTTAGAACAGACCACGACTTACTCTTCAGATGAAGATGGTGCGTGCGACCTTGGGCATTCTTATTCCAGCCAAACTCCAAAGTCCTCTTCATATGCCAATACGGATAGAACGAAGATGAGTGGCAAACCAGGCCGGCAGGAGAGAGATTCGTTCGATCTCCCATTTGATTATTCTGGCACAAGAGGTATGGTGTTGAGGAAGAAGCGCTCTCGGGGTGACGGATTTGCCAATTGATGCATTCTCTAACCATATTTCTTTTGTCCTTTTGTTCAATCTTTGCATTTGTAGGCGTTGTATATACAACACAACATCGGGAAAGGCTGAGATTTCGTTTTCATCTGCATTGTTTGGTGGGAAGCGGCGCATACACTTGCATATATAGAGGAGGGGGTTAGGGTTAGGGTAGGGTCGGGTGCCGAATTTGACGCTTGCATGATTTCGATGGCGAGGTTTCCGTTGACATGATTCCCATCTTTTTTTTTTCGTTCTTTGCTGTTGTCATCTGCCGCGCTTGCCGTTATAATAGTAGGAATTGTCGTTGTAGACTTTTTGTACTTCATCTTAATCCCCATTGTATTTGTATATCATAATCGTTATCATCATCATTACTAATTGCGTCTTTCCACGTCTTTCTCTTTCGTTGGTGGCAATTCCCCCCTTTCCTCTTCCCCACCCCTTTTTACCAAAACACACATCCATACACAATAAAAAAAATAATATTACTGTTTCTTTTCTGAGTTAGATTTCAGGTAATCCTACACACATCAAAGAGTATACAGCAATAACCAACTAAAAGAAAAACAAGCGATAACTAAAAGGACAATCGAATTCTGCCTTTCACACAAGCTTATTAAGCAGGAATAAGGGGGGCATCCCTTGATATCACTATAAGCTAATAGTTGTTGAGAGAAAAAAAAAATTAACAATCTAGAATTTGTTTTCTTTTTTCCATTTGTCGAAGACTTAGATAAACGGGGTCGGCTTTTTTACCCCGGGGAAACTTAAGCTAGGCATAAAAGGTTGTCCCTACGGCTTAATAGTTCTCCCGATCCAACTTTTCTGCATCTATCTACCAACAGATTGTAATGGTTGTAAGTTAACCCGCTGCAGGGGGGATTTAGAAGTCGAAAAGGAGGACAAACCAACACGCTAGTTTGTTAGTTGAGGTTTTGAATAAACAAATCTCCGTCTCAGATGTCTGCTGTAATCCCTGTTGACCCTACTTTTGAACAACACTTGAACTCAACAACAAGTTTGATTTATAAATGAGATAAAGATTAACAGAGGAATAGAATTGATTTCGTTATTGTCTACTCCCCTCTTTTCTCTTATAGCGGATTTTTTTTTGTTCTTTCTCTCTCTCTGTGTGTTGGTTATTGTTGCAGGAGAGGTGTAGATAACCTTAACGCCGCACCGAACCGTGCCGTACCGACGTCTTTCCGATCCATCCATCCATCCATCCCTCTTTCAACAACTCACTAACATACCTACATATACACACTTAATACTGCTCTACATTTCATAAACTCACAGGGCAACGATACGCATCACCACAAACAACAAAAAAAATAAAGATAAAGATAAAAACGAGAAGGAGGACATAAAACAACAATGACAGCACTAAAAAAAGCATCCGTAATCCCTCCCTTCCCCTTTTTTTTCTTAGTTTTTTCTTGTTGGTTTTCTCGCCATAACAACTAGATGAAATCAAGGAAATAAAACAAAGTTAGAGCTAATGAAATATATATAACAGTATGCAACTCTCCTGCTCTCCGTGACAACTCCATTCTTGTACGAGCGGTACACGGCGTTTGCGCCGCTGCTAGCGAATAGAGCGGGCGCGTTTACACCCGTTCAGAATCCATCGCCATCGGCAGCGGCATTTTCGTTTGAAGACGCACAAATCGCTTTCAGCGACGAGTTGAAAAATTGCGAGGATGTGGTTATGATTGAGAAAGAGGGGGTGGCGTTGCTTTCTTGTGATGAGGGGAGGGATCGGTGGAATACTGTCATGGTGAGGTTACGCTTTTATTTTTTTTTTCTTTTTTCTTTCTGGCTTATGGAGGATGGAGGACGGTGATGACGGTTGACCCCCCCTCCTCCCCCCCTCCGCCGGGGGTGGAATCGAATGGAAAAGAAACTGACAGAAGGGACAATAGGGAACCTTCCGGCGGGATTTGCATATCCCCAATGGAACATTGTACATCTACGACTACACCACCCCACCGAGCTCCCCGACAACCAGTAGTAGTAGTAAACTGCAGTCCATCACATTGAGCAACTTCGATTCCGCTGAGTCATTCCACCCCCTAGGCGTCGAATACGACGAGAAAACCTCTACTCTCTACGTAGTCAACCACGCTTTTTCCGGCGCATGCATCGAAATCTTCAGTCTAGATCTCGCCACCGCGGCAGCAACGCACAGGCAAACCATCAAGCACCCCCTCCTGCACGCGCCAAACTCGATCCACTCCCTTGGAGAAGGGAAACTGTACGTCACGAATGACCATCACTTCCATGCGTCTGTCTACCCTATTCTGTCCAAAATTGAAACCTTCTCCGGGGCGCCGGGAGGGACGGTCATGTACGTGGATACCCGGGATGTCAACAACACGGTCAAAATCGTGGCCCGTGTACCCTTCGCCAACGGGATTGTTATGCTAAACAGCTCTACTCTCGCCGTCAGCTCGACTTCGAAACCCGGGGTTTACTTCTTCGATGTAAGCGCCTCGGACTATTCTCTTCACCTCCGCAATGTGGTCTCCGCCCCGGCTAGTGTCGATAACCTTAATGTTGATTCCAATGGTGCGTTGTTGCTTGCGGGCCACCCGGATCCGTTCCGCATCACACAGCTTAGCAAGAAGCGCTGGGCCTGTGTGCGCGGGAGTCAGGATGAGAAGGAGCGCGAGGCGTGCGGGTGTGAAGCCCCGAGCTGGGTGGGCGAGTGGACCCAAGAGCAGGGGTTGACGACTCTGTCTTTGACTGAAGGGTTTTGCAGTAGTACAACCTTTGCCAGGGACGTGGGTAGGGGGGTTGGGATAGTGTCGGGGTTGTATGCTGACGGGCTTTTGGAGGTTAGAAGCTGATTTTTGAAGAGACAGAAGAAATAGTTCTTGTTAAGTAGAATCCAACGAGGCGATATGACCTTGGAGTAGACCAGAAGGTGTTCCGCGATCAGAGACGGACAATAGCCACTCTTGTGCGATGGCTGCAAAAGATTAGCTGGGAAATCCCCGATTATATATTTCGTTGGCTCCATCTGAAGAGTCTTTCCTCCTTTCTATAGGCCCCTACGAGTACTTTCATCCCAGGATTCGTGTACGTGGAGGCAGAGCGTAGCGTTTCCTCGTCGTCTGATCGCCCTGTGAAAGCTGGCGCACCCTCTGGAACGGATAGAATCGATCGATCCCACTGGCTGTGACTCCCAGCACCATGTCTAGAATCCAATCCAGGGACGCATTTTGAAAGTAAAGGCCGTAGGGTAGCTAGACAAGAGCAGATGAGGGCGACTTGAACCTCGACAACGGAGATCACTGCCACGGTTGCGTTGTCATCTGGGAGTACAGTTATGAAGTCAGTAAGAGCATTCGTTGAATTGATCATCATTTCAAAGGGCTTCGCTTCCGGATGTCGCAGGATTACTTTGTACACAGGTATACGCCTAGGGAGTGATGGGAACGTGGTTGATACAGTACAGACAGGCATTATTCGACTGAGTCGAAATATTGGAACCTTGCACTATATGATATCTCGTTGTGCGGCGGAGATTTGCATCTATACGTACATGTAGGATCTGAAGAGCGGGCCATGATCATGAGAGAGTCGAGACGGATGATCGAGACGATAGTGACACTGCAATATCTGATTAACACTCATATCTCAAATTATTTGGGGATCAACCAGAATTGGGATTTGCCAGTCGTAGTAATCATCGCATTAGAAAGATATGCGAAAACCACTGGTATGATGGATGGAGACTTACACGCCTCCCAAAGCAAAAATACCTGCCAACAACAGCTTCTCCCTTGCTGGTAGATTCATGCGCCGCACCATAGGCATGGGTAGTATGACAATTACCAAGTCGAGGATAATATTTGTAACCGCAGTGATCAACCACGATTGCGTATTGGATACACATCTTGCCCCAGGTTCCCTTGTCCACGAGGCTCGTATGGGTATGCAAGTGAAGGTAGAACCCCCTACGTTCACCGCCGTATACAGGAAGAGTACAAATGCGAGATACCGGCAGAAGGTACCTAATTTTCGCATGGTAAAGAGGCGGCGGTACATCATTAGTATAGCAACTTTGACTAAACCCAACGATGCGCAATATGTAATGATGCTCAAGTACAGATACTTTTGAGAAGAGTTAGCAAAGTGGTTCAGGTCTCTCCAGTTCTGAGCAGTACCTACAAATAGCATCATTTCCGTATCTCTTCCGTCAATATCTTGTACGTGTGCACCCAGTCCATGCCGAGTCTGAAGCCCAACAGCAATTGTCATGACAGTTCCGGCGCCCCAGGCTATGATGAGTACAAGGTCCTCCCACCCTGGTGACTTAATGATGGTGAAACGCGTCCACAGACGTAGCACCAATCCAATGAATCCCAGAGCCGTGAAAGCGCTTGCCCATCTCGCAGCCTGTACCCCACGGTCGTTAACTATCATATCGACGTTTGGGATGCCATTTGCGCGCCAGTCCGGGGTCGATAGGAAATGCTCAAGATGTATTCGGCCTCTCCTTTGGGGGATGAAGTGGGGTTACAAAGAACCAGCTAGGAGCTTGTGGACGGGCTACGTAATTCGGTACTGCGCTAATGCAGGGCGATTGACATGTGTAGAGGCAGACGAATGGCACTGTTTGGTACCCATTTATGTTGGAAATATCTTCTAGCTGGCAAGAGCGCTGAAAACTTGTGCTGATACGTGGGAATAAGTCGGTTCCATGATACTTCTTGCCAGAAGGGCTCAGGCGTTTCCACGATGATTTTGTCGGCTATCGGCCTCTGGGGAAACTGGAAGTCGTTTGTTGGGATTGTTGTATATGTAGCTGAGAAAGTTTAGCTGGTTGGGATGCACACCTCGTGAGACTTGAACCACGGCTAGTGAGACAAGGAATGGCCAAGGGTGAGATATGATCTCGATGACGTGCAGATGGAAATGTTGCCAGGGCTGATGAGACATCAACATGCCGCTGCAGACCCTGATTCTGTATACGTGCATCTGCTTAGAACCGCCGGGATATGCAGCCAAGGAACAGATGGTCATGAACGAGTGCAGAAATGTTGACAGAAGCGTAGAAAATGTCAGGAGGATGTTCATATGTACGCGGAGAAGAGGTTCTACTCATGACTAATATAGCTTCCTGGTTCATAGGATATGGAAGGAGCACATGCCCCTCACAACCCGTTGGTTCCTTCCGCAGCACGGTAGCTAAGCCTCTCATGGCTTCTTACCCTTCACATAAACCATCTCTTGTTTCCCATTGCCTCAACTCTTCTCGCAAACTTCTCCGTATCTTTAATTGCACTCCATCGCTACGAGGTCATTCTCGTCCTATCACTACGTGTGCCTACTACCAAAACCCGCAAACCATCACCGTTTCTGGACCCAGTCGTTAGTTGAACCGGGAGCATAAATTTCCCGTTCGTTCGTCGGCAATACAAGTATAAGGTGCGCATGAGGCCGGCATCATGAATATGCTCCATGTAGAGTATGCGAGCTGACATGGATGAACAGTGAAACGACGATCGCTTTCTTCCGCCTCTTTCACTACTACATAATTCGCTATTCTGGAGGAACCAACATGGAGCAGACGACGATGCATCATCTGCCGCCACAAGATGTTGAACAGCAAGGACCCGGAAAGAGTGTATGGATGCCGCCATCACAGCGATTGTTCCCAAGACTCCACCAAAAACAAACCGTCGCGAGTCCATCGAAATGCCCAGATCCACCTTGCCAGCAACTCAGCGATGCCGCCACCAAGGCACCGCCGACCTTGCAAGCTGGCATCCTCCCAGCTGGTACTTTACCAGCAATGGAAACACCGTCGTTAGACGACCTCTCTCAAAGACATCCCCTCGCTGCTCACCCCTGGTGGGTAAATCGCCCACACTTACTCGCAGTCCTCGGCTCCCAAGATCCAGCTACCGCCGCACACACCCTCCCGACCACCTCCCAGCAACAAGAAGCAATGCACATGCTCGCCCAGCGCTCTCAGCGCATGTTCAACATACTAAATCTCCACCGAGGTTGTCAGAAGCAGCGGGGTGGGTTCCCGAATCTGGAATAGGATATCTTCCGGGCAATGATGCCGCAGTTCCTCGATGGCGACTTCAAGTTTGCGCAGATCAACTGGCACGCGATTGGGTTCAAGGATAAACTGAGGTTCGAAGAAGAAGTGGATATAGCCTGTGAGGCGAGGAACAAAGCCTTTAATAGTTTGCGGCTGAAGGTGAGCGAGCTGGAAGAGAAGCTCAGGGACCGAGATGCAGTCGTCGCTGCGATGGAGGAGAAGCGCAGAAAAGACGGGTTCCAAACGATTATTGACAGGTACGCATGCCCACAGTTGTTTATTCTAGCACTCTAGAAGTCAAATGAGGTTTAATCTTGCACGTTATATATACTGACTCTTTCATCTGCGACTCCAGAGCAGCTGTAGAGGCCGTGGAACGAGCCTTGCGCGAACAGGCAATCTGGAACTGGCCAAACGTGAGACGGGAAACCCAAAGTCTGACCAGCTACGAGTCTCCGTAGTCCGGGTACGATTCGATGTGGTCCAGCGCGTCGAGCTCGCAGCAGGAGCAGCAGTACCAGCAGCGGATCGTGAAACCCCATCTGAGAGGTGGTGTGCAAAAGCCAGGCTCGAGCTCGACAACGGCAGAGATTTTTGAGATTCCTGGGCTGTGCGATTCAGCGCTCAAGCAGGACCCGGATACGCTGGGGAGTCTGTGGAGATGGGAAAAGAGGAATGTTTCATGAACGTCATTTTTTTTTCTTTTCTGGATGGGGGGAGGCGGCTATTCTTTTCTTGGCTTTTTTAATTATTTCTCGTGCAGGGCTGGTATTGAAGTATCTGGTATGATTTGGTCCCATGACCAGGCGAGCTTTGAATCATTATTCTGGGAGCAGTACAGCTGCTTTCCAGTGGAACTGAATGAATCCTACTATGCATTGCATGCGACCAAAGCAAAAACACAGACCAACATGCAAATAATAAAAAATGCAGAGGGAATGGGTGGGGAAGCAAGACACAATACAAAAGAAACAGGGGGAGGGGTATATCCAATCTATCTATCTCCAAAACCATGAGATAAGTGCATACCACCACAAGAAGAAAAAGGAAAAAAAAAAAGATTTCCCTATCGCATCAAAAAGAGAAAACGTAGGGATAAACGACACAATCAGATTCACTTCCGCTCCCTCACCTCGCCATCCGCACTCTTGTCGCCCGTCGCCGTCGTCGTCGCCGTATCAGCATTACCATTACCATTGCCATTCGCATTGACGTTGGCATTAGCATTCCCATCCAACGGCGGAAACTCCTTGAGCGTCTCCGCACCAGGCGTCAACACGAACCCTCCCTCTGGAGAATTCTGCCATTTGGCAATATCCCTCTTGAGCGTCTCGAGCTCCTTCTGGAACTGTTTCCCAAAGACCTCAATGTAGTAGTTGGCGCCGTTGTAGGTGCTCCAGCAAAAGACAAATGTCAGGAAAAGACCGGATGCCCAGCGGTACCAGAACCAGAGGGGGCAGGGGACCAGCGTGATGCAGGCGTAGCTGTACTGGATGAGCATGAAGGCCGGTTCCTGGAGGCTCTTGGGGAGGGAGAGAACGGCTTTGCCGATTGGGGCTTTCGAGTACGACTTTAGCAGCCAGGTGAAGGAAGTTGGGCGGCCTGCGGCGATTTGCTCGCGTCTGCGGACGGTGATCATGAAGTGATATGAAAGTTGCCAGACAGCGTACGGGATGGTGGCCCAAAGCATCATTTGGACGAGGGAGTAGTGGTGTGGAGAGTCTGGGGAAGAAGTGCGGATATTATAAATGGCCGGGAAACGTTTTTGCTGGTATTGCGGGGAAAGAAGATGGACTATACAGTGTAGAGTCGCACAAGGCATGATGTGAATGAAGAGACTACACCGGTTGTTAGTGTGAGGAAACAGAAGGAGAAATATTACTTACCTGACGACTTTGTCCATGGAGTGAAATACGAGAGAGTTGCGCCACATGACTATCGCGACAGCATTGTTTCCCATGGCGAGGCAATAAGTGCTGATGAAGAGGCGTTTGGATTGCGGGAAAACCCATATACTCAGAACCATGAGGAAATTGACAAAGTAGCATAAATCGGCAAGGAAGTAATGGTAGCCTTTCTTGTGGTAGGTGTAGTATCGGATAGGCATGAAGTAGAACAGCTGAGCACCGTACCACAGAGGAAACCAGTCAGGTCGCGCACCAACTAGATAGCCGGAGACAAAAATGTTCATGACAGCAGCGATGAAAGACATCTTCTCCCTGGTGGTGACGGCGGTGGTAGAGGCCCACTGCTTGTTGAGGCGATCGACCGAGTGGCGCATCCGCTTCTTGTATCTGTCGAGCTGCTCGCCCTCACTGGGAACTCTGCGACGCCATTCCTCGATCGCGCGATCTCTCGTGCTCTGGCTGCGCGACTTTGCGGCTAGCTTGAGTCTTTCGGTCTGGGTAGTGATGGAATTCTGCAACTTCTCCACGCGCTGAGTCAAGGCAAGATTCTCGATGAAATCGAACATGGTGAGCTGTTCCACGGGCGGGAAGAAGGCGGCCTCCTCGGCGTCCGAGTCATCTTGGTACAGAGAGCTGTTGGAGAAGGATGTGGAGCGCGAAAGACCAGGTCGAAGAGCGTTGGGCGGACTGTTACTCAAAAGAGTGTCTCCCGTGGAAGGTTTGGAGGACGAGTCCGAAGTACCCAGCGCGGGCTGGGATTTGGAAGCGGGTAGCGGGTTTGCGTAGTCGGCCATGATGGGGAGGCCTTCTGGTACCGAATCCAAACTGGAGGGGGTTCGACGGTGGGAGGGTCTATTTGTATACCGTGGGGGAGAAGCTATAGCCATGGTGGTGGTCAGCTGGTGGGTTGTGGTAGCATGACCCGTGTACAAGCCTTTGAGGCACGAGAAGAAGGAGGAAAGGTGGTCCAAGGGGAGTGGAAAGAGAGTGCATGCAGACTTACGTGGGTGGTAATCAGATGGAATATATGGCGGACTTGTTAGCAGGGTGGCGGGCCAGGCATGACAACAGGCGATGGACCCTGGATCGGCGTGTGATGTGCGATTCTAGGCTGCGATATCGCTAGAGGGGGTTGCTGCGAACGCTTTCAGAGGGCTGGTCAAAGGCGTGGTGGAGGGACGCGAGATGATTGGGAGATGGGCGAGGAGCAGCGGTTCCCACTGCACTGCCGAGCGAGTCACGAGGGAGCAGGAGGTGATGGTGCTAGAAGAAGACAAGTCTGCGAGTGTGTGCTTGTATCCAAGTATCACCCAGAACAGTGGCAGGGAGCACAAAGGAAGTTGTGAAGCTGGACGAGGGAGTGGAGAGAGAGAGATGAGGAAATACTAGGAACTGTGTCCAACTGCGTCACAGGACCCCCAAGGGGAATAGCTAAGAGCTCCCTTTGCGCTAGCGCTATCTCCGCCTAATGTCCGGGGACAACCCATTCCGTCATCTCAACTTCAATCGGCCCAACGTCAGTTGAACCATCTTCCTCCACCTTCGCACCTACACGACCACAACCCACCGTCTTCCAATCCAAATACTGCTCCCACGTACTGGAGAACCCAACATGGACTGGACTGCTGCTCTGCGCCTCACAACTGCCTCTATTCGGCTCCAACCCTGATGTGCGTTTCAAACGACAAGAAAGTAGTAGTACATGCGACAGCAGCCAAAAGAGACGCCATCTACCGGATCCATGTCCTGATTCTAGTTGTAAAATGCCGTGTGATTATTAGAAATGCCGTACCGACCTAGCAACGGGGTGGGTTGGTTAGTTGGTATGGGCAAAAAGAGATATACACCCAAGGGACAGAGGTGAGACAGCGACTCAAAGCACAGCATCGTGAAAACAGAACATGTCCTCCTAAACGTAGAGGCCGGGCTTGACCCTTTCGCTTGCTAGCTAGTATTCCTGTTTGCTTGTTGGAGACAAATGTAGGAGCCCAAGACATGGCAAACGGTGCTGCAGTGGTTCTTGTGAATGCTCGCACTGGCTCCTTCCTTCCTCTACCCTGCCCACCTACATGATAGCCGCTGGCACTCTTGACTTCTCTTCACCGTCCACTTCCACTGCTCTCGACACTGCTTCCACTCAGAACAACCCTGCAGTCGTTTCTCGACATCTTGGAAGCCTACCCGCCCCCGATCCGCTTCGCAACCCTCACCAGATATCCCGCACCCGCCCACGGACGACGTCGCGCCTGTTGTTTCTTTCAAGCTGGCGAATCCCAAGCCCAGGAGACGCGGTCTGGGCCGCGGTAAGCACACAGTCACGTAGTCGCCTACTCTTTGCCCGTCTGCGCCCAAGCTTCTCCCGCGTGTCACCTTCAACTCCACCCTCCGCCAATATCATTCGCTGCATCATGTGTAGTTATTGAATCGGCGCCAGCTAACCCTCTAGGCCGCTACCCCATCGTGAACAACCCCTCGCGAACAACCCTGCCTAATTCCACCGCCTCTTCCCACGCCCACATCCAGTTGGTGTCACGCCCTGCCACCGACGACGACACGACTACCAGCGACTACGCTGAGAGCGACTCTCCATCGTACTGCTCGCCGTCTCTTCAGTCGTCATTAGCTTCCAGTCAAACCCTCCGCCACCCAAATCCTGTCAACAACGTCAAGGGCACTTCGTTCGCCGACATGGCTCGTCGCTTTCTCCAAGATGACAGGGACCCCTTTGAGCGGCCTGCCCTAGGCCCTCCTGCTACGGCCAAATTCATGTCATTCACCCGGAACCGCCATGCAAACAAGAACTGGCGCCAAGTTCAATTTGGTGGTGCCTTGGGCATTGATACAAGCCTTGATATTCGAGGTGGCGGAGCCGAAGATAGCTCATCTTCGCCTGCAGACTCTTCCGACGCTGCTCGCTATCCAGACAGTGCACTCCCGTCTAAGCTTCAGGAGGCCAGTCTTCGGAGCTTTCCATCCGGCCACTTCACGTCGCAGCCAGATGAGACAAGCATGCGTTCGCCCGTAGCAGCTTTCGGCCGTGGCCCGCCACCCTTGCCTGGTCTTCATCCTGAAAATGTCAGCCCCGCCGTCGGTCGCGCCCACGCAGATCCTCTCAAGTATTACACCCAAGTATTCGGAGAGCTTCCTGATCTCATACACATTAGCGAGCAAACTGGACAATACGACGGCCAGGTCGTCTTTATCGGCCACCCGAATCGTAATGTATCTGCTCACCAGTGGTTCGCGGAACCCTTCCAGTGGGTCAGCGTTGGCACGTGGAATCACCTTCACCAGAAGATCGAAGGCTCTCTTGCTTCTGATCCACTATCCACGATTTATCCCCATAACTCTATCGAGCAATTCAAATACCTTGCGCAGGGAAGGGAAAAGCGCCTTCTCGAGGCTGAACCAACCAAGGAAGATCAGCAGCAGAGGCGCGCAACTATCAGCTCTTCGGATACGCCTTCAACGTCGACCAGAGATATGAGAAAACTCGGTACAAAGGCACCCAACGGGTCGAGTCCTTCTCAACCTTCCTACAGCAGCGTCGTTGGACAAGTTCTGGAGGATCCATTTGTGACGCCCGCTAGACCACGCACTACTATGGCTCCTTTACCACCAAGTGATAGAAACATCACTCATTCCGGCTTTGGGACCATGAACTTTAACTATGAGTTTCCTGCAAAACCAACACCATCTGTTCACGATATTCTCGGCCAGAATAGAGGCCTCGACTCTCATCAATCTGCCGCCCAGAACGACCGGCTTCGATCTATCGTGGGACGTGGTATCGAAGAGCGAGAGCGGTCAACGCCCCCAGGCCTTGGCTTCAGGGACGGTGAGAAAGGTGAAGGAACAGGCGGCGCTCCATCTGTGCCAGCCGCTCAGCTCAAAGCGAGTGGAGCAGAAATGGCTTTCTCGCTAGAGGAGCTGCGAAAGCTGAAGACAAAGCTAACAGAACTTGGTGACCCATCTCGCCAGACTGACCTGCCAGCCGAGCAACGTGTGACGATTCCAGACATGCCGATGCCGAGCACCCACGCCAGCCTTCGATCTCTATTTCCGCCCGGTCCAACAGTAGCGAATCCTTACCGTGGCACGTCGACTTTGAATGCCCAAGCGCCGCCATATATCCGTCGGCAGACAACTGTTGAGGTTCCCAAGGCCTCAGCCCCAGCAGCAAACCCCGTCACTGATGTGCCCACCCCGTCCAACCTGAATTTCAGTGACCCAGATGGAGTCAGCCAGCGCTTTCACGAGATAGCAAATGGCTATAGCCGGCAGAAACCCACTCCACAGACATTCAAGGGCCCTTTCTTCACCGAGTCTCAACCCACCACAAACGATCTCACGGCTTCACTCACTGTGCCCACAAGCAAGGAGGAGAAGCTTGCAAATTGGTTTCGGGATGGTCAACGCCCGCAGAGGCAGACGGCGTATGCACAGAGTCTTGTGGCAGCGGCAGTGTCTAATGACAAACGCAATGATCTCGGTGTCATCGGGCAGGCCATGTCTACGCAACGGGCCGAAGCTCGATACGCGAACACGCCAATGTTCGTACGTGTTTACGAAAACCTATTCGAGTACGCAGATTCTGGGTCTTCATCCAGTTCTTTTACAAAGGCGTGGAAGCCCGCACCGCAAAGCATGTGCGACACATCCCCAGAGGGCAACTCCAGCTTCTTTTCTCAGGACAAAGGTTTGGCAGCATCTGGAGCCCCCACCCGATCCAAAAAGGCTGCTTCGCCCAGGCTTGTAGTCCCATGGCAAGTCAGCCCTTGGGGCCGCGCACCACCGAGGACTCACCTTGAGGTTCCAGGGGCAGCCGCGCGCGGTGACCTCATACCTTCCATGTGGGCTCCACTTAATCGGGATCCGTGGCAATGAGTGAGTATATCATGACCCAGCGGAAATTCTGTTTCATTCCAATCTAACGTTACTAGAGTACAGACAATGGAAAGGAACGTACTCTGTCATGGGATAGTACTATCGATCCTGTTGATAGGCAGGTAATGGGACATGGGATAGCATCTTTTCTTTTTCTTCTTCTTCTTCTTCTTCTTCAACGGCTGGTGGAACGGAAGGGTTTATGTGGGGCTGTGATATCCTACTCGAGTTGAGGTTCCACGATTAGGTGACCTTGAGCATGTATCCAATGATGTGAAGAATGAGACGTGCAATCAAACACCACGACTTTTCTTTTTTTTTTCTTTCTGATACAAACTTGACCTAGATTGATGATATTTTCCAGTGCCTTGATACCCACGTGCGTGCGTGCGTGCGAGCGAGGCAAAACTTGGCCATGATTGTTCTCGAGTCGCTGCCTGCCTGGCTACGCTACGCTACGCTACGCTACCTCTTAAGTAAGTTAACTAAGTACATATATACATATTTATATCTATAGGCTACTCACCTACCTGACAACAGCTTTCCAATGCAGCAGACAGTAGAACCATTACATTAGCGCCAAAACCATGTCGCATACATATATAAGATCAAACCAAACCAAACCAAATCAAATCAACCATTCACTTAATCAATCAATTATAAATGAATAATACATTTACATATACATAACCCTCCCTGTTTGAGAAAACTGTGATAAAAAAATCCGTTAGAGTGTTTGCCATGGCGCGATGAATCAGCCTTTTTTTATTTTTGGGGGGTGGCATAAGAGGGTTACGAGTATTTTTTCCGCTTTTTGGTGCTTTTTTAATGGTGTGTGTAGGATATGTATGTATATATATATATATGTGTGTGTGTGTATGATTACATGAGCGCCAGAACTTTCTCACACACACTCTCTCTCTTGTATTAATGGAGTAGTAAACCGCGCTCAAACAACGCCCATTGAATGCACGCACAAGAAAAAAGAAGAAGAAGAAGAAGAAGAGAGAGAAGAAGAAAAAAAGGACGCCATCAAGTCAAAAGGAAGAAGCAGAGACAGTAGACAACAGAGAAGATAGCAGCAGCCTGTCGTGCCATCAGCTCATCTAGCCATGTGATGTGTTGTCATTCATTGCGCAAGAGGTCTTCACCAAGGCTCGCGATATCTGAGGAGATCCTTTTGGCCGTAGCACTCGGCGACAATGGTCAGTATCATGTCGATGGTGACGCGGGTATTTAGATCTACGGGATCTGCGGCGTCTTCGTGGTCCAGGTTTAGATGTGACTGGGCATTGTCGTTGTGGGGGAGTGATGCTTTTACATGGCTGGATGGGGGATCTTGTTTAGATGACGGTGCAAGTGCAAGTGGATCCTGCGGGAGCGGAGCGGAGGGAACGGCAGCGGTTGGCTGTACGCTTGGAGGTGATGCTGCGCTGTTTGAAGGCGCGTTTAGCTTCTGCAGTTCGGTTTCGCGCATCTTTTGCCGGTACTGCTCTGCTTCGGCGCGCGACGCGAAGACGGGTTTGGGCGGTGGGGGCCCCGGCGCCGCGGATGCGGATAGGGCGGGCGCGGCGTTCTGAGTGTGAAGTTTCCTGGCGTGGGCTGCTAATCGTCTCTTGACGACGTGACAGTCGGGGTCGTGGCAGCGCTTACGCTGGTGCTTGTGGCGCAGAAAGCCGGGTGGAGGAGGGACAGATGTCTGGACGAGGCGGTCACCGAGCTGGGCCAGCAACTTTGCGCGCGCTGCTTCTAGTTCCGACATGTTGGTTTTATCAGCCTCGTCGTCCTCGCTGATTTCGCCTTCGTCGTTGGATGATGAGTCGTCGGTGTTGTCGTCGCCTACAGGATCGTTCTGGAAATTGTCCTTGGGCGTGCTAAATTGGCTTGATTCTGCTGGCTCTTCTTCTGCTCCATGCACGCTCGCTTCACCATCGGTTCCTGCACCGTCTACAACCCACTCTTCCACCTCATCATCTTCATTCTCCTTGTGCGGGTCAGAACGAGCGCCTTCTCTCAATCGAACGCTCAGCTGGCCTGCCCTTCGGCCCAACTCTCGTATACGTCCAATCTTGGTGTAGTCCAAAGTACCACGATCTCCGGCCAAAGCTAGCAACGTCCAGATCCAGCAGCTTTTCCGTTTGGAGATTGTATCATGATGACTCAGGGACTCCCCAGAAAACTCTAATGCCCAGAAGAAATTTGTCTCGGAAAGGCCATGCGCGAGCACTGGGGTTGGATCCTCATTTTCGAAGGTGTACAGCCAACCATCCCGCCTGTTCGGCATCATGAAATCGGCGTACTTTTCCGGGTTCGCCTGCACAAGGGCAGCGATTTTTGCGGAATCAGCATTCACAAGCTGATGCTGTAGCTTCTTATAACGGCCCAGAAGAGACTTGTAGTAGCCTTCTTGTGGATCCATGTCTGAGGTAGAGTCGGACCATTGATCGTCGGGATTGCCCACAGCGACCCAGGTCCCATCAATGTACCAAGCTCTATGATCACCACGTCCGTCATCATACATAGTACGGTCTTCCTGATCTTCCTCCATTTCCGGTGGAGCGACCAGAAGAGTGGGAATGGCAGAGGCTTCGGTCCTATCACACAGGTAAGCTGTGTGTCCAAAAGGTCAACTGATGTTCTGGAGATGGATCGTCGGGGTACTCACCTCACACTGCGGAGATATGCAAGTGCTTGCTGCATGGTCTCATCTTCGGAAGCGTCATCGCCATCGAGACCGGGAAACATGGATTGCATGCCGTTCTCTCGAACTGGTCTGGTGACGCGTGGGGGTCCCATCTGATCGGGCTTCTGAAAGGTCTCTGTGTGTTTTATCCGCTTTTCTTTAGGCTCGTCTTCTATGATCTCGCCATCCGAGCCGTCGCCGGTCATATCGGCGTCGTCGTGCTTTCGCTTGTTCGATTCGGGCGTGGGCATGGGGATGTGCGAATGTCTTCCAGATGGGAATTCGGTGGGTGGGGACGCAAGAAACTCTGGACGCCGTAGTTTATTATACGCCGCACCATCCGTGGTAGTGGCCATGTTGAAGCCGGATCGCGACATGTTTGTCGAGACTGAATGTTGTTGTTTGGCGTCAACGGTGATGTCCAAAGCTGCCTGAAGCTACAAAGTTTAAGTGGGTCTCTCTGATAGGCCCGTGCGCTCTCCCGCTCGACTACTCGTCCCCTGCTTTCCAACCGCCATCCTTCCCGAAACTATGTCGAATGTCTACACTTCCTTTTACCATCAATCTCATATCATCAGGATCAAGACCAACATCTTTCGGATTCCTTGCATCCTCCCAGATTGGCAGAAATCATCGTGAAACCGGGTCTGCAATGACCGGGCACCACTATCCACGTGGTGCACAGATGGAACTACCAGTCCACATTTTCAGCGCAATCACAGTACTCGATTAGACCCCACTGTGAAAGTTGCAGAAGCATTTTCCACTGCTGCGAAACTGAATTGCGGCATACGCCACGAGATCGCTACATTCTTCTTATCATCACCTCGCTCCCGACGGTAAACTTGAAGACTGGAAGGAAGAACGCTTGTCTCATGCTGGGATATATATATCTATGTATATGTATACGCAAGTGTTTTCTCCCCCTTTGCCCACTAAATACGGGCAATGCAAGCTCAAACAAGAGAATTGCATGACTTCATCTACTATGTAACATCGGGACTGATGCGTGCGAGGTGGTTCAGTAGGGAAGATCACGTATATCATGATGTATAAAAAAAAACCCCCGTCTGATCCCGCAATAAGGAGGAAGTCATACCAATTTCCAAGCACTATACCACCACCCCCAGAGATCAGCACATCCCTACAAAAGCCTCTCTAATCCAAAGACAAAGCGAACAGCAGCACCACTACCACCCCTCCCCAACCTCCAGAAACTAAAAATCCCCAAAACACTCCAAACCAACAAAAAATAATTCTCAACACCGCAACCGTAACCGCACTTAATACTCATCCCCCTCAATCCTCCTTCTCCTAATATCTAATACCTCCTCCTCGTCCTGCTCAACCCTAATCTCGCTCCCGCGAAATCGCTCCGGAAGCGGCAACACAGACCTCGCCATGACATCCCTGCGTCTCCCCGCATATGCGGCATCGATTCCACCATCCTCCTCGATCTCAGACCACACGGTATACGAGTCTGAAACAAACGAAGCGCGTGTAGCGTCTTGTTCTTCGTGGAAGGGAGGTTGGTAAGCCCATGCGCGCGTCCGTTGTATCTGCTGCTGTTGTTGGTGGCGGTGCTGCGCGCTATCGAGATGTGTATGTAGGGGATCTGCGTCGCGGGTGCGTTCGGAGAGTTTGACGCGGCGCATTGCTGTGAGTGGGGATTCGGGACGAGCGGGGACGGGGCTGTGGTGGGCTGGGAATGGGAATTGCGCGGGGGACGGGGGCGTGAGGAGGTGGTGTGTGTAGAGTGGGGGGTCGAAGTAGTTTGTTTGCTCGGGGGATGGATATTCCATGTACGGTGTGGTGGAAGTTTGATGTGTGAGGGTTGCGGGTGGGAGGGTTAAGGGAAAGGGCATGTCTGTGTCGGGTCTGATTATCCTGATTTCCGGCCGTGCGGTGGAGTAAGGGGGGAGCATGATGGAGTGGGGGTGATGAACTAGACTCTCTCTGTATTGGGCGGGCTTGGTGGCGTTGAGGATTGGTTTGTTTTTGTGGAAGTGCAGGATGCAGAGTATAGTGATGACGGCTATGATGACGCTTCCACAGATAGCCAGAGGGGCGATGTAGACTTGGGGTTTAGGAGGTGGAGGAGATGTCGAGAGACTTAGTGGAGGAAGGAGCGTGATTGTGGGTAAGGGTGAGGAAGATGGCATGGCGAGGGCAAGAGGTTGGAGCTGGAGCTGGAGCAGAGGCTCGACTCTTGACGCATATGCGGTGATGAATGATTCGTACACGAGCAGCTTGTATATACATTGTTGATTTTGTTGGTGATAAGCCAATTGTACGCTGGTGTCGAGGTGTTATAGTAAAGAAAACTATTCAATGGGGGTATATGCTGTTTACAATCTACGCTGTGTGACTGTGCAATTCCGGCTCTATGGTGAATTTCCAAGCTTCACACCTCGTCGTTGTGTCCACGCCGCCTCAACTCTGCAGCACCAACATTTTCCCGTAATTCCGTCTGATGGCCAGATGTGGAGTCCGAATCACGTTTTCGGTTTAGGTTCGCCATCGATATCGGAGGCGGTTCTTTCTTTGCATGTGGCGACCGTTGCTTCTGCATCTCCCGCTCCAGAGTCAAAGACATGCGCTGGAGGAGCCATTGAGCTTCATTCTGATTGCCCATTAGTGGGCTCCGAATACCCAACCAACTCCACCTAGAGTCCCCACCCTCATTCGCAGTTCCAAGGTCGGGTTGGTCACCCTCCCTTCGCTTTTGGTGTACTTTCGGTTCTCTATGTAGTCTTTCGTCGTTCTCGTCCTGGCCAAGTAGGCGAAGGTAGTAATTCCATTCCTGATAGGTGTACTGTCGCGGTGGTGATGCGTGAATGTCCCTAGTAAGCTGCCCAACTTCTTTTGCGAGTATGTAGTGATAGAAGTGTATGTCGCGTTCTAGGTAATCGCCCTGTTCTTCCGCTTCTTCGGCTTCCCCAAGTTCCTCCTTTTCAACGCTGTCTGCTAGTCGGTCTAGTATCTTTTGCTCCGATGCTCCGACGGCTTTTCCATCTTTGTCTTCTTCCTTCGGACTATAAAGCTTGCCGTGGCGGAGTTTCCCCACACCGATGCCTAGAGTAGAACGAATACCTTGTTCGCCGGGCAAAACGGTAAGCGAACCAATCCAGATGGTGAGATCGCGGAAGGCTTTGATCACCGTGTCTCCCATATTCGAGATGAGTATAGTGAGTGTCGGAACAGCTAATAAACTCCAGAACACGAAAAATGCCTTTCCGGAATTACTCGACAATGTGTAATCACCGTACCCAATGGTCAGAAGCGAGGTGTATGCGAAATACAGAGAAACAAAGTACGACCACCCCTGCGGTTTTTCTGAATGCATAAAGACGAGCGCCCCAAGTAACCACAGCGAAAGCGCCGCTGTCGAAGACATGGCTAGTGCCGTGTATCTTCTCTTGCGCTCGGCTTTCTGCTGAACTCGGCGCATGATGCGAAACTCTTGCTCTCTTCGTTGGGACTCATCCAGACCCTTGGTTGTGAATGTGATATTCTCGAAAAGACCCAACTTGATCGTCTGCTCATCGGGATCAATCGAGTTCAGGACCTTCTCTCGTTTGAGTTCGACAAAACGAGCAGACATCTTCTCTTTGCCTCTTTCTAGTACCAAAGATCGTACTGATCCTATAACGAGACCGACCATCATGATTCCACCGATCGCGTAGAAGAACAACAAAGTTCGACCAGTATGTGTCAGCGGTACATGCTCGCCGCCCACACCAACAGTGAGGAGGGTGAAATCGGCCCAATACACAGCGTCCAAGTACTTCCACCCTTCGACCTTGGAGAAAACCAGAGCTCCAGTAAGTATGTAGAACATGAAGCTTATAGTCTGAAGCATCAGAGTCCTCTGGCTTGACGTCAACCTGAATTCTTTGGGGTAGTGTCCTCGGTATGCGCCGACTACAGTAATTACGAGCATTGACGCGATGATGAAATATAGTGCAGCAGCAATGATGCCATAGTAGTATGCTTGGCTCAAAGCATGCTGGGATAATGGCTGCAATCGAAACAGTGAAGTGGAAGCCACGGATGCGAGAGCGATGAGCAGGAATGAAGCCATGAACCAGCCGACAATTGTGATGGGCTGGGCTATAGCAAAACTGATACGGCGAGTCATGTTGAGCAAAAGGGCAATATTGGCGGCAAGGGCGAATATCAGAGACACGGAATTAACCGCGATGAGCCTGCCAAAAGTGTTAATATGACGTGGTAGTAACCATTGGTTTTGAGCATCGACTTAACATTTGGGATCTTCGACTTTCTCGCTGTGGCCCTCGTCTGATCCAGGAGGGATATATACTCTCCACTTTTCGACCAAGGCACATATACTAAAGGCATTTGCGATGGGCCCAAAGGTGCCTGCAACCAGCGGACATGCAGTAGAGGCTAACCAATATCGACTGGAAATCCATGTCGGTCAGTCGTCGAATCCCTTTTCCTTTTGAGGTGTTGATAGAACCGACCTTGGATCCAGAAAAGTCCGCTCCTCCTTGACGGCTCCGTCCTTATCAGCCTCGTACGTATTCTTTTCCACATCTTGAGCGGCGTTCTGCGCGGGCTCATGAAGCCCGGGGTCGTTCATCGTGGTAAAGCGGCGCGGAGGCGGTGAAGAGCAGCTCGGACTGCATTGTGGGAATGCAGCTTAAATATACAAGAATTGATAAACATTCACGCAGGGTGCAAGTAGACGGTGCGCGTGCACACGACATGCAAGGCAATGACGTGGGTCGACATGGATGCGAGAGCTGCTGGTTGGTCGAGGGGCTCACGAGGGAAGCGCCACTTGCCTATCAGGGCACTAGCGTAACGCGTCGAGTGAAACGAGCCATGCCTTGCTGGAACTTTATGCTGGTGATTGTCCAACATGCTTTTATCGTTATCAACTCATGTTAAATAGCATGGTACGTGCTGTTGTAGAAGACATGTGTGAATTCAAGCTCTTTGCACTTGTCGGAATATAACGTCCAGCATGTCAACTTTGGTTTTGATTGCTATCACCAAGTCCGCAATGCTTCATCATATCCATCTCGAGATTGAGCCATCGAATCAACCATATTCGCTGCTACGCACTTATCCGGCCATGTCAGACATCGATTATATGCATACCTACATGTAGGTATACAGCAGATGAAAATCATGACATCTAGATCGTTGATTAAGAGGCCAGATTTTCAAGTGGTCGAATCGAATGCGACATTGTTCTGCATATGAGCCGGACCAATCTTCAATTGGATGACAGTTTCGTAGGTGGGCTTATGCCCATTGTGTTTGAGTTTTGTTCTTTCAAATCACCGTTTACCGCATATCAAGTTCACAATGTGAAAACTCGGTAGCGGACAGCACTCAAAGCAATCGTCCCCCTTTCTCTCCAAGACCTGGTGTTGATATTCGTCAAGCTCTGATCCCTGCTAATCCAGTGTCTGATAATAGCTGTAGATGGTTCGTCTAGGCTCTGATATTAGCATTAGCACACAGAAAATGTGAACGCCCACATACCTTCGTACACAGCACGGGCAGCATACTCCGGAGTCCCAAGGCCCATTGATAGACCCGCAAACAAAGCCCAACCAACCGAGTCCAACCACATCTATGGCGTTCCTTCCCCAGACAAAGTGAAGTGGCGCACAGGCAACCCTCTCTCGCCAACGACCTCCCTTCTCTCTCCCCCCTCCCTGCACATCCACCTCAATCACTTTATGGGGTGTCCTATATATTTAGTTTAATCGGCAGTCATTCTCGTAACCAAATGGTTACGTGGTTCAAAAGTAAGTTCTATTTCTTTTCTTCTGCCATCCCTTGCCCTTGCCCTAAATAGCTCCTGCGAAAGCAGTAGAAGCCACTTTTTTTTGCCCAATTTTGGCTATGAGGGGGATATATTAGATGGGTAAGGGTTCGATCCTCGACGTAGACGGATAATAAAAGAATTTGTTGTTTTTTTGGGAAGTAGGTGGGGGGTAGTCGCGCAGAGGGACTTTATCAACCTGAGCCTTCCACCTGCCTCCACCAGCCCAGCACCCCTTTACTCGATTTTGCTTTTTTGCAGATCAATGGGCAAGCTTCCCCGCACGTCATCGAAGAATTGCAGCATGGCTTTTTATGCTGGGTATGCATAGTATGTGGCGGGGAGACTGCGCTCTCCACGGGGGTCTTAGGCCCCGTGCGGCCGCGCGGTCGAGGGCAGTCCACTTGACTCGACCACGACCTCGACCACAACCACAACCACAGCACCCAGCAACAACTCTCAACACAGCCCTTGAAGGCTCTATTAAAAGGTAAGCGAGATCACCTGCTCTGTCTAGCCAACAAGCAGTTTCTTTTTGTTCTTTCAATGTTGTTCTAGGGGGGGTCCGCGAGGGTAAGACAGCAGAGGGACCAGCGACGCCTACACAACGGCGAGCGCGGTTGCGACACCACATGCTGCTGCGGCCCATCCTGATTGCTCATGTGAAACAGAAGAGTCTCGTCCTCATAGCGATCGCAGACGAGGGTATCTACAATAGCAGCACGAGGGATGGGGCTGGGGGCCTTTGGTTTCGTCCCCGCGAGGACCCCGCCAACACGATGATACGGACGGCAGCAACACCACACGCTGCGACGGCCCATTTTGATTGCTCATGGGAAACAGAAGAGCATATTCCTCATAGCGACCGCAGATCAGGGCATCTACAAGCAGCGCGAAGGTTGGGGCTGGAGGCCTTCGGAGTCGTCCCCGCGAGGACCTCGCGGACAAGACGATACGGACGGGAGCAACACCACAAGATGCTTTGGCGCTTTCAGAGAGCTTACTTGAATCAGAAGAACTCCGTCCTCATGATCATCGCAAGTCGAAAAGTTTCACGGCAGCGGTCCGATGGCCGGGTCCGTGAGAAGCATTGAAGTCGTCCCGTAAACCCCGCCCGCTGCATGCTTGCGGTCTCAGCAGCGTCCACAACAAGGACCCAAGAACATATCCAAGCGTGTGATTACACGGATAAGGCATTCCTCGAGAGTTTTCGTGACAGAATCCGTGCAATTTATGTAAGACGTTCCAGGGCAGTAAGGGGCGTTGGTCTAACGGAGGGTCGCGCGGCAAGATGGCCGCTCGTACCTCTGAGGCGACACCATGGTAAGGGGGTACTCGGCTATTGCTCATGATGAATAGGACACCAGGAAAACTCCTCATAGGTTGAACACGAGAGCGGCTGGCCTACAGGTTTGCGTAAGGTACCTGGATACGGGGCTTTCCTCCGAATGGGCGAACGAATCCAGTTACGCTTGAAAAATACCAAGGCTCGGGCATATCAAAGCAAGGGATTTGCAGCAGCACATATACCGCGGATAAAACGAGGACGGCCATTTATCCTCCATGGGACGAAGGGCTGTTACTTTCGGTTGCCGTGAATCACCACTCAACACATGGCAGCGTTACGGCTGCTGTCCCAGGTCTTGTGGATGACATACTGCGAAATCCCACTATACCTTAGAGAGAAATTTGGCATACCCGATCCGAAAGGCAAAGTCACATACCCCAGGATCAGTCCTGACGCGTACAGCAAGACTTGAGTATTCAGAACGCTCTCGAACAGCAAAAGTCTTCTTGTGGCGTCCTCGCCAATTCGATCTTGGTGGAACAGTGTCGACAGCCCATGAACATCTTGGGCGACAGAAGTGACTTTGACCAAGGACATGATACCGTTTATCATATAGCTGGAATCCTATACATTACCCACGAGTGGCAAGCTGCTTCATCCCTCCGGTGATATCGATGCACAAACCAGGACCATCCTAATTATTGAAGGATTGAGCAGTTGCAGTCGCAATAGCGACAATCGTGTGGGGCAGAATTGTGCTTTTTAACAGCCTTGGTCAAAAGTCATTATTAATGCCGACAGGAAAGCCTCTTAACCTAGCTGTAGGCTTGGGGAAGTCATCGTACACCAGGGAATAGAGTGGCGACCGGCCGGATACAACGGATGTTCGCAGTAGTCTATGGCCGGAAGCATGGACAATCCGAATGACGAAAAACAACCATGGCCACACAATCCAGTCCAGGAATCGATGGGCAATTGCCCGGATATGATCCTGGAGCGGCAATCGCCGTCACAGCTCTGCAGAATGTTCATGCCGGCCAAATAGCAAAGTTGGTGTTTTCTCTCATTTCCCTTTTCTAGAAAGCGTCCCGTGTACATTGGGAAAAGAGTTGACGGCAAGTTCTTGAAAAAACTCGTCTCATGTTGGAGGAGTATGCAGATGCGCTTTTTTTTCGACTTCAGGACAACGGACAAGAGAGGCGCCATTAAGGATCACAGCCGTCGAAACATGTTTTCGGGGTCGGTGATTGTACTGTGGAACATCTTATGATTCCCGTTCCCTGCCGTTGTTCTCTTTTCGCAGAGGCGTAACTGGTGTTGATTTGAGACCATGGCGTTTAACGGAGCCTGCAGAGGGGTCATAAGACATGCTATGTGAAGCATTTCCGCACCAAGCAGCCATCGTCGGGAAGGGAATCAGCCCGTCCAGAATATGCCTGGAAAGCTGCAAGGAGGCCCGATGAACAATGAACCGTGTACACCCTGCGTCACAAGGTTTGAAGTCGCACGATCGCTGGGTATATTATGCCGGCGGTAACGAGTCCCATTATCATCACGGTATATTCCCTCCGAGCCCTAGGTGGATCTCCACATGATATGAGAGTACTTTGAAGCTTCGTGTTCCACCCGGCTAAAGCATGTTGCTGTCGTGAAGGAATTCCATTCCTAGGTCCACGGAAGTAAATGAGTATTTTCATGGGTCCATCGGTCGGTGGCCGTCTCGATATCTTTCTTGCATTGTCGCTTCTCAAATCGAATCTCTTATGGGCTATCTTTCCGTCGATGGTGCCCTATCGGCCGTCTTCGCTGCGAAGACTGGAGAGCCGGACGGCGCGTCTCGCTCAGGCGTGGGTACTGGAATTAAAATCAGCCTTTTGAATGGAGATGGGCAATTCAGCATTTCCGATTGCATGCTCACACGCCATAATGGAGGCTCGGCTCGCATGATGCTCTTCCATACTTTTTCTGTAGCGGTGTCGAGCGCGGGGCTGCCGGGTCCCCGCGATGACAGCGGAAGAGCTGTTTCGATGTTTGCTCCGCTGCTCGAACTGTATCCTGTCACAAAATTCCTACGAAACAGACCTTCCATGTGCTTTGGGCATGCGAGATTTCATGCACAAGGTATGCCGTGCTGCTGTCGACGACGTGCAGAGCAGGCAGGATTCGCCTTCGCCGTCGCCGTCCACGTCTTCATGGAACTCCAGCGAGGCGCTCCATCCTCTGGAGCGCTTTTGCCAGGACTCATGTGTCAATCCATCAGACTCAGAGCTTCCAGCTTCCTCCTAAGCATATCTGCCATGTTATTCGGCGGTGTGTGTGAGCGTGGGGTGAATCTGAGTGGCGAGGGTCTTTGGTCCTGTATATCAATCAGCCCCCTCCACGCGGCGACCCGGCGGCGTCTGCAACATCATGATGGCTGAGATCATATCCACAGCATATAGATCAGATCCTGACACACGATGATGCCCCTGATCAGAGGTGAAGTGGGGGTGAAAGGTGGGTGCGAAGATGGCCAGACGGGTGAGGTCTAGGGAGGGGGCAACGTGCGCGTTGGGGGCCCCAGCTCAACGACCTCAGAACCACGCCTGCACTCTCTACGAAAACTGCTACAAGGTCCAGTCCATCGTGCAATGACATTCACGAGCGTCGAGGAAACTTTGAGGGGTTGAAGGAACATTGATTATATTTCCGAGACCCGCCGATGGCCCACATGGTTCATCGGCCCACTCGCTACCGCTACTCATGCACCACCCTGCAAGGCCATCATAGATCGGGCTAGGAGATGGTCGATCCGCATTGCCAATGTCAACGACATCTCCTGCATCTCCACCTTCTCCTCGTGTTTTTTCCCGCTACCATACAAGATTCTATCTCGCCCAAACTTCATGGTACAGCTCCGTGTACAGCTAATTCACGTATGCACAATTCAAAGCTACTGGTGGTTTACAACGAAAGTTATGAGGACATCAGATAATGGTGCTTCTTGGCAAGAATGTCATTTCGCAACTCGGGGCGTCAAGAGCTATTATATTGAATATGGGAAGAATCTTGGTTAATATATACATTCTCAATGAGTTGCGCTAGATATAATTATAGTGGCTCTTGGAAATCCCCGTCAGCAAACCACATCCCCTTGATTAGAGGCACCGAACCAATATATAGTTGAAGGATGCAGCCTACATAGGACTGCAAACAGAGCCACGCAGCATGAATATAGTATGTAGGTAAGGAGAAAGAGAGGAGTTAAATCGATATATCATCAGCGTCCACCAGGTTCCCGCACAGGATAAGCCCTTGGACAGAAAGAATATTCTCCCGTACATTGCCGAAGAAGGATGCCCCCATGGTATCAAAGCAATTTTCACCCGTATGCGTTTGGGCATAAAGGGACATTTCTAACCCGGATTTCACGGATGATTGAACTCAACATAGCAATAAGTCTCTCCAGGCTGAGATGTCCAGGAGACCCAGGCTCACTCGGACCCGATGGAAGTAAAAGAGATGGTATGGATTGCGGGCTATATATCAAGTAATTATCTCTACACGCCATCTTTATTATTTATAGCTGTCACATATCATCTAGATGCTCACCATTGCCTATACCAAGTGAGCCTGGAGAATTCTCTCTTATCCTTCTTGTACCCTTCGTTTCCCCGGATATTCCTCTGCCCCGGCCCACGGACAGCTATTACCTTGTTCCACATCTACACCCAACCCCATTGACTACTCAGCATCCTTCTTACGTGACCTGCGGGCAATTTCTCATTTATACCATCACCGCGTGGAGCCTCCACAGCTGACACACTGTCTGCTGCCTGCCGTCTGCCGTCTATTGTCTGCCGCTCGCCCACCTGCCCACTGTCCAAAGCCCGTGCTCATTGCCCAGTGCTTCTTTTTCTCTAGTCCACGCTTGCTACGGCGGAAGCTTCTAGACGTCCACATTGCGCCCTCTCTCACATAGCACAGCTGGCTGGCGACGGGTCTTGGCAGCTACAAATATAGACGTGACGGCGCCTTCCTCGCCCTCAACCACCACCCCACCTTCCTCACCTACCTCTCTCCACCTACACCATAACAACCTTCCGCACGCCCGTCTCCGGCTTGCTCTCCCTCACTCTACTCTTCTATCCTTTGCACCTACCCTGCGCCTGGCATCATCATGTCTGCCGCTGGAGATCCCGTCCCCGCTGTCGTCGACGACGCAGCTGAGGCCCGCAAGAAGCAGCAGGAAGCCGACTACCAGAAGGCCAAGGACGCTGGCTTCTACGATGTCACGTCTCCCCAGGCGACTCAGCTTGCAGCTGCGACCGAGCAAGACCCGGGCGCTGAGCCTCTCGAGACTCCTGCCTGGCTGTCCGACGCCGCCATCTACGCTTGGGACGACACCTATGGAGAAGTCGGCGAGCCCAACCCTGCCCTCGAGAAGGAGCTCTATGGAACCGAGACGTGCGTATGCCCTGCCTCAAACCGTCATTTGGAACGATGCTTTGCGGCGCCGGTCGCCCACTTGTCTGGACGCATTATGCTGACTCTTCCATTTCAGCCATAAAATCAGCAGCTACAATAACTTGGATAAGTTCATCGTCGATGTTACGTGCGATGAGGAGGGTGAGCCGCGCCTTCAACCTGTCCGTCGGGTAAGTCGAACCAACACATCTCATTCATTAAGCTTTGACTGACAGCATTGATAGTTTGAGGAAGCCGGTCTTCATCCCGTCATGGAGGAGAACGTCAAGCTTTGCAAGTACTCTATTCCTACTCCGATCCAGGCATACTGCATTCCTGCTGTCTTGACTGGTCGTGACGTTGTCGGTATCGCCCAAACTGGTAAGTTTATCTCCGTACTATTCTTGCTTGCATCTTCTTCTACTTGTTCTAACCCAAAAAGGCTCTGGAAAGACCGCTGCCTTCCTTATTCCCATCCTATCCAAGTTGATGGGCAAGGCCAAGCAGCTCTGCGGCCCTCGTCCCTCCGACCGTAACGACCGTGTGACTGCTGAGCCTCTTGTTCTTGTCGTTTGCCCCACTCGCGAGCTGGCTTGCCAGATCTTCGATGAGGCTCGTCGTCTTTGTTATCGTACCATGTTGCGTCCTTGCGTCGTCTACGGTGGGGCGCCCACCAAGAATCAACGTGAACAGCTTGAGAAAGGTTGTGATGTCCTCATTGCCACTCCCGGTCGTCTTATGGACTTCATGTCTAATGTCAACCTCCTTAACCTTTCCCGTGTCAAGTATGTATATTTATTATCCTCTTTCCAGGCCCCACATACATTTCAATACTGATATCGCCAGGTTCACTGTCATCGATGAAGCTGATGAACTGCTTTCGGAAGGCTGGGAGGACATCATGGAGAAGCTCTTTGAGGGTGGCTGTAAGTATCTGTGTCCACCTTGCGTGTTATACTAGCTGACGTGTTGAAGCTACCAATGTTGATGGAGACAATACCTACTTGATGTTCTCGGCTACCTTTCCGCGCGCCGCTCGCAAGATGGTCCGCGAATACATGGAAGACGCCGTCGTCAAGATCAAGGTCGGCCGTGTTGGCAGCACGAACTCCCAGATCAAGCAGAATGTTGTCTGGGTTGAACAGAATATGAAGCAGCAGGCGTTGATCGACTTAATCTTCGCGGGTGGTGCGCAGCGCACGCTGGTGTTTGTCAACTCCAAGATGACATGCGATATGGTGGACGACTTTCTGTACAACAAGGGACTGCCCGTTACCTCGATCCACTCTGATCGCACTCAGCGCGAGCGCGAAGATGCCATGTAAGGAGCCTCGGCAAATCACCTCGAGCATGATATAGTCTAACACTCTGCAGGCGTGCCTTCCGTACAGGTCGCACTCCCATCATGGTTGCGGTACGTATAGCCCCGACACCGAGGCAGTCAATTGCGTTTTTGGAATACGTTATACTGATATTGTGTTCAGACTGGTGTTAGCGCTCGTGGCTTGGACGTTCCATTCATTAGGCACGTCATCAACTACGACATGCCTTCAACTGCGCATGGTGGCATCACTGAGTACGTTCATCGTATTGGTCGTACCGGCCGTCTCGGTACCGAGGGCTTAGCAACTTCCTTCTATAACGACCGCAACGACGACCTCGGCGAGGACTTGGTCAAGATCCTGATCGAGACTAAGCAGGAAATTCCTGACTTCCTTCAAGATAAGGTTCCCGAGGACCAGAATACCATGTTCGATGGTCAAGGCACTGATGATGAGTCTGATGATGGCTTCGCTGTTGATGATCTCAATGGTGGCGGCTTCGGTGGCGATCTCGGTGGCTCTGGTGGTTTCGGAGATCAGGGCTTCACGGCCGATGACGGCTTCAAGGCCGACGACGGTTTCAAGGCTGAAGATGGCTTCAAGGCTGACGACGGCTTTGGTGACGCGGATGACGGCAACAAAATGGGCAGCTGGTAGGAGCTGAACACTGGACACCAACCCTGCTGGTATCTACGGGCAACTCTACTGGAAACTCAAACAGGATGATGGAGATGCATTAAGGCTCTTCTCCGCTGCGTGGCAACTGCCACTGCTTTCGAGGTTTTCTACCATCAACAATGATTGGACTTAGCAGGACCTCTTCATACGAAAATCAGGACTTTATATGACACGAAACGTGGTTCTCCCATTGTGCATTTGACCTGTGATGTGTAGCAGCTGCATCGCGCATGAAGTCGTGCTAATCATCAAAGTGATGAACATGTATGATGCTTTCGTTGAATCTTATTATGCGTGGACATGTACAGTTGAGGGTAGCAATAACGTATGAGTATGGTCTCCTCGATGGCTTCTACACGTTTCATTGTCCTCAATCAGACTTGTTTTCCCGGAGGTGTTGAATCCCTAAAAATAAGCCTAGAGACATAACGTACAAGATAGGTACCAGATACGTGAGCATATGACAGCTTGCATCTGTAGCCATCGACCTTCATTTCCACAGCATGCTCTTGGGGAGGCGTCGGGTAATTCATGTTCCTTTCGTTTCGAGTGCTTTTCATTACCAACGGGGGGATTACATGTCTCCATACACGGTGATATGTAACTACCTAGGTATATTTGTGTATCCAAGTTAAATTGAGTAAAAGTTTATGTTGCATTGCATATTGAGCATCGAATTCCAAAAAGTCGCCCCGGCACGATAAAAGAAAAGACCAACCAAAACGGCCTACACATTCTGAACCGTGGAATCGACAGAGGTTTGGAATTGACGACGACGACAGTTTTTTTTCTGTTCTTTCCCTTTGGAGCAGTCGTCTTTTGAAATGATATATTTCTTGGGGAAAAAAAAATGAAAAACATACAAGAGATAATACAGATGTAAAAAGAAATGAAGAGCTCTGGTGAAAAGAAATACGTAGCTCCCACGAAGCGGGCGGGCGAGACGCACCGCATTCTCTCCCTTCCTACACATGACATGCACACACATAGTATGGCTCAAAACACAAAAGTCCTAGCGTGTTTGCGATCCTGCTCTCTCAACAACTCTCCATATACCTTCATCCTCAGCTTATGCAAGCGCATGGTGACACCAATTTCCTCCTCGGCCAGATCCTCAGCCTTCTGCTCCAACTGGTCCAGACCCCAGTAGTACTTGTACGCGAGAGCACTGGGCCCCCAGCCGCGCTTGACAGCGGCGATGTCGTCGCGCGCCGACGCAACGAGGTACGTCAATATTTTGCCCCAGGCCTCGAGGCCGATTTCCTCGCACGTCTCGCAGTGCTTGCGGATGGACGAGTCTGCTTCGACGGCGGGGATGCTCTGGGCCTGTTTGGATGTGGAGACGGCGTCGCGGACCCACGAGAGGCCTGGGGTTTGGTCGGCGGGGGCGCCGCGGCGCGAGCGCGCGGTTGCGTTTGCCGTCGCGAAGAGGATTTCGCCAATGTAGGATTTCAGCGCGGCTTCTTCGCAGCGTTGCGTGTCTTTGCGGAGGAAGGGGTCGTCGCCGGTTGGTGGGAGCGGCGGGTACGTGGGTTCGATGAGGAGGTCGATGAATTGGCTTATCATGCTTGGGGAGGGTTGGGGAGCTGGGATGGTCTCTGGGGCTTCGGGCGCCGAGAGGCGTGCTCGGAGGAGGGAGATGAGGATAGGCAGGGCGGCAGTTGTGTTGTTGTGCTGTGCGTGGAAGGTGGCTAGTTCCGTGACGGCTAAGACAATGTTGGGTGTGAGGTGTGCGCTGGCTTCGGGACTTGAAGCCAGTACGCCGGTTTTGGGGTTAAGGACAATGGTAGGGTCAGGGGTGGAGAGGCCGGAGATGGCGATGTCGAGGGCCCAACGATACATTTCTTCGGCCGAGTCTGTGAGCTCTTTGAATGAGAACCAGTCTGCACAGTCCAACGCTGCGCGGAGGCGTTGTGAGGTGGTGAAACCGTTGCTGGTGAGGATCTTCATGTAGTAGTCTTCGGGGGGTTGGCCGCCGGCGGGGAGACGCTCTTCTTCTGGAGGCGCTGGCAAACCGCCGGGTAGCGGCTCAGGAGGGTCGGGATTGGAGGGCGACGGGACGTATATCGGGGACCAGATGAATTTGCGCGACTCGGTGGTTACCCATCCCTCAAGATTTTCTGAAGCTTCGGCCATGCCCATGAGGACTTCCCAATAGCCCTGCCGCCATTCCTCGCTCTTCGCTGTGAGATCGTATCCAGCTTTGCCTACACCTGGTACCATCAAACCACCCTCTTCTTCATCCTGCTCTTTTATACCAGCACCATCTATTTCGGGATCCTCGAGTCGAACCAGGGTGTTCTTCATCTCCCACCATACGCGAGCCCAATTGGTGAAGCCCTCCAACTCATTGTTCTCGGGCACCTGGTACCATTTCCCCCTCCTAAATCTCCACCTCGTTATAAAACCCCATTCATGAGGCGATGGAAATGCTCGCTCTTGCCGTTCGGTGAGAATGGCATAACCAGCAACGGTGAAGGACACCCAAACGACGCCTAGGATGCCTGTCCATCTGATGGTTTCCCGGTAGTACTCCCGGAGGAATTTCTTGTTGGCCGCAGAAATAGAGAAGAGACGTGACAGTTGCACATTGGATCTATACGAATTGGATGATGGGAGGAAAGGGAGCTGTGGCCGAAGGGACGCGCGGTGGGAGACGAGGATGAGTTTCGGCGGTTTATGAGAGAATTGGCGCGGGCAGAAGAAATCGCGGATTTGGGCATTGGAAAGTGGGAGAGGCCGTCGCGATATATGTATGCTCTGTGTGGTCGGCCGCATGCTGCTTGTGCAATGCTTGCCCTGCGGCGTTGGAGAGCTGATGTGGGATGAACCGATCTGCGAACTTTGAAGCTTGCGGAGCTGTCAGTCGACAATCGGCGGCGGTTGATGCTTTTGCGCCAAGGCGAGGGCGGACAAGGTTGGCGCTTGTTGCCGTTGCTCACCGCCCCGGCAGAAAAAGTTGGGAATTTCGTCAATTTCCCTCCGCGCTTTTCGCACCCTCTCTGTCTGTCTGCCAATTCACCACATTTTTTGCATTCGCGCTGCTACTCTCGCCATGTCTAATTCTGAACTCAAGGAAGAGAAAAAGAAGCGCAAGAGGCAGGAGGAAGCTGCCGAAGGGACGCCCAAGAAATCCAAAAAGTCCAAAAAGGTGGAAGATGCGCCCGATGCAGCAGCCGTAAAGGACAAGAAGAAGGACAAGAAGTCCAAAAAGGAAAAGAAAGCAGCTGCAGAAGAGGTTACCGAAACCAATGGAAAATCAGAAGATGAGGACTTTGCCATGGGCGACGACTTCGTATCTCTCGGCAACGATGATAACCCCATCACCGCGCCTACGAACGGAACACTGTCGCGCAAAGCTAGCAAGAGCGGAAAGAAAGAGAAGAAGTCCAAGAAATCAAAGGACGATGCTCCCGCCGAGTCTGCGCAAGCCGAAGATGCTGGTGAAGTCGACGTGAAAGCGGACAAGAAGTCGAAGAAAGAGAAGAAGGAAAAGAAGTCCAAAAAGTCCAAAAAGACCGAAGATGCTCCTCAGGGTGAAGTTGGTGATGCAATGGAGGTAGATACCGTGCCTAGCGTTCCCGAAGTAGAGGCTGAAGTCGTCTCGAAGGATGATAGCAAGAAATCCAAGAAGGATAAGAAGTCCAAGAAAGACAGAAAATCCAAAAAGGAAAAGAAGGCTTCCGAAGAGTCCAGCGAGCAGGATTCCGCCGAAGTTGAAGCCGAAGACACTACGACCACCACTCCCGGAGAACCCACTACCAACGGCGACGCTACAAATGGCGATGAGGCTCAAGAAGGTGAAGGGGACGAGGCAGGCAAGAAAGGTCGCTTTATAGTCTTTGTCGGTATGTTTTCATCGATCTAATCCGTGTGGAATACTTGATCTCATCAACTAACCACTTCAATCCCAGGCAACCTCCCATTCACCGCCACGAAAGAAACCATCGAGGAGCACTTCGCAAAACTCAAGCCCTTCGAGATTCGCATGCGTACCTACAAGGGCGACAACAAGTTCATGGGCACCTGCTTCATCGAGTTCGATCGCTTCGATCATATGCAGACCGCCTTGACAAAGTTCCATCACTCCGTTTTCCCCGACGCCAAAAAGAAGGAGGGCAGGAAGATCAACGTCGAGCTAAGGTACGAACATTGCCCGTTCTCATCTCATCCCTTACCCTCCTTACCCTTTCTCTACACTCTTTAGCTTCAATGAATACCTTCACTCCCTTCTACGAAAATGCTTAGCTAACGTATCTTCCCTGTACAGCGCTGGCGGCGGCGGCAACACATCAGCGCGCCAAGAAAAGATCAAAACCAAGAACGAGAAACTCGCCAACGAGCGCATCCGCATTCGCGAGCGCCGCGAGGAAGTCGAGGCCAAGCAGCAAGAACGCAAAGAAAAGAAGGAAGCCAGGGCTAAGAAGAATGCGCCGGAGGGCACGGATGGCGCCGCCGACGCAGAGGAAGAGAAGAAAGAACCTGAAGCCGAGCCCGAGGTCAACGCCATCCACCCCGCGCGGTTGGCTATGATGCAGGAGAAGCCGAAGCCGTGGTTGGAGAAGAAGCAGCAGGGTGGTAGAGGGGCCCCGAGGTTTGGGGGACACAGACAGCGGTATTAAAGCAGGAAGAGATCTTTCGCAATCACATGTTGGATTGGTGGATTTGCGAAAACATTGAATCTACCATGGTTTGAACCTCATCTTGTCATGTCGTTTACTTGTGCTCGTCTTTAATGCGTTTGTTCAAAAATAGATTAGATAGTTGGTTACAATGTAGATACTATCTCGTGTCCGTTTGTCACTTGGTCTTTACGGTATGCCTCCCCCGCTCGCTTTCCATGGTTCAAATGTTCGCATCAAGAATCACGTGCTCAAAATTGTGTTAGTTGGATATAGAGAGGTGCTAGTCGTAGATTATAGGTGTTTTCATTTTATCTAGTCAGCGTGTCAGTTGAAATTGTGTTGTCGATGATCATGATCGAATTGATGTTCATTTACGAGAACATTTTCCTCCCATAACAACATGAACGTCACTACATACATTGGAAGATTCCCCTCAGCATAATATACACTTGCTGTTATTCTGAGGCCATGAAAACCGATCGGATCTGGCACAATTGCACGATCCACATGTTCCACATTCCATCCAAAACTTGTCCCCCCATCTTTTTCACATCTTAACCATCCCGGTACAAGCCGAAATCCAATTGAAATACCACATATGCGCGTTCACAGTCATCCACATGTGTCTAGCATTCCCCTCCAAGCTCCTTGTCCCTTCAAAAATATTAATGTGCTTCGGAAGAACCGGAACCCCGGTTGCTTCTTCAATATGATACTCGGGACTAACATGCTCATACCCCATACCAATCTTGGGCACATCAGGCACAATATCATTGTAGTGGGTGACACGGTAGTTATCACCCTGCTTCGTGATGAACTCGCTGAGCTCGTGGCCCGCGATGCGCGGCGAGCCATACGAGTACGCTTCTACTTTAAGCTTGTAGGTGAAGCGGAGGTCTGCGGCGGCGAGCTGTGCGATGGCGCCGCCGAGCGAGTGGCCCATTGTCACGATCTGGTATTTTGGGTTCTGCTTTTGGATCGCGTAGACGGCGGTTAGGATCGCGGTGCGGGAGTCGAGCCAGGACTGCCAGAAGCCGCGGTGCGCTGTGCATTTGGGACACAGGTGCGTGGCGACTTGGTCGAAGGAGAGGTTGGTGATCCAGTTTGCGATTGTGTTTGTGCCGCGGAATGAGACGACGATGAGTTTGTTGGTTGGGTCGAGTGCGACGAAGCCTGTTACGTCTGTCGAGAGGTCCTTTCGTTCGTATTCGATGGCTGTTGTTGCGTTGGCGGCGGTGACGAGATCGCATGTTTTGGACTTGCAGGTTACGAGGTTTCCTGGGGTGCTTTGTTGGGATTTGCAGTAGGCGGCTGATGCGTATTGTTCCATGAAGACGAGTCTGTCGAAGAGTTTTTGGTCGAGAGCTGAATTCATGGCAGGCGGTTAGGGTACTTTGATTGTTTGAATTGTTGTAGAGGGAATTTACGGACGTTTTGAAATGGGCTTGGATTTCTTCTTTGCCATTTCGCTTGCGTGGTCGATGTCAATGATTTCGTCTTCCAGAGGAAAAGCCAAAGCATTTCCCGCAAGCAGGATCGAGGTGAGTAGGTATGTAACCTGAACCATTTTGATCGAGCAAGTTTATATGCAAGGAAGTGGGTGTAGTGGAGAGTATGCGATTGGCTAAAAGTTTTGAGAAAAAGACAATTGTTTCTGACTCATTTGGAGGAGTTCGATGGTTAGGATAAGACAACAGAGATTTTGCCACGATCTTCCTATCTCTAAGCCTTAAAGACAGCCCACTTGGACGTATCTAACACTCGACGCCTGAATAGGCTTGCACTTGATCGGAGACCAAAAAGTGAATGAGTTCTTGTAGACTAATGACAGTGATAAACAGTAAGCTTAAGAGATGATTGAATGGTGGTTTGGACGGGTATTCAGTAGAGGAATTTCCTTGTTCCTTATATTATGGTTTTCCGTAGCCAAATTCGGCACAAGCTAAGCGTCGACCATCGTGGACTGTCGAGGCAGGAATCTGCTGCAGGGGAGAAAATCCGGGCCTTCAGTAAGAGGCGAGGTGTATAAAATCTCGGACTGCCCGCCAATTATTGCGATCTAGAATCAATAATTCGATATCCGGTCTGCATATTCCGTGAGGAGGTTGATGGGTAGTTCCTATGAAAAAGCTTCGATGTATGGTTGAGTGGGGTGAATGCGATAGCACATGCTCGACATTGGTCCAATTTTTACAGAAAAATACTGTCAGTAGTCATGATTTCGTCTTTTCACGGAAGAAAATCACGATGTTCGTTGGTTTAGCGTGCGAGACATGTGAGGAGGAATGTGTATCGAACACCCTTTCGGCGCCTCTGAAAGATCGGCTGCACGTTTGCGATGCGCGTACGTGGAGCTGGCAGGAGTAAACTCGAGAGGGCCCAAAAGAGCTAGGGCAATGGATTTGAAGCTCTGGACTCCCAGCAGAAGGATATTTGTTCGTAGCTCATCGTTTGGAACTTCGCATATGCATCTCCGGCCCCACGGAAAGATTTTATTCAACAATTTCCCATTCGAGTTTACATGCTATCTAGGTACGACACCGTGTCGTGTGATACTAGTTCTGTTCCCGAACAATCCATCAGATGTTATCCCCCTTTCCTACCTTGCTGCTGTTTTCATAGCCAACTGCCACACCAGTGCCAGCAACATTCGCGTCAGCACCGTCGAACAAGAAAGCAATTTCCTCGAGAGTCTGCAACAAAATGTCAACGTCGTTCTCAAAGCAGACGACTCAAGCCGAAAGGAGTTTCTTACCGGTCCCTTTGTCTCTACATATAGGAAGTAGATTGCGAGACATTCCAACACCAATACGACCACATACACGATGTAAAACTTCCAGCCCAAGGCTTCGATACCTATCGGGTTCACATATTGGTTGAAGACACCCGAAAGCGAAGTGAATACAAAACAGAGAGTGAGACCTTTGGCGCGGATGTTGAAGGGAAGGATCTCGACAGTATATGATACCGTAAGGCCAGGCCAGGCGAGACCGGCAGCTGTTGAATCATCAGCGAACAGCTCTCAACAGAATACGTTCCAATTTATCGACACTGTACTTACCACCGTAGAACAAAAAGATCATGGCGAGAACAGCGGATCCAGCATGCGAGTTTCCGGTCTGTGAATATACAGCGCTACATGCCGTCCAGATGCTGAAAGCGAGAAGCATACCAATGCCGGCACTCAAGAAAAGCGTTCTTCTTCCCACACGGTCAACTAGGAATGCGCAGCCAAGCGAGACGAGCCAACACCAGATTGTCAAGCCTCCGTTGATGAGTGCTTGATGGGAGGAGCTTTTATAGCGTTAGTACAGGCTCTGTAGCGGTAAAGTGTTTCGACTTACTTGGTGATGTCTATGGTTTCCAGTACAGCAGCTAGGTAGTAGCTTACAAGTCCATTACCTGAGCACTGGGAGAAGATAGCGGTCAAAATGATCAACAAGCAACGCTTCCTGTTACCAGGGGTTCTGACCAGTTCGACCCATCCACTAGATGCACTTGCCAGCTTCTCGGCCTCGAGTGTCTGGCTGATCTCGGTGTACTCCCACTTCACAAAGTCAGTCTCCTCACCGTTCCCGTGATATTTTGTTAGCATCTTCTGGGCTGCTGCATGCTTGTTCTTGCTGATCAACCAACGAGGAGATTCGGGAAGCAAGTAAACACAGAGAAGTTGTATACCGGGCATCGCGCACTGGAGACCAATAGGTAGACGCCATGATAGGTCTGAGGTGATGTGTGTCAAAGTTCCAAATGTTGTCCACGCAGCAAGTATAGCACCGAGATACCAAAGCGTGTTGTATATCGTAGTAGCTTTGCCTCTGTGTCGTGGGTGAGATATCTCAGTAATCAACAAAGGACAGGTCGCGTTGGAAATGTTACTGCCCATGCCCATAATGAAGCGTCCCGCCAGAAACATGGAGTCTGGGTTGCTTCGTTGTGGCAATGCTTGAATTATCGAGCCAACGATGACGAGTACACACCCGATGGCGGTTCCTAGGCGACCTGCTATATACGGTGTGAAGAGTAGGACCGCGAAACCACCGAATCCCGGAAATGCGCCTAAGAGCCCCAGCCTGGAGCCTGTTGGGTGATTGAAAACTGCAATCCGTTCGTTAAAACTGATGCTCCCACGAAAATGCAAACGCAAAGCACTTACATTCTTTCCATGCGGGCATGGTCTGGAGGCCATTGAGAAGACTGCCATCGTAGCCCAACGTAGTCGAACCGAGGAACAGGAAGGGCATCATCAGATACAGTTTCCGAAGTTCAGGCTGCTGGTACCATGGTCGGGCATCCTCGCTGGGAACACCGTGAGATGCGACATGTTCATGATGAACAACATCGAGCTCCTTCTTGGTATCGTTTTTGAGAGACATGGTGCAACAAAATTTCGAAAGGGAAAGGACCATGTGAAGTGCGGAGACTCCAAACTGTCGGTACTGAACTAACTCTGGTCTATCACATATTTATATACTCGATACTCGCATGCATCACACCCATGCAAAACAAACCAGCGGCCCATGGGGAAGGCATTTGGGGAAAGCCTAGTCACTGTGGAGGTGGAGACATGTGACTAGTAGCTAGGCACTAGTCGCGATATGCAGCATTTCTCCAAGGTTTTTCCGGCCTTCCCTTCTGTCTCCCAAATTCCTGCTCATGCCTGATATGAGTGAACGACCTCGGGATAACCAACGTACTCGCCATCGCATTACGGCTGCATGCGATGCATGTCGAGCAAGGAAAGTCAAGGTACGGTCCCATTGGCAATGCTCCTCGGCCACCGCTTCTCATTATCCATCATAGTGTGGCATGCCGAGTGATGGTTCACGCTGTTTAGTGTGTACGGATCTTGATATAGATTGCACAAACATACAGCCCCGAAAGCGAAGAGGCCCCAAAAACCGTTATGTTCAAGCCTTGCGCGCCCATCTGGACGGGACCACGGTTGAGGAGAGCATTTCCGGGCGGCCCAGTCTAGGCCTCATCGCCTCATACGAGATCATACAGAACATCATCTCCGACTGGTTCGACTGGATACACCCTGTTGCCCCTATATTCCACATGGCGACGTTTACTCGGCGAGTTGCGGAAAGTCAGAGCACAGGTGACTGCTCGGCACCCTTTCTGCTACTGGTGGCGTCAATGTGTGCCGCCACTGTTGCGAGTCTTCCAAGGCGAAGTTCTCTTTATGGTGGAGTGACTTTCGGGCATTGCATTTCTTTGGCCGAACGCTTTCAATTGTGGAGCCCGAGCACGAATATCACACTAGAGAGAACACTGACGCTTTACAACTTGTCTTCTGCAGCCAGCCACGAGTTTGACTTGGACGCAGCGTTCGTGCAGCGGTCAATGTCAGAAGTCGCTTGTAGTCTCAAATACTTGGTCCATTATGAGCTTGATCGCATGACGTTTCTCGATCAGCAGTTGCTGAAGCGCGTCTATTGGTTAGCCTACGCAGGCCAGTGTACGGGTGACATGCATGGCAGGCCACTCGTTGTTTTACGCCAACCACACGATCATGTCAATGCATTGATCCCTTTGGAAGTCTCGGATGAGCAACTATCCAAAGGTGGTTCGGAATTGGTCGACGGAGAAGACTATCCGCAGACTGATTCGTATATTGCGGGGTTGAACGTGCTGTCGAGACTTTTTCTAGTGTGGCAATCCAGCCAAGCGATTGCAGCACAGTCAATGGACAACCTCCAACGACACATTTCGCAGGCTCAGCAAGTGCTTGCTGGCCTGCCTCCTGAACTGACCTGGCACGAAAAGGAGAAGCCAGTTCAAACCAAAAAAGAATTCGCCTTCACCGTACAGAAGGTGAACCTCAAAGTCACGCAGTTGCATGTTCGATCGAATTTACTGGAGCAGATGAACACCATTGCCAAAGATCAGCAGCTCCGCTTCACGCCTCACGCTATCATCGAAGAGCGACATCAAGTGGTGGATGAGCTGCTGGAAACACTCTACCGTGTGCCAAAAGAAGTTTTCGATGCAAACGGCTACAGCATCGTGCCGAAGATTAGAGACATCGGTAGTGCCTTGCTTGACGAACTTCGTACCGGAATGCATGGTCGCACCTCACAGGCTAGCACCAGCCTCGACAAGTTGTTAGCAAAGTTGGAAGAGTTGGATATGAGACACGTGGTATTGACGCCAGTTGGGTAGCACCGAGTTTTTACATGCAAGATCCAATCACTCGCCACTTCGATTGGAGACGGGAGTCGGCACATTGGACGCAACTATGGTGCATGAATAAAATTCTCAAGAATAACTATTAAAGACCAATCACAGATTGCTCGAGATAACATTTAACAACCACTCTCTTCCTCCTCAAGACTGTAAGCCCAGCACTCAGCTATACACGTCCTCGCTGGAATCGTGACAGCGATAGGGAAGCCACCGTAATCCGGGTCTTCGTTGGGCATAATCAAAAACTCGCCACTGCGCGTCTCATCACCGCCCAACCACTTCAAGGTCGAAAGCTCGCCGGTCTCGGCATTGATCTCTTTCTCTTCCGCGTGCAAGATGCCAGTGAAGGTCGACGCGGGGCTCGTGCTCTTGAAAGAAACATTGAAGCCCCAGCCTATGCACAGAAATTTGCCATCGCCTTGGTGAATCACCATACCCGCGCCCGGTCCCGGCTTTCCAAAGACGAAAGCGCGTTCGATGATCACTTCGAAACCACCCATAGTCTTTGTCCAGGGCTTCTCCCTCACCTTCTGACCCTCAACGAAATCATCGAAGAAGAAGCCCATCATGTCTTCTGGACGGTTTGCTGATGTATCAAGGAACTGCCTCCTCAACGAATATAACAGACGATAGTGCTTTGTGAAAGGACAGTCGGCCGCTTGAAGCGAGTCGATGCCGAATGGCGAACATCCGAGGGAAAGGTAATTTCCGTAGGCACTCCAGATACGCCGAGCACCCTTCTCGTCTCGCTTCTGTTCCGGGATGAACAAAGCTTGTCCGCCATGCCTGTAGTTCTGGCACGTAGACTCGTAGTCGTGCAGGTATAGATCGGGGCTGATCAAGTCGAGCGCGGGCGCGTTGAAAAGGTATACGTCCATGGTGTGTGGACAGGGACCACCAGATGGGTATTCTCCCGCTTTCTCGCCGCCACCAACGACAACCGGGACACCCTCGAGATCCATTCCGTTGGGATCGTCGCCGTTGAGCCAGACGTTGGCGTAGAGCGGGATCGGGTATTCGGCTTTGCCAGCTGATGCGACGTGTTGGATGTAGCGCGAGAATGCGTCGGCCATGAACATCTCCTCAGCATCAATCACATCTCTTGCGCCAAACAGCTCTTTCCACGTCACACACTCTGCAGCATCTGTATTTGCCACGTGCGCATACCGTCTGAGGAATTCGGGATGCAGGTCGTTGTGGTTCTTGCGTAGGTGCTGGACAAGCTCTTTCGGCACTGGCTCAGCAAACTTCTTGTCAGCGATCTTGGACCGATCCCTCGAATCGCCCAGCAAGCCCGTCTCGTTCTCGACCTGCACCATAACGACGGTGCTATGCTGGCCATCGAACTCGTTCAAGTGCGCCATCAGCTTCGCGAACGCCTTCGCATCAGCCGTCCAGCACTCCTCGTGGAACGGGCTCATCAACTCCAACGTCCTACGCTTCCCACGCGCCTCCATGGCATGCACGCGCGGGAAACGCTTCACATCCTTCTTCACCCATCCAGGGACATAGGTCGATAGCGCGTTCTTGAAACTGCCGAACCATAGCAACACCAGCTTGATACCGTGGTGGCGCGCTGCCAGGATGGCGGCGTCGAGATTCGAGAAGTCGAACTTGCCCTCCTCGGGCTCGATCTGCTCCCACGAGACAGAGCCCAGCAGCGTGTTGATGTACATGTCTTTCATGTTCTGCCAGATTCTGTCGTCGGCCATGTATTTTGCTGAACTGAGCGTCGAGTTGTGCAGCTCGGCACTGAGCATGAGGAAGGGCTCGCCATTGACGATGAGCTGGCTCGATGTTTTGGTCTTGCGGAGATGTGGAATCGAGAGGGCGGTCATTGTGGGGGGATACGAGTATGCGTGCACTCGGTCTTGAAATAGATGGGCTAAATGAGGCAATCGAGGATTTGAGAATCGACATCAACTGAAAGTTGGTACGCCAACAATGAAATCAGGACTGTGTGTATAAAAAGGGGAGAAAACAAAAATGTGCATAGTAGAAGAAAGGAAAAAGTTCAAAGACGGAATTATTTATTGGACAAAGGACGACGCGCCGCCCGGGCAAAGATGGCTCCAGACGATCCATTCGACGCAAAATCCTCGGAAAAACGATGCATCGGCAGAATACATGGCATGCCTGATTGGGACGCTCTGCTCACGCCCACCCGGGGTAGTCGCAGTCGTTTTGTGGGGTTGATACAAGGCATCGGATCTCACAAACGTCTGGAGGATGGATACGAGTCATGATGTTGGCAATGGATTGTCTTATCGATCGGTGAACGAGGCGTCACTGACAGCTCCGAGATTTATGCGGCGAATGCCAACATTGGAACGTTGTTCAACGGTTATTGCACCATGTGTGCATTGAAGCAACTGTTATAACGTGTCTAGCAAAGATGTCTAGTGGGCTCGGGCGATGGAATGACTCGAATCTAATCGTTTTTACGGTTCTTGTTGGTTGGCATCCGTCCTTTCGATCTTGGTGTGTGGGTTGTGCATGTCGCTGGACTTCGGCTTTGGCATCGGCAGCGCGATGGAATTGATTCTCAAACATCTCAAACACCAAATTTATTTGCACCATGAGTGCGTTCGACAAAACAAAGTCATCCGATGTGATTTTGAGGAAATTCGCCTCTGTTTTGTGATTCCATCTCACCATTTGGACGATTGGCGTTGATTGCGGGGATACTTCGTATACCACCACCCCACCAACGAGCGATGCCCTTCCACCCAACATTCACACCTTGGTCACATACGACATCAATTGATAGCCCATCTCATCACTCAACATGTCAACCTCAGAACCACCTTCCTACGCCGCAAACATCCCTTCCGACCCCGTCACCAAAACCACATCCACAGTCCACGTCGAGCTCACCCCCGATACCCTATCCACGGACGCAGCGACGCGATTCGTGCGCTCCCCTTCCGCCGGCGCAACAGTCCTCTTCATCGGCACCACAAGAGACTCATTCAATGACCTCCCCGTCTCCTCGCTATCCTACACTTCCTACACGCCTCTCGCCATATCGACTCTGTACGCCATTGCGACTTGCATGCTCGAGAAACACAGCCTCGCCAAGATCGCAATCGTGCATAAACTGGGAGAGTGTCCGATAGGCGAGGAAAGCATCGTCATTGCTGTCAGTGCGCCGCATCGCCAGGCCGCGTGGCGCGCGGGCGAGGAGGCGCTCGAGGAGACGAAGAAGAGGGCCGAGATTTGGAAGTTGGAGAGGTTTGAGGGCGGGGAGGGGGTTTGGAGGGCTAATCGCGACGGGGCTGCTGGCGTTAAAGTGGATGAGGGGGAGGAAGGATGATTTGTGTATAACTACAGAGGGTGTTGTAATGCGCTGTATTAGGGAGTCTTGGTCGATATATGATGATGTATACATAGAAGGCAGAGAAAGAGGCGGTGTTCGGTATCAGCTGTAGACAGGATGGGATGATGAAGGTTCATATATAGGTGTACATTAGAGCGATAGAACCACGACCCGAGGCAAAAACGTCGAAACCGACGATTATGCTTCTATATTCCCTCACGCTGGTCAGACCTTGGCCATCGAACGTGGGCCTAAACATTGCGCTCCACTGTCCGCTGTCTGTTCTCGGAACCCTGCGGAGGAGCGCCATCACCTCCGCAATCCTTTCCGACCGGATTCCGAATCTGCGCTTAGTCATCCACTCCTTCAACTTTTTCTCTCAAAACTGCTCACAAACTCACGCATTGGCCAGCCGTCCAAGCCATCCCGCGCTCAAATTACAATCACTACGAGTCAATCGCGCCTTTGGAGCTTCAGGGCGATACTTCCTTCACCCAAAAACCTCAAAACCCTCTGTCGCGCAAAGAAGCCATATCACCACCCATCATCCGAACCACATCGGCCTCGAACCCACCCACAACCAATCAACGGATGCCCGAAACACTTCGAAACCCCTCCAAACTCTTATATCATCACTGACGATGACCACACCCACCCGACCACAAGCCACACAGCCACAATCGCAGCCGCCGTCCTCCCCACCATCCTCCCCACCCACAGTCTACGAACCAACCCCCTGGACATCCCCCCGCTCCCTCCGCCAACTCTCCATCTTCTGCCTGGGCGCAACAGCCTTCCTCGCCTCTACAGCCCTAACGCGCCGCTCCATCCACCGCCGCTCTCTCCGCCTCAAACCGCAACACTTCTCGCCCAACACAAACCCGCACGAGCACTTCAGCCCCCTGCAAGATGCCATCCAAGCGCTCAACCTCGCTACGCTGAACTGCGTCAGCGTCGGCATCATGGGGCTCGGAGGCACGCTTTGGGCGTTTGACGTTAGTGGGCTAAGCGAGGCCCGCGAGGCGCTGAGGAAGAGGTTGGATTTGGATACCGTTTATGGGGGGCAGGCTGGGCCCGAGGGTATCTTGGAGCTGTTGAAGGCTAGTCAGGAGGGCGTTGTGAAGGGGGATGGCGGGAACGAAGAAAAGGAGCAGCAGGGGGGGAAGACATGATATATCTAACCTGAGGGTTTTTTTTGCGGGTTTCGTAGAGGAAGTCTTGTTTGTTTGTGGATATATGATTGTAGGGAGAATTGTATTATAACGCATCATTATTGTATGAGTATAGACCGCTTTGGACTGTTTGACTAGTTTTTTTTTTCTTTTCTTTCAGCTGTTGTATATTGTAGAAAAATGCCACACGTACTTTTTTTTTCTTTTCCGAATGAGACAAAACGGCGCATATTTTGCGAATGTTGAATAACTCTCCTCTCAAGTTATCAAAACCGACACCATCATTATGCGTCACCTCTATCCCCCCCTCCCCACCCCAAAATAAACAAACCGCCCTCGCGATCCTTCCCCGCGAAAAACCAACACACACATAAAAATAAAACGTTCCTCTTCTCCTCATCCCTCCGTATTCCCTCATCGCGTCGCATTGCGCGCAGTCGGTCAGCGCGAGCTATGATTGGCCAAACCCCGGGACTCGGAGCCCTGTGATTGGATGATATCGCTCTCTTACCCTTCCTTCCTTCCTTCCTTCTACTTCTTCACCCCACTGATTCGATGGATTAGTGGGTATTTTTTTAATGTATATTCTGCTTTGAGAGGGAGCTGTGAGGATCTCTTGATATTTTTAGAAGATTGATTTTGTAGCAGGTGGTTCATGGAGGAGAGTGGGTTGGATGGTGGGTGGAGTATGTATTATTGGATGTGTGACACGATGGTTGATTGGGTGGGGATTTGCTGGGGATATATGTGTGTGTTGGTTGGTATGTGGTTGAGGTATATATCCTGGGTATTGTTGGGGATATTTGTTTCGTCCTATGATGATGATTATGTTGATTTATTCTTTTATTCTGGGCTGGAGGGTAGGTGTATGCTACACATAGCGATGGGTTACAATAATCAATTAACAGACCAAAATGTTGATATGTAGAGGTGTTAATCTTTTCAGAATTCAGATGTGAGTTTTTGATGACTTGTCGTTCCATGCTATGCTATAGCATTTCGTTTTTTTTTTTTTTTTTTTCTTTCTTTTTTCTTGGTAATTGCCTGTCTTTTGGTTCGTCTATTGGTATAAACCTATCGCTCTGTGTAGGATCATGCAAACTCCAACATACAAATCATAGCATTTCACTCTTTCGGCTACGGCCATCCCGGGGAATGATACATTGCGTGATCATCTATGAGGATATGCATGTCTATCAAGACCTCCACGAATTTTCCAATCGAAGGCTGTGCAGATTTGCAGATCTTTGCCAGGCGTCTCATCATCTTCAAATGTTCCTTCCATTGCTCTGTCAAGTATGTGTAGATACCTTATCCACCGCTTTCAATTAGCTAGCAATTCAGTTTCTCGAGATCGGTCCCCCCCCCCTCCTCTAGTCCTCTTCGCCATTCTTCTTCTTCAACAACCATCTTGCGTCCTCCCGCCCTCGCTCTCTTATCCTCCTCCGTAATCGGCAGCGTGTGCTCCGTCAAACACTTCGGCGTATGCTCACACTCCACTGGATCCCCCTTTCTCGGCCGCAGACATTTATTCCGGTTTTCGTTCACCGCCCCCGGTTCCACCCGGATATGTTCGATGTTTACACAGCGCCAGTTCCCGCATAGGTGACTGAGATGCCATTTCTCGTACACTAAGCCGTGGATGTCCTCGGGCGTGAGTCGATTGTGGAGGAGGAGATTGATGACGCCGAAGTTGAGCGTGAGTCGGTAGCGTTGCGAGTGGTGCTTGAAGGAAATGGAGAATTTGATACTGCTAGAGTTGCCGCTTGCTTGGCCTGCGAAGAGATGGCATGAGTGAGGTTGATTTGAGGAGGGCATCTGGACGCGCTGGGCCATGAATGTGGCGAAGCGGTTTTGCAGTGCGGGCCGCTGTATCGCGGCGTAGTGATGGTAGAAGAGATTCTTTTTCTTAATTGTGGCGTCCGAATTCCCCTGAGCTTTGGTTGGGGCCGGTCTGATGGGAAGTAGAGGACTGGAAACCCAGTTCGATAGACCATTTGTATTCAACTGCGGAATTTCCGGGGACTGATCATCGGGGTCATCGCGGCCTTTGTTCTCTCCTGGGTAAAAGCTATCTCGGATCGGAGCGGTTGATGTGGGGTTTCGAGATTCTTCGGATTCCGCTTTGATACCGTCGCTGCGAGACCAATCTTCCCATAATGGGATCTGGCTGGAGATCCTTGCAATTGCTTTCTCGTCATCCTCGTCATCACTAAACTCGTCAATCACAATGGAGCAGCTGAATGGATTCTCATCATCAGATTGACTGTTGATCATTGGTTTATTGGCTTCATCGGCTTGTATAGGATCGAGCTCAGGGTCAGCAGCAGGCGTCAATGAGGGCGAGCGCATACCTCCAGAGGTGGAGGTTTCTGAGGCTGCTGGCATATTTTCGAACATGGCGGCCACAGAAGTGCCAATAGGGGAAGACGAGCGCACAGTAGTGGGACTAGAAGCTCTTGATAACGCCGGTGACTCGTCAAATTGAGATGCGATGGGTTCAGAAGCCGATAAAAAAGGTGAAGACGCCTCCGATCTTGTGCTTGAAGGATTCGCGAGCTTTCCGTTCCTACCCATAGTCGCAGTAGACAGACTCCTCTCCTCTCGCTCATTCTGTGTCTGAGTGGCCGGTGTGGGCTCTCCGTCGTCCTCTTCATCACTCAACAGAGAGATCGTACTTCCGCCATGCTCCGTGATGATATTCCCAGACGTCCAGTGAAGAAAGATGACGGGATCTCTTTCGGTGCCATTGCCTTTAGTAGCAAAGCCCGGTCCATCATCATCTTCAATTATGATAATCTCGTGTGGTTCTGCCTCATCTCCCATTCCGTGATGTTGTTCTCTTTGACGCTTTCGAGCAGGTTGATGGTCGTCTTCTGGGGAGCCATTATCGATTTTCCGTTTTGCAGTAGGCGGGTGAAGTTCATCGAGATCGTGCACCAGGTCAGACATGCTGGGGTATCTCCAATCGCGCTCAGTTGTGATAGCAAGGATCAAGAGCTTATGGAAGACATGCAGTGAGCTGTTGATGTTAGATTTGTAGAATATGGCTGGATACGCTTTTGCAATTGTATCACACGTAGTGGAGTCGCACCTCTGCAATACGGGATGGAGGCTCGTCCTGACTTTAGATAGATCTTGAGACTTTCGTTCGATATAGAATGGCCCTGGACTGCCGCTTACATCCGCAGAGTGGCAGGTGAAGCTCGGGAAAAGTCAATCGACAGGATAGAAGTAGGTGATGATGAATCTTCTAAGCCGAGAGCTGTAGGTTGAGCACTGCGAATTGAGAGAAGAGGTGAAAGGCTTTTTGCCAGTCTCTCGGGGTCTGCCATGCCCCAGAAAGTAATAGGACATCATGTCGCATAGAAATTTGCGTAAGTAAGACACGAGAGTGATATGCCACACGTAAGAATTTTCATAGGTGATGCTTTCAAGAATAAAGTGATAGAAGCCGATGTCCTAGGAATTCCGAGGAACAGAAAGACCACAAGACTTCATAATTTCAAGTCTTTGGCAGTACGTCAACACTAATTAGGAGCACGAAAAAATTCTGGGGAATATATTATATCACTGGCTGTAAAAGCGATCGTGAACTCTCAATTCGTGGGTTGCACTTGGACATTACTTGATGCAGCAACGGCAGTGGCTGCTGTCTCGGTAACATTCCGGCAGCTTCATATAGCCCATAATGCAGCCAATGATTCAATTCAACAGATACGACGCTCGTAGGCGTCATTCTCTACGGCTGCTTCGTACTGTACGCGAGAATGCGATGATGGTTTCGTGGAATTGAAATTCCAACTTGCAATCACTACCCAACTAATACAATACACAAGCAACCTCAACATAACCAGTTCGTCTCCGAAGCTTCAGATGCCGTAAATACCAGGCTTAAGAGAGTCGAGATATCGGGCGCAGGTTCATGTTATACAGTCTCAGATGGGCAAGAAAACGTTTTACCTGCCACGGTCTCCAGAATATGCTGCCTCGTTTCTGATGTTGTAATAAGCTGGAAGGCAAAGATCCGTGCGTAGGATGCGGTCAACGAGATAAACAAAATTGAATTCAGCAAAGACGTATTCTACCGGGTGTTGGGTGACAAGTACATTGGCATTGCATTCCATGCGGCGCAAAACGCCGATCCGTCCGCTAAACAGTACATGAATGACCGCGGCAACGGCAGCGCGAATAGCAAAAGAAATATGCCCTTTTTTCTCATGCCAATAAATAGGAAGCAGATAGTACTCCCATCTATGGTATTGGGTTGAAAAACAATCTCAGCGAGGGTAGGTTGGCTCAATGACTGACTGTAGTTGTGCCAAAGCAGACGCGAATGTTCCGTACTCCTTTCCGATTCCGATTTCGTACGAGAGGCTTCCAAGCAGCTACCTTACGTTGACGCGGAAATCGCTATCACTGAGCTTGACAATAGATATGCTAGCCCACACGATTACAAGGCTGCGGTGTAGGCTTGAGTCAACGTTCCGCAGTGTTTAGGTGTCACCTCCTGGAGCAGTTTAGACACAGGACGCTTGGAGGGCAGAGTTTAATCCTCTTTCATACAAGAACGGAATCAACCCAGCAACCAAGACCTACGCCTCAAAGGAAGCTCACACTCATTAAGGAATTATCTGAAGACGGTCAAGAAGGGTTAGTGATTGCTATTCTGTTATAGACTATTTCCGAATGTCTCTGGGGAACGCCACAAGTTGGATTTGGATTTCCGATACCCTGCCATCTCAGCATCATTACGGACAATGTCATCTCTCGTGATTACTATCCAAGTTCATCAAGCGCACGGGATTGCCGCTTATTTTCCAGATTGAAGCTAGAAAAAACAATGGTACTTATTTTCCTAACTATGTGTTCAATTTCGGCCACGTCTGAACACATCATGAATACACAGGCAATCTAGTATTTTGAAATGAATTTATCCTTTCTAGATAGCCTTGCAGCCTAAGCTAAGCTGAAATTATCTGATTTCTGCCATAGCTATCGCGTTTTGGTACAGTACGGCTGATTTCTATTCGTTTTCGAATCCTGTACCAGCCTGACCAGGCACCGGTTTTCGAAGCTTGGCCGCGGCGCATGCAAGACAACCACAGCCACCCTCTCATTTCCGCCTTGTCTTAGTTAGGCTGCCTACAAGTGTATAAGAAGAATGTTGCAGTCTAATGAAGATTGTTATTCACACCTCACGAAAAAACTTTCGCGCAAAACACTCAAAAATTTCACCAATTCAAATTCATTTCTGTGAACGAACCGACACACAAAATGTGGCCCCAATCTCAGTCTCCAATCTTCAAACTCCCCATCGAGCTCCGCCTTCGCATCTACTCGTACGCGCTGGGCGATGCGGATGAGTACACGCAGATTGCTTTTATTGGCGGTTACAATTTCACATATTTTCGAGAGCCAGAGAAAGACATGTTTACACCATTGCAGAGAAGGCGGCCAGCAAATCGAAGATTGACAGCACTCATCAAAACATGTAAAAAAATGTACGCATTTCACAGTAGCACAGTATATTGTTGCAGGTTCAAGTAAAACTGACATTTCCCAGCCACGATGAAGCAGTGGAGGTACTATACACCCACAACAAGTTTACTTTAATTGTCGACGCGAGCCGAAACGACCTGAAGCTCAAAAAATTCCTTTCGGAATTGAATCCCACTAGCCTCGCACGAATAAGGCACCTGTCTCTACTTGTCGTCTTCCGCCAAAACTATGTGAGGTGGTACGCGAAAAACAACGAACCAAAGAAGATGAAAACATGGGAGGAAAATTGCGAAGCAGCGCGACAGTTGACAGGGTTGCAACACCTCACCGTTACTGTTTACGGGATCGAGCATAACGAATCAACTACCCACTCGCTGTGGGCTCTACAGTTCCTTTGCCCCCTGAAGTCATTACGGGCAACAAACTTTGCGGTCAAAACTAGGACCCAGTTTCCCGGACACGTACAAGAACAACTGTGTAACGAAGGGGAAGTTTTGCCGTTTAGTTTGGTCGTCGACCAAAGCTTAAAAAACACCGGCAGATATGTACTCAATAACACGGAGTGGGGAAGGCATGACTGGACGACTGACAATGCCAAGTACATAAACACCCCGTATTATGGCCCTCCCAAAGGTCTGGATTACCGTGGGGATCCATATTGGTAGTAGCAAGCTGTATGAATAGCCACGGTTGTAATGAGTTCAATGAAACAACTTCCACTTTCAAAGTCATAAATGCATGTGTTGAGCTGAAGATCGCAAAGTTGTGTCAAATCAGCTTCGAAGGGAGCCGAATTATCCGGATCACAGTCGCGCACAATGTGTACAGTATGTTTGAGTGGATAGCATCTCAGAGAGAAGATTGCATAGCACCAATGATTTGAGGCTCTCAGGATAATTCTTCCAGACTGTCAACTACACGTGTAATCGAGTTCAGTCGCATCGTGACAGTATCACGTAGGGTACTCTGTCAGTTCCTTACTATTGGGTCGGTGCATTCAAACTGTGATAGCCTAGCAGCGGCATCCACCAGATATATATCTATGCAACTACCAACCTAGCATTGGTCAAAATCAACATATCGGGGGCAGCCAACCCTATTGAGTGAGTGTGTGATACAAAGAGCACAGCGGCCCCGAATACTTGCACTGCCGGCCCGAAGCAAGGTTATGAGCTGGCAAAGTCGAAAAAGAGTGCAGTGATTTAAACCACCGTGACTTCCCTTTCTCATATACCAGCAAACGCAGCTTCCTCGGTACCGGCAACAGAATTGTGACTTGACTGAACCGGCGCGCATAATCCCAAGATCTCAAACTTCACCTCACATATACGCATTCATACACGTCAAAATCATGACCCATGTGTACCTCATACTATTCTCCCTTCTCATTACACATGTAGTGTCCGACGCAGTGCCAGATTTCTCATTCTTAACGTATTGTCAAGTAAGTAATCGCATCACCCCCGCCTACCACAAATCCAGACTTTACCACACCCTAACCCAGTACTCCGTGACAAACAGCAACAATGCTTCATCGTACGAAGAGGTCAAGTCGATGGAATGAACCACTGCGAAGGCGACGCACTTTGCGCATGCCGTGCAGGCGTCGCGGACATTGCTCGAGAATGCGCAGACAAGTGCGGCAAGGATGATACGCAAGCAATGAACGACTTCGTTGATCATTATTGCAATCGTAAGTCAACCACGCAAGTCTATACTGCTGATAAAAAACAACCACTATTGGTTAGGAAGTTAGGGTTAATGATATGGCGTAGAAGGGATTTGGGCAACTCGCTCGAGTAGTCTGAATGCGACGACGTCGACTACATCACTACCGGCGGCATCAACTGATCATGAACCGAATATCACTACGGAAGCTGCGGGAACTGTACAGAGTGCCAATGCAGGCGGGTATGAAGACATTGCCACGATGCGTGTGAGAGTGATTCTCGCGGAAGAGAGTTCTACGATTGTTCCAGCGCATGAGGCTTTTGTTTCTCATATACGTCAGGGAGGGAGTTTGGGAACGATCACTGGCGTTGCTCCGTATTCTACGAATACCGAATTAAAATCGCGAAGTTATGGTGGAGGAGGACTGGGGTATTGAGTATGGGGAACAGAGCGAGGTCTCGTCGTTTCACCGTTGCGTGGAGAATGAGTAAAAGCGTTCCAAAAAGAGTGTTTGGAAGCAAGAATTGGTCTAAACGAACAGGATTCTGTCTACATATCCTATATGATGAACGCATGATTCCACTCATTCCTTGTATCAAGCCGTCAGCGATCAAGAAGATGGCATCATGTCTCAATCCACTACCCTTGACCCCTCATTCATTACTTGACGACGTAAAAGCAAGACCTACTACACACGAACCAACCACTCCACAAAAGCAATTCAATCAAACTACTGTTCAATGCAGTGCATAGGAACAACAATGATATCCCCAAGAGATGAGTTGGCAAGCACCTAGGTAAGCTTAAACGCCCCGCAGCATGACCTCAGCAGCGGTAATTCGTAAACAATACCCCATGGGGAAAAACCCGAGCAAGCACTACATCTGGTGTAATACACACCGCAAAGCCACCAGCCAAACAACACCCCCCCAAATCTCGACATTCGAGAAGGCGAACGTAAGCAGTGTCTCACTCCACGTAAACCGTCAAATCTTTTCGTCCCGAGTGGGGATAATAGCGCGCTGTGGTACATCAACTGTAAGAGTGAGATCAGCACACACCGCTGCTGCAACATTGCATCCACCACCTTGTTGAGGGCAGTGCGATTTGCTTGCTGGATTGAGCACATACGAGTGAGAAGATAAGGCAGAGCGCTGGGTAGTCGAGGGACTTGCGTTAACATCGGATCTCGCTGATTGTTACGCATACCCTTGATCGCATAAGAATTCTCCAAGCAACCTACATAGTAGATTCTCCCTACTGATGTACAAGATCATTAACTCTCCCGTCTGATTATGTTTCGCAGGGGGTGCCAGGGTCGAGATGGTGGTTGTATGATGGCGGACGGTGTTTTGAGGAGGTGGAAGGGGGATTTCAAACGCGTAATGTGAAACGCGGTGACATGGAACGCATCTTGAACGAGGTTGTTCATGGGGAAGGATGCGGGGATGCGGGAAAGGCTTAGCATTATTGTTTATGGAGGGCTGCAATGCGGAAGGCGGATGGATTAATGTGTTGGATAAAATAATGTTGGGTTTTTGGAGGGTGGTATATGGGATTGAGGGCAGGAAAAAAAAACAATTTACTTTGATCTCACGGCGGAATCGTAAACAGTTTTCGAGAAACACGGAAAAATCAACAGCATGTAGGACTCGAGGGTAACAGAATTGTGCATCTGGCGTTGACATTCACGAAACTTGGTTGAGAGCAGAGGGACGCTACGATTCCAAATCCTTATCGATTTCCTCAGCCAACCATTTCGCCTCCTTCTGCATCACTTCCTCACTCCTCGGTTTCCGATCATCATCGGGCGGGAACTCAGTCTTCTGCTTCTTCTCATCCGCCAGCTTCCGCTCCCTCAGCAAGCTCACCACATCGCCATCCTCGCTATCCAACATGGGGTAGATGGCGTCCTCTGGCAAATCGTCCTTCTTTCTCGGGATAATGTGAACATGAACGTGGGCCACGCTCTGCCCCGAGTCGCGACCATCCTGGATAGCGATATTGAGCGCGGAAGCGTGGTAGACGCGCTCAATAGTGCGGGAGACACGCTGGACGGTGAGGAAGAGATCCTGGACCTCGGCAGTGGACAAGTTTGTGAATCTGGGGACGATGCGGTGGGGTGAGACGAGCACATGGCCTGGGAGCAGCGGCTTCAGATTCACGAATGCGAAGGACAGTGGTGAAGTGTGGAAGACCTATATGGCTGAGATGTTACCTACTGGCCGCCATGTTCCTGTCTGCAAGGTATGGTGGCGATTTCAGTTCCAGGACGCGAGTAGATTACGCACATGGCCGGTGACTACGAAGTCGCTGAATTTGACAACGTCCTTGATGAGTGGCGGCATGCTTGCATGGAGCGGCGAGATTGTTGTGGCTGTCTCGTCGTCGAGGCGGTTGCTGGTAGTGCAGTGAGGCTCAAGCTCGCGAGTCTAGATTGGTTGGCGGGCGACGCATCAATTGTCGGAGGTTTCGGCGTTATGCTCCGCGGGGCTTGGCGAGGCAGCACGTGATGGTGACGGCGAAGGCGAGACAAGCTCTCCAGGAAGGTGTGACGCCAACAACAGCAACAAACAAAACATCAAACGCCAACCACGGGGAGACAGGGGGGATGGGCAACTGCAGGCGAGACGAGTCAAGGCGATTCACGAGGCGACAGGAATGGATTTCGCACGTGATGGGCAGACGAGTGTGTTTCGGTCAACTGGTGTCTTCGAAAGGAACATGGACGAATGTTTGGATGCTTCCAAATCAGAGTCCAGACTGCTGTCAGCGTCGTCCAGACGGGACGAAGCCACATACGCACACACGTACTCTACGTGCGTACACGAAGGCGAGAGGCAGACTGGACGGGTTGGAAGAAACAGGCTTGTCGACAGGGAAATGATGACGGCCTCTCTGCTCTGCTTTCGATGCCTGCATCTTTTGATGCATTCACAACCAATCCACGGCGCATGCATGCACTCCATGTTGAAGCGTAATGGCGACAAATAACCAGCGTAATGACTTGGGGAGCTCCATACTCCAAACCCCCACCACGTCAGCCGACACTGCGAATGCGCAGAAGCGACTCCCACTCGTGCCGCGTTCTTGCAAATCCATTCGCGTACTCCCTCACTCACCCCCTTACCTTGGACCTTGGCTGTGTAGGCTCAGCCCGGCCGGCGCATGCAGTCAGTCGCACATTCGAGTCTGACTGACTGACTGACAGCCTGCGACATGACTTTGGCCTCCATCTATTTGGTATTGCCGGTACGACGCCCAGGGAAGGTATCTCGTCACCATCCCAAGTCCGTAGACGGTCCGTCGGACCAACTCACACTACACTCACTACAGTGCAGTAGGGACTGCTGGACGGGCTGTAGGATGCTGCTATCAGTCCAGGCAGGCAACCTAGTGGTTAATGTTATCGTCGCTGCTGTCGCCATAGAATACTAATCCACCTCAATCGTATAAATCCACACACATCCTCTCCCATCATCCATCCATCCATCCATCCCGGACCTCGAACCAACAGAACTCATCGATCCCTAGACAGCAGCCCGCGCCCCTCACATCACTAACCGGCTTGGACAGACACATCCGCCTCCTTTCTCATTCCTTATCAGCGACCCGGTGCTCGGGCTGGGTCTTCTGTGGACCGGACCCTGAGCAGCAGAGTGGAGCAGAGGCCGCCTAACCATCTCGTCCAACATCATTGATTCTCCCCATCATCGCTTGCTTTGTTGTTTTGACAAGCGCGAAACTCGGACACAAACTTGGCTGCTGCTAAGGTAACAGGCCAATCTTCCAAACACTTGTTTCTCCACCGCCGGCTGGAAAAAGCACACCCAAACACAGACACAGGCCGTCACAGTCGCACTGATCGCCATCCATCTGCATTTCCCACGCCTTGGCGGTTTCTCAGACAACCCCACCACCTGCGCTGCGCTGCGCTGCACTGCATAGTTACTTGATATCCACTCGCCATAACCTCGCTCCCCCCCATACAGCGCCGCGCCCGTCCGCCGCAGACGTCGGGGCATCCCGTTTCAGCCTCCATTTGGAATCTGCTGTACATGCTCTCGACCTATAAAGCCCGTCAAGTCGACCAGTTCTTTTCCGTATACATAGACTCGGTGGAAGAGCACAGAAGCACACCCATCTACTCACTTACTTAGTCAACCCACCCCACGCCGATATCTCGCCGAGGTTCAACCAGGCGACTAAGCAGCTCGGGGGATCCATCTCTCGGAGCGCCGTTGGCTTTTTTTGCCCCGCCGGCCATTGGTTCCTGCACTGGACCCTCACCTAGCTACTTAGCTATACCATTTCATTTTATTCGCAACCGCTCTTCTCTTCTTCCTCCACACACCACACTACAAAAGAGGCCCCTCTCCCCCCTGCCTCTCTCTCCAATTCTCACTCGCCCTATCTACCATCGACACATATCCAATTCCATCATCATCACCGCTGCCGCCACAATACGATTCCCGAGATCGGCCCCGCAACCTGCAGCCCAACACGACATCAGTGATATAATACACACACACATCCACTCACTCCGCCTACCTACCCGCGAATCAACCACCTCTGTCCAGCTACCGCTCGTGAGATTACACGCAGCATTCCATCATGGACATCACCCAGACCTCCCGCGCCTACTTCGCCATGCCCTCGCCAACCCCCTCCGAGAAGATTTCCCTAGCAGCCTCGAGCACAGTGTACACCTATCACTGCCTGTGCACCCACCTGCTCCTTGCTACAAGCACACCGCTCCCCGCTCTTCCTAAGCGCAAAAATTCCCAAGATGGCGCCCACATGATGCCCCTCCCCCCACCACCCACCACATCCACCACCACAGCATCAACCACCGGACAACTCTCGGCAGCAGCAGCTCGCGTAGCCGCTCGGCGCGCCTCCGAAGTCACCCCCAGCGATCACTACGGCCTTCTCCTCTCCACCCACCTCGATGGAGCCCCGGAAGTCGTGACCAGCTCCGATGGCTTCGAGAAGCGGTACCTCCAGCGCTGTGGCCGCTGCGCCCTCGTTGTAGGCTACCAACTTGATTGGCAGCAGTTCGGCTCTGGCGAGCGACACGGACGGCGCGACGATATCGTCTATCTCCTTCCCGGCGGGTTCGTCACTACCTCCGACATGATCATGGGCGGCAAGGCTGCTGCTTCTGCCGGAGCGGGAACGGGAACTGCTGGGGGGAACGCGAGTTCGGAGAAGGCGGGGCTAGGCTTGGTCAGCGTTTCCGAGGTTAAAGTTTGATTGGGATGCGGAATGGAATCTTCTCCCTTCCTTTTTCCCTCGATTCTCTGCAAAGCCACCGAGCTTCTCGGTCCCTGTTGAGCCCGCCCCCCGGAAAACATGGATTGGTTCGGGAACCATGTCTGGTCTGGCCAGACTGGCTATCGGCACGCACGTACGCTCGCTCGTGGCACACCGATCCTCTCTCCCGTTATCTTCCTTATTTCCCGCTCCCTGCTCCATCCACCTTTCCCTGGTGTCTTACCATCGGGACGTTATTCATCGTCCTTGTTCCCCTCTCCATGAACCTTCTTTCATCATCCGATTGGAAAGTTTGGAGCGATCGGCACCTGCGGGGGAGCGGCGGAGAACGGGACAAGTACTGTGGCGTAACGATCACGAGCCTGCCTTTCCCATGTTTTGTTTTCCTACTCTTATACACACACGGCTGTTTTACTCTGCGGTATTGATTCCGCTCTTTGATTGCTACGGCTCTTTTTTTTTTTTTATAATCTATGTTGGGTCTTATTAACGGCTGACGGCGTTTTTTTCTTCTTTTTTTCTATATTCTTGGGCTATCAATGGAGTATTACAATTATTACCAGAGTTTGGGGTCTTTGGTGGATTCGTTTCCTAGACTGTTTAGGTGTAGGGGTTTATCTTGGATTGGCGGCATAGTTTCCACACTGTATTTGGTTTTTTTTCTCACTCTATCTCTCTCTGGTTATCTCATTCTTCAGATCAGATTTATCAACGATACCCATTCACAACGCTTTCCTCGTCTGCTTCTCCAGAACAACGCATTGAGGTGATTTTCACATGCCCCAACGTCAACGCCTCGATCCAATTCCCAACAGGAATGGGTGGAATATCAATCACACATATAGACACACGCATGACAAGTCAGCCGTCGAACATTGGTTTCATTTGAGAATTTCCCGCAACTGATAAAAACGCCTGATGCCGGTGCCACCGCTTTGCATGCATACATGAGATATCTACTCCAATAGAAAACACGGGGGGAAAAATCGTGGACGGGGGATCGAGAAGAGTGACGAGTGCCAGGGATAAAAAAAAACAAGGAAACAAGAGAACAGGAGATGAAAACAAGCAACGACAAGACCCAAGATCGAGCCACTCAAGCTTTCTCGTGCCGTCGGGTTGCCCCCCCACCGCCGGCGCTGTTCAGCCCCGCACGCTATCACATCCAGAAGGATCGTAAGCCCAGGGATGTTGTTGTTGGACGGGATGGATAAAAAACGCCCAACACGAAGTCGACCCCCGCACGCTTGGGCTTTGCTGGGCGCGTGAACACGACGCCTCCGACTCAACACACGGAATGCATGGATAGATGGCCAGTCGTAAAAAAATGTCCCGCTCGTTATTCTTAGTTCTCCGCAATCGTCTTGACGAATTCTGTACAAGTCACACACATATCACGTCAGCACAGTCCAAAGCCATCATGCACACTGTCTCCCATGCACCCGCGAGTGAAGGGAGAGAGAGAGAGAGAGAGAAAGATAGGACAAACTCACCCCTGTAGTCCACCTCGTTATTCCCGGTATCAATGGTGCTCTTGAACAGCTCCTCGACCTCCTCCTCGCTCATCTTCTCGCCCAGGTTCGTCAAAATGTACTTGATCTGACCCTTTCCGACGAACCCCGAGCGGTCCTTGTCGAAGACCTGGAAGCCGCGGATGTACTCTTCGATATCAAAGGGCTCGCGGAAGCCGCCGGGGCGGTTGAGGATCTTGCTGAAGGTCTCGAAGTCGACTGTTTTTCCCCAAAGATGATTAGTGAACAGCTCCGAGAAGTATTGGCAGGGGGTGGGGGCTAGTATGAAGTATATAGAAGAGCTGAGAAGGGGAGAAAGAGACAACGTACAGTCTGCGCCGACGCCGCGCTCGAGCTCAGTGATTTCGGCGAGGGTGGGGTTTTGACCGCAGGCGCGGAGGAGGTCGCCCAGGGAGCCTCGCTCGACGCGGCCGTTGCCGCGCTTGTCGAAGAGCTGGAAGGCTTCGCGGTAGTTGGTGGAGGCCTGGTTGCTGTTATCCATTGCTGTCCACTTTTATGTGACTTTCCCCTCGCTCTCGCTCCCTCTGTTCTTTGTGTATGTGTGCGCGGCAGGTAGGCAGACAGGCAATCAGAAGGGTGGTGTTGGTGGTTGTGACGACGACGGGGATGCTGCGGAGGTGGTTCGGGGGTTGTTGTGGTTGCCGTGGCAGTGTTTGTAACACCGACGGCGTGCTGGCGGGAGGATGCTTCCCAGGTCCGTGTATTCGTGTGGGTAGTATGAAGGGATCGGGCTAGTTGTTGCTGTCGTTGGTTTTTGTTGTCGGCTCGATGGTTTGCTGGTGAGCCGGTCGATGGTAGTTTCCCCGCCCGTGGATGGTGAGGGTGATGGGCGATGTATCCATTTCCACGGCGTCGGCGCGGCCTCACATGACAACACGACAACCGGCCAGCAAAGCCAGCACAGCCAAAGTGAAAGGATGCAGCCAACCAACCAGCCAGTTCGCGCTTCTGGTATGCCCTTTTGCCTGCCTACTTGCGCACACGGTCCAGGGTCTCATGGGGGGTCATGTGTTGCACTCACCATTGTGTCTGTTTTCTCTCAAAAAGGGTGGTGCAGGTTATTGGATGAAGGGGGCTCTTTCGGGCAGAGAACAGCAGGATGGCGTGGATATGCAAGGAGAGATATGTGTATCCCAAGAATTGGATCGTGAGAGGAAAGTCGGTGGTTTTGGTTTTGGCTGTAAGTCTGTTTGATGGGACGGGGGGGAACAGGCCTGAGCGCGGGCCGTGTCGACGCGCCAAGCAAAGACGAGGGGGGTTGTCAGGGAAACCACTTCACCCACCACCACCACCACCACCAACACACGAACCTCTGCTACTCCGCAATGACGTTGAAGACGCAGTGAGGCAATTCTATTCCAGATGAACCGGAAGCTTCTGATTACCAGTGTGCGCAATGTCGACATTCCATCTCGTCCACTTTCCAACCTTCTCGCTACACCTGCTCCAACCATCAGGGACCTCATCTGGCGGTGAGACTGCGCTATTCTAACGCCCTAGCTGCTGCTACAGTACATGTCAGCTTCACAAGGCAATGGATCGATCAGGAGTCAGTTTTACGAGCAGGTGGCTTAAGCACCTCTATTGGTCATGCAAGTCGATCAACGAAAGAAAAAAAAACTTGCGATATATACATTCCCTCCCTCTCTACCCAACCAAAGAGGCAGCAAGCATAATCAGTCCTCCAAATCCATCCATCCCCAAACACCATTCCTCCCAATCTGCTACTTTTCTCTCCTGTCCCGTCTCCCCCGCCCCCATATACCCCGAGAAATGATCTGCGCAAAAAGTCTTGCCCGCTTTAATCTCCAACAGCTCCCCGTCCTTTGCTAACCCAAACACCGTCGGCGACCCGTATTCTTTTTGTGCCTCCATCCGCCACGCCTCCTGGCTGCTAGCCTCCCACAGCTCTTTCTTGCTAGGCAGTGGGGCGATGATGAGGTCTCTTTGTAGATCGCACATCGTCGCTGGATCCAGATACACAATCATGCCTACGATTCGGAACATTGCAGAAAGTCTACGCCGGGACTCTTCAAACACCCAGTCTTTCCACCCGATTCTCCCACCGTAGAGGCAGTTTGCGTAAACAGTGTCGCATTTCCAGCCAATATTTTGGACTTGCATGGTAAGTAACTGCAGGAGGTCATGGTTAGATTGTGATCCATCAGTGGCGAGAAGAGTGGGTGGACGCGTAACTTACTGCTAGGGTCGATAGGAGGAGGAAGTCAACGTTGTTTTCGTCTGTCTCTCCCTCACAGATTCGGACGAGGAGGTACACCGACACCGCTTGCATGCCAATGAGGATGTCCCATCTATCAAAATTCACAATCTTTTTCAACAAACACGCAAGGTCAGCTCGTCCGGAACTAACAACACATATGATTCTCCAAAGTGATCATTTATGGGGCAAGTGGAACACACCTCTGCGCGGATACGTTCACACTCCGCCGTAACATTCTTCCAGAACAACTTCCGGCTTCCTTGAACTTTGCCGCTAATCATCCTCACCAAACCAATGCAATTCGTCAAAGAGTCCAGTGACACACCTTCAAGACCTAAGGCTTGGAACTGCGGGTGGATAAACGGTGGAAGCTTGTCGTGCCGCAGCATCATCAGTGGATATGACCTCAGCGTACGGAGCAGCAAGTCGGCAATCCTCTGCTTCCCTTTATTGAGATCCTGCCTGAACATGAGCTTCCGCGGGCTCGCCATCGGCCTGGGAATCCACTCCGGGGGTGCTATTGCAGGTTGTGCTGTTACTCCGATATCGTAAAAAGAGGGTGCCAGTTCAGATAGGTTTAGTGGCGTTGGCAGGCCGGATTGGTGTGCAGGTTGTCCATACTCTTGAAGATAATCGAGTGCAGAAAAGTCTATGTCGATCCCGCCCCAGTCCGCCGAGGCGTCGTCAAATGGGACAAGTTCCTGTCCGGGAACAATGCATCCATCTTCCAGGGTGATGACTTGGTCGATATCGTCGACAGTTGATGGCGTAATTACAACATCGGCAGGAAGTTGAGAAATGTTGTTGAGCATACCATTGCGTGTTCTATCTTTGGGTTGTCTGCTCCTCGTAGTTTTGATAGGATACTGGCACACAAGGCCTTTAGCCACGCACCGGGAGCAAGAAGGTCGTTCATTTCCACAACGCGTCTTGTTCGATGCGCAGGAGGTGCAAGACCGTGCCCGAGTCGAACTAGTACCATTCCGCGACCGACAATAGTATCCGTGTCTCTTCAGTGAGGCGGCTGCAAGTGACTGTTATCAGCACGAGATCACTCATACAACATCCAATCGGAATTTTACATACGCTTATCGAACGGCTTGTTGCACTGTCCGCATCGGAGGACAGTGTGCACATCTCCCGCTTGCATGGTGATCGTGGTTTGATCGATTGTGTTCAGAGGAAGGAGATTCCCTTTTGAAAAGCCCGAGGATTCTTCTCAGAGATGAACGGCCATGCGAACCCTCGTTCCACGTGTGGCATGTTACCCACGTTGGATCTCGTGGTTTTGTCAGCGTACGTGCACGCACGTGCTATTTTTCGGGCACAACAAATTGTAAATTCCGAGATCCTACACTGTCCGCATCGGGACTAGCGTCACCTAGCCGGAGCCCTACGAGATGGTATACCGAGAGTAAAAAACGACTACACTTGTCAGAGAAGTGGTCGATGTATACAAGTGTATGAATGTAAGCTGATAGGAATTAGTGATTGTCCCTTACTTCGGGATGAATTGAACAACCTCTTCCTCTCTCAATCAATCATGTAAGAAAGCTCACACACCTGGATATAAAAGACAAGAAGCACCCTCTTCCAGGTGATTGAAAAGCAACATTTCAGTTTGTTCATTCAAATCCAATCCTGAAGGTCACTTCACATCCAAGTAATACCACCGCCATCAAAATGTCCCGACCATTCCCCTCCTACACCAAAACCTACCATCATACCCCCTCCCCAACCATCTCCCCCAGCCGCCCCGCCCTCTCCGCCAGCGGAAAATCCATCCTCATAACCGGCGGCGGTGCAGGAATGGGCGTGCAAAACGCCCTCGCCTTCGCCGAAGCAGGAGCCTCGCACATCGCCCTCCTAGGCCGCCGCCTCGAGCCCCTCCTATCCACCAAAACCCTCCTCAACCACCACTTCCCCACCGTCGACGTCTTCACCGCATCCGTCGACATCGGCATCAAGCAGCAAGTCGACACCGCCTTCGCAGATTTCACATCGCACACCCACGGCAGGAAAATCGACGTCCTAATTAGCAACGCCGCCGCCATCGGCCCCTTGGAATCCCTCGGCCACACCCCCGTCGACGAAATATCCTCGTATATCGCCGCCAGCATCAAAGGCGCTGCGTATCTCGCCGACGCGTTCCTTCGACACCGCGCCCCGCGCGACGCCGTCGTCGTCAATGTGAGCTCCGCAAACGCATACCTGAATCTCGTGCCAAAGTATCTGAGCTATGGCGTTGCGAAGGCCGCGATTGCGAGGTTGTGGGATACGGTGCTTTTCACGAATCAGGGCGAGCTCTGTGTTTACCATACCCAGCCGGGGATTGTGGATACGGGTATGAATCAGGAGTTTCGAGGGGGTGCGCCAAAGGATGAGCGTGTTGCTGATGAAGGTACGTTTCTCCCACCCCTCCTCTTTTTGTTACCGCCGTCGCGGATTTGTGATGGGGCTTTTTGATGAGCGAGTTGGCGTGGCTGACTGAATGATGGATGGGTGGATCAGCGTCTCTGCCGGCGAATTTCAACGCTTGGCTCGCGAGTCCCGAAGCGCGGTTTTTGAATGGTAGGTTCGTGTGGGCGAATTGGGATGTTGACGAGCTTCTGGCGAGGAAGGAGGAGATTGAGAAGAGCGAGGATTTGAAAGTTTCGTGTGTGGGGTGGATGAGATATGGGCCTACCGCTTAGATAGATTATGGGGGTCGAGTGGGTACGGGGTCGTTGGTAGCTAGCTGTTGCGGTTAAGGATCGTGAAATTCGTTGCTGGAATGTTTGTTAGGTATATGTAGAGCCGAGATGGGGATCGAAAACTAGTGTTATGAAATATGAGAAGACATATGGAAACTGTGTTGAGTACTCCTTTGACAACATGAATTATCGCTGTCAATGAGCAATGCTTATTATTCGTTCATACCCATCAAGACAAAATCTGATCCAATTCCCGCGCATACCTGTGGCTCTCATGTGCACACATATTGAAACCTCGAACCCATTATCCCAAATAACCCGACCTTCCTTACCCTATCCAAACCGTATCCGCTTACACTGATCCCAATCCTCGCCAATCCCAAACAACTCAATGCCGATAGCCATAAAACGGAATCGATCTCAGAAACATCTTCGCAAAGCTGTCTTCCTTGGCCTTGTCGAGCGGATACAGTCGCCCATCGCGAGTGTACTTTACGAACTGGGAGTACGATTGGAATTGCTTGACGGGACGCTCTTCGGAGAGGAAGTCGTAGATGTTGACAAGGCTGCTTTTCAAAGCCTATACCACAGTCTTGTATTAGTGTTTCGTTGCATACCGAGTTTTCCGTGAGAGGTGGAGGTGGTCATGGGAGATGGGGTGAAGAGGGGGAAAGGAGATACTGACTTTCTTGCACTGCGTGATGCTAGATGGAGCAGGCTCGATACCGACATCGACGCAGAGTAGCTGCCACATGTCCAGTTTGGTATAATCAGTGCCGTATTCGCGATCGAAATGCTCGTTGATAGCGGCGATTTTGACTCCGCCAGTCTTCTTGGCCTTGCTCTTCTTCTTCTTCTTCTTTTTGCTCTTGGACTTCGTGCTGGGTGCGCCTTCCGCGGGGGCTGCGTCATCCAGGGAGACGTTTGCGGTTTTGGCGGTGAGTTGGTCCATCTCGACACCTGAGTCGATGGCGGGAGATAGACCGGCCGGATCCTTGGAGTTCAGTGACATTGCTGCGGTTGTGTTGGTGAGGTCGTCGAGTGCGGAGTCCGTTGGTGGGTTGGTGTTTAGAGACATTGCGGCTGTTGTGGCGGCGAGCTGGTCGAGAGCAGCGTCTTCGCCTGACACAGTTTTTCCTTTGCGATGTTTGAGAATTTTGGAGAATGGGAATCTGGGGTTTACCACAATCAATTGTACTTACCAGCATCGAAATCATCCCCGAAGCCTAGTAATAAGTCAGCATAGTTGATTCGATATAGATACATTCAAATGCTACTATATGCGGCGCATCGTCGCACGTTATCGGATTGGGAATACTCACATTGCTTCCACTGAGCGCACCACTCATCATCGCCGGGGCTCCAATCTTTCTGGTTGATAGCGAGCGACTTGAACTGCTCCTGGGGTGAGAGCCGCGTATTCAGGGGCGCGGCGAGCTCCTCAGCCCACTCGCGAAGGAAGCGTTTCTGTTTCTTGAGAGCGATAGGCATCTTTGAATACTTTCGAGTGGGATTGACGTATAGCAAGACTCAAGTGGTAATATAAATACCGGACGCGCAGTTTGTTGGGGATCACGTGTTCTCGCGCCTTCAACGATGTTTGCTTGCCGAAATGGTACCAAACAAAGTGCAGGGGTGGAGCAAACGAAGACAAGCCAGTGAACGGGGATTGATCAAATGTTGTGTAACGAGGCTGTGGTAGTGTAAATTTCCTGCTGCTCAGGGTTGAAAGAGGAGAGAACGAAAAGAGAAGGTTTGTGAATAGTCTGACGCGTGGATGAGGGCTAACAAAGGGGCGCGAAAGGAAATTGGGCGGAATGCTCACGTCGTTATTCCAAGACCCGGAGCGGAAGGGACGATAGAAAAAAAGGACAAGAGTTAGACTATACAGATTAGAAAACAAGCGGTGGGAATTATGAAATGCAGTGTAACCTTGGAGGAAAAGAAATGGTAGAAAAAGAAAGCAAGAAAAAAGGAGTCGGAAAGTCACTTGCCGCAACGCTGCGCAGTGGCCAATTGGTGCTTATCTCGAAAATCATATTTGGAGCAAAGGTACTGTGTTGCACAGAGGGCGGCGAACGGCCCGATTTAGTGCTTATTCTCAAACTTTAGGCCGCTCTCCTTGCGAACTGCACCGTAAATACTTGGGATGTCTCCTTTGTCGCCAAGGTGATCCTTCACTTGTTCCAGATGCTCCCTCGCAGCGCGCAGCGCGGGCACACTGCATTCGCTCCTTTCCGCCAGTGTAATCGCGTGGTTACTATCTTTCAAAGCTAGGTCAATATGGAATAGTGGCTCCTCTCTCTGATAATAATCGCCAGCCAGCATTCTGTTCGAATACGCGGCGTAAGGGCCTGGAAACATGGTCTCGATGAATTGATGGAGGTTGTCGTTGCCGAGACCGGTTTTCTCCGCCAAAACATGACCTTCCGAGAGAACCTCTACCATGTTGAGGACGAAGGTATTGCCGATGATCTTCAGAAGACTGGATTTACCGGCAGGTTGGTCAGAAAAGTCTACCATGGCTCGACCAATGACGCCTTTAGTATATGGCTTGACCTTCTCCACGGATGAGGCCATGCCAGCGCATACACAGATCAACTGCCCTGCATCGGCCATTGCGGGGGCGCCGAAAACTATCGACGAGATATAATTGTCAGTAGACTATGAGTTGAACTGGACGAAAAGGACCAACCTGGCATGGCCACAAATCCTGCGCCCTTGACTGTAATTCGCTTTTCCAGGTCGTTGGAGGTGTCGGGGTGGATAGTGGATGAATCGACAATCAGCTTTCCGGTGACGTCGTTCTCCAGTATGGTATCTACTGTTTGATTGACCGAATCATCTTTCCCCAGACACATGAATATGATGTCAACATTCTTCACTGCATCCGCGACAGATGCCACTGCTTTGGCCTTGTCGGCGCCCAGTTCAGCCGAAAGATCATCGGCCCGCTTCCTGGTCCGATTGTAAAGGATGAGTGGCTTGTCTAAGCCCCCCTTTTCTACCAGATTTCTGCACATGCCCTATAACGGTGAGATTAGATCAGGGTAAGGTTTGATGTTGCACAGTATTTCAAAAATAAAAAGAATCTCACCCTTCCCATGTTGCCGAGGCCTATCCATGCAATTTGAGGAGCCATGGTGTCGGATATCGGAGGCAGATGTGGGTCTTCGCGAACGTAGATTTGGAGATGGTGCTGTACACAAATCAGGTATATCAAACAGTTGTATTTCTATGTCTGAATTCAAATAGTGTAAGTAGGAAGGCCGTTGAAGGTGTCGGAGATGGTGGAAGTGGTGGGAGCAAGTGCCGGGGATGCGGATAAGGTTTCGGGCCGATGCATGACGTTTATCGATTGGACGTCCCTGTCGATCGCGCTGCAGCACCTCCGATTCACAACCGATCCAAAATTCCCAAGCCCTCTTCACCCGTCATGAGCACATAGGCCGGAGAAGCAATATAACGCTTGGAAAGACTGTGTGTGTGCAGGGTAGGATGAAGCATGTTCACCCGTTGCAAAGCCCAATCGCGGGGCCTAGGAACGGTCAATGTGAGTCGGTTTTTGCTTCTTTCAACACGAGCATGAGGATTGACTCACCATCTCCATTGTCGTCTATCTGGTCTCACCTGTACGTGTCTCACATGTGCAACACGCGCCGGCGTCATGTCATATCATATTCTGCAATTGATGACTGACTTGAGTGGGTATAGAAGTATGCACAATGGCGCGCTGAAGACAGCAGCTACCTCTCCAAGTCTGCGACCTCAATCGTGACCCCAACCGACCGCTCGTATTCCTACAAATCGAACAATGGCAGGCAAAGCGTAGCAAAAGAGCGTCAACGAGCTGAACGAGATGAATTGACCCGCCTGCTCAAAGAATCGCCCGGCAAACGCGATGCGCGCAATTTCTTCAAACACTTCGATACGCCCAAACCCTCGAACCCAATTGTCAAGGCAGATACCAAAGCACAACAGGCACATCACGATGAATGGAGGCTATCACAAACAGGCGTAAATCTAGGCAGTTTGTATGAGCCCACGAAAGCCATTCAAAATAATCCCGTATGGACCCAGCAAGAACTGCCAGACAAGGCACCACGGGCCAAAGATCTGGAACCACTCCATCTGGCGCTAGTGAAGCTTCGACAGCCCCAAGCCTTGGACGATACCACATTGACCAACCTCGCTTTGACTTTGGGCCAAATGGCAAAGCTAGGCCTCAGCATCGTCGTTGTCGTCGACTGTGACGAGCAAGTGCAGCCGTCCAAGATCGAGTTCAGTCCTGTTTGGGAGACTTTGGTTCGCGAACAAACATCTCGTATCGCCGATACCCTGGATCAGTTCAGCCAGCCTGGCGCTTTTGCTGTGTCTCATGCGTTGTCTGTATCTGATGCTGGGAGGAACCTAGCAACGGCACAAGAACACTCATGCTTGGTTGAAGTGAAGAACAATCACCTACTCTTTCCCCCGATCGAGGAGGGCATCATCCCAGTCATTCCATGTTTTGCATATGATCCACAGCTGAAGAAAATGCGGGTGCATGCCGACGATGTGGTTCTTGCACTGACCCGCGAGTTTGCTGGTATCGCGACTCGAAGCACTGTCGAGACATCTAAGGATGAGCACGATGCTCTTTACAGCAGAGATCGAATCGAGTCAGACGTCACGGCCCTAGATCGCATCATTATATTGGATCCATTGGGTGGTATACCCTGTGAAGACCGAGCAGATGGAGCACATGTTTTCATCAACCTGGAAGCGGAGCACAGTGATGTACGGAAAGAGCTACTGGGTACCGGCCCCAGTCATCAAACTGGCCGCAGCACAAACTCATCACTGGGCGCCTACAACCCCCTATCAAAGTTTGTCGAGTCCGAGCTTGCTCCTCCTTTTGGCTCGGGCCTTACCCAGATTTCCGATGCTCAACAGCCATCTCGACATGTTAAAAATCTTGATCTAGCGCACCAAGCCCTCAGGTGCTTACCACCATCCTCATCGGCATTGATCATTACTCCCGAAGAGGCCGCGATATCCTCTCAGACAGCTTTGAAAGAGCCTACCTCGACTGGCGTACGGACCCGACGATCGAAAAACCCTCTAATTCACAACCTGCTTACTGACAAACCCATGACCTCATCATCACTTCCAGCTCCCCTTGTCACTCGCCATCTTGCATCTACTGCCCCCAACCCAGCCACTTTCCTCAAAAAAGGTATACCGGTCACCATGGTTCCGGACCCCCGCGAAACAGGTCCCTGGAAACCTCCTTCGTCTTCAAACGCAAGCATACAACTGGAAAATGACCCCCGCATCAATTTCCCTCGCTTAGTCGAATTGATCGAAGATTCCTTCCGCCGGAAACTTGACGCTCACCACTATCTGGAACGAGTCCGTGGACGTATAGCTGGTGTCATCATCGCTGGTGACTACGAAGGCGGCGCGATCTGTACGTGGGAAAGCCCATCTTCACTTTCCACGACTCCGTCACAAGAGGATTCGCATCTATGGATCCCGTACCTCGATAAATTCGCCGTCCTCACCTCTTCACAAGGATCTGGTGGTATAGCCGATATCGTCTGGGGTGCTCTCACTAGATCCGCTTTCCCTGAGGGAGTGGTCTGGCGCAGTAGAAAGAAGAATCCTGTGAATAAGTGGTATTTGGAGCGGAGTGTGGGGAACTGGAATCTTATGGATGGTTACTGGACTATGTTTTGGACGTCAGAAGGGGTTGAGGAGAAGATGCCCGAAAGGAAAGCGATAGGTGATGGTGTTGATGCAGAGGTTGGGAGGATGACGCGGTGGGATGCGTATGTGGATGTTTGTGCGGGTGTCAAGCCGAGTTGGAGTGACGCTAAGACTCCTGATTGAATGGATGTTGCTATTACCAACATTATGTCTTCGAGAGACGATTGTGGTGAAATTTTCCGATGCCTCTGGGGGAGTCTGCTTAATTTCAGTCACCTGACGTTAAATGCAAAACTGCTGCAAACTACCGGATGGCTCCGAGGATATGCTTGACTTGACCGAGGTAATGAATTTTGACTGAAAGAGTTATTAATACAACTAACTTGCCATACTCATGCAACTATGGCAGAGTAGCCTTGAGAGGCATGACTATAGCATGGTTTCGAAACATCGCTTACAGGGGAATTTGGGCAAACGGCAGAGATCAACATCTCCTCATATGCAGCAATTTCAATCAGCATCCCCACTTTCCACAGGCAATGCATTTCATAGGCTGTAAGTTTCCATGTTTCGCTTGCAAAATCCTCCCATTTGCCAGCGCAGTCATCGCGCCGACGCAGCAGACCGGGTAGCAACCCTGTCGGAGAAATTGGCATGTTAGCAAAACGGGGAAATATCATTAGCTCCAGGTTTCAGACGATCCCCGCAATTCAGAATAGAGTGAACAAGACCGTTTAGGGGGGGATTTCGTCTATCGCTTTCACCTACGCGGGCTACAAGTGGTCAGCAGCACCCTATAAAGCAACACTCGGTGGAATTGTTCGAGAATGGACAACTCAGTTCGTCTATGATCATCTACGTACGTAAGTGTTTCGCCTACTGCCTTGCAGATCGTCTGAGCTTATTTCCATTTGCGGTTAATTCTCAGTAGAACCACCGCTTATAAAACCCCAGATGCCAAGCTCGCCAAGACGAATCAGTTAGCCCTGTTATAATAATCTTGCTACAGAATAATTAAAGGCTTTGGTCATGAACTCTGGCTATCGGCAGATTTCATTAAAGAAACTGGGGTGCAGCGGCAGTTGCAAACCTAACTTCAACGGCTATGTCATACTAAGGAGAAAAGACATTTATATATCGGCTCGATCCGCACGGTAACCATGCTCACACAACACCAACAACCCATTGTCCCACCAAAATGTACGGTCTCCTCTCCTCTGCCTGCCTTCTTCTGGCCACGGCCACGTCCGTGATTGCGGCAAACTCTCCCGGCTGCGGGAAAGCCAAAACCATCACAAACAAGCAGTACTCGATGAATGTCAACGGCAAGAACCGCAACTACTTCGTCTGGGTACCAGATAACTACAACCAAAACAACCCTTACCGCATTGTCTACGAGTGGCATCAACTCGGCGGCAGCGCCCAGAAGATCGTCAACGGAGAGAACCCCAACGCCGGCGGTGTCCTCCCATACTACGGGCTCAAGGACATTTCCAACAACTCGGCCATCTTCGTCGTCCCCGATGGCTTGAACGCCGGATGGGGCAACCAAAACGGTGAAGACGTCACCTTCTTTGACCAGCTCGTGAAGACCGTCGAGTCGGACCTCTGCGTGAACGACAAACTCCGCTTCTCCACTGGCTTCAGCTACGGCGGCGCCATGTCGTACGCTCTCGCCTGCGCCCGTCCCGACATGATCCGCGCCGTTGCCGTCATCTCTGGCGCCCAATTGAGCGGCTGCTCCGGCGGAAACACCCCGGTTGCTTACTATGGCCAGCACGGCACCTCCGACTCTGTCCTTAACGTTTCACAGGGCCGTCAGCTCCGCGATAAGTTTGTCGGTCTTAACGGCTGCCAGAAACCTGCTTCCGAGCCCCAGCCTAACGGTGGTAACTCGGTCAAGACTGTGTATACTGGCTGCAAGGAGGGCTACCCGTTGACGTGGGTCATTCACAACGGTGACCACAACCCGTCGCAGGTCAACCAGGGCCAGAGCACTCCTTTTGCTCCCGCCAACTCTTGGGAGTTCTTCACTCAATTCACGTGATTGTGTTTCGCCTTCTCTCTAGGATGGTGGTGGAACGTGTGGATGTGGCTGGGCTATGTATATATCAAAATCGTACCAGTTTCCAAACAGATCTTTCTTTTCGTGATTGAGTCGTGGAACGATATTTATACAAACTGAATCTGATTGGTTGAGGTCTTCGTGATATACATGCCCTTACCGGACTAATTGTAGTACCGCAAATATCTCTTATCCACGGCATCTCCACAATATAATGGATGTTTGGCGTGTAGTTTAAAGAAAATTTTGCGGTCAAGCGGTAAAAATAATGAAGCCAGTTGGAAATACGGAGCCAGTAATATTCTCTCTTTGGTAACGCTCTGAGTGGCAAAAGTAATCCATCGTACCCTCTATCATATTCCAACCTTTTGTTTAGCTACTTTGAGTAATGTACGATGGATTTCGTAATACGTCAGAGACCGAGTACCTAATCGAATGCCAAGCCCGTCCCCCGCTTTCTCACTCTCGACCCCACTTATACTTCAAACCAACATATGTAGCTAGTTGAGGCGTAGGCTTTGACCGTCAATCAATTTCTCATTTCTATTGTTCCTGCTCATAGTGATGCCTGCTAAAGTGGGTGAGCGTCTTATTGCCCCGACGCTTGACGAATATGCTCTTTCATGTCCGAACCAAGTATTCTACTCTATCCCTAAACATGACAACGATCTGTCACAGGGTTTCAAGAATATTACCTGCAAGCAGTTTTCTAATGCAGTAAATCACGCGGCTGCCTGGCTGCAGACAGAAGTGGTAGATACACTCAATGGCATCCCTTGATTGTACAGTGGTACTGACTTGGAACCACTACTCTAGTTGTCACCAAATGCTACACCGTATGAAGTTATCGCGTATCAGGGCCCAAACGATCTGAGGTACCCAATATTAGCCATCGCAGCTTCCAAAGTGGGCCAGCAGGTAATTGATCTCCGCATCATATTGAGATTCTTGTTGCTGAATGTTCGTTAGATTCTGTTCCCATTTCCCATGGCAGTGACACCAATCAAGCTTCATTTACTCAATTCAACTGGCTGCAAGTACTTACTGCATGTTGCTGATGATAGAGAAGAAGTATCCAAGCTTCTTGTAGACAATCCGCAAATCCAACCCACAGCGGTCCCGGAGTTGGAAGCTTGGCTATACTCTGGTGACGCTCCGGCCTATCCATACAGCAAATCGTGGAATGAAGGGAAAGACGACCCTTGGATCATCTTTCATACTTCAGGAACTACTGGACTGCCAAAACCCATCACATATACAAACTCCATGATGTCCTCTTTTGACGTCGCCCAGACTTTGCCTGAACCGAAAGAGATGACTCAGCTTGGGTGGTGTTTCAATCGTCGATGCTATGGCGTTGTGCCATTGAGTCATTTTTCCGGGCTATGCGCTGCGCTTCAAGGTCCGCTCTTCTTGGAGATGGTGAGTATTCAAGGCCCCGCAGGAAAGGTTACCACGCCTCAAGTTATTTCGGATATACTGCGCTACAGTCAGGCCGAAGGCTTCGTCGGTCTCCCCTTTCTTCTGCAAGCAATGTCGAAAAATCAAGAAACGCTAGAATCACTCAAGGCGCTTGAATTTATTCAATGGATTGGGGCGGCTTTGGACAAAGAAACTGGGGATACGTTGTCGAAATACGTGAAACTTTGTCCAGCAATGGGTACGACCGAATGCGGGCCCTATTTTCTCAGGACGAACGAAGATACTGAAGACTGGGAATACTACGCTTTTCAATCTGGTCAGGGAATCGAGATGATCGAGAAGGCAAATAATCTGTATGAGTTGGTGTTTCAGAAGAAAGATGACGCGATCTGGCAACAAGCTTTCAAAGTGTTCCCCGATTTGGATGTTTTCGAAACGAAAGATTTGTTTGAAAAACATAGCAGCAAGGACGGCCTATGGTTATACGCGGGTCGCTCGGATGCCATTGTGGTGCTTTCCAACAGTGCAAACATCAATGCTTCTCGAGTAGAAGATAAGATCGCAGCTCATCCAAGGGTGATAATGGCACTCGTAGGTGGAACTGGTCGTCCGAATTCATTCGTTATTATCGAGCTCACACCTCCTGCAAGCGAAGATTGGAAGATCAAAGGCACAGATGCAATATTGGCTGATCTATGGCCTACGATTGAAGGCGCCAATCAGGATCTTTCGGAGTATACGAGACTCCGAAGGGAATTTGTGATTATCACGGGTTTTGACAGGGGGTTTGCAATAAGCCCGAAAGGCACAATCAGGAGAGAGTTAAGCTTGAAGGCATTCGAGAAGGACATTAGCGCTCTTTTTGCTGGCACATAGCACACTATGTTTAGCGAATGGATTGTCGTGCAGCTCGTGTTTACCGGTCCAGGTTTCTTGACATGATAAAAGCGTAAACTGACATGGTTTTTTTATTGATTTCAAGTCATCGAGAAGCGTTTGGAGCTATCTGGAAGAGGCTTCGCGTCTTAATCGATCTAGAAGTTCTGAATAGTGGATGTGATATCGTCCTTCTTCCCGGTAGGCAAAGCAATGGGTTGTTGAGAACAGCTTCGCTAGTAGCTGTAGATTAAAGAATAGTCATGTTGGGTGTTGTTATAGAAGTATCGCAGTTTGCTAGCCAACAACAAGAGAGCGAAAAAAGAACGTACTAGTCTATACGATCATGCTATGTCTAAACTCCTTCACGGTTGGTAGTAATTTTTGTATGGACTTTCCTGTCCTTTTGCCACTCGCTGCTCTCGACCTCGCTCCTATTATCCTCCGACTCGACCTGATAGGAGGTATGCACATGAATCTCATTCTCATGCGGATCATTCTTCTTGATGATCAAATCCTGGCTTCCTGGCCTGCCGTCGCTCATACTTCCTGCCATCTCATATGATCCCTCCACATCGCGCATTGCCCTGGATTTGCCAGTTGTCGACTTTCCGACGGTGTGGTGGTAAGGGGAGCGTATCGAGTGAGGATCGCCGGTCCAGAAGCTCTTCGTGAAGAGGGGACGTAGGATAGGAATGTTGACAGAGACAATTCCCACAATCGTTTCGCGGACGCCCCAGCGGTTGATATTGGTACCGCTTGGACTGGCACCGAGTGTGAGTACAACACGGATAATGGCGGCGGCGATGACAAAAAAACCGGAGCATATGAGGATACCGATGACAAGTTTTCTATTTTTCGACATTAGTCTCATACGGTGGGTAGACAGGGCATGATCGCGCTGAAGGGACAGAATATGATATTGAGCGATATCCTCAACAATGACACTTACCTGCGTAGGGGAACCTGCAGCGTCCAGAGAAGTGGCAAGGGGATACACAACAGACCCGCGTCGGTACTTCTGAAGTTAGTGATTGATTGTGGTAGAAATGGCGCATGAGTAATCTTACATGACGTTCAATACTACGGTGACGATGAAGTTTTGCATCTTGAAAGTGCATTTCACTGGGATTGTCAGGAACACTCAAGTTGGGCTGTGAGATGGTTGCAACGTACATCCAGGATCAGGATAAACCCTATTCACATGTTAGAATCATTATCAAAGAGTCGGTAACCTCACTTACTGCCAATTCTTGTCTGTGGGAAAGCACCCGAAAGTTACCTATAGATGTCCGACGTCAGCAGCGACTCATATTCAGCCAGACATATTTCGACTTACAGTGAGGACAACTGCGATATAAGATATTCCACAAGCATATGACATCCATCTCACGATCCGGGCGTGCCAGAGACCGGTGGTAATGCGCCGAAAGAAAGCCAGCATCGTTCCTTTGAGACACCATAAGAGGGCTGTGTACGAATACCACGCAGTGAGTTGTCTACAATAGTGCGTGGAAGATTAGTAAAATTCATACCGCTGTTCGAATATGGCGAGTATATTCTTACAGCTTAGAACCAACAGTATATTGATGGATCTCTTCGTTCGTGAGTTCTGGAGGAAATAATCAGTATACGACGACGAATAATTGGCCTATTGATATAGACTTACTTCGTGTCTCCTGAAATGCAGCTGCCTCGACGTTGGATCCTTTCATGTCTTCCGCAATGTTAATAATCTGTGGCGGCAACAGAAGACATGATTGAATGGCGCAGGCTTACAAACAAGGTGCACTGTCGCGGCATCGCAAGTGTACATAATGGCCACCAGAGAAGCGAAGAAATCGTCTAACTCCAGGCCACGAATGCCAACAGTTCTCAATCGCGCAGCGAACCTCATAAAGAGAATGAACATTCCAACACCGTACCATGTCCAAATTTCAGGAAGGAACTATGCTCACGTCAGGATGGGGCCCGGGTTGTCACGATATGGAAGAAAAAGGTCCAAAAGCTTACGGATGGCACGCGCTCAAGCCCTGTATCCGACATGCTGCTAGATTATAACCGTCAATTGTCGCTTCAGGTTCCGTGGGTTCTTGTGATCAATTAGTGGGTGATGAAGAAAGAGCGCATGAAGCAATTATGAAATAACGAAAGATATGCCCGTGGTTGAGAATCCACGTTGAAGTCAGAAATTGGGACACAATCGAGATTTAGTATTACAAGCGCTTGTTTCCTACCTACCACTGTGCAAACATGCCAAATGTTAGCTCTCGATGCTGCTGCACGCGTCATTTGTCACTAGTCTCACAGGAGAGTCATGAACATACGGAACACCATCGAGAATTCTGATAGCCTCCCAAGATGCGAAATCTCGAAACAGGGTACTATCCCTGCTCCCGCCTCTTCGATCAGCTCCCCGAGAAAAGCGTGGAGATTCTGGATCAATAAGAGACCACGTCTGCACATTTTTTCTCGGCCCGTTTGACAGACTATACTCGCACAATGCGACTATGTCCCGTCTAATCGGCTCAGGGCGATTGCTGGAAGGCTAACCTCCGAGAATCTTGGGTGGCGCTGTGGCAGATCGGCCATGATTCAAGTAGTATGCCGATCTATTGTGATAGAGTTCAGACGGAGGAACTAGGTAGCCTGGGTTTCGGAACATCGAAATCCTAGAGCTCTACTGTTTCACGAATCAGAAACTCTGGCTGACATCCGCCGTATCTAATTGGTGGATGAGACCCTGATGCGCTATAGTCGTCAGCTGTCACAGCCCGCATTGTGCTCGCCTGGTGGCCGAGTAGGTTAGATGTTGACATGTGAGCAGTAGCAAGTAGCCAGTGCTATCGCACGGCTGGTTTCGTCTATCTTTCCTGGAAAATTAGATGCGCAGCATGTTCCTATTATGGTAGAGAGCCGGAATGTTAAGGCCGACGTGTGAGTGGGGGCAAGTAGAAAGTTCGCATGTTTTTAAAGACAGTGGCGCAACATGGCACAGTTTGTCATTGAATGGAACATATATTTTGCCAAATGATCAGTGATTTCTATAGTGTTGGTGAGGATCATGATTTTGCGTAAGATGCACATTGGGCTGGTATTTAGTCCTGCAGTTAATATCCGGCAATACACTGATGAGTCCTATGCGAGGGCACTCCATTATACAATAAGCAGACTGTTTTTGCATGCCGTGCCCCCTTACTCCACTATTCATTCTAGCACCTCACTGTAGAACATTTAAGATGGGTCTGGATACAGCCTTACAATTTTTTCTTCTATCCCTACCCAAGGTACTGTTACAATGGACTTCCAACCAATGATAAGTTTATGCGTCGCTATATAAGCACCTGCTGGTATGTTAAGTCGAGAGCATTGTGGATTCAAACAAGGCAAACTATAATGTTAGATAGGGGGGTACAAAGAATGAGCATTGCCACCACAGCTGTTTTGTACACCATAGTATGATACTATTGTTCTCCGCGTACTGAATACACAGGATTGTTCAGGTTTCTGTATCCGTTGATTTGCAAGAAGGGTCGACGTACGTTGGTGGTACATAGGCGCTCTAGGCCAATGTGATCAATAAGGTGATAAATCTGTCATCTTCGTAGCAAATTCTCCGGTGAGAAAACGACACGAGAAACGAACAAAATAGATTCTATAGACTGACAAACTTGCTTCCTAGTATTAGACATGAGTGTGTTGTTTTCTGAGGAGGCCTAACCATCCATTAAACATTTTATTGCTTGTCTAACGAGACAGGAGGACTGACACCTGCGCATGAACGTTTTGCTGGAATGCACCCTCAGCCGCTTGTTTGAACAACATGTGTACGACTCGGTCAAGAATAAACCTAAGCAGAAGCCGAGTGACAATTCATAAGTAGCAAATCCGATAGATGAAGCTTTGCCTAATGCATGCGCGAACAATCATCCTTCAAATATACCTGCCGAGGATAGTTAAGAAGAAAGCAATAGGCTTAACTACATCCAAGAAGAAAACCATGAACTTCACCAGTATTGTATTGACTGCCAGATAAGAAACGTTGCGGTGCGACTGCTAAACGGTGTCATATCAGAAGCCGCTGGGGAAATACAGCTGACAGGCATAGCGCTCCAAGACCACCCGCAAGACCCCAAAACTTCTCAATAATGGCTAGAATTCTCCGTCCCATATTCTGCTGTCAGATTGTTGGGTTTTGTCAATGCGGCCGTGGACCCGCCTTGGCGCCTTCCAGTGTCGTATTACTCGCGATATCCCCAAGATCGGTTCGGCCACCCCCTCAGCAGAGAGAGAGTCAGTCGCCTAACATAACGCCGATCGCTATGCTATCCGGCATCTAGATCTTGCAGTCAGTTCCTGTTGGTTCGTAGAGACTGGTTTTCTACTGGTAACTGGTGGAACACTTACAATCTCCATCCATCCATCCCACCCCCCATCACCAACACTTTCTCCTTCTCTCCCTTTACAGTCTCCATATCGAACCAAAGATAACGAAGATTAATAGATACTTTGGGATTCCATGTGACGCAGTCGGTTGACGGTAGATGGACGACTTAACCTCAGCTACAGACAGTCACTGCCTTGGCTTCGGGCTGTAGAAGCTCGATGCAATCCTTGGCCTTGCGCGACATCGGTGAATATGCACATGTGTTGGAATCCAGGATGGAGACCACGTCTAAAAATTCATCGATTGCCTTTTTCTTCCCGGGACCGCCGCTCATGCAAGCGACTAGTCAATTGTTATCTGTTCCGCCGAGGCAGGATGCAGGCGTGGATGGGACAAGAAAGTATTTGGACAATTCAATTTTTCTCTTCCTACAAACACAACGATGCATGTGTCCGGCACAAAGTGTCTTCGATCCGGCATTTAGATCAGACAATAAGGAGCACACCAGTAGCTCATGCGAAGGTTGCATACAGCCGTTGACAGTCCAGATAAAAGAACTATTTTGGCCTGCGAAAGCTGTCAATTCTCGAACAGGTGGGCGTAGAACTGCATCCAGTCCGAAATAAATTTGCTACCGCTCCAAATTCTACCCCACTTATCTTGAGTCGTAACATGGGGCGGCTGATAGCGCGGCTCGCCTGGAGCGCCCCTGGCTAACATCATCTCGCCACGCGTAACGTTCTCCACAAATATGACAACCCCCCGGCGCAGGCAAGGCTTACCCCCTTGATCTCCCGGGCCCCTTGGCAAAGATCAAACCCAAACCACATTCACATAGTCGCCTCTGCAGTCCACCGCCCAACTAAGTGCCCTTTCTCTTCTGTACGCGGTCTGTTTTCAGTGAACATCGTGGATTTCTTAAGATGTGCACCTTCTCTGCACTAAAATATTAGGACAAGTCAAGTCTGGCCTGACCCAGCAACGAAGCTTCGTTTGTGTCGTGAGATTGGTGTTCTGATCTGGCTAGCAAAAAGTCTCACGGGTTTTATTTGCAGAGGGTGGTTGGGATCGCTGTTCCTAACTCTATCCCCCGTACTTGTTTCACGATTGAATAACGCAGACAGATTCGCCAGCTATCTTGGAGTCATGAGGCCTCGCCCCTCATCCCTATTGCGTTGTTTAGGATTGGGAGATCCCTTCAACCCGCTTGCTATATACGACTCTGCGCGCGCTATTGTCAATTTCGAGACTACTCGTCCTTGTCTTGTTCACGCTGAAAGTGGCTCTGTTCGTATCTTTGCAATTCATTGTGCAAGTGCGTAGGGCGATCCCCATCTTGGTTTTGGAACGCACTAATATTCTACCTGGTCGCCAAATCGATATTTGAATTCTTCTGTCGCCCATTGAGAAAGGCGCTGTTCACCCTTCCTATTTTGACACGACTGCTGCTTTGACTTTCGTCTTGGCTCCTGGTACTCGATTGCATCTTCCCTACACTTCCCTTAATTTGCTTCATATTGCAATCATTCTAAGATCGCATAAAATACGCAATCGATTCCGACCTTGAAATCTCGGAGATGAATACCGTGGTGAGGGCACAGACTTCTCGGCCCGCAGCCCAGTGGTCTTTCTAGCTGCGAGAGTATCAGCATAGAGAGAACATGACCTCGCTCCATGAACGGTTCGTTGATGTCACGGTTAGTGCTGACGATGTCTGGTTCGCGCAAGTCTTCTGGGAGATGCGCTGAGATTCAGCGCACCGTCTTTTGCCATGCACAAACATTCGCAGCGATCCAGTATGCTTTTGACATCATGTTTCCGAACCGAGTCAAGTAACAAGTTGACGATCTAAAGTACGTTATCTAACGTCTCTTACACAAACCCGCCCATATACACCATACAAGGGCTCAAATGGGTTGATCGCAGAGGTACAGAAAGGGCTGGTTTCGTGAGCACTCTCCGTACGCGCCTACCAAAATCTCCGAGAGATTTTGCATAGTTTGAGCATGGTCATCATGATGCGTTTGAGGAGATACGAATGACGCATCTTGTCGTCAGAGGTAAATACGATGTGCTGATTTCATCAAAAACAGGTTGATGCTAACACAATGCCAGAAAGAGTGCACTCTCTGATATACCATCTCGCGATAGGGATACTATGTGCCATGTTGAACAATCTTTCTTTTCTTTGGTAAAGACCTGGGTAAGGGGGGAGCTGGTCTAAATAAGCGTTTATGATGCAGAATTCTTAAAGCAAAATACAAGCTATGCGTGGTTTCCACCCGCGGATATTGCGAACAAACTTGATATCTTTAGAGCTAGTATGGCGGATCCCACGCTGGATGCGCAATGATTGTTTCAATATAATCCTCTTTGAAGGTATCTAGATGAAATTGGGCCACCGTTCCGAAATCTATCCTCAAGACCGACTGCATTCAATGGAATATGAGCACCTTGAGCACATAAAACCCTTGGCCGGCAGATTGAGGAGTTCATGAGCCGAAAATAATATGGTTGGCTCTGTGCAAGCCCTATGCACTGTGACACAAATCTCTTTTCAGATTGAACAAGCCGTAGAGACCATAACATCTACAATTCGCAGCCTATGTCTCCACCCCGAGTATACATAGTCATCACAATAAAGCTTGATCTCCGTTACAGTTATCCCGAGAACTAATGACCAACGTCTTCCTATTCTTGATAGTTCTGCCCGAAGAACTGCTCGTTTGAAGCCCGTTGAATGGTGACGGAAACTTGACTTCAGCTGCCAGATCTCATGAAATACCACGGCCTCAAGCTCCGAAGACCACTGTTAACTCTGTTAAAACATTATCCGTAAGCATGCGTTGGCACGCATAGATGCCTTTGACTCTGTTGGACAGCTCGAAACTAGGTGTTGTAGACTGAGCATGCACCCCGATTCGAGCTATCATGAAAACCCTGACTTGAATTTCGTTGTAATCGCCTGTTTTCGTCTATTTCTATCGTCAAAATCCATCGTCGCGTGTGAGAACACCTAAACTCTTACTTAAACTAAATAAAAGAAAACCCTGACGATCAACTCGCTCCCTTTGAATTTAAGGACTTCAGATTTGCAGGTAGAGATCCTTCCGAGAGTTCTGCTAACGCGCGGAAAGCGATACAGAAGGAGCTCTCCAAGTTAATCGATATCAACAGCCCTTGGAACACTCGGAGCATCGGAGGGATGCCATATCAATTTTTCACCTCCAACTGCGACTCCAAAATCATATCCCACAACCAGACGCTCAATGTAGAAGCCCAGGGAAATACTAGGCGGCTACTGTAATAGAAGTCATCATAAGCCAGATGATCATGCATTTCTACTGCGACCTGTTTGAGTCCGACGCGTTGCGATGGCTCTCACGATGATTTGTTATGCTTCCGAAAGGTGATACTGAATTGATTTCAACTCGTTGTCAATGATGATTGGACCATTGAAGCTAGACTCCACAGGGCCAATGACTGTTCGCATAGGTTCTCTATGTCACTATTTTAGTTGTGAGATTCCCAAAGAAACGGATTAATGAAGCGAACTTTGGGGCTCGCAATGCTAATACGGTACAGGCTTCAATGACAGTCCCATACGTCGCAATGGCTGACCACCTCCCAATTAATCCCCCCAAAAGTAGTCCTAATGATACCAGATCTTATTGATTGTAGCGGGTTGAATCGAAAAGAACTCCAAATTATGGAAGGGTACTGATCAAATATGACAAGGTCAGCAAGTGCTGAAGCGATATGGGATTCGTTTTATTGCGCTCTGCCCAGTGCGTCACAGGGGAGGTAATTTTACAGTACATGGGCAAGGGCCAGTCGGCAGACCATCAGACCATCAGACCGGAGTTTGTATGCAACCCTGGTCAGAGGGAGGCTCAGTGTCGGTCCCATTCCCTGCAGCACCTACTGTAGGTACTGCTTACAGTTGCTGTGCCCTACGACATCATCCGGGTCTGTGGGAGGTAACGACAACGCCACAATCCTTGCATATGCTGCAGTAATAGGCCATGTAACCGAATCATTGGGTTTGGCCTTGTTACCGAATCTGCAAGCCGACACCCTGACACCTGCATGTGCGCCTTGGAAAATACTCAATCTAATTCCCAGGGTCGATGATAAAAGCGCAGCCTATATGATATCCCTAGCTTTTCCCGTGGCTTGCGTATTGCATGAGGCTATGCTCGATGCTCATGCCATCATGGCCTCCTTACAAGTTTTTGCACATCGCCCAGCCATACGTGCAAAATGAGCATGTCAAATTCTACTCGCGGCTGCGCAAACATCCGAGACGGCATCACCCTCAACCTGGGTATGTCGACAGGCATTGAGGTCAAGAATACATCGGTCTCCATCACGAATAGGGGGAGATGGGGCGCAGTCTTCCAAGATTTGCTTGCTCTTGATATGACTAAGTCTATTGTTTGATCATCGCATTGCTCTTGGTGTGACAGGTCACAGCCCCTGGGAGTCGAAGCGGCAAAGGTGACATACGAGGGCTGCCATTACCTGGTAAATCATTCCAAAACAGGATATGAAAATAAAGGGTTGTTCCGACCAACTACGACGTGGTACTCCATTCTTCTCTACCCGCGAAGGCTTGATAACCGGGAAAGTCAAAAACTGCGGAGTTGTGCTTCGCTTCTGGGGACATTGTCAACGCTAACGGCGAAGGAAATGCTGATTTTAGGATTGTAATGCGCGACGAGTCATCATAGAGACTTATCTGACGTTGATTATTGGATAAGCCGCTCAGCTTGATGAGGCTACATGCCAGAACTAGCTGCAGCTCCTTCGCTTTCTACTAGCATCCTGCCTTAATTGGATGCTCTCGTGTCATTGAAACTAGGCAACATGATTGAGGCGGCAATAGCAGACCGGAGATGCTAAAGAACGTCAACGTGGAAGACCTTTGTGTGACGCGGCATAACATACCGTGTATCGGGGGTAGAACTAACCAACCGAATACTCCAGAAAATTATGCATGAACTCCGTGATGAAGGCTGAGTTTAAGGCGCTCGCAGCAGCAGCTGACCTATACACCGCCACTAGACGATCGAAGGGCTCGTTTGCTCTCTGACACTGCAGCCCTACCCCGTCTTGCTATTTAAGAAGACGGTGGAAACCGGCGAAAACTCACTAGACCTGAGCTCGCTCACGAGCCCCTCATGCCAGATTCACTTCTTACATGCTGGAAGAACAAGTACGACGTCGAAAATATGTCCCAAATTCGGATCAATAAGATCAACGTTGCACAAGATTGAGGGAAATGCTTGCGCAAATAATTAGACGGTCGGGTACGAATTCGTAAAGTATGCTGTCGAGTTCTGAGGTGCGATGAATTTAACTGGTACCGAGAATAAAATGAAGCTACAGGACGCAAGCCAGAAGTACGACCCGGGAGGTTTGTTCCGGAGAGTGGTTGCTGGTGGATTCAAGCTATTTGCTTAGCGCACAGTACCATAGGGTGAAGCTTTGCCCAGGTTATCTGGTAGATGATTTATTGGTTGCCTCAATCCCTTCATAACTAATTGAAAAGGCAGTTGAACTTGCCAAACATCAAACAGGATCATTTGTAAGTCGTGCTATCTGGTGAATAATTGAAGTCTTGTACTTGAGTTGAATAGAATTTCCACCGAATCCTGTCTCCCTGATTGTACGAGTATTCGAAGTGGTGATGATCAACAACGTAAAATTGGCTTTTCGCTTTTGCATGCTTCGCAATCCTATTCTTACATTAGGGTTGATCTCTTACCCAAACTAGCATTGGCGGATGGTACGCAGCCAATAGGCGTTCACTGAATTCAACTAACGGGTTAGTGTCTAAGATATCACGCTATCTCCATAATGCTCCACCGGAGAATATATCAATTCGCTAACGAGAAAGGTAAGTTATACGAGGTTGTCTTTTGGCAGGGCTGGGGGTTTGATCTGCGCCCACCCAAGATCGCAATGCTCCCAGCAACTTGAATTCTAACAGGTGTAGCCTATCCCTGAAGGCAAGCTACGAACAAAATGAGTATTTCTCCAAATCGCCGCAAAGCATCAGATCAGTTCGTATACCTCACCACTTTGGTAGCTGGTAGCCTCGCGGACATGAATAGCGCATGGCTTACGTATATTCAGGATAGTAGTATCCACAAAAACATCTAACCAGTTCGTATGCTTCTCTCTTTCGAAAAGTACCTGAGTAGAAAGCTTCGCGTGGCTTAGCATTTATTTCCGCTGTATACGAAGGTCGCAGCGCACAATGGAACAGTTTTGCGTATTTAAATGAACGCTTGTTGCACGTTACAAATGGTATCCTAAGTACTCTCTCAACATCAGTCTTCTCCCCACGCATATTATTATCTACTGCACAATTCAACTCTGCTTGAAATGCGGTACAATGGCCCCTTTGCGTATGCATTGCCGCTGCTAGCCACGGCTGTGGCAGCGCGCCTTTCCATTGTGCCTTCGACCATCCCCGAAGGACCCTCCGAAGTTACCTTCACATCATCCGAGTATGGTCTGGATGCTCCCAAGGTGTCCCCTCTCAACCGCACCACGTATGACTGGTGGTATTTCGACGTCGTGTCTGATGGCAAATGCAATAACGGTTCAGACACTGGATTGTCCGCCATGACAATCGTGTTTCACACAGCTGGTGGACCAGAAGCATTCCCGCCCCTTGCATACCTCTACCGTCAAAATTTCACCAGTGCAAATTTGGTTCAAATCAGTACGACATTCGCAAACGGAACTACCTTCACCGCGCTTCTCAATGCCACAGAAGCGTATTTTATGCCTATAGGAAATGGCGTCAGCTCCATTTTCGATGCTGGCGACGCTGGCGGCGGAGCATTCAGCGGCACTGCCGATCTGTCCCATTATACCCTAAACATCAATGCTCCCAGATTCGGGGTGAATGGCTCCATTGTTTTTGATTCGGTACGTGCGCCTACCGATATGTATACTTTTTGCGCTGACAACCTGCTACCTAGATCGCGCCCGCACACTACCCTGCCGGACCAATCTCTGCAGGACAGGATATGAGAATGTCTCCTCATGTCGGTTGGGCCAACGCCATGCCCGATGCACGTGCGGAATCAAAATTCATGGTCAGGGGCGAAGAACTCAATGTCTCTGGCGTCGGATATCACGATAAGGTCAGTTCGATGACATATGCCCCGCAGTGGAAACAGGAGGCTAACTCGTTCTTATCTAGAACTGGGGTGATAAAGCTTTCGACGAGGATGTAGACTACTGGTATTGGGGTCACGGTCGGGTCGGCCCTTACTCCATTGTCTGGTTCGACTACATGGGTATCAACGGCGAGACCGCAGTCTCTTCGTACGTAGCCAAGGACGGTCAAATCCTGGCAAGCGCCTACTCCGGAATCACAGTTAGACCATTCGGAGAAAACTCGACGTACCCACCTTTGACTTCCACCGGCGCGCCTTCAGGATACCACATTGTCGCGGATACACCAGACGGTGTTCTTACTGTCGACGCTCACAGTGATACCATGATTCTGGGCTTCAGCGGAGATATGTACAACAGATGGGTTGGCAGACTGACTGGCGGCTTGAACAACAATACGGACTTGGAGGGAGTTGGCCTTTTCGAGCAGTTTGCCTTCAACGAGGGTTAGTTCCCGAGTGTCCAAGTCTCCCAAGCATAGTATGTTAGAGATTGGTGTGTTCCAGGCTTCTCTAGGTCCTCCGCTATGGGATAACGATCGGCCCTTTTTTTCTTCTTACCCAGTATAGCGGTCCGGTTCACTTTCACCGTTTCACGCTCTTTGTCGAACCGGCTCTGTCAATCTGATGGCTTAGCTTACATTGTGTGGCATCTTGTGTGGCTAGCTCTTCTGGAATAGACGATTTTAGACGATGTGTTTTTAAAATTCCGTCATCCACAATATCATTCACTATTTCATTGACCGATTCAAGACCAACAATGCCGTACGTCATGTCAACGACAGTAAGTAGAGAATAGCCTGTGAATTTTAAGTGTTCTTCCTGGTTGCAATAGATAATCATTTTGTGAACAATATGGTTTTGCGCGAGGGTCGCCATAATAGTGCTAATCTATGCAACTATGGTGCCATTCTATAGTGTACCTTTAAGCTAGTCTACTTACGATATCCTACCTGCTTATTGTTCCCTACGAATTAATACCGCCTACCTCGCCCGGCTAGATTACAGTTTTGGCTGGGATTCTATGGCAATGATGGGTATTTTCTGCTTACGCTTTCTACCACAAGTAGTGCTTTTCACTGCTCTTCTATGCACCTGCATCCTTTTATTCTCTTGCAGTATTGTACTTCGAACTATTGATGCTTTTCTGTCTGAACAATCACTAGCAATCTCCTATGAGGTAGCTTTGCGAATTTGCGAATGCTTCTTTATAATCTTAATGTTGCGACACAGGTCCGGAAACTGCCCTCTGTTTAATCCACACCTAAGCTATCTTTGTACATTAGTATGTCCTTGACTTATCCTTCCACGTAACTAGGGGGTTGAAATTCGCCGCAAGTGTGCTGGGAAAACGCGCAGTGATAAGCTACTGCTACACATCATTTGCCATACCTATAGGCTGCTTCCTAGGTGTATAGTGTTGCGTGTTCCCGCAAGAGCCTACTGTATATCCTGACTATACTGCCTACTAATATTCTGGATGCACTGTGTCCTGCTAATTAATCTTAAGCTAGCATACCTAGCTTGCTAATCTAAAAGTTTCACTGCCAAGTGTTTGTGCTACATATTAATGCGATGATGCACTGCCATCCTTAATCTAGCTTTGATGGTGTTCACATAGAACATGCGATCACACAATAGACTCAGTTTTAACTTCAGAGAATTTGGGTAGAGGCAGTCCAATCCCCAATCCGGGGCGATGATCAACCGAGCTGAGGAGGTAAGCGGTAGCTGTTGGTTGTAACATTGAAACGTAGCATGACGTGGATTCAGCTCCTGGTTTCTCTCTATGGCGTAGACGGACGAATTGATACTTGAAGGGGTGAAGGCGCCACGGATTATATACATGTGCGCTTATCCTTTAACGGATAAACTGTACGAAATGCGCGAATTATGAGATATAGTAGCATACTGCGTCCCAATACGGGTAATGTGAATATTGATAGCTGTATATCCAATAAGGGGTTGCAGATGAAGGTTGAGAGTACCAAGAGCATGTAACTCTGGCCCCCAAAGCCAAGGCTCGGACAGAAAAACTATAATTGGCTAGGCGGGACCCGAGTTGGCCAAGAGATCCAAGAGATAGATAAGGGTATGCATGCCGTATTCCCTCCTTACGGGCAAGGGGGCAGTAGAAACGGCGAACGTACATGTGTCGCTCGCGTGACCTAATTCTAGCCAATGCATTGGATGGGAAGAGTGAACGGGAAGCACGGGAAGCGCGCAACACCAGGATTATTCAGGATTTGTCGTTCCCCACGAGACTCCCGGCTTATGCCGCGTTGTCAACACGCAAGCCCATGTCCCTACGCTCCCGAGGCCACACCGTTAATGAGCATGTCACTGGTAATGTAGCCAGCAGGGTAGTTTATGCCCGTAAGACGCGAGGAGGTGTTCACAGACACCCCTAGTCATCAGCTATCGGTGCCATGCCCGATCAGGCAAGCCGCATGTTGGTCTCGCCCCGCTGCCGATGGTAAGGCTCCACGCGGACCGTTCCGCTCACCTGGCCAAGGAACAAGTTACTTTCTTGATTACACGGCCCTTTTTTTCAAACGTGAAAAATTTGATCTGTCGTCGGCAATGCATAATATCAAGTCAGAAAAATTTGTTTTATACAATCTTCAAACGCAGCCAACGCAGCCTACTAATGTTATCCTATGAGAAGTAAAACCTCGAAATTCGTCTGAGACGTTATGACAGAAAAGTTCAAGACATACGCTGAGGTGGTTCAAGCATGCTACGGGTTTGTGATTTCCTGCCAGAATTTTACAGTTTTAAATATCAAGATCTGTACATCGCAGGTGAACTGACTCGTTACAGGCTTCCACATCCCAACGAGCATGAATTCGCTCAAATGGCAGCGCCATTCTACCGTTTCCGCCTGAGAGAAAACTGGGATGATGATGCTTCTGGGAACTACGTGACAGTTGGCTGGATACTGCTATCTACCGTCACCAATATGCCCTGGACGGACAAATTCAAGGTCGAACATCACTCGCAAACTGTCGACATTCCATACGCGGCAGGCGAGGTCGACTTTGAGAACCAAGCCATCGCAGAACAACTGGAGCTTGCCCGCGCCCAAGGTATCTTCGCTAAGTCAAAAAAGCTCGAGGATGAGTTCTACCGCGTCCTCGGCGTCGATCGCATCGTGCGCATTGCGCGCGGAGGCAGCGGCCTATTCGGCATCCAGAGCTTTGGGATCCAGATGACGGGATACACCTTCGACGAGCGGACTGGGGAGATGAAGATCTGGGTCCCCAAGCGCTCGTCAACGCGGATGGCCCATCCCGGCAAGATGGACAACACGGTCGGTGGGGCTGCTAATGCCGACGAGGACCACTTCCAGTGCATGCTGCGCGAGGCGAGAGAGGAGGCGGCGCTTCCAGAGAAGTGGCTCCAGGACCATGCGCACGTCGTGGGCACCATCTCTTACCTGTATATGCGTGACGTGGGCGCGCTGGGTGCGCTCAACCGGTCCCTGCAGTTCGTGTACGACGTCGAACTCCCCTCGTACATGGTGCCGCAGCCGGCCGACGACGAGGTCGAAGAGTTTCTGCTCTGGACGGTTCCCGAGACCTTGCGAGCCCTCAAGGACGGACAGTTCAAGCCGAATAGCGCGGCCACTTTGATCGATTTCTTCATCAGACATGGTTACATATCTACAAATGATGAGCCCGATTTGGAGACTGTCGTCTCCTATATCAATCGTCGCCCTTGCCTGTGAGCCCCTAGGCTCGCAGAGAGATAGTAGAAGGAGAAATGCAACTGGGGTAGTACAAGTAGATAGTCCCGGATTTTGAATCTCCAATCACTGTATCCAATTTTTAGTCCATTCGCTCTTGACGTGAACATACGCTTGCCCTGCACGTGAGGTTCGCGTAGCTGCATTCAAATGTTGTCACATTTAGCAATAAGCACCGACTGGGCTGAATTGAGAGCGATATGATTGTATTCTACTGCAATGCTCCCTGGTATCTCTATATATCTAGCCTCGCATCACTCAACTGGCACAAGGCAAGCCTCTTACAGTTTACTTAAGGTTGTACCGTTATCTAACATTGAGTACACAGTAGTGGTCAAGGGTAATAGATATCAAGTCTTCTTTTTCCCTTCACGCTCACGACGCCGAGCCTCGGCGTTCTCATGCTCGGCTTCCAAACCCGTCTTGGTCTCCACGTGTTCGTGGGCCAAGATTTTTCGTCGGATGAAAAGCGAAGCAACCAGGCCTGAGGCGGCAAAACAAGTATACATGAGCCACATTGGTTCTAGAGACTTTGCGAGAGCGACGCGGACGGCTGATCGTTGGTCTGGGGGGAGGCTGCCAATGATCTGGGCATCGGCGCCTGATCCTCCGGAGGTTAGTACACTTGCCATAGGAGGTGGAATACCAGAGGCGACGAGTGTGGCTTCTTTTTTGGCCATTTCGTTTTGATATGCAACCTGCCCTATAGTCACAGAGATGCACTGGGCAATCTGGCGAATGAACCCGAGGGTTGAAGTAGCAGTGGCTACGTCCCGCGGTTTGGTGTGAGCGTGGAGCGCAATGATGGGGGCTTGGAAGAGGGGACCAACGCCTAAACCTGCCACAACCTGGAAGAGAATGATTTTTGGCCAGCTGCTGTAAGCGTCGAAGTCGATGAACAGTCCGTATCCAAGGGTCATCAAGAAGAGACCGAAGCAGATAGGCGGCAAGTACCAACCCGTCCTTGCGACTAACCAACCAGTCGACAGACTTCCAATAGATAGCGTTATTGCAGTAGGCAGGACCAAGAGACCTGATTGGAGGGGAGTCCACCCGCGTATGGTCTGAAAATAGAGGGGGAGATAGTAGTCGGAGGAGATGAAGACCACGCCTTGGACGAAAACGCAAAAAAGCGTGGCGGCGTTGGTGACTTTTCTGAACAAGGTCATAGGCATGACAGGGAACTTAGCGTAGCGCACTTCCCAAAAGATGCACAGCGCCCAGGCAAGTAAGCCAAAAGTAAGCATGCAAACGACCTTGGCCGAGCCCCATGGCGCTTGAGTGCCGCCAATCTGAAGACCGAAAAGGAACAAGAGCGTGCCGGCAACTATCAAAGACAAGCCAACCCAGTCAACAGCCTTAAGCCCTGCGAGAAGCGGCGTGCGCGGGGTCTTGATGTCGAGAAAGAAGAAGATGATAAGGACAGCAATACCGTCAAGGGGGAGGTTGATGTAGAAGCACCTTGCACGATGATTAGCCTAGATTTTTGCTATTGCTTGAAGCTAAACATACCATCGCCACAAGACTTTCTCAGTCAATGCGCCACCGACCGCCGGGCCGGTTGCAGCGGCTACGGCCCACACACCGCCAATAACGCCGTAAAAAACACTGCGAATGTTCAAAGGGAAGATGTCACCAATGACAATCTTAACAAGAATTGTCAGACCACCTGCGCCGAGGCCTTGAACAGCGCGGCCACCAATCACGGAGCCGACCATGAAAATGACGTTGGCAAGCAGCAGCATGGGCTTCTGGCCAAAGATGTCTGATATCTTGCCCCAAGACGGGATAGATGCGGCATTAGCCAACAGGAAAGCAGACCCAATCCACGTGTAGACAGCGCTCGATTGGAACTCGGCGCTAATCGTGGGCAACGCTGTGGTTACAATTGTAATGTCCAGAGCGCCGAGGAAGACGGCCAGACACAGCGCCAGCATAATCATGGCGATCTTGCCCCTGGAGCAGCCATTGATGAGCTTGGGGTCGGCCGGCGGTTGAGGGTCGTCGGCCGCAGCTTGTTGCTGTCCTTTTTCCTGTACTCCATAATCCAGGGTATTGTCTTGAGCTTTGAGTGGCGATGCGATTTCGGCATCAGCAGGGCTTGCAGTGTGGGTGTGTCGCTCGGTCTCCGCATCTTGGGTGATTAGTTGTTGAGGGGCAGTGTTCAACATGGTGAGACCGTAAGGGACGGCTGAAAAGATGTTGCTAGGAAAAGAGTCGATTGTTGCAAACCAACTATGCTAGTGAGCTGGCAGCAAGCAACCCGTTCTTATTGTTCTTCGGGCGTCGGATCAATAATAATCCGACCAGTTGGTTATGTTCTGATTGGGGCGCATCGAGTATGCAGCTAAGAGGGCAGATCTACGTAGCTAAGTTGCGGGCCTGGCCTGGGGTAGCTAGGGTGAATGCGTTTCGGGTGAAGCAGGTGGCTCCAGTGAAATCTTTTGCTGGGGTGGCAGGATTCGGCCTGGGCGATATGTAATGTAGTACTATCACACTGATAGTAGGCTGACTGCAGGGTATAGGCGAGTAGTAGAGTCCAGATGTCGCTAATAATGTTGGAGAGCCTCTGGGTATTTTGTCGACAGGCAACTTTAGCCAAGGTGTGCGGAATGGATGATGATGCTGCGTTCACCGTGTAGAGGAAGAGCATAATAGAGGAGAGTTTTAGCGTGCGGCTGAGATAACTGCATTTCAACCTTTTAATATAAATTGTGCTGTGTGTAACGTGCCATGTGCAATAGATGTGCGGTGTGTGGTTAGCTAAGAGAAATGCTGCCTGAGTGCACAAGACAGCTAAATAACAAGTTCTTCTCATCTAGTCTCCCTGATTTATTTAATGTTTACGGTGACATTGCCCCGCATATATGCACGGCAACCCGTATAGGCGATCTAACATACAATAGTGCTGTAGAAAACAAAGTTGTTAGTGAATTAATAGTGGTGCTGCAAGGACAGTTATTTGCCCTAACAGCTCTCACGCTAGGCGCAACACGTATCCATAGTTTATTGTTTGCCTAGTTTTGGAATTGTGAAGAATGCAGCGACATGGACTTGGCTAATTAGACAGTCCATGCCGAAGGGCGGTGTGGTGACGGGATGCCTGGTCATCTTGGAGACTTGGACTACAAAGGTTGTGGAGAGTTACAGGATGCAAGGAGACGCAGGGTGATGATGCAAGTCGTTTGCTACGCGCTGTTGTTGATGCTGCAGAATCGGACTTGGTTCTTGCTGCATCTCTGAATAGGACGAGGTGCAGAGGTACAGCGCTGCAGCTTGGAAGAGGCCTATGTCCTAACACGGCGGAATGGCACATGACCGCTGTCGAGACCTTTAAAAATGTTTGGTTTATCCTGATTTGTGCTCGCTAAGCTTCTCCGCGTCTTGGCATAGCCTGTGGGGGCCGTTCGGGCCGTTGGAACTTATGCTAGGGCCTGCTTCCCGCGCTACAACAAACTGTATAGCAGCTGTTCTCTTTCACTATATTGCTCGACTGCGGTCGACGTCTGTCTTTAGCAAGCAACATATTCTATCCAGTCTATGCATTGTGATTCTCTGTCAGACTTGTAAGCTTGAAATCGCATGTGATCTGCTAATGCTATATTATAGCATACTACTGTAATAGCAATTTCTAGATCTACTAGACGCTACTAGTGAGCTAATTTGTCTGCGTGACTGTAATGCCGAGGTTGAGATTGTTACTAAGCTTAGGGGCTGGTCAAAGGACTTTGCATACGCATGAACCACTAAGCCCTTGATTAGAATAAGCATCCTGGGCTAGCTTGCCTACATGGCCTAGACTTTTCTGCAAATCTGATTGCATTAGTGAAGACCGTTCAAGCGGTGTTGATACCTAACACGATCAGCGCTCCATAGAATGGTGGGGCACCGTGAACTGCTACTATTTTACTAGTCATTTGCCTGTATCAGCGGCACGGATGACACTATTTAGATACCATTGGTCATTTCAGGACTTCCATATAGTACCTTATTAATGATTAATAACAATGGCTTATACGAACATATCAGATCATTGGTGGGTTACGAAGGGAAACTTACCGTTCTTATGTCACTGAAGCTTTACATAACGACTGAACTACACTTCCTATATTCAAGTTGCATGTCATTTTAGGCACCTTGTTTAAGGACTGTATTGGAAGTATTGCTGCTTGTAAAATCTAGCAATGCCTACAACTGGCTGGGCGCAGCAAGTAAGACAGCTACAGCAAATAAAACACGTTATACTATCTACGACGCAGGATTGGCTTCAACAAAAATGGTCTTCTGCATGCTAACAGCTAGCTATCTGCACCTTGCTAATCCCGTTATTATGGCCCCCTAATACTAAATGCCGCTTTGTGTGTCTGGAAGGTTGGAGGGAGAAGGGGAAGAAAGAGGGGAAGTGGGAAAAGAGGAGGGGGGACAGAGAGTGGGAAGGGAGATAAAGGGTATGAATGGATGTCGACTCTATTGGCGACGTCTATTTAAACGTGAACCCCTCTACCTTAAACCAACTCAGTCACCACTTGATCTCTCATATCCTATCCTATCGGCTTGTATCATCATCATCATCATCATCATCATCATCATCATAATGAATTCATCAGCCACTTGGAATACCACCAATGCTTATGAGTCTGTCAGCATTGGTCTGGACGACTCGCAACTCCTTGGTAAATGGGCATATTACCTTGGTGTTCCTGTTGTCACCACCGCACTTTGGGGTGTGTGGAACTACGTCTTACGCCTGCTCCTCCTCCGCCGTTGGTACGAGAAGCAAGGAATCAACTTTGTGGACAACTGTTATGCTGTTGTCGGGGCTGAAATGCGTGTCACAAAACTCCAAGAGGAGAACAAAAGTCACGACTGGCTTTACATGGAACGACCGACCAATCTGTACGGCACCTTGAGAGGGCTTACTCTGCAACTCTACACCACAAACGCAAAGCTCTGCAGTGACCTTGTCAGCAAGACCGGGAAACAAGTTGATCGCAATACCCCTGCTCTTCATTCCGTCGGCCGGCTGAGTCCCTCGGCGATACCGTTTCAGTCCATGCACAAGCTGCGCTTCAAAGAGCGCAAAGCTAACCTGACGAAGAGCACCAAAGACAACAAGCGACTCTTTGACATCGTCGAGCATCATGCAAACGCCTCTCTGAACGATCTCAAAGTGAGGGATAGCTCCAGCTGGCGACTGGACGTTCGGAAACTCCTTGAACATTGGACACGATCGACGAGCGGGGAGTTCGTCTGGGGAAAAGCAAATATTGACCGATTCCTGGAAGTCGAGGAGACTGATGGAGTTGTCAGGACTTTGCCTTTCATGGTTGTCTTGAATCAGACATTTACTGAACTTCGATTTTACTCTAGTCGATTTTGGAACCGCGTCTGCTTCCCCCTCGCCGGCATGCCCCTCACCAAGGAGGCGAGGCGTCTGAACCGCAACATCAACATCCTGCGAGACGTGTGCACGGACATGATGAACCATCCTGAAGAAGGCACCGTAGCCGCTCTCTTACAGGAGATCAACGAGAGCCAGGATATGCGCGAAGTGTTCACGCTGGACGACTTGATCACCGCGACGTTTGCGGGCCTGGACGCTGTCAAGTCCACCGTGATGGGTTGTATATACCACTTGTTGAATCCAGACAACGCACAGTGGCGCAAGGCCATTCTCGAGGAGCTCAACAGTCTGGAAGGGCAGTCGGGAGACATGGATATCAAGCTGATGCAAGCGCCAATCTTGAACAGCTTCATGTGGGAGTCGCTACGCTTCGAGCCGCCAGGGTCGCTCATCAACAACGCAGCCGTGAAAGACTTTGAGTTGAACTACCAGGGCCATACATACAAGATCAAGGCTGGCACGCGCATTGTGACCAGTATCCACGCGCTGCATCAGAACGAGGAGAGCTGGCGCGAGATAGCCGTCGATATGTCACCGCTCTCTGAATTCGACCCCGGTCGATTCTTGAAGTACGGCGACAAACTTCTCGGGTCTTCCTGCTTTATGCCTTTTGGAAAAGGACCACGGCGTTGTCCAGGCCAGGCTGCCGGAGCTTTGATGGTCAAGACTTTTCTCAAGGTATTCATACAAAAAGACTTGAACTGCAGAATGGATCTTCCAGAGAATCAGACAAAGGACTCCTTGAGGTTCCATGTCTATAGCAAGGCCACGTTTGATATTCTATTTGATGAAAAAGAGGATCCAGAGACTATCACGACTAAGTGAGAATAAGGATACAATATGTGCTGAGATGTACTTGCAGTACAGTAGTACGCCTAGAAGTTAAGATAGAGTAGAAAAGAGAACAGAATATACTATTCTAAGCTTCTAATATTATTAGTTAAGATTATAATTGTGCGCAGGTGTATAGTTGTACGTGCTAACAGGCACCTACCTAGCTGTTGCTATTGCTTTTTCTATGTATAAGGAAAAAGCTAGGTATTAAGACAACAGAAGAGCTCTCTTTAGTTTTAGCTTAATAAGCTAAAGCACCTAGAGTACAAGGAAACCTAGAATAGCTGCTTCTTATGTAGTATTTAAGGAGAAGAAGCACCTAGCATAGAGAGAGGGGAATTTAGAAAGTGTAAAAAACAATCTTATGTTTAAAATCTATTATAATAATAGTTGTAGTTTTTGCTTTTTATCTGCGTAGCATAGTAACAAGAGTTATTAGCTTACTTAGCCTACCTACTGCTACAGACCTGTAAGGAGACAGCTCTTAGAGAGTATTTAAAGTAAGTAAGTAATTAAACCTATTAATAGCTTACAAGTTAGAAAAGATCTATAGCACGGCATAATAGGGTTACAGAATTTTAAAAATAGAGAATAAGAGAGAAAATAAAGCGTTTTAGTAAAAAGAAAGAATTACATAGAGTTTAGATTGTTTATGTGATATAGAGGTGTAGTAAAATGGATTATAGAGAAGAGGGGGGTTTTTTAATTTTATTTTAACGTAGGTTACAAGCGAGCTGATTACTCTGCTAAGCCCTTACTAGATTGCTCTATAAAACATGCAATATAGTATAGAATTTAGTTAAAATAGTATTTTACAACCCCTCTATATAATCTGTAGATGTATCTGCTACAGTTTTACAAGTTTGTGCGTTATGCCTAGTCTCACTGCATTGCCTACAGCGTCTTTAAGATAGCTTACCTAGTTTAGTGTGCCTACCTTTCTTTGCCTTCTTACTATTACTACGCGCTCTAAACTTTTGTAGATAGGCTAATCGCTGTCCTTCTTTAGCTGTTAATACTCCTTAATCCTAAATACGCTTTCTTTTATGCGATTTACGTTGCCTGACAGCTTTATTAGCTGCTTAAAGCTTAGCATTTTCCTTTTGCGCTAATACTAGCTTGTGCGCGATTACAGCTGCGCCTTTTGCTAGCTTTTTAAACGCCTTAACTATAGATGTTAGGGAGCTATCTTAATGCCTTTAAATCTTCTGCTTTACTAGCGTTAATTGTAATCTGAATTCTAGGGTATTTCCTAGCGTCTGCGACTGCTAGGAGTCCTTATTAACGATAGGTAGTAAAGGCGTGCAAAGCTTAACATTAAGCTTTAATATTACTGCGTCTAGGTTAAGAGGAACTAAGCTAGCGCCTTAGAAGCCTCCTTAGATATTCTCTTTAGTAATTAAAGCCTTAAAAGCAGCAATAAAGTAAAGAAGGAACTTAGTTTTTGTAATATAGGTAATCTGGTTGCGCATTAGATCCTTAGCTTAGCGCTTATACGCCTTCTTTAAAGGAGCGAAACACCCTACATTAAGGAGCTGTAAGAGATGGGATAAGTAAGTAGGCATGCAAAGTGTAATAATCTTGTTAGCCTTGTAGTAATTCTAGAATTTGAGCGAGTTGTAGCTCTTATAGCTGTTGATAACGAGCAGACGTGCAGCACCTACAGTACGCTTCTTTGTATGCTTATTAAAGTGCTTTAGCTACTGTAAACTAAGCTTATTTATTGTCTAGCTGTTTTTAGAGACTGCAATAACCTAGTTAGAGGGTAGATTCTCCTCCTTGTACTAGGCGGAGAGGTGGTGCTTGCCCTAGAAGATAATAAAGAGTAAGATTGCTTAGCCTATCGCGTTAATGCCTTAAATGACTGTAGCTTACTCCTAGTTGCTTTGTTGTACGCTCTTTAGCTGTCCTTAATGCTTAGAGCCTGTAACTACTGCTCTAGTTAATATTATGCCTATTATAAAGCTAGATTTGTTAAAATTGTAAGTGTCTTTATTCTAGATGCTGTGCTTAGATTTTGTATTTTCTACAAGTTGGAACTAGCCCTGTATAACCTCTGGATCCTTACAGAGGGCTCTCTTATAGTTATACTTTTAATTAAACTTTATTGTAAGCTCTGGCTGGCGCTTAACGAAGTTTGCAGCCTAGTTCTGGCCTACTAGTTCTAGGCCACGCTTAGCCTGCAGGGAATTGGCTTTATCTGCTACAGCAGCAAGCTAGGACGGAAATCCTTGGGCGTCTAGGTTAAGTATATTGTAAAGAAGTACGTGCTCTTCTGTCTTTAGAAGATTAATTAGATTAGGCGCGCAATTGCGTTAAAAGGTAGTTCTAGCACGTTGTGTACTTAGTGTACTTTAAGGCACATTGTAGATCTGTGCAGCGCGTTATTAAGATAGTGTTGCGTTTTGTTTAATAGCCTGAAGTGCAAGCTGTATTCTAGCCTCTCTTAATTCTAATAGCTGATTAGGTTGTTGAGACATTAAAGAAACTGTTATTTAATAACATACTTTAGTGAGGGCTTAGCAAAGTGATCAGCTCGCTTGTAACCTACGTTATAAGATCTAATTTTTGGTAAAGGAAAGTACGTGGGGAAAAAATAGAAGAGAATAATAGAGAATTAACATAGAAACAAGCAAAATAATATTTAAGATATATTCTTGTCAGATTTGAGGGTATCAACTTGTAGATGGATGTTCATAGTATTGTTCTTTTTCGTGTTCTTTTTTTTTTCTTTGGCCTCTTTAGGCCTAATAACTTTACTATATACCTCTAGTAGGGAGCCGGTGTGCCCTGCTGCATAACTACACTTCCTGCTTGTGAAGCATAGTGACCGTTCTGACAATTCTAGATCAGGAAAGAAAGGAGATTAAAAACTGACACTTATTCCAATTCCCACAGACCCCTTTGTGTCACGAGATGCGTACGAGTATGCTGCTAGGGCCTTATAGAAGAAGGACTAGTCTTATTCCTACGTGCCTATTTAGTGCCTGTAAAGAGGTGTTACAAGATCAAGACGTTGTGTACCGTCTCATGTAGGTTCACAGGGGGAGCGCGAAGAAATAGTGGCGCGCGGTGGTCTGTGTACAGAGCTAGCTGATTAGCTAATCAGTACTGAGGTGCCCCTGAATCAGGTCTGTACGCAGTCCGTTCTAATAGCGAAGCGTAATGAGCACAGTACACTTCGTTATTCGTCAGTGTCAGGGTTCAGGAGGACACCGTGACACTATGTGATTTCCCTGACCCGTGCACGCTAATGCTCCCCCTAATGTTATTTCTGTGGCCCGTGCTAGCTCCTTAACGTCCCCTTATGTGATTTACAATCCTAACTTCAACTTTTCTGATTTTTAACACAACTATTACTCCTGCAATTGGATAATCAATGCTCCTTTTTGTTGATTAATTTTGTGTCTATTTACTGTTTACTAGCATTTCTTCTCTCCCCTTCCTCTTCGTTTGCGTTTAAGCGCTATGCTTTCATCGTCTTTCCAAAAAGCCGCTCGTTTTGAAGACCTAGTCGTTTATGTAGGCCATCCCTCGCACCCGTTCCTTGCATGCAAGACCTGCCGCATAGCAGTGCCGCTGGCCGCCATCCCTATCCATTTTAGCGCTTCCAAGGGCCACAACTGCCGCGCGGGTGAAGCAGCTCATGGATGCATGGGTCGAGCTGCACCTACCCTCCCGTCCAGTGTCCCTTGCCACCTTCGCCGACCTGACCTCGTGGCCGTATCCGATGCGCCCGCCTTACCCGCCTCCTCTCTTGTTTCTGCCTATATATCGTGGCATGCACTGCACGTTTCGCGATCCTGTAACCAGCGTCCAATGCACCGCTATAAAGCGAAGGCAACAACGTATTGCTGAGCACTGTTCAGTAGAGCATCAATGGGTGAATCCTGTCGCGCGAGGCAATCGCCCTACCGACGTAAATGTACGTGAGCGGCCGTGGGAGGTCAACATACCCTGCCAGCACCTCCGACCAACTGGGATTGGGGGAGAGCTGATCCATGTGAGAGTGGAGGAGCAGCAGCCTTAACCCGTCCATCAAATCCAGTCTAGCGCAGCGAAGGGTAGGACCTGAACGTATCTAGTAGGCGAAGTGCGCGATGACGCTCATAAGTTGCCCGAATCACAATTCCCTGTGTAGAAAAGAGGGTGTATCCATGGAAGACAAGAGTCTTTCCTGCGTATATCTGAGGAAAGAGAACCGCTGTTGGATGCTCGAGGTCCGAGGCCGGATGTCCAAGTCTCTGTAGTTCTTTGCCGTTAATGTTATCGTACTCGATTCTTCTGTCTTCCTCGTTGTACCATTGGCCTTCAGTGACTTCTTCAATAACCATTAGGTTATGTTTCGCTCTTTAGCTACATGCACGCCGTGACGTATCTTGTCCAAAAGGTCTCGAGCAGACTTGTATACATCCTGCTTAGTTTTGCTACATCGCAGGCATCCTTTTGTGCCTAGTACTTTGCACCTTCTCACATATTGCAGGAGCCATCGATTCCATGGAATCCTTGAAATGTAACATACCCTGCCTTTCCTGGCTCGTGAGGGTGTCCTTACACTTGGGCTGGCGAGATAGAAGGGTATCATTGCATTTTACATTGATCGTCGCTAAACGTGACCAACTAGCTTCAGACCCGGCCGACCTTCTATAATTCGATGAGACCATCATCCCAAACGTGCTATAGTGCAAAACAGGGCCGGTATTCTGAAAACTTCACGTCTTTCTTCTCTGTAAAGCAGATTGATAGTGGCAAAGGCATGCAGTAGTAGTAGAATGCTGTGCACCAATGACTGTGATGTAGCCTTCGTACGCTCGCTGATACAGCTTGACAGCAGCGGAGTAAAGTTGCTTTTAATAGAAGAGAAATGATAGATTGGACACGCTGATAAGCGTTTCAGGGATCCCAGCCCGAGCACCTTTTCTGATCTTTCGAGATCTCGTCGATGCATCACTTCCGCTTCTTCGTACTGTCCCTGCCGAGCTCCTTCTCCGCATCTAGCCATCTCCTCATCGACAGTTGAACAAGCCGGTGCATCGTTAATGTCTGCGCCTTGATCTCTGTCCTTACTATAGAGAAGCTAAGGAGAGGCGCTAGGGCGTTATCGAAGTCTAGCTTGGTGGTTTTGCTCTACTATAGTAGCCAGCGCGGAATTCCCTGCTTGTCAAACATGCTCATCAGCGCAAGCAGATCTACAGCTGACAGCTCCGTCTTCTGAATGTGCTTAAACAAGATCTATCACCGCATCCCGGATGCTGTGATCTCGCCGAATATCTTTCCACTTCTTTTTGTTATGCAGGTGCATCTGGTAGGCCTCGTTCTCGCGGAACAGCGCGAGGTAGGTGGAAATGGACGTGGTAGATGCTCGCGTCTTGATGTTCGCTGCAGCGCGCGTGATCCTAGATGAATTGACCTACCCATCCAGGTTACTGGTCCATACCTTCCAGGACAAGTCCATCTTGGGAAAGGGGGGGATAGATAGATGGATGTAGTAGTATACTGTACCTGTAATCATCATATCACCACCCTAGAAGACAAAAACAGGAAGACTCTAATTCTTAAATCTCCCTTTTATGTATTCATAGATATATGTGTGTGTACATTGTCTATTTTTCATTCTCCACTAACACTAGAAACCTAGACCTTGACAACCCCCACTCTTTCTCTCCCTTATCTATCTACATAAATCTAAACCTAAATCTAATTACTGATCTTCTTATAAATTTATTCAATCAGTTAGTCAGCTCAGCAAAAAAGGGAATAGATAGTAGACAGATAGTAGATATTAGATAATCTATAATAGAGAAGGGTTGCATAGCTGTCAGAATGTAAGCACTGTTTTTCACTATGGTACGCTTGGGACGATGGCTTCACCAAATCATGAAGGTTCAGCCCACCTGCTTCTTATTGATTGATATTTTCATCATGTCCGCATCATAGAATATAGGTCGTGAGGGGAAGGAGGCGGAACCACACAAAACACACAATCAAAATCATAAGAATCGTCTCTCATCGTGCACATGCATAAATCTGATACAACGCAAATGCAAATAACGTGTATAGATCTACAAAGTTTGTAGTTATAATTCCCATGATGCAACCACCAGCACCTGTTAATGCATGACGACAATTTCTAGAGACATGTCTGTTTAACAATACCTACATCACATCGATTAATACTCAGTGCCTACTATTTAAGGTTCTGATCTCTGCACTCATGCCCCCCCAGTTTCTCAAAAAGAGTTATGGATCTCCTACCCTTCGACAATCGAGACGGTCAAATCTGGTTCGATGGAAAATTCGTGCCCTGGCGCAACGCCAAGATCCACGCCTTAAGTCATGGCCTGCACTATGGCAGTTCCGTGTTTGAGGGTGAGAGATCCTATGGCGGCACCATCTTCAAGTTGCGGGTCCATACCGACCGCCTAATCAATTCGGGCAGAATGCTCGGCTTCAATATCCCCTATGAGGCCGACCGAATCGACGCCGCCTGCCGGCAGGTCATCAAGACTAATGGTCTCACCGACGCCTATGTGCGTCCTCTAGCTTGGCGCGGCAGCGAACAAATGGGTGTGGCCGCCTCAAGGAGCAAAATCCATCTGATGATCGCTGCCTGGGCTTGGCCCAATCCACACGTCGCTAAACACCTCGAGGGTATCCGGCTGGATATCTCCCACTGCTGGCTGCTGCCTCCTGCATCCACCATGCCGGTCGCCGCCAAAGCCGCCGGCCTTTACACCACCAAAACACTGGTCAAACATATGGCGGAAGCCAATGGCTTCGACGACGCACTGATGATGGACGTGGAGGGCATGATCGGCGAATGCACGGGGGCCAATATCTTTTTGGTTTTCAACGGGGAGATCCATACGCCGATCCCCCATTGCTTTCTTGACGGCATCACCCGCCGCACCGCGATCGACCTGCTCCGCAAGAGAGGCCATGAGGTAGTCGAGCGGAAGATCCCAGCCCAAGAAATCGCCGAAGCCAGCGAGGTTTTCATTACCGGTACTGCCTGCGAGATCACCAGGGTGCAACAGATCGGAGATTTTGCCTTTATCTCGGGGGAGATCACCGCGACGCTGATCGCCGATTATCGTGATCTAGTGTTGGGGAAAACGAAACCGAAGATATAGGCTTATTTATTAAGAAGAACTGACATTTCTTACTTTTACCCTTAGCTTCAGCTTAGTTTTGTCTAGGCCGTTAGCAGTTATAAGAGTTAACACAACTACTGTTTCGCAACTATTACAACCACCAAGACTGCAGTATCGGCACCCCTTTCCATGACTTGGCCTAGTCGTGCATGCTCAGCCGTAACAGAGCCTTAGCTTGATCATCGTATACCTGAGACTCCCAACGTGCCTGCTGGCTGTTATTGATCCTCCATAGACCATTGCTTCTATTATCTCTGCACTGCTCGAATAAAATTATATGCTGTGAATCATGCTCTTCAGAATACCCACATTCGGCCAATTATCTGGCTCAAGCTCAAAGGCGATTCTCAGTTCTTCAATCAGGTGTGAGACTTGCGACTCTAGCCGGTAGTTCAAAGTCCCATTTCCATGCCGAGCGTTCCAAAACAGACCCTGCAGAATGATTTGGAGATTCCCATGATCCCAAAATATTCCTTCTGTTGTTACGCAAGGTTCTAGTGCAAGCACAGCATAAACTGTCATACTCGGAATCAAAACCATATTGCCTGGCCGTAGCGCAAGCGCCCTCCCTTTGCCCTTTGGATTCCAACCTGTTCGGCTCGCTTCAAACTCCAGCCAATCAGCCTCCGTCATCGCTGAGTGTGGAACGATCCAGCAGATACATGTTCCAAAAACACTACGCAGCCATTTGTGACCCACCGCTTCCACTCGCGCTCCCTGGAAAGATCCTTTGGGCCTGATTGCATCAATGATCATATGATTCTGGGCGTCTGAGAGGGCGAGATAACTCAGTGTCTCTTTCTGAGCCGCCAGACGGGATTTCCTCCGCTGGAATAGTGTATCTAGCAGCTGAAATTTAGGCCATTTTGTAAGGAAGCATGGTAGGATTCGTGATATACTCTCGATATAAAAGACGTCTGCGCAACCTGTGGCAGACAAAATCTCCGTGTTAAGATGCTCGATTATCGTTTCAACAAGGTTCCAGGACACTTGACACTGGTCCTGGCGAACGTGCAGCAATAAGTCCCCGTAAATCGATTGCAAGGCAGTTCGGTATAGGTATACGCTGGAACTAGGTGCAGGGGGAGAGTTTTGATCGAACACAATGACCTGGGATAGATCCGAGTCTCTTTCTGGAGAAGCCATTACTGTTTCGAATAATACCTTTACCGCATCTGCAGCTCTAACCGAGGAGCTCACGTCACGCTCATCAGTCGTCGCAACTATTGCAGCAATGGTAATCGGATTCATCCAATATTTCACACATGTTCCAGAGAGATCTCCACGTAGGCCACTGACTTCGTGGAAAGCTTCAACTTGGCCCATGGTATCCGAGCTCCACACACAAACGTGGCAGGTCCCGGAACAGACGCGACAGTAACCACTGCCTATGGAAGACAGGAGTACAGATGTTGAAGTTGAAGTTGAAGGGCCAAAGCTATCGCGTGCCGAAAGGGAACGAGCCAAACTGTCTTCACGTGCCACCGACTCCCGCTGGAACTGATCTTGATGATGGGGGGATAGAGTATCAAAACGCACTAGAGATTCATCCGCCCATGGATAACATTCGTCAAATCCCCTCAAACCCTCCTCTAGATTAGGGTTGTCCTGTATCGAGGGACGGACATCTCCACAGCGTTCAGAGTAGGTGGGCGCCTGCGGAGTGGCTTCAGCAGAGCTCTGATCGCCTTCATCTTCCACAGCTCGAGATATCGTTGAAACTCTCGCAGGTGCTGCCTCTGAGACGAGAAGATAATCGCTGGCCGTTTGATCATTTTCTACACAAATAGGACAGAACCCTATGCTTCGGCTGTTATCCGGTACCAGAAGTCCATGTACGTCTTGCTTTACTAGATAAAATCTCATCTGTTCGTTTTTCATCCCCAGGCTGCGAAGGAAACACCAACAAGGACGTAGCCACGACTGGATCCTTCCTTCTATTTGCTCTTCCTCCTCTCTTGGCAAGCCCCCGAGTACGAGCTCGATATCGCTCAAGAGAAGAGGCGACTCCGGCAGGGTTACCGTCGATTGTGTGTAGTGAAGGCCAATTCTCAGTAGCCGGGAATTGTTAATACTACACTCATGCCGGAGGATCATATAGCGATTGGTTGCTTTCACAAAGCTTTGCCAACAACCATACAGCGACGCTGCCTTGACCAGCTTCTCCAAGAACCGAATGGAGTACATATCCATGTGGTAGAACTGAACCCGTTCAGACGACCAGAAGGCAGTAAGAGTGGCCACGGAGCGCCGTCTCCGAGCTACACTTGGGATCTCGTTTTCTGCTGCTCTGACGGCAATCTTCTCGATCTCGTGAAGCTGCGGAACCGCGTTTGGTACGAGGTGAGCACACTTCGGGGATTTGGCGACCGCAAGTATGGCAGATGCCCAAACTAGGGTATTTTCATCTCTGTCCAGAAGCCTCTGACAAAAGCGCTGCAGGACCGCGGCGCAATCGGCGTCGGATACCGCGGCTGCGAGGTCGTGGTAGAACCGATTGACAAATTTGAGGTACTGACTCGAGAACTGCATTTTGGCAGCTGGCTCTGTCAATGCACCGCAAAGCTCTTCTCTTTGATTAGTCAAGCAGGATACTACCAGTTTTCTTCTCGGCTCTTTACGTACATGGCTCGGTCTGCTAGTGTACTAAGCTCTGTTGCTGGTAAGCGAAGTATGTAGTCTAGCCTGGATAGTCAGACCGTGCGCGGTGTCGACCGACACAGTCGCAACATACCCGTCTCTTGTTAGGAGTTACGATTTTATCCATGGGCGAGCCTTCCTTCTTAGGATCAAAAGCACAGACCATATAGTTCTGAGATGGCCTGGTCTGTGCATAGTCCGTATCAAATGCAAATGTCGATCAAACGCTTGTCGGCATTAATGTTATTGGCGGTTAGTGACGCGAAATGTACGTTAAGTTTACCTTTGAAGAGTCATACTGTAACAGAACATAGCTCTTTGCAAACAATTAACACTCAAGGGACAGCTCTCTTTAGCTATTTAGGCATGTAAATCAGGTAAAATTTAATCTCTACAAGCAGCATCTCGCGCGTAGGATGTTCCTTCTTTAACTTTAAACAATTGCGTTAAGGGTGCCCTTCTACAACGCGAACTTGTTTAGCTTAATAGATAAATAGCTGCATCTTACAAGGATTGCGGTTCTCGGGAACGCGTTTTGAATGCGATGCTGTGCTCCCGAGCAGTTCTCGGGCCTAAGTATAGCTGCTGTAAGCAGCTTTTCGGCCACCGGCTACAATCGGCCACCGGCAACAATTAGCTACTTGCCTGATAGGCTGCAACGGAGAAACCGTAGTACTGTGAAAGGCCTCTGAATATAACATGCAGAGCTCTTTTACCGATCGCCACCACCCATCCACCCTTGTCATCCACCCCACCCAGCGCCTCTTACGACATCCGCTATACCAGGACATACTAGGACCGATTGCTTACATAGTAATATTTTGATATCTCTGGGTAGATGCAGCTGCAGTCTCAAGTGCGTTGTCAGGCATGTCATGACCAGGGTTCGACAGTGACAATCAAAAACATTATTCAGTACTCACACTGAACATTGGTGCTACAGTATGACAGACCCTGGTGTGGGAACTTGTTGCCTCTAGCACAATTGTGAGATTATCGCCTCCGGGACTAATAATCGTTCAAGACTCTCTGAGAGATTGATAAAAGTTTTTGTGAAGAACGCTATACGCCAATGAAAATGATAATGAGATAAGATCACTGAAGTCATATGTCATGTGCTGGATCGAGAAATGAAGCAAGGCAGCGATTGCTAAAACTTTCCAACATCAGTACCTAAACTTGAATAGCCACAGCGCCCAGCCACACCATTTCCATTTCAACCCCACGATCCGTGCGAAGCTGTTCAAATTCCTTCCCCAATTCGTTCCGCGCAGTATCACATAGATTCTTAGGAAGATGTCCAACATAATTCCCAAATGTACTGGCATCTAGCCAGCCAAGCATACTTTCCGCATCTTGCATTGTGATAATGCTTCGTTCTGTAAAACTCGCAGTGCCACATAACCCAGCGGCCTGAAGGAGGCTCTCCAGTTCATGCTGAGTGGGGAAATTTGCCACGTTGCCCGTGCTTTCTGGGTAGTCGCGATAACGCTCGTGTGATAACACATGCTTTTTTATCGTCTCGAACACAGGTGGGCGATCTCCGGATCCACCCAAGATGCCGAGTCGTCCTCCTGGTTTTAGTACGCGGGCAATTTGATTGAGTGCGCCAAGCTGGTCCGGCAGCCAATGGAGGACACAATTCAAGTAAGCGACATCGAAACTCGCCGAGTCGAATTGTGAAAGATCCTGAGCATCTCCCACGTCGAACGATAGATTTGGCTGGTTTTTGGAGCGTGCGACGTTAATGCGATCCTCAAGTGGATCAATGCCAATAACACGTCCATCCTGGCCTACAAGGCTTGCAGCATATGATGCAAGTCGACCAGTACCGGCTCCGACATCTAGAACTCGCTGGCCTGCGGTGATTTCCAATTTCTTAAGAAGAGATAATCCCGCTTGATACTGGGCTTCACTGACAGCCTCGTACTGGTGCGCCAATTCTTTCGTATCGAGTCCCAGACTAATCATAGCCATATTCCCAATAAGCCGTTGCGTCCGATTGTTCGATTGTTTTGAGAGTTTCAGAGTCAGGAAACTGCTTTTGTTATTAACTTTATTCTGGAAACATCTGCGCGAAGCATTACCTATAGCGCTTCTAGGCCCTTTGCTGGGTTTCGTGGGGAGAACACTGAGGGTAGAGGATGTCAGAATATAGAGGTAGCGGTAGGCTATCGAACTTTGCATCAAAAATCAACCAGGGGTTTATATCCGCAAAGTTGTATTTGACGTAACCTCTGTTGGAAGAATTAAATAGCGATGGGCAACGTTAAGAAGACGCATGCAGATGATGCCGTGTGACGACGCAGAGAATCTCGTGGAGTCATGCAGAAGATTATATGCTATGATGCAAAGGACGCCGTGTGGTGGTGCAGGAGACGCTGTGTGGTGACACAGAAAATGTCATCCAATCTTTGTGCGCATAGTCGCAACTACAACGAGCACAGACCATGGAGTTCCAGCGTTGTATGGTCTGTGCGTGTTGCTGGCGCTCACGTATCAAATGTATATATGGAGCAGCATTTCGACACAAGAAAGATAAAAAGTAAGGGTGAGACTTGTTGTACTCATGGAAAAAATGTATTGGTAAGACTGTTGGGTCTAGTTCCTATTCACGCAGACCTCCTGGCAAATCCAGGCTGGACGTGGGCTTGACATGATCTTGTAGCACACTTAGGTGCACACGGGCAATGTTGCCCTTCGGAAGCTATCCCACAGCCTTGACTGATGTAATATAATGGTTCACCCTCCATAGGCACTTAGGAGGTGACGCAGCTTGTCCAAGAAGATATGTTAACCTAAACTTGCCAGCAGTGGGCTTCGGAACCCACTTGCGTGGGCACTGATCAGCGCAGCTTTTCTCTTTTTTGATGGAAGCATACCAGTTTTTTTTTTTGGCATTACCACGCATCAAGTCACTGAGGCTTCATTCATGAGCCATCTTGTCATCAGGAAAGTTCGTGCATGAGATTAAGACCACTCTTCACAAGTTAAGGATGGAGTATCGCAGCAAGCAGCTCTCCCTACAGAAATACCGTTTTATATACGCTTCAAGTCTGATATGCTTCGAATGATAGATATAAAAATCGGAGTGCTAGATGAGATGGTATTAAATTATATACCTACATGAAAATCCGGCTGGCGGCGAGCCACTGTATATGTCACTGTATATGTTCTTGTAAGCTCAGGACACCTACAGTCATGTGATACATCACTGACTAAGCCGTCCTCTTCTACATGTATATTATTCTCACTCTATCATACTCAATAATAAAAGGAACAACCTACTGCTTACAGGGGTTAACGCGTATGGCTGGTCAATCCCACCCTTCGTAATCCTAGCTCCACCAGGCTGCCTGGTATCGTGATATACTTGATGCCTGGATGATCGCTGTCAGAGACAACGGCTAGACGACTGATCACCTTGGCTTTGCCTAGTTAGAGCACTTCAATCGCTGTACTTAGACTCAGACAGTAGGCACCTATCAACTACTAATTGTAGACAGTCACAGCAGCCATGCTGCCAGCTCACACATCGCATCTACTCTAGCCTCTTGATGTAGGCTGCTTCTCGCCTCTAAAACGCGCGTACAAACAGGTAATTTAGCAGCTCGCTTGCTAACACGTCTATTATGTATACAAAGCAGAATTTCTGTCTATATATAAGTAGGCTAGACAGGAAGTTAGTATAAAAAAGAACACTTATACTAAGTTTTAAGCTACTAGGCTTATGCTATACAGCCTTAAGCGTGTTTTATCTTTACTACTTGTTATTTAAACGCCCTTACCCTATTAGCTAGCAGGCAACGTAGAAGGACAGTAAACAGCTAAGATACTATATACAGTAGACTAGCTTTAAAAGCAGGCTTATTATATTTAAGATCTACTTTGTCAGCAATTACAGAGTCCTACTAATCAAGCTATCCGCCCGCTTATAAAGGGGTGCCAGTTTGCTATGCACTCAGCTGCTATCCTTATAAAAAAAAACAAGTCTTTAAGTAGCTGTACAGCGCTAAGAGCGCAGGAAGAGGCAGCGTAAGCAGTATATAGCACGTAGAGGAGCTCTCCAGGCTTAAGAAGGCCAGAGGCTGGCTACGGAGGCTAATAGGGTAGTCCAAGAGGTCAAGCAAGCTAGTCAACAAGTAGACCTCGCGCGCTACTAACGTGCACCAAGTGCTTTATACAGGGCCACAAAAGAACTCAGTGTACTGCTAGATAGCGCAAATCAATTAGATCTATATACACTATATTGCAATGTGACGTTGTTAAGCAATCATCCAAGAAGCGTGGATTTTCTTGGTGTGGTGCGCAGCTTACTGATAAAACACGTTAGTTCTATGCCTGTCTGCTGAAGGAATTGAGAATGTGCGTTACCGCAGACTTGCGCAAGCTAGTCCCACGCTCCATCCTCGCATAAGCTTGACAGGCCGAAAGCAAAGATTTAGGTATAATTACGTCACCAGAAGATTGTCACAATAGAGTAGCAAGGGTTCAATCCAGGCAACTTTAGGCCTTGATGACGATACAAATATGTGGGTCGGTCGTCATAGCCGTTTTAAATTGTATCACAGCTGTGTGGCAAACACAAAATATCTCTATACAGTCAAACCCGTATAAACTTTCGCATCCTTTTATTTTCTAAAGGAAGTGCAAATACTTCAACAATGATCGAGGAACCACCATCACAAGGACCTATCGATGAAGTCGCCGTCGCCGAGGTAAAACAACCTACATCATATAAACATCGGTTGCTAATAGTGTCAATTCCGTCAACAGTATCTCTTCAAACGCCTCGGACAAATAGGGGTCCGCTCAATCCACGGTATACCGGGAGACTACAATCTTGTCGCCATAGACTACATTTTGAAGTCTGGGCTAAGTTGGGTGGGTAACTGTAACGAACTAAATGCTGGCAAGTCAATCTCCCCGTTGTCGTCAATACTAGAGAAGATATGTGTCTCTGATAAGGATCTAACAGCACTGTAGGCTATGCAGCCGATGGTTACGCACGAGTTAACGGAGTCGGCGCTCTCGTCACTACCTTTGGCGTGGGGGAACTTTCGGCTCTCAATGCAATTGCTGGCTCCTATAGCGAGTATGTCCCTGTCGTACACATCGTTGGATATCCTTCTAGAGCTGCCCAGAAGGATCGACTACTCCTACACCACACTCTTGGTGATGGAGATTACGAGGTTTTCTCTGAGATGTTCAAGCCAATATCTTGCGCTGTCTCGAGGCTGAACGATCCTGAAGAGGCGGCTGCTTTGATTGACAACGCGATCCGAGAGTGCATCTGTCAATCTCGGCCAGTCTACATTGGGCTTCCATCTGATATGGTGACGAAGAAGATAAACGCAAATCAGTTGAAAGTCTCTCCTGACCTATCTTACCCACCCAATGACCCCGAAAAAGAGGAATACGTTGTAGATGCTGTGCTTGAATGCCTTCGTAAAGCCCGGAGCCCTGCGATCCTGGTGGACGCATGCGCGATCCGGCATCGCGCGGTTCAAGAAACCCACGAATTCATCTCTGAATCGGGCATACCTGCCTTTGTGTCCCCCATGGGTAAGGGAGCAATCGATGAGACCTTACCCAACTATGGAGGGGTCTATGCTGGGAGCGGAAGCAATAAGGGCGTGCAGGAATGCTTTGAGTCAGCTGATCTGGTAATAAGTATTGGAGCGATCCAATCCGATCTCAACACTGCAGGTTTCACCTACCGTCTCCCAGCCTTAAAATGCATTGAGTTTCACAGTTATGGTGTCAAAATCCGACACTCGGAGCATCCCGGTGTGCGCATGAACGGTGTGCTTGCAAAGCTCACTCGTAAGTTAAGCAGCTTGAATCGTGCCTCCGACTTTGAGAAAACGGCAGTTCAATTGAACGAGCTACAAACGACATCTCAATTGGACCATCCACAAACAGCATCTCGATCGCCCATCTCACAAGCCTGGTTTTGGTCGCGGCTGGGTCAGTGGCTGAAGCCAAACGACATTGTCATCACGGAGAGTGGAACCTCCAGCTTTGGAATCTGGGAGACAAGATTTCCTAAAGGCGTCACGGCTATTTCCCAAGTACTTTGGGGCAGCATCGGCTATGCAACTGGTGCATGCCAAGGCGCTACCCTTGCTGCACAAGAACTGGGTATCAGGCGCACGATTCTTTTCACGGGCGATGGCTCCCTGCAGCTCGCGGTTCAAGAGCTCAGCACAATGATCCGAAACAAGCTCAATCCCATCATTTTCGTCCTCTGCAACGATGGATACACAACTGAACGTCTTGTTCATGGCATGGAAGCGACGTACAACGATGTCCAAGAGTGGCGATACAAGGATCTACCGTTGACTTTTGGTGGCAGACAAGATGAGGTTCTGACGTATCGGGTAGAGACCGAGGATGACGTCGAGGAGCTTTTCCAAGACGAAGAGTTCGGCGACGTCGACACCAAAAAGTTGAGGTTTGTCGAGCTGGTCATGCTTTGGGATGATGCCCCTAAGGTTTTGAAGAAAATTGTTAAGTCTGTAGAGAGAAGAAATGCCTGACGGTTGCATTAGCAGCCTTGGAGGTTTCTGCCATGGGATTGTACAGCTGTTCAAGCAAGCGGATCGTTAGTATGCATAAGCTTATATGGAGCAAGATCATATAAGAATATCGGTATACTTCTGCTGCTAGTAGTGATGTTTTAACCCTTTGGCATTTTCAATCACAGCAGAACGGCTTTTGCGTGAGGCTATGAGTACTCGTTGTGCTCCGGTTCGCGCCATGCCATATCGCGCGTCAGTCGTCGATCATGAGCGAGATCCACCAGCTGCGAGGCAACTCCATGGCCGTGATAGAAAAAGCTGACAGTAGCGACAGCTCTTGTTAGGTACAACGAGTGCTCCCGAAAATGCTCCTTTCATCTACATTTTCCCATCGCGAACCTAGTTTACTATGACACAGCATCGTACGCAGAAGCTGTTACACTACCTGAGATGGCCGCTTCAGGCTGCCAATATGCCTTTCGCGGTGAGGCAGCATAATCTGCGACAAGCAGATTGTTATTCGCATGAACTCAGTTTACTACTGCTTAGAAAGGTATTGTCGTCTTAACTATGTACCCGTACTGAGGCGATTAAGTTACGCTCGCAAAAGTGCGCTAACTTCGCATCTTTACCGATAGTTGCCTCGTCCCTTCCTATCAGTTTAGCCTGTTCAGGGAACTAATCATAGCATTGTTTCCTAGCGGTAGTGTACCAAGTTCTAGCTAAGGCACCTTTCTAATTCCATTCGATCAAGTTATCAGATTTTTAATAGAAATCACTGAAAGATTCATAAGTAATTGATTCTCCTCTCTCTGAGTGATGCGTATCCCCACACTTTATATCCGCGTCCATCCGTAGCTAAAGCGTAGGGCGGTTTTAGTGGGTAAACACAACACCAATGATCTTGCCCACTATCCAAGTGAGGCCTGCTATCTGACACAAGTAAGCTATACACCCAAAAGTGTCTAACGAGCGAGATATATAGCAAGGTTCATGTACTGATTATGGAGTACTTCATGCGATTGGCCTCGCGGCAGAAGAGTTATCTTGGATTGCTACTAATGTAACGACACAGGTCCGACACAGCTCCGGTACGGCCACGTTACGGAGGCGAAGGGGATCACATCAATGACGAAATCCAGGGAACAATTCTGTATTGGAACTTATAGGTTTTGTACGGAAGGACAATTAATATACTATCGAGCTAACTAGTACAAAGGACTTCCTCAATACATGAGGCAGCCAAAAGCAGAGAAGTGCTTCTGCTCGAGAGCGCGACATGTCAGATCTGATTCGGATAGTTCTCGATAATGACTGTCCGGAATAAACTGCTGAAGATTCAAGTAGTCGTATTGTGGTCGAAACGAGCCAGATACATATGTAGAGGATGCCTCGACTGAAAAAGCAATTTCCTAGTAACACGTAATCTGAATGTGAAGACCCCGAGAAGGGGTGTATACCGAGAGTGCGCTGAGTTGGTATCGTGACTTAGAGCAACCTTCGGGCGTATAAATGTGCATATTGGCTCGACTGTAAGCCTAAGCGATAATACAAGAATTGGGGTTGAAGTCTGTGTTCTGTGGCATCCTTTGTTTAATCACCCTAATTAAATACCCCTAACCTACTCTGTAAACCGCCTTTCAACTCCACACTCAGTACTATCTGGAAAACCACCACCTCACTCACAGGAGGGGAAAAGCTTCACGAGCGCCTTATCTATAATCTCCTTAAGTTCCTGATGCCAAAAAGCCGCTCGACCCATTCCCTTTCAACGCTACCGCCACCGCCAGCACCCTACTCCTTGCTCCTCCGCACAACAGCAAATGCCTCTTTAGACATAGATACAACGACATCCCAACCGTCTCTCACCTGTCCGCCACTTCGTCTCGCGACCACGGCTGAGTTTAGTATGCGTAGCGAGATGGAATTGTCGTCCGCGCTGGCAAGGTACTTGTGTGGCGCAGCCCATTCGGGGATGTCTAATTTCTAGCTGTAAGGGAGGCCCTCTTGATGAGGCCAATGGAGTGCCGGCTGCGCTGTGCCAGGGGTGTAAGGTCAGAGAGGAAGGATACGCCGATTTTGATGCGCGGACGAAAGTTGAAGTGGTCGGTGCCGTAGAGCATCTTAGCGGCTTCGGCGTGGATTTGTCGGTTCAGAGGGAGTAGGGACGGGTCTTTGTGGCGTAGGTGTAAGGGGAGAGGAGGACACGTTAGGCTGTTTAGGTTTTGCTAGTTAGAAACGGTTCTGTTGACGATGTTAGAATAGGGAAAATTCGTAGCTGTTGCGACATATCAGTGTGAATGTGGTACATGGAACGCCTTCGTCAGTTCGATGAGTCGTGAGAGAAACACGGTTAGATTATTTGGACGGAGAGTGTGAAGAGGTTTTAATTTATGTTACTAAGATATTGCGCGTGGTAATTTGGTAGTAGGTTGGACACTGGAGTTGAATTTAATACTAATAATACGATTGAAAGCAAGAGAAGATATTCATGGAACACTAGTCTAATTTCATAAGGTAGATGCGGCATAGGTGACAATGATTGAGCAGTAGATTCTCCCATGGTACTTCTCGCCAACATTCACACTTTTTTGTTTGGTTTCAAACGGTTATCGTTTGCTGCACTAATACTATGCTACAGTTGGTAACTGAAATTTGACTCAAAGATATAAAATCAAAACATGCACGATACAGGTGGCTTTTGCCTTTATAGGAGCGCATGTAACTCGCAAGTCCCGGCTGACCTCAACATTGGGCTTGGCTATATAGCATTGTACCTCTGCTCGCGTCAGCTTACACACACTAATCGGCGGCGGACCAAATTAGCGATGCACTCCAAATTGAAAGTAGTAGTGATACTAGACGATAGTGATAAGCTTTAAAGAGCGATGTTTTTATTTCGAGAGTACAACTATCATTAGGGAGATATAGTAAAAAGTGGAGAAACGGGAGAGAAAACTCAATTCTACCCGCTAAATCTAACAGAAAATTCACCAGAAACAAGTGTAGCACTGCCACGATATGGCACAAAGACTTGTCCGTCATTGTTACAATAATTCAGACGCATGAACAGTAGAAAAGGGTAAATCAAATGAATGCGTTGGCCGCAATCCCCCGTCACCGACTTATCCTGGATCTCACCATTGGTAAAACCGTAAGGGTGGATAGCATTTGTCAACAAGCATGGCACCTTTGGGTTGCAACACAGCGCATGCCAACACCTATACGAGTGGCTGGACTGCAGCAGCCATCATCATTTCATTTTTCCCCTTCATATCACTGGGTCACAAGCACAGCAAGGACCGACCTGAAGTAGCTAATGATGCGGAGGGCAGAACTTGCTATATTTTCTGACCTCCTTCCCTTCGAAACCATATCATGGCGCTGGGCGATAGCCTTCCCGACTTCCTTACAAACACACCTCTCCACCCATCTTGTGATTCGGACATCCTTGACACCCATATAGTCTACGAGTACAATGCGCAGGATATAGACGGAAGCCCCGAGAAATAGAAGTACGAGCTGTAGTGCTTCTCAGATACTTGTGTGGTCTATGCTATTCACGGAGGTCCAATGACTGGTCGAAAGAACTACTAGCGAGCGATGTACGTAGCACACAGTTTTGAATTAAGTTTCACAAGTGTCCCCGCGATGTGAGCTAGATCTTGAACTACAGTTTGGTTGGCTCAGCGACAACACTAGTGCCAGTTATGTCAGCTAGCGATATGGTCAAGCCAAGTTCCGGAAGTACCCAAGTCTATTGTCCGTCTACATTAGATTAGCTTCCGTCTCCGTAGGCAACTAGTCGGTGATCACTAAAGCTTTCGAGACAACACGTTCGTGTCAGATTCACAGTATTACTTCATAGTTGCTGTGAATTAATGATTGTATTGATCGACCTTTTTTTTTCCTGTCCCCCCTCGGGGGGAGGTGAGGGACATAATCCCCTCACGGTCTATAAACTATGATGAAATCATGATGAAAATATCAACCAATAAGCAATAGGTGGGCCGACCCCCTATGATTCGGTGAGGATATTATCTCAAACGTGATATAGTGGAAACAGGACCGATATTCTGACAGTTCGTACACGATAGATAAATATATACTTGCTTCAACTTGCACTGGTGGTGATATCTCATCAATTTGGTGAAGAAGGATAGGAAGAGTCCTTGCAAGGATAGCTGACGCTTACACGTAAGGATACTGGTTGTTGGTACAAGGTGTGATAAGGGCTTCTATAGGCTCTCCGATATGCGCTGGATCCGCACTAGGGAATCACAATAGAACTCCGTCAGACCCACTGCGAGAGCTAAAAGACGGCTCGTAGGAATCAGAACAAGCTCCCGGGCGGTCACGGCTGCTTCGTTATTGCGCGATTACATCAGCAGGCTAGGTGCTTGTGGAGAGTTATTGCTGAGTCGACCAACGCGTCTAGCGCCCTACTCTCAATTCTCTTTCGTTACAATCATCGTACAATTGTGTAATGTGGTACATCATGCGGCAATGCCAACATTCTCAAATCTAGTGACTCAACCAAAAGACCACACCTCCTTCGAGCTGCACAAGACAACCATTGACGCCGCCCCCAACCGGCAAGAAGTAGTCTCCTCAAGTTCCATGAGTCCTCACGCTCATCAAGCAAATCCAGGCTGGCCAGCACTGCAAGCGAGACCTGTAGACAGAATTCCAACTTGTTAAAAGAGATTATAGTAAAATATAGCGCGTGCAGCAGCAGCACAAAGCATTATTAGGATTTGTAAACAACAAGATATAGTAGGTAGATCTCAGATACTGCAGGGATTGTCGCTGATCACAAGGCTCAGGTAGATATTATTACAACGCAGAAACGCTTTTTTTTCCGTTCGTATGCCAACCAGAGTACACAAGCTGTTCATCAACAGTGTCAAGGATGCAATTTAAAGCCAGCCAAAAGCAATACGCAATTAATCAGGCAAGGAGGCTCACTTTGCACAGAAAGTGCGTCTAGCACTTTCAACTGTCATCAAGTCTCCAGTAGAGAATACTTCATCAGGTAAAAAACCAAGATACGAGCCAGACGCGTCGTTTTGGCACAAGGATGCGTTGTGCTTGAGAAGCATACGGATTCTGCATCCACACTGGGCCCGCTTCTTCAGTCGCGTGTTGAGCCGACAAAGGAAAACTAGGGCTTGAAGCGTTATCCTCAACCGACTCTAAGGCTTCCAGTTTGAGCGGACTGCGTGCTTGGTTGCTTCCATAAGATGGCGAATGCTCTCAAAATTGCTCCTTAGACAAGCGTAATGTCTCTGCCCTAAGTTCTATAGCTAAAGCAGATACGTTGCCTTCTTCTCAAAGCTTTTGCACGTCAGCATTAATTACGTAATTAGCCTAGGTATTGTACACTATAAAGTTCCGCGTCTATTATTCTTTTGCCTACATTGTCTACATACAGCAACAAGTCTCTTAATAGGTCAACTAGCTTATAGGTTTTTTTTTTTTAGAAAGCTCTGGCAACTCAAGTAAGCGGGTATCAGTCATAGGTGAGGCTGAAAACGCACTCATTAAATCAGGCTCTCTAGCCCTATATATATATGCATATTATACTTTGCCCAGCATATGTCTTGCGGCGCAGTTTACTAAAACATCTATTCTTTTATACACAGCACTATATAAGAGACGCAACGTTAGCAGATTCTATAGATAGTAGCTATTACTCACGTTGTTACATGCGCGCTTTGTACGTAGTTAGCGCTGTTTCTAAGAGGGTTAATAATTCTGTTTAAGTTTAAGAATAGCTAATTTAAAAGCTAAGGGTGTGTTCTCTATATTAGCTTAAGTGTTTTTTTAACGACTGTTGTCAGCTGCCATCTGCTAACAATTGCTTAAAGTAAGATTATAAAACCCCGCACCTTTAAGTAGGGGGCACTCTTAACTAGCAGTCTATAAATACCTAACTACATGTACAAGCTCTTTGTGTTACCTTAGTGTTACCTTGCCCCACTTTAACAAAAAAAACTTTTTCTATACAGCAGTCACCTCAGGAAGACAGCCATGCGATTGCTTCCTACAGCATTGATCGGACTCTGTTTGTTATTTCAAAATCGCAACTTGCGGATCTGCGCTCTATCTCATCGCAGTCTCTTTCGACCAGCAGAGTTTCATTCCACGGCTCTCGCTTGCTGTGCCGTCCAGCCAGGAGTGCAAGGACGTGTACAACTGAGGCGCACTACTTTTCGCCGATCGGCGGGGGTGGTCGTATGTTGTACCGCATTGCGGGGTTGTACCGTGTCTTGGCAGCCCGTGCGCACAATCCGCCCTTGCGCGCCCGCCCAATGCAGCCACCAACCCTTGATATAGAATAACTATACGAATATGGACCCAATAAACGCCGCGCTGACAGCAATCGAATCGCTAGAACGAGGAAAATCTTTTACGTATACAGAAATAGCTGCTAGATTTGGTGTTGTACGCTCTACGTTGACACGAAGGCACCAGCGTACACACCGCGCGCCTGAAGTTGCTCAAATGGATCAACAAAATCTCAACAACAATCAATAGAAGGAGCTTGTACAGTATATCAGACGTCTTACTGAGCGAGGGCTCCCTCCTACACGCCAAATGATACAGAACTTCGGCTCCTGTATCGCCAAAAAGGACGTCTCAATAGCTTCGGTTGATCGATTTGTCAAGCGCCACCAAGAGGACTTGATCACGAGCTGGAGTACAGGACTTGATAGGAATCGCCACAAAGCTGATTCAGAGGCTAAATGCAAGCTGTATTTCAAGCTTCTGCATGAGAGAATCGAGAAGTATGGTGTAGAACCCCAGCATATCTACAATATGGATGAGAAAGGCTTCCTCCTTGGGATCACCGGGCGTTCAAAAAGGGTGTTCAACAGGCCTCTATACATGAGTCGCCAAGTACGGCAGGCCCTACAAGACGGTTCTCGCGAGTGGATATCAACTATAGCTTGTATTTGCGCCGACGGCTCTTACGTGGATCCCTCCCTTGTGTACAGATCCGACGCTGAGGCTCTACAATCAAGCTGGGTTGAAAAAATCAGCAACTCTCACAGAGCTTTCGTCAACTCATCAACTTCTGGCTGGTCAAACAACCAGATAGGCCTTGCATGGCTCAAACAGGTGTTTGATAGGTGTACCAAGCCAGAATCAGGGCGTTTCCAGCGACTACTAATTGTTGACGGCCACGGATCTCACCTTACAATGGATTTTATCAACTACTGTGACTCTAATAGGATCCTCCTCGCGATATTTCCCCCTCATGCGACCCATACGTTGCCGCCTCTCGACGTCTGCGTGTTCAAGTCTCTATCAGCTGCCTATTCAAATAAACTCACAGAGCACCTCAACAACAGCCAAGGACTATCAACTGTGGCGAAGAGAGACTTTTTTAGCCTATTATGGAACTCCTGGATTACTACTGCTACGCCGCAATTGATCAAGTGAGCTTTTGAGTGTACAGGTATCTGGCCACCTGACTCAACACCTATACTCAAGAGGTTTCATCAGGAGACTCAGCTAGAGCAGGGCTCGCGGGAGAGCTCTACGTCAGTACTCAGCGCGTCAGATTGTCGCAAAATTGAGAGGCTTTTACGGTCTACTGTCAAGGATATCGCCACTGAAGAATCGCGCAAGCTCAGCCAAACTATCCACTCAATATCTGTACAAAAGCAACTCCTAGAGCACGAGAACCAGGGCCTACGAGATGCCCTCGCCAACAAGAAAAGGCGCCAAACAAAGGGCAGAACTCTCCCTTTTGAGCAACCTGATGAGTGGCATGGGGGGGCTGTTTTCTGGTCGCCTGCCCGGGTGCAGAGGGCACGTGACGCTCTTGATCAACAAGAGGCTGAAAAACAACAACAACAACAACAACGACACCAGAAAAATGAGCAAAGGGAGATTCAGAAGGCTAATCAACAGCTTAAAGTTCAATTACTGCAGGAGAAGCGCGTTGCGCGTGCGGCAGCCAGAGAGGCGCGCGCAAAGGAGGAAGCTAATCAGGCTACTGCGCGACGCCTCCATCAGCAGGCTCGCAGGGCACAAGAACAACAAAAAAAAGCTATCAAATTGTCCCAAAAGGGTAATCAACAAGCTTCAGTTTCTACTCCTAGGCCTATCAAGAAGAAAAAACCAGTGCGCGCAGCTAAGGGGGGGGAGCCAGCGACGCCAGCTGCGTCAACCCTCTCGTCGCGCAGAGGCCGAATTATCAAAACACCAACGCGTTACCTATAGTTTGAGTAGCTAGTAATCGTTTGTGAGCCTAAGAGACCTCTCCACTAGAAAATCTCGTAATAATAGCTTTTGTATAGAGCTGTAGAGCCTCATATAGCTATACGCGCGTTTTTGGGCGAGCGCGCAAGGGCTGATTGTGCGCACGGGCTGCCAAGACACGGTAATCCCTGCACAGCCAAATGGACATCATCGTTATCCTCATCAAACAAACTACACGCACAGACCATGCTATTCTAGCGCTACACGGTCTATGCTTTTGATTATTAGAAAACGACCTCTTTACAGATACAGCTAAAGTCCGTGCCTTAGTCGCGAATCATTCAATTTGTCGATATTGACCGATTAACTAGCCAAAATATGAGACTCATCAGTCAATCAATGAAGCTGCTTTTGATGGGATTATAAAAAACAGACTAAGATATGTTAGGTGAACGAACATGAACTAGGACTCAACGTAATCAATAGACTTAGAAGGAATGCATGAAGCCATCTACGTAGTAGTTTATAATTTATTGACGATGGTCTCCCATGAGATTATCGTTCAACAGAAGCAGTTCAGACGATCACTGTCGCAAAAGATTTCGGGTCCCCATCCTCTCAACCACATGATATATCAAAATTCTGTATATAGTCCCGTTTACCATTATTTATGTCTTCTACATACGTCGAATTCTCAATAGTCAGAAGCCGTTCTTTTTTGTTTACCTCCTGCAATGAATCCTATCAAGAATACTTCATTTACACCTACTCCCGTCGCCATATGTGGCATTTCACTCAGGTTACCGGGTGGTGTGACTTCACCAGATGAATTTTGGAAGCTCTTGTTAAGCAAGAAAGATGTGGGCTGCAAAGTCCCACAAAATCGGTACAATGTTGACGGATTTTACTCATCATCCGGCAGGCCAGGACACGTACGGTCCAACAGGGGCTACTTTTTAGAGGAGAGTACCGATATCGGTGTCTTCGATAACTCTTTTTTCAGTATGTCCTCGCAGGCTGTGGCTAAACTGGATCCTCAGGCCCGTCTTCTTCTCCAACTCACTCATGAGTGTTTGGAGAGCGCCGGGGAAGCGGCACCTCACGGTCAAAACATTGGCTGCTACATTGGATCTTTTGGGAAAGATTGGCAGGACCGTTTCGCGCACGGAACGGAGCCGAGCGGCGCGCACAATGTTTTAGGATACGGAGAGTTCGTGCTATCAAACCGTATCTCGTACGAGTTTGATCTTAGAGGCCCAAGCTTGACCATCGGTACGGGGTGTTCTTCATCTTTGGTTGCTCTCAACCAAGCAATTGAAGCGTTGAAGGTCGGAGCCTGCGATGGAGCACTTATTGGAGGAGCCAATCTCATCACGGGTCCAGGACTTACTCTTGATCTTGATGAAGCCGGTGTATTATCTCCTACCGGTTCTTGCCGCGCCTTCGACGCTGATGCGAATGGTTATGTTCGTGGCGAAGCTGTGAATATGATCTATGTCAAACATTTGGATGCGGCTCTCCGCGACGCCAACCCCATTCGCGCCGTCATCCGTGGATCTGCGATCAATTCGGACGGCAAAACTGATAGCTTTACTACGCCAAATCCAAAGGCCCAAGCAAAACTCATACGCCAATCGTATTCTCACGCAGGCATTACGGCTATTGAAGAGCTGCAAAAGACAGCCTTTGTAGAGTGCCACGGTACCGGAACTGTTACAGGAGACCCCATAGAGGTTTCTGCGGTCGCGGAGGTGTTCCGAAGTCAAAACAATGGGGAAAGACTCTACATCGGGTCTGTCAAGCCTAGTGTGGGGCACTCGGAGAGTGCATCTGGTCTGACTTCGTTGATCAAAGCTGTTCTCGCACTCGAGAATAAAACTATTCCGCCGAACATCAACTTCTCTAAACCAAATCCGTCAATTCCCTTCTCTCAGTTCAATCTGTGCGTGCCTGTCGATGCTTTAGCTTGGCCTAAGGATCGCGTCGAACGAGTTTCGGTGAATAGCTTTGGCCTTGGAGGCGCCAATGCTCATGTGGTTCTTGAATCCTACGAGTGTTTTCTTAACAACATGAGTCAAGAAGAGTTGAGAAGGTATATACCAAACAGAAGATCCGTCGAGTCGGTTGAGCCCTGTAGCCGATGTCACTTATTTGTGTTTTCAGCAAGTCACCCTAAGTCGCTTCAGCGCATGATTGCTCGTCACCAGGAGTTTGCCAGTTTAAAACCGGAGATGATCAAGGATGTTGCCTATACGCTTGGCTGTCGCCGAAGGAGATTTGCACATCGTGCTTTCTCCATCATCAACAAACAAGGGGAGGTTTTATACACATCACCTCTTCTTCGGGTACCTGGTGACTCTCGTAAAGTAGCCATGGTTTTTACTGGTCAAGGCAGTCAGTATGCCAGAATGGGAATCGAGCTATATTATATCAATACGGTTTTCGCCTCCAGCATGCAGCGATCAGAAAATGTTCTGGGTGCTCTTCAGGACAAACCTTCTTGGACCATCATGGGCGAACTTAGCAAGTGTGCCACAGATAGCCAAATGAAAGAGGCAATCATATCCCAGACATTGGGTACTGCTGTACAAATAGCTCTGGTGGACTTACTATTCAGTATGGATATCCAGCCAACCCTCGTGATTGGCCATTCCTCAGGAGAGATAGCCGCGATGTATGCCGCGGGCAGACTTACAGCCGAGGAAGCCATCATCAACAGCTATTTTCGAGGAGCGACGGCCAGTGCTATGGCTAAACCAGGAGCGATGGCAGTTGTTAGCATTGCATGGGCAGACGTACAGCCATTGTTGACTTCCGGCGTTGTCGTTGCAAGCGAAAACTCTCCAACGAGTGTTACCATCTCCGGTGATGCTGACCAAATCGACCTTGTCCTGGATGCCGTCAGGGATGCGTATCCCCACGCAATCTCAAAACCCCTCAACATCAATTTCGCGTACCATTCACCACACATGAGCAAAGTCGCCGCTGAATATAAGAAGAAGCTCAACTCCATAATGGACGTTGACCTAAAGATGAATGAGGACAAGAAGCTACCACAAAGATGCCAAATCTTCTCGTCTGTCACGGGCAGGCAGCTTTACAGGGAAGACCCCGTCGATAGCAAGTATTGGGCAAGAAACCTGGAAAGTCCTGTTCTTTTCAAGAAAGCTATCGAGGAAGCAATCCATTCTTACCGTCGCCAATGCTTTACCACTGGGAGGAATGCTACTGAACTTTTCTTTCTTGAGGTTGGCCCTCATTCTTCATTACAAGCACCTCTACAACAAATATTGAATGGATTATCTTATCCATCACCATATGTCTCTTGTCTCGACCGCAAGCAGCCTAGTGACGAGAAACTTTTGAGTGCGGTCGGGAGTTTGTACAATGGCAACGTTTTTGTCGATTTTTCTCGGTTAACAAATTCGTGTGGTGATTCCCGTGTTATTCCCGATCTACCCACATATCCCTGGCACCAAAACAGTCAAAGTACTTTGTACGAATCGACAGTATACCGAGACTGGCGAATGCGCCGTTATACGAAGCATGAGCTCCTTGGAAACCGCGTCTTGGAGATTACCAACAACGAGGCTGTGTGGAGAAACATCCTATCTTTAGAACAGATTGCCTGGCTGGGTGATCACATCTCAAGAGGAAATATTGTATTTCCAGGTACGGGATATCTTTCTATGGCCGGAGAAGCGGTCCGTCAACTCTGCAGCGAAGATGGTACCAAATCCTTCACAGGGTACAGTGTTAGGAATGTGACAATTAGGACACCACTGGTAATTAGCGACTCTGAGACGGAAATCTTGACTAGTTTGCGACGGGCTCAGTTAACAAGCCAACTCGAAAGCTCCTGGTATGAGTTTGTCATAAGCTCACGTAAAGGAACATCGTGGGTAAGGCACTGCCACGGTGATGTTCAATGTATAGCCCAGCTACCTACGAAGTCAGTATTAACGGAATCCCCTTCTCTAACGAGGAATGTAGATGCAAAGGCATGGTATAGAGGATATAGAAGAGTAGGGTGTTTCCATGGACCGTCGTTCCAAGGCTTGAGTCAAATTACTTGCTGTCCTACTGGGAAATGGAAGTCCACGTCACTAGCTTTTCAGACCTGTACATCTGACGAGATGTTTTATTCAATTCACCCGACTAGGATTGATTGTATGCTTCAGCTATTTATCATCGCACGACTCCGCGGACTGGCTCGCCATGCCGAATCATTAGCTGTACCTATATTCTTTGGAAATGTGGATGTATTCACTACTTCGACCGAACCCATCAAGATGGCTGTATCAGCAGGTTGCAGTTTGAGTGGTGTCATATCTGGAGACGGTACAGGTGTTTCCGAAAATGGAAATGTGGCATTGGTCATGAAAGGGATCCGTCTAGGATCTTTAGCAAGAGAAAAGACCGCCTGCCAGGCTTCTCTGAGCTTACATGGCGGGGCCCGCACGGTATGGCGACCCCACTTCGATTTCGTCGATGCAGTTGATTTGATCAAGTCAAATCCAAAACAAAAGGATGCCATGCAAAAGCTCGAGATATTACAGCGAGTATTCGTCAAAGAAGCGCTTCAACTTGTCGAAGGCGTTCACACCGATATCCCCCATTTGAAAAGATATTGTTTATGGCTGGCAGAGCAAGCTAAATTGTACCCATATTCCGCGGCAAATTTGAGTAAAGAGATCCCTTCAGTTTCTCACACTCCATATGAACCATTTGGAAGGGCTCTCGAAAGAGTGCTAGATTCTATCACTGCTCTTTTCACAGGCAAAATCGAGCCCCTCGAGGTTTTACTTCCGGACAACTTACTCACGGAGATTTACAATTGTAATACGAGTGACCGAAGTACTTTGATCGAGCTTTTGGGTCATATGAAGCCAAACATGAACATCTTGGAGATTGGCGCCGGTACCGGGGGTACAACCAGCATCTTTTTACGTCATCTGAAATCGCCAATTGGCAACAACGAACGTCTCTTTCGCCATTACACTTTCACTGACATATCAGGTGGTTTTTTTCCAGCTGCTAGAAATCGATTCCAGGACCATGTGGAAAACATAGAGTTCCGGACCCTGGATATCTCGTTGGACCCTTCAATCCAGGGCTTTGAGTCTGGTGCCTACGATCTTGTCATCGCAACCAACGTGCTTCATGCTACTCCTGACTTACACCAAACCTTGATTAACGTCCGGTCATTACTAAAATCCGATGGCTATCTGTACATGGAGGAGCTTTGTTGCGAGAACAAAGCAATCAACTCAATCATGGGAATACTTCCTGGTTGGTGGCAAGATGAAAGGATCGGGGGACGCTTCGAAGAGCCTTACATAAAGCCCAGTGATTGGGACAGGGAACTCAAAGCGGCAAATTTCCAAGGAGGGATCAGAAAGCTTTCTTTGGATGCTGAACAGCCTTATCAGCTGTGTGCTATTATCGTTTCAGGGCCGCCATATCGCACTTATGATTCCGATGAGTCGAGTATGTTAGCCAAAACTCCAGTGACTGTCTTCGTTGACAGTATAGCTGAAGGTCATGGATATAGCATGGTTGATGAGGAGTTTTCCACTCAAATTGTGCGAGGTCTACGTTCTAATATTGAAGTCAGAGGCCGGACCACATCGTTACAAACATTTCCCAATGATGAGAAAGCGGACTTATCGGAAACCATCGACAGGAGTTGTCACATCGTGGCATTCATGGACCTTCAGAGAGCGTATTTCCCAGATATTACCTCCTCTTCTTTCGAGAACTTCAAATGCCTATTGGAATTCGCCGGTATTCATGGAATCAGCATCTTGTGGGTTACCAGGGCTTGCCAATTCCGATCTATCGATCCACAGTGGGCTCAAACCATCGGAGCTGCACGTACGTTGCGAGGAGAGCTCGGTGTTGATATGGCTGTTTGTGAGATTTCTGAAGACGACATCAAGCAATCTGAAACAGGAGCACTCGTCGCCAGCATCTTCGAGAGATTTCAAAGCGAGCGGGATCTATTCGCTAACGGCAAAAATTCATTGAGCCCTGAATTTGAGTACATCATCACCCAGGGTGAGATCCACATCGGACGACTGTTGCCTGTTGACGTAGACAGCGAACTAGAAACCCTTCGGAAGATTGGTCGTGCGAATCCTGATCATTATATGCGTCAACAGCTCCATGTTGGTGATTATGGCAAACTAGATACGATAGAATGGTCTTCACAAGCTCCAAATGTCCAGTCATTAAACTCATACCAGGTGGACGTTAAGATGGTAGCTGTTGGCGTGAGCTTTAGGGACGTAATGGTAGCTTTAGGAATCATCGACACTGAAGCTTTGAGTATGGGGGCAGAAGGAACTGGTATTGTGCGAGCTATCGGGTCATCCGTATTTCATGTAGCTGAAGGGGATAGGGTTTTTGTGCTCGCCCGTCAGTGCTTTTCAACTAACACTCGCGTACACGCTGATCTTTGCGTCAAAGTTCCAGAAGATCTTGATTTGAAAGAGGCGGCAACTATGCCTTGTGCATTTGCAACCACTATCCATTGTCTTGAGAACGTTGGAAATCTAAGAAGTGGTCAGGTATGATCAAATTCTTTCTTACGCTTAGGTTCAATACTGACCTACGGAAACATAAACAGACTATCCTAATACATTCAGCATGTGGCGGAGTCGGCCTGGCTGCGATCCAGATCTCCCGAATGATAGGGGCTACAATCTTCGCGACAGTTAGCAGCGAAGAAAAAGTTGATCATCTTGTCAAGAATTACGGGATCTCTCGCCAGCATATTTCTCATTCGCGTGATACATCCTTTGTTACAGACATCATGCGAATGACGAATGGCAGAGGTGTAGATCTCGTGCTCAATTCTCTTTCAGGTGAACTCCTTCATGCATCCTGGAGGTGCACAGCCGAGTTTGGTAGCATGATAGAGATTGGAAAACGTGATTTCATCGACCACGGGAAGTTAGATCTCGATATCTTTGAACTGAACCGAAGTTACCACGGTGTTGACTTAGGTCACTTACTAGAAAGACGACCCGAGTACGTTCGAGAGCTACTGGAAAGAATGGTGAGCTATCTTCAAGAGAAAAAAATCGGATCCATAAGTCCCGTCGCCTTCTTTCAGTCAACTCAGGTTGCGCAGTGTTTCCAAGAGATGCGAAAAGGAAAGCACATAGGAAAGATGGTGGTCGATATGAAAGATTCGGGGGGAGGGGAAAATGCAATGGCTGAAGATTGCGCTCTAGAGAAGCCTTCAAATCTACTTTTCGACAGTGGAAGCTCATATGTACTCGCTGGAGGGCTAGGTGGACTAGGCATTGAGATAGCGAGGTGGATGGCGGACAATGGTGCAGGTCGCCTCATCTTTCTATCAAGATCAGCAGACCTTGGCTCAGAGAGACACACTCAGTTTCTAAAGGAACTTGAAAGCCAAGGATGTTCAGCTGAAGTTGTTGCGGGGAGTGTCAGTACTATTGCTGACGTTGAAAGAGCTGTGCACATAGCTGAGTCAAACGGCAAAATGCCCTTGAGAGGTATGATGAACCTCAGTATGGTTTTACGAGATCAAGGCTTTCCCAAAATGTCGCATGCGGATTGGACAGAGGTGGCAGAGCCCAAGATCCGTGGCACCTGGAACCTCCATCACGCCTCACTTGATAAGTCCCTGGACTTTTTCATAATGTTCAGCTCCACATCTGGAATACTTGGACTTCGGGGACAGGCCAACTATGCTGGGGCTAGTACGTTTCTGGATGCCTTCGTGCAGTACCGTCACAGCATGAAATTGCCAGCAGCATCTGTAGATATCGGCGTCATGCTTGACCACGGGGCTGTGGCCGATGACAAGCAAAATTTACAATACCTGTTAGCTGGGGGAGGCTACGGCATCTATACAGCAGAGCTAATAGATGCCGTGGAATATTTGATCCGTACGCCGCTACCTAGCACACACGTCCAAGAAAATTTGGCCACGCTTTCTGCATGGAGCGAACCATCACAATTAGCAATCGGTATAAGATCAACGATCCCTCTCGACAGTCCCGACAACCGTCAAGTTTGGAAGAAAGACCGACGGATGGCCATTTACTACAACATGTTGGCTAGCTCTTCTCAGTCATCGGCAGCCTCCACGATGACTTCGAGATCGTTACCATCTCCTTCACTTGCTAACTTTCTAATCGAGTACTCAGCAAAGCCTGATAGCTTTCCGGAGAAGGATGCCGCTGCATGCTTTGCTAAAATCATCGCGTGTCGCGTATCTGACCTTCTGTTACACCCTACTAGCGAAGACAAAATCACCGAAACAGTCTTGAATCAATCTTTGGTCGATTTTGGCCTCGATAGTCTGGTAGCCATTGAAATGCGCAGCTGGTTTCAGTCTTCCTTTGGATTTGATATCAATGTGCTTGAAATGCTGGCGACAGGAAGCCTTCATAGCCTAGGCGGGCTGGCTGCTACAAGATTCGCAGCGAAAAACAGGGCATCATTCAAGAAAGCTTAGACATAAGCCTTGGTTGATGAACATCTTGATTTCAAGAGAAAGTTGTACAGCAATTATAAGACGGCGGAAGTATCCCGCTGGCTTGAAATGACTAGATGGCCGCGCTACTTCGATGGCTTGAACATGTAGGAGGTAGCTCCGCTGGCGTACACACCAAACCCTAGCCGATATGAAGCCCACGGCAGAGGCCTTAAGCTAGCGCATATAGTTACCGGCCACATATGGTTTCCGGTCACCCCTCAAATACACGCACTGTCAATTGAACACGTAACAACTCTCCCCAACGCCTGATCCAATGGATACCCGCGAGGCCACAATACAATCAGCTATTCACGATTTTAATGCAGGCATTTATTTAAGCCAAAGAGCTGCTGCTAAAGCCTATGGCCTACCTCGATCTACACTCCAGGGACGATTGCAGGGCGCAACAGACAGCGCAACTAGCCATCAACACCAGCAGCGGCTGACTCCTCAGCAGGAAGAGTTCTTAGTTGAATGGATCCTTGAAGAAGACGCACGCGTTTGCCCTCCCTCCCACGCTCGCACACGAGAAATGGCGAATCGAATCTTACGAATGAATGGCGACGATCAGCCAGTAGCAAGCTCTGGCTCTCACACTTTATCCGCCGACAGCCACGCGTCGCTTCAGTTATAGGCAAAAGGCTTGAAGCTCAGAGAGCTCAGGCAGCTACTCCAGAGCAGATTCATGCCTTTCTTGAGCTATTTGAAAGGACTCGAATTCGACTCAATATACGCACAGAGGATATATGGAATATAGATGAGACAGGGATTGCTCTAGGAGTATGTACTAATACAAGAGTACTCTCTAGTAGTAAGAATAAGAAGAAAGCTTATATTCAATCTCCAGAGAATCGCGAGTGGGTCTCAATAATCGAGTGTATATCAGCAGTAGGGCAGAAGCTGCGCTGTGGAGTGATGTATAAGGGCAAGAGCTTACAAAGCACCTGGTTCCTAGCTAACCTAGTGCCTAAATGGCTCTATACAACCTCTCAGAATGGGTGGACATCAGATGAGATTGGAGCTGAGTGGCTACGTCGAATATATATACCTGAATCAGCACCAGGGCTGAATCAGTATCGCCTTCTGATCCTTGATGGTCACAGCAGCCATATCAGTGTTGATTTCCAATGGTCATGCAAGCAGAATAAGATTGAGCTCTTATATCTACCTGCGCATTCCTCCCACGTCTTACAGCCTCTAGACCTTGCTTCTTTCTCTGTTATTAAGTCTAGCTATCGACAGCAGATTCAAGAGCTTGCCTCGCTTGACGATGCAGCACCTGTTAAGAAGGAACGCTTTATTATATGTTACTCTACGGCTAGAGAAGCAGGCCTTACAACACGAGCAATTCGAACTGGCTGGCTAAATAGCTACTGGTCTCTGTCTATTCAATATCAATCAGGTGCTCAGCTCCTCACAGGTCTCTCAGACGCCTACTACGCCTCCTCAGCAGCAGCCCCAGAAGCAGCCCCAGAGCTTCCTCTCTACTCTTCAAGGCCCTAGGGATTTGTATTTAGCTCAGCGCGAGCTCCAAGGCCTTGAGAACCTAGGTCGTACAACAAGGCTTCTCCTACTAAAAGCAGGTAAAGCATTAGCTATTGCAAATACACGAGCAACAGGGCTTGCAGCAGAGAAAAGGCGCGTTGAATATCAACTACAGCCTACTACCTATAAGAAGCCACGCAAGCTTATTCGATCTGAGCCAAATCAGCGATTTGTAGAGTTAGATAGTATAAGAAGGGCAATTCAGCAATCAACAGCGCAGGCAGCTCAGAGAGAGGGAACTACTATAGCTGTATCAGCTCTACAGTCTATGTGTAACGAGTGGCAAATAGAATAAGCGTTGTTGAATGGTTACGTGTTGCAATCAGAGTGCTGATTTTCGAGGGGTGGCCGGTAACTATATGCGCTAGCTTATAAACTCAATCTCTGGCTTGGAAATCTAACGACAGCCAATTATTTCACCAATGATCTCTTCAACGGTCCCTGCAATACTCTTCTCATTATCATTCCACATTTTTCGAAAGAAATGTAACATGCATGAAGCTGGGCAGCGTCATCGTTTTATTTTCGGGCTCATCTATGCAATAGTGTAGTATCTTTGATCAAACACGAGTCAATTTTTGGCAGCATGATCGAAAAAAAAAGTATCGACTGGGAGCCTCTGGCGATCTCGAATGCATCGTTGTCACAAAATAATCTTAAGATGAGTTTCAAAACGTGGATAGAAGCCGGGGGCGATTGAGTGGTACGTTGCATGCCACAATTTTAGCACGGCAAAGTAATCATGCCATCACTGTTGAACCATTGGAAACGATGTGAGCCGGCGCTTACCAGCACTGTTTACTTCTTAAACTATATAAATAAAAATAAATTTATTTATCTACTTCCCTTATTACCTGTATAATAAACTAACTTATTTTATTTACTTTAATCCCTCTCTACTACTTCTTCTTATAAAACTATTGCCCTATTGCTCCTATCTCTAGCCTGTTCTTAATTTTCTCCTCTATTTAAGCTATCTACTTGTCCTGCTTTATAGCTGCCTGCAATATATCTTCTACTAAGTTAACGTGCTGTATCTACACGCTAAACACTATCTCTACTAACACTCTCCTATACTAGCAATTTACTCTGCTCTGCTTGTAGTACCCTCTACTTACTATATCTAACTTAAAGCTCTTATATACAAACTAGAATAAACTGCATTTAAAATAGTACAAAAACCTAGCCTACTACTTCTACTTTGTAAAATCCTAGATTTCTAGCTATACTTTCTTTGCTATCTCTCTTTTGCAACTTTAAATGTTGTGCTTGTTTTTTTTTACTCTTTATACTTAGTAATGCTAGCATCTGTTCTTTTACTCTTTTATTAACTCTTTTAACTAACTTACTTTAATAGCATCTTATGCTTCTTGCTTGTTAACTTAATCTGCTTGCGCCTAACGTGCTAACATCTACTACTTAAACTTATGCTTATTATACATTTCTACTAATTCTGCGCTATCTTCTGCCTGCATCTTATTACAATCTGTTATTTTATTATTTATATATGCCTCTTCCCTTAATTGCTTGCACTGCTAACACTGCTTTTTACTTGCTTTACACTCTTTTTTGTCTTTTTGCTTGTTTATAGCTTTATTTAACACTTTTTATATGCACCTATTACTTTTAATTAACTCTACTATTTTTTTTTCTGTATTTCTAGAAAATAGTACAGTAGTAATACTTTTTTAGTTCTTTTAAAAACCTTGCATAATAATTGCCTTGCTAGCCTGTTTATTCTAATATTCTAACCTACTTATCTGCTTTTTTAAGCGTAATGTTGTACTATCTACACAGCTTTTACATACACTACTGCTTAAATTATAAGCGCATTTACTTTTAATTCTAACGCGTTAGTAGCAGTAAACACTTACTGCGTTTTACTTATTAACTGCTTTACTAATTTTTTCTTTTCTCTTTAGTTTTTTATATTTTAGTAGTAGCAAACGTACTGCAACACTTTAGCTAGCTATACTATTTTAGCTACGCTGCTATAGTACATAATTACCTAGCTTTTTAAGTATTGCGTCTTTAACCTGCCTACTAATACTTTTACTTTTTTTTTCTTCTTTCTTATATTATAATTATAAACCTAGTATTAAAGGGTTAGGGTTAGGGTTAGGGTTAGGGTTAGGGTTAGGGTTAGGGTTAGGGTTAGGGTTAGGGTTAGGGTTAGGGTTAGGGTTAGGGTTAGGGTTAGGGTTAGGGTTAGGGTTAGGGTTAGGGTTAGGGT